ATACTTCTCTCTCACATCCCCACCACTCGCTTTTTGGACCCAAACAAACACAAAAACCACCTTACATGTATCCCCAAATCCTTCCTTGTTGCAAACATCAGGTTCTTTGCCCCCCGTGTCTATTTATCTCAAGAACGTTTCGTGTGCCTTTCTACCACCGTTACTTTCACCAGCAAAGTAAATGCTTTCTTTGCCTTGCCTTTGCTGCTTTTCTCATTCCGATTATTTTTTTGTCTCTTTGTTTTTCCTTCTTGAACACTTTTATATCAAAAAAAAAGAATCATTTTTGCTATGGAACCAACCTAGCTCCTCTTTCGTTCTTTTAAGCAAAGATACAGCGAAAAAAAATCACTTATTGTTCTAAAAGTATTGCTGAGCTTTTTGCTCTATTCGATGGTGTGTTGCTTTGTCATCGCCCCCCTTTTGCCTGGGTAAGTAAAGACTGATGCAAAAAACACACTCATACAGTGAAACAGATATGTATACTTTGTTTGTTTCCAGAGTTGAGAAAGATGTGATTTATACAGCAACCTACGAGATGCATAGCTCTTAACAAACAAAACATCTTATTGCTTGGAAATTCCTTTTTTTTTTGAGTAATGGTTTTGATTGCACACAAAAAATAGGAGAATTAAGGAAGGAAAAACGAGAGGAAAAGACAGCAAAAAAGGCAAAGCAAAAAAAGTAGTTTGAACTCTTTCTGAACATTTCGGCCAAGTGCTGTATAGAGGGGGGGGGGGGTATCCGAAATCATCAAATGCCAGATATGCTTGACAAACCGGAAAAAAAAAAAAAAAACCAACATAAATTGACAAGAACAAAAACCACTACTTCTCATGCTCCAAGTTCACTCGGTCTCCGCTGTGGTCTGCCATCTCCAGCAACGCCAAAGTTGAACTTGCCCAACTCGTCGGAACTCGGATAGTACACCATCGGCGTACTCTGACGTCTGGGGCTGCGCGAGGGGATATCAGGTGTCAAAGGCCCTTCTCCATGGTGGTAAACATCTGCATATCCATCCTGTAGCTCATAGTCTTCATGGCTCGCAAACGGATTCTGATAGTAAGGGTGAGGGTAATCCTGCGCTACCGACCCGGCCAGAGCGGCAAGTGAGGGTTGATGAGACACGGGGGATCTGTCGAGGTTGCGGTATCCTTCTGCGCTGTGGCGGGGAGGAGGAGCAGGCCAGAACCCGCTGCTGCTGCGACGTCTTTGGGGTTCTTGCTCGATGGGGCTGACGGGGCTGGCGATTGTGGCGCCAAAGGAGTCTGGAGAGAAGGGCGTGGGTGGTCGGTCTTGTCTGCCGTGTGCGGCGTATTGGTCGTTGTCTTCCAGTGTTGCTGTTCGTTGGAAGGATCCACGCTCGGATCGCTCAGCAGATAGTTCGGCAGGTCCGTGGTGGTCGTCGAGTCTGTAGCCGTGGTAGCCGAGATTCATGTCATCGTCGTCGTTGGTCCATGTTCTGGTCGCGTAGCCACCACCACCACCACCACCATGAGCAGCCATTTGGGGCTCAAGCAACGGCGGTGCATCGCTACGGCGTCCATACTTTTCGGCTTCTCCGTTGGTGCGCCAGGAGGAAACTTCAGTGTCTGAAGGACTCGATGGTCTGTTCTTGAAGAATGTCCCCGTGTTCTTGCGACGTCGGTGCAGGAACCAGATCAGAAATGCTCCGATAGCAATCGCAATCGAGCCCAGAACCACGCCGAGAATGATGCCCAATCGTTTGTCTCCCGAATTATTCGTTTGTGAAGACTGCTTTGACGACGATGCGGAAGTTGCACTCGATAGCGTGGTTGATGCCGTGGATGTCAGAATCGGTCTCGCGTTCTCAGTAGTCGATGCGATTGCTGAAGAAGGACTTGTGGAAGATGGAGTCGAAAGCGAAGTTTCGATTGATGGAATGGTGTAGGTTTGTGATCCAATCACCACCGTCGTGGGCCCTGTCAGTGAAGCCAAATCGGTAGTCGTCGAAGGAGATTGACTCTGGAGCAGAGAGCCGGCTTGTGACAGAAGCGATTCGATTCCATTATGGATAGGACTTGCGTTTGCTGTCACTACGCTTTCGACAGCATTTAACAGACCGGCTGGTTGGTCGTCAGCAGCTGCGAGTCCCAACAGGAGAACAACAGCTAGATTGTTCTTGATGCCCATCTTGTGCAAAATAGGCAAGCAAGAGCTCGTAAGAAGAATAGGCTATGATCGCAGGCAGTCGCGTATTTCGGGATAACGACGTTCAGTGAGGCTAAGGATTATATGTGTTGTCTCGACAGAGTGGAAGGAAAGAAGGTGGGTTTCGGGACGAGAAGGAAGACTAGTCAAGAACAATGATGGATTGTCAAAAGTAAGAACCTGGGAATAAGCCATTGGGGCCGTCAAAAGCACTCTTCCATATGGTTCGAACCTACAGCACGTCAATTCCTCCCAATGGACGACCTGCAGGGTACATTGTGCCCCGGAAGGCCAGACCGTGCTGTAAGCGACGATCCAATAGACGAGCAAAGCAATCCATGTGAAGTTGTCCTGCCTCCTCATATCAAGCCTCTATCCCAGCCACAAGAGAGGGGTACATGTGGCGCTAGAAGCACAGCCACGTCTAAGCGTCATGATGATCATCATGATAAAGTCCTGAAAGAGAACCCACAGCGGCTCAGCTCGAGAAAACCCGCTCCAGAAAGCAGGTTCTCGAGGACACATGGAGTCACTGATCATCACTATTGATGCCATTGTGCATAGATGTGCTCTACCACAGTGTCACCATCGCACCTTTTGCCTTTGATAACGCCGGGGTTTGTTGGCTTGGGGGACAATCTTTTCGCTTAAAATGGTGTGAAGTACCATGAGGTAGGTGGTAAAATATAGGCCATGGCCCACAGCCATGACTTGTGGCTCGTGATTCGTTTTTCGAAGGCTTCCATGTCCGTCTCGAGCCCATCGCTCTCCCAATCAGAGCTTTGTGCCTGTGTTTCCCAGATATTCTGGAAACCCCTTGTTATATGATCCCTGTCTTAACACGAGCTCAGGATCTGCGGGATTCTATTGTACCGACAGGTCTTTCGAGCCAGGTCATCCTGCCAAGCCTCACGAGCAGGGAACGAACATGAACTGCATGTTCTGAGATGGTTGTACATGTTTGGTTCTCGTGGATATCGTGATATTGCATGCTATTCGACATGTTCTTCTCAGTAAGTACGTGGGTGCGGCATGCCAAGCTGCTCCTGCTGCTCGCCAACTGAACCGGTCGGTTCATGCCATGCTGGGTATTGATGTCCTGTTTGGGGTATAACGCTGTTGTAGTGTGTTTGATAGAACTCTGTGCTTTGCTGAAACTCTGGAGGGTATGTCGGAGTGATGAGTGGCTGGAGGTGTTGATGCGGGCCAGGCGGTGGGATCATGCTCTCTGGAAGAGGCCCGGTCGAATCAGAATAGTTCCAGATAGGCCGAGCAGGACCGTTCGTTGAATCTTGCCTTTTCCATACTCGTTGGTTTAGAGAAGATAGCAGGCTTTCAGTGTCACGTTGGAAACGGTCGCGCCAGCTCATATATCCCCATCGCAAACCAAATAAACCAAGGCAGTCTGTCAAACGCTTGATACAGGTAATGCTTCGCGCGAGATTCTTCTGGAAGTCTCTGGGCGTGTGAGGTGCTGGCGGTGGCGGCGCTGAGTCGATAGGGACGTGTGGTGGATCGGGGATGATGCCTGATAACAACCTATCCTCATTGCCTTGCAGCACCTCGATGAATTGGCGGCCGGTCATGTACACTCGCATTGCGTCGTAGAAACTCAGAGGAGCTGTCTTAACACGCTCGTTCGCATGAGATGTCATCTTCTCCGCGTATTGAATGCAATGTTCGAAAATAAGACTCTGCGCAAAGGGCGCCACGAATGGCATGCGCGGCGACGCAGCAAGGATGTAAATATAGGAGTAGAGCAAGTTGAGCTCGAAGAAGTTGCGAACTTGTGGACTCATGCTCGGAGACAGTCCGGCGAACCAATTCCTCATGGCCTCGCAAGATCGCCATACCAAGGGGTAAGGGTCTGACAGAGGTATCCGCCCTGATTGAAACAGCTCGGTATACCAGGCAGATTGTATCCGTCTCAAGTTGAAGAGGTCAACCGCCGGCCCGAAACTCTTGAACAGGATATGATTCGAGTCGTCCTTGGCATCTGGTGGGACCAATATCTGCGCTGTAGAGAAGGGTAGAGCAACATTTGCAGAATCGTCCGAGAACGAGAAAGCTCGCGACTGAATCAGACTCGTTGTCCTGTCAAAACCATAAACGCACCAGAAAACTCGTCTCCGCAACTCTAGCTTTGCCCTAGAGATGGAAGTGCTTCGAGGAGGATCTTGGTGGAGTCCTAAGTCAACCATGGCGCGCGAGGCTGCACCTATCAAGCCCCAGCTATCAAAGTGATGAGGATCGATCATCGAGTATTCGTGTAGCAGCAGCATTGCTTGTACACTTGCGATCGAGCCAGGACGAAGAACGTGTTCGGCATGGGCCAATGCAGCAGAGACGTGTCCGATCGCAGCCATGTAGTTGGGGTCGCCTCGTTGCTCCATACGTCCGGAGTGTGCGATTGCAAGTACCAACCTGACAGAGAAGTGATCGAATGGCGATGCCGTAGGATTGCGGGAGGTCTCCGAGTTGTATACCGCATCTATGGATGCATAGAAACTCGACTCCTCGAAAAAGGGGTACATGACAAAGAAGTTTTCGAAATAATGCCTAATGGTGATCATGGCCTCGTTTCGTGGTGGCAGTGGAGTCACAAATCCTGGAGGGAGAGAGTCTTTGGTGCAAGCGGAAAGGACCATGCGAGCATAGGACATGCTTGATGTAAATCCATAGAAGTCCCGCGCCGTGGCATTTACAGTACTGTGAAAAGTCAGCGTGAAAATGATGCACGAAAGGGTGCAATTACTGACAGATAGCCAAAATCAGACACCAGATCATCGATTTCCTGGGCTTCGAGTCTTTTTGATGTCCTATTATTTCCTTCAGAGGAAACATGTTTTTGTACAGCGCCGGCATTGGTGTGGTTGTGAGCGGCTACTACAGAAGCCTTCCTGTGTTGAGACTCTTGCAGTCGGCGCTCAAGCTTTTCTATCCTTGTTTCCAAGGTAGAAACATAGCTTCGCTCTTTGCCTCTAGCAAATTGATCGCTGGTACTTGAGCACTCGACCTGTTTGCCGGACCTTTCGCAAGCGGTACATGCCTGAGTTGATCAGCGAGACGCGAAGCAGGAGTTGGTCAAGGCAAGCTCACCGGAAGTTTGCCATCGCATTTGATTTTGGCAGATCTACATCGCGAACAGGCAGCGACGGGACGACTGACCCTGAGTAAAGGCGTCTCGAAAACCATTGGATCTCGATGACAGATTGTGGCTTGAAATGGCTTTTACGCATGGTCAGTCAGGACTTGTTTTGGCTTGCAGCTTATGCTTACCTGACGGAACACAGTCCGTGGGGTAGGTCGAGGCAGGTGACTTGTGCTTACGGACGAAGGAGGGAGAGGCCCTGAACGGTGGACCAGATGCGGCTGACGATGTCAAAAGCAGCTGTCAGAGCTGAGGCCAGGGACCAAGATGGTCGAGGGGGAGAGGGTGGTCTTGGTGGAATCGATCGGGTGCGACGCTTCAAGAGCCAGACCCCTCTCTTGCTTGTCTGGGAGGCAGCCGAGGAGCCTTTGAGCCAGAGTTTGCGCTTTCCGCACTGCTTGATTTCTTGTTTCTTTCGGACAGCAAATCAGATGGCAGAGATGGGGGCCTTCTGAGGCAGGCTTGGGTGTTTCTGGTTAGGCTGGATGGTGCTAGACAGCGTGCCGGAAGATTTGTAACGGCTTTTTCACATGGCGCTGCTGAGGATGATGATTTTGCTCGCGTATTTGGAGGCAATCAGTCTTGAACAAACCCGGGCTCGGCTCCTGACAAAGCAGTGTCGGCATGTGGTTGTACAGACAGGCAGAGTGCCTCTCGGTCGAAGCAATACCGACGACAAGAGTCGATTGAGGCTCGGGACCCTGCGAGTGTTCTTTCCTGGTCGAGATCGTCTCCCCGCAAGGACGACAGCTGAGAAGTGGATCCGCTGCGTGCAGGACGAAAAGCGAATCTGCCTTCTGTGAGACACGACGGGTAGGCGTGGGCGGGCGTCATCTGTGGCATGAGGCGCACTCCTCACGCATTACGCACCTTGTACGAGAGACAGCCATCGCCTTGTTGGAACGAGTATCGGCGGGATGCAAGCGCCAGCAGGAGGGCTGGCCAAGGGCAAAGCCAAAGACAGTGCGGCTGAAGACAGCTCGTCGCGCGTAGCACACACTCTGACGGCATGCTCACGCTGTAGACAGGTACGGCCAAGCCCATCTATACAAGGCGCCTCTGCTGTCACTATACTAAACGTGCACAGCGCAAAACACGATGCGACCCTGGCCTTCCGCGTTGCGGCCCCTGCGAGCGGACAAACTCGGTGTGCGAGTACTGGGACCCGGCAAAGGGCAAGAACGTCAATCGCGACTATGTCATCTATCTGCAACAGCGCGTGCACCAGCTCGAACTGGAGCTGGAAAAGACCGAGAACGACGAAGGACACGACGACCCCGAGGTCATGGTGCGCAGCGGCGCTGGCGTCAAGCTGCAAGAACACGATGAGACAAAGTACCTAGGGCCCTCGAGCGGCACCCAAATCACCCGTCTAGTCATGCAGCTGGCCAAACACTTCACCAACTCCAACTCGATCAAGGAGATTGTCAACGAGACCAAGGCCCGCCAGGTCAAAGCCCTGTATGCCGAAGAGGCCACTAAGCCCACCTCCAAGATCTACCCTCTGACCAGCCATGTCGCTGCTGAGGAGCTACCCAACCGTAGCCTGACCCAACTCCTCGTCCAACTATACAATCTCAAGGTCCAGCCCATGTACCCTGCCCTCCACGAGCCTTCGTTCGCAAAGGACGTCGAAGTCGTCTACAATGGCAGTCCGGATCCTTATCAAAATTACATTGTTCGCATGGTCATTGCCATCAGCTTGCAAAAGATGGATACCCAGTACGCTGGTCTTGCCGACAGTTACTACTTGGCCGCTCTTCAATATCTGGCCCCAGTCATTCAGCCTATGAACCTCAGGACCCTGCAAGCTTTTGCCCTGATTGCCGAATACTCTTTGCTGACTCCTACTCGCACTGCCATCTATTATGTCATGGGTCTCGCTGTCCGTCTCGCTCAATCCTTGGGTATCAACGAGGAGCGTACCATCACTCGCACTTCCACTGGTGGCACCGCCGACTGTTTGGAAGTCGACATGCGTCGTCGCCTCTTCTGGTGCACCTTTGTCATGGAACTCGGTCTGTCGCACGCTTTGGGTCGTCCATCTATACTGGCTACCCATCAAGACCACATTGATGTTGAGTTCTTTGAGGCTGTCAGCGACGAATATATCACTCCCGAGGGTGTTCTCCCAGGCGCTCCTAGACCAAGTCTCAAGAAATGGATCGCCATCCACTTCTTCAAAATGCGCATGTTGCAGCTCGAGATTCGAAGGAAATTGTATCAGAAGAAGAGAGCTACTCCAAAGGACGACAAGGACATCTGGTTCTTGCAGATGAATGCAAAGCTCGAATCCTGGAGAGACGCCAGTCCCACCAAGGACGAGGGTAGCGGTCTCAACAAGGTCTGGTTCATCGGCAGATACAACACCATGATCGTCTTCCTATACAGACCCTCCCCACAAGTACCCAACCCATCGGTTTCGGCTGCGTTAAAGGTCTTCGAAGCTTGCCGCTACAACATCTACCTCCAGCGAGAACAGATAGCAATGGGCAACGTTGATCTGACCTGGATCTTCACCCAAGCAATCTTCATGGCTATCAATGCTCTCTTGTGGTCGCTGTCATTCGCCGAGGTGCGCAAGCAAAATCCAAGACAGGACGTCCAAAAACACCTTCAGACTGCAATGGAAGCCATCAGACTCGGCTCCGAGCGTTGGCCAGGCGTCTTGTCAGCCATTGAGCTTTACCACGATCTGATCTCGGCCATCTTGAAGGCCTACGACAAAGATGGCGATATCCCTCTTCAAGAAGCGACCCCCTCCGACAGCGCTTCTCCCGGCAACGTCCCATACTCACCGAATATAAGTCATTCGCGAGGTGCAAGCCCTGGAACAATCTCGACCGTATCCATCGCCACTCCACCAGAGCGCATCCCCTCATTCGGCACTTTCCAAAGCACGAGCGTCGAACATCCCCCACCAATGCCCTACCAAGCATCCGAGCACCCCGTCGTGACACCACCAGTCTACCAACCCGCTCAACAAGCACCCCACCAATCCATCCCCCGCATCAACGGTCCAGAACTCTCTCCAGCCGCCTATCCAACACCCCAAACCAACGCTTCAACCTCCTACTTCCAACCCCTACCCACTCACTTCTCAGACTTACCCCAACAATCCCACTGGCGAAGCCAATACTCTTCGCCCGCCCAACGAGGCGACTCGGACACCACCTACAGCCCCTACGGTTTGTCTCCTTCAGGAACAGGCCTAGCACCGCCAACACCCTACCCAGCTTCCTCGCCTCTCTACGGACCAGGCGACCACGTCCAGCAAACCGCAGAGAATATGATGAACAACCCTGGTTTCTGGGGTCAAGACATGTCGGTATTTGGCACTGGATTGGATCAGGCGCAGCAGAGCGAACTTATGCATTCGTTGGAGACGTCGGGCATGGAGGATATCCAGCACATGATTACCAACACCATGAGGGCTTTTGGACAAAGACCGCAGCAGAACGGGTGAAAGGGGGGCGGAGGAAAAAAGCCCGCGTTTAATGAGGATTTTTTCATACGATTAGGCGATGAACAGGGATGTTCTATTTTGGCGGTTGCAGAGCTTTGATGGTTGATCGCTTGAATTTGGCTGTTCACATGCTTTTTTGATATTCGTCAAAAACGTGGTATTGCCATTCGAACGATCAGCCACCCAAGGCAGTTACCTGTCACGCGCAGGTGGCTATGACACCAAGGCGGATCGGCCTGCTCATTAGTAGGCTCTGCCGTCCATGCTTCGAGGTGTGCTCGTCTAAGCATACCAGCCACGTCCGGTCTAGCCAGTGTTCAACGGGGTCAACGTTCGCGAGAGTACATTACACAGACTCGGCACGGCGACAAGGGAGGAGAACGTTCGCAGAAGACAAGGGAGGAGACCGTTCACAGAAGACAAGGAAAGCATGTCCATCACCACCCCAGCACCCCAGCACCCCAGCAACCTTTTCAATCAGCACCCTAGAACACAAGCAATCGAGTCACAGAAACCACCAGAGGACAAGTTACACAGAAGGAAAGCCCCGCATATCGGGAGATACAAGTTTCTCCTTTTCACGATAGTTGCTCGGTCTACGAATATAGAATAGCATACATGACATCTCCCCTTTTTTCCCCCAAAGACACAGCACGTTATACCGCATTTTCTGCAAGTCAACTCGTGAAACACAGTAAAGGATACATCGTTCTTGGGAAGAGAAGAAAGTTGTTAGATGAAGAGCTGTCTGTTCGCTAGATATCTGCCTGCAAACCTTCTAGTCGTGGAGCACAGCTCAGCAGCAAAAGCAAAGGCCGAGAGTGGTGCAAACAAAGCAACAAAGCAACAGTGAGCCACTCATGAGATAAGCAAAGAACAATAGGGCGAGTGCAGACAATCCGAGGTTTGATCAAGACAAGTCATCGAAAGAGGAAAAGGAGAGAGAGAAGCTTGAGATAACATTAACCACATTAAAAAAAACAAGATCTCGAAAAGGGGGGTGGATAGATAGAAAAGGAGCAAGCAGACAGAAGCACGCGTAGGGTAACGTCCAAGAAAATTGCAAAAAGGAAAATATGTGATGTCGCAAGTATAAGCCTCCCAGAGTGGTGTGTTTCCGAAACCAAAAATCAAATCGCCGCGCGCATGTTGTAATCGGTTTCCATATCTCGTACTCGTTCGTCGATCATATGGTATCGTTCTGTGTTTAATGCAGACCAGTATTGATACTGATGATGCTGCCATGTAGTATCCGGAACGCCTAATGAGTAGCCCTGGACACGGCAGTGGTGTATGCTCTCTGTTGTGCATGCCGGCGTGTAAAGCAAAGAAAAGCCAACGCATCGGGGAGTGGGCAAAAAAGCAAAAAGCAGTGGTCTTGGGGTATGTGTATGCCGAAAGGAAATAAAATCAGATGGTCAAGATGCTGTGAAGCATTTAGGGGTCACTCAAGGTAACCCCCTTCTATTCGGACGCAACGTGTGCATAGGACCAGCCTAGTGAAGCAAGGCCGGCACAATTTAGAGGTCGTTGATGGTAAACTCGTCTTCTTCCTTGAAGACGGGTTCGTCAGCGGAGGGCCAGTAACCTTGAACGGGACTGATGCCGCCACTGCCGCTTTGAAAGCCAGGACTGAGGCTCTGACCAAAGTTGGAATGGCCTTCTTGTCCGTGTAAGGGCTCGCCAGCAAGGTTGGTGTGACCAGGGACTCGGAGACCAGAACCATGGCCTCTGCTGTAGTCCTGGAGATTGCTGGTGGCGATGAGTTTCTGCATGAGTTCACGGACTTCGGTCTCCATGCGTCTTCCATCTTCGGTCATGGGTGCAGACCAATCGTCACCTCGAGCACGGGCTCTTGCCTTCAACTCGGCGTTCTCGTCGAGAGTGTGCTTCAAGTACCACAACAAGTCTCTGGTCCAGGCAACGCTTCCGTTGAGGATGTCGCCTTTGTTAGGACCCTTGTCTTTGTCATCCATAGGCAAGCCAGTGCCAACGCTTGCGGATGTAGCTCTCCTGCCATTACCTCCGGCCAACAGAGATGTGGCCTGAGAAGGAGACATACCCGTAGCCACGATGGAGGGGGAGAGGGGAGCGTTTGTCTGGAGGTGCTTTCGAACTCTTTCGTCCTCAAGTCTGTGCATGGGGACAAGGCTAGCGAGATCCTGAATACGTTCGTTGATGTTGTCACGTCTTCTGCGCTCAACCAGGTTGTGCGATTCTCTTCTGCGCTTTCGCTTGGCCTCTTGGGTCTGGAAAGCAGGAGGATTCTCCATCTTTGCAGGCAACGACGATGCTATCTTGCCATTGGCGCCTGCATTCGAGGACTTGAGGACCTCGGTGATTTGAGGGTGCTGCTGGTGCTGCATCATGGGGTTGGATGGCGAGCCGAACGGCGAGACGTCTTGCCAGGAGTGAGGGTTCGACACATTCTCCCAATTGTTGACACTCGAGCTCTGTCTGTGACCCACGATGGCGCGAGGCTGTTGACCCATGCTCGCGGAAGGATATTCTGGCTCGCCGAGATGCAAGTTGGAGATGCCAGGAGTGTTCGGCGTGGCAGGTGAGCGAGAATCAGATATCTTGCGCTCCATCTGATGAACCTGTGGGGCGCTCAGGCCATTCATGTAACCGCCTGTAGTTGGCACACTGTACTGAGGACGGAACTGGCCATAGTTGAAGTCGTTGACGAAGGGCGACTGGATGGGAGCACCCTCTGGTGTGGATGAGTAGAAGTTGTTATTGTTGTTCAGGTGCTGTTGACCCATGGACATAGGCATGCTGCCCTGGGTAAGGAAGTGCTGGTTCATGTTGCCGTTGTTGAACTGGCCTTGGTGCATGTTGTTGTGATGGTGGCCATCATCCATGTTGATGCCATCAAGCAGCTCGTCGTCAGCTAGGCCTGAGTTTCCCATGTTGAAACTCGACGACATGTTCTGAGGGGCAAAGCTCGAGTTGAAATTGGAGTTGCCCATAGCGTGATCGCCACCGCCGTTCATGCCGTTCTGCATGTGGTGTGAGTTCATGTTGAAAGCCGATGGCTGTTGGTGATATTGGTGTGATTGGAAGGAGAAGTCGGTGGGTTCAGACTTGATGAACGGAGAGCCGGCACCAGCCATTTCGGGCTTGACTGCCAACGAATCGAACTCAAAGGGCTCGTCGAAGGTGAACTCGAGCGGCGAGTCGTGTTGTGGGTTGCGATTGTCTTGGTGTGTCTCAAAGGGTGGAAAGGTGGTCAATGATGTGGGAGCTGCTCGCGCAAGACCGTTAGTCGCACGTTCTTTTTCCGAAATGGGAAAGGCTCATGAACGTCACAAGCCTGGACCGTGGCTCCGAGGCAGCAACGAGCATGTGATTGTGGATGGGCAGGGAACACTTACAGACTATAGGCATCACTTTGGATGTATGGTGACGACGCAAGTGATTGGCAGCTGTGAGTAGTGCTGCGCTGTAGCAAAGGTCAAAGAGCAGATGTCGGGAGGCGCGATGTCTGCAGGCACAGGAACCGGTTTGCTTCAGAGGCCAAAAGATGTATTGCAAGGAGCAGTTCGGTTGGTCGAGTCGTTCCAGTCAGACCTTGTCTCAGCGGTTGTGGAATGGCTAGCCGTGTCGCACAGCAGCTGTAACGATGTCGCGGAAGGTGATGTCGCAGCTCTTGGCTCTAAGGTATTCGGCCGAGAAGTCTGCAAGTCTGTTGTGCAATAGGGTCAGCACAAGAAGAAAGATGGAGCAGATGTGGTCTGGATCTGGGCTTGAGTTATATGGGCAGTAGATGAAGCGAGCGCATGAATGCATGACGGACGCCAGTGCAGCGGCACGACCCGGATCACCGTCCGACAGCGTGTCTGCTGTCAGGGAGCAGAGCGGCTGCATACAGGCGCAACACAGGCAACACAGCCTGGCTGTCGACTCATCCACGCCCAGCAAAGAGGAGCAAGAGGAAGGGTTGGTAGGGCAGGAAAGCACTTACGTAGCAGATGTGATTCGCTCGGTCTGCAGCCAAGGCAGGCAACGACGAGCAGAGGGCGGGCAGACGGGCACAAAGATGTTTGTTGCGCTCGAGGTTGGCGCGACAGAAGGTGTATGGCGGGGCAGAAGCAGCAGCAGCAATGCGCCGTGCGACTGAAATATGGCAGACGTGGAGTAGAACACTCGCACGAGCAGGGAAGCGGCGGACGGCGGGGTGCTTTGACGCCGGAGGAAGGTGCCAAGAGAATAGACCGAGTCAGCCGGTGAGGAATGTGTCAGAGAGAAACCCCCCGAGATGTATACTCGAGAGATGGAGGGGTGGGTGGGCTTCGAGTCGTCGCTGTGTCTGAGACGGCGACGATAAGAAGGAAGGTGGTGGTGGAAAGGGAGAAAGGGCGAGCGAGGAAAGGGCGAAGGTGAGTCGAACGAGTCACTCTTAGTCTTAGCACGACCCCGTCTTTACTGTCGTTGCTTTCTCCAGACTTGGCCGTTTCAAGGCGGTCAAGGGTCAACTGTAATAGTCCGGGCGAATTGCGGCGAGGGCTTGGGCCAGGGCGATCAGCGCGGAGAATAATCAAATATCAATGATGTTGGTTTATTTTGATCGAGGCGTGTAGAGTACCAGAAGTCTGTACGAATAGGTGGCGTGCAGGATGTGGTACCAGAGGACTTGATGAACAGGATAAGTAGCAGAGGATTTGATTGCGGTCTAAGCGAGCACAAGCAGCAGCAGGTTCTCGAGCAAAGCAGGATGATGGAGCTGACCAAACGAGACTGATCGTGTTGCGCCGTCGAGGAAAAGGCGGGCTCTGTATACATATATACCCCCCGATCCGTCCAAACGCCTCTCACCCTGAGGCTCTGGCCTGTAAAGGAGGGCGGCCGTGACGACTGCACTCGAGATACCGTCTCACGCTAGGGCACGACAGAGTGACTCGTGTGCAGGACATGATCCACATTGCCGGAGCACCCTGCCTTGTATTTTTGTAAATGCCCTTCGCAGACTAAATCCATGTATGTGTAAACGGTGTCTGAGCGCGTCAAAACCTGCTGCTGAGCCACAGATAGCAGCGGCCAGCCATAGGGTGGGGCGGTCGTCCTGGCACGCACTACCATCTACACACCCACCTGGTGCTCTCTTGCACACAGGCAGCTTCGTATCTGCCTGCCCGGTCGTTGCAGCTTGCCCCAAGCTCAAACGGCGATAGCAACAACAGCAGCGATCCAGCGATCCTCGCCCCCGCCCCCGAGACAGACTTGTCAAGCATGCAATCTAACATGGTTCTTCGCTTGCGCTGACATGGTCTCGGGTCGGGGCAAGAGACAGAGCGCCCTTGACACCGGAAGGACGAGGCCGGCGACGCCTCTCATCACAATCGCCGGTGGCTGCCCGCAAAAAAAAGTAATTGCAGCTCTTTGGCGAAAGAGGTTGCGGAGAGATGCAAGCAGTGTGAAAGCAGGGACATATCGCAGAAGGCCAAGCATCAAGCCGCTAGCTCGGGCCGGCGTCGAGTGGCTTGAGCGTGCGTGCATGATTGGAAAGTTGGGGTGGAGGGCTGCGCGAGTGTCGTCTTTGCCAGTTGGAGCTTGCGCTCTTGAATGCCACAGATTGCGCGCGACCAAATCACAAGGAGCAGAGAGCTTGTCCGGCGCTGCCTATTTCGACACAGAGAGTCACTTGGGCCTTGTTTCCGCCGATCATCTGCACTCTGCACGCAATCCCGCCCGCGCTTGCAGTGTCAACGAGCTCCGTCCACTGGCCGCGAGCTGCTCGTCATCGTCGTCGTCGTCGTCGCCAGGCCTGCAGCCTTCGACCACTCCCTCCACTCCAATCGGTAGTTGCGGAGCACTGCTGTGACGGTTACGCTTCCCAAGGACGCCCACGCGCTCTCCCGCTCCCTGCCGCACGCCCCTGCAGCAGTTAGGCTACGCTACACGGACTCGTCTTGCTCTCCGTAGCAGCCTGCGCCGCTCCAGGTGTCCTGTTTCGCTCAGCCTGTCCGTCCTGGCCTGTCCTGTTCTGTCCTCCGCTACACCCATTTCCTGCTGTTCGTTGAACCTGCACCCAACGCTCCTCGGTGCCCCTCGCCATGGCCTCTTCATCCTTCCGAGACTCGATGAACTCGCTGGGCTGGAGCCGCAGAGAGCCCGCGGCTATACCTGCAACGACTTCCAACTCCTCGACCCCGTTCCTTGGCAAACTGCAGTCGCTCAATCCCTTCGGACAAGGAGGCTATGTCAGACTGCCTCTGTACGAAAACGAGGGACCAGGTGCTCCTCTGCCCGCCCGCACCCGACGCGAAGAAGAAGAAGGGTGGTTTGCGCGTACGTGCCTACGTTCCGTCTCGTTTCTTCTGATATCATCACTTTCCCTTCACCATGGTCCTCATCGTATAAATGGTGCACGAGGGGCTACATAGCCCCGACCCAATCTACGCCCACTCGCGCTAAGGAGGCTCTGTCTGGGAAACCCAAGTGACCATGCCAGAGTTCCTGCGTTTCCTGAGCTGTCCTGCCTTGGTTTGTGAGCACCGCTGACTTGACATTCCAGTTAGCCGTTGGGACCGCTTGCTCGTCTTCGGGGCCCTCAACCTCGCCGCAATCGCCCTTTTCGTCGTATGTTTCACTCTGATGCCGGTCTTGAGCCTGCGGCCTAGAAAATTTGCAATCCTGTAAGTCTGCTTGATCAAGGTGGTGTGCGACCAAATTGCCGCATCATCGCCATATCTCTTTTTTCTTGTCCCTCGCCCTTGTCAAATATCATCATACCACACTATCGTCCTTCGATATGGCGTTTTCATGCAGCCACGCGCGGTGGGGTCGCCGAATTACTCGCCACTCCGCCTAGCTTCGAGGTCTGGTCATGCGGCTGCTCCCATGCCCTCCCTTAGTTCCCGCTCCAGGGCACGAACAAGATTGCTAGCGCCTTTCTTAATCTTCTCGCCAGCCATACATTCCAGGTGTGCGGCCACCTCTATCTCGACTCCGCACTGTCACTCGATTTAGCTGCGTTTCCTGATCGCTCCAATTACTTCTCCTGCTCGCGCTTGCTTTTACGGCCGCTACGGATAAGGCTAACGAATCACCAGATGGTCCATGGCTTCAGCTCTCTTCCTCAGCTCCTGGGCCGTCATGATGGGCCCATACACATACAGTGAGTTCTTGTTGCCTGATCGCGTCGACTTGTAGATCTCCCTAACGGCCGTACAGTCAAGCACCTGCTTTCGACCGAGCGTTTGCCTTTCACCGGGACCTATTTCGGTTCCATTGCATTGACCTTGTACTTTGCGCTCGGTGTAAGTCGTGTTGATTTCCGTTGTTTACTCTATCGCAAACCTCAGTCACGCAGACAAATTGTGTACTTGTATACAATCGCTGCCGTCTTATTCGTCATGTCCTTCTGTGACTCGGCATTACGAAGCAATGTACACCTGCTGACCACTCATAGATCCGCAGCACTCTTCTGACCTTGATATCCGCTATCATCCAACTCGTCTGCCTGGTGTGGTATTTGGTAAGCTATTTCCCGATGGGCTCGACCGGCCTGCGCTTCGCCGCGAGATTTGGAGGCAGCCGCATAACCGCCTGGATGAACGAGTAATCAGCACATCCATCTGTAAAATGTGGTCTTATTCCACGAGATTATTAGCGTCCGGTCAGCCTCTTACCAATCTTTTCTACGTTGCTTACTGTACCTTTTCATGCGCCGACATTGTGGCTTGACGGCTGTTGTGCCTTCTAGCGCATTTTTAATTCGTGCCCGTCTGTTCGCGTGCTGCTCCTGATTCAGCCATGTCGACGAAGGAGCGGCCAGAAGCAGAGTTGAGTGCTATGCCGAGACAATCCGCTTCCCTGTTTGGGGGAGCACTGGGCAACGGTTGATGCACGTACTAAAAACACGACGTACCCACAGTCCCTTTCATAGAAGCACCAGTGTAGCTCATTTGACCATGGCGTTCGACGAGCTGATGGCTGACTGAAGGGGCGGTGCGCGGGCGATCGAGCTTGCGCAAAGCGATGACGATAGTCGAGAGCGTTTGATCACCGTCGACGCTTAAGCCGCAGGATACCTCTGGCCAGTCGCGTCGATGGTCGACTTGCGGTGAAGGGGCACGGGACGCACCGACGGCGAGCGGTTGCGACTCCGAAGGGGTTTGCCTTTGGGATGCAAGATTGAGTTTGCGCCATGTCCGTGATCTGGTCCAAATTCTCCGTACCCTTGCAACATTCTGCCAGGGTTTGCTTGAGATGTGTGGATGCACTCCATCAGGCGCCGTTCGAGGTCATAAAACAACGTAGACCATTATCCGCATCTCGATCACATTAAATCAAATTGCCTCGGTCTGACCATTGTATCGGCAAGTAGCCGTCTATGCAATCATGATAACAATTCGAGCTTCAATCAAACTCGCGATAGTGGTCTGCGCACGCGGTCAGAAGGACAGCGGGCTCTAAAACGGCCGGACCAAGATTTGGTAACAGTCAAATCCGACTTCACTTGGAGCACTTTGGTGCCATGGATACTCCGACACGAACAGATGGTATACGATGCAAAGACCCGTCGACCACATGAGTTCTGCGCCCAGAGACCAGCCATGACTTCGGCAGATAGTTTCGGACCCCTCTGGCCGACTCGACCCCACATTACGCCCCACTATACTCCGCGCCAGTGGAGCTCACACGGTTGTTGGAAGCATTACGAGTAGAAGACAACATCACCCCTTTCTCTCTCTTCCTTCTACTTGCAAGAACAAACTTACATTGTTTCGGTCTCTCAATATGGCTCTCGCAAACAAGAAGGTGGAACAGCTCGATCGCCCTGACGAATACCAGAAGATATTCCAGTAACCAAACCAGCCCGGTACCTCTGCAAATCAACGCTGACCACCATGCAAGCTGGGCAGAGACACAGAAAGATGGCACTGTACCTTCCTTTGCAACCCGCAAGAATGACCCTTATGAGGCAAGCATTGCTCGCTTCAGTATGTCTCGGTGAAATTCACTGACGCCGTTGCAGTACCAAGCCGGGTTCAACAACCAGTATGATATGACCCTGCATTGAGAGGAAGTTCCTTGTTCTCGGTTCATTGGCAAAGCGTGATCCCAGGAGACTGCTTGATTGTATACAGACAACCTGTAATGCAGTGTGATGGGACGGCTCAAAGGCATGAAATCCGAACATTCGGGCTCCGTGAACTGCGTTCTGCAGCCCAACAATCCTCGAGGCTTGAGAGGCTGCTGCAAGGCGGCCAGTCTTAATTGGCAGAACGCCTCAACGTCCTAGGTGTCGGACTTCCTATGCCCCTTGCTGCTCTGCCTTACTGTCCTGATCCATGGAACGCTTTGCCATTGACTCGGGTTTTCGAGGACTCCGTCATCGTCATTCTGGACACTTTTGCTGATACACGTGTTACTTCTAGCTTCGAATCTGAGGCCGTACCCGGAACTATTCCTAGGGGTCAGAACAGTCCTAGATGCGTGCGATTTGGTCTGTACGCAGAACAGATGACTGCTTCGGCATTTGTTGCTCCAAGACATCTGAACAAAAATGCTTGGCTCTACAGATCGCGGCCAGCAGTCGCACACCAGGGGTTTGTACGTCTGTCTCAGCATGAAACCCACCATTCTTAGACCTTCCCTGTGCGGACGCATGAAAATACAGAAGTTTGATCTAACTCGACCAAACAGACCAACTTGCCTGACAACACCAATACTGAGGCCAACTTCCTCCCAATCAACCCGCGCGTTCATGTCTCGCCGACTCAACTTGCCTGGCTGCCCTTTGATGTTGCTGAGACCAAACACGACTTTGTGGATGGTCTGGCCTCCATCGCTGGATCGGGCGACCCAACCTTGAGGGAGGGCATTGCGACACACGTCTTTACAGCTAACGTTTCTATGGACAACAAAGCGTTTGTCAACTCTGATGGCGACTTTTTGATTGTGGCTCAGCAGGGCGCACTGGACATTCAAACCGAGTTCGGAAAATTGTACGTCCAACCAGGCGAGATTTGTGTTATACAAAGAGGTCAGCGCTTCAAGGTCAACGTCGAAGGACCAACCAGAGGCTACATTCTCGAGGTTTGGGGTGCAAACTTTGAGCTGCCAGAACTTGGAGCGATCGGTGCCAATGGATTGGCCAACGCTAGAGACTTCTTGACCCCGGTTGCGTACTACACGGTCACCAAGGACGACCCGTGGAAAGTCGTGTACAAGCTCGGTGGCAAATTCTTCGAGAGCAAACAAAACCACTGCCCCTTTGATGTGGTCGCCTGGCACGGAAACTATGTGTATGTTCTTGTTCTTCCACCCTCCATTTTTACGGCCGCAATTGCTAATCATTTCCTTCGCTCTACCAGGCCTTACAAATACGACTTGACCAAGTTTGTCAACATTGGAAGCATCAGCGTCGATCACATCGATCCATCCATCTTTTGCGTCTTGACGGCTCGCTCGCGCGACCCAGCAGCCCCTCTAGCCGACTTCCTCATCTTTTCTCCTCGCTGGGATGTCGCCTCAAACACGTACCGCCCACCCTACTACCACCGCAACGTCGCTTCCGAGCTGATGGGTCTCATCTATGGCGAATACGCCGGCCGCAGCGACGAGTTCCAGCCTGGAGGTGTCAGTTTCGAGTGCGGCATGGTGCCTCACGGTGTGGCATATCAAGAGTTCAAGGCCGCTTCGGCTCAGCCTCCTCCAGAGATGCGTATCTCTGAGGGTGCAGTAGCGTTCATGTTTGAGAGCTCTAGGCCCTTCACCGTCACTGATTGGGCTATGAAGAGCGACAAGCTTCACGAGCATGACCCAGCGATGTGGGATGACCTGGTGGACAACTTCAGCAATCATAAAGACGAGGTTGATGAGATATTGAAGAAAGCGGGGAAGCTGAGCTTGTAGGCGTATGCATTTGATTGTAGTTTGATTGGTCGCAGACCCGATGCAGATTTTGTTTGGTCGATAGGTCACTTTGCCTAGCTACTTTTTTGCATGTGAAGGCTCTAGTCCCTTTTTCCGTTAAGCAGTCTGTAGCTCGTATTCCTGATCAATGTACTTCGTGTTATGCGCTAGGCAGATATACGAAACACAGTAAGTGACACTTTGACAAGCTCTCGTCTATTTCGACCCTAGAACCAGAACTCTTCTGATGGGTGGCTGTGACAGGTTTTGCTTTCTCTCTCTCTCTCTCCATGTTGCTTTTGCAGCGTGCAGCATGCATGATGGCGTTCGTCATGGCAGACCTGTTTTCGTATCACATATGGCTCATTTCCCTGACGTGCTCCGAGTCCCGTTGGGCGCATGTGACGAGGCGACTCAGAGGCGGCCGCACTGCTGAGGCCTACATGCTCGAGCAACTTTCCGCACATACGCCATACATATAATCTGACAGCCAATCATTCGGATATCGCGAACCGCACGCGTTATTAGAGACACGGCAAGGCGGTTTGCTGCACGCAGCCGATGTCAAAGTCGTTGCGCCGTTTCCTGGTCCGCGAGTGATGGGCGACGGGTTGGCGCAGAGCATGTCTCGGGTGTCTGGACGCCGCTGCGTGACTGCGGACAGCGACATCGCTGGTATCACCGGTTCCAGTGCATATTTTTTTGTTGACTTCTTCGCTTGGATCAATCGTCGTCGTCGGATGAGTAGGCCGCGAGACCAAGTGCTGCAGCAGGTGCCGGGGCTGATGAAGCGGCAGCGGTCGCTGGTGCCTTGTCAATCTTGTCCGAAATGGCCTTGTCTACGCCCGCGACGGGTAGCTGCACAGATTTGACCGGCTGATTGGCAGGTGTAGGAGCGGGACTCGACAGTGACGGAATTTGGTCGTCTGATACTGCTTCTGCTGGTCCTGCGTCAGAAGTCATCTGGGCCATTGATGAAGAGCTCTTGCGCAGCTTGAGACCTGCAATGGCTTCCTTGTCTCGGGTTCGTTTTCGCTTGCGAGCATTGAAGGCCCAAGTATCTGCTTCAGATTGGTTGCTCGCTTCAGGGGCATCTCCACGGGAAGCTTTCTCGGTATCCTCTTGCTGGCGCCTGAAGGCTTCGAGTCGCTCGGCAGTCTCCCTCTTCACGGCCTCCTCCTTGGCCCTCGTCGATTCCATCACCGTGTCCAGAAACTCGACCTCATCTTGATCTAGAGATCTGAATTGATTCTTGAGTTTAGCTGCCTGTAGGAAGATCTGTCAGTAAGTGCAAGGTCACAGCCCAGTGCTTTCCATTACCTCTTCGAAGGCCTCCTGCTTCGCATCTGGACAACATCAGTGACCCGTCCTGCAAGGATGACAAGTTTCATCAACGATCGATGTTCAATCACACACCTTTATTAGCCTGAAGGACCTCGTACAAGCTCTTTCCTCCGTGCTGTCTGGCTTCGTCTTCCTTCTTCCGTCGCGCAGCTTCAATTGTCTCCTGTGCCTTCAGCCATTCATCGTCTCGCTCAGTAGGTTTGTCTACAGTTCCCCCCGAGACAAAGCGCGACATGATCAAAAGGTTCCAAGCAATGCACGTTAGAAGAACAGCTGGACAACAGACATACAGTGTATTGGTGTTTCAGGGTTCGGCCAAAAAACTGAAGCTATGACGGCGTTTGCCAAGCAAAGATGGCGCACGAGCTTCCGGAGCTGATTGAGCCGCCGGTTAAATCCCAATGGAGTAGGTGGGTTGGTGGGGTTGCTGATGGTTGGCAGGTACAGGCGCCGAGTGTGGATAGGCATGGAAACAGGCTGAAAACTGTACGAATACTTCGCCGCATCATGCCCCGCCGGATAGCGCAAGATAGGTGGAGAACGAGGTATTCGGGTGCTCTTAAACATTTCTTTCAGCTCGCAGCAACTTTTCTTCCTTCTACTCACTACTACCCTCAACTCTTTCCACCTTACAAGCACCATCACAAACACCCGCAATCATGTCTAACGAGTGGACCAAGAAGACCTTCACCCTTAACACCGTATGTTGCAGAATCCAATTCTCACAAAACGAGATGAATTGACAAGAAGCAGGGTGCTAAGATTCCCGCTGTCGGTCTCGGTACCTGGCAGTCAAAGCCCAACGAGGTTCGCGAAGCCGTCAAGGCCGCTCTCCTCGCTGGCTACCGTCACATCGACACCGCCCTCGCCTACGGCAACGAGGCTGAGGTTGGTCTCGGTATCAAGGACTCTGGTGTCCCGCGTGAGGAGATCTGGATCACCACCAAGCTTGACAACCCATGGCACAAGCGCGTCGAAGAGGGCATCACCTCTTCGCTCAAGGACCTCCAGACCGACTATGTCGACCTTTACCTCATGCACTGGCCTTCTTCCACCGACCCCGATGACTTGAAGAAGCACTACCCCGACTGGAACTTTGTTGACACCTGGTAAGAAATTCCGATGAAACTTGCAATTCGTAATTCGGCTTACACCCAAACAGGAGAGAACTCCAGAAGCTGCCTGCCTCTGGCCGCGTCAAGAACATCGGTGTCTCCAACTTCGCCATCAAGAACCTCGAGATCCTCCTCAAGGACGACTCCTGCAAGACCGTTCCCGCCGTCAACCAGGTCGAACTCCACCCCAACAATCCCTCCCCCAAGCTCATCGAGTACTGTGAGAAGAAGGGCATCCACTGCACTGCCTACTCCTGCCTCGGCTCCACCAACTCTCCTCTCGCTCACGACGAGGTCCTGAAGAAGATTGCCGAGAGCAAGGGCAAGTCCACTGCTCAGGTCCTGTAAGTTTTGAACTCATGTCCCTACCAACCAGACTCAGGCTGACATAGGTGAACAGTCTCATGTGGGGTCTCCAGCGCGGCACCTCCGTCATCCCCAAGTCGGTCACCGCCTCGAGAATCCAGGGCAACTTCGAGCTCAACGGCTGGTCATTGACCGACGACGAGATGAAGCAGCTCAGCAGCCGCCCCGACCGCTTCAAGGTCTGCGGCGACTCCTGGTTGCCCGTCAAGGTCTTCTTCGGCGACGACGAGTAAACTTCTTCTCTTCAGCTTGCTGGCAAGCCACGACTTTCTTAAATACCTTTGATGCCGCTTGCAGATGATACCTCTCCAAAATTGAATTTATGATTTTTCTACATGAACAATTTTTTATTTGTTTGCCATCAACAAAACAGTGACGTGTGAGGGGCCGCGTATTCGTATGGCGTTGGGCACGCGACCAGCCCTTGGCGGCAAGGCGCAGCGCCCTTGTCAACAGTCTTGCCTTCGTTCATCTCACTGATTGAGCAAACGGATCTGACATATCCGCTGTAGGTCGCCTGTTCTTGACGAAACCTTGTTGTGTTTGTGTGAGCGTATAATCAGAGCTGTTTTCCCGAGTCGTGCGCCTTCTTCTCTCTCATTTCCTCACTTCTGCATGCCTTGCACACGACCACTGTTGGCAGCAAACGTATTGTGCTATTTGTTCTAGTTTCTTGTAATATCGACATAGCGCTCTCGCGACACACTGGTTTAGTCCTTCTCGGAGATCAATCAACATGGCGATTGACATGCCACCGACCAGACTAATATTAGCCTACGTGCTCGATTGGGTCTTGCTCATGTGAGTGCCCACTCTCTAGCTCTACCAACCTCTACCACATCTGACTCCTCGACCAAACAGTTGCATCGTAGCAGTCGCCGGAGGAATAAGTTTCGTAACACCCTACCACCGTCCCTTCTCCCTCATCGACCTCGCCATCAGTTATCCCTATGTCGAAAGCGACGAAATCTCCACCGCACTCCTAGTAGTCCTCTCCTTGATCCTTCCTGCCATTGTCATCGCCATCGTCACCGCTCTCTTCGTCCCGGCCTTTTCCGTCTCCAACTTACGCAACCAACGATACTGGAAACGCAAACTTTGGGAATTCAATGCTGGATGGATGGGCCTGGGCCTCAGTTTCGCCCTTGCCTTTTTCGTGACCACGGGAATCAAGAATTTGATCGGCAAGCCCAGGCCGGATTTGCTGGCGAGGTGCCAACCGGATTTGAATGATATCGCAGCTCACGTGGTTGGTGGCTACGGTCAAGACATCTCTCAGCGCTGGACGTTGGTTTCGTCCTCCATTTGCACCACCATGGATAAAAAGCGATTAGACGAAGGCTTCCGCAGTTTTTTGAGCGGGCATTCGTCGATGAGTTGGTCAGGGTTGCTGTATCTGTCGCTGTGGCTGGCGTCGAAATTCAACATGCTGATTCCGTACTTGGGTCACGGCACTCCCAGCAAACGCAACGAGGAAGACGAGGAAGATCAGCAAGAAGCCAGGGAACGCGCAGCCGCACCGCCGGTCTTTGGCGCCATCATCGTTCTCATCCCCGTCTGTCTCGCTTTTTACATTTGCTCGACTCGCTACGTGGATTTCAAGCATCAGGGCATTGATATCTTTTCTGGCAGTGTGTTGGGGATTGTGACTGCTTGGATTGGGTTTAGATGGTATCATGGCAGTTTGACGAGGGGCCAGCCTTGGACGTGGAGTCCGAGGTCCAAGGATCGCGCTTTTGCGGTTTCGAGTGGGACGAATGGGTGGACTAGTGGCGAGGGGATTGTCATGAGGGAGAGGATGCAAAGGGGGAGGGAGATTGATGTTGAGGCTGGTGGGTCTGGTGATCCGATTGTTAAGCCGTGAGTCTCGTAAACCTGAAAGAGGTGGAGGTTACTCATAACCCAGACATGAAGCGATTTGAAATAATTGGCATCACGGACGAAAGATTGCACCTCATGCCTACCTACCTACCTCCAAAGTGTTGCTTACTCCGAGGATCAAACAAGCGACTTTCACTTCAGCAAGCTCCTAGGAGTTTTATTTAGAGCGATGGTGGTTTGCTGGTTGGGCCAGGCTTATACGCTTACTGCGGAAAAGAGAACTTGATATCCATATGTGTCCTTGATGAGTAAAGTGTAATGAACCTTCTGTCGATAGCGTGTGTTTACTTTGTGATTTTGTCTTGCGCAGGACTGACTCCTGCAGCAAAGGAACGTGCAACCCAAAGTCGCTGGTAGTTCAGGTGACTGCAGTCTCTCTCTGTCATGTGACCTCCTTATACGTCGTCGCTGCTCATGATATTATTCCTCGAGTAGATGTAGGAGGTCCCTACTCAGAGGGCAATGGGTTGGGAAGCCGGTCCTTCGATGGCATCCGACATGTTCAGTAAAGTCTGCTCTTCGATATCGTCGTAGTCGTCATCATCATCGCCGTCCAGACCCACGTGTATCAATATGTAAGCCTGAAGGAGCTTTTGAAAGCGTCGAGAATCTTGTTGAAGTTGTGGAAGATAGCGTGATCCTTTCGCTCTCTGTCGAATGCCGTAAGAGCTTTCGTATCGTCGTTGTTCAAGGCTGCCTTCTCCTCGATTGTCATGAGGTCTGCGATACTCAGCATGGTGCGTACTAATATATCATCGTTACCAATCTGGTTGCGAACTTCGGCACCGACAGAACTACCGGCCCTGGCGACAACAGATCCAATTCGACATAATCCAAGTATAGCGCTGAGCTTTGTTGTGTATCGACTCTTCTTGGTGACGCGTCGCGCAATCTTTGCAATCTCCGTTTCGACCAGTTCGGCTGCCTCCCCTGCTTTGTCGTACTGCCTCCGTTCACTCAACCCGGCGTATTGTTCGTTGATGATATAGTCGACCTCCTGTACGTGCATTTCAATATCAAGATTTCTGGAAGTGGTTGCTGCGGGAGTTTTAGGCAGTTTGGGACCAGCCACTTGTTGGGCTTCTGTAGCCTTTAGTTCTGATCTGATTGGAGGGTTAAGTCGCTGCATAGTCTTCCGTACCTTCTCATCCTTCTTCGCAAGTTGTATATGCGTCAGTTCGCCCCCACAGATCGATATAGACGAGCTCATTAGAGACTGCAGTATTGATCAAGAGCTCCCATACATCCGACTCGTCCATATCTTCGATGGGCTTTGTCATAAACTTCCGTACTTCTGACTCGTCGAGCTTATCGACGATCGCGGTGATCTGCGCTTCAGTTGGACTGCTTTCATGTCGTGTCCAAGATTGATCCGCGAGATCTCTGTTTTGTGGTAGGTCTTCTGTGTCGTAGGGTCCATAATGAACAGGGGATTCGATGCGTCGTCGCTTGTTGGTTGTTGGTGTTGACATATTGAGTGCTGGTGTGTGTTGTTTTGAGTCTAATATCTGATTATATGCTTAGAATGTGACTAGAGGGTAGTGATCGGTGGAGGAAGATAAAAAGCGAATGGACGTGTTCTGGTAGACGCGCCGCGCGACACTTTCGTCATTCACTCAAAAGATGCTGTCCAGATCACCCTGGCTGTACGTTGGAGTGTGCAACTGTGTGCTAATCTGCCTCGCACTCTTGTCCTGTAAGCTTCTCGTCGTCTGCAGAGTAATCAGAAAGTTTTATCATCGCTGGTCTCACTTCTCTGATCACACAATTGCTACTGTGTACCGAACGGATGGAAAAACTGCCTTGTGGCAGATAATTGCTGTGAGTTTGGCCAATTTGACGATGATTCTCACCAATTCTGATATACTTACACGTCCACAACAGATAAACATATCGAGACCCACGTACATAGCTCATCTCGGATCGCTTTCAAGCCAGGTACTCTTGCTCTTCCTGTGAGCTCAGTGTTCATCTCGAATGTTCACCTATTGCATTCGATGGCTCGGATCGGCGGAACTCATATCGCTGCGAATTAACTCCGATATCCACATAAGCCTGGAAAACATGGGGATCTCCGGCTTCGGGGCAGAGGACAGAAAGGTAGTCGGGTCGTCATGGGCCGAGGTCCTACCACTCGATACCGTAGAGATAGTTGACGTAGGTGATTTGCATTCATTTTTATATCGCTGCTGCCGCTGTTGCCCCGCTGTTGCCGCTGTAGCAAAGTTATCATCTTCAGCTCTCATCTTTCTTGTCCATACCGTATTATCGACTTACATTATCGAATACAAGCCAAGATGACGGAGAGACTGCCTCATGATCTGAACTGCTTGACCATCACGGAGCTGCAGAAGCATGCCGCCGTGATGATGGACAAGCAGACTCGTGACTACTACAACGAGGCAAGTGCAACAACTTCGAGCAAGTGTCGGAAGAGCGAAGCTAAGTCAATCGTAGGGTGCCGATTCTGGCAGCACACTCCAAGAAAATCTGGACGCATATGCCAAATACCGTATTCGGCCCAGAGTTCTGCGGGATGTATCAAAGATTGATACCAGCGTAAACATTTTTGGACACAAGAACAGCATTCCCCTGGGAGTAGCACCGACGGCAATGCAAAGGCTCGCTCATTCGGACGGAGAACTGGCAACTGCGAGGGCCTGCAAGAAGACGGGTATCGCAATGGGTCTCTCTTCGTTCGCAACAACAACATTGGAGGATGTGGCCGAGGCGAGTGGCGACAACCCACATGTGCTGCAACTGTATCTCTTCGAAGAACGTGATCACAGTATCAAGTTGCTGAAGAGAGCAAAGGCGGCAGGGTACAAGGCTGTTTTCCTCACTGTCGACACACCGATGCTTGGTCGCCGCAATCTTGAGATCAGAAATCAATTCAAGCTGCCAGGACATCTCACTATTCCAAACTTCCAGGAGCAAGGCGACGAAAAGCCAGAGGCTGAGGCCGAGCAGAGAGGACAAGGTAGAGCTAGAAGAGCCAGCGAGGCCGGATACACAGACAGCGAGGGCAAAAGAGTGCTGCCAAAGGGACCCATCACCTTCCACTCGCACGCAGGAAACCCCACTCTTTCGTGGGAGCGCGATATTGAATGGTTGAAGAAGGAGTGCGGAGACGAGATGCAGGTGTGGGTCAAGGGCATCGCAACCGCCGAAGATGCTCTGTTGGCTGTCCACCATGGCGTCGACGGTATTGTCGTGTCAAACCACGGCGGACGACAGCTGAGTAAGCAATTCCATGTATTATTGGAATGACAGATGCTAACAAGAGTCACAGACGGCGCATTGGCGACATTGGACGCGCTGCCCGAGGTGGCGGCAGCAGTGCAGGGCAAGATCCCAGTGCACGTAGACGGTGGAATTCGACACGGCACGGATGTGTTCAAGGCATTGGCCCTCGGAGCAGACTTTGTATGGATTGGCAGACCGGTTCTTTGGGGACTGGCATACAAGGGTCAAGAGGGAGTTGAGCTGTGCTTGCGCCTGCTCTCAGACGAGATCAAATTGGCCATGGCTCTGGCAGGAGTAGTCAAGGTCGACGAGATTTCCAAGGAATATCTGGTCAAGATGGACAAGAGTGGATTTATCGCAAGATTGTAGATATCTGCCTCGACAAGCAGTGTGTGAATAGTGTATTTATCCTGGAAATGAATATCCTGACAAATGTGTGATCAGTGTGCCTCTTGTGCAGAGTCAAAGGTGCAGCTTCGACGAAGCTTCCTTCATGGACAGAAAGAGCGGACTCGGCAGCTGCCTCGACAAACCGAACTCGCCCAAAAACATCTCGATTGCTCTCTCGCCATCTGCTCCCATTCGCGCCCATACGAAGGTTCGCTCAGTCAAACAGCATACGGCCGGAGCCGACTGTAGCTCTGCCACGTCTGCTGGCGCATCGACGCGCATAACGCAATCTCGACTTCTCGACCATGCCGGCGCCCGCGCGTAGTCGCCCGATCAAGAAGGACTTCTTCTCGCAAACCTTCAAAGGACAAAAACCCGTTCTCTTTAGCGAGAATGCCCGACCGAGCAGCATCCCTCCCCACATCCGCCATCTTGCCTGGTCCTCGACTGGCGCTGCCTTAGCCACCACCTCTGGCTCAAAAGTCCGCATCTGGAACCCCGATCGCCCGAATGTCAAGAGCAGTCAGGAGTTGGTGGGTCATGTTGGAAGCGTAGAAAAGCTTGTCTGGAATCCTGTACGCGAGGGAGAGGTCGCGACAACCGGAAGCGATGGCACTGTCAAGCTCTGGGATGTGCGCGTGGGCCCCGGTGCTCACAACAAGGCTGTGCCTGTGAAAGAGATTGCTTTGGGAGACGGTGGCTTGTTTCTGGCTTGGAGTCCGACTGGCCAACACCTGGTAGCTGGACGCAGGGACGATGTCATTGTGCCCATCGATGTGCGCATGGGAGCCATGGGCAACACCGAGGATTTGATCATGCAAGACGGCCGCAAGCTGGGTAGTGCCCAGACAAATCAGATGGCTTTCTCCAACTCTGGTCGCGAGGTTTTTGCTACTACCGGCGAGGGCACTGTCAAGGTCTTGGACTGGCCAAGCATGGTGAGTTGATTGTCATTCGTCGGCATGACACACGACTAACAAGCCAAATCAGACACTCCTCCATACACTCAATGCCCACACCAGCGCCGCTTACTCTGTCCAACACAGTCCCAACGGCGACTTTGTGGCCGTCGGCGGCGGCGACTCTCTCGTCACACTATGGGACACTACCGATTGGGTCTGCAAACATACTCTATCAAACATGGCTGGCGGCATCCACTGCTTATCGTTCAGTTTCGATGGCACATACATCTGCGGTGCTCACGGCATGGACAAAGATGGAGACAAGGGCATTCACGTTGCTTGTGCTCAAACCGGCGAAACTGTGCATACTATCGAGACTTCACACATCGTCAACGTTCTGGCATGGCACCCGCTTAGATACTGGCTAGCATACGCTGGCGATCTCGGTGGTGTGAGAGTCATTGGTCTTGGTAGCAATCTTTGATCTCGTCCTAGACTCTTTCTCAAAAAGTAACACGGATTTGGTTTCTGGATTTAGCGAGGCGTTGTCTGGAAATTTTTCCTGGAATCGATACATTGTCTTCCAATCTTCGACTGTTTCGTGGTGCCGATTCCTCCGAGCACTTATTCCTCCTGAACACGATGTTGCCCTGAGGTCTCCTTCTCTATCTCGAAGTCCTCGATTACGTACACAAGCACCGAACTCTGCTTGCGGTCGTTGTTTCCAAACTCTTCGTCGGAGATAACTTGGTCACTGTTTCGAGCACATCGAGGATTGGCCCGAGTCCATTGTTTTGTGACCGATGCCTTTCTCGAGCATGTTGATCGGAGTATACGTGGGTGTATATAGTGGAATAGCGCACACATATACGGTCTTCAGTATCTGTACGGAGTACTCAAGCTTTGTTCCAAAGTGATCATTGGGCATGTAGATCATTGGGCATGTATATCTGCGGCTGTGTTGCCGTCCTTCTCGGTTGGGGTCGACCCAAGTCCCATTAACGAAAGAAGAGCAAGAAGCTGATTCTTTGCCGAGAACAAGAACGCGCGAAGAAAGGAGAGACAGGAAGTGAAACAAACACAAAGCAATGGTCGAATGAGTGTACCACCAACTTTATCAAGAATCACATCTCGAAGACCCAACAGGCAGCCCGATGCAAGCCGCTGATATATATCTGCTGATACAAAAGGAGAGAGAGACTCGTAGTTAAATCTTGCCACAAGAGTGTTGTGCATCTCTATAGCTTTGATGTGAGAGTCCTCGCAGACCATGATGGATCTCGATCGGTTGTCGCCGGCCTTTGAGTTTTAAGCAATACAGTATGCAGCTGCTATGTCAACATCACAGCTATCGTTCAGCAAGCTCGAGATATTCCATTGACCTCGAGGCATTATCGTTAGCATATTTCAGGAAAGGTGAGTAGGAGGCAGTCCAAAGCTCGGAAGTTCCCGAACGTACTTTCCCCAACTCAACGCAGATTGCGGCTCAACTCTTGCGGTCTCTTGTATGGACATACCAAGAAACATTTCATCTCCGATCGATGGAGCGGGTTAGTGAGGACCAGAATCTACCTCGAAAAGCACCAAGGCTGGTGTATTCCCCTGTCCTGGAAAAGAAACCGCCAAAACCAAAGCCTGTCCTGGAATATCATTTAGTTGAACAAAAAATCACCAGTGCCATCACTGATTTCAAAGCTGGAAAATATACGAGCTTGGCCGCCGCTGGAAGAGCCCATGGAGTAACGGAGAGAGCTGGGTATTTCAGGCTTCGTGCTCGGGCAGCCGGCCGGGCCTCCAAGTCAGACCGATTCAAGAATGGAAGTCAACGTCTCAGCCCGGAGCAGGAGATTATCCTATGTCAATTCGTCGACAGCCTAGAAGACATTCGCGCCCTACACCGCAAGATTGGCGAGAAAGCTTACAGCATGTTATGTGAAGATCTTACTGCTGAGGACCCCTTACCGGCGCCGCTGGGCAAACAATGGCCGGCTCGGTTCTTGGAACGTCACCCAGGAATTATGGCTCGACGCCCGAAGCCACTCACCTCAAGGAAATGTGGAGAGCCAGACGATGAGACAAGCTTGTCCATACCCAGAGAGGAAGCTCACACAAGCGAGACGACCAATGAAGAGCCACTGCTCCTTGTCGACTGTCAGAGATTCCTCGAACGATCCACTGACGCAGATGAGACGCTTGGTCAGATCTCATCTAGCTGCACCGCCCCTGCAGCCTCTCCCAACGTCTTGATTGCCACAGGCGGGACGAGCAGTCTCGATAGACACGTGCCGACAGCGATGTTCTCAGATCGACCGCCAGCTGGCAGCTCTACAACAATTTCCTTTTTGTCGGCAGTCAAGAGCAGTCTTGCTGAACACAGAATGACCTTTTCAACCCGTCTTACGTGATGGTCCTGCCGATACATGACCGGAGATCGCCGCTCTATGTCACGATTCACCGAGCAGCTTCAAAAGCACAACTCACCAGACTTAGGCGAGCATCTGATGATGCGACCAATAATCCGTCATTGGGTCCAGACGTCTCTGATGGATACTCGTTCGTCTGAGTACCAAGATTGCGGATCCACCATGTGTGCGCCTAGGCAGGAACAGCATAGTCAATTTGCACACATGTTCAATTGTCTAATACGCCCTATGGTGACGGCTAATGTTGAATTTCTTGGTCGCAAAATTGTTGCGCTTTTTATTGACAGTGGTTGTGCAGGCGGGTTTCCCCAATTCGCTAACCGCACTGCTTCTTTGCGGACTTTGCTGCGCCTCAGAAGAACACAGCAATGATGTCTTGAGGCATTTTTGGCAGTAAAGAGAAATAGTCCAGCCGCCGACTTCATACTCACCGCGAAGTCCCACACACAAGACGATTCCGATTCTTCTTTTTATTACCCCCTAACTAGTGGATCGGTACACACTTGCGCTACCTATGCGATATGCAGCATGCTGCGCGATACGTTGCCAGCATGCAGAACGAATCTCACAGCTTCGAAATAAGCATTGTGACGAACCACGCCAGTGTCGTCTTGGCAAGGCTTGTTTTCCATGTTGGGGATTGGGGACGAAGTAAACAATTGCAAAAACCCTTTCTTTCGGCTGCTCGCGAAGCTGACCTCAATTCGTTACCCCCAAAGGAATACGAGGCAAGCAAAGTTTTATTGTTCTCCGTACCCGGCCGTCAATATTTGGGTACAATGATTGCCCGGCGAATTGGGGATTGGTCGAACAGAAAATACCGCAAGCTGCGCAACGGTAGGGGCATGTGTAAATTTGTGGAGATCCAGAATGGTCGAAGGCATGTAAATGCCTCACGGCAGTCCTTACCAACGTGGCGTCGCACTGCAACCACGACAACAGGAGAAACACACACACAGCCGCGATGGATCTGAACCATCTTGCAGTCCGCGCGGCGCGGTACGGTACGTCTTGCTCTACTAAGGTCGGCACTCCTTCAATTTCAGTTTCCAAACGTTGCATCAGGACAGACCGGCATTGATTGTCTTTTTCTTTTGCCCAGCCTCTGAGCACATGCACAGGCAAAGGGTCCTTGTAACAATTTATCCTTCAAGTCAAATCTTCCGTGACTTCTATATAATATCATTCCTGCTTGTTTCTCTCCTCTGGTCCATCCGACCAACACACAGCGTTTCCTCGACATGTCTTCGTCATTCGATCAGGATTCGTCCATTGAGAAGGGAGAGATGGGACCCGTCATCATGAATGAACGATCCCGTATCACCTTCGAGCCAGAGGATCGCCTCGAACGTCGACGCCGCCACAGTCGACAGCGATCTATGAGTCGCGACTCTATCAGCAGTATCAGATCGCGAGCACAGTCGACTTCCGCCGCCACCGGTCTTCCAATTGAGTTTCGTACCCTCTCCTTCAATGTCTCTCATTCACAGACGGTCAACGAGGTGGTGAAAGAATCGAAATGGAGACCGAAACACAAGACAGCTACCAAGACCAAGAAGACAAAGGTTCCCTTCAAGAAAGAACCCAAGGTCGAGGACAAGCGACAGAATGATGCAGAGCACTTTGAGAAGTTAGATTTCCACATCCTCGATGCCGACTCAGTGATACGCGGGCTTTCATCATCCTCCGAGTTGGGATTGACTTCCGAGTATGCATCAACTCGTCTTGCGACCGATGGCAAGAACATGCTTCCCCGAAGACGCCAGAACTATGCGAAGAAGCTGTTCGAGTACGTCTTTGGTGGATTCTGTTCAGTCCTTTGGGTCGGTGTGATCATCTTCTTCATTTGCTGGTAAGTATCTCTCAATCATATCGCCTGCCAGACTTACTAAGATGTCCATCTAGGAAACCACTAGGCAACCCCGACCCTCAAGCATACAACCTTGGTCTTGCTATCCTGGTCCTCATCGTCATCTTCCTGCAAGCATGCTTCTCAGCTTTCCAAGATTGGTCTACTGGCCGTACAATGAACGCCATTCTCGACCTCCTACCAGCGGACGCTCTCGTCATTCGTGGTGGACAAACTACAAAGGTACCTTCGACCGATCTCGTTGTTGGCGACATTGTCAAGATCAGTATCGGAAACAAAGTACCTGCCGATATCCGTCTGTTGGCAACCTCTGGAGACGTTCGCTTCGACAGATCCATGCTTACTGGAGAATCTGATGAGATCGAGGGTGCTGTCGACTCTACTGACAAGAACTTCCTTGAGAGTCGCAACATCGGTCTCATGGGAACCATGGTCACTAATGGCTCTGCTACCGGTGTCGTCGTCTTGACCGGAAAGAACACCTGTATGGGTCGTATCTCCAGTGCCATGGCTGGCGCTAAGGAACAGACAACTCTCATCCAGATGGAGATCAACCGTTTTGTCAAGATCATTGTCTGCCTGACCATCGTCCTTGCCTTGGCTATCCTGTTGACCTGGGTTGGCTGGTTGCGTCGCGACCACCCCGCCTACATGAGCGTAGTGGCTATGCTGAACAACGTAATGGGTGAGTATCTGTGGAACCTGGCGTTGCCTCTTTCATTCATCGCTAACTAGAATTGTAGGATGCGTCGTTGCGTTCATCCCAGAAGGTATGCCTGTCGCAGTCGCTTTGACATTGATGATGGTCGCCCGCCGCATGAAGAACAGCAATATCCTACCCAAAGGCCTTTCGACAGTCGAGACACTGGGCTGCGTCAACGTCATTTGTTCTGACAAGACCGGTACCTTGACCGAGAACAAAATGGTTGTCACCACTGTCGGCTTCGTCGATGAGCAGCTTACTGTTGCTGAGGCTCTCGCCAAGATGGAGTCTGGCAAGAGCACCGTACTCACCGAGCTTCACCGCGCTGCAGCATTGTGCAACGATGCCACTTTCGACCCTCTATCGATGGATCTTCCCGTCTTGGACCGCGAGGTTCAGGGCAATGCCACCGATGGAGCCGTGCTCAAGTTCGCAGAGGTCGCTCACTCCGACTCTACCAAGACCCTTCCCGACGCTCATCCTCGCAAATACCAAATTCCCTTCAACAGCAAGAACAAGTGGATGCTCACACTTCACGATGAAGTTGGCGCTAACTACGAAGTCACTCCTGAGGACACCAAATTCCTCGTCTATGTCAAGGGAGCCCCTGACAAGCTTCTTCCATTCGCCACCTCCTACTGGTCTGCTAAGAGCAACTCTGTGTTGCCTCTTGACGCTGCAGCTAAGGCACAATTCAGTGCTCTCCAAGAACGTCTGTCTCGCAACGCAGAACGTGTCATCCTTCTTTGTCAACGCCATTACGTACCTTCAGAAGCTCTCGGCACCAACGCCTTCGGAGACGAGATCTTAGAGAACGGTCTCGCTGATCTGACCATCATCGGAGTCCTTGGTATTACCGACCCACCTCGTTTGGAAACAGCTCCAACCATCGCTTCTTGTCGCCGTGCTGGTGCACGCTTCTTCATGGTCACCGGTGATTTTGGTCTTACTGGTGCTGCTATCGCTCGTAACGTGGGCATCTTCACGCACAGCGGTGAACCCGACACCTATGAGACCATCGCTGAGGGTCAGACATTTGTCAACGACAGCGAAAAGGGTGCTCGTGTGAACAACAGTCTACTGCTGGAAGGACCGTCTATCAACTTGCTCACTGACGACGACTGGGACATTGTTTGCAGTTATGAGGAAATCGTATTCGCCCGTACCACCCCCGAACAGAAGTTGCGCATCGTCAATGAGCTCAAGGACCGTGATAACGTCGTTGCGGTCACTGGTGATGGTGTCAACGATGCACCCGCTCTCAAGGCTGCTGATGTTGGTATTGCTATCGCCGCTGGTTCTGATGTTGCACTTGAAGCTTCCGATCTGGTACTCCTCGACAAGTTCGACTCGATTGTCGAGGCCATCCGTCTCGGTCGCTTGGTCTTCCAGAACCTCCAAAAGGGTATTGCCTACCTGCTGCCTGCCGGTTCTTTCAGTGAGATCTGGCCAGTCATTCTCAACGTCTTCTTTGGTGTACCTTCGCCACTGTCTTCATTCTTGATGATCATCATTTGCGTCTTTACCGATCTCTTCCTCAGTTTGTCGCTGATCATGGAGAAGGAGGAATTCGACCTTCTGACTCTACCTCCCCGCAACCACAAGAAGGACCATCTCATCAACCTCAAGATCTACACCCAAGCCTACCTCTTCATCGGTGTCATGGAAACCATCTGCGCACACGCCATGTTCTTCCTCTACTACTGGCGCCACGCCAAGATCCCCATCGGCGACCTCTTCTTCGCCTTCGAGGGCTACACCGAAGGCTTCCACGGCTACTCCCAAGCCGAACTCAACCACTTCAACACCGTGGGCCAAGGTGTTTACTTTGTCACTCTGGTAATTATGCAATTCGGCAACTTGCTCAGCGTACGCAGCAAGAAAATGTCCATCCTCCAAGCCGATCCTTTCCGCGCCGAGCGCAGAAACCCCTGGTTGCTCGCTGGCATGGCTGTTTCTCTTGCCATTGCCATCTTCGTCACCATGGAGCCTGGTATCCAGAACATTTTCGGTACTGCTACTGTGCCCATTGAGTTCTGGCTTATTCCCATTCCTCTGGCGCTGGGTATTTTGGTCATGGATGAGATTAGAAAGGTGCTTGTTAGAGCTTTCCCTCAGGGCCCCTTGGCCAAGATTGCTTGGTAGAAAGGGAGGGGATGGAGAAGATGTATAGTTCAGTCCTGTTTTTGCGTTTTTTTACGACTTTTGATGAACAACTACGAATTGTTTGTATGTTTATATCACAGCAAAGAGCGACATAAGAATATAATCTTTGTACATGGCAAACAAATCACTTTTCACAGATTGGCTTCGTTGTTGCCTCTATTTGCGATTGGCCGCCTTACAATACTCGTTACCACCTTTGCAATTTTCCCATCATCCAAACAACCTGGAGTAGGTCTTGCCTGAAAGTCAATAAATTCATACATTTAATAAATCCACTCGCAGGTGGATCACCTCTTTTATTGAATTGAAGGACTTTGATCTTTATGAGCTTTTCTTAACAGACGACAGTTGTGGTATGTGGCATACAACAATAAAATTTTTTCTCAATTAAAGCTATGTACAAATGGGGATGACCTAAACCACGATCATCAAGACCGATGGTTGTATAAGTAGCATTCTAAAAAAAAACAACAACAAAATCTATCATCTAAACATTAGATTCTCCAGAAACGACAAAAAAAAAACACGTGGAACAGAGAGCCAAAAAAGAAAACCCCTCCGAGTCATTTTCTTCAAGCCAGCGGCAGTCTAAGAAGAAGCAGTGGTGGTAGGCAGACTAACGGTAATCGACTTTTCGGACAGATAACTGCTGTACACGCTCTCGACCTTGGAAACAAAGACGCTGGTAGCGCTGGGCTGCAGAGTGCTTTCATAACCAGTAGGGGTGAAGAAGGAAGAGAAGGAAGGCATGGCGATGGACTCAGCTGCCAGAGCTGAAGAGAAACGAGAAGAGACCGATGAGATGATCAAAGAGATGCGTTTGTCGTTTGTGAGGGCGGTGGTGCCGTTGGAGTTGGAGAAGGAAGGAGTGGGGGTCATGGTTGCGGATGACGAGGTTGACGATGAGGTGGAAAGGGTTGAGGAAGTCGAGGACTCGGTCAACGAGTCTGGAGAAGCGGAAGATGAGAAATTGGCTGGAGAGCTGGTGGTGGAGACAAAGGAGCTGGTGGGTTCGGTGGAAGATGCGGTGGCCGAAGAAGTGCTGTTCTGGACTGCAGAAGAAGAGCTGATGATGCTAGAAGATGAGCTCGAGGATGATTGGGTGGAAGAGACAACAGAGCTGCTTGAAGCAGATGACGATGAAGAAATAGCCGAGGAGCTTGAAGAAGATGCAGCGACTGTGGAGCTGGACAGACTGGAAGAGCTGGATGATACAACAGAAGAGATAGCGCTGGAGCTAGCTTTCGACGACGAAGGAACAACGCTGGAGCTGGCCTTTGCTGATGAAGAAGGCTTGTGAGCACTGACTTGAGAAGCGACAGAGGCTAGCTTGGAAGAAACCTTGGACTCGACGCTGGAGATCTTGGATTGGATAATGGAAATTGGTGCAGGGACCTTGACGGTGGTAGGCACAGCCTTTGAGGAGGGAGAGCCAGTTTTTGACGACGAAGACGACTTGCGAACAGTAGCTTGAGAAGCGACAGAGGCCAATTTGGACGAGACCTTTGACTCAACGCTCGAGATCTTAGACTGGATGCTAGAGACCTTTGCAGGAATCTTCGAGGTCGCGGGCAGAGCCTTCGAGGACGAAGACGAAGTCTTTCTTGCCGAGCTTGTCGATGAAGTCTTCTTGACAGACGAAGAGGACTTGGTCGAACTCTTGCTTGTCGAAGAACTCTTCTTGCTGGAAGAAGTGGTCTTTGCACTCGTCTTACTAGAAGAGGAAGAACTCTTCTTTGAAGTGGCCAAGAACTCGGGTAGAACAATGTTGATTCCACCCACACGAGTGGTAGGAGCAACCAAGAGGCCGAGTGGGGCACGCTCGACAATGTCAACAACCTCCACTACCTCTACTGTCTTGACATTGCGAGGAGCGGCGACTGCTGCACTGGCGAGCAGAGAGACGAGAGCCACCTGGCTGATGGGAGTGTCGAAACGCATGATTCGGGATATTAGAGAATTAAAGGATGTATAAGTCGATAGAATTGATCAAGCGAATGGAACAAATCGAGGCGATGACACCCACAGATCTTCGAGGAGAGATGTTGTACTGAGCTGCTGCTGAACTACAAAGAAACGAACAGGGTATGGACATTATATCTTCAACTCCAAGGACACTTCGCCCAGAAGGGTCTACAAAGGTTGGCCGAGCGTAAGGCAAACATGCACCGTTGCCAGATCGATAGACAAAGCAAACGATTCCAACGTTCACCTCTCCCTTTCAATAGCCGAGACTTTGTATGTGTTGGTTCAAGTGCGATTGTGGCCAGACTTGAGAGAATGCAGACGGCTCCACATCGTATAGCTGGAGAAAATGTGTTTTGTGACGGCGAGGCTTCCTATCAGTAAAACCGTTGTGTTGATAGAGGCGTTGGTTGAAAACGGCGTCGGCTGTGAAGCTTCGCGTGGCAGCGTTATTTGGGAAGGAACAGCTGCATGCAGATGGGCTTCAAGAAATTCTGGCTCTCGAGTCTCCAATACACAGAATAGATGACTCGTCTGTTGTCCAAAGGTTGAGCTGAAAGCAGTTATGGAATCTTGAACGAGAAAGTATTGCATTCATGGCTTTGCCCAGCGACGTAAGTGGTTGCAAATATGGCTTGGTTAGTCGCTTGTACCCAGACTCGAGCAAGTTGAAAATGTGTATGGCAAGAGCAGCGATGTATGTCTTCGGCGAGTGCTTTGTCAAAGATGTCCGGGGTTGCGAGTCTCGCGACGGTCGCTTCTTGCATCTCGGTGACGGTCTCGACCATGACAATACGTCCAATCCAAATGAGGGGGGAGATCAGCGGCAAAAGTGCTCAGAGCACAGTCTCATCCCATGCAATCGCTGCTCCTCCACAATATAGACCCACCGAGCAAGGTGTTGCGGCACTCGAGTTTGCTGACAAGATCAGAAGTCGCGAGTCAGTCGACCATGAAGCCGGAAGGTGTGATGAATTTCTCTGAAAAGTGGCTTCGAGAATCAATATGGGTATTCGAATATAGGGCGAGAGTTCTAACTGCTCATCGTCTCTTCGACTTTGTGGTTTTTGCATTGTTGTCCCACATTGCCTCCAATTTGGCCTCTGCCTTCCTCTCTTGCTTGTCGAAAGGTCCGTTGTAGAAATCCCAAAGAACGCGTCTGGAATCTGCCTGCTGTTAGACCGGGTCGGGTATGTTAAAATCATGAAGCACTTACTTGCATGGTCGGGCGCAAACGAAATACCGTCAGCATCCTTTTTCTTGGCCAGATTGACAGCTTCTTGTAGCAGAGCTATGCCTTCGCCCTTGCCGCGGTATCGTAGTCTTACTGCCCAGCCCTTGATCTCAGCTCTCCACTTGCGTCTCTTGCCTTTTGTTTCTCCATCTACCCAACCCATTATCACCGTTCCAATCACCTCATCGCCGAATTTTGTGACCAGGACATCCGAATCTTCAAGCATGCTGATATGCGTCTCTTCGGCAAGTGCAATGTATGGATTGGTGTAGCGACGGACTGTGACCATAGCAGCCATGATCAGTCCCGAAGAGGTTGTAATGACAATACCGAGGTCGGAACCACGAGACTTGTAAAGGTATTGGCCGACAAAGGCTATAAAGGCAAGGAAAATGCCAAAGTTGACAGGGTGAAACATCAGGATGCGGTTGGCTGTCTGCCGGGTCTGTGCGATACCATCTGCGACCAGCTTCAGCGCAGCCAACTTCTCCTCTTCTGTTTCCGCGACATATGTTTTGAGATCTGGGATTCCTGCAAGAGGGCCCCCGGGTACTTCGTCGGAGCCATTGTCGATGGCATTCTGTAACGGAGAGGGCGGGCCGATCGAAGACGCACTCGCTCTCATACTCGGCGGGGTGGACATTGGCGAAGGTGGAGGCGATACGCCAAGGTGAAGATTGGTTCGAAGAGAAGTGAAGAATGCTATCGAGCACAAAACATCAGATTTGAGCACAACCTGAAAAGTCCGAGACGTTGAAGATAACAACAGACTCGGTGCATTGAGCTTTTATGCATACCGGCAGAAGTCTTGAATCCCGGGATCTTATCTCCTACACCAACAGACTGGAAATCAGTAGCCGCTGCAAAGTCGCAATTGTCGTCTGGTTTGATCTTCAGGTGCTTGACAGCAAGCGACGAGGGCGAGGAAGAAGGTGTAGAACCGTCGTTGACGAGCTGGAGCTCTCTTCTTAAAGTTTCCAAGCAGACGCGGTGCCTCATTCGAGGCACCATGTTCGCATTGGTCCTCGTTTTTTTGCCAGAGCACGTGGGCTTTTACTCAAATGATTTACGTCTATACTGCCTTCTCACGGGCCTTTGGCTGTCTTTCATGAGAAGAGTCCTTAATCTTCGCAACAACGTGCGAGGAGCTGTTCTTATGACTGGTTCAAATATCCTGCCAAGACGTTCGAGAGCAAAGATAGTGGCCGGTAGCGTGATCCGCTCCCACAACTCCATCATCCGTGCTAGACATTCTGTGGAGCTTGTTGCTATCTCCAATTTTCTACTTCTGATTGGTCATCTAGACTTCTCGCGCAGGGACTTTGTCAGACGGGCCAAATGTCACCGACTACTTCTCGTCCAACGCATGCAGTCATGAGGAATCCAAGCAGATATGCACGCACGACAGCATACCTGCCGTAGTCTGTAGATAAGTTTGCGCCTGCTCAATGGACGGAGCCGAGTCCCGACCGCGTACCATGGCTGATGAATGTGACCTATCTTCTATCCTTCAGCACGACAACACTCAAGTCACAAGAAGTAGACGTCAATAATGGTCACTGCAGGGAAGGAAGCGATAACAGCCTGCAGGCAGGAATATGTAAAGTATTACTCGAGTGTACTCGTCTCATCCAATTCGTCCATCATCATTGATTCTCTCGCTTGCGCCCAGCATCTTGCATTTGTTAGCAGAAACCCAAAAACGCCATATGTATTCATCCACGTCCAACTCTACTCTAGAGCTTTATCCAAAACATCACAAATCACTGACACGGCTCGGAGTAGCTTTCGAGGCTACTCTTCTTCCTCGGCGCCCTCTACTTCTTAGGCGGTGCCTGAGCCGCACCGCCGGGCTCCAAGACATGGGTGTGGCCAGGAGCGTGATAACACTCTCCTCCTTCCTCCTGCCTACATACGTAGGCGTTCTGAACCCAAGGATCGGCAAGAATCTCATCCATAGTGGCACGTCGGCGCGGGTCGAGCTCGAGCATACGGCCAATGATGTGTCTAGTATCACGCGGTAGTAGGCGGAGCAAACGCAATGGACCCTTGATCTGTTGGCTGGGCTGATCTCCCGAAGTCGAAGACCCATTTTCCGTCTTTCCTGGTCCATTACTGATAGACTGTCGAGATTGGGCGAGGAGCTGGTCTTGACCAGGATCCGGTGGTGAGACGAAAAGCCTGTAGGAGTTGTCTGAGATTCTTGGCGCCTTCCACGGGAATCTACGCAAGCACATGCAGCAGAAGATGATTGCTATCGACCAGATATCCGCTGGTTGCGGATCATATCGAGAATTGTCGTAGACCTCGGGAGCAAGGTAGGGATCCGAACCGACCACACCTAGAAACAGTTAGCTTGCTTCCTCGTCAGATATTCAAGAAAGTAACATACCCGTAGACAGTACGATGTCGTTTTCGAAAGGATATCTGAAGACAACAGCACTTCCGAAATCGATGATTTTCATAATGCCATGGTCGTTAACCACAACATTATCAAGCTTCAGATCTCGATGCGCCAGACCCATACTGTGCAGATACAGGACACCACTGAGAATTTGCAAAGTACAGCAGGTAATTTCGTCGCGCGACATCTTGCCTGTCATGACAATCGCGAAGAGGTCGAATGGAGCATACTCCATGACTTCAAACCAGTTGCCCTTCTCATGGATAATGTCGATCGTCTCGATGATGTTGCCGTGATGAAGGGTTGAACCGATACAGAACTCAGCTGTAACCTTTTTGTTGTATTCTCTCTCACTTTCGTACGTGTGGCGGGCGCGGAACTGCTTGACAGCGAATGTCTTGCCATCAGCAGTTCTCTTCATGAGTCTGACCGACCCACCGGCTCCCGAGCCGAGGATCCTGCCGAATTTGCCATATTTGGAAGCTAAGCCGTGATCGTCGGCAAAGGGTATACTCTGAGATTGAGCAGATGGTGTAGAAGACCCGCTTCTGACAGGCGAATTTGCGCGGCTCTTGTCTTTCTTGTCGCCAATCTTGAAGAAGCGCTTCAAGCTGACCTTGGAAGCGGCCTTGTCGCTCTTGACAGTATCGTCGTGATGGTGATCGTGTTTCTTGCCGCCGAAGAAACTTGTCCTTTTGTCGGAATCCGATGGCTTCAAGCTCGCTGAGCTTGAGCTGGTCGCAGCTGCAGGCAGAGAGACTAGCGAAGTTCCAGAGGTGCTGTGTCCCTTGCGAGGGTCTCTGTTGCCGAAGCGGAAGCGGGCATCGATGGAATCTACGTTACGAGTGGGGGGTGCTCTCTTGCTTCGTGCATACGGATCATCTTTGTCGCCTTGTGGCCATGGCTTGGTGTATGTAGCAGAGGGCGTAACTGTTCCCGAGCCAGTCGGGGTACTCGCACCCGAGGCATGGGGACTGTGTTCACGCGATGGAGGCACGGAATCACCAGCAGGACCGAGGGAGAAGCGAGGTTGTTGTCTAGGATGGGCGGATACACCAGTCTCGTCGGACGAAGGAGCTCGTGAGCCAGGTGCAGGCGAGGACGGGGCTGACATCTGGGGAGTTACAATATCTCCACCGGCTCTCGCTTTGGCTAGCTGAGAGGCGGCAGCAGCTGTGCTGGCGACGGGCTTGCCTTCTCTGGAGCGAGATGCCGAAGGAGTAAGTGGCGGAGAGTGGAAGGTTGAAGCTGGGGGTGACGGGCGAGGAGAGGGATGCGCGGAGCCTGCTGGCATCACGGGTCGTCTGTGGGACTGGCCTGAGGGCACCTGTTGCTGGCGCGTCAGTAGTGAAGTTGTACGAGCCGGATTCAGATGAGACATACCCTGGAGACTGGTTGCGAGCCTGGCAAAGACACAGGCTCGAAAGAATAGTGCTCCATACGCTTTGACTGCAGGCCATTCTGAAGCGTGGTCTTGAGCTGTCTCAGCTCCTCTTCTGCCTCGGGAGTCAGAATCTCCCTGTGTGCGTCTTGGCCTGTCAGAGAGCGAATGGGCTCCAAGTTGGCTTCTGGCTCGATCTCCTGGTTCTGTGTACTAAAGCGAACGGAATGATCAGACTGCGATGGCGAGTCTGTTCCGCGTTGAGAAGCCATGCTTCAGACGATTGAACGCGGCGCTGGCCTAGCAGGGTGGTGACGTTTAGAGGCAAAGAGATCAAAGCCTCCGGTATAAGGATGGACGTTGATTGATTATATAATAGTGATGGCCGGGTTGCGACTGTCGAGATGGTGTCTATGGACTCGAGCAGGGGAGCAATGCGAGTGTGAGCGAAGTGACGAGGAAACGCGTGCTGCTGCTGCTGCTCAGCTAAACGAGACGCCGCTTTTGGTCAAACGGGTCCACACGGGGTCGATCTAGTCGATGGATATACGTTCAAGGCGGGCCCGAGCGATGGGAATATATGAATTGGGTAGTTGCAAAGTTCAGTAACGAGAATGTCTTCACCGATGCTCTGGACACCAGTGCAGTTGTTTGCGAAGGAGAAGAAGGACAATGGGACAGCGCGATGAAAGCTTTCGGCCTTGTCGTCATAATTTGACTCAGACTCAGTACCGTACGCGGCTGCCAACGGCCAAGGCAAAATTTTAGCAGTTTCTTCTTCGACCACGAGCAGGCAAGATGAGCTTTCGGCAGAACACGGGGCTTGGGCTTGAGTGAAGGCGAAACAATGTATCCAACAAGCAAATGAGAAGAAAATTTCTGTCACACAACCACAATCTCTCTAGTCAAGGTGGGAGCCGGGCATAGCGCAGAGATGCGTCTGCCCCTCATTTGCGCTGCCAGGTCCTGGACGAGCCTTGATCGCTTTCCTTAGTAGGCTTGGCCGAGGCATCAAGATCTTGTTCCCGGCCCTCACTTCCGACTACCTCGTCTGTACTAGCTATTCCTCGGTATGCTTATAGTCAAGGCCATGCACATACCCACATTCAACAGGACATGGCAATGGGTAGCAAAATAAACTACCCGAGGTCGCGAGCGGTTGGCTAGCTGGAACCTGGAGCTCACCATTGCTCACGTTGGAGCGGTCTGGTAAGCTAGAACTAGAACATATGCACCCGTGTCAATCAATAGACGAGCATGTGACATAGACACTGCTCCACTGCCTCTTTCTTAGGAGGTTCCAGTCAGCTGCTATAGATGCTTGAACGTCATCCAAACGGTCAAAGGAAGTAGGTGATTGCATTTTTCCGAAAGGCGAAATAGAGTTGTCTACTCACGAGCGAAGAAAAAGTGGTTCGAAGCTCTTCAATCATGGTCGGAGCTCAAAGCACCTCGATGGGCCTGAGGCACGCTTGTTGAACATGAACCCTCGTGGCGCACCGTGTAGGAGGCATGCTCGGATAAGTACTGATATTAGCATCAGACTACAGCAATAGCTTGTAGGCTCGTATGTGATAGACAGATGCAAAATCAGCATCCGGCGAGGGTTTGTAGAGTGTCGCCGTGCAATTTCTTTACGTCATGCAGCAAATTGGGCTGTAGCGACAATCTTGTGATTAGACGCCCGAGGGGCAGAAGAGCTACACGGCGAATATTCTCTCAACATCCTCACACCACTGACCAGCACCTAATCGCATAGCATCTGCACAGTCTGCATACATATAGCCCTTTGTCAAGCACGCGCATCGCCATACACCCACCGCCAAGATGATGAACTGGGCGAAACAACAGTAAGCTGCGCCGCAACAAAGGCTGCATGGCCGCCGCTGATTGTACCTCAGGCTGGCCAATGTCGCCGGCACCCAAGAGCCCATCTATGGACCCTCGGCCATCCAGCCCGTCAGCGAGCAGGCAAAGACCAAGCCCTACACCGAGTTGACCAGGAATGACATGAAGTGGATCACAATCGACTCGACCTGTGTCGAGACCCAGACCTGGTACTTCATGACCGACAGCGGCCACATCTGCATGGTCCAGGTCATCTACAGCAACGTTGCGTGAGTCTATCTCCCGTCTTGCACCCGTTGCATCGTCTGACAAGTCGCAGCGGCATCAAAATCACCACCCAGTTCAACACAAAGATCTTCTACGCCGACGCCAAGACGCCCAACCTCTGGTCCTCGGACGCTCTTGAGAACCACAGCTTCGACGAGGGCAAGTTCAACTTCCGCGCAAAGGGTTGCTCCACCGAGCTCAACGAGGCCGGCAACGAATACCACATCAAGTCCAACACCAACAAGCAGAGCATCGTCGACCTCAAGTTCACCCAGACCGCCCCCGGTTTTGTTGTTGGCAACGATGGCACCTCCAACTTCGGTACCGACCCCAAGAAGCCATGGGGCTCAATGAGACACGCCTTCTGGCCCCGCTGTCAGGTCGAGGGTAACATCATCACCCCTGCTGGTCCTCTCGATGTCAAGGGCAGAGGTTTCTTTGTCCACGCTCTCCAGGGCATGAAGCCTCACCACGCAGCCGCCAAGTGGAACTTTGTTAACTACCAATCTCCCACCTACTCCGCAGTCATGATGGAGTACACCACTCCCCCTTCGTACGGCTCCACTGTCGTCAACGTTGGCGGTATCGCTACCGATGGCAAGATCCTCTGCGCAGGCTCCTCAAATAGCGCAAAGCACAGCGAGATCAAGGGCGATCCCGAGAACAGCTGGCCCGAGCCTGGTGCCGTAGCCTTCTCATGGAATGGCACTGATGCCAACGGCCAGGCTGTCGAAGCTCTTGTCGAGGGTTCGCTCGGCACGAGACTCGACCGTGTCGATGTCATGGCCGAAGTCCCCAAGTTCGTCAAGCAGATCGTTGCTGGTGCAGCCGGAACCAAGCCCTACATCTACCAGGTAAGTCTCCTGATCAGTTTTGGCGCAAAACAATTGCTAATCGAACATCTAGTATGGCCCCAAGCTCCCCATCAAGATCAATATTGGCGGCGAGGAGAAGACCGAGGAGGGTTCTCTCTTCACTGAGGCCACCTTCATCTCATGAGTGCGAATTCTATGACCTGTATGTATCCAGTCACCAAATGCCTAATTGGAGTTTTCTGGGGGCGATCGCGGGAGTTGTTTGGGTTTAGTACTAACACTATTGTAATAACTGCACTTTAAGTGTGGCGTATATACCACTTTTGACGCTCATCAGAAGCCGTAAACTGCAAACCCTCCTAGGTGGTGATGATCAAGTTCTCATAATGCACGAGCAATTCACCTCCATCAGTGGCTGGTCTAGCCGCAGAGACACCGACTTTGCATTGTGCATCCTTAGGCAAGGCATTCCACCAGGTGATTTCTCTCATGGGGTGACGCTCGCCGTCATCGCCGAGCAGATATACCCACAGATGGTCATGCTCGACGACCATCTCGATGGTGGCAGACACCTTGTCAGCTGCAACCACCGGGTGCAAGCTCCAATCAGACCAAGAATCGGTTCCAACGACACTGACACGAGGCTTGCCATTCAACATCTCAATGCCAGTCTTGACCCATTTGTTCTGATCAGCACCGGGAATATCAATGATCATGCAAAGGCCGCCTTGATCGTAGAGTTTGGTCCATGGGCCTGAGACTGTGACGCGTGCTGACTTGAACTCAGAGGCCGCGATAGTACGGTAGATATGAGGTGTGTTGGCGCGACTTGTTGAAGGAGGGATGCGCCAGAGATCTGTGTTGTCGGGACATCTCAGATCGAATGGCTTGCTCACGTCTGGGATGGGGTGATCATAGTGAGCTGATTGGTAGGAATCGGCCATGGTTGGTTAATGTTTGACTGGAGATAAGGAAGAATTGATGTAGTTGTCCAAGACAAGGTAGCTGTTAGAGATACTTATCAATTAGATGTAAAGGACACCTTGCAGGCCTTTTGATCACGGTAGCTGTAAGCCACATGACTAAACTTGATGCTCTTGGTATAAGGATGAATACGGTGATGCGGTCCGTCCTGCCGAGGAGGATGCAAATCCCCACATTTCTCCATGCACTCCTCCTTGCATGGAGAGCTGACTCCAGGTCGTCGCACCATGCGACATCTATAGAATTTTGACGTCCTCGAGTCCAGAAGATAGGGCCCTCGAGGGTATCGTATCGTCTCATTCAACAACTAAGACCTTCAATTACGAGTTCCTCGAGGATCGTAGAACAGGCGTGACTGTAAATACCAAATTCGAGGAAAACTGCTACAGTTGAACAACGAACTTCCAGAATTGCTTTTGTTAGGCAGTCGGCACGTTATGGTGTCTCTTCACTGGCATGAGAGTATCATAAGCATGCCGATGGTTAGCAATGTGCATCGACCATTCGAAAACAGTCTGTAGCTTGCAGGAACTGTCGGCTTGGCTAGAACGGAAAGCCCACTTTGCAGAAGCGGAGGCTTTACTACGATCGACCATCCGTGCCAGGCTACAATATATGCTTAATATATCACACTGTCAGGGGCACTGGGCGTTTAGCGAATCAACGAGCACATGATAGACAAAACTTGTGGCCATGGAGCGTTCGCTCCGCCAGGCGTTGGGTGGGTCGGAGACCGAACCCTCATGACTTTTGTCTACCATCTTGTAGTGTCTAAGCGAAGAGCCTCGGAGATTGGACATTGAGACATTTCTTTGCCAGGCCTCCATGTCAAACCATGTCGAGAGGCGAGAAACCAATCTATTAGTGTCTCGACCACGGTTAGCAAATGAGGACGAGCTCTGCATGGCCAAAGAGAAGACCACGCCGTACTACCTACGATTGGTTATATGAACTGATCGGCAACTAGTACTTCTTGTTGAGGTTCCAATTCTGTGGTCCAGAGATATTCATATGGAGCCTGGGCTGTTCAAAGGGGGAGTCTGAGCAGGTATAAGTCTGTCGTCCTGCAAGTCTACAATGACTTCCTCAAGCAAGCCTTCAAATAGCCTCTGTCCATTCATTGGGACTGACTCCCAGTAAGCATCCATTCACGACATACTCTTGTCTGAGTTCTGACTTATCGCGCTAGTATTCTCTCACAACAATGCGTTTCCAACAAGTGATCGGATCGCTTGCAGCGTTCGCCTCTTTCGTCGCTGCTGTTGATCTTACTGGCTACGAATATGTCGTTGTCGGCTCCGGTGCTGGTGGAGGGTACGCGAATAACTACAGATCTACTTGTAGCCATGTCTAAATCCCTTACAGTCCCCTAGCCGCTCGTCTTGCTCTCGCTGGCCACAAGACTCTGCTCATCGAAGCTGGAGACGATCAGGGCGCCAATGTCAACTATACTGTTCCCTCCTACAACGCCAAGGTCTCGGAGGATCCCAATCTGGCATGGAACTTCTTTGTCAAGCACTACGCTGACGAGGAGCGTCAAGCTCGTGACTTCAAGACTTCTTACCAGACCCCCGATGGCGGTATTTACACTGGTCTCGACCCTCCAGCCGGTTCCGAGATGAAGGGTACCCTGTATCCTCGTACCGGTACTCTGGGAGGCTGCACCGCCCACAATGCTCTTATTGCCGTATACCCCCATCGCTCGGACTTTGACAACATTGCTACCATTACTGGTGATGCATCATGGTCCGCCGATAACATGCGCAAGTACTTCACAAAGCTCGAGAACAACCACTACTTGCTTCCCGGCCAGCAGGGCCATGGCTACAACGGCTGGCTCGGAACATCCTACGCTCCCATCGACATTGTCCTCACCGACCCTAAGCTTCTCAGCATTGTGACTGGCGCGACCTTTGCGCTCGGCAACCAGACCAATGCCATCCTCAACCTCGCCTCCCTTGTCGCTGGTGATGCCAACTCGGCCTCTGCCAAGCGTGATAGCCAGCCCTCCATCTTCCAGATTCCTTTGTCGACCGTCGATGGCAAGCGCGGTGGCTCCAGAGAATTCGTTGTTGCTGTTCGTGATGCTAAGACCGCGAGTGGCGCAAAGGCATACCCTCTTGGTGAGTTTCGATTGTGGTCTGTTTTATCTCGAGGACGATCAATCTAACGTGCGAACCAGATGTCAGAACCAACTGCCACGTTACCAAGATCACTTTCGACCAGTCTACCACGCCTCCTCGCGCCACTGGCGTCGAGTTCCTTGACGGTCAGTATCTCTACAAAGCCAGCCCCAAGAACAGCGGCAATGCTGGTGTCGCTGGGTCTGTGACTGCTTCCCGCGAGGTCATCATCTCCGGCGGGACATACAACTCTCCCCAGGTAAGGGTCATGAGTGGGCTCATGTGATGTTTATTTGCTAACAAAGATATTACAGTTGCTCAAGCTGAGTGGTGTGGGTCCAGCCGACGAGCTGAGCCAGTTTGACATTCCCGTTATCGTCGATCTGCCCGGTGTAGGCACCAACCTGCAAGACCACTACGAGATCAACGTTCAGGGCAAAGCTCCCTCTGACTTCTCCGCCCTGAACGGCTGTACTTTCGACGGCAGTGACCAAGATCAATGCCTGAAGCGCTACAACGCACCCATCCTCGGCAACCGTGGCATCTACTCCTCCCCCGGTCTCGGCGCCGCCATGTTCTACAAGTCCAGCGTCGCCGAGCACAATGAATTCGACGTCTTCGTCTTCGGCGGGCCCGTCAACTTCCGCGGCTACTTCCCTGGCTACAGCGTCAACGCTACCGCCGAGCACGACTGGTTCACCTGGGCAATCCTCAAGGCTCATCCCCGCAACAACGCAGGAACCATCAAGCTCCGCTCTGCAGACCCCCTCGATACCCCCGAAATCACCTACAACTACTTTGACACCGGTGTCGGTGACTACGATGCAGATCTCACCGCCCTCAACGAGGCCGTCCACCTCGCCCGTGACTCGTTCAAGCGCCAGCTCGTCAAGATCGACGAAGTGCTCCCCGGCAAGGACGTCACCACCAGGGAAGGCATCTCTCAGTATGCAAAGGACACCGCCTGGGGCCACCACGCCTCGTCATCGTGCCCCATCGGAGCCGACGGCGACAAGATGGCTGTCCTCGACTCGAGCTTCAGGGTCCGTGGCACTGCTGGTCTGCGCGTCGTCGATGCTTCCGTGTTCCCAAAGATTCCCGGCACTTTCACCGCCGTGTCGACATACATGATCGCTGAGAAGGCGGCTGATGTTATCTTGCAGCAGCTTAGCCAGCAATAGAGTAATGTGCTGGAGGTAGATTGAAGGACTATAGAGTACCGTTATGTAGCTTCAAGTTCCAAAAGTACGAATCGTCATACTCTTCATGTCATGTTAAAGATTAAAAATCCCATTCTTGACACCCGTGGCATGATTGAAAATAGCCATGATACAATAACCCCACAGCAGAGCAGCAGATCACCTCACATGAGATAGTTCATGTCAACCACGTTGCTGGAGTTATGTCGGTCGGATGTTGGACATTTTTTTCCTTGGAGGAAAATAATAGGAAATAGAAATTGAGAATTTATGGTTCAGTCTTTTATGTGGGTAGGCCACGTGAATATAACTATGGGAATGCATAGTTTCTTCATCGAATATGAGACATCCACTGAGAAGGTTGTTGACATCGGCTCTCTGCGGACTCAATCTGTCCTGGTTTCTTCATCACGGGCTGGAACTTCTTCTTTTCCAATGAGCGTGCGCAATGGCGGCCACTCGTGGTAGAACAGCTCTCAGCGAACGGCCCGCGAGAGGTCTGATGATCAGAACTTGACGTGAGTGTCTCCTTCGTCCGAGGTTAATGGACCTGACGGTGCCAAGATCTTACAGAATCGAGGGCGTGCCATTATACATGGCTTGTTGACTCTGAGCAGACTGAATTCTATGACTGCGCAGCATAGAGGAGATCATCGTGTTTGCCTCAATGCTGTTGACGTGTGTAGGTGTACTTGCGGAAGAAGTTTCCACCGACTGTCAAAGACCGTCCCAGGAAGGGGAGAACATCAAGTGAGTCCTGGAGCGCGGCGAGTCTTCACAAGACAAGCAGGCTGAATTGGGAGATGCAGAGCAGAGTGAGCGACAGTCTCTCGACGTGGCTCTCGTCAGCATGATGAGCTGCTCTTCGGACTGGTGCTCGAACATGCTCTCCTTGGTCGATCCCTAGGTGTGCGATCATGTGTTCCTCCGTATTTGTTTAGATATGATTAATCTCAAGACCCGAAGCTCTCTCATCTCTGGTGCATATCGGCAGAATATACACTATCCAGGACGCCATATCTTCCAGAAATCTCCGATGGCATAGAGATCGTCGCAATCACCTGATCGTTCCAATGGGAATCCGCACGCCGGTCTTTAGGCCTCGTCATTTCAATATCGATGACTTCATATTCTCCATTGCCAGCAGGACCGGCGACCACTACAGCTGGGGTTCCGCGATGTCCAGCAGCAGCAATCTGGCGCTCTACATCTTCAGATGACGATGAAGCTTTGCTACTCAATGCATCCATCCAGGTCTTGACCAGAGGTCGAAGTGTAGCTAGTGAGAGGGCAATAATGCCAATGCCTGCTTCTATGGCCGCCAGAATGACGACTCGAGGAAGTTTTGAGGTCGTACTGAGTTGATATCTCCCTCCGCGGATGAAAGGAATCCGTGCAATCGAGACTACACTGCCCATGGCGGCCAGTGAGAGAAGCAAGACAACAGATGTTTTAGCCCTAGGTGGCATCTTCGTCTTCAGCACGAGGCTCACGGTAGTCAAGACGAAAATCCAGTCCGTTAGTGCTGTCAGGGCCCCACTAACGTAGCTGATAGGCCCCATCACCGAGTCCCAGTCCAAGCAATTGCGGTGTACGAAGATGTTTGAGGGAACTCCGCATTGGAAGATGGTGAGTAGGATGACTGAAGTCATGACCGTAACGTAGATGGTGATTGAGATCAGAATGGTGCGTCTCTGCCAAAGCTCCTGAACCAGTCTAAGAAAGAAGAATGCTGCAGATAGCTTGATGAATATCTCGGTCGCATTCCAGACAGTCAGGCCAGCGAGTGCGAGCTGCTTGAAATTAGCATTGAAGCCGATACCGTTCTCAATGTACTTACCTTTGCGAGTTTCCGGGTTGCAGAGATCTCCTCAATGCCATCAACGGCTTGTGTTGCTCCCATGAGTATCAAGATGATACAATTTCCGGTGTATAGAAAAAAAGCAAAACACAGAAGCCTGTCATCCCAGCCGAACGATTTGATGAGAAAGCCTCGTACGTAGACTCTAAGGGACAGCGCAATAGCTGTTAGGATGAGCATTACGCCGCCGACCACGATTGTAGAGATTGGATCGAGTCCATACTCGTTGACATCGGGGTGCATCTTCGAAGCCGATGCACCTCGAGTTGCTCAACGGCATTTGTCTGACAACGTGGGAAGGAGTTGGAGGTTCAAGGTAGACGGCGGAGCGGCGAAAAAGCTTGGTTATGATTGTGCTTAATGGTGAAAGAATAAGGTTCGAGGGTGGAGTACAATATGGGAATTTGGCTGAAATCGTGATGTGACGCGGAGCCGGATGGGCTCGGACCCTCTCTCAAGCACCTAGACCTCTATAATCTGTCATCGTTTCTTTGCAGAGAGCGCTCATTTGCTTTGCAAACATCATGCGTTTTCATCGAGCAATAGATTTGACAATGTTGTGATCTAGCAACAGTCCGCTGCAAGTGCGGGCAAGCTCGAGACAGGAAGAAAACCGTCACCCGTCCCACCTGGCAAGATCATCCCCCGAGCAAATCCGATCAGCGGTGTGGTACATTCATTCCCGTGCTTCTTGAATATCACGAGTTGATATCATTAGGGAGTCATAAATCCAGATCATCTTTCCATACTTTTCCCTGAGAAATCTAGGAACAGCACCATGCTTCGAAACGATGACTCCCGTGTCGTTCGTCGCGTCTTTCCTGTCGGGTGTTCCCAACGGGCCGGGACGGGTCGGTCAACGTGAAAACGTTCCGGTGCCTCGGTCTCAGGCTGTGATTGATTGTACAATCGGCTAATCAATTCATTTGCAGTGCCGTAGAGTGATGCCGCCCCGTGCCTTCATTTCTGCCTGAGATGAGAGCGTTTGCAAAGCGACGTCGCGATTGAGTTGAGAAGTGTGTACGGACATATGCAGCCAAATGTCAAAATCTGGAGGAGGCTGAAAGGCGAGCACGAGGCGCACGAGACAAAGAATGGATCGTGCGGTTTGACTGCAAGGAAGTTCGGTGCTGAGGCTGAGGCTCAAGAATGCCTTGTTCAGCTCTGATCAATCAACCCATGCGTTCATTACCCAGCATCTAGTCGCCTCGGTTTGTGTTGAGATTATCAGCCATTCGGGTCATTGGAAAACCCCTTTCCTACCAATGCTCGAAGTTGCCCTTAGAGAGAGAAGGGTACAATTGTTCCCGCGTGGCTGCTGAGGCCTGTACTCAATCACCATGTGTTAGTTCAGGTACCTTGCTAAAGTGGCACGATGATCCTGGAGTGAGATTGGCATTGTGCCCTGCGTCGTTGATACGAGATTGTGGATCGGGTCAAACTTCGGTGGGCGGCGACCCGCATCCCTTGGACTGTTCATGCAAGACATGAAGGTTGTCATAGTCGAAAGTCATGCCTGTACTGTCGTGTCTTACAGAGCGAGCAATACCCAGTACTTTTCATCTAGCATCAACAAGAGCGTCCGGGTTGCATTGAGTGCGAGACGAGATTTGACCTCGCCACATGCGTCTGCCACTGAGGAGATGGGCTGCGTGACAACAGTGGCGGCTCGAATTGGCGGTCAGCAGGACAATGCAGCGAACTTGACGGGTTGATGTGATCGCTGCTGCAAGGGCCCTGCTCTCGAGATGTATCAAGTCGCAGCTTCCCGGATTTCGTTCGTTCAGAAAAATGACGGAGAACCAGGAAGCAAACAACTCTGTCAATCAGACGCCTGTGTAAACTACCTTGGTGGCTTCAAGTCAGACTTTGGTTCCAAGCATGGAGGAGTAAGTGGGGTCAGCTGCGGCTTGCAGCGGGCGCATTTTGTGAAGGGCACAAATCATGAGCCAAGATACGACTTGAGTAACAGAGCGCGCGAATCAAACACGAGGACGCGCTCTGGGAATGGACGGAATTGGCATTCTGGCAAAAAGCAAGGTGATTTGGAGAGCGGACGAAGCCAGAAGTCATTGCGACTGTGAACTTTGACCAACTGCAAGGTCCGGAAACGGCGTTCCGAGTGAATGGAGCCAATCACACAGCAAGGGAGACACTAGGGTGGCTGGTGGGCTCTGATATGTCTACCCCGCCCGACCCTCGTCGCGCTCCGCTGCTCTTATCCATCGCGCATAACTCTTCTATACACTCTCATCCAATTCCACTTAGGTACTTCTGACGACAAACGCGCAACAAACACCGTGGTCAAACAGAAGGCCAACCTCTGCGAGACTGATCAACGCGCGTGCCTTGTAGGGCTGGCGCACGTCTGACTCTAGATCCAAGTCACACAGATAGTGTCTTGCGCTCTTCCAACCGCTCTTGACTGCCGTGTCTGTTCATGACCCATTCACCCAACTCTCTCCTCTCTATCGTTGCTCTTTGGCTTCACATACCACAACCTATCTTTGCTCGTCGTCCAACTCGAACGCTTATCAGTACCCGCTATCTTAACTCCGTCAACGCGAAACCACCACCATAGCATGAGCACGACGATCACTCGCCCCATCTACGAATCGCACCCTTCGGTCGACGCGTCTATGGAAGATTTTGAGTTCCGCGCAAACTCTCCAGAATTCTTGCGACCTGATTCGCATGCGCGCATACATTTCATGAGCCCGACCGCTTCAGACTACTCCGAGGCAGCAACCCAGCCCGACGTCGACGGAGGTTGGTCGCCACCAGCCTGGCGCAAAGCAGGAAGCGGTTGGTTCAAGCATCACCTCCAACAGACCGGTCTCATGTCGCCCTACGGAAGTAGGGAGTGCAGTCCCGAAGAGTACAGAAAGGGGTTGACGCCGTATGATGATGACGATGAAGACATCTTAGTAGCAGCAGGCATTCCTCTTCCTATCAGTCCACTCAAGGGCAGAAGCCCAGAACCTAGTTACAGTCCCACCGTTGCCGCAGTCCTCAAACAAGACGAGGACAGGAGAAGGCAACTGGCCCAATCGCAGAAGGAAGGAGAAGATTCATGGCCCGACAAGCATGATAACTGTACGCATCGTCGTTTGATTGTACTGATCATGACGGCTGACCAGGATGGTAGATATCCGTTTTTCCGTTCGAGCAGACGTGCAACAGCGCACAGAACCCATCGAAGCAGTCATAGCCCACTTCCGCAAGCTTTGGGTTCGCTTTACCAAGAATCGATACACTACATTCCTCTCACTGATGTCGGCTCTGTTCGTGCTGACTCTGACTCGCGCCTTGTTTTCCGAACCCGTGACTGGACCTACTCCTGACCTTGTCAAGGTGGCCGGCCTGGCAAAGTCTTTTGAACCTCTGATGTATTACAGCGAGAATGGCCACAGCCAGGTCGTTCAGCTGGGCGAGACTGGCGTTGCCGTTTGGGACCTGGGTGAGAGCGTTCGCTCAACCAACATGACCTCGGGTCCCATCATTGTGCGCGAACTCGACGAGCTTTCAGACAGCCTGAAGAACCTTGCCCACGAGTTGACCCGCTTCTTCGCAGGAGTAGATGGCGACATCGACAGCATCCTTATCGTCATGGAGTGGGCGCAGAGAGAGCTCACCAAGCTCAACACCTTGCCAGCATCACACATGTCGCTGGCCTTCTCAAATCTGCACTCTCTTTTGTCACGAGTTGGTGTACTTGAAGACCACCGGACAGGAGAGCAGACTGCTGTCGGCAAGATTGTTGCTGAACTCTTTGGCCGCACAGCACCTCAAGTCACACGCGCCACTCTCCAACGCACCTTTACCGACTTCCTTGGCGTACTCGAAGAGAGCATTAACAACGAGTTGACTGCCAGCATGAGTCTGTTCGCCCACTTCGAGGCTATCGATCGTCAGTTTCTCAATCTGCAGCGCGTCGTCATCCGCGAGACAGACGCCCAGGAGCGAGAGGAGAATGAAGCGTTGGCCTCGCTGTGGGCTCGTGTCATTGGAGTCAATGCCTCACGGCTCAAGAAGTTTGAGAAGAATAAGCAACTCCTCTCATCTCTTCGTGAGCGTACCATTCAGAACAAGCACGTCCTGGTCGACCACAATGGCCGTCTGCTCCAGCTCAGAAGTAATCTCGAGATCCTACGCAAGAAGCTGGTCTCCCCGCTTGTGCGCTCTAACGGCACCAGCACCTTGACTGTTGATGAGCAGATCAAGGGTCTAGAAGGTACTTACCTCAGTCTGAGAGCCACAAGAGAAGCGCAGAAGAGCCGTCTCTACGAGATCATCCATGATGCGGGCACAAGAAGGGTAGGTATCGTAAGAGATGAAGGGTACGCTATCGAGGGCCATTAGACAATACAGTACAGTTATCTTTCTGACTGCGTTCTTGCGATGGCGTCGATGGCGTACTATAGAGGGACAGGTGTTATGTGCGAGGGTGCATTCGTGGGTATGATGATGGGTTTTGGAAGGTGTACACTGAGGCATCCATGTCTGTTTCATGTTTTGCTTGGGATTTTCAGGGATGGTGCAGTCTTTCGATCTGGGGGTTTGTCTTTTTGTTTTACGATGATTACGTTTTCTGGTTATAGTATTGCTGTGAGCAGTGGTCTTTCGCTGTGAATGTCACGGTTTTAATTTTTCTATGCAACGCATGCTTCTGGATACATGATGCTCCCGCGTGTTGAATACCTATTTTAAAAGCGCGTATAGAAATGTGCTAAGTGACAAGAGACCGCCTATTACCATGCGCGTGCAGTATCGATCTTTGAGAAGCAGTGACATGTCCCTTTTAATGCCTCGCATGTCTGACGTTTGTGTGACCGGGATCTTAGTTGCAGCCCGAGCAGAGGTGGTGCTACGTTTGTAGAAGAGAGGTACTTTCTACCCCGGACGTCCATTCGTTCAACTTCACGACATGCATCACCACCCGCTCTAGGTTCACGTTGATTCTCACACTTGGGATTTCGCATTTGCTTTGGGAAACACGAGATCCATCGAGCTATCGTGTTTCAGAGAAGATGCAACCGCCGGGTATAAGAGATGGGGATAGGATAGGGCACTCTAAGCAAAATTGGGTTTAGATACACCAGTTGCACAGCCTCAATGACTTCATTTTACGAACGAAGCTCCCTCTGCGAAAAACCACAAACCAAGAAAGCATTCGGCGGGAAGCACAGCCAAAACCCTTGTGCAACACCTTTTTCTCTTGGTTCCCTTGTCACACTTCTGCGCCGCTCTTCATCTCGCTCCGTCTCCATCGTCCCAGATCTTTGCTGCAAGTGTGCTGTGCTGCGCCTCCACCACGGTCCCATTCCTCTTGGCTTGAACAGTGCCAGCGGGTTTCATTGATTCGGCAACGGGTTCTTTTTCACCATTCACCAGTCACCACAGCTCGCGTCAATAGAATAGAGTTATCTTTGACCTCACGAGTCCGGTGACCTTATTATCCAGCTAATAGCTCCACCATCTTTGGATCTCTTTTTTCTCCTTCCCCTCTGTAAGACATGAGTGAGTGATACCCATCCGGTCCTATACACTTGCCCATCTGCCTGTCTTAGCACAGAGGAATTCACGACCCACCTTGGCTCGCTCCGCTACCGAAATACTCGGCCCCTTCACTTGGCGCATCGCTGACAGACGTTGATACAAAGACAAAGTCAAGTCCAAGTTTGGACGCGCTGGACGAACCTCAACCAGTGAATCACGCACCTCGATGGATCGAGGCTCCAACTATGGCGCCAATGGCGACGCCGACGAGAACACTCCTCTGGTCAACGAGAGCACCTCGCGTTTGGGCAACATGAAGAGCTTGCGCACCCGCGTGGCATCATACCGCGAGGACGACAGAGCTTGGGTCAGCTATCCCATGGGCTTCCTCTACATCACCTGGGCCGTCCTCGCTAGCAACTATGTCAACGTCCTTCTCGTCTTCGTCCCTGTCGGTATCGCTCTCGGAGCTTTGGGCATGGACCCCACCGCTGTCTTTGTCGTCAACTTCCTGGCCATTGTCCCTCTTGCTGCTCTCCTGAGTTTCGCTACCGAAGAGCTCAGTGTGAAGCTGGGTCAGACAATCGGTGGACTGATGAATGCTACCTTTGGAAACGCCGTTGAATTGATTGTATGTCGGATGTTGAGTGTGCGCCCACTACGATGCCAAGCTAACCTGTGACTGCACAGGTCTCGATCGTTGCTCTGCAGAAGGGCGAGATCCGCATCGTTCAGGCCAGCATGCTCGGCAGTATCCTCTCCAACATCCTCCTTGTCCTGGGCTGCTGTTTCCTCTGCGGCGGCTGGAGACACCAGGAGCAGTCCTTCAACTCGACTGTTGCTTCGACCATGTCCTCCCTTATGGCTGTCGCATCAGCCTCCCTGATCATCCCCGCCACTCTCTACGCCGCCCTGGCCAACTCGAAGGAGCGCACTGATGACAACATCCTTATTCTCTCTCACGGAACCGCCATCATCATGCTCATCCTCTACTGTCTATACCTCTTCTTCCAGCTGAAGACTCACGCCAACCTGTTTGACGAGGAGCAGCAAGACGGAGAGGAAGACAAGGAGCCCGAGGTCTTGAAGCCTATTCCTGCCGCCATCGCACTCGTCCTTATTACCGTGGCTGTTGCTGTCTGTGCCGAATACCTGGTCGACTCGATCGACGCTATTGTGGAAGAGGCACATATCTCGAAGACTTTCATTGGTCTGATCCTTCTGCCCATTGTCGGAAACGCAGCAGAACACGTCACTGCATGTGTGGTCGCATACAAGAACAAGATGGACCTTGCAATCGGTGTCGCGATTGGATCATCTCTCCAGATTGCTCTCTTCGTTACTCCTTTCCTCGTTCTTCTCGGCTGGGCCATGGGACAGCCCATGACTCTCCACTTCCAGATGTTCGAGACTGTCGTCTTCTTCGTCAGTGTTCTCGTGGTTAACTACCTGATCGCTGACGGCAAGAGCAACTACTTGGAGGGTGCCATGTGCATTGGTACCTACATCATCATCGCACTGGCCATGTGGGTTTACCCCGACGATGCCGGCGACCCGATCTCCAACCCTCCTAAGCTTTTCTAAACGAGCTCTAGCGAAGGGCTATCTACGAGCCATGTGCTCACTGATTAGTACGTTGACACGTCTTGCACACTCTAGGTGTGAAAGCCAGAAGTGCAGACAAGAGGTCGGTGTAAAGTTCGGTGTTGGTGGAGTTGACTCTGCTCGATGCAGGAGTTGGTCTTCTCTTTGTGTATAGATATGGCATGCCTTTTGTAGTCACTCAACAAGCGGGCAATGCCTTTTAATGTGTATATGTTTGGCCCGGGTTGTGTGACATGTGATTGATGACCTACCGGAAGCGCCGCGGAATGACGCCCGAGTCAGCTTTCCCCAGGAAATGACAAGCCCCGCCAGTTCAAGTGCCTCAAGAAATGCCCTTGTTGAAGTCCCACCAGCATAAAATCATTCGCATGCTAAGCACGTTGGGATTCCGAGCTCCAAAACTCACGCATCTTGGAAGGTGCTCTCCTCTGGACCGACAGTCGGACAGCTTCCCCTCATCCGAGACATTACGGCGAGGCTCTTTCCCTCCCGCCGCACGCCGCATTGCATGCCTGCACCCTCCCGCAACCAATCTCGACCGCCTTCGTATTCACAAAGTGACACCGCATAACCAAGCTCCGCGGAAAGACAGTCTCTTATATCAGCTTCGTCGTTCCACCAAGACGTGACACCAAACACTCACTCGGTCCTCGACCACGAAACATGCCTCAATCCAGACCCAAGACCAAGTCTACCTTCTGGCCAAACTTCATTTACGATGCCTGGTTGTGGACCTTCTCAGTCCTCGTCGACCTCTTCTTCCGTGAGGTCCACCCTCGCAGTTCCTGGAAAGTCCCTCGCAATGGCCCTATCATCATCGTCGCCGCTCCTCACGCCAACCAATTCGTCGACCCCTTGATCCTGATGCGTGTCTTGCGCACCGAAGCCTACCGTCGCGTCTCTTTCCTGATCGCCGAGAAGTCTATGAAGAGGAGGTTTATTGGTTGGGGTGCAAGGATGGTCGGCTCCGTGCCTGTTAGCCGTGCCTTGGACATGAAGAAGCCTGCCCAAGGTACAATATACCTGCCCGACCCCAAGGATGACCCAACTTTGATCAAAGGCGTGGATACAAACTTTGAGGACAACAAGATCTACATGGTAGGAGGTGTACTTGCCTTGCCGAGCTTCGACAACAAGTTTGCGAATACCGAGATCAAAGAGATCCTGGGGCCGAACAAGATCCGTCTTAAGAAGCCCTTTGGTGGGAATGTTGCCTTGCGTCAATTGACTGGTCAGGACGTCAAGGACGAAAAGGCCGACGCCACGTTGACTGAAGGCTTCAAAGGCACAGAGTTCGAGGTTGCTCCCCATGTTGATCAGGGTGAAGTTTACTCTTCCGTCTTCCAGAAATTGCACGACGGTGGCTGTATCGGTATTTTTCCTGAAGGAGGCAGCCACGACAGGACCGAATTGCTCCCCCTAAAAGGTACGTCACATTCCAAATGTTGTATGACACGACTAACAATTCGTAGCTGGTGTTGCCATCATGGCTCTTGGTGCGCTGGCAGAAGACCCCAACTGTGGCGTTAAGATAGTTCCCTGCGGTATGAATTACTTTCACGCCCACAAGTTCCGCTCGAGGGCCGTTGTTGAATTTGGCTCTCCTGTCGAGATCCCAAATGAATTGGTCGAAATGTACAAGAATGGCCAAAAGCGGGAAGCCGTTGGTCAAGTCTTGGAGACCGTCTATCAAGCACTTGTCTCTGTCACCGTCACAAGCCCTGACTACGATACTCTCATGGTATGCTTGAATCTCGTTCTCCGTCATGACCTTCACATGCTAACACTGTCCAGCTCATCCAAGCAGTGAGACGCTTGTACAACCCCAAGGGAAAGAAGCTTCCACTACCCATGATCGTCGAACTCAACAGACGTCTCGTCAAGGGATACACTACATATAAGGATGATCCCCGCATCGTCAACCTGAAGAAGTCCATCCTGGCATACAACAAACAGCTGATGATGCTCAACATTCGTGATCATCAAGTCAGCTATGCAAAGTTCTCCATTATCAAGGTCATTGCCACACTACTGTATCGTCTTGGCAAGCTACTGGTTCTGGCTATTGCAGTCCTTCCAGGTCTAGTCCTTTTCGCTCCTGTCTTCATCACAGGCAAAGTCTACTCGGTCAAAAAGTCTCGTGAAGCTCTGGCAGCGTCAACAGTCAAGATCCAGGGTCGCGATGTCATGGCCACTTGGAAGCTGCTTGTCTCTATGGTCGTCGCACCTCTGCTTTACAACTTCTACAACATTATCTTGGCCATCTGGACTCATTACAATCGCATCGGAGGTCGCGTGCCAGAATTTGTTCCAATCTGGGCCGTGTTCGTCTTTGGGTACATCCTGTTCCCAGCCATAACATTCGCCGCTCTCAGGTTCGGCGAGGTTGGCATGGACATTGTCAAGTCATTGCGTCCTCTGATCCTGTCTTTGGGACCATCATCTGGCAACACTTTGGTCAAGCTTAGAGCCAAGCGTGCTTCTTTGGTTGAACAAGTGACTGGGTTAATCAACGAGCTCGGTCCTGAGCTGTATCCCGATTTCGATCATCATCGCATTATCTCAGACCCCAACCATCCGCTTTCGCCCCAATATTCAGAACCTCATACACCCCGCTCTCGCCGCAGCTCCGAATACGACCGCATGTCTATGACCTCTCCCGATCTAACCACCTACTTTAGCCGTAGCGGAACCGCAGGCGCCAGCATCGGTGGCGGCAGCGGACAAAACACCACACACCTGCCTCGCAATGAGTCTTTTGGGAACATTGGCGTCTTCGGCTTCTTTTCTTCGCGACCTCATACTCCTAATCGCTCACGCAGCCGCAATCGTAGTCGTACCAGCAGTGATGGTGGCATGGGTCTCGCAGCCATGAAACCTATGACTACCATTGACTCGAAGGGTGGCTACGAAAAGGTTACTGAGAAGATCAGGGATGCGATGAAGCAGCGTGGACGTAGGAGGCGGAGCGAGGATGCTTTTTCTGCTGCCGTTGACGGATGGGAGATGGCCGAACATGATGAAGTTCTCGATGACGATGAGGACAAGAAAGAGGTGTGAAGAAGAGCCTTTTCTTTCTCTTGCGTTGTGCATGCTTTGGCTATTCCTTTCATCTCCCTTCCTGTTTACCATTTCTCATTCTTGTTTTTCTTCCATTCCAGAGATACCAACATCGACTTCTGCATACTGTGTGCAGTTGTGATTAGCATAGTTTTTTCTTACTGATTCATCCTTTGTCAAACCATTTGCTCACGTCATGCTGATTGTCGGTTACTCTGTCCCGGCTATGGTTTTGCTAGAAACTCCTTCATGCGACCTCTGCCTTTCTCGTCACGACCCACTCTCACGCCAATCTTTATATAAGCCTTTTCTTTCTGTCCTCGCCAACAAGGCCAAGAAAGCCATGGTGGTGCAGTGGTCAGCATGCCCGATACTGAAGAGTCTCTCTTTCTTGACTATTTCGTTTCGTCATTGATACATTTGCTCCGGGATCGGGAGGACGTTGGTTCGGTTCCAATTCATGGTGTTTGGGTTTGTTCCTTTTTTTTGAATTCTGTGTACACGACATGAATGTATCTGATTGTTGTGGTGTTATGCTTGGGTGTTTCTGATTCCCCCTCCTTTCTATCACTCGCCGAATCCTTTGATGTTCTATGCGGTTTCTTGGTTTCTGTTCACATATCCAGGATTGTAGGCTTGAGTGGTTGTGAACGGCCAGATATTACTTCTGTCCTATGCTTTTTTATTAGTCCGGACCAAGATACTAGAAACCATGTCGCATTGATATGTTTGGGTGATGGAAACGTGACGTTGATATAGAACAGGGTTGCTCTCTTACCCAAAGCACATTGTCAAATCATCTCGACATTGGATATTCGCGGCTCTCGATCTACCAAATGGTACGAGCTGGGACTTTCCGATCTCTCTGGTCATTGTAGGCACTATGACCCTTCTGAGTATCTTGTTAACATCACTTGTTGTCGATGACAATGGCGTGCCCACTTTTCGACCTGCCTCTTCCATCTTCTAATTATTATGTGATTTTTCAATTGTTGTGGTCCGAGCAAATTGCGGAGTGCCCGACACATCCGTTCATTTTTTTCCATCATCAAGTCCACATACATTGTCGCGTGACTTTTTTGTAACCAGTGAACCGATTGCTGAAGATACGAAAAGCAGAGAACTCGTATGATCATGGTAAGAATAGGTTGGAGTGGTCCATGTTTGTCAGTGTGAACAAGTGCTAAAATCTGGGTGGAGGTGCACGCCGACGCGTCCAACTTTGTCTCCAATGTGAGCAAGCAAGAAGCCTATACTCAAGTGTTGGAGTCAGCAAGAGGATTGTTCTATGATCAGAGAAACTGGGTAAGTTTCTATTTCTCTACGTTTGTGTTTTTCCAAATCTCTGCTATATCAGAAGCAATTCAATCACTCTACATCACACTTCCCGCAAGAAGATACTTAACAACCTTTCGGTTTTGCTACTTCCATATCGATCGCTGCGGATCATTGATTCCCATCGGAATAACTCGCAAAGATATCATTGAATGATCTAGAGCATGCTAACAACCTTCCTCAGGTCTGGTAAACAACACCCTCCCCCTCTCAACTCCCTTCACCCAAAAAGACTAACCCGCCCAGCAACCTCTCCAACGCCGCCTCTCTCCTCTGGCACGCTCTACATGCCCTACCCTCTCCATCTTCCCACACAAACTGGGCTGGCTTCTACGTTCTCGACCCTTCATCGCCTTCCACCCAACTCATCCTCGGACCCTTTCAAGGCAAAGTAGCTTGCCAAACCATCAGGTTCGGCAGAGGTGTTTGCGGCACTGCTGTCAGCACGAAATCCACTCAATTGGTGGCTGATGTGGAAAAGTTCCCGGGTCATATTGCTTGTGATGCTGAGAGTGCTTCTGAGATTGTGGTGCCGATTATGCAGGGCGGAAAGGTGAGTTTTTCTTGTTCTTTGCTACTTCTTTTTCCTCTTCGACTCTCTGTCTTACAGCTGTCTGGATCGGGAGGGAAGAGAGAACGTTCATAATTTGTTTTTGAGAATACGAAGCTGATTGTGATTCACCATCCAGGTCGTCGCCATCATCGACGTCGATTGTGCTGTCAAGGACGGGTTTGACGACGAAGACAAGAAGTACTTGGAAGAACTTGCAGAACTCATTGCCGAATCCTGCGACTTTTGAAAGCATCAAACTTGTCTTTTGGAGTTGAAGAATGAGGTCGATAGAACAGTCGTCGTTGCAGACATGACTGCCCTGGCCTGCCGATGTTAAAAGGATATTCTGGACGGAACTTGCTGACAGAAGCTGGATTCGAACCGCGGGACTATAAAGTCCTGGAGGGCACTTTTGGAAAGAATCGCATCGACATGCATGGTTCGGTGTGTTGTGGAAGGGGATTATTGGAACCTCTTGAAATGGGATTATCTCAACATAGTCCATCTGCACATTGAACAACCACCAAAAATCAGTTTACATCTCTCATGGTTTCTCCAGCTTGCCTTGAATACGTATAAAAAGAGTAACTTTCAAATGTCTGCCGAAGTGTGATTGCCTCCCTCGTGGGCTTCTTCTGCAGCTACATGATCTTGACCATCCCACCATCGGCACTGACGACAGAACCGGTGACCCATCGACTATCCGGACCACAAAGGAAACCCACTACATCGGCGATGTCTTCGGGAAGAGCAGCTCGAGGACCCAAACTCTGTTTTGCCAGAACGTGCTGGTTCACTGCTTGTCTCATCGGAGGGGGCATCTTGCTGACCATGTCTGTCTCTGTGAAGCCCACTGCGACGGTGTTGGCTGTGGTGCCCTTCATGAATTCCAGCTCAGGGTTGGCGCCGAGTTCATCTGCCCATGCTCGTGCAAGACCTTCCAGCGCTGATTTGAAGGTCGTGTACAGAGATCTTGAACCTTTGTCAGCTCCCCACTCTGGAAACAGTAGGTCGTCCGAGGGATGCACGATAGACATACCTTCCTGGCAAACCAGGGATTGATGCTCGAGCTGCATCAGAACCAATGTTGACGATCCTGGAACCAGTTCGGAACATCTTTTTCTTAACAAGATCGTTGACAATCATCATGGGCGTCTGTATGTTTGCAGCCATCACCTCTGAGACCATCTGTGGCTCTAGCTCGCCAATCTTGACAAGGATGGGATGGGCGGCATTGTTGACCAGAATATCGACATGGCCACCGAACTTCTGTTCAAGCGCGTGGACGATCTTTTGTGCACATTCTGGGTCGGTTATATTGGCTGCGACTCCAGTGACTTTGGGAGGTGACGGGTGTTCTGAGTACAAACTGGAGACCGTGTGTGCAAGCGAGTCGATCAGGATTAAAGAGTCTGGTTTTGAGCAGGTTCCCAGTACTGAACAACCGCGAGACGCTAGTTGAAGAGCGATGGCTCGTCCGATGCCTCTTGTGGCGCCTCTGCTTTTTTGTCAGTATCACATAATGTTGTGGAATATCAATGACAGCATTCCATGTTTCTGGTGTAAGACGAGCACAAATCTCAGCCCCCCTCGTCGACGTGCGAAATTCGACAATACAGGACCTCGGTATACACGTTCGAAAAGACATACGTTACTACAGCGACCTTGCCAGCAAGATCTTGCTCGCGAAGTCTTGGTGCCTGTATCTCTGACATGTTTGGTTGCGACAATATGTTTGAAGAAAGGGTGGTTCTAGCAGCAACGGGGTTTTACGGACCGCGAAACGAGAATATGATGGAGAGACTACAGTTCAAGATATGACTTTCAGAGGCTGGAACTTCTTATGTAGTTCCTGGAGGAAGGATGTCGTGGTTGAGATTGGGGACCCGAGTGGCCGCTTTTGATGTCGGGCATGAACGTCGTCATACAGCATGGCGGCTAGCAACAACAGCAGCGATAACATCTGCAGCACAGTCCAAGAACAACATCTTGTCTCTGTGTTTGCAATAGAGTACGATAGCCTTTGATTAGTTCTTCAAGACCTGTAGCACTTAGATGATTCCAAAGTAGGCACGGCAAGTTAGCGCCCGGGATCCGTTTTCTCTCTGTAATTTCTCTGGCCGCCGACGCTCCCGGCGTCCAAGCCTCATCAGCGACTTTCGCATTCACCCTTCCGCTACAACCCACCAACCACCTTTGCCTCGCGACGACACTGGATTGAGCAGCTCCTTGAACGACCTTTGCGACACCTATTTTCTTCAGTATACCTCCCTGGGACAGCAATTATGGCACTTCCCGCCATCTTCCGCATGCTGCGGCCTAAAGTGCGTCTCGACGACCATGTTGCGACTGCGCGCATGCTAACGATGAGCAGACATTCCTGTACCTGATCTCGCTGCGCACCGGAACCGAGATGATCGCTTTGACGCTGCTCATCAACAAGGTCTCAGGCATTTACGGCCTCCTTGCCATTCTCACCGGCTACCATCTCTCCTGGCTGCAACTCACAATGTACATTTACTCGATCGGTGTACTCGGCGCCCTTTGCTATCTCTCACCACACATCAAGCGCCAAAGTCCGCTGCAATGTCTCGCCCTCGCTTGGCTATACGTACTCGACTCCTTGATCAACGCCTCCTATACCGCTCTCTTTGGCACCACCTGGTTCCTGATGCTCGCCCGTCACATCAACGACCCTGTGGCTGGCGACGACAGCAAGCTCCCTGGTGGAAAAATGATGAACGATACCGCAGGATTCACAAGTCCCGAAGTTAACGCTACCCGCGTTGAGGTTGTTGCGACCCCCGCTATGCCAGGGCAGAAAGCTGTCGCTGCTGGCATCAACGATGGTTCCGCTCTCGGACACGCCGTCTTCCAGTCTGGCAGCATTGCTAGTATTACTGTCATCTGCGCTCTCTGGACCATCCGCATCTACTTCTGCCTGGTCGTCATGGCATACGCCCGTGGTGTACTGCGCCAACATATCCTGATGACCTCTTCCAACAACTTCGGCCTTCAAGGTGGCTCTGAGCGCACCGATCTGGCCGAGAACCCTTTCCGCGAGGGACGTGAAGAGGGTGAAGGTTGGAAGGGCCGTCTGGGTCGCGTCATGACTTCAGTCGGAAAGAGATACTGGCTTGGCAAGGACGACGACGATGAGTGGGTTCGCGGTACTGGCGAGCGCTTCACCAACAAGAAGCGTCTCAATATCAAGGTTCCCCCACCTGGTGTCGGCGAGCGCGAAAGAAGAGCCAGAAGCGGCACTGGCCCGCCGCCCCTCCTCAAGAAGCAGGAGGCAACCTCCTGATCTAGAGCGAGATCGAAAGAAGTTCACGAAGCACTCGATTTTGTACGTTATCGGGCATGTATAGTCATTGGCACATACAGGAGTTCAGGACAGCTCGGGATTGCGGGCGCACTACATGGAGTTCAGACCAATTCTTGTATAATCGGTAGTTTGAGAGAGACGACAACAAACCTTTTCTTCAATCATGAGTGTGATGGTGATTTGGCCGAGAAAATTCGACATGTCATTTAATTAAAGTTCGATGTTGCTCCCTCCGTGTGCTAAATTCTGTCACTCCCACTTCAGTCCCACTCCGCTCCCACGAAAACACACAGGCGGAATTAGAAGCTTTGTAAATGTACAGTCCTTTCCAGACCATAGCAAGGTCCATAGAGAGCCCATGGTATACTGACTCCCTCTGGATGCTCCCTGGTCACTAAAGAGACTGCATTCCTATGGCCATCCGTGTGACATTGTTTTGCACATGGGGAGGTCTAGATGGACGTCTGCAAGATCCACTTCTTTTCAAGACCCTGGCTGGGATTTTGCCGTGAACCTTGATGTCGTTTATCTGTTTACCGATGACGAACACGGACCTTCGGCGCAAACACACGCTGTGAGCTTACACGGGTCCAAGTCGATCATCGCGAGATGCCAACAGCATCAGAGACTTGTGTTGCGCGAAGATGGCCAGACTCGATGGTACTGACCAAATCGCTTTGACCCGTTGTCGTCTGAAACGAAGCAGGATATTTAGAGTTTCACGGACCGCAAACGGTGGCTGGGAATATCATCTGTCGTCGACTCTGCCACCACAAGTGCAATTTCCGTTGTCTCCTAAAAGTCGACGCGCAGACGTCGACGCGCCCAAGCGATGGCCAGAACCACGCTTGGTCGTCGCACAAATGTGTGTACAGTGAGTGTGCTGTATGACACGTCTGACAACAAAATATGCTAGTAAATTCAAGGCACGACTCCTAGGCAGTATGATTCAGGCTATTGTGTCTTGATCAATACCTCATAATCAATTCATGTTTTGCTTGCCCTTGGTCCAGTGCCGCCAGCGTCATCCTGCAGGGATCTTCTTTGTTGCAGGGCTGTTTCCAAGGTGAAGCGCGCGACAGGCTGGACACATTTTAGCGCCATTCCCTGACCAAAAAAGGACCCTGATATCAGAAGCGGTCTGCCCCCCTTGCGTAACACTTTTTGTTTCTGCTTGATCCTGAGCCTGAGCTTGCTACTCAGTCGCAGTCATTGCTCTCAAGCAACACACCCGTCAACATGGCGGGAACATCAGCTACGGTACCTCGACCACAAAACAACATAGTGCTAGCGACAAGTCTGACCTTATCAATTCGCTAGAACGCAAACGATGACCCTAATGTCGGCAGCGCCCAAGGCTCATCATCTTCTGCTACCAGTCTCCTCTCCACGTTGGCACCTGTAGCTTTAATCGCGTTGGTGTGGTTCGCACTATTTTTGATATTCAGAAGATGGTTCCCAAGAAATTACCGCCCGAGAACCTTCTTGGGCAGCATTCAGGAGCGCGAACGATCACCGAAACTACCGGATGGACTCTTTGGATGGTTCGGCAACTTCTTCAACGTTCCTGACAGCTATGTCCTGAACCACCACTCTCTGGACGGCTACTTATTCCTGCGTCTGTTGAAGATGGCTGTTATCACTTGTCTGGTCGGCTGCTGCATCACCTTCCCTGTCTTGTTTCCCATCAACATTACTGGAGGTGGAGGTAAATCGCAACTCGACATCCTTACGCTTGGAAATGTCACGAACAACTACTACAAGATGTTTGCGCACACGGGTTGTGCCTACCTCTTCTTTGGTACGACACGCAATCATCTCTCCAGTACACAACTGACAACACGTTTCAGGCTTCGTCATCTATATGATCACCCGAGAGAGCATCTACTACATCAATCTGCGCCAGGCCTATCTGCTCTCGCCATACTATGCTAGTCGCCTCTCATCCCGTACTGTCCTCTTCACTTCTGTGCCAGACGAGTACCTGAACGAAGCCAACCTACGTCGCATGCTCGGAGAATCTGTCGAACGCGTTTGGATTCCCACCGATACTGGAGACCTCGAGGATGAAGTCAAGGAAAGAGACAAGACAGCACTCAAGCTCGAAGCTGCCGAGACCAAGCTCATCAAGGCCGCAAACGCTGCTCGACTGAAGGCCAACAAGAAGAAGGCAAAGAAACACAATGAAGATATCGCTCTGGAGGAATTGACACCCGATGTTGAAGGTGGCTCTGCAGCTTCTCGCTACATCTCGGCAAAGGACAGGCCTACACACCGCCTGAAGCCTTTGATCGGAAAGAAAGTTGACACTATCGACTGGTGCCGTGCAGAGTTGGAGAAGCGTATCCCCAAGGTCGAGGAGATGCAAAACCAGCATAAAGCTCTTGATGGTGTCAAGAAAATCAACGCAGTATTTGTTCAGTTCACTACTCTGCAGGAAGCTCAGTCTGCCTATCAGAGCTTGACACATCACCAGGTTCTGCACATGGCTCCTCGTTATACTGGAATGACTCCTGGAGAAATCATCTGGAGCAATCTGCGCATCAAGTGGTGGGAGCGGGTCCTCAGGGTAACGGTAACTGTCTCATTTGTTGTTGCCTTGATCGTCTTTTGGTATTTTCCCCTTCTATCCCCTCAAGTTATCTTTGCTAACAACCCGATCGGTCATTTCCTGTAGCTTCAATCGGCTTTATCTCTAACCTGGACAACCTCAAAGACTGGCAGAGTGGCAATCCTCCGACTACTTTCAAAAAAGGCTTCACTTGGCTGAACTGGCTGTTGGCTCTACCACACAGTATTTTCGGAGTTGTGTCGGGTCTTCTGCCTACTGTTGCCCTGGCTATCCTGATGTCTGTACTACCAATCATTCTGCGTCTGATGGCTAGACTCGGAGGCGACCCATCTCTTTCTGCCGTGGAGCTCACAGTCCAAAACACCTACTTCGGGTTCCAAGTCGTACAAGTCTTCTTAGTAGCCACTCTTGGAAGTGCCGCTTCTTCAGCTTTGGGTTCTATCCTGCCGAACCACATTAACATGATCCCTACTTTGTTGGCTTCGTCAATTCCCAAGGCATCCAACTTCTACCTCTCATATTTCGTTTTGCAAGGTTTGGGTGTGGTATCGGGCACTTTACTCAACCTTACCGGTCTCGTCGTCTTCATCGTCCTCGGAAAATTCTTGGACAACACGCCTCGCAAGATGTACAAGCGTTGGACGTCGTTGTCTAGTATGAGCTGGGGTACTGTCTTCCCTCCATACACTAACTTGTTCGTGATTGCGATCTGCTACGCAATCATTGCTCCTCTGGTACTGCTTTTCGCGGCAATTGGGTTGTATTTGTTCTACTTGGCCTATCGTTACAACCTGCTTTACGTATCGAACGCCAACATCGATACCAAGGGACGCGTCTACCCTCGCGCCTTGCAGCAGGTGTTCGTAGGCCTCTACATTGCTGAAGGTTGTCTGATTGGACTGTTCGCCATCGCTACTGGATCTTCGGTCGGAGCATTGGGTCCGTTGGTCCTCATGATCATCTTTATGGTCTTCACAGCTCTCTACCATCTGTCTCTCAATGCTGCTCTCGAACCCTTGATCAACTATCTGCCCAAGAGTCTGGAAGCCGAGGAGCGACGTCTTCTTGACGAGGACGCCAACGCCGAGAGGGGCGAGAAAGGCATGGTTGCTGATACAAATGCGGAACTTGGTCCATCACCTCACGTCAAACCTGCTTTCTGGAAGAAGTTCCTTCGTCCCGACATCTACACTGATTATGCGACTATGCGTCGTATGGTCCCCAAGATGATCAGCATCAGATATGAGTCCGCGGAAGCACAACACGCTTACTACAACCCAGCAGTCACTTCAGGCCCAGCCCTTCTGTGGATCCCTCGTGACCCCATGGGTGTGAGCAGGCAGGAAGTCAGAGATACAAGCAAGGTGATCCCAATTACGGACGAGGGTGCCACTCTTGACGACAAGAACAAGATTGTGTGGGATGCTGAAGACGGTCGTCCACCCATCTGGGAGCGCCCTGTGTACTATTAAAGCTTGAAGCCTAGGTACCGGGACGCATGGGGAGTCTGGACCACTTCGACAAAGGTCTCTCTAGACCTTGCATTTCCCTTACTATACTCTCTGGTCTTCGTCCTGACCAGAGCAAGCTGGTGACGGTTTGCTTACGAAATATCAATAGATGCCCTAATATGAAATCACCATTCGATAATCACCATATAAAATCAATCGTGGTCGAGACGGAAGAACTCGTTCCTTGTTAGTAACAAGCTGCTCACGCTGCTTTCGCAAAGTCTGGACCCACATGTTCATAGAACAGCTTGTTATAGTTTAAGTGTACTCCGCACGCACGACCTGACTCGCAACGAAGGTCTGATTGAGTTAATGGTGGGGCTTGCGTACATCTCTCGAATCCACCGTTGAGCCCATGGTCTGAAGAAGCAAGTCCGATTTCTGGTTACTCAAGAGAAAGTGCAAGGCAACGAACATGTTGAGCACAACATGGCGAGAATCGGGATCCAAGTATCGAGGATCTAGGATTACAATAGGAGCTGCGTTCGTCCGGGCCACTGGGCCAGAAAGCCACCATCTCCTCTCGACTCAACCCATGGCCAATTCGAGGCCAACCGCTCGATGGTCTACGCTGCTCACAGGCTAATGAAGCAAGCCACTTTGTTAACATTTGTCGAAGGATTGCGACCTGGTGACTTGGCAAGAGGGATCAGGGCCCACCTCCATTCGAACGAGCCTATGGGAGCTGCTGGAGGAGCGCCTCTCATCGTCCGGACCTTGTTACGAAGCTGCTGGTGGATGGATGAGAAGGTTTGGGAGCTACCCCGCCGTAACCATGCAGTTCACTGCCCCGCGTGCGGGAGCTAGGGTTCCGGAACTGGGGTCGAGAGCCGGCAGAAGTTTCCAAAGTAACGAGGCGTGACCCTGTATCGAGTTTGTAGCTGCTGTTTGTTTACGACACTTTTGCTCGATTCCGCTCTACTAAATGTACGTCGACTTGACATTCACGCACTCTGTATTAACATCATATTGCTTGGACTTATGGTGTTCGGCCATATTCGTGGTTGATGGCATTGGGATTCGGTCACGCCATGACAGCAGACGCCGCATAACGCGAGACGTCAGCCCCCAAACCTTTCGACTTTTCCCCCCACCAAAGCTGTTGTTGAACTGTCGTTCAGTACGAAGTCGATCTCGTGAGACTAGTTTCCAATTCGGACCTTTGTACGGTAAAATACGTGGCCGTTTTATCGGCCCTTGTAGGGATAGCAGGAACCAAACACCACCACGCCACGGCGCCCTGACGACTGTTTCGTGACTTGTTGCGCTCGAAGGAGTGAGATCTCCTGCCACTCGCTGCAGGATGCACTTAGCTTCGGACTACCGCGCAAGCATTGAAGGAGCTGCTGGGTATGGCTCCGAGTTGCTCCCTTCCGACCGATGCGAGTTGACCCCTCCATGGAACGAGGGGTGAGCTCTGTTCGGGCCTGCTTCAAGCAGAGCAAGACATAAGTACCTTAGGCCGCTCTTGCCAGAACATCCAATCTCTCACATTTTCCCAAGCAATCCACACTTGTCCCAAAAAGCCTACCATCTATCCACATTCAACCTTCCATCACAACCAGAATCCCAATCCACAATGTCGTCTCCCCAAATCCCCGAGAAGCAATGGGCCCAGGTCATCGAGAAGACTGGCGGTCCACTCGAGTACAAGCAGATTCCCGTTCCCAAGCCTGGTCCTGATGAGGTTCTCGTCAACGTCAAGTACACCGGTGTCTGCCACACAGATCTTCACGCCCTAAACGGTGACTGGCCCCTGCCAACCAAGCTTCCTCTTGTTGGCGGTCACGAGGGTGCTGGTGTCGTCGTTGGACGTGGTGAGCTCGTGAGCGAGGTCAACGTTGGTGACCACGTTGGTATCAAGGTATGTGAATACTCAATTCTTTCAATCATTCAAGATCTGACTGACCATGGTGCTAGTGGATCAACGGTACCTGTCTTTCTTGTGACTTCTGCACGCAATCAGACGAGCCTCTCTGCCCCAAGGCTCAACTTTCTGGCTACACCGTCGATGGTTCCTTCCAACAATACGCTGTAGCAAAGGCTGCACACGTTGCCAGGCTCAGCAAGGACACTCCCCTCGATGGTGTCTCACCAGTCCTCTGTGCTGGAATCACCGTCTACAAGGGTATCAAAGAGTCTGGTGCTCGCCCTGGACAAACTGTCGCCATTGTCGGTGCCGGCGGTGGTCTCGGTTCGCTCGCCCAACAATACTGCAAGGCCATGGGTATTCGCACGATCGCCGTCGACGCCGGTGACGACAAGGAGAAGATGTGCAAGGAGCTCGGCTCTTATGCATTCGTCGACTTCAGCAAGAGCAAGAATGTCGTCAAGGATGTCCAGGCTGCCACCGAAGATGGTCTTGGTCCCCACGCTGTCATCCTCCTCGCTGTCTCTGAGAAGCCCTTCCAACAGGCCGCCGAGGTAAGTCTCCCACACCCGCACTCTGTATATTGCATGATCACTAACACACACCAGTACGTCCGTCCCCGCGGTACCGTCATCTGTATCGGTCTACCCGCCGGTGCCACCCTCAAGGCCCCCGTCTTCGAGTCCGTCATCAGAATGATCACCATCAAGGGTTCGTACGTCGGCAACCGCAGAGACACTGCCGAAGCCCTCGACTTCTACGCCAAGGGTCTGATCAAGGCACCCTTCAAGGTCGTCGGTCTGTCGGAACTGCCCAAGGTCTTTGAAATGATGGAGAAGGGACAGATCGCCGGTCGCTATGTCCTCGACACCTCCAAGTAAGCTCTTTGAAGCGGGCACTATAACCAGAAAAGCCACGATTGGAGATGGCTTGACCTTTTTGGATGATGACGATGATGAAACCTTTTTGGCTGTGTTGATTCAGCAGATCTACTTTGTCGTTTTTCTTTTCTTGACCCCTTGTATATAATCCGTTGTTCTTCTCTCAATCTGAAATCAAATTTTATCAAATCATAACTGTTGATCAGTCCAACCTCTAAATGAGACCACTTAGAACACGGTTCCAAAGAGCAGATTAAATGCTTCAGCTTCATGTGCAATTGGACCGTGGCAGTGGGAGGCGTGGACACTCGAGTATGACGATTGGCGATAACAGCTGATGGAAGGCAGGATCTCGGCTTCCTCATCGTGGTGCCTGCGTAATCAATCATCGATCACGGCAGCTTGCGAATGAACAAGAATTTTCGACATACTTTCGCAAGCTCAGAGAATCCGAAGATAGCCTACAAGTTTGAAATGCTCAAAAAGGATAAGAGCAAAAACTTCCGCGAATACAGTATGTGACCAAGTCCTCTGTACATTTGACATTTCCCTTGGAAGCTGCTGAGATTTTGACCCTCTGGTGAAAGATGACGCGATGATTACAAGCTGCACAGATCTCACGCCTACCTTGTCCACAACGTGCCGATGTCAACTTCTTCCGTGAATGGGCTGGACATGTCCAACGGAGGTGCCAAATTTTCCCTTCATGCCAGCGAGAAGTTCACATGGAGTTTACCAGGAAACAGTTGGACAAGTGGGGAAAAAAGGATTCCTCGACAAGGATCTCAATGACGCTACACATCATCCCTGATGAGCAAGACGCGTTCTCCAAAGATTCCATCATCCTCGCTTTCTGGACCTCTGGAACTTTTTTGCGTACTTTTTTGTTTTCGGTTCGAGCTCCCAGATCAATACCAGATGATAGGTTTCAAAAAGTCTATTCAGGTCTGATGATGGAATTCATGCACTATAGCCAAGAAGGCCTCCTCAGGTCCAACATATTGATCAGTGTCATCGGGCGCCGTGATGCCCATTCTTTGTGCATTGTGTACTTCATCAAGACCGAAGGAGGTCGTATCGGTGCCGATGGAGGGCTTTACAATCTTGTTTGCCCTCGTCCTCGCTACATGCACCAATGCCAGAAGGTTGGAGATAGCCGCAGCGACAGTTGCTTTTGGCTGCGGTGGTAGTGGTGTTTACCGGGAGTGATCTGGGCAAGTCTTGATCATGTGCAAGGCGAAGTGTACTTTGAATGAATGAATGAACAAATTCTTGCATTCTATCGTGTGCTCACTGATACCACTCCCTCTCGTCGTAACTTGTCATGTTTCCAAACCCATCGGGCAGCTGCTGCCTTTGTTGCTGTTGTGGCTGCTGTCCTTGAGCACCCGCACCCACACCCACACCGCCAATAACATTAGGAAAGCCCGCAGTAGCAGATGGGAACGCCCCCAACGCAGCAGGTTGTCCACTATTGACCGGACTCTGCCCCAACGATCCAACTCCCAAATCAAGTCCACCGCCCCAGTTGCCAAAGCCAGAAGCCAGTTGCGCTTGATCGCGGAATACCCAGTCTTGACTTTCTCGCAGCAATTGCTCGACACCGCCAAACATGTCCGAGGGGCTGGCTGCCGCGGTGTAGGTTGCTGTTGGTGATTCTGCTGGAATAGATTGGAGGCCGTTGAAGGGAGTGGATTGCGCGGAAGGATAATTTGTAGCGCGGATATCGGAGGCTGATTGAGGAGGTAGGGCGAAGGGACTTGCGGTGGATTGGGCAGCGGCGTTGAAGGGGACTTGGCCGTACATGGGTGCTGCTGAGGCGTTGGCGAGCATTGCTTGTTGCGCTTGGGTCCAAGCGGGTCGTTGCTGTGGGAGTGGCTGTTGTGTTCGTTGTGCTGGTTGAGCTTCTGATGTTCCCATCATTGCCAGCATTGATGCTCGTCGTGCCATCGGGCTAGGCGTGTCTGTGCTGTGAGGGCTGAACTTTGTCTCGGCGCGGGCAAGCACAGTCGCTGCTTCCTCGGGTAACTCGATTTTCCACTTGCGCGCCATGACGGAGAGAATGCTCAGGGTGCGGCGTGCACCGAGCCAGCCTTCTCCAATCTCTTCCAAGTGCTTGATGCCGTGTATGATGTCGCGTCGAGCGTTCTTGTCTGGTAGATTCAACAGATGGATGGTACATGCCGAGTGCATGATATACACTGTCACATTACAGATTTGTCTCAGACCGTGTGATCGCTTGTAAAGACGCATGAGCTTCGAGATCATGGCAGCAGCTTGCGTACAAAGTCTTCGCGGACTGACGTTGGCAGGCAAAGGCGACGTGCTCTGGTTGTACTTGAGAAAAGGTCGGAAGAGGTGGATGAAGAGAAGCTGGAAGAACATGTGCATGGTCAGAACACTGCTGAGTCCTCCTTCTTTGGGCTCCATCTCGGCAGGTAGATTGCGCCGCCAAGTTTCGAGGCGAGTGTGAATATCGCTCAACATTTTGAGCTCGGCTTGTCGACCGCGACTTCTATCCATATCGCTGGGGTTGTAGAAGTGTCGCAGAAGATCATTACTGATCTCGCAGAGTGTTGATATTTGCAAAGCGACCGCACGGGTGCGAGCGGGCTGAGAGCGGGCACTCATAAAGCCCGAATCGGTGTAAGGTGCCCAAGAGGCGCTATCTTCGTCTGGAAAGACATCAAATTTGGGCACCGTGATGGCCGAGCTGGGCAATTGAGGCAAACGACCCAAGTAATTGGACCAGCATTTGTCGAAAAGGAAACACCCCCAGAATGTTATTCGACGGGCATCCTCTTCCTCGGGGTCGATAGTGTGCTCAGCGGCGTGAGCCAGCCCGGACGGATCGATGTTTAGACCCATGTCACAGGCCATTCGGAAACTCATGCCCGAGTAGACCCATCCCTTGGCCTCTCGACCACAACCTGCCTCACGTACACTCATAAGTGCCAAGGCCTGGACCGTGGTCATCTTCGGTTTCTCATATTCGTCGTTATCCATTATCAGGCGTTTTGCCTCGCGGAAGAAATGATCACCAGCAGTAGCAGAATCATTCGGGTTCTCGCGCGCGCCAGGCGACGAGGTGAAGTGACAGCCAAGGGCGAGAATGGCGTTGACTAGCAGCGGAGTACAGTATTCAGTCTTGCGTCGAGTGTCTGGTGGAGGTCTTCCTCGCATAAAGTCACGAAAGAAAAGATGCTTGGGTAAGCATGTAAAGTATGTATAGTGCCAGGTGAAATACATGTTGACCAAGTGCATGACCAAGTCGGGGTCAGACGTCTGGTTGGTCCATGATGTGACGGGGTTCTCCTGCTGAGGATATGCATCCGAGACAGACGAGGCTTGTGAGTCCTTCTCGGCTTGCAGGAAGAGCAGATTTGAAGTGCCGCCAATATAACGAACAGAGCCATCGTCAAGTCTCAGCTCGCCAACCCGAGTGGACAATTGCTTCTCAAACTGCGGTGTTGGTCCGGAAGAAGTTTGTGTGTGATCATTTACATCTTCGTCCTCTTGATCCGACTCTTCCAGCTCCAGGCCCTGCTCACGGGCAACGATTCGCTCAGCGACTTTATCAAGGCTCTCGCAAGTCCTCATTTCACGCACGAGGGCAGGCACTTGTCCCTCGGGAGAGTTGAGAATGGCGTGGATCAGAGTCTGCAGAGTCGAATTGCGCGTCTTGAGAGAATCGGCATCGCTCCTGTAGACTCCTTTTCTGCGGTGGTCCGACCCGGGATCGTAAACACACTCGGTGTTATAAACCTGACTGCAGGCTGCGCAGGCGGGTGTGTTGCCATCGCATTTCGATTTGCGCTTGCGACATGCGACGCAGGCCGAGCTCACACATCGTCGCTTGTTCGAGTCGTCGCCGTCGGGGGCCTCATCCTTCTCTTTTCGTACATGTCGTGCGCGCGATCTGGCAGTCGTTGGCTTTGCTGTAGCACTGGCTTTATCCGAGGCTGCTGCTGGTCGCGATCCCAGGCCTGATTGCGACGGCGGCTGTTGCTGCTGCGGTTCCATGTCACGGAGCTGGCATGTGGATAGCCGCTGATCGGTTTCCAGCTACCCCACGGCGATGGCGACCGTCTCCGAGCACTTGATCGGTATAGACGTCGAGCGGATCTGTGAGTCTTACGTGTTATTGAGCGATACGTGCACTTGCTTCCTGTGACCTGCTCGTGAACCACAACATCTTGTGCCTCGATGATATGCTGACAAACATGGTCTAGGGTGTTTCTTGACCTCACATGCTTTGCGTTATCGGCCCACTTGCCTCGTAGCCGTTCATCCAATCACACTCCACCTGAATGATAAGCCGTCCCACCAATATAACCACCAAGCATGTCAACCTTCGCTTATCAAGAACACACCGTTGGATACCAGCACTTCTCTTGCATTACTGTCGCTAGCTATGTCCTTCTTTACTCGTCTCTGTATTCTTCACGAGCCTCAACAACTACTCGGCCTTGGCAGCCATTCCGATAACCTCACTCTGACCGTTAAACACTACAAAGTGATGCTTGAGCAGCACGTCGCCGAAGATTTGGAGGTCGCTGCCCGAGTTACTTTGAACACCACCAAAGCAAGTCTTTGTGCTGACCGGCGCGAATGTGATGCCTGAGCCTGGGATGTTGGCCATGTAGTCTCCAACAGCCACTGCGAATTCAGGTAGGCTTTCGGAACAATCGTACGTATAACCACCAACAGTGCTATCATAGCTGGCGCTTGGTATATCGGCATAGTATGCCTGAACCACTTCGGGGTCAAGTAGCAATAGACTGGTGCCCGTGTCGATGATGGCAGGCGAAGCGTTGGTTCTATCGCAGTCCTTGCCGCCAATGCTGTAACGATTGCTGTCAACTTGCCAGAAACCAGAGCTTGCATTGACAGGAGTGAACTGCAGGTCACCTGTGAACTTGGATGAATCAATAGTGCCAAACTCGTAGGTTCCACTTCCATCAAGGTCCAAAGCTGCTGTGAAGACAGGCTGGGCCAATTCTGACATGATGTTGTCAAAGAATGTCTTCTGAGGTCTAGGCGATACCGAGTTGAGGGTTGAGAAGGCAAGGCCGACAAGGCCGTCTGAGTCTGCGTCCGAAACGAAAGCGCTCGATACTGATGTGGCCAGTTCGATAGCTTGACGAGTTACGGTCGCGCCACCGATATCGACAGTGTCGAAACCTACAACACCTGCGGCACCGCTGCCGTCACCGTATGAGAGGCTGAAAGTGGAACCATCAAGTTGTTGGTAAGACGAGCTCTTAGAAGGATCATAGGCGCTGTGCTCTCCGATCTGAGCGCTGGTAAGGGCGGTACTGAAGACCCATCTATCGAGATCGTTAGCGTTCTGTCATGTCTCATACGATTTAGGCTTCACACATACAAGTCCGAAGAGCCAGTGTCAAAGTTCAAGTCAAGTTTCTGGCCACCAATGGTGACAGGAGAGAGATACTCAGCACCGTTGTCGGCGGGTGTAGCAAGAACTTCACCAGTCTCGTCGTTACCGTCAGCAGAAGGAGCCGGAGCAGCATAATCGGGGGCTGGAGCGGCGTCGGCAGGAGCCGGAGTGGCAGTGGCAGCGGCGGCAGCAGAGGTAGTGACGGTGAAAGAGGTAGCCGCTGAAGAGTAAGCAGCGTACGAAACAGCAGCAGAAGATGCAACAGCCGAAGAGTGAGCAGCGGAAGATGCAGCAGCATATGTGGCTTGTGTAGAAGGAGCAGCAACAGCGGAAGAAGCGGCTGGGGTTTCGTAGCCCCATGAAAAGGTTGCATAGAGCCAGGATCTGAGGTCGGAGAGATGACGATCATTTGTAGCAATAGATTGGTCGCTGCTAGTGGTGTTGGATGGGGCCGATGTGTTCGCATGGAGGTTTATGGTAGTCGGGGTCTTGGAAACAGCAACCCAAGGAGATCCATCAGGAGTAGTCATCGACCAGCCGAACTTGCGGTAGGCACGGCCCATGGCCTCAGAGGGTTTACGGATGTATCCAGTCTTGCGAATGCGAGGGATGGTGAAGGAACGCTTCTTCAAGGTGTTTGTAGTGGCCTGTTTTGCGGTCGGTGCGGCCAGCGCAACCGTAGCCAGGAGGGCCACAAGGAGAAGTGCAAGAGTACGGTGCATCTTGGTCAGAAAGAGAGTGGTAACGAGTGGAAGGTTAAGCGCGAGCTATTTTGTTTGTCGAGGAAAATCTTCAGAAGAGAATGGGATGAAGGAGAGTGAACGACTGAGCCAATGCAGTCAAGGTCTAAGCGGCAGTGAAGCGATCATTCACTGCGCGAAGAATGAGAAGGGAGAGAACACAAAACAAAAAAGAGAGTAAGCGTGAACGACAGGACGTGGAAAGAGAGGAAGCCGGTCCTTCTTGATGAGGGCGAAACAGTACTCTTGTATGTACACGCAGTTGAGCGCCTGTCCCCCAGTCAGGTACATCCTTGCTCTCAAACACTTTAAACACCCGCTTCGCTTAACCCCCCGATGGATCTCTGTCCTATTGTTTAGGACAAAGAATCAAAACTAGGGGGCCAGACAGGTCTTGGTACAGGTAGGTGCGCAAAGGCGTTCTTACAATGATTTGCATCATAAAACCGTGAAACTCCACGACATACATGACTGATGGGGGGGGAGCAAACCACCGGGTCCTTACCTTTTGCATTGCCGCTATCGAGAGCGCGACTGACATCTGCGACGGCTCGGCACGTCAGCGATCCTCTACAAGCACGGTCGCCAGTAGACAAGTAGGAGATCCCCGACCAACTGCATGTATCAACCTGGCCTGGTTTCGAAGCCCAGAGAGTTCAGCGAACCAAATGTGGTTCAGAGAACATGGCGGTGGACCGGTCTTGCTCCCTCCATATCGTCGAATCTGGCGGTGCTGAGGTTGTACAATGTATCAATCTCTTTCGGTCTTGCACTCTACCGCCTTGGCCCGCACAGCCAAGTGTTTCGAGTATCTTGTCTCGCCGAGACGAGAACTCTGTCGAAATCAAACAGTGTGTCAGTAGCGAGCTGCCTGTGATATATCTTTAATTTATCGCCTGGAGCCAAGCGTAGAGCCGTCTCACCACGCAACCTTTATATTCTGCGGTCGCTCAGCGTTTGCTCGTCCATAAATCTATAAGCCTGGTACAAGTCTGTCATGTTCTGCTAGCCGCTGCAAGTTGCCTTCTGAAACGTGGTTGTGGGTACATGGACAAACAATCAGGGGCAAAGCCTCCGTTTGGTTCCGACGCTGTTTCTGACGGGTCGTGCTGAAACCCGGACCACATCCGCTGACTTCACATTGCCTTGCGCGAGGTCGAATTTAAGCAGTGACATATGCATTGGGTTATCTGTTCGAGATCAGATTGGTCTTGATTCAGAGCTGTATTCAGAATTCATGTTGTAATCGAGCCACGTCGGACTCTTCATGAAGGTCGTGATATCGTGGTGATCGTGCTTCTGTAGAATGTCGCTACCAACTACCTGAAACGGACTTGTGGAGCCAAGGCTTGAAAGTTGCTGGGCTTGTTTACACTCGACACTTTGAACAAATCACATTTGATTCCAGAACTCTCGCCTCTGTTTGAAAATATGCATATTGTGAAGGAAAATCTAGGAGTGTGAGCGATCTTTTACCTACAAGACCAAGATCATGGCCTGAATTCTATAAACCACTGCAATAATGAACCCCAGATCCAAAATAGGATACAACAACACGCATAGAAGAAAAACGCCATCGCTCAGAACATTACAAACGCCATACAATCTTTACTAGATAATCGTGGGCTGCATGCCCAGGAATCTCTTGATGTTGAGCCACGTCTCGAATGCAGAGAGTTTGAACTCGATGCGGGCAAAATCGGCCCAGGCAGTGAACCTGCGCCAGAGCCTTCTGGGGCCAAATCCAGCAGCAGACAAAATCTCCATCTTTTCTTCATAAACTGCACGAGCGGCATAACGTGCTAGAATCATAAAGGTGCGGACGGGTCCCTGGCGGGTATGCAGGTTCTCGTCGAGACTACGAGTGAGATCGTTGGTCTTGAGGATGAGAAGGATGACACGAGGCACTTGGCCCAAGAGCTGAACGAGCTGCTCGAGCATGCCGTCACCTAACGCGTCTGAGATGGCCTCTTTCTCCTCATCTGTTCTTGATGTCGCTACGCTCTTTGTGACAACGCGGTAATCGCGGCCAGTGATTGCAGAGGCAAACAGGGGGAACTGCTCATCGTTGATGCCGGCCACCTCTTTTGCATATTGGCGCATGCGTGGCTCATCAGCGTCCAGAACAGCAAGCCATAGCTTAGCGTAGCTGCGACGAAGGGTATTGTCAGGCACGCGGTACAGACCGTGATCGTACAGGATGATGTCAAAGTTGTTGGGAGCACGTTTAGAGGTATTCAGACGAACAGCAATATTGCCACCATGGGGATCGCAGTGCAAAGGGGCGTCCTTGCCAAAGATCATCTCGTTGAAGATACGCGCAAGAGCAGCAGAGACTTCGTCGCGGTCAATGTTGTTGGCGTCAAGATAGGCCAGATCGTCAGGCCTGCGACCAGTGACGTAGTCCATGACAAGAATGCGGCGCTGGGCCCAGTGGACTCTGGGAATAATGACGGGTAGATATGCGACTTGGGCGAAATACTTGCGGGCGAGTTCGGCATTAGAGCCCTCAAGAGCAAAGTCCAACTCTTTCGGCAAACTCTCGTCCATCTCATCACTCAGCCAGGTCAAATCGTATTCCGGGAAGAAACGCTTGAGGGTACGGAAGGTGAAGCGGGTGAGAGCCAGGTCGAGGGTGGCCCACTCGTCAAGAGCAGGGTGCTGGACCTTGACAGCGACGCGTTCGCCAGTTTCGCGCAGGATAGCACGGTGAACTTGGGCCAGAGAGGCCGCACCAATTGGATTCGTCTCGAACTCGGAGAAATAGTGTGACAGGGTGTTTCCGGTATCCTTGAGTACCATGGCCTCGACGCTCTCCATCGAAGACACTGGACACTGGTCTTGTAAGGGAATGAAGGTGTCGCACCACTCGGCAGGCAGGAGGTAGTTCATGCTGCTAAGATGTTGCCCCAACTTGACGAAGATAGAGCCATTCTTTTGCAATACGATCAGCGTGCGGTCAGCGCAGCGCTGGTGACAGTCTTTGAGGAGAGCCTGGTAGTCGGGTTCGGGCAAAGCATCGTACTGGTTGAGGGTGCGGCGGTAGTCGTTTATGTTGAGGGCGAGGGTGCTGACGACCCTTCCAGTACGCTGGGCAGCGATCCAGATGTAGCGGGCATCGTCGCTGACAGCGACAGCGCCCGTGGCGGCAAGGACTATGCCACCGACGACATACAGGCGTCTGCGGGACTTGGGCGACTTAGGGGGCTTCGGAGGGGCGGCCTCGGTGGCATATGCGCGCTTCTTGAGAAGATGGCTCGGTCGAACAGCAGATGTCCATGAGGAGTGTGAGACTGGTCGCGGGAGCCACGGCGTTCGACTCGCCGCAGTCCTGAACAAACGAGCCCATCCAGACGTCCCGTTCATCGCATTGTATCACAGAATATCGAATGCTGCATGGTCGAAAAAACACTGAGACCCTGGACATGCATGACGCTAATGCCAGATGAGCGCGACCATCCAACCAAGCCGCTCTCCGATCTTTCCCGACTTTCCGACATGCGACTTGGCTTTTGTGCATTCGTTTGTTTCATGGCATAAGCTTTGTGCTCTATCTACAGTCGTCATGCGCAAACAGAAGCCTATTGCTCGGGCATCACAATCTCGTGTCCGTTCTTCTCTGCCACGTTCATGGCCACGAGGAATCTGCTGACCATGTTGTATGTTGCCACCGTCGCCGTCATCTCCATGATGCCTGTGTTGTCTAAGAACTTCCTCAGTCCATCAAACACTTCGTCGTCAACCTCGACGTTCTTGGTCACTTGGTCGGTATAGCACAACACTGCCCATTCCTCGTCGCTGAATGTCTCTTGCTCTTCCTTTGTCCTTTCTCTGCCGCCCGGAGGCACAATTGCTGCAGTGCGGACAAGGTCCAGCGATGCTCGCGGCAGTCCTCCTTTAAGCGCTAACGGAGCATGCGCGTTCCATTCGAATGTTGCCTTGTTGAGCACCGCAATGCGGCTCACAGCCATCTCCATCAGGCCAGGGTTGAGTGTTGTCTTTGATCGAACTGCTCCGAGCAGGCTGTTCCAGCCATCGGCGATGGCCGTGTTGTGCAGCAGGGCGAGGTCCAGTGGAAGCAGAGGGCGTGGCTTTCTACGTTCCGTGATGCGGCTGTAGACTGCTTTGGTTGTCTCTGACGCATCGGCTGCTGGCTCGGTAGGTGCGTATGGGATGCGCATGTTGGACCTCGTGGTTGATTTGAAACTTCTGGTGAAAGGTAGTGGAGATCGAGGTAAGAGATAGGGAGCGCAAGAGAGTTTCTCAAGAGGAGATACCCTTAGCTTTATACGATCGAGCTGCTTGACGAGTGGGGTCATTTTCACGGGGGTAGACCGAGGACTCAATGTCAGGAAGGTAACTTGGATGGAAGTTGTTTACCAAAGCTTCCAAGCTCTGATCAAGCTACAACTATATGGATCTACCGACCTTCCAAGTGGACGGTTCCAATACACTGTGTCCAACATGATCTTGATGTCCACTGAGCACACTCGCACTTCGAAGCAGTCGGCTTCCGTACGAGCACAACTTTGCCGTGTTCGGAGCCGTGACAGCACCCCACACTGCCCACTCGTTTGCCGCGGACTGTTCCCGAAACCGACCGACCCCGGTCTCGCCAAAGCAACAATTCCAATCCTGTGCTCAATCTTGTAGAAATGTTTCGTCCTCTGTCCAGGAGACTGCAAGGCAACATTGTGAGTCCACTAACACAGAAAGCAATTCTCGAGAAGCGTAATCTCTCGACTTCCAATAAACACAAAATGCTCCATCATCTTATGGTAGGAACCTGGACTCCTCCAGGTGCCATCTTTACTTTCCAATTCGACGATGAGGCTTTGACCTTGAAGTTGATCAAGAGAACCGAGATCCCAAAGGATGAACCTATCTCATGGATGACCTTCGACGTACGTTCGAACCAATGAACTTTATGATTTACCATCAGCATGCTGACAATACTATCGACGACAGCATGCAAGAAAGACTATCTATGGAGCTGCTATGAAGAAGTGGAACAGTTTCTCTGTCAAGAGCCCGACAGAAATCGAGCACACTGCTTCTTTCCCTATGGAACACGACCCCAAAGCTTCCCAGGCAGACACAAAGACTCGCGCAATCTTCGTTTTGGCAGGGAAGAAGCCGCCGTACAATGTGTATGGCAACCCCTTCTACGATCACGCTGGCTCAGGAAATGTCTTTTCCGTCAACGAGGAAGGAAGTCTGCAGAAGAATGTTCAGAACTACGAGTATTGCCCGCAAACAGCAATCCACGGCATGGTCTTCGATCCTACAGAAACCTACCTCTACTCTGCCGATATGTGGGCAAACAGAGTCTGGTGCCACAAGAAAGACCCAGAGTCTGGACAAATGACTACTGTTGGTAGCGTCGATGCTCCTGCAAAGGGTGATCATCCTCGCTGGGTCGAGATGTCACCAAGCGGCAAGTATCTCTACGCTTTGATGGAGGGCGGCAACAGACTTGGAGTGTACTCGATAGACGAAGAGACCCATATGCCCATCTATACCAACAAGATCTATCCTCTGGTCCCACCAGGTAAGAGAAACAGCTCCGATAGAACTCAAGATTACGAAGCACTGACACAGAAGATAAGGCCACCAGGAGATCTACCCCAAGATGTACCGCTCAGATGTTGTGTTCCTTTCCTCGAGCGGCAAATATCTGTTTGCGACATCCAGGTCAAATTCTCCAGATCTGACTGGATATATTGCAGCTTTCAAGCTCTCCGAGTCTGGTGACATTGAGCGTCAGATCTGTCTCAACCCTACACCTACAAGTGGTGGACATTCCAATGCCGTCAGCCCTTGCCCCTGCAGTGATGAATGGTTAGCTTTGACCGACGACGAAAAGGGCTTCATTGAGATCTACAGATGGAATGAGGAGTTCCTCGGCCGCGTTGCTCATTGTGATGTCAAGGAGCCTGGCTTCGGCATGAACGCTATTTGGTATGACTAGAGATTCACAAAAGAAGCATTGCAAAGACATTGATACATCACACCATACTCTGAGTACTGTCAACCTCTAGCCATGATTATCCGATGAGTAGAGATCATGCTCCTACGTCAACGAATTCATACAAGAACGTCAACTCATGTGAAAATGCACTGCTTGTTCAACCAGGGTTGTACTGACATTCACGTAAAGAACGTGTTTGGAACGATACCCTCTCTGCCGCAGCTTCTGCCGTGTGCCAAGTGCACAACCCCACTACCCCTCATCCCACGGACTCGATGTTTTGTTCTCGGGGAGAGCAGAACGGCATCGTCATCCGGGATGTGAGAGCTCTCGCTGTAGTCGGCTACCGACACGGGCTATCGCGAGATCCAACACTTCTCTACCCAGTAAGATAGAATTTTGTCCATCCATCTCAAACTTCTCTTTCCACTACTGCCAACCAAGGCCATCAGAGGAGAAACAACACCGCAAACAATGGCAAAGACACCAGGAATCCTGTATGTAACCATGCAACCCTCGGCCGACCTCCCCGCCGCCGAGTTCCACGACTGGTATAATAACGAACACGGACCCAACCGCCTGCGCCTCCCCTTCATCCACAATGGCTTCCGCTACCGCGCCCGCGACCTTTCCAATGCAAACGCCAAGGGCAAGCACGAATGGATGGCCATCTACGACACCGACGACATGGACGCCTTCAATTCAGAATCCTACCTCGCTCTCCGCGGTGCACCCATCCAGACTCAACGCGAAAGAGACATCAGACCCAGTGTTGCCATCGACAGGAGAAGTTTCGACTTGGTCAGCAGCAGAGAGTCTGCAGACTTCAGGAAGCTGGAAAAGATTGAGAATTATGGAGAGGGCAATGTGATGGTTACTGTGAGTTTGAGATTGAAGGCTGGGCGCAAGGGTCAAGAGTTGGATAAATGGTATGATGAGGAGCATATCGATATGTTGACCAAAGTGCCTGGTTGGTTGCGCACAAGACGTTACGTCACTGCTGCCATTGACAAGAAGGATGAAGTCGAGTACATGGCTCTGCATGAGTATGCACCGAAGAATGGTTTGGGCGGCAAGGAGTGGCAGGCCACAAACGATACACCTTGGGCCAAGGACATCATGACCAATGTGGTTGAGCAAAAGGTCAGACGCGAGTACGAGCTCTTCTACACCTTTGGCCCTGCTCCCCGCGACCTCCAAAACTTTGCCCTTGCAGGTTTCAAGAAATGGGACAGTCCGGCCACGCAAACCAGAACTTTTTCCACCAGCAACGATGGCGGTGCCGTACAATCGTACATCACGACCGACGATGGAGCAGAACTCGAATACAGACTCGAGGGCTCTACGGACCCCAATGCGCCATTGATCGTGCTCTGCAACTCGATCTTGACATCCTACGGCATCTGGGACCGCTTTGTGGACTCGTTCCTCGCAAAGAACAAGCAATACCGTATCCTGAGATACAACACCAGAGGCCGCACGAGCAAAGCTGGCGAAAAGCTCGTCACCATGGACCTCTTGGCTTCCGACATCATCGCTCTGCTTGACGCTCTCAAGGTGCCCAAGGCAGCAGCGATTGCTGGTGTCAGCATGGGCGGAGCATCTGTCATCAACGCCGCCTTGACATACCCGGACAGAATCGGCTCGTTCATGGCATGCGACACCAATGACAAGAACCCCGAGGTCAACAGAAAGGCTTGGGGCGAGAGAGTAGCTATATGCGAGAAGGAAAATGCCTCTGGCGAGGAAGGCGAGAAGATCGTTGGGGAAGAACTCGCCGAAGTCACAGTACGAAGATGGTTTGTCAAGGAAAGCTACGATGGAGGCGACATGGAGAAGGAGTGCGAAAGGGTCAAGCAGATGGTCATCAACAACAGTCTGGAAGGATTTAGAAAGAGCGTGGAGGCACTGTGCGACTACAACTTCCAGCCGCACATGAAGAGTGGAAAAGTAAAGGGTGTGTTTGTGGTTGGCAGTGGAGACGGAGTTCTGCCAAAGACTATGAAAGAGATGGCTGCCAGATACGGCAGCGATGGCGCCGAGTGCGTCGAGATTTCAGGAGCCGGCCATCTGCCCATGGTGGAAAAGCCTGACCAAGTGGCAGATGTGCTGGGCAAGCTGGTGTCTTCTTCGTAGAAGTGAAGCTGCCGATCCGTCTTCTTTAGTGTGTGTGTGAATAGAAAAACTTATGGACAAGCTCCTAGCCCTATTCCCAGCATTGACCAAGCAGTGAAATCCTCCCCCTTCGGCGCTTGTTACATATTCTGAGTTTTCCCGAGTCGGAGATACGTTCGGGAGTTCGTGATGGTTGTTTGGATGGGTTGCGATAACAGTGCGAGACTTTCAAGGAGCCGGGTTATCTCTGACGACTTGCTTGATCTTCTTGTCGTAGGCAGCACGGTCCTTGCGGAACAGGTTGTAGGCCTCGGCTTGGGCAGGCGACTCCGGGTTGGGCTCATTGAGCAGAGACTGGATGCCAAGGAGGATCTCCTTGATGGTGATGGCGGGCTTCCAGCCTTCCTCTTCGTTGAGGATGGACAAGCAGACGGTCCCGGAAGGGTAGACGTTGGGGTGGAAGAGAGGAGGGATGAACTTGCCTGAAGGTAAGAATGTAAGTAAAGAAGACGGTAGACAGGTGGACGGGAAATGTCAACGTACACTTTGGGGGTTTGGTTGGGTACTCGTCAGGGAACTGGACCTCAAGCTTGAAGAGGCCGCCCTCCCACATGGTCTTCTCCTTGCCAGGGATGGAGCACTCCCATTTCTGGAGATCGAGGCCACCCTGAGGGTTCTTTGCGGGTTTTGCGACGAAGCCGAAGGGATGGTCTTTGCGCCACTGCTTTCTCTCCTCTGAGAGACGGTTTTGACAGAGCGACATTGTGGATGGAGTGATGGGTCAGAGTGTAGAGATGGTCTGGTGTGTCCGGGGTGAGGGTAATTGATGTGATGGCGCTGATCAAAGTCGTGCGATGGCAGAGATGTAGCTGTGACGCGTTGGGCAGGTACGCGACAAGACAATCAAGTGTTGGTGGTGTGAGATGGCAGCGTGCGTGGAAGTGTTTCTGCTGATCAGCCCTTGTCTAATCTGATTGTCTTGAGTCAAGCAAACCAGGCAAACAGCTCCCCGCAACGATTGACGGAAGTCGTTTCCTTGTGAAGGTGGCAGGTCCGACTGAGCCTCGGCCCTCCGGCCCAAGCAGATCGACAGTGAAACAACTTGTTCAAGCTGACCAACTCCGTATCCTTCCTTTCTCAACCTTCACTGTTCTGCTTTCCTTCACATCTTATTCAGGTCGTAATCATGGCAGAGAAGCAACCAGAAAAGCACGTCGACATGGCACCGGACCCTGACGAGGACGATCTTTCCGACCTTGATGACATGCTGGACGACTTCTCGGCCACTTCAGTCAAAGACAAAAAACCCGCTGCTCCTTCCTCGACTGCCACCACTACTGCCTCAACTGCTGCTCAATCCGATCCACTTTCTTCTTCAGCACCCACACAACCGTCTACCGAGGATGATGAATTCGCTCGTCAATTACAAGCAGGCATGGCCGAGCTGCTAGGAGGTCTTGGAGATGATCCCGAGATGCAGAAACAATTTCAAGACATGATGAAGGAGCTTAGTGCTGCCGCTGAACAGGAAGCTGCCGGCACGTCCACCCAATCGACAGACGCCGCCTCCAAGCCCAAGACAACGCCAGCTCCTCCTACCTCTTCCTCAGCTGCCAAGCCCGCCTTTGCTTCAACCATAGAAAAGACCATGGAACGCATGCAAGCTTCTGGTGAATCTGCCTCTGCTGCTGCAGCGACCTCATCTCAGGACGATATGCTGGCACAAATGCTCAAGGACCTGGAAGCTGGCAATTTCCCTTCCATGGATGGTGACCAAGGAGACTTCAATTCCATGCTCATGGGCATGATGGAACAACTGGTCAACAAAGACATCCTATACGAACCTATGAAAGAGTTACATGACAACTTCCCCGAGTGGCTGGAAAAGAACAAGGATTCCACGTCGAAACAAGACTTGGAACGCTACAAGACACAACAATCTGTCGTCAAGGACATCATCGAGAGATTTGAGAAGAAAGACTTTGATGACGACAACAAAGAGGATAGAGAATACGTTGTGGATAAGATGCAGCAGGTATGTTGTACCCCTAGTCTTCTTTCTCGGCTTGTGATTGCTGACATGAAACACAGATGCAAGCAGCAGGAGCACCTCCGCCTGGACTGGTCGGCGACATGAATGCCGCCCAGGATATGCTTAGCGAAGCCGATGGTTGCCCCCAGCAATAATGATGCTGCTTGCTATTTGTCCCAACATGAAAAAGATACCCACGTTTTTTGATCCTTCCAAGCGTTTTGTATAGTCTGAAGATAGAAATCCATATCACTGTCTGTCACGTCGACATTATTTCTTGTATGGGAATTGTCCATGACGTCCACGAGCCACGAACCTAAAAGTGAAGTATAGGTAAGGAGAAGACGCTGTAGTGTTTGGTATGCCACTGCAAAAGCTCTTGTGAACCCTACTTTCACTCATGAGCACTCATTACTTCACTTATTCCATATCCCAGCAGATCTTACTTCACAAGAGATCGGTACTATAGCTCACACCTCTCGTGCTCACTCATTGGGCAAAAACAACAAAGTCGCCTGATAGTAGCGGTTGTAATCTCAACCCCAAATCTTGATTGGTCGCAGATTGTAATGCATCTCAAGACTTCAATCTATATACACCCAAGATCCCCAAGCCTTAGTCATTATATCGAGACATTGATCACATTAAAATCCCCTTCTCATCCATCTAGAAGAATCCACCACGCGGCACAGCGCAAAACACACCAACAACAACACAAGAAACCAAAAACGCACCCAACAAACTCTGCACGAAAATCGTATCTTGAATCTGTCTCAACGCCGGCTCCTGGATCCAGACTTCGCGATCGAAAACTTTGCGGATGATATTGCGCTTCTCGTATTTGGCGACCCAGGGCTCGTCTTCGTAGCTTCCGGTGTCAGGAGGACTAATCAAAGAGTCTTCGGAGCTGCGTTTCGTGGATGCCGCGTCTTCCGGGTCTGCAAACAGTTCCCAGGGACGCAGGTGGCGGTGGTGCATTCCGTGCAGGACGACGCACATGCCTTTCCAGGCTGCGATTAGGGTCGAGATGCCTAGCATCAAGCCCACCATGGGGAGTACTCGCCACGCGCGACCCACAGAGCTCAGAGTGATGAGGATGTCTGCGAGGATGCCGAGGACGATCAAAGAAATGCCCAAGCCTCGGGCGAAGATCACACGAGGGCGGTTGCCGTTGCAGATGGTCCAGCGGATGAAGTTGGGATGGGCCTGGCGACGGAGCGAAATCTCTGCGCTGGTGAATGCGGCGCGTAGAGCAGATGGGTGTGTGGTATGTTGGAGAGCGTGCAGAACAGCGCTTCGCTCACGACCAGAAAGGTTGAGCTGACGAGAGCCATCAACAGCAATGTAAATGGTAATGATGCGGGTCAACTCTTCACGGAAGGGTTGTGCGGTGACTTTGTACTAGTGTTAACGATAGTGTCTTGAGCAGATGCAAGATCTTGGTACTTACAAGGCTTCCATCGCATGCCTGCATCCGTCAATGCTTCGTCGGCCTTGCGATTGAAGTCTGATTGGCAAGATAGCGGTCTTTCCGTGTTCAAAGAAGAGGGAAAGTCTGAGAAGGTAGGGGATGCAGGAGCCCTCAAAGTCTCTGGAGACTCGCTACGAGGATCATTGAAGGGATCTCGTTTCTCGGAAGCCAGAGGCGCCGTGTCGGCAAACTCGGTCCCTTCGAGCACGGTAGCAATTGCTGCAGGAGTCTTCTTGTTGCGACGAGCGGGTTGAGTGATCTCGTTGTCCATTTGCGCAGCACTCCATTCTGGCGAGAGGGCCTTCTCGGAAGCTGGCAGCTTCTCGAACCGTTCGACGTAGCTGCGATACCAGAGATAGAATTGTAAGTTCTCAGCGCTGTGTTCGATATACTTTAGATAGTTCATAAAGTCACGGGTGGTGCAAGGCTATACAGAAAGAGTTAGGTCCGAATTCTTCATACTTGAGATTAACAATACATACGGGGCAGGTGCCGCCAGCAATGATTCGATCAAATGATAATGCTTCCGGGATACCTTTGATCGAACCAGATGTTCCAGAGTGGTAAGAACCTTCGCCGGAGAATCTCTTCTCGTTTGAGGATGTCAATGAAGATCCGTCAGAGACTCGGCTCGGGCGGCGGTAACCAAGTGAGTAGACCATGTTGATCGGATGTTATAGTCCTTCTGTAACGATCGTGGAAGAAGACGACTGTTTGGAAAGTCCCTTGCGGAGTTCAGCTACGCTCGCTCAACGGGAACGGATAGGCGGGTGCAGGTGACCTCTTATACACAGGGCCCCGCAGACGTCAATGGTGCAATGACAGGGCTTTGTAGTCTCCGATAGGCAGTCCTTGTAGGATCGATCGTCGTTCAACAGCCAGGCACGACAAGACAGAGGTGTGATCGAAGATGAAAAGGTACCAGCCACACAGCTTGAAGGAAGACAGACTTTTCTTGTACTGGGAACATCCATGTAAATGTTAGGGCCCCGCTTGCGAATGTGGTCGGACAGACGAACGCCACAGGTTGTAGCTAGGCTCCGCCATGCCGCGTGTTGGGTTGAGGAAGCACGGTGAGTCGGTGAATGGTCCGGGGGCCAAAGGCTATTGTCGTGTGTTGCCGCTGTTGTTAGCTTGCTACTTGGGCGTGTACATGTGCCATCGTTGCGACGGCAGTCACACGTGCTTGTTCGAACTGTACAGAGCATGAACCATGCTTCTAAGCCGGTACGATCTCAAATCTTGAACCGTTATAGCGTCGCGTGCGTTGTGGACTCGATCCAAGTGCCGCATCAGCTGGCTATGTTGATAGTACGACAACAGTAACTTGACCCGCTTATACCATGAGTCGCCAGTCTTGTACAAAAAGCAACTTCCAGGCTTCAGCTCGGTCTTTACGAGGTTCATGCAAAAAGTACCTGCGAGTCGCCAATCCCCCAGCCAGCCAAAGAACGGGTAATACGTCGTCCTGCAGAATCGACCGAAGGATTCGAGATGATCAAGCTGATAGTCCACGGCAGCTAATGGCATTGCCGAGAAGTTAACCATCAGAGTGGGGCATTTCCCTCTTCGGGCGAGGCGATTATTGGAAGAATTACCGGAGCGGCTCTTCTAGCAGCACCGAGACACGTACTGACAGAAGCTACTGTGAATCTAGATTGGAGCAGGAGAGCTAGCGTACTCGACGAAAGACTCGCACTAAGGGAAGCAGAAATAATTATAGAATTTGTCTCTAGATAGAGGCAGCTCGTGTGGTTGGATCAAGGTATTCGGTTATGCAAGCCCATCGACCATGCACAACCCACATGCTGCAAACGCTCGGGTCTCGGGTCAAACGTCGATCAATCTTCAGCGATCTGGAAAACCGGGGGGCGGGTCACGCCAGACACGCAAAAGTGCAACGATTACTCCCGAGAACGAGGGAAGCGGCATCGCGTTATCCCGCCAGAGATGACAGTGGTTTGAGATTGCAGAACCTTATACGCGATCGCATCTTTCCTGCATTCATGCACCCTTAGTCATCAAAGAAGAGCAATAAGAGATTGCTTTATAGCAATGGGTCATAACAGCGTTTCTATATTGACATGAACTAATGTTTTTTTACACACACCTCGATCAGTATCCAAAGGCCTCGGCATGTAGCCAGATGCCTTGAGCGCCTGTGCCTTTGTGGACCGCTCTCTCGTCACTAAGTGAAACGACGCTGGATCGCACGTCGTTGACTAAGCCCTGAGGCCCACAGACGACAACGGCACTTTCACCATAAGCTTGCTCAAGCGTCTTGCGAATGACATTCCTGCAAGCTGGTCGGCCTGAGAAAACCGAGATCGCGGGATGCAGGAACGGTTGCTTCGGCTTGGGCTTTTCGTTCAGATTGCTCGACGTTGAGCTGTCTGTTCGGGATGGACCCGCTCCACAATTGCAGGTGCATGCAAGTCTGATGGCTTCTTCATCGTCTTCATCTTCGATGGTGGCGGTACAGCAACATGTGCCGTTAGGGCCGCAAGACTGCTTTGGTGTGGGCTCGGCTTTGTCGGACAGCGAATAGCGATCAAGCTCTTGAACCTCAACCTTCTCATCCTTGGAGCTGAACTTTTTATCCATGCTGTAGTCATTATATTCTTCGTCATCGGCAGAGTTGAGAACTTCGGTGACCGAACCGTATTTTGTGGACGTTGAGGTCGAGTATGCCCTCCAAGCATCCAGCAGAGTCTTCTGTTCGGTCGTAAATGTATCGTCACACGTGATGTAGGCGCTAATATCAACGCTGACATCGTGGCCCTGTTCTTGGAGGCGAGAAACATCATCCATAACCTGGCCGAGTTGCGAAGAGAACCAGCTTAGTTGAGGACCGGACTTGACAATCCAGATATATCTCACGTGTCTAGTCACTGGCTTCTCACGTCGGCTCTTGCTTTGACCATCCATAGACTTCCATGAATGGACAAGGTCACGTAGTAATGGCATAGTAAATGTTGCGCCAGAACTACCGGCAAGCAATACGACACTGTCGAATTGTTGTAGAGGGCGAATACGACCGTAGGGACCCTCAATAGCAATACTCGTCGAAAAGCCTCTAGTGAGATCTCCGTTGGTTTGGGGAAGGCTCATTCCGATCGTATCCGCGTGTCGATAGATCTTTTGCGTTCCGCCCTTCCTCGACTGGATCAAAAACTCCATTTTGCCGTCGCTGGGAAGAGAGGAGATGGTGAAGGGATGCGCCTGCATTGGGGCTAGCGAGTGAGCAGAAAGGAAGACGTGTTGGCCAGGACGCCAAGAGATGGGAGGATTGTTGATAGTGACTCGTGTAGTATTGTTGGGCAGAGCGGTGAGCTCGGCATTCAAAGCCCATAGCCTGCCCATTGTGCCATCTTTTCTTTGGCTAGGATGCAAGATAGACAAGTTGTTGTAAAGGTAGAAGAAGCCTCGCACGACACGATCGAAGAAGAATAGGCCGACACAAATCCAGACCCAATGCTTGACCTCAGCTGGGATATGTAAATAGACAAAGCCGATGAACACGGCGAAGGACACGATGTGTTGGACAACAAAGAATTCATAGCTCCAACCACGAATGGGGGTCATGGAGCTAATGGTAATCCAGATTAGGATAGCCCAAGCAATGACGCCATGCTTTGTGATAGGATCAGTTCGGATTTTTGTGCCAATATAGTCGTAAGGGGCCCAGTCTGCAAACCAATAGCCCATGTGGATGGTAGCGGTCAGGAGGAAGCATCGCGAGGCCCAGCGGTGCAGCCAGTTGATGCGCTCATATGAAGAGCCGATCAGAGCAGCAATGATGTTGCGCTTTCCAGCCAGAAGGAAGAGAAGAGGCAATTGACAAAGAGTGACAAAGCCTGTGCGGTAACCAATGTTCTCGAAGGACCATCGATCGCTAACGTCGAGCTTATAGAAACACAAGACCAGAAGAATGATTATATTTGCGGCTACGATCGAGGCTTTGCCAAGGGTTGGCGAAGGTATCCTGAGGGACTTGATGGCAAAGACTGGCAGAGAAGCATTGGCAAGCTCGCGAACAAGGGCGGTAGATGTGGCCATGGCGAGAAAAGGAAAGGCTTTTGGTCTGGCGGGAGTCATGCTTGTTGATCGTAACCTGGGTTTAGGTGAGTATGGCCATGGTGAGAAGAGATGCAAAGAGTTGGACTTACCTTTGGCGACACAGAAACCAGCTGTATAGGTTGACGAGTGTGAAAGCAGCAACGGCGGCGCCGACGACAGCCCAGTACATTCTCTCGAAGGTGAAATAACTAGGGATGCCATTGCCCGAGGACATGTTGCCCATGGACATGTCCATTCCACCCATTGACATATCCATATTGAATTGAGGCGACGAAGAAAGTGATTAATTAGCAAGCTGCGAGGCAGATGCGGCGTTCGAGGTCGTGAGTCCCAGGATCGGAAACAGATCAGAATGGCGAGATGGCGTGTGTAAGTTGACGGCAAGCGTGGGAAAAGCAGCGCAAGACATGGTAAGAACGGGATCAAGGCATGTCGGACAAGATGGCAGCAACGCGGCGTAAACGACCTCAAGTGGTGGAGTCTGAAGTTCATTGTATCGGCAGCGTGGCAGATCGCGGGAGGGGCTGTTTTGAACTCCGAAGCCGCTACCCGTTCACGGTTTAGCTCTTGCCATTTGCGCTCGAAACATGCTCAAACTCACGCCCTCGAACAAACCCACGGCCTCTAGACCTGTCATCAATATGCCGGACACGCTTCTATCCACGTAGCCCAACATGTCTGCCAACATCATCTATTTGCGATTGCCTTTCCGCAACTAACCTTGTCCCAATTGACACTACCTGATCCCTCCCATTTGCCATTTGCTTGCGCCTTGCCCTGACTGCATTCTCGGGAACTGCGCATACACCCCACCTGTCCATCGGGGTTTGATCTTCTTGTATCCGCGAGAACTGCTCTTTGAAATTCATTCACTCGTTCGCTGAAACGCTCTCGCTGTGCCGCCAATTCTCCTCTTGCATCCGAGCAACCTTTCACCAGCCAATATGGATATGTCACACATGTCGTCGTCCTCCATGGACATGGCAGCATCGAGCGCTACCTCTACAGCAATGTCTGACATGTCTTCAATGTCGAGTATGGGTTCCATGTCCATGGTCTTTACTACCGCCCACAACACTCCTCTCTACTCAGGGGCTTGGACCCCCACCTCCACTGGCGCGTATGCTGGCACTTGCATCTTCCTCATCGTCTTGGCCATACTGTCCCGCTTACTGCAAGCCTGGAGACATACGCTTGAGCAAAAGTTTCATGATAGGGCGATGAAGCGTCGCTACGTTGTCGTCAGAGGCGAGCAAGAAGGCGAGCAAGATGGCGACCAATTGTCTGGCGAGTCAGAGGCGGCCAAGGAGAAGTTGGAACAACAAGCTATCTTGACGTCCCGTGGCCTCGACGAGAAAGTCCGCATCATTACAGCACATTCAAGAAGCAAAGAAACCACTCCATGGCGAATCAGTACCGACGTGCCGAGAGCTTGCGTCTACACCCTCCAGGCTGGACTTGGTTACCTGCTGTGAGTTGTTCATTCTATTCTCCTTTGGTGACACAACTGACTTTTTATAGCATGTTAGCAGTCATGACCTTGAACGTCGGATACTTCTTGTCTGTCCTCGCGGGTCTCTTTGTGGGTGAATTGGCTATTGGAAGATACGCCTCTCCGGTCGAGGATCATCACTAGCAATGTTTGCTCATGATGATGATTGTCCAAAAGTTATATACAACCATTCGTACAGTTCCACTCATGTGTATACGACTGAATTTCACGCTCCCACATCGCCTCAGCATTGTGTCCCACGTGTATAAGCATAATTTCGATTGCTTGAGTATGTGATAGTGGACTACTGTAACAAGCATGGCTCGCGGGCATACAGCACACGCTATGCGTGTCAAGAGCTCGGCAGGATCATGTATATTGTCGAGACCAGATCTCGTACATCTTACCTTAAACGTCAATAGTCTACCCACGAACTACGGACTTGAGTTTGTTTCTCACGAGCTGACAGGGCAAGATGGCAGGCGAAATGTATGATTATATGTGAGATCAGGGTTGTACTAACCGTAAGCATGCCGTTTGGCCATCCGTGCATCCAAATCCCACGACGCCTCGAAAGGCTAGACCGATTTAACTTGCTCAAACCTGCGCGCCCGCCCACGATGGTATCTCGCGAGCGGAATGCGTTTCGGGAGCACGGCAAAAGGTGAATAGGAGGTCGTTCGAGCTAGGTCGGCGTCTACGAGTGATAAAACCGCTGGCCAGGTAAGAAAGGGCGAGGACCTATAAACTCGGGCTTGTGTGACCTGTCTCCCTGCCAAACAAACTTACTTGCCAAATCACTTTCTTTCCTTGTGCCATCTTCATTCATCTTTCCCGTACGCATCTCGCAAGCTTCTACGCATTACACAATCTCCAGCGTTCAAGATGAAGGTCCAATTGCTCCTCGGCGCCCTGCTGCCCCTCGTCTCTGCCCACTTCAAGCTCGTCTACCCTGCTGCACGCGGTTTCGATGAGGACATCTTGGGCACATTCCCCTGCGGCGGTCAAAACACCGTCAGCTCGAACCGCACCGAGTTCCCCATCAGCGGTGCACCCATCCAACTTCTGATGGGTCACACTGCTGCCAAGGTCCAGGTGCTCATGGCTCTTGGAAACGACCCCGGCAGTAACTTCAACATCACTCTGTTGCCCACCGTCCAGGAACAGGGGCCCCAGAACTTCTGTATCGGTGCTGGTGCTCTGCAGTTTCCTGCTGGTTTGAACATTACTGCTGGCATGAATGCTACCATCCAGGTTGTTACCAATGGTGACCCCAGCGGCGGTCTCTACAACGTGGGTTATCCTTTCTGTATCTGGATGAGAGATTTATTGCTGACCAAACTTTCAGTGCGCCGACATCACATTCACCTCTACCGAGCTGTCGTCTTCCGAATACAGCTCGCACTGCCAGAACAGCACTGGTGTCACCGTGCAGGCTCTGACCAACGCAGGCAACGCAAACCAGTCTACCTCGGATGCCTCCACCAGCGCCGCAGCTTCGGGCTCTACTTCTGCTGCTGCTTCTGCTGCCACCGGTTCCAAGACTTCTACCGGTGCTGCTGCTCAGGCCACCTTTGCTGGCTTCGCTCTCGGTGCCATGGGTGTGTTGGCCGGTATGGCCGCTCTGTAAAATGGGAGAGATGGGAGATATGCATAAAATTGGCGTTGTCTCGTGTCGAGACGTTGAAAGTCGGGCGTACTGCTCGCTCTGATGTTGCTCTTTCTGCGCTACTATGATACCTACACGTTTCGGAATGAACCCTCATGACTTGATCAACTCTTCTATCCCTGTGACCTCTCTTGTCAATATGCTCGTACAGAACATCTTCGCCGTTCTCGGTGGTGAGCTCGTTCCTTGCTCTGTAGATCTCCAATGTCCGGTGCGGTCAGGCTCAATATCCTCAGTGCATTGAAGCATAACTCCCCGGGGCCTGGCGACTTATAGGTATCAGGCATTTCATACAGCTCAAGCTGTGTCGGCATGTTGTGTTGTGTGTTTTGCGAAGATCTAGCAAGCTCATCTCTGTTGCTGAGTCAAGGCTTGCTTCCAGTCGCCCAATCTGCTCTGAGTGTGAGCAACGAGCTCTCTCATGGCCTCTCTGTCCACGAAACCACCACCTCTCTTTTCAATCCTCAAAATAGACTTTTCCGTAGCCACGATCGTGATACTCTCATTGCACAGCTCTTCCTCGAAACCATCAGGGTCAGCCAGAACCCAGTTCTTCGAATCCTCGGGCTTCTTCTGGGGTGCGGCAGTCGTGAAGACGGCGAATGTCAAGGATGCGGGGATGTTGCCAATGGTGAGTGATTTGGCCTCAGAGAGTCGGTCGGAGCAGAGTACGGTTTCGCGGTCGGCGTCCCACCAGGCCTTGGGCAGTTTTGTGTCTGACAGGGCAGCCAAGATGGCGCCCCAAGCGGCGTCGAATGGGTTTCCGTCCAGACTGATGACTAGCAGATCGATGTAGAGAACCCAGTATGCCTTTGTCTGCAACTGGGGCGGAACATCCGGTAAGTCGTCCTCGGTCTCTGGGGGTTGGTATTTGACCTTGAGATCTTCGACATGCACCAATTTTGACAAATGTAGCAGCGAGAGCAGTCTTTGTGTCAGAGATTGCGCCAGCGTGCCAGGAGCGTTTCCTGGAAGAAAGCCTGGTGAACAGCCGGTGCTGAGCTCGATGTTGGGGACCAGTAGACCCAACTCTTCGATTTCGCGTTTGCTATCTTGGGGACCGCGGTATGGGTGGGGGACGTCTGATGCGCGTAGGACTTCGGCGCGTACACCGCAAACGACGGCGCTGTCACCTAGTCTCACCACGGCACTACCATTGGCGTGTGTAAGAGAACCGGTGTTGACTGAGGGTGTACGGCATTGTTGCGGCGAACGACCGCTTGGTCGTGTTGGCGAGGCGGACGAGGATGACGGGTCGAGGTGCGCGAGGAGGTAAGGAGCAGGCGAGAGTTTGGCGAATGTCGCGGGCGGGAAAGAGAGGGCCGAGGGTAGTGTTGATGTCGCCATTGTGTGTGCTGTGTCTAGGAAACGATGGTTGGTGTTTGCGACTTTGTTCAGTTGGCACAAATTCTTGATCTTGGCAGGAAAGCTCATCGATGCTGTCACCAACGATTGACCTTCTCAGATCGAATCCCCGGATCATCACGATTCACAAGCCACAGCCATCTTGTCCAAACTTAACGGCCTTTCCAGGATCAAAGGCACTTGAAATGCGAATCTCCCGCACCATGGCTTGTTACCTTCTTCCAACCTCCTCGCCATGCAGCCTTGGGCCCTAGTCAGCCCAGCCTCCCGCGGCATTGGTCTTCACCTCGCTCGCCATCTGCTCCGGAATACGAACCTGCCAATCGTCACCACCGCGCGAAAGGACTTGGGTCAAGCCAAGGAATCAATCCTCGATGGCTTGCAGGACGTCGACGAAAGCAGGCTCAATGTCTTGAAGTTGGATGTTCTTGGTATCCTCTTTTCTTTTGGCAGCCCGTTATGCTTTTCGACGCTAATGCCAACTTGACAGACGAAACTACCATCCAAGATGCAGCTTCCGCTTGCAGTGACCTGTTTCCAAAGAAGGACAACTACCTGCATCTGTCCTATGCTATTCCCGGCATCTTGTGTCCCGAAAAGTCTCCCCAGCAGATTGATCATGATGATGCCCTTCTGACTTTCCGAACAAACACATTGGGTCCCATGATGATGCTTAAACACTTTGGTCCTTTCTTGCCGCGGAAGTCGACTCAACTTGCCCAGGATGCGTCGTTGCCCAAGACGGCTGTGTGGGCCACCATGTCTGCTCGCGTGGGCAGCATCACAGACAACCAGCTTGGAGGATGGTACTCATACCGTGCCTCCAAGGCTGCCGTCAATCAGGTCACAAAGACTTTTGACAATCACCTACGAACAGCATCTGGCGAGAAGGCTATAGCTATAAGTTTGCACCCAGGCACAGTCAAGACAAACTTCAGCAAGGAATTCTGGAGTGGTGTCAAAGAAGGAAAGCTATTTAGTCCAGAGTTCTCAGCCGAGAAGCTATATGAAGTCGTCGTAGGCAGGACTCTTGAGGATAGAGGCAAGTGCTGGGACTGGAAGGGCGAAGAGGTGCCACCTTAGACACATGTACCTTAGACACGTACCTATCACATGCACTTTTGAAGATCATCAAGGTTATAATATGGGATTTGATTCATCTCTTGATCATGCTATGGTATGCTATGGTATGGGCATGCTCGTATCGTCGTTATTGCGTCCGTTACTTGTTGAGCTCAGCAGCTCTCTTCTTGAGGTCGTCCTTGCTGGCAGGCTCGCCGAGACCCTCAGCCATGACAGGGCCCTGTTTGAGCTGGTCAGTTGAGCTCGTGGCACGGGGTGCAAGACGATGACTTACGGGGTTGGCGCTGTGGTCTTGGGCAGTAGCCTTGCCGCCGCTGGTGGCGTTGTTCTCGACATCGTGCATGGGGTGGGTGGATGCGTTCGAGTCAGAGGACTCCTTTGCGACCATGTCGGTGAGGTCTGCAGGAAAGTGTCAACAATGAAGCGGAAACGTATCGACTAGCAAGACTCACTGCCGGTGGTGTTCTCTTCCTTGTCGTGGTGAGGCATGTTGGCTATGTGGTGTGCAAGTTGTGATTAGACGTGAAAGTAGTTTGTTTCTTGGTCTTGATCGTGTGAGATGTATGTAGTAGCAGGAAGCAAGAGTTGAGCTACAAACTTGAATCGAGGTAACTGCTCGCCAACGTTCTGATGACATCAATGAGCTCTGAGAGCTGTCAGCCTCCGCAAGCGGGGTGGCTTAGATGTCCCGCAATGATCGCCCGAGGCTCGAAGAGGAAAATCATGTCGAGTCACAGACTTGCGGCCAAGGTTCGTGCCAGTGGCAGTTGCAACTTTGACAAGGCCAAAATGATTGGGTCACGGCGGGTGTTAGGTTCGCGGCTTCCTCGGGATGGCTGGCAAAGTCGTGTAGACAGATGCTCACGGCAAGACAAGAGCAGAAGCCCAGCGGCAAGCAAAACCTCGAGAGGACGTGTCAGGTCAAAGGGGAGAGTGAATCTCGCCAGCAGATCACCACGCACGGAATTCCCGGAGATCCGTGAACGATTTGGGTACAGACAGACAGGGATCAAGGCGGGCGCTACGAGCAAAGCGATCTTGACAAGCCCCGGCTTTAGCGGGTGAGCATTCCTCGACATATCACACTATTTTGCGTCCTGCTTTGTCTTTGACCAAGCTACTTGGCTGCATCATCATCTTGTTCGTCTCGCGCACATACAACTACTCTTCACCTCCCGTCTTCTCTTGCTCCGTCCGTCGCCCTTCTGGCTGCAGAAGCATCCGGAAAATGACTTGAGCCTCCACCGAGCTACTTACAGCCTCCCCGTATCGAACACGCTCTGTCTACCCATACACCAGCCACCTTCGCTTTTAAGACCGTGACCACGCTGTCCAACACGACGCTGCTGCTTCGCTGTCGTCTCTTGACGTCCGACCGTTTCTATTGTCCTCTATCTTTACTACCACTGCGGCTGAACATACGACCGTTTGATCGCTGCCCGAGACCCTTATCTCAAGCCCGCTCTCGACATTTGCGACTACCTCAACTTTCACGAATTTCGCTATGGTCGCCTCGCGGTTTTTGGCTCTGGCCATTACACTTCTAGCTGCAATACAACCAGTCATAGCTGCCAGTGACACACGCTATGTCACGACTACAAATGCCGCTGGTCAGACCGTCTACTTGGCAGGTCAGTGATAAATTACGATTTCCTTGGTCATTCGCTCATCCTGTATCCAGATGATAGAAAACCATCTCTATATACCGGACAATTCGGAGATTGCAAAGGTTCGAGTGCTGTCAATGTCACTCGCTTCGATGCTGCATACTACAAAGACAACATGACCGTGCTCTTTCATTTGGCGGGTAATACGGCCATTGCTAATGAAAGCTTGATGAGTAAATGATGACCTCCCATTTCTATACACGAACCCGGCTAATATCGGCAAGTGTATATTGGCGTCTATGCATACGGCGAAGGTCGTTTTGATTTGACTTTTGATCCTTGCAGCGCGAACATTGCGAGGTATGTTTTACTCTTTTGCTCATCAACGATATGTGTCGCTGAATAGTACAAGTCTGTGCCCGCTCAATGCGAGCATACCTATTGAAGCCAACGGTATCATCCCTGTTGCACAATCCGATGTTGCTGCCATCCCTCCTATCGCACTCGGAATCCCGGATTTTGAGGGTGAAGCCATTCTCCGTATCTTTTCAAACTCGACACAAGCCGAGATTGGCTGCTACTCGGCTGTAGTAACCAACGGTGCTACTTTCTCGCAGCCCAAACCTGTTGGAACTGTGCTTGGAGTCTTCGCCCTCATTGCTCTACTGGCTTCATTTGCGACTGCTGTCTACGGTGACAGCGTGCCTGTTATGCGCAAGCACTACGCTCACTCGCTCTCTGTCTTGGTCGTGTTTTCTGTCTTCCAGCATGTCTTCTTCACCGGAGCTCTTTCAATGAACTGGCCTAGCGTACTTGTTGCTTGGTGGAGCAATTTCGCTTGGTCAGGAGGCATGATCTACTCAAGCTCAATGCAACGTTCCATCAACAAACTCATCGGAAACAACCTCGGCAATACTTTACACGTCGGTGCTGCTGGCTCGGGAACTAATCAAGATAATGTTGGAGGTGGCTTCGACATCTCATCAATCTACAGAAGAGGTCTGGCCTTGAAGAGAGATATCGCTTGGGACATCTACCAACGCGATCACTCCATCGAACTCAGCCGTGACGTGGTCTCGCGTACTCTTGAAGACCAGTTGTTCAAGCGCGACCTTGTCAATAAGACTACAGGATTCACATGGTATGGGCAGCCCGTCCAAGCAGGTCTGCCTCTGCCCGGTAACTACTCTGGCTTTGCTGGTACTCTTGCTCAAGAGAATATCCGCATCTCCAATGCCTTCATGACTGGATTCTTGTGGCTTCTTATTCTTCTGGTAATCCTTGTCGCTAGTGTTATCGCTTTCAAGTGGGTCCTCGAAGCCTTCGTCGCCATCAAAATCATGAAAAACGAGCGGATGACTTTCTTTCGCAAACACTGGATCGGTTACACCACCTTGGTTGCTTTGCGAACTTTGTTCATCGCGTTCTTCATGATGATGTTCTTGACCATGTTTCAATTCTCATACCAAAGCTCTGGTGGAGTCAAAGCAGTCGCAGCCATCATCTTTATCTTGTTCTTTATCGGCATACCTGCATGTGTCGCTTACGCCATCTATGTCGGCTTGGCATCACAGGGTACTGTTCGTAAATCCGAACATCCCGTCGAACAAGTTGAAGCAAGGCAGCCGCCTAAGTTTCTTGCAAAGTTCGGCATCACGAAATCTATCTCGACGTACTCGTTCCGTCGTCAGTCAGCGCATCTGGAGGAAGACCATGCGTCGATACACGATGACGAAGAGTATGTCAAGAAGTTTGGATGGCTTGCCGCTCGCTTCCGTCGTACACGCTGGTGGTTCTTTGCTGTTTGGACGCTCTACGAGTTCATCCGTGCATGCTTCTACGCTGGAGCTTCGGGTCAACCGATGACCCAAGTCTTCGGCCTATTGGTCGTTGAGTTTCTGTTCTTCGCTTTCATCCTTTGGGCTAGACCCTTCGAGGGCCAGCGTCTGAATGTGCTCGTCGTGTACCTACTTGGTTTCAGCAAGGTTGCAACTGTGGCTCTATCTTCTGCATTCAATGTCGCTTTCAATCTGGAGCGCATCACAACGACCGTCATTGGCATCGTTATTATAGTCATCCAAGGCGTTCTGGTCATCGTCACCATGATAGCCATTCTTGTCGGGGCTTTCTCATCCTACATGTCCATCACCCGGAATCACGACGACTTCAGACCAAGGAGAATGGCAGGCGTCCGCGAGAAATACTTCAAGCACCTCGATCGCACTGCTACCGACGTCCCGCGGCCACCCAAGCCTGAACCAGTCGAGATCATTCCTGAAGTGCCGAAGGGACCGTACTTTTCGGTATCACAGGTTCGTCGCGTGGCCAAGATTGAAGACGAGGATCCAGACTTTGTCGCTGAGATGGCCATGCTCCACCATGAGGAGGAATCAGGACCGGAGTATACACCACGCGCATCGTATTTCGCTCTGCCAATGAGGTCGCAAACACCAGGCATGGACGGCGAGTCGTCTCAGACTCCTGTTCGCCGAGGACGGGCAGCTAGCGGAGTGAGCTACAGAAGCGCAAGTGGGAGCTATTCGAATCTTCCTCGTGGAGCTCGTCTTCATCGCCCTAGTTGGACTTCGCGAGACTTCTCAGAAACACGGGATGATTACTCCGGAACGCCCATTGACATGAGTAGGAACGTGCCAGAAGACGACACTGCGATGGCCACTCCAACAAGGTCTGAATCGCGCACTCCTAAGAGGCGATCGGTGACCATGCCGATCTCAATGCCTCCTCCAATGCCTAATCTAGACGAACTACAGATCGGTGGGGATCGCAGCTCATTGAATGTGATTGGCGACGTACCCTCACCAATTGTTAGACCACGTTCGGGGACGTTTAGCGGAAGCCGTACCAACACACCCACTCCAGGAGACAGAAACTCGGTCCATACAAGATCGACAACACTCGACATGCCAGCTCGAGATAACAGAGGACCTCTCACACCTGCTGTAGAGCGTGATGAGGAGCCCTTCAACTGAACCCAAACTTCTCTGTACCCTTTGTTTTGCATCAACTCAAACTAGCGTTACTTCCACGTCTTTCATCTAGCATTGCATACGGCGCTTGGGACTCGATTCTCAACGAGACATTCATTTTGTCGTTTCTTATATTCTTGTTTCATTTCTCAAGTCACGATGCACACGATATCTACGACGGCCGAGAACAGCAGGGCCCTATACGCAAGTCAGAGGGTACATAGAGTCATAACAGATCAATAATCTTATACCCATTCAACTTTCCTAGCCATCCGTCGAATCCGTACATATACTGTGTTTGTATTGAATTTCCGAATATGTCAAGGATACTAAGTGCGTGATTGTCTGACCGATGGAACGGATCATCTAATACGAGAGGAGTACGATCATTATTGCGAAAAGCAGGACATATGCTGACCAACATAGCTTTGCCAGTAGATAAGGCCGTATCGGATTGACATTCACTTTTGTGGAGGGGAGCTGGAGGTTTATCTATCACAGCTGTTGGTTGATAACGGTTCCGCTCACCTTGATGATCAAACCAGGAGTGCAATCGATGCATCAATTGTCGAGGACACGATGACCGCAGAGATGATACGAACACATACGTGATTGCGTCAGAGATAACATACGTCCGTTTCCGATGGCCCGATTGTTGAGACTTTCATGGGACGTTACTCTGTTTCGTGGACATCTTCAGGCAAGGCAGGGCAGAGCAGTCCCCGGTGGTTGCGCGGAGAGCCGCTGGAAAGTGGACAGTTCGGAATGAGAACCAAAGTCCGAATCGATAGCAAAGGCCGGTGGGTTGACACAAGGTTGAATCGGCAGGAGCTGAGACCAAGAGAAGGGGAAATTGAGTCTGTTGTAACAATGAGACGATATCAAAAATCTTAGTCGAGCAAATGAGTCGTAGAGGCTATGGATGAGCAGAGGTCGGGTAATTTGGTACCGCTGACCAGGCCAGATGGTCTGATGCTCAGGAGGGAGATCAGCAGATAAGAATTTATGCGGAGAGAACGGTCTATGCACGCTAGCCCGCGGGAAGCCGGAGCAGGGTTCGGTATGGAGCGCCCTTGTTGGTCATAGAGCTCGCGTGGAGCTCGCGGTGAGCTTTCTGACGCATGAGAGTAAGCAAATGTGACGTTTTGAACACGTCCATACAGTTGAGCAGAGCTTGTTTGTACTGAACAGGATGATCTTGGAAATTGCACGCAAGGTCTTCCGGTCGGCTATCTGTGTTGAGGTCACAACATTTCATGTCGGCATGGCTTTCGGAGAAACAGGGGGCTTTACTATCAAAGCCTAATTTGTGCCATGCAGATCCGAGTGTTGAGGCTTATCTGGGGCTGACAAGCTCTCTAACATGCTATTCGCAGATACAGCTTCGTCGCTGGCATGCTGCTGCTGCTGAGGCCAGCGGTGTGGAGGCAGAATGTCGCACGATTCGGCCGTTCGTGCTTGCCTTGATGCAAGAGCCCATAGTTGTACCACCCCCGGATGCCTTTTTCTCGTGTGACTTTCCCCTCCATCTCTCTTCCTCTTCCTCCAACTCGCATTCTTTGTCTACCTAGTAACTTCTTGAACACCTTTTGCGCCGAAGCCACCTATCATTCCCACAACTCACACTTCTCTACTACCGTCAACATGTCCGCACCTAGAGCTTACCAATTCATTGCTTTGAGACGCCTGGCAGGTGGCGGCAGCCGTCGCCAGCTTCACATGACTGGTCCTGCTACCTTCCCCTCGCCATTGCTCACCTCTGAGCGCCCTGCTTCGAACCTTCCACGTGACATTGCAGGTCTCAGGGCCGAGTGCAAGAGACGCAAGCTGGACTTCTCTGGCTCCATGCACGATGTAAGCTTCATCCAAACCAATGATAACATGCTTCACAGAACTGATAGAAACATAGCTCATGGGCCGTCTGTCCGCAGATGATCTGACTCACTCTCGTGCTTTTACTACTGCTGTCAATGCCACTAAGCGTCCTAGTGCTGAGCAGAAGGACGAGGTCAAGCCCGTCCGTCACTTCAACACCAGCCGTGCACTCAAGGCCGTCAATGACAGCTCTACCATTGACTTTGCCTACTTCCCTGACTTCGACCCTGACAATGTTGAGGCATCGGCTCTTCGTGTCCCCCTGCTTCATAACAACTTCAGCCCTGCACGTACTGGCGCCCACAGCCTTGAAACTGCCGACAGTGTATGTATACGTGCAATTGCTGATATGCAGAGCATGACTGACACATTTCACAGGTGGTCATGAAGGGAGAGATCAACACCATGTCACCCGACAAGGTCGTCAGCAACTTCTCCGAGGTTTCTGATAACAATGCTATGACGATTGATTTCCACGGCATGGCGGAGAAGATTGCTGCAGCAACTCAGAAAGCTGCCAAAGCACCCATCGCTGAGCAGACTAGCATTCTGAAGCAGCTGTGGAAAGGCGTTGTCGAAGACTTCCAGGGCGTCCAGGCAAAGCCCATGACGGCTTGAGGCTAAGGGCAGGGGTCGAGCTGTAGCTGTATTTACGATGATGTAGATGGATGTCGACAGAGAATGAGATTATTCTGGCTGGAGGCCTTGCATTTCACACGAGTGTTCCATATTGGTGTGACGTGCTGTGAGGAGTGTCGTCGACGATAGACAAGGCAACCTGGCAAAGTTTGATTGTAAAGTCAGAAAGTTGGCCGAGTGTTTGGCGGGCGGCTTGTCGTGTTTACTCCCCACGCGGACTTTGTTGATGCGGCAACCTTTGCATCTCCCCTCTCATTCAATCAATTAACCATCGCCAGCAATCAATCATACACAAAGCAGATCTTGGTTATTGCACAGAAACAGCATGGCGTCTCCAGACAAGAGCCTGCGTCTAAACATGCCCATGATGCCGCCGCCAATGCACTCGCGCGGCGCCAGCGATCTGGGCGAGCGACCTCTAACTCCCACTTCTCCACGACACCAGAACCACTCCGCCCAGCCTTTCATCTCGCCTGTCCAGACGCCGCAGGGCAGTCCCAGCAAGAACCGCTTGCCCCCGGGCGCCTTCGACCTGCCTGATGTCTTCTCCAATGCCATGAAACTGCTGCCCACTCTGGGCTCCCCATCCAAAACTCCCAGGAACCAGGACCACAGCCCTACCCGCAAGGGCAACAAGGAAAACACACCACCAACTCGTCCTGGCGCCCAGCAACAAGACCATGTCAGCCAGGCTGCCGCGAGCAGACAGAGTCAGTACCGCGGCCAGGAAGAACAGCCCCTGAGCAGACAACGTAGCGTCATCTCTGGCGGTTTGACCCAAGAAGAGATCGAGAAGTTGCAGAAGCCAACAGTCAAGCGCCTGGCCAACGTCACTCAACTCTGTAGGTACACCAGCTTTTGCTTTCTCCGCCCATGCTAACTGTACAGACTTCCTTGACCATTACTATGATCTCCTCAACTACGTTTCCACCCGTCAGAAGCGCACCGAGCTGTTCCACGCCCACAACCCTACCCCACCCAAGACTCCCGAGGCCGAATACCAATCGAATATGCAACAGTATCTTGGTCGCGAGCGTGCAAAGCTCCGCGCCAGACGTACCCGCCTCAACCACGGCGACTTTGCCATTCTCACTCAGGTCGGACAGGGTGGTTATGGCCAGGTCTACTTGGCGCAAAAGAAGGACACACGCGAGGTCTGCGCTCTCAAGGTCATGAGCAAGAAGCTGCTCTTCAAGCTCGACGAAGTGCGCCATGTCTTGACCGAGCGCGACATTCTCACCAGCGCAAAGAGCGATTGGTTGGTGCGCCTGTTGTATGCCTTCCAGGACGACGCCAGCATCTATCTCGCAATGGAGTACGTCCCCGGTGGTGATTTCCGTACTCTGCTCAACAACACTGGTGTTCTGCACAACCGCCATGCCCGTTTCTACATCTCCGAGATGTTCCTCTGCGTCGACGCACTACACCAACTTGGCTACATCCATCGTGATCTGAAGCCCGAGAACTTCCTGATCGATAGCACTGGTCATGTCAAGCTCACTGACTTTGGTCTGGCTGCTGGTTTCCTGGCCCCGGCAAAGATCGAGAGTATGCGCATCAAGCTCGAGGAGGTCGGCAACATGCCCCGTGACGCAATTCCTTTCGGCAGACCCATCGAGGAGCGTTCGCTCAAGGAGAGAAGAGAAGGATATCGCAGTCTGCGCGAGCGCGACGTCAACTATGCAAAGAGTATCGTTGGAAGCCCCGACTACATGGCCCCTGAAGTCTTAAAGGGCGACGAGTACGACTTCACCGTCGACTACTGGTCTCTTGGTTGTATGCTTTTCGAGGCTCTTGCTGGCTACCCACCGTTCGCCGGTGCCACAGTCGATGAGACATGGCAAAATTTGAAGCGCTGGTCGTCAGTCTTGCGCAAGCCCGAGTACGAAGACCCCAACTACTTCCTTTCTCGGCGTACATGGGATCTCATTACTCGTCTCATCTCTGGAAAGAACCAGAGACTGCGCGGTATGTCGCAGGTCAAGGCACATGCTTACTTCGCCGAGGTCCGCTGGGAAAGTCTCCGCGAGGAGCGTGCTCCCTTCGTACCAGAACTTGACAGTGAGACTGATGCCGGCTACTTTGACGACTTTGAGAGCGAGAAGGACATGGCCAAGTATAAGGAAGTCAAGGATAAGCAAAAGGCACTCGAGGAGATGGCTGAGAGGGACGAGAAAATGGGCCGCAACTTGTTTGTCGGTTTCACTTTCAAGTAAGTCATGTTTTATACGTAAGCTCGTGGTCTCACACTAACTGTACACCAGACACCGAAAGCCTGCTGTCGACGAGAACGGCGAACGCACCAGCCCTCGCAAGCCCCTTCCTCAACTTGATGAGGAGTTTGGCACCATCTTCTAGTTGCGATCTTTCTTCTTTTTCTTCTCTTATTTTTTCATTCCAGGGACATGGCGTGAGCAATGGTGGTGGGATGCGGGATCGGCGATTACGGCTAGGCATTGACTGAGGAAGCTCGACTGGTGATTGGGTTGACATGACTTTTCATGAGGACATCTCAGTGTTCGTTTCTTTGTTTTCTCTTTTCTCTTTACAAACAAACAGTCGGTTGAATCGACATTTTTTTCTCTCTACTTCGGACCGTCGTAATCTATGTGCAAAATTAGGTGATATTCCCCAACCAAACGTAATTTTGAGAATGTCAATATGTTTTTACAGACACTGTCTGACCTTTCAATCGGTGTCTTTGTTCTGCCATCAAGGTCGAGGCCCGTGCACATTCCTTGATGTGGATCCTGTCAAGCCCAGTTGTTTCGCGCGGCGGTAAAGACAATGAACATGCATCTTTCATGACCTATCACGGTTCCTGAATCAGTTTTTACGACACACGCAGCTATGGGCAGTTCTCATGTGTGATTGTTCCTCCCTGAATTTGCTATAAGGAGGTCTCCATCGCACCGCCATAATTGGACTTTCAAGGAGAAACTCAAAGACTATTCGAGTGCTCGAAGACCATGTTTCTTCCCATATTCATAGCTCTCGCTACAGCTGGAGTATACTTTAGCCTGCAGCAAGAGTATCCGTGGATGGCTCTGATGCACAATCATCTCGATGCGATCATGAACAAATGGACACATTCCGAAAACCTGGTCAACCATAACACGACACAAGAAGACTGGAACATCTTGTATCACCTTGGAGGAAACGGACCTTGGATTCCCAAGGTAGATGGTCCGTTTGGAGACGAGCTGAGTGTTCCGGAAGGCTGCAAGATAGAACAGGTGCATGTGGTAGGAACTATTCAGTAATCCTTCCATTTTTACGCCGCATACTTATTCTGTTCTAGATTGCGAGACATAACGAAAGATACCCAACCCATAACACTGGTGCTCGTGAGTTTTCATGTCACAGAAATCCTCCTGTTCAAACCCTGACAAGAATGCAGACATGGTGGCTCTTCACAATCGCCTCCGAACATTAAACTTTGACCTCCAAGGCGATCTCTCCTTCTTCAAAAACTGGACTTTCTTCATGACCGAAGACTACAAATCAGAAATCGGAGAACTGATCCCTACAGGACCATATGCCGGTACACTTGGTGCCTTCCGAGCAGGCGTCACTCTTCGAACGCGTTACCCAGATCTTCGTGCTACCGCTATCGCTAGCAACCAGACGAATTTTTGGGCTGCAGACTCTCATCGTGTGGTCGAGACTGCAAAGCACTTTGCCAGTGGCTTCTGGGGTGTAGATCGGGATAGCGACATCGCCAAGTTGCACATCATACCTGAAATCTCTGGACTAGGCGCCGACACCCTGACGACAGGTAACACTTGTAAGGCTTACCTCGAACCACACAATCCTGAAGGACGCCACAAAGGCTTGCTCAAGCTCAAGAAATGGCAAAGTGTATACATACCGCCCATCATCGACCGCCTAGAACAACAGAATCCAGGCTTGAAACTGAGCATCCAAGAAGTCTTCTCTATGCAAGGACTTTGCGGCTTTGAATTACTGGCTCGAGGTAGTAGCCCCTGGTGTGATGTCTTCACACACGACGAGTGGCGGAACTTCGAGTATGCTAGAGACTTGCTCCACTACTACCGCACCGGGCCTGGAAGCAAGTATAGCGCAGGCCGTGGCTTTCCTTTCTTGAACGCTACCACCAATCTTCTAGCTACCGGCGCCTCGAATGGGTCTCTCTTCTTCAGCTTTGTGCACGATGGAGATATTCTGCCTTTGATATCTGCACTGGATTTGTTCCCATCAGCTGAAGATCTGCCCACTGATCATATACCAAAAGACAGGATATGGAGAACTTCTTCCATTGTACCCATGGGCGGCAGGATTGAGTTTGAGCGTATGGTATGTCCGTACGTGTATTGTCACTCCAACGCGCCGCTATATCCTAATCACATCTACTGTGATCCCCCTCATCCGGAACCATATGTCCGAGTCGTGGTCAATGATGGTGTGATCCCTATACCGGACTGCGATGATGGACCGGGAAAGAGTTGTCCCTTGGAAGCCTTCAAGAGAAAAGTAATGCTGAGAGGTTGGGAAGTTGGTGATTTCAGCCGTGTGTGTGGGTTGGAAGAAGGAGCGGCTGAAAAGGTCACTTTTCTGCATCAATGAAGAGGTCATAGCAAATCAATACCTGGAAGATCCCCTTCTCACACGCTATAGGCTGCAATATTGCAGCTATAGAAATGCACAATATCTTGCAAACTTCAGGCGAGACCACGGAAACATCTTGCGAATGTTAGTTCGCAGACCTCTGTACTGAAAGCATTTACAGCTTATCAGGAATCGATCAACCGCGCAGTACATCTATTAGCATGCTGATATTCGTCATCTATGACTCCAGAAGAATGGCTTTCATATCGAGAATCCACTACAGTGGAACTTGCTCAAACGCTCTCTTTTCTCCTTTAGGTCTCACCCCGTCACGCGAAACATCCAGAAAACACGCCGACAACCACGTGGTGTAGGCGGATGAGTCAAAACGCGCCTACCTTGTCGTAGTCCCTCCTAGATTCCTCTCGTTTCGCTTTCATCGACTCTGGCCCACTTTCAGAGTCATCGACATTCATCCATCTTCGTAAAAATCTCATCTCCACCAACACCCACCTCAGCACTGCTCGCAGCGATGTACAAAGGAAAGAATCCTCGTGCTGCCACACAGGAAACAGAGATGAGCCTGCAGGCCCTCCAAGCAAACCGTGATTTATGGTACAAGATCCAAGTCCTTCTCTACGACCTCTGCAACATCGTCACCGATCGCACAGCAGAATCTCGCACGCTTGCAACAACAGACGAGTTATACATCAGTGCACCGTATCTTGCCGCCGATGAAGCCGCTCTCGTCAAACAAACACGAATCTCACCACCAACTCTGCAAGAAATATCAGAGTTTGAGCTACTTGAGGACAAGCAAGACACTATCTCGCAAGACCCTCATGTTGAAGAACCTACGCCACCAGTGCGCCTTGTCACCATCGAAGAAATATCAAAGGATGCTTGGAGAACTTTTTCGAGAAGCGGAGGGCGAGTGGGGATGCACGTCCTTGTGATCCGCATGATATGGGTCCGATATATCTTGCGGTGTTTGGAGTTTCGAAAGAAGAATTGAGGGATGAGAAGTTTCTGAGTCGTTTGAGACGGGCAGGATTGCCTCGATTAGATGAAGCGGAGACGGAAAAGAACAATGAGCATATGTCTCGGAAGGGACGGAAGAAAGATAGAGAGAAAGGAGGAAGGAAAGGGCGCAAAGGCTAGACCTTAGATATTTTTGTACATTGGATGGGTTCGACTTTTAGCGTTCTCAGAGGACACTATCCCAATTTTTGAAGTTACTTTGATCTTCTATAGCTAGTGGAAACTCAACACTATCGCTCTGAGATAGTCTTGCACCTTTCTTCGTCCGTTCAATAGTGATCCCAGCACTTGGGAGGCAAGCCCGTGGGCGTGTTCCATCCATCCATATACTCGATGACAAGATCAATATCATAGCATCCTCTCGGTACAGTCGCATTGTGAAGTCTGTATCCCAACAGAGTCACATTACTCTCATACTCCACATCGCGGTTAGGACAAGCTGTAAACTCAATCAGTGGCGAATCTCACAGGGTCAGAAAGGGAAGATGACATACCATGCCAATGCACCTTCTTGCCACCAGGAGCCTCGTACTGAATCTTCCCGCATTCATCATAGTACACACCCACAGTGCCAACCTCTTCGTTGGGTCCATCGGCGCCGTTGATCTCAGCAAAAGCCGCAGGAGTCTCCTTGCTCAGAGCACCCAACGTGAATCCCAGAGAGTGTGAGAGCACGTAATCAGCATCAGGGAAGCGGAGGTAGGAATCAGTGTTGTTGTAAATGTCGGTCGTGTATGCTCTGGCTAGTGTCCAGGCTTCGTTGTCGCTTTCACTGGGATCCACGGGGACGAGGGTGGCGTGGTAGCGAGCAGAGTACATGTGCGAGGACTTTACGTAGCCGAAAGAGCTGGTGGTGTTGATGGCATTAGTGGAGTTGACGGCATCGGTGCTATTCTTGAGGACCGAGTGGACTCTGAAGATTGCAGAGTTTGGACAGACGGTTTGGCCCAGGGCTGTGGTGGCCAGCAGTAGAATACTGCCGAGGGTGAATTGCATGGTTGTTGATGAGATGAACAGGCAGCAAGGATGGTGTGAGAAAACTTGCAAAGACACCGACAAGTCCGTTTTATAACTGGAGAACTACCTGTTAGGCGCGCTACTATTTATGGTGAGTATCAAAAGACATCACGCTGCATATTGGGGACCGTGCTTTTTGCTGAGAAGCATGACGCTTGATCTGCAGCAAGGGTGCTGTATAACTGACTCGAGCCGTAGCAACGACGTCGTTGTGGAGTATGTGAAGGAAAGAGCTTTGTTTCTTGGTCTGGTCTACCTCTAAGGAACCTCTACGTCTGTCAAGTCCAATCTGATTAACTGGTTCGTCAGGAAATGCGTGTACCAGATTGAGTCACCGAGGATATCTTTCTGTCCTTGACCTGGAGGCTGACCGACAGCGTACCCAAAGATACCACTTTCGCCATAGAAGGGAACTGTGATGCCTGGGGTGTCAAGGATGACGCTAGGCTCGACAACAACACTAACGTTGCCCGTCTTTGGGTTGAGCACGCCAAGTGTGTTTTGCAGAATGTGCGTAGCCCACACGTTGCCCTTCAAGTCTTGAGCCACCTCTACCGTTTCTGTGGGAGCATTGGGTTCGTGATACGAGGTTAAGCCTCCGGTGCGTGTGTTAATACCTGTGATGGTGGAGGAAGTCGTGCACGCAAACCATAGAGTCGTGCTGCCATCTGCGTTGACGGTCTCGGCACGCACGACCAGAGGTTGTAGCGCACTCAAGGGTAGGTCAAACTCTTCAATCTCGTGGGTATGACGGTCTAAGCGGCCAACCTTCGAGGCGCCAAACTCGAGGAACCAAACGCCATCGTCATGCTGCGAGTAGTAGATGCCAAGGGGGATTGAGAGAAGTGTAGGTACCGTCCATGACGTGAATTCGTGTGTCTCGTAGTCGAATTTGGTGACTTGGTTTCCAGTGGTCTGAGTGAAATAAATTCCGTCCGGGGCGGCAGTCACATCGTTCAAAGGCTGAAGATTTCCCAGGATACTCAGAAGCGATGGAGGTGGGGTGAAGACGACGGTCTCACCGCTATGGACATCATGACGCACAAGTTGGTTGTGAGCGCCATTGCTAAAGTACATGTATCCGTCATAGCCAGTGCGAATGGCACACGATAGAAGCTCGAACTTTGCGTGGCCAGGGAGCGGTAGGGTGAAGTTGTCCAGTCCTGGTACTGTGAACGGAATGTCGTATTCTGTAAATTCACCAGTATTTTGGTCGAATCGCGCAATCTTATTGGCAAAGAATTCTTGCACGTATACAAAGTTGTCCGGTCCGATCGAGACATCGCACGGTCCTGAGACGGCAGTAGGAAGCTGCCATGAGGTGAATGCCGAATCGGGGATATCGAGTTGCTGTTGATAGGCTTGAGCGCCCGTCACGGCGACGGCAAGAGCCAATGCAGAAAAGTGTGACCTCATTGTGAGAAGACCAAAGCAGGAAAAAACTGTCGAGTTTAGTTGCAGGCGTGCGGTCGACACCCTATAAGTATGATCAAGCAGCTAGCTGATCATCGTCGCCTCCAGCTGCGGCTCCAGTGACACTGCCATACCTATACTACTATTGACGATGTCCGTAATGCTGTTCCGGGCCAACTTTGCCTGATCTTCAAGATGTTGTGAGGATCAGGAAAGAACACAGAGGAAAGCCGGCTGATCAACCGAAGTGCCCCACGCTGGCGCCGGCAATCGCAAACTTACCATCTCATGCACCTGCAGATCTGTATATCAGATCATAGATTTGCCGTACTGGGACAACGCACTTCAAATGGTAGCATCGTCATACTTAGAGGTTGACGTGCCGAAGTTTTGCCAGAGCGCGGTCAGCTAATTGCGCCAACCGCTTGTCTTTTTACTTTCGAACTTCTGATTAAGAAGTACTTCGATTCTCACTCCTTTGCTTCTTCTCCTCTGAACCTCTTTTAGAGGACGATGCGAAGTTCCCTGGGCCTCGACTGTCCTGCACCGCATCCCTGGTACTATACTAAGAAGCGGGCTACAGTGGCGTTATGCACGCGTACAGAGTGCTGAGTATCTCTTTATGTTCATTGGCTAGCACCACGCCTATGCGTCTGCACACACATGGACTGGAGCGAATCGCAGGCGTTAGCAAAAGTCGTACATCTTTCTCGACCGGAATTCTGCACTCTGACGCACGTAAAGCTGGTCTACGTGAAGCTTTCACTTGGCTGTGCCTGGCTAATCGCACGATCATCATTTCTAAGTATGGGTCGTTCATAGACACCATGGACTCTTTTGAGGAGGCTCAATGCGTCCTCCAGGCTTGATCTACTGCATGCGCATACGTCCCCGGCGAGGCTGTAACTGCTTGGCGCGATGGACCAGACTATATAACCGCAAATCTCAAGACAGGTTGCTCAATATCCTTTCCTCATCGAAATTCACCACTTCGTTATGCCGTCCCCAGAGTATCCAATGGAGGAGGGCGAGATATTACTCACCACTTGGCACGAGCGTCGTGGTTCTTCACGCGAGGATGAAACTTACCCAAACCAACAGCTACTGCCTTTATCGGCCCACTTTGCGACAGACGGCCCGCATAGTACGACACCCGGAGCTAGACAATATACTCCAGTACCCGATGGACCATCTGGAAACGACGATATGGATACTGACGAGATTCATGATGACGGTGATGATGGCCGTAACGCCAATGTGGCAGGTACAGACCGAGAAATGCTTACGTACCGTCCTGGCCGGTACGATACACTTCCGGGAGAACGACCTGGTTTTCGTCAAGCTCGTCGTGCCTACAGACCATGGTCGCTCCGACGAGATTCTCTTCTCGGCTTTTCGGTGATTTTGTTGGGTATGATCGCAACTCTCGAGTACTTGCTCGTGTTCTCATGGAAGGACGAAAAGTTGGCCACATCGTACGAAAATGAGCGCTATCTCTGGAAATACGGTCCAACTGCTGGCGAGTATCAGACCGCCAGCGAGCAACCCGGTGAGCTGACAGATGTATCGCAGTCTTCACCATCCTAGCGGTCTACTGGGGGAACTTGGAATACCGCGTCAGAATTCTCGTCCCATGGAAACTAATGTCAGACAAGCCCCAGCCCGCGGAGCAAAGTGTGCTGCTCGACTATGTATCACCCATGCAGCCTGTTGTTCTCTTTTCGTCTGCCCGAGCGAAACACTGGCCGGTCCTCACAGCTGCTATCGGGTCCATCTTGATCACTGCATTGACCGTTATATCCACATCTCTGTTCGCGGTCGAGCCGATACTGTTCACGCAGTACGCGTCAATGGCATTATCGAGTCGCATCAATAACACTTTGTTTGATCAGAATCTCATAGACTCGTCACCGGTCCTATCAGCAATGACCCTCTTATCTGGGAATTTATCTATGGCGTATCCACTGGGTACCAACCAGCAATACGCCACCGACATGTTCGGATCTGACGAAGCAAACGGTATGTGCCATTAGCTTGCTGTGACTCGTATGTTGAGACATTCCCAGGTACACTGTCGGCCAGAACTGCAACAGTAAAGGTCGCCACCTCGAGCCTGGAATGTCTTCGCGGACATATCGTCGGCCAATCTCAGTTTGATCCGGAACATAGTTTTTTACAAGTCAACGTCTCGGACAGCTCATGTGATAGTGGTCAACTGAATGTGACCGTCGACCAAAGCAACATTACGACAAGCTTATTCCAGACTACTGTCTCATGTCCGGGTGATGTCACTCAGATGGTCCTGGGATTTGCTAGGGTCAAGATCCCGCCCTACTCTGGCACCAACCAAGGCTGGGATGAGGTGATCAATGACAACCCTCGCATCCTGAATGACTCTGCGATACTCAACTCGACAATACTCTTCTGCAAGCCAACATACAGCTTTGAGGACGCCGACGTCACTTTGGATTCCACAGGCATTATAAGTATAGCGAAGCCAAAAACGCTGTTGACTCCGACAACTCGGCCGGATCCCTTACAAACAGTCATGTCCGCACGTAAGATGATCGATGGCTTTCAGAAAGCGCTTATAGATGCAAAAGTGTCTGTCAATGGTCCCGATGCCGACTTCGGTGTACTACTGTCCGCGTTGCAAGCCATATCGCCAAGTCGAGAGATAAACCGCTATGAAGACTCTTCACATCTCGAGACCGATACGAGAGAGCTCTATAGTGCGGCTTGTGCTCAGATCGTCCACCAGTACATGAGGACGGCTGCCTCAGACAAGCTGACGGGCGCAATAGTGTCTACAAACTCACGCCTGGTGCTGAACCGGACCTCCCTCCACCTTTTGGAAGCTGGGTTGGCGTTACTGATTTTCTCTACGTTTCTCATGAGTTTGATTCGACCATCGGTCGTTGGCCTGGGTGGACTCCCTACGCTTGGGCGCTTGTCAGGCATACTGGCTAGATCTGACACCCTTGAGACTGCCTTGAAAGATTCCGGAGTCCAAAGCACCGAGGCCATGACAAAACGACTTGCTTCCGGGCTGTACACCTTCGATCATTCGACAAACCTGGCTGTACCTCAAATAAACGTTCGAGGGTTGTCCTCAGTAGCCAAGGACACGATGGTGGAAGGACAAACTGCGCCCAAATGGTGGGTACCCTTTGCACTTGGAAAATTCACGCGGTGCGCTATCACCGCTCTGCCACTTCTACTCATTGTCGCTCTTGAGATAAGCTATCACCTCTCTCAGCGACCTCAGGGCTTGGGATCTGTTCAGAAAAACTCGAGATATGAGCACTATCTCTGGACTCTTTTGCCTGGCTCAATCATGACAACTTTGAAGTTGCTGCAGCAGTCTCTAACGTTTTCGGTTGAGCTCCTGGACCCGTTCTTGGTGCTGAAGAAAGGTTCTGCTGCTGCGGAAAACACGCTACTGAGCGGTTTCCTGTCATGCAATGCACTACAAGCTTGCTTCAAAGGTTTTAGAACACGGCGCTTCGCTGTCTTCAGCATTGCCTTTAGTACTCTTCTGACTCCATTTCTCACCATTGTGATCAGCGGCCTGTTCATGACTCTTCCTATTGAGACTCTTGAGCCAATCAACGTGGCGCAATTAGACCATCTCTTGTCTCCGAGTGAGACAAATGTGTCTTCCTGCGCGGCTCAGTGGTCCCCTGATCGATTGATCGCCGCTAACCTTCTCATCAAAGAATTGATCCCGTACCCGAGCGATACTCGTGGCAACTTACTTTTTCCGTCTTTGGGTTTACCTACCAATGAATCTACCAGCCTGCGCAATGCGTCCACTCTGATGGCAAACGTCACAGCGCTGCGGCCGAACTTTATCTGTAAGCCTCTTGAACCTTCAGGATTTCAATTCCATATAGGCACACATGTCCTGAACGGATTGGACTGGGTAGCTCGCAACTATACAACCATCACTTATACTCACGAGAAGTTTAGAGGCTGTTCTTGCAACTCTGGGTTTCCCAGCCTATCGAAAAACTTCACCATGTATAATGAACCTGGCGGACAGCCATTTGCTATTTACGAGTACAACCCAGCTTGGAGCTGTAAAGACTACAATTTTTGGTCAGGCCCAGCTCTATTGATGCAGGCTGATAACCACACGACGGCCACCTGTCCGGATATCACACTTGTGCACACGAACACCACGGCGCAACCGCCGACGATGATTGGAGTCGCTTGCCAGTATCATATTGAGGAGTTGCCTGTGGGTCTGGCATACAACCTTGCACAAGATGTACCAAGCGATGTACAACCAATTGGAGAAGCGAAGACATTGGAAGGGTTCGATAAGCTATGCTTCAGGTCCGCAACAAACTTTGGCCAAAAACTTCACCTCAACAGTCTGACTGGTTACACCTACGATAGTCTGATGCTAGCTGCGCTGAATGGAAGTGACCCTAAGACCATGCTCACTTCTGAGAAGCTACCCACACTGGTGGAAAACGTGGCTCAAATCTGCAACACATTCACGACTCAATACTTCAGCGGTAATCTACGAAGTAAATTCGCCGTAGGCCCGATGATCAATGCTACGCTTTCAGACCCCTTCGCTCGAGAGATTGTTTCTCAGGACCGCACGTCGACCACGGTTCTCGAGGTCGTACTCGGGATGATATTCATCTGCACGGTCATATCGCTCTGGCTCTTTGAATCCGATCAATTAGTCCCGAGCGACCCATGCAGTATAGCCGCCCAGACAAGTCTGCTCGCCGGCGCTGACTTCTTGCGTCTCATAGATTCTGGGTCAGAATCGCTTAGCAACACCAAGATGGCGCAGACTACACCTTTCAAAGATCACCTGTTCAGCATGGGCTGGTGGACGCGAGAAGATGGAACTAGAAGGTTTGGCATCGATATCGGACAGGCAGAGCTTGAAGAGCAAGAGAACAGCGAACAGATGGTGGGCGTAGCAGCAGATGTTGAACGAGGGACATCTGGCGAAAGTAGAATGAGTCAGGAACAGCAACAGGGTCGGGATCCTCAAACAGGAGTAGAGACTGATACTGTGACTGAATAGCCGATTCTGTCTTTTTGTTTCTTCTAACGAGGATCGGCAGCCGCTTGTCTGCAGCAATTCGCTTGGCAAGAGCGACTTGCACGGCGTTCGGGCCAGAGCTACGTTCAATACGCGTTCACTTGGTTCACCTCCTGGAGACGATGACGAGATGTTTCAAGATGACAATGTTGATGATAACGGTGGTGATAGCTACGAGAACAACAGACATAGACTGGAGAAGGTTTCCGTGCTGTCCAAACTGCTTTGGTGCGTCTCCGAACATCGGTTGTGCTCCTGTGCCAACGTCCTTCCACTTGCTTCCTCTGGATCAGATCCCGGAGATGTGTTTCTGATCCTATCAACGCGAGAACTTGTTTGGCTAGTCCCCTAGCAATATTGTTCAGTTTATCCTCCAACACCACCATCAGTGAGATAGCCACAGTTCGAATTCGAGACTATGTATGAATCACCGGTGCCCTGACCGCTAGGCTCATAGTAGAAGGAGCCAGCATTCTGCTGAACATTCGTGCAAGTAGCGCCTGTAATCTGGAGACACAAATTTCCGTCGGTTAGGAATGCTGTGCCGGAACAAGTATCACTGTTGAGGCATGAGACGCAGCAATCGTAGGCAGTGGTTGCCGAGGGGTCAGTTGAATAACCACCGGCCGCGGCAGATTCATTATCGATGATGTCCCCATTGTAAGATGGTCCCAGAAGGTTGTTCGTGGCGCAGGCGTCGTACCCTGCTAGAGTACTCGTGACGGTGAGTGTAGTTGTCGTCGTTGTGGTTGTAGTTGCCTGGAATGTCGCCGTAGTCGTAGTTGAGACTGTGGTTGAGAAGCTCGATGTTGTAGAGACTTCTGGTGGTACAACAGTTGAAGTGGAGGTCGACACCGTATAAGATGTTACTGTAACCGTGGACGATGGTAGAGTCTTTGTGGAGGTCTTGGTGGTGAGGACGAGTGTAATTTTGCTTCGGACTTGAACATAATCGACGCCTACATATGCTTGTGTTAGAATTCGGGGATGTATACAAGTCAAATGGCTTATAAGAAGGGCTACCAAGCCATGTAGAACAAGTTCAGGAAGTATAGTAGCAAAATTCAACTTACATGATACAGCTACAGGGTATAACTTTCCAGCGCAGCGTTGACCATTATACTGTTGTTGTCGGGTAGACGTGATTGGCCTACGACCTACCCGAGGCGGCATCTTGGAGAACTCTCGTCCTGCCGTCAACTCTGCTTTTTCCATCAACTACTGCAGCTCGCCACACTCAATTGGCGAATTCACTCTGAGATAGAACCGCTAACGACCAAATGGGTTACCCCTCTATGGCCGCATGGACGCATCCAATGGTCTTCTCTGCACATCTGGCGTAGCGCATTGTCTAGCACTTGATGGCTTGATGGCTGACAAGCTTCTTCTAGCTGGCCTTGTGTCTGGAGAAGCATTCTGCGGTCCACTGTTATCCCCACTCGGTACCTCCGAGGGATTAGAGCGTAGGTGGACGCTAGAACGAGACGAGGAGAAGGCATGCCCGGGCTGGGCCTCACGGTTAGCCTCGTGGCCTGATTTTTGTTGTTTGCGTAGAAGTCAGAGCGACTTTCCTCCCAGATGTTCGGACAGATCCTCTGGGCCAGTTGACCATACAAAGAGTGTGGATCGAGGAAGGACTCGTGGTTGGAGTAAGAATGTTGGTGTTGACGAAGCTTTCGCAGGAGTGGGGTGCCGACGGAGAGCCCAGAGCTTGTTTGCATCCATATAAACAAGACTGCACATCAAACACATACGGCCACAGTCAGCTGGATACTGGGCACTCCGTCCGAATTGAACAGTATCAATCATTGTCTATAGATCTGGAATAAAGCAATTATGATTGGACTACAGTATACAGCTCCCCCGCCAAGAACCACGGGCGTCGCTCTTCGCGTGTCTCTTTTGTCGCACCGACTTACAATGCCGCGATCATTGAATTCTGCTGGCAAAATGACCAGAATCTTTTCGACCTACACGTGAGATCAGCTGGTCTGTCGATTAAGTTCCCAGTGTCTCGAAATGCTCCGGACTTCCCAAAGCCCTTTGGTTATGGAGTCCTCCACGGTCGAGTGGCGACGAACGACGGCTTGACAGGCACAGATCAAATCTTCTTAAACAGAACATATCCAGCTTCCTGATATGGCAATATCAGCACTGCGCTGACAAGGCCAATAGCTCTGACGATAGGCGTCTTCGCCCAACTACTTCCAAGCATCTGAGCCTATCTACTACCAGGCGGTGCAAGCACCCTGGTTGCTCTTGCTGATAAGCTTGCCTTATATCCGTCTACCGATAACCAAGCTGCAGCCACCATTGGTCTTGGACTCTCTTCTTGATACCAAGGCCCCACCCATAAGCTTTCCAAGCATGCTCCCAAGTCGTGAGGCTGGCCAGTATGGCGTTGCTTGCATGCCGGACCTACTATCGTCCTGCATATCTTCAAGAGATGGGTGCCGCTGGATGTCTTTACAGCCAGGATCGGCACTCGAGATAGGGAGACGCAGGAAGCGACTCTCAACCTTTGCTAGAAGCGGAAGCTGGAGCGCGAGCAGAGCAGCGATTTATGTATATATGAGCGTCTACCAGCTTACGCCACGATGTTATCGATCTGAACATCACGCTACGTTACCATGGGTGGTCCTTCGTCCATCACCGCGGTCGATACTGTCAACGAGAAGTCTCCTGAAGTGCAAGAAACGTCGACTGGCACGACCCCTCCTGCCATCGAGAAGAGAGCCAGCATCGTCTCCGATGGTGACGATGCGCTCAAGGTCGCTGGCACAGATGCTCATCATTTTGACGAGAAGTACTATGCAAGACTGAGACGCAAGATCGTAAGGCATCCCAATGCCTTTCCTGGCCGAGCCGATGGATCTCAAGCTGACCATGATCGTTAAAGGACTGGCACGTGATGCCGATTCTTGTTTTTGTGTACTTTACACAGTTCTTGGACAAGAACATTCTGGGATATGCTGCTATCATGGACTTCCCCATTACAGGGATCCATTACAATGATGTGGCTCAGGCTTTCTACATGGGTTGCACCTCCCTCTCCTCCCCTCCTCTCCAGCAGCTTTCACTGACATGCCCAGGCTTCCTCATCTGGATGTTTCCCACGCAATATATCGGCCAAAAGTTCCCTCTCGGCAAATATCTCGGCACCCATATCATTGCCTGGGGCTGCCTCGTCATGCTGCACGCCGTCTGCGGCAATTTCCCTGGCTTCTACGTTTTGCGCTTCTTCCTAGGCATGCTCGAAGCTTGCGTCAGCCCGACGCTGATTCTCGTGGTTAGCATGTGGTACAAGCAGAACGAGCGCGCGACTCGCATCGGTTGGTTCTACGCCGGTAACCTCTCGACGTCCCTTGTTGGAGGGGGTATTGCATACGGTGTCACATTCTTCGAAGGTGCTATCGCGCCTTGGAAGCTGCTTTACATTATCCTGGGCGGGTTGGCGGTGTTCAATGGTATCATTGTACTCCTCTTCTTGCCAGACTCGCCGATGCAAGCGCACTTTCTCACTGCCGAGGAGAAGATTGCAGCTCTAGAGCGAGTGCGTCTTGACCAGGCCGGTGTGCACAACAAGCACATTAAGCGTTACCAGATTATTGAGACATTCAAGGATATCCGGACTTGGATCATGGTAAGACCCGCTACCTAGTCTCAAAAGGAGTTCACTGTTGTTCACTCGATCGTCGACTAACAACATCCAGTTCCTCATCATCATGTGCACCGGCGTCCCTAACGGCGGCAACAGCGCCTTCAACAACATCATCACCAAGTCCTTCGGCTGGACATCCCGCGAATCGCTCCTTCTCGGCATGTCGCGAACAGCAATCGGCGGCTTCGCCGTCGTAGCAGGCGGCTGGCTCTCCGACCGCCTGAAAGACCGAATGACGCTCGTCCTCCTTTTCTCCATCCCAACTCTCATCGGCATGATCATCATGACAACCATGCAGTACTCTGGCCAGCGCGGCGTGCTGCAATTCGCACAGCTCTTCCAAGACCTCTCTGCCCCTGGCTTTCCCCTCTGTTACGCGTGGAATGCCTCCAATGCTGGTGGACACACCAAGAAGAACACAGTCAACGCCTTCACGCTTTTCACGTTCGGGTTGGGTAGTGTGGTCGGCACATACATTTTCCTGCCGAAAGACGCGCCGGGGTATATTCCTGGCAAAGCGGCGATTGTGGTTCTGACGGTTGTGCAGATGGCTTGTTGTGTGATTATGGCGTGGATCAACATGCGCTGGAACAAGCAGAAGAAGGCGAAGCTGCAGAAGATGATCGAGGAGAAGGGGTGGACGGAGGAGGATGTGCAGAGGGAGAGGGAGAAGGCTGCGTTTGCGGATTTGACGGACAGGGAGAATGTTTTCTTCACTTATACTAGGTAACGAATGATTGCGGGAATGGGCGAAGAAAGGATGATGGGAGACTGTTGTTCTCCGTGGTGGCGTATCATAGATCAAATATCTGAGATGGGGTTGCCTCTCATGATAGCATCATCAACTTTCAACAAGTGTGTCGCCTGCAGCCTCTTGCACATCTCATTGCTAGACGCAGCTGACCTGTGTGACTAGTCTAGTCCAACGCTCTTCAAATGGCAAGAGGACGCTTCCGACAGCAAGAGTGACCGTGGAGAAGTATTGATAAACAATAAGATAAAAACAGACGAGGTGGGCTGCCACATCCCGCCACAGATTGCAAAGACCTTCTATCATAGAATGCTCAAGCAGCGGCGTACGTACATCAGACGAATTGATGTCGTTTGATATAGTCACTACGCTGATACGGGGGCAGGTAACGAGAGATACACAAAGCGAAGGTTGAAGATCGTGTTGGCACCAGGACGAAGACCTAAGATTTGAATGCGATATCGCTCTACGGACATGGATCATATGCTTGAATACCCACAACGATATGCTCACGGCTGAGCTGAGCTTGTAAACATAAAGGATGCCTTTGCGGTGAACCTGTTTCCTTGCATCCGCGTAAAGCATCGAGAATGCCTTCCTTGGCCCTTCCAAAGCTTCCTCTCGCCCTGTTCGGCGTTGTAGAGCCTGTGCTGCTTTGCGCAATCACAAACTTTCCACAAGCTTGCTTGCGATGTACTCAAAATCAACCACAAACAAATTCACTGAAGCTGGGATGACGCCAACAAAGAACCTACGCCGCATGGGGCGACTTGTCGCTGTACACCAATGCAGAGTCGTGTCTTGTGTATGCTGCTGCGATCCGCTGGGCGAGCTTTAAGGAATATGTGTACGGCACGACAATCGAGCACATATAATGCGGGTTGGGGAGTCTTGACGCTGAGCTCGTACAATATGTTCTAGCAGAGTCGCGTGCTGCGGGCATTCAGACGATGATGTTGGGAAGTCTTCTGACGAATGAGACAGATCCGTTGTTTAGTTGGCATGCCAGCCTGTTGCGCCGTGTCCGAATAGGTGTGTGCAATGAGGGTGGGGACGACTTGCAGCAATGTCACTACTGCTGGGTAGAGGGCGCTTGGTGCGACAAGTGTAGACGGACCCTCCAAGCACAATCATGGCTCTCTTATGTGCCAAGTCTCGAGTAACACCTTAGGCGGACGCGGCTCTCTTGTTGGCAAGGCCTCCAAGCTTTTCGGCGGCAGCAGACAAGCTGCGAGGATCTGCACCTTGTATCATGGCTTGGCCGTTGACCGCGACCTGTTTGCCCTCCTTGAAGAACATGAATGTTGGCATGGCCGAAACACGATAACGGGCAGCGGCATCTCGCGCATGGTCGACATTGACTTTTGCGAATGCGAGAACTCCTGGAATGCTGTGCTGTTTGGCAAGGGTCGCGTAGCTGGGTGCATTTGCCTTGCATGGACCGCACCAGTCGGCATAGAAGTCGACGACGACGTATGTGTTATTGGACATGACTGTGTCTAGCTCTGCGGCCGAGGCGATGTGTTTGAGCTTGTCCGCCATGCTGATGTCTGGTCGAGAGTGTAGAGGCGTCAGAGAGGAGCCAAAATCGGCGTATAATATCAATTGCACAATGCAGAGTCCAAAGGGGAGCGAGGAGCGTAAATGGCGTGGGCTATTATAAGTAAGGGTCGGCGAGGTTCCCTTTAATGCTGGAGAGATGGAATATCGGATCTTGACGATGAGCTTCTGCATCCAGCCCCTCAGCGTATGACTAATCCATGTGCCCGCTCGCCAAACCACCAACTCTCTTGAAGAAAAAAATGACCTTGAATGATGCACTGGGCCCGACACGCGGTGACCATCCCAAACGGCGGGGAGCGCAGCGCGACAGTCTATGGACCACAACAGATTGTCGTGATCGTTTTGCTTTAGACTAACAAATGTGAAGCAGGCTCAGGTTTCTACGCTGCGGTGATTGGACAACTTTGCTCGCTGCTAAGTCATGCACAAAAAGTCTACATAAGCATTTGAACGGCGACCATGAGCACATACGGCCACAGTCAGCTGAAAACTGGGCATCCCGTCCGCTCTGCCATACATAAGCAGTTGAACGGCAGATTAGTACTACGGTGGGTGACCACGTGGGAATCCCTGCTGCTGTATGTTTTGCATAGTGTCGTCATGTCCTTCCTCTCTTTTGTCCATCACTTTGTCCAAGTTGTGGTATGAAATGCTTGTCGTTGCCTCTGTCCTAGTTCAATATTGCATCGGATTGGTATCCATTGAGGAGCACACCGGTTTTCCTCCTGGAGTATCCGACCTATCGCCGAGAGCATCAATTGTTTCTCCCTGTCGCTAACCATTTCTACACGTTGTTGCCTGGTCATTGGTCGTTACTTCTGCGTTTGTGGTTTTGGACGATCTCTCTCTCTTCCCATTCTAGACCTTGGCTCCAGGCCCGATGAAGAATTGATCTCGCAGAGCATTCCCGCAGGCTTGTGTTCTTCATGAAGGTATTTCCATGGTAAGAAGTTAAAACGATCGTGGCAGTGCATTGAACAAATTTGGAGAATGGTGTGTAGAGCAGCCATACCGTTTCCAGATACCATACGAACGATCGCTCGATTCACCTGAACCCTTGACTAACGAGACGAGCAAATGGAAGCCCAGGCAGAATTTTTGGCCTTAATCCTGGATAGCACAATGATGCTTTCGGGACATAGGTGTCAAGGCAAACCATAAGTGGACAATATGCCAATCTGTTTGATCCTACCCAAGATACGTGCGACCCAGGAAAAGAACTTGCGCACGTCATGGGCATGTAAGTAAAAGTAGGTACAGACAATCCTACACAAGAACGTGAGACAAAACGTGCCAAACCAAATAGATAGAAGGGAACGGAACAAGGGTACATTGGACATATGGTTCTACTGTATTATATCCTTCTACTTGTATATTATTCCCTATATCATATAGCATATTACCACTCGCTTGTCAGAGAGCTCTCTTTCGTCATCTTCAATATCTCCAGTTCACTACTATCTTATCGACAAGCGAACAAACCCGTTTTCATGGCCGCGAGACATTCAGATAGACAACCGTTGGAACGAGAATTTGTTCCGATCCCGCTCAAAACGGCTCACTATACCATGATTCATGATTCCTCAAAACCTTGTTCTGCATGTTACTGACACGGAACAAACAGTCTTTAGATGCTCATGAACATATGCGAGTCATTTTAGCCACACGGCTGTTCCCCTACCACGCCGTCACCACGTTTTGAGGCGCTAGGAGGTTTCGATGGTAGGCACCGCGCCTGGTGGGTCGTTTTTCTCGACTTGTATGGAGAAGAGTCGTTGGTTTGGGTATGCTGTTGCTGTGTACTAGACAGCATGACTAGCCAGATATGGTGTCCACACGCGCAATCTTGACAAAGCATAATGTTGTCAACAGGTATACGGCACAGGGCACGCCTTGAAGAACAATCAGGAGATGAACGAGTTCCCTTGCAGAGGACTGATCCACTTGTTCTTCCCTTTACGCGCATTCTGCATCTCAACATACAGAGCTGGGTTGATGCCTTTCTTTTTGAGCTTGTGTATCTTCTCCACACTAAGGCCCGAGGTGTCGACTTCGCTGCTCGTCCATTCGTTGCTGGATTCGCTACCACGATCACTCATGGTCTCGCCTTGCCAGGGATTGACGTGTTGCGACATTTGGTCTATAGATGTACGTTTCATGATACGAGGCATGCGTGCAGGAATGGTGGGCGCTCTGCTAGAAGCACTGCTGCCAGTTCCTGTAGATCCCCTGCTCGAGGCTGGCGAAAGGGCATTCTGTGAACTTGCGTTTGAGCCTTGTCGCGAGGGCTCTTGCGGCACCGTCGGCATCGACGTATGTTGCTTCTCTTTGCCCTTAGACCGAGATGTCACCAGTTTCAGGGGATTCGTAAGAGGTGCTGACCAGCGCTGTTGACGCTGAGCTTCTTTTCCAGCCAAAATATTCTTGCGTGGGTTCCAGCCTAGTTGACCGTTGAGAGCAAAGTCAGACACTGAACTACTCTCACTGTCTGCTAAGCTGTATCTCCGGTCGCTGTCTGTTCCCGAATTCCTTTTACTCTGCTCTTGGGAAGCTGCGATACGTGTTGAGTTTGATCGCTGACTCGAAGCATAGTCGACATATGGCTTGTAGATCAGCAACTTTGGCGCAGAAGATTCTGCTGCAGGTTGTTGGCGTGCAACACTCTTTGGCGGGATACTAGGTGATGGATCCACAACACTGTCTACCCTAGAATTCTTCGTCTGGTATGAGGACTTGGTCCCTTTCGAGCTCTCGGTGTCCCTATGTAGCAAGTGGTGTCTCTGTGTGGCTACAGGAGGCGGCGCAGCTTCATCAAAGCTGCTTGCCATGGAGCTCGTGGTGTTCGTACGCGCAAGCGGATGAGTGCTGTGCCCGAAGGATAAAGGTGTAGCATCATTGACATCCTCCCTGACAGAGGTCGGCAAGGCCTGTGAGTCTTTTCGAAACTGTTCCTTGGGAGATTTTGTACCTGGGGGCGTGGGAAAGTCTTCGTAGATGCTATCACCTCTCGACATGTTCAAGGTACTGAACTCATGATTGAAGGCTCCAGATCTGAGGGCACCCCGTATTGCGGGCGGTGCGGCCTCATCGATGCTGTCTCCATCGATACTATCCCTCGGCAATTGCATGTCTCTCAGATCTGCATATGTTCTGATTGGAGGTGGTAACGCGTCGTCGATACTCGCCCCTCCTATGCTTGCTCCATCTAGACTGTGCCGTGGAGTATCCTCCTGTGTATATGTGATGAATGATGGTGCAGGTGTCCTGTCACCGTCATTACTCTCTTCCTCATTGTCATTGTCTTGTTCGTGATGCGAAGCAGGACGAGCCTGGACTGGCTCAGAGAGTGTCGGACGATTGTTCGGGTCGTATTCGGGGATAGGACCAGCCTGACTGCCAAAGTTGTACGAAGTCGACTCTACAGGACGTGGTCGCGAAAAATTTGGGCGCGAAAAGTTGAGAGGAGAAGGCTTCAGCGACGGATTCGAAGAGATGGCAGAGAAGGCAGAGAAAGGCGTTGGCAGGAGATCATGCGAGTATGGTGCTGGCATCAAACTAGCAGATGGGCCTCTCGAATCTCCATGGTCATTCTCGCTGACAGACTCATGGTCAGATAACTCGGCTGGTAAGAATTCAGCTGGCAGCTCGGCCACTGGTGGGAGGTCTCCTGGCAGTTCGTAGACTTGATTCATCTGCGACATGACGGGGTTGAGTGGGCAAAGTTAGCGTTCGACATGACTGTCAAAGAGTCGACAGGAATATTTCTTCTTCCCGACTCCATCATAGGGCTCGCTGTGCTCGCTCATGGGCGTGCATACATGGACTCGAACCCATGTCCGAAGGTGATGTCGTCATAATTGCAATCATCACCATGCCCGGGCAGTAGGAGCAGGCCGAGCCGCACATGTAGGTACTCGGTGCGGCCATGGATAATTTACCAGGCTCCGTGCGCTAAATGCTTGTGAGGTCACCCTGGTACCAGTTTTCGGGACGCATACAAAGCTGTGTTAACTTCGCACGCGTAATACAATGCTTAGAGTGGACTTTATCCTCTTAGAAAAGATACCCAGTATATCTATAGTATATGTTCTTTATTTGAGCAGTCGATTTAAAGGATTAGAACAATTATGCGTGGTGCTACATTGGTTCAAAGTTGATCGGTATAAAGCAAAGTTGCCAGCTTCAGTGCCACTAAAAATCTGGTGTGGAGCCTGGTAAATTATCCATGGCCATGGGGAGTAGTCTATCGATCCTTGGTGCTGGTCACCTCATGTCGCGAGACACACAGGTCTAGTGCATCTGCTCGGACTGCGTCCTGCTGTGCTACTCGAGTACTTGTACCACTCGGCCTGCCGCGACACCTGGCGCTTTTGGCGCCCGCCCGTACTTGCGTCACTCAGCTAGCCGCTTCAGGCTTGTGGCAGCATCTACGGCATTCTAGACATCACTCACACTCACACTGCACTGTACATTGGAACCATGCATCAAGAAGGAGTTGAAAATATTGTTACAGTTCTTGGGCTGCCTCGTGAGGTCGAGCTCGCGTGTCGCAAGTAAATAAGTCAGAAACAGCCATCGGCTATAGTCTTCGTACAAGACCCACCACCCGGCGGTCTAGAAGCCAGCTTTTGCTGGTCGTGATTCGTCGATGAGGATCACAAAACCCATTTTGCTAAAAGAAATACCAAGAGTCCCATCGTATGAGCATTCGTGCTCCATAGTCTCGAAAAAAATTCCCCGGCGCCTAACCATGATTGTAAAGATTTTGATGCACTCGCTGCGTGACGTGAAACATGACGGTCATCAGGATGGACTCTAGTTCGTAAGAGAAGTCCTCCTAATTGACCTCAAGTGGTGTGGAGGTCGAAGCCTGGCTGGCTTCTCTTTCGTGATGGCTTCCAACCGCTCAGGCGGCCCAGTTTTTTCCAAGTACCGCTGTCTCTGTGCGTTCTAGGACTTCCACTGATATCGCTCATTGGCGGTGTAACCGGGGGGGTCATTGGGCAGTCGTTTATCGGCGATCCACTGCTACCAGAATCGTCGGTAAGCCCGGGTCCGGAGTAGATAGCATCAGATGCACTACTTGTGGTGCTGAGAGCGGCCGATATGGAGTGAGATGGGGCTGAGCTGGTAGGACTGAGCTTGGTAGAGAAACGATGACGGGAGAGAGCGGTGGTGAGAGCCGAAGGTGCGGACTTGCGGTTGTTCAAGGAAGGGGGTGAGTAAGAAGAAGCAGAGAACTCGACGGAGCTGGCGCTGAGAGGAGGGGGGCTACCTCTCGAAGAGTGGCGGCTACGGCGGCCGAAGCGAGATGACTTCTCTTCGACAGGCGTTGACATGCTCTCGTTCGAGTTGTTAGAGTAGTAGGGGCTGACAGGCGTGGGTGATTGGGGATACACGCTGTTCAGGAAAGGTACCAAAACCGACTCCTCCATCAACTCGTAAGTCTTGGAGACGGCGGGCTCAAGTACTGAAGGTTCCGGGGGAAGAGTGTTTGAGGGCTTGTGTCCAAGGATGGGATCGCGCACTTGTGAGGGGAGATTGACCTCACGCGAACCGTTGGGCTGGATGTAAGCTTCCATCAAACGAGTCCATAGTTCCTTGACATAGTTTGCATCGTGTTCCGTTGGTTGGCCGGGGACGGGAGCCTTGTTCATCATTCTGTGAAAGTGCTTCTTGTATCTGCCTGCATCCATGGTGAATTCCAGTGTTTCCAGGCAGTGGTTGTTGGAGAGATATGCCATGAAGGCGGCCAAGGTCCAAGGTGCAGGTGCTGTGTTTGCGAGGATCTCACGAAGGTTCGGTCTCCGTGGGCAGAAGGGTGCGGATTCTGTTGACATTGGCCGCGTCGACGATGTTGCCGAGGCGGGCGCGGATGCTGGCAGGTGGACACTGATAGGGCGGTGTTGTTGTGGTGCTTCTTCGGCAGACATTGTGGCTTCGTCGTCGGCGTCGCAATCGGCGGTAGATGAGTAGACGGCAATCTTTGCAGAATGGGCAGAATCGGTTTGAAAGTGCGAGGGTTTGCGCGAGCTCATAACGCTGCCCCAAAAGCCGTTGCTGCTCTTGCGACGTGCTCCGGCAGCGGGGTTGCTGTGGGCTGAATCTGTGGTCAGGGAGCCAATAGAGGCACGCTGGTGCTCAAATATAGGCGCCAGCTTGGAAATTGGAGTGGAAGAGTCAATCTTCCACGAGTGTCTGGCTTGTCTTGTGCTGCGGTGAGTCAGGGCCGACACATGAACCAGAAGCAAGGTGTTGTCGTGGTTTCGATCGTGTCTGACGTCGAATGTCGGTGGTTACGCCTATGCACGTCGTGTCGCACAGTGGCCTAGAATCCGACAGGGGAAGTTCCTCGGTGACGGGCAGCTGCAGGAGTATTACTGGAGCGCGGGCGGCAATAGACACAATTGGTAAAATATGGCGTAGAAATGCAAGAGGATTCGTCGGTCGGGTGTGTGAAGAGGATTGAAGATCGAGTCCGGGGAAAGAAAGAGCGACGGGGTCGAGTCGGTCTTGGTTGTAAAGTATTGGAAAGAGCGAGTGGCCTGCTTTGAGTCGACTGGAGTTGCAGTGGTCGTTTGGTGCGTGATCGACGAGCCGCGGGCGGGGTTTTGCAGCGAGTGGGCAAGAGTGGAATCGAAAAAAGAGGGAGGACGAGACGAGACCGGATGGGTGTGTGAGGTGATGTGGTGCGCTCTGGCAAAACGAGGGCGCGGCACGACGGTACTCCCTCAGCACCTTCGAATGTGATTCCACGCTAAATTTTAGCGGATTCCACACTATGCTCGATCCGGTATCGTGCAACGCGCCGTTATGCACGGGCGGATAGGCTCATTGGCTGCTGTTTCCATCCTAGCTGGCGCTTCTTTTGTGTGCATTGGAGCAGCGATGCATTCCTTTGTCCGCCATGCTGCACTCCTCTGCACTCATGTCTAGTCTTCTTTGATCCCCGAACGCCCGTCGAATCTTCTGTTTGTTTGACCACGCCCAAAGAATGAGACACCCAGACGCCTAATCACCGATGGCTTGCTTTCACCATCCGCGCCTAGTTGCCCGTCACACCGCCAGCGGCACTCGTAAACAGAGTTGGAATCCATGACTGTCAATCTGCACAGTCTTTGAACCTTGTTATCGTTCTGTCCGGCGATCTCCTTCTTCTTCGGTGCCCGTTCTCTCAGACGTACGGCTGAGCCTCCTCGCTGCTCCTCTGTACGTCCGTAACACGCAGCATCCCGTCCTCTAAAATCTGTCGACGTTTGGAACGCTGTGAAAGCTCGAGCACCTTCAAGACCCTTTCCCGTTGTGCTGAACGAGAGAAGGGGGCATGTATCATGTCGATCAGCTCACCTCCTGCCAGCGTCCGTTGTGCCTCCACTGTGTACGAGTCGATCTTGTGCGTGCTCGTGTTTGGCAGCAGCTTCTCTGGCTGCAAGCCCCGCGTACCATTGGTCGAGCTGCTCGAAGCACAGCCAAGTTTCGAAGCATTCTTCTAGAAAAGCACAAAGAGCCGAAGCTCAGGTTCGGTTTGCGTGCCACACGGATAGCCATCTCCGTCATCACTCCCGACCGGCGTTACTGTCGGCCCCCAGCAGTTGGCATTTTTTGCTCATGCCTCTCACCAGCAATTAATTATCCTCTTGTTGACTCTGGCTTCTCGGTCAACGCAGGAACCACTGTTTGCGTTTGGACTTGGTTGCATGTTTGCTAGCTACTGCCAACCAATTCTGCTTCTCCGGAGCCCGGCTGACTGGATCTCAGCGTGGCGACCAGTTACAGAAACAGTATTATTACAACCAACGGCTGCGGAAGATGGCGACAACCTGTCTCACTTGATGTCTAACTTCTTATCTCGGTGTGTATGTGTCCTTTTTCCCCTCTTCTCTATGCGGCAAAACCTCTACATCACTGCTGCTGTCATTACGTCCGTAGGTTGCTGACACATTTTACTGTTCGCATCGGGCCCGGGGGTCGGCGGACAGCAACGCATCTTTCGTGCTGCGCCGTTGGCCTTGTCATTCTCCCTTATTTCAGATTATGCAATTTACTCCTGGTCATTTTCAAAGCCAGCACGATGGGTTTTGACAGGCGCCGGGGCGAACTTAGAGGTCTAATACCTTGGTACATCAGAGTCAGAGGTTTGATGGAGGCTTGCAGAGGTTCCATTGCAAGGAGTCAAGGACGTCAAACGCTTGCCTCTAAGTTTGACTTTTCTACTCCCAAACCTCGGAGTATGACTCCCTACGAGCTTCTGCAGATCCGACATCCGCTCCCTCCATGCGCGCGCAGTGCTTGCTCTCGTGCCCTTCGACCAGCTATGACGATCTAACTGGCGTGATTGGTTCGGCACACGTCTCGCACTGACTCGTCACCCGACACGCAAATCCCTCAAGACAACCACTGATCCGTGGTTCCTATCACTTGAAGAACGTGCTTCTTCACACAGACAAGCTTCTCGTATCTTAGTATTCCTCGATCGCCGATGGTGACTACTATCAAGGATTCGCTCGGGGCACGCAGAGAGGACCTTTCCAAAGATCCCTACTCGTGCTTGCGTCTCACCTTTGAATGCTGACTCTCGAGCCCGAAGTTGTCTCCAGCGCTGCCGTTCCCAAATCCCAGCCTGCTTCAGCAAGCCTTGCTTGGACCTTTTCCCAGTCCGTCCTGACAGCCACAAGCGTGCGTCTAACTGCATCCATGGAATCCCTCTCACCTTCGAAACCCTGTTCGATGTGCCGCACGAGAAGCAGGGCATGATACCAGGCCTTCAACTGAACTGCAGTGTCGCTACCCTTCTTCAACAGGATGCAGGCCACGTCTGACGGATGTTCCATGTAGACGATGTAGCTCTCCATTTCAAACAGATCCAACAGCTGCAGTAGCCGCCCGTCCGGGAGGTTAGTTGCTTTAGTCAGCCTGTCGGTCTTTCCCAAACGCTTCAACAGTTCAGAAGCGGGGACTCCTATCTTGCAGTAGCCCAAGCACTTGTCGTTTGCATTGCGCAAAATCCCATCATGCTCGAAGATTCGCTCCTTGGCCGAAACTTGCTTAGGGTCCAAGACGCGATCGTGCTCGTGCAGATATGCAAAGACGATGTTGGCGCGTTGGCGGTTCAGGGTACGCATGCAGACCGATCTGACCGCCATATAGTTTGTCGCAAGGTGCAATGTCAACAGCAGCAGCAATGTAGTCCACGTTGCCAATGGCGTGTGGACCACCTTCACAACCACACAGCCTAGCAACATTCCAACCAGTGAAATTACAGTTTCTTGACTTGAATCTTTCTGGAAAGAAGGTGGTAGTACCAAGATTAGCATTCCGCTCGTAGAAAGGAGACAGATTAAGTTCTTTGTCGTTTCAAAGAATTTAGTATCCTCGGTGGCTGAAACTTACAGCATTGAGCTCTCCCAGATTTCCCCATCGAGCAAAGTGAGCACTGAGACTTGCTTTGGAACTTCCAGCAGCAACACCGCACAACGATCTCAAGACGCTGCCGGCCGCCAGTATCAGGACTCGTAACGGTTTCGGAAAAGCTGGTGATAAGCAGTCCAGAATCATGGCAGCATCATTGAGTATGTCAGCCTACGCACGAGAGCAAGAGTGATTAGTCATGCTGCGAAAAGGTATACGAAGCGCCAACACGGAAGGCAGCCACGTGAAAGAGGTCTCAGAGCACATGCATACCAACAGCCGGTAAAGTTTACATTCTGGCTCCAGCGAGGTTCCTAGCCGCGAAGCAAAGATTATCGTCGCGATTCTGCCCATAGTTTCTTGCAGTATGGAGAGTAAGAGCGCACTGGTAGCGGATGCTGAAGCATCGCCCACGCCAACGCCTGATATACCGATTCAAACAATTAGTCTACGTCGACGTTGCGGTCGTTGATGTGTTCGTTGCCAAATAAAAATTGTGTAGCGAGTAAAATGACGTCCGCGGAGGCTCTGGCATGCGACGGAGCGAGGTTCCGCTGGTGACAAAGACAAAATAACGACTGACCTTCGAGCACAGCCCTGGAAGCAAGGAGACCAGCTATCGAACTGAAAAAAGCTTGAAGCGAGTCCTATGTCCATCGGGTCAGGTGGAGTCTGATACGGTCGTATGGTGAATGGTTGCTCGTACGTAGATTTGATATCTGCAGTGTTCATCAATGTCAATGCTGTGCGTATGACCCTGGTGTATAATGCGACATACGACAGATAGTCTTCAGTCACGGAATGAGGATATCCGGCTGGCAGAAAAGCATCGAGCAGTGTCTTCAGTAGTCCCTGGGAACTCCTAGGTACCTGTGATTGGAGTGAGTACGTGGTTCCGCGTTGATTTCCCAAAGTGTGCTTACGATTCTGTCTACCCTCGTGATGTCACGTTTCGCAGTGTTTGTCTGGACGTACGTTGCAACAACCTCGCCGGACTCGTCTGTTTCGGTCAGCTGAATTGTCGATATCCTTGACATTATGGCGCAATGATGGGTTTTAATGAGTGGTTCGCGGACACGGGATGAGTGGAAGTGGTTGTCTCGTGATGCACGAAAGCGGAGTTGTCGGTCGCCAGCGTCACTCTACTAGGTAATCTTGGACATTCGTCTTACATACCAGTACGTAAACAGAACTTCAACACACCATCTCGGCACACTCAAGTCCCTTACACGTTACCTTTCTCGAAACATTGCTTGATAGGTAGTCTCAATTTGCGTGATGGCCGAGTCCCCGCTGGCGCGGTCTGAAGCGAATGTCATTACCACGCGCTCTGGTAGTCGAAGACCCCGAAGATGTCCACCTCGAATCGCAAATCGACACTCCTAAGTTGTCACTCGCCAAGATCGTGTCAGCACTAGAGATGAGACAGACACATCCGGAGCTCCATCACTCGTCAACGTCTTAGAACAGATGCGCGTCCTGCCAGCGCAGTACCGACACCACGGACACACCAATCAGCCCTATTCATCCTTCGAAACCTTCCATTCTGCCAAACATTCCACGGCATTCCACTGCAATGAGCTTGTTATTGAGCGCGATTGTCGTGTCAACCGATCTTGTGTCACATGGCCCTCGTTACACATCTATCACATGTCACCTTGCTGCTTATGTGTATGCTTATGACGACCACCGGTTTCCAACACTCATGCTCGATTTCCAAGCGGGTGGAGAAGACAATGGCAAGCCCTAACGGCGAGCTCGGAAAAACATGCCACAGCGCTGTCAGGCATTTCAGTCGAACATTTCGTAAGGACAGTCATGACGCCCTCAGGCTTGGGACGCCAACGTCCGTGTCGCAATTCGCTGAACCTAGGTCTTGGCTCGAGGACCTCATCCTTGTCGCTAGGCTATGTGATCATCGTGACGGACGCTTGTGAGAAGGCAGGTGCATCGTTGTTCGGTCGTGTAACATCGGTAGGTAAAAGTGTCAACAGGGACTCAACGCGACAATCATGTCAACGAGACTCTTCACGAAGCAATGGTGTAGGATACCCTCTAGAAAGACAAGAAGCAGGACACTGTTTAGCACGTGCTCAGATGCGGACTTGTTAGCAGTCCCATGCTCCTCCGGCATCCGCTTCTATAGAACAGACGCTCTGCACGCAGAAGCTACTCGGAACATTGCGTAGGAAGGCCGTCTTCGCCTATAGCTAAAAGTTCGGTGCAAACGAGTTCGAGGAATATGTCCTCGCTACTGCTCTTACATCCATTGGCTTTCAGGTACAGTCAGTTAAGGTGCAGTCAATCATGTGCAATCAGTCCTTGTGCAGTCAGTCGATACAATTCTATTGCCCTTCACTCCTTGCTGCCGTGAAGATCGCCAGGTTGAGATCGCACCTTCCCTTCTCCACCATCGAGCTTTTGTCACATGGCTTGAGCGACGTTCACACCTTCTCACCTTCCCACTTCCGTACCTTTGCTTCTTCTTCCACATCTCTCACCTTGTCACCTTCGAGGGTTTCTATCGCTCTGGTCATTTTCACTGGGCCTCATCGCTTTCGGCTGTCCTCGTCGACTGCTTGCCTCCTCACCACTTTGTGCTGCGCTGGCCGGTCTTTCTTATCAATCGACTTTTGCTGCGCTCGGCGACCTCCTCCCTCTGTCTCTTATCTTGGCTCAGGATAGAGATGTGCCAGAAGGTGGACCAGATTCTCACACAATGCCTGGACAGGATGATGACAACACTGACAAGTCAGCTCTGCCACTTGACCATGGAGCGGACTCGACTCACAATTTACACATATACCTATCGAGGGGCCGACGAGACTAAGAGTCCTTATCTTTCAACGCTCTTTTCTGCTGGTTCTATCTCGAACGTGAGCATTCGTCAGAATACCAGAAATGGGGTGAGGCTGCAGCAGCGGAGGCAGACAGCCCCGTTATTCCTCTCATGAGATGCAGCAGAGGTACGAATCCCGACTCAAACGAGGTGTCTCGTGGAGTGTCAGAAGTGACATTGGCACGGTCGCAAAAATTTCGTCGTGGTAATAGACCTCTCCTCAGAGGATATGCATTTCTTCCAATGTTTGTAGGTAATACGACATTCAATATCTACGATAGCTACACAGCCTTTTCGGGTATGTACAAAAGAGTATCACAACCAAGTCTCCCATCATTAGTGGCATTCGTAGGATATAGTAGGTCAGATGTTCAAAGCCTATTACGTTATCTGAGATCATGTTGTTTCGTGCCATACGTATATGTCAAATATTCAAGATATCAAACGCCTCAGAGGCCCATGGCACATGTAGCTATGGAAACGCACGATGATTTCGAGGGACTTGACCCTGTCCATTGAGATGTGATGATCCCAAGGCTCTCCTCGGGTATGTCTTCAGTCTGCAAACCATTCTGCCATTACAGTGAAAGACATGGCTTCAGATCTTCATGGAAGGAGCTCGAGACTCGCGAAGTCTGGCGCACGAAGGAACGCAAGACTTGAGGCTCCTCGTTTCTTCGAGCGTGCTTTGTGGTACAGTATGCTCTATCACATGCCACTCATACACATTAGGTCACATTGGGTCACATGCTCACCTGTCTTGCTTATGCTCATGTCAATTGCTTGGTCTCGTGTTCAACATCAAGTAGGGAAGAGGAGACCATGTTAACCCTTTTCATGCCAGGATCTGGGATTGGATACGAGACCAAGCTTTGAAGTCTGCTTACTCCGTACGAACCTCCAACGCGCCACGAATTACCTCCTATCAAAATCGGACGTTTAGATCGCAGTCGGGATAAGCAGTTCTCGGATCATGACGGACGTTGTTGTTGCGTGCTCCTTGCATTGTCACCGGACTTCCTTACTCGGATAGTCATACAAGGTATCGCGGAGAAGGATACAGGTGTTAACGAGTAAAGAGAGTGACAAGAAAATTGGACCTCGTCACCAAAGCGGCCAACCCATCGCAATTATGTCCTTTGATTCTTTTTTATCCTTCGAAACGCCTTGGGGCGAGGTGGTGATCATCTACTGAAATACCTAGTAGGCCCTCTGTTCTCCCACAGTCATAAAAAGTGATATTTTGGTCGTGATTGGTTCCTCGAGATCGCGGTCATTGCTGACCTCTATGCGTACGCCTTCTAAAATTATTTGCATAACGATGATAGGTCCTCTCGCATTCGCTCCTTCGGACAATTAGATAATGGCATGCATGCTACAGCCAGAGTGACTTCGCGTTGTGCCCCGCTGTCAGCTTTTGTTCATGGTTACACCGAGTGTGCCTCTCCTACCCCTCGTGCACTCTGCACGTGTTATCATGCTTCATGCGGCATTTCGGCGATGACCTCCGGTTTGCTGCTCATGGGCGGCCCAGCTGTGTTTGTCACGCCCATCATGGGCATCGCTTGCGGACCGTTGCTGTGCACGTTTCCCGCCATGGACATTGGTTGTGGTAGTGGCTCGTCTCGCATACATGTTGTCTCAAGCATGTTGGTCCACTTGCCGCTTGTCCCTGCGTGGCTGTGCTTCAGATGTTGGCGGAAGTGATCGGCACGGAAGAATTTCTTCGCTTGATTGCACTCTCCGAACTTGTGTGTTTGCAAGACATGATCACGTCTGTGGTTCCAGTCCGCTGGATTGGGAAACTCGTCGCCACAGTAGCCGCAGATGTCCGTCGCCCCGTTCGTGCTAGGTGACGTGTGGAAAGCTGTCTCGATTGTGTGAAGAGCTGCACAAGACCAAGAGTGACGCCGTAGATGTAGAGAATTCTGGTGCCGCTCCGCTTCGTTCTTGTTCTTGAACCGATTTGGACAATAAAGGCAGGAGTATTGCTTTTCCATGTGATGGGCTCTGTTTGTACATTGTCAGTAAGCGCTTGGACAAGGATCGACGGCTACTTAGAACTAACCTTAGGTCATCTTCGCTGGTAAACTTCTTGGGCTTTTTGGGGCAACAGTCGCATATGAAGATACCTTGGACGCCCGGCAAGCTGTTGTGACGTGATGGCGGCGCACTGTCGGCAGGTGTGTGGAGGGTATTATGAAGTGGAGTGTCGGACACTGTACGCGTGTAGGGCGGCATGATATGCTGAGGCCCAGGACTTTGGTTGTTCAGGGGCTTGGCATTCATGTAGCCCATGGCCCCGAGCTCTGGATCGAGTACGGCAGGCGACATCATGCCGGGTGAGATGCGTCCAGAAGCATAGCTTGTAGCACTGCTGGATACAGATAGTGTGTATGACGAAGCCAAAGAGCCGTTGCGGGGGTTATACGATGAGGCAGAAGAAATTGAACCATGATGACTCGGCGCATACCTCGACGCCGAGATGGAAGGATTACGATTAGGGTGTTGTTGTAAGGAACGACGAGTGTATAGGTCACCGCTGCCCGGGGCGCTACTGACAGAAGAGCGGTCTTCGCGTACCAAAGAATCTCTGTGGGGTGACGAAGCGCGTCTCTTCATGCCGGGCTTTGGGCCAAGCTGAAAGTCGTGGGGGTCGTTGAGATTCAGGTCCTTCATCTGCTGACCCTCGTCTGTAGAAGGGTCCTCGTTCAAGAAGATGGACTGATCATAACTGCCGCGATGTGATGAGTTGTCGTCAAATTGGAAACTCGAGTGGCGCAGTGTTGTTGGTCGGCTGTTCTCCGGATTGAAGTTGGGAGTGCGGAATGGGCCGGGAGATGCAGCACTCGATACAGACCACCTGAAGGTAGAGCTGTCGACCGAAGGATGGCGGCGCTCGGACTGAGAGGCAGACGAGGTCGAGAGATTCCTGGTGGACGGAAGTTCTGTGCCGGGCTCGGCTCCGGGGGACACTGCTCCTGAGGTTTCTGGCCCGCCTGAAACCGAAAGTCTATTCGGCGTATTCGGACCGCCGATTTTGGAGAGCAGATTCCTGTCGTAGGCCTGCGACGAAGTGCTGAGTGATCGCTGCTCCAGTTGTCGCTCACTGTGTAGTCTGTAGGACGGTGTGTCAGTATTGGCAATGAGTAAATAACGGCGCATGGTCTTTGTCTCAAAGAGCCGAGGCGTTCAGCGGATCAAGCCGAAAGCACATGAACAATCAACAAACTCGCTGCACATTGCCAGTCAAAGTGATGTGAGCAACTAAGCATATGACAAGCGCGTGATGTCTCGATGCAATCGCAGTGTTTATGCGATCGTGGCAACATGAAGGGAATGGCAGAACAACGCACCTATAGCCCGAGAGTTTGGCTTCGTCGCTGTCGCAGGGATCGATCATGGCCTCGGAGCTGCGATGCGGCACCGTGACAGTAGACATGGAGCTGCCTCGCCGGGAAGCGTCTGCTTCATGTTGTTGTGAGGGATCGCCGGGCTGGTCGCGAGGTTGCGCCTTGTTACCGCCCAGCAGACTCGAGCCGGGCCTGACTGTGGCGGCCTTGCCGAAATCGGTCCAGTGCTGATCGAGGTATTCCTTGTTGAACAGGTTCCATTCTTTCTGCTGCGCCTGGGGCGTCAGGTCTTCGTACAGGTGCGTGGGCGGCGGCAATGGCGGTGGCACCGAGGGAGAGTCTTGAGCGGAATGCGGGATGGACATCGGCGACGCCGGCGCATGCAGTGGCTGCTGCGGCGACTGTCGGGAGTGAGACGGCGGACTGCGGTAGCGGTGGTCGTGACAGTGGGAGTGAATGCGAATGGAGGGAGTTCCATCCATCGTGGACGAGCGCGCGCACAACTGGAAAGAGCGTTTCAACTTGGCAAAGCAAAGCCGGTGCTCGTAGGCGTTGACAACTGCCGCTGGCACTCTGGGAGAGCGAGGGGCACCACCTAAAGACGCAGCCGACAGGGACAGCCCGATCCGAATTCACTGGCACGCTCCTGGACTGAGGTTTGGTCCCAAGGCTACGGGTAAGCTGATGGATGCTAAGGAAAGGAGTTGATGGCCCTTCCGCCCACCGCGGATAGACGACTCGGCCTCCTGCTTGTGCGTGTGCTCGATTCTCCTCGCTCCCATCAGCCCTATGCATCGAGTCGCAGGCGCTGCTCTCCACTGCCTCCCTGTCCCTTGTCACCCCCCGACAGCCTTGAGAGCCTGAGCACTCAGACTTCGGACATTATTGCTTCTGGTCCATCTCGTAAATGCTGTGCCTAGTTGGGTCTGGAACCCGCCTACTCCACTCAGCTCGTCAGGGTCTCTGCACGAGACTGTAACCTTTCCCTTGACCGTCTTCTAGAAATTCCACTTCCGTGTCCGTCGTGCGCTACCATGTGTCACGCAGTACTCGCCCGTTCTCATACGACCGCCAGCTCACCTGCCATACGTCCGTACGCACATACACCACTCAATCTGTTTTGCGTGCATGCCTTCGACCTTCCACTCTTCCAGCCGTCCTGGTCAGCAAAGTTCAAGCGCCCGAGTAAAAAGAGGCCGAACCTCCTTCAAACTTACTCCTTGGCACCAGTATACGGGGGGCTTCTAGCGGTACGTACACAAAGGGAACAGGTGCCTGCTAGAGCCCCGTTTCTATGCATCTTCGCCGTTCCATGTTCCCACTTAACTTCTGCCATGCCCCACGTTTTGACTACACATATACGAAAAGAGACAGGCTTCATTGGGGACAGAAAGCTCCCCTGTGTTTGCTGCACATGGAGAAAATCACCTAGTACTAGTCGCAGGCAGCATGTAAGCGAATGGCACAGGCACATTTTGCATGGAGACTTCCGTCCTTCGAATCTTGCCAATCTACTTGTCTTCAAATATAAACATCCATGGTACGGAGTACTTGTGGTGCCGTGCCCATGTAACCTCGACCCGGAGCCATGTCTTTTACTCTTGGTCCCAAGCCGCCTTATGCCTTACGAACTAGACATTCAAGCCACTTAATATAACCGGCAATATTCTTAAACATCAGCCCCCACGCGCTGATGCCCATAGTCCGTACTCTTGGTGCTCTAGTAGATAGTGCTGGACTGCTAGTAGCTACCATCTGTCCGCACGTACTCATACGCATACCGCGTCCGTACAAGCGTGATGGCAAAGCTTGTCCGATGGCTTGGATCAGGATGGGATGTGCAGTTTGGCTGGGCCAGACCTGCTGTGCCGCTGCCTGAGGAAGGAAAGAGCCGCAGCCCCTGAGAAGCAGTGACCAAGGGGGCTTGAGGAAAGGTCGAGCAAGGAGTTTCTTCGTTCCCTCACAAGACAAGCATGCATGCTCAACGGCGATATCGGTCAACCAGGTCTGTGCACATGTTCACAAAGTTTGTGCTGGGTGCCAAGCCGAGATATGCGGCGTCCTAAAACGTCCATCCTGTGGCGGCGACTTGCTTGCTGTGTTCACGAGCATCAGAAGAAACCACCTTATCAGTCGCCTCTTCAAATCCAATCGATACCCTGAACATACCGCCATAGTACCATGTCGTTGCTTGATAAAGTGCCTGGCGATCTCAAGCTCTACATCGGAGGGTGAGTAAAATCTGATCTATCTCGATAAATTCTTTTTCACGGCAACAAACGGAGAGTTATACTATGTTTGATGTCCTGGACTCGACAAGAAATGATGAAGAAGCATATGCGAGACTGGTCTGACATCTTCCCAGTCTCTTCACCTTACGTCGTAAAGACCAACTCGCTGAAGCCGGCATCACTCATGTGCTATCGGTGTTGAGACTTCCTCTGGAAGAAAAGCTATTCGAAGGATACAAGCATATGGTTGTTGAGGTCGATGATGTCGAAGACGAGAACCTGCTTGAGCACTTCCCGGCAGCCACTCGTTTCATCGACGAGGGTCTTGCATCGGGAGGCGCAGTCCTTGTGCATTGGTAAGTGTTTCGTAAATCTTTATCCTTTGCGTTCAGGACTTCTCTATCGAAAACACAAGAAAGACCAGGATGCAACCTCATTCTCTGAAACCCGAGTTTCTCATGCCTTAATGAGTAGCAAAGTTGACGAGTAATCAACAGTGCCATGGGAAAATCACGGTCTGCAACATGCGTCATTGCGTATCTCATGCAGAAGTACAACATCTCACCTTCTGAGGCTCTGGAACAAATACGACAGAGTAGGCCGCTTTGTGAGCCCAATGAAGGTTTCATGAAGCAGTTGGAGCTTTACCATGAGATGCAGACACCAGAGAACGTTGAGGATACACCGGCATATCAGCGTTGGGTCTACCAGCGCGAGGTAGAGATGAGTCGTGCTTGTGGTCAAGCACCCGAGGCGGAGAAGATTCGCTTCGAGGATGAACATGTGACTGCAAAGGATGACAGTGGATTCGACATGCGATGCCGAAAATGCAGGTGAGTTAGACACTTGTCAATCTTGTCAAGGCAGAAAACTTACTCTTGATAGACGCACTCTGGCAACATCACAATTCCTGATACCTCATCAAGCTCAACGGGGCCCAGCCGATTCTTGTACACACTACTTCCTAGATCCTCTATCTTGGATGAGACCGGAACTGGAGAAGGGAGAGGTGGAAGGTAGATTGGAGTGTCCCAATTTGAAATGCAAAGCCAACGTAGGGAAATACGCATGGCAGGGCATGCGGTGCAACTGCGGAGAGTGGATAGTGCCAGCCATCAGTCTATCAAAAGGCAGGATAGACGAGGCGAAGAAGCGTGCTGCTGATCCTAGTGCCATGGGCATTCGTATGCCGGCAACGGCGGGCCCGCGAGGTCCTGGACAGAACAATCTTTGAGCTACGAGCACTGTCTCATGGAGTCCATAGTCAAATATCGAGCAAGGTATCAGCTGAGAAGGTTAAGTCATGACCACATCCAGCGAAGAGAACCAGCCCCGGCAAATGGCATTTGCGTGATAACATCTATTGTCATCAACATTCTGTATACTTTCCTATACCTTGATGGCCTGGTCGTTGACACCGCCAGCCGAGTGTCACAACGACGGCGAGAATCCGCGATCCGTCAAGTCCCCACCGGTATCTCAGTCGAATTACAGCTTTCCTTTTCCCCTAAGATACTATGACGATATCCTTGTTGCGCGTCGAAAGTTATCAGGGACCAAGTGAATTTGTATGCTAAATTTAGGTTTGCTGCAGGAACAGACACAATCGAGGCTCGAGCTGTTGTCTGGGGAAGCTTGTCCGAGGGCTTGCTGTCTTCCGGAATCTCGACAAACACAACACTCCTGACAAGACCGCCACCTACTTGGATCAACCAGCTCTTGGATATAGAGAATAATACACGACTACTGCAATCGAAAGGCGAACTCCCTCTTGCGAACATAGACCCAAGGCAATCCGCATCGAGCCTTCCAACCACCTTCGACCGCCGACGCCTAAACACACACACACACCATGTCTTCCGACTCCCTCTTCTCGCCCGATCTCATCTCGTCTGAAGTCGCCGCTGCCCTACCAGAGGGCTACACGATCCGACCCTTGCAAAAGAGCGACTACCATGCCGGCTTCCTAGACGTGCTTGCTGTCCTCACTACGGTTGGCGACGTTTCAGAACAAGACTTCGCCCAGCGCTTCGAAGAGATGCTCGCATCTGGCAAAGGAGCAGGAGGCTATCACATTCTGGTCATCCTCAATGGTGACAAGAAGATCGTCGGCACTGGTGCCCTGATTGTTGAGAGAAAGTTGTGAGTCTCACAAGAAAGAGCAAGACATGAATGTAGAGCCTGCGGTACTGACGATACCAACAACAGCATTCACAGCCTGGGCCAAGTCGGTCACATCGAGGACATCGCTGTCGCAAAGGACCAGCAGGGCAAGAAGCTTGGTCTACGCATCATCCAAGCCTTGGACCATGTCGCTGAGAAGGTTGGCTGCTACAAGGTTGGTTCTAACCCACTCTGGCTCGCTTACCAGCATACTGATCAGTATCGTACAGACCATCCTCGACTGCTCAGAAGCCAACGAGGGCTTCTACGTCAAGTGTGGATTCAAGCGTGCCGGTCTGGAGATGGCACACTACTACAACAAGTCATGAGAGAAACATCAATCTGCATTTCCGAGAAGAAGGCGTTTCAAAAGGAGGACATATACACGAACACGTTTGGGTAAGACGGCGAGAAGCTTTGGTCAGAGCATGCTTCTCTATAAAGTACAATGCATGTCCATCAACATCACAAGTGCGCCAAGACTTAGCAGGAGCCTTAACTTTGTCATCAGGTCAGACCAATACTTGGTTGGTAGACGGTTTGTTTGCTCGCTATGCCTTCTATGATTGGGCGCATCTCGAGTCCAGGCTTGGTTTTAGCGCAGGGACTGTGACCGCAGAGTAGGGAGTCGTCACAAGGATTCTTTGTGCTTAGAAGTGGACGCTTGCAGATGTGATGCCCAGAGGTTGACATTGCACAGACGAAGGATCAGGTGTGCCCCGATGGTCGCATGTCGAATTATTGGCATGACTATTTGTGGAAGATTGACTTGATCACCCAAGCAGCATTGAGCTGCATTGCTCGTGTCCGACGCATGTACGTCGGATAGCTCGCGACATGAGTGGACGTCCATGTAGGCTTTGCAATTCGAGATTGGCTCTCTTGGCCGAGAGTGTTAGTTGATCAAAAGGCTGGGCAAACGCGGCCGCACCAATGCAGCGAATCCTGCCCACGCGCGTCGACGAAACCTCTCATCTTTCATGCTTACAAGACCACAAGGAACCAACATCCTGTTCAACCCTGCTCACTGAGACAGGTTGGGTCGTGGCCCGGATTGAGCAGAGTACAAAACGAAATTAGTCAATAAATCACCGCGGCCGGCCTGGAAACGGCTTCTTATATCCCTCGCTAGCGCGTCCCGGGAACGCCTCGTGGAAGGATCCTTATCTCTGGGACACTCGTCTGTACACCCAACATCGCCATGTGCTCGGAACAACAGGCTGTAGAAAGTCGGTAACCTCAAGCCGCCATGAATGCACTAAGCCCGAACGTTCGACATTCTCCGACGTTTACAAAGAAAAGACTCATGCTGCCGAAACGCTTTCTTTGAAATGCCTGCTTTGTATCTGGTTTCCTTATCTCTTGGCGTCCTGGATGCGAGAGCGACCAGGAGGATTGTATGGGTGATGGGGCAATAGTGTTTTGGACGCGGAAGGAGTCGCGAAGATAAAGGCGGACACGGGATTGATGATTTGGATGGATTAAACGAGCCCTTGACCGGTAACGGGGTGTTGCATGAGGGTAGAAATATCCTGCAGGTCCACCTCTCGCATATCACCTTCCCTAGTCTTCAAGTTTCTCACTCCCTCGATTCTTTGGACTGCTTGCCTACAGAGCAACAGTTTTACTTTGAACCACCCGCCATGTCAACAGCAGTATGTCCACAACCACAGTCTCTGCTCTGAACCATGTTACTGATGCCTTGTTCATAGCCTGTATACAACTCATCTGAGCCTGCCGGAGGTAACCCTCTGAAGGTCGACGTCAACGCGCAGTATGCAGGTCTCGAGTTCAAGTAAGATAAAGTCACTACTGCTCTCTCGTAACTATCTCTGACCTCTGTTCCAGCTATGTCTACCTCGCGGTCTGCTCGTTCCTCGTCTACTTGATCATCCCTGGTATCGGCCTGCTCTATGGTGGCCTAGCGCACAAGAAGAGTGGTCTGTCCCTGCTGTTCCAGAGCATGATGGTCGTTGCCCTCGTCACGTTCCAGTGGATGTTCTGGGGCTACTCTCTTGCCTTTTCCCGCACTGCCGGCCCCTTCATTGGCGATCTAGCCAACTTTGGTCTGAGAAACGTCTCTGCTGCACCTTCTCCTGGCAGTGCTGTTCTGCCCGAAATCGTCTTCTGTCTGTATGAGCTTCTCTTTGCTGCTTGTACAGTGCAGATCGTCGTCGGAGGTGCCTTCGAACGTGGTCGCATCCTTCCCTCGCTCATCTTTGCCTTCTGCTGGTGCACCATCGTCTACTGTCCCATTGCTTGCTGGACATGGAACGCAAATGGTTGGCTCTTCAAGCTCCCTTCCCTTGATTATGCTGGTGGCGGGTAAGACAAATCCCTCCCTTCAAGAGGTATAGATCTACTACTAACACTGTCCTCTAGTCCCGTTCATATCGCTTCCGGATGGGCGGCTTTGGCCTATGCTTTGGCACTCGGACAGAGAACATCCAAGGAACACCACGCAAAGCACAAGCCTCACAACTCGACCTTGGTCTTTGTCGGCACTGTTCTCATTGTCTTTGGTTGGTTTGGCTTCAACGGAGGCAGTGCTCTCAATGCCTCGGTTCGTGGTATGATGGCTGCTTTCAACACCCAGGTCGCTGCTTCGACTGGTGTCCTCGGTTGGGTGCTCGTTGATGCCATCCGCCATAAGGGACGCTTCTCGGTTGTTGGCGCTTGCGAGGGAGCGATTGCTGGCCTGGTGGGTATCACTCCCGCTGCTGGTTATGTCAACCCTTGGCCCGCAGCCGTGATTGGCTTCGTGACAGCCATCGTTTGCGCTCTCCTGCAGGATATCAACGACTGGCTTCGCATCGACGACGGTCTCTATGTCTTCAAGCTTCACGGCATCGGTGGCATGGTGGGCTCTTTCTTGACCGGCATTTTCGCCAACCAGGCCATTTCCGCTCTCGATGGTGTTACTCTTGCTCCTGGTGCTTACAATGGTAACGGTATTCAGGTTGGCAAGCAGTTCGCCGAGATCACAGCCATCTCTGCATACTCGTTCATTGTCAGCTACATTCTGCTCATGATTATCAAGTACATCCCAGGCATGCACTTGCGTGTGGACAAGGAGGCTGAGATCAGAGGTCTCGACCTTGACCAGTTCTTTGATGAAGAGATGGACCACTGGGACCTCAGCCCGGCCGGTATCGATGTCATGCAGTCCGAGCAGACGACCTACACTCACGGCGTCCCCGAGACTCGCGAGGGATCTCTGACTCCCAACGACGTTACTGCCGCCGAGAAGAAGTAGAGTTGGCCAAGTCTTTTTAAATGTTCTATCTATAGCCGAGTCTCTGAAGCATGACAGGTTCATTGCTATCATACCTAGTACTCCTAATCTTAAACTGTCTATCGTTCATATTCTTGATTTTGCATGCACATGAGCATATTGGACCATGATTTTGTTGAGCGAAGTAGCCAAACCACAGTGCATTTTCGTGGATGGTGCGTGCATATGCAAGTCAGATTTGGGGTGACCCTGACGCAGGCTTTGAGTTGGCCTGTGCGACGGGTTTGTTTACTACTCCACACAGCAAGGCTGAAGACTTTCGTCCAAGTCCACTTTTGCGATAACAAGAACACAACAAGACAAGACGACCAACATGGCATACAGCGGGCGCATGAGCATGGCGCCGCGAGGCTCCCAACAACCATCCAGTCAGCCTCGGGCACGCAAAGAGGACAACGAAGATGCCTTTATGACGCTGGTGAGTCCGGTCTGGACTGCCCAACAGCCTGCGTACGCTACTGACAGTTCTATGTCTACAGCCCGATCGCGAGATTGCAGGATGTATCAGCGACATTGGCATCCCATTTACCATCCAAGACCTGCAAAAGCCCAATCCACAGCAGATCCAAAAAGTCTTTGAATGGCTGGCCGAGCTGTTGATGAACACAACGCGCGAAGTCGTCGCGCCTGCCATGAAGGCCGCCGCCGATGATCTGTGCCCCGACGACCCAGAGAGGATCTTTACCGCCGACACTCGCGACCTCATGGGCTTCTTCGTCACACTGCGCCGCCTGCTGCTCGAGTGCGGCATCAAAGACTTTACCTTCCAGGATCTGTACAAGCCGACACACGCCCGTCTGGTCAAGATCTTCTCCTATGTCATCAACTTTATTCGTTTCCGCGAGTCGCAGACTTCGGTCATCGATGAGTACTTCAACAGCACCGAGCGCACCAAGGCCCAAATCGAAGACCTGTACAACTCGAACCAAGAAAAGGAAGAGATGCTGCAGGAAATGCAGCGTAACAGAAAGAATGTCGAACAAGCCATGCGTGACAAGGAGAAGAAGAACAGCGAGCTCAAGGCCCGTCTGCTCGAGCTCAAAAAGGGCCAGGAAAAGGTGGCCGAGAAGCTGGACCGCGTCAAGTCCGAGCAGACCAGACTCAAGCAGGCTCTCGAGGACAAGCAGACCCAAGCCATCAACGTGCGAAAAGAAGCAGACAAACTGCGCCCCTACACCCAACAAAGTCCTGCAGCCCTCGAGACTGCCCTACGCGACCTCAATGCAAGCCTCACAGCCGACAAATCCGAGATCGATCGTCTTGACCGCCGCACACGCGCCCTCCAAACCAGCACCGACACATTCACCCTCCTCCACGGCGACGTGACAGGTCTCGGCCGCCTACTCGAAGACCTACAAACCGAACTGAAAAAAGAAGACGAAGAAGCCTCACGAGCAAACAAGCACCGCGACGCCCTCTCGGAGCGCTCTAACAACGTGCGCGAGATTGAGCGTCAAGAACGTATGCTCAGCAAACAACTCGTCAACATCCAAGAACGCACCACAAACCTACGAAACGGTGCGGGCGCCAAAGCAGAAGAGGCAAAGAGACGCATGGAATCGCTGAAGCAAACACACTCGGAGTTGGGTGAAGAGAGGCGTAAGCGCGGTGAAGAGGTTGAGAGAAGACGCATCAGAATTGAGCAGACGGAGAAGAAGATGGCGGATTTGAAGGAGAACATTGATGCCGAGGTGCAGAGTGCGAGGGAGGAGTATTTGAAGATGGAGTCGCACATCAAGCTCTACATTACTGAGATGGAGCAGAGCTTGGTTTGAAGGTTGAGATGGTTGTCTTTTTGGTTTTTTGCTTTCTTTTCTTTACTCGATTTGATATACCCCTTGGATGACCGGCGTTATGGATCGTCTGGATATGGTTATGAACATGATTCTATTGCATTATGATATCTTTGGCAAGTCTTTTGTTCCATGGTTTACATATGATTTTTGGTCATGATTCTTGATTGAGCAGACGCTCAAGGCCAGCGCTCCTCCTGCTTCCAGGAACCGTCGGCCTGGTAGATGTAGACCTGTCTACGCGCCTTCGTAGGGTCGCTGAGATCAAGCTGCTCGACCTCTTCGGGCTTAATAACGACGACTCTGAAGTTCTTTCTTGCGACGGGGTCCTCGAGATCTTCGACTTTTGTGCCGAGGGCCAGGTTCTTGTCGTCATAGGGCTCCGAAGTGGGACGACCAGGTGGAGGTGCCTTGAAAGAACCTTGACGGCGGATGACATTAGCATTTCAACTTCAGCGACAGTGTCGAAAGCAAAACATACCTCTCAGACCAGGCGAGTTGTTGCCAAAGTGAGCAGTGAGTTCCTTGTTCCAAGACCACTCTCCCTGCTTTCCCTCGTCCACAATCCTCATACGGCTGCCCAGCTCGCTCTTGACAGTCCTCACACCACTGCTCTCCTTGCTTTGCTCACCCTCACCCTCGATATCAGGACCCACGACAAACGCCTCGCCCTTCAGTCTCCACTGCACCTGCGTCTCTTTGATCCAGTAGACAGCCTCGCAAGGACCGCCGCCACCACTCCCCTGCATCTGCTCTTCCTTTTCCGCATGCCCGCTTCCCGAGGCAAACAGCTCGGGCACCTTCATCATACGCACATCAGAAGTGAACGTGGGCATCTCCGACTCGTAAACTCTAGGGTTCTGGGGAGCTTGGTTGTGCTTGTTTTCGGGCAACTCTGACCAGAAGCCGCGGAAGATGCAGTAGCGGGCGCGAGGGAGGTAGGGTGTAGGTGAGTCCTTGGGGGCTGGGTGCAGCGATGAAAAGACGAATTCGGGAGAGTCCATCTTGTCGAGGTCGCCGAGGAAGGCCTGTTTCCAGGGTGCTGGGGCTGGGGTGGTGGTCGAGGATGTAGTGGCCATCGTGCGGGTTGCTTGACGGCTGAGGAGGGATAAACGGGGGATGATTCTTGAAGCTATCGTGACGGTGTTGTAGAAGAGAGGAGGGGGGGAAGAAAGTTGCAAAGCAGCAGAGGTAAGAGGTATCGAGAGATGAATGCTGTTTGATCGAGAGCTGTCATGACGTACTCGAGATCTGCTTTCTCCACATTACCATCTCAGAGAGATCGCGGCTAATTTATCGATCTGCCTAACCACATCTTCGTAGACATGTCTGCTTCTCAGTTCGTCCTTGCTGAGGACAATATAGCTCGGTTTCTCTACACCATGTTAAGCAAGGCGGAGGTGCTGTCCAAGAGACTGTGATGAAAGTACCATGTCGTCATGTTCAGAGCACAAGCACAAGCTCTTCTCGGCCCGGGCCTTGCCCATCGCTTCCACCTCGTCCGCCTCATCCTTTGCCTTTGTCGCGGTGACGAGCGATATGCATACTGATACACTGTTACGGTCGTAAGTTGAAGTGTTTGCATGACCTCGAGTCACGGCGTGGTACCATGATGCTACAGTGTTTCTATTTTGAGAGTCAGTCTGCTCTGGCTGGCCGCTGATCAGCCAGAACTGCAACGTCGGAGCGATCACCTGCTCCAGAACTCGGACCTCGACGTCTGCCGAGACAAAACATCTTCGAAAGATGTGGAATGCTGCTACATATCTCGACCGTTCTTGACCGGATCTACGAATTCAGTACGGAATTTGCTAAGAATAATCCACAGCTAGATGCTGGGCCTGAAGCATACTCCCTGATCGACAGGTAGGTGCAAAGAAGTAGCAACATATAAGTCAAGAGCGATGCCTCGTCAACAACTTCCTTCCCATTCACAAAGCATCACTTCTCAGTAGTCAACTCGGAGCAATCAAACTACACTTGCAAAGATAGACAAACATCAATCTCTTGCCACCATATCAACCTTCGGCAACATGAAGATCACCATCGCCAACACACTCGCTCTGCTCGCCACTGCCTCATCCACACTAGCAGCACCCCTCGAAGCCCGCCACAATGCAGCCAACCCCTTCACCCTCGACATCTCCTTCAGCAACAGCATGGGCACCCTCAGCGGACCCATCCAAGCCTCCAACGGCTCCTTCTGGATCCACAAAAAAGCGTCCACCTCCTGCCCTGCCTCCGTAAACCCCAATTGCCCTCCTGGCAACAGCACATCCTTCACATCCTCAGGAAATGGCTTGCTCTACCTCAACACCGAAGTCCCCGGTGGCCAACAAGTCTACATTCGTCCCGATGGCTTGTTGACATACACGCAACCTCATTCTGCGTATGCACCCACCGATTCCACATTCTCTGGCTTTGAGATTTCGAGTTTGAATCAGGTGGCCAAGTTTTATGATTTCTGGTTGTGTGGTGAGGATGCTAGTGATAAGGCTTGGAGGATCTGGTTGGAGTACCGTGATGATAAGGGTGCGACTAGGCAGAACGGGCTGGGTGGTGGTAATGCTTGTACGATGGTTAGTCTGTTGGCTAACGATGTCAAGGAGAAGGGGCCTGCTGCTTGGCAGTACAACTAGAGTGGTGGCAGTGTAGTCGTGTCGAAGCTTATAAAGCGGTATTTTCTCAAATGCAATGGCGTTAGTTCGCTTGCATAGCATGAATTAATGCATATACTCTTTGACTGTTGTCCAGAAGAATTGGTGATCCTTGACAGTGACAAGATACCACCAGAGTCTCTCCTGGGATTGGCACTGTGAGGTCGATGCTATCTATCGAAAGGCACAATCATCTCTCGATCGGAAATGGGTCTAGAGAGAGTCAATAACGGACTGCTTCTCAATGGACATCGCCCTGGTTTCTCAAAGCCATTGTGCATTTCTACACCTACCTGCTTGGCTTGTCCCTGTATGGGAAGACGGTGCTCTATATAGCCAAGGCAGGAGGCTCGCACGAAAGTCAAGCAGCCAGGTTGTACCGTGAAAAGAAAATATCGTAATACCATTCATATTCAAGCATGAGCTACCAGACACACAGTCAGGTCAGAAAACACTGAACCTTTCTACCTCCTATCCTCTCTAACCTCCTCAACCCTCTCAACACCAAACTTCTCTCCCTCGACTCCAGCACCCGCCATAGCCTCACCCATGGCAACATGATTCTCACCACCAAACAACGTGTCGATCTCTTCCAGAGACACATTCTTGGTCTCTGGAATGCAGAACCACACAAACACAGCCAACAACAGATTGATGCCCGCAAACATGTAAAAAGCATAAAAGCCACAGTTGTTGAGGAAAGTAGGGAAGAATTGCTGCACGATGAGGTTTGCGACGTTTTGGGTTTGCGATGCCATGCCTACTGCTTGTGCGCGCACGTTCATGGAGAAGATCTCTGATGTCCAGATCCAGACGGTGGCTCCCCATGATGGCTTGTAAAAGAAGGCGAACAGGAAGAGTAGGAACACTACTGCAATGCCAACAGGCTCGGATTTGGTGTTTCCACCGGGTGTTTCGGTGACGACGGCTGCGACGATGACCATGCAGACTGCCATGCCCAGAGCTCCGACGATTAGCAGGAACTTTCTGCCGAAGCGGTCGACGGTCCAGGTTGCGTTCATGGTGAAGAAGATGGCGAAAGTGGCGTTGAGAGCGTTGATGAGTGCGATGGTGGAGTCACTGGCAAACACCTTTTTGTAGATGATTGTGCTGTAGGTGTTGAGCGTGCCTTGACCAGTGATTTGCTGACCGGCGTTGAGCACGAAAGCCAACAGCAATCTCTTGCGCACAGAAGGGTCTTTCCAGAGTGCAGAGTAAGAGCTGGAAATCGCTTCCTTTTCAAACTCGAGGGCTTCCTTGATCATGAGGATTTCGTTGTCGACTTCTTCTTCGGTGTCGCGGACCTTCATGAGTGATCTCTTGGCCTTTGTGCCGTCGTCGCCGTGTTGGAGGTACCAGCGGGGAGTCTCTGGGATGAAGAAGACTTGAGACAGGATGAGGACAGGCATGAGCAGTTGGAAGACGGTGACCATTCTCCAGTCCCACTCGCCCAACTCGGCTCTGTGCTTGGAGCAGGCAAAATTGACCCAGTAGGCGATGAAGCTGCCTACCGAGTAGAACATTTGCCAGAACGACATAATCTTGCCTCGAATCTCTGATGGAGCGAGTTCACCAATGTAGATGGGTCCGGCGGTCAGAGCAAGACCTTGTCCTAGACCAACGATCACACGGCCGACGATGTAGCATGCGAGGTTGTGACGAGGAGTGAAAGTCTGGATTAACGTTGCGATGATAACGAGGGTAGCACCGGAAGCCATGCCGACACGACTACAAAAGTCAGTATGCTAAGAGCTGTCATCAAGGAGGGTTGGCAGAGCTTACCGGCCGAAGTAATCGGCAATAGGGCCGCCCATGAACCAACCAGCGACAATGGCTCCGACGGTGTAGGCAGTGTTGATAGCACCAATGGTTTGAAGACTCTGTGAGAGAAGGTCAATCAGGAGTTGTCTTGAACACAGCCATTGAGGTCAACGTACAGGCTTATCAAAGTAAGCGACCCAGTGCTTCGAGCCCTGTACTGCGTTGAAGACGGATGCATCGTAACCGTAGAGCACCATGCAAGAAGCAGCGACGAGAGAGATGTACCAGTTGTAGGCTCTCGTCTTGCTCATAGAGAACTTGCCCATTATGGCGGTAGTATCTGCTGAGTGATCGGCGTAAGGGTATGGACCAGAAAATGTTCGATCAAGATGGTACAAGGCAATCGAAAGGTGTGTCGGGGGAAGAGGTCGTGGAGAAGCACCCTCTAGTGCTGGACAAGATTGGATGCCCAATGGTATACAAAGCAAAGAGACTACCAGTGATGAGCAAGGTGCAGCTCAAGTTATATATGCAATCTCCCTCAGACCCTCTTCCCACCCCAGTGGAACAATATCTCCCCGTATCTTCCCCCCACGCCACTCCAGGTTATGGCCCCGACCCCGGTGGGCATGGGGTTGACAGATGGGGATCCATACTCGTTCTGGGCAGTCCAAAAGGTCCTTGCACTCATCTGGGGAACCCCAGGCCCCCGTCGGCGTGTGTCTTCCGCGTGGTGTCGATGTTTCGCTTGTGGCTCTCACGGAAGAATATATCAGGTTCATGGAATTCAATTCTTCCGCCAATCAGTGGCGTCTCCGTTTGAGCGGGACTAGGGCTCGTTCGCGAATCCGACGCCTGGCCGCGCTATCGAATCTGCTGGTGCAAGCATGACGAGATAACAACAGTTTGCCTTTGCTTCCATCTGTCCTCGTCTTGTCGAAGGGCTGCTGTTGATAGATGTTGTTCGTGGAAGGACGAAAGTTTCGGGTGAGGCTTGAAGCTTTGTTTGAGACCAACCTCGTGTGGAGAAAATCTCGTCCGTTGGTCCTCCAGAAAGAAGTCCAAGTCACGAGACAACCCATTGCACTCTTTGAATTAGGGCGTGATCGAGTGTGTGTAGACACACGGCTTCAAGCGAATTCATCATATCTGCAAGCAAGAGACGAGAAGGTCTGGAAAGAGCCCAGACATCCTCCGATCGTACAAGTCATCACTCCATGGGGCCCCTCGTGAATCCACTCTTACTGTAGCAGATCGATCTAGACTGTCAAGCGAGAAAACCTCCTATTTCGTCCTCCGTCTCTTGTCGCTTTCTTTTGATCAGGTTGTTCTACAGGAAAATCAATTTCATGGTCACGAAATACACCAAGGGACGTTGGAGATACAGAGGTACAATCGGATTCGGCATCTTCTGCTCAAGCTCCGCCAATGACTTCTTGATTGTGTATCACTCGCTACCATCGACGAGCCGAATCCTTGGCCGGCGTGCCTTATTATCTTGTATCTTGCTTGGCTACCAGCTCCTTCCTCACCGCAAATCAGACAGTGATTTGCGAATGTTGCTCAACTGACTTTTGAGTATGGCCTATCCTCGTCTCGCACCTCTCTTTGACTGGGCCGCGCAACGTCTTCTCTGTCGAGTTGTTTGTTTGTGGCCGACTTTGCTTCATCTGGGAGGAAAGATTCTGGGCATGTTGGCGATGTCTAAGGACATGTCAGCCGTCTGAGCTACGCTTTTCAAGTTTGCCTGCGACCTTACCAGCGTTGTCGACAACATACAACTGGACCGTGTGTCTGCGGAAGTTTATGTGATCCATAATGGCAGCACACAGCGACTCTCTGTCGTTGACTGTGGCTAGTTGACCGGACTCGATCATGTACCAAACGATAGACATGTGGGCCAGCGAGATGCGTAGGCGGGCCTCGATCATTGTCTTGAGGTTTTCAAGGGCTTCTGGCTTGAGCCACGCATACAGAGAAATGCTGGGGCGGCTGGGATCGTGGTTGATACTCTCTAGTGGAAGCTGGCAAGTAGAGACATTGTCTTCGATCGAAATCTTGTGGCGAGCGACCGAAATGATCATCATATTGACCCTAGGTTGCAAGACCATGCCAGGTACGGGGCCACTGGCCATAATGGTGGTTGATGTTGTTGTCAGGATTGTGTGGTGCACGGTACTGGAAGGCAGAGTTCAGAAAACAGGAAGTTGCGATTCCCTGAGTAACATCTCCCTCGCCTGCACTTCAAGCCTTCACAAAAAGAACTTCACCGTCTCCTGTTTTCGCAATCTTCACCTCAGTTTTACATTGATTAATTAGTGCGCAAGATTCAGAATCGCACAAGCACACCATATCACTCATTCCGCGAGTCGTCAATTCACACAACACAACCATCCCCTACCACCAAAGTGAACCCCTCAGTCTCTCACCATCCTATCTATCCACCTCAAACACCCACCATCAGTGCAATCGGCGGGATGGTGTAACAGCTTACGCTCACGCCTCACATTGCAACTGTTGGCAATAAACTAACCGTTCAGATCCCGTCGTGTACTGTCTTCAACTGGCTGAAGAGTAGCCTAATGTCCGTCATTGGGTGACCTTGATCAAGGAATATGAACGGGAGTTTTTCCATGGGCCTCCAGTTGTGGGTTTTTGCTGCTTTGAATGGAGGGAGGGAGGTGGGTGGATTGGTGTTTCGATTGTGGTTGTTTGACGAGAGGGTTGAGGTATCAAGTTCAAGTGGGCAAGCACACACGCATGTTGCATGGCAGTTGTTTAGAAGTTCGATGACCGTAGTCTGCTTTTTGGTATTACAATGCTTCGTTAAAGTGAAAGGGGTATCTTATCCTGACCATCAGAAAACGACTCAGTATCGACCAATACGGTCCGTCTCAATCAACTTGTTCAGAAGTGTCCTGAACATGCATATTCTTCATGCCATCTGTAACTGCACTCGTTCCATTCGTAGCAGGCGCCTTTTTCTTTGCAGGTCGCTTCTTCTTGACACCCATGCTGAGCGGCGCCTCCTTGATCCAGCGGCAGATAGCTTCAGCTCTCTCAGACGAGATGGGATACTCCTTACCATCATCTTGTGCCCAGCGCTTGTGAGCAGCAGTACGACCACCATTTACATCTTGCAGAGGCCCACTCAAGCCTTCTTCATCTTCCATAGCTCTACGTTCGCGAGCCCGGACAGCTTTCTGGAAGGTTTCCTCGTCGACTACACGCTCGTCGCCCATGGCATCAATGATAGCTTCTCGCTTTCTACGTTCACGTTTTTGTTCTTCGGTCTCTGTGATGGCGTTGTTGACAGTCAATGTGCCGTCTTGTGCACCGGCTGTGGCATCCTGCTCTGACTGAGAATTGGGAGCAGTTGGTTGGCACAGCTTTTGCCAGGGCTCTGACAATCCGATCCAGTTGTTAGCACGGCGCAGAACCTCAATCCAATCGGCTCTTGCTGGAGAACGGGCAGCTTGAAAAATAGGATACCCGTCTGCGAGTCGAGCGAGACGTGCAGCGTTGTGGGCGTGTCTGAGTAATTCAGTCGGTGAAGTCTGAATCAGAGAGTGGGCCAGCAACAGGGAGTGTAAAGCATCGGTGAGAAGCGGATGATATGTGACGGCCTCGCGATTGCTTACTGACAACGGACTGTCATCTGTTCTGTTGTTTTCTGCAGGAAACACTGGAAGATCAGGCAAAGGCTTCTCAGCAAACAGAGCCGAAGAAGGATAGATCTTTCTGTGAGGAATCCGAGGCCATCCATTTGCATCCCACTCCAATCCAGAGTCCGGAGTCTGGCTCGATTGATGCGAAGAACGAGAGCTTACCATAGGGCTACTACGTCCTGAGGATGAGTGACTGTTCCATTCTAGCAAGCGGTTGCGATGGATGGTGGTTTGTTTGTTATCTTTTGCCAGATCGTTAATTCTGCGGGTAATTTCGTCAATAATCTCCACCGGCAAACCAGGCGTATAATCAAAGTAGCCAAGGAAAGCGAGGTAGTCCTTGAGAGCCTTTTTCGCATTGATCTTGACGAGCTTGCGCGCATCCAATCGAGCTTGATGAGCCTCTTTTTCCTGTAGTGACTTGGCAATCTTATCGCCATTCTCGTTCTTGGTTCGCGCTTGTTTCAGACCGTCCAGAGCAGCGTGGACATTCTGGCATGCAATGCTGAGATAGACACCAGCTCGATTGAACAGCATTTGCTGTTCCAGGCTGCTCGGCTGATCGTCCTCTTTCAGTTGAGGCACTTGTCTCCAATCTTTGCCATTTCTGTTCCACCGCTCTTGCTCCTCCTTGTAGTGCTTTGCTAGTACCAATTGGTCTGTACCAGGTTTGTGCATTTTTTTGAGCTCTTGGGCTATCCTAAGCCCGAGTGACAGATCGCTCGCAGCTCCTTCGAATTGGCCCTTGAATATTTGAACAAGCGCACGGGTGCGTAGAGGAGCGGCTTGCTTTTCCCAAGGCAGATTTAGGATGACATCGTCCAGTGGCTCCAGAGGTGTGTATTGCTCCATCATTCTAGAAGGAATCTTTTCGTGGAAGAAGTGAACGTATTTGGCCTCGGTGTCAGTCTGATTGCGCCTGAGAACGTGTAGAGCAACTTCTTCGAGAGAAGTTGTGGATTGCATAGTCGCGACACTTGCGGCAACCTCATCCAATGCATATGCCTTGGACAACGATCGTGCAGCCTTCTGACGTATCTTGTATATGCGTTCCTTGCTCATCTTGGGGGCTTGTGGTCCTCCTTGTCCAAAGGGATCCAGATGATTTAGCGAGGCGTTCATGGCTGTGGTTGACATTCCGTTGGAGGCGCGTACGGCATCTTCTGTTGCCTCGTCGACTGCGCGTCGGATCTTGACTACATCGTAGAAGACGGCTGGATCAATCAACCTCGGTAGTGGCTGTGTGTAATTCTGATGAGCGAGCGAGTCCAGGATTTCCGGTGGTAGTTGCAGCCATGGGCCGTGAAAGGATGAGATGTATCGCCAGTGTCTACATATAACACATTAGCCGTTTATCCAACAAGTCAAGAGACAAGAAGAGGCGCATGAACGAGTTAGCAGCGAGAGAGCACCTACTACTCACTTGTTACGGCATATGATCAAAGAAGATGCGCCAGATGCGCCAGATGATGCAGCGTTGCGTTGTACGTTCTGCGCATCTGTGCCCTTCTTGTTTGCCATAGTGATACTGCGAATGAATACGCGTTAGGTCATGGTTGTTAGTCAAAAATGCTTCGAACAAAATATTATGCGAAAGCAGTTGGTAGAAAACATGCGGCTTCACGCGCCAAGGTCGACGCGAGATCGACATGGGAAAGAGCTCCCTTGCATGTGAAGGAGCATCGCTTTCTCAGCAAGCGCTGCCCTGTATATTCCATCCTCCTTGGTGGAGGTTGTGTCAATCAGAGAAGGAAAACGCTTGTTTGCAAAACATGAATCGGATACAGAAGGGTCGATAAACACGTCACAGGGACCAAGAAGAAGGAATATGCGGAAGAACTTTGGTATTGCATTGCATACTACAAACGCTCGCTGACCGAGAGTATGCGAACACATAAGAACAATTCTGTTATCTGAAGATATATCAATGCTCATCTTGGTTTCCGCTCGACTGGCGTACTTATCTCCAGCACCAACGTAAAGGTGTGAGCATATCACTGGAGTGATTTTTAGACAGGTTTACTCCTCTGGTCGACAGGCGTAGCTCATCTGACGAAGTCGTAACTTATTGTCGGGTGGCACAGCGCAGTCTCATCAACACTCAACCGCGGACTCATTGCAAAGTCAACGCTGGCTGGCGATGTGGGATCGCAGGTTGGACAACTTGTGAATTTTCGAGCGTATACCTCGATCGAGTTACAGAGAAGCGGACAGCGGGTGAGACCATCAAAACGCAACCTTCCGTCTCTCGTCGCCGGTAGGAACAGCTCAATCTTGCATCTCGTGCATTGACGTATTCGGGGTAGCATGGTACTCCTCTCTCTCGTCGTGCGAAGCAGAGCGTCTGAGAGGGCCAGCATGACCTCTAACTTTTTGACTAGGGAGGGCAAGCCTAGCTCGCGACCTCAACCGGTACATCCTCTGGCGAGGACAGGTCATTACACCAAAGGCGCAAGTCACTCCTGTTCTCTGAATCCTTTGTTGGAACCGACACTTCGCGTTCCAGAATCGTTTTAGGCATGAGAGCCTGTCCTTTGTGTTGTATGTCTGGAACAGCGACTCGTAAACCGGGTGAACGTCTTCAGCCAGAAGAAAAGGGACGTCAAGGCCAGTCAAAACTTTCGTGTGGTCCACAAGAGGGTCCTCCACGAAGGTGTTGAGCGTCGAGTCGTCGATTTTCTCGAGTCATGTCGCGCAGGGACGATGACAACGATCTTTTTGCAACTGTGGTTGCTGACTTTGTAGTCGAGGGTTTCTCGCGCAGGCCCGGGCGACCGTTGTCTGCGGATACTCTTCCGCCGACAGTGACTTTCATACGGCTTACAGTGGTCAGGTAGCGCAAGCGTACTCGACACACGGCGTATATACTCGGGGAATTGACGCGTGTGATCTCATGACAAGCTCGCACGCGCGGAGAGAGAAGAGAGATGTCGCGAAGTTGGAGGGCAGCGGATTATGTACTCCGCTTGTCGAGTCAGCACAGACCTTCCCAGCCACCAACCAGCCTCTGGAGTGAAATTTCACTACCACGCGCAGTACAGAGACGCAGATGTCGTCACGACAGAAATCGTCTATATAGATTCCGCGGTGCTGTTTATAGAAGTGATCTGGGTTGGATAGAAGTAGATTCAGGATAGGTGGTCTTACGACTGAAGGCCAAGTGGATGTATCTAAGCACGTGAGGAGGCAGAAAACAACATGTTCATCGCGCATAATCATCGCTCGAGGTTAAACCAAAGCCAACTTGGCCTTCCTTGCAGTATCGGAGCACATCCATCCCGCGGTCAGTTTTGATACATACTGCCTAGGTAAGGTAGGCAAGTGGTCGACAAAAGTGTATGGAAGGACGAAGGTAACATTTGTGTCTAGCTCCCACAAGAACAGCGCGACGACATACTTCGAGCTAGTAGAACGATTAGAGACCATCACTTGATTTGCGAGCAGTAACTAGTTGCCGGTGTCGATATTTCTCCTGTGTCCTTGAGGAGCAGACAGATGGCAGCGTGTGTAGCTGAGCTCGGGCCATCTTGGACTAACGCCAAGACACACAACTCGCTTGCCTGGCTTTTGAATTTTGGCAATTTCTGGCAGGAACCTCGAATCTGCGACCGTGAAGACGACCAGCGACGACCACTTCCCTTCGACACCTGTCAATCCAGTTATTTCGCCAAAATGAAGTACATTCACTCGAAGGAGACTCTCACCATCCCCGACGGTGGTACGTTTGCGCTTGCGAAGGAGGCCCTCTGCATCTTTTGAGAGAGAGACATGAGGGACGCAGAAATGAGCGCTTTGAACTGACAAGCAGCGCAGTCAAGGTCGACATCAAGACCAGACATGTCACCGTCACTGGCCCCCGTGGTGTCCTCGAGAAGTCCCTCCAGCACTTGGCTGTCTCGTTCTCGCACCCCGAGAAGAACGTCATCGCCATTGAGATGCACCACGGTGCCCGCAAGAACGTCGCCGCTCTCCGTACCGTCCGCACCATCATCTACAACATGATCGTCGGTGTCACCAAGGGCTACAAGTACAAGATGCGCTACGTCTACGCCCATTTCCCCATCAACGTCAACCTCGAGAAGAACAACGAGACCGACCGCATGGAGGTTGAGATCAGAAACTTCTTGGGCGAGAAGCTCGTCCGCCGTGTCATCATGGCCGATGGTGTCGATGTTGAGGCTTCCAAGAACGTCAAGGACGAGCTCCAGCTCACCGGTAACGACCTCGAGAAGGTCTCGCAATCCGCTGCCGACATCCAGCAGATCTGCAGAGTCCGCAACAAGGATATCAGAAAGGTGCGCCTACCTCTACAGCGTGCCTGCGCTACCTTCGACGGCTGCCGCACCGCTCTCTCCGGATCACAAGCACGCCTTGCTAACACACTCTACAGTTCTTGGACGGTCTCTACGTCTCGGAGCGTGGCAACATTGTCGAGGAATAAGCGAAAAACTTTGTTTCAACTTTGGCGAAAGACGGATCAGGGGACTTTGCTGCACTATGGGCTGCGTAGCGCTTCAATGAAAACGGGCAGATTTTTCGCGGACCAAAATTTCATTAACGACTTCAAAAAGAAAGACTCCTTGTTCTGTTCACTGAACGTCTCTGCTACACCACACGCCGACTACTCGAACGCCCAGCAGTGCGGCTTTGAGTTGTTTTTCGTACTTGATCGATACCGAAACTACGCCTCATAAACACCATATACCCGTCCGATGCACAACAGCAGACACACGCTTTGCGCCTGATGTATTCTCCTGTACATGGTCTCAAAAAAGGATCTGATGCCCTCTCTTTCTCTTCTTGTTCCTGAGCCTCCTATCCCGGTGATATATGTTGCAGTTCGAGCCTCCATGCTGAAAGGAAAGATTGACGAGTGATATTAATAAACAGAGGAAGGTACTGTTCTACCTTGATTTTTGGAGTCGTATCGAGACTCAGCTTCTGAACTCGCGAGCCGCCTTGGGCTCGGCCTTTGACACCTCCATGATGCGCTTGCCTCCCAAATCCTTGATCTGCTGCACCAGCTTGTCCTCTGCGTGAAGACCTGCGATATCGTCACCTCCACCAATGCTCTTGCCGTTGATCAGAACATTGGGAACTGTGCGTCTGCCTGTCGACTTCAGGAGCGCTGCTTGTAGTTGAGGGCCCAGAGGGTGGAGGTCGAGCTCTTCAACATAAGGAGCAGGCACAATGTTGTACTGCTCAAGCAGGATAGCCTTGGCCTTCTTCGAGTAGGGGCAGTAGCTCTTGGAAAAGATGACGACTGTATGCACCTGTTAGTAACTTTATGCGTGACTTGTCAGATCTAGACGTACTCGGACTCTTCTTCAAGATGGCATTTAGCTCAATCTCGACCTTGTGTTCCTCCTCGGTCTCGTCGGCATGTTCGGCTGGGTCAGGTTGTGCTCCTGTGTTTCCAACCTTTGCCACACCGTCATCCTTCAAGCCCTTCTCTCCCTTGATCATCTTCCTGCCTGCGACGCTCTTCTCAGCGGCATCGACAACTCCGTGGACGGCATCTTTGGCGCCCTCCTTGACGGTGTCAGCGACCTTTTGAGCTTTCTCGGCAGCCTCTTCGACGTCGACAGCAAACGGCTTCTGGTCCTTTCCGACTTTCTGACCGGGTACAGCAGCGAGGTCGGGATCACGGACGTTGGCGGCTTGCTTTTGTTTCTCGGCGGCTTCGTGGGCTTCTTGGATCTTTTGGTGGTTCTCTAGGTCGAGAGCTTCCTGGTGCTTTGTATCGAGAGCAGCAGCTGTGTTGGTATAGAACGGGCTGGATCGCGTAGATGAGGAAGCTGAAGAAAGATAGATGAAACTGAGGACGGCCAGAGCTGCCAGTAGGGCAAAGACCTTGACTCGGCGTTGCGAAGGCATGGTCGGGTGCTTAGGTAGGTTGTGGTTTTGATGATGGGGTAGATGTAGACAAAGGGAAATTGAACTCGTTGACTCGAGCAGTGATGATTGTTGGCGACAAGGTCGTCAGCTACAAGAAGGAAAGAAGCAGTTGGTCGCTGGTTGCGTGTAACCGTCGCAATGTCGATTGGGCCGCGGGCAGCGCTTGCGAGCGAGCCCCTGGCTCTCCACACACTTTTTGCCTGTCAACAAGCTCAAAGCAGCTCCTCTTCTCCTTGAACCTACATTCGACCTCGTACCATGTCCTAGGGCTCTACTTCTCAGGGTGAAGACTTGGTATTGAGGTTCATCTGCTTTGCTCGTTGCGCAGATCCAGAGTTGTCGGGACCCTGAGAGATCGACCTCTCGGGCCATCTGCTAACCACACTGCATCCGCCGCAACAATGCTGACCTGCTTTATGTACACCGCTCGATTCGACACACTATCATCCATCTGACACCGGCCGAGGCTGACATGTGCTTTGATGCCCCGCCGATAACTATCCGTACCTCACGTCTTTGTAAATCGCTTTACTTATGACATGGCTCCGTCCAACCCCAAGCGTCTACTGTATCGTTGCGCGATTTATCTTCCTCCCTACCGTCTCCCCGCGACCAATATCGCACTGCCACCACCACCCAGATACGGTGATGAACTGCTGCCACTATCACGGTGCTGCATCCGCCTAGTATTGCCTGCCGATTCGGCCATCTTGCTGTGCGTCCCACGTGCCCATGCTGTGACCCGACAAGGTGATTGTCCGTTACCATGTTTCGGGCTCTTCTTCAGCTTAAGTAGGCAGATGAGCTGCATTCCTACAATTTCGTTCTTGTCTTTGCCCCTCCATTGCTTTGTGTTACCTCTTTCTCTTCCTGCGAGCCCCATCAAATGAACGGGAACTGTCACGTACACTTTGACAACGAGACTCTGCAACGAGAACGGACGAAAGAGTCCATGGGTTCGCGCAAGAAGTCCGTCTCTGAGAAGGAAGCCGATATCGAGTCCGTCTGGTCGGATGAACCGTATGGCTTGGAGGAGCGCGACTTCAAGAAGAAGCAGGTTCGTGCTTGTTGCGCTCGTCAGCCGCAAGCCTTGCTGACCAGCCTAGACTTTCAAAGGGTGGACTCTGCTATAGTAAATGCCACTACCCATGCGAGCTGTGTATGGCTACTGACTACCTTCCGCCAGTCTTGCATATCAGTCGACAGGTGTAATCTATGGAGATATTGGCACAAGTCCTCTATATGTCTACTCATCCACATTTACCTCTGAGCCCTCGAGGGACGACCTTCTCGGCGCGCTGTCTCTGATCATTTGGTCATTGACTCTGATTGTCACATTCAAGTATGTCTTGATCGTGCTGGCTGCCGACGATGAAGGAGAAGGAGGTACTTTCGCCATATGTAAGCAACGATGTCTGTCTTTACACATTCATGACTTCTAACAACGCTGCTAGATACACTTTTATCCCGCTTCGTGAGTCCAGTACAACCAAGACGTCCTCTCTGGTGAAGCCTAACAATCCACACAGAGTGAAATCATGAAAAGAGATCCTCGAACATACCACGCCATAAAGATGGAAAGATACCCCAATGCGGAGCTTCCCAAACAAAGTCGCAGTATCAGAAACTGGCTTGAGAAGAGCAAAATTGCACATGCTCTGCTGAAGGTATTGGCTGTGTTCGGTGTGAGTCTGATCATCGCCGACGGCATCCTCACACCCGCACAATCTGTTCTCGGAGCTATCCAAGGTCTTACGGTGGTTGACGAGAATATCGGTAGCCCGACCATCATTGGTGTCAGTTGCGCTATCCTCGTCTTGCTGTTCCTGTTACAGCCTCTAGGTATACAAAAGCTTGCAAATTGCTTTGCTCCAATCGTCATCCTTTGGCTTCTGTTCAACGCCTCATTCGGTATCTATGTAAGTCTCGATACGCTCCGAGATCAAAGCACGTTTTCTGACAGCTGCATAAGAACTTGGTCATGCATGACTGGACGGTTCTAAAAGCTTTCTCTCCCTACTTTGCAGGCCTTTACTTCATGCGACTAAGGAAACAAGGCTGGCTATCGCTCGGTGGCATTTTGCTCTGCTTTACGGGTGTGGAGGCTCTCTTTGCTGATCTTGGTGCTTTCAGCAAGCGGTGAGTTTGAGCATTGCTTGATAGAAGGCCGTTCTGACAGTCAACAGTGCCATTCAGATTTCATGGCTCTGCCTTACGTTTCCGTGTCTTCTCCTAGCATATATCGGACAAGCAGCGTACATTTCGCGCACTCCTTCGGCATACTCGAACCCGTTCTTCGAAACTGTGCCTCCAGGCATGTTCTACCCCTCGCTTGTCCTTTCGATTCTGGCCGCCATTGTTGCTTCACAAGCGCTCATCACCAGCACTTTCCAACTGCTCATACAACTCATGCACTCTTCGTACTTCCCACAAATCAAGGCGACATATACGAGTACTGCTTTCCATGGTCAAGTTTACATTCCTCTTGCGAATTGGATCATGATGATCGGAACCGTCATAGTCACTGCCGTCTACAGCAACGTGAGTATATCAGTGATTGACTGAAAGAACCAGATCAGCTAACATGTTTCTAGACTACCAAGCTCGGTCACGCCTATGGTGTCTGTGTCATTCTCGTCACATTCATAACCACGAATCTAGTGACCCTGGTAGCCTTGATCGTCTGGAAGAAGAATCCCTTCCTCGTATTTGCCTTGTGGCTGCCTCTCGTCACTCTTGACGGCCTGTATCTTTCCTCTGCACTCACAAAAGTGCCCGATGGCGCATGGTTCACACTCCTCCTCGCCGTCCTACTCGCTTCCTTCTTCAGCCTCTGGCGCTACGGCAAAGAAAAGCAATGGGCCACCGAAGCCAAAAACCAAGCCCAATTATCCGAACTCGTCGCGTACTCCTCGAACAACCTCTCTTCGTCAACCGCCATCCCAGATGCCTCCGCGAAAAAGAGCTTCCACCTCTCCTGGCGCCACGGCGGCGGCGAGTTGACAGAAACAAAAGGCATGGGCATCTTCTTCGACAAATCGGGTACTGACATCCACGTCCCTCAAGTCTACGAACACTTTATCACGAAATTCGAAGCTCAGATGCAAGTGGTTGTGTTCTTGCACTTGAGAGCATTGTCAGAACCTCATGTGCATGAGGAAGAACGGTATACCATCGCACGCACACCATTACCCAATGTCTATCGCATGACCATCCGCTACGGCTACGTTGACAGGGTAGTAACACCTGACCTGGGCAAACTGGTCTACGAACAAGTGCGCATGGCAATTGTACGCGGCACAGTCCTCACTCGCCCCAAATCCACCATCCCAGAAACCGTCATCAGCAATGTGCACAACACCATCACCACTTTCGCCGCTGAGCCTTCCATCGCCGACAATACAGACACACACACTTCGGGTGTCACCGCAGCAATAACTTCCCGCCGCTTGCTAGCTCTGGACAATGCATTCAAGACACAAACTTTGTATCTGGTGGGTAAACAGCAATTGAGAGTTTACGAAGATACGACGATGGTGAAGAAGGTTTTGCTGCAGAGTTTCTTGTTTGTGAGGGAGAATACGAGGGCGAAAGTTGCGCAACTGGATGTTCCGGTGGAGAAGCTGGTCGAGGTGGGATTTGTAGGTGAGATGTGAGGCAGAGGGGAGTGAGAGGTAGAGTGGGAGTTCTGTGTATAGCGTGGGAAGCCTATGAGATTACGATGGATGTAGATAAAGGATGGTATAGTGATATGGAAACATCTGTGTCTGTTTGCTGTACATCAGTGTTGTCTTGACAAGCACTGGTCATGGTGATCGACGGGCGTTTTGGTCAGGGTCGTCCCTCAAGCATGGGCTCTGAAGCCGTCAACGACATTATCTGGTCCACCTCGAATCAATTCGGCTATTGGGTTTGCGTCAAAGAATAACATCATGTTAAAGAACGACCTTTGAGAACATGATACGGCTATATCACGAAATGCCTTCGCCAGACGCGAAATCTTGTTTTCTTGCTTCGTTCTCAGGCTGAGTGAGCTAGAAGTATGCAATCTTACGTTCAACTCTGGTCATTCTAAGCACAACATTATAATAATGTGGCCAAAAATCAGCTTGAACGAATAAGAATGTATCTCCTAACTATGCAGGAACGAGACAGGTAGGTAAATATGGATGTCGCAACCCAGCAAGTCAGTTATACACGCCTTCCTCTTCGGCAATCACCCGAAGCCTATCGATCACATTAACCAAGAGAAAAAGCAAACATTGCGTGTATCAAAGACTCGATCATCAATTCATTCTATAAAAAGTGGTATATGTACAAAAAAAAAACAAAGATCAGAACAGTTTTACTTTCTCCTTCAATATCGCAAAAGGGTATCAGCATCATTTTACTCGATCTTGATGCCGACCTTGCCAAAGTGCTTCTGGTCCCACTGGAACTGATAAGCCTCCTTGAGCTGCTCGAGCGTAAACACCTTCTCGTCGATAACGGGCTTGATGTTGTTGGCCTCGATCGCAGCATTCATCTCCTCAAATTGCTGTCTGCTGCCCACGTAGATACCGCGAACGGTGCAAATGTTGACGAGAGCATCAAGCAGGGTGGGTTGCTTGTCGCTGGTGCCACCGATGAAACCGATGATGGAGATAACGCCTTCGAGGCAGATGGCCTTGAGGGATTGCTCAAGGGTGTTGGGGCCACCGACTTCGATGATGTGGTTTACGCCGACGCCGCCGGTGAGCTTTTTGGCGGTCTCGCCCCAGTTGGGGTCGTCGCGGTAGTTGATGACGTGGTCGGCGCCGAGGGCCTTGAGTTTGTCGGCCTTTTCCTTGGAGGAGGTGGTCGCGATGACACGGGCACCGGCTGCCTTTGCGAACTGCAGAGCGAAGATGGAGACACCTCCAGTGCCCTGGGTGATGACCCAGTTGCCAGGAGTCAGTCTCTTGCCCTCGAGGCCATAGAGACCGTTCCAAGCAGTCAAACCAGCACAAGTGAGCGAAGCACCCTCAATGAAGTTGAGGTTGCTGGGCAGAGGGACAAGACCCTGCTCATCGTAAACACCGTACTGCTGAAGAGATCCATCAATAACACCGCCAGTGCCAGTAGCAATGGACTTGTTGTCAAGGGGACCAGCAATGTGGCCCTGGTTGAACTGGGTGATGACCTTGTCGCCGACTTTGAAGCGCTGGACATGCTTGCCAACGGCCTCGACGACACCAGCACCATCAGAGCCAGGAACGACGTTGTCTTCTTGGGGGAAGGGGTAGCCGCCAGCCGAGATGATCAGGTCGCGGTAGTTGAGGGAAGCTCCGTGGACTAAGTAGCAGGTTAGTATTGATCAATTGTGCTGCGATAAACACTACTCACACTTGACCAGAACGTCCTTGTCGCCAACCTCAGGCACAGGTGCCTCCTTGTTAAAGTTCAGGTTGTCGAAGGTACCGTTGCCCTTGCCCTGCACACGCCATTGCTGCTGAGTAGAAGGTGCCATTGTGTATGTTTTGATTCGAGTATTGATAGGAAGCAATAAAGATAGAGTTGGAATGTGGAAAAAGTCAATTGGAAAAGTACCTTACACGACCTTTTATATATCAATCAACGTGATGGTGATGGTCGAAGAAAAACATAGAATCGTAATGACGTTCATAGCTTTGCGCGGGGTGGAAGCATCAAAGCTTCTAGAACCGAGGGTGGTTTGTCATCGCCGCTCCAAGTTCGGAGGACTCGAGGGAAGGAGGCCTTGATTACGAGTCCTCAGACAAGACAGTCAAGAAAGCACACGGTTGCAAGTCTTCTCCATACCGTATCACAAAGGCATCTCGATGTCCCTTCACGTGGGTTGCAGGAGCAGTGCAGTGTGGACTGCGTGCGATGATAAACGGTACGGACGCGACTACGAGTGGATGTCCAAAATTGAACAGCAACTCTAACCGCGAAGTCTGCTGGCTTTAGCCGCCCGCACGTGTCGGCCACCTCTAACGGTTGCTAGGACAAAATAACAGTTCCAGCACGCCTGTCACATAATCACGCCGAGACAGCAGTCGTACCAAGAGGTTTTCGATTTCTAAGCATCGCCAGCAATTGTCTCAATAATTGCCGATGAGAGCAAGGATATGATAGGGTCTAGCAAATCTCCCTCACCAGATTGGTCATAGCTTTCGTCCATTCAAATCGCCAGCAACAACATCTCGCGTCCAGCTACCATCGATTGCCATGCTCACCTTCCTCAAGATCTTCTCACCACCGAAAAGAGCGCCGAATCTCTTGAGTCTCTCAGCCTCATCCATCATGACAAACCCAGGCAGGCCATAACGTTGCTCAGTTGAACAAGTTGGCATAGATTCAGGCGCGTTCAGCTTCTTCAGAACTACTTGAGCCGCAAACGCGTCCATACCTGCTTTCCTGAGGAACAATTCCCATGAGCTTTCATCTTGCAACAGCTGCACATCCGGATCATCAAGACCATAGCGAACCATGCTTGCAACGATCCAAGTCGCCAGTGCAGACTCATCTCCGGGAATATACATGACCTGTATTTCATGATTCTGTGCTGCACAGAAGTTGATGAGAGAGGCAAGTTCGCCACACTCGCGATTGTCCAACGGACGTTCCTGGTTGCTATTCTGCTCTTCATGCACCATAATGATCAGACGCTCATACCGGCGTGCAAGCTGTACAACACGCTCACGGACGACGTTTCGAGTGACTTGATATGGTAGGCTCTTCTGCATAAGCCTTTGCAGTGTAGTCAACATGAGTCCATGTCCAGGCGCTAGAATCAAATCGGCTTCATCGGCTTCTGAGGTCAGAGACGACGTACTACGCAACGCTCGAGCAGACGTGAAATCGCGCTCGATGTACTCGGTCATGCAGCTTAGACGTGAGATCTCCTTCATCAAATTTCTTCTTGCGAACATGGTTGACGATAAAACGAAAGTCCGTAATGGCATGGGTGTTGGCAAGGACGGTAGATGAATTGGTGTCGAGCTTGTTGCTTTGCTCGCATCGTTTTCTTTCTCAGTGTGAGCAACAGGTTTACCAGCGGGCTTGTCCACATGCTTGGGTAGGGTATGAGTCTGTGGCTTTGCATTGGTCTTTTGACCGGTGTGTATTTGCATGAAACGCTCTAGAGTATTGCTCGCCGAGAACGTGCTGGATGCCAAGGGTTGAGTTGCCATCGAAGTCCCATGAGATGGCAGAGGAATCAATCTGCTCGCGGTCGTCTTCGGGAGGGCGAAGAAGGATGATCGAGGCTGTGGAGTTGTGGCGGATTCGTGAACATCCGTCGTGCTAAGCGCAGTGCGATCCAGCACATCATCCGTCAGGTTGAGGCTACCTAGCATTAACGGAATCTCGACAGCCTCCATCTCTTCATCGTCGTCCTCACATGGATCCAGAACTCTCAGACCATCTAGCTTCCACCCTGAAGTTGTGTCTTGCGGCTCCTCGGGTCCAAATTTGTCCAGATGGTCGCAACCAATGTCTTCTTCGGGCAGGTCGCTAAGCTGCATGTCGAATGGTCGCCAACGTGATATGGCCCTATCAACTGTGCCAACATCGGGCCAGTGTTCGCGCGATCTGATGAACTCCCGCTTCAACATAGATACTAGTCCCTGCTGAGCCTCGAGTTCTGTCTGGTTGCCCCACGGTTTGCAAGCAAACACTTCCCATGGCGGTAGCGGACTTGTTGCGTCAACGGCGGGCACATCTACTCTCAGTATCGACTCTGCCTGTATCAGCTGCTCACCGTTGATGGCAAGCATTGCTGATTGTGCACCAGGCATGATGACTTGCTCAAGGAAATTGGATATTCCATATGTGTCGTTCGTATCACCCGAGGGAAAAGCTTTTGCGTAGTCGGGTATGGCAGTACAAAGCTCGTCTGAGAAGGTGAGTGTCTTCATCCTTTTCAATGGGGACGAGGACCCTAGAGCTGGAGATAGTGGTAGTTCGACCTTGTAATCCTCGGGCCTCTTGCGCTTCAATGGCGATTTGAAGTGGTTATCACTAACAGCCTCGATGTCGAAAGCTGAGATGTCTGACAGCCCGTCTAGAGAGAAGTCATCGTCCACGTCCATAGCGTCCGTGATCCTGGCAATCTCGGCCGGGACAGGGTCAACAGGACTAGTCGCCAATGGCATGCGGCTGATAGGTGAGTCCGGAACGCTGAATTGGAATGGAGAAGAGCATGGCAAAAGGGGTGATGTATGTCTTGCAGCCTCGTACTCTTGTCTCGCCTATTTCCGTTAGACATATGTCTCGGAAATATACACACACGGACTCACCTTCTTGTAAGGCGGTACACCGAGCTCCTGTGCCTCGGGCTCTTCAGGCATTGAAATGCATTGCTGTAAGAAGAGTATGTCATTCTTGTCGAGCTGCAGCTTCTCCTTCTTGATCTCTTCAATCAAAGTGGCAGGCAAACCAGGCTCTGGCCAGTACAGCGGTGCTGCTTGATCATCTTGCCAAAGAGCTTCGGACGATACTTCTTGCGAAGCTTTGTTTCGTCGTAAGTTCCGTGCCCGTATGAATCGTCGCTGCTCAAGTTCCGGATCTGTCGATAAGAGCAGTGGCTCGACCTTGTGATCAAGTGACGTGTTTCGTTGTCGTAAGATCTCAGGGAACGGCGCGACATCCAGCGAAGCAACCTGTTTGAGAAATACAGCACTCTGGAGATCAATGGTCCATTTTTCTTCGAGGTCGATTGTGTCTGGAAGCTTGAATGGTGGGAGCTGATTGGCCTCAAGATCAGGGCATTCCCAGAATGCGATTGAGTGAGTGACATAAGATGACAGAGGGTAGAGGGCAGTGTAGTCTTTGCTTAAACCGTAGTATCTGGCGTATTCGATCAGGGAAGGTTCCTCATCGTCCGCGTCCGAGGAGGCGTTGCTTCTTTGATCTATGGTCTCATCGTAGTCAGAATCCATTGTGACTAAAGAGCAGTCCATGTAGAAAAAGGGCAAGAAATAATATGGAGGTTGTCACACTAACAGAGTTGCAACAATGTCGATCGAGTGCGCATTGCATTCAAAGAAAGATGGAAGGTGCAATTTTCACGAGGTGTAGCTCTTTCCCTGAACACTAGCCAAATAGGAAGTCGCCTGGTCAATCCGTTTTTCACAAGGCAGGAACGTCCTCTGTAACAATGTGATCGGCAGAAGCGATAAATCAAATCAAATCAAATCAAATCCGATCATGTTTATTTGTTTCGCCACGATTGTCGATCGGAACGAGTGATTCACTATGACGGCCATTGATCAGGTTCCATACTGTATGGAGCAAGAATACGACTGTGATTCAGACAAGCCCAACAGGCTACAAGGAAATGAAAAGCTTGAAAATACACAATGGGGGTATGACTATGGGGAGAATTCAGATAAAAGCGAACACAGAGCATGGCAACTACTTTACAGAGCAACATCATCGAACTCGCTTGGTCCCTTGGTAGATGGCTCCTCAGCATGAGGTATACCAATAGCTTTGAGATTGTTGACCGAAGCAGGCTCGACAGACTTCTCCTCGGTTTCTGCAGATGGTTCTGGAACAGCGACAGATTCTTCGACGGGGTCGGAGCTAGCTTGCACCTCATGTGTTGGCTCAGAAGATTGTTCTTCTACACTGCTTGGGAGGTTGCGGAAAGGAAGATCGGAAACGGGCTTTTGTTGAGTATGTTGCGCAGAGGGCTGCTGGACTTCAGGCACAGAGTCTTCCTTGGGCGGTGTGGGAGGAGCAGTATCGGCGGACCCGTCTTTTGGTAGAGATGCAGGAACAGGCTCACGCTGAGGAGTAGGGATCTCGGGATGTTGAGCCTGCTCGGGTGTAGGTGGTGTGTGTTCGATACGAGGACTGGCGAGTGGTGGATTGACTCTGAGTTGCTGTGGCTGTATCTGGAGGTGTTTTTGCGGAGGTTGCGATTGGGCGGGAGCTTGTGATTGGGTCGAAGGTCGTCGTGAGTCGGAGTTGACCTGAGGAGAGGGCAAGGGTTGGCTGGTGGGACCAATGTTCCGTAGCTTGGGATCAGCGTCGAGGTAGTAAGCGCGGACACCGACTATGCGTCCTTCGCGTTCGCAGCCCTTGAGCCAGTCGGGCACAACGACGGGAACGTTCATATCGCCAGCCTTCTCCCAGGCCTGACCACGGCCCTCGGTACAGACAAAGTGGGTTGTGTCGATGCGCAGCGTGTCAATCATCTTTGCGCCAATGCGGTCAACGGTGGCCTGCAGGTCGTCGCGCAGTTGCTGAGGCATGATGCCGGGTGTGATGGTAATGCCGGTCAGGTCGGTCATCTTGTGAGTGCGAACGGTAAGACGGTCGCTGGTGTATGTGCCGGCCGAAGTGCGCAGGACAAGGTGGAAAGTGTATTCGCTATCGACAGCCAGACCCGAGATCTTTGTGCTCAGCTTGTCGCGGGGGATGTTGCCAGCCTTGCTGCCGTTACGGTATAAGCTCAGACTGCGCAACTCTGCGGTCGCCAGCTGTACAGGGTCCCATTCGAGTACGACCGAAGTCTGGGTGGCATTGCGACAGCGTAGGATGGGAGCGGACGGAGAGTGGATGCCGAAGGTCGAGTAGATGTCTTCCTGGAGAGCGTCGAACTTTTGGACCGCCTTCTCTTCAGCGGGCTCATTACGAGCTACGTTGATGTCTACGATAGAGCCCGAGGTGATGTCGGCGGGCAGCAGAATGGACGGGAACTCGATCTGTGGTGCGCATTAGTCTTGCCCGGCATGTCTCGTTTCCATTCAGAGCCATGGATTCGTACCAATCGCTTGTCCTCGGTAAGCAGTACTGCCACACCGGCATCGACCTTGCCCACAGTCAGTGACACGAGCATTTTTGAGTATAATCAATGTCGTTGACTGTCTGCTATAGCCGCGTGTTGATGTGAGCTGGCCTTGAGAGAGCAGGGTCCAAGCGCGTCCCTCGAAGGCGTTGGCATCAGCATCACCTGCCAACACACACAAACAACTCCAATTCCTATCTACACGATCTAGAGTTTGATTTTCTCTGGTCCATCTCTCTACGAATCTGTATGGACTTCAGGTCGCCTGTCCTCCCTCCTCAGACTACTGCTGTATGCCCTACGTCTTATGATGCCATCGAACACATTTGAGAAGCAACAACATGAAAGCTCCCTTGACGCACATTCCTACTCGCTTTCCGATACCATAACGTCTTGCGCTATCAATCAGACTTTTCTGTCTCGTATCTTCCCAGATGCAGCTATTTTGTCAGGACCACTTTCTTGACTCGCTCCAGCTTGGCTTCGCTTGCTCTTGTGACCGCCACAACCTAGACCACAAAACCATTGCTTTGCAACATTTCATCGTGTAGATCCATCCTCAAGCCCTCCAAGCACCAGATAATGGTCGCCGAGGCTCTCAACACTTTCAGACTGCCCTGAACACGGTGCCACCCCAAGGTATCATCTATCGCTTTTGGCTAGGGCAGCAATCACACCATCAACCTCAGTATCAGCTTCGCTGCACATCCGGCATACCGGTCGCGGCTCAGAGCACCATGCCTTGGCTGGTTCTAACAAAAGCAATTCTGGGCATCAATCATTTTTTGCTCGTCAATGCTTTTGGAAGGCCTCGGCTCACAACAAGTACGGATGCTTCGGGTAAGGTGCATGTGTGTAGGTAGGTATGCTCTTTACTTGCGATGAGAGCGACATAGGCTAGCATCTAGCATACTTCCCCAGGACCAGTTCTGACCCACAATGCTATCCCTTGTATCAACCGTCTCTAGCTCGTCCGAAGAGCAATGTGATCGACGCACGCAAGTCTTCTTTGCGTATAAAGTTCATCATTCTGCCTCGGACGGAGAATAGCCCTGGGGCAGCAATATCTGCAAGAGCTCACTCACAGCATCAGACGAGGTTTCGATGCAGGTCCTACAAAAAGCAGCATGATTGTGGTCGTCGATCACAATTAGTGTTCCTCTCGTACGTGGATGCGAGGTGCATGAAAACAGGTTAGGGGTGTCAACCATGATGACAGTCGATGTTTGATCAACAAACTCAAGTTCGACTTGGTTGAGGTCGGGGTGAAGAGTCGACAGACCTCCAAACAACCAGAGCTGTCTCGAACCAAAATGGACCAAACCTGTAGTCAAGATTTTCCAGTTTCGTTTGACAACCACTGAAAATCCCACAGACCTCTTCCCGCATGATGGAACAATAGCGTCAAATGGTCTGGGGTAGGTATGCATGCGTGCCTTCTCGAGAGGCCCTGATGGCCATCCCAAAGCAGAAGGGGGATCTCCGTCACTTGTGACTATACGATCGACCGGCAAGCAACAAGGGAGCGTGTGGCCGAGCTGGAAATAGTTCGGAAGGCACCGCGGCTGTTTGAAGTTGACGGTGGTGATGGATGAAACGTGCCAAGCAGAAGCTTACCCCAACTTCATCCCAATGCATCAGCTGTAACAATAACATTCAGACACTTGCTCTTACCCTATGCTGCTCGAAAAGGTCCAGAAGACTATTGCGGCAATGACTCGAGGACTTCTCGGCTGAATCCTACTCACGGGACTGTAATTAGCAGATGAAAGGTTGTCATCATGGGAGCAAGTTCTGACGGCTTGAGCGAAGCATTTGCTGAAACATGAGAATCTTGCAAAGACGATCAATCATCCTCATCGACCAAAAGAGGAAGCCCGTTCTTCCCTTACGGCCGCCTGCATATCCATTTGGAGTCGTTCGAGTTGATTGAAATTAATTGATCTCCCACTGACACATCGGAGTTCTGTTTGGAAGCCGTGCGGATGGCGTTATTGCCATTTTGGGAGCATCTGACCCCAGCTCAAGTCAAGGCCGTCTTCAAGTTTCAGCCACCTACAGCTCCACAACCTGTAACACCATCCGATCTGGCCTTGCTGCTAAGGCAGTTTACTGTTTGAAGTCTCTACCAAGCCTCGGTAGTTCAACCTTGTCAGCTCACAGACCCCGACCAAGAGTCAGTTGCAGTCAGTCGCTCAAGCATGCTCAAGCAGAACATGGTATAAGTATCTGCTCGTTCTCCAACAGGAATCGATTCATCCAGCATCACAGTTCCTTCTTTCTTCCTTCCTCAGGTTTCAACTGTTCAAGCCGGTCTCGACAGTCTCATTCGTTATTGCCTCTTTTTTTATTACATCTTTCAATCACTACAACAGAAAATCAACACAACTCTTCGACAATATGAGATACTCACTTACAACCGCAGCTCTGGCCTTTGCCATCTGCTCTATCGCTACCCCTGTCCCCACCTACGGTTCCTACGGTTCTCTGTCTGGCACAGGGTCTGCAGGCGCTTCAGGTGGTGCCTCCGGCAACACTCAAGTTTCTCCCGCCGCTGGAGCAAATGCTGGAGCATCGGGCTCAGGAGATGCCGGTCTTCACGCAGGAATCGGCGCATCAGGAGATGCCGGGCTTCACGCTGGGCTTGGTGGCAATGGAGATGCTGGGCTGCACGCTGGGCTTGGTGGCAATGGAGATGCTGGGCTTCATGCTGGGCTTGGTGGCAACGGAAATGCTGGGCTTCATGCTGGGCTTGGAGGACTTGGTGGTCTCCTCGGCGGCTTGGGCGGCCATGGCGGTCTTAGCGGTGATGCCAATGGCAAGGGAGGAATCGGTGCCAATGTTGGAATTGGAGGCGATGCAAAGGGAGGCGCTGGTGCCAACATCGGAGCTGATGGCAAGGGAGGCTTGAACGCTGGAATTGGAGCCAACCTCGGAGGTGGTGGTAAGGGGTCAGCTGGATTGGGCGCAGGGCTTGGAGGAATCGGTGGTCTTCTCGGTGGCCTCGGTTTGGGCGGCCATGGCAATGCAGGTGCTCACGGTGGTCTCGGAGCCGGGGTGGGACTAGGTGGAGATGCTTCTGGCAAGGCTGGAGGCGATACTGCAGTCGATGCCTCAGGAAACGCCTCGGGTGGTGCTTACGGCAACGGTAAGCCTCCATCAGGCGACAGCTCTGCCCCTCCTTCAGACACTGAGACCGATGCTGCATCTGGAACTCCCACCACTCCCGATGCCTCGTCTCCTTCCGCATACGGCTCTGACAGCTCTTCGCCCGACTCAAGCTCGCCTTCAGACACTGAGACTGACGCTACATCTGGCTCAGCTGCCCCGTCTGCTCCCGCCAACACTGATGCTGCTTCAGCACCTATGTACGGTTCTGACAGCTCGGCTCCCACTCCCAGCGAGTCTGCAGTCGATGCTGCATCTGCCTCAGGAGCCTCCGCTCCTCCTCTTGCCACTGGCGCATCCGGCAGCACTTACAAGTCATACATCAAGAAGCGTACCTACGGCGCAGCTTCTGGGGAGGCATATGGTGCACCTTCGGGAGCATCTGGCGGTCTTGGGGCCCTTACTGGCGGAAGTGGACTCGGTGGACTTTCCAGCTTGGGCGGACTTTCCGGAGGCCTTGGTAGCTTGACCGGTGGAAGTGCTGGTGGCCTCAGTGGTCTTACTGGTGGTCTCAGCGGCTTGACCGGTGGTCTCGGCGGCTTGACTGGGGGACTTGGTGGATCTGGAAGCGGTTCGGCCGGAGCATCAGCCACTGGCTCGGCTGGAGCGTCAACCAGCGGCTCGGCTTCTGCTGATGCATCTGGAAACGGTGCTGCCTCGGGAGGTCTTGGTGGACTATTCGGAGGCTCATCTTCAGGTAGCCAGTACTCTAAGTAGGATTGTCAATACACATCGCTAATAGCGGTCTAGGTTCTGCTACAAATGGCTTTGGCTCTCTCGGTTCTCTCGGTTCATTGACTGGTGCTGCTGGCGGCGCTGTTTCCAGCAACGATGTTACCGGTAACACTGGATGCAAGAAGACCACCTTCATCTTCGCTCGCGGGTATGTGAAACTCTTCTCAAACAAACCATGATTCAAAATAGCTGATCATTCTTCCACAGTACCACTGAGATGGGCACTCTCGGCTCCATCGTCGGACCCGGTCTCGCCTCAGGCCTCGTAAAGGATACCGGTTCCTGCGCCGTCCAAGGCGTAGACTACCCAGCCGACGCAGCCGGCAACGCCAACATGGGAGCCTCAGGTGGCCCCAAAATGGCTGCTCTCGTCAACCTCGCCCTCCAACAATGCCCCGACACCAAGATCATCCTCGGCGGCTACTCTCAAGGTGCCATGGTGGTCCACAATGCGCTCAACTCCATCGATGGTTCCAAGATTGCTGCTGTGGCTGCTTTCGGCGATCCCATGAACGGACAGAGTTTCAAGGGTGTGGATGACAGTAAGGTGGTGAGATACTGTGGTTCTACCGACTTTGTCTGCGATTTCAGCGGTAAGACTCAGGGAGCTGGATCGCATCTTTCGTATGGCTCGAACTTGGCTGAGGCTTCGTCTCGTCTGTGTCAGATTGTGGGTGTCAAGGCTTAAGGTGTCTTGTCGCAGCAGAGCCGTGACACAAGAACGAAACGAGAAGGTATTTCGCTGATTTCGTTTTCTCCGGTTGTATCTCTCCCTTTCTCTGTTTCTCGAACCAAAGCAACTTGGTTTAGCCACTCTTTTGACGTTCTCAGTACGCGGCATATATGGTTATACAGACACAGTAGTGGTTATATGAGTAGCTCTTATCAGTATGTCAGTCTATAAAGCTCCAGTAATCAAGGCAACATGTCTTTTCTCTCATCTCTCTTGGTTGTCCAGTGTGCAAGGTGTATGCAGAGTTCGTGTTTACAATATCTTTCAACCAGAGTATACGAAGTAGGATGTCTGGTCTTGATAAGGACCCAGTGCATTTGAACATCGGGACCTCAATGATCCCCGGACTGCCTCGCTGAACGGCGTTCCCGCCTCATGATTGACGTCTCGTCCCTCTTGCGCCGTCAAGGGAGCATGCCCAATGCCATCTCTCAAGGACGGTCTTCTCACCGTCGACATTCCAGGAAAGAAGAAGAAGAAGAAGAAGAAGAAGAAGAAGAAGAAGAAGAAGAAGGAACTCGATGCTTACCTTTTTATGTGCAACCAGTAAAGTCCTTGCGTCAGGCAGTGAGCTGTGTAGGGATGCAGTCATTCCATCAACCCCTGTCTAGCCATGATAAAGAGTAATCGGTCCCCACTTTTCGAAGGAAACACGTACGCATTTGTGTTGTAATGGTTGCAACTCCCGTTCTAACAATATCCTCCCCGTGTGCAGGACTATGTTACGCTGACGGCCATAGAGATGCACAATCCCCTTGGTGAAAAGAAGGCTTCCACAGAGAGCTCATGAGGAAGCGATGATATCAGGGGCTCTCAGTGGCTGTCAATATTATTTAGTAACAACCATGCATTGTGATAGCTTTAACTTTGCCTTACCGTTATCATGAGAGCAGGCGGTAGTGACAGCCCTGGCGGTGGGAGAGTGCGTTGGCTCGCATCGGGACGGAGACTGGACAGAAACCACCCATGATTGCGTTGACGATGTGTGGTTTATGGACTCCGCTGCACGGGATGCTTGACCCATGAGGCGTCCGAGCGAATCAACAGATGGACGAGCAGCTACTATGGACTGAGCAGCCTACTCCAACTCTGTTTCCATGTCGTTTCCAAAGGATGGAGCAAAGCAACCCTTGATATACTTGCCATATATGACCGAGACACTGACGACAGTGACGCTGCCGCGGCCGTTGATGTGCGATGCCAACGCTAATGCCTCGCGGACATGATCTTGATCGTGTAACTTTGTGGCTGATTGGCTGTGTCGAAAGATGAAGGTCAGATGGACCTTGCGGCGCTGAGTTGTGGCAGCATATAACTGCTTGAGCAGTTGGGGTGACGGGAGCTGGCTACGTGAGGCATACGCGGGTGCAATGGGAGGAAATAGATGTGCCGCTGGATCTGATGTCTCGTTGGAAGGAAGCTCAGTAAATTTCCATGCCTGAATCTGGACACTGTGAATGGACCCCGCTGTGCGACCAGCCGATGCCTCGGGGTACCGCACTGCCATTTGTAGACTGCGAATTTTGGTCTTCCAGAGGATTAGAAGATCGCTGGTGGTGAGAGGTACAAGCTCGAGAAGAGCGGAGTCGTACAAAGTATCAGAAGCAGAATGCGATACTCTATAGAGGAGGACATCGCAAGGATCGAAATAGCAGGCTGCTTGGGATGGCCACCAGATGATGGCTTGTGGCGAAGGAGAAAGGAAGATGGGTCGAAGTTGCTCAGGATGCGGGTCGTGTGCGAGCGGTGACTGGATGAAACAATATGGGCGTAATGGGATCGGGGGTCGGGAAATCCTTTCAAACAGACGTGATCTTGGTTAAGGGCGGCTGAATCTGCCTGGTACATATCGGGTGCGTGGACCTTCGAGTAATGCTGGCGCATTAGGGCATCCGTGTCATACTTGGAACGACATTCAGGGTGGCTGCAGAGATGCATGCCGTCTCGGTATAAGTCGGGCAAGGGCGCACGGGGAGCAAAGTAACAGTCGAAGAGGACGTGGTGTCTTTGTTGAAGGGGATCGATGAATCCAAGCCGGCAACCAAATGGACATCCATGCAGGCCCATCTCGAACATCTCGATACCGTGGAGGAGAGCGTGTTCCACAGATTGCTCGTATGTCAAGCCATTGTCGAAGGCTTCGTGGCATGAACGGGCCGGGCATGTGAATCCAAACAATCCGTTAGGACGGAGAGTATGTGTAACCATTGTAAGGGTGGATGCCGTCTGTCGACCGATTGTAGAAACACTAAGTGGCTTGCCCGATAACTTCACATCTGGCTCGGAGACTCCATCTCCCCAACGCGAACTGGCTTGACGGTGTCTGATGAATTCAGCGGCGTCGCCCTCTTCATCAGACGAATCAATGGGGCTAGAAGGGCGGCTTGCAGGATGGCGACTGCCCTCTTTCTTGACTGGCCTGCCTGATTTCTCAGTGATGGACGGACTGGTGTCGAGGTGGCGTTTGCCTTTGCTCATGGACAGACGATATGCGCCTGTGGCAGCGTGGTAGCCGGTGAGCATGTAGTCATTCTCCTCTTCCAGAGACCGGCGGAAAGTCGTCATGTGAGGACTTGGGGCCTGAGCGACGAGAAGGCGATGGACGGTCACTGATGGGATCATCCCGCTCGTCACCTGAAGACAGAACGATGGTCGGGCGAGGCTCGCGGACCTTGGATGCATTGGAGCGGGGAGGTGAAGGTTGACGCTTTATGATGGCGTCTCCCATCTTTGTCTCTTTCCACGCCTGTTTCTTGGATTCCGAGTGAGGCTTGCGTTGACTAGATGCACGGGATGCCGCGCGCAGTGCAGTCGAAGGAATGCGGCGGGAACTTGGTGGGGCATGCAAAGATGATGATGTGTCGTAGCCAGGGACAGGAGTGACAACGCGATCGTTCGATGCGAGTGTCTGTAAGCTGTAGATGTTGTTGGTTAGGTGAACTGAGAGAAGAGTAAACAGAAGAGTAAAGACGAGCACGTACTGTACGTTGGCAAACGCCTCTCCAATGCGATCAATTCTCCATTTGATCCCGTCAGATGATAGCACCTTGATACCAGGAAAGCTGCGGACTGGCGACTGGAGTTCCTCGAGGATGAATGTTGAGGATAGATGTGGCATGATACGCACGATGATTTCAGGGATATCCGAGATGGTTTATTGCTGCTCAGTGGAGTTCATGCTTCTTAATGAATGTACGGTGGAGAAGGAGATGAGCAGATGATGGTTTGATATGAGCTGAAGACGTGATGGAAACAAGAGTCAAACGGAGCTGTCGACCAAAACAAGGAAGGGACACCAGAGAAGGAAAGAACGAGGGGCCACCAAACAACGAGCTGTACCAGATCCTACCACTTTCTACCTCGAATCTCCACATTCACGCCTGATCTACGATCCTTGACAAACTCGTGATTGAAGGTGATTAGTGTGGATGAGACAATACTATACCCTCGACGTACAAACCTTCCGGACTCAAGGACACCAAAGGAAGGCCGACGCTTCAGAGTCCCAGAATCCGCTGGCCAGCAACACCATACCAACACAACCCCAACACCGCACCTCCCACGACCGCCAGCGCAGGAGGAACTTTGAACCACGCAGCGCCGGAATACGTAACCGCAGCAACAACAACCCACCAAGGATCTCCCGCCAAACTTTTGCCTCTGCCAGAGGTAAGAGTCAGGTATCCGATTTCCCAGAGACGATACACGGCAGCGAAGACCAAGCCCACGGCTGCAGCATTGATGCCGCGGAGAGCGGAAGCGACGATAGCCTTTGTGCGTACGCGTTGCCAGATCCCTGATATGGCGGTCGTGAGGGTGAGGCCAGGGAGGAAAATACCGACGAAAGAGAGCACAGCGCCTGCAAACCCTGGAGTGTGATGGGAAGAAGAAACGGCCAAAGCACCAAGATACACCGCAAAGTTGAAATTGGGACCTGGGAAAGCTTGAATGATGGCTAGACCAATGAGAAAATCGCGAGAGGATACCCAACCAGGCTCGACGGTGTATTCGCGGAGTAGAGGGATGACTACGGGCCCGCCGCCGAAGATTATGGTGCCGGCTAGGTACATGTTTGCGAAGAGGTCGAGGATCAAGGGGGGAGCGGTGATAGCACCTCGGGAGGCGAGGATGGCGGCGAAGGAGGCGAAGAAGAGGATGACGATTGCGATGCTTTGCCAAAGAGTGAAAGAGTACTTGTGGTCTTGTGATTCTGGCGCTTCTTCCGTAAGTCGTTCGGCAGCTTCAGCATTTGTGATGGCAAGCTTGGGAGGTTGTGGTGTTGCGGTTCGTCGCTGTGAGGATGACGCTCGTGATGCCGACATGTCCTGTAACGGGATGCTAGTTGTTGCAGTTGGCTGACTTTCTTCCGCCACACGCTGTCGGTTGATGCGTTTTTGCTGGCGTTTGGCCAGGGATCTGCCGATTGCGCGGCTGAGGTAGAGGTCCCAGATGACTGCTACCACACCACCAATCACTACCAAAACTGGGAAGTACCATAACGCCGAGTAGCAGAGTCCAGCACATGCGCCGAAGATGACCAAGATGCGAGATAGAGGATCAGTGATGGCCTTGGTAGCAAGCTTTTTGCAACAATTGCGTCAGTACGTTGTGAGCTATCGAGTAGCTCACGGCAAAGGACTTAAATAATGGAAAAAAGGAAGGGTTATAATTTAGAACCGACTCACCTGTATAGCCGCTAGAGCGATGATACCGACCGTCGAGGCATTCAAGCCAGACAGTAGACCATACACAGGACCAGGTAAGGTCTCACCAATCTTGGCAACACCGACGGAGAGCAGGAACATGCCAACAGCTCCAGGAAGAGACCAGAGACAGAATGCAAAGATAGCGCATACTAGACCAGCATGATACATGACAAGACTGTACAATAGCTTCGTACTTGCCGGTCCAGGCAGCGCTTGAGAAACGGCAAAAAGCTCTTGATACTAGATTCAATCAGCATAATCCTCAGGAAGTCTCCTATTTGTACATAGAACATACCGTCTGCTCATCAACCCACGCCGCATGTCCAGCTCTGCTTTCCACAAATCTTTGATGCAAGATTTGAAAATGAACAGGCGGCCCACCGAAAGCGGTAAATCCTAGATCCCAAGTCCTGAGGAACACATCTGCCAGACGGAAGAGCAAATGATTGGTATTCGGTTTGCAGGCATTGTTTGTATCTTTCTGATACTCATACACGGCGCGGAAGCTGAAGGGCATGTAGTCAGGCCTTAGATGGTCAAGTGCGTTTTTGATGTTCGAGTGCATGTTGTGTGATTGATCGCCCTCCAAGATTGGAGTCTTTGGGTAACAATGACAGGCGACCAAGGCATGATGAACTCATCTCTCTAGAGCGATTGATGTTTTGTCTCAACCCAGAATATGGCTTGGCTTTGAGGCTGTCCAAAGGAGAGAGCTTGCTTTGAGCCAATGAAATGCAAGGGAGATGATGGAATCGATAGAGAACGTCCAGTGGCTTACTCTGTAACGTCCAGATCGCATACCACCGCTTCCCAAAAAAGAACTGTCATAGAATCATTACATTTCATGTCAAAAAAAAACACCGTGAGGTCTTCCTACCTGTCAAGGAATATAAGAAGAATGCTCCAACGACCAGGTAATGCCGTGTATATCTGTGATTGTCAACCAACTGTAAGAATAACATCCCAACTCTAAAGTGGGGTAGCGGATCATCACCCCACATGGGAGCTCATACGTATCACCTCGACCTCCCCAGCTCTCTCCACGAGTTGACCAGATCCATTGAAAGCTTACAAGACTAACAACCGAAACCATGTCAGCACCAAAGAACCCTCCCTTCAGAGCCGAACACCTAGGCTCTCTCAAACGCCCAGACAACCTCCTCGCCGCCCGCCGTGATATCCACGAGCACAAAGCAACCCAAGACTCTCTGCCCGCAATCGAAGACAAAGCAATCGCCGACGTCGTCAAGATCCAACAAGAATGCGGGTTCCACGCTCTCAGCGATGGAGAATACCGTCGCCACATGTTCTGGGGCACTTTTTTTCCTTCTTTGAACGGCTTTACTGAAATCCAAGGACCTGATGCTGATATCTTTCGTGCATATGTTCCCGACATTGCTGCATTCTTGGAGGCCGATCATGTGCCAGGAGAAACGGTGATTTGTGATGGTAAGATTGAACACACGGGCAACAGCAGCTATATCGAGCAATTTGAGTATATGAAGAGTATTGTACCCAAGGAGCAGTGGGGGAATATCAAACTCACGCTTGCTGCACCGAATTGGTAAGTCTTTGATTCGCTGTGTTGCTTTTTGCCTATTGAAATCGGGGGGCTGACGAGTGGACAAGGTATCATTTGAGATACAAGACTGGCAAAGCTTACCCAAAGGATGTGTACGCCAACGATGAAGAGTACTTTGCGGATATTGCAAAAGCATACCAGATCGAACTTCAGATTCTCTACGACGCAGGCTTGAGAAATGCCCAAGTCGATGACCCAAACCTCGCTTGTACGCATCCCCATTCTCCGTTCCAGCCTTTGTAGACTCTTCATGACAAGCCTCAAAACTAACCTCCCTCATCAGACTTTTGCTCCGAAAAGATGCTCGACGGCTGGGCAGCAGACGAATCCAACACCCAAACCGCCGACGAGCTCTTCGACAGCTACATCTCCTTCTACAACAAATGCTTCATCCGCCAGCCAGACATGCACCTCGGCATCCACCTCTGCCGCGGCAACTTTGTAAACTCGCGCCACTTCAGCGAAGGCGGCTACGACCGCATCGCCACAAAGCTGTTCCAACGCCTCAATGTCAGCACCTACTACCTCGAATACGACACTGCTCGTGCCGGAGGCTTTGAGCCCTTGAAAGCACTGCCAAAGGACAAGTTTGTGGTTTTGGGTGTGGTGACTAGTAAGTTCCCGGAGTTGGAGGATAAGAAGGAGATGGTGGAGAGGGTGTTGCGGGCTGCAGAGTTTGTGGCGGAGGGTAGTGGGGAGAGTAGGGAGACGGCGCTGCAGAGGATTGGAGTCAGTCCGCAGTGTGGGTTTGCGTCGCATAGTGAGGGAAACCTGTTGACATATGATGATATGGTGGAGAAGTTGAAGTTGGTTAGGGCGATTGCTGATGAGATCTGGCCCGGTGAGCCTTGAGATGTTTTACCCATACACATTGGAAAGCGATTGGATAGCACAAGCATATTTGGAAAATTGGAGGAATAGCAGTTAATTTGATTGTCACAAAATCTAATTCTTGTCCATACTCTTTCTCCCCGTCAGAACACCGCCGTGTCCATCTTGTCTCCTCTGCCTCCTCCTTCCCGCAACCTCATTAGCCCACTCCTGAATCTGGAAGACCCAGCCACCGGCAACCAACACACCGCTGACTACATTGACCAATCTGACCAACAGACTCAACAGGCCACCCCACTCCTCAGCAATCGTCAACATCAGAGGCTCGATGTCAAACTTGACAAAAATACCAGGGACCTGGCGTTCCGAGACGACGTGTGATTGCTCAGTGACGGCGTATTGATTGGTGAAGATTGTGTTGCGAGGCAAACGCACTTGCGGAACCGAATCATCGCCAGAAGACAACGGGACAGCCGCATCAGAGTATTTCTGCAGAGCCCCCGGGTTATCCGTATATACAGTCGGCACAACCGAAAGATAGTACTGGAACTTTTCAAAGTGCTGCTCGGTAGCGGTGCGCGTATTGTCCAGCGGATTGTTCAGACCGGGGTAGAAAGGACCGAAACTCAATTCATTGATGTAATGCGTAAAGTTGAAGGACGAGTGATCCAGGTGTTGGCCAAACTCCATGTAGCCGTGTCCGCGAGCGGTGATGTGGAAATCTCCTTGGACCTTGTTGAGCTCGAGACTGCCAAAGATGCGGCAAGAATCGGGGGAAGCACCCCTGCCCAATCTCGGTGTTTTTGCATATTTTCTCTTCTTGCGGGCAGCGCCCAGGTAATCGTGAACATCCTCCTCTTGATAGTCGACACCGCCTCTTTCGGCTGCGCTGCTGCCGAGGGAATGGGCGCCTTTGATGTTGTCCCAGTGGGACCAGATGGTGGGGTCGCGGGACAGAGCTTGAGATGCCATGATGCGATCGCCAGAGGCATCTTGGACGTTGAGGTGTAGGTCGTCGCACTTCATGGCGACGACAATGTCGAGGTTGAGTTGCAGATTGTGCGAAACGCCCTTTTCGACGCTGAAGGTGTGGTGTGTTTCGCCCACGTACCAGCGGCGCACCTCGGTCACTGCCAGCAGGAGCGAGGCCACGGCGAGGAAGAGCGTCCACACTCCTCCATTCTGTGTCTTTGTCTGGTACGAGGGTTTGGTTTTGGCTGTGCGGGAGACGGTCAGCGCGTGTGCTCTCGTAGAAGAAGAAGAAGCTGGCACGTACGGAAGGCGTCAAAGGCTTTTACGACCGAAGAGGCCTTTGACTCTCCAAAAGCTCCCTCGTCGAGCCCATGGTCGGAAAAGCCATTCATGTTGACGGGATTGACATGTGAAAGAGTGAAACTGTTGGAAGGCCACCTAACAAGTCCCTGACATGTTTCACCCCGCATTTTGCACCATCTCCACATCAACATCAACCTTCTGTTATCCCCGATCTCACTTTGTATCTGTCGACCATACATCACTAGAGATATCATCAGTCGTCTTCCACGTTATATAGAGAGTACTTGCACGTTTCAACCCCACTTTCTGATCAAGAAACAAGACATGCTCGTCAATTCACTCCTCATAGCCAGTGCCTTCATGGCAACCAGCATCTATGCCTGGAATAAAGGTAATCAACAATCCTCTATACATGCCATTCGCATATTCTAATCCCCACCCAGACGTCCATCAACAAATCGGTCATGCCGCAGAACACCTTCTGACCCCCTCCACAAAGTCCATTCTCTACCAAATACTCGAGCCCCACTACAACAACAGCATCGGCCTCGCAGCAGCATGGGCAGACGACTACGCTCACACCCCCAAAGGCGCTTTCAGCTACCAATGGCACTGGATAGATTCTGCAGACGACGCTCCTCGCTACTGTAATGTTTACTATCACCGTGATTGCTCAGCAGGCGGTTGCGTGGTTTCTGCTATAGCAAATCAGACGCAGATTCTAAAGTCTTGTATAGACAGAGTCAAGGCTGGTGAGCTGCTGAATGGAGAGGATACAACTTGTTCGCAGGCATTGAAGTGGGTAGTGCATTTCCTGGGCGATATCGCACAGCCTTTGCACGCTTCGGGGCGCAAGGCGGGAGGCAATGGCATCGAAGTTGTATTCGGGAACAAGACTACCGAGTTACATGCTGTAAGTTTCTGCTCTTGCATCCTTTCCATCACTCCCATGTAAATTTCTTTTTCTGACGCCAAAACATAAGGTCTGGGATGGCTACATACCCTACGCCGACGCGAACGTCACAAGTTTCCCCAATACAACCATCCACCCTTTCTTCTCAAACCTCCTCTCCCGCATCCACGCTGACGACTTTGACCTCCCCACTTCGGAATGGATGGCCTGCTCCAATCCCTCCAGAGCTCTAGAATGCGCACTAAACTGGGCTCGCGACAGCAACGCCTTGAACTGCGATTACGTCTATGCAAAAGACATCGATGGTGTGGATTTGGCGACAAGTGGGTATGCGAGTGGTGCGTTCCCTATCGTGGAGTTGCAGACGAGTAAAGCGATTTTGCGGTTGGGGACTTGGTTGAATGGATTGGTGGATGGCCAAGGCAGTCATGCTCAAAGTCTTGTGGTACAGACGGATCCGAGTTGGTCGATGGATTCTGATCGTGGCGAGTAGGATGTTTGCCGATGCTGTATATAGATGAATACAAAACTCTGGATCACATGTACGACTTGTCAGTGGTCAATTCAGAGAGAACCATGTGTGGTATACGGAAAGCTCGATATGAAGAATCATGTCATGGTCTCCGAGAACAGAGGCTCCTACTTACGCCATACTCTTTGTCGGCAACGGCATTTCTCGGCTACAACACAGGCACCGCTTTAGAAGTGCGCGTTGTTGAAAGAAGGAAAATACCACAAAACTTTTATTACTTTCCTAGTCTTGGAACAACTTGATGTAAAAGTGCTCTCCCGTCTTGACAACCTCCATCTCCTCACCCACTCTGATCTGCTCACTACCCCTGGCATCCTTGAGTAAAGGTACCATTTGCATGCCCAGCACTGGATGAGCACCAGCACCTTTATCCACAAACCCTCTTGATTGTTTCAGAGACTTGTAGGGCTCAGCCCGGTCTTTGATGCCGGTCTCAGGGTCGACGTTGGGCAGGTCGCAGCGTGTGGTGCGGCAACTGACGTGGTAGTCGAGGTTTCCCGAGCGGATGACTTTCCAGCCGTCTTCGGCGAAGGGTGGACAGCCGGTTACTGGTGTTTTTGTTAGCTAAAGGTCGAGGTTGAGGGGGAGCGTGAATGGTACTCACAGTATATGTTTGCGCGGAAGCGGAGCGCATTGAGATGAGGTGTTGTTAGGTTCTTCACTGTCTTGGATACTTTTTGTACAGATGGAATGCCCATGATGGATAGCGGGTACTGTTACAATGTCAGCGACTGTTATTTATATTCAAGACCCAAGACAACTTACAGCATCAGCAAAGCCTACGCCGGGTTGGTAGCCAGCCTCTTCTGCCGAAGGTGCATTTCTGAACACTTGGCGATGGTTGAGGGGGTCTGCCATGAACAGAGCAAGAGGATTGGAGACACCAAGGAAGTACTTCAGCTTTGCCAGTGTATCTGGGGGTATCTCTGACGTGACGTTGATGGCCATTGGCGAACACTTCCAGATCTTCATGACTTCCCGGTTGTACTTGCTTGATCTCTTCTCGTCAGGGGCGATGGGAAGCTTGAAGGCGAGGCGTGGTTCGGCTCTGAAATCGCGCTGAGCAAGCTTAGTTTTGAGAAGCGAGAATGCGGTTTTCAGGCCGTCAAGATTCCATGACCATTCCGGAGTGAAGGCAAACGAGCACGCGAGACAACCCTTGGACTTGACCCATTCGGCATCTGGAGAGTATGAAGGGGATGACGGATCCGGGACCCAGACCTGGACATCCACTTGACTCAATCGAGGTACGTTGCGCTGAGTGATGAACTTCCAGTTGTGAGTCCATTCAGTGTTGACGCCAAGGTCGCCTTCCTCCTTCTCCACCTCTTCTGTCTTGAGTTGGGCAAAGCAGAACTGACGATCGTAGCGTAGACCAGTGAGGATGACATCGTTGTGTTCGATTTCCACAGGCTTGCAGGACTTGACGGGGTAGATGAACAAAGCCTTGATCTTGCATGCAGCGGAAGAGTCCAGGTTCTCGCCGTTGTGTTCGGGTGAATATTGATCGGTCATATTACTTTTGCCGACGAGACCGAAACGACGACATCCTGGCACGATTAATTTGGCCTCGAGTTCTTTTCGGAATTGGGAGCTGAGAAGCAGGAGTGAAGCAGTACAGGCGACCAGTAGAGCAGCGATTAGGGCAAAAGCGCCACTCTGCACGAGGGTGTCCATGTTGTCGGGTTTCAGCGAGTGTAGCAGTGTATAAAGTTTCGAATGGTCAAGAGAAGGAAAGACAGCTCAAGAAGTGAAAGAAAGACTTGAAGGCGAAACAGAGAGGGAAAAGCACAGCATGGTCGCCAACAATTTCACAGTCTAGGAAACAACAAAAACACGAAGGGCCTCAGGATCTTCAGGTACAGAAAGGAGTGGTGTAGTATTTGAGCCCAGACAGGGAGCTGAAGCAAGTCATGTGGAGCGGCCCGCTACCCTCATCGGCGAGTCCGAGGGTGGTTTGGCCACCCATTGTGCGTGTAGGCGTACGAAAGCAGTAGTGATGGAAGCAGATCCGATGGATGACAGGACGATCTCAAGATGCAAAGGTGAAAAGGTGTGTTGGATCCGTAGAAGGAAGACTTGGCTCACGACAAAATTGACCATCTCCGGGAGAGCAGGTGCTTGCAGGCATCTTGTCGCGGGCCAAAGTCATGTGAAGACGCGGGAGTCTTCCTACCGAGCCGGGGAGGCCGAGCGGTAATCGATAGGGACGGGTCCGCATCGCGGCTCTGTTGTCTGACTTGTCTTCCTAAATGCGGCTGATTGGACATGGCCAGAAGACATTCGAATAGCTTCTACATGCTCTAACAGCCTCATCTCCCCATGGTCTGTGGCTGTCCAACGCACCATCAACATGTCCGAACCCCCTGTCCCGATCCCGCCGCCACCGGCTCCTGCTAGCATGCCGCCGTCAAGTTCGCGTATGTCGCGTCTCCATCATCTGGCCGTATACCAAGTCTGACCGTCTGTCAGATCGCCTGCCCACCGTCTCGGCCTCGGAAGCACTTCTCAGCCTGCAATCCCGCGGACCCCGGTCTATCTCCACCGGCCTAGAGCGACTCGATGCGATTCTCGGCACCTCCAAGGCTGGACTCGCGCGTGGAAACTTGACTGAGATCTGGGGTCCTGCCGGCTCGGGCAAGACGTCTCTTGCGTATGTTCGGCGTCCGCTACCGTCGCCAATCGATGCTGAAAGCTCCTATAGACTACAAACTGCAACACACGCCTTGAACAATGGGTCCTCGGTCATCTGGGTAGGTGCGTCTTCTCTTACTCTCCGCTGCCTACTCTATCAAGACACTGCCTCACACCAAAGCAGATGCGACGACAGCTTTCGCAAGATGCAGACTGAATGACTTTCTTGCCGCCAACCCTTCCGTCAATGCCTCCGAACCCGACAAGGACACCAGGCTGGACCGCTTCCACCCTTACTCGACCCCTACCGTCGCACACCTGCTTGCCCTGACTCTACATCCGCCGCAATCTTTCCCCCCGCCAGGGACTGCCCTCATGATCATAGACGACCTACATGCCATCTTCGAAGTATCATACCCTCGCAATCGCGCAAACACCTTCTCGAGCCATAAATCTGAAGCCGCAAGATGGGCTGCCGGTCGTCGCTACGGCATCATGGGCACTCTCATATCTGCCTTGAAGAAACTAGCTGCCCTCAACGACATGGTCATCTTGATCACTACCGGGTGTGCCACGCGCGTACGATCCGGCAGTGGTCTAGGTGCTGTCTTGGTCCCTGGCATGGGAGGAGCTGAATGGGAAGCCGGCATAAGCAACAGACTCGTCATGTTCAGAGACTTTAGACTCGGGAGCTGGGCTCAGCAACAGCAGAATCCAGAAAGCGCGAGATACATCGGCCTGCAAAAGAACAATGGCGTGGCCTTCTCTGACGAAGGAGAAACTGGTCAAGTGATTTCATTCACCCTCGACAAGGACGGACTCAAGGATATCGTCAGTGAGGATTCCATTGCAGATGCTCCCGTCGTTACACTTGCCGCGTCACCTTCAAAGATCCGCAAGCGCCCGTATGCCGAGATTGCTGATAGCACCGCAGAAGGTCGCGACGAGTACGGCTGGCTGAATGGAGACGAGGCAGATACCGAAGGCTTGATTGATGAAGCTGCACTGCTCGAGGACGACGAAGTTGCTGCCACTGCTGCACCCGAGAACCACAACCCTGCGACCATCATCATCGACGACTGAACTTGAATCACGACCTTATCAGCAGATGACCTGTTGACTCTTGCGGTAAAAGCAATCCCTGGCCTGTTTGAATATTACCAGCCGTCTGTCCATCTTGCCGCCTTTTCTCCAGCATTCTCTACCGGCTAAAGTCAAGCTACCCCCTTTGCTCCATAGGAAGACACTCCGGCAAATAAGCATACCACCCCCACGTCGGTCCTCTCCGCCATCATCTACATTCTTCGACTCCGCATGTGTCTATTTCCAGGTCGCATTCAGGATTAATCTGCAAGAATCAGGATAAACCAATGAATGCACAAAAGCAGTCATCAGGCTATCCCGTTTGGCATGTGATGAGAAGAAACAGGGACGACTGAGTTGTTGGTGGCTTATGTGTTTATCGTTGGCATGTGACGGAACACGGGACCGCATATGCGTGCAACAAAGAAATATACAGGGTGTTTGCACAGCCGAAGGTTATTGTAAGGCTTGCAGACTGCTTATTTCGAGCTTGGTAACACCATTCATTCGCTGTAATCCTTGAATATGCAGGCGCACCGATGTGCGCGCTATCCATCGGCCTTGAAAATACCCTGTATGTATCATGCAATATGCACGCCGCTGCGGCCCGCGGTGTAAGCCACAAAGATGATCACTCACCTAGATTGATTGGAGAAAAACCTGAACGGGCAGTAGCAAGATATCAATCTTGAGATCAAAAGAGTACTTGCAGTGTGGGTTTGGTGTGCATGGTCTTTGGTTGGTGGATTCGAACCATCGCACAACACCACTTTCGGACTTTGAATAGTCAGTACCCTAGAGATGAAATTTCCGTACTCACTCTCCTCTTCGTAACCCACGTGGTTCGTGGCATTGGGCTGGATGACTTGAACAGGTCGCGTAATGTCCTTGCCATGCGCCTATGCATACACTTGGTTCGATCATCTGCGTGAACAGCTTCAGCAGGCGGACACGAGCTCACTCCACACCAGTTCGACGGTGGTAAGTTTTGGTGTATCACGTTGCTGTATGCAAGTATCCAATCGCATGATGTTGAGTCGAATCAACTTCCTTGTCTCAATCATCTACCTCTCTGTGCCAGCCAAGATAATGCTTCGAGGTTCGGAATGATCTCTCTGGTTGCCATGGCCGAGCAGACCCGCGAAACGCGTGTCTCTTGCTCGTGTCATGTGCATGTGAAACATTCAGCTGTGAAGGTACATCCAAAAGTGTCTCGTCAAGAACACATGGTCGCCCCCATCAAAATTGGCGGTCAAAGACATAGACGACCCGTAAGTCCTGCACCCCTTAGGACATGCATAGCCTCGACACGATCGCTAGTCGGGCTTGCATGATCCCCTTGGTGGTGTCAATCAGGCATCTATCACCTCATGCATACATTGCTCAGGACGATTCCCCTTAGGTAAGAAGAGAGAGGAAGAGGAAGGTATGGAGCTGAGGAGCTGAGAAGGTGCCGTCCAAGCAAAACCGTTCCTCCATCCTCTTGACCGATAGGTATTGTAATACGACATACGGTCGAAACAAGGTGCAAGCTCTCGAAGACCGAGAATATCACCGAAAGCTAGGCACTGAGGCTCTGCAGTCGGAGCTTCGTCTAGTCAATCTCGCGGGGGTGCGGAGGGGAAACAGAGCAAAGTTCGGTGTGCCACTCCCTTTTGCTTGAGTCTGGGTTGATAGGGTGAACAAGATGGATGTACCAATGTCCATTTGGGTTGGTGGACGTCGAACTTGCCTTTGATTCGACGCCATCATCCTGGGGAAATCGAGGGGTCGGGGCAGGTGGCTTGGGCGGATGGAAGCGCCCCCAGACCTCAGGGCACCCGGGACGGCAGTCTGGGTACGTAGAAGGATCGAGGAATCTATACTGCAAGCCATGTACCATTTTCGTACCGCAGCCACCACACACGTGCCTGTCTTTGCGAACATGTCATTATCTCTTCTTGTTTTTTCTTGCACGTATCGCTTCTGATGTTTGCCTACTCATCGGCAATCGAGGACGATACAGACGATATGCTCGATGTTGCGGTCGGCGATTCGCTGGTCTGTTGCGCGCTTATCGTTGAGCTGATAGTGCCAATACAATACAATCACGTAGTAGTGACGGGTACGCGGCCTGCTTGTATCTTGTCGGTCTGAAATGGCACCCCCACGGTTTCTTGCACGATTCAGATCTCTGATCTTGTCCACTTGCCCGACGGGGTTTGTACTTCCAGGCCAGTGCTCTATCTCATATATCATCCGGGTTATCGATCGGGGTGCATCGACAACAATGTCTTTGATGACGTAGCTGAGTGAATCGCGCTTTCTGACGGCACAGCAAGGAAAGATTCTCGCTCCAGCGGTCCACCACGTTCTTTCGAACAGGACTTTGACCGGTTTTAAGTTTGTCTGCACTTCAGATGCCAAGTGGAGCCGAGTGGGCAGGCAGTTTCGTTGAGAATGCCCAGTCCAAGAACGCGTTGTTGCGGTGAAGCAGAAGATGGTTTTGCGCCGGTGGCAGTAGTTGGTGTATGAGGAAGCATGTCCTTCCTTATCGCTCGCACAAGTAACGACATGAGGGGCAGATGACTACGGCCGTGAGAAGATAGCAGCTGTCCTTGAGTATCAGAGCAGCACCGGAAAAGCGGATTCCTAGTGTCTTGACGTCGAGCAGCAAGCTTTCTGTCTAGTCGCCCTGTCGTGCACATGACAAGAGGTTGCGATCGTATTTTGTTTCCCCGCGATCCCCGCAAGATAAGGAACCTGGAGAGACTTTAGGATCGCGGAGACGGTGTCGGTGGTCTTTCTCGATTTGGCAAGCCGGTTACCCCAACTCACGGCATGTATCGAATGCAGGTATTCTGTGTCTGCAAGCCACATCGACCGTCCAAGAGGAAGGAGGCCGGCGCAGAAACACTGGTGGCTAGAAAACAGCGATCCTTTCTGATCACATTTCTGTGCAAGAAATCCTGCTGTGAACTGCGTACGATGATCGCCATGTGCTTGGTTTTCTCTATGCAATTCGACATACGTCCTCCCGAATTTGCCCGAGAACAGCGGACGGTCGCTTCGGGCAGTACTTGCGACCAGCGTCCATGGAAGACGGTTGCCCTAGTCGTCGTATCTGACTATAAAGGGAAGAGATTGCTTGCTGCGTTGATATGGTTGCAAAATGCCTTGACACACCAACGTCCGATAAAGCAGGTGCATGTGGAGAAAAGAACAAGGCTTACGAGACAAGCATTCTTTCCGTTGAATAGAGGAGGAGAGTCAGTGGCCAGAGCGACCTCTGCCTCCGTCGATCAGGGGGCCCTTATTCATGCATCGTACGTATATCCTGAGTCTCCATGGCGTGACTTCGGCGGAGGGATGATCGGGGTAATCTGCAGCAAGCGTGGTGCACAGCAACAAGACCGTTTGTGAGCCAGTGATGACTCAACTCGTGAGATCGTTTCGTTGGCAAAAAGGACAGGACAGCGAAATGAGAGGCGACGATCCCGTAAGCCCACCTAAGCGCCCAGACGTCCTCTCGTACGCAAGTCCCATTGCTCCGACTGCCAACCATTAGGTGAGACGCCGATTCTGCATGATGGTGCGTTTCTGTAAGGGCCCGTGGGGAGGCTTGGAGGACGCTGGGGCATGCATGTGGACTGATTGTGGATAAGAAACTCCGGAGACCAACACATACGAATCTGCATCGACGCGCAAGTTGTGGAGACTGTGTGGAGCTGATAATGTGGAGGCGGTGATTCAACGATAGGCCGTAACAGTCAGGCGTTTGAGTGTAGATTTGAATGAGTTGTGTATTTTGCAAAACAGAGGATGAGTCTGTTTCGAATAAACGAGCTAAGGGGAGTGCAAGAAAGCGTCTATCTAGAGGAAGGAGCCACTGGACTTCATTCATCCGCATTAGTTGTAGAGAAGCAAGGCCGCTAAAATCGCAAAACAGAAACGAAGTCATTGGAGTTCTCGAAAGCAATAACAAAACGATAGGCAATCTTTCTGATTGCAGGTATTCTCCCCGCCAAAAACCCGGCGAGGAACCCTTCGTGGGATATCCCTCGCGATTCCCGCTCCATGATACTATCAAGCCGACTCCAGTCCAGTCTATAAGGTAGTGTTAACGCCGTGCCGAAACGAAGAGAAACAGAGACTCCGAAAACCATCGATCAAAACACCTAGGCCATAATATCGTGCCATTAACGTCCAACGCCTTGACAATGATTTCAAAAAGACGTGTTTTCGAAGCGTGCTTAATTCGAGTTGTCGCCGGCTATGCTGCCAGTGGTGCTAGACTGACCGCTGCTGAAGCCGTTGGGGTTGTTGAGGAGATCGTTGACTTTGACGGCTGATGGCACCATGGGGATGGGCAGTTTTCGTTGGGCTCCGTCTTCGCGTTCCATGATCTCACTGATGCGAAGACCGCTGTGGTGCGTCGGAATGTACGGCTGTTGACCGTCAGCGGACGGCTCAACAGGGGCAAGGGCGGGAGGCGGTTGGTGCTGGAGGGAGAGATGGTGGAGCGTGGGGAGTTGCACACCGTTATGGAAGTACTGCGGACGAAGCCGAGGAGAATGAGAAGGAGTGGCCAAGGGAGTGTGGTCGGGAGTTGGCGAGGTCGACTCGTGAGAGAATGAAGGCGATGGCGGCGCGGTCGACTGAGGAGAGCCAGGACGCGACTTCTTGGTCATGCGGTGGTGCGAGTAAGGGTCATCATCCTCGTGAGAGTGAGAACGCGACATTGGCTGAGAAGTGGGGTTCGAGCTGTAGTGGTAAGCCGAGAGAGAAGGAAGACGGCCAGTCGAGTAGGGATGGTGGCTGTAAGGGTGGGTCCCGTATGTATGTCTGCTGGCAAGACCCATGTGGTGCGAGGGGAGTGAGTTCTCGCGCTCGACTTGCGAGGCAGCGGTGGCGAGCAGGTTAATGTCCATGGGGTGGTTGAGGCCCGCTGGGCTGAGATCGCCGCTCACATTACGCGTCAGGTAAGAGCCGGGGTTGCTTGTGTAGGCGCTGGCGTAAGAGTGGGGAGGAGAGACATTGGGCGACGAGAGCTGGGATGAGGGGGCCGAGTGCGATAGGCTGTTCATCTTGGGAGGAGGAGGCATCATGTGGTTCATCTGCTGCAGGACCTGGTGCTGGGCCTGATCCATGATTCCGGCCTGAGCGGCGGCGGCAGCGGCAGCAGCTGCAGCGGCGGCGGCGGCATGTTGCTTGTTACCGCGTCTCGAGTTGGGGTTGTTGTGGATGCGCGAGTGACGGGTCAGCTCGTCAGAGCGGCTGAAGCGCTTTGTGCAGCCTGGGAACTGGCAGGCGTGCGGCTTCTCGCCGGTGTGAGTGCGGATGTGACGGGTCTGGTGCTCGAGGCGGTGGAAGGCCTTGTCGCACAGAGGACACTTGTAAGGGCGCGGCAGGTCAGGGCGCACGTCTTGCTGAGGGGTGGTCTGGGTAGTCTGTTCCTGGGTGGGCATCTGGGCGGCCATGGCGGGCACAGTGGCAGCAGCAGCCATGGAAGGATGGGACTGGACACCGGCGTCGACGTAGGTCGAGGGAGTGGTGCTGTGGTGCGAGGGGGGAGTGGCCGAGGAGTTGTCTGGATTCAAGAGGCTGGAGAAATCCACACCGGACGAAGTGCGCTGCATTGACGGGCGTGAAGGTGAAAAATCTGGAGAATAGGCGGGAGGGGAGAGGGCGGGAGAAGTGGTTAAATAGCGACGAGGGCGTGACGCAGACGAAGGGAAAAGGCGTGGGGGTGGGCTCCAACTTTGACTGAGAAAAGATCCACCGACTGCCCGCCAAGCCGCAGCCCTCGTCGCGCCCGACGTTAGTCACTAGCGCACCTGTGCTGCTGGCCCAGGGCCGAGTCGCCGACAAGCTGGCGAGGACATGCCGTCGGAGCGACACGGGTGACGGCAACAGATAGCGCAAAGGTCTCTCTTCGGTGACCTGAATCCAAAACCACCTCACCCGCTTGTGCGCGCCCCTCTGTCCTGTTTTGTGCACTGCACAGCCAATCCCCCATCGTCTCGTCAGCCAGCCGCACACCACCTCTCCTCCTTGCTGCCCCAGCGGACGTTCCTCTGTCTTGCATTCTTCTCTGCCTTCCAAACGCCCCGTCCTTCTTGCGGAGCCTCCGCCCGATAAGTGCAGAACAAGACTTTTTAACCTTTTCCGTGACGACCCGTGGCATGTGTTGGGGATGCCTGTGTGCTTGTCTCTCTCCGGGCATCCTCTATAACCTCATCTGTGCAATTATGACGATGCTGCACGGTCACATCCCTTGAAGCGTTGGCCTCTTTGCAGCCGAGAAGCTTTCATTGTGCGCTGCCTTCCCTTGCGTTTCTGTATCTTTTTTGTCTCTGCGCTACATCTGACACGGGCGTGCGCGGAAATGACTTTGTGGGGACCCACATACAAGATTTTTCGAATTCTCATAGAAGCGCGCCCCCAGAGGTAGGCCCGAAATAGCAGTGCGCCCCTGACCATGGCCGCATTATTGTTGTGTTTGTGCTTTACAACAGCGCCAAGCACTAGCAAGAGGCCGGCCGGCCTCATCGAAATCTCAGAGCACTTGATTTCGCCGTGTTCTTGCCGAACTCATCGTCCTGTCTGGAGCCGGAGTGATGAAACGTGGAGCGCTCACTCCGTCCCCCAGAGCCTCGTTTGCGACGTATCCGCTCGCTTGCTATCTGCCTCCCTCTTCATTCTCTGTCCAACATGTGGGCTTGATTTCTCCGTTGGCGCTCCCTATAGTCGCATGACGAGATCCATGGCGGATAAGTTGTTCCTGCTTATCTCTGCCCTATCTGCTTTCCGCACTCAGAATGGCAAGCAGGGCTTATTATAACCTACATCCTAATTGGTAAATAACCGATCATTTATCCGCGTGTGGCTGCAGGCATCTGCTCCTACACATAACCAAAAGCGCGCCTAGGTCGTATCATCTCTCCAGATTCTGGCATGTGAAACGAACCTGGAGAGTAGTCCGTCCGGGGAACAGCGAACTGCATTGCTTCATGCTTGCAACAATGTGATCACAACTTGTCAGGCTCCCTTCAATATGCAACTTGTCCAATGGAATGAACACTTGTTACTTACCTGCCCATCTTTACACTGCCGATTCCATCCAATCTACTGCACGTTGTATGCCCATGGCCTAGATCAGGCAACGGATCGAGTGGAGGGATCGAACGACATGCCTTCCCACAGCAGGCGGGTAATTGCGCTCCACTCTGTTCCTGTCCATACACTTGCACAATCATCTGTCTCTTCTTCAGCCGTTCCGACAGAGAACATCCCCCTCATGCAGTGGCTATTTGCAAGTTCAAGACTCTCCCCACAAACACGGATGTGTGGGGGGGTAAGATATCACCCCTTGTTTGGTCCTTGGGGCGCCCCCGGTGGACTCGCTTGAATCGGTTACTGAGGATCTCTTGAAGTTTGAATGAAGTGCGTGCAACTGAATGGCACAATCAGCCTGGCAAAACCAAAACGTAATCATTTGCCTAATCGCTGAACCTTTTGGCAATCCTCAATCACGCCATTGTCCCCTCCTGCATCGCAGACTGCTCTCGCACGTAGCACGCAGAATCGGTCTCCGTTCGCCCATCGCGATCAACACAGCACACACCCCTCATTCGAAACTGACTTTGATACCATCTCATAGATCCGGGGCAAAACGACCGATTCTCCACGCCAAGATAGGCATAACCTGGAGCTCGCAAGCCACATTTGCACGTCCTCCACTTCCCTACCGCTCCCACGGGTCAATGCGGCATTCCCGCAAGTCTGTAGCCAAGGTTTTTACGCCCTCGCTCAAGGACTTCACTCACCCCAGGTTCTAGAAGATCACACAATTTTAGAGGTGCAAAACGTCTTGTTGTCACCGTAAGATGGGCTCATGGCAGTGTGTCGCTTTGAGTAGCTTCGAATCGCTCCAAGTCACATTCATCAGCGCGAGCTCTATCTTCAGGATTGAGAAGGCCAGGTTCGAAGGCCTGCCATGCCATTGAGTCATTGTTGGACTCTAGCTGTGATTGCGATCCCCACATACTCGTTTGAATTCCAGATGCCACGAATGTCCCAGCGGCAGTTGCCTCAATCGCAGAGTCTCCATGGCGAACTGTGTTCTGACCCACAGATGAGAAAGAATTGTCATCGGATTCGATCGGGCTCGCTGAGCGGCAGATGAGAGTCGTATGAGGCTCCACACACTCATACGAGATGATCAGTTACAACGCCTAGATCCGTCGCATCGGAGGTACGGGCCAAGCCATGGAGCGTTGGTTCACAGTCAACAAGACTTTGGCATTTGCAGTTGGTTCTGGGGCTGACGGCCACGTGTTGGCAGAGGATTCCATGCAGCTCCCGTCTCCAGGAAATCAACTTTGCCATGCCCTCTCCGCAAACATACAGTACCGTCTACAAACAACAAGACCGCAGAAATTGTCGTATCTCTGCACACTGTGCAGTCAACGGCTTCGATGTTCGCACCCCAACGCTTGGAAGGTGCAGTTGAAATGTCGTCTGTCAAGCTCTTGGCAGTAGAATTTGCTCTCTCGCACCGAATTCAGCATGGCGTCCGAAACATCGCCGCAAAACCAGCCCCAACACAATCGACGAGCAGAAAGCGTTCATGAAAAAATCTTCTACTGCGTTTTCTTTTCACGGCGGATTCACGGCGTCACGCTATGCTCACATCGTCGTCATATCAGAGGTTTCGTCCCTATCCCCGATCCCCATCCAAACACTCGCGACTCAGTGAAGCGGTGGCCTGGTTTTGACATGCTCGCTTGGCATGGTGAGCGCAGTGAGCACTGGCTTCCACCGCTCTTGTCCCAACGTGAACAGGCCTTACGCCCGGGGTTTTCTCTTGTGACTCTTGCTCACAAAGCATTTGCCGGCCCGACTCTGAACGAGGTGCAAGCACGAAGCCAGCCTCAAGATCCCACCCATGTATATGTTAGGCAATCGTAGACGCGATTCGCTTCGAGTCCAACTCAACAAATGCTGTCTACCAGCCCCACCAACGATGGAGAAACGAGTCCGTGTGATGAAGGTGAAAGCAGACCGCTAGATTGCGAATAATCATCTATCTCCATCCTGTTCCTGTTCCTGCAGTCCGACGTCAATGTCGTGTGGAGACCCGACCCCACGAGCATTGCCATGTGCTCCCAAGACCAGAACCAAGCCTCACCCACACGTGCAAAGCCACCACAATCTGACAGGGCAGCGGTTTGTGGATGCGCCCTCGCCGGCTCCAGAGCAAGCCTCAGAAAGGAGAAACTGGGCAGTTCTACTGTTGTGCCATAGCCTCAATTCGACGTCGCGAACCGTGTTGGTGCCTCGATCGATGCTATGTGGGCCAACTGCATGCTGATAAGCCCCAGTCGCAACATTTTGCTTGTGATCGCAGAGGTGATAGTCTACTTTCATGTGACTATCACAATGATGCTCAAGATTCAGGAGTACCGACAAGTTTCGCCGAAATGCGTCGTAACAGTTTGAGCTCCTGCCCAACGAAATTCACCAGCCTATCCACGATTCGTGCTCTCGCATGTCGAATAGTGTTGGGGAAAGCCCTTACGCTGGTGCCTTGGTTACTTTTTTGTATCATGATTGCGTGATTCAGGCCCTTTTGCGATGGCTTCGAGCAAAGCCACCAACAAATCACAGAAAGATACGCCATACGCTACGCCGATGCGCGAATTGGTGACAGGTACGAGCATCTCCACACAAGGACGTGGTCGTCTGCGGAGGCTGCGGGAAGCAATTTGGAGGAGAATCGAACGTTTCCTGGAGAACACTCTGGACTCATCCACCAGTCGCGAACTCTTTTGCCTAACACCTTCGGTTCCGACGGGAGAAGGCAGTCCGACGGCACGAAAGGGGAATGACATTTCCCTCGGTCGGAAGAATCGGCTTTGTATAGCCTCGTTCGTTCGTTCGTACTCACCGAGTACCGTAGCCGAAACCCACCGGCCACCGCTCATGGCGTTCCCCAATATCCCCATTTCGGGAGCTGCATATCGTTCCTTGCAGACTAATAGCAGAATATATTATCAACCCTGTGGATCAGACAACGTTGGGGAAGGCATGCAATCTGTTTGGCTCCTATCCGATCTGGCGGATCTAGAAGAAACACCACGATCAAGCATCCAAAAGCCAATTCTCGTTCATGCGGCAGGTGACAATTTGCGAATAAGAACGTGGGTGTGTACGCCACGGTCCAGTACGGCGCTGCTGAGTTTGGCAAATCGATGTCACCTTGACTACCCACGTGCATCGGGAGTTCGTGAGATGTCTCCGCTGAACCTAGCCTGCTGAACGAGAAAGCAACGCACGAGATAGAGATGGGAGACACGATGGTGGAGATGACTGCTCCAGCTTATCGTGACGAAAAGGGCAATCCCGCTCCACATCGCGAGCCGAACTTCTTGCCCACAACTCCCCCGAATGACACCTCGACTCCCGATTATGCTGTTGCTGCATCTCTCAATGTGTCCGCTAATTTTCACGAAGAAGGAAGGTCTTTCTGCTGTTCGTCGCAGACGCTGAACATCCTCACTCTGAACCTGGTAATGTCGCTTAGCTTCACTGTTCTTCATAGCCACGACTTGCGCTGGGTGGATCCTCTCTGCTTTCTCACGGATCCACAGATAAGGAAGAAGAAAATTCGGCGTAAACCGCTTCCTCTATCCATATGACCATATCCATGCATAAGGGCAGTGTAGCAGTGTAGCTAATGATTGGTTCCTGGCGACCCTCGGACTAGTGATACTCTTCTATCGAGTTGCATCGATTTGTTGTTGCAAACTCATGCTTCTCGTCACTGGATGTAGGAGTAGTCGTTGTATACGGCAGAATGTCCCTTACGCTTGGGTGGGAGAGGGTCGTTCTGGCTAGAGAGGTTAGACCCAGCCGGTATCAGAGGCTATACGGTGAGTTTACCATATGTTCATTTCCTAAAGTCTGCCATTCTTGTTCCCTTCTCGAATCATACAAAACAACAACAAGAATGTCGAGAGTACACAATACTGCTCAGGGACACATCGATGTCCAAAGGAATCCATCCTCGTATCGAGTCGCTTTGGCGACCCTTACGATATTTGACCGTACATCTCCGACGCAACAAACTCTTTCAGACGTGGATATGTTTTTCAGACATTGTGGCTCTTCACGGTGGTGTGAAAGGAGCAGCCCCAGGTTCAGCTAGCAGCCACGAGGCCGTGCAAAATTACATCAAACCACCTCACAAACAAACTCATAGCGCAACAACCTCGAAACCTTCTCTCTTACGACTCCATGGCTTCTCCAAAGGAACCATTGCCGACATGCATCCAGCCATTTGTCAATCACCCTCGCCGAAATGCCATCGAGATCACCAACAATCTCCGATGGCTCTTGGGAGATCTTAGGCGTCATCGAAGAAGGCCGCAACAACGACGAACGCGCAGTCCCAAGAAGCTCATATCACAGGTTGGAGAAACCAGACAGGACAACGCAGAGCAGACTGCGAAACGATCACGTCCTTCGTCAAAGAATCATCATCGCTGCCTGTGTGGGCAGCTTCCTCTTCCTGGCGGTGCTTGGCTTTGGTGTCGGTCTCTTCGCGGCTTAAAGGTAGTGCCTGTTCAATCTCACAAGGTACTTTTGTCCTCATAGAACACGTTTCACGTGTACTTGGCTGATTTTTTGTAGTTCTATCAACCAGGGCCGGTCAGAAGCAGACCAGGGTTGCCAGTACGGCAACGATCTCCGAGAATATATACGATATCTACCGTCAACGACGCACTTTGTCGTCTTCTTTTGGTGTTCATATGATGAATAAGTATCCTTGCATCCTATCGATGGGACCTAGTGCTCTATTAAAGAGTGGTGTAGCGTATTTTTGCGATTTAAGGATTGGTGAAGCTTCGTTTTTGAACTTCGATCGAAAGAACACAAGACCCACCGCGCCTTCTTGTTATTGTGTAAACAAAATACCTCAGCACTGGGTATATCCTCAGCTCATTAGTACGAGTCACATTCTGATCCTCAGATTGTCCGTATCCGTTGGCTAAATATCGAAAATGAAGTTTGGATGATCAAATGATTGACCAAAAAGACATACCATAATCTCGAATTGCGCAAGGAAAAGTACGTCGCACCCACCTACAGCATAGCTATGAGACTGTACGTGAGCCCTTAGACATAGTCTGCTATCATGTATGTTCACCCTATAGCGTCCACGTAGCTTTACAACGTATAGGGAAGAGCAAGACCTCATTCGCTGTGACGGCTCCTAAAATCATATTGTTCTTAGGTCAACAGGATAAACAAGGCAGTGAACAAAGGAAAGAATTCAAAGGTAAACCGGGTTCAGTATTCTATGGAGCTGCTACTTCTGAACCCAACTTTTGACTTTTCGATGTTTCCCTTTCGACGATGATACCGAGAAATGGAATTATCGGAGTCCAGCGCTCTCTACGTTCCTGGATCTGATGTGCTTGTCGATCAAGATGTACTGAAGAGGTGGTCCTGGACCTGCTGTTCCGGACAGCTTTCTTTGACTATTATAACTCTGATTGTGTTCCTCATGTTGGTGTTTCGTTGTAGGAGATCCATGCCGTAATCGACGGTGTTGTCAATGCTGAGACGACGAGCATTCTTGGTGGATGTAGGAAGAGGAGCGCTGGAAATACATTTAGTAGAGCGTTCACATAGGAGTGCGCGAAGGTAATTACCATCGATCTCTGGGACAAAGAGCATCTTGCCGACATGAAGTCTGTTGCCTCCGCGTAACCAGAGTCGACTGGAGACTGGTCGTTGGTGTTATCTTCAGAGCTTGACTCGTTCTCCAAAGTGAGGTCGATAGGGTCCTCTTGGCTGCCGGGACCGCGCTGGGGCGACTCTGTGAGTGTGGAAGTTGCAATTTCATCGGCGGTCTCGTCTTCATCATCGACAGTCCACTTATCCGATACCTTCTCCTTGTATGTTTCTCTGATACCCTGGAGCTCAGCATGAAGCTCAGCCTGCATCTGAGCGTGTCGACCAGCTGAGACCTTGACTTGGACCTCTGCATAATCCTCCTCAGCATCACGAAGCGTGTCCTGGGCACACAAGACAGAGGTCAGAGCCATGTGAGCGCGGATGCGGTAGGACTGCGGGAGGTTGATATAGCCAATGAGGTATCTTGCGATCCCACGCGACAGTTTGCCATCTGCTCTGTCACAAGACTTCGAAAGCTCCTCCATTTGGTCCCAAAGATCTTCGAAGGCCTCTTCCTCGCTGATGTATGACATTGGTCCTTTGAAATGGTTTGTTACTGTGATGATGAGGTGACGTGAAGATCTGGTGTGCAGGGATGTGTACGCGGACGAGAGTAATCAAAAGGCGCACAGTACAGAAGGAGTAGTAAATAGGCTGCAAAGGCTCTTCACTTTACTCGCTCATCGCCATTGCACCCTTCACAACTTGTTTGTATCTCAAGATGAGCAGCATGTCTTCACTCACTCTCTAGAGATCAGATCCCACATTCACTTGATCCCCTCGCGCTGCACACGGGTTTCCGACTGACCCATCGAGACAATGTCTCTCCACAGGAGTTGCTTCATCTTTTGAGAGCACTGTGCACATATACAGTTGCAATATGTATGCTCAAGCACAACGGAAGGTAGGATCGACGGATAGCACTTGTACGTTGAATGTGAGTCCGAGGTCTTGCTCACCTATCGAAGTTTCATGTGGATGCGAAATGATAGAGCTGCCCTAACGATCACGACGTACTATGAACGCTGTTGTTGGGGTAGTAGAACGTCAATCAATAAGACAACGAGTCTTTTGTAGCTTTGCAGAAGGACCTGCAGGTTCTTCAAGGGCTAGCCCCACATGAGACATGTAAGTGGTACGGGATGAGTGTTTTGATCCTGCGTTGGTTTTAGTTGGTAGCTCAAATTCAGTCGTGCTTTAGAAGCCGATTTTCTGGTTGGCTGCCCTGCCGAATCTGTGGTGGTGCCCAACGTGGAGAAACATGATGTGTTGTCAAGAAGATGTCTTGAGATCCTGCTCGGTAACATTAGGAAGCAACGCCCATGGAAAAAGAAAAGATGCTGCCGAAGAGTGTTTCGAAATCACACCACGGCCGAAACAAACATCCTATAGAGACGTCACACCGCTAATCAAATCGTCAGCACCTATCAAAGGATCGTTTTGGGGAAAAGCATTATGATCGGCGTTTGACCGTGACTGCTAATTTGCTGCTCAAAGGGCAAGATAGTTGGCTTGGGTCAGACACAGCCTTGGGAATATCGAGCTGTATCAAGAACACACTCATTGCCAAGAGCCACCAGGTGGCTATCATCGGTTCTGGTATCAGCGTACCACAGACAGCCTCTTCACGTGTTCGAATCCGTCACGCTCTACGCCATCCCGGGGCGACGTAGAGCAATAATGCAAGCTGTAAAGATGCACAGCTGTTCCAAGGTCAGAAATGCACCCACGGCGCGCTGCACTGGCAAGGCTTTTCAGTAGATACTGCTTATTTTTCGAAATGCGTTGTGCACCTCGAAAGCTATCCTTGCGACAAGCCTTCACACATGACGAGGAATCTGGATGCCCTGACAACCAAGGGTAAGATTCGAGCTTGGTATGAGATCGTGCTGGGCATCAGACGGACCCGCCCAAGTTCCCAAGGCGTCTTCTACCAACAAAATTGACCAGTCGCCTCGGGATTCATCGATTCTTTGCAGCAATCGACCATTAGTCTTGGGCCCAAACAACGGATTGGTGTTTGATCCAGTGGCACATGCATATGCGTACCCCTCTTCAGAATCTTGTCGGCGCCGATGGCCCAAAACATATAGTTCTGGGGATAAATGGCGTAGGTCACTATCGAATCTGTCTTGAAACCGTGCATGCTTTACCGAGCGTCAGAGTCGAACCGCCAGTCTCCAGAGGAATAGCAAGATGTGCATATGAGTGGATAGAAAGAGTGTGGAGTCGGCGGGGAAGGACCCGTAGCCGTTGAGTACCCTGCATCGTTCCAAACATTCTGCCGTGTTCAACAACGCTGGTGCTTCGACAGCTTGGGGGTTCCTGGAAGACGTGATGGATTCCAGTTCTGAGCGTGACACGAGTTTCGAGCTGACGCCTGAACGAGTCTGAAGGTGCCTGCATTCCGCTCAGGGCGTGACAAAGGCACATGACGCGGTCTCCAGCATCGGGAAATGCAGCAGTCGCAGAGAATAGCGCGACGGCAACGCGCCATTTCAATCCAAAGCGACGGCTTCTCGTGGCCGCAGGAACTGCAACGCCATCCAGCACGCCCGGAAAACGGAGTGGGTGCGGAACTACAAAGCGCAGCTGCAGGACTCCTGCTAGTGGCGGTGTGGATGGAACTTGATTGGATTCTGAGGAGCCCGACAGGTCGAGACGAGGTTGGGCGCAGCGGTCAAGGTGTGATCGATGCGTGACGGGCTCGATGAATCGTGTCACCACAAGAGCCCATGTGCTTAGAAGAGCCACCGTCTCTTTTCGTCTCGCTAGGTTGACAACTACTTCGTGCCTGCTGATTTGATTATCGTTTAGATGATCGTGGTTGCCATTCGCTCGTCAAGTTTTGCTATTGCCATCGGCGCGACATCTCCTAATTCCTGCCGTCTCCACTGTCACCACGTTACTTAGCATCTCTTCCCGTGATATTAAAGGTTACCTGCTCCTCCGCTGCAGTGCTTCCGTCTCTCTGATCTATCACACCACCTCCCTTGTACCATGCATCACCACGGCGCGGACTCTGAGTCTTTACGGAGTCGAAACTCCAGCTATTCGAACAGTGATTCTGGAAGCAGCAACCACTCTCGTCAGTCTCATAGTACACAAGGAACACAGTATACTGGACCTTCATCCAGGCCCCCGTTTGTACACTACGAGACGTGTGAGGGAAGACTTGAGGGCTCCCGCCTGGAGTATCGCCATCGAACCGAGGATCCCCGGTCGTCTGCAGAGACCTATGCCTCGACCGTGCTTTCAGAAGTCGACGACGATGAGGAGGCTCTGTCTGACGAACTCCATCCCTTGCCACGTCCTGATGCACATCAAAGCAGGGCAATTCCATCGACTCCATCAGATTTTGCCGAGTTATTTCCATCAGAACGCCTCCTGTCGATAAGACATGATGACTCCACATCTGATGGCAACATGAACCTTCGGATTGACACAGTATATGAAAGTCCACGTTGCAATCCCATCGATGTCACGTTGTTTCATCTTCGCATGCACGACCTGAAAACTAGACAGTTCTCCTTGAGGAGATATTGCAGAGATTCTGGTCGGGAGGTCTGCCATTCTTTGCGTAAGTGTCAGAAGAGCAGCACTGAGCGAAGGATGGGTATTCAGAGGTCTCTCAGCAACGCTTTTGCATCTCTTCGTACGATAGCGGAACACAAAAGTTCTGCGCCAACTGCCGGACTCAAGAGATCAGATTCTGGATACGAGTCGCTCCAGTCGCACAGAAGTATCGAGCTCAACAAGCAAGACGTCGCACCAAGCGGTCTTCTCGGTAGGGGACACGTGCCTATTCCCACCAAAACCATCAAGCTCGAGTTCTCGAACTATGCACAGGTGGAAGTGAAGCGTCGAGGTGCCAAGAATAGTAAGCGGTATGAATTTGAGTACTGGGGAGTTCATTATGTCTGGAAACGCATCACAGATCGAACTGGCTTTACCAAGGAAGTATCATTTTGTTTGTTCCGCAACAATGAGGACCGCTCCCTCGCTCGGATTCAGCCCACTCCTCTGAGCGGTGTGCAAAACCGCGAAGAGCTCTCCAAAGGAGGCTGGGTTCCGCCTTGCACCATGGGCATCACCGATGAAGAGATCCTCGAAAACCTCAACGGAATCTCAGAGTGAGTCTGTTTGGTGATCTCAAACTCACCGCCTTGCTAACCATCTCCAGTGTCGTGGTTGCCGCTGGTCTGATAGCACTGGTGGACGACTGCATCAAGCGTCGGTTTCATACCAGACCAGTTCGTGGGCTTGTCATTCCTATCCCCAGACTTCGATTAGACATGGAGTACATGGGTACAGGCGTCAAACGGTCAGACGACGGACTTCCCGTCCGACCTTCAACCAGGGGTTCTACTGCAAGCCGCCGGCCTACACCGCTTCGCAAAGGAAGTTGCGATGTATAACACGACGTTTCGACAGGACGATGCCATATCATACCAACAGAGCTATGTCCACAGGAGCTTTGCAGTCATCCGAGGTGATTCGTTCCATGCATCGTCGACCCGAACCAGCATCTTGTTTCTTTTTTCTGATCAAGTCAAAGCCCGGGTACGGAATCATCGGCTGTGTGGTGCACCTGCATACCGCTGTAGTCTGCATCACCAAAGATTTTTGGAAGATTTCAAAATGTTTGCATCACCTTTTGGGATATGTCACCTCTCATTCTTCGCTTTTCCCGATGGAATGGCCACTTAATATTACGCTCGGATCATATAATGGCCTTCATTGACAACAAATACATATACATTGATGAATCCTCATGAACAATGACTACAACCTGGAAAATTAGGTTGCACAAATCTTTGTTCTTCACCGCTCCAGATATCTTGGAGATTTAGAGTATTCGGGGGTGCTTCTGTCTCACTTCCCCTGCAACTCACCACGGCAGGTACCCGAATGCACGAAATTGTCATCTCGGTGATTTTCCATACTCCCACAACGCTGGAGCTAATTCTGAAATTGTACTTATCAGTTCTGTCTACCATAAGGTCTGTTGCGTCCTGCTGAAGGGATGACGTGGTATGTTGATTGTCCACATCACTCTATGCAATTTTGCCAGCATGCGTTGTTGCGACCAGCACACGCTGGACGGTACATATAGTCTATGGTGGCTCGCTGCCCGACCATCCGGCATTGATATACCGCGGTAGAGCTGCCGAATGCACGCCAGTCCCCTTTCCGTGGCAGACGATGGATCTATTGTGGAGTCCCATATTACTATGGCTCCATCGGGCCTTCTTCTCCCACAGCGGCACGGGAGCCGGTATCGTATTTACACATCATCTTGTTGTTGGAAGTACATCATACGCAAACAGATCTGGGTTTCACCTACGGGAGGGACGGCCCTGCGAACAGCCTAGCGGATAGACAGTGCTGTTTCGAAGACCCGTTTTGACATCTCTGCTGCTACTTGCCTTGTCTGACAGCACACAAAACACATCTTACCTATCGGCTTATCAGGGCTGAACTCTGCCAAGTACGACACACGAAGTAGCTTTCCGGTTTGCTACCCAGCATATTGGGGATTGCAAAGTTGACATGTCAAAGGTCGAGACTAGAGTTGAAGCACAGCGGCACGGTATAAGAAGTCGTACGTCGAAGCTGTAGTTTGTCAGATCACCTTTCGACCTACTACACGATTCGAGATCATCAAAGCCCATCACTATCTGTCAATCTCTCTGCAGTCCATCTCATCTTCGCCAATACTATCTTCAATCGCATACGAGATGGCTTCCATGACTGCTTCCAGGGTCCACACCACCCCAACCCCAGTTCACTCTACTGTCTGGCAGAACAAGCTCATGAGTATGTTCACGCCAGTGTGCTTCCGTCTCGATGGCGATAGACTGACAGTAATGTAGACGAGTGCAGAAGCCGTGGTCTTCGTGCTCCCAACTTCCAGGAATGCTCCGACAGACGTGGTAAGTCTTCAATCCCAAGGGATTGACTGTGACAGAGTCTGACATCCTTCAGGTGGCCGCACTGCTTGGTCCAGTGTAGTTGAAGTTAACGGCTGCAAGCACCAGGCTCGCTACTGGTACGACGGAGACTGGGTCAACAACGCTCGCGAAGACGCTGCAGAGGTCGCTCTCCAGCGCATGGGCGTGGTTCCTGTACCTCGCGGACCTCATGCCCGTCTCCTTGGCTCCATCAGCGTGTAAGGACCACCGACATCGAGGCGACTGTGGTGTATCTCGTCGCCATCTCCTTCTGTTTAATCATCATACATGGGTATTGCTTCAAGGAGTCAGGATAGGGAGTCATCAGTGGGACAGTGTTCTTTCTATCGGGTCATGTTTTCATAAAAGGCGCGCATCGGGGTCTGGACCAAAAAGACAGCTCAGCTACATCAGCAGCATGGCGAAAAGGCGTTGTCTCTTACAGGGGAAAGTCACCTAGATAGAATCACTTGGGGATCTCTTTTGTCAGCTTGCATCATACTTGATTGATATCTGTATTCGAAAATGACAACTGTTGAACTCGGGATCCAACCTGAGAGCCCGAGGACCATCACATGGATTTGCTCAAGCACAGAGTGCTGTAGATGGGATGTCTGTCAAATGCCGGCAAGATTGGCCGAGTGCGGCGAGTGTGGAGAAAAGAAGTGGAGGCGGAGAACGCGACTTTTCCCTTGCGCACCCGAGAAGATCGTTTTCTTATCAGCGCACCGAACCTCTCACGAAATCGCATCGAGCAACAGGGCGAGTTCGATATCTTTTCGAAGGAATCGTTGTCTCGCACGGCTCCGGCCTCGTTAAAAGCCCTGAGTGTCCTATCTCCTGAGGACTGCTCTGGCGCGCAGCATGTTTCTCTATTTCGCCCGGGGCATTCCATCGAGTAATCGATCAACGTAAATGGTCATCGCCGACAACCGAACCGTTGGTCCTACCCTCCATGTACATCGATGCGGTACAGTGAAATCTTCTCTTGACCTCAATCATACACCTTATCTTTCGTCGATCGCATATATCTATTCAATAACCCCAGACTCTTCAGACATAATCTCAATATATCTCATCACAGAGTAGCTCGTATTCTCGTTGTCTTGTTTCTCCAGAAGATTTGTCTGCTTATATCCCATGAGATTTTATCACAACATCGCCCACGACTGGAGATCAGACCAACAAAAGTGTTGAATAGACTACGTTCTGGATTATTTGTCTCTCATTCTGTAAACTCAACCAGGCTTGTAAAGTCTTCACTCGGCACGATGGCCAGCAATTTCAAGGACGACAGTCCAGACACGATTGGTCCCGAGACCACACCGAAGAGGAGCTTCTCAGAGAAAGGCCGTCGCATGATCAAAGCCTTCACAACCAAAGAGGGTCTCATAGGCGACTACGACTATGGCTTCCTATTCAAGCCTCAGCTACCTTTCATGAAACGAGCACGGAGGGCAGGTCCCTTCTTCGGCCTTAACGACAAAATACCAGTACTTCTTGCCTTTCTACTAGGACTCCAACATGCTCTTGCCATGCTTGCAGGCGTCATAACGCCTCCCATCATCCTTTCGAGCAGTGCCAATCTCATTCAGGCAGACCAGCAGTATCTGGTATCAGCATGTCTTATCATGAGCGGCATCTTGTCTGCAATCCAAATTTCGCGATTCCACATCTGGAAGTCCCCCTACTATGTCGGCACTGGCTTGATCTCGGTCGTAGGAACATCTTTCGCCACCATTCCAGTCGCCACAGGTGCCTTCTCTCAGATGTATGCCACTGGTTTCTGTCCGTCGGATTCAGATGGCAATCGTCTACCTTGCCCTGATGCTTACGGTGCCCTAATCGCAACCTCATGCGTCTGCGCTCTTTTGGAAATCTTGATGTCATTCACTCCGCCCAAGATTCTGAAAAAAATCTTCCCTCCGATTGTTACTGGACCTACCGTCATGCTGATCGGTGTGTCACTAATCAGTTCTGGCTTCGAAAACTGGGCTGGAGGCTCTGGAAATTGTCAGTCGAGGCCTGAGTCTGGTCTCTTTAGTTTGTGTCCCAACATCAATGCTCCCCATGCTCTTCCATGGGGAAGTGCAGAGTTTATCGGACTTGGATTCCTTGTCTTCGTCAGTATCATCTTGACTGAGCGCTTCGGCAGTCCGATCATGAAGTCATGTTCTGTTGTCGTTGGCCTTCTTGTCGGATGTATCGTAGCTGCTGCATGTGGGTACTTCGACCGTAGCGGAATCGATGCTGCACCTGTCGCCAACTTCATCTGGGTCCGCACTTTCAAGCTGCAGATATATGGTCCACTGGTTTTGCCCTTGTTAACAGTATACATTGTTCTGGCTATGGAGGCTATTGGCGACATCACGGCATCGTGTGATGTATCACGTCTCCAGGTCGACGGAGACACATTCAACAGCCGCATCCAAGGTGGTGTCCTTGCAGATGGACTCAGCGGACTTATCTCAGGTCTCTGTACATTGACGTAAGTGATTGTTCTTCCTTTGATCTGTCTTGGGACTTTTTCTCCAAAATTTCTCCCTTTTTTCTCACTCCGCCAGCTTTCCACCTTTTTGCTTCCACCTTCCACCTTCTTATTACACATCCATAAACTGACTATACCATTAGACCCATGTCTGTATTTGCTCAGAACTGTGGAGTTATCGGTAATTACACCATTGGACTCGCTGTGTTGATGTAGAGCTGACAGAAAATAGCCTTAACGCGATGCGCCAACAGAAAGGCCGGATACGCAGCCTGTTTCTGGCTCATTATTATGGGAATCTTCAGCAAGTTTGCAGCTGCTCTTGTAGCAATCCCTTCTGCTGTACTCGGTGGCATGACGACGTTCTTGTTCGCTTCTGTTGCCACTAGTGGTCTTCGTATCGTCTCGACTGTCCCATTCACACGCCGCAACCGCTTCATCCTGGCTGCAGCATTCGCTCCTGGTTTCGGTGCTACTCTTGTTCCTACGTAAGTCTGATTCTCCTGCCTGTCAAATTACAGACATCTCACATGATCTACAGTTGGTTCAGCTACGTCTTCACATACTCTGGCGGTAACCAGGCTCTGCAAGGCTTCTTCAACGCCATCACACTTGTTATGGAGGAAGGCTTCGCCATTGCTGCCTTTGTTGCTCTCATCCTCAATTTAATCCTGCCTGAGGAGTTTGAGGATGAAGAAATACCTGAACTGACGGCCAACACTGTCGATGTACCGGCGGATGAGGAGGAATGGCGACACATCAGAAGAGAGGATGACAGTGAGAAGATCTCACCTGCTAAAAGCCAGCCGATGAACTAGCTGGATCACCCAGCTTCCAGCGCCTACGAAGATGACGATTGAGGTATACAGTACGGAAACGATTTTAGAATACGAGCTACGCCTCAAAAAGATATGATTTATACACAACCGTATAAGTATCATTGTCTTTGAAGATCTGCTCGATACCGATCGGAATACCTTCCTCCTCGGGAGCTCCAGTCTGTGACTTTCACATCCTTCCCACGAAGGCATAGAGTGAACTCTCCACCATAGAAATGCACAATCTTCTCCAGAGTAGAGACTGTATCCAAGGAGATCCGGCATTTACCACCTCTCAATGGAAAGCATGCTGTTTCTCGAAAGCACCGTGCATTTCTATAGCTATATGCGCTACACGCTTCTACATACGGAGGGGGGGAATACCTCACCATAGAAACGCACGGTGGTTTCCAAAGCAGACGTACGTCCAAAGAGATCCAGCATGATTTGGCTTCTCAATGGAAACTGTCCGTACCTCGAGATCACTATGCATCTTTATTGCAGTCTTCGACAAACTAGTATAGTCCAAGGAGAGTCGATATGATTTGACTCTCAATGGAAACTATCCGTTTTTCCGAGATCACTGTGCATTTCTATAGCTGTCTTCTAGAGAGGAGCAGAGTCCGCTGAGAGCTGGTTATATCACGACTCTCATTAGATGCTCTCTATCTGCTAAGAGAAGTATGCACCACCATAGCCGCTTGACCAGTCCAGTCAAATGATGGCTACGGCAGCATTACCAATGGCAGTGTCGGAATCGGGTATCAGGTTGAGAGGCCTTGCTGACAGAAGCATGAGACTTGCCAGGAGTGGCGGTGATGAGGTGATTGTGTGCAGTGTCGGTTTCGAGGCGAGTGGTGTCGGTTTTGAGGCGAGTAGTGTCGTTGCATGGGAGCTTCATCATGGATTGTAGCCATAGTAGCGTAACATGCAGATGAGGAACCTGTCCCCGAGCAAGACGAAGCTGATAACGACGATTCAATCCTTTTGGCTGCGGTCACTAACGACTCTGACGACGAAGTCGACTCTGATACTTTCCCACCTGACTATACTTGCAGTTCCCCTTCCCTTGATATTGTAGACTACATGTCTTTCTATCACGGCCGAAGTCGGCGCCAAAGTTTCTCAACATGCATGTCACGAAATGGATCATTCGATTTCCCGATGTTCTTTGTAGTTCTGTTTAGGTGCCATCAAACCGACGTGCCAAGTTCGGGTAGGATGCGACCTCATCAAAGACTGTGACTCGTGTGAAGTGGAAGTCAGGTTCTCATCTTGCATCTCCCCGTCTCCGACTATGCATCACTTTCCTGTGCCCACGTATCTCCTCCTGCGCTTGCACTTTCCTCCTCGATATGCTGTACGAGCCAGGATCATGCTGTGTTTTGTGTTCTGTCGGATTCGTGCTTCGCGTCCACGAAACCAAGACATGCTTTTTTATTAGCTGCACTACAATATTTGCCGCTACAACGAAAATTTGGTCCTCCACGTGGCGAAGCCTCGTTGCTCGATGTGCGAAAGCATCCGTCATCGCAAGGAGAGTCGGTATGGTCCAATTGACGAAATTTCAGACTGTCATCGACTCCAATGATCGCATCATGCATCTTGTGATTATCAGCAAGACTGTTCAAACCTGCAGGCCACTGAATTGATAACATACATTAAATCTCAAGATGGGTGTCAGAACCGAGAGGCGCTTCGGGCTTTTCGGCTGCGTTGTCGTTGTTGTCAGAGAACTTGTCGCCATTCATGTCAGGAGATGATCTGCGGTTGAGTTTGACAGTAATCTCATCCTCAGCGTTGGAATCGATGTCATTAGGAGCAGAGACGGTATCGTCGTGAGTGACAAGGATGTTGGATCGGGTTTCACCATTGTTGCTTGAGTCACTGTGAAGTTGGTCGACGTTCGAGTGTGAGGGGAAATCACCAGCTTCTTTGGTGCGTTCTCTCGAGTTCTTGTTGTCGGCGTTGGTGGATGAGGAGGCTTGCTCCTGAGGGGAGATCGACTTCTTTGTCGGGCGTAGATCGGGTCGCCACTGAAAGCCAAAAACAGTGTCAGAAGGGATCTGGGTGTTGTTGTTTTGGCGAAGAACGAGGTCGACATAATCAAATGTTGGTTGAGCGTCGTCCCACTCCTCGCGTAGGTGCAATGGGAGGTCGCTGCTGTCAAGAAGGTTCCAGCCATGTGACACCAGCTTGCATCTTGACTTCTCAGCGCGAGCAGTGCTCCGCTTGAACTCCACGCGGAACCACATGCCAAAGCGTTCGCCCAACTCGAGCGGAGGCGGACTGGTCGAAAAAGGATACAAGCCGAAGAGCGCTCTTGCTTGGTTCTTTTGGACGATGTTGAGATACTTTTGCTTGATCTCGGAAGACATGGTGGAATAGTTGTGTCTGGATTTGGTGGGATGTTGTGTGTGGAATCGGTGGGATAGATGTGTTTGGAGCCGGGTAAGTGACCAGATGGGAAGTGAAGAGAAGCTTGTCAATAGTAGGCCGTGGTATCGCTTGCAGCAAACAAGTGAATGAAACATGGGCGACCAGCCCAACTCACCGAAGTCAATCTTCACACGAGCACTACGGAAGCATCTTCAACTTAGCACACTAATGGGCATTCCATGAGCTACGCCACCAGCAGCATCATTTGCAACATCAACGTACGACATGACACAGCCAACATGGCCGACGACACAGAGGCGGAACCCAGGGTGGGGAGCTGACCATATTACGACTCTCGATGGGTAAACCCCTGTCTGCTCAAAAGACTGTACATTTCTATAGCTTTCTGCGTGATGTGACTTTGCGCATAGGAAAGGGTGGTTTCGTAGGAGATAGGTGATTGTAGTTGTGATGCCAAGCAAAGAGGGTCGGATGGGTCGACCGAGGGCACCGCTGTGGTGGGGGACCGTGCATTGCAGCTTCCCCTTTGACCCTGTGCCCCAGACTTGCCTTGGTGTATACCATCTGATTTGCTGTTCTCTTTCGTTTCGCTCATCTTACAACCCTCGGCGCCATCGTCATATCGACCGTCTCTACCTTGTACTAGCTTTCATATCTGTCGCTCGCTCTTCGCACATCCACAATGGCCGCAGCCGCAGCCTCGCAACAGGCCTCGTCCATCTTCCCCAAGAGCCACGTCGGTTTCGACAGCATCACCCACCAGATCGAGAAGAAGCTCCTCAAGCGCGGCTTCCAGTTCAATGTCATCTGCGTCGGCCAGACCGGTCTGGGCAAGTCGACCCTCATCAACACCATCTTTGCCTCGCACCTGATCGAATCAAAGGGTCGTTTCACCCCCGACGAGCAGACCCGCTCCACCACAGAGATTCACCCCGTCACTCACGTCATTGAGGAGAACGGTGTCCGTCTGCGCTTGAACATCGTCGACACTCCCGGATACGGCGACCTGGTCAACAACGACAGATGCTGGGACCCCATTGTCAAGTACATCAAGGACCAACACTCGGCCTACCTGCGCAAGGAGCTCACCGCTCAGCGCGACCGCTACATCCAAGACACCCGTATTCACTGCTGCTTGTACTTCATCCAGCCCACTGGCCACGCTCTCAAGCCCATCGATATCGTCGTCCTGAAGAAGCTGAGCGAGATTGTCAACGTTGTTCCCGTCATCGCAAAGGCCGACGCCTTGACTCTGGAAGAGCGTCAAGCCTTCAAGGACAGAATCAGAGACGAGTTCGCCTTCCACAACATCCGCCTCTACCCTTACGACAACGACGAGTACGACCACGAGGAGGCCGCCGTCAACCAGCAGATCAAGAACCTCATTCCCTTCGCCGTCATTGGCAGCGACAAGACCATCAACGTCAACGGCCGCGCTGTCCGTGGTAGACAAAACAAGTGGGGCGTCATCAACGTCGAAGACGAGAACCACTGCGAGTTCATCTACCTCCGCAACTTCCTCACCCAGACCCACTTGCAAGACTTGATCGAGACCACCAGCCAGATACACTACGAATCATTCAGAGCCAAGCAGCTGCTTGCCCTCAAGGAGAGCAGTGCCGCTGGTCCTCACAGCAGCAGCAGGTGAGCCTGCACATCGTCATTCTTTCGAGTTTTGGTACTAAATCGATATACAGACCCATCAGCCCAAGCGCCGACCGCGAGCTCAGCCGCAACAGCAACAGGATGACCATGAACGGATACAACTAGACGGGCGTCTACGCGACAGAACAAGGTGTTTGACAGAGGGAACTGTGGGCCGGCCATTATCCAGGTCTCTCGGGAAGCGCTTGATTGAGATACCATCTTCTGTTTTTGTTTTTAGCATCTCTTTTCTCCCTATCTCTTCCTCAAAAGCAATTCCCCAGGCTGTTTACTTGTACGGGGGCTTAGTGATACTGTAATTGTAAAAGACTTTGAACTATTCATTTTCCTGAGTAGACACTGAATTTGATATGCCAAGACTCCAGAGTCTAGAACGACCTCCAACCTTGAGGGTGCTTGAGCTTTCTTTTGATATTAGACTATTATTTATCGACTTAACATCAAGGTACATGCTGTTACACCGGTGTTGGACACACCGCATATCTGTTGCACCTGTTGGCATTCGTGTCCGCTGCTACAGCTCTGTCAACAACCATGGCATAACTCTCGACCAACCAATCCAATCCTACATATCACGGAGCTCAGACCCCTACATCAACCTCTCCATCGAACACCACCTCCTCCAAAAATCCTCCCCAGACTCTTCAATCCTCTTCCTCTACGTCAATCGCCCCAGCATAATCCTCGGACGCAACCAAAACCCTTGGCTGGAAGTAAATCTCGGGCTCCTCAATGCCGCTACAACCAACCCTGGAAGCCCTTCACGCATTGAAAATGAACCTCCCGGTCTGGGCGATGTGGATCTAGTAAGAAGGAGAAGTGGAGGAGGCACTGTATTCCACGACGGCGGAAATGTAAATTGGAGTGTCATTTCCCCTGCTGCAGCTTTCACACGCGACAAACATGCCGAGATGGTCACGCGTGCTCTACGGTCATTAGGCGTACAGCGCTCGCGGGTGAACGAACGCCACGATATCGTTCTGGACCAAGGCACCTCTTCTCAGTCTGCAACCTGGGGTGCTGACAACGACACACACACTACACCATGGCAAAGCGACTGCATCCGCCCGTTGAAAGTCTCTGGCTCGGCGTATAAACTCACCAGAGCGAGGGCTTTGCATCACGGCACTGCATTGCTCAATTCTCCGAATTTGCACGTCATTCCTTCGTATTTGAGGAGTCCGGCGAAAAAATACATCAAGGGGAGAAGTGTAGATAGTGTGAGTTCTCCTGTGGGCAATATTCTGCTGAACAATGAGGAGTTTATCGAGAATGTGCAGAGGGAGTTTGGGGTGTTGTACAGCGGTGCTGGGGAGCCGGTGGTGTTGGGTGAGGAGTGTCTGGAAATTGAGAATGTCAAAAAGGGACATGCTGAGTTGAGTGTAAGTCTCCGCTTTTCATGAGTCTTATGACTGGAGTCCGAGGGCTGTTGCGAATGGCTGACGAGAACAAAAACAGAGCTTGGAGTGGACGTACATGCAAACGCCCCAATTCATCTTCTCTGACCTTCCTCTGAAACCAGAGCAAAAGGAAGGAGAAATCGATTACTCGGATGCAAAAGTACGTTTACCAATCTGAAACCATTTGCGAACCACGAGTACTGACCTGAGAGCAGTTCCGCCTGGATGTGCGTTACGGAGCTGTCACTGGATGCCAACTCAAGACCAAGGGAGCCACCACCCAACAAAGCGATCGTCTTTTGCAACTGCTGGAGAAGAGGAACCTTCATGAAATCAAGGATTGGGAAACTGTGTTTGCAGAAGCTGGAGCGGATTCGAAAGAAGCAGTGGAGATGGCGATATGGGTGCAGAGTATGCTTAGCATACCTTCGTAGAATAAAAATCACAAGTTCAACGGATGCTTCAGATTACGTCTCACTACGATGCCCGAGACGGCAGCGACACGAGGCAAAAGTTCAGGATCGGCCTTGTTCTTAGTTTCGATACCAGTGCGTCCTTTCACGAACAGGATGGGTGGCCATAGCTGGAGAACAGGGTCGGGTTTGACGAGACGGATGAGGCTCAGAAGCATAGAACAGCTTGAGGGTGGAACGGCTCCAAGACTGGCGGTCGAGATCTTGTCCGAGACAAGAAGATATGCTTTGATTATCCTTTCCAAACGAAAGCTTTTTGTCACAACATGCCGCTCTCTATGCCGCAGAATCGTTCTTCTCCACCAGCTCGCCAACACCCAGTCCACGGCCAACCTTGACCTTCTTCAAAAGCTCCTCCTCTTCCTTGTTCTTCCCCAGTGATCCCACAGCATCACCCTCGTCAGCACCTTCGGTAGCCTCTTCCTCCTCTTTGAAGTCCTCATCGTCCCAGTCACCGGGCTTGGGCTTCAGGTGATCAAGCACCATCTTCATGCCATAAGCATCTTCACCATCGGCGTAGTATTTGGCTTCTGTGCCGTCGACTTTGAAGCCCAAGGTATCGCGGTAGAGGGCGAGTGCGGCCTTGTTGGATACACGGACGTGTAATGAGACGTACTTGGCACCGTAGGTTTCTGCCATTGCTCGTTCTGTTCGTGTGGTATCGTGTCAGCGGTGTGCCGTAACAAGAGGATGTGTACAAGGGAAGCACGTACGACTTTGTCTCATCAGCTTCTCTGCAAGACCTAGTCTTCTGTGTGTGCGCATCACACTGAGCGAGGTGATGTGACCGTGCGGAACTCCATCGCTGGGCTCCTCCTCCATCTTTGCGAGAACGTAGCCGACAATCTTGGGCGGGTCGTAAGGTGTCTTTTGCGGGCGGGAAACCTGGAAGATAGAAGAAAAAGAATTGGTATGAGCAAGCCATGATATATCAAGACGGAGGAACGAGGTTTAATCGAAAAAGGCGACACACATCGACGGCGACATAGCTGAGTTGCGGCCAGCTCATGGCATGGTACATGTAGTATTTGCAAAAGTAGTTTTCGGGCAGGTTGGTGATGTTGGTTTGCTGGACATGGGGGATGTCGCTCGATCGCAGCACGCGGATATCCATGTTTGCGGTTTTGTTGGTGGAATGATACGACAAGGAGTTCAATGTTCAATTCGACGATTCGGCGATCGATGCGAGACAACGAGGTCGGCGTCACACCTGCCACATGCTCGCCAAGTCTTTTTGGTGGGGGTTCGAGGAAGGTGCGGCTTGACTTCTTTTCCATCAATCACTTCTCTGAGCATTATAGATTTGAGAAGGAGCCATGAATATCTTCCAAGACAGGTGATGGCCTGAATTGGTCGAGTGAGAGTCTGGGAGCTAGGTAGTCATCATCGACCTGTGCGCATCTAGATCAGCTCAAAGTGGATGATGTGAGTAGAGAACGTAGAACAGTATCCAATGCTTTCAATCATCAGATGAGATGCAGTACTGTGCTTAGACAAAGAAGAAAAGAAACAAAACAAGAAAAGGTATATCGTACACAGGGGAGAAGAATGTTCCCTCGTCTAAATGCCAATGACAGCTATCGATCCACGTTCCTCCCAAGATGCTGGCATCATTGTAATTGATCATTAACGTTGCATAGTGTAATCCATCGACTTCATAACGCCTCTCATGGAAACAAGCGGCCTCGTTGAATTCCATGTTTGCCTATCCCAAAACTCCGCTTCCGGTTCGCAATGCGCCCAAACAAATTGATAAAACAAGACTAGCAGGATCTACCATAACAAGCCGAGGCGAAGATTAGCAAGTGATTACAAAAAGTATTCTCCTGTCCTTCCTCTGCCCGCGGGAACGGCGCGTCGGTGATCCGGTACAGCGGAGAAGATCGTAAAGTCTGGTTCTAGGTCTTCGCCGAGTGTCATGATGCTGGCAACATTACCGCAGCGGTAGCAGTAATTCGGTGCCGACCAAACCGTTACTACGTCTTGGTTCTTGAAGTGGTACTTGTAGCCTTCATTGACCAGTTGATGAGCACGGGCGATGAGTTGTAAGCCGTTGACATGATTGAACTGAGTGATTGTTAGTCAAGACACATTCACAGGGCCAATGAACAAGCAATCGACATACCTCTGTAGCGACCTTATCACCAAACAGCCAACCGGCGCCTCTGGGACTGACAGCCCATGTGTCGACTTCCTCGGGATCACTCCATACTAAATCGCAGAAAGCACCCTCATGCGGAATCTCCTGTGCTCTAGCAACGACGCGAATCTGGTCCAATGTACGAATTTCAGGACTCAAACCTCCGTGTACACACAGCACTTTGCCGTCGACAATTGCGGCAAGAGCCAGGAAATCGAAGACCTGACAACAAGATTTCCAGACCGAGGCGTTTCCGTACTTGGTCTGGCACTCTTCGTAGAAGCCGTAAACTTGAGTGATCTGTCTGGATTCGTGGTTTCCGCGCACGAGGGTGATGCGATCCGGGAACTTTGCTTTGAGACACATAAGCAGTGTAAAGGTTTCGAGGGAGAAGTAGCCGCGGTCAACGAAATCGCCAAGGAAGATGAAGTTCTGCTTCCCGTTGTTGTTGCTGCTGGACCCAGGCTGCTTTTTCCTCGAGGCTTCCGGGCTGCCACCAATGCCGCTATCGCTGTCGTCCTCGTCGTCTTCCTGGTCTGATTCGTCGACATCGCCACCTCCAGGGGGACCTCGGAGGTCGGATCCACTGCTGCGACTTCTCACGCGACCTCTGAGTTCGCTCCCCTCTTGGCCATCATCAGCTTCAAAATCTTCGCCGGCATCGTCCGAGGCATTCGAAGCGGATGAGGTGTATGCACTATCGCGTTGGAAGCGACGCTTCATCTTGCGCTTGACTCGGGGGTCGTTGATCTGAGAAGGAGGTTCGATATCGGCCGCCGAGAAGCCTTTGGGCATGGGAGATTTGGCTTTGACAGGTTCAGGCTCCGGAGCTTCTGACTGAGGTTCGTTCGGATTGTTGTCGCAGGGCATGCCACCGGCGACGGCAAACAGCTCGAGCAGGTCGTAGAACTGGCCGTGGATGTCACCACATACGGTGACAGGGGTGTTGACTGGCTGGATATTGGACTCCTCCATCAAACATTCCTTTACGATCTCGCACAAGCGCTTCATGTCGGCCTCGGGCAGGTACTTGCACTGCTTAGCCTGCTCCAGCCATTCGTCGGGGCCGGCGCCGGGCGACAGGCGGGCAGGACCCGGTTGAGGTACTTGACTTTCTCTGGCCATGTTCTGTTGTAAGCTCCACGGCAAGGAGGAAGTTTCGTGGCTTGTTAGGGGATGAGAAGGACAAAAATGCAATTGACGGTTCCAAGCATGGCCGGCGGCGGCGTGTCAGCGGGCGGGAGCGTAAGGGTGGCCTGGTCTGTGCGCACGTTCGAGCCTCTCCACAAAGGCAGGCGCCATGCACATGATGGTGATAACTCGTGGTTGCTCCTGCCCTTCTTATCCTACACCAGACTGTGGTTCCTCATGACCACGGCCACCTTCACCTACCCTGCTCCTGATGCCGCCTAAGCCCATGGTCCTATTGGCCAAAAAGGGCGCCAATCATGCTGACTCCTCCGGCCAGCCTCAACAACAGCATTCCGGCAAGCAGAACCACCAGCCCAAGAACACTGCCCGTCTGAAACTCGTCGTCCGCCGCCTGCCTCCCGCCCTCACCAAGGATGAGTTTCTCTCGACCCTCGGCGACGACTGGAAAGTCCCTGGCAACAAGATTGACTGGCTGGACTATCGCTGCGGCAAGACAAAGCCTCCCGGAAAGCTGTCTCTGCAGTCGCGCGCATACCTCCACCTGACCAACGACCAACACGTCAAGCCTTTCGAGGCCCACTTCTTGCAGCTCAGCTTCCACGATGCCAAAGGTTCCCACAAGGATCCTCAGCTCAAGCAGCTTCTGCCCTCTCTGGCCTTTGCTCCCAACCAGCGCATTCCCAGTGTCAAGCAACGCCAGGACGGTCGCCAGGGCACCATTGATCAGGACCCCGAATTCATTGCCTTCCTCGAGCGCGAGACTCAGCCAGTCACCAAGCCTCTTTCCCTCGATCAAGCTCTTGCTCAGGAGAAGCCCAAGGACAAGGTCTCGTCTACCCCTCTGTTGGACGACTTGCGCGAGAAGAAGCAGAACAAGGCCAGAGCCAACCAAAAACACAAGGAAGAGAAGCAGTCAGACAAGTCTTCGGCTAGAGGCCGCGACCACAAGTCCGATGCCAAACAGCCTGTGAAGCTCCTCGCAAAGGACAAGAAGAACCAAACCGCCCAGCCTGTCGCTCCTACCCCGCCAGCCGCTACTCCCGCTTCTGGTCGTAAGCGTGAGCGTGCCGCTCCGAACAGCAACAATATCAAGTCTATGCTGCAGAGAGATCTTGGTCTGAACCCTCCTACCAAAGGCCGAGCAAAGGATGTCTCGACAGCAAATACTTCCAAGACGACGTCTCCTGCTCCACCCGTTGAATCCGCTACGAACGCTGCTGCTGCTGCTCCGGCCAAACCAACAAAGTCAAGATCTGGTCGCAACAAGGAGAAGGCGGCCGCCCAGACTCCTGCACAGGAAAACTCTAAGCCTGCAACTCCTGCTCCCACCATCTTGAAAAAGCCCGCTCAGCCAGCCGCGCCCAAGGCCCCGAAAGCCGCCAAAGGAAACAACACCTCTGCTCAGGCACCCCCATCGACTCCCGTTACTGCTAACAAGCAGCCCAAGGCCGCAGCAAATTCGGGTAGCAGCACTACAAAAGCTTACCTGAAGCACGCAAATGCTTCTCAAGGCGTGACTGAGCCTCTGCTCCTCGTCGCTCTGTCCGCATTCGGTCCTGTCGTCAAAGTCGAGATTGACAAGCGCAAGGGTACTGCTCTGGCTGAGTTCAAGGACAACGAAGGCTTGAAGGCTGCCATGTCCAAGAAGAGCGTGCCCGTCGCTCAGGGTGCTGTCGAAGTGCTCGAGTACAGAGACAAGCAAACCCAGGGAGGCCGCAACGCTCAAGCCAATAATAATCCCCGAGGTGCTAACGGTAATGCTTCGAACAGAGGCAGAGGAGGACGTGCCAGAGGTGGTGCTGCCGCTGCCGGTAACACCGCTGCTGCTTCTAACGGTAATGGTCAAGCTGTCACTGCCACCGGCAATAAAGCAGATGCTACATGAGCGCAGAGGACGGTATGCGTGACGCTTCATGCGTGCGCCACCTCGAACAACCAAGCAGAAACATCTTCAGCCTTGCTATTACAGCGCCTCAAGAACCGAGGCTCATTCCAGCCAGAGCGATCCAGCCAGCATGATATCTCTGCTCAGAGTCTCAGCAGCTTTGTGTCACAGACATGAGTGTCCAGGCGGTTTCACTTGCAGCATTATTGGCATATTCTGGACCACAGACCCCGGACTATGTAAGCACTTGCTAGGAGCTGGAACAGAGGAAGGAGATCTTCTTCTCTGCCTGTAACCGGCTATGAGGCTTTGCGCTCCGAAACCAAGGATGCTTAGTTCTTGCAGACAGCCCTCAATCCTCTGAAACGATGATGGTCTGCTAGAGACTATCAACTTCAAAAGCAGCAGTAGCAACATCTCTTGTCGAGAGACCGATTCCAAGAATATCAGAACCCTTACCTTCCATCGCCTGTGCTGTCTAGAAGCCATCTTGAATTGCGTCCAACCTTTCTTCTTGTCACGCGTGTTACAAACAAGAGCTATGCTTCCACCCTCTCCGTGTACAAGGTTATGTCTCGCAAGGCCTGTAGAAATGCACAGTCTTTTTGTCAATTGAGAGGTGATTCATCGAGAGTCATGACTTCATCGCCTCTGTGTGGACTTTTGCTGTCGTCTAGAGACCACTGTGCATTTCGATGGTATCGCCGCCGCCTGCATGGCGTCATGAGAGCGGATTCAGAGTCACAGAACTTAGCACAGGATGAGGAACGAGTGTTGGGTTTTGAGAATATTTTTGTATCTTCGGCTCTGGAATCAGAGCATGCAACACCCAAAAAGCAACCCAATTGGTCTGCGTCTCGAAGGAAGAAAAGCGTCGAGAAAGAAAAATGAGTAGTGTGGAAAAGGACTATCGTGAAGCTCCTTTACATAATCTCGTCCTCCATGGTGGCGTCGCCGGTAGCAGCAGGGGCAGCGGCGGGTGCAGATGCGCCGTTGGTGTTGGCAGCAGGTGCAACGGCGTTGGGGTCGAAGTACTCGCTCATCTCAGCATCGAGCTCCTCGACGGTCTTGGGCTTGGGACGGCCAGCGCGGCCCTTGCGACCACCACGGCCAGCGGCCTTAGTAGCACCACCGGCAGCAGCGTTGACAGGCTTGGGGGCAGCAGCGGCTGTCTTGGGCTTGTTGTTCTCCTTTTTTGCCTTGGGTGCCCTGAAATTGATTAGCAAGACTTTCGGATCTCACAAGCCAGGGCTCAACTTACTGGATGCGGTCACCAAGAGACTTGGGTGCAGCAGGAGTGGGTGCGTACTTGGCACCGAGGATGACCTCAATCTGTGTCTTTGTGTTAGCATGCATCCAACCTCATGACCCAAATCCTAGCTTGGACTCACTTTCATGGCCTTTCCATCAACCTTGACGGAGTCGAGCTGCTTAGCAGCTGCCGCTGCGCTATGGGGCTGGGAGAAGATGATGGTGGCGACGCCGACGCTACGGCCGTTCTTGTTGTAGTTGAGGAGGACCTTCTTGATAGGGCCAACAGTCTTTCCGAAGTATTCCTGAAGGCGAAGTGTTAGTCCACATCTGGAGGCAGTTGCGAATCGCGATGAGAATCCGTATTCCAGCGGACGATAGAGCGAGACCAGGCAGATGTATCAAGTTCGGTACTTGAGCACCAATGAGCGAGCAGCAGAGATTAGTATCCAACGCCGACAGCCAGCAACCACTCGTTTTCCCACAAAATGTGCCGATCAACACCACAGAAGGATCTGAGAAGCCGCGTCTTCAAGGGACACCTCCATCAAGCCAGGATCAAGCGCCATGAGCCCACATGGTCTGTTTCAATCAACGCTGGTGCCTTTGTTGCCGCCTTCTTCGGGGCCGGTAGATATTTCCCTGGTCTGAAGCATGTGCCAGAAGATGCGGGGGTTGTTACCAGTAGCCCAAATTTCTTACTGTGTCTGCTGCTGTGCTCATTGATGCTCGGGAAGAGTTTTCTCGGGCCATGGATGCCGGGTTTGACCACGAACAACTTGTGGCGTTCTGGACGTATGTCCAAGCCTTATGACCTTCAACGCTTGCACCTATCTGGATGAATCTGCTTGCCAAGCAGTACATTGCCGAGTATAGGTTTCTTGCAAAGCGCGTGTGCTACTCCTGATCCATCTTCGCATTACGTCGAGCCTTCTTAGGGCGAGTGGAATGCTAGGCAGGAGTGCATCAGGTCTGGCAGTACTCTGAAAGAGTATTCGGGTAGGTGCTCTCGCCGTCTCCAAGGAAAGGAAAGGAAGTCGCATTACAGGTACGAGCGAAAGAAAGAGTCGCGCAAGATGGGCCATATCCGTTCGGCCATGTTCGGTCAACGTACCTTAATCTGCTGCTCCGTGACATCGGAAGGCTGATTGTGTTAGCGAGTGCAGGTCGAGGGAAAAGACGGGTCGACGTACCAGGTTGCTGACAATGATCTTGCTTTCTCCGGTAGCGGGAAGAGCAGCGCCGACAATAGCTGCGGTGGCGGCAGCGGAAGCCTTGGGTTGGCGGCCAGCGTTCTTGGGAGCGGCCGAATTCTTGGTGACACCTCCAGTGGAAACTCTGGGCTTGTCACCGCGACGAGGGCGACGAGTGTCGTTGCGACGAGAGCCGGCAATCTCCTCAAGGGACTGGTCAAGCTTGGAAGACATTGTGTGTGTTTGTTTGCGAAAAGATGTGTGGGTTAAAGGCGCGAAAAGCTGGCTACCGTGTTACGACAGGAAGCGTGAATAGAAGTCGAAGAGAGGCGACGGAGAGTTTGAGGTTGGCAAAGCGAAACTAAACGTCTCTCGATGGAGTTGATGTTCAGGACGCGAAGTCGAGCGGGCTGACAGTAGCGTGTGGCTTGTCGCAAAGTCGGCGCGTGAGCTGTGATAGAGCGCGCGGTGGTAGAAGATGACGCGAAGGCAAAGACGAGCTGCGACGAAGATGGAGAAGAAAAGACGGATGGAAGTGCCTTTTGGAAGGGTGGCTTTGATGGGTGAAAGTGACAAGGGGAAAGGGGAGAGTGAGTGTTGGAGCCGGCGAGGCAGGCGCGCGCAGCTGCCAGCTAGCGCCGCAACGGTCTGTGCTTGCCTGATCCGGCTCCAGCACAACCCATCCATCGACTTCGCGTCAAGTGAGCAATTGTTGACCCAACTCACTATTAAGATGTTGTGTCAAGTATCACCCGCGGATATGGAAGGTTGAGGACTCATTCCGAAGTCACTTGATGGCTTCATTGGATTCAGCGAAGAGATCGGTGATCACTATCAACTTGGGTATTATAGTATTGTATCAAGCAGCAGATTCGTTCAAGGAGTATGCGCAGTCTTCTAAAGAGAATGCCATGGCCAGTCCGTTTGATCCATTGCGCCCTAACGCCGTGTTGTCGTCGCTCACATCTAGCTCTTGAGAGCCTCGAGACGCCCTCTCATTTGGGCCAGCAGCTCCTCTTGATCTTCTTCCTCTTCGGGCTCTGTTGCTTGGACAGGTGGAAGGTCCAGAGCTTGTTCGGTGGCGGGTAGTTTGTCCTTGAGCACCTCGCTGAGGACCTTGTCAACCTCACTCTCCGCCTCTTCATCCTCGTCTTCCAATAGTTCGTTGTCAGGCAGGCTGTCTCCCACCATCTCTTCAATGACGCCCGCCTTCATCAACTCCTGGCTCAGTTCTCGCATGGATCCTGTCAATTCGGGCATGCGGACCAAGTTGTTGACGTCCTTCATGATGCCAACACTTGCTTTGATGCTTCCCTCGATCTTCCGTACCTGGAAGGCCTCGTTGATCTGGAAGCCCACACTCTGCAGTTGCGCTTGACTAGTAGTCAACCTCGCAGTTTGTTTGCGAGCCCTGATGAGCTCACGGGCAAAGGTACGAGTCTCCTGGGCGGCCTGGGTCGCTTGCGACGGGTTGCGCTGGGCACGTTTGGCGGCTTGGGTGATGAAGGTCTTTGTCTTGCCCTCGAGTTGCTTCAACTTCATGATCTCGCGGTCGAGTTGGCGTGATTGTTGGCGCACTAGAGCGTTACATTTTCTCCTCTGTGGCCATTAGACAAGTACAATAGTCGGGTGATGGATAGTTGGCTGACCTGCTCCTCGGGAGTAGGGCCCCAGAGGAAGCTCTTCACCGACTGCATGCTCGCGGATGGTATGCTTTGTGACACTTGGTCATAGCATGCCACAGCAGTATCAAGTTCTCGTCGGACAGAGTCTGACACGTGAGTGAAGATGGTATGAGTGAGTTGGGCATTGAGTGTCTACCGGTGCCTTGGCTACTATCGCTATCGGCGGGAGACTTGGCGCATTACGTCGGTCCGGCGGCCCTCCCCCGCGCTTGGATCAAAGCTCCCAGAGCTCACAAGTTCCACCGCCAGCAGCCCTAACGAGACGCTTCTGCCATCTTTTCGATTCAGAGACATTCCAGTTGCTGTATCCAGCTTCGGAAGTGTGAGTTAGGCAGATCATCATTCGGTAAGTTCGACCTCTCTTGAGCGTCGACTGTTTGTTGTCTGTTTGTTGCAGATCCGCTTCGACGGGTTCCATCTGCTTCGCGTGTATTCTAGACTGTAACCCCACAAAACGAGCGACTGACGACTTGCAAGGTCTTTTCTGGTCGACATACTCAACCATCAAGACAACTTTGTCGCATTTCTCAATATTCCATTCGCCTACAGATTCATACACCATGGAGCAGCCTACCAATACCACCGATACCAAGAACATGAAGCAGATCGTCCCCGAGGGTGAGTCGCCCCGTCGTCGATCGAACGTCCGCCAAACATGCTAACCTCCAACGCGCAGTCACCTGGGCCCAGCGTTCGTCCACCACCGAGCCCGAGAAGAACCACATCTACATGACCATTGTCGTTCCTGATGTTGACTCCAAGAACTTGAAGCTTGATCTTCAACCCTCATCGCTTGAATACACCGGTTACTCAGAGAGCAAGAAGGCCACCTACCACGTCAAGATGGACCTATTCGCCGAGATTGACCCCAAGGAGAGCAAGATCAACCACTCTTCGCGCTGGACCGAGCTGGTTCTGCAAAAGAAGGAGCTCAACGAGGAGTACTGGCCTCGTCTCCTCAAGGACAAGCAAAAGGTTCACTACATCAAGACCAACTTCGACAAGGTACGCGACATCGTTTACGAATTACCATTGAACCATGCTGACTCGCCTTCTCTAGTGGGTTGATGAGGATGAGCAGGACGCCGTTCCCGAGGATGACGACTACATGTCCCGCATGGGTGGCATGGGCGGTCAAGGCGGCATGCCCGGTGGTGGTATGGAGGGTATGGGCGGCGACGGTGGCTTCGGAGGCATTGACTTCTCCAAGCTCGGTGGCATGGGCGGTGCTGGCGGCGCCGGTGGCATGCCCGACCTTAGTGCCCTGCAGGGTATGATGGGCGGTATGGGCGGTATGGGAGGCATGGGCGGCATGGGCGGCGATGAGGGTGACGATGATGATGACGACGATGACATGCCCGAGCTCGAGGAGGCCGAGGAAGCCAACGCTGGTACCTCCAAGTCCAGCAAGATCGAGGAGGTCGAGTAAAGAGACGGCCCTGGATTGATGCCCGCCACCGCCTTGGAGAAAAGTAGTTATGAACCGCCACTGACGAAGAAGCGCTTTTACAGCACTCGGACATAGACACGGATGATAATCACCACGAAGCTCAACGAGATACCAATTAGTTTTCATAGCACAATCAGTGCTTCACATGCACACACTCTGAATCTTCTGCTTTTGATTGTTCAAGCGCCTTGGTTGAAGTTCATGCTATATCCTCCACTCTTCTCGTCTTTGACAAACTGGAAGTTGTTGGTACTCAGGCCGAAAGGCTTCAGGATGCTGTTGCCTAAGCCCTTCAACTTGCCCATCATCTCTGCCATCTCGTTGGACTTGGCTTCCTCTAGCTTGGGGCCAATATCAGCCATAGACTTTTGTACAGTTTTCTTGTCCAACGGCGAGAGATTCGTTGCAGTCGCAAGGAAGGTATAGTCTGTACATGTCAGATACAAACTTCATGATGAAGTTATGGGAGAGTCTCACCTTCGTAAGCGCCTTGCAGAGCAGCCCAACCTCCGGTCTCAGACCTTGCTTTGGCTCGCCTCAAGAATGCCTTGACACGAATCTTCTGTACATCGTCCCGTGTTCTCCCACTCTGCTCCAAAGCCTCAATTTTCTCAGCTGTCTCGTCGTCGATCTCTTCCACAGCGGGCTGGGACTGTAATGTGGCTTTGGTGGAGTCTCTCGGGTCCTTCGGTCTCGGTAGAGGGTCGATTCGTTCCAACGAGTCTATAGCTTTGGTGGCACTGTCTATGGCTTCTTTCCACTGTTCCGACTTGATGTGACAGGCGGCTATGTTGGAGTGCAGTACAGCGATGTCGTATTCGAGGTAGTTGGGGCAGGATGACAGGGCGCGGTCGTATGTCTGTACAGCTTCTTCGAAGGACCCGTGAGCGAAGAGCGAGTTGGCATCGGCCTTCAGCTTATTCGACTCTTGTAGTAGTGACTTGGCTGGTCAGCACAGGATATACCAAGCGGCAGTGTCTGCGACGTACAGCTTCCTCCTCGGGTGAGAAGCGAGACTCCTTCTTCACATTGTGGGAAGACTTTGCAGAGACAAAGCTCTTGTCATCGTCTGATGGGTAGTCGTCTCCTGACATGGCGAACTCTTGACGACCAGCACAGCAAGAGGAATGTCAACAACAAAATATCGCATGACGTATTCTTGGATCGCATGTGAAGGTCTTGGCGCCTGTCTCTCCTTTCTGCCTCCCCATGCGCGAAGACATGTCACACGGTTAGCTATAGAAATGCACAGTGTCCTCAGTAAACAGGGAGCATCCACGGAGAGCCACAGGGCTATCGACTCTCTATGGTCTCTGCTGCCGTCTAGAGATAACTATGCGTTTTGATGGCTTCAAGTTCCACCTGCGTGTTATCTTGAGAGAGCGGGGTGGGAGTGACAGAATTTGGCACATGGGAGGTCATGTTCGCGGTTACCGTATCTTGCAGCGAATCAACCACTTCCACCTTATCGACCATCTTCAACCCAAACCATGGCGTCTGAAGGCACCTCGGGTACATCGACTCCCAACTCGCGCTTCACGACTCAAGCAAAGACGGCCGACGACATTCTCTCCGCGCAGACCGTCGGTCTTGTCCAACTCGACGACTTCCGCAAACGACGAGCGGATGCCATAGATGCAAAGGAACGAGAAGCACTCGAGTCTGGCCGTGCCACCCCCAGCAGCGTCACAGACAGCCCGTACGTGTTCACTCGCTCTGTCAAGAGATGGCGGCTAAGAAAACAAGTGCAGTGACCCGACATTCAAGCCCTCCAAGAAGAAGCGCAAGACTGTCAAGAAGGGTGCCCTATCGTTTGGCGACGATGGTCACGATGACGGCCAGAGCCAGAGCGAGTCGTTGAAGTCCCGCTCTGCCACTCCTGCAGCCACCAAAGAGGAAAGCACACAAGACGAGGAACAAGCGGCACCCATCAAGAAGCGCCTCGCTGCGAACTCCAACGTTGGCTTCATGGCCAAATCTATGTCCAAGTCAGCCCTACTGCGCGAGGCACAGACACGGGAACAACTGCGCAAAGAGTTTCTCGTCATGCAAGAAGCAGTCAAGCAGACGGAATTCCTGCTCCCCTTCGTCTTCTATGACGGCACAAACATCCCTGGTGGTCAATGCCGCGTGAAGAAGGGGGACATGGTCTGGCTCTTCCTCGATCGCGCGAGAAAGGTCGGTGCCGAGGTTGGAGGCAGCGACAAGGCTCGACGTGAATGGGCCCGTGTCGGTGTCGACGATTTGATGCTCGTCAAAGGCGATATCATCATCCCTCATGTAAGTCTCCGTGACCAAGTCCCGGTATGCAGCTTACTAACCCCGTACCAGCATTACGAGTTCTACTATTTCATGGTCAACAAGACCAATGGCTATGCTGGACCCCTGTTCGGTCATTCTGCCGAACCCACGGCAACCACTCCCGTGGACCCCTCGGCTTCGACTCCCTCAGGCGGTTTGTCGATACCCACCGCAGCCTCAAAGACGCCCAAGACGCAGACGCAGCCATCCGGCGTTCCTGACGCAGACCTTGAGGGCTTCGGCTCAGACCCAAACTCGACAAAGGTCGTCGATCGACGCTGGTATGAGAAGAACAAGCACATCTTTCCCGCCAGCACATGGGAAGACTTTGACCCGAACAAGGATTATACCAATCATGTGCGCAAGGATGTGAATGGTAACGCTTTCTTTTTCGCATCATGAGATCGACACCTTCTCGGACTATTGATTATCATTGGCTCATGCCTTGTGACGATATTGTCATCGCCTTCGGTGTTCTCCCAAGAGACTTGCAGCTTTCTGCGCGTAGCGCATCTGCTGCCGCAGAGATGAGATCTTGGACCGACTGAGACTCACTGCGCCGCACCCAAGGGTACTGCGGCCCCGCACCCGCTGCATTGGACATCACTCTTCCGACTTCCAAGCGGTTCGAGTAGATCTGCGTTGCTGAGAACGTGCAGAAAGATGTAAGTAGCCATTGTTCGTTCTCGCCGACGTCAAGAAGAAAATCAACACGGTGACCCAGTCTGCGTTGACCTTGCAGTCCAACCATTGCCATTCCGTGAGTTCGTATTACCCAGTACTCCGTACTCGGTTCACTTTTCAAGTTGCACCCCTCTACGGGCGCCTCAGCTGCACGTGCTCGAGCGGAATGCATGCAGCGTTCCGCCCGCATTCAGATCCAATCGTCGTGTGTGGACTTACACGCCACTTCCAAGATATCTTGATGTTCACAAGCATACGGTTCACCTGCAATGCCGCGAAGTGCTGATGAGACATTATGCTACTTCACTCGGCATCAGCGTTTTAGCTCTATTTTCTCCAGTCTCTTCGCCGTATTAGTATTACAATTGTCAAGCGGTCTGCAGGTGGTGACAGTCATCAACGCACTTGACTCTGACTCTCGCGATGATTCGATCGCCTTCATGGCACAAACTTCTATCCTTAGATTGTGTCGTCGCACTGTACTGCTTACTTCGACCTACAAATCTCCGATATGGAAGACTCACAAGTCCGATGCCAGGCACAGAATTGAATTCTTTGTGCCTGACAGATTGGCAGACTCCTAAGTTGCACAGCGTCTCCGGTGCCCTTCGTAAGAATAATCTGGGAATAATCTCGTAAGCTTCTTAATCAACCTCTTGCCTTTCGAGTTTCCGGTGACGGACTGAACAACGGCCCAATGCTTCGGTATCCATCTTCCTGTTGGAAGTACAGTAACCCAATGTCTCCGCGGAATACTTCTCTCGTTTGCCAATACAGCTTGCATCTTGCATACTGCGTCACGTTCGTAACTGACCCGAGAATCAGCTCCCAGCATCTGAGTACTCGAATCCCGAGGCTGTATGATACCACGCTAGAAAACGAGAAGCAATGATATGTGCTGCACTAAGAGTAAGAAGATAATAACGTTCATCACTCGTGAAGGCTGGAACAAAGGTATAAAGACAGCTCCTGCTCCTTGAGAAAGAGAATCATCCTCAGCAACACAGGACAAGCCAGCAGCATAATCACCATCCTCTCGCTCATACACTATAGTTTGAACTATTCCCCAATTCCAATCTCAAGATGATTTTCAACACTCAGGTCGCAGTCGCCGCACTGCTTGCTTCCAGGTACGGCATTTGATGGAGAGAATGATACACGCAGAACTGATATCCAGTAGCTTCGCTGTTGCCATGCCCTACGACAGCTGGGGTTCCAGCAGCAGCAGCAGCAGTAGCACCAAGGAAGTCAAGACCACTCCCTCCACTAGCAGCACCTGGGTCGCCACCACCTCTACCAAGAAGACTGAGTCAAAGACCACCCCTACCACCAGCCCCTCTACTTGGAAGACCACCGAGTCCTCCAAGACCACTAGCAAGAGCTCTTCCAAGTCTAGCAGCTCGAGCTACTCGACCTCCAAATCCAGCAGCTCTTCCAAGAGCAAGTCTTCGTCCACCAGCGTTAGCACTTCTTGCACGACCAAGTATGAGACTTCGACCTCCACTGGCTACTTGACCACCGTCACCTACTCTGCAACCACCGTCTACGTTCCCTCTGTCAGCACTTCCACCTACCTTTCGACCTCTACTTATGTTTCTACCGGATACACCACTGGTGAGTGACCTTTTCTGTTGTGGATCTTGGTGAGACATACTAACTACTATGCTCAGTCGTCAAGCCTACCACTGTCACTGAGACTAAACCTGTCGTCACTGAGAAGACTACCTGGAGCACCTACGTCGTGACCACTTCCAAGTAAGCGAATCTGAAAGACACCATTTGCTTCCGGCAAAGTCTTGTCGATATATCGAATGCATCGAAAATCATGCTAACCGTACATCTTCCAAGGCCCGTCGTCATCCCCGAGACAACCTACAAGACCGAGACCGAGACCAGCGTCGTCGCCGAAACCAAGCCTGTTGAGCAGTAAGACGAATTCACGGCACAAAGTCCACCCGCAAGCCCACACTAACCACGTTCCCCTCCAGGACCGAAACAAAGACTGTTACTGGAACCAAGACCGTCACTGTCAGCAAGTAAGTTGAGCTTAGACTCACTCATGCTAGTTTCACAATTCAGAACATCGTGCTAACCACTTTCTTCTCTCTACAGGCCCGAAGTCGAGAGCAAGACCATCACCATCACCAAGCCTGAGACCAAGACATACATCTCTGGCAAGCAGATCTGCACCACCATCCCTGTCTACGGCGGTGGTGGTTACGGTGGCTGGTAAAGAGCGGAAAAGAAAAAGAAGGCTGCTGATCTTTACTTTTCCCTCTTCTTCGAGTCCTTTTTTCAGATGTGAGGAGTGAGATGAAAAACTTCTGGTTGCCTCAAGCACGAACACGCTCCTTTATATGTTTGATGACCTTTGCTTTGATGATTTTTCTGCTGTTTTTTTTTTTGGGTCATGATCCTTTTCGATTCTTTCCTCGATGGATTTTGATATTTCTTTTCTTGTTACTGCCGCTGCCATTGCCTCAATACAACGGTCCTTTTTATATATCGATATAAGATTGAATGGTCATCTTATACCAAGAGTTTTGATGTGGTGATATCATCTGAGTCAAGAGACTGAGTAGTAATTTGAAACCTCTGGAAGAGTAAAGAGATGGAAGCCAGATCGAAACGGGACGTTTTGTCTAAGCCATAAAAGTTCACCAAGATGGCCCTCGAGAATACAGAAGGGCTACAATTTGGCAAGAGCAAAGGAGTGTGGTTGTGATTGCTAAGTATACATGACTTCTCGCTGTCAATCGAGACTTTTCTTGCATCGTTTTCTTAGGGACCAGAGCTGATATTTCTCCGCCAATAAAAGTATCAATAGCCATGATCATGCTGTGGTTCCACCGAAGCATACCGGCAAGAGTCTTGGCAATTCCTCATTTGATTTGTCCATCCCCTGCAGTATCGTTCTGCACACACTTGAACCCGTCTTCTCCTCCATCAACACAACGAACAATCGCAGTTGACGAGATCATTGCGCATGATGTGATAGACATGTTTGGCAAAGTCTCCGGCTGATCTGAAGGATCCGCCAGAAGGGTGACCACGAACATAGGAATCTGTCACTGCTCTCATTTGGTCCTGAACGAAACTGAATGGGTGACGAGCTCGAAGCTCCAGGACGTATCCCTGAGGAAGCCCACCCGTGAAGTTGGCAGTGTAGCCTGTGATGTTCTTGTCAGTCTTGAGGACATGAGCACAAGGGTAAATGACCAGTGAGGTTTACCCAGTGTTGCAGCGTAGTTGGGAGTATTTCTGAAAGCGCCGCTGAGCATGTAGAGGAAGCGTGCGAGATCTACGACTTGAGGTTGTTGGGCTTGTCCATCGCTGGCGAATGTAGGGTCACTGAGATCGATATCGCGGGTGGGAGGATTGGGTCCAGGTCCTGTGTTGGCTCCAGGATTGGGGGCTTGATTGGGGGCGGCCATCCTGTGATCGCGAAGACTGGTGTGATGGTGGTCTGGTTGGAGACATGGGAGTGCAAGACACATATATCATCATCTCGATTGCTGCTTTGGTCAAGAGAAGCTGTGTTAAAGCGTATGAGAGAGAAAGGGGTCTTTGAGGAGAGAATTGTCGAACAATACGGGAAGGATAAAGAAGCATCCAGCCGATTGCTCCTTCTTCTTGATAGTTGTGAGGAAGAAGCAGACGCAACACCGTCTTTGTGCACTTACGCAAGCAATCAGTAGATACATCTAGCATCTATGTCCAGATCTAATGTGTACGGTCAGACAGGGGGTTGAAATGCCTCCTATGCTTAACAGAAAGACGACCACTTTGACTCACTGCAGAAGAGAACCTCACCGACACTTCATATACCAGCTCTCATCAGTTCCCTCATCAATCACACGGTCTGACGGTTTAGTATAGCAGAATGGCAGCTAATCACAACTCTTGGCAGTGCACCTCTGCAACAATCAACGCCACACAAGATCTCGAGTTCGAACCTTCTCATCAGCTAATTACTTTCGCCAGCTTTCAAACAATGCAAACACCGTCTCTTGATAGACGCGCCCCTGTGGAAAGGTGGTCTGGTCACTATCAGAGGCTGGAGGAGAAGTTGGAGGAAGGAAGGAAGAGGAAAGGAAGAGAAGTGGGGACACGAGATCTTGAAAAGTGAGTACAAATCTTCCATCCGTCAGACCCGTAATTCTTTTTTGCTTGGGTTGTTTTTGTATATGAATCGGTGTTTGGGTTTTGTGATGTTTGCTGCGCAGCTTTCTTATGTGGCTACGAGAGATAACAACACTCACGTCCTCAATGTATCAAACCACAGTCCAGTGTGAGAGACAGATACACATCTTGTGTGCGTTTTGCACCCAAGCCGCCATATGCCCATCTGTCAAATTTTCGATGACACTGCCACATCTCCTGCACTGTCTGACTTTGGCGTTCGGCGGGATAGCGCACTTGCGCAGCACGTCGTATTGTTGTCTTTCAGCTCGTTTGATTGCTTCTTCGTCCTCGCCCAGATCCAACCATGCTGTGTCTCTGAGATAGATAGCGACTCCGTCGATCTGACTTTCGAGACGTGGCACTATCTCGCCGAATAGTCTTTGCAGCACTGGACTCAGCGCTTCAGGTATGTCGGCATCGACAAGCATGCTCTGCTCGTAGAAGCTCCGGTGTGGTGGTGATGACTGTGCGGCTTGATATGTTGCACGAACATTGCCGTCGACCTCTGCGACGAGCTGCTCAAACAGCTTGATCTCGAATGGTAGCTCTGAGCCCATCATTGCTTCCATCTGTTGCAATTCGACGCTGTCCCGGATGTCGTTGGTTCTACTGCTGAGGCGCACCTTCTCTTGAGTCTTGACAACGCGCATGGCAAAGTTGCGAATCAAGTTGCCTAGCATACCCAGCAATGCGCGCGTTGTACTGCACAGTAAAATGTGCAGACTTACGGAATTCTTTTCGTGAATATAAGCCAATATCCTTCCTCTGTCAAAGTCGCCCTTGCAGAATCGCATAGTCTCAATCATGTCGTCGAAGATGAGTGTCATCAGATCCAACGACCATCTCACCAGACCTTTGAGCGATACGAACAAGCTAGACTCCATGTTGTGCATTCCTCTGATCTGCTGAGTCATGGTCAAGGTCTGCGCAATGTTGGTGCATACTGAGCGAAGATTGAGCAACACCCATGCTGATTTTGCAGGTATATCTCGTCGTTTGGGGTTGGTGTTGTAGCTGACTAACAGCTGTGCGCTGGCGATCCTGAACAAAAGACTGTCTTTCAGGACCTTGCCGGACTGTAATTTGGGATCATCGAGCGAGAAGTCGACGTTGCGGCTGATTGTACGGAATATCTCGCTGATGAACTTGCATCGAAGACTTCTGTCTAGATCTGTGGGTATCACAGACAGTAGATCGTCAAAGCCGATTTGGTAGCATGTCACGCTGGCGAGTTCGCGAGCCAAAGACACGACAGCAGCTTGCGCAAGATCTAAAGCTGTCAGTTTTGCAGTCGGTTCAATCACTCAAGCTCAAATCATACCGTTATCATCTTTGGCATCTTTCCAGTTGTGCTGGTACTCAGCATTGTGTAACTTGAGAGTACCGTCTGGTTTAGTTATGACTGAGGCTGCCAAACTAGGCGAAAGGAAAATGTCAATGCAATCTTCGTTTGGAAAAGAGAATCCGTTCTGTGGCAGACTTGTGGCTTTGTTGGTATCTCCGTCTGATATGATGATCTGCATCGTCTCTCGAGAACGAAATTCTACTGTACCGTCACTCGCTGCAAAAGCAAACATGTTGTGATAAACGTTGCTTTGCAGTGCCAATATGGCCTTTTGTGAGAAAATATCTTCCGTTCGATACAGTCTTTGCACAGGCTTGTTGGTGGCAGGTTGGGCGGTTGTCGGTCTCAAACTCTTGAAACTGTCATGTAACGTGGCATCGACTTGTTGGAGGTCCCATCGAGATATGATACTGAACTTGCCGCTATGATCCTGTGCAGCGCTGGTGAAGACAGCCACAACGGTGAATGTGCTGTTATCGATTGCTTGCGAGATTGGCTCGACATGTAACGATGACAGCTGAGCACTTGCTGCACGTTCTGAGGATTGAGGAACACATCGGTCAAGCAGCTCGACGTGCAAGACTGCTATCTGCGGATTTAGGGTTGTTTTGTGGTTGGTTCCATCACCAGCATTAGCATTCCAGTTGATCATGATCTTGTACAGGCGCAACCGTTTAGAGGTGTCATATGTGACCATTACAAGATGTTCTGCCAGAGTCAGTCTAGTCGCATGGATCATCAAGACAAGCGTTACTTACGGTTGGCTTGACAGAAGGCAGCATGAGTGAGCACGTCTCCAGAATCAGCGAGATTGTCTAGAGTGAAGACATATTGTGACCATGGTTGTCCAGGCTGTTCGTAGATAAGTTTCAGAAGACCTCTGCGGGTGACACACAGAAAGGCTGCCTTATTGTCGATTGGATTTGAGACACCATGGACCTCATGAAGCTTCATAGTGTTGACCCATCGATTGCCTTCTTTGGCAGCTGGAAGTATCAGAGCAGTCTATGATTATGTGTCAGACAACACCTCTGAGAGCCAACACAAACACATATAACTTACACGCGTCTGGCCTGCGGGATTGGTAGGGAGCCAGTGAAGGCCAACAACTTGGTTCAGATCATCGACAGAACTTGTCAAATTTACAGGACGACGCTCAAGACTATTCAAGGCATGGGTCAAACTGAATAGAGTAAAACGACCAAATTGATCGGCGATGACCAGATCAAAACCGGAGCTGCTCCATTCGACATGGGTGAAGATGGCACCTTCTGAGGCATTGACCTCTGTTTCGTCGGACAAAGACCAGTTGGCAGTGTTCTTGTCGCGACAGAGAGCGCGCACGACGACCTTGCGAGAATCTGCAGATATTTGAGCAATACAGCTGGTCCTAGACCATGCTAGCCTCCTGATCAGGGTCAACGAACATTCAGAAGCTCAGAAGACAGCAGGAAGAGCAAACTTACTGGCAACAGCCTACGATGTGAGAGCGCTCGATGCGTTGAAACAGGGCATCGGTATCAAAGGTGGCAGCGATGGCAGCGTTGATGCTTTCCTCGCCAAACAGCTCGTCAACATCAATATTCTCCATGCATGCGACGATGGCTTCTGGTCGGATAGCCGAACTACACAGACCTCTCGAAAGAAGACACAGGCTTCTTCAAATTAAGGTACAATCCAGATCGTGAAGAGACGAAAGCAGCAGTCACTACACTGGCCTAGAAAGAGTGAATGGACAGGCGGCGTGTACTGTCTACAGAAGCAGTTGAGAACGAGTATGGAACCTCCCCGTGTGCTAAATCCGCAGTCACTGGCCACTCTCACGTCAACAATCAGGTGGAGCTGATGCCGTCGCAATGCACAGTTCTTTCTAGATTGTCGCAGAGACCATTGAGAGACGAGAATATCACGACTCTCAGTACAGGCTTCATAACCCTCGACACCTTTGTGCATTGTTATAGGTGTTCCGTGGCATGCCTTTGCTAAGAGATCAGGAATGCCAAGGTGTACAGAGCGATGAAGTCACACGGTCACTCTCGGCGACGGCCAAAACAAACAGCAGGGCTTTGGCGGGAGATGGATGCCGCGGCGCTGCCGGACGGATTCGAGGAAGCACTTCTCCACGCCCGCTCTTTGCAGCTTCCTCTTCATCTTCGTGCAATTGCTTCTTCTTTGTGCCTAATCGCATTGTCTATTGTTGAAGCCTCGTGTCGTGGAGCGCTTCTCTTTCTAGTTATTTCGTCGCCCTATTCCGACCAATGGTCGCTGCTGCCGGGTGATTCAGGATTTGACAGTGGCCTTCTTGACCGCGCGCGCACGACTTCCTCACTGGGCTCCTTCCTCGCCGACAATAGCTGCTATGGACGGCTACGACTCGGACGGCAGCTCTTTATTGAGCTCGCCCAAGTCGCCTACTCCCCCTCCTGAACTGCAGGAGAATCCCTATCCCTCTCCGCCCCGCTCCAAACACTCGTCGCAATCTGCCTCTCCCTCACCCGACGACCAAATGGACGCTTCCGACAGCCAACGTCCAGCCAAGCGACGCCGAATCAGCGAAAAGCCTTCACGCACCACCGAATACCTTGATTTGACCAAGGACCTTCGCCCGGACGAAAAGACCCAACTAGATCGCGTCTTGAACGTCCTGCACAAGCGCCAAAAGATCGTCGTCGTCGCCGGCGCTGGTATTTCCGTCTCGGCTGGCAGTAAGCCCACACTCCTTTTCGACCTTGCGTCAACACGTCACTAACGTTTAGCAGTCCCCGACTTCCGTTCCTCGACCGGTCTTTTCAACTCTCTCCGCGCCCAACACAACCTTAAAGGCTCCGGAAAGGATCTTTTCGACGCGTCGCACGTCTACAAAGATGCTTCTTCCACTGCTTCTTTCCACCAAATGGTCCGAGAAATGTCTCACATGACCAAATCCGCCCGTCCCACCCCGTTCCACCAGATGTTAGCCACTCTTGCACAACAGGATCGCCTCTTACGACTATACTCACAAAACGTCGACGGAATTGACACGTCGTTAGAGCCGTTGGCGACGCGTATACCTCTGCACAAAGAGGAAGGCAAATGGCCAAAAACTATTCAATTACATGGTGGACTCGACAAGATGGTATGCTCAAAGTGTCACGAATTGTCCGATTTCCACGCAGATCTTTTCGACGGTCCTGTACCACCTGTCTGCACCAACTGTGAGGAGCTTAACAGAGTCCGCACCGAAGTCGCAGGAAAACGCAGCCATGGTGTTGGTATGCTGCGTCCCCGCATGGTCTTGTACAACGAGCACAACCCAGACGATGAAGCAATTGGAGCCGTGACGCGTGAAGATCTTCGCAAGCGTCCCGACGCCATTATTGTGGTCGGTACAACTCTCAAGGTTCCTGGTGTCAAAAGAATTGTACGTGAAATGTGCGCAACTGTACGCGACAGAAAAGACGGTGTAGCGATCTGGATCAACGCAGGCTCGGAGCCATCTGGCAAGGAATTTGAAGATTGCTGGGACATTGTAGTCAAGGGCACTTGCGACGAGGTTGCCAGACACGCTGCTTTGAGGCAGTGGAACGAACCAGAGATTGGTATACCTGTGTCTGAAGAGAGTCTGGAGAGGGCGCGTCAAAACCAGCCTACAGTCTCGATAACGCGGACATTCAAGGTCCCACCCAAGGAACATACTCCTAAGCCTTCTCCTCGAGCACCATTGAGCACTCCTCTTACCGGACGCCGTCACGCCAACATGGTCGACAATTCTTTCAGCGAGGAGGAGGATCTGGTCGAAGTCGAAACGCCTTCAAAGCGCGCTGAGAAGAAGTCCAATCCGTTCGACCTAATCAGCAAGAGAAACCCACCCATCAAAAGAAAGGCTCCAGGCCCGAAAGCAAAGACAATTACGAAGAAGAATTCGTCAAAGAACAATCCGCCAAAACCACAGGTCAGGATCGACCAGACGCTCAGGCAGACCAAAACCGCTGCTGTCGCAATCAAGGTGGAGAAGAACGGCAAAAACGGTACTGCCTTCGACGATATTGCGGCAAAGGACGTACGGCTCAACTCGCCACGATCCAGGTCAGCAGACAGACCTGTCAAGGCTTGAGAATAGCCGAGCGTAACGTGTATCATGAACTGGTAATATTTTCTTGGACTCGCCCTCTGCTGGAGTGTATTTTAGCTGTCTGCATGGCTACAGAGGTTGGCGTTATTGTGTTCTTACGTGGCACCATCTATCTTGGTGGGAGGGATGCATTCAAGCCTGCATATGCATGGAGTTGAGGTGGTGGCTCTTGCCATTTTGAGCTGGCTCTTTTTTCGTTTTTGCTAGACACTCAGATGGTGTCGTTACATGGTGTTCGCTAGACGCTACAATTGTGTCTTTATTTTTATTGGTATTACAAGGTTACTCACGAATCTCAGAACTTTCCTCTTCAGTCTCTTTGCAGAACATTCGAACCAATGTGAACGGCAGGAGGAGCGTCAGCTGCGGGGATAAAATGCTGACGCCATTAGTAAACTCGCAGTGCCGAAGGACCTCAGATTCCTGAGTGATTTATCATCGGACTCCCGACTTGCTGACCTGCTTTTAAACAGGAAGACCGTTTCTCTAGAAGTCTGTTCCAAGGACCAGACTTGCATATATCATGTCTACAAAAGAAGACCTCAAAGCGTTTGCGGACAAGGATGGCCATTTCCGAAGACAGCCGTCCAAGTTTCGTGACTGGATCTCTAGCGAAGCCGGAGCCAGGTTCCCACCCGAGAAAGATCGTTATGTACGTCTTTGTTGAAACACCAGATTGCTTGAGAAGGAGGACGAGCTGCGGAGCTGTCACGGATACATCGAAAACAACCATCGAACATTGCTCTAATAAGCCAACAGGTCCTTTACATCAACTGGGGATGTCCCTGGGCAAACCGCACAGCGATTGTTCGCATGCTCAAGGGACTCGAGAACATCATCGAACTAGTCGTGATGGACTATATCATGTTCGCCGAAGGCTGGGGCTACAGCGGCCGCGACGGAACAGCTGAAAAGGATCCTTTCTACGGATTCACCCGTCACCGCCAACTCTACGAGAAAGCAGAAGCTGGCTATGAGGGCCGTGTTCTAGTGCCTACACTCTGGGACAAGAAGAACGAAACCATTGTCAACAATGAAAGTTCAGAGATCATCCGCATGTTCTATACCGAGTTCGACGACTTGCTCCCTGAAGAATTCCAAGAGAAGAGTCACCCTGGAGGCGGATACTATCCTGCATCACTGAAGGGGCAAATTGACCAGTTCAACGAGTGGGTATACGACACTATCAACAACGGCGTGTATAAGTGTGGCTTTGCCAGCTCACAGGAAGCCTATGACAAGAACGTCGTCATTCTATTCGACAGCCTCGATCGCGTGGAAGGCCATCTTGAAAAATCAGATGGCCCATTCTTGTTCGGCAAACGTGTTACCGAAGCAGATATCAGATTGTACCCTTCGATTGCGAGATTCGATGTTGCTTACCACACCATCTTCAAATGCAATATGAAGATGATCAGACACGATTATCCGAATATCGATAAGTGGTATCGGAATATCTACTATGACGAGGGAGACGAAACTAGAGGAGGTGCGTTCAGGAAGGCGACGCACTGGGATGCTGTAAGTACCTTGTCTCTGGGTGTGGATGACGGACATGCTGACTTGATAAGATAAAATTCGGATATGCAGGGGCGAAAAAGATGGAAGTGGTACCCAAAGGACCTGTGCCTGATATTCTACCTAAGGATGCCTAGCGATATACACAAGAAGATGACCTGCACAGGATTGAGTTGGCCACAGATTACAGATGGATGTATGAACAGGGTGACAAGGAGAACGCGAGTGGAGCAGAGGGTAGATCCGCAGCAGCGGAGATTAGATAACCAAGACTGTCGCAAGCTCCACAAAATTTCCCTTTTCCCTTCTTTGCGCGAACATTTTGTTTGCCCGCGCTTTACGCAGTAGACTGACTCTTCGCCGCCACACATTCCCACCCAACACACAAAGATGCCCAAAGCACCCGGAGGAGACGCACGTCAAATGAGACGCCACAATCCGCTGTCGGAAGACTACGCACCCTCGAACCCGCACAAGCAAAAAGCACCCAAGAGAAAAGGCCGCTCTAATGCCGGCGACGACGACGATGAACAACAAGCATACATCGATTCCAAAGCCTCGAGGAAAATTATTGCGCTAGGACAGGACTTGACCGCCGAGGAGGATGCAGAACTCGAGGCCCAAAGACCGAAAAACGCATCAAAGTCGGCATTTGAGTTTGAGAGAAGTCTGCGCGACGAGGAGGATTCTGACGACGAGGCTGGTGGCATCCCGGAAGATGACGAGGCCTGGGGAGATGAGGAGGATGAGGAGGTAGAAGAGGTTGAAGTGGATCCTGAGGATTTGGCCATGTTCAACAAGTTCAACCCGGAATTCGATCCTGCGACGCTGTTGGCACCTCAGGCTGACGAGGGAGAGAGCACCAACCTTGCAGACTTGATTTTGGAAAAGATTGCGCAGCACGAGAACAGTCAGGCCCAAGGACAGATCATCCGTGGTGGTGGTGCTCCCGAGGATGCTATTGAGCTGCCAGCCAAGGTTGTCGAGGTCTACACCCAGTACGTCTGACAAACCACCACACTCGAGACTCGAAACTAACACGTAACCCCCCAGAATCGGCATGATGCTCTCACGATTCCGCTCGGGCAAGCTCCCCAAGCCCTTCAAGATCCTCCCCACCCTTCCCCAATGGGACACTCTCCTCTCCATCACCCGCCCGGACTCGTGGACGCCCAACGCAACCTACGAAGCCACCCGCCTCTTCACCTCCTCCCGCCCCGCCGTCGCCCAAGCCTTCATCCACGACATCCTCCTCGACCGCGTCCGCGACGACATCCGCGAAACGAAAAAACTAAACGTCCACCTCTACAAGGCGTTGAAAAAGGCTCTCTACAAGCCCGCCTGTTTCTTCAAGGGTCTGCTGTTCCCTCTGCTCGCATCAGGCACCTGCACGCTCAGGGAAGCACACATCATCAGTTCCGTGTTGGTGCGCGTCAGCATCCCCGTCCTGCACTCTGCAGCCGCCATCCACCGTCTTTGCGAAATCGCCGCTGAGCAAATGACCGACAACCTCGAAGCCGGCGGCGCAACAAACATCTTCATCCGCGTGCTGCTGGAGAAGAAATACGCACTCCCCTACAAAGTAGTGGATGCAGTCGTCTTCCACTTTTTGCGTTTCCGCGCCGTGGACGAAAATGCAATGACCAATGCACCTCTGACCATCAAGTCTGGCGAAAAGCTGCCGGTGCTGTGGCATCAGTGTTTCTTGGCTTTTGCGCAGAGGTATAGAAATGATATCACCGAGGATCAGAGAGAAGCATTGTTGGATTTGCTGTTGGTCAAGGGACACAAGGCCATCGGCCCTGAGATTAGAAGGGAATTGTTGCAGGGAAGAGGAAGAGGTGTTTTGGCTCCCGAGGTTGCCATGGCTGGTGTTGATGGTGATGACACCATGGTCGATATCCAGTAGATACCTATTCCCTTGCTGTCATTCTTCATGTCAGGTTCATGTCAACTACAAAAAGGGAAAGAAAGGCGTTTTTTTGGGCGTATCTGCAGACTACTTCGCATAGATCATTGCAAAACCTCTCTTCACTTTCGCTCTTGCAACAACTCCGATGCTTCGTTTGATCGCTTATTCACAAGTCATCAACTTTAGCGAAGAAGGTGCAAGTCAATGTCTTTTCCTCAGCTTATATTAGTGACCCTGTCATTCTGAAAGGCGGGGCGCTGATTTTCATCGTCCGACAACGACATCACAATTTCACCTTGAACTTCTTCTTGACAACTTTTCAAAGCAAACCGATGCATTCGAGCAAAAGCTAGGGGCCCCAACCAACACCATTTCCCTACGACCTGTATACCCTGTGAAAAGGCATCTGATGGTCGTCCGATCGAAAGCGACTGTCTTCTTTTCCTAGACTAACATAATGTCGAGTGACATGGAAATTTTCCGGTATATCGTCCTTCTCCTCTCAATCTCCCAGCTGCGGTTTCTCTTCCAACCATGAAAAACAAGAAACTTGCAGATAACCCCAGAAATGGCCGCTCTTGATGGGGCAGCACATGCATGCAAAAGAGTGTGGCCCAGCCACTCGGAAGGAGAACGCTGGGCAAAAAGAAAAGAAAAAAAGCAGCCTGGCGTCTGCGAAGAAGAAATGTCGTCGTCGTCGTCTCATTAAAAATACGTTTCTCGTAATCGATAGGTTTCTTTCGATGCCAATTTATTGCCGTGAATAAGGTCGGTTCATGGCTGCAATCTCGCGGGTGATCGTGCCCCATTCAAGCTCTCTGCGGACTGGCTTGCCGCGCTTGGAGCACTGATATTCTTCCCACTTGAGAAGTTCATATCTGGATCTGGTCAGCTGGCTGTCACTGGTCACTGAGTTCATCGCTTTCGGAACTTACGCGAATCGCAAATGAGGCTGGATGATGACATTGAGACGGCGGGCTCGCACGAAACAGTATGCTCGAGGGAGCGAAAGGCCAAGCTCATTCATCACTTCGGCAATGCAGATCGTGGCAGATCTGGATACACCCACTCTGCAATGGACAAGAGTGGCAACACCAGCCTCTCTTCCCTTTCCTGTTGACAATCTGGTTAGCCTTGGAACTGGTATCAACGACTTGAAAACTTACGAATAAACTCTAAGCATTTGGAGAAGGACGATGTAAGTGGGTCTACGCCATTGTCCTGGACACCGTCGACATATAGAATGCTGTCCTTGGTGCGAGCTTCTGCCTTCCATCTCTTGGTTTCGTCACTGCTCCAGCTGATCGTCTCGCCAACACTGAGGATCTGCCCGATGTTGAGTTCACGTAGCAAGTCTGGGTTGTTCGCGTGGCCGAGATTGCCGAGATACATGTAATTCATTATCCTGGAAGGGAACGAACCATCCATCTTACTGAGCCATCGAGGGGTGGGCTGACAAAGCGCTGCCATCGAATTGGTCGAGTTTGGAGATGCTTGCAATATCCTGGGTTGGATTGAACTTAGAAGAGCGACATCAGTCGGATATGAGAAGAGGTTGCGGTCGTGCTTGGTGTGGAGCTCCACGTAAGCCCTGTCTACTGTCACGCAGTTTGCGTACATGTAGTATGCGAGTGCCAACAAGGATGTCTCGGTATATCCGTCTGTGCAGTGGATAAGGACTTTCCTGCCCTCACGACCAGCGCCGAGATCGAGATCAATCATGCCCATATCTCCATCAGCGTCTCGGTACTTGGGCGGTGTCATCTGCTGACTGTCCTTGCGGTGCATCATTTCTTCATACTCGGGGTTCGCTTGCTTGTATAGCCACGCCACGGTGTCCATTAGAGCATCGACCTCGGCCTGAGACCATGTCGGTGGCATGATCGAGCCAGAACCTGGAAACTCGAGTTGAGGAATCGCATTATTGGACACGCTCGGGTTGTCTAGCAGAGTCTCCATCAACTGGAATGCTTTCTTGTCCGGTAGCTGGGCTGGATCAGTCGCTTCTACAAACAGATCATACGCTTGTGCTGCGGACGGTAGTGCTGCATCTGGATCCGAAGGCACTGTCAGAGAAGCATCAGGTGTCGGCCCCAGCCACACATTGTTAGCTATCTCAGTCGCCGAAGACATAGTGTGCATCTCGTATCTCTCCGAAAAGACTTTGCACATGTTAGCTACATCGCTCGATGATCGAAAGAGGGAGACCTACAAAAGTCCATGACTGCACCGGTCGTGTTTCCACTGTCATCGATGGCTACAATTCCTGGGTGTTGTGCTTGCAACTTTGCGAACGAGTCTGGAAGGCATTAGAGATGGTTCGCGGTTCTAGAGTTTGATCGCTCCTACCCTTCACTACGAACGTGTGGTAATGCGGCACGTCAATGTCATTGTCTCGGTCCTTCTCTTTCCAGACTTTCTGAGCTCTGGCAATGACAGACGCCAACTTTTCGAGAACGGCCTTCGGAGTCTTGTCGTCGGCATAGATGACGATGTCACTCATGGTGGCCATCTTGACAGCCTGAATCTGAAAATTGCGGATGGAGAAGCCATCTCGTGGATCGACGTCTAGAAAGGTTGAAATCTGCTCGCCAGTTTTTGTCGCGAGCAGCAGCTCATCTGGCGCAATGGCACCTTTGATCTTGGAGTGACTGAGATCGCCTCCTGCCTTGACGACTGTTATGCCACGCAGAGTGCGAGGGGCGCGGCGGAGCTTCTTGTTGCGCGCCGAGAAGTAGGTCAGCTGGATGTTGTTGTCGGGGTGTAAGCCATGGAGCCAGGGAAAGACGGTCTTGGTGTCTGGTAAGGGGCGCGAGGCAGTGTGCTCCAATGCATTGTACAACTCTTGCGCAGTTAATGCATAGACAGGTGGGCTATCGCTGACTTTGTGGTATTTGTCGGCTTCGACCAGCAGAGAAGGTACGTCGATCACTTGTGGATTGGCAGGCGCTTCGGGCGACCCCGGTGGAGTTTCGAGCTGCTGTTGTTGCAGCTTGGTAGGCGTGGGACCGGGGGAACATGTATCAGGTAGGTGCTTGTTCGGTACAGTCGTGGGCTTTCCTCGAACGGATGTGTTGATGTTCTGCTGCGAACCGGAGGTTCGCGAAGTCACTATCGCTGGTCTTGCACAAACCGTAGCCATAAGAGCGTTGGATTGAGCTTCAGCGCCGGTCAATGGAAGGGCAGCCCACGCTTGACTTGTGCTTGGGACGCCGGTGACTGGTCGCCAGATGTCGTTAGAGGTCAGGAGATGCTGCGGTTTGGAACCTGACGTCTTGAGCAGCGCTCTGGTGTGATGGCCTTTGTTTACTTGAGACTGATAAGAAGGTGGAGATAAGACGATCTGCGCAGCGGAGATGCTAAGAATTGATGGATGAACGATTCAGAGGCGCTGAGGAAAACACGAGGGGCTATGTCAATCGATTCCACTGGACATATGTATCGATGAAGAGGTGCAAAATGGTTGAGGGCCTGCAAGTAATACTTTAAGACAGCGGCACTACCACACATGTGATTGATTCGGGGCAGGAGGATCGTCCAAGCGCCCAATGGCCAACTGCGGGGAAACTTTCGCGGCCACTATGGCGCGAACAACCTCTTGGCGGCCCGTGGCTGGATGGCACTGTGCAATGCTTCCAGTCGAGTCACTGTCCATCTCTTGTCTTCTGAGAGGCCAGATCTCGCAACTGTCCATGTCCTTGTGCGAGAAGTGGCAGTTTCCAGGTCACCATACTTGTGCAATCGATTCAGAAAAGAATGCGGCATGGTGTCGCGGCGTGGGCTGGCTGGCCCCAGGGTCTCAATTTTTGGGATTTGTGATGCGCCGGCAGCGCCGATCCTATCTTCTTATCGAACCAGAGCCTAGATGAGAGCATGCCAGCAAACAACTGGTACGCCTTGCCGTTTTTTCCATTCCTACTTCCGTCATGTTGCAGCAGCATAGATTGCGATTAACGAGGGTACGTTTCAATCGAACTTTGAGATCGAGAAGATCGTGATGTGTTGCGACTTGCAAGGAGGTGGGCTTGTCTGCTTCTGTCTCATTCTTCGAATCCTTGGGCGCTCAGGCAAAAACCCTTGACAAAAGTCAGGCCAGCTCGCGTGCTCCGCGTCCCCACATGTCGGATCATGGCACAATCCGAGCGAGAAGGAGCGAACATGCGGGATGGCGTTCACACCTCCAGCTCATCGGCCATGGCGTACTTCTCGCTGCTCCGTCAGTTTGACTCGGGTTGTGTCTCATCCTCGATGATCTTCGCAGAACCTAATGACGAACAATATCGATGGATGGAGAGACCGACTGCACTGCTGGGTCCTGACTCCTCAGGCAACCTCATAGGCAGAGTCTTGTAGGCTAGTTCTCACTCTTGCATGTACATGGGTCGTCGAAACTGAGCCCTCGAAGTACTTCTCCGTGAACGAGGGGGACAGTCGCGGGGTTGTGCCCATCACCCAGAGCCGCGGATAGGCTACTCTGACGACCACCTGGTTCAATCGTCGATAGGGAGCGATCGGTGCATCGTCCAGCAGCAGCAGCCGCCGCCTTCTTTGGTTGTCTGGATCGCCTTGTGGTTTGTTCAGGAGAAAATACTGTAGGACACGTACGAGGTCATTGTGCTGCATCCTGCCGAACCACAACCACATGAACGGCTTGCAGTTAGGATTGGTATGCCGTGTAAATGGGCTACGTACCTGTGTAACTCCCACGGCAGGGAGCCGCTAGATTGTGACTGTGTGTCTAGATCGATCGGTAAAACATACCCCGAATCGGCATTTTATATTCAGCATCTGTTCTCACTGCTTGAGGCGCTGAGTTTTACCTCCTCGGTCAGGCTGGCAGGTTGCAAAAGACTGGACGAGTCTCGAACGTTCTTACACTTCTGTGTACCCGTTTAATCGACACCTAGCCTCTGTAGGAAAAAATCCTCTACACACAGCCTTTGTATCATGCGAAGGGATGAAACGCGATACCTTGTTGCTCGAATACAGTTGTAAAAGAACCCTGCCGATAGCTCTTGCCACAGGGAGAACGAACGACCTCAACTCATGCAATGAATGCAAATGGGATCAGACTACAGCCAAATCTACCAAACCGACTTTCCCTAACTCCTGCTATGCAAAACTCCTGCTTAACGCAACCACTCCCGAATACGTTCCAAACACACTCCCATGACTTCCAATACACTCCAAGAGACTTCAATGTTTCTTAGATGTCGTGTATCTCAGACAGCCTCGTCATCTCTAATCTCCTGCTGCAAAACAATAGAGTAAACACTAGCTTTGAGCAGTGTAAACACCGTGGATGTCTTTCTCTCCAGTCCTCTCAACGCATCCAGAATTTCTGCGCTGGGACGCGAAGCGAGATCATTCAGGAGTGCAGAAAGCTATCGTTCGTGTCAGTTGCTGCTGTCTTCTTTGTGCTTTCGAGATATCGTCAAGGGGTAATTGTAGTAAAGTGATTTGCGCTGGGTGAAGGATCTTGAATGATGGACGGATGAAATCTTTGATATCGGAAGAAAACTCAAAACTTACATCTCCGAGGTTCCCTGCTAGTCGCACGTATTCATCTAGGACTTCTTGTTCCAGTGGTGATAGAGATTCCTCCCCCGTGGCTCCTGGGCTGCTGTCCACGCCTGACATTATGGTTTGTGGCGGGTTGACTATGTTGGCGATTTGAGTGTTTGATTCGCTGATTTCTCCAGTATGGTGCTTTTGCGATTGTTTTTTTTTTTTTTTGGAAGAGTGAGAGAATAGCGTTTGTGTTGTTATTGAGTTGAAGAAACAAAGGACCATCACAGTGTTTTGGGTCTGTAGACGCCAAGGCCAACCATTGACAGGGTGCTCCTCCATACCACAGATGCAGAGACATTGACCACGATAGAGTCCACAAACCCTTTGATGGTTTTCTGAAATTACTGTAACACTTGAAGTATGATATTCTACACCGAGTTATGTTGTTAGGAGTGATCTGGAATCAGAAGTGGTGCCGTATCTTTCAAATTTCGAATTCGAGCCTCTCTTCTCAAGAAGTACCTGTCACTCTGCACACAACTCAGATCCTGCTGCTGAACAACCTAATGTCGCGTACATTTTCAGGACGAATACGTCATTCGTGTCGAAAAAACCGGTGTGCGGACTACTGGACATGATTCTGACGCTTCGAACATTGGAATATAGATTCAGTGGAGAAGTTTGGAATGTATCATTCGTCAAGCGCTAAGATTTGAAGACCACCATTGCCACAGAGAAAAGACAGACAGGACATTCGCTTTCCCGTGTTGAGCCCTATGGGCCAAAAAAGAATAGTAACGCCACCCTAGAAACTCCCACCGGATTGCATGCGTTAAAAGAACAATGGCATAGATATACAAGCTGTCTGCCATGCTTCGGCATGAGATTTGCTTTTTTTGTAACGACGTTTATCATCAGCATAGCGTGACACCTCCCGAGCACGGAGGAGCAGTGTCCTATCTTTGCGCCTCGTGGTATTGGTGGTCTTGATGTTGGTCGTCTCCATCGTGATGCAGCGTGACAGAGTTGAACTCCTCAAATGGATCTGCGATCTCACCGCCAGGCGTGGCCAGGTTGCTGTCCAAAGGAACACCCTTCATCTTGCTTGCGTTTACGCCAAAGCCCTTGTTTACCTTGGAACCACCAAGATCGACACTGTGACTTTCCTTGACATTTCTGAAATTCACAGTGTCGACACCACGGCCCTGGTTGGGTATGATCGGAGGCTTTGAGTGCCGTAATAGGGCCCATTGTGTTTGACGGAAGAATGCGTGGCCCTTGACATCTGACGCGCCAGCGCGAGAGCCCAATCGGCGAAGTTCATCCTTGATCAAAAGCTTCCGAATCAAGCCTTTACAGTTGCTAATAGCTGTTAGCAACCTGAGGCTGTGCTTGCATGTACCGGACGACTTACTTGCTGACGCTGGGATAGCCGCTCCCGTCGGGGAAGGGCACCTCATCTCTCAAGATGTTTGCGAAAGTCGCGTTTCTGTTCTTACCCTTGAACGGCGTTGTGCCGTAAAGCATTTCGTAGATGAGGATGCCCAGTGTCCACCAATCGACTGCACTTGTGTGACCACAGCCCTTGATGACCTCGGGTGCGATGTATTCTTCAGTTCCCACGAACGAGTTGGTGCGGAAGTTGTTGATACACGACTTGGTGTCGATGGCGGGCATGTTGGCGGGATTGTTCGAGACACCATTACGGCCAGACATGATCATGGTAGGGACACCGCCAGGGTCGGACTGCTTGGAAAGATCAAAGTCTGAAAGCATAATGTGACCTGACTGGTGAAGAAGAATGTCTAGAATTGTACATCAGTATGACTGCGCGTCAATGTGACATGATCGTATAACTCACTCTCAGGCTTGAGATCTCTGTAGATGAAGCCCATGAGATGCAGGTACTCCAGAGCTGCCGTGACCTCTGCGGCATAGAAGCGAGCGGCGTCTTCGTCGACACATTTGTTTGGACGAGTCTGAAGAGCTCTGAAAAACTCGCCTCCACTGCAGTATTCCATGCAGAGATAAAGATGGTCTTCTGACTGGAAAGAATGATAGAGAGTGACGATGAATGGGTGGTTGCTGGTGGCCAGGATTTCCTGCTCGGCTAGCGCGCGCTTGATCTTGTTGCGCTTAATCATCTCCTTCTTGCTGAGCACTGCAGATTGTCAGTATGTGGTCATAGGTTGAGGGTTGTATTTGTGCTTACCCTTCATGGCGTACAATCTTGAGCTCTTTTTCTCGCGCACCAAGTATACCTTGCCGACATCGCCCTTGCCGATCAACTTGATCTTGTCGAAACTTCCAGGACCAACTTCGACATCGCGTACTTTGATGCTGTTGCTGCTATAAGTCCTACGGAATGCAGCTGCACTTCTGATCTTGCCAGGGCTAGGAATGCCGGGTACGGGCAGCAGATCGGGCGAGCTGCTCATGGGAACTGTCTCGACCATTGACTGGACCGAGATGTTTGAATGTTGTTGAGCGAGTGGAGAGGCCTTTGTCATCAGGTCGGAAGTTTGTGGCCGGCTTTCGTTGGAGGTGGTCTTTGAGAACAGGCCCTGAGCATTGGGAGCACTAGCAACGCGACGCAGTTTCCGTGCCAGCTCTTCCTTGCCAGCGACAGCAGCAGCTTCGTCTTCGGCCTCTTGACCTTTCTTGATGGGTGTGTCTGGGGGACTTGGAGGTACGCTGTCGGCGTTGTGATGGCGGAGAGCTGGCGGACCCTGGTGTGCAAAGTAGGGGTTGGCGTTTGCGGTCAGGCTCATTTCATCGAGGGCATTGCCTTCGCTGGCGACGGTCTGACTTCTATTTCGACCGATGTGTGGCATAAAGCGACTGTTGCGGAGTTTGTGCTCAGAGCGCGGGGTCGAGGGGCCCTCTGAACTCGTCTTTCCTGGGCCAATCGGCTCATCCTTGGTCGAGGATGAGGTGATGCGGAAAAAGTTCTTGATCTTCTGTCCGACCTGCGAGTTGGAGCCGTTGACCGACTTGTTGGTCGACATGGACACGCCCGAGAAGGTGCGCCTGTCACCAGGCATGGCGGGCTATGGAGACGTGGACGGGCGAGGTAGAAGCGAGGGTAGGTATGCGACGGCGGGGATGCAGCGGTCACCGTCGCAGCAGGCAGAAGAGCACTGCGGTCGAAGGCGGAGACAGTCAGGGGAGTCTGAGTCTGAGTCTGGAGAAGTAGCAGCGCAGCAGCTGTCAAGTGGGCCAGAACGCGCGAACGAGCGAGGACAGGGCCAGGGTTATGCTTCGGCGTGGCGGTACGAGGGTATTCCCGGGGTCTAAGCCGCCATTCGATAACGATTAGAGCCGTGAGCTGACTTCAGCTGCTCTTTGAGCGGAAGAGCAGTGGTTGTGAGAATTGAATGTTGCAACTGGGAGAGCCGGTCAGGGTCAGGGATAGAGTTGGATCAAGACGCGAGATTGCGGTAGCTGGTCTGAGTCGCAGTTGGCATGCTGTTCGCTCGGCCATTCGCTGCCGTGACTGCGTCAGCGTGGAGTCGTTTCGTTTCCTGCCATCGGCCTGGACCGGCGGTTTGTAAGCGGCCAGAGGGCTGTGCCTGCGCTTGCCGAATCTTCTGGCGGATGAATTCCCTCTGCTCGCTAACCATCACCGACTGCCCGAGTTATCCCTTGTCAATCTTTGCATGCCTGTTCAACAGTGTTTAAGCAGCTAGATCTTGAACCGCGCATGCACATAGTCTCTTGCTGGTGGTGAACAATATCAGTCACCTCGCTGACGCCATCAGCTTCATCTATGGCATTCTTGTTTCCGCACCAACTCGACGCCTTGATACAAATCGTCCTGGCAACAGTCATCTCATTATGAGCCCACACGTGTGCGGACATGACCACTGTAGCCTTGTCGATTGCCTTGCCGCCAATTGCTTGTCATAGTTTTTGTTTTACCAACCACCTACTTGATCAAGTGCCAGCCACTTCTTACGGCCATACGTAGGTCTTCTCCAACTCTTTCCAATACCAACCAAAACGATGGTGTTTTCGAGCCGATGCCATGCCGCACATGCTCGATAGAAGCGCCAGTAGCAGCAAGTATGCTCCAATGTAGTCAAGTATCATATTGAAGCCTGGTCAAACGAGCGATTCTGGTCAACAACAGAACAGGCATCGGGCTCACCTCGCACCTCATAACACCTTCTCCGTCGCGATGGTGATGATGCACACCGAGCTGCACCCCTCACGCATTAATCGCTAAAGCTCGTATGCCTGAGTGGTGTGAAAACTCATCAACATCTAGGGTTACATTGAGGTGGTGTAGATCGTCCTCTCATTATGGTAAAGTTTGTCACCATGTCTCTTCCGATTACTGTCTCCTCTTAGCAACTTGCGAAAAGACGATTCACTAAAGTGCACAATCGATTCGATATGAGAGTCGAGCCCAAGGTAAGCCCATGGTATTCAATATTTCGGCGGCCACTGCTCATTTCCAAGAGAATATTGTGCATTTCGATGGTCGCGCTGTGACAGACTTCTGTACTTGGAGCGACACAATTCAGCCGAGTCAACACGATCGGAAGACGGAAGTGGGGTCTCCGCATGACGTTTGCCATCCTGTTCCTGCTCATCTTCACTTCGCACCGATCTATTTCCTTATGCAGCGCTGCGAGTTGCAGATTTGTCCGGGATATGGTCTCACAAGAGGGGAAGTCTGCGCTTTGGAAGACATGAATTAAGTTTATCTCGGGTGAATGCATATCGAAGGCCATGGCCATAAAGCTTGAGTGTTTCGCAGGCCAATTCATGTCTTGTACTCAAGCCAACAAGGCATTTCACTATGGTGCTTGGTAAAACTTTCATGAAGGCCGCTGCCTTGGTGGCAGGACTGGCCATCACTTCGGATGCTCTGGCTCTTAGAAAGCCCAATCTCAATGAACTCATCAAGCCATACAAGAGAGATGTTGGTCTCCTTCAGGATCTTGTTACCTGGGACGAGCACTCTCTCTTCGTTCGTGGTGAGAGGGTCATGATCTACTCTGGAGAGTTCCACCCTTTCAGGTATGAGACTCGATGTGCTCTTGCGTGTATGCATGATGCTGACATGATAAAGATTGCCCGTGCCTAGCTTGTGGCTCGATGTTTTCCAGAAGATCAAGGCTTTGGGTTACAACGCCGTTTCATTTTATGTCGATTGGGCTCTTGTCGAAGGAAAGCAAGGTGATTTCACTGCCGAGGGCATCTTTGCCTGGGAACCTTTCTTCGAAGCTGCCCAAGAGGCAGGCATATACCTCATTGCTGTAAGTGTCACTTGCCTCTGTGCTGAAATTCGACTCTAGCCTCCTGCACTCCTCTCCTCTTTGCAGGCATAGAGCATTACTCGCTATAAACAGTCACAGTGATCTCTAGATTAGAGACGTATCCAAAGAGAGCCGAGGAAATACCTCATCTCGATGGATATGATCCAGTTCTCGAGAACACTGTGCATTTCTATAGCTATACGCCTCAACTTTGACCACGGAGTTAGCGCCCATACAACCTTACTGACCAGAACGCAGAGACCGGGACCCTACATCAATGCTGAAGTTTCTGGCGGTGGTTTCCCTGGATGGCTTGCCAGAAACCCAGGCATTCCTCGCACAAGGGACCCCCGTTTCCTCGAAGCAACCGACAACTATTCTCGTGCCATTGGCGAGATTATTGCAAAGGCTCAGATCACCAACGGAGGTCCGATTATCCTCTATCAGCCTGAGAACGAGTACAGCCAAGCTGTCAGCAGCGATCCCGAGTTCCCTGATCAAGTCAGTTTGCCGTTCCGTCTATCTTCCATTCTGATCGCGTTGCAGCTGGTCAAAGCTGTCATGTTCTCGCGACTTGAATACTTACTGATGTATCATAGGTATACATGGCGGCGGTCGAAAAGAAGTTCAGAGATGCCGGCATCATTGTACCATCCATCCTCAACGATGCCTACCCTCACGGTTACTTCGCTCCAGGCACTGGACCTGGAGCAGTCGATATCTATGGGCATGATTCTTACCGTAAAATCACCTCTTTAGAGCATAAGATGTGGTCGAGACACTAACAACCTGTGTAGCTCTTGGTTTTGATTGCGCCAATCCAACGACTTGGCCAAACAATAGCCTGCCTACGTATTTCGGCGATCTACATGCGGAACAGAGCCCTTCAACTCCTTACTCAATCCTCGAGTTTCAGGGAGGCTCCTTTGACCCTTGGGGAGGTTCAACCTTCGAGAAATGTGGAGTCCTGCTCAACTCCGAGTTTCAAAGAGTCTTTTACAAGAATGACTTCTCCTACGGATTGACTATCTTCAACATCTACATGACTTACGGTGGTACAAACTGGGGCAATTTGGGTCATCCAGGTAAGATCCTCCCAGGCTTCAGGATTGATCCTAGACATTAACTTGCGGTTTAGGTGGCTATACCTCGTACGACTATGCAGCCGTCATTGCCGAAGATAGATCAGTCTCTCGTGAAAAGTATAGTGAAGCCAAGCTGGAGGCCAACTTCCTGCAAGCTTCACCAGCATATTTGACAGCAATTCCTCAAAACAACACTCATGCCAACGGAAGCTACACTGACAACCCCGACATCGCTGTCACTGCTTTGTTTGGAAACAGGACCAACTTCTTTGTCGTCAGGCATGCGGTGTTCAATTCGTACGAATCGACTCAATTCAAGTTGACCTTACCTACTAGCCAAGGAAACATCACGATTCCCCAGTTGAACGGCTCGCTCGTCCTGAACGGGCGTGATTCCAAGTTCGCAGTCACCGATTATGACGCTGCAGGCACCAACTTGCTCTACTCGTCTGCCGAGATCTTCACCCAGAAGTCTTATGGTGATAAGCAAATTTTGCTCGTCTACGCTGGTTTCAATGAGAACCATGAGTTGGCACTTACACTGTCTTGCAGCAGTGAGGTATTGGAGGGATCTGGTCTCAACATTGTCAAGAAGAAGGGCACAACTATCATCGGCTTCAAGAGTAGCTCTGAGAGAAGGGTCGTCAAGATCGGCGAGCTTTTCGTATACATTCTGGATCGCAACGATGCTTACAACTACTGGGTTCTGGACCTGCCTTCGAGTCCTGTCTCCGGTAACTACACCAATGGCACCCTCGAGACTTCTGCTGCCGTAGTCAAGGCTGGCTATCTCCTACGCACTGTCGAGGTCAGCGGTAACTCTCTGCATCTCACTGGTGACATCAATGCTACGACAGAGATTGAGGTCATTGGTGGTGCGCCCGCGAAGCTTACCGAGCTTACATTCAATGGCGAGAGCATCAAGTTTGCTCAGGACAGCTGCTCCGGTGTGGTCACAGGCTCTGTTGCCTATAATGAACCGTCATTCTCTCTGCCTGATCTCTCTACTGTAGGATGGAAGGTCATCGACTCTCTACCTGAGATCGCATCTTCATACGACGACAGCCTCTGGACCAATGCCGATCTTACATACAGCAACAACACTCAACGTAACCTGACCACCTCTGTCTCATTGTACGGACAAGACTATGGCTACAACGGTGGTAGCCTTCTCTTCCGTGGTCATTTCACTGCCACTGGCAGTGAGGACTCTATCTATCTGCAGACTCAGGGTGGCTCGGCCTTTGGCATGTCTGCTTGGCTGAACGGCACTTTCCTCGGCTCCGCTCGTGGTATCGACGCTGCTTCAAATGCTAACTCAACCTTCAGCTTGCCCAACGTCGCTTCGGGCAGCTCTTATGTTCTGACTGTCCTCATTGACCACATGGGACTCCAAGAGAACGGCCAAGGAGGCTCCAGTGAGATGAAGACACCTCGCGGCATCCTCAATTACTCTCTCGCCGGACGCAATGCTTCTGCATTGACATGGAAGCTTACCGGCAATCTCCACGGCGAGGACTACGAAGATCGCACCAGAGGGCCTCTCAACGAGGGAGGTCTCTATGCCGAGCGTCAAGGCTACCATCTTCCCGGAGCCCCTACATCCGGCTGGACTAACAGCACCCTCGGGCCTATGGCGGGCGTCACCTCCCCTGGTGTCTCCTTCTACGCCACAACCTTCGATCTTGACATGCCAGCCGGCTATGACATCCCTATCTCTATCTCGTTCTCCAATGCCACATCAAGCAGCAATGGCTCAGCTACTGTTGCATACCGCAGTCAGATCTTTGTCAATGGTTACCAATTCGGCAAGTACGTTTCGAACATTGGCCCACAGGACGTGTTCCCTGTTCCCGAAGGTATCTTCAACTACCACGGGCCCAACTACTTTGCTGTCTCTCTGTGGGCTCTGGACGAAGGCGGTGCGAAGATCTCAAACCTGAGTCTGGTCGCTGGCCCCGTTATCCAGAGTGGATACGGACCTGTCTCCTTGAGTCCCATGACTGGATGGTCGAAGAGAGAGGGTGCGTACTAAGCGGAGCTGATGCTATCTAAGTCATCATCACGAGTGTGATGTAGTCACAGTGCCCATACGGCTATATAATCAGAATACTTCAGTAATGTAATGCATTGTCTACTATACTCCAACAATGCCATTCAATCGCTAGCTTCCGTCGTGTGTGTAGAGAATATGAATCTCAAGAGCGGAGAGGCAACGAAACATGAACAGCATACACAGGGGTCGACTTCTGTCTCGGATGAATTGTGTATACGGAGCGATTTCCGTAGGATCAAGCATCATGTCCCTGCAATCGGCGCCTCCGCTTACTGAAAAAGCTAGCGGAGACTGGTTTCCAGATGGAACTCGTGGAAGTCGTCTCCCCGCACAATCCATTGCAAGCCACATTCCTCTTCGCCCCCAATCTCCAGATTCTTTCTCGTCCAACAAAACTCTATGAACGGTCAGTTACGCAGCTTTCTCACAGATTCGATGTATACCCAGGTGAATTCGGGCCTTTTGCCCACTTGTTATAGGCCAATCGGTCCGTGATCGCTCAAATTTGCCCGAACCACATTCTACAATACTGCCGTTGTGGATGACTTGCATGTAGGATGGTCCTTGCACCCCCACCATTGAAATATGCCACTGGGGTCCCCGGGTTGGTCGGTTCCTCGGTATGCCCTTCTTGTCCACTTGCCGTGCTACTCATCGTACTTCACTGGTCACGCGGACACGAGCATCGAGGACATGTCCAAGAACTGCAGGATGCCAGCCACGATTGGCTCCAAACTCTGAGCAGGTTCCGAATCCTTTTCGCGCTTCGATGCACCAAAATGTCGGCCTTTGATGCAGCATTAATCAAGTTGGCCAATAGTACTTACCAATCGTGATGATGTTACCCTCTGGTTGTAACTTGAGCATTCATCACTGTACACTGGCGTCTCCTATGCACTAAGCAGGAGATCAGCATCGACATAGATACCTGAGTACCTTGCAATATATACCAGTTTCGTCACGATCGAGAATCTGCAAGCAAGATCCGATGTGGAACCAGACCAAGCAACACAAACAAGCAGAGCAACAAGATCCTCCATACTCGTCGAGCTGGGCGTGTGTGCTTAGCGTTCAGCCTCGAAAGGAGGCCATTGGTCTGCGCTTTCTCCGCACGTACCTGGAACAACCAAAGGCCGATCCCGAATGAGAAGACCAATCAGAGTGAGCATGATGGAAGCTAGCGTTCTTCCACGTGTGGGGAAGACCATGCGACCTCGGAAAAAGTTCCAGGAGAAGTCGGCCGGATCATCTGGACGGTGATACTTAAAAGCCATGCAAGATGCAATCTCCCAACAGTCCATCCTCAAAAGCTCCTTCTTTCCTGGAGGCCATCTTCTCTTCCTTCAATCCAACACGACAACATTAATTCATCATGGCGGAAATTCGAAGCGAACCGCTCGACTTCAGTCACAAGGATGAGGTCACCCAAACCAAAGCCAACAACTTGACCATCGCAAATGCCAAACTTGCCACCGAGAAGGAGCACAACATGACCCTCTTGCAGGGTATCAAGTTGTATCCCAAGGCTGTCTTCTGGAGTATCCTTATCTCGACCTGTATCGCCATGGAAGGTTACGACGTCTGTCTCCTTGGTGCCTTCTACGCCCACCCCAAGTTCAACGAGAAATATGGTGTACTGTTGGCCGATGGAACATATCAGGTCCCTGCGCGCTGGCAAGCAGGTCTCAGCAACGGAGCCAATGTTGGTGAGATTATTGGTCTCTTCATCAACGGTTTCGTCTCTGAGCGCTTCGGCTACCGCTACACTGTTATGACTTGTCTGGTCATGATCGCCGCTGTCACTGCTGTCTTCTTCACTGCACAGAACGTCCAGACCCTGTTGGTTGCCGAGATCCTTTGCGGGTAAGTCTACGTCACGATTTTCGCAACAACAAGCAGCTGACCATCACATTAGTATTCCATGGGGCATTTTCCAAACCCTTACAGTAACCTACGCTTCCGAGGTCTGCCCTGTCGCTCTCCGTGGATACCTTACAACCTACGTCAACTTCTGCTGGGGAATGGGCCAGGCCATTGGTATTGGTGTCGTGAAGTCTCTGCTCCACCGCAACGATCAATGGGCATACCGCATCCCCTACGCTCTCCAATGGATGTGGCCCGTTCCTCTCCTTATTGGAATCACCTTCGCTCCCGAGAGCCCTTGGTGGTTGGTCAGAAAGGGCAGAATCGATGATGCCAAGAAGGCTCTCCTTCGCCTGACCAGCTTGAACCGCGAGACCGACTTCGATGCTGATGAAACCATCGACATGATGGTTCACACCACCAAGCTCGAGGAGAAGATCACCACCGGCTCAAGCTACTGGGACTGCTTCAAGGGGACCGATCTACGCCGTACCGAGATTGTCTGCATGGTCTGGGCCATTCAGAACCTCAGTGGAAACTCCTTCTCTGGATACTCGACTTACTTCCTTGAGCAAGCTGGTCTTGACCCCGGCAAGGCTATGGATTTCGCAGTTGGACAATACGGCATCAACATGGCTGGTGTGTTCGGCGCGTGGTTCCTCATGAGCATCGGCATTGGTCGCAGAACTCTCTACTTGGTCGGTCTCTGTGGTCTCTGCACCATGCTTCTCATCATGGGCTTCCTCGGACTTGTTCCCCACGCCCACAAGGACTCGGCATCTCTCGCTACCGGCTCGATGATGCTGATCTGGGCTTTGTGCTACCAGCTGTCTGTCGGAACTGTCTGCTACTCCCTCGTCTCCGAGATCTCGACCCGCCGCCTGCAAATCAAGACCATCGTTCTTGGACGCAACCTGTACAACATTGTTGGCATTGTCTGCAGTGTGTTGACTCCCTACATGCTCAACCCAAGCGCATGGGCCTGGGGCAACTACGCCGGTTTCTTCTGGGCCGGCAGTTGCTTCTTGTGCATCATCTACACCTACTTCCGTGTACCTGAGCCCAGCGGTCGCACTTTCGCCGAGCTTGACATGCTCTTCGAAAAGAAGATCAGCGCAAGAAAGTTCGCAAAGACCCAAGTCGACGTGTTCGCCGAGAACGTAGAGAAGGTTGAGGTCCACCACAACGAGAAAATCGATGTTTGATTTTTGCGAACGGAGTCGCTAACCTGCAATTCCAGGTCGGCGTGTTTTGACGCGTTTTTTTGTTGTATGCTCTGATTGCTGCTGCTTTTCTTCATGATGTCCCACGAGTTTCATTGTCTATCACGCCATCCACGATTTGTATATAGCCTTATATTGTACATACCAGAGCCTTGATGGCGAATATACCCCTTCTTCGATCAGATTTCGAACTTCTCTTCACTATCTCGCAGGATCTCGTCACGTCTGACCGCGTTAGGAGGCCTTGCTTTCTAGCCGGCGCATCCGGTCGTCGCCTCCTTTCGAAAGTGTTGAGATTAGGAGGGCTGGGGCCGATGCGCTTCGGAGAAACCATTGTTCCTCCGGCTGGGGTGGTTGATGCTTCAGCGTCCAGGATATTGTTGCTCTTGGGATGTCAACAGATACGCTGCCGGTGCTCTAAGGCGAGCGTCGATTGAATGCATCTTGCCAGCGCTTCACGGATTGATTGCTCTCCTGGGTGTTATCGGTGGTAGAGTGCGTTGTTCGATGTGCAAAATCACTTAGAACTGCACGAACGACAAAGTTGCTTCGACTCGGTGTCGAGGTTGCATCATGTCACCCGATCCTGCCGACAGCTGATCTTGTTGTTAATTCGATGTCAACGGACGGAGACGAAGCTGATCTCATGAGCGCTGGGTCACTCCTTGCAGCGTTGGCCTGTCGCAATTCTGTCCCTAAATGAGCCACTATCTCTGCAAGGAATCGGTTCCCAGCCTCCGTCTGAAGACAAGCCTGACATTAAAGCATATCATATTCGCGACAGCATTTGCTACAGTAGACTTTTTGCATCGAGACACTTGTATGGGCATAGTCTTACGTCCTCCCCGTGTGTAAGATAATGTCACTCGGGCCAGTAGAGATGCACAGTGTTTTCGAGGACTAGGGGGTGCCCACTGAGATTCGTGATTGTATCGGCTCTCTGTGGCCTTTGCCGTTGTCTAGAAAGAACTGTGCATTTGGATGGCATCAGCTCTGCCTGTGTGTTGACGTGAGAGCGGAATCTCTCTTACAGTCTCACTTAAGACGCGATAGTGCGAACTCCAAAAGTGAAGCGCTAGCGTGGCCTGTGCTGTTTCCTCATGTGATAGGTCGATTCATTGTTCACTTAACGCGCCTTCCCGATCACACTTGCCTTCTGACTAAACTGGACAGGCGGGCGTCTTTAGCCTTCGTCGCGTTAAGTGAAATCTGACGCTTCCTCGCTCGCTACTCTAGGAGGCTGTCGTTTGCCCGACAACTTACCTTCACACTCACCACACTCTTGTGTCCTCACGCGACCACTTATCGATACCACACTTAATGTTTCTCGCGCAACTTCATCGTTCGCAGTTGAGATAACCATCCCCTCGACACTCTTTCTTTGCGCGTCGCTTCAATCAAAGATGGCGCTGAAAGTTGGTGACATCCTGAAACGCCTAGGCCTGAGGGGCGCCATTATTCGCTACGGCGAGCAATGGAAAACTCAGGAGATCAAAGATCTTGAAGAAGACATCAGAGCTTTTTACCAAAAGTACGAACCTTACTTGAAAAGAGAGGAAGACTACCCTTTCGAATTCAATACCGACCTCAACGACGTCCTCCAAAGACATGGTCCTCGCCTATGGCCAGATGGACTACACAACGAAGGCTCGACGTTTTGGCTGTTCCCTGCGGGAGAAATCGACGAATATCCTGAGGATATTTGCTTTAGTCGTCACTTCGAGAAGTAGGTGGAGAATCAATACAATGCGACGTGGCTGGCGACTAACAAGATGTAGGATTCAGCCACTCTTCGCAACCCTTCTCGCTATGAGAGTGAAGGTGTACCGCAGCAATCAGAGACACGCAGAACTCAAGGCTAGAGAAAAGCGCGAAGCTGAGGTCGCTGCCGCCGCCAACACCATCACATTGGACCATCCGCTCTCGGACTCTGACCTGACCGATTTCGACAGCCATGATGAATTGCCTTCTCTCGTCCACGCCATCAAATTTACGACTGAAGACGGCAAAGCCAAGGTGCAGGAGATTCTCAAGGGGGAGGAATTCAACTTGAGAAAGAGGAAGGTCGCCACCGATTCACCCTCGAAATCTATCAAGCGTCCGAGAAAATCAACAGTACCAGTCGAGCCATTTGAGCCGGTCGAGCCAGTTGACCAAGGCTACGTCCAGGACATATCTATCTGGACCACCACAAATCCTGAGAGCACCCATGTTGCTAGTCCACCCCGCCTTGACAATGGACATGAATTACTCGTCGCAGCAGCATCTGGACGCAGTCATGGCTTTGTGTCTGTCAATCAGACCGAACAGACCGAACACAACGTTCATCCCATGCCTCCGGTGCAATCTGGTCCAGAAGTACCTGACAGCTACGACGTCATGAATCCACACATGAGTAATTCCAGTTCACCCAACAACGAGAACCACAACCTTCCGGAAACCCCTGGCGAGGGGGCGCTTCTGCATACACAGTATTCACTGCCTCAAGACAAAGAGACTTCGTTATCCGCTCAGCACGTACATGACCATCAACGAGCACTCCCAGAAGTGTTTGAACCCTCTTCACAACCCCAAACATCTGACAAGTTCATCCCTTGGCCGAAAATTAACAAGAGACGTGCCAAGAGATCAAAGACAGCCTTGCGTCCAATGCTGAACGACGACGACATGGAGCTCTCGGCACAAGATGCTCAGAGCATGACGGAACTACCTTCGAGACCTTCCTCTGGCCCCTCAGACTTGCCACCTCAGCAGGAAGCACCTCTTGCATCTCCGGCACTTGTTGACGACAGCGAGAGCAGCCGCAAGCTGATGAGGCGAACTCATGTTCGTACTCCTGCAGCAGAACCGAATGTGGCTACTTTCACACCTGTCTCAACACAAAAGCGCTCCTATCAGACTCCTTATGCCCACCCACCCTTGTCCACTCCGCAATCCGTTTCAACATCAGCTGTCCTGGATGCCACCAATCCTCATCCTGCGACGTTGCACTCCCCACTCGTCGCCTCTACCCCGACCATTGCCCATATGCCACCATCAGCTGACACGCCTTTGTCGGCACAGCTCATCACAAACCACTTCGCACAGGCTTTCGTCAAGTTTACCTTGCCCTTGCCCAACGGCCGCTCAGCAAACAAGATGATCAAGCTAACAGATTGCTCCGATGCTTTTGCTCTGCACCAAGCAGTCATCCATCGCTTCAAGCATGCGCTCGCGGGCCAGATCCCTTCAGAAATCGTCGTCACCTCTGCCAATGAAGATTACGAAATTGAAGCCGACGAATGCGGACAACACACTTGGAACGAATTCATGCAGACCGTTGTCGACACCGCTCCTCCGGGAACTTGCCCTATCGTTGCCTTAGTCAGGGTTTGAGCGATTTGATTGTTTTATGGATGCTTGATGGACATGGAAAGAAACCCGAAGAGTCCATGCAATTGCTTTTCTTGTACCTTAGCATAATTAAATAACACCGAGCACAGGCTCAGAATGATGAGACTTTACAAAATCTCCGTGTTCAAAGGTATCCCTATGAAAATGCACAGTGTTCTCGAGAACCGGGCCGTATCCATCGAGATGCAGTGTTCTCTAGGCTCTCTTTGGTTCCGTCTTTAATCTGGAAATCACTGTGCCTTTTTGTAGCGAGCATTGTCTTCTACACCTTCGTAGGAGAGAGAAGCGTAGGGGGAGGAAGACGTTCCTTGCTTCCCATCCTGACAAAGCGTGACAATGTAGCCCTCAGGTAGAAGTCGGCTGCTCCTTCTCCTTTATACCCGTCTTGGTCTCGGTATGCTCCTTGCTCAAATGAGACTTGACGATGAAGAAGCTCGCCACCAGCCCAAAGGCACTGACGGCCGTCATCAGGATCCACGTTCTCTGCAGACTAAACGCAAAAGCTTCCTTGACTGCGTTCCTCTGTCCCACATCCACGATATCCTTGATCATTTCTACGTTCGCGGATGCATCTCCACCAGTAAAGTCAGCGAGAAGTTTTGGCGAAAGGCCAGCGGCAGCAAGAGCCGAAGATCGAGAAGCCATGGAGTTTTGAATCACAACCCCAGCGATGACGATGGACATTGAAGTCGCAAGGTTACGAATGAAACCCAACGTTGCCGTCGCAGTAGCCACATCATCCTGTTTCACCAACGCCTGCATAGCAATCAAAGGAGGTTCAAACAGCATTCCTGCGCCCAAGCCTTCAACGACTTCGAGACCGAGAATAGTGGCTAGAGGTGTGGAGGCATCGATGTAGATGTAGAGACCCATGCCTAGGGTGCACAAAGCCATGCCCGTCCAGATGAGTTCTTGGTAGCGGCCTGTTCGGTGGATGATTATGCCGGACATGATGCCCATGAATGCTTCGCACAGGGTGAGTGGTAAAATGTAGATTCCCGAGTGGATGGGAGAAGCTTGCTTGACGGATTGGAAGTACAGGGGCAAGAAGTATTCGGCTGCGATGAAGAGCTTTGTGTCATGTCAGTAAACAAGTCAGTAAGGAGACAGAGGAAAGTACTTACGAAGCCATGGCAGAAAGTCACCACGAGAACTGCAATGTTTGAGGGGTGGCTGAATACGCCTAATGGCATCAGAGGGTAGCGAGCGACTTTCTTCTCGCTCAAGATGAAAAGACCGCCCATTACGACGCCGAAGACGATCAGACAGATGACTTTTGGTGATGACCAGGGGAAGATCACACCGCCAAAGTCGAGACCGAGGAGTAACATGAGTGTTAATCCTAGGATACACAGGCTTCCCAAAAAGTCGATTGCCATGATGCCTTCGACGACCTTTGTTCTGGGGTTGTGAACATCCAGGAAGAAGAGAAGCAGGACGAAAGCTGTTCCAGAGATGGGCAGATTGACCCAGAAACACCCTAGACGCAAATCAGTTCAGTCCTTGCAGTCGTTATCAAGCATTCCACTCACATCTCCAAGAAACAGTCTCAGAAAAGACACCTCCCACGATGGGACCAATACCGCCAGCAAGAGCCCACATGAACTCCATGAGTCCAATAAACAAGGTGCGAAGTCTCATGCTGAACAAGTCTGAGATTGTAATGATGGTAACTTGGATCAGTGCTCCACCACCCACACCTTGGAGAGCACGTCCGGCAATCAAGACGGACATGCTGGGTGCAGTGGCGCATATGATGGAGCTTACGAAGAACCACGCTACCGATACCAAGAGGATGAGCTTCCTGCCCCAGATGTCTGATAATTTGGCCCTTTTGAAAACGTTAGTGATAGATGTTGGAAGGATACTTTGATACATACCAGATGGGTGCGGCGGCGGCATTAGCGAGTAGATATGCTGAGCCAACCCATGTATAGCCACTGGCAGAATGGAGCTCAGAGGCGATGGTCGGTAGTGCCGTTGAGACAATCGTTTGATCTAAGGCTGCGACGAACAGAGCGAGCTTATGAGAATTAGTATAATTTTCCCCGAAAAGTGTTCGACCATATGACCTACATTCAAGGCTACCAAAATAGCTGCAATCTGGAGTTTTGTCCTCGGTGTGTCTGCCGGCGAATCTACATCCATCTCTTGAGGCTTATCGTTTCTGGGTGCGGAGGACGAAGGCCTCTCCTCAATCAACCCATCTTGAGACATCGCAATTGGATCAGCCATGACTGATAGATCATACAAGGAGATGAACAAAGAAGTAATGCAAGGAAAACACCTATGAAATGTTCATAGTTGCTAGGCTGTCAGTTGATCAAGAGAAGGGCGTTCGCCTACCTATGATCAAAGAGTCATCGTCGTGATTTCGGTAAACTATTTTCTCCGCAGATGGCCATCATGATCTCCCGATTGAGGTGATTGTTGAGCCTAGCAATCGAACTTAGCCGGCCATCAACCTTGCAGTCGTTCCTTCGACTCCAATACCGGTCGCGATTTTGTCAATCTATGTGCATTTCGTGTCATACGAGGTGAAATCGCATCATCTCATGACCAATATAGCCTGGTACAGGTCCGCAACAGCTTGCGACTAGTACATGATTATCTTGAATTTGTCGACAGTCACCCAACAGTGGAGGTGGTAGCTCGCTAGTCATGTTAGCACAAAAGTGTTGGTTGTCCTATGCCTTTGCAATAATCTCTTCAATGGCATGGGAGCGACTGTCAGTTACGTTGACGAAATTTAGGTCGCTTGTGCGAAGAATGCCGGGATTCCTCGAGAGCCGGCCAGGTAGGCCACCACCAGAGACTCCAGCATCAATGTAGATTCCAGATCACCGTGCTCTGATTAGTACGATAGTGCAAATACTGAGGTAACCTTACGGCATTCAGACACATTGATGCCTGTTGTTTTCTCGAATGGACCCACACCCAACGACAAAGACGATAGCTTTATGGGGACACTGCGCATTCAGATAGCTTGTGCGTTAAAAAAGAGAGCGATCCTTATGGAAGCTACGAAAGATGAAGGTCTGAGAGTGAATGAGTGCATGCGGTCTTTGTGATGACTAGGTGTATTGTACAGCATTGCTGCTTCCTTGTTTGGTAGCTGTCCGTTTGTCCACACTGTTTGTTTGCGCGCCTGCCAATCCCAGTTTCCTTTCACCACCCAAACTCGTCGTCGAGCACCACACATTTCACGCATTGCATCTTCCATCATTTCCCGAGCGGCGGATCTATCTGCCCATCGTCAATCACCATGTCTTGCAAAGAGAACACCCCTATCAATAATACTACCAAGGAGACAACCATCCCTGTCATCGATACCAGCCATGGAGACAGATCCTCAGCCGACCGTGTCGGCAACACACTCGCCAACTTGATGGGACCTCTGACAAGCTGGCTTACCAACGCATCCAGCCCACGCCCAGTTTCAGCCAAGGGTCGTCACTCTACTGAGGTCACTCCTCGTAGAGACGAAGAGACAGCTTCCAACCCACAGAACCACAAGCTCGACCCAGAGACCTCAAACCAAGACGACCAGCCCATTCAAAGTGATGAAGAGCTGAGCGAAGTTAGTTCGGCATATGTCGCTTCCGACGAAGGCGACGACGACTACGAGTTCACATACGAAGACGACGACGATGACTTGCCCATCGACAGCGACCCTTTCTTTGGCGATACACCAACCAAGCTACGAAGACCCCGCCAGTCAGACCAGCCGACTGAAGAGCAGTTGGAGGCCATCAGAAAAGTCTTGGAAGAGGACAAGGCAAAAGAGGCTAGCAAAATGGCCTCTATCCGCAAGAACAATCCGCCCGATCTCATTGTGGTTCCTCACCCTTTACTCAAGGATCAGAACGACAACGCCACGGAGATGTTGATGAGCATTAGATCTTCCTTTGGTGGAGACGTCTTCCATATCATTGGTTTGAACGAGCCGCTGCTCGAGATGAAGTTGAAGTTCTTACAGGACTTCGACTTGCCCCTGGAAGAGCTCCACGAGCTTGAGTTCTTGTGCGGGTACTATGTCATCCAGGATGATGACACTGTACAGAAGGTTCGTCGTCCGATACATTGCTGCGTACTATCTGGACAAAGAATGCTAACAGGACCGCAGCTCGAGATTGGAACCGAATCGATCATCTACTGCCAGAAAATTGAAGCTATGCGCTACGACCTTTCTCCAGAGCCAGCCGCCATTCCAGAGCTTGTCCCCTGTGTGTACGGAGAGGAGGCAGATGCGTTAAACTCTGCCAGCGTGCACGAAGAGGAAGCGATGCGCCAAACTCCCCAGACTGGTGAGGGTGTAGATGCTGCCACATCAACCGGCATGCACGGAAGTCGTTTGGCGCTTATTTGATGTTCTCGACGGCCGGTTGATACTGGTCATTGAAGGAATCCGGGGTTGCTTGTCATACCAATCACCTTGCTTGAAAGGATGGTGGCTTTCGTCAAAGATGATGGATGGAGACAGGTGGAAAAGAGGAACATGTACAGTAGAATTGGGGTATCAAAAGCGTTTCTAAGAGTCGAATAATGGAACAGATTCCTTAAATGGACCAGCCTGCAGCCTTCTTCTTTTTCTTTTGCTGCTCCACCGTGGCGTTGTATTCCTCTTGCTGGTCCTGCAAGTTGAGCGGTTCCAGATGTTTAGCAAGGTTCTCAGCCGTGAGCGCAGGTGCAGGTTCTACTGCGTCCAGAGAATCTGTGTGGTTCTGTTCGGCCAGGTGGTCCTCGTTCTGGTCTCCTTGAACAGTCTGCGAATTTGTCTCTTCTTCCTCTTCATCATCCTCCTCCTCTTCCTCATCGTCTTCTCCTTCCGAGTAATCTTGGTCGACCTCGTGACTGCCCTCGTCCTCGGCGACTTCTGCGGTATCCTCGTCGGCTTCGTTTTGGAAACCCACAGCCTCGACGAATCTGTCCAGATCCTTTGCCATTTTTCTGCTGAAGCCAGTGGCCTCCACTTCAATATCCAAACGCTTGTTCTGGTCTGTATCCTTGATGGCGTCCTCGAAGAAGGGACCTGGCTCGTCTGACGTGAATTTGAATTGGCGGGAGAAGAAACGCTTGATGCAGTTCACATCGCGATCGAAGTACCATTTGGCGTTCTCGTGGGTGGTGGAGAGCATCTGAGGGAAATCGATGAGGATAGGAGTAGATTTCTTGGTGACGGGGTCCTCCTTGATGAGCAAGTTGAACTCGTTGAAATCACCGTGAATCAAGCCGACTTTTGCGAGGCGTACGATCAAGTCCATGAGTTCGCCGTAGAGTTTGAGGGGATTGGAGACGTTGTCGATGGAGCGGAGGGGGAAGGAGTCGATGAGTTCCATGACGAGGGTGTGCCTGCTCTGAGCGATGGGTTCGGGGACGGGGAAGCCTTCGCGCTTGAGGACTTGCATAAAGGCGTACTCCTTCATGGCAGCCAAGCGACTGAGATACATCCATGAACCAGTGGTCTTGTTGCGCAGGTAATCGCGGTTGGCCTTTACGGTACGGAAGGAAATACGACCGAGTCTGTGAAGCTTGAGGACGAGTTGTTTGCCAGTGGGGTCCGCGACGACGTAGATGTCTGATTCTTTGCCGACACCGATCTGGTTTCCGAGACTGAAGACGGTGTCTGTTCTGCGTAGAGAGTTGAGGGAGAGATAGTCGAGGCCGCCGTAGGTCAGGCGGTAACCGTCGTATTTTGCGTTCTTGATCTTTGCGACGAGACCAGACTTGGCGAGAGTTGCGATGCTTTTGTGGACACCAATGTGCTTGCCGGCGATTTGGGCGATCAGGACGGTCGGGACGAGTTCGTGGTTCTTACTACCCATTTCGACCTTGATATAGTCGTCAGTGCTGATGATGAAGAAATGCTTCTCAAAGTACATACCGCCGTCAGGACCTTCCAGTCCTCGGCCGTAAGGTAGCGCAACTGTCTTGAGTCCAACTTCATCTTGTCGTGTTTATCTGGTTTCGATTGCTGCAACAGGATCGGCCCTCAATAAATTCAGAAAAGCGGCGGGGATGGTTCCTTCTGCCGGTTGGATCAAGTCCGAAGGCGGTGAGACGGTGCCAAGGGTCAGTCGCTGTTTCGCAACCTATCGGCGTCATTCTAGCTTGAGAGCTGCTGTCGCCGCATCGCCGCCATCAACACCATCCTCGCTCACACGACATCTGTCTATCCGTCCATCTCCCACTTCTCTGGACCCATCTATCTCGGTCGCCAGAGTCCCAATCAGCGCCGTATCTCTTCTTCCGTCACCACCCCAACTTCAGTGCCAACCGCCCAAACACAACCATGGCCCAGGACGACAAGCCTGTCGCCGACAAGGGCAAGGCCCCTGCTGATAAGCAGACAACCGATGTCTCTGCGTCAAAGGACTCGCAAGACCAGACTACCAAGGATGGCAAGAAGCCCGTTGATCTCCCTGCTGGTATGTTGACACCGCACGTTCGCATCTTTTCACAGCCTAACCGCACATAGACGATCTGAGTGAGGAGGACCAGAAGCTCAAGGATGAGCTGGATATGCTCGTCGAGAGACTACTAGTACGTATACTCTGTCATCATTGCCACTTTCACACTCATTGACACGCCTGTAGGAGTCCGACAAGTCGCTGTACAAGCCCGCCCTCGAAGCCATCAAGACCTCCATCAAGACTGCCACATCATCCATGACCGCCGTCCCGAAGCCCTTGAAATTCCTCCGTCCTCACTACGAAAAGCTTGAACAAACATACGAATCTTGGCCTGCGGGCGATGACAAGAACTCACTGGCCGACACCCTGTCAGTATTGGGCATGACATACGCTGACGAGGACCGCACCGACACACTCAAGTACCGCTTGCTAGCACCTTCGGGCGATCTTGGTTCATGGGGTCACGAGTACATGCGCCATCTGGCTCTCGAGATAGGTTCCGATTACCAGAAGCGCCTGAACGAGGAGCGCGACGCTGATGAGCTCGTTACCCTGTGTCTGGCTCTCGTCCCCTTCTTCCTTAAGCATAATGCAGAGGCCGATGCAGTCGACATTTTGAGCGAGCTGGAGATGATTGAAGCCATTGCCGACCACGTTGATGAGAACACTTACGCCAGAGTCTGTCTGTACATGGTCAGCATGGTACCGCTCCTTACCTACCCCGACAACGATCGCTTCCTCCATACCGCACACGACATCTACAGAAAACACAACCAGCTTCCCCATGCTCTTACCCTGGCTATCCGTCTCAACGACTATGATTTGATTAAGAGCGACTTCAACTCGACCAAAGACAAGAACATGCGTAGACAACTCGCGTTCGTACTCGCCCGTCAAAAGATCCCTCTCGAGCTTGACGATGATGAGAAAGAGGAGGACCCTGAGTTGCAGGAATGCTTGAACAACACAAGAATGCCCGACCACTTCAAGGCCCTGGCGAAGGAGCTCAACATCCTCGACCCCAAGGTTCCTGAGGATATCTACAAGTCGCATCTCGAATCGAGCAGAACCGCTGGCTTGACTAACACTGACTCGGCGAGACACAATCTGGCCAGCGCTTTCGTCAACGCCTTTGTGAACGCTGGTTTCGGAACAGACAAGATGATGCTTGTCGAAGGTGGTATCAAGTCAAGTTGGGTGTGGAAGACGAAGGACGACGGCATGCTCTCTACTGCTGCCTCTCTGGGTTCTCTAATGCTCTGGGACGTCGAGAATGGTGTCGATAAGATCGATACATACACTTACGTCCAGGAGGACTCGATCAAGGCCGGTGCCGCTCTGGCTACTGGTATCGTCAACTCTGGCGTGCGCCTTGAGGCCGACCCTGCCTTTGCTCTGCTCGGCGACAACCTCGACGACTCAAAGTCAAAGTCGATCAGAGTCGCCTCTCTGATGGGTCTGGGTCTGGCCTACGCTGGTTCCAACCGTGAGGATCTTCTTGAGCTCCTCCTCCCCTTCGTCACCGACACTTCTCTCGACATGCAGGTGTCTGCTATGGCTGCTCTCTCACTTGGTCTGGTATTTGTTGGATCTGCCCAATCAGATGTCAGCGAGGCCATCATCCAGACCTTCCTCGACGATGACCGCAACAAGCAACTCAAGGACAAATGGACTCGCTTCATGGCTCTCGGCCTTGCCCTGCTCTACTTCGGTCAGCAAGAAGAGGTTGATGTCATTCTTGAGACTCTCAAGGCTATTGATCACCCCATGTCCAAGCCTACCTCTGTCCTTGCAGAGATCTGCGCCTGGGCTGGTACCGGTGCCGTCCTGAAGCTGCAAGAGCTCCTCTACACCTGTAACGAGCACATTGAAGAGGGTGACGAGGACAAAAAGGGTGATGAGCTTGTTCAAACCTACGCCGTTCTTGGTCTGTCACTTGTCGCTATGGGTGAGGAAGTTGGCCAAGAAATGGTCCTCCGCCAGTTTGGCCACTTGATGCACTACGGTGAGGCCAACATTCGCAAGGCTGTTCCTCTTGCCATGGGTCTGATCTCTCCCTCAAACCCCCAAATGAAGGTTTACGACACTTTGTCACGTTACACCCACGACAACGACCCTGATGTTGCTGTTAACGCAATCTTCGCTATGGGTCTGCTTGGTGCTGGTACAAACAACGCTCGTCTGGCTCAGTTGCTCCGCCAGCTTGCTTCATACTACCACCGCGATCCTAACGCTCTCTTCATGGTTCGCATTGCCCAAGGTATGCTGCACATGGGTAAGGGTACTCTTTCGCTCTCACCATTCCACACGGACCGCAGCGTCCTCTCCAGAGTATCGGCTGCAGGTCTTCTCACAACGCTCGTCTCCCTCATCGACGCCAAGTCATTCGTTCTTGGTGACTCGCACTACCTTCTCTACTTCCTGGTCACCGCCATCAACCCCAGATTCCTCATCACATTGGACGAAGACCTCAAGCCTCTTCAGGTCAACGTGCGTGTTGGTCAAGCGGTTGATGTTGTTGGACAAGCTGGTCGCCCTAAGACCATCACTGGCTGGCAGACACAGAGCACACCTGTGCTGTTGAGTTACGGCGAGAGAGCCGAGCTCGAAGACGAGGAGTACATCCCTGTGACAAATGTCATGGAGGGATTGGTCATTCTGAAAAAGGTATATTCCCTTTAATGACTCTCTGCAACGAAGACATGACTAACATGTTTTACAGAACCCTGAGTGGGAAGGTACACAAGCATAGACGGTAGCATGGACATGGTATGGGTTTGTTAAGGCAAAAAGATCACAAGGATAGTCTTTTGAGCACTTGACAGACGAATGAGCATCGAGCAGTGTGACTCGACGCTGGGATGGAAATGTAATATAGAGCAAGACGGCTATAGCATGTTTCTCAATGAAGACACAGCTTTCACGATTCAACACAAGATGTCTTGGTGTACTACCTATCTAGATGCGCGATTTTGGAGCGTCGAGCTGACCAAGGGCAAAGCGGCATGTCGGCGCTTGATCAATCGACGCCAAGGGTCTGGTTCCCAACTCCGCAATCTCCGCCTTCGCTGGGATTCTCGCTCCAAACAAATCATTTCCTTTCGACTCTTGACATCTTCTTTCTCGACAACCACGTCGCACTCTATCTCGGCCTTCCTCAGCTTGACGACAGCTTACGACGACTCAACACTATCCATTCTTCTTACTACCCTTCGACTCGACACGTATCATTCATCACCAAACTATCTACATCAAACCCGCCATATCGCCTAGATCCAGCAGAGTCACCAACAGGATCGGAAGATAGGCACACCAAGAGCCAAAGGACGCTATCGACACCCAAGCCACGCAGGAAGGCAAAAGACACACATCACAATGGCCACACCCAACATCAAATTCGGCAGCCCCGTCGTCTTCTTCGATTCACATCCCGAGCAACAACCCGGCTATATCGCATCCTGGGTCTACGCTTTCGGTGCACACTTGAAGGTCGCCTGGACCGGTGACCCACCCAAGAAGCTATTCCCCGGCACCCTGCGACTGCTTTGGTGGACTGTAAGCCTTGTCCCTTCACGCTTCTTGCCTGCTCTTCCATACTAACACAAGCCAAAACAGACCGACGGCGTCCAAGGTCTCCGCGACTTCGAGCTCCACCAATCCGAACTCATCAAATCTCTCTGGGACTCCCTCCTCGACAACCCAGACGTCTCTCGCGCCCTCGTGACCGGCTACTCTGGCCAAAACCCTTACGTACTCAGTTACGGCGACAACCCCTGGCTCACCAAAGAACAAAAGGAGAAACTTGTCAGGCGCCAAAATGATGAAGCGTGGGCCAAGAAATCGGCCAGAAGAGTAGAGACGAGAAGTAAAGAGGAGAGGTTTGAGGATGAGAAGGCCGCGATCAAGAGGAAGGAACAGATTTTGGAACATATTGATGAGGTGATTCAGAGTAATGAAGATGCCGAGAAGGAGAGGCTTTTGGGTGCGGATAGAGAGGATGTTTGAACGACTTCTTCTCTTACTGCCTCGGTCACCGGACTGTTGTTTTCGTCTGATCCTGACTCTATGGTCTCGATCTCTGCTCTCAGGGCTCTGGACTCGGGATGGTTTTGGCCTTTGAAGCTTATGAATAAGCCTCAGCTTATCTCTATCTCAGAGTCGCCAGAGTCTCGCTTTTCGCACAATCGGCTGTTTCTTGCATAGTCAGCGGGCGTAAGGAGGTTTGCCATTCTTTTCGCTACAAATCTTTCTGTAGATAAAACCATTCTTGTAATCACATTTTTCTCAGCACATCACTACTTTCTGAACCTCACTTTCATGCCTGGGAAGACATCTTCGATGTAAAGTTCTCGCTCCCAAGCTTAGATGCCAAAGGTCATACGACCAGGTCTTTCCAAGTCGGTTGCGCTCTTTCCTCCTTGATGGCCATCACGAAAGAGCTATGTCCCAAGTTTGTACCCGCCGTCGCGCGATCAGCGCCGATTCGATCCTGCCACAAACACCTTCGAGAAAAGGCCATCATGGCCCTCAAGGCATAGCACACACCCCCTGTCACAGGCCCAGCATCGTCTGTTTCGATGACGAGGACGTGAGCGAACCAACACGTCCTCTTACGCAGCGTCAGACAACAAGTGATCGATCTCCTCCTGTCATGATTAAGATTGTCGCGATGCAGAGTGCTTTCCTACGCGATAGATGAGCTTGTAGAGAACCATATGGTATCAGAACTCAATGGTTACTTCTCAATTACTGGAGGAACTATGCGTTTTGAACAGCTGTGATCGTGGAAGTGCCAGGATCGGGAAGATGCAGACTGATTCCATACTCCATGCAGGATGGACGCATGTGCTCTTGGTTGCTCTCAAAGGCTGTCATCCGTTCGATCCAAATGCTTTGCAGACAGTTCCTTTACTACCTGATCAGGGATGCTGGGTAGACATTCTTTTATATCTCTACCGCCCTCCCATCAACCACGGTTCAACTAAACATAAGCCTTACCACCAGCCTGCACCTCGACAACCTGCTGCGGCGGCGTTTCAACACCAGTATCGATTTCGCCCTCGATATGCTCCTCTTCGGTACTCTTGGCCCTCTGTCTGATCTCCCTGTTGTGCAAGAACCTGGTGCTAAGTGCTGTAATGATAATGCACACAGACAAGCAAGTAACAGTGATGAAACCCTTGTGATAGCGAGGGGCGTCGACTTGTTGCCAGACCAACAGAGGTAGCCATGCCTGAACCACATAGGCCATTTCGTTCATGGTGGCTGAGACGATAGCGCGTTCTTCGTTGTCTTGTGAACAGATTTCGTGGGCCCAGCTGTGGTCGTGTTTGTCAGTACAAAGATGGCAAGGAAGCAAAGGAGTCCAGCAGCTTACGCAAAGATCAACCCGCTCAACCCGCCACCGCATCCACTCAACACATAACAAGTCCACTTCCATCCCATAGGGATATCCCAGATCGCAAGCGAAACATAGCACATGATATTCATGCACGCTCCGAAAATCATCGGCGGCCATCTCGCTCCTTTGAACAGCCCATCGCTCGTCCACGCATAAACCAACGTCGTGAAAACAGTGACCGCATTAGTCGTGGTCGGATACGCATTGATCTGAGTAATCGTATACTTGGGATCCTTGCTCTTCTTCAAAAACTGCTGGAAGGTCGGCTGTGAAGCTGATGTTCCGTTGTTGAAAAAGATATAGAGGAGAGTCAACATGTAAATATGCCATGAGGAAAAGATCTTCCAGATTTTAGAGCGGGTGTATGGTTGCCGGTTCTTACGGCCTTCTAGTTGCATGCGCTTCTGTGCGAAAGCGATTTCTTCTTTGGAGAGGTAGAAGGCCGTGCAGATCTCTGGGACGTCAGGCAGGAAGAAAAAGGTTGCTATGCAAACCGGGAGAGAAATTATGCCGTCGACGATGAAGAGCCTGGATGCTCAGGTGTCAGCGGGAATACTTGGGTAGGTAGAAACAGCCGATTACCCACCATTGCCAGCCTTTGAAGCCTCCAACACCTCCTAGATGGTACACCGCAGCCATCAGATATCCTGAAAACATTGTGGCGATCGAACTGCTCGTGTGGAAGATGCATGATCTCTTTGCGAGTTCGTCTTTGCGGTACCAAGAGCCGATGATGTACTGCATGCCAGGGTAAAAAGCGCTCTCGGCAAGACCAACGAAGAAGCGAATAACGTATAGCTGGGTGGCACTGTTGGCCCTGCAGGTGGAAAAAGTCAAGATCGTCCATGTCAACTGTTATCGAGGCATTAGTGTCTTTATTGTACTGCAGAAACATCATTGTCTACCAACCTCGAGAGCGGGAAGCCAGTATCGTGGCCGTATCTTGGTGAGCATTATATTCGACGGGATCTCACCAATAACGTATCCGACAGTCCAGCACGTCTGCATGTAGTTGAGCTGGTTGCCGTATAGACCGAGATCTTCCTGCCTGTGTCGAAGATGAGTGTATTGAACCAAAGGTCTAAGCTATAAGTTATACTTACATTCCAGAAACGAAGGCATTGTTGATGTTGGATTGGTCTAGGTACTTGATGAAGTAGCCTGAATTGCAAGTTAGTAACCCAATCGACATACAATGCTATTGGACATACCAAAAGACGCAAGAGTGAGCAAGGCAGTATCGATCTTGAACAGAAACTTTCTCTCTTCGGGGCTCTTGTCAAAAGTGTCCCAGATGTAGCTCTGCCATTTCCTCTTTGGCTTTTCGGCGATGACTTCTTGAGCTCGCTCATATGCTTGTTCGTCAACGGCGTGAGCGTCCGATTTGCTTGGTAGGTCGGACATGCTTGGTATTCTCAGCCTGGTATTGGCAAACTATGCTGAGGAGAACAGTCCTGCGAAGCATCAAACATATAAGAAGCCGACATGATGATTTGCATATTGAAAAGTCTGGATCCCGTCGGATATGCCGAGTCAGGAAGGATGCTGAGAGTTCATGTGGCTTTGCTGCATGCTGCGGCAATGTGGGTTTGCTGAATGACCTATATCGAGGTAGCTATTGCGTGCTTCTTAATAAAGTGGATGGCAGCACAACGTTTCGAGATTAGGTACTCGATGCTCTTTGGATGAATCACTCGTTACGCGACACTCACCTTGAATTGCGTGATCATGTACTCTATTCACCAGAGTTGAAGACCGCATCCTTTTCCTTCTGAAGAGACATCGACATTAAGCAGTCAAGAGTGGAGCAATATTTTGCGTGCTCCAGATGACACAGCTGAGCATTAGGTAGATTTGGATCAATGACTTCAAAACGTCCTAGGACCACACGCAAGAGACGATGAGAGTATGTTGCTCCTTCCCTTCGACCATGTGAGCTCGTCTCGTAGTGAACAACAAGGAGCCGGGAATAATGCGGGGTATTGCCGGCGGACCTGAAGTAGGCTATTTTGTCTGATCACAGTCTTCCAATCGAAACACATCCATTGATCTGATGATATGTCGTGAAAATTGGGGGTTGTCGTTAGTGGACGTAGATCAGATGTCGCCATTGAAGCCTACTCTTACGACAGAGCTGGATTTGCCAAGACATGCAACCACCCTGCTCGAGCCCCACCACAACATAAGAATATCTATACGCTGAGGTGTGCTTCTTGAGGGATTATTGATCCTACAGGTCGTTGCGACACTTATCAGATGCTGGGTAAGATGCCGTGGTGAGGGGTAATGGTAGCTCCAGTCAGGTCATGCTTAGCAATAGCTTGATGGTGTGCTTTCGATCCACTGTTGATATATCCTCTCGTCGTTTCAATTTGTAATCCGCGGCATCTGTACAAAGATAAGTTTTGTACATAAAGGTAGAGACGAGAGTTCGGAAGAAGTTGGCTGGTTCATCTCCTCATTACTCCAGTTCTAGCACCTTCACAAAACCAGACCTAAAGCAAACTCACCATCATGGCTCCCAGTGCTATCGATGCCTCGATCACAGATGTGGTCCAGCCAAAGAAAGACACTCTTGGACTTCCCAAAGAGACTCGAGCTCGCTTCGAAAGAGCCAATATTGACCTCTCGAATGGTTACCCTTATCGTCCAGCTCGTCCCCTCTATCTCCAAGACGCCTACAACATCAGAAACGAACCTTGGGAACACAATGATGCTGGCGCCAGAGCAAAGAAGACGGATCCCTCCAAGAAGTCTCTTTTCGAGGCTGCAAGCAAGGTCGAAGATCTCACAGCTCATATCGGTACTGAGATTCATGGGCTCCAGCTCAAAGACCTCACGAACCAGCAAAGGGACGAATTGGCATTGTTAATCGCCGAAAGAAGCATCGTCTTCTTCCGCGACCAGGATATCTCTCCCCAACAGCAGAAGGAGCTCGGCGAGCATTATGGAAAGATCGAAGTCCACGTAAGTGTTTGTCTTCCCGGTTGTAAAACGTATGTGCTGACAGTGTTTGTGCAGCCTCAAGTACCTCAAGTTCCAGGAGTCGAAGGCGTTACCGTGATCTGGCCTGCTCTACAAGCGACCGAAAGAGCCGCCAACTTCAGAAACCCCGGCGGTGCTTCTCGCTGGCACACTGATCTGGTTCACGAGCGCCAGCCCGCAGGAATCACACATCTCCACAACGATATTGTGCCATCTGTCGGTGGAGACACCTTGTGGGCCTCTGGCTATGCTGCCTACGAGAAGCTCAGTCCAGGCTTCCGCAAGATCATCGATGGAGAGAAGGCATACTTCAAGTCTGCGCATACCTACCTCGACCGCAACGATCCCAATGCCGGTCCCAAGCACATCGAGCGTATTCACCCTATCGTACGTGTGCACCCCGCTACTGGTTGGAAGTCGCTCTTCGTAAACAGATCTTTCACGACCAGAATCGTTGGTCTGGACAAGGCCGAGAGCGATGTCATTTTGAATTACCTTTTCGATGTCTATGAGCGCGTAAGTATCGTTAAGGCATACTTCTGTGACAAGTTACTAACCTATGCTCAGAACATCGACATCCAGCTTCGATTCAGATGGACTCCCAGGACCAGTGCTCTGTGGGACAACCGCATAACTATCCATAATGCATCTTGGGACTACGAGAACGGTGCAAGCCGACATGGGACCCGCGTGACATCGTTGGCTGAAGAGCCTTACTTTGACGAGGATGCTCCAACGAGAAGACAGGCCTTAGGTCTTGATACGAACGATGAGTTGGTTGATGTCAAGTAAATGAATGGTTTCTCCAGCCTGGATCTATATGTCTAGGGCTTAATGAGCGTCAATATATAACGTGGTTGCCAAATCAAAGTCCTCGTGATCCCATGAGGTCAGCAGCGTCAATTTGATTCCATATGTCATCCCGGAAGACGGTCAATTGGTCTTCGAACTACGCGCGTGTCGGAAAATCTGAAGGTACCACCGCCAGGGATTGCGAAGAATAGCCGAACATTGACAACGATGTCTTCCCTCAAGATCGTACCATCGAGGTTCAGCCTCTCTGTGTACCGTCGAGCGTGGTCAACAGCTGCAGGAAGAAGCACATCGAGTGGTGGAGGTGCGACCTGGACCATGGGGCCCCAACTGAAATGAGCCTGCACTCGCAAGCAACGTAAGTTAGGCATCTCTCCTATGAAGGATCTGATAAGCGCTCTCTGATGTCGAGCATTGCCGACCTGAACCGGGTTCCCTCGAAAGCTGATTGTGATAGCGTGGAGTTGTGCGAGTATTGCCGGACCGTAGAGCTGGCGAAGGCGGCGGTATGCGTGGGTCAATCGGTCAAGAGTACCTTCGACCGTAAGATCCATTGACTGCGAATGACAAAACGAGATTTCCTGCACAAGATGTGGTTGGGCAACCGCAAGACTCGCCAGATCAAACATTGCGGTGAAGTGCATGACGGGCACGAATCCATGCGAAGGCTCACGCGCTCGGAGACGTATCAGATCGACTACACCCGCATCGGAAACCCTGGAGGATGCAGCTCCCCTGATCTACCTGGGAGCAGTTGGTATGGTGAGATTGACGCAGTCGACTATGCGTTCACCCGACGAGGTCCCGCTGTGAGCCAGTTGTCGATAGATCAACATCCTGATCTCGGGCGGCAAATCCGACAAGGATGGCATGGCGGATAGGTTGTTCTTGCGATTGACGAGAATCAATAAGAGCGATGTGGTATAATTGATAGTGAGGATAAGGAGAGGTTCGGATGATGTTGTTGCTTGTTGGTCTTGATGATTGTGGTGAGCTGGGAACGTGGTCGTAGTTTCCAATCGAGTGCGGCACAAACGTAACATGCCTAAGGTGACGGAACAATCAGCCACTTGGACATGCGAGTTCCCTCCGCCCTCGCAAGCAACAATGGACGCGCCTTTACGTTGCAACTCGCTCAAGTGTCGTCAACGCCTTGCCGATAGAGCTGTGGTCACAACGTGCAGGTTAGTGATGCGCTGACTAGCAAAGCCCGACATCTAATCGAGCTTGACAGCCACATCTTCTGCGTACCATGCTCCAATGCTCTTGGTCTTTCTAGTTCGGCAGACGGCGTCCGGGTCTGTCCTGCATGCGACGCCCAGCTCGCCAATCCCGATGATGCTGTCGCTACACAGCTCAACCCAACCGAAGACTACAAGACAAGCGTCCTCAGCGGCCTGAGTCCGACGATCATCATGGAGTGCTGTACTCGTGGACTGTCGTTCTACCAGTATCAGGTCACACAAGAGATGTAGGTGATCTGCATGCGTCTCGACGAACAAGTCTGACAGAAACAGCATGTACCACGACTACATGGCCAAAAACCTAGCCGACAGATATGCCAACCTCAACTCTCAAATGGACAATGTCATCAAGGACGCCAATTCGGAAATCAGCGGTCTCAGAGACAGACTAGAGAGTAAGAAGCACCATGTCATCGAAGCAGGCTGCAGTGACTGACATTGCAAAGGGATGCATGTCGAGAAGAAGACACTCGAGCAGAAGAACCAAGAGCTGATCAAGGCTTTCAGCGAGAAGAGCAAGGCTCACCAGCGATTGACCAAGCTATACCAACGAGCCAAAGGCACGCAGAATGCCGAGCAGATGCGATACGCAGCGGCCGACGATGTGGATCATGTCATACAATCGATACAAGGTCCCGGGTACAGTGAGGTACTTCGAGACAGGACACCTCAACGATCCGCCTCAATGGCTGGAAGAGGAGGTAGTCAAGAATTGCCCCAAGTATACAGTCATGGCAGAGTTGGTAGCTATAGCGGGAACAAGAGCCAAGTGTGGTCAGGTCAACCCTCTCGAGGTGGTCTAGGTATGTGTTGTCTCTCCGGGCAGAGAGAGCTGAGCTAATGCGTGTGTGCCTGAAGCTTCGCAAAACATTGGCTCCCCGACACTGGGTTCTAGCATGCCAAACTACGGCCTCAGGGCTCCAGCATCAAGCCAACGACAAGCAACACCGCATCGACAGCCCCTCAGCGAGATGCACCGCAATGCGACAAGCAATCAAGAGTTCAGCGGCTACAGCAGTGTCGGTGGAGGAGGAGTCAAGGTTGGCGGAAACATGGAGCAGCATCCTCAGATCGTCAATCGGAACCTCTCACGCGTGCTGCATCAACGATGATCAATCGGCTCGTCGAGAGAGAGGTCGATGGGGTTGAGATGAATTCTGTGGCTGAAACCCGGTCTCGTCTCGATGTGTGTCGCTTGTGTCACTCAAGCATGTGTTGGAAGAGATAGGACGAAGAACACAAAAGCAAGAGGGCAGAGATGGATGACGCTGGACCATGTCGGACCGAGCCGGCGGGGTCGCCAGGGCCAAATGCATCTTGCATGATGCATGTAAAGTTTAGGAACAGAAAGTATTTCTATATCGCCTCTCGTCTCAACCACAATCAGTGACTCTCTCGAAGAAGTTCATCACAATGTCGCAAGCAACAAGCCAGTATGTCCGTCATCTCTGGATTCCATCAAGATCCTCAGCTGACACCGGACAAAGACCTCCGCCAATCCGAGCATGTCTCTTCGATATGGATGGTCTCTTGATCGACTCGGAAGATCTGTACACAGTATGCACCAACGAGACACTACGAAAGTACGGCAAGCCCGATCTGCCCTGGAGCATCAAGGCCCAACTCCAAGGACGCCCTGGGCCTGAGGTACGCACACAGCTCCCGCCAGGAATGACTCTCATCATGTTCAAGAGCTCACACACACTTCCACACAGGCTGGTCAGATCTTCCACGACTGGGCCCAACTACCCATCACTCGTGAAGACTTCCTCCAACAGACGTCGCTGCTGCAACAAAAGTACTTTCCATCCACACAACCTCTCCCCGGCGTCCGCGACCTATTACAGACACTCGATGCGAATCCCAACGTCCACATTGCCCTTGCCACCTCCTCCAACAAGAACAACTTCGGCCTCAAGACCGCACACCTCGAAGACATGTTCGGTGTTTTTGAGCAACAGCACCGCGTCCTCGGCGACGACCCAAGGATCCCCGCTGGAAAGGGCAAGCCCGCACCAGACATTTATCTCCTCGCTCTCAAGACCATCAACGAGCGTATCCGCAAAGAGGGTAGAGAGAAGGAAATTACACCTGCCGAATGTCTGGTGTTTGAGGACAGCGTGCCTGGTGTAGAGTCAGGAAGAAGAGCCGGTATGCAAGTCGTCTGGTGCCCGCACTCTGGCCTCTTGAATGAGTACAAGGGAAGAGAAGACGACGTGTTGGCTGGCACCAGCATCATGAAGCAATATGGTGTCAGCAGTGGTGGCACTGAGGTGCCTGGAAAGGTCGGCGATGGATGGGCGAGACTGCACATGACGCTCGAGGACTTTCCCTACAAGAGCTACGGCATGGAAGCATAGCAGGTGAAGAGAAAGAAGATGTCGAGACCCTCGCTGTAAATGCTTGATTTGACAAGGCCGACCGAGATGCGCATAAAGCATACTTTGAGGGTGATCGGCCGCAGCATGTTCCTACAGCCATCGAGAATGGTGTATATATTCTATCAGAAAGGCAAGCATGATCACAAACACAAAATCCTTGCTGTTCAGAATTGGCAGAGCCATCGAGGCACAAAGAGGTCGGTTTCTTGGAGCACTCGCGTTGTCCAAAAAGTGCAAAAAGAAAGTCACAGCCCCATAACTCTTCCCCAACACCCCACCAACACATCAATGTAGTCCGGAGTCGCCATCCCATGGGCTCGGTCGCTCTGCCCGATTGCTCGGCTGAAGCGGTGTCCAAGCAGTCTCAAGGCCACGCGCAGCGATCGCAAGTTACCTGTGCGAGTGGGTGGCCACCACGGGATTCGAACCGGGCACCGACGGTTGGGTTGTTGCCAACAGCAGGAGTGGAGAGAAAGATTGAGGTCATTTCTTCCGTTGAGCCATTACAGCTGAGGTTGGGCTTGATGCTTTTGTAAATATACCCGACACCAAAATTCGAACGTCGCCTGTCGCACCCTGTCACTCAACAATGTGAGAAGGTTCACGTCATCAACCAACCTGTCTCCAATAGTATTGGCGATAACAGTCCATTGGCCGATTGTATGTCGGCCGTTGAATGAGCAGCTACTTTTCCATGCCGCGCAAGAGTGTTCTTCCACGCTCTGTGCAGCAGACCAAAGTGGTTTGGCGTGGGCGCGTAATCTCAGCATCTCACAGGTTGAGCATGCAGCACAGTAAGCGGTTCACAATGCAGAGCACGTCTCTTTGATCTCTCATTGGCAGCCACTCCATGTGCTACCCGAGCTTGGGATGTCCACGAGTCGATTCGCGCGACGCAAGTACAATGCTATCGAGTCTGCCGTACTTTCGGCGCCGACCTTGACTCCTCAAGCCTGCTCCTGGTGGTTGCTGTAAAATGATGTTAGAATCGACTCTTTACGTCGGAAGCGCGTAGCTGCCAACCGACAGTGGCCTTTCTCCCGGCGCAATCAGATGTCATGTCGAGTAGTCGCCTCGCTCATGCGGCTGCGTGCACCATATGCAGGACCCAGCAAGTCGTCCGGGCATCTGCTCGCAGTGGTTCGGCAACGATCTTGGCCGAGCCCAGCCAATATAGCTTCATTGGTGTGGCACACACGACTCAATGGTTGCATGTAACCACACTATCCAAGACCGCATGGGCGACTTCTTTGTGCCAAAGATCTTCACCTCGGATGTGACGAGCCCCCACTTGCACTGGGAAGCACGGCTGGGGTCCCTGATATGGCAGTCGATAGCCAGATATACAATGGACCCTTGCAGTATCGATAGGTAGTTATGCCTAAGGTCACCCTCTCTCTTTTCTTCCTGCACTACTCTGTATCTTGTTCCCTTTCACTCTCGACGACAAAGTAACAATCGGTACTTTTGGGATCTTACATCATCTAACCCCAGGGTATCGGTCTGAGACACAACACACCTATGCTAGGAACCCTACGCCAGCTGACTGTTGCGCAATCTTTGTGCATCTCACCAGCGTAAAATTTAGTCGACCTTGACAAAATCGCTCTCATACTATCTGTCCAGCTTCACGAATGCGACAATCCCGAGAAAAACTCCAAGAAGTCTGGAACTCACGACCGTGACCCGCTGTGGACATCATCTACCAGAAGATAGGCGTTCCGCGCCTGGAGACACCCCAGGCCTCATGTCGAACGTCGTCCGGAGACTCGCGAGCGATGCAGTCTCGCAACTACAAGAAACAGTCCAAGCTGTTCACAATAAAGCCTCTCGAGGACTTGAAAAACGGATCAACATACCCTTGAACAGCACCAGTCCCGCTGGTTTGATCGAAGCGAATACTCGAGATCCGTGGTCCAAGTCTGGCAAGTACGCGCTAGGATGGGTCTACTTCTGCATAATACTGTTCGCCTTTGCATGTCTGCTGCATCTATACCATATCTGGACGGACAAAGTACGGACGGCACTTTACAAGGAAGACGCCGCCGCATCTGCAATGATCGAATCTCCTGCAACAGACTACGAATTGTCGGTACTTAGCACAGATAGGTTGACGCACAAGTTCTTTCCGCGTGAAGGGCCATTACCCGAGCAACCCAAGATGCAATCGTCGGTCTCTTCCATGTGGTTACTCAACAATGCTATAGCGCTCTTTCGATTTGCATTTTATCGCCCCATACCTGCTCTCAGATTGAGAAAAGGGTGTAGGCCCATTATATTTCCATCGCTCGGTGCGATTGTTATCGTTTCACTCGCACTAATTTTCGTCATACTCTACTGCTTCATACCTCAACCTCTGTACTGGCAGAGCATTCAATTTGGATCTCCACCACTGGCTATTCGGGCAGGCATGATTGCGGTTGCGATGATGCCGTGGATAGTCGGTCTAAGCATGAAGGCCAATATAATTTCCTTCCTCACTGGCATCGGACACGAACGGCTGAACGTTCTGCATCGATGGCTCGCATATCTTTGCTTACTCCTGAGCCTCATTCACACGATTCCTTTCTACATGACCCCGATCTGGTCTGATGGCGGACTGGGTGTATTCCAGTCGGCTTTCGGCGGCTCTGGAATCTACGTTTACGGATCTGGCATCGCGGCACTGGTACCCCTCATCTTTCTTTGTGTCCACTCTCTGCCCCCATTTCGACGCAAGATTTACGAGCTGTTTGTGGCATTGCATGTGCCTGTATCGATTGTCTTTCTCGCCATGCTCTTCTGGCACTGCAAGAACTTTCTCACTTCATGGCACTACCTGTGGGCGACCACAGCTATTTGGCTCATCTCATACGTCGTTCGCTTGTTCTTCTTGAACTGGACAAATCACTCTCGGTTATCGTGGCTGGTAGGCGAAGAAGCAGCTGTCACACTAATGCCTGAGAACGCCATCAAAGTCACCATCCCGACACAGGTGAAATGGAAACCTGGACAATACGTCTATCTGAGGATACCTGGCATATCAGTGTTTGAGAATCATCCTTTCACCATTGCATCTCTATGGAGCGATGATTTTCCTTCTCAGTATGGTGAAGAATACAGGGACATGGTTCTGGTCTTCCGACCCTTCGGCGGTTTCACGAAGAAAGTTCTGGAAAGTGCACTGGAGAACGGACCTTGGCACACCTACCGCGCCTTCCTTGACGGACCCTATGGCGGTATGCGAAGAGGCATGGACTCGTTCGATCACGTCGTTCTATTCGCAGGCGGCAGTGGTATCACAGCATTGGTCTCCCAACTACTCGACCTGATCAAACGCCTCAGAGATGGCAAAGCAGTAACGAGAACAGTCCAGATAATATGGGCCCTCAAACGTCCAGAAACGCTAGACTGGTTCAAAGAAGAATTGCGAATCTGCAGAGAGTTTGCACCTCCAGATACAGTACAGTGCCAATTCTACATCACTGCTGCAAGAAGACAAGCTAGGACCGGAGAACTTGTGTCCGCACAGACACCCACGAGACCGATCAGTATGATGTTTCACACCAAAGTCAACGAAGCTTTCCAGAATATCGCAAACAACAGACTCTCCACAATCTCCGCCAACACAAACAGAAACTCTGCACTCATCATGGAAGAAGCCGCCGGCGATCCGGAAAGAGAAAAGGCACTCAGACGCGAGAACGAAGACCGGCCTCGACCACTCCCACAAGCACATTTATTGCACATGAGAAGTGCGTCACGCAACGGACGTGTATCTCCTCCACCCTCATCCTCGCCTCACCTCACACTGGCCGAGAAGCGCAAATCGCAACAATGGTCCATTCCCTTACCCAATCCAGTCTCACCAGTCTACCTCAAAGACGCACCCACACCACCACAAGCAGACTTTGACTTTGGCTTCCCCAGCACACCCACTGAGTTTCAAAAGAACCTGATGAGATTTGCGTTTCTGCCTGCTGCTGTAAAGTCTAGCAAGACAGGATGGAGCACAGAGTACGGAAGACCAGACATCCCGTTTATGCTCAAGGAAATGAGTAAGCGGTGGACTGGAAGACGCACATGTGTGTTTGTGTGCGGACCGCCGGGGATGAGGGTGGATGTCAGCAATACGGTTGCTGAGTTGCAGAGGACGGTGTGGAGTGTGCCTGGGAGGGATGAGGTGTATTTGCATGCTGAGAACTATGCCATATGAAGAGCGGTGTAACGATGGCTTTCTTTTTGTGATGTGTATATCTAATGTCAAATCTCGTCATGCCAGTCTCGTATTCTTCCCAATACAGTCGCGTCCAGTATCTTGTCGTTGACCTTCAGCTCGGCTCGAGGCGATCTTTCTTCCCTGCCTGCGTCCTCAATGTTGGCAACTTGCACATCCAGAAGTGTATACTTGACTAACCTTAACAACGCTTCCATATCGCAATCAGTCCGTACATGAATGCAGCGATCTTCAGCGGCCAAGACGAGATAAACCGATCAGACAAGCACGCTCAAGAATCCCGCATTCGTTGCAAGCTGCCTTTTCTTTCCTCCCGAGGAGCGCTGCTGCTGAATCGCCTGAGGTTGTGTGGCAGCCATGCCTTGAGGAGGAGGGGGTGCTCCAGTGTTGGCGACTGGGTAGACAGGTCTGTTGGCGTCATAATCTTGTTGTTTCGAACTTCCGCAGCCCATGGTTTGTGCTTGTTGTGTAGTAGAGAAGATTTGGATAAGAACGACTTGATCGAGACCGAGATATGTGACGAAAGGTTGGAAGGTGGTGGCAAGAGTATCAAGCAAGCAAGAGATATTTTGCAGGAGAAGGCGTGTACAACGGCGACTGGGGACAACGTCATATATAGGATGAAGGACTCGAGAGGGAATGGCCTGTCTTCTACCTACATTTGCAGGATTCTATCTTCTGACATCACAAACAGATCCTACTCACAGATACTGTATGCAGGACAATCTCAAGTGAAATATCCCGCAGCGCGCGGAGGCCGAATGCCGCAAGAAGGATCTACCTCGGAGGGATTATAGGTACTTACGACCATCATAGGAAGGAGGTCTGCTGTTATACGAGAAGGATCTCAAGCGTTGCTTTTAAGGTTATGAACAAGCATCGCAGATCTCATGTATTCAAAAGCTTCGGTCCGAACAGATCAAGGGTCAGAAGTTTGTTTCAAAAGTATTTTGATGTTCCAATTGTTGACTACAGAGTTACAAGTCCAAAAATATCGTTCATAATGTGATATGCCAGCGTACCACATTCAGCTCCCAATATAGATAGAGCAGTTCAAGGACGCACTAGATGGAGAACTTGTCCAATGGTCCGTTAGGGTGAAGCAAGACCTTGGTGTAGCCATCGATTCTCTTGTCGAACTTGTCATAAGCATCGACAGCCTCGTCAATGTCGACCTCGTGAGAAACGACGAAAGATGGCTTAGCACGTCCGGAGATGATGAGGTCGCGGAGTTGACGGTTGTAGGCCTTGACGTTGCATTGGCCAGTGCCGAGGAACAATCCCTTCTCGAAGAGCTTGCCGAAAGAGATGAGGATCTGTCCCTTGGCAGATTGCGAGTCTGGAGCACCAGGGTCCTGTTTCCAGAGTTAGTGTCACGATTTCTACGATCGTCAAAGCAAAGAGTTTGGAGGGAGCTGGACTTACAGATGGGACGTAGAGACCAGGGATGCCGAGACCACCAGTAGGTCTGGTGACCATGATGAGCTGGTCAAGAACGATGTTAGGTTGCTCCTTGTTGCCGCTCTTGTCAACAGCTTGGTAGCCGACGGCGTCGACAGCACGGTCAACCATCTCTCCACCATTGGCCTTGATGATCTGCTCTACAGGATCGCCCTTGGTGAAGTCAATGCCCTCACATCCGATTTTTCTTGCAGCATCCAGTCTCTCCTTGACTTGGTCAACGACAAACACCTTACTAGCACCTCTCAAAACTGCAGAGTAAGCAGCCATCAGACCGACTGGGCCGGCTCCAAAGACTGCTACGCTGTCACCAGGCTGGAAGCCAGACAGTTGAAGACCGTGCCAGCCGGTCGGGAAGATATCAGCAAGGAGAGCAAAATCGGCCTCGTGTTCGGTGCCAGGAGGCAGCACAAGAGCATTAAAGTCGGCATAAGGTACACGAAGGTACTGTGCCTGGCCACCCTGGTATGGGCCCATAGCTACATACCCATAAGCACCTCCTGCGAATCCAGGATTGACACCTGGGGAGTTTGTTAGTTCGTAATTTCAACTGCCGAGTTTGTGTGGAGACTTACCAGTGCAAAACGCCGTCTTGCCGTTCTCACAGTTTCTGCATCTGCCGTCTGCCACATTGAAAGGAAGCACAATGCGGTCTCCTTTCTTGAGTAGTGTTACTCCAGAGCCCACCTCGGTGACAACTCCCATGTTCTGAAGATGTCAGATTTAGAGCCTCTCGAGAGTTGATGCAGCATTTACCTCATGACCAAAGACGAGACCTGACTCAGCAGCTGTTCGACCTTGGTACTATGCGTATGTCAGCAAGATAGTTTCCAACGTACAGAGAGTCAAGGACTCTGTTGCTCTTACCATGTGCAAGTCACTGCCGCAAATTGCTGAAAGAAAAATCAGCAAACGATAGTCAATGATTCTCTGTAGAAAAAGAGGATAACATACCAGCAGTAGTGACCTTGATGATAGCATCATCAGGGTGTTCGAGCTTTGGCAAGGGTACAGTCTTGACAGACACCTTGAAGGCGCCCTCGTAGTGCACGGCTTTCATTTCCGTTTGCGTGTTCGACATTGTTGGTATCAGAGTTTCTCAAAAAAGGGTTTGGTACAAGAGGTAAGTATATTCAAAGAAGAAAGAACGAACTGGGATCTGCAATGCCTCAAGTCTCCCAACCATGCTTATATATGTATTACGGAAGGACCACGACATTGGCTCCACTATGCGGGGCAGAGCAATACGCGGGGAACTTATGCCCCTCCTTCCTCAGCTCCATACATGGCAACTGCCGAAGTACAGAGGGGCTGCGTGGCCCAGGCCGCGGTGGCAGGGCTAGCATTCGGGTTATTGTTGCTGACTTGGGTATGGGCTGGAAGGAAGCGTAAGGATTGTGCCGTCAAGAGAGGGGCAGGTCCATGGCATTTCCGGCGGAGAGTCGAGACATGAAGTGGAGTTGGATTCATAAATGCGGAGAGGCCGTAATCGTATTAAAAGATGGCTATAAAGAAAAACACAATGAGAAGAGCAGTGCAATTGCTACTTCATCAATTTGTCGACAGCCCAACCCACGTTCAAACCACGCAGATCGCCGTAGTGCTGACCCACGCCCAGGAAGACAACGGGTATGCCGGTGGCGTGAACCATACTAACGAGGGTACCGACCATGTCGCCAACAGTATCACATTTGGAGATGACAAAGCCATCAAGTCCACGGCCCTTGCCTTGTCGATCCACGAATTGCGCGGAGAAGTTACGAGCCTGGGCAACCGAGTCTGTGCCTACAAGAGCCTCGCCAACCATAAAGATCTTGTCTGGATTGGCGAGCTGTCCAAACTTGGTAAGAGACGACATGAGGCGGGTATCGTTATGCCGGCGGCCAGCTGTGTCGACCAGCACAACATCATAGGCGTTTTCAGCAGCATAAGTCACGGCTTCCTTGGCTAGCTGAGCAGCATCCTTGCCGTAGCCCTTCTCGAAAAGGTCAACGTGGCCCAGGTTCTCACGAGCAGTCAACTCGGAGAGGTTGCGTACGTGGACACGCAGTTGCTCGACGGCACCAGAACGGAAGGTATCGGCGGCACAAACCAGGACCCGGAAGTTGTTCTGGAGGAAGAAGAAAGCAAGCTTAGAAAGAGAGGTAGACTTGCCAACACCGTTGACGCCAACAACACTGATGACATAGGGTCTAGAATTGGAGCCTGAGGTAGTAGATGTGATTGAGCGCAGCAGGTCAAGGGAGGAAGTAGGGGTCAAGATGCGCGTGAGAGCCTTAGCCATAGAATCGCGAATGGTCTGGTCGATGGTGGTGAAGTTGCTGGTCTTGAGACCAATAAGATCGCGTTCGACAGATTCGCACAAACGGACCGCTGCTTCGCGAGCAACGTTCTTGTTCAGGAGATGATCTTCCATGGCTTTCATCGGTTTGACCAAATCGGCGGCTGTCAAAGTCTTGCCTCCAACCATGTTGCGGAAGTAGCCACTAATGGCCCCTAGTCCAGTTCCTACCAATCCCTTCGACTCGTCTGTTTCGACTTGATCTTTCCTGGACTTTGACTCTGCGAGAATGGCATCAACTTGGTCGTCCAGATCCTTGAGGACGAACTGGCCCTTGGCCGTCCTACTGCCCATGTCATCGGCACTGACAGGCTGTAGTATTGACTGAGCAGCAGGGGCATCGTCTAGGCTTTGTGTTGAGTAATCCAAAACTGTGTCCTCATCTTCTTCGGCACCGAAGCCGTGGGCATCCCAGGTGCGCTTTGACTTGGCAGTCGGTCTCTTTGCAGCTGCAGCTTTACGAGATGGCGATTTCTCATCGCCAGACGAGGTGGGGGCTGAAGAGGCAGCAAGGGCGGCTTTTCGTGAACGGCGCGAGCCTCGGGGACTCTTGCCTTCGAGCAATTGGCTGACAGCAGGCGAGGCAGGTCGCGACGTGTCTGGCGTGGGAATCGGGGTGGCGTCTGTGGAAGCTAAGATGGTGTCGGTTATCTGTCTTGGAGCAGGCTTCTTGAGGGTAGGGGCAGGCGGCGGCGGGTGGTCTTGGTCGTCGCCAGCAGAGCTCGAAGGTGGGGTCAGGTCGGCGGGCGAGTCTGTCTCGAGGTCTTGATCATCGGATCGCGGAGCTGAAGATTGGGTCTTGTCGAGCTTCTGGACGAGAGCATCGAAGGTCGGAGTGAAGTTGGAACAGTCGAGGTTGGTGGTCTTCTTGTTCTTGAGGTCATTTCCGTATTGCTTGATGAAGAGGCCACGGACTACATCGAGCAGATTGTCGACCCAGGACAAGTTAAGGATGGATTGGTAGACGGCGACAAAGATCAGGCCGAGCTCTTTGGCGTGGGTGTATTTGAGCGTGTACTTGTCGGACTTGAAGGTGGCATTCCGCGGTTGGCTCTGCAGGCTTTGGGCGCGCTCCTCGATGAAGACGTCGTTGATCAAGCTGTTGACGACCTTTTGTGCAACGGGGGCATATGTGCGGCTCCAGACAACGACACCCGAGGTTGTGATGATTTCGAAAGCGTCCAGCATGTCGGCTGAGTGCGTGGTTGAACAAAGTGTCCAGATGAGTCGCATTGCCTAGACCTGGCCCAGTGGAATGCGGAATGCGACTGCCGGGCGGTGGAAGGCTGCCAAGCGTGACATAGCTTCGTAGCCGATCGTTAGTTGTTGGCAGCTGCGATTCATACCAAGTGGACAAGTCACCTCCTTGCGATAGAGACGTCTCGACACAAACTCTGTGATCATGCAGCGCGGTCCCTATTCCAACATGGGCCCTGCTCAATCGCCCCCTCTCCATCACCCTGTGCCCCAGCACGTTTCGACCGTCCCGCAGTTGCGCTCCCCTCCTCCGCCCATGACACAACAACAGCAACAGCAGCACGCCCAGCAGCAGCAGCAGCAATATGGCTATGCCCCATCCAACTACGGCCAGCCTCCTTTTGGCGGATTCATCAATGATCCCACTGCTCAGATGGGCTTCCAGATGGGCAAGACGGCCGTCGCTGCTGGTCAGGAGTACATGGAGCAAAACGTTCGTCACTACACTGTATCATGTCAACAACATCTTTTGCTGATACCTACCCAGTTCAACCGCTATGTCAATGTCTCGGCCATGAAGCACTACTTCAACGTCTCGAACAAATATGTCGTCAACAAGCTCTTTATAGTTCTCTTCCCCTGGCGCCATCGTCCCTGGTCGCGCCAACAGCAGCCCATGGCCAACAGCGCCCAGTCTGGTCCCATGTTCCTGCCTCCTCGCGAGGACATCAACAGCCCCGACATGTACATTCCAGTCATGGCCTTTGTCACCTATATCCTGTTGTCCACCCTGCTTGCTGGTCTGCAAGGCGCCTTCCGTCCAGAGTTGCTCGGCATGACTGCTACCAATGCCTTCGCCGTCGTCATCATTGAACTCCTGCTTCTCAAGCTCGGTACCTACCTATTGAACATCTCGAACGAGTCCCAATGGCTAGATCTGGTTGCTTATTCTGGCTACAAATTTGTCGGAATCATCTTTACCATTGCCCTGGCTACCATCATGACAGGCGGTAAGGGTACTGGTGGTTATGTTGGCTGGTCTGTCTTTGCCTACACTTACCTGGCCAATGCCTTCTTCCTTGTGAGTAAATCGTTTTGTCCGCGTAGGTTCTGTGTACTAATACAGACAGCTCCGCTCGCTCAAATATGTCATCCTCCCAGATACTGCCTCAGGCGCACATAATCCTATTGCTCGCTCGCAGAGGACCAAGAGGACCTACTTCCTCTTCGTGTACTCGTACATCATCCAGCTGGCTTTTATGTGGTGGCTGAGCAGTTTGTAGTACAGTTAGCTTGAGTCTCCAAAAATGCATACACGATTATTTCCCCTGCTACTTTTAAGCAGATCATTTTATCGGTCAGTTACAGACCTTTCTCGCAGGGTCGCCATAGGTATCCTCAAATAACGCTCATCCATTTCCGGAGAAAGTTAGGACGCCGAGATGCTTTTGAGGCGGCGATTTGTGCTTTCGAGATAGGTATAGTTATGCTTGTTCTTCGGCTATGCAATAAGGTTGGCCCTGGGCAAGGTCTGTATGCTCTTGGATATATGCCGTCCATCAAACAGACACCCAAGAGAACGTTGGGCATTGACGACGATACCAGAGATCTTATGGACCAAGGAGTCGGTTATAGGTCAAGCACTTCAGTTCATAGTATTTCTTGCGATAAGGATTCTGTACCACTCTCGACACCCAACAGACGGCAGAGACCCACGTAGAGATCCATGCATCACAGCAGAAATGGTTTTCTGCGTCCAAGTTCAACAGCCGAAATGATCAAGGCCGAAAAAACATGGAGGTGGCTGTGTAAGCAATAAACCATGGCTAGTTTTCTGCATTGCATCACTCTGCGGATATTATTCAACAAGAGGGCTCACTGATCATCTGGCGCGGGCTGCATCACTGATTTCATGTGCGATTTACTGGTGGCAGGGGCTCAGACATCAAAGTGTCGTGTTGCGCAAGACGTCAATGGCATCCTGCAAGCCTCAAAGCGGGAAAAGGTTCATCCAAAGCATTATTAGAGAGAGCACGTGAAATCGGGAGTCAACGAGCAAGGTTCACTGGAGCGGGGCTTAGAGCATGCGACACACGTTTCTATTGGCGGGTCCCTCGACCGGTGAACTCATACCTGCGCTCTGCAGGTTCCAAGAGCTCGTCGCACCGCGCTGGTCGCCAACAGCAAGAGATTGCGGTGCGGACTGACAGCTGGTGGAGTCGGTTGTGATCAAGGGAAAATTACAGACAGAGCAGGTGACGGGGATTGATCTGATAATCAAAAGGAAACTGCATGATTCGGGTGGAGCGCTTTTGGCTGGTGTCCGTCAAAGCTTTGACTCGGTTCTTCGGTGCGTCCCAATCCAATCGGCGCAAGGTGGACATGCCCTTGGGCTGTTGCTTATTACAGGTAGTGAGGTAGGGTCGTTGGTAGCTGCCTTGTTCTCGTTCTGACACACGCGCCTTCGCTCTTTCTGTTCCTTCCTGCCAAAGTCCACCTGCATCCTTGTGCTCCGCCTCGCACAAAATACAGCACCGCCTCAGGCAGAGGCTACTTTCTCATTCCCGCGCAGTTTAGTGGTATACAGCCTCCCCACAGCCCCGACGCCCTTGTCGCGATCGCATACGGCCATGATATTGGAAGACATCTAAAACAAGCACCACATCACTCTTGTCAACATGGCCAACCAAGACCAGCGAAACCGTTCGGCCTCGTCGTCGCATCTCTCTCCTCCTGTTCCGGCCGACTCTTTCCAAACCTTCTCCAATTCTTATGATACCCAGCAGCAATTCCAGGCCAACAATCTCAACAATCAACAGCAGTTTCTTGATCCCCAAGCCACCTTGCTCGACTTTCAATCTCCAGGCTTCGACAACAACAGCTTCTTCAGCGCTCGTACTCCCAGTCTTTATAGTCCAAACGGCAGCAGCAGCAACCTGAGCGGCAACCTGTCTCCCACGTCTCTCAGCGCGACTAACCTGTCGCTTAACGGACCGTCACCTCACAATCTGCCACAACAAGACTCCAACTCGTTTCCAGGCTTCGACTTCAACCAACATCAGCTGGACCCAAACCTGTTCTACGGCACTTCCAACCCATCGCTAGTGGATCCCATGGCTGCAACGCATCACAATCCGACTCCACCTCACCTACTGCAGCCTCAGTTGCGCCGCTCATCGCAAAGTCCCAGTCCCCACGCGTCCCCATCGTACCAGCAGGCTTCGTTCAACCAGGTCAATCGACAAAGATCCGAATCGCTTGACCCCGCAAGCGCTGCATACCCACCTCCAGGATATCATGGCAACGACTGGGGCGCAGGCCAGGCTTTTCAGTCGCACCGTCGCTCACCCTCAGACGCTTACTCGGAGATCTCGTCGCATTCCAACCAGGCTTCGCCATATCTACCTACAGCCGACAGCTTCGATGCTTCGCCTATGCTGAACCCTCAAACCGACGCTTCTATGTTCCCTGATGCCCTCGGCCTCGGCGGCTTCTCCTTGTCTGATACGCAACTTCCACCTCATATTAGTCCAGGCCCTAGTCCGGCCGTGTCACCCCGCTTGTTGCCTCAGTCACAGCAGGCGCTTCCAGACTTCAACACAGCGAATGGTTTCGCTCTGCAGACCGACATGAAATATCAAATGCAGCAGAACAATTTCGACGTGTATCCGACTACCACGCTCACAGGGGCCGAGCCTTTCCCTCAGCTGAGCAATGGCGGCACTCCCAATGAAATTGGTATGGCTGATACCATGTCTCCTCCCGAGATTAATATCGATTTCGCTCCTCCTTCGAGAGTGCCCAGCTTTGGACCTCAAGATGGTGCTGGACCAGAGGACGCGCTGAGTCCACCGGAAAGGAGTGAGTGTCGCACACGCTTTAGCATGACTAATTTACTGACTTTGCACTCTCAGATCGCAGTCGCAATCGGATGCGTGCCAAATCGGACACTTTCGTTGGATCGCGACCCGTGACACCCTCGGTCGCAGGAAGAGGTAGATCTCCTTCATTACAACCAGGGACAAGTTCTTTGTCACCTTTCGACGCACGCCACAGCGGCTCCCGCTCACCTTCGCCCTCGTCCATCTCTTCCACGAGTGGCCTGTCTAGACGATCTTCCACCTCATCTGTGCCCCAACGCGATTACATTCTGGACCTCGCAAATCCTGAAAGAGCGGCCAGTGGAGGCAACGACCCCAAACGCACTCAGAAACACCCTGCCACGTTCCAGTGCACATTATGTCCCAAGAAATTCACCCGCGCTTACAATCTACGATCTCACCTTCGTACCCACACCGATGAGAGGCCATTTGTCTGTACGGTGTGCGGCAAAGCATTCGCTCGCCAGCACGATCGCAAGCGACACGAGAGCTTGCATTCAGGCGAGAAGAAGTTCGTCTGTAAGGGCCAACTCAGCAATGGCGAACATTGGGGGTGTGGCCGCCGTTTTGCGCGTGCCGATGCTCTCGGTCGACACTTCCGCTCAGAAGCTGGACGCGTCTGTATCAAGCCTTTGCTGGACGAAGAGGCTGCCGAACGACAGAAGCAGTGGGCAGAAGAGCACGCCCAACGACAGATGCAGAGCGATCAAGGCTTTGTAGCCCCACCGCCCATGACAAACCAGCCCCATTTACACCCTATTCTTCCGGCTGCTCTGCTGCAAATGTACCCAGACTTGGCAAACCTCGACTGGGGTGCTGTGAGCGCGCCGACCATTCCTGAAGAGTCTGAGGTCTTCAGTGGAAGGAGCAGCTTCGATGCTGGAAGCGGCAACGAATGGGGCGATCTTAGTGAGAACGAGATGGGAGCATTCGGACAGACACCGAACATGAACATGGGTCTCGCTAACAATGGATGGATGAGCGACATGGAGCGATGACCCGACTGTTCATGAGCTGCCAGAGATGTATTACGATACCACATCATGATATGAGTTCGATGTTGGCGTTTCTCGGAAACACGGCGTTTGTTGAAGAGGGATTTGAGAATTACTAGATACCACGGCCGGCTTCTCACGCCTTTTGCTTTTTCGAGAGATGCATTCCTTTCAGGCTACGATAGAGGCGTTTCATGCACTCCAATCAACAGCAACCATTATTTGATACGTTCCTCTACTTTGCTATGTGTTTCAAACAGACGTGTCCTGCGAGAGGCTGACACCGATCATGCCATCATATATATCTCTAGTATATGCATCCGTACATCCGTGATTGGGCCTCTTCGTGCCGTGGCCTGGAATGCTGTGAGAGTTTCGAGGTCGATGTTAAGCTTTCTGTCCCCCACGAAGATCATCTGCAGTTCTTGGATCAAGCACCCCTTGACACCAACCCAACCTTCTATAAACCCAACAAACGACTCGATCGAGACAGCAAAACGCGAGCGTACCAAAAACCAACTAACCGAATATCACTCGATATGTTTGGTCTCTTCGGCGGCAAATCGTTCGAGCCCGAGAAGGACATTCCCGACCTTTCCGGCAAGGTCATTATCGTGACTGGAGGTACGTACATACGATAGTCCCTCTCAGAGCACAATAAGAAGCCCAACATACTCATATCGAGCTCCACACAGGAAACACCGGTCTGGGCAAAGAATCAGTGCTGCAACTCGCAAAGCACAACCCCTCCCAAATCTACCTCGCCGCACGCACAGAATCAAAAGCGCGCACCGCAATCGAAGAAATCAAGTCTCAAGTCCCCTCTGCCAAAGTCGAATTCCTCTCCTTGGACCTGACGGACTTTGCTTCCGTCAAAGCAGCCGCTGATGCCTTCAAGCAAAAGGAAAGCAGATTGGATGTTTTGCTGAACAACGCTGGTATCATGGCTGTGCCTTACAGCACTACAAAGCAGGGCTATGAGATTCAATTTGGAACCAACCATATGGGACACGCGCTGCTCACGAAACTGCTTTTGCCAGTGCTGCTCAAGACCGCAGAGGAACCTGCCGCCGATGTCAGAGTAGTGACTCTCAGCAGCGAAGGCCATCAACTCGCCCCTCGCGATAACGGCATCATCTACGATCAAGTCGCTGCCGAAACCTATGGGACCTGGCCCCGCTATGGCAGCGCAAAGCTAGCCAATATTCTGCATTCGCGCGGCTTGACTGCTCGTTATTCTTCCATTACGGCTGTATCGGTGCATCCTGGAGTCATCAAGACTGATTTGTTTGCGAGCACTCAGCGCGACAGTATGATTGTTAGATATGGCATCGCTGCAGTGGGCGGTTTGTTCATGCAGACTGTGCCGCAGGGAACGAAGAATCAGCTCTGGGCTTGTACGGCGCCCAGGGAGGAGGTTAGAGGAGGATATTACTTCAAGCCTGTCGGTAGCAGAGGGCCGGGCAGTGGGTGGGCTAAGGATGAGAAGAAGGTTGAGGAGCTGTGGGAGTGGACGGAGAAGGAGTTGGCCAAGCACGGTTATTGAGAACTGTCAAGTCGCCAGACCGTGGATCTTTGAGAGGTATGGTGGTGTGACTGTCTCTGTTTTCTCTGTGTTATAACAGGAGGGTAATCGTAATTGTATAAATTAGAGCTTTCTTGATTTGTTGCTGGAAGGCTCTGGCCAAATTCAGGGATCTGCCAAAGAGCACCTTATTGCACCAGATAGGCGCGCATCGGGCAGACCGTATGGCTACTTGAACCTGGCCACATGGCCGGCTTCCTTCATGACTCGATTCGTCTCGTCTTCCTCTCTCGCTCAAGGAAAGAGCAGGTGTCACCCTTCCTGCCTATGCATCCTTTGCCGATACATCTTTGGCAACCATCTTCAGGATCTCATCCTCAACTCCTTGTTGGCAGAACCCAGCGATACGTGTTCTCTTTCTCTTTCTCTTTCTCTTTCTCTTTCTCTTTCTCTTTCTCTTTCTCTTCCTCTTCCTCTTCCTCTTCCTCTTCCTCTTCCTCTTCCTCTTCCTCTTCCTCTTCCTCTTCCTCTTCCTCCTCCTCTTCCTCAAGCCTCCTCAACCCTCGCACTCAGAATACTCACCTTCTCCACCGGCCTATCCTCCTTATCAACCTTGACCAACCCCATCCTCTGCACGACCTTCATGCCCGCCTTGACGCGTCCAAACACCGTATGCTTCCCATCCAACCACGGCGTCGGCGCCAGCGTGATGAAGAATTGACTGCCGTTTGTATTCGGCCCTGCGTTTGCCATACTGAGGATTCCGGCGCCCGTGTGTCGTAGTCCAGGGTGAATCTCGTCGTCGAATTTGTCGCCGTAGATGGATGCGCCGCCGCGGCCGGTGCCGGTGGGGTCGCCGCCTTGGATCATGAAGGAGGGGATTATGCGGTGGAAGGGGGTGGTGTTGTAGTAGCCTCTGCTGGCCAGGGTGGAAAAGTTGTGGCAGGTCTGAGAGAGCGTTAGTGTTTGTATAGGATTGAGTCAAGTGTAAAAGGGGCAACTGGCTACCTTTGGTGCGTGTTCGGTGTAAAGCTCTACTGTGATCTCGCCCATGGTAGTCACAAGCACTACATTTTGCGCCATTGTGGTGTGTTGAGGGTTATGTTACTCTGTCTGAGTCAATTGAAGAGCTGAGTGGCCGATCTGTGTGAGTTGCACAGGGTCGAGAAGTGAGAATCGTAAACCGAAGGAAGATGCAAAACGGAAGGCTGTGAGGTAGGTGGGTATGAGTATTTGGTAGACAAGCCCATCACGGTTGGTCCGAGCAAAAAGCTGGCATGACGCTCATATCTTCACACGACCTGATCAGCAAAACATTGTCGCAGCCGTGAATCGAACACGGGGCTCGTGCAGTATACAAGTAATTGTATGGCAAGCACGAATTTTACCACTAAACCACTGCGACTTGATATAGACAAATTTCATCAAGCTAAATTATGTCCATATTTTGGCTTTACCGTATCGACGACCTGAACCTACGTGAAGCATGGCTTCCTTCTATAGTCGGGTCTATTACGCACGCTGACCATAGTATTTGGTTGGACATTGGCGTAAGATAAGACAAGTGTGTTCATTAACATTAAAGCGTAGTGTGTGCTGTTTCCATCTCTCGATCCCTTCTTTCCTATCGCTCGTCTTTTCCTGCTGTTCTCTCCTCTCCGCTCCAGTATGCTACAGTAGTAAAAGAAAAGCTGGAAGAAACAAAAGAAGAAAACAAGGACCATAATAACAGACTGCACTTGATTTGGTCAAGAAAGGAAACCTTCGTTTCCTAGACGCCATTCTGAGAAACAAATGAGAAACTCCGGATTGGATGCTGAATGGGTAAGAACTGTTTCCCTGAGAACAAAAACTCCACTCCGATAGAAAAGGTATCACCCGCTTATCATGACCGACATCCCAACAACCAAGTGCAACGAAGAGAAAGTCGAAAACAAAAGAATCGCCACGTCCCAGAAGAACATGAGACGGGAGCGCCAGTGTTGAGTCGCAAACTCGGTATCCTCTCAGGCCAAGATGCCACAGAGTTCGTTCCATTGGCTTTCATCATCAACAAGCAAGCCACGGTCTCTGCCAACCTGCTCCAGAACTTCGATAACTTTTCGGAACGAACTCGCTGCACCACGCATTTGCGAACATCTCGCCAACGAGAGGCCAGCTTTTCTGCCATTCTTGAGCACAACGAATAACTCGATCCTGAATGTGACCGGCTTGATGCCCAAGGAGTTGACTTTATCGATGCTTGCCGTAATTGCGTTGTCCTGAGGGAAGTATGTCAAATCTTTGATACCGTGTCGCTGCCACTCGCGCAGCATGCGGACCAATTCTGTTCTTGCTCGGGTACGTGGAACATTGAAGGCCAAGGTACGGACTTCAGGTCGTAGACGGAGGAATCGGGAGAACCAAGAACGTGTCCCGTTATCGCCACCAGCTGAGGTAGGAGTAGTCGGAGGTAGAGGTGAAAGCGGACCTGTCGAGAAAGGACTGAGCGGACCGGTAAACGTGGCAGCAGAGGGGGGAGACACTATATATCAGATTAGCAAAGATCATGGAGCTTATCACGAATTGTAAGCCTACATTTCTCCGAGTCCTTCTTTCTGCCGAACCATTTGCTGAATCCCTTGCTTTCACGGCGCATCGGGAACTCGCTGCTCGAAGAAGATTTGGGCGCAGGCACCTGAGCGCTAGTCAAGTCCAGATGGGGAGGGCGATTGTCCCGGTTGAGCACGCTAGGCTTGTTGGATTGACCGGCACTTTCGTTCCAAGGCATTGGCGAACGAGGGCGAAGATGGCTGTCATCAGTAGTGGTGACAGAGGGTTCCTTCCACTTACGGAACCAAGAAGACTTCTTCTTGACTGTACCTTCTTGAGATCCTTGGGAAGAGATCTGGCTCAATGGTACATCGCTGTCGCTGCTCTTCTTGCGAACCATACGAGGGTCGGCCGTGGGTACGGTTAGACGAGTCCTGTCGACGACAGTGTTTTGAGAGTTCTGCGAGGTTGGCTGCTCGACAGAACGCCAGTTGTATGGACTTGCGGGTGACACGGGCGACGAAGGCTGAACCATACGGACCGTCTTCTCTGGTATCGGAGCCGTGACGGATCTGTATCTGTGGGCTGTGCTAGGGCGACCCTGAGAGCCTTCAGGTCTGCCTTCTTCGCTTATGACTGGCAGAGGTGCTCTGTTGTCCATCACATGGTGGTCAGGAGCTGAAACAGCACGCTTGTCGCCAGGCATGATTCTGTCAAGGTTGGCTAGGACTTGTTCGATCTTGGCAGAGCCATCATTCCCTTCGGATGCGCTTCGTGCTGCAAGCTTGTGGCGGGTTTCTTCGAGTGTGCGTGTGATAAAGGTATTGGGTGTATCTGTGGGGAGAGCAGGCAGAGGGCGAGGCGCGGCGTGCTCCTTGATTGAGCTAGCAGAATCCCTCTTAGAGACGGATGATGGAGGAGTCTCGTAGCCAGCCTTTTCGGTCACTGATGCCGTTGTGAACACGCTTGAGCTGAAAGAACAGCGGTTGAAGGCTTCTTCGCAAGCCTGTTCGAGCTCACTGCTGGCCTTGCGGATATCCGTCTTCAATGCACCTGTCGAGTTCTTACGTGGTCGCGTGCGAGGGGCAGGCGTGACCGACTTCTCTTTTCTCGATCGAATAGCGTTGTCTACGCGACAAGAGGGGCTGTTCGCATCAGGAGTGGGACTTCCGTGCATGAGTTGAGAGAATCTAGCTTTGGCCTGGAGCTCTGGAGTAAAGCGAGCGCTGGTGCTGACGGCGGTTTGCGAGCTCTTGCGGTGATGAGAGAAGCTAACCTTTCTCTTATGTTTGTGCGAGCTAACTGTTCTCGGCATCACAGGTGGGCTGCTAGGCCAAACAGAACTGACTACCGAGTTGCGAGACGTTGAAGCTTTGGACACTGAGCGTGTCATGGACTTTCTGTACTCTTGCTTTACCAGACTGGAGCTGGAATTGGAAAGACCATTCTTCTTCAGCATCTCAACGCGGAGTGCGTTGGGATGACGCAGAGTGTGCTGCATATAAGCTTTGCGGCTTCCATTACTCTCGCCTCTGCGGTGAACAGTGACCTTGGTGTATGGCGTACCGTTGGGTGTGGTTTGGTAACGCGAAGATCGGTATGGGTCGTAACTGCCGTCAGATGGCAGGTTCTCATCACCGGCTTGTGGTGTACGAAGATGCTCATCGTTCATGATAGAGTATTGAGATTGCGAGTGCTGCTTCTGATTAGGCATGGGAGCTTGATCCTTGAGCTCATTAGTATTGTGTTGGTAGTCACTGGCAGAGTAGCTGATGGCATCTGCGCCTCCGAGATAGTTTTCGAGGTGATCTTCGCGGTGCTTCAAGAGAGCGGCGTAGAAGAGTTTCTCTTGATTCGGTTCGTTGCTGACGAGCTTCTTGACGAGGACGGATTGAGGCACACTGTGCCACAAAGTACGCATGTTGCGAAGGATTTCCTTGTCAACCTCGGATTCGCGCGTCACGGTCCAGTCTTCGAGAATTGGAGATGGTCCAACCCATGCTTCCTTCGATGCAAGTGGTCCTGTGTATCCCCACTCCTCATCAAACTTATGTAGCAAAGGATGCTCCCAGATCTGTTCCATAGTGATACGACGACGAGGGTCTGGTACAAAGATCTTGCGCAGCAGATCTTGAGCATCGCGACTGAGTTCTGGAGGCATGTAGTAGTCAGCCTCAGCAATGGCTCTGTACATGACACCAAGATTCCTGTCTTGGTCGTAGTTGAAAGGGGTCATTCCAGTGAGCATGACATATAGAATGACACCGCAACTCCACACATCTGCTCGCGCGCCATCGTAGGGTCTGCTCTTGATGACTTCGGGCGCAGCATAGTGGGGACTGCCACATGCCGTAGTCAGCTTTTTGCCCTCTGGCTGCAAAGCGGCCATACCAAAATCGACCAGCTTGACTTGGATGTTCTCGCGATCCAGCAGGATATTCTCGGGCTTGAGGTCTCTGTGATGGATGTGCATGCGGTGGCAGTAAAGCAGTGCAGCGACAATCTGACGGAAAATGTACACACTTTCTCCTTCTCCAAGGCCACGACACTCTTCGATGTAGTGGAACAGTTCTCCGCCCTCGACGTATTCCATGATCAAGTAGAGCTCGTTGTGGTTCTCCCAGACATCGTACAGGCGAACAATGTTGGAGTGATCGAGTAGTTTCATGATGGCAATTTCACGCAAAAGACCTGGGGGAGGGGGTGGCATTGCCTTGCCGGCGGCAACAAGATCCTGGAGTGACTTGTCGGGCATCTCTGCTAGATTGGCCAAACTCTGCGCACGAACTGTTTCAGCCATCTTCCTGGAGATGATTTTTGCGGCACCGATCTGGCCAGTGTCCCTGTGTCTGACCAGGCGAACAGTTGAGCAGCCTCCCTGGCCGATTGTCTTTCCTAGTTGCCATCGACCAACGTAGCTCTTGCGACCGGATCCGGAACCAGTTGTACAATTTGATATCTCTGAATAACGTTTGCTGGCTCGCTGGGACTCCGGCGCGGCCGAAGAGAGGTGGGTCTGACGCGGTGATGAGGCGGTGGGACTGCTTGTGCGTACATCCAAGGTGCCATTAGCAGTGAGTGATGTGTTGTGTGGGAGAGATGCAGGCGAAGACACTTCGGGCGCTTTCGAGGGCCGCGTGCTTCTGCGTGTAGAAGAGTCGATGTTGGCGCGAGACTCGCCCGGTCCAAGTACTTCCCGTCTGGTTGATGGTCGCGGCTGATGGCGATGGTGGTCGGCCATGACGACGGATATGTGTTGTGTCTAAGTCGTGTAATCTTGACTGGCTGTCAAGTGCCTGGTAAATGTGCGTCGATGGTATACTGTCTTGCGATCCAAACACTCGTGGCTGATAGCAAAAGACTAGCCAATCACTCCAGGGCCTGCTCTGAAAGTCGGATCAAAAGAAAACGAGCGTGATTAATTATGCATTGGCCAAAGTATTAAGATGCAGGTCGGGTAATGAGCGTGGTGTTTGTGCTGGCGGCGTGATAAAGACAAATGAGGGATGTATCTATAGAGGCGATGAAGGATAGTCGGGCGCGGGCGAGTTTACGCGGGCGCAACAGGAAAGGAAGGAAGGCGTGCGTAGGTCGGTGGATAAAGAGGGACAAGTTACAAGGTAGGTGATGCAGAAGGAAGGAACCACCACGACAAGACGGCGAAATCGTCAATCGACACCAACGGTGGCCTTTGTCGGTGATTTACAAGTTGGCAAGAAGCTCTGTGCCGAGACGAGGGGGACGGAATGACAGAATCAGGAGGGCTGTTTGTTGTTGGCAGAGATGATGATTACTGTAAATGTTTTGGTCCGCAAGGCTAGGAATGCAACGGTGCGCGACGACGTTGACCTCCTGCTCGCTGCAATTCGACCGTCAATTCAGACTTACACCATGAGAAACAATGGCCAGAACTTCTTCTTCCTCTACCAAGACACTACTGTCAGTGTCTTTGTTCTTGTGTCTATTCTGTTTACATTGTATGCACATCTACGCAGCCTGCGACACATTTTCGGTACTCAAGGCGTGCCATCGTCATCTGGCTTTCTCCAACCTCATGTCAAGTTTCAACCGTCAACCCCCTGACATGCAGAAACGTTGCACATGCCCCTGATTTAGATATCAAAAGCATCGAGACGATGGCCATAAAGGGAGAATTGCTGCCACAGGGGATGGTCTCCTGCTCTGACTGTCATGGACATGCCAGTCTTTGGCTGCGGTGAGTTTGTTCGTCGGAAGAGAAGAACAAGATCTGGAGAAACAAGAGCTTCGAGCTGGGGAAATGCCAAGTCTGAATAAAGATACCGAGCCAAAGCACGTGCATATCGTCAGCGCTGTCTGCCTGGACAAAGAGGTTTTTCCATGGATGGATGGGTATTCGGTGCACGCTTGAATGATGGAGTTCACGGAAAGTTGATCGATATGAATGTAAGAACAAAAATGTGTAGCTTTATTTGGACAAAAAGGGGGAAGAATTGTCACCGTCCGTAGCTAGCAACCCCCTCATAAGCTGGTCACCACCAGAATCGAAAGAGGTATCCAAGAACATAAAAAGCAGAAACAGATGAAACAAAGTCCATGAAGCCGCAGTCCCCAGCCAAATGCCAGCTTGTCCAACACCGTGTGAGGAAGACAGTTCCGTAATCCTCTGCGACACACCTTCGCAATAGACAGAAAGCAAAAAGAAAAGAAGAAGAAAAAAGAAACATAAAATCACATGCATGCTTTCCCATCCGTAACAGCGTAAGTATATACGATAAGCAATACAATAACAAAGGGTATCACCGTGAGGTTATCGTTGTTGATGTTGAGATATCGTCGGCTCGAGTAGTCTCATGCAGAGGCGGAGACGGTCGGGCTCGAGTTCTCACTCTTCATTGCTGGGGAGATCGAACCGTCTTTTCTGTCGCTGTCTGCAGAGTTGGTAGGCGCTTTGCCGCAACCTTTTACGAGGATGTGTCTCTGTTTGAGGATTAGCTGACGTTCGGCAATACATGCTTGGAAAAGCTGCATACCTTTAAAGCATCCTTTCTGGAGAAGCTCTTGTCGCAGTGTCCACAGGGGAACGGCTTTACTGCTAGATGAATACGCTTGTGTCTCTTCAAATCGTGGTTGCGGTTGAAGCTCTGTGGACACTGATCGCACTTGAAAGGCCTGTCGTTTTGAGGGTTTGGCTGAGCCTGAGGATGATGGCCGTACATGTGTTGCATATGCGCTGCGTGTCCACTGTTATATGCTGGCATCATCGAAGGCGGCATACCACCGACTAAAGCGAGTTGGCTATTCGGGTTTCCGACGTTGGACAACACCGGGCCTGGCAGGGGATATTGGTATGACGGACGCTGGTGCGTGTATGGTGACTGAGCGTTTTGTGGTTGGAGAGGTGGGATAGATCCATGTCCATTTGCGGGGGACATACGAGGGATCTGACCACCCGCGCTCATGGGGCTCTGTTGAACAGGCGAAGGGCCAGAAGAATAGCCATATGCTGATTGACCGTTGTGACTGTGCTGAGACCCGTTGAAGTAGGTCGGCGTAGGAGGAGGTCTTGCGTATGAATCGTGGTGGTTCACTGGTGAAGGCTGGGTCACAGGTGTGTGGCCGCCCATCATCGCTGAGCCAATGCTGGATGATTGGGATGGCAGAGCAGGCAAGTTGACAGGCGCCGACATGGACATGGAGGTCGGGAAAGGGTTCTCGGGGAAGTTTGGGGGAGGGAGGTGCTCAGATGCATGAGGCGAGTTGTTGCCCTTGACGATCGAGTTGAGAGAGGGAGAGAACAGTCCACGCTGATTGGGGCTATTGTGGGACTGGAAGCCGTAGGGAGTGGTGCCGGTATGCGAAGGGGGCCACATGTAACCGGTGGGGGTGAAGGGCGGTACCGTCTGGTTGGCTTGGGAGCTGCCGGTCGGCATGTTTGAAGAATTAGGGCTGAGACCGTCGCTCGAGATGCCGCTCGGAGGGGTCAACAGGTTGCCGACACTGGTCAAGCTCGAGGGGATGGAGGGAGTCGGCTGGGAGGAGGTAGCATAGGGGTGATACTTCTGGTGCAGCGACGACAACTGAGGAGGAGGCAGCTCAAAGTTGGGGAGGTTTGAAGCATTGGGTCTACGAGATGAGAAACTCGTGGGAGCACCCATTGAATCGGACCCAGGAATCATATGTGACGTGAGAGCGAGACTGGCAGCCACGTTGGCGGATGGCAGACTTTATTCGGTAGGGTCAGAGGATGCGTCCGGCAGTGATGCAGGCTGCGGCGATTGAGGAAAAGGACAGCCGAGGAGGATAAGATTGAAGGCTTGGGCGTGCGTGATGGCTTTGCGATGCTATTCGAGGCAGAGACCGATGAGTGCTTTAGCGTGTTGGTGACGAGATGGGTGGACTGGGACCCAGAGGAGTGGATTCTCGGGATCACCTTGATGCAGCACGATTCCAGAAACCCGGAAAAAGGTCGAAGCCTGACGCTGCTGGCAACCAGATGGAGCAAGGATGGTCAAGAGAGAGGCAGAGAGTGACGCGAGTTGCTGCAAGTCAAACCAAATGCAAACTAGAAGGGTCTCAGTGCGTGTTACGCAACAGAAGGCGCTACCCAAGGCCACGATCGGGGGAAGAGGCTTACATTGAGATCAAGCCTGCTGCGACTGGGGAGAGATCTGGGAGCCCGGATGTGTGGTTGTGCAGACGGCAGGGTCACACGCACACGTCGCACCGGTATTGAAGATAATCGCAGAAGATGGACAACAAACGTGGCTTTGGTGAAGCTGGGAAGGGAAATGCACGTTTTGGGAGAGCTGCTTGGATGGCGGAGAGGGTGGCTTGCAGGGGCTTGTGGTTGGAATGCGAATGCAAAGAGCGAGCGAGAGTCGAGCAAAGGGGCCAGAGAGTAGAGCAGGAACAGCACAGCGCAAAAGAAGGGCGGCAAGACAAAGAAGTTGTTGCTGGTGGTGCTGCTGCTTCGAGTGCTTTGTGTATAGAGGCGAGGGACGAGTCGCGCACGCGTAGGGCCAACAGACGGAGTCTTTGAAAACGTGGGAGGAGAGGCGATCCTTTGTTAAGCTTAGGTGCCCTGGCGCTTTTAGAGAACGGATGGCGGACCTCGAGGGCTGGACGCCAGCAGCGAGGTGAACATGCACGGCAATCTAAACGACTAGTGCGCTGTCTGAGAGGCCGCTAGCGCTAGACGAGATCCATGCGCGAGCGCGAGGCCTCTGGATCGAGTCTAGGGTAGAGGGTGCAGAGTCGTCGAGGCTGAGCGCTGAGGGTCGGGAGCGCGAGCAAAAAGAGCCTCCACCTCCCGCGCCCACTTGCTCCGCGCTGCACTAACCGCAACCATGCACCTGACAACTAGGCAATAATCCTTCCGCGACCACCGTCTTTTCTTCTTCCATCTTCGATCCTTCGCGCGCTTGCTGCGCTGCTGCGATAATAATGCTGATGCCGCTGCTTCAGCTGCCGATGCCACTCCGCTCCAGGGAACATGCGTCTGGCCGCAGACTGCACGAGGCCCTATTTTGCGTTGCATCCCCCTCCCCATCCCCCCTTTGTCGCTGCCCATCTCACACCCTCATCGAACCATGCAGCATCTCATTCTGCTCCCTGTTCTCAGCTGTCTGCGCGAAAAACAGTATTTGGAAGCGGCCGCTAACCAAGTTTCTCGCAAAAAGTGAAAGTGAAAGCAACGACGTGGTCTGTGGACAAACAGGGTGACTCGCCCTAAGGGACTAGGCCCAGTAGAACCTTCGGGGACGTTGCTGCGGGACGGGCTTGCGATTTACGGTAGACACCACCATCGCTTGCGCGCCCAACTCCTCCGACCGAGACACGACCAACCACACGCTCGCGTTTCATTAGGGCGCCGCCAGTGTGATAAGCGCCAACCTGCAGATCCAATCCAAGCGTGCGGGCGGCACAAAACGAACAGGCCATGTCTCTTCTCTCTGGCCAAAGCAACGCGACCTTCCCCAAGCTGAGCCTTGCCTGAATATCCTCGCTTCATAAACTGGTACTGTGAGCTACTACTGGTCATGCTACGAGCATGAGTGCACACACGAGGCTCTTACATCTAACATATGCGGTGCCTGCATGCAGCAGACAATTGCGTGGGTAAATAGCCGGCATCTTGAACACCGTGAATTACCATGTGCGCAGTGCGAGGACGGAAACACCTAGGTCAACAGAGTAGTGCTGTCGTTTGCTTCTTGTCTGATGTTCACAAGACTGATCTTGATGGAAGCACTCGACAGAGGCACGATCAGCGAGTGCAGACTTCAGGAACTCAATCTTGTTTTCCAATGATGTGCTCTGTTCACGCTGCAGGGCGAAATCCGAAGCGGGCCACTGTCGGTCTCTCCGCCCGGATCAGCACCCAACGCCTGCCCCATGTCGTGCAAAAATCTTCTGATTGATCTCTACGAACCGAATCTTCGGTCATGTTTGATGACCTCGCGAGATTCGATAATCAGAGCTAATTGTGATCTTGCACTCACGTGGCCGCCAATACGATGCGTGGTGGTTGAGATGACATGGCATTGGCATCCTGCAGGTTTTGCCGGCCGGTCGCGCAACATCCAGGTGCTGGACGATTGGTCCATTCAAAGTCCCGTCTACTGATATGAAGCTTTGCCTATAACGGATCAATAACGGTTCACGCGGTGACGACCACGCGATTCAGTTTTTGCAGTCCGAAACCCAGTGCTTCGTTGATCCGTGATCACGTTGCTCACATCTTGAAACCCGGCTGCTCGGGTTCCAGGATGCAGTAGTCACATTTGCAGGAAACGCGCAGGCCTTGGAGAGCGAGAAAAAGCACCTTGTTGTCAATCATTATGCATGCAAGCTTCCTGAAGCCACCATGAGGTGGGGGGCTGGTCGATCATCATGATCACACTCGATGCGACTCTTGACATAAGCGGCATGGCGTCTGGAGAATGCATCCTTCCCGAGGTCGACGCTAATGGGGGCACGGTGCGTGAACCCTTTCTGAATTCTGCCGCTTACAAGTTTGGCGAGTCTCTCGTTTCTACTTTGCTCACATGCGCAACTCTTTTACCAACGGCGGCGCGGCTACACAGTCACTTGCCTTCAGCTTCCAGTGTGCACAACGCATCGCGATCGCAAAGCTATCTCTTGGATTGCCAGCATTCGGTGTCGAAGCTCGTGAGTCGTGTACTGGTTAATGTTTAGATGGACAGCTTGAGACAAAGCATCCGGCCAATAGCACCATCCGTTAAGCGAAATCTGACTTGAGGCAGGTATTTAGTTACCGAGTCTAGGCTCGACTCAAATCTCTTTTTACTCCGACTCTCTCGTGGAATATGGTTTACTAGGTTGGTCGCGCATACGGTTTGTTTCACCAGGATCCTTCTTCAATTTCGGCATCGTATCATTGCAGGGCAAAGCAGCGGTAAATGTGTTCGCCTACAGCACAGTCATAACACTATCTGTATGATCGCCCAATTCCCGTCCGCTCGGTTGAGGCGCATTGATTGCACCTGAGTCGTCTCTCCAAAGTCACGCTTATGAGCAGTTCCCCATACGCCACTACCGTAGCTTTTTGCTTTCGCGCTGCACCTGTTGGCTTTCGGCAGCACTCCTGCTTGCACTCGGGGACGCCGAAAGCAATCCGCCCAACGCTCCCGGGCTAATTTAGAACAAACAGTGATGTTCCGAAGCTTGTTCAGTGCATTTGCAGCGGTCCTCCCCGACAAGTCGATGACTCTCTGTTGACTTTTCTTGGCACGCAACAGCACCAAGTGCATCCATGTTCCATCAGCTTGGATCTCGCTGGCGTCAACTCTACTCTTCGTCGGTCCGCCATCTTCTCCATCTCATTTTCTGCCCTACTGTGGCTTTCTCGATACCCCACGTTCATGGCTGCCACGCGAAGTCCTTCTGCGATTCTAGGCACTTGTATCAGGTGCTCCAGATCGCAACGGCCGGCTCCCACCTATGAACCAGCAACACCCCGTACTGAGGGTACTCAATGTAGAACGCTGCGAATATGAAGGTGCTTCGATTCAATACCGCGACTCGGTGCCCGACAAGCTGAACTTCATACATCGATCGGACCATGTGATTCGGACGTAGGTCGGTATGGACCATTTTCTGTGTTTGGTCGCCAACAAGCAAAACCCGTACTCAGCCGTAGCGGTCGGTGGACCGCGTTATAGAGTATCTTAGCTGGGTGTTTATGCTCGACTATGCATACACCGATATGTTGATACGTTTTAGGTCTCAACTCGCGATGATCACTCGGTCGAGACTACTGTAATCTAGACGGCCCTCGACTCCGTGGAAATATAGCAGGCCAAGGCCTACATAGATACGAACTCCTCAGCTGCTCAGCTGCTATTACTCCTTTGTTCCCCGCGTGTAGGATATGCCATGCATGCATGATCGTGCCATGGGTTTTCACTATCTGGGCCAAAGTTTATTTCATATCACTCCGTGAGGAAAAGTAGGCGAGCATGTCGAGCCATGGAGGTCCGTTTGTTTTTCGTGCCAGCAGTGTGCTCATTGGGACAATTGCAAGTTGTAGCGACCATGATATCTATCGCTTCCGACTGTTGGGCAATTGACTTTCGGTCGCTAGGTCATCCTTCCACGACCTGGGGATCGGTCCGGCGAACATCACATCTCCTCGATTTCGGTGTTGGCCCTGTTGACTCGATGGGTCTAGATCTCTTGACATTTCACCTCTGTAGTTTTTGTCAAAAGATGCCTTGTGAAAGCGGCCAGGCATCCAGGCCAACGGTCGTCCGGCGATGGTGTCTCACGATCTATGGTCATAGTTTTGATCTGATCACAAAACGTAGATATCGAAGCATGCGTGATTGTTTGGGTTGATCTTCGATGCAAGAAGCCTGAATAAGCTGATTATTCACCCGACACTGCGTATGCTCATGCGAAACTTCGAGAAACACCAATCGGCGAGTTACAACATGCAACGCTGGTCACTGTAGACAGGTGTTAAGAAAAACATCCAAGCTTTCCGATGTGGCTAGGCTTTGGCAATGCAGTAAGACTCCAATCGAGTCCCAAGAACCAGGATCAAGCAACTGAAGATTGGACAAGTTTGAAGTGGCTGATGGCTACAATTGCTTGACTCAATCTCGACTCTGGCACTCTGCAACTGTTCCTCCCTTCGGCACGGCTGGCCCCCTTCTCCACCGGCACATTCTTGTCAAAAGCCACCAGCCACCGCACAACGACGGACAGCCGCCAGCGTCGACAGCGTCTTTCTTCCAACCTCCAGCTCCTCCGTCGTGCCACCTAAAGAATTTCTCTTACCGGCGGTTCTGGCCGTTTCCTTGTATTTACACAACGGACGCTTTTGCTCCTGCTGCAGCCACCTTGAGACTTTCATCCGTGCTTTCCAAAGACTCCCGTAACAGAAGGCAGTTGCAGCCGCGCTGGAAAGCGCGCTGGTCGCCAGCCATGTCCAACAACAGAAAAACTCCGCTTACACCTAGCCTATATTTTTCTGCGTCCGTATCGGAGAAGCCTACCTCGAACAAACAGATCGTGGAGGCACCTCTTCGAGCTGGATTTCCGGACACGCCAGAGCTGACTCCATACACGATATCAATGGGTTCTGGAAGGAGAATCACGGACGGGTGAGCTATTTCGTGCTACATGAATCTAAGGCAGGCAGATTCACGATCCGGACAACGGCGCTGTCTCGGGAGATATGTGCGTACACACAAATACTGAGACACCTCGTCCTTGCGGTGCGGTTGCGAGGACTCGGGTAAAGAATGTTGACTGTTGGTCGCAGGCAATGTCTCGAGACCTGAAGGAGCCGCATCATGCTGACATGGATGACCTTGCAGTAGCCTTTTTGGACTACTATTGGTGGACAGAACATCCAATTGTAGCCTCCGAGCATTATGCGATCAGGAGAGTTGAGAAGTCGAGGTATGCTTTGTGGAATCAATGCTTATGGCCTCGGGTATCCGGTCCGTTATTACAGTAGAACGGAGCCATCGATCGGAATAGCTGCCAGGATCAGGAACAGCAGCTCGACGAGAGGCGATTGGCTCAAGTCATCCGAGTCGCAAAGATTTCCATGTGGCATCCATGCCATGAACGGCATATCGAAGCCGCGCGCCGCTATGTTCAGCCGACTGTCCACTGTTTGAGTCGCGATTGACACCTGATGCATACTCAATCACTCCAAATTTTCTGGGGACCGAACAATAGTGAGAGCGGTAGCTTGTATGCGAAGGACTCCTTGGAGCTCCCCTTATGTCCGTCTTACGGGGAGAGGCAAAGTCTTCAAGATCAAGCTGCTCATGATGGCTTTCTACCATACACGACGCTCCTGTAAGAAGTTCAGATTGACGTCAGGTTGAATTTGGGACTTAAATAACTTACACATCTTGGAATGCATGGCAATCGGTGTCTTTCAAGGCGTTTCTCATCTCGGCCAAGAAAACGTGAGCTCGCGGAAGTGGCCACTAGAGAATCTGTCAGCTTGAGCGGTGTTATGTTGACTCCTGTATACTAACCTCGCCGGCACCGGTCAGTAATCGCAGGGTAAAGCCTTGAATATGTTCTGTGACGCGCATTTGATTGAGCTCTCCAAGCTTCTTGAGTGCCGGATCGCTGGACCAGCCATTCATGGGCCACTTGAAGCGTTTCTCAACAACATCAACAAAGCCAACTTTTTCCAAAAGGGCCTTGCTCTCTTTCCAAGTGTCGAAGGTCTTCCCCCATTTCACGGAAATGTCACTGATGGTTTGGCCCCAAGTGTTGTAGAAATGATCAGGACTTAGCGAGCCATCATCACTGACCTGGGAGGTATGTCATTAGTTAAGAAATAAGACAGTTGACAGTAAAAGAAGTGTCGTACCGGCCAGGTGGAGTGTTCCATGATCTCAATATAGCCACCAGGTGCAATGCATCGCAAGGCTTCGTTGCAGAACAAATCCCAATCCTTGATTGATCCCATCATTTCTCTTACGTGAACATAATCAAGTTGATTCTCTTCCCAGGTCCAGTCTAGTGAATTGTCGTCAATTTCAAACACACAGTTTTCAGGAACCAGATCCGGCTGTATGGGTGATAGATCGGTCCCGGTGACTTGGGCCTCGGGAAACTTATCGGCCATTTGGATTGCCCAGATGCCCGTGCCAGTCCCGACATCCAGGATTTCTCGCGGAGCTTTGATAGGCGCCAAATGCAGCTCTCCACCAAGGGTCAGGGTGTACATGGTATGCGACAGATTTTCGGCCTCGCAGGATTGTTCATCATTGGGACCCTGGATTACTGTCAATACCCGAGACGGATGGTGCAAAAAAGCAAGGATTGACCTACCCAGTAGCTGCCGTCTTGGTAAGCATGATATCGTCGACCATTTTCCGTACGGTAGTCAGTGACATAACTTGCCAATGTGTCAGATGTCGTAGATGCCGCCTCCCCTGGCGACGTCTCTGAAGTCATTCCTTGCAAATACTGTTATTGGCAACAGCGGAATGGCCTGCAGTGGCAAGGGCAGGGGAGACGTGCTTTTCGTAGGAAAAGCTGACGCAAGAGGGCAACACCAGTCTGTATGATCATCCAACTTATAGATGGCAGTTGTTGGCCAATTTTTATTAGCTGCATGTATCCGGAGCACACCTGTGTTCCGAGCAAACGCGCGCGAGGCGGGCACTAAGTATTAGAATGCGCCCAAAGCTTCTCGTCGCTCTCTAATCGAAGCTCCCCTCTCTTTGTGTCGCGTAGATGGTTCGCTCCTCCGACTACGAGACTCGAGATGGAGCAGTGCCAGCCGAGAGTCGCCCGTCGACCAATTCCTTTGGTTGTGGTCTTGACACAGGCGGCGATATGCGAGTACCCATGATTGAGATGCGAGCTTTCGAGGGCAAACCGCAGGCGTCTGTGTCTTTGCCTGTCAGACGCTTCCGAGTTCCGATGAGCTACCCGACGCCATGGCTTGGAAGCATCCAGGCTATCGGTTCGAGCGCCAGTGCTCCGGGTCCCGAGTGTTTGCCCTTGGGATGCATTTCTGCACCGTCTGAGTGCTCCTGTCGCTCCAATTGCCCGGAAAATGATCTAGACAGCTCCAAAAGCCACGGCCTTTCGTCGCTCCTTTCAACATCACCGTTGACAGAGGGATCCTTTACTCAACGCCCTCGAGTCTCTACCGCTCGAAGGATCATCACTCCATGGTTGTCTATCGAATCGCCTTCTGCCTGATGAGCAATCAAGGATGCTCGTATCGCTTGGCCGTATCAAGAAGTTGTTGCATAGTTTCATAAATTCCTGAAACGTTGGTTCATGAACTCATCAAGGGGCTGCCATCGAAAGCACCGACTAATCTATCATCGAGCTCGAGACGCTATACCCCGTTACAACCAAGCCGACTGTCGATCATATGTATACAACCTCGAGCCCGTCTATATGTGAACCACATCATCACGATCCCCTGAACGAAACCCTTGTTTTGACACATGGAGTATGGCGGTTCAGAACGTACAAAAAGTCCAGATCCAAAGCTGTCTTGCTCTTGACCTGACCCAGACTTGTGCATTTCGAAGGATACTACTGTACACCAAAGCAAAGTTTCGGCCATGAATTTGATTGGCTGCATGGCCATCGAAGCACATCATCAACAGACATTTCGAAGCAGCACCGTAATACATCCTTGCATATGCGTGGCTCTTACAGATTCTTATCACACAGGCGATGCTAGAGGCGGCATCATTATGTTGTGCTGTTCACATGCTCTCATCACCTGAGATCAAGCCAGCAACCCCGCCTGTATCACCGTATGTCCTGGAGCTGTGTGGGTGATCCCGTGTGAACGACCTCAAGAGCTCGATATGCTGGAAAGCTGATCGTCGAGCCGCCTCGTCGGTCCTGCTGCTGTTTGCCACGTATTATTGCGTTGTCACCTCAGGCCGACCGTCGATCTGTATCTGCATCCTTGTTGGGCTGTACCATGGGACAGTACGGCCCTAAATCGGGTTCATGTTCTCTGCTCTGGTCGGAGCCTCCTTCGAACAATTGCAAGCATCGAGTAGACAGACAGAATTAGCCGCTAAACCCCTTAGCTATTTGAACAGTACATCGACGACACACCAACGTCGTTCCAATTCAAGCTGTGCATAGTCAACTTGGTTGTACTCTGGTCATACAGACTCAAATCACATCCGACGGTCAACGTGGGAGTGAGTCCACCTGCTTGCATTTGACCAATGACAATCATTACCAAGGTCATAGTAAGCAATATCCAGAGCCCACACTGACCGTCCGACACAGTTATTCCCGTAGGTAGTACGTAACTGAGCTTTTGTAGGCGTGTCCAAGCTCGCGTTGAGTAAATCTTGGTCGATCATAATGAATATTTTGCCTTGCTGATAATGTAACATACCACAGATCTTATGTGTATGCGATAGGTACAAGTAATGCTCTTAACTATGAGAGATACGCCCTCGGTCGTTTGCTTGGTGACTAAAGAATTGCATCTATTGACATGTTCCCCCGAAGTCAGACGGTGTCACTCCTCACTGTGTCAAGCTACAATGCACTTAAAAGAAATACAACCCATTTTTCTTGTCAAAAACATTAGGACATCTTTTTATGAGCATCAAGCGGATACCCAGTGGCATAGCCTGTACTACACAAGAGATTGATGTACTTTGGGCAGTTTAGGTGTACTTTACAATGACTGTCAATGTTGGTCAGGGTCGTACCACCAGAATCCGAGTTGGAGAAAATCAGCTTCGCAGGGGTGGAAATTGATTGTTAGACGGATACCGTATCGATCATGGACAATGTTGAACTTGAGATAACCTCACGTATCGATCATGGACAATGTTGAACTTGAGATAACCTCATGAAGCTCGACTGATACGGCAGCTTAGTGGAAACTTCCTTCCGTGTTGCCCTCACCCATACTCCTACTGCCACTGCTACCACTCTGGATACTACCCAGAATGCCATCAAGGTAGCTAGCACCACTCCATTTCTGATGCGTGAGAACATCGCAACCAAGTTCGCGTTCACGACGCTGGACGAGATTCACATATGCAAGCATGCCATCGGTCTTGAAGCCCTTAGCGAGCTCGTTGGTAATCGTGGCAGTACTGTGCAAACCGGCCAAAGAGATGAGCTGAAGAACGAATCTGTGAATGTGTTAGCCATTGTCGAGATCACTGATCGATGTTCGTAGGTTCGCTCACCCTTCCTTGCCCAGATCCCAGATGAAGCTCTTCAGCTGGTCTTCAGTGAAGCCGTGAGCCATCCAATTGAAGCTAGGGCTGAGGTTGTAGACGAGCTTCTTTCCAGGGTGTACCTGTCTAATTTCCTTAGCAAAACCTGCAGCTTTTTGCACGCTTGGATCAGCGGTCTCCAGCCACAGCAGATCGGCAAATGGAGCAAACTCGATAGCACGCTTCGTTGCTGCTGGAAGTCCGGCACGGTAGTGGTAGAAGCCTTCTTTCGTTCTGGGGATGTCCCAGCTGAATTGGACAGGGGAGCCTGCGATGGATGCAGCAAGCTGGCGACGGCTGTTCAGAGGTCGGTTGCGGTTCGCAGATATCTCGCTCTCATATTCGGCGACCTTGTCTGAATCGGAAGTTTGTGACTTGATATGAGCGATAGCAGCTGAATGTGAGCGTTAGTATATGCATGTCGATTGGATGTGTAGCGGCTCACCCTCATCGAATGTGACCAATTTGTGCTCCTTGGTCCACTTTGCTTCATAAGCATCAATTTCTGCACCGGTTGCGCCATTCATATCCATGACCTGGAGTGTCTCTGCCAAAGGCTCGATATCCTCTGTCACACCGAGAATGTATTCATGATCGCGCGCGTCGATAGCGCTACTCAACAACTTGCCGCTCTCTGAATCTGTGCGCGCGATGACCAAGTTTTCACAACCCATCATATCCCATTGGAAGCGTGTGGCAACAAGACGATTGATGTGTTCGCCCACAGGAACCAAGACTTTGCCAGCCAAATGACCACACTTCTTGCCTCCGTGCAATTGATCCTCGAAGTGGACAGCCGCAGCACCGTTCTCGGCAAAGAGTTTGGCCAGTTTCAAGACTGCTGAGAGACCACCGTGTCCAGTATCGCCATCGGCGACGATGGGTCGAAGGTAGTCAGTGTAAGGAGTCTTTTTTCTATCTTCAGCGGACATTTTCCTCCTTGCGTCATAGTGCTTTCTATCGTGTAGTTGCTGTGCCTTGAAAAGACGTTGTACTTGGTTGGGGACTGTGTTGTAAGGATAATCACCAAAATCAGGCGATACCTCGTTCGTGCTGGTCAAGACCGAAGAACAAGCCCATCCGGAGACGTAGAGAATTTCCTGATGGGGTGCCTGCTGTGTCATCTGGACAGGGTCAATGGCTCCCATTGTATGTACAGGCTCTCCCTTAGCAGCTCGTTCCTCCAGCAGGTTGAATAGTTTTCGAGCCATGAGTGAGGAGGGGTATATTTGCTGTAGGGTTCCTCGCTTGCTGACGACATCTTCCGCAGAATAAGGTCTTTTTATGCCTTTGTATCTAGGTGAGGCCCACCAGTCTTGGACCTGCTTGACCTGGTCATTGAAGACGGCATCTTCAGAATCTCCAACCTTGTCTTCTGTTGACAATAGCTGGTAGGACGATGTTGGTTCTGCTGAAGGCAAAGGTGGATCAACTGATTTCAGAGATGCAGACATGCGAATCGGGCTGTATGAAAGGTATCGAGAAGCAGGGCGAGCTGTGAGATGAACTCTCGACAATGGACGCCGTTGCAGGCACTGGATAGTTGCTCGACGCATGATGAGATGGTGTTTTCGAACTCTAGGACTCAGTGGGAAGCTCTCAGGGCGGCTGTAAAATCACATGCATGTGTTCGTTCGTCCTTGTTGCCGTCGGCGTGCGGGTATTGCGGACGAGAGCCATCGCTCCGGCGTCATATAACCGAAGCAGCCGACCGAGGTTCACTCACCCCACGATTACAGCGGAGCTTCCCCGCAGGCAGCGCCCTATGGAGATGCTATGATATCTAGCTAAGCGCTCCTTCCTCAAATAGCCTCCTGCCATTGCTTGACAGGTACCTGACCGTCTGTATTTGTGACAAAGACACATCATGGCTTCAAATCCTCGCACTGCCCTGAGAGCCCTCAGAAATGTCAAGGTCAGCAAACCCACCAGATCTTCAGCAAACTCAGTGTTGCTAATATGGATAGGCTACCAACTACCGCCCTGCTCAGCTCCGTATGCATCCTACGAGATCCGCCTAGAACCAAGAGATCTAACGGTCTTCGCAGAACAAGGCTTTGCAACAAGCGCGGAACCCACTCTCAAAGACACACTCGCAAAAGTCATCCCTGCCAAACGCGAATTGCTCAAGCAAGTCAAGAGCCATGCAGCCAAGAACATCGGCAGTGTCAAGGTCGAGAACACCCTTGGTGGTATGAGGTGAGTCTGTTCATATCAAAAGATCATCTCATCGAGCTAAGCGCAAGCAGAGGTCTTACCGCCATGATTTGGGAAGGATCAGTTCTCGACGCAAACGAGGGAATCCGCTTCCACGGCCGCACCATCAAAGACTGCCAGGAGCAGCTCCCCAAAGGCAAGACCGGATCGGAAATGTTGCCCGAGGCCATGTTCTGGCTGCTACTCACAGGCGAGGTGCCAACCACCAGCCAGGTGCGCCAGTTCTCCCGTGAGCTGGCCGAGAAGGCCGCTCTGCCAGACTATGTCGAGACCATGCTAGACAACTTCCCTCCAGACATGCATCCCATGACTCAATTCGCATGCGCAGTGTCCGCTCTCAACAAGACCAGTGTATTTGCCAAGGCATACGAGCAGGGGTTAAACAAGGCCGACTACTGGGAGCCGACGTTCGAGGACTCGATATCTCTGATCGCCAAACTTCCTACCATTGCAGCCAAGATTTACCAGAACTCTTACCACGGAGGTGGTGCTCTGCCTGCGCAAGCAGATCCTGAGCAAGATTGGTGTTACAACTACGCTGCAATGCTAGGCAAAGGTGGTAAGGAGAACGAGGGCTTCCAAGACCTGCTCAGACTCTACTGTGCATTGCACGGCGACCACGAGGGTGGTAACGTCTCAGCCCACTCGACTCACCTGGTCGGCTCTGCTCTCTCAGATGCCTTTTTGTCGTACTCGGCTGGCTTGCAAGGTCTGGCAGGCCCTCTTCACGGTCTCGCCGCGCAGGAGGTGCTCCGATGGATGTTGCAGATGCGGGACCACATTGGCGAGGACTTTACTGAGAAAGATGTCAAGGATTACCTGTGGACCACCCTGAACAGCGGCAGAGTGATTCCTGGTTTCGGACACGCAGTTCTGCGCAAGCCGGATCCCAGGTTTGATGCACTGCTTGCATTCGGTGATGCACACGAAGACATCAAGAACAACAGCTTGTTCCAACTTGTCAGGACGAATTCGCAAATCGCGCCCGGCGTCTTGACCGAACACGGAAAGGTATATTGTATCCAGCTCTTTTGTGGGGTTTATTCCTGACAGTACAACAGACGAAGAACCCATACCCCAACGTCGACTCTGGTTCAGGCGTACTCTTCCATCATTACGGATTCCAAGAGACGTTGTACTACACAGCCATTTTTGGCGTCAGCAGAGGTCTTGGACCACTCGCACAGCTTATCTGGGACCGGGCGCTGGGTCTTCCAATCGAGAGACCGAAGAGTATCGATCTCAAGGGCTTGCTGAAGGCAGCAGAGGCATCGTAGGCGCAAAGAATAGACTGAGCATGACTAGAGGTCCTAGAACGAAAGGCGCTGTAGATTTGATGCAGAGCATGTGCCGATGTGTGTTTCACAGGATCGGTGAGCATGCGGTATGAAGTTTCACGAATGCGATGGCAGTCACAGACTCGCACGTCCAAGTCATCTCGTCTGCCCAGTGCCAATAAACCGAGGAAGAGGCCGAAGAGGCCGGTTATGATCGGAGTATGACGGGGAGGAAGTTGGAGGACCCAGATGGTTGGAGACAAAAGACTGGAGAAGGTGTGCAGAGCGCTGCAAAGCGTCGTGTCACAGACGCACCTTCCGTGTGCCAAAGTTTGTCACTCCCAATCCACTCTCACAATCACCTCAGACTGCAACCACATCCGACGGTTCATGAAAGGTATGAGCACCGCTTGTGACGCCTTTGGTGAGCGTTGTCATTAGTCATATACCCTTTTATGCAACTCCTACCCTACACCACGCCAACCGTCGGATGTGATTTGGTTCTGTACACGCAAGCGGAAGATGGAGCTATCACGATGCACGACTATCTCTAGAAGGTAGAGGACCTCACAGAGAGCCATTGGTATCGCAACTCTCAGTGGATTGCTCCCAGTCCTCGAAGGTATTGTGCATTTCGATAGCTCTATGCGTTACAAACTTTTGGTCATGGGAAGGAAACATCGGCACTCTCAGAACTGTTGATAGCAAAGATCGTCGGACGCCAAGACGATGGGAAAGATGATCAACTCAAAGCCGACTTTGCTGTCTGTCCAAGCCACAGGGGTCTGTTTTGGAAGCGTCCGATTGGCGGAAACGCGCGAGAGCTGAGAAGCCGTGAGCAGTTCGTCTTCACATGTCAGCAGCATGCGGCGGGCGCTGAAATTCCGCCGTGGCAGCTGCGGTATGAACAGCGAAATGGTGGACTCGAGTCCCTCGTTCGGCCAAGTCGCAAGCCATCAGGATGCGGCCCCTCAAAGTTAGCAGACATTGCGCGGAGAATGGCTTGGAAAAGCGACCGTGGTAAGGCCGCTCCATTCACCAAGTGGAACTGGGCGACTTGAATCCTCCACAAAGTACTGTCTGTACCCACAAGCTTGGACATCCGTTGCATCATAACCGCAATCCTTGAGCCCTCGCTGGGTCAACCTTTTCTCGCCGCCGTCTCCCTCTGCTTCCTCTTCCTCATTCATTCACAATCAACAGAGGATGGCGAGTCGATCGAATCGCTTCTTCCGCGCCTTGGGCTACGCCTCGGCCGCCGGTGCCGTCGGCGCTGGAGGTCTCTACACCATCTACAGACCCCGCGAGATCCCCGGCTCCGAGGCCGCCGCCGTGCCGCCGCCAACCTACGGCGAGGGCGGTGTCTTCAACCCCCCCAGCTTCCCCGAGATCAAGTCCCGCGCAGCCCAAATCGCCGACCTCAAGGCTTCAGCTGGTGCTGTGACGGGTGCTCTGAAGGATGCCGGCAACAAGGTCGCCAGGGCTGTTGCTGGCTCGTCTGGTGACGTCCAAGCCGACAACCAAGGCAACAAGAGTGACGAGTACGATCTCTTGGTCATTGGCGCCGGTGCAACCGGTACCGGCATTGCCCTCGATGCTGCCACTCGTGGCCTCAAGGTCGCCATGGTCGAGAGAGACGATTTTGCCTCGGGTACTAGTTCCAAGAGTACCAAGCTCGTCCACGGTGGTGTTAGATATCTCGAAAAGGCTGTCTGGGAACTCGACTACAACCAGTGCGTTTTTTGTATCCCAATTGTGCAATTGCTCCCAATGCTGATGATCCGTCAAGATACAAGCTCGTCAAGGAGGCTCTCCGCGAGCGTCGCTTCTTCTTGGATACCGCACCTCATCTCTCGTCGTGGCTCCCTATCATGATTCCTATCAACAAGTGGTGGCAAGCTCCCTACTTCTGGGCAGGCACCAAGTTCTACGATTTCCTCGCCGGTTCCGAAAACATTGAAAGCTCCTACTTCATGACCAAGTCCAAGGCTCTTAACGCATTCCCCATGCTCAAGAAGGACAACCTGGTTGGTGCTCTTGTTTACTACGGTAAGTTTTGTTCAGCCTGCAAATTCTTGGGTGATTGCGTGTACTGACTGCAACAGATGGTGCCCACAACGACTCCCGCATGAACGTCTCTCTCGGCATGACCGCTGCTCTCTACGGCGCAACTGTTGTCAACCACATCGAAGTTACCTCTCTCACCAAGGACGAAAACGGCAGACTCAATGGCGCCCGTGTCAAGGACCTGGTCGCCGAGGCCAACGGTGGCTCTGACGAGTTCAACATTCGCGCAAAGGGTGTCATCAATGCTACTGGTCCTTTCACCGACTCGATCCGCAAGATGGACGACCAAAAGGTCCCTGAGATTGTCGCTCCTTCGTCTGGTGTCCACGTTATTCTTCCCGGTTACTACGCTCCCAAGAACATGGGTATGATTGACCCTCACACCTCCGACGGCCGTGTTATTTTCTTCCTTCCCTGGCAGGGCAATACCATTGCCGGAACCACCGACACTCCTTGCGACATCAACCAGAACCCCATCGCTGGCGAGGAGGAGATCAACTGGATTCTCTCCGAAGTCAAGAACTACCTGCAACCCGAAATCACTGTCCGCCGTGGCGATGTCCTCGCCGCCTGGTCTGGTATCCGTCCTCTTGTTCGCGACCCCAACAAGGCCAAGTCTGAAGGTCTCGTCCGCAACCATCTCGTCACCACCAGCGAAAGCGGTTTGATCACTTGCTCCGGTGGCAAGTGGACCACTTACCGCCAGATGGCCGAGGAGACTGTCGACGAAGCCATCCAGGAATTCAAGCTCTCTACCGGTCCCCTGCCCAACCCTCCTCGCGTCTCTGGCTCCGAGAGATTCAACGACGCAGCCACCCTCGACGGCAGCTGTCAAACTCACCAGGTCAGACTCGTCGGTGCCCACGGCTGGAGCAAGACCCTCTTCATCAACCTGATCCAGCACTACGGCATCGAGACCGAAGTCGCCAAACACCTCGCCGAGTCTTACGGTGACCGCGCCTGGCAAGTCGCCGCCCTCTGCGAACCCACCGAACAGCGCTTCCCCGTCCGCGGCAACCGCATCTCGGACCTCTACCCCTTCGTCGACGGTGAGGTCCGCTACGCCATGCGCCACGAGTACGCAGAGACCGCCGTCGATGTCATTGCCCGCCGCACACGCCTTGCTTTCCTAAACGCTCAGGCTGCCCTCGAGGCTTTGCCCAAGGTCATTGACATGATGACCGATGAGTACAAGTGGAGCAAGTCGAGACAGGACAAGGAGTGGAAGGATGCCGTCCAGTACCTCGGCAGCATGGGTCTGCCCAAGGGCAAGCTCTCGCTCACTCGCTCTGATGTCGAGTCGGGCAAGGTCGGCAAGTACACTGATGAGGAGTACAACCTCTACGCTCGTCACGGTAAGTCTCGTTTCCTTCTGCAATCAAAAACTACTCGACTAACACGCATCACAGACAAGCCCCAAGAGCCCCTCGAGACCGACTCCAAGTTCGCCCACGGCGAGAACCCTACCATTGGTACCGACTCGCCTGCCAACAAGTAGAAGAAGAATGTCACGACTAGCATACGAACGCCCATACAACAGCATCAGTGAGGCGAACAAAGACCAACGACGAAAGAGTTGTACATAATGCGAGGAAGCATGAGAACGGGGTTGGAGAAAAGCATCAAGGCGCGTCGAGAGCAGGCATCTTGGTTCTTGCGCCTGCACAGTTCCTATCCGACCTATTTATTGCTTCATTCTTGATCTTTTTTTTTCAGTTAGGATACTACTCGAGATATCCCATTACTATTTTCCTACCATCTAGACAAGTGTTTGGACAGAAGACCACTTCAGGACCGACCGTGATTCTACACATTGGACAGCTGCTTCCTTTTCACCGATATCAAAGGGACGGACTTCACCCAGTTTTGTGGTCTTCTCAACACACCAGGCAACCTGGTCCAAACTCTGACCCCGAGTCTCTTCAACGGCCCAGGTGGTACATGATTGCGTTCATGCTCTTTCACGATTCTTATCGCAGTCCGCAAAGGCTTGGATCGATCGAATGGGAAGAGCTTGAGCCCATGCCAGAATGGTACTCTACCAAGGGCGTCCTCCACCAGGTATTCCATGTCGCTTGGATTACCGACCTTGTGTCTGGCTGCTCTCAAGATCTTTGAGAGCTCATGGTGCTTGGCTTCGAATGGGTCATTTGCCAAAGCCACTGCGCGGTCGATTGTAGCAAGCAGTGACGAATGGTATACGGCGTCGAGGCACCACAACATTTGAGAGTGCTGGGTTTGGACCCTGGTCAGCAGGACGCGCTCGAATGCCTCGGAAGCGGTTTTCTTTGCCTTCAGCATGGTACTATGAGGGTATATCGGACCATCTGCCCCTCGCTGCTCGGCAACCGTGAGCCAGCATGGAGAAAAGGTGTGCTCGCACCCGCCGAGGAGCGTCCATGCATGCAATATCAGCTCGATACCGTCGGCTGGCACATTCCAAACATGACTCTCCAGCTTCATACTCTCGAACCAGTCACCGTGGTAGACTGCCTCCAGACAAAAGCATGTGTTGCAATCGTTACAGCGTTGCAATGCGGTCATTCTTCGATTCCATCCGGGGTTGCGCCGGAGAAGACGGCGGTCTAAAAAGAGCCCGAGTATGACCCCAAACAAGTATCTCGCAAGCAGACTTTGGTGCTTACACACCTTGAACGTACCAAGTGCGTCAGACACATGGTCGAAGGCTTTGGTTATGCGTTCGATCTGCCACTTAGTAAAGAAGAGGCGCTGTGTGACATGAATCATGAGGTTCTCATCGACAATTTCCGGTTCCAAGTCAAACTCGCATGGGAGTGGCCTACTTTGGGTGTTATTCACATCCCATCCCTTGCTTATTGCTATGCTGGATAACGGTGCGCCATGCAGGCCTCCCAGCCGGTGCTGACTCATCACCATCTGCACATCCTGGAACTGCAGATGGACTCCGAATGTCGGCCAAGATACATACATGCCCTTCTGAGGTGCCGTGGGACAAGTAACCCATTCCGTCCCTGGTCTCAGGGATTTCGGTCGAGGCTTGAGATGGAACTTTTGGCAGAAATCGGAGTCGATATGTGCTGGCATGTCTTTCTTGAGCGTTGCAATAAGACCGAAATAGTCACAATTGCGGTCGATGGTGCTCGGGTAAGATGAACAGTCTATACAGGGACAACTGCCAGTAGGTCTCTCAAGTCCTTTGGTCCATATATACCGGAGTGGCTGACTGTAGTATAGGGATTTGCAGGTCAGGGACAAGCAGGCGGCGCCGGAAGCCGGCAGTTGATCTACTATGTCGAGGATCAGGTCAAGGGGCAGGCTGGTAAGGGATGGGCGATCGGGTGACAAGGAGGGTCCTTCAGTGAGAGTAGATGGCATCGCAAGGGCCGTGGTAGGTACTTCTTCTTCTTCTTCGTGAAGAGAGAACATTGTCCAAATCACTGCAAGTAAAAATGTTTGACTAGAGAAGAGAAAGCCAGCAAGCAATGAGTTCTATTTCTTCATGTCGCGGGTGACTCACTGGATTCGGCGGGAGGCGTGGGAGGACAGCGCGTTGTTGTTGGTGTCGGTATGAGCATGTTTGAGCGAGATTTGGTTAGCTGTTATCTTTGTCAATGATTTTTGCAAAGTAGCCGAGGAGAGTCGATCCAGGCAACGAGAATGGTGATGGTAGCAGCTATAGAGAAAGGAGCAGAGCAGTGCCGACAGAGTTTGACTTGGCTTTTTGGTGGTGGTCGTGCCGGCGCTCTGAACCTTGTTGCTACTTCGACTTCCTAATGAGCAATTCTCCACGAGCTACCCTGTTCACATGGCATAATGTAATTGCGTTGGTATCATCGTCTCAAAGTCTGAATGACGGTCAATATGGAAGAGGGACAAACTATACCGAGTGAATCAAAGCCTCAACCTCATCCCAAGATCTAGGCGCCGTAGTCAAGTTCTCGCATCCATCCTCCTTGACCAAGACATCATCTTCGATACGCACACCACCAACGTCCCAATATCTCTCCAACACAGCCTTGTCAATGTACTTGGCGTATTTCTCCTCCTTGAGTGCAGGCTCGATGATGAAGCGGCAGAAGTAAAGGCCTGGCTCGACGGTAACGACAGAGTTGGCTGGAACAGTGCCTCTGATACGCAAGTAGCGGAACATGGGATCAGGGTCTTCGTAATTTGCATTGCCGCCAGAGTCGTGTGTGTCCATGCCGAGGTAGTGTCCAAGACCGTGGGGGAGGAAGAGAGTGGAGACTCTGCTGTCGAAGAGTTCCTTCTTGTTGCCGCCGGTAAGGACGCCGAGGCGACGCAGACCGTCGATAGCGATTTCGTGGGCGAGAGCGTGAAGGTCTTCCCACATTACATTGGCCTTGAGTGCCTTCATGCACTCGGCTTGCATTTCGTCTACAATGTCGTAGATTTCACGGCTCTCCTTTGTGAATTTGCCTTGAAGAGGATATGTGCGGGTGATGTCTGAGCAGTAGCAGTTGTACTCGCAACCAGCATCAATGAGAAGATTGAGCTTCTCGGATAGAGGCAGATCATTGTGGACGTAGTGGAGGGTCGCAGCGCTGGGACCGGAAGCACAGATGCAGCCATAGGCTTGTTCGCGACCACCGTTACTGATGCAGGCTCCAACGAAAGTGCCCATGAGTTCTCTCTCATTGCGCGCGTTCTTGACCATGCGCATAACTTCAGTGTGAGCGTGAGAGGAGATGGCGTTAGCATGACGAATAAGGCCGATCTCGTGCTCGTCCTTGACAACGCGGCATCGTTCGATAGCGTTCTTCAGAAGGTCCCAGTTGGTCTTTTCGAATGACAGGAATGTGACATGATCTGCCACTTGCTTGGGTATGGCCAGAACAGTGCCATGAGGAGTCTCGGGAGAGGTCAAGTATGAGTTGACTTCAGTCGAAGGCTTGCATGCATCAATGTCGAATCTAAATCAGATTAGCTATAGCCTACCAACAAAGCATGAAACTGCTGACTTCTCCATTGCTTCCTTCTCAAGGATTGGTAGGCCTGACCAGATAACATCTTCGGGGTCGATAGGAGGGATGAAGAGAGTCAGATAGTCATTCTTGATGTCGTATGCAAGATACGAGTCTGGTACAGCGCATCCTGAGAGGTAGAAGAAGAATCTACGTTGGCTACAAAAGATGTTAGTACCTACGAGTTCTCAAAGAGAAGATGGATAATCATCTTACCGGAAATGTGCAGCTTGGTCATCATCCTAATTGCATCCGTCGTCAGCAAAGGCTTTCTCGACTGAGTTCATTTATCTCCTTCAACCACAAAGACTACCACCGTTCGCCCCGTTTCACTTGAACAGGTAACTTCAGCATACCTCAACCATAGCAGTTTTCTGCGCTTCCAAGTAAATGATGCCGTCCTTGGGACCACCGTTCTCAGCAATGAACTCAGCCACGCGCCTGGCATGCGCCTTGGCGGGGTATTTGCCCGAAGGTGGGGGTGGAAGGTCGTGGTTTGCGAGGCCCATTTTCTAGTCTCGTTCTGATGTGGATTCAAGTAGACGAGACACGAACGCCGATTTGTTTGACGAGAAGCGGCAAAGGTTGTGGTTTGTTAGCAATCACAATCTTTGTGATTGCAGAAGGATACGGGCTGCCAAGCTTGGAGCTGTGTCGGTGATCGCCTGCCTAATTCGGCTGTATACATGACATTCGATTTGATGGTATCACGAGTCTCGAGTGAGAACAGCAGCTGGGTATGTGAGAAAAGGTTGTAATAGTTGTTCACGCAATATACATAATTTCGCCGCCTCCATGCTATATCAACTCCGGGCGTAGGCGTATAACCAGATGTAAAGAAGAACGCCGTCCGTAGGGGGGTAATGCCATTGTTTGTAGAAGCAAGCCAGAAACACAAAGAACGCCCATGAACACATGATACTCTATAGCAAGCCAGAAGAGTCTAGTCCTTCCAGCGGTTGAGGTACTTCTTCATGTCGGCAGCTGTGGGTTGGGTAGCAGCACTTGCCTGTATCGCAAGCTCGTTAGCATGGACCGGTGGAACAATTGCTGAAGAGTCAAAACTTACGGGGTTCTCTCTGCTCGAGTGAGTCAGAGTCTGGGACTCGGTCAAGGTGTAAGTGATGGAGGCGGGCGGTGCGTATGTCGTGAAGATTGTGAAGGCCGAGCTGGGGTTCATTGGGGATGCGGACTTTTTGGTAATCTTTGTTCCAGGAATGGGTTGCATAGGAGCATACTTGATGAATCCGGTCTGTTCGTTGTAGGGCACGTCAAACATGCCAGTCACAGGGGCGGCGGCTGTGGTCCCGGCACCAGCAACAGCTGTGACCAGGTTGTGAGCGGCGGGAGGAACGAAGGTAGTGTCGGAGCCGGCTGCAGTAACACCCTGCTGTTGAGCAGCAGTGAAGACACCAGTCATTCCTGTGAGACCGAAACGGGCGCTGTAGACGATATCGGTACCACCGTCGACGCCGACCGAGACCATCTGGAGGTAGCTGGACGAGGTTAGACAGGGCAGGCATGGCATTGTCTTGGAAGGAGAACATACTATCCATTGGTCGCAGTCTTACCAAGGCCGACGGGAATGACAGCGACGACAGAACCAGTGGTGCCCGAGTAAGCGCCGGTTCCGAGTGCGACGAGGGAGCTCTGTTGGCTTGGTCAGCGGTCGAACAGTCGAGTCGGGGCGACGTGGCCCATACAGAAGTAGCAGCAGTGTTTCCACCAGCCATGAGATTCAGCGTGTAGGTAGAGAATTGGTCGATGGTGGGAGCGGTTCCATCGTCAGTCCAGGTGATGGTGATGGATGTGCCACCAACGATTTGTTGACCGGCGGCAGGCGACGAGAACTTGACATCGGCTATGGCGGTGGCTGCCAAAGTGGCCAGCACTGTCAGGATGTGGCAGCGCATTGTTTATGTGTGTTGTGTATTCTTGGACGCGCCGTGTTTATCGATGTCCGCCTGGGGGGGGATTGTTTACTGTTGGCCTCTGCTGGAGATGCGACGAGTGTTTGGGCGGCGAGGTCTGTGGGCGGAAACGGCGGCGACGGCAATGAGGGGCAGGAGAGTATGGTCGACGAGAAGCTGCGAGATCAGAGTTGAAGATGCAGAGACGAATGATGGGTTTGGGTGATTGCGACGAGGCCTTGGCCCATCTTGGAGCGCCTCTCCCGATCGCCGCAACCCGACCCCTGACCAAAGTTTCAAACCTGTCCGCCGCCCTTTGATTACATACACTTGGTTTTCTCTTCTCTGCTACGATCCTACCAGTCCTTCTACTTCTCTTCCGTCTTCGGCTCTCTAATACCAAAGTTGTAGTGATAGTCCATGGGCAGTTTCTCCTGCTTGCTGAACACGAAGCCGTGCCGCTCATACAAAGGCCGCCCCGCCGGAGATGCATCGATATAGCATTCGACCTGCTCCTCGTCCGCCAACCCAGTGCCATGCTCCAAGATCATCCCGCCAGAGCCACGGCCTTTGTATCCCTCAGCAGTCATAAGTAGCTCCATATCTTTGGTGACCTGCGTGAGTCAATATGTACAGATTGATAGCGGCGAGACTCACAATAATGTCTTCGATCCCCCATCATCTCATGGCTATTCCTCTCAAATGATCCAAACAATGCCTCAGCTGTCTCTGCATCGAGATGCGGATCAAGGGCACTCCATCGCTGCTCTTCGTGTCCTGGTTGCTCGTCTTCCACCCGCTTCTTAGGCTTCACCCACCGCCCATGACTGACAATCTTGCCCGTTGCTTCGTCTGTGACTTTCAAGCAAATCGTATATGGGTCTTTGCATGCGAAGCGAAACAAGTCTGCCCATGCCACGCGACTCTCCGCTGTGTCGGGCACCATGCGTCTGAAGTAAGCATGATCATGAAAGGACGACGAAAAGAGCGGCGCGATCGCTTCGGCGTCCTCTGCTGTCGCGAATTCAAGTTTTAGGCCATTCTTTTGTGCAAGCGCCATAGTATCCTTTGAGGCAGGAGGGTGTATGGGAAGAGTTTAGGTGTTGAAGAGCTGTCTCTGTTCATCAACTGTCAGCAGCGACCCCGCTGTCTGGTGTCATGCAGGTCGAATCCTATAATTTCGGAGTATCACAGTTTACAGACAGAGGACACCACAATGACTACAACGGTATAAAGCCTATCGATGATGAAGTCGTTTGTCAAATATCTCTCTATAACAGTACTCAAGTCCGTGTCATTGAGATCCTAGAGAACATGCAACTAATCATCTTTTTGCCTCTTGCCAGCGCCAGCACTGGTCCCACTCCGCGCTCTATCCTTGAGTGTTGAAGCATACGCAAAAGAAGCACTGCTGCTCATCCCAGGTCGACCGTTGTTCTCTGAGCCCTGACGCCCCCTCTGCTGTTCCTCGTCTTCTTCATCCTCCCCAATCTCGAAAGACTCTGCCATTTCGATCAAGTCGCCAATCCCGCTAGGCCCTCCTTTGGCCGGCGCCCCTCGGTCTTGTGGTGGTGGAATGGCTGTGCTGGCTTTGGCTGCCATCTTGCGCATCCATCCCTCGACTGCTGCGCCTACGTTCTCGATATTGATCGAAGGCGACTGCGCATGCGTGAGGCCGGGTGTAAAGGGTGACGGATCATCCGAGTACGTTGGGATATCTGGTAGATAGAGATTTGATTGATTCGGTGGAGGAGCAACATTCGGCAAGTGACTTGCGAACATCTTGTTCAGACCATCTTGTGCAGGACCAGGCGACTTGACATTCTTTGCCATTGTTCCAACACCTCCAGGACCAGCTAGATAGCTGGGGAAATAGGCATTGTTTGCGTTAGACGACCTTCGAGTCCCGCGCGGTCGTTGAGGAATTTCCTGCTTGGGAGAGTCCAGAGGATTTTCATGAATCACAGATCTATTGAGGTCAAGAGAGGCAGAGGGCGTGTCAATGTCGGAATAAGTTTGGGATTTCCGCCTAGCAGGTGGGAAAAAAGCCAGATTCCGACGAGACGAGCGGGCGATCTCAGTCGGTTGTTTGCTGTTTGGCAGAAGCACCCATGCATCATGTTCCCAGCTTGCGTCCGGATCGTGTGAAGAGCGACACGAGGACGACGGTCGCTCGCCGTTTGTGGACACGGACTCGTTCCTCTTCCTGCCCGTGGGAACAGGTGTCTTGACCTCCTCTATGGATGTAGGAAAGGGATTGTTTTCCTGAGTTAGCTGATACAGATCCTCACTCCCGTTCAGACGGGTGCCTTTGACAGCACACTGATCGACAGGAAGCAGAATAGTTTTGCGAACTTGTATGCGGTCGTTTGGCCACATGCGGTTGGCGCGTCGCAAGGCCGAAGGGTGGATGTTGTACTTGATGGTGATTCCAGCAAGTGTGTCTTCGGGTTGAACGTGGTGGACATAAACCAGGGCGTCTCGGTCATGACCATGTTCAGGCGGAGCAGAGGCTGATGGGCCATCTTCCGAAGAGCGTCGCTTAAAATGCCCTATGGTATTGTGTTCGGGAGTGGCATGCATGAGTTGCTTGCGCTTCTCGGCGCGTATCAACGAGTCCCTCTCTTCCTGGGAGCCAAGGCCGACAGTAGAAGCGGAGGTAGCGGGTACACCCCATTGCTTCGAAGGAGCACTTGTGTTTCTCGCGTTGGTCGAGTTAACCGAGTACTTGCGACGTCGCGGCGAAGGTACAGCGTTCGAGGATGCCGGGGATTGGGTCAGCAGATCGGATGCCATTCCTTGTATGGCAGACCATGAGTCTCCAAAGAAGGCGGACAAAGTGGCAGGAGATTGAGCGCGAGCAGGGTTCAATCGGCTCATGCTTGTCACATGGCGGAGGGTCTGAGACGAGCCAGTACGCGGCAGGTGGGTCGCGGGCATGGGCGAAGGCTCGCGGGAGTCAAAGGGCGAAGGTAGCGGCGAGGCATGGCGGACTATGGGGGTCAGGGTAGCAGGGGCTTCATCGTCAAGGCCAGAGATGAGTCGCGGCGCTCGTGGCCGTAGAGTCGACGACTGTGCTGTCGTCGAGCTGGTGCGCGAGCTCATCGTCTAGCAACCATGTGGCTCGCTGCGGACACGATCTGTCCTCCTGATGGACTTGCACAGCAGGTGCAGCTGGAGCTCGATCTGGGGATCAGCTCGGCCTCTGGTCCGCTTGCTTTCTGGAGAGGTCAAGATGTATGCCCGACCACACCCACTCTGCTTTGTCGACTCTCGGATCTTCTACACGCTGGGATTACTGAGGATACACTGCTCGTTGCTTTGAAGTGACAATAGTTGGAGCAGGTTGATAGTCTTGTTATCTTGACATGAAACCCACCTCAAGACTCATAGGGCGCGTCATCGCGTCCGTGCAACATGCCGGTCCCGCCGCCAATCTCCATCTTCTCCCCCGCCTCCACGAGCGTCGACATCGACGTGCTCGCTGTTAAGACACAGTGGCATTCAGTTCCGACTTGCATCCAAAGAGACACAAGAACTCACCGCTTCTCTACGCGTACTGTCGTGTTGCTCGATTCTTCAACTGAGTGCATTTTCATAGCTGCCCGCTCAGCATGCAGCTATTAAAACCTTTATCGTTGTATCCCAACGAGGTGCGGAAGCAGAGAGACATGTAAGCAATGAACAATAGTCGATGTTGACACTATCAAAACTCCGGCAGTGGGAAAACCATGCTCACTATCCTCCTTCTCCTTGAAAGGGTGTACCATGCTTTTTGCTCCTAGTCATGCGTCCCATGAGACCAGCTTCATGTCAATCACTTGCCTTGACGCCTCGTGCATCCTTTCCAAGATCGCCCGTCTTTCGTTCTCTAGGTGTACTGCCAAGCACCAGCTGTGATGTTCTGGTCGCGAACGACGACGTACAGTCCGACGCAGGAGCTGGAGAATGCGAGACCAGCCAAACGGGCAAAGAGCTGCCAGGCTGTCGTGTTGCTGCCCGCTGGCGTAACTGGACAAGTGATCAGGTCTTCGCCATTAGGTCCGAAGTAACCACCACCCTCGTAAGCGACGCCACCACCATAGTAGCTCAAGTTCCAGTGTGCCGACGAGTGGGCTTGAGTGAAAGCCAGTGCTCCATTGGTCTGCCAGTAGATGCTCTGGCCGCCTGGAACCACCGTCGCCATAAAGCCATTGCCGATGAGTGTAGTGTCGTTGGGGAACGAAGTGCAGATGCTTCCAACGTTGGAAGGGCAGTAAGTAGCGGCATGGCCTCCGACCCAAAAGTGGTTGCCAGCAGCCTGAATGGGTTGATTGTCCCATGGCTGATCTGGATTGCTGGCAGTAAGAGTGTACGTTCCACTAGCCTTTCTCGGATTCTCGACCAGCGCGGTGCCGTTGCAGCTGCTTCTGATAAGTACAAGCGTCAATATTGAGCAGAGAAGTTGCAGACCTGTAGCGTAGAGGTGTATAGCAGGCGCCGGCACACTCGTTCATGGGTTCGCCATTGACCACCGGGCAGAGGGCCTTACTATCAGCTCCGATGCGGCAGGTATAGCTGCTTGGGTTGTACCATTGACCAGCGCACTGCTTGAGGTCTGTGGGATTGTCGACAGGAAGAGGCGTTGCAGTCGTGGATGCCAACAAGCTAGCGAGGATGGACAGAGAGTAGTAGACTGTTGACTTCATTGCTGTGATTTGATTGTGCTTGTGATAATTGATGTTGTTGATGTTTGTTGACAATAAAGAAGAAGAGAAGCAAAGTCAACAAACGAAGCAATGAAGCAAGGCAATCGAGCTCCGCTGTCGAGGAAGGAGCTACTTATGTCTGCTCCCCGTGTGCAAAGCCATGGTACACGGTAGTCGCAAAAGGCACAATATTCTGAGAAACATCACACTGTCCATCGAAAGACAATCTACTCTCGATTTACTTTGGTGAATTCTCGGATCTGGAGACTATTGTGCCTTTTTATAGTATCTAGACGTTCGTATGAGGAGGGTGGGAAGAACTCTAGCTCTCTCCCCGTGCTCCTCCCACGATCATCGAAGCCATCGAGATGCACAATCGTGTCTACTTGGGAAACACTATTCATAGAGAGCCGATAGAACCTCGACTCTCGATGGACGCTTCCTTTCGCTCAAGACACTATGCATTTTGGCTACCCCGTCGAGATGCCTTGCGTGTAGGGAGCGGAGTCTAAATTGCACTTACCTTCTCGAGGTTGCAAAAGTCTGTGAGTTCTAGGATACATCCTTCACTGTTGTACCCACCTCCAATCGAGCTAAGTCACGTAGCACATGGCCACAGAATGCAGACCAGCAGCTTGAGACGGGCCATCCTTTGAAGGACAAGTAATAAGAAGGATGGATGGGCTGATCGCGAAGCAAACCGATTGTACACACCATTTCTACTGATGGCAAGCCATCAAAAGACACAGCAGTTTTGCAGTGTCTAGAGGATGCCCGAGTCAAGCAGCCAGTACTCACGAACAATTTCATGGGCATAAAGGCGTCACGTTATTTATTCTTAGTATCTATCAACCGGAAGAGCAGGGAGGAGATGTCAGCTCACAATTGCCCTTGCCTCGAGAATTGCTTCGGCCAACCTGCGACTGGTTACTAGCTGGTCACAAGCCTCAAAATGACCAGTCGTAGGATTTCGCTCATGCAGCCATGCTCAACATGCATGACCGTGTGATCGACATGCATGCATCACACCGCCTCAAAACCTGGTTTATAGACGTGGAGCAGTCACAATTGGCTTGTTTCCCATAACTACGACCGCGGTGGTTTGCCTGTACAAAGCCGCACTGTGACAAATGGTTCCCCTCCACGTCGTATGGAAGAAGTCGTTTCGCAGGATCATAGATGAGACGACTGAAAGATGGAGACTGTGATCTTGAGTTTCGTAGTCTGATTAGGCACACTATCAGTATGAAGTGCTTGCAATAGCTATAGTCCACTAAAGACAAGCGCAGTCGAGCACTATCTCATCGACGCTTCGATATCCAGCCTATGTTTGATGAGCAATGCTTGTGCGCCTAGGCGTGCGTCCACAGCCCATGCAGTCTATCCCCTGACCGAGGGATGAGGTCAAAGAGCTCCGATTTTGCCCCCTGTATAGCTCTGCAGTCAAGTCCTTGATTAGTTCAGCATGATATCATCACTGTTGATTGTTCTTCAGTTCCAAGACCTGTTCGCTTCGTTAGTATGCGAAAGCGATTCAGTTCATTGTGTAACTTGCCATGTCAACCCAGTTGCCTCCGCCGAATGTGGCCTTGCTGGGACCTTTGTTCTCGAAGCCCAGTTTCTCGTAGAACTTGATAAGCTCACCGTGTGCAAGCAAGGCTACTCTGTCGGCAGCTTGGACGTAGCCCAGTCGCTGAATGTAAGCCTTCAGCAAAGTCGAACCAAGCCCTCGATTCTGCAGAGATGGAAGCACTGCCAGACTGTGCACAGCAACGGTACGACCTTCTTCTCTGTGTCCAGTGTTGCCAGTCAGACCACCGGAAGTTTTCCAATCGCTAGGGACTTCCATGTCGTCGTCCATGACGGTGGGGTTGGTCGTCTTGGTCACAACGCAGTGAGCAAGAAGGACGGACTTGCGTGCTGGAGCCCCGCTGTACACATGATGCGCACTGGAAGCTGTCTCGACCGATGCAAGAGGGTTGGATGGGTCACTAGTGTCGACTGAGGTGAAGAGTCCAAGACAGAGTCCGCCGCATTTTGTGAAGCGATACTCGAACTGCGCATTGTGTGTTAGCCAGAGCACTGTGTTTATGCATCGAGTTCCTCAGCCGATGAACAGCGGCAAGGAGAGAAAAGAATGAACAAGGTCTCTCCGTCAGGCAAGGCAGATAGGTAGCCTTTAGGTGCATCTGCTGACCAGCAATCTTGGGCAAGAAGACGTGAAGTTGGCTTTAGAGAGATAAAACATGTCTCTACCACTACCGAGCGTGTGAGTCCCAGCCCCCCTGGTCTGCCAGGCACCTAGCTGTGACGGTGGTAGCCTCTGACAAGAGTCACACCCAAAGGTATGTGTCTAACAACTGCTTTTCATGATCCTCTCTGCATGTTGCAATACGCTATGTAACTGGACAGATCTCATATCTTGAAGGACCGGTCATGGCACATGAGAAGTCGTGAAATTTTGGTAGTCTCGTAATGACGTCGCAATGTCAACAAAATATGTCTCGAGCAGACTGGTGGGAGATGCAGGTAGTTCCTCCAGGATGAGCACGGCAGTTTCGGACGAGGTGAAGGAGCAATATAGTCACGTGTTGGTGTAGGGTGGAGGGGATACGAAATGCAGTGATGGTAGTACAGATACCTTTTCTCTGGTTGCACGTTCCTCGGGAGGGAACGTGGCATCCTCCAGTTTGAGAGCGCTGTCGACATCGGAGACAGTGAGAGTTTGAACGTAAGGCTTGATTTCGGCGAGGTGGTCTTGCTTGTCCATATCGCGAGAGATCTTGTCCTTTGGCTCATCGTCACCTCGCATCATAGCAGCCAGATCGCGGGGCATGCTTGTCGACAGGATGGGTATTATCGGCAAGGAAACAAGTATGTAATAGAATAGACCCCTGGCGTGCTTGTTTCAGGACACAGAAATAGAGTGGCAGAGACGAAGAATTGGTAAAGCAGGCAAAACAGCCTGGAGGTTACAGATTACTGAAGGTGCTTTGTCGAAAGCCAACACACGAAGCAGTGACGTTTGGGTGCAGTGCATGGACCAGTCGTTGGCAAGGGATCTAAACGGTTATGGCATCAGAGACCAGGTCATCAAGGCTGATGCAAACAAGAGCCATAACAAGATGGGTTGGCAGGTTTGTATCTTGCAGGAGGACTGCGTTACCTTGCAGCAGACTCTTGAGAAAAGACCAGAAAACGCAGGCTCTGTCTGCGGCGGCACGACCAAAGGCGGATGAGGGGCTTTGATGCATGCTCGTGTGCAAACGTCTGCCACTCCCTCCTCTCCCACGAGGTTTCGTCCTCGCTGTCGAAATGTATCCAAGGAAAGCCTGGTTTATGTGGTATCTCGATGGACACTGTACTGTTTGTCGAGAGCATTGTGCATCTTGATAGCTTCAAAGGTTACATGGTTTTGGATGCGGAAGGCAGACCGCCCATCTGCCAGTGACTCGTCGTGCATGCTGCATGCAGATTTTGACAGTCGCCAACAGGCGCAGGAGCAGGAGCAGGAGCAGGAAATGAGGCAGGAGTCAGTAGGTGATAAGAGGATATAAATGCTTGTGCAGTCTATTCCACGTGTTTGAGCCTACCAACTCTAGACTTCGGGTCGTCGTTGGCTCCGCAAAGCTTCCAAGTCGCTTCGACAAGCTTCCATCACGGTTGACGTATTATCGAGCTTGCGGTCATTACTCATCCAAGTGCAACGGATCCAGAACACAGAAGCAACTGGTTTCGCCCATCTCCGACCTCTTTCAGCGACGTGCATAACCCCATCCCACTCGCCTCTAGCCTCTACGCAAGGCAGCCTCGCCCATCTCAGAAACCATGTGAGTGCCGTAACACGTTCTGTTTCCGACCACACATGCTGATGCCCTTCCGCACAGGGTGCAAGTCACGATACAAATAAATGCCCCGGGCCATGCTCTCGACGAGGAGTTTCTTCCACTCGACGCCGACAATTCATCCACTCTTGCCGCCCTCAAGACCCAAGTCCACGACGGCACCGGCTTTCCCATCACCTCGATCCAGTTCTTCCTCAACGGCGCTCCTGTCCTTGGCGACGACAAAACCCTCGAACAGGCAGGAATCAAGAATGGGGAGATGCTCTATATGCTAGTCCGCGAACAGAACACCAACACCATGCCCCGTCAGCAGCCTCGCCCCCAGCACGCCCAGCCACCGCAACAAGGCCGTTTCAGCAATGACCAGATCGAGACCCTGCGTCTGCAGTTGTTGGGCAACCCTCAGGCCATGCAACAAGTCAGCCAAGAGAGGCCCGAACTGGCCGCCGCTGCCTCGGACCCTGCCCGCTTCCGCGAACTATACCTCAGCTCCATCCAACAAGCCGAATCTAGAGAGCGCGAGAGACGTGAACAGATGCAGCTGCTCAACGATGACCCCTTCAACATCGAGGCCCAGCAGAAGATTGAAGAGATCATTCGTCAAGACCGTGTCATGGAGAACCTGGAGTATGCCTACGAACACAATCCTGAAGGTACAAAGAGACATTTGCTTCGCAAAACGCGCCACGTCCGCTAACTTTATGCAGTCTTCGGTCGTGTGACAATGTTGTACATCAACTGTGAAGTCAATGGCCACAAGCTCAAGGCTTTTGTCGACTCAGGTGCTCAGACTACCATCATGTCTCCCAGTTGCGCTGAAAACTGTGGCATCATGCGCTTGATTGATAAGCGTTACTCCGGTATCGCTCGTGGTGTTGGTACTGCCCAAATTCTTGGTCGTGTGCATTCGGCCGACATCAAGATTGGCAATGCTGTCATGCCTTGCTCCTTCACCGTCATGGAGGGCAAGGATGTTGATCTTCTTCTCGGTCTGGACATGCTCAAGCGCTACCAAGGCTGTATAGACCTCCGTCGCAACAAGCTGGTCTTCGAGGACAACGAAGTTGATTTCTTGCCCGAGTCTGAGCTCCCCAGATCCTTCGAAGAAGCCCTGCAGAACGAGGAACATATTAAAGGTCCTAACGGTACCGAGATTGGCACAAAGTCAGGCACAGTGACTCAAGCTGGTTCTTCTTCGCAACAGCCCAACAGCAACTTCCAAGGTCAAGGTCGTTCCATTGGCGAGCCCTCTACCAGTGGACCTGCAGTACATCCTACACCTGCTGCCTCCGCTCCTCCTGCCAGACCGGCGACTACACAAGCTGCTCCGAGCAGCAAGCATCCTGAGTCAGCGATTGAGCAGTTGATTGGTCTCGGATTCTCTAGACAGGAAGCTATCGCTGCTTTGGATGCTACTGATGGCAACGTTGAGTATGCTGCTGGTCTGCTGTTCCAAGGTTGAACGAGATCCACGAATTCATGACATTGGGAGGTTCAAGGCTTGGCATACATCTTCAAGGCGTTTTATCATCTTCCTGCAAGTGGAGGCATGGAACTGGAGTTATCAATGGGACCCAAAGGTCGGGTTTTCTTCATTTGCTTCTGTCTGCACTACTCTTTTTTTTTCGCTTTCTTATGATCCAGACCATGTTGCTGATTTTCCTCTCTTCGTTACTCGGTTGGGCTTGCTTCGGCCGCCTCTCATTCCTCATGTCTCATTGCGTTAAGCATGAAATCGCTAATATCTTTTGCTACTCCTGAAAGGAACGAGGGTCATTGAGACGACAAGGACACGCACTGGCATCGAGCGACGGGGCCGCATTATGAAAATACACAAACTCCAGAGATGGGCAAGTACATCCAGTGAGACAAACAAGATGTTTGCTGGTAAGACAAGCAAGTGAAGTAGTAGTGATGCATATCATATCGGAAGTATTATCTAGTCAAGAGTGACAACAAGCTTCTTTGCAGAGACACCCTTTCTGAGAATGTCCAGACCCTGTTGTATAGACTCCAATCCAGACCCAACAACTTCAGCCCGAGGCGCTGGCTTGTACTTGCCCTCCGCGATTGCTCCAGGCAGAAAGTCTCCAAAGACTGCATCTGCAATGCCGTTGTCCTTGATCGTGCTTGCGAAGATACGACTGTGCTTGAAGTCGGCAGGTATATCTGCAGGCAGAGGTACGCTGGTCGTGAAGAATTTGTTGCCCTCGATTGTGGAGAAGAGGTCTGCACACACGGAGATGGGACCACTGCTATCTCCAGCAGTGTGCAGGACGCCAGCCAGGGTTCTGTGCTTAAAGGCAACGATGAGCTGCTCGAGCAGGGTTGATGGGTCAAGATTGTAGTCGATAGTCTCGCTGGCACCTAGATCACGGAGAAGCTCGAAGTTCTTGGGCGAGGCTGTGGTGACGACTTCGTAGCCGGCGGCAAGTGCCAGCTGGATAGCGTTGACACCAACGCTGGACGAGCCGCCCCATACCAGTAGTGTTTGGCCAGTGGGCTTAGGAGAGTGTGAAGGATACTTCAGAGCGAGGTGGTCCTCTTGAAAGAGACCGCAAGCACTGGTGGCAATGCCCAGGGGCATCACAGAAGCATCGGTATAGGACAGGCTGTCGGGGATCTTTGTGACCATACTCGCGAGAACAACAGAGTACTTCTGGAAAGCCGAGCCAGAAGGCGTGTTGGCAGATACACCTCCACCCAGTGCCAGTACTCTGTCGCCCAACTTGAATCTGGACGAGAGTGCGCTCCCTACTTCGACCACTTCACCAGCAGTGTCCATGCCCAGGATTGTCGGGTAGGAGAGAAATGGGAACAGAGCAATATCTTGTAGCTTGAAGTCGATGGGATTCAGGGCGATAGCGTGATTCTTTATGACAATGGAGTCGGCAGGAGGAGATGTGTAGGGTGTATCTTTGATTTCAAGACGAACGCCGGGCTTGGGCTGCCATGCTGCGGTGTTGGAAGGCATTTCGACGATGTGAGGATGTGCGTTGGAACCCAAATTGTCTGTGTTGTGTCTTTTTCTCTCTCTCAGCAGCAGTGCACTCTCATATATCGTCGATCAGTCGGCGAGGTGTAGGTCCGTCGGAGGAATACCACACGGAGGTAGTTGGCCTAATCGGGAAACCGTTATCTCCGACGCAAGATTCTGTCGGCTGAGTGCATCCTTGAGCATTGTTTGGGAAGGAGCTCGAGATGAATGCCCTGTCAGCTGCACTTGCTTAGCAAGCGCTCTGATTGTCAGCGTGCAGGTGCGACTGAAAGGAGTTTGGAAGATGTTCGGCCGAGCTCCAGCGTTTCTGGTCGCGGCTTCTGTCCCTACGCATATCGGAGAATCTCCCCATTGGTTCATTCGTGTTATGACAACATCTAAAAGTTGTCAGTATCACAGACGTCAGGATATCAGCATGGCCATTGCATCTAGTGCACGATGATGCCAGTTTTCAGACCTAACTCCTTAACGACTTCTTCATCGGGACAACTTTCCTGCTAAATGATGTTTCTCTGCCGATAGGAAACAGTAGGCTGTGACGTTTGGTGGGGCTGAATGGTTGGGTTTGAAAGAGGGAGATTGTGTAGAGGGTTGAGGGCAGCAGGTCGTGGTATGGACGCGACAAACATGCAAGACATGAGCGTTGCGAAGGCGAAAGCAAAATCAAGCGTGGAAAAGTGTCTGCTTTGAGACCAAAGCGCTACTCCTCGTGGCCGACATCTTCGCTACAGAAAGCTATAATAGTTTCGTACTCAAGATTTTATCCAAAGAGAGGCTGCGGTGATCTGGATCTCGATGAAAACAGTCTCTTTTGTCGAACCTATTGTGCATCTCCATGGCTGACCTGGTACATGGAGTAGCGAGAACCGACGACGAGGTGTGAGACGGCGTTGTCAAAGAAAGGAGAGAGAGGCGTAGGAAATGAACGCGTCGGGAAGGAACGAGACATGTCGGCAGCAAGGTCCGAAGAAGAGAACCAAAAAAGTGACCCAAGACCCCCGAAGGGGAATGACCTCCAAAGAGGGAATCTTCGTTGTAAGGGTGGGAATCGAACCCGATGCATCTCCCAAGCTGCCCTCCTCCTAGCAAAGCTAGGCGGGGACTTACATGTTGGGCGTTCTAAACCGCTAAACTACCGAACACAACCCGATTCTTGGCCTAGGGGGGTACCCAAACTTACCTTTAATATATAGCTTCAAGACTTGACAGCGAGCAAGGGTCTACAGCAGACAGAGATCTTTACTCCACACCTTTGACACATGCGGAGAATGCGTAATGCTTGGGTGAACAAGAAGCATGTTTTGTCCCTCTAGATAGTCGTCGTTGTTCTCCCAAGGTGTGTCGCAAAATTGTGGAAAGCCGAAGCTCAAGCCTGAACATATATGTACACCAAAAGTTCGGCGGTCGAATTCCAGAATTTCTCAAGAGGACAATCCAGTCATGGTGTTGTTGAGAATTTGTTTCCGTCCAGTGACACTCTTGCCATTGTCCATCTACATAGTTGTTGATTTTTCTCCAGGTGTATTGCCAGAAGCTTGAGAAGCCGAAGCCGAAGCCTGCAGAAGTTGAGCGTATATGTACACTCAAAATTGGCATATTTGGCTCCATAATTTCCAAGGGAATGTTCCAGCTTTGACAGGGCAGTATTCTGTAAGTGGTTACATATAACTGAGTGTCAGATGTTGTAGCGATCAAGTCGATATAAAAAGGCGGCTCAAGAAAGGTGCATATATAAAGATGGACGGGCTGCGTTTCGAACCTTGACCCTCGCTTTCGGAAAACCAGGCTCCAGAAGGTCAACACTACCGCACACACGACACCGACGACGATGCATGTATGATGCGGATACTTCAAAAAGAAGGGGTAGTGTTTACGATAGACCAGGTTGGCAAAAAACTGGAAATACAGGAAAATCCTCCCCTAGTTGCCTTCATACAACGTGTTTGGTTCGCGTATTACTGAACGTGGCAAAGGTTCGGTATTTTATTTGGAGCTTCCCAACCACTAGACCAAAGGCGTCCCTTTGGTGACCAAACGGTGCCCGAGTTGCCGCTGGGAGGGTCCCAACTTTGGTCGAATATATATGTTGGCTGCAAGACGCCAGCACGACGCCAGTGTTTGGCGTAAGACGACAAGACCTTTGAGCACTCGATTCGCTGTTGTCACTGATTGCCATCACCGTCGTTCGACGGGTTCTGTGTGGCGCATGAAGGGACCATAATCGTAATATTGGGTGGAAACGTTCGGTATGTTGCAGTCGCTCAAGCAGCTCTTCCACCGATGCGCGAGTAAGATTTGTTGCTTGGGTGTCACTGTCGACCGTTGTGCGGCCTGGACAGCAGTATCATCGCTGCAGTCCTCGAGTACCCCGAATTTTGCACGGTCTTTGAGTCGCCAGCCGGGCGCGACAGTGACCGGTGAGAGCAGCTGGCGGGAGTCGCTGGCAGGAGCGACTGGTGATAGTAGCTGATGACAGTAGCTGGCGACTTGCAGAAGATTCTGGATGTACCTTCCGCTGCGAGTGCCTATAGTTGAAGGTGTCCTTGAAGCAACGCGTCCAGAGTTATCGTCGAGGGGTAACGAAAAGGACTGATACAGATCCACTTTCATCCACACAGATCTCTGAAATGAGTGTATGGGCCTTTCGTTGGACACAGTGAGTACTCGTCATAGGAAGAAAATTTCCAAGGTCCAGTCATCCAGGGATAATGAGTAAGTGCACAGTCACCGATGACTCCACAGCTTTGTCATTCATGCTGCTTCAAAGCGATCTTGGCCAGTCGCCCTTGCTCGACCAGACTTGCTCGTGTAGCTGCTGATCCGTCGTCCTCCCGTCCGATCAGGCAATCGGATGTATGAATCACATCAGCCTCTGCAAGCCTGTAGCTTGTTCTGTTCCAACAGGCTGAACGCTCTCTCTAGTCAATCCATTGAGCAAAGATCGTAAGTCCTTACCCCAGCAAACTCTGCATCTGAGGAGCTGATGTTAGAGCTGGCCCTGCATGAACGGCTGGTCAATGCATTGTTATTTCCGTAGCTCTTGCACATGAGAATATTTCGCGACGTCGCATCGCTCCTTCCTCTCGACCAACGTCAAGAGTCAACGTTGATCTGATCTAATCTCTTCTCGTCCAAACAATCCTTAGACTGTCACAATGGCTTTACCTATCTGGAACCGCAAGCATGATCTGATCTATCTGATCTTCTTCCTGACACACATCCCAATCATGTTTTGTAAGAGCCTCTCCTTTTCTGCCCGCACAGCAACAATTCTTTGGCTATACATGTAGAGATTGATGTATCTGACATGAACGCTAGGTGTCGACCTTACACCATTGTACCCATCAGCCTTGAAACCCGCATTCATGACAAATCTCAGAGCCTGGTACATCACAACCTACAGAGACCAATTCTTCTCATCTCCACCGTGAGCATACACAATTGCCATGACCATAAACAATCGATTAACCTTTATCAGCGCCTGGTTTGATACCTACATCTGGATTGAGGCTCTGTACCATGTTCCTCTGAGCTTCTGGGCCGTACCAGCTCTTCTGCGTGACGATCCCAAAGTACCGCTACATCTTCTCGTCTTCGCCCTGGAGGCTGGACTCACCACATTGACTTGCATTGCCGACTATCTCAGCTGGAGTGGCTACTCAAACAACGAGAAAATTGAACTTGGAAAGCTCTACGTACCCTACCTAGCATTGGCAGTCTTCATGGGTTTTGATATGTTCTACCGACTGAGCAAGATAATCTCCAGATCAGACAAGGCAGCCATTGGCAAGAAGGCCCAATAGATAGAGGCTCTCAATGGACAATAGCAATTCGCCAATTCGTTCGTGCCTTTTTATTGGTATATAACAACAGCTTCACCTTCACTGGAGTCTCGTTGATCGCGCCCGAACGAGGACTAGGCACTTGACGACTAATCGCGGCTGCGCAGCATGCACCTATAAATCAGTTCTCCTTCCATGGCTTTCTTCTCTTCTTCGAACGACATCAAAATGTCTTTCTCTCTTCGCGCCCTCCTCTCCCACCTCCCCTGCTTCGGCAGCGGCAGCAGCAACAACAACAGCAGCAGCAACAACAACAACAACAAGGACCCGGCCAGCCCCCTCACCATCGTAAGTCTTCGTGCTCTCGGCTTACCTTACGCACGACTCGCTGACGTACATCAAACAGAGCGGCCCAAAGTGCTTCACGCACGAAGGCACGGGGAATCCTGAGTTCCCCATGCGCCCCTTCGTGAGCACCCCTCCCCCGTACGTCCAGCCCGCGCGCCCCTAGAAGGCCGGGTCTCGGGTAAGTGACCGAAATCTCTCTCTGTTGCACGTTCTTCTTGACTGATTGTTGTGTTGCGTATAGACAGGGTTGGTTGGTCGTTGCCGGGTTCCTCCCCCCTCCTCCACCTCCTCCCAGGCGCCTCCCCTCGCGGAGTAGCCTCGCTGCTCTCCTTCGGGAGTTTATATAGAGTGTGAAATCAAGAAACCGCTCTGCAAACCTGCTTGTTGTGTCGTTGTGTGCCCGTGATAATTCGTGCCTTTGCTTTCTCCTCACGTACTGCTTTGCTCTACAGTGCTTAGAGTGATGCACTACTCATTGACTGTCCTAGTGATACGGAGAGAGATTGAGAAGATGAAGTGACTTCTTCGGACACTCTCATGAGACTGGATTACACTATGCCTTTTGATAGCAAACAGCACACAGATCCACCGGTTTGAAGGCATAGCAGGGGCTCAGCAAGCACTTCTACATCACTTGGCCAGTATCATACTTCCTACACAGCCCACACATCCATAACAGCTAGAGAAATGCACAGAGATATCACAACGATAAGCAGGATCCAGAGAAGGTATGCAGAAGCTTCTCATCAGAGAGAGCAAGAAACAATGTGATGATTACCCTTGTTCGACAACAAACCAAACAAGGTACTATATGCTATCCAAAAAGGTCAAACCATGATTTCTACTCTGCAGCAGGCGTGGGTGGGATTTCTCGTGCATCCACGAACTCGACTGCTGGACTTGGTTCATCGAAATCTACTGTGCCATCTGCAGATGGCACATCGAGTGATGATTGGGCATCAGGTTTTGCAGATTCCCCTGCGGTGTTATTCGCATCGTCGTTCTCAGTGGGCTCGGATGGCTGTACAGTGCTCTGTACCATCGTATCCTCGGCAGCAGCTTCTGTGACTTCGTTGGTGGCTTCTGATTCGACTGCAGCCTCTTCAGCCCTAGCAGCGGCTTTGGCAGCAGCATCGGCAGCTCTCTTCGCAGCTCTATCCCTTTCCCTCTGTTGCAGCAGCTCGAAGTTCTCCTTCCGACTCCTCTCATCCTTGATTTTGCGCAAGCGCTCCGCCTCTTCAACACCGCCGCTCTTTTTCAGCTTCCCTTCCTCGACAAAACTGCTGAGTTCCTTCTGAAATTCGCCGTCGCGTCTTTCCTCCAGCTCGCGCTGGCGGGCTTTCTCGGCGCGCTCGATGGCCTCGAGACGAGATTCGTGGTTTGGTTGGAGGGCGCGCACCTCGCCCAAAACGCCTGTGCGGGCTTTTGCTGGGTCGCCACCACGATCAAGTCCCACAGGGTTGAGCGTGCGAGATGATGCGCGAGGTGTGTTCTGCAGGTTTTGTTGTCTGGTGGCTTGCTCGACGAGTGCGAACGTTTCAGCCGCTTTCTCGAGGTCGTCTTCCAGGTCGATACATAGCTCTTCTTGCATGGTTAGCAAATCTCTGTCCTCGCAAACGACTTGCAACTCCTTCTCCCATATCTTGGTCCAGATGGGCTTCTCGCGCTTGAGGAACTCTTGCAGCTTCTTGAGGCCGGATGTCGCAGTGGAAATGTCTTTGCTGACAACATCCAGCTGGCGAGGTAGAGGCCGGACTCCGCGTTGGACGACATCTTTGCGAAGGTCTTCCACAGTGTCTTGCAGATCGTCCACTTGGGTGACAAGCTTCTCACTGTCATCTGATAGCGACTTCTTGCCACCATTGACATATGTTCGGCCAGAGCCCGCAGGCATAGAAGGGATGCGTGCCTTGTTCGCAGCGGACTTGACTGTGGCAGCCTTGGTCCTAATAGTAGACATGGAAGAGTTGATGTCATCGACGAAGGATGTATAGGTCTGGCGGACAACAGCAAGCTCGCGACGGAGTGATTGTACTTCTGTAAGTTGAGCAGGCGTACCTTTGGAAGTTGCTGTCTGGAGAGGTGGAGGTGTCGCATTGGGTATCTGAGCGTGTGGAGGCGCCGTCGCCAATGTGGCCATTTCCTTAGCAGCTTCTTGTTGTCGCTCTGACACCCGATGGATAGCAGATTGCTGATCATCCACAGCGGCTTTGAGGCCCTCGATCATGCTTTTGATGCCTCCGATGCTGTCATCAAAGTGCTTCTTGACTTCGTCCAATTGTTCGACATTGAGTACGAGTACAGAACGATCCTTGACGTCAGCCAGATCTTCCAACTCGTGGCGAACTCCCGATACTGGATCTTGCAAGTAGATTTCGGGAAGATCGTTGCCGTTGTTGTGTGTGTTCCAGGCAAACTTTTCGATGAAAGCAAGCTGAAGCCTGGCTATAGACAGATCGCCGCCATCAGGCAGCACAAACTTCTTGATCTTGCTCTTGTACTGGAGGAAAAGGGTCAACTCCTTGCCAGGCTGTGGTGAGGATTCGGGCACAAATTGTTGTTGAGACGAGGTCTTTTCAGCAGCTGTAGGAGGAGTAGTCTGCCGCTGTATCCTAGACCTGCGACGCTGCAACTCTCCACCAGCTGGATCTTCAGAGCTCCGCTCGATGATCGTCTCGGGAACCGGCCCGTTAACAGTGGCACCCATGTCCATCTCTTCAGGTGATTGTTGCGCAGGGAACGGATAAGCTCCCAGTTTGTCCTCGGGTGTCTTGGGCATGGGACTAGCACTCTCCAAACCCGCGGTCGCTGGTAGCTCGGCCACATCTGTGTCTATCGTCTCTGCATTTCTCAGCTCTTCCAACCGTTCTCTCCTGCTGGGCGAGTCTTGAGCGTTTTTCTGGCCTGATTTCTGCCTGTTGTGAAGGAAGCTACGGGTGCGGACAGCTTTCATCGACTCGCGTGTGTCTTGTCCTCGGTTGGGAATTGGGCTGTGCTGAGCCACAGGCATCATGGGCACACCATTGCTAGAGCCCAGATGCTTTGAAATCTGGTAGGCCGAGAAACGTCTCGAAGCCCTTCTCTCGAGCTCTCCGCCTCGTTGCAAAGCAGCCAGTGCATCTTGTTGTTTCGGAGGCGGAGGTGGGGGAGGCAGAGGTAGGTTGTGTTCGGTATAGGGCGGTCGTGGAGATTCTTGCTGGTAGGCTACTGGAGCAGGTTCGTTGCCGTACTGTGCTGGCGGCTGAGCAGGCATCGTGTCCTCCTGAGGATATGGGGCAATAACGGGAATATTCTGCATGGCGCCGCTCGACATTGACGAGGTGTCGGAGTTTGTGGTATCGCGACTCTGGTCGCGAACATGATGTATCGAGGCAGCAGGGGTGAAGCTTTCCTTTCTCGGTGACGACCTGCCACCCTGAATCGAGGCCGAGCGTGGAGGGAGATCATGACCAGGAGGTTCGTTGGCGACGCGCTGAGACTGAGTTCGACTGGCAGACTGGCGAGCGAGGAGGTCGTCAGCGGCCGACTCTGCAGCGCTGGCCTGTCTAGAGCTCTGACTGCCACTGCTGGTGCGCTGGCGCAACCGCTGCTGCTTCTTCTTAAGACCATGCAGAAGGTTGATGATGATGTCGCGGATGCGGGGGAGGAAGCGGTCGAGACTCTGCTGGCTGGCTTCCTGGCTAAGGGTTTCCTCGAGGATGGCGCGCAAAAGGTCGGGGACAGGGCCAAGGTCCTGCGTGTCGACACCGATGCCGTTGAAGGCGCGACAGGCGATGTTGAACTCATAGCCCAGACGCACGTAGACGTCCGAGACCTCGCTTTCGCTGGCAGCGTTGCGGGACCATTGTGTCAAGGTCTCGAGCAGCTGCTTGGTCGCGACGAGCAGGTGTGTGACGCTCTTCTCGATGGTCGACAGCTGCTGGGGCTGCGACGACTGGCGGACCGAAGAGCGGGCGGCAGACGATCGAGAGCCAGAGCCAGAGCTGCTCCTAAGACTCGGGTCCTCGCTGGCCATGGCGTTTGACACTTGACAGTAGGTCGACGGTAGATGGCGGATGCTGCTTGGGAACGCGGCGGCTAAAGGGGCTGCTGCTCAAAGAAGGGGATTGCGCTTGAGCGTGGCGCCTTGGATCAACGACAGACAGGGCAGCAATGCGACAAGGTCAGGCAAACAACGCAAAAGAACAAAGAGCACGCCAAACAGATCTCCTCGCACGGAACAGAGTAGACGATGTTTCGCCCGATATCATGTTTGAATGCTGTTGCATAATTAATCAGAAGCTCTTGTCTTCTCTCCACCTTGAAGCTTCTTGGCCGAGTCGAGGCCTCGATCAGCGACCTGTGTTTCTATCTACTCGGTACGCGCCACATTTGTAAGGTTTTGGCAGATTCAGTCAGTGGTCAGAACAGGCAAGGTAGCCATCATCTTTCTGTCCTTGTACAGCTTGTCCTTGCAGAAAACCGTTAGATGTCTGCTCTGCAGTCCAGACCAGGGTGTTGGCCGTCGCTAAGGCACGCGGCTTCCTCAGCAGCTGTTCCAAAGTGTCTGGCCATCTTCACGTGCCAATCGACCAGCCCGACGCTGGCGACACAAGCCGCCAGATTCTTGTCGTTCCCACCGGCACTCGATTGCTGCTATTCTGCTCCTGCCCGATCTTGCCTCATTGCTTCCTCAGCTGGCAGGGCTATTAACACTGCGAGACCGGCAGGCCATCTAGGTGATACATCCTCTCTCGAACCAAAAGCCCGCGCGAACCGTTCAGCCCTACCCTTGGGTCGGATCGTCTTCCGAGCGGCCGCCGCCAAGCTCCCCATCGCAGTTGGGTGAAACACGACATCTATCCCAGCTGTATCCGCAGTCTGTCCTTAATCAACTAATCAGTTGTCGGGCTACTCGCCGACCTGTTACTGGACTTCACTTCGCTGCTGCACTAGACCAGCACGCGACAACGCGAGTCCCGACTACGTTATCAGGCATTCGGTTGTTCTGGTTGCGCGTGCGAGCTCCAACATCCCGACCCAAAGTCCCCTGTCCGTCCCCTGACCGAGTCGACAATGTCCGCTCAATCCTCCGCCATGAACGGTGCAAACACGCCTGCTGCGAGCCAGCCAAACCCGAGCTCCTCGAAACAGCAATTCAAGACAAATTCGCTCGGAAAGTCGTTGGACGGTTCTCGCAAGCAGCTCGCAAGCCCCGTGGATCCCGCTTCGAGGTACGTCAAGCATGCTATATCATGCCGTTCCCCGACAGCCTCTGACTCTTCTTTAACAGGAAATCGCCCGTTTCCAAGGCATGGTCCCAGGGCACTAACCCCATCACACAACGCTCCAATGCGTCCACGCCTGCTCCCAACGGCCTAGCGAACGGCACCTCCAGACCCTCGCAACCCAAACCCCAACAAGAGAATGGCACAACAGGCAAGCATGCTTCAGACAGGCTTCTGTTCTTGCTTGCAAACTACACCGTACAGACTACCCACCAACTCATGTCGGTCACTTCAGCTAACCTTGACATATGCTGTAGGGCATGGAAGTTGCTATCTTCCTCAAGAATGGAGATCAGGTTACCGGTGTCTTCTCTACTGCTTCCATCGAATCTGCCGATCCTCGTGTCACTCTCAGATTCGCCAAGAAGACGAGCCAGCAAATTAACGGCACCACTGATCACTCCGACGAGTACGTTGGAGAGGGACAAGATCACGTCATGACCTTCGGCCTGCAAGATATCGTGGACCTTTCGGTCAGTAATCTATACCTGGCCGCTTCCGAAACAAGGGTCCAACAAGCCAATGCTCCTTCCTTCCGCACCGACGTCGAGATCTCTGGCAACCTCAACATCCGCGAGCGTGAGCTCCAGCGCTGGCAGCCCAGCGCAGATACCGCCATCGACATGTCGCTCGAAGACAACTCACGCCCAGGAGAGTGGGATCAGTTCGCTGCCAACGAAGCTCTCTACAACGTCAGAAGCGACTACGACGAGAACATTTACACCACGACCATCGACAGATCCGACCCAGATTACAGACGCAGAGCAGCCGAGGCCGATAGAATCGCTGATGAGATCAACCGTAGTGCTCCTGTGAACTCCCATGTCGCTGAGGAGCGCCGTATGAATGCCGAGAAGGATGGTGGCCTCGACGAGGAAGAGAAGTAAGTCGTGCATGTGATTTGGTCCTGTGGCATGTGACTGACATTTTGTCGCAGATACAGTGGTGTCCGTCGCGAGACTAACATTACCTCGCTCCTCAAGCAAGGTGCACCCAACGCTTATGTTCCGCCATCAAGAAGACCAATTACAAGTCAGCCCACCGTGCCAGGAGCTCCCTTCGACCCAGCCATTGTCTCGGTCGCACGTCCTAGCCCACCACAGGTCACCAATTCGGACAGTCAAGCTGCCTCGTCCAAGCAACAAGAGCAGAAATTGCAGGGACCGACCGAAATCCCAGAAGCAGCACCCGCTCCTTCGTTGCCCACCGTGACAGCTTCCGCTGCAGAAGCATCAGACATTGCTGTCAAGCCCGCTCAGGCTGCTGCCGCTGCTGCAACACCTGCCTCAAAACCGATACCCTCGATCAACGCTGGCAAAGGTGCTACCGAAGGTGTCGAGCGCAAGGTGTTGGACTCGTTCAAGCAATTCTCTAACAATGAGAAGCTTCGCGTCCAGCAACATCAACGTGTTGTGCAAGAGCGTCAACGCGCTAGTGCTCGTCAAGAAAAGTCCGTCAAGTTGAACGACCTCAAGAAGTTTGCCGAAAACTTCAAGCTCTACTCTCGCGTGCCCGAAGATCTTGTGCCTATTCTAGCCAAAACGAAGGAGAAGCAGAACTTGATCGTCACAAAGGCTGAGTTGCAGGCGCGAGAGAAGGAGTCAAAGGTTACCTCCGCTGAAGCCAGCCCTGCTCGTGTCGCACCTCCGAAGCCTGAAGCCCCTTCGTCTGAGACTGTCCAAGCACCGCAAGCAAGTCAACCTGCGAAGCGTGCCGAAGCCGCGAACGAACCCGGCTCTCCGTTGAGTCAAAGACAGCGCATGGCTCAGGGTATGCGCCAGAATCAACCCATGCCCTCACGTGGACCTAACCTGTCTCATGGCGGTCCACCAAGACAGACTCAGCAGTACAGAGCTCCTATGGCCAACATGCAGATTCCCGCTCCCATTCCTCCACCCGAGATTCGTTCTCCCCCCACTGGTCCTGCCTCTCGCGACATTGTCAGCCCCACAACTGCTTCCGCCAGACTGAACGTCAAGGCCATCGAGTTCAGGCCCAATCCTTCAGCAAGCACTTTCACCCCCACATCGCCCACCAAGACAAGCCCTCAGCCTACTGCCAAGCGTCCCAGCATCTCTGCTTCGTCGCCCGCCAAATTCTTCGCTCGTAAGAGTGAGAAGCCCTTGTCTGAACGTACTCCTCTGAAAGATGCTTTCAACCCCGTCAAGTACATGCTGGAGACTACTGCGGCTGAGGGTAAGACCGAAACATTTGCCCCCAACGGAGGCATCCCCCAGCCTTTCCGTACTCCGCCAACATGGGAAGTCGCCGATGCCAACAAAGAAAAGACATACCGTGACATGTTTGCACAGAGTCCAGTCGTTGTTATCCCACAGATGCACACTCCTTCCAACAGTGTCATGGCCCACTCTCATCAACTCCCTCCTCATCTGCAAAACGGCCCTCCCGCTAACCACACTCCTCGCTTCTATCCTCCTCAACCTCATCACCCTGGTCAACATTACGACGAACACCGCATGCAGTATGGTTCGAACACTCCTTCTGTTCAGCCATCTCCTCGCCTGCCTCATGCGATGGCTTATGGCCCACCAATGCACCCCCAGATGCAGCACTTCCCTGGTATGCCTCCCTACGGTATGATGCGACCTCAGCAATTTGGTAGTCCGCAGGGTCCTCCCATGGGTGGTCACATGATGGTTCAGCAATCGTCTAATGGACCATTCATGAATGGAGCAATGGCTCAGCAGGTGCCCATGTACGCCTCACCAGTTCCTGGTCATGTGCAGCCTCACTTCCCTGGCCACCCTGCTGCTCAGCCCGGTCCCGGGTTCGGACGGGGACATCCCATGAGCCAACAGGGCTCCCAGCAAGGACACCCTGGCCAGATGTACATGCAAATGCCACCCGCCGGACCCATGATGATGCAGCAGCAGCAGCAGCACCCAGGACAGAGTAAGATTCTATCCGAAAAGGTTCCCACGTCAATATCTAACACATTCACAGTGCAGCAGATGAGGAACTTCCCCCAGGGTCAATACCCAGGTGGTCCGCAGGGTCAGCACGGCTACCCCATGCAGCACCGTGCCATGTCGAACCAGGGATATAACCACAACCAGATGACTCCGCGTCAACACCACGCTGCGCCTCACCAAGGACCCAGCCCTGGCGTGCCGTCAGTGCATCCTGCTGGTCCAGGAGATGAGGGAAAATGAGTCGGTAGCACAGTTGCCATGTCACGATGGCACAGCAAACTGTTTGAGAAAACGTGACCACGCCTTAGGAGAGACAAGATCTCGGTATCTACCGAGTACATCTCCCACAGCGTTAGGGACCAAATAGACTGCGAGTATGGCGAGTCGTATTGGGTGCCTGCATCATCCGATGTCAGACAAAGAGCCGCCTCGTTTAGTACGAAGGCCAATCAAGACTGTATAGTTAGTTGAGGCCACGGCGGGACAGATTGGTAGGAAGCAGAGACTTGTCAAGATGGAAGCGAGGTTGTGGAGATTTGCTCCAGCTTCGGTATTGGCAGATAGGAAAGTGGATGATGAGATTATTGGGGTGGATAGCTAGCCAGTGGGAATTCACCATGAATGTAAAATGCGAACCGTCAATAGTTACCGATGTACCATGTTGGTGTGGTCGTTCCTTGTGATGGATGATGCTATAAATTAAGGTGTGATCGTCGGACCCTGGAGGCTGAAGAGTCGATCACAAGCCACCTTCCGCGAATCCGGGCCTCGGTCTTTGGCGGCTTCTGACATTGAGCAGCCAACCCAGTGCTCGTTCATGGACAAACCGTAATCCATCCAACGATCGTAACCCATCCTGAACCATCACCCCTTCCAAGTTCCTCACAATCAAATTATTTAACTTGAACATATGCGTGATATCACAGGCGACGACTCTCAACAGCCGCTGATTGTTGATGAACATGACGACGACACGACCGCTCGCTCAGGAGTACCCAAACAGAAAGCCCGTCGCCTGATATGGCTGTTGACTTTGAGTGCAGGACTCAGTGGCCTACTCTTCGGTTATGAGTGAGTGCGAATAGGCTCCAGAGTCATGTCGAGTATTTGCTGAGCCCTCGTACAGTACTGGTGTGATAAGTTCTACTCTTGTCTCGATACATGAAGATCTAGGACGCCCGTTATCCACCTTCGACTTGTCAGCCATAACAAGCAGTACATCTCTACTGGCGTTAGTTGCGTCACCTCTGGCTGGACATTTTGCGGATGTTCTAGGTCGCCGCCCGGTCATTGCAGCTGCTTGTGGATTGTTCATTTTTGGCGCCCTGTTTCAATCAGCTGCAACCAATGTATGGACTATGATACTTGGCCGATCGATTGTTGGCGCTGCTGTAGGCGCGGCTAGTGCCGTCGTGCCCTTGTACATTGCAGAGATCTCCCCAGCAGATCGAAGAGGACAACTGGTATCTGTCCAAAGTCTGTTCATCACTGGAGGTCAGGTCGTAGCATACGTTGCTGGCTGGGCAGTCATGGGTCGCTGGCGGTGGTCTGTTGGTTTTGGAAGCGTTCCTGCTCTCATTCAGGCGGCCCTGCTAGTTGGCATGCCCGAGTCACCCCGCTGGTTAGTACTAAAGGGCAGGGACGAAGAGGCTACTGCAGTCTTCGCCCGTCTCGGTCATGATGACTGCGATCATATCGTTGCTCAAGTGAAGCATGAAGTCAAGGAAGAACAGCTCAGTGCCAGTGGAAGCATGTTCAAAGAGCTCATGACCGTGCCCGCCAACCGACGTGCCCTGACTATTGCTGCCGGACTCCAAGCTCTGCAACAACTATCCGGATTCAACTCGTTGATGTACTTCAGCGCATCCATCTTCGCGATGGTCGGATTCACTTCACCGATTGGCACATCGCTCTGCATTTCGGTTTCCAACTTCGTGTTCACCCTGCTGGCGTTTGCAATCATCGATAGAGTTGGGCGACGTCGCATACTACTCTACTCCATTCCGTTCATGATACTTGGACTTGCTAGCTGCGCTCTTGCGTTCATGCATATCGACGCGTCTCTTACAGATTCGAAAACACTGTCGTCTATTACATCTGTTGATGCCTCCAACTCTTGGTCTCTGTTCCTTCTGTTCGCACTCATCTTTTATGTCGCTGCTTATGCCAGTGGATTGGGCTGTGTTCCGTGGCAACAAAGCGAACTCTTCAGCCTTTCCGTGCGAAGTATGGGCTCTGGGCTGGCCACCGCAACAAACTGGACCAGCAACTTTATCGTGGGAGCAACTTTCCTGCCTATGATCCATACGCTTGGACCCAGTGCCACTTTTCTTGTGTACGTATTTGTGTGCCTCATGGGTTACATCTGGGTATGGAGATACTTTCCTGAGACCATGAATCTCGAACTCGAACAGGTCAAGCAATTGTTGGAGAATGGTTGGGGCGTCAAAGCTAGCGAACGTCCGAGTGATCTGGGAAGATGAATACGGTTGCGAGATCGAGGAATGTAGCTTGCATACGTCACAATGCCCTCCTCCTCCAGCCGTCAAAGCAGTTTTCCAGATGTCCTTTGACTAGCAAAGCGTTGCAAAGAGGTCTATCGGTCGCCCTCTTTGTCTTCGACTTATCTTCTTACCGGATCCGGGTCTGCCATTATCACGACGGTCGTGCACCGAGTATACAGTTTGATCAAGATGGCCCGAGTTGTTACTGCCTTCTTCGAGGCAGCTCATTCAGATCGTCATTGTCAATCAGACATCGCGAAGCAGTATGGCGCCTGCAACGTCCGATCAACTCAAACGACCAGCCTGGATGAACAATGATCCCCTACTTACCCAGATCGGCTTGGAAGAGCTCAAACTTCGCGGTTACATAAATTTACACGATGCGTCGATTGATCTGTCCTTTAGAAACTGTTCGGATGATGAGATACATCCCCTTTTTCAACGAGGAAGATGGTCGCAGAAGGATCTGGCGACCATGGACTTAGATGCATTGCGACCGACACTCCGACTTGCTTCACGCCTCTTATAGTGCAATACATCGATCTACTATCTCTCTGCGATCCTCGATCAAGCGAACTACGGTACGATCGACCCAAAGTATTTAAGACCGGAAAGCAATCCCAATTGGTTTCGTGTGCCGGACAGTTTGAGTTCTATGAAGGAACTAGCCACCCGTGCCGCCCTAGACGACTTGGTTCTCAGGACCACATGGCAACTGCTCGAGTCCAAGATATACCCGTTTATCGCAGGTATGACGAGGCTACATTGGATGCCAGTAGATCCACCACTCGTTGGCATGCCACAGTTCAGGACTACAAAGCTTTACTTGGCGAGTAGATTTATTGATATACTCTGCAGAGGTGTGTCGCCAGCCAGCTTTGCAATCCAGTGGACACCAGGCACTGACGGCGAATCGGCAAGACTCAGGTACAGTCTAGTATGCGCTATTGCGTTGGTTCATGAGGTCATGCATGCATTCTGGGATGTCCGTGGCGATTATCCAGAAGAGGGCATCCTCGCGGAAGCGCCACCAGAGCCATTCTACATGGACACACGCATTGCCGAACTAGGCTTCCAATGGCAAACTCTTGTGTTGGGCGGCGAATTCTATGGTATCCTCGAGCCATTTATATTCCCGTACGGCGCAAGGACAAGCCGATGGCCTGGCCCCACGGAGCTTGCAGAGCGGAAACACACCGAACTACGCATGAGCCTGCGCCAATACGGCCACGTGAGGAACTGGCAGACACGGCATGCCGTTTCGATGGACTGGGTGCGATCGCTCTTCACCGATGGCTTTTGGAAAGAGATAGAAAGGAATGGGGATGCAGGGCTCAAGATCAAGATCCAACGCAGACTAGACGCCAGACGGAAACTTGATGATGAGTCTCAATGGCTGAAGGGCGAAGAGCAAGTGCCGTACGACTTCATCGAGTCGCCGACAAGCGTTTTGAGCAATGAAGACGAGGAAGACTGTCAGGGTCTTGGTATCGTGGATCGTTACGATGTGGGCGAGAAATGGCACATGACCAAGAACGATTGGAAGCGACATGGTTCAAAGACAGACCCACCCGCATCATCTTTGATCTCGGACTTTGATCATGACATCGAAGAGTTGGAATGAGGCATCGTCTGGCTTGAGCTCTACATGTTGAAGATGTCATCGTCAGGTCCACACGTTGAATAATCGAGAGGTGGGTCGATGGTTGAATGTTGGTCTGGCACGCATCGGGTGAGACAGAGAAACCAAGAGGGTTCTGCATCCGGTGGGCCGGTCTGCAAGTGATCTAAAAACTCGAGCTTAAGTGATTGAAACAATCAAGATGCATGCATGCCTCTTACTCCGATGAAAAAAAAAGCATGAGCGTGATATTTGTAGTCTCTATGTATATACGTGAAATCGTAGGGTATCGGTATGTAGTTTTTAGTGTGTACGGTTCATTATTTTTCGTGCCACTCTTTTTCACATACCACCTTGTTGGGCTCGGACGCCGGCATAATGGTCCATGAGATCAAAGACCATGGTGTTGTCAACCCGACACTCGTTGCCGCCAGCGCGGCAGCCAAGTGCGGATTCGACCTCATCACCTGCGTCTTCGTGCAAAGCGCGAATTGCACCTGCAGCAGCAAAGCAAGAGGATGTGTTGTCTTGACCATTGTAGGCAGCGGCGTTGGAGTTTATAGGCGATGCGTATGATTGCTGAAAGTTGGATGTGGGTGAGGCGTACTGTCCTTGAGGCGGGTAGCCACCGGACTGTGGCATAGCTTCGGCGGCGGCCATGTCCCAGTCCAGTAGCTGAGATTGGGGCACGGAGTGGCCAAAAGGTTGCGGTGCGTAGATGGGATAGTCTTGGACGAACGTTCCAGGTGACGCGTGGAGGTTATGCTGAGGTGCCAACGGTGCAGAGGTGTGTGAAGGTGGGGCCGACATGTAGAACTGTTGTTGGGCCGACTGTGGTTGGTTATGCTGCTGCTGCTGCTGCTGCTGCTGCTTAGTGAGTTGCTTAGGTGGCGCTTGATGCTCGTGGGCCCGAGGGTTGACGGCCGGGGCAAGGGCAGGTGCAGGTGCAGGCGCAGGAGCCAGAGCGATGGGTCGAAGCTGCTTCTGCTGTCTAGCAGCAAGTGACGCTGGAGTGGCGGCATTCGACACAGTGCTCTGTCGTCTCGAGTCCATATCCATACCGCCGTCGTCATGGTCGTCGTCGTCCTCGGTCTTGCATGCGCGGCTACCGCCACAGGCCGAGGTGGAGGATGGTCGACACATCTTGGGAGTGACCAGCATGACGTTCAGTATCTCAGCAGCCGAGGGAGACGAGGCATACTCGTCGTGTTCGGGACCGTCAATGTCGGCATCGCTGAAGCCTTGTTGTCGTAGTAGGCGGCGCAGGCGTTTGTTCTCGTCGAGGACTTTACGGGCAGCGGCCTGGATCTCTTGCGAGGCTTCTGCGCCGACAGCCTCACATGAGCGGTACTTTGCCTCGAGCTCTTGCAGATATTCCTTGCGACGGGCGCGCGATCGTCGTTGGTTGTCACTGCCGAGGAGCACTCAAATTAGCCTTTCGCTGGGGCCTGTCACAGATGATGGCGTTGGGTACCGAATGCGCGCCAGGTTGGCCTTTTGCTGTGGCGTAGGATCACTCATATTGCGTGTTATTGGTCGTCAGTTTGCATTGCTTGTTCAAAGCAGAAGGAACGGCGGTTGGTGCGAAGGCGCATCTTGGTCATGAAGTCTGAAGAAATCGCGCTCAAGGCACGTCGATTGGCTCCGAATGTTCCAGCCTCTGTAAAAGCAATCGCCGTCACTTCCCCGACATCGTGAACCATTCGGGGCAAGGGGCCGTCTCTTTTCCTCGGCTTCCTCTTGCTACATGGTCAAGCGACAGTCCTCCTCCCTCACGACCAGTCTTCTACTCATTCATGCATAGGATACGTGCCACATCGCGATAAGATAGTGGCCATTTGCCATCAATATCCCGTGCCCCACCAGATGCCTACAATGCTCGAGCCCGTCGACAAACACGTGCGCCAGTCCCTCCCCGTATGCTAAAGTCTGCAATCTTCCTCCTTCTCCCACAGCGTCCAGATACATATGCTCACTATCAAAAGGCACAGTAGTTGTCAGACTAAGTATGCATCCAAAACGACCCGGGACATAATCGCATCTCGATGGGTTTTGTTTTGTTTCTCGAAACCTTTGTGCAACTTGATAGGAAGATGCGCTGGGGACGTGCGCCAGTCGTTGCACAGCCCTGCTCTCTCCGCATCTTGGCTACTGCACGTGATCGTCTCATGCAAGCCTCTTGTCTTGTTAAACGTCCTGCCTTCCTTGGCTTACCCAGTTCTCGAACAGTACCACCAATTCACTACTGTTTTCGCTCTTCTCGCCGACGCTCCTAGTCATGGTACATGTCCAGCAGTCTCATTGTCTGGGCTCTTCCCATGGGTGGCCCTCTGTCGAACAATCTGGTCTTGGTCAAGATCGATAATGGACCAACCCCCGAAGCCACATTCACCGTTCGACGAGGAGGTATAAACGCAGAGGTTTATTCTCTCGAGGAGCAAGCCGCCGCGGGGCTCCAGAGCGAAACTCACAATAACACCCGACCTGTCTGGGCATACGAGAAGTGGTCGGCAGTCAATTTGCCAAAACCAATATTCAAGATGCATTCCAAGGAGCCAAGTTCTCCGCCGTTCCTTTTTCCATCGTAAGTTCTTCTATGCCAGCGACGCCTCGTCTTGACCACGCGAATCCCGACCTTCGTCCCGCTTGTTTTTACCTTGCAACCTCCTTGGCCGCCTTGGTCATTCTTCTTGACATCGGAATCGTACGGACGATCTCGCAGTATCCCCGCATCGTGTCCGTCTGTTTGTGGAGCAACTGTATGGGGAATGAGGACAGCTGGGGTAGTCTGGGGGCGGAAGACTAACTCAAGGCACCGTAAGAGGAACATGGTTTTCTTGGGCTCGTCCAGATATATAAATCCTTGCCTCGAGCCTCTCTCTTCTCCGGATCAGTACGAGTTCAATTCATCTTCTTCCATCTCCTCCGACCCACTCTCCAATCATGCAGAAAGACATTGGCGAGAAGCCAGCCATCATGATGGTCGAAGACATCGGCAACGATGACGACCTCAAGAAGCCTCAAGTGAAGAAGGACTATTCTGGAGTCGCAGCCAAAACAGATCCGGCCGAGATTGCTCTTGTGAAGAAGCTTGACAGATGGATCATGCCCATGCTGTGGGTACGTAAGATCAAAGTACAAATCCAGCGAGTCTGTCTTGCATGTTTACTTGACAACGATGGGACGGCGTCAGGACGCCATCCTATTGGTGTCGAGCTCGACCTGCGAGCCAACTCGTTGCATGACTACCACAACTTCTGTTCCATAGGACTCTGCTGACTGTAATCTCGTTCAAAGTCCATGTACTGGTTGAACTACTTGGATCGAAATGCCATTGCTCTGGCTCGTCTCAACGATCTAGAGGAGGACCTCAACCTGACACCAACTCGTAGGTCATATATTCCATTTCGAATCAGCAAACAGAGTACTAACCACAAACAGAGTACCTTACCTGTGTCAGCATTCTCTTCGTCGGTTACCTCCTCGGACAGATTCCTTCGGTAAGTCTCTTGTCGCTCGAGACGCTTAGAGTGTAGATACTAAGATGTCTCAGAACATGTTTCTCACCAGAACCAGACCCAGCTATTACATGGGAACATGCATGTGCCTATGGGCTGTCGTATCAGGCTTGACCGCTGTTTGCCATAACTTCGTTGGTCTTCTCTTGGTTCGCTTGTAAGATATGATTCCGGATATGGTATGTAACCGAGACTGACGTGAACTCCAGCTTCCTCGGTGTGACTGAAGCACCCTACTACCCTGGTGCTGTCTATCTCCTCAGCATCTTCTACAACCGCAAGGAGATTGCCACTCGTATCGCTATCCTCTATACAGGAAACATCTTAGCTACAGCCTTCGCAGGACTCATCGCAGCTGGCATCTTCCATGGTATGGATGATCTGGCCGGTCTGGCTGGATGGCAATGGCTGTTCATCCTCCAAGGAGCAGTTACCTTCGTCATTGCCGTTGTCGGGTTCTTCTGCCTTCCAGACACGCCCTTGACCACCAGATGGCTCACCCCTGAGGAGAGGATCCTCGCACACAGCCGCATTGCCGCTGATACTGTTGAGAAGAAAGGAGATACGAGCATCTGGGTTGGTCTCAGACAGGCTGGTTCCGACCCTGTTGTTTGGCTCTTTGCGCTCATGGCACATCTCCACTTGGCCGCCAATGGATTCAAGAACTTCGTAAGTCTCGCTCATCCCCACTTCTCCGTCATGCTCTAACGTTTCCAAGTTCCCTTCCGTTGTCAAGACTCTGGGTTTCGACAGAACCATTACTCTTGTTCTGACCTGCCCTCCCTACCTCATCGCTGGCGCTTCCACGCTTCTGGTCTCATGGTCTTCCGGCAGAATGAACGAACGCACATGGCACATCACTGCTTCAAAGTCAGTTGCCATCATTGGCTTCGTTGTCGGTGCTCTTGTGATGAACACTGGCGTCAAGTACTTTGCCATGGTCGTCTTTACCATCGGTACCTATGCGGTCAACTCGTTGATCTTGGGTTGGGTCGGTTCCACTTGTGGCCAGAGCACTGAAAAGAAGGCAGCAGCCATTTCGATTGTGACCACAGTGATGAACGCTTCATTCATCTGGACGCCTTACCTCTGGGATCCCAAGGACGCACCTCAGTACCAGCCTGCCATGTTCTCGAGCGCTGCCTTCTCTGCTGGAACTGCGCTTGTTGCTTGGATAGTCAAGATCATCATGAAGCGTCGCAACGAAAGGCTCAGACAGTCTGAGGATGAGGTGCAGACTTTCTATGTCTACTAGGTGGATCATGTCTGGGTGCAGCCCGCCAGGAACGATGGACGAGGTAGAGACAGACACGGTGCATACGCGGACCAGAATGTTTGTGACCAGAGTTTGTTTCAATTTGCACGATTACGGCCACATGATGGATTTTGCGCCTGAAAGACAGATGTTTACGGAATACTTTATGAATACCTTCAACTTCACTACGACTAGCCTTTGTGCCGTGCTCGTAAACAGAGTGTCGTGCTTTTAGTTTCGCCAATATTTCCGTTCGTAGTTACGCTGTACAAGACTTGGTATATGTTGTGACATGCATGTCAATTAGGAAGGAAGCATCGAGCCACAATCTTCACATGCAAGTGCTGAGAGCGCAAGCGAGCACAGACCGCGTGATTGCCACCTCCGCCAGGACTCGTCCGACGATCCAAGGCGGCAGCAGCGTCGCATGATTATCTTCGCCTTCTTTCCTTCCATCACAACAACAACCTTACAACAGCCGCAGCCATGTCGGAACGCAAAGTGCTCCAGAAATACTTCCCTCCGGACTTTGATCCGTCCAAGATGGTCAGGCAGAAGGGGCCCAAGAAGACTGGACCCCTTCTGCAGACCGTCAGACTCATGGCTCCCTACTCGATGAAGGTAAGCCTTTAGATCTCGCTATCGCACCAATACGTACTTAGCTAACGCAGTGACCTACAGTGCACCGCCTGCGGAGAGTTCATCTACAAGGGTCGCAAATTCAACGCCCGTAAAGAAACGACGGATGAAAAATACTACGCCATCACCATTTACCGCTTCTACATCAAATGCACCCGCTGCTCCCAGGAAATCACCTTCAAGACCGACCCCAAAAACATGGACTATGAAGCAGAGAAGGGCGCCAAACGCAACTTCGAACCCTGGAGAGAGGCCAAGCTTGCAGAAGAGACGGAAGAAGAAAGGCTGGACAGACTGGAGCGCGAAGAAGCCGAGCGCGACGCCATGAAGGAGCTTGAAACAAAGACGCTGGATGCGAAAACCGAGATGCAAATTGCTGACGCTCTGGACGAGATCCGCACTCGTAACGCCCGCAATGAACGCACTGCCAAAGAAGGAGCAGAAGTTACGGTTGCGGATAAGGTTGACGATGAAAGAGAAAGACAGGAAGCAGAGGATGCTGAAGCAGCAAGACTGGCCTTCCTGGCAGGCACGGGTGAAAAGGTCAGAAGACTGGTTGAAGACCAAGAGGAAGAAGGGACTGGTACCGCTCCTACATCGACTACTGCTACAACGACTACAAATGGCTCCATGGGTCCACCACCCGTCCCAACCTTCACCCGCAAACCAAAGAAAAAGACGGATTTCGGCGCAAAATTGGGTATCAAAAAGAAATCACTCGTCTGATCTACGCCGCCTGTGTCGCCTTCTTCTCGTTCCCGACATGGACTCGACCGATCCGCTGATCGAGCCTTCACCCTGCTCGCTCGTACGGCTCTGATAATCCTCGGCTGCTCTCATGTCTTCCTGCATATTGCGGTCTGTTTGTTCTGGATCATCATTCCTTCTTGCACGCCTGATTATACGATAACCCTTACGACTCCTTGACGAATTCGACTTTATATCTTCATCATCAGTCTCATGGTTGCCTGTTCTGACCACTGCTTTGTCGTTGGCGTAGTTGAATCGTTGATTTGCGCTGCCCTCTGATGTAGTGTTGCTGCGGGTCTCGGACATGGTATCCGTTTTCGGTGCGTCGATTGGTGATATGTTGCTCGAACCATAAGCTGAGTCGCGGAAATGTGTTTTGGAGTCCAAGCGCAGTCGTGTCAGGCCAGCTGTCGAGCGATGGGATCTGTTGCTCGTCACAGATGGAGCAGGGATAGAGACGATTTGCTGCGGCAGGTCCTGCACTGCTTTGCGAGCGTCTTTGCTTCTGGACGATGAAACCCTGCTCGGTGCGCCTGAGGACGATGGAGCGGTGTCTTTGGTAGTAAACGTGACAGCAGCACCACTTGGCCCCTGAGGAGGTGTGGGCCGATGTGGTGGTGCTACGATGGTAGGCGGCATAGTAGGTGGGGGTGATCCTCTGCGCGTGAGGGAGTGATGCACGTGTGGAGGTGGTGGCATGGGAGCCTCGGGCATCATCTCCCCTGAAGGCCACCCCTCATCACCTCGACGTCTCCTGCGTGGTTCAGATCCACCATCATCGAGCCTCCGGATACTGAATTCTGGCGATCTAAACCAACCTCGTAACCTGACACCAACCTCACTGGAGTAGCGACGTTCAGGCCTGGGTTCCTGCCGTCGCGGAGAGACGTCTTGGTGCAGCACGACTTCATTGTTTGTCGATGTCGCCGGACGGAGTGCCACTTGTGAGGATTTTCCAGGTCCGCGTTCTGAGGTCTCTATTCTTGCGTCATCGCATGGTCGGATCCCGTTGGACTTGTTGCAGTAGAAGACTTTATCCTTGTTGTCTGAGTGGCCATCTGAACGGAGAGTCGTTACTCTCTTGATCAGACACATGGCTGCGAAGATTCTCTTGGCTCCCTTGCAGGAGATGTGTTGCAACCTTTCCTAGTCGAGTGGCCCGGATGGACCGACAGGAAGGTCAAATGGAGAAGCCCAGGAGAGGTTGTGTCGCCGGTGGCAGTCAGCGTATAGTCTGTCTCAAGCGGCGGCGGTGTTGAAGAAGTCCTTCTTTGGCCTTGTTCTGTTGTTCAAGAAACAAGTCGTTGCCTTGCCTTGGGAAGAGAAAAGAACAAAAGATGCAAAGAGATTCGAGTTGTCCACGTCAAGTGCAAAGTAAAAGGTCTCGTGTATGTTGTAGCAAAATGTCTCAGACCAAGTGTGCCCCACGCGGATCAGGCACAAGTCCAAGATGTTTCAGTCGTAAGAGTTCAGAAAGAAAGAAAAGTGCAAGTCAAAGGTCAAAGAAAACGAACAAGCAGAGCAGAGCTTGGACTGCAGGTCAGATACTTGATGCACTGATCCGCTGTGCAGTGATCGCTTTTTATTCTTGCTTGCCAGAGCTATCATCATAGGTAATAGAATCAAAAGGGTACTATTCTAGTGGCTCATGTGGACGGGTGGGCGTAAGGCTACAGCTGCTGCAGCGGGAACGAAGGGGAAGGCAGACGTGCGCCTCCACCAACAACAACTCGCTGCAAAGCCCCACGACACCGGGTTTCGAGAAAACACCGCCGCGGTGTTGAATCTTGCAATCTATTCGATATCGCCTCGTTTCGTAGACTTTGACGTGACTTCAGAAGTGCAAAGGGGCAAGGACAAGGGAGCGGTAAAGGTCGCGACTCGTCACGGCGAGTTTGGTAAGAAGATGCAGAGGGTGTTGGTTGTTGCCTGGTCCACGACTGTTCTGTTCGTCTGCCTGCCTGCCTGCCTCTCTTTGCACGGCTCTCCGCCATGCAGCAGACTAGTTCAAACTCGAAATGGCATACCAATGATTCCATTGCTTTTTGAGCTTCCATCATAAACGCCGATTTGACAGAACGAGTATCCATTCGTCAAAGAAGATCTACTGGGGACCCGACGATATGGTAACGCCCACGTCCCACGCGCATTTGCAGACGCGCACACGCTGGCTCGCACCTCTGATCACCTATCGTTATGCGCGATGTTTCAATGTACATGCTCTGCTACTTTGCTGCTGCCTCTCTGTTTTATCTCGAATCATCTGCACTGTTGTTTTGAAATCCTGACTTCCAACACGCTGGTGTCAGGCAATCCTCGCTTAGAACACCTTACCAGGTATTCGCAGGCGCAGCAGGGCAGAGAGACAGCAACAAAAAATCCGGTCATTTGACGAGGACCCCGTGGGCTTGGCACGATCTGGTGTGTGCATGGTGTGCATGGAGGTGTGTGGATGACAGCATCGGTCAGGAATAAGAAATGACCTTGATTGCTTACGCCAGAAGGGGAAGCGCCGCCGGAAGGGCTGTCCTTACACAGGCTGCGGACGTCGCGTGCGCTTCAGGGCTGTGCGTTTCGGTGATGATCCCGAGCGCGGCAGCGCAGCGGTCCGTCTCGCGTTTCCCTTCGTCCAAACCCATTTCTTGCTTCCGAACTTTCGTTTGTTTGGATAATAGCTTGCTGACCTGACCGACCGTGGATGGGATTGACATACTTACCTGACATACGGAGTGCAGCAGCGAAAGTGCAGATGTCAAACAGCAAAGTGCGCAGTATGCTGGCCAGCTCGCGGGGTGGCCCCATATTCGTGTCCGAAGGCTGGCAGCCTGAGGCTGTGCTGGGCTGTCTTTCTCAAAAGCAACGATGAACAAGTCGTACTTTTTGATAGCAAAACACAGCCTCGTTGTTCAGCTGTTGACTATTTCACGCAATGTATTCTGTATACATCATAGAGGCTCTCGTTCTTTCGGCCTTGTGGCCTTGTGAAAGAGACCGAGGTGGCTGACCGTCCATGCTGTTTCCTGGCAAGCGAGGCGGAGGATGCAGAACAGAGCAAGCAACCGTGGCCAAGCGAGGTACCCGGCCATACTGCATACTTGCAAGTGCTGACCAATGGCTGAACACGACACTTCATCATGTTGTATGAGCCACTCGTGGCTGCTGACCAAACAAATGATGTTGTCACAAGCATCAGGATGGAGCCAGAGAATGAGAAGGTTTCTGTGAATTGTTGGTCATTGTCGCCATTCCACCACCATAAAAAAGTACCCTAACTCTGGTATAGACAAGGTCGAAAAAAAGATACATCCATGAATAGATGTTCACAAGGCTGCCTGCCTAGCGGATATGTACAACTCGTGCCAGAAACGCCAGACAGCCCCGAATTAAAGAAAAAAAAGTGTTGCAACCATAATCCAACGCCAAATGCTCTGTTGATCCATATTTTGCTCTTTCATCATCTCGAAACGGTCGTTAACAAAGGCATAATTCATTCTTCAAAGTGGTCGTAATCATGCTCCAATAGCAGCTTCGGGTAACAGTCTGGACGGGAGTCGCATGATGAAGCCTTCACTGAGGCGTCGCCTGACAGACAGACCTTGACGAGCGGTGCTCTGCAGCAACCACATGGAACGCTGCAGATCCTCGGGCCGTAGGAAAAGGTCAAAGTTGAGCAGATAGCAGAAACTGATCTCGAGCTTTCTAAGCTCATTTGTGCTTATCCCGCCCAAGCGGGCAATGCGCTCCTGCGTCCATTTGTTGTCTTCGAGCGATTTGCTGGCTATTCGGATGGCGGCCAGAGCTAAGCGATGTACTGTACGAGGAGTGGCTGGTACCATGGTCTCAACGACACAGAGGCGATGGATGTACGAGGCGGCAGCCAAGTAGACACCGGGCGAGTGCGGGCTGAACTTGTGGATGCGAAGGAGGTAGTCGGTAATGGAAAAGGGCGGAGCAGCCTTGAGGAAAAAGCGTCGCGAGACAGCAGCAAGCTGTAGGGCGTTGGCTTCGGCGATGTCTGGCTCGGGCTGGTAGTCTGCTGGCGGAGCGATGGGCTCGTCGCGTTTGGCCTCGGGGGCGCCAATGTGGTGGACGGGTACGCAGTGGTGAGGGGCAAGTGTCGGTGAGCCTTCCAACTCGGGTGTGTGGGCGGGCGGTGTTATCGAGTCGGGGGATGGCGGATTTGAGCCCTCGTGGATGGTCGGTTGCGGCTTGAACATGTGTTGTCTTTGGTATACGGGGGTTGTGCACGCGACATCGCCGGTGATATTGGATAGCGACTGCAGTGCCTGGGCCAGCATCTGCACAGCGGCGATAGCTGAGACCGAGTAGAGGTCCCAGTTCTCATCCTTGAGCATCAAGGGCTCGTTGCTCTGCTCCATGTCGATGTGGTAGTCATGCGGAAGGCGGCCGCTGTCTTGGTGCGGGTTTGGTTTGGGCGGAGCTTGTATAGTGGTAGAGTCCATGGCTGCAAATGTCACAGAGTGGAAAGAAGGAGCCGCGCGGAGAGTGTTGTGAGATAAGGGAAGGAAAATTGCAATAATAGAGCGTAGTACTGCCGACGGATGTACTCGGAGATTTGGTTGCGCTCCAACTTGCAAGCGGCACTTTCGTGGTCTGACTCGGTGTAGCTTTGTATGTGTTTGTTGGAAGAAAATGGAGCGGTATGTGTGTGGGCTGATCAGAAGGTGTACGGGATGAGTCAAGGAGGGCGTCGGGCTACAGGCAATATGAACAAAAGATAGAGGCTATCGCGACAGGGTGTTGTATGAGGGTACCTACGTACGATAGCGGGGCAGCACCCGTGGCGTGTGTGTTTGGGAAACGTGCCCGCATCACGCTCCCTTTGGCATGATTTGCGTCTAATAACTGTCTTTGTTTCACTTTTCTTCCTGCTATTGCGACAACCGTTTCGAAATCACTTTCATTTTGTCCGCTGCTTTTTCCATCTTTGAATACATCATACCGGCCTGTCCTAGACAAGGACGACACCAACTCCGTCATACATAGCATGTCATGGTCTTCAGCAGACCAAGAGTCCCTTGAGCGGTTCCTGCAGGTGGTCGTATTACCTTCCCGTTGACCGCCTCTGATTGGTTTCGGACCAGTTTAACCGTGCAGCTCCGGATCTAGTCAATTCAGGCAGCATCACTTGTGAATACGATGGGCTCGAACATGGAAAAGTAGCGCACAAAGAAGAAGTTGCTCTGGCTTGGTGGTCGCGATTGACACATGAAATACTGGTAGCGACAAGTCCTTCGCTGATGTGGGCAGGAGGTCAATTCGTGACCATCTACATGACAGGTTTGTAGGCAAGCAACACCTGTGTAGGCCATGAACCAAACACCACACCAAGACCTGCGAATCTCCTCTCCACCACCATCCATCCATTCAACTTCATCTCGGCTTCATAGTCGGCCACGTAGCCAAGCAAATCCAGAATGATAACAGCCCCTCCGGGCTTACATACTCTGCAAGCCTCCCGGATCGCAAACTTTCTGCCTGCCAATGAGACATTGTGTAGAGACAAGCTTGCAGTGACGAGCGAAAAGTAGTTGTCGGCAAAAGGTAGAGGTTCCGTGAAGCTTGCTGCGTAGGCCACCACACCATCCAAGAGATCCAGGCTTTTGATATTCTTGTACAACATTTGTGGACTATTGCCAGATTGGTCGCTTGAGTTGAAGATGTCGATCCCGTAAGTTGGACAGTCCTTGATCTGAGCGGTTTGGAGAAGACTGCGTTTCTTTGTGGCCACTTTGCTAAGCACAAGGCCCCTGCCACATCCCATGTCTAGACTTGGACCATAGAAGATCTTGTCTGGTAAAGAGGAGAGAGCTTGGTCCCAGAAGGTATGCTTGCCCTTGACTGTTGCGTACAAATATACTGGTGCAAACACAAATGAAGACATGAGGCCCATCGGCGAGTCGATTCCAAAAGAAGCCTTTCCTTTGCCGCTGTCACGATGGCTGGCTGTATCCTCTTTTCGCAACTGCTCGATCAGGTCGATGTATTCCTTATTGGTGTGGCCCGACTGTAACTGATTCGAGTCCTCCATCGACGGTATTGTGCCCGGAAAATATATCTCAAAAAGATCAGGTGTTTGAGTAGAAGTTGACAGCGAGGTTCAAATGATGCTCAGCTGTCTCTTTATATATTCACTTGAGGTTGATGAACCATAATGGTCATGGTACAGACACAGATAGTACTAGGACCGAAGGAGTAGCATGCTGCGCTGGCTTGACAGCTACTACACATTGCCTGTCGCATCAGAATACAGATTTGATCAGTTTAAAGCCGCGTTCACCAGGGAGAACGTGCTACACCACGTTTCCCATGGTTCGAAGAGCGACATGGCAACATGACAAAAAGGGTAAGAAGCTGCGGTCCGGTTTAGCCGAATCCCATTCCGCTGAGCCATCTCATGTGCTACTCGAGATGTCTGCTCATGCTTCTCCTAGCACGGCATTGCTATTTACAGATATCCACGCGCGCATACAGTATTGGAGTTCTGCCTCTGCAATGAACGCCAGGATCATCTGTTCTCAGTAGATGTCGACTTGAACCTTCATTCCATCATCCGTTATATTCCCTACAGATCCCTGTGTTCTCTCGAGCCGGCGGCGCGAAAGCTTGTCACTAGATAATCCATGGCTGTCTGCTGTCCCTGAAGATGGCGCCAAACTCTAAATTGCCAGCTCGTCTCCACTCGGCTTACCAGAAACAGCAGCAAGCAACGCAAGATGCTAACAGGCAATCAGAGGATCTGGCTCAAGCTGTCGTGCTAGTTGGCAACTTCGCCATCTACGCTACCTGACATAAATCTCATATGGTCTGTGTACCAAGGTCGAAAGGCTGCGCAGCCTGTCTCTCTAAGCATGTCAAGGTAATTTAGAGACGAAAGACGCTTCTAAGATCTACCAACTAACGCATGTATCTGCAGTGCGATGAGGTCCGGCCGGAGTGTACACGATGTCAAAAGTCCGGACGTCGTTGCCCAGGCTATCACAAGGAGATTATTCTCAAACACTACGATGCCGATGGATCGAGGACAAACAGTTTCAAGTCAAGTCTTGAGCAGAAAGATCACATGGTACGACGGAGTAGCACGAATTGTTCCAAGGGCTCGAAATCTCTCATTACAGATAAGCTGTTCTCCACGTCACCAAGCGTTGTGAGCATATTTACAAATCAGGTCGTGTCGACAATGATAGTCGCCATATCACCAGAGTGGCAAGTCCTTCTCCCGTCACAGCGCTACACTAGAATATGGCTCCAAGAGGTTATCACACGGGCAGAAAGCGATACCTTACTGCGGTCCTCGGCTCGAGCACTCTCATTACTATGTCTCGGCATCACTACAGGCGCACAGGATGTAATGATTGTAGCGCAATCCAACTATACATCTGCACTGAAGAAAATGCAGAGCGTGATCTCACGTGGCAATCAAGCCTTTGCGAATATTCAGAGCGCAGCAATGCTGCTAGCTTTTTACGAGGTATGAGTTGTGCATCCAATCTCTCTTCTGGATCTCTGATGCAGAGACAGCTTCTTCGTCCCTCTTCTCGTCAGGCATGGATACAGCATGCGGGCGGAGTCGCTAGTATCATGAAGATTCGAGGTCCCGCCGTGTACACCAAAGGCTTTGACAAGATCTGTTATATGGCAATGCGGAATTACTTGGTATGTCTCAGTCATCTTTCACCAATTCGTGTGACTTACCGTACCGTGTCTGGAAAGGTTAGCGATGCCATCATCTCGGGGACTGCATGCTTTCTGGCAGAGGCCGACTGGATTTTACAAGACGAGCAGGCCCAAGAGCCGCCAGAGATGATGTTCAGATGCCACGTCAAGCTTCCTGGACTTTTGCACGACATCAGGAATAAGACCGCTGATCAGTCTTCCCCTCAAAAGCTGCACACCAAAGCACTAGCTCTCCGTGAACAGATGGTTTGCTGTTTTCATACCTGGGTGTTGTCTAAAGGATCACTTGATGCATTTCCGCCGAGCTGTGTGAATAGCGGATCTTTGTATGGATATGCTTACAAGTTCTCCGAGCTGCAAAGTTTGATCTTGTATTGCTCACACTACGCAAGTTTGATCGTCATCAACAATATCATCATGGAGTCTTGGGAAGGATACCGGTTGAGGTTTATGGACGAATGCAACAAAGCAGCCGCAGAAATCGCTGCTTGCGTGGATCAGGCACAGTCTTCTCTGCTGACGAATTTGAGTCTGAAGTTTTGGCTGCAAGCCGCCGCACATGGCTGTGCCCCTTCGGATGCCTCATGGTTCATGAACACAATTCAACGACTCAGTCACTAGAACAGGCCGAAAGATTCTCTTGGAACCAACTCGTCCCCACGTCCCGATCCTGGGTACTTCTTCTCAATAGATGTAAGGAAACAGCTTGTATGGCACCTCCTTCTGAACCGCTTTCCAGTGCTCTCCGTACTATGTTCATGTCAGCTCACATGCCATGCTTTGAATTCGAAGGGCAGTCTCACCTTTCTCGCCAAGTATGTCTCCAACAGAGGTATAGCTCTCTGAGAGAAGTCACCGGCCAGGAAGACGAACATAAATGCACCCCATGGGAGTCCAGCGCAAACAATACTGTAGCCAGCTCTCCACAGAGTGTAACCGCCATAGTTGATGTTACGCGCCAGACCAAACAGGCCCTCGGTACAGAGCTTGCCCTTGTTGGCCGGGTTCTGCTTGTACCGCTTGCGCTGCACTTCACACCACCACTCGGTGAAAATTCCAAGCCCATATAGTCCGGCACCAATTGCAACACTCGGGCGGCTTGTACATAACTCGGTCCATGTGCCAGAAATCGAAGGACTATTAGATGTGACAGCCCAGAGCGTGAGCAGAGTGTTGAGCGTGTTCAGCACGGTGTTGTAAGCGGCAATCATGGTGGAAAAGCCAGGGTCGAATTTGTTGTCTGCCACACCCAGGCACCAATAGATTTGCTTAGCAGCACTGCCGACAGCGAGGCCAAACACAAGGGAGTGGTATGGTGAGAGGCCAATGGCCGTGGTTGGCGAAGTGATTGCACCCGAGATGGTTGCACCGCCCAGCTTGTGCACGACTTTCAGCCCTAGGCCGGATGATAGTAGATAGTACTGTAGAGGTAGGTCTGCCAATTTCAAGATGGTAAAGAGCGTGTTTCCTGCCACACTGACACCCTTCTTGCGTGTTTCCTCGAACCATGCGGGAAGGTCCTGCTGAGCGTTGTCCTTAGCCATTGTTGTCTTTGGCAAATGTGTCGACCAACGCAGATACAGAGGCTGATCAACGGGTGTATTTGACGATCGCACAGTCTGGAACTGTCCGCAAGTAACGGTGACTAGGAGTAGGAGAGTTCGTCCTTGACTGATGAACCAAGATCTCGACTCTTGCTGTCGTGACGTATGGGCCCACTTCCTGTCGGAGTTGGGGCCGGCGCTCTTGATTTCCTGCTTCACTGTGGCACCTCATCTTCCCTAGATTTCTCGTTGCACTTGAACAATTCAGCGCCTACATCGCCAAAACCAATGTCCGAAGCTGCGCTCGTGTGCAACATGATGTTGCTGTTCGGAAGAATCAAAGGTCATCCTGGCGCGTCAGAGTGACTATGCACTTCGTAACGCACGCCAAGACTTGGTTTGAGGGACAACCAAGGAAGGTAACTTGAGTAAATCTGGGAGTGGTCCTCGTGAGACCTGATATGCTATCGCACTCATATCTCATAGACACGCCAGCTCTGGACAAGAATTATAAGCTAACAACAATCTTCTTCGCACTAACACCCTTCTTCGCAACCGCAAACGCATCCTCAATCCCCTCAAGCCCTTTCCCAGCCACCTGAAACTCCGGAGCCGGCACGAACGACTTCTCCTTCAAAGCGACAGGCAAGAATTTCTCATACATCTCCGCACCAAGTTTATTAGCCATGACATCTGTTGCCCAGACAAACTTATACCCAACACTCTTGGTGAAACTCTTGAGTTTCCAGCTGATAAAGCTGCTTCCCATCAACCACATCAAGGTGGGGAGTCTGGTCGGAAAGTCTTTCATGGGGATGTCGTGGCTGACTTGAGCAACAAACTTTTTGCCTTTGGTCTTGCTGAGAATGTCGATGCAGGCGTGGAGGGAGCCAACGCCGATGGCATATGCGCCGGCAGAGATGCGGTGTTTGTTGTTCATGGTGCTTACGATGTCTTGCACTACGGTGGGACTGTTGTAGTCGAAGACTTCGCTGGCGCCTAGGCTCTTCAGGTACTCGTGGTTTCTGGGTGAGGCTGTGGATATGACTTCGTATCCTGCAGCGACGGCGAGTTGGATGGCGTTGCATCTGTTGGCTTTGTCAGTGACATTTGCGGAGTTGTGGTCTATGTTCTTAAATACCCAACACTTGTGCTTCCTCCCCAGATGATTACAGTCTTGCCGATAGGCTTCTGCGGCTCAGGGGCGGTAGGAAGCTGAAGACCCAGAAAGTCCTCCAGAAACAATCCACAAGCAGCAGTTGCTAGACCAAGCGGTATGACCGATGCAGACTCAAAAGACATCCAGTCCGGTATCTTGGTCGTAAGAGTTGTTCTCAGCACGACATGCTCCTGGAATCCGCCCTCACTAGCCTTATTGGAGCGCTTGTCAAAGCTAACAGCTAATCCAAGCACACGATCGCCCACTTTGAGATTGGTAACTCCTTGTCCGACTTCGACGACGGTGCCCGCGCAGTCGTCGCCGAAAACGAATGGCAGCTTGACGTGTGGGCCAAACATGCTGACTACATTGGGAAGTAGCCAGTCCACGGGGTTGATGGCAACAGCAGCATTCTTGACGACGACTTCGTTGGATCCGGGTGAAGTGTACGGCGCTTCTCTGACCTCTAGCGGTTTCCCTTGGGCCACGACATAGGCAGCTCGATTGGCGGGCATTGTTGTAGATGTTTGGTGCTCTGGGGTATAGGATATCTCGGGGCACCACGTAAAGGCATCTGCAGCTATTTATCCTCCCTCTCATGCATCATAACTGCCTTGAGCTGTGTAATAATTGCACCGCCCCGCATACAGAAAGCAGTCGCATGTGCGAGCTCATCATCAAGTCATAGTGTCATCGAAGCAAATACCAAAATCTGACTGGTTCAATCATCGAAGGAATGCAAGTCGGGTGGTGTAAGGAGATGGACGGAGTAAGGGTTCTGCGAGCAAAGCGGGACAATAAAACTCCCGACTCGCATCGTCGCATGCAAATGCTTGATTCTGCCAATTATGTTCTCTACAAGACGGAGAAATAGCTCCATGTAGTAATGCTTGTTTACGCTTCCTTTCGGTGGTAAAGCTACCAACAACATTCTCCCTTCGTCATTTGAGATTCACCCGATCACCTCATATCGCGATGATTCGAAGGCGATGATGTGGCTGGGATGACCCTGCCGTTTTGACTCACCACACCATGAACTCTTTCTGGTCGTGCAAAAACTCTTTTCGGTCTTCATTTGGCACCTTCTGCGAGCAATTCGCCCATGTTGATCACCATACAGTCATCCATGATCGGCTTGTTGCACGAAACAATCAACTTGAGAAGTTCCCAGCAAATGGCAGATCCCAGCCATATGCTTTACTGGACCACGCGACAACAACACCTACATCGCTCTCCATCGTCGCGGAACATTTTCTCGTTAGTCGTACGTTTGTGAATAGCAATATGTATAGACGATCCCGTCTCCTAGCAGTTGGTCCCGTGTTGGTCCTTCACCTGCGTGTTCAACGATACGAGCCGTATGAACCGCGTCCTCTTTTGTACCCGCCTCTGCTGTAGCTGCTTCCATTACTGCTACTTCCTCTCTTGTAGCCACTGCTGTAGCTACTTGTACCTCGACGACTACTCCCTCCACGGCTCGTGCTGTAACGACTACTCCCTCCGCGACCTCTGGGACTACCAGCTGAGCCAGAGTGGCTGGCGCTCCATGTCGTTCTCGAAGTGCTCTTAGCCTTCGGTGGAGTTGGCATCACGTTCAAAGGTCCATGGGCAGCTGTTCTACATGCTGCCTCGAATTCTCGGAGAAGAGTCTGTAGACAGGGTTAGTTTGTTGGAAGATATGTTTATGTCTGATCTGACTTACGCTGAACTCGTGATCGGCCAGCGATCCAAACACTGGACCTTTGTCGAGCTTAAGCTGAGTAATTCTCGGACTCTTGATTCCGAAAGCGACACGCGCCAGAAGTCTTGGATCATCATGGGGGCAAGCAGCTAAGACTTTCTTGACACCTTCCACATTCAGTGGTGGAGTTGGTTTTGGTGTTAAGGTCGCTGCTTCTCCCCAAGCGCAGTAAGTGCAATGCCCGCATGACTTCCTGCCATCCGGTAGGTCCATGCCAAAATGTTGCGCAAGGCCAAGAGCGAGGCAGCTTGTCCCTGTGATGAGACCCACCATCTGGTCAATACGCCCAAGAGCGTCTTTCTCACGCTGGGCCATGTCTGCATACAGGTCGTCGGCTAAAGCCTGAATGTCTTCCTCAGCTGTGGGGAGAGAATTCAGGAGCCGGTAGCGGTTCATGACTCCGGAAGTCTTCAGCATGATGACTCCAGTAGCGTTCCAGCTGTCTAACTTTCTGACGATATCCGCACGCATAAGTCCTTTTCTGGATGCTGCATTCATATCAAAAGTGTAGTTTTTGACGGCCTTGGTCGACATGGAGTAGATGGCTCCAGCTTCCGGTGAATGATCACTGCTTGCTACTACGTTATAGCGACCCTTGTCTTCGAATTGGTAGTTGGTGTATTCTGGTGTGATAGCACGCAAGAGACCGAACCTCAACTCGAGCGCTGCGAAAACGACACCTAGAGGACTAAGACGAATATCGTAAAGAGTTGACAGTTCGCGATGCGCCAACTTAATCACCTCTCCTTCGGTATCTGGTATACGTTCGCGTCCAAACACGTCTTTGAGCATACCTAGTAATGAGTTGCGAGAGGGCAGATCGCCGAGACCGAAGTTCTGGCGCAAGTAGATGTCTGCATGGCAGATGAACATGATGCAATAGCCGGGCTCTCCATCTCTTCCCGCACGACCAATCTGCTGGCTGTACTCTTCAACAGTAGAAGCAAGGTCAAGATGGACCACGTTTCTGATATCTGACTTGTCGATACCCATGCCGAAAGCGATGGTTGCAACCACGATCCTGATCTCATCAGCCATGAAGCTGTCCTGTACAGCCGTCTTCTCTTCAACTTTCATGCCAGCGTGGTAGAAAGCGGCGTTGAATGACTTTGAGCGTAGTACCTTGCACATATCCTCTGCTTGTTGTTGAAGACTGACGTAGACTATGGTACTGCCGGGATGTTCTCTTAGCCACTTGAACAACAGTGGGAGCTTGGCTTCCTGCGAGTCCGTAGCGACCGCTTCCAGTCTAAGGTTGGCACGGTAGGGACTAGTACGGAACTCGTTGCGCTCCAGAATGTTGAATGCGGTACGTACATCCTCAGCGACCTTCGGAGTGGCGGTCGCAGTCAAGCAGATGACTCTCTCAGCCTTGATCTCTTTCGTGAAGCGCTCGACCATCAGGTAGGTTGGACGGAACGAGTGGCCCCATTCGGAGATACAGTGGGCTTCGTCGACAGCGACAAGCCTTACTCCTCCTGGGACGTGCTTCATACTTGCGACAAATGCCTCGTTACTCAATTTTTCAGGGCTTACATACAAAAGACGAAGTTTGCCAGAGTGGATGTCGGCATGAATCTTTTGATGCTGCTCATACGTCTTTGTCGAGTCAGAGCACTCGGCTGCGATGCCTCGTTTTTTCAGAGCATCGGTTTGGTCTTTCATCAAAGCAATGAGGGGCGAAACAACGAGCGTAACACCAGCTCCATATGGGCGTTCGCTAGCGCTCATTTTGTCCATGAGTGGAAAGGCAATTGCCGGGATCTGATAACACAAGGACTTTCCTGCGCCTGTCGGAAAGACAGTCAAAGTGTTCTCGCCTCTCAATATGGACAGTATAGCCTTCTCTTGCTCCCCTCGGAAGGCTGGGTAGCCGAACTTCTCCTTCAACAGCCTGCGGATGAGGGCAACATGTTCAGGCTTGTCTGCGGGTGGTTCGGCGTTGCGTGCTGCTTGCTGCGACGAGGTCCATATCTCTTCAATGCTCGGATCATCTAACACGTCGTCACCAGAGAAATCATCTTCATCTTGGTCTTGTGGGAGAGGACGCTTGAGAGTCGGTGTTGGTGGGACAGCAAAGGATGAGTTGGGGTTGGGAAGGGCTGACTGCGACTGTTGACTCGCACTGACTAGGGCGTCTGCATCGAGTTCATCGAACAAGTCGTCGGATCCGTACTCTGAAGGCTCGCGTGGCAGCGGTGGTACGTATGAAGCTTCAGTCTTGACTGGAACGACAGGGAGTTCGACCTCGTCTTCTGCATGATTCGTGGCAGATGAGTCCGAGTTGGTTTCTATCTTCACAGCAGAGCTTGACGCGTCGACATTAGCTTTGGCTGTGTCGTCTTGCTGTAAGCGAGCTATCAAGTCTTTCTTGAGTTTGATACCAGTACTAGGCAAGTTACGACTCTGCAGCTCTTCTCGTAGGCCTGCTACAGTCAAATTATTGTAGTTCATTCTGGAAGGACGCGTTGGCGATGATGACGTGACGGAGCCGGGAACGACGGGGTTTCAATTCATGATTGGGGTATCGGTGCGATGGTCAGGCGTGTCCAAGAATCATCATTTCGCGACTGCCACCACAAGCGTGACTGCGACGGCGGAAGTGCAGTCGCGACAAGATAGGTATCTTGTCAAGAGTCGCGCCTTCTGGACTCGGACTCAAAAGCATGTGAAAGTGGGGTCTTGGCTCCGATGACGCCCTTCTCCACATCCGGATCAGGAAGGATGTCTGCTGGGGCATGCTGGAGCCATGGGATGCTTCTTAAACAGTGGAAACGCGGTATATATACCTAGATTTATATACTGCGACATAAAGACAGATTGTTCAAAATCCGCCTGACTTTACGACCGCTGCCCCATCTACCTATCTCAGACACCAGTTTCGACCCTTCCACCAGGACTCGTTCTGGCCCGCCGGGCCCACGAATACTTCCTACACCTCGGAGAGTTGGTACCATCGTCCTACCATCTCTCACGAAAGATCGCACTACTTCTGGCTCCAACAGTTGATCTATTGCGATGCTGATGGGCGCTATTTGCGTATCCGAATATCGTCGTTGTATCCGTGAGCCAGCGCTTGTTGACGTTGTCGCGAACGAACCGTATGCCCAGAGAGTCAGTGTTGCGAGCATGACTGCTGATGGTTCGTAAAAGCCGCTAGTATGGAACGCGTGTAGATGACGCAGCAATGCACCTGAGTGTAAAGCGGCGAGTCGAGCTTTGCTCGAATCCTCGTTGACCCACCTACGTATTGCCGCACGTAGGTCAGTCATCTGTGCCGAGCTTATGCTGCTGTCTTCCTTTGTCATTCCATATGCTAGATCGCAGATGGTCTGGAATGGTGAAAATAACACAATCCGTGCCAGATGGATGTGAAGCAGTGTTGGGTGTTCCAAGCCGTTCGCCGCATTCACGACATTGTTGGCGCTCCACTCGAGTATATCAAGCGATCCCGAAGCCGAGTTTCTCCAGCGCGTGTACATGGATGTCTGCTGGGGTATTGGTTGCGATTCTATCTCGACCCTCTCCAGCTCCCAGCATTGGTGGTAAAAGCCGTGGACCAGTATTATGCGGCTGAATTCGCCCATTGTGTTCTGTAGAAACTTTTCGTTTTGTAGCGATTGCAAGCATGATGCAAGTGTTGTGTTCGCTGATTTGTTAGTCACGTTCAATGAGCAAGATATGGCGACGTACAAGGCGAGAACTGAAAGATGTGATGCCATTGCAAGGCCGTCTTCGCTTCCCAAAGTACTTCCTGACATGGAAGAGGCATCCTTCCATCTGCCAGCGAAAGTCTTGGCTGCACTTGAAATTGATAAGCCCACATTGCGTCAAGCATCTGTGAAAAGCGTTAGTACATGTGTACAGAGACCACCTCCAGCACACTTACCCATATTGCATATCCAGTACGTCGACAAGACTCAAGTTGGACCCACCGCTTCCAGAACTCAGACTCTTGGCCTTCTGAAGCATACGTAGTGAAACCAGTTTCCGACATTTTCCATTCAAGCTGACAGAAAGAGATTAGATCGGTCAAGAACTCGTTGTAAGCAGATTCTTGCCAACTCTCTTCTCCACTATATATCTGATTGATGCAGGTTAGTAACTTTGCTTGGCAAAGAGTGATACGATCTATCGTGTCATGAGGATTCTGGGGAACAATCAGTATTGTCGATCTTTAATTCATCAGAGACATACAACATACCAAAGCAGATATTGCTCGGCGCAGGAACTCATCGAAACACAAAGAGTATTCCTCGGACTGTTCGAAGTCCGACATGTGACTTCCTATCGTCACAACAGCCAGGCTAAGGATCCAGTGGCAGCCATCAAGATTCATCGTGGGCTGGTGAAGTATAGGCAGCACAGGATGAAATCTCTCCAGATATAGCTTGACTAGGGCATTCAGAGTCTTTAGCGACGGAAAGTAGCTCGAGCCATACGGTGGTTGATAAGCCGTGAGACCAGTACAGACAGTTATGAAGGACTGTTGTATGCTAAAGTACGTTTGTTCGGACAACATGTTAAAAGTAATGTAGCTGTTGTCTTGGAAGGCTGGTAACACGTCGCCGGACAATGGAAAGCTGAGTCGACGCCTACGACTCAGGTAAGTAGTCGCAGGAATGAAGGACCTGTGAAAAGATCCACGGACGTCTGAACGGTTGAAGACAGGCTCCTCTCTAAGGCTGGCGAGCGTGAGCTGTGAATTAGGACTACTAGAATCCAAAAGGACAGTCTTCGCCCTCATATTGGGTGCGAGTCGAGGTCTTGTTGATAGCTGATCCAGGCTTGCATGACGATCTCTAGGAAATGGAGAACCGTGAGATATCTCGAATGAGGCTTCTGTGCCAGAGTAAGATCCTCCAAACGGCGACAAAGTGGATTGTGGCAAGAGATTTTGAGCATATGCAGAGAACGATTCTGACATGAGAAGAGGGGGCTGAGATGCTACGCCTGGACGTGAATCACAGCTCCATGGATCTGCGATATTGGTGCTGGGTTGCTCCGGATATGGCACAGCTTGGCCAATATATGGCAATGACTGCTCCAACTGACGGGGAAACGCCGTGGACTCGAGTACGGAGGATGAGATGTTATCCGATGTCCCGGGAGTGGATGCATAGTCGGATATAGCAGACGATGGCGAGTCCATGGCCTGTGCTGGGCTGCCAGCACTCGGATATATGCAATCAACATTCTTGGAACTGCACCTCTGGCAGGGTAGGGTCCCGTTGCAGCGGACCTTACTACCTGCACACTCCTTACAAGCTCTTGCTCCTTTAAGCTTCGAGACTCCAGGATCTTTTTGATGTATTAGTTCGTGCCGTTGAAGTGTGTCACTACGCATGAGACATCAGTCAGCCCAACTGATACATCGAGTGTATAAGGCGCACTTTTGACATACAGTCGATTGAAGCCTTTATTGCATGCCGCACATTTGAAAGATCGAGCCTCACCATGACTGTTAGCATGGCGTCTGAGATGCTCAATCCTCCCAAAACTTCGGTGGCATTGAGGGCATTGGAAGGTTGTGTCTTCTCGCTTTCGTCTCTTCCTATCACTAGTAGAGCTTGACGACCCCTCAGGTGCGTCAAGATGCTCTTCTCGGGTCAAATGATTACTCCCAAACATGTTCAAGCAGCAGGTCGATGCAGCTTGACGTTACCCAAAGCCACGATCTTGAGGCGTGCGTCGGGAACACTTCTCGCATTGCAGTGGTGGGACGAGGACCTGGGGCAAGAGCCGGGGTAGATGAAGGTCTATCATCATTGTGTTAATATTAGCCGTATTGTCGTCTCTGCAGAACTGACGTGTGATGAGTTGTGGAGGAAAGTAGCGGGGTGAAGAAGGACGCTCGGTTAAAGAGACCAATTTCTCATATCAGCCGAGCGTGCAAACCATCACCCAGAAGCACATTTAGAACCACACTTGCTAAGGGCGAGATCGTCTGATCGCGAATTGTACCTTATTAACCAACTTGCGAGCCAAACAGGACTCAGAATCCCATTACTTCCGGAAAGAATAACAACCGGCCACATCAGCAGCCTCCCCATGTGCAAAGCTCTAACGCCTATGAGTATAAGAATGCACAATGTTCTCTAAGATTGGATCGTTGCCATTGAGATGCAATATACTTCTAACACTCTAGTCTTGAGGTCACTGTGCCTTCCCATAGCGAGGATGCCGCTGTGGACCTTCGTGGGACGAGCGCCAGTGTTACAAAGTTTAGCACATGAGGAGGAGGCGGGAAGTGGTGAGCAAGATAACGATTGTTATTGTATCTAGTCAAGTAGCGGATGTTAGGAATTGTGGCTCCCGAAGACCTAATCTTTGCATCCATCGCAGTAGCAGCATTCTTGACAAGCTTGGGAGTTCACACGCACGGTGAGAAGATCCTGTTGGCAAGGAAATTTGGCCCGTATCAGAAGTTGGGTAGAGCTAGTCTTCACATCGCCACCAAAAGCTCGACGCAGCGCTGGGACAGACACGGTGTGTCGATTCTATTTCGAACCGAACGAAAGCTCAGCGGCGTACTACGACAGACTGGTCGATATTCTAGGCGTGATGATGAACTTGAGGGCGATCCTGACTTCGATACTCCACAGAAGCATGTGCAAAGCCGAGAGCTTGTCGCTAGATGGCTCACCAGCTATGATCGTGTCGTTACTGTGCGTCAGGATGATCCTTGCGAAATAGTCGACCTTTTTGCCTGGCAGCCAATCCGGCCTTGGTAGAGGTGCGATCTGTACGAGCAGGTCGTGCAGGGTAAGGTTGGACAGACGCTTGTAAGTAGCCTTGGGCATGTCTCGTTGCGGCAGCGGACTAGTAGAAAGAAGAAGCCAGGCATTGACTGAGACAGACGGTCAGAACTGCCATGTTCAGAGCTTTACTTTGGTGTACCAATGATCCTGGTTAGTATTCGGTCGCCATTCCGTAAATCACCTGCTAACGAAGGCGCAGAAGTGGCCGAAATCTTCTCCTAGAAAACGAACATGGACGGGTCGAGTAGCGAGTTACGAGTGTATTCGATTGCGCGAGTTCGACCTTCGGCCTCTGGCTGCGTGACATGTCGGCGCAATGCATCATAGCCGACGCAATTGCATGTCCAGGTGGATCCGCTCATCTTGATGTAGCAATGGAACTTGAAATGGAGAAATAGGATGGTGATGTCGAAAGTAGACCCGGATACGCTGGTCGACATAACTTCTAGTCCTCACCACGTGCTCAAGTCCGTGACCTCGCCCGCTCTCACAGGCGATCACAATGCACAGTCCTTTCCCAAATGTAACAAAGTCCACAGAAAGCCGCTGATAAGGTGACACTCCGTGGATGACACTATTTACTCAAGCCACTGTGCCTTTCTGTACGTGACAGTGCGACATAGGTACCTTCTCACGCGAGAAGGTGGAGCCCGGAGGTGGCTCGTATTTAAACTCGGATGCACGTCATCATGAATTCTGGTGACGATTGAAGTGTCGATTGACTTGGTGAAGGACAAACACATTCTGCAACCGCACAACACAACTCAACCAACACCTCATACTGAGCTTTCCAGACCTCGCAAAAACATGTCGCCTAGATCTTTGGACTTCAACTGTGCCCTGGTAACCGGAGGTGCTGGGGGTATCGGAAGAGCAATCGCCGAATACTTCATTTCGCAAGGGAAGAAGGTCATTATCGTGGGCCGCACAGAGTCCAAGTTACAATCAACAAGCAAAGAGATCGGCTCTGACTACTATGTCTTGGATACTGGAGATATCAAGTCTATCCCCGGCTTCATTCAGAAAGTCACCAAGGACCATCCAGAGCTGGACTGCCTCGTCAACAATGCTGGCGTCCAAAGACCTCTCAATGTGAATGACATGTCGGCTGAAGAGTTCCTCGAGAAAGGCGATGCTGAAATCAACATCAATGTCAGAGGGCCTATGCATCTGGCTGTTGGCTTCCTGTCTCACTTCAAGTCTAAGAAGTCAGCAGTCATCATGAATGTTTCGTCGGTTCTTGGCTTTATTCCGTTCAGCATCATCAACCCAGTTTACAACGGAACCAAGGCTTTCGTGCACTTCAACACGATGAACTTGAGATCGCAGCTGGAGCAGGCGGGATCATCCATCAAGGTCATCGAGATTGCACCACCCTCTGTTGGAACCGACCTGCACAGAGAAAGAGAGGATCCAGACGACAACAAGAAGCACAAGAACGCCAGCGCTTTGTCTGTCGAGGAATTCATGGATGAGCTGAAGAAGGGATGGCAGGAGGACCGCGACTGTATTGGCGCGGGAATGAGCCAAAAAGTGGTCGACAGGTGAGTTCGGGCGTCGCAGCGAGTTGACACTTGGAGGCAAAACTGACTAGTCGCAGATGGTACAGTGAGTTCGGGCCTGACTATACAAAGGCTGAAGGCAAGGCGTGAGGAGGTTGAACAATCAATTGTCAGCCGGAAGGATCGGCGGCCGAAGTGCCGAGCGACTGTTTCCAAGCCAACTACAGTACCCTGCGCGAAACAAACAAAATGGTCGACCATCTCAGGCGTTGACAGCTAGGTATCAAGAGAGACGGTGCGCCTTACCAAGTTTTAATTTTAATCCAGCAATTTTGCTTCGTCATATCTGAGCTTTGCCTGACCGCCGTTTTGATCTTCTGACTTCTGAACTCACAAGCGTCTTTTTCTAGCATGCGCATGGCGTGAGTGGAAGCAGATACAGCTTTACATTCCTCGCCTGTCGCCAATCACTCGCCGCCAACATGGGCTCTCGCTATGGCGATCCGTCCACCTACAGCGACAACGAGGGCACGCCTGGCTCGCGCAATGCGTCAACCATGAGGCTGCTCACCCACATTGATGAAAGCCCGTTTGAAGAGTATGTCCAGCAACCTTCTCAATCCCAGAAGTCGATCCCAGTCGACTCCAAGCCAGAACAAAAGACTCGCGCGAGATTCAGCGTGCCTAGAAAGCAACCGAAAGACCGCAATGCCATCCAAGACCTCCTTGAAGAGGCCCAGACATCACTGTCGACCAATAAGAAAGACTACAAGAACCACAACTTAACAAAGTCATCTAGAGAAGCCGCAGAGGAACTCCCGCCCATGCCCGCTACCTTCGTTCCATACCATCCTTCGCGCCCGCCTTCACGAGCCGTCTCGATCGTCGACGGAGCACCCAACCTCCCACCTCCCTCAGATGCGCCGCCATTCTACTACGACCGCCCTTCGTCCCGCTCTTCCCAACACTCTCCCTCGCGTTCGTGGTCGCCGACACGCACCTCTCTCGACTATACCATCCCGCCCTCATATAACGCCCCATACGAACCCGCCGATATCAATGGCAGTCCGAGACCTGGCTCGCCTTCTAGTAAATATGGCGGCAGCTCGAAAAGACCCCTGCCCCCAGCCCCACTGTTCGCCGGGGTACGCTCGAATTCATCCGATGGCGACAAGGATCTTTCAGACATGACAGCCATACCGATCGGTGACGACGATGATCCCTTCACCGACGACGAGCGCCCGGACCTTCTCAAAACCGACTCGTTCGTTTCTGATTCAAGCTACAACGAAGACGACTATGACGAGAAGGGCAACTATGAGCCTGCTCCAGATGGAAAGCAAGAACGCCGTGGCGCAAGACCTGCAATCATGTCTAGGAAGGAGGTCAAACTCATCAACGGAGAACTGATCCTGGAGTGCAAGATTCCCACCATTTTGTACTCTTTCCTGCCCCGCCGCGATGATATTGAGTTTACTCATATGCGTTACACGGCCGTCACATGCGACCCCAACGAATTTGTCGAGCGTGGCTACAAGCTCCGTCAGCAGATTGGAAACACAACCCGCGAGACCGAGCTGCTTATCTGTATCACCATGTACAACGAGAACGAACTCGACTTCACCCGCACCATGCACGGTGTCATGCGCAATGTCGCCCACTTCTGCAGCAGACAAAAGTCCAGAACTTGGGGCAAAGACGGATGGAAGAAGATTGTCGTATGTATCATTGCTGACGGTCGCAAGAAGGTTCATCCTCGAACACTCGATGCTCTTGCTGCCATGGGCGTGTACCAAGATGGCATTGCGAAGAACTCTGTGAATCAACGCGAAGTCACCGGCCACGTTTACGAGTATACCACACAAGTATCTCTCGATCCCGATCTCAAGTTTAAGGGTGCTGAGAAGGGCATTGTGCCTTGCCAAATGATCTTTTGCATGAAGGAGAAGAACGCGAAGAAGCTCAACAGTCATCGGTGGTTCTTCAACGCGTTCGGACAGGCATTGAAGCCCAACGTCTGCATCTTGCTCGATGTTGGTACGAGACCAGGGGACACTTCGCTGTATCACCTCTGGAAGGCATTTGACAATGATTCGAATGTCGCAGGTGCAGCTGGCGAAATCAAAGCCGGCAAGGGAAAGAACTGGCTTGGCTTGTTCAACCCACTCGTGGCATCTCAAAACTTCGAGTACAAGATGTCCAACATTCTGGACAAGCCGCTTGAATCCGTCTTTGGTTATATCACTGTCCTGCCTGGAGCCTTGAGTGCTTACCGGTTCCACGCCCTCCAAAACGACGAGACTGGACACGGGCCTCTCAGCCAATATTTCAAGGGCGAGACGCTACACGGTCAGGATGCAGACGTTTTCACCGCCAACATGTATCTCGCAGAAGATCGTATCCTCTGTTGGGAATTGGTCGCGAAACGCAATGAATCGTGGGTGCTGAAGTATGTCAGACAAGCCACTGGTGAAACCGATGTACCTGGTAAGCTAGTATTCAAGAATCGAATTTCCGAATTTTGCTGACATGTCCAGACGCCGTTCCAGAGTTCATCTCTCAACGCCGCAGATGGCTGAATGGTGCATTCTTTGCAGCAGTATATTCCCTTCTACACTTCAAGCAGATCTGGTTCACGTCGCATTCACCTATTAGAAAGGCCCTCCTCCACATTGAGTTCATCTATCAGTTTATTCAGCTTACCTTCACATGGTTCTCGCTTGGCAATTTCTACCTGACATTCTACTTTGTTGCTGGTTCTCTCTCGGATCCGAAAATCGACCCTACTGGAGGAAAAGTCAATCTCTGCAAATATGTGTTCACCATTCTGCGATATGCTTGCATTCTGACCATCGCAATGAACTTCATCTTGAGCATGGGCAATCGACCGCAGGGGTCGAAAAAGATGTTCTTCGGCTCGATGATCGTCTACGGAATAATTATGGCTTACACCACCTTTGCTTCTATCTGGATCGTGGTGAAAGAGTTTAGCGGAGGCAAAATGGAGCTTGGTAACAACCTCTTTACCAACTTCATTGTCAGCACTCTCAGCACGATTGGACTTTACTTCCTGATGTCCTTCCTCTATCTGGATCCTTGGCACATGTTTACAAGTTCCGCTCAATACTTTGGCATGCTCCCCAGCTACATCTGCACTCTGCAGATCTTCGCTTTCTGCAATGCGCACGATATCTCCTGGGGCACCAAGGGCGATAATACCGTCAGCACCGACTTGGGTGCTGCTAAAGCCTCAAAGGGCGGCACTGTCGAGCTTGAGATGCCGAGCGAACAGCTCGATATTGATAGTGGATACGACACCGCTCTCCGCAATCTTCGTGATCGCGTCGAAGTTCTTGAACCGCCTCCAAGTGCAGCGCAACAGCAGGAGGACTACTACCGTGGAGTCAGAACGTACATGGTGACGATTTGGATGTCCACTAATGCTATTCTGGCCATGGCTGTCAGCGGAGCATATGGTGAGACCGGTATATCCAACAACGTCTACCTCAAGTTCATCTTGTGGGCCGTCGCTGTTCTAGCCTTGTTCCGTGCCATTGGCTCCTCAACTTTCCTCTTCATCAACGCGGTCCATTCGATCCTGGAAGGCAAGCTGAAGTTTAGCGATCGCAGCTCTACGGGTAGTAAGACTACCTCGAGAAAACGATATGGCTGGCGCAGCAAGATCCCATCCTTCAGCTTCCTCGATGGGAGTGGCACGTGGATCAGCGATAAAGCTGGGGACGCGACTGTGGGAGTGAAACGAATTTTCCGCAAATGATTTGGATGACCTGCAACTTTTGTTCCGACTGTTGGAACAGATGAACGATAGATGGGCGTTGGACTTTTGCGGTGATGATGAACTGGTGGGTTTCACGTTGTAACGCATGTATTATAATGACCTTGTATGTACTTGAGTACATTTTTCTCTTCATTCTTCGGCCTATCGAACTTGAGTGGTTGTGCTGCCAGATAAGCCTCGTCTCCATGGTCGATGTAAGCTTGACTCTGCGCAATGTTGTCACTACTGGCTGGACCAGAGTCGGCAGATTGAGACACAAGGTGTCCACGATCGATAGACGAAAAGGCCAGCCGATCCTGATGGTCCGAGGGCGCTGTTACCCGATTTCAACGCAACGCCCTTCACACAAACAATGAGTGGGCTTGCGCCTGCCATTTCATCCAAGTCCGAGCATGATGTCACACCTGCTCCAAGCACAGTCCCAGCCTCCGCTATTCTCCAACTTCACGCCCTTCTCTCTTTTGCAAAACACAATCCGAATTCGAAAGACCTCGTGACCGCTGGAGATCTTTGGATGGATGTAGGCAAAACTTACTCGCCATACCGTCCAAGCAGATCAACACAAGCCGCATGTCCGGCTTTGGTCGTTTGGTACAATTGGGCGGTCGTTTCCCCTTGTCCCCGCGCGGGGTTGTCCATCAATTATTACACATCCAATCGCATCGCTGTGCCTTGGCCCTTGGCTATGGCCGAAAGCCTTCCAAGTCGTACCATGTCACGATGATCATTCACAAAACAGCTCTGGACTGACCTTAGGAATCCGTGATGCCGAGAGGGACAAGTCGCTCGCAGCCCACCCGCAGTTCGCATGCAAGGGAGACAAGGTGAGGCGAGATCTGATCGAGCTCTTATACAACACGCAAGTCGTAGAGGGCAGGTCCAACACCTACTTCTGCTGTCCAGATCTCAATCGATTCGACCTCATCAGAGCGCCACGCGACTCTAAGACCCACCCCCAGATCGACTCCGTCCTCCATATCCTCCACCAAATTGCGGGGAAACTGTTTTCTTGCTGCGCTAACCTCCTATGGCTTTATGGTTACTCCAGTATCCGCATGCCCGAATGTACCCAGGAATGCTGTGGGTCATCGCCTGTATCACACAAACCTGATATGCTGTGTACTGCATGAAGGACATGGATCAACACATGCTGGTTACCGTGTCAGCCATCTCGCATGGCCATCTGTCCGAGCTCTCGATATGAACGTGTCTATTGTTGTCCAGCATCAGCTCTGTATTAATCCAGCCAACCGCTCAACCGGGAGGAGGCGTCTGGGGTAGGTTCCAGCGGCGCGCGGCTGGTCGATCAATTGAGGCCCTGTACATACTACACAGAGTCAGGAGATCATGAGCCGTTCGTGACCTGTCCAGCGGGGTATGGCTCCTCTATGCTTTGATCTTCGTCGAGTTCGGTGGTGCTGTAGCCTTCGAGACGGGGTCTTCGGATGTGGTGCAGCCGTGTCTTGGACACCGCGTTACACGGAGGTATATATGCAGGTATCCTCTGTCGCCAGTAAGCCTTTCCTTTCTCTGTCTATCATACTTGTTCTTCTTCCCAAACATTTATATCCACAATCTTCGTCGACATGGCAAACGAGGCAAACTATAACGCGGCCGATAATCAGCTGCACCACCCTAGTCCGCCAATGGAGAAGGACTTCAGCAATGGTGAGTAACCACAGAGCAGATGGATCACGCTTGTGCTGATGATGGGTTAGACTATGGCCACAGCAACATCGGAAACGATGTAGACAGCGAGACAGCTCTTCGAAGGATCCGTACAGCTGGCAGCATCTCTATCTCACCCGAGCTCTTCGAGAAGCTTTACCTCTCTCCCCAGAACAAGGTTGCTGGTGAACTGAGAAAGACTTTCGGTAACCCTACACCGATGTACGTTCCTTAAGTCTCTTACCAAGAGGCTTCTCACTAACAGCACCATCAGCGCTCTGGTTGGATTCCTTCTTAGTTTGACGCCTGTCAGCTGCATGTTCATGGGATGGCGAGGTGCCTCGAGCTCTGGCGCATCTGATATTGGTGCTTACTTCTTTTTTGGTGGTCTGTTAATGATTCTTGGTTCCATCGGCGAGGTAAGTCGATGTTGGCGTCTGGACCAAGTTCTTCTTACTGACATCTTCACAGTGGTTGATTGGCAACACATTCCCGTTCGTCGTCTTCGGTTCATTCGGTGCTTTCTGGTTGACCTTTGCCGCTACCCTACAACCATTCTACAATGCATACGGTGCTTACTCGCCAAACCCTGACCTCCCCGCCGAAGGTTTGGCGACTGTCGAGTTCAATGCCAGTTTCGGTACGTACTAAAAGACTGTCAGAGCATCTTCGACGTGAGTTAACATGTTGTAACAGGCTTCTTCTTGGTCTTCATGGGCGTGCTATGTCTGATATACTTCGTCTGCTCGCTCCGAACCAACGTCGTCTTCGCCCTGATCTTCTTCACCCTGGTTCTCGCTTTCGGCTGTCTGACCGGCGCATACTGGAACCTTGCCCTCGGTTACGGTGCCGCTGCTGAGTCCGCCGCCCGAGCCTCCCATCTCGCAACAGCTTCGAGGTGTATTCTCGCTGCTGGTGCGCTCACATTCGTCACGGACATGTGCGGCTGGTGGATCTTTTTCGCTATCATGCTCGCCTCCCTCGACTTCCCCTTCCAGATCCCCGTCGGTGATCTCAGCACTTTCATCAAGGGTGCTACTGAGAGGAAGAAGGCCAAGGAGGAGAAGGAGAGATACTCGGCATAGACGTCATCTCATGGTTTCGCATGATATTCGGTATCTCGTCAATGCAACGACATGGTTGAGATTAATGTCGAGATGGTTATGATCTAATTTGTTGTAATGCCATGTACACTAAGGCCAGATGGACATACAGTATAGTGTGTCTATCCGAGTGAGTTATGAATATTCTGTTTCACTTTTTCTCACTCTCTCTATGTGCGTCGATGAGGTAAATTTAGTTGAACTGAAGCCTTCATGCTGTCGGACTTTCTCTCACTCTAATAGGTAGTGACTCTTTGTACTACGCAGATGCGCTGCATCATTATCAATACAGGCATGATCACGGAGATGCCGCAATATCGTCTTTTTCCTTGAACATCACTTTCATACCACAACATGCGTTCGTACAGCTAGATTCACTTTCTCAAAGAGCTCGGGACGATATGAAGATTGAAAACATCTCAATCATGAAGATTCCAAGAGTGACATACGAAATAGATAAGAACCGGAACCAGAGACACCCAGTACTTGCAGTAGAAGGAACCAACCACCACCCAAACCGCCAGAAAGCAAGCTGCCTTCCCTTTGCAGATCTCAAAACGACCTAGCAAAAATCGCGATGGTGCTTGTACTTCCATTCCCACAAGCACCAGGTACACCACCAGGCAAACTTCCTCCATTGCACAGATAACAGTTATTCTATATTTCGAACCCACTCGTCAGCATCACGTCTTCTACTCAACGTACACCAATCGATAACATACCTCTCCAGCCTCTCCGGTTGTACCACTTAACAAACCGCTATTGATCGTCACGTACGCAATCGAATTCCCACACCAGCAATCCACTGAAGTTGTTCCTTGATTCACAGTGCCGAAGTAGACGTATTGGAGGGCAAGGCAAGTGGTACTGCAGCGAGAGTTTACTTGGCCGGTAAAGGTGCCCTGGTAGGAGGCAAGCGCGCGGCCTGAGGTCACGGTACTGGAGCCAGTTTGGACGTAGCAACCCAAGTAGCCGTAGAGAATACCTGTCGCTGTGGGGCCTGGAGGTCTGTTTGAGGTGTTAGTTCGATGGTGCAGTGAGGCGGTGTGTGGTGAGTTTACCCTGATGGACCCTATCCGAGTGTCAGTATAGTTTTACGAAAATGATAGTTCTGTTTGAGGCCCTTCGTCGCCGAGTGAAGCTACTCACCTGTATACCCGTGGGTCCTGTAGATCCAGCGGGACCCGTTGCACCACTGGGGCCACTGGGACCTTGGAGACCACTGGGACCTATTGAGCCCGTAGCACCCGTAGCACCCGTAGCGCCTGTAGCACCCGTGGCACCAGTGGCACCAGTGGCACCAGTGGGTCCCGTTGGACCCATTGAGCCAGTGCTACCTTGTAGACCCTACTGAGCATTAGGATCAAGGTATATCTGATCGAGAGTTTGATGAATTCATACCTGCGGTCCTATACAGAGGGGGTGTGAGTCAGTGATTGCTTCTCATCATGCACGAACTCGTAATGGGCTTACCTGTCGGTCCCTGAGCAAAAAGAATTCGCGATCAGTAACGGCGACGTTCGGATGAGGATATGTATTTAGACATACTGTTGCTCCTACTTGACCGCTAACACCCTGGACACCCTGGACACCTTGGACACCCTAGTGATTGAGTTAGAGAACCGAGATCGTGTGATTCGTAGCAAAAATCTTCATACTTGAGGTCCTAGATGTGGAGCCATAGATTAGCATGCGGCGTTTAGTGAAGTTCAGAGAAGGAGCGACTAACCAGCTGCTCCTTGACCCCCCTATAAATTTTGCATTAGCATGAGTAGTCAAGAATGACCTTTGAACAGTCATTGAAGATGAGAAAGTCCTACTGTAGCACCTGGTTGTCCACTTGGTCCCTGGTTAAAGTCAGAAGATGAACGTCGAAATGGACAAGGATATGAGCCTTACGGTCGGACCTATGCAAGAAAGGTGTCAGTCACGTTTCTCCCACATGATATACGGGAAGCAATGGAGCTAAGAGATCGATAAGTCATCTCAACTCACCTGATGGGCCACTAGGGCCAGAGCTCATAGCCAAAGCCGCGCACGAAGAGACCGAGAATAGAGAAAGTTGGATGAACATACAGCCAGAAGGTGCGGCATCTTGCTGGAATACGGCATACACAGTACCATCATTAAGTGAGCAAAACTGTGCTTGTCCATTATAAAACTGTGAGTTGAACCAGGAAAGCTGTCCATTACTCGTGGCCGAAAAGGACGTCGTGATGGATCCTGGATTTTGGGAAGGAACGAATTGAGCATATGCAACTCCTGGATTTGTGGAGTAGTAGTAGACGACATTGCTTATTGTCGCAGTCAGGACGCCATTTTTTATCGTATATATGGGTGCACTTGAGCAATCGTTGCTAACTGTTCCGTTGGCGTTCATGTAGAATCCGCTCTGACGCTTTTGATGCAGCCTCGTGTCCGACATGACGAACAGAATGAAAGTCGAATCTGTCGTTGTTGGAATTGCGACATTGACAAAAGTGGAGGTAGAGGCTGTATATGGAAGCGTCTTAGTCCAAGATAGCGTTGTGATAAGGTCGAACGAGGTTGGGGCATCTGTCACTGTGATCGCTTGTGCCGGTATAGGATAGAAAGTGGTGTTTGACTGGACAAAAGTGTTGACGGACACTACCTGCTGATACACGACACTTTGGCTGATTTGGCTGTATATGTTGCAGGCGTTTTGTGCTTCTGTCAAACATGGCAAAAGAATGACTAGGTAAAGCAAAACTAATTTTGAGCAGGATCTGGATACAAAGTGAGTGTGGGTCATAATGAGAGTCGGGACAAGGCAAGTATAGAAAGCATGAAGGTAGTCATGAATATTCAAACAGAATGTCGGGACGATTTGAAGATGTAAGTTGTGTATTCGGCCCGGACTTGTTTACTGAGTTGCCGGTTCTCTCGGGGACGCGAGGAATGTAGTCAGTCGAAGCCGAGAACGACGGCGAGGACTCCTTCGGGGTGACCGAAAGGCCCCATGCCACATTCCGCACACAGAGTCGAGTGGAGGTTAGGTTGAGATAAGTAATCGATTCTGAGTACGAAGCCACAACTACCATGATAACGCTGAGAAACAGACAACGTCAGTCCCGTTCTGATCATCTGAACTTGTGTGCGGCTTCTTCGCCTGACAGACTACTACCAGCGCTCTCCTCGCCAGGAATAGGGTTGGGGTAGTAGAACGCAGCAACGGCGATAAGCACATATACAAAAAAGCACAAGATCCCTTCGAGGTAGTTAGATTTTCCATCACGCAGGAACTGGCCGACCACGAGGATAGCCAGAATGAGAACAACAGCGTCAAAGAGCTCGAAGTTAAGTGACATCCTTACGTTCTACACAACAAATAGTGGTTAGTATTCGAGTTGAGTCTCTAGAAGTTGACGGGAAGTTGACGGGAAGATAACGTACCAGTCCCCAACCCACCACAACCGCAAGAGGGGTGTTTAGCAGTGCAGTCTGAATAGATGCACCAAGGATATGAGAGAGAGCAAAGTTCATTTGGTCATCCCATGCTTCGTCGACCGCGGTGATGTGCTCGGCAGCCTTCTCGACAAGGGGCACGAGTATAAGTCCAACGAAGGCGTCGGATACTCCGTGATGCTTCACCATGGGCTCGATGTTCTCGACGAGGAAAACGGCCATCATCGAGACGAAAGTGAGAGCAAGAGCAAGGGCGACGATAGACTCGGTCAGGGTGAGCTTCGGCTTTGCTAGGTCCCGGTGACGGTCGGCATCTCTCTCCTCGTCCCCCTCAAGGATATCATCGTAGAGCCCGTGATGAGACTTCATCTGGAAGAAAGTGTAAATAGCGAAAGCCAAGAAGAGCACGATAGCTGTAGCACGAGAGATCCTGACGACTTCCAGCTCAAGCTTCTCAGGTCCTAAGTTCGCACGACCCGTAAGAGCGTTGGCGTAGGTGACCGGAATCACGAGAGCGAAACCGGCAACCAACATGAGGTTGCTTCCGATATCACTGACGGCGTCATGGAAGGTTTGTTCATGGCGGCGTAGACCTCCGAAGAAGAAGCAGAGGCCCATACAGAGCAGCAGGTTCGCGAGAATACTGCCAAGAATGGCGGCTTGGACGATAGGCACACCTTGTTCTCCGTTCTTCACCAAAAGTACAATAAACAGGATCATCTCGACGAGGGAGCCCAATGTGGTCTCGAGTACGACGCCCAGAACAGTTGGTAGCTTACGAGCCAACTCCTGGCCTCCGAAACCCACCAAATTTGCTGACGGGACCATGGCGACATAGGACAGGATGAAGATCCAGAGGTGTTGCCGAGGCCTGGCGAAGTGCAAAGCGATTGCAGCAGGCACAAATGGCCATAAGACGTTGACATACTTTGATGCAGTACACGAGCTGGCCCAGCATACCTTGAAGAAGTGGGTGGGACCAAATCCTCTGCGTCCTGATTCGCCGTTTGGCTGAATGCCGCGAGTTACAGCATGGCCATTGGAGTTGTACTCAGGCAATCTGCCATCTCCACGCTCTTGCTGTGGTTTCGGTTCGGATGTGTAAGGGCTCGTCGATTGACGGCTTCCTCTACGAGGCTTAGGCCGAGTCGTCATGGTGCTTCGGATGTGTGTTGTTTTGACGTTTAATTCGCGTATGTTCGCGCTAGGCGGCAGGGCAGATGATGGAGAGTGTGTGAGAACTGCAAGTCAAGAGTGGAGGGAAGCGCAGGTGTTGGTGACCGTCAGGACATGGAGCAGGTCGACACTTTAGCTCAGCAGAGCGCCTCGCACGTCTTCAGCGCGTCTTCCTTGTTTCCAGCATCAACTCGATTACTTTAAATCCGCATCAGCCTCTTCGAGCCTAGAAGTTCTAAGGGGATGATTCGCTGGCATGCACGATCAGCCAAGGCTTGTGGCTGTGTTAATCTGAAGTCCGCGGCCAACCCAACCACCCTCGTGCAACATGCTGTACCACCACCTCATACATCGATGGTTAAGCGAAGTAAACTGGAGGTGAGACGAGCCTGCAAGTAGAGAAAAACATTGGCTGCATCACGATGTTTGCTTGTCCAGACAGACAAGCACTGCTCTCGATCTTGGTATAGGCATTGGCGTCGCCAAGCGCTCCGGAAATTACTGGACCGTTTGAGTTTCAAGATCATGATGTCTTTTCGCTTTGCTTTGCTTTGCTTTGCTTTTCCAGTGAAACGTTAAGGGGTTGGGTTGGGGAAAATTCTTGCTGTTGTTGCACGTACATCATCTCCATGCAAAGACATGTCATGTCCACAGCTATAGAAATGCACAGTTTTTTCGAGACAGTAGCAAGATCCAGAGAGAGCGGATAGTTTTACGACTCTCAGTGGATGCCTTAGATCCACTTAAACAACTGTGCATTTGCGCTGTCTTTTAGTGGTACAAAAGTCCAAGGAGAGACGACAACATCACAACTCTCTGTGGGCGCTTCATTCATACTGAAAACACTGTGCATTTCTGTAGCTATCCGCATGACATAGCTTTGCACTTGGGGTCGATACGTGATCCCGTGCCATCCGCTTGGTTGTGTTACACAGGCCCCTCGGACGTGGGTGAGGATGACACGAAAATCATGCGCGTGGAGAGAACAATCAAGATGTTTCAGGTAGCCGATGATGTCACGATTGGGGCTCGAAGCTTAAGACGATTTTACCCATCTCTATACCACTTTCCTCACACTCTAAGTTCTCGAAACTGCTATTCAGCGACAACACCGGTGGCAAACAAAGTGCTGTTCGGTCTTGCTTCCGACGTCATAGGTTCTATGCCTCCTTGAAAACGCGCCTCTATTTCTCGCGGGTTAATTGACGGTTGCTCTGCTTCGGATGAGATGAACATATAGACTCCGGAGCAGATCGGCCGAGAGACATCTCTCGGTTCAGCAGCAACAAGGGAGTTCTCCACCAGGTCAGGCCAGTGGCAGTCATACATTGTTCTAATGACAAACAATTGGATATGATGGTACTCGCTGCTCACCTGTCTGGCCTAATCTCGACCTGAATCGAGAGTTGGACTGTATGTATCAACTCCAGACGGCCGACCTGACAGCAATTATTCGCAGCTGGTGAGTGATCTTGCTAGCGCCAGTCTCATAAAGCTTCATGGCTTCAGCTCGAGAGTCGCAAGCAGAAATGGACAAGCTGATTTCTCAAATTGTTGGTTTGCGAAACGCCGTCCTTGCTGCAGAGGCATCATTGCGCGTCTCACATTCCCAGCTTGCATAGTTAGCAAGTCTCCCATGGCTTCTGATCGTTTTTGAGTCGTCGTTGCGTCGACCATCAATGATTGCTTAGCAGAACCCATCATTCGAGACTTTGTCGCAAAGAGTTTTGACAGCGCTTCTATCCATCATAACAAGCTAGTGGACGATTTGACTGTGTACAAGCTGGACTCGAGACCAACGGACATGGCTGTTTCTCCGCGTGCATTCAGTCTGCGGTGGTCAATTTTACCCGTAGCATCGCAAGGCGACGATCCAAAATCCCGACTTTTCACAACACCTTGGTCAAGCGATGTGCCTATTTATGCATAAAACTTTCAGTGGATATTTAGCTCGAAGAAACAATCATGGACTCTCCGAACCTCGGACAGCACCATGGATTATCGATAAGCAGAGACCTTGTCAAGATTCAGCTAGGATCCGCGTCTCGCATACAAGTAGGTTTGACAGCACTGGTGCATACGGCGAATACCGGGAGAGATGGACATTCTTGGCGACCAAACGGTGAGGCATGTTGATCTCTCCTAACTATTTCCAGCCGTGGTCGCATACTGCGGACACGTTGTCTTTGATAGTGTGCTATTGGAGACGTTGTCTCGGTGGAGAGAAAAAGAAAGAATGTATCAAACGCAGAGGCCACGTTAGTGGGATGGAACAGGACGAGAGGGGGAATATCCACAGCTCCGCCACCAGACGAATACCAAGCCCTTGGAAGCCAGGAGAACAAGGGGAATACAGCTGTACAAAGGCTCAAACAGACGATTGAAGTTATGCGCGATGCAGAAACACGGGATGGAGTGGGTTTTGGAGGGCTGAGTCGAGGTTCCAAAATCGCGGATCAGGGCCAAGAGGACCCTGGGATCAATCTGTCTACCAATCGGCGGGCTGCCCGAAATTTTCGTCAATGCTCTATTTGTGGGCCACGTTCTCGACGCTCAACAAGATTGGATAAAGGGGATCTGTCAAATACCGAAGAAAAAGGGTCCATTTCGAAGTTCTTTTCTGCGAACTTTCTTGCATCGACATATCGCAATTGACGACGATTTTGCTTGACCAGACACTCATTTGTATCATTCCAAAGTCAGCAAACATGGGTGCTCAAGCAGTCGCTACCGAGGCCAAGGCTAGCAGCACGTCAATTGACTCGCTGAGAGCCGCAATTCCCAAGCACTGCTTCCAGAAGTCGACCAGCACTTCCATGAGCTACATTGTGCGAGACATTGCTCTTGTCTGCACCGTCTTCTACATGGGCAGCCAGATTCAATATGCACCAACATTCGCTTTGAGATGCGCCCTGTGGGCTCTCTACAGTGTCTTCCAGGGCTTCGTCTTTGTCGGTATCTGGATTTTGGCCCACGAGTGCGGTCACCAAGCCATGTTCGACAACGGCACCGCCAACGACACATTCGGTCTTATCATGCACAGCTTCCTGGGTGTTCCCTACTTCTCTTGGGTACGTGACTCCCGTTATGAGTTCCATGGAGATTTGGGATTATGCTGGTTTCTTATCGGAATACCTTTTGGTCTTCTGGCGAGTGGTGGCATCTTTCTTGATAGACTCCTGGATTTCTGATGGTCTTTCGTCTTCTGAATAATTATGCTAATCAACTCAAAGAAATACAGCCACGCTAGACATCACAGATACACCAACCACATGGAAAAGGACACTGCTTTTGTTCCCGCCAAGAAGGACAATGGCTCCCAGGCCATGGCCAAAGTCCAGGCGAAGGTCAAGGAGATTTTTCACATGACCGAAGATGCACCTATTGTCAGCTTGATCTTCCTTATTGGTCACCAACTGATTGGCTGGCAAACATACATGCTCTGCTACGCCTCATCCGGCTACAAGAGTCTGGCGCTTTCCAAGGACCCTCGCACCACTTCTAACCTCAGTCACTACTCCCCCACGTCTCCTATCTACCTTCCTTCTCAGCGCTTGGCCATTCTGGTTTCTGATCTTGGTCTTCTCGCCGTTGGCTACGGTCTTTACTACGCCTCTCAGGTGATGGGCTTGACTCAAGTTGCGTTGCTCTACGGTCTTCCTTACCTTTGGGTCAACCACTGGCTTGGTGAGTTGTTTTCTGGCAGGAACTTGATAAGAACTTTCGCTAATTGAATATAGTCGCCATTACTTACCTCCACCACAACAACGAAGCGGCTGAGCACTTTGAGCAGGGCACCTGGACCTTCGAGAAGGGTGCTTTGGCCACTGTTGACAGAGACTTTGGATTCGTTGGCCGTGAGCTCTTCCACGGTATCATCGAGTTCCACGTTGTTCACCACCTCTTCCCGTAAGTTTCACAGCCATACCAATTATTTGATCCGAGACAGTAGCTGACAGTCGGCAATAGTCGCATTCCATTCTACCATGCTGAGGAGGCTACTGGTGCTATCCAGCCCATGCTTGGCAAGAAGTACATCCGTGACAACACCTCATTCCTCAAGGCTCTCTGGAAGGCTTGGACCAGCCATCACTTTGTCGTGGAGCACGAGACCAAGCCTGGTGTCCTCGTCTGGGCAAAGTAAGCTTTGCCGTTTGTTACAAAAGTTTTATTTCCATGCGTCATAGAAAGGGAAAGGTAGAGGAGCTAGATTTGCCGGCAATGGCCATAGAAAAGGATCCGATATCAAATTTGCTTCAACGCCCCATCCTTACAGTCTTAGATTTGGATCGTGGCGGAATCGTTTCTCGCAGTCAAAGTCCTTCGAGTTGGGCTGAGGAAGGAGCCATCGATGCTGATGACGCGCACCTTTCTTTGGCTTAGTATCTACAATTTAGAACGCCTTCGACACAACTTCGATATTGACAGCTGCCGCCTAGTACGACACTTACACGATGTTCGACTCTGTCCAATTTATCCTTCTCGCGACAACCACCCCTATTCTGGTCAACATCGCCTTCCGCCAACCCTACTCGTGGCTCAATGCCATTCTTCTCGCTCATTGTTTCGCCATACTCGCCAGTCTCTGCGCCATCGTCAATGCGATGTTCGTTCAGCCCTTCTTCGGCAGCCTCTGCAATCTTCCCACTGCGGAACAAGAGGCAATCTGGACAAGACTGCTCAAAGAACCGACGGGCGATGAACTTGCAAAGTTCCATGCACACGCTTCCACCAGCCAGATCATCCGATACTTTGGCGTACTGAACTCTGAGCGCTTGTTTCTCATGGACCCGAAAGATATCAGACAAGTCATGGACTCGGAAGCTTACGAATTTGGTCGTTCCTACCTCATTTGTCGCCTGCTGTCACCAATTCTGGGTAAAAACAGCTTGGTGGTGAGCGATGGAGCAGATCATATACGTTGCAGGAAAGTTGTGAACTTGGACTTTTACTCCCAACACATTAATCAGCTTTGTCCGATGTTCTAGAAGAATGCATGTACGCTCGTTGAAGAGATGACAGCTCACAGTTCTGGTTCCCCTAGTCCGAACAGCGCCATCGAAGTCCTCAAGATGTTTGAGGAGACTGCATTCCAGATCGCATCTACTGTCTTCTTCGGATCGACTGGGGTGGACGACAACTTCGCGCTGGAAGATTTGCTGAAAGAATTTCGCGACGCGTTTTCAATATCGTCAGGCTCAGCCGCGCAAGCAGAGATGGCCTGGGAGACAATCCTTCCATCGCATCTGTTCTTCGGGCTTATCTCTGTGGACGACATACGCAAGACAGAACAGTCTATGAAGGGTATCAAGAGCTTTTGTCGAAAACAGATTGCCCAGAGAAAATCCGAGGTGCGTACGACATAGCTTCAGCAACTCAATCTTGTCCCATATCATCATCGTGGCTCGTACATGGCATGATCGGCTGACCTTCTGTTCATTCCCAGTACACGCCTGCATCTCGCATTCTCCCCGAGAGGAACATCTTAGATACTGCGATCAAGTCAGAGCAGTTGAGCGATGATGAGATCCTAGATCTTTGTACAACCTCTCTAGCTACTGGTTACAAAACGATCTCTGTCGCACTCACTTGGGCCGTCTATCATCTCTCGACCAGGCCTGGTGTCCAGGCCTTGTTACGCTCAGAAGTCCGCGCTAGTTTTCCAGCACCTGATCAGACTGGAGCTCCACACTTCACATCTGACCTTTTGCAGAACATGCCTATCCTCACAGCTATCTGCAACGAAACCTTGCGATTCTCTCCTCTGGTGGCCTTGACATACAGAGAAGCACGAACCGACACGCTGCTATCCGGATCCAACCAAATCGTACCAAGAGGCACGATACTTGCCATCTCACCCTGGGCGATCCAAAGATCACCAATATACTGGGCAGGCGGAGCAATGTCTGGCGGATCCTCTACCACCCCTCACAAAGCCTCTCCAGATCCATCAATTTGGGATATGTCACGTTGGTTGACAGACAAGAAGGGAGGAGCGAGAATGCAGTGTTCATTCATACCCTTCGGACGAGGACCTCGCTGCTGTATCGCGGAGGGATTCGCTCGAGATGGAATGATGATTCTTCTTGCTGCCTTGGTGGGAAGATTTGACTTCTCTTTCCAGTCAAGCGGTCGCGACAACAACCCAAAGCCTGAAGAACTCAGAGTCTCGTTTGGTATGGTGGCCAAGCCTGCGAAGTTGATGGTACGAGCGCAGCCAGTGTTTGGATGGTGATGAGCCGTGACATTCGTAGACAAATTAGAAGTACACCTGAACTACCTATTACCAACTCGCCCCTAATCCTTTGCCTTATCCTTGTCCTTGCCTCCTCCCAAAAACTTATTCTTCAACTTTGCAATCCCTATCTCGACATCAGCACCATACACCACACCATATCCTATCACACTCTACCACACCTATCAAGCACCGCCATCAACACCTCTTATCAAACACTAAAGGAAAACGGGAGCAAAACTCACCAGGCACCAAACTGTCGTAGTTCTCCTGCTTGCCCATGAGTCTATCAGCTTCACCGGCATCTCCCTTCTTCAGTGCTGCCATCACAGCTTGTGATTTTGCTCGCGCGGCTTCGGCTTGCGGGGATGTCATTGTTTGTGTGTTTTGGACGTTTGCGTTGGGCGCGTGGGTGTATGGGTTGGGGTCCCAGGATGAGATGTCGTTGCCGCGGTGAGCCATTGTGTGTGTAAGTGGTGGTGGAGCTATTGTGGGGTGGTGGATGTGTGTTTGCAGTGGAGCGGAGTGAGATGTGGAGGGATTGTGATGTTTGACGCGAGATATTCTGCTCGCTTTTGTATGTTTTTGTCTACTCGAGTACTGAGGCTTTATATCGGTCAGTCATCTGACGGCTTTTTGATCACGAGGCTCAAGGCGCAGCGGTGGTCGTAAATCTCTCATCGCTAAGCAGCTACGATACGGGTTCATGTGGACATTGATGGTCCATCCTTCGCCCTGAAGCTTGTTTGGTCGTGGAGGCTTGTGTGATGTTAGCTTGGTTGCCAGGCTTACCGACGTTGAGAACGTGTTGTGAAACGTCGCTTCCTGCAGTGTCAAGAAAGAGCGATCAAGTCGCAAAGACAGAGAGCGATCGGTAACCATGAAGAAGAATTGTGTCATATAATTATAGTGTTAATACCGCAGTAGATACAATTCATCGTTTCGTCACGTCTTCATGGGTTACATGTCAATGTTCATGAACCGCCTTGTCGCTTCTTTCATGATTCCATCAACATGTGTTGGCAACTTATAACTGCTCTGGCTACCTCCATCGAGCAGTAGCTCCCATGCTTTCTCTCGCTGCCGCACCTGCGAGGTCGAGTTTTCCGCTCACAGAGCGTGGCAAACCGCTGCTGGAGGTCGACGAGCTACTTACACCAAGGCTGCCGTAGGAAGTCATTTGATGTTGGTAATGCTGAGCTAGCAGCGCACCATTGCTGGCTCTTTTGCTACCAGCCATGGCTTGATTAAGCGGTGCTTGAGGCGAAGGTGCACTCACAGTGTGCAGCAAGGGAGGTGCTAGGCTCTGTCGCCTGCCGATGCTTGCAGACTTGGTTGCCTGATTTATTGTGTTGTTGATATTGGGGGCCGCTGCGAGTCCATTTCGCGCAGCTGTGTTTGGGGTATCTGGTAAGGGACGCGCGCGAGGAGCTGCCGTCGTCGCTTGCGACGGCATTGCCGGGATGGAAGGATTGGTTGGGTGTGCCCGCTTGACGGGGGATTGCGATGCCGTAGTCGTAGTCGACGACGCAACTGAGGTTGCGTTTCTTGTGCGTGAACTGACGGGCCCGGCTTTTCTGAACGACTCATTGGTGATGAAGGGGTGGGACACGGCTTGGTCTGGTCGCAAACGCTTCTCAGGATCCCAACGAAGACATTGAGAGAGGAAGTCCAAGAAGGCCTCGTCATCGCACTTGATGGCACCACTAAGAGTCTTACTGCTAGGCCGTCTCCTTCTGCCTTTGCTTGACACAGTGACGCGAGGCTTGAGTGATGAATCAAAGAAGAGCTTTCTTCGGGAGGCCTTCTCGATGATGTCCCGAGCAGGTGGGCCGAAGATCTCCATGATACATGCGAGTTGCTCCTGCTCATTCTCACCAGGGAAGATAGGGTACCCAGTGAACAATTCCGCAAGGATGCATCCAAAACTCCACATGTCGATTCCGAGACCATAGTCACTTCCGAGAATGACCTCAGGTGAACGGTAGAAACGCGACTGGATGTACGTGTACACCTTCTCGTCGGCTTTGCAAGAACTTCCGAAATCGATGACTCGCACATCGGCACGCCGTGGGTCGCACAGAAGTATATTCTCCGGTTTGAGATCGCAGTGGATGATCCGTTTAGATTGTAGCAGACATAAACAGGCGAGTATTTGGCGTGCGAAACGGCGGATGAGTTGGATTGAGAAGCCAGAGAAGTTGTGGGTCCTGATAAATTCGTAGAGGTTGATGCTAAGAGAGGGGGACGTGATGCACAAGTGGTTGCGGAAGTAGAAAGATGATGTGATTGTAAGCGTTGCGTTGGCCTCATCAGGATCCTGGGTTGGGTTAGCACGATGGTATCACGGATGTGGCATGTTCAAACTCACCCATTCCTTGAGCTTTTGCAAGATGTTGACCTCGACCAAAGCTTGCTGATGGAATCGCTTCTTATTGCGAATAATCTTGACAGCACAAAGAGTGCCGAGCTTGTGGTCAATACATCTCACCACCTGTCCGAAACTTCCCTTGCCGAGAACATCGATGACCTCGTAGCGGTATCCCAGATGGTCGCCCATGACGATATTGTAGTCACCTCTTTCGTCATCGTAGCCAAAGTTGGTCGTCCCAGCAGCGGAAATATCTCCAACATGTTTCTTCGCTTGTTTGGAACCGCAGAACCAGACGCCATCCTTGTAGTCGATGATCTCTCCCTTCTCATAGATGTTCAGAAGTCCGGCTGACGATTGGATGGCCTGCGCAGGAGTCATTCTGTCCTTTTGAGTTGCACGTTTGCGTAGTTCCTCGGTCTCACGGGCGGCCACGTCGATTTCACGCCTCTTTGTAGACAACTTTCTCATCTCGTCATTGGCGGCGACATCATCCTTATCTAAATGCAACGCGTTGATCGTTCGAGGCTTGGGCTGGGTTGGTGTAGTTCTCGAGCCTAGAGTACGATTCATGCTGCCGAGAATCGACCAAGATGTCGAACGTTGACCCTGTTGTGCTACGGGCTGCGGTATCGAAGCTGCGCTTGCCTGAGATTGGCGAAGTGCTATGTTACTTGGCATTGGAGGCTTAGCAGCTGGAGCAGACTCAAGCTGAGGCATCTTGCTGGCAGAAGAGACGGACGGCTTACTCCTGTGGCTCTCAAGTTTTGTGCTTTCGAAGGAAGGACGACCACTACTTGATGTTGAGATGGGACTATCGGTACTCCAGGTTGCAGAGGCGGGAATCTTGGGTGGAGGCATATCGTCGTACTTTGTAGTCTGAAGCTTGAGGGGTTCTGCGTTCGACGTGTTCGTTGCTTTGGGTGGCGCCTTACGCCATCCCAAGCTCAACTTCCGACGCAGACCTGAAGCAGCAGAAGGTAGCGGTTGTTCGGGCTCATCTGTGGACGATACTGTGTGAATTGAGGCGGTCTCTTTGACAGACTTAGATACAGCTCGTGGTCTTGGGCCCATTGGCTTGGAAGCGAGCGACTCAGCATCGTGGTTACCCAGAGTGAATTCGTCTGGTAATCTTCCGGGCCTGCTGTACTTGGAGCTAGGCTTGGGCAACGAACCCGAGGTGAACGGGGTAATGGCTTGCCGCTTGGCTGGAGACGGCGGTGGCAGAAGGACGCCATTGCTTGGCTCTTCGTAACGTGGAACACGGGCACCAGGCTGAGTACTGTTACTACGAGCGTTAACTGGCTTTGCAGGCTCGTCGTCCTGGCGTCTGTAGAAAGTAGCTTTCGAGGCCGTCATAGGAGTGCTGGGTGTTTTGGCGGCATTGCGTTTGAAAGGAGGCGTGGTGTCTCCTCCATTGACTTCTTGAGAAGGAGCAGGGTAGGAGTTGATTCTGGCCGCGGTGGGAGTAGAGAGTGGCAGGAGATTGAGGGGAGGGAGACGCAAAGGTTGCAGAGTTTTGCCCTTGACTGCGGGCATGGCAGGCGGTGTTTCCGAATTGGCCCCATTGCCCACCGTAAGGCCTCTGCGGTGCTGAGTCTGTCTAGAGTCGGGTGTCATAGAAACGTCTGCACGTCGAGCAGGTATCGGAAGGGCAGAGCCCTCGTTGTCGACAGTGCCAGTCAGAGGGGTCTTGAGACCGGAAAAGAAGGGTACATCAACCAGGTCCTTAGGTGACTCGTAAGCTTTGGGTATGGCAGGTACAGGTGGAACCATTTCCTCATCATCACGTCTTTCTGCAGCACTATAAAGGTTCCGGCTTTTGGGAGTAGGTAGCTTGGAGGTTGAAGAGCTCTGACCGATTTTGCCTTGGCCTGCGCTCGGGGCGCGGAGAGATTGGTAGCTCGGTGTTCTCGACAGATTGAGGGAGGGAGGAGGTGCCATCCTGTTTGAAGTCTCAGGTGTCGCTCTGTTCGATAGAGGTGTCAAAGCGGGTCTACGTGGGGTGGCCGAGGGCGATCGAGGGTGCGTCAACTCTTTGGATGGCGAAGGAGGAGCCTGCTTTGTAGACATTCTGCGAAGCCTGCGAGCATCAGTAGGACTGATGGTTCTGCCTCCGAGACCACTCATTCTTCCCGATCTTCTCTTGTCTGACGGAGTGTCAGTCCGTGGAGTCTTGGACCTGTTTGTGACTTTGACGTTGACGGAACGACGCTGGTCGGGTAGTGGGAGATCGGTCAAGGTGGCAGATCGAGGCAGAGGTTGTAATGACTTGGCTTTGGAGGAACGGGTAGGGGCGGCGAACGAGATGTCCAAGGGGGGAGGCTGAGGCGTTTGGCCTTGTGTTTTGCGAGCATTTGTTGTTGTGGTGGTGATCGAAGGAGTGCGAGAGAGGTCTGTTGGTGGTTTCTTGTCCGACTGGGGCGCCATGGGTTTACGAGTCACACGAGCGGTGATTCCGGAGGCGGCTATGGCGGGAGCGCCAGGGCCTGTCTGACTTCCCCTTCTCGCGCGCACTGGCAGGACCGAAGTCGAGGCCGAAGTCTGCAGTTGGTTCGAAGCAGTGGTGGGGAGGTGTGTGAAGTTGGGGACGGAAGACTCTCGCTGGGTAATGGTCATGGGTTGGGGCTTTGAATTTATCGAAGCCTTGATACTCGGCGGGGCGCCTCTCGGTTTGGACTTTGTCGAGTCGTAGGAAGCGATGCTCGTCTGGAAATCGTCGAAATTGATAGGCGGTAGGAAGTCGAACGAGGGCGGCGTGGGCGAGTTTGCATTTTCGGGCTGGCCGAAGCTGAATCGGCTGTCGTGCGAACGGAGCTGGCGTGTCTGCGTCTGCGTCTGCGTCTGCGAAGCTGCTGGGGGTTGTGCCGGAGACTGAGGTGGTGGCTGCGGCCGGGGCTGGAGTTGGCCCTGAGGCCTGTCGAAGTTGGGCTCGCTCGAACTATTGGGGAGGAAGGTGCGACGGGCAGCGTCGAGCGCGAAGGTGCTATCGCTGACAATCCTGCTCTGCTTCAGTGCCAATCCTTTCATCGTCGGCCAGACATCGAACCTCTTGCTCTTGTTCGGCGACTCGAACGGCCGCGGTCCCAGCAGGGGCACTCTGTTCTCCTTCAGCGCCGGCTTGCGCTGCTGTTGCTGTTGCTGTTGGACTTGGTGTGGGCGACTGGCCGAGGCAGGGGCGGTCGGCTTGCGGAATGAGAGCGAGTCATTGTCGGCGGCGAGCGAGGTGCGTTGGTACTTTGTCCTGGCACGGCTCTCGGCTTGAAAGTGCTTTGGTCAGTGGATGCGTGCAGCTGCATGTTGTTGTTGTCGAGCCTCACTCTCAGCGCCCGACTCCTCGGAATCCTTGTGACGGCTATCCATGCCGTATCCCTCTCGAGTCTGCATGTCGACCAATTGCAATCACGACAATGCTTGGAGCATTTCTGGCTAAAAGGTCCTTCGTTTTCTGGTCCTCCTGGCTGTCGACACGGGCTCAAAAAATCATGGCCGGACAATGATTCGTCCTGTCGTCAATGATGTGGAAAGGAGAGGCAGACGTCGGGCTGTCAGTCTGACGGGCTGGCGGCGGGCGTGGTCGAAGGGGCTACAGACTCTGGCTAGCAGTATCCGACATGGAACTTGGTCTCTTTAGATTGTTGTTGCTCCTCGCTCGCCCAAAGCAGGATAGTCTTTCACGGAGCCTCAGGTAGACGGTCATTGCTTTGGCCTGCTACGGGTGCCCCTCTGTTATTGGCCATAGCGGCCCTGCAGCTACAATAAGATTGTGAGAAACAGTCCATTCTTTGCTTTTTACGAGAGATTTGATCTCATTGAGTTCAGTGTGTTCGAGTTCTTGCACAGTCCACGCCAGAAATAAAGATTCACAATATTCTTCATGTATCTTCCCTGCCGTGTGGACAGCAGAGATGCATGAACCGGGTGTCCCTGAATACCTTTTTCCAGATCGTCCGGACGGGAAGGCTCGTGCATGCAGCAGGACGCGACTTCAAACAAGCAAGAGTGACAGCCACATCCACTCTGAACCACAACCTTCGTGCCCACTGACGACATTGTGCCTCGTCAAGCCCTTCTGGAAGAACCTCAATAGCTAGACTTGACTCCTTGCCTGCTCTGTAGATCCCAAAAATGCCTCGCGATCCACTCATCGCACTCGTTGGCAAGCCGTCGTCTGGCAAGAGTACCACCTTGAACAGTCTGACGGATGCCACGTCCAAAGTAGGTGCGCTATCCACTTTTTCTTATCGTCTTGAATGCTTTCTCTCGTGCAATTTGTGTTGACCGCGTGGCTCAGGCAACTTCCCGTACGCCCTCCTCCATCTACCTAGACCTCGTTCGTCGCATTCCTGATGTCGCTTCAGATTCACTACCATCGACCCCAACCGAGCCGTAGGATATCTTCAGATCCCATGCGCATGCTCAAGACCCGGAGTCCCCAATGTTGGCGACAAACCCCTCTCCGAGAGGTGTAAACCGAACTATGGCGTGTGTAACAATGGCACCCGCTCTGTGCCCATCGAACTGCTGGATGTAGCTGGTCTGGTGCCTGGCGCGCATATGGGCAAAGGTCTCGGGAACCGCTTCTTGGATGATTTGAGACACGCCGACGCGCTGATTCACGTCGTCGATGTCAGTGGAACAACCGACGCTGAGGGCAAAGCAACAAGAGGCTATGACCCCAGTGTCGACATTGAGTGGTTACGCTCCGAGATTGTTCGCTGGATTCAAGGCAACCTCATGGAAAAATGGTGCGTTTGGGCGCGGGAAATTCGCCGACCGATACAAATCTGATCACAAGCACAGGGGATCTGTCAAGAGAAGACATACGGCGATCAAAGGAAACGCAGTCGACACGCTACAAGGCCAATTCTCGGGTTACGGGTCCACGAAACAAATTATTGCGCGGACTCTGGACAAGCTGGAGCTGAAAGAGCCTTTGGAACACTGGAGCGATGAGACGGTCGAGAAGGTGGTCAACGCCTTCGTTGATGAAAAGTTTCCTACGGTTATTGCGCTGAACAAAATCGACCACCCCGATTCCGATAAGAACGTCGCAAAGATTGCAAAACTCAACGACCCCAACACACTCGTCCTCTGTTCGGCCATCAGCGAGGTCTTCTTGCGTCGCTTGGCTAAGCAAGGCTTCGTAAAGTATACAGAAGGCAGCGAGTTCGTGGATACGAAAGAAGATCTGATCGAGAACGGTGAGCCTGATGGCGGCGGCTTAAAAGAGCTGGATGAAAAACTGCAAGGGTGAGTGGAGCTGGTCTCATACCACGGTCAAAACAAAAGCTAACGGTCTTTGGCAGCCGCATTGAGAACTTGCGCGACCTGGTGCTCTACAGATTTGGTAGCACTGGGGTGAATCAAGTGCTCACGCGTGCAGCAGAGCTCTTGGGACTCACGCCTGTCTTCCCTGTCAGGAACATTGCGACATTCTCGTCTGGCGACGGCCGTGAAGGCGGTGTATTCAGAGACTGCGTGTTGGTCAAGAAGTAAGTGCTGCTCGACTTTGTGTATACAACATGTACTAACGTAGGCTGCAGAAACTCGACAGTGGGAGATGTGTATCGTAAGATCATGGGTGATGCGCCATTAGCCTATGTGGAAACAGTAGGAGGACAGAGAGTCGCTGAAGACGACCCTGTATCGGTGGGCAAGAACGACATATTGTCGTTCAAGGTCGGAAGAGGTTGAAGGGCCATACGGCACTCGATATCAGTGCTATAGACATGGAAGAATGAACATTTGCTGCCTCGAGCCTTGCCAAGAATTTGCATGTGAAAGTCGTGCGGCTCGGAGCCGAGTGACGTCTGGCTAAACACGACCAAGTCGCGATCAGGCCTGGCAACTTCGTCTTCTCGTCGCATGCACTGGGAGGAATCGTGATTGAATAAAACATGACACGTGCAAGCAACACGGAGAACGACTGAAAGGAACTCCCAAGACAATGGACGACTCTACGGGTACATCGATGGCCAACCGGGACGAGCCCATTCCCGTCATTCAAATCCCGTTCAATACCGATGACACGGCACCGCCAGAGACGGAGCAGCAAAAGCTAGGGAGAAGAGAGAGGATCAAGCAGGAGGCTGAGAGGCTGAAGGGGAAATTACAAGATGTTTCGACGCAGTACAAGACAACGCAGGGGAGCGTGCAGGAGAGGCTCTTTAACACGCTACTGGAACAAGTCTTTCCACAAGAAGCCGAAGACGACGGCACGCCCAAGAAGGACCGCCGCTCGAGGCAGTATGTCGACAAACCCCAGTTCAGTCTACCAGTCATGTCGGCCAACTTTCGTCGCTTCAATGCAAGGTAGGTCCTGCTCCCTTTTTTCAAGTGCTGTATTGCTTGCTTGCTGATCACTCTATCAGAATTGGAATTGTCTTTGTCTTCCAAAATCAGATGATTCGCCTCTTCACCTGGCGCGTACCCACACATACCTTGTCATTCCTGGCTGTCTACACTCTAGTGTGTCTGCAGCCCGCCCTGGCTCCCGTCGTCCCTCTGGCAGCCCTTCTGTTCTTCGTCATGATCCCCTCTTTTCTAACGCGACACCCTCCACCTCCTATCGCAAATCCTTCTTCCTCGGTCGACGCAGCCGCCGCCGAGCAATATGCAGCGTATGGCTACTCGGGCCCGGCCGTTGCTCCTCCCCAGCGTGTGAAGCCTGCTCCCGAGATGAGCAAAGACTTTTTCCGCAACATGCGCGACCTCCAAAACTGTATGGAGGACTTCAGCCGTGTACACGACGGTGCTATTTCAGTCATCACGCCTTACACTGACTTCAGCAATGAGCGTTTGTCCTCGGCTGTCTTTCTTTGCTTGACTGCCCTCGTGAGCATCGCTTTTCTTGCTGCACACCTCGTACCATGGCGTGCGATATTACTGGTAGCCGGTTGGGCCGCTACAGCTGCAGGTCATCCCCGCACACAAGAACTCATCATCAACGCAAGTTCTCTAGCCCAACTCCAGCTAATCTACGACCGCATATGCGTAGCTGGCAGCGAATGGGTCGAATCAGACATTGTGCTGGACGAGCCCGCCGAAGTCCGCGAAGTCGAGATCTTCGAGCTGCAAAGACTGCAAAAGCACAGTTTGGGTGGTGACGAAGGTGCAGTGCTCGAAGGAGAATGGGAATCTTGGTTATTCACACCACAGCCATATGCACCCACGTCTCCATCTCGGATTGCTGGAGCGCGTCCAGTAGGCACTCAGTTCTTCGAAGACGTACAACCCCCGCTTGGCTGGCTATGGCGAGACAAAAAGTGGACGCTCGATTTAGGCTCTCGAGAATGGGTCGAAGAACGTTGCGTTTCTGCTGTAGAAATCGAAACAGAAGGCGAACGATGGGTCTACGATCTCGAGACCCCTGACTCAAAGACTAAGTCGGCCACTCTTGCTCCGCCGAAGAGCTGGGAGGAAGGGCCCACCGTCTCGAAGAAGGGAGAGTGGAGAAGGAGGAGATGGGTGCGTCTTGTGGAGCGAAAGATCGTCAAGGTCAGTCCTGAAGATTGAAAAGGTATTTATGTCCTTTGATGTCGTTGCTATCTTTCGTCGTGCGGGCCAAGACTGATCGGGGATCTTGTAGATGGTTGATGGACCTCCAAAGCCTACGATCCTAAACGCACTCGACCCTGGCATGCTCAATCCAGGCGCTGTCAACCCCGCTTCTGTGTTCTGAGTTTACAGTTGATTTGGTTGCACAGTCGAATAAGTACTCGGGACGACCTATATGTTTGGTCGCTTTGACGGAGTCTTCATTGATCCAGCCTAACTTTAGAGTTTGTCTCTAACATACTGATACCACCTGCAAGATCATCTTCTCCATATTCTAAGAAGGCAGAACATCCTCGAGGGGAAGCAGACCTAGCTCATCTGTAAGATTCCTGACCTGTCCCGTGAGCTTGTTGAGCCTCTCTCTGAGTCCCTCATTCTCGCTTTCAAGCACAGCAACATCGTTCGCAACCCTCTTGATGTTCTTCTGGAGTTTGTCCACTTGTGTGCGTCGCTCGCGTCTCTCCCCTTCCATCAACCCCTCGAGGCGTCTGATCTGCTCTTTGACACCACTGTCTCCCAGACCAGCGTTGACCTTTTCGAGTTTCAAGATGCGCGACTTCAGCGTTTCCATGGCGTTTGGATATGATTCCTGTTGCGTGTCCTGCTGGTTTGGGGTCGACATGAATTCCAAGGCCAACAGTCTGGGCTGTATCTCTTGCCAGGAGTTGCGTGAGAGTTCCAGTTGGCCAACACGCTCTGTGAGGGTTGCGTTTGCCGACTGAAGGTCAAGGACGATTTTCTCGTGGTTGGAGAAGTATCTGCTCAGATCTCCGAAGCTGGTGCCACTGGGCCCGTTGGTCAGGCTCGACTGGGTCTCTGTTGAGCGATCGTTCATCTGATACGGATCCCCTGGAATAGAACCTGCTGCCGGACTCGCTGGCTGCTCGGTTCTGGTCATGCTGCTGTTTGGAGGAACGAAGTCTGCATGACCGTCTACATCTGCCAACGTCCAGTGGTCCTCGGCTTGTCTGAGATCCGGAGAGGCTCTATAGCTGTCCGCACTGCCTTGAAGGTTAGAGTCCAGTGTGTAAACCGACTCTCCTCTAGATTCCCTAGGCGTGTGGTATGTTTCGTCAGCGTCGCGAACGAACACTAGTTCGAACGGTTCGAATGCTTTTCCACTCATGGATGCTCTGGTACGCTTAGCAGGAGGTTCCGTGGCTTCTCTGTTGTCCGTTCTGTCGAGTGCGCGTTTTGTTGCCCCGCTGTTGGGCCGGTACTGATAACACGTCAGCACTTATCCTGTCTTTGTGAATATCTTTTACATACCGTATCATCCAGATTCTTGCGGACATTGCTGGCGCCATTCTTTCCACCATTGGCTTGAGAGCACAGACGATGCTTACGGATACAGCGAGCACAACCAGTGGTCTTTGACTTCTTGCCAAGCGTAGACATACACGCCCTATCTTCCTTCTCACACAGCTCGCAACGAGGACTACGCTCTTCACCATAGTGGAGATCCAGGCGGAGTCTTTCAGCCTCGGGGTTGGTGTGCTTGAGACGTTCCCAATAGTAGGACCCTTTACTTTCGCTGTAGTCGCCTAGGTAGAGGGGAGGGTGCTGTCGGAGCACTACGGCATCACGAGGTACTGCTCCTTTTCCAGGGTTGTACTTCGTCACGGGAGGGAGTTGGACGGGGAGGCGACGTGGGGTGTCTTCACCCAGTTCAGGAGAAGCGTTCATTATTGAGATGCGATTGGATTGTGGGGAGGGGTGTGAAAGCGGCAGGGAAGAGGTTTGGAGATAAGTGGAAGAGGTTTTGTGAAGAACGGTTGGAGGAAGGGAGGGCAGAACTGGAGTAGTGATGGAGTGTTCTTATGCCAGGAAGGAGATTTCGAGAGTCACGCCTGCCATTTAACGGGCCCATAAAGTAACTCAAAGTCACGCCCCATTTGCGGCCTCGAGAGCGGGAATGGGCCCTGTGGCCCATTTCCTTCGTACTTGCCTCTCGCAACCTCTTGATGGCAGGATCAGGTGAGCAGGTTTGCGGGAAATATTTGGACTTGTTCGCGTCAACAGAACCCTCCGTCTGCAGAGCAGGGACCCGTTTACTTGCTCTGTTTGACGGGGGTCGTCCGAGATCATCCGATTAGACATAAAGAAAGATTGGTTCTCATCCAAATCAAGCCAGGACCGATGATGAGAATTAAGTCAGCAGGAGACAGGGACGAGGAAAGCCCTTGCTCTGACCCTCTCAAATTGACTCACTACACTGTCAAGCCGAGTATAAAAGAACACCCCCATCTATAGATAAGAGCCTTCTTTTCTCAAATTCTATTTCTGCATCCAAGTTTGATCCTCCTCTTCCTTCTACCGACAGAACATCTCTTCCTCTTCCCCTCACATCCAAGATGTCTAGACCTCGGGAGCCACCTCGACCTGATCTTTCCAAGACTTTCTGGACACCACCATTCCCCTGTCAAGAAACAGGTGTCGTGAGACGAGCGCACCCGATCCCCAAATGGGGAGACTACAACTCCAACACTGGCCTATATATCTGGCAGATAGTAAGATTCTGGGGACGCGTCACTCCTGCTTACGCATCGAAGATCAAACGCGCGCTGGCAGGCATGTGGTATGGTGTTGAGAACGACCCACGCTGCAATCACTGCGAGAAGAAGGATCGCTTTTGTACACGAGTGACGACCGACGTTCGTGGTGTCACAATATGTGCAAGATGTCTGATAAGACCAGAGAGTCACTGTTCCTTTGCCAATGGGGACAAGAGGAATCTCAGTGCCACGGTATGTCAAAAATCAACATAATTTCTGTAAGTAACTATACTGATTTACAACAAGAATGCGGTTAGCGGTAACGGAGATGAAAATAAAGCAAGGGAAGGCTCAGACGATGAATCTCTTGCGAGATGGCACAAAAGGCTTAAAGAAGCAGAGGAACAACGGGCATGCCAGAAGCCTGTAAAGAGCCATGGAAGGCGAAGGCTCATTGTTCAGGATGATTCAGACGATGATCTCCCTGTCAAAACCGTCCTAGACCGTCGCAGAGCCAACGGTCGGCATGAGGTTAACACCGCAGAGGCACCATCAGATGGCCTACAAGTAGATGGTCTGCAAGATGAGAGTCTACCGCGAACGTTCATCGAGATACCATAGTCACCTTCGTTGTCTTCCCTCTTCGGCACTCCATCCGGAACGTCTCCTGTCTCAAGACCGACAACACCTCCTGGCAATCAGGCGCTCCTCTTGAAAGACGGTTCCAATAGCGGGCCCGTTGACAAAGGCAGGGGAGGGCATGGGAGTAGAGGCGGCTACTTTGGCGCCCAGGGTCCCACCGAGGGACCTCCGATCAACGCCCCCAAGGAACCTAGAGCGATGCGTGAGGTTGTCTCCAACAGAACCAGCTATCCAGCAGGAGGAAAAGCTCAGATCGAAGAATGTCTGTGTGCTCTAGAGGCCGAGAACAATCGATACCGGGCTGAACAGGGTTTGGGCCGAGACCGCATTGTACAGCTCGAAGAACAGATCAGCCTCCTTGGACAACAACAAGACCATAAGCTCAAGCAAGCGATACTTGATATCAGGGAGATGGTGAACCATGCCATCAACCAGATGATAACGCGATGAGAGGACAAGGCTCTATCAGTGACAGAGAATGCGTATGTAGCTATAGAAGTGCAAAGAAATCTTGACAAAAATGACAGTGTTCATTGGGATCCGTGATAATCAGGGCTCTCTTTGGATATATCTCACATGGAGAGATCACTGTGCTTTGTGAGAGCGAGGAAGTCAATCTACACCTACGCATGCCAATCAAGATGAACAATTCAGAGGGTCTCTTCTCTAGAGAGGAGAGGAGAGGACTTGTTAGTATCATGTCTACATTCTGTCTAACGCTATCCTTGGTTCTCAGATTCCACGTCACGGAAAGTTATGCTCGTTTACAGCAATAGTAACAAGAGTCCATTTGCTTCATCTAACTCCGGCCCTCTCTCATAAGTGCGCAACAGAGGAGGTGACACCTTCAAGATGCATAGTCATTTTCAGATAGTAGGTCAGCCCGAGGAAAGCCCATAGTATCAGAGCTCTCAATGGTTGCTTCCTATCCACTGAGGAAATTGTGCATTGTTATAGCCACTGCAAGACCTAGATCTAGTTATGGAAAGGAATCAGGGCCAAGGCAGCTATTGTGAGGTTTTCAGTTGACATCAATGCACTATCTAAGGTTCATTTCCTCTCTCAGTTGCTTGATATGATCCTGAAGGTCATTCATCCCTGCCTCCAGCCCTCCTTCAAGCCGAGCAATCTTGTTTTGAAGCCTTTTGTTCTCGTCTTCCAACCGCCTTATTCTGGCTTTCTCTATCTTGATTTGTGTCTCCATCTTTATGATCTGGGTTCCATCAAACGCTTCCACCTTTTGGCTTCCATTCGCAAAGTCGGCACGAAGAGCAGTCAGCTGGGTTTGATGATCTGCTGCTTGCTTCTTGATTGTTTTTCTGAGAGTTTCGAGCTCACTCTTGTATCGCTCGTCGATGAGTGCATAGAGGCCCTTTTCGATATGACTGAAGCCGGACGATTTGAGGTCCTGCGAGCGTTGTCGATGCGTGCGTACATGACTTCTTAATCCGTCGCTCTCTGTAGGAAGATGTACATCTGCGCCCAATGTGATGCTCGAGAGGCGACTGTCTCTACGCTCCGCAGTAGATGACTGATCAACAGCGGTGTTGACTCGAATCTCGCCATCGGGAACCAGATTAGAAGCCATCCAACCTGAACCAACCTTCGGAGAGGATATCTCGAAACCATCTCGGGGAGCTTGTTCAGACTCTGCAGCGAACTGGTCACTCTGGGTCCTGACATGAACCACTTCCTGATCATCAGCAGTGGCTCTGGCCGCGATTGTTTGATATCGTGTGCGCTTGGTGAATGTCTTGCCCTTGTCACTTGTTTCGAGTTCGTTTGCTTTACGCTTCTGTGAAATAGGCTGTTGGACGATGTCCTCGCAGATATCAACATCCGATCGAGAGTCTTCAACGCTCGTTTCCGTACTTTCGACCGACTTGCATGTAGCATGTACACGTCGGCACTTGACACAACTTTTGTTGAGCTGATCTTCTTCTCCAAGAAACCACATGCAAGCTCGATTCCGATTTTCGCACACGTCGCATCGAGGCTGTCGTTCCTCGCCGTAATACATGGCAAGCAGAATTCTCTTTTCTTCGGGATCGTTAACGTCCAACTTTTCCCACCAGTACATGTCTTTGGACAGGTTGTTGTTGTAATCTCCCGCATAGAGTGGTGGATGTTCTCGGGTCATGACAGCGTTGCGAGGTACGGCCGGCCGATTTCTACGTGTTGCAGGACCGGGACTAGGAAGAGGCATATTTGGTGCTGACATTTTGCTTGAAGCGTGGTCGGGAGAGTAGTCGTGGGCCACTTTCGGACGTGTGTGCAGACCAGAAGCAGACCGACTTCGACGATGGAAGGGCTGAATTATCGAACCTCGAAGCTGCAAAGGAGAGAACGAGTCTCACATGAAGTTGAAGAATGATTTCTGGAAGGAATCATATCGGTCCTTTGACTCACTTTTGATTCTTGCGATAACTTGCGCAGCGGACCGTGGTGTCTTCCCAAGAAGGTTCCTTGGTCCACGTGGCTGCTCAGCCCCGACAGGACCATCTTTCGCCCTGTCGGTGCAGTTCCCAGTCGGAGATGTGATAGTAAGCAGGAGAAAGGACATGACAGTCGATGGTATCACATCCCCATGTGCAAAGTTATGTCACGCGAGGCTTATAGAAATGCACAGTCCCTTTGGCAAATGAGAAGTATTCATCGAGAAATCCGTCCTCATCGGCTCTCTGTGGACTTTGCTGTCGTTTAAATACAACTGTGCATCTTGATAGTCTCGGCGCCGCCTGAATGCTGTTATGAGAACGGCGTGGTACAACGAGGGAGAGTCTGAAGCTTGATTATCATGAAAAGGGTATCAATCATTCATATGTACGTACGGCGGCAAAAGAGGAAATATAAGTCGAGAAAGGAAGTCTATGGCGTAAGAAAAAGAAAGAAGAAGGCAGTGCCGCTAGAGATTGAGAAACAAACACCCCAAACTTTGTGATCCGCTATGCATGAAAAGAATTGAACAAGAGTGAAGAAAGACATTAGTGGTAAGAGAGCAGCGGTAAGGATGCAGGACAGATGTATCAACAAGAAACGGGCGAGAAGATCAGAACATCTCGTCTTCACTGAATCGATAGGCGCCCCTCTCTTCGGCAGGTGTGCGGTAATTTTCGTAGGGAGTTGGTGGCTCGATGCGTTCATGTTCATGGTTCGGCGGCGTTTGGCGGACCGAGCTGCGAGGAATACTCCTGCGGCCACTGTCGACAAGCGCACTACGATGGCGAGAGCCGTATTCGCTGTCTTCGCCAGAGTCACCAGAAAAGCGACTTTGGATGCGAGCGTCAGGTCTATCGAAGGCACGCAAATACTGAGGAGGGGGGACAACAGTGGCGGGTGTAGATAGGGCGTTGTATGCTTCTAGGCGTGAGGCGCTGCGGCCACCATCTGACTCGGCGGGAGTGCGAGGTCGTTGTCCTTGTGGAAGGGCCTGTGCCGAGTAGCTGCCCCAGCTACCACGCGAAAGTTGCAGGCGGGTGACTTCGTGCTGGAGATTGCGAACTTGATTCTCGAGGGTGCGGCGGGCGGAACGCTCTTCGGAGAGCATATTGTAGAGGGCGGTGAAAGTTCCGTTAGCCGTGACAGCGGTGCTACGCAGAGTTGGAGGAGCAAGGTTGAAGCGATCGCCGTTTGTGCTACTCTGGCTGCTCGGCCCCCATTCGCGTTCCATGATATCGCCAGCATCTTCGTAAGCTCGAGCGGGGGCTTGCAGGGGTTCAACAAAGATGCTGGGAGGTTTCTGGCGATGCGAGGATCCCGGTGGCTCGGTCGGGGCTACGGCTGATGGGCTAGAGAGGGCAAGGTTGGACAGCGAGCGCTGGAAATCAATGAGATGAGCCTCGAGCTTGGCGACACGGGACTCGAGATCAGTTGTAGCATCCGGAGCAGGCGTAGTCAGCGGGCGGCTGAAGGAGCGCAGAGTCAACTGCGGTGATAGATTCTTGGTAGGCACCGATGGACCGCGTGTCGGCGGAAGCGAGACAGCATCAGAGCGTGGCAGAGGTGGATGTGCCGACAGTGGTGTCGGGACCGAGACGAACTCGGGCTCCCTCACGAAGTGCTCGGGTACTTCGGGCACGTCAGGGACATCAGGCACATGGGTTTCGTCAAATTCGGCATCGGCCGGAGGATAATCGTAGATGGGAGCCTTCCCAGTCGGACTGAGGAGCACGCTGGCATAGCTCCGTCGCCAATACTCAATCTCGCCAGTACGGTCCCGGAAAGGTTCAGCAGCGATCATAGCTTGCTTCAAATCGTTGGCACTGCGCGACCTCCTCTTGTCCATCCTCGACGTGACAGTCAATCCAGCGGATGTCTGCTTTGTGTCTACCGTCTGCTGTCCGACACCAAAGCTTGCATCCGTGGCTTTTGTGTCTTCACCCTGACGCGGTGGGTCTGAGATGTCGGCGGCCTCGTTGGCAGTTATGATCAGGCTGGGTAATGTGGCCCTCCGCTTCGGGCCATGTTCACGGGTATAGAATGGGTTGCCCAAGTCTAGAGGCTTCAGACGGGCGCTCTTGGGGAATTCGACGGCATTATTGGGCGATGCGTGTGCTGGGCTGTTACTCCTGTAGAGGGATGGGTGTTGCGACTGGAAAGGAGCGGAGAGAGGACCAGCGAGCGGAGTAGCCAAGGGCGCAGAGATGATTCGCTGGTGGATGGCGTCGGATGGATGCGTGTGAAACGTCTGCGGTCGCTTGGGTTGGCCGGGGTCCTGTATGAGTGTTAGTACTGGTGCATGGTCGAATTCCTGTCGTATCCGGCCAACTCACGCTCTTGTGGTAGCCATGGCGCGAGGCTTCTGTCCGTGGCAAGGCAGGCACTTCGGGAATGTCGGCCTTTGACTTTCTTCCAAACAAGCGGCGCACGGCGTTGCGTATTGAGCCCTTCCTCTCTGCTCCATCTGGTCCTGTGCCATTGCCAATCGAGTACCGCGCCGACTTGCGTTTGCGGGGCTTGGAGGTCGTGTCTGTGCTGCCTTCTCCGTCTGCCTGGGGTTGTGGCTGTTGTGCTGCCGCCGTCACCGAGGTGAAGTATTCAGCTGAAGGCCGTCCATACGAGACATTGTCGGCTGCTAGCTCGGGTCGCGCTGGCCGGATGGGCGGCGAGCGAGTCCGTTGTGTGGTTACTGATCCGTCCATGGATCCATGCAGCAGATTGACAAGGTCTGTCAAGTATCAAGCTGGTGCCGTGTGTCGCAGCAATCCGAGGGCAGACGATTAAAACAATGCTGACGAGCAAAAGACTGGCGTGGTTGAGTAACGAGCGACAAGGGTTGCTAAAGGAATGGACGAGTGAGATGGCCACGACAAGAGTCGGCGTTAGGAGACAGCAAGCTGCTTTCTCTGGTATAGCAGGCGCAGCAACACTCGAGCAGAAACGGAGACGGAGATGCAGAAGACAAGCAAAGACGGAAGGCACGGCCTTAGCGAAGGGCCATACCAGAGAGTCAGGGACAGGCTCGTCGCTTGCGAAATGGGCCTGCTCGAGAGATATAGCCGGGAAGAGTCCGTTCCTCCAACCGTTCAGCAGTAGTGACTTATCGAGCAGGAACCGTCTCCCGATTGCTAGGTATTCGTTGCGGGGATCGCGCAGACGTGGCGTTTGCTTGCTCTTAGCCCAATAGCTTCTGCATTAGTCGTCGTTGTAGTACTGTTTCAGCATCTCCCACCACATGGCAACGTTTTGGGGCTTTTGGGTCCATCTCAACCTTGATTCGCCCATCCTTCCAACTATCTTCACCGCGCCGTGAATTAGACATTACCTCTCCGACTCGTGAACATTGTCCTCTCGACCCGAGGCATACTCTCGTCTTGTGACCACACATCCAGGACCGTCAGCAAGGAAGAATACTTCATCTCCAAAGCCACACTAGCCGAAGCCTATTTTTATCAAAGATGGCTGCTAAGCTGCTTCGCAAAGCCCTCGGACCTCTACAAGGCCTTTGGTCAAGCAACATCTGTCAATGATGGCGCAACTACTTCTACCATCATCGTCGCTTCGAGAAATCTAATCGCGTCCTATCTGCCCGTTCAGCTTGACCGTTGCGCTCCCTGCGCTCGTTGGCGTCGAAGAATTGCCTGCTATAACGGGTTGCAGTCCTTCTCTTTCGGCACTGTTAATCTCCCGTCGCGCTTTTTTGCTGCCAAGTACTTTGTCACTTCGACCATTCGGGTACATCTCACCTCCGACTGTGCCGATCTGGAAGGCCGTGGCCAAAGACATCTGCTCACGGTCCACGTCCTCGCATTCTCCTGCCCTGCTTTGCAATCACCGACCGCATCACCAGACAACAAGGATACTTCTGTTTTGTATCATGCGTCGTGTGTCGCCTCTTGAAACCATCACCACAATCAGCTGGACCGGTCATGCGATCCAGCGCAATTGTCTGTCACTAAGATAAGACATGCCGGAGTTCTTTGCCGGACCAAACCCTCTATCTGTCACACATTACTCCTCGCGTAGTACGTCGTCTAGATCCGGGTAGCGCAGGTCCGCATTCTCCTCGAGGAACTCCATCCAGCTCTTAAGGAACTTGCTACCACTATGAATACCGCAGGAGCGGTAGCCGGTTAGCTTCAAACATTCTTGACTTGCGCGCGCACGCATGTGACATGCAGGTACGGTCTCCTGCAAGGGCGGGGTGACTTACCGGCCTACGGTCTCGGAATCGCCAACTACACAGAGATGTCGCTTTGGTCGAGTCATGGCGACTGTGAGAAGTTGTGGTTAGCGAGGCGTATTGAAACTGCACATGCCGTCTCTTACCGTTGAGTCTTCGCTTCTCGGCGAGGAAGCCTACTTCGTGCTCTGCATTGCTGCGGACAAGGCTGACCACCACAGCCTCCTTTTCTCTGCCTTGGAACCCATCAATACTCCCGAGTTCGATGCCAACAAACTTCTCTTTGAGCAGCTGTGACAGTACAGCAAGCTGGCCATTGTATGGTGTGACAACAGCAATGTCTTCTGCTTTGACACCAGCATCGACCAGACTCTGGACATGCTTCTTGACGATGGCTGCTTCGAGTTCATTGCTCTTGCTCTCTCCTAGGAGGCTGCTCTTCGACTTTGGTGCATCATCGCCATCGTCTGTCTTTTCATAGAATTCGCCACCCTGTGTGTCCCAGAAGACCACGGGTTCGGTCGTATCCTCGGTCTCCTCGACGTCGTACGGCAAGTCTTTTAACAGCCTTGCCTTGACACCCTCCGCCGCCTTGAGTTTCGACTCGTACAGTGCGGCTGATGGGAACGCATTGATCTTCTCGTGCATGCGGTATTGGATAGTTAGCATGCGCTTAACGTCATCCCCATAGAGATCAAGCATGCGGTCAAAGAGCGTGGTCTCCAAGCTGACGTCGCCTAGATCTGCCTTGGGCTTACTTTTGTTCGACTTTGAGTTGGAGCTTTTGATGGTAGGTGGGAGTTGCAGATGATCTCCGGCGAGAATCAGCTTGCTGGCTCCACTCGTCAAAAGCGGTACCCAACACTGTGCTTCCAAGGCTTGACTAGCTTCATCGACAACAACTATGTCGAACTTCTGATTCTTCAGATAGAAGCCTCCCGATCCGTGAAGAGTCGCAAGGACGACTTTACTTTCCCGGACAAGACTGTCCACACAAGAGGCTTCGCGCTGGCGGTAGTCCTTGCGCAACTCCTTGATCTCGCCATATATGGCTTTTCGTTCTCTGCCGTTTCTCGTTTTGCGTATACTCGCTTGTTTGGCATCCATCTCATTGCGAATGTCTTTGACCAAGGCAGCGGCATCACTGGTGCGAGTCAGGATATCCAGACTGTGGTTCAGGACTCCTGGCAACAATCGGGCTGGGTGGCCAAGTCTGACCATTGGTACTTTGTGTGGTGACAATCTCTCAACGATGTTGTCGACCGAGATGTTGCTGGGTCCGCAAACCAACAGCCGAAGATCTTGTTTGAGACACTGACGTATCAACTCGATCAATGTGTGAGTCTTTCCTGTTCCCGGCGGTCCGTGAATAAGAGCAACCTCAGGAGAGGCGAGAGCAAATTTGATGGCTTCCTTCTGTGAGTCGTTGAGGGAGGGATCTAACCACTCAAGGTCTTTTGCCAGATCTCTGGGCTGGACTGACACTGCTAACGACTGGCCAAAGAGAACGCGCATGAGCGTAGAGTGCTCGCTCTCAGGCATCTTCAACAACTTGGTCATGACTTGGTTCATTCTAGCCATGAATCAGTCATGGGCACTCAAAGTCTTGAAATCATGGTGATACCTCTTGTACGTAACATCATTCGCGAGCTTGACACTATAGAGACACGCAACCTATCAGCCAACAATATTCTTGTCCATGACGAACGTGCAGGATCAACACACAGCCAAAGCTTTCCGCCAGGGATATCAACTTCATCCTTGTCCAGAGCAACAACAATAATCTCCCGCAAGACCTTGACAACGACACCTTGAATTTGTTTCTTCTCCATGTCCTGACGCTCTTTCTTCTTCTCGGCGCCCTTTGGCTGCTCGGAAACACCGACGATATCGCCCACGCGCAATCCATGTTCGGGGAGTTGAGTTTCAGTGCCGGCGATGGCAGGGTCCAGAGAAAGTTCGACTAGAGACTTACCACCCAGGCCGGTGCGCTGAGCGCTCACAGCGAGATTTAGGACAGCCAGACCGGCGCGAGCGAGAGTGGATGGAGCATGAGTGGCGGTAAGCAGAGCCGTTTCTTCGAGCTCGGCGTTGAGTTCTGCAGCTAGCAATCTTAGCTGCTTGTCAGCAAAGCTAGGTACGTCAATTGGAGCCATGTTATGTTCTTGGTGTTGTGAACAAGAATCGGTGGATGCTCTGTGAGTTTCGCTTTCACATGCAGACGGTGACGTCGGCCTTGGCGGAGCGATAAGATAAGGAAAGTCGCTCCTCCACGTTTGCTCGCAATGGTCAGCATATCATCGTCATACATATCAGCCAAAATGCGAACGTCGAAGGTATCTCGAGAAACTGCTCGAGTAGTCAATGCTCTTTCATCGCGAGGATCCAATGGCGATGCGCCCAGACGTTCCCTACGCAACTTTGCACATGGTGCAGACGTGAACTATGCAGCGGACGATGCCAGCTCGGATCTATCTTCGCTGCCCTCGAGTGCTTCTCCGTCAAGTGCTTCGCCATCGCCGCCGCCTTCAGGTCGCAAACGTAAGCGCACAGTCAAAACCGAAGTGCTGTCTCCCAATGCCTCGGCCGCCAATCGCAACACCAACCTGCCAAAGAAGACAAAGCGACAACCTGCCAAACGCATCAAGGGCGAACATAGCCATGTCGAGCCCCCGCCCAACTGGGAACAAGTGTACGGCATTACTGCTGAGATGCGCAAGAAGGTCCTCGCTCCAGTCGATACCATGGGATGCGAGTCATTAGCCGAGCGCAATCGCTCCCCAATCGACCGACGACTACAAACATTGATTGCTCTGATGCTGAGCTCCCAAACAAAAGACACCGTCACCGCTGTCGCAATGAAGACTCTGCAGGACAATCTCGAAGGAGGCTTCAATCTTGCTGCGCTGCTCACAGTCGAGCCAGAACGCCTCAACGAATTAATTGCAAAAGTTGGATTCCACAACAACAAGACCAAATACATCAAGGCCACGGCAGAGATTCTTCGAGACCGCTTCGATGGTGACATTCCCGATACGATAGAAGGGCTCGTGTCATTGCCTGGTGTTGGGCCCAAGATGGCTTACTTGACCATGTCTGCCGCATGGGGTCGCGATGAGGGTATTGGTGTCGATGTGCATGTCCACCGTATCACCAACCTCTGGGGCTGGCACAAGACTCGCAATCCGGAAGAGACTCGTGCAGAACTCGAAAGCTGGCTTCCGAAAGAGAAGTGGCATGACATCAACCATCTGCTTGTCGGATTCGGTCAAACCATCTGCTTGCCTGTTGGTCGCAAGTGCAATGATTGTGTTCTGGCGACTGAGGGGTTGTGTCCGAGCGCTGTTGTGAAGAAGGAGGTTACGAAGAGGGTAAAGAAGGTCAAAGACGAGGATGGAGTCAAAACAGAAGTTGACGCGGTTGTAAAGGAAGAGAAAGCTGACGAGGACGCTCCTCCGCTGGACGTTCCGCTCGCTGGTGCCGGCACTGTCCCAGATATAGAGGGTGCAGGCGCAGGCATCAAGGAAGAGGAGCCATGATCGCTTGATCGGCTGCTTACCTCCACTCGTGTTACTACTATGTCCAATATAATGTACGATAAACCTATGGAAGAATTTATGCATTCATCAGTCCTCGCCTCCCTCTCAACAGCAAAACAAACCTCCATCCACCGTCAGTCAGTGATGCACACCAAACGCAAAAAAGAAACACGATCCTGGCAATGGGCGGAATCGAACCGCCGTCGGGTCGGCGTTGCTGGAATTTAACCTCCACAACGACACATGCTACCACTACACCACATCACCTTAGCTTGTAAGGGTTGAATCCGGTTGGCCAGATTCAGGATCTTGGCTGTCCTCAGATCTACGTCAAAATTAATGTCTCGTACGGTCATCAGCTTGCATTCCACTCGGTGTTCATTGCTTGAGTAACTAACCAGTCTTTTTGCCACGGTCGCATATCACAGTTCCGGTCGTCACAGATCACATGCAGTGCAGACCAGCGTCAGTCATGCATACCTCGGTGTTTTACGCCTTCTGGTTGCGTCAATCGTGTTGGTTGGTTTCGTTTCTTGTAGTATGTCCTTGATTTCATGCCTCGCCTGGTCACAACTGTTTTTACTCACCTGCGATGGCTATACTGCATGACAACCTTACTATGAGTGACCAGGGAGGTTAATGGGTACTCCTGACTACTACAGAAGAGATACTGGCCGTGTGAATCGTATTGTGACCATACAAGATAGGTGAGTTACCTGTTACCAGGGTGATACTCTCAGCCATGTCTACTCGGGTCAAAATTTCACATATGTAGGTCACCTAAGTCTGTTGTTATGTGATGTCGAGGGGACACCGTACAATCATTACAGACTAGCCATGCCAGTATAGTTTAGATCAGACACTGTAGTCGATGGAGAAACGTTTGGTGAAAAGAGATGTCTATAGCATGACGAGTTTCATGGCTTGAAATACACGCCATCTATGGGTCGAAGAGCCATGGTGTATAACCACCAGAGATGCACTCGTCAAAAAATTCAGTCGAGCTCGTGATCGCTTGTTGCGAGTCTGAGAAGGGCGGTGGCCTCGCATCTAAGAATGTCCTTGAATGAGCGATGACTAGCGGGTGGCACTCGGAAGACCCCCCAATGAAGTAGAGCCTGGCAGTGACGTCTCAATGCTGTTTTCTACATGCTACGGATCGGCGTTCGTGTCGAGTGCACGGAATCAGACCATGAAAAGGTTGGAGGTGAACGAGAAAGGCAGAAGAGAAAAGAGGATGGATGATAAGGAGGGAGTTGAAGAAATTCCATGTATTATATGCTCTATAAGCTTTTGATCATTGGCAGCGAAAGCACTTTGTTTTGCAGTGTCTGACGCAACGCCTTTATGCAGAACCGTCAAGTCGTAATCGTGAGATGTGCCGGATGCGCTCAGAGAGGAGCATATGGGCTTCTGTAGTCGTCTAAGGGAGAAGGATCCATGGCCATGATATGGGGATCGGGATCGGCGTACAGGTGGTGGTAGACAGCAGCAGAGTGATACGCCGAAGTAAGAGCAGGATCAAGGGCGTGCATGTGGTGTGGTTGCAGCTGTGGATGGTGATGAGGGTGCTGCGATGGAGGTACAGTCAAGTCCTGCCACGGGTCAAGAAGGTGGGCATCGGCAGGCAGGTCGGTGAGATGATCGATGGGGACATGTGCCGGGACATGGAGAGGCGGAGGAACAGAAGGCTGCTGTGTGATTTGCTGGACGGCGTCTTTCTGGACGATGGGCTTGTTGGCAGCACGACGGCGAGGGACAGCGTTAGATGACGATGTAGTTGTACGCGTACGGACAGGCCTCTGACCAGCGGCGATGCCAGCTCGGGCGATGGCGCGCGAGATGGTCGACATGGACACGGTCAGTTCGAGTTCCTTCTGCAGATGGCGGCGCATCTCGTCGAGCTCCATGTCGGGTTTGGCAGCGAGCAGGCCCTGCAGAAACTTGTCGACACCTTCGCTCATGGCACGTGGCCTGCCCAGAGTCTTTGTCTGTACGCGACCCACAGTGCCGTGCTTCTTGAACTTTGCAATCTTGAGATAGACATTGGTGCGCGACACACTGGGCACGGCGGCGCGTATCGCCATGGCCGACTTGCCCTCGCTCACCATGCGCTCTATTGTCGCATTGTCCTCGTCCGTGACCATCGTCTGTCGTCTACATCTTGTTCGTCAGTAAACTGCCTGTCTGCCCGCAGTACAGCCATGCATGTTGCCATGTGCAGAGCGTACGAAGAGGCGCTTACCGACGTCGTTTGTTTGTGAAATAATCATGGGAATCCGGCCCTGTGTCCCATCCTTTTTGCTTGACACATCCGACGTGCAACGGGCACCGACTGGAGCTTCAGAATCGCCAACACTCGGATATCTTCACCATCGTCAAATCCTCCCAGGCTCTCACCCAGCTGTGCTTCGTATCCCTTCTGTAATACCTGATTTGCATTTGTATCTTATGCTGTAACAAGGACTTTTGTCTCTCCTGACCGCGCTTCTCGCCATCCTGCGCCTGGCCTTGTCTCCTGTGCTCTCACTCAAATCCGAGTTTCAGCTGTCTAGGGCGCCCTCCTCCCTCCCTCCCAGACACTCGCACTGAACTCAGTGTGCGCCTTCGTGTCTGTTGCGAGCGACAGTGGTCTAAACGAGAGACCGAAGCCTCTCAGCAAGACGCCGTCTCCTTCGCGCCATGTACTCCTTCAATATGAATGCACAGCCGGTGCGCGCTCACCAACGGTTTCAGGGACGTCGCCTTCCATACGGTGCTGCGGGACGACGGCTGATTGCCTGATTACAGTTTCGCAATCAGTGCAAGGTGCTCTCCTTGCCCCCTCAGACGTCATACACGAAGGTCAATGGGCATAACAAGACTCCGCCAAGGCAGCATGCACCGTGATGGCTTCATGCGAGGCCGCTGTACCCTCGGCTCCTCCCAAGACATGGTCATGTCTAGAGGCTTCAATACCTCGCATGTACAGCGAGGCCTGTACTCGAATGTCTTACCAATTCAGAGACAGAGACAGGGTGACTTGAGACTTCTGTTCTCCTGAGCCACGTCACAGCTGTCGAGTCGACAAATCCAGGTTTCTAGCTGACATTCCCATGCTAGTGAATGCAGAGTTTCACAAACGTTTTGCCAATACATACGTCTCCTCCAGACCCGCAGGCAATGGTCTGAATCATGAAGCCGTCGGCCTACCGAAAACAACAGAGGTAACCAGAGATGCGCAACGATCCTGGCTAGCAGATCTGTCGTGGCCTTGCAACACAACCCAGGCGGACACCTAGCACATATAAAGATCGTCGCTTGTTGTTTGGCGACGAATCTCTACAGAGCAGATGCGCCTCCTGCCCACGGACGCCTTTTTCTAGAAGCAAAACCGAACAAAAGGGAGCCAGCTTGGCGGGGTTTCTCCTTCCGAAATTGGGCGCGGCCGTTGAACCTTGCGACCACATCCACACAACCCAGCCCTTTCAATTTTAACGTATGCGTGACAGTTCGATAATCGAGAACGATGCACACGATACCAGGTATCTATCTTGTTGCGGCCGGCGGATGGCAACTTGTCCATGAGACAGCAGCTGCAAACGTCTCGTGCCACGCCGAAAGCGTGCAGCCATGATGGAAAGAGGGCTCTGAGTCTCTGCCCAATCCTTTTTCGTCAGAGTTTGAGCATCCCGCAATCGAACATGCACGGTTGGCGTTCATCCATGGTCCCGGCTTTTGGGTTAATTATTGCCATGCTCCTCATGACTCCTGGGCACGTTGTGTCTGTGTCAGATCAAAGAGGGTATTTTGCTTCTAGTTGCTAGGCTCTGTTTCCTGCATAGACGTTTCGTCCCTCGTCTCTTTAATCGAAGGGGCCGCAAACATTAACATTCCACTCCCCTCTTGCCTTGCTTGATCGCTTTTCCTTATACCACCCATCCCACCTTCCTCATCTCTCGACACCCCCGCGTTTAGGCTTGCTTTCGACTCTCCTTTTGTTCGACCCAGCCGTCCGCTCCCGACCTCGTCTTTGTAGCTGCTACCCCCATCAACACCATACAACAACCACGACATCGTCCGCTCGCGACATCTGCAGGAAATTCTAAACCACTACTGGCGGCTTGTCTTCTCTGTTGAACAACTTGAACATACCCATAAATAATATCTGAACTTTTGGCTGGTCCCGAACGCTGCAATAATTCATCAACAACAATATCTCGCAGAAACACGTCACCACCTTTGCAGTGAAGTGAGTATACCATAATCGAAGCCTCTCCTTGACGGCAACTCGAGCCGGTTAGCGCCATTCTGTGCGACGACCAGAAGCTGATTTCACTCTGCCAAAAGATCTTATACATTCACCACGACCCGTTCCGAAGCTGCGCTGCGACATCTCCTTTTCTTACAACTTCTTTTCCCACAACCCTTCTTCCCACTTCTTTACTCAACGATCTCTCATTTCTCTATTTGCATCCTCGCATACCACACCACACACTCAGCCATGGAAGGTAACGGAGGCAGAAGCGGTAGAAGAAACGACTCTATCAGCAGTGTCATGTCCTTGGGTACTGACAACAACAACAACAACAACAACACCTCGCCCTCATGGTCAGCCGCACCTGCCGACCAGAGATCTTCACGTGCAGAACAGGTGCTCGATCATGAGGCATCTGTTCACATGCTCTCATCACACTATGCCCCAGAAGATCACTCATACATGGAGGGTTCTAACTCTGACACCGACCAATCCGACATGATGAGCCCTCTTGAGATCCGCCACGCTATATTCGAGATGCTCGACGAACTCCCACAGTGCGCCTCCACCGACCTCGTCACTCCCTACCAGAAGGCAGCCACGCTACCTCCTGTTACCCAAGATTCGCTCTGTGAGTTGGACGTTGGCCGCATCATCAACAACCCCAAGCTGCGCCACGATGTCAACTTCGACCGCGAGCTCCACTTCAGACCCAACCTCGACGGACCCAGAGGCAAGACAAAACTCAAGTCCGCCGACGAGTACTGGAAGGCCGTGCTGGCCGAGCTGGAGGTCTACAGAGCAGTCGGCTTCCGTCTCATGACTAGCAGAAGCGACGAAGAACTTGAGTACTGGACTTGCATGATCAAGGCCAACCAGATCAGACTTCCAGGCATCTTCACCACCATCTACGAAATCCTCAAGACGCTTGTGCCTGAACGCGACCAAGCCATCGTGGCAGAGAGACTCGACGTCGAGATGATCATGCAGCAGATCTGCAAGGGTGTCTTCAATCTTCTGGATCTGGCTCAGTGGCTGGCTACTATTCTGAAGGCCCACTGTGCCCCCATGAGAGATGACTGGATTGACCAGATGCTTGAGGGAACTACCCAGGGCGTTGAGGAGGGCAATCAGAAGGCTGTTGTTGTCGGTCTCAGACAGACTCTGGCCATTCTCGAGGCCATGAAGCTGGACGTTGCCAACCACCAGATTAGACATCTGCGCAGCTTGTTGATTGACGACACTGTCAATTTCCAGCAGAAGTACCACGCCCACAAGATCGCTGCAGGCCGCTTCAAGGTCAAGGGTGCACGCGATTGGTTCAAGGCAGAAGAGGCTCTCCTCAGCGGCTGTAACCTCGCCCCAACCCCTCTGGAGACCTTCTCGTCGGCAGTCCTCCGCTCCTTGCTCTCTCAGAGCCCTATTCCTCACTTTCCCGACACATTCCATCTCGACTATGAACGCCTCCGCCAGCTTCGCAGTGACATCCACAACATGATCCAGCTGGACATGTGCAACAAAGCCTTTGATGTTCTAATCAAGGACAAGGTCAGCGAGCAGACTCGTGCTGCTGGCAAGAAGACCCTCCAATTCAGAATCACTGGTATTATCGGCGATTCTGGTCTTTACCTTGAGAACCTCGAGAACCTTTCTGCCGAGATCGTTCGCCTCGTCCTTGAGCTGGAAGGCTCAGACCGCACCTTTGACTCCGACATGAACAGCATCGTCGAGCACTACCTTCGTACCGAGCTACCTCTCGCTTCTTCTGCCTTTGGCATTCAGCTCCAGTCGATCCTCGATACCGAGCTGCCCAGACTGTGTAACGCTGTGAAGTCCAGCGCAAGACTTCCTCTTCTGGCTCTTCACGATGTCATGCTCCCTCCCATCCAGCCTGCTGGCAAGGGTGCTGCTGCCAAGCCCATCGCCGAGCCTCTTCTCGACGAGATCCTCAAGCGCGTCACCCATCTCGCAGTCATCCACTGGCACGTCTGGTCACCCATCATCTACAACCTGCAGGTTGCTGTTGGCTCGACCGATCTTGGCTCCCCTGACAACAACACTGACACCGCTCACGTGAACACCAACACCGCTTCGCCTAGCTCTGTCGCTTCGACTCCCGACATGCAGAGCCAGACTGGTGGTTTCACTCAACTCAACCCCTCCATCACCAACAGTCACTCCCAGGAGTAGACTTATCGCTACAGGCCAATCCTCCAATTGTTCTCCGCCTTGTAACAACATCAACCCAATTAATTCTCGGCCCGTTATTGTTTCCAGCCACCATCTCAAGCCAATCCGGAGCAGCAGGCTTCCTCTGCCTCACTACCCGAAGCAGGACTAGTCAGCAGCTCCTTGGACATGCTCGACATGTGTGGCTTTCTGCAGATACCCCTTGTGTTTTCTTTTTCTTTTTCTTTTTCTTTTCCCTTTCCTTATGTTGTCTTCACATTATCATCAAGCAGTTCAGCAAGGCGCTGGCGGAGTTCTCAAGTCGATCGTTTACTTCCGGAATGGCGGAATCGTGTCTTTAGCAAGCAGTAACTCATTGTCGTTGTACATATCTTATCCAAGCTTTTATTATCACCTCCACTCTTCCTGATTCATTATTAACGATACAACCTGAGCAAATGAATCTCCAGATCACTTAGGACGTTTATCCGTGATGGAGCATCGACCTCCCAAGGGTCAATGTCATGCTCTATTGTTAGTCGTCTTGACTCTCGAGAGGTTTAAGCCTCAGGCGAAAAGATGCCAAATAGATTAATGCCACGGGTCGAAGAAGCTTGGTTCGGAGACTAGCCTCTCATGGCAAAGCTCCGAGCTTAACCGGCGGCCGAGCGTGGGGGCGGGAAGCAGATGATATCACTCTAATCCTCAATCATCGTTACGTAGGGGCGTCAACACTGATCATACTGATCGCGATGTTGCGTGTACGAGACGGCTGATAGATTAGAATTACCACTCTCTGAACTGCCGAAGCTTCCGCTGAATCAAGCTTATAGTTCGTTGTGAGCTCTGAACGACTTTCTCTCCCGCTTTGATTGTGAATTTATTGAAAGTTTCAAAATCGACGAAGCAATCATGGATGTCAAGAACCCCAACAAGGAGCACAGGACCACTCCTGAGTACGCAGAGTACCAGAGAGATAACTTTTGGTGAGTAAACCTCAAGACTTGAATATCATAACTGGTATCTATTTGAGAAGCCTTGTCGTTGAAACGTTGTTCGCGACGGTATCTTGCAGAGCTGAGCGCACTCGTCCAGCATTTTCATACCACGCATTTGTATGAGAGCATACTAATAGAAGTGCCATGATAGGGCCGATAACGAAGGAAAGACGCCTCCTTTTAACACACGTAAGCAATGCAATCGAGTTGTCGAGCAGATGAGATATTGAGACAAACGACAGACCCCGACAAGCTCGAGGAGAGAGCAAAAGAGAAGCTTTCAGAAGGTGGCTGGTACTATGCCTCCTCCAACGCCGGCTATTCCACAACACATCTCGCCAACCGCCAGGCCTTCTACCGCCATCGCATCATCCCTCGCATGCTAGTCGACACAAACAAGCGTGACACCTCCTGGGAGATCTGGGGCCACAAGACTAGCGCACCCATCGGGTTCTCTCCTATTGGAATCAACAAGATCTACAATCCTCTGGGAGAACTCCCCGTGGCAAAGGTTGCCAAAGAACTCAACTTGCCATACTGTCTGAGTACTGCTGGGTCGCAGCCAATTGAGGATGTTGGTGCTGCCAATGGAGAGGGCCCTCGCTTTTTCCAGTTGTACATGCCGCATGATGATGAGTTGACGGTTTCGCTCTTGCGCAGAGCAATCGATTCGGGCTTCACTGCCTGTATCTTGACTGTTGAGTATGGTCACTCTTGGTGTTGTCCGATCAGACAAGCAACTGACAAGTCTTTTGCAGCACATGGCAACTCGGCTGGAGACACGACGACGTCGCACACAGCAACTACGCCTTCTACCACGGCATCGGAGCCGATCTGGGATTGTCCGACCCAGTCTTCCAGAAGAGACTTGCAGAAGACGGAATTGACCCCGTAAAGGAACCCAACAAAGCTGGTGCCAAATGGATAGACAATGTTTGGCATGGAAGAGCCCATACCTGGGACAAGATGCCTTGGCTCATCAAGACGTGGAAGGAGATGAGTGGCGGCAAGCCTTTTGCCATCAAGGGCATTCAAAGTGTTGCCGATGCTAGAAAGTGTGTTGAGATTGGTTGCGATGGCATCGTTGTCAGTAACCATGCTGGAAGACAAGTCGATGGCGCTACGGCGAGTCTCGATGCTCTGGAACAGATCGTTGATGGTAAGCCTACGGAACAAACTCCGTCGCATCACAGCTGCTGACTCTTGAACTTTTCTAGCCGTCGGCGACAAGATCTACATCATGTTCGACTCTGGTGTCCGCGGCGCCTCCGACGTCTTCAAAGCTCTCGCACTGGGAGCCAAGTTTGTCTTCGTCGGCAGACTATGGGTCTGGGGCCTGAGCATCATGGGCGAACACGGCGTCAGGCACGTCATGAAGTCGCTCTTGGCTGACTTTGATATCCTTCTGAATGTTGCTGGCTTCCAGAATGTCGAACAGATTGTTGGTAATCGCGAGGCACTGGAATCTTTGCCAAAGGCCTACACCCTTATTCAGGAGAGAGCAAAGCTCTGAGGAGCTATGAGAATGATTAAATGATGGGTATGATGGAGTATAGAACTAGTGATCAGAAATTGAACGGTTCTCATGACTTTACCAAAACTTGTGTCAGCATTGAAGTATGCTCAAAGTTTTTGATTTGATCTCCAAAATACATTTCATATTGTGTTGATGAAGAAGAAGAAGAGAGAGTTTCCTCAAAGCAACATCCGTTGTTTGGCAAGTTGTTGTTGAACCGTGCGCACAGTCCCAAAGTTCAGCCCCTACACCAACCCATCCATCACTCTCGCCAATCAAATGCACTTTTGAGACTCGATCGAAACAAACATGGATGAGTTATATGACCATGAGACGATCAAGTACGAAACATTTGCAGGGTTACTTGAATCATACAAAGAGCTCGTTCCAAGCAAGCTTGAAGAACTAGAACAGCAGCGACTCGAGATCATTCCCAAAGCACTATCGGAAAGGGCCGACGACGCACACCTGAACAAGGCCGAAGTGCAGAGACTGGTAGATTGGAAACTGTATGTTGAGAAACGTTGAGGTGTTCGAGTCCCCGTAGCTGACATGTTTGCCTCCATCCTTCCAGCGGCCATGGCACTTTCAGACCCTCTCTGCGCAAGCTCGTCGAATCAAACACGGACGAGACAGTGGAGCAATGCACACGACAAGCGTTCGAGACCTACGACAAGGACGGCGATCAGTGGGACAAGGTGGTGGTCACGCTGGCCAAGGGGCTTCGTGGCGTAGGGCCCGCGACAGCCTCGCTCTTGCTCAACACGTACGACAGCGAGAAAGTGCCGTTCTTCTCGGACGAACTCTTCCGTTGGGTCATGTTCTCCGAGGGCAAGGGCAACGGATGGGACAGGAAGATCAAGTATTCGGCAAAGGAATACCAAGAGCTGTACTCGCGGGTGGAGTTGTTACGAGAGAAATTGGGCAAAGAGAGCGAAAAGACGATCACGTCAGTTCAGGTGGAAATGGTAGCGTACGTACTAGGACGAAGACAGATCGGAGCAGCGAAGAGAAAGGGAATCGATGGAGAAGAGAAAGAAGGAGTTGACAATGGGGCAGGAGAAGATAGGACCAGAAAGAAGCGAAGAAGAGTGTAAATGCTCTTTACCTTTGGTATAGACTTCGATCGCATGGTCATCATTCTACTCTTACAGTTCTTGGACCCCTTCTCGAGGATGGATCCCTCGGTTCTGCATGAGACTGTGATGCATCACAAACATGCGCGTAGGGCTGAGCACGCCATAGGGGCATTGCAGAAATTTTGGCTGCTCCAAGCCACGGTTCTCATTGATACAATCTCCTTGGACAGAGGATGCCAGAAGCTAGAGGGAGCACATATTGTGTACCTGTCACAAATTGATATATCGAGATGTAGTCACGGCTTACTCGAAGCATACGGTGGCCTCGGTAGATGTTCGCTTTGATGTCAAGGACAGGGCGGAAAATAGTACCCGCTTGGTCAAAGATATTATTAAGCACTTGGGCGTGCTTTGAAAGCAGCAGCGAGCCGAAGAAGGCGGGGTTTCCTCAAAGGTTCCCGCAACCTAATCTGGACTAGTCGGGGGAAATGAAGGTCGACGACTCGACGAGAACAATACCAAGCTGACGAGAGAGATGGGACGAAGTGCAACAAAGCAGAAGGAAACAATGGGGAGGACAGGAGACAATAGATAGGACAAGCAGAAGTGATCCGAGTGGACTGATGACGAGTGGGAGCGAGTACAAAGGACAAAAGGGATTGACAGAACGATGATGCTGAGACGGTTGCGGATGAAAGCGGAGTTGCGGCAGCCCGCGAGAGGAGCGAATCGAGGGCAGTTTTAGCGCACGCGCCATATGGGCTCCGGTTCTTGAGCGCTCCCAACGATTGCAAGGCAGGAAGTCGCACTCGCTCCATTTCGGTTCTGCATCCTGCCTCTCCCCAAAAGCACGCAACCACCCACCACCCTCTACTACGCCCAGCGACCCTCTAATACTCCCTATACACCCCGCCTCGCTCGCTTCTGAGTTTTCGACAATTCCCCTGCGCCGTCGCGCGCCCGCCGCCCACTTCCGCCCTTCATGTCGACCTACAGCGCCCGTCGCGCACCCAACGTGTCGCAGTACATTGCCAACCTGAACACCGTCCCCTCCGCCGCCGACCTGGCCGCCCAGCAGGAACTCGGTACCTTCGATGATGACCTGGCCATCTTCACAAACACCCAATTCTTCGACTTTGAGAACGACATGCCCGCGTTCGCCGACATGCCTCAGCAGCAGTCCCCCGCCAACATGCAGCCCGACATGCACAAGTCCCTCGATTTCGGAAACGGTAAGCATTGTCCCCTTGGCATTCCAACCTGACCGAGTCGCTGATCAATCTCAATCACAGCCAACAACTTTGCCTTTTCCGACTTCAACTTCCAGCAGCCGCGCCCTCACGCTCTGCCAACCTCGCCGCCCAATGGTCTTGCCATCGCTCCCTCACCCACTGCCCGTCTGGATTTCCCTGTCCAGCACGCAGCTCGCATGGCTCAGCCCCAGGCTGCTTTCTCCCACCCTTCTCCCCAAGTAGGAGAGAAGCGCAAGTCGACCGTCGCTGCCATGTCGTCGCCTGCTGATCTCGAGGACGAAGGCCGTATGGCCGCCGAGGAGGACAAGCGTCGCCGCAACACTGCTGCTAGCGCCCGTTTCCGTGTCAAGAAGAAGCAACGTGAGCAGGCGCTTGAGAAGACTGCCAAGGACATGTCCGACAAGGTCCAGCTCCTCGAGGCTCGCGTCAACCAGCTCGAGATGGAGAACAAATGGCTCAAGGGCCTCATCACTGAGAAGAACCTCAAGGGACCTACCGCCGACTCAGAAACCACAGAGACCAAGAAGGCCGAGACGATAATCGACTCGTCCAAGAAGGGCGTCGGGACTGACAACAAGGCGGACCAGGCTGTCGAAGCTTGATTAATATCATGCTGACATGCCTCCGCCGGCCCCAAATTTAAAACGCCTTTGCTTTTCTGGACTTTATGAGCTGTTTGGTTTTAGATATGGTTTGCAAGTCTGCCATTATTGATTGATATTATTTTGATTGAATTATTATATACATTCCAAATGCTAATTGCATCTACTTGTTGACATCTACAAGCGTGCCGATCGCTTCGATGTCTTCGTTGGGCTCCACTTAGCATATGGATGATCCGCTGCAGTAGGCACTAGATGGTCGACGTCCAAGCTGTTGATCAGGCCAGGATGGACCTCTGACAGATTGTTGACGCCCAGCAACTTCATGCTTGTTTCTAGCTCGTCTTTGAGGACTGTTAATTCGTGTCAGCGTCGTCTTGTCAGAGTTGTATAAGTCTAGACTTACTGTCGACCATGTGCTCCACTCCTTCGGCTCCGTAGTTGACCGAGTACAAGAAGGGTCGTCCGAGACCGACTGCCTTTGCTCCCAGACAAAGGCACTTCAGGATGTCAGTACCACGGCGGATGCCACCATCGACATAAACCTCGAGACGATCAAATATCTCTGGGTAGCGTCGCTGGCACTCGAGCAGGATCATGATCGATGGTGGCGAAGTGTCCAAACTTCTGCCTCCGTGGTTGCTCAACACGATGCCGTCGACACCTGCATCAGCAGCCATCTTTGCATCCTCTGCGCTCTGGATACCTTTGAGCACAATCTTGCCGTCCCAATTACGACGCAGCCATTGCAGGTCGTCCCAGCTCAGACTGCTGTCGATGTAAGCCCCCATGATTCTACCCAAGCCACCGCCCTTCTTGTCATTGACGGCCTGAGCACCTGACATGGGTGCATTTGTGCTGGGATCTGCAGAAACCCTCTCGTCGGCCTCGCGCTTGCCGGGTACTGGTGCATCGACCGTAACGAAGACGGCCGAGCAGCCAGCCTTGCGGACTCTTTTGAGGAGTTCTTCTGATTGCTTGCGATCTTTGTTGACGTAGAGCTGGAAGAAGAAGGGCTGACCTCTGCGCACGGAAGACACGACTTCATCGATGGGATAGGAAGCATTGCTCGAAACCTGTAGAAAGACCATCTCAGCACAACGACTCTGATCTTTTCTGCGATATATAGAAACTTACGCAATATGGCACATTCTCCTTGCTCAAACCCCTCGCAATTCCCTTCTCACCATCCGGATGCACCAACTTGACCAGCGCAGCCGGATGCACCATAAACGGCACACCAACATCATGCCCCAGAATCGTGGTCGTAGTATCAATCTTACTCACGTCTCTGAGGATGCGGGGTCTGAACCAGATACGGCTAAAGAAACTTCTGTTTCGCTCGTAGGTGTAGCAATCCGTCGCTGCAGAACTGTAGAATGCCCATGTCTTTTTTGCGAGAGTGTTTTTTGCTACTTCTTCGAAATCGTCGCAGTTGATTATGGTGCTCAGTGGTGGTTTCTCGTAGGGTTGGTAGGTGGATGGTGGGGGTTTTTCGAAGGTGTCGCCGCGGTCGACTCCGCCCTGGACTGTGGCATTGGTTTTAGCAGACATGACGATTAGACGTGACTATGCAAGGCCTGAAGAATAGCAGTACAGGAAGAGCAGAGGCCGATGACTACATCTTTATATTCGAAATTGTATGCTTTGTGAGATATTGCCGATGTCGTCGGTTATTGACATTTCGCAAAGAAAGCCGAGTTGGCCCCCCCTCTCGGGTCAAATGCTCCGAGTTATCAAGGTCATCATCGGCACTTAATTCCGAATGATCAGATCTCGTACTGTGTGACAATTGATCAATCCATCTATCTATACACCACGATATATAGTGGCAAGTATCTAGAGTCTACCTCTCACCAAGTCCAAACATCTTGATCGAGTTGTTCCAAGCGGCTTCGCATACTTCCTCGACCGAAATGCCCTTGATATTGGCAATAGCATAAGCCACATTGGGGATGGTACAAGGTTCGTTTCTGCCCTTGACCATGTTCTCGGTTGTCCATTTCTCTTTCTTGACGGCTTTGGGCAGCTGGGGTGCGTCCTTGAGATACTTGGCCGAAGCATGCGAAGGTCGCATCTCGCACCAAGGACCGTCGGTCTCGATTTGTATGCGTTCCAAGGGAACTTCTCTGACCACTTGAACGTTCTCTTCTGTCTTTAGACTGCATCCGTTGATGCCGACGTCAAAGCCCATGGCCACGATGTTCTTCATCTCTTCCAGTGTTCCTGTGAAACTGTGTACGCATCCTCTTTGCGGCAGCTCGTCCAGTCTCTCTTTCAAGATTGCTTCAAAGTCTTCTGCTGCTGCGCGCGAGTGTAAGAACAATGGGAGCTGTACCTCGACAGCAATATCGAGCTGCTTGCGAAAGTACTTGATCTGAGTCTCCTTGTCGGCGTAGTGTAGTCGGTCATAGTCCAGGCCGAATTCGCCATACGCTGCTGCTGTACCGGCAGCCTTTGTCTTGATGGCGAGGTCGCGGAGAGCGGACAGCAGTGCGTCGGGGCCTTGCTCGTACTTGTCGAAAGTCATGGCGGAACATGGGTGCACTCCGACGGTAGCGTAACAGAGGCCAGCTGCGGACAGATTAGCAGTCGTCAATCTGCATCTGACATTGATCTCGACGCACGGTATTGCTCAGCCAAATCAATGGCCTTCCGAGACTCCTCGAGGTCAGAGCCCGTGACCATGAGCTTTCGGCATCCCGCTCCAAGAGCACGTTGGACAATTTGTGGTAGGTCGTCGTCATGGGCCTTCTTGCCGTGGTAGACGCCGCGGAAAATAGGATCACTCAGGTTGATGCCAATCTGCAGCCACTCAGCATCGGTCGGACAAAGTCGAATGCTTGCGCCTGCGAACCAACATCGGCAAATCGAAGAGACGCGGTCGTCTTGTCTTCGTGTTGGACGGGCACGGCACTCAGGCCTGCTGTGAGTGGATCGCTCCCTGCTGTTGTTGACATGGCGGCAAGTCCGAACTTGTGAGCTGTTGAAAGTTGACGGGCTCTGCTTAGTACTATCGGTATCCTAGCCGTTCTCAAGCACTGCATGCGAGCGAATTGTCGAGTTCCAAAAGCTGCCTCGAATAAAAAATGTCAATAGCCGGTAGAGTGATGACGTCGGCTAAACTTGCGATGATTTGTTCTTCGAGGGTTTGACCATTCTTGTTAGCATTGTTTGGAAAGGTAGCTCGGGAATGCATAATGTGTGCAGGCTTCAGTAACGGAACAAGACAGAGGTATTCATATTGACTCGTTGTTGCAGAGAAAGCAAAACATCTGATTCTGTTATACCCACGATGTGAAGTCGAAACACGGTTTCCTGTCCACATGGCCGAGACGCGACGACGTACGTGCAACTCTTTCTTCACACTAAACCGACCAAGAACTATATCTCTTTTGTCTGCTTCCAAGCTCGCGTTGATGGTTTTGTGTGACGGAGACTGAACTACAGACCGTTCTGTACGATACCCTGTGCAGGAGTAATCACACCGCAACCCTCCCCCTTCCATCCCAGGGATACTCGGCATAAAATGCCACCGACTCGAAAGCAACAACATAAACCGACTTGGTCAGGAGCCAATGTTCTGTACTTTTTGTTAGCTTTCCGCATCTGCAATGCTCTTCTTATTCGCACATTTTTCCAGCCAGACGAATACTTTCAATCTCTCGAACCAGCATGGGACATAGCTTTTGGTCCATCAAGTGGTGCATGGATAACATGGGTAAGAGTTACCTACTACAAGATTCAGGGAAATCACTAACGCACTGAATCAGGAATGGCGAGAGCGACTCAGATCTTCGTTGCACCCTTTCCTCTTTGCAGCCGTCTACCGCGTGACAGCTTTGGTCGCTGAGTATCTGGATTTGGAGGCAGCAATTCGAGCTGAGCTCCTGATAGCAGCCCCCAAAGTACTGCAAGCGTGTTTCGCAGCGACTACTGACTACTTCGTCTGGAAGTTGGCTGCAAAAGCGTATGGCAAGAACTCAAAGGCTTCTTCTGCTGCGGTAGGCTTCGTGATGCACTTCGAGATGAGCATATACTGACTGATCTGTCTTCCAGCTCTTCTTGACTGTATTCAGTCCATGGCAATGGTTCTGCTCGACGAGAACACTTTCAAACTCTGTGGAAACCACACTGACAACTATTGCCCTCTGGCTTTGGCCTTTGCGTAACGACCCAAAGCAGCCTGGTTCCAATGCTACAAGGTAGGCTTCCACGGGACTGTATGGGAGGTTGATGACTGACTTTTTTGTAGTCTTCGGTCGGCTCTGGTGTTGGCTGCTATAGCTACAGTGCTAAGACCGACAAATGCGATCATCTGGATTGTCATGGCTGCATATACAGCAGCGCCAAGCAAGGACATCAATCTGACACGAGCCCTTTGGACTCTGGCCGTAGAATGTCGCGAAGCTGTCGTCTCAGGGTACGTTCAGAAATATGATCTCTATCTACTCTGCTAACCTCGACTCAACAGTGCCTCGATAGTCGCCACCTCACTCGCCTCGGATCGTCTTTATTATGGTGATTGGACGTTCCCACCACTTCGCTTCATCCACTTCAACGTCGTGCAATCTCTCGCCGTATTCTACGGCAGAAATCGAGCGGATTATTACTTGACCGAGGGACTTCCTCTACTCCTGACCACAACACTTCCATTCGCTGTCTGGGGCTGTTGGTCCGCTCTCACGAACCCAAGATACAATGCCGATGGTCAAAAGGTCACTCGACCTCTGGCAATCTCGGTTGCCGTCTTCGTGACGATCATGAGTCTGATCGCACACAAGGAAGTCAGATTCATATACCCGCTTCTACCAGGACTTCTAGTCTTAGCAGCAGGGCCGTTCTCGCTGTTCTTCTCACCGCTGCTGTTGCCAAAGACCGCCGTGAAAAAGATGCTTCTCTTCATCTTTGTTGCCGTCAATGCAACCCTGGCTTTCTACATCAGTCAAGTTCATCAACGAGGTGTCATCGACGTACTGCACCATCTCAGGCACAAACACGAAGTCAAAGTGTCATCAAACACTACAGTCATGTTCATGATGCCCTGCCACAGCACACCTTGGAGAAGTCACCTGATCTTCCCAGAGATCGATGCACGAGCACTCACATGCGAACCGCCGCTTGACGTGCCTATCGGAGCAAGATCCTCATACATGGATGAGGCAGATCAGTTCTATGCGGATCCGACTGCATGGATGAACGAGCACATGGAGGACACGAAACTTCTGGGGAAAAGACAGCCGAACGCTGGAATCAACACACACCAGGACAAAGCACAGTGGCCAGAATATCTCGTCTTCTTCGAACAACTGGAGCCTACCATGACGGATTTCTTGGCCAACACTCCGTACATACAAGATTGGAGGACCTTCAACACACACTGGCACGATGATTCGAGGCGTCAAGGAGATGTGGTGGTCTGGAGACTCGAGGGCGTAGAAAAGTAACATCGCACACCGCCTCACAACAGACAAAAATACCATGGGGGATTGCTTTTTGATTATCTCGTATCGTGTTGACTAGGCTTCTTCTTACGAGAGGTTGATATCGTCTACACGATAATGATCCGCAACGATCCTGTAAAGATAACTGGGTGCGTGACCTCCACTGCAAGAATAGTTAGCAAAACCAAGATCCCATAACATACCACGAGCTGCACTTACAGATTGGTGATGTACAAATCCACAAGGTCGGCACTGACGTAATCGTAGATGGGATTGTTGACATCAACACTCTCCACCAAATCGCCCTGCTGGAAATCAATAACCTTGCCCGGGTCACCGTACTCGACCAATTCTTCCATGTCAAAGGGGTACACAGGGCTCAGCTTGTACACACCACTGACCACAACAACGGGTGTTTGATGTACTTTGGCCGCTTGAGCGATGGTAAGCGCACCGGTTGCTGCGATTAGCCCGCCATTGGCAAGCACGGTGTGAGGGGCGAGAATGACCTTGTTGACGCGCGACATGAGTGCAAACACGGCAGAGTCTGGGATCATGATGACTTGGATGCCCATGGAGATCAAAGGCTTCCATCGCTCATCGGCTTCCTCGTCGTCGTCATCGCCCTTTTTGCCGCCGGTCAAGATGGTCGCGTGTGTGTCGACGTGATCGTTGGGGTAGGCTTCAGCGTGGATAACGGTGAATTTTCTCTTGCGGGCTGCTGCGATGAGGAACTTTTGGACCGTCTGCGAGGAAGTGTGGGTGAGGATGATTTCGTTGGCGTGGATGTGCTCGAGGGCTGATGCAGCGATTTGGTCGTCCACAATGTCTAGTTCGTCGACGAGCTCCTTGATTCCGTCAATGACTTCGGCTTTCACGTCCATCTTCGTTTGTGCTGACTCGGGGATGCTGCCTAGACGCAAACCTCCTTTCGAGACGGGCGATTGAGCACCTGCTGGTGGAGTCACCGCCGGAGAAGGCTCATCTGGATGTGACAGCAGGCCGAACAGTGAGGTTACCTGGGGACCAGTGGCGTAGGAAGTGTGGGAAGTAAGAAGCGGGGGTCTGTGGCCTCCCATGCTGTCGTTGAAATCCGCAGGAGAAGGGCTCTCCTGCCTCAGATTCACGTTAGATGGACCAGAAGCGCTGTGGTTTAGCGGGCTGAAGGCTGAGATGTGAGAGTTCATGACGGGTCTGTGCAATGAGTTGTTGTGAGTTTCGTGGGGTTCATCGCTTTGTTCGGCCTCGCTAAAGGCACCGGCATCCAGACCAGTCTCCTCAACTTCTCTGATCAGACCAAGGACGCGGCGTACGATGTTGCCAACTGCCATCTCACGAGGCTGGGCAGCGATCAAACGCTGCCCAACCTTGCGCACTCGCTCAATTAGAGAGCTGGCATCTCTGGTCTTCGAAGCAGCGACAATACGGAGCAAGAGCTGAGTTGTTGCAATAGCACACGGTCTGGAGTTCCTGATCTGGCGTCTTTTCAAAAGACTTTGATATCGTCAGACGAAAGATGGTCCGTGATGAGAATTGATAGATAAACATACGAGATGAAGTGTTCGATCGAAGTCTCGACATCCGCGTGCTTGAGAGATTTCACAAAGGAAGACAATCCAGGAGTAGCGGCCATAGTGGTTGACATGTTGATTGTTCACCAGGTCGTCGTCGCGCAAGAATTTGCTACGTGAGATGAGCCAGATGACTTAGAAACTAGTAGTCCGTTCTTCTAGGCTTAGTTGCCAGATGGTGGGCTCGATATCGTCAAAGTCGAAGTCTAAGTCGAAGTGTTTCGCTACGGCAGCGTTCTATTCCAAGGAATGTCCAAAGTTTGATATTCGCTATGAATCACAAAAAGAGTGGCACCGAAAGATGCAAGACAGTGCCAAGACATGTGATTGGAAACGCTTGGACCAGTGCAGCAACGCGTCGGGACGCGGACTTCTGGTGGGGACTCTGATAATTGTCTAGACGGGAAGTAGATCCGGTGTGGTATACATGCATTGGACATGGCGTTACCGCTGAAGCCAGGCCTGACGCCGGCCGAGGTGGCCTTTTTGTGCGAGATGGAGATGGTCACGGTCATACCGCGCCAGCGCCTCGACTCGCTCGAGCTGCTCGGTGTGAGTAGTCGTCCAGTCACGACATTAGATGCATCCATTGACACTAGCACCAGGGCCCTACCAAAGCACTTACACCGCCGTTCCCCACGCCGCTCCCTCTCTGGCTCGCTTTGCTACTCAAACGCCAGCGACGCGCAAACATCCTGCCTCCACCCTGGCTCAACCCCGAAGCTCTTGCCGCAATCCTCGACATCGAAGTCGACAACGAGGACCTCTTCTCTCCGCCACCTCCTCTCGCTGCAGCTACCACTCTCCCTTCGGACCTATATCTAGATCGCACTGCTCTGGAAGTCTCGTCGCCCTTCTTGCCCTCGAGCACCTCAAACGCTGCACCAGATGCCTTGCCCTACCACTGGCTGGAACTGAGCCATATGCTCCTATCACATGCCTCTGATGACTTTGAAGAGCCCGATACCGTCAGAGGTCTGCTACGCGATCTCAGAGAGGTCCGCATGGCCAAGCTCAGGAAAGGCCTCAAGGTCCTAGATGCTGGCGCTGGCGTGCAAATGAACGGCGTCGGTGCTCTCGAGATTGCAGAATCGAGATCTTTCATTGCTGCTGTCATTGACGGCCTGAGGTATTAATCTACCTATCGCAACACGTCAAACACATTGCTAACAGCGTTTACAGAAAGATCGGTGCCTCGAGAGAGCAGACGCGCAAGGAAAGAGACGCAGAAGACGCCGAAAATGGCTACGCGGCGAGCTCAATCGACGACCAAGACGACGACATGTTATGATAAGATACCACATATTGCATTTCCTTGTTTCACCTCTGAGCATTTGTAAATCTGCATTTGTTTCGTGCTTGCATACCGCCTTGTCTATGGTTGTTCTATCTCTTCAACAAAATTCATGCCGCCATCCACTGGCTGCTAGCTCTGGCTCTATTCGCCATGTGCATAACTATAACATGATGATAAAAGATGACCCTCATCCAATGCCGTCGTCGTAAACATGAAATTGGTGATCCATGGGCACAGCCCTCAAACCGGAAAACTCCTCTATCGACGCCATCGCTTGCAAAGGGAATTAGTAATAACAAAGTTTCTCGGATGGAGAAACCAATGTAGTAGCACAGATTGTCCTAGTCGCTATCATCGTGACTGTGTATCTTTTTCATGGTATTGTTGCTGCCACTCCTCGACGACTTCTTGGAAAAAGCCGAGGATCCAGTTCCACGTCTTGAGTGGTGCGGGAAGTACGATGTGCTGCTGACTCCAAGTCCTCGGCCACCGCTGGGCGTGTGTGGCGCCGAACGTCGCCGTATCATTTGTAACCCGCCGTCATCGTCAGAAGAGTCTTCGTAGTCATCATCATCGCTCTCAAAGACATTGTCGCCTGAGTATCCATCTTCTTCAAGCACAGGAACACAAGGGGTGAAGCTTGCCTCGTTTGGAGCAAGCGGCTCGCCTTGTTCCTCACCTATCTTTTCTTGTGGGGCCTCCGAATCGATCGTGGTTAGAGAGGGAATCGAGGGGTTTGAATTCGACATCGGCGTGTTTGGAGGGAAACGGTCCTCTGACGAGCTCGGCGTCATGAGCGGCTGCATCCCTGGAGCATGACTTGTTGGACTCGTGGGGTGGGATTCGTGCATGTATGCACTGCGTCGACGCGGATCGGATCGTGACCCCCCAATGACTAGCTCATCTTCATCATCATCGTCGTCGTCATCTTCATCATCGTCGCTCATGTAGTCATGAACATTCAATTCATCATCCGGGCTAGGGGGACAAGATTCAGGGACCTTAGTTGTAGCTCCACTAGAGTGGTGCATACTCGTTTCGTAAGACGATTCCCTTGTGCGGCGCCGCAGCCATTCGTCTTCGGCTCTGCGGAAATCATCCTTTGACGATTCGTTTGGAAGATGGTCTGGGTCACTGGGGTCCCATGTCGAATCGACTTCAAGACGCCGACGTGCCTCGAATGACGATGTGGAAACTTGCCGAGAGAGTGTTGTGCTTGGGCGAATCGCAGTGTCTCGCCGCTCAGGCGCTGCCCGTGATTGTGACCGTGAGACAATCGGACTAGAAGCACTACTCACAATGTTCTTGAGCACTTCTGGAAGGTCCAAATGCCCCGACGCTTGTGTATTACTGACAGCGACACTGGGATCTGTGTGAGTATCGCTCGCCTCAGATGGTGCTCTACTAGCTGATCTCTCCAACCCATCTGTGCTCCGACCTGCGGTACTGCGATCTCTCACGCTTTTCAATATGCGTCGACCAGCGCCACTTATGATACCGCTGATGTTATTAACGGTAGTGTCGAAGGGCGATGAAGTCAGTCCAGGAGAGGTAGGCGGTGATTCAGGTGTTATCTGTGGACGAAGCATATCGTTTGGCTTGATGGTTCGCACAGATGTGGTTGTAGACATGATTGATCTTGACCTGTCGCCTTGACTTGGATAGTCGGTCGCACCAGTCGGCGTGCTAAGGCTCGAAAAGTACGCATCCCGATTTGGACCCTGTTCCGGACTGACAGTGACACTTTGCGCTAGAGGATGTTCATGCTCACGAGAAGCTTTCAAGGCAGAGAATATACTCTCGTCCCCTCGTAAGCTGTTTCTGCGTCCCTCTTGGCTGATAGCACTGCTTGACGAGCTCGAGGATAAGGGGTGGGACCCTGACATTGATGGCGTTCTCGTCCGAGTCGAACTTGCGCGACCCAGACCACTCATCAAGCCTCCTATGGTCTTCTTGACACCTGAGCGAATCCTTTCGACCAGCTTGACAGGAACAACAGCATCTTGTAATTCTTCCTTGGAGACCTGAATCTTCTTGCCATGTGATTGCCTGGAAGGGTCGGTCTCGTCCAACCAAAGATTCTTGTTTGAGATGTCTTGGACGACCCATGGATGGTGCCGGACTTCCTCTAGGGTGATGCGCTTTGCGGGATCTTTTTGAAGTAGCCTGCGGAACAAGTCAAGGAGCAGATCATCCAGGTCTTCGTACGCTAGCTCGTACTCAGATCTCTTTCCTGAGGCCGCAGGTGGGAAGTAGCGACCATGGGAAGACGGACGAGACTTGGGACGTGGATCAACTGGTCGCAGACGCCTTCGAGGAACATAAATCTCTTCGTCGGCAATGCGCCTCATGACGACGAATTCATTGTCGACGAAGGGTGTGCGTCCAAACAGCATGCAGAATAGAGTAATTCCAAGAGCCCATACGTCGATTGCAGGTCCGACTGGAGGAGTCTCACTGGTCCCGTCTGTGTAACAAAGCTCGGGAGCGTAGAAAGCTGCAGTGCCTACCGTCTTTGCGAGCTCTTTGGCCTCGTCGAAGTCTTGCATGTCGGATTCCGAGAGGTTCTCTGGCACTTGGTCATCATTAATTGGACGGCCAAGATATGAAACGCCAAAATCCGAGATCTTTGTTCGGTGATCAGCTGTCTGTAAGAGGTTGGGGGGTTTGATATCTCTGTGAATGATGCCCTGGTAATGCAGATACTGCAAACCTAGAACAGTGTCCCTGAAGGCCACTCGAGCAGCATTCATAGACATGCAAGGGACAAACTGCAAATCGGGATGGAAGTCAGCGTCGAGAATTTCTGCTCCTGAGGCGTCCCAGAATTTTCTCTCCTCTGGGTGACGAAGATCCTGAGCACCGAAAGAGCGCACGCTACTGTCCAGACTCGGCGCACGATCTGAGCCTTTGTCGCCGTCTTCTTCCTCTTCGTAAGAACCGTACATGGTGCCTTCAAGCAGTTTCACTGGGCTGGGTTCTGGCCAGAAAGCAGGGCGATCGACTGAGGTGACAGGTGTGCCAGGGTCAGCTCCATCGCTCTCTCCCATAGAGAACTGAGCGAGTACAGCTGAGAGTTGACGACTATCAACTCCGACTTGGTCTGCCGCACTTTTCTCGGTCGTCGAGGTCGAGACTCTCGACGCGTGATCCGCATCCGAATCGTCTTCATCAGTGTCACCACCAAATTCGAAACTCCATGCTCCAGGTCCAGTATTTCCAGCCATTCTTTGTCGGCGCAGCTTTCTCAAAGTACGTCTTTGCTGTTTGAGACGCCGCGTCTTAGCCTCGTCGAGTATAGCACGATCTTCAGCCTCTGCTTCCTCGTCATCAAGGATGCCGCGTGACTCTCTGATATAGCGGCGGCACTCGACCAGGGCAATCTCCTTGGGAGCGCTCGCACGCCATACGATTTCACCAAGTTCGACACGCTCCAGCACAATGTAGACCTTTTTGCGAGCAGGATCATCGATAACCTCCAGTAGGGCAACAATGTTGGGGTGTCGAGCTTTCTTCAAAATGGCGACCTCTTTCTTAACCTTGTCTTCGGCGTTACCTAGTTTGCCGAGTCGACGCTTTTTGGAATATCGCTCGACGATTTTGATTGCGACATACTCGTTTGTGGCGAGATTACGACCAAGCTTGACTTTGCCGTGCGTGCCTCTGCCAAGTTCATCGATTATCTCATAGTTGTTGATGAGTTTTCTTCCTGAGATGGGATCAATATCGACATCAGCGATGTGGGTCTCTTTGGGTGCTTGACGGTGGGTAAAGTGCAAGAATGGACTCGCGTAGAATCCGTGTTCATCAGGACCCAAATTCGACTGCTCAGGAGGCACACTAGGTGTAAATAAACCGGGGGTTACAGCTGGGGTGTTGTTGGCAGTCCTAGCACCGGTCTTGTGCAATGCATTTATTGCTTGACGAAAGTCTCCTGGCTGAGCGGGATGGTGTGTTTTGGTGCGCAACGTTGGCGGTAGGTGTGGTGGTGGGTATCGCTGTTGTTGCAGGGCAGAGAATGCCTGATTAGGGTATTTCGGCCGGGTGTAGAGAGGTGATGTTGCTGTGCTGGACGACTCATGGCCCGAGTCCGAGGCCTTGACAGTCACGGTGCTGAGATTGCTTTCGACACTAGCAACTGAGGCATTTGAGAGATCTCTCTGGACAACGGGCCTGTTGGGGGTATCAGGGTAAGTGGTTGTGCGGCGGAGGCCGGGAGGGGCGGCGGTAGAAGCGGCAGCGGGGGATAGAAGCGAGTTCTGATTCACCGTAGGCTTCAAACCAAAGTAGTCCTCTCCAGAGGTACGCCGGGAGTCATCACGCGCAGGCGTAGGCGTGACTGCGACAGAGGGGAGTTCGGACCGAGGGGTATTGTCGGAATCGTCCTGATCGCTCGGGCTCGGGGTGTTCTGGTCCATGACCTTGTATCGCACGCGTTTGGCCAGCGACCGGATATCTACGGCCGACGTGGCAGACAGAGAGCGACGGGCGAGCCAAGAGTGCGCGCTTGCTGGACCGAAGTTGTCGGATGCGTCGCTGAAGGCTGGAAATGCTATGACAGGCGAGGGCGGATCATGTCGAAGTCAGTCGTGAGAGCCGGGAAGGTGCTCGAGCGAGCTTTTGTTGCGTAAAAGCATATAGCGCTCCAATGTGCGCGCAGACTCGACGACGTGACAGAAAACTCTCAAGTGATCGCGTGCGTGAGCATCAGGCCATGTTGACAAAAGTTCGCAGAATTAGGAAGACATGCGGGAGGGCACTCGCGCTTGCCCGAATGACGATGAAGTGGTCCGAACTCGCTTTTGACGTTGAGACTCGAGAGCAGCTTCAGCCTTCAGCCCACTTGCCCGCCTACCTTGACAAACGTCCATGCGCCCTAATCTGTAAGCACCGTTCTACCCGCAAGACATGCATCTTCTCTGGCGTTCGTTATCACTCTTGCAATATCTCGGGAACCCTCTTCTGTCCTTGTCTCAGATGTCTATTGCTCTATTCGTGCCTCGATCCTGTTTTTGCTCGTAATAGTGTTGGACCTATACGATTGTCCTTGCCAAGCCAGCACGCGCTTGCTCCTTCCGGATCTGCAGGGCTCCTCCTTCTTGCCTTTCTGCTGCTGCAAAGTACATAATCTCGCATTGCATTTCGGTACCGTCTAGGGTACCTCTGGACTCATCATGCCGTGCTCTCGCTTGAAGGCTGCCACTTGTTCTTCCAACCAAGTCTGTGCTCTCTTATTATGTTCCTGATCAATGGGGAGGATTCAAAGATGGTGTTTGGCTTTGACGGCAGCCCAACACTCACACGACCTCATGCGTTCATTGGCTTCTCGCTTGTGGCTGTGGACGAGAGGGCCGACCCTTGACGCGGATCAATGCATCAACGTCGTAAGGTACCGCTGCTGCAGACTGCAAGCTGCGGTTGAACTCTTGTTGGCCTTCTTTTTCCCTTTGGTTGATCATCACTGTCCTCTTTCAAAGCCTCAACCCGGCGGCTGACAGAACTTTGAGCCCGACGAAATGTCGTTGGGAGATTGCCAGTTCATGGCTTACATAAAGATACGATGCTTTTCTTAATAGGCCCCGGCTCTGCGCCCTCATGAGAGTCGCTGTGACTTATGGAAGTCTACCCTGCCAAGTCAATATACATGTGCCCTCGGTCACTGGCTGTAGATGCTTGAAGGGGCTGGAGAAAAGAGCCACACTGTACGAGCAGGTACACCCAAAACTTCAATACTCGCTTCCGGTCGCTTCTACCTCACGAATGCAGCAATTTCAGATGCTTGTCGCCATTTTCGATCAGGCCATTTTCACACAATCACGAATGGTGTGTAGGCCGACATCCTCTTCAAGTGCACGGACTCTATAGTAGTACTCTGGTGGCGCTGAAGATGCAGAAAATGCAATATATTAACCCACCCTCTCGTCCCACACAGCGCGGGGTAGTCAGACACAAGTGCGGAGAGAATACTTGGGGCAGTCACTTCGTATTTTTGTCTATTCGCAACGTGAGTAGAGTACATTCACTGCCAGTCTATACAACAGTCGTTGAGCCGTGCGGTTCGCTTGATACTTGATGATGCAATTTGCCCAGCGCCTGGTGACCAAGTTTCCTCTACTCAACGTGACGGGCTGCAGCAGTCGATTCTGCTCGCGGCATGTCATATCGATCACATACCGGGAGGAGGCGGGACCGCGTTGTAACCACTTGCGCCAGGTGGAGGAGGGGCATCGTCTGTGGGAGGTGGTGGAGGGGGTTGAGCAGCGCCGGTCTCGTAGCCAGGAGTCTGTTCTGCGCCAGGGACACCGGCCTGCTGTTGCTGATAGTACTGCCAGTACATTCTTGTGTAGGCCTCGTAGCCTCCGTACGCGGCGTATGGGTCCTGGCCGTTCTGTTGGTAGTATTGAGCGTACGCTTGGGCATAGTCGGGTGTGCCCGCGGCTGCGGGACTCATCGCAGATGCGGCGTGAGGATCCTGTCCGTAACTTCCGTTGTAGCGATCCTGTCCATAACCTCCATCTCTGGCGTCTCTACCACCATCTCTTCCGCCTCCATATCCCCCGTTGTAGCTGTTATTGCGATCGCGGTCATAGCCGCCACGATCTCCATGACGGTGGTCATCCCCGCGATCAACATTTCTGCGTGGGCCCCTTTCTTTGAACTGCTCGTACTGAGTGCGGACGTTGGCTAAGAGATCAAGACAGAGCTCTTTGGCGCGCAGTACCTCGTTGGGATCAGGGCCGCTGTGACAGGTCAGTCTTTGAGTCGGCCGTATGAGTAAACAAGAACTTACGCAACGTGCAGATACATGGACTCGTCGCTCTCGGCTCCGGTGTCGTGCTCCATGAAACCAGATCCACGGCCCTTGATTTGAACACGGCATCGGGTTTCCTGCTGAATGTGCTTGACGTAGGAACCACCTTGACCTACCACTTGAGCACGAAGGTTGAAACCAACGATAGGTTCGAGGTCCACGGGAATCTTCTCCTCGGGCCACTTACGCTGAAGAACAGATCAGTGACAACCAAAGAGGATTTGACTCAGAAGACAACTTACACGACCCATAGAATCTCTCTCGACCTGCTCTGGTTCTCTGCGGCGGAAGCGTCTTTCGTCTACAAGGTTGGGCAGGTCCTGCTTCATAAGCTCGTCGATCTCAGCGACTGCCTTCTCAAGGCCATCTCTTGTGGTGCTGGTAACGTGAAGGTAGAGGGGAGGATTCTAAACTTGATCAGCGAAGTTCAGTAATTCTCACCAATTGCTAAAAGCTTACGGCAGCGGTGGCCATAGCCTTGTCAGGGTAGTAGCTTCCTCTAGTGGTAACATCTTTTGGATAAATAAGCCTTGTGAACAAATCGTCAGTGTATAGGGGTGGTGCATACCGGCGCCAGTCTTTTCTTTGATCTAGATGTCACACACTCGAGGTCAGCATTTGCAGAACGGGGGTGCTGAGAGGCTATTGGGCTATAAGTGAGCAATCTGAAGATTCAAATGGTCTTGACCAAAACAAAGCTCTCTTTGGAGGAGGAGGGAAGAAGAAGTGGGGACGGCTGCAGCATCAGCAGGACGCAACGGTGGAGATTTACCATTTTCTGAGTAGAGCCCTTGGTAAGGGTGTAGCGGTTGCGCAGATCGTTGACTTCGATGTCGCGAATGAAATCACCATCTTGGGTGTAGATGTCGGCATTCAGGCCAGCGGCGCCGGGAGACTGTGCTCCACCAGCAGAAGGGCTTTCGGTCTGCGCATGACGAGTCAGCGCTGGAGAGGGGTGAGTATAGGGAGAGGTGTTGTTTCGGCGTACAGAACGAATTGGAGGAACGTCGATGTGCTGAACACCCTTGCGAGCCTGGATTTGTGCATTGATCTTTGCGGCGGCTGCAGCAGCGGCAGCAGCAGGATCTCTCGGGGCAGGGCTGTTGGTGGCAGAGACAGGACTACGAGTACGTTGGCGAGGCTCCGAGTTTCTGTTCCTAGGCGAGCGCGAGCGACGGTCGAAGCGGGAGGGGCGCGCATCAGACTCGGTCTGATCGAAACGAGATCGTTTGCGAGGTTCGTCCGACATGGCGGGCGAGTATGTGCGTGGTGGTTTGCAGATGTTAATGGTCAAAGTCGCGACAGTCGACAGCAGACAGCGATCAGTGATGGTCGGCGCGAGTCTCTGGATTCATAAAAAGAGCACGCTAAAGAGCCTCAGCATTAACTCCGACGCTCCGTAAGGACGCACAGGCCACCCGCGCCGGCCGCTCGAGGCACGCCGAAGTCGCCCGTCACAGCGTGAGCTTCTTGGTTTTATTGTCTGCGTAACAGCAGCTTGTTTTTCGACTCACTCTCTTGTATCACGCCTGTCAAGTCCATCGTCCTCACAATGGCGTCCAAACGCTTCTGGACCGCCGTGTCGATTGACTCGCTGGCTCCCCGCTGTCGTGCTCCCGCCCAGCGCTGCTTCTCTCAATCAATCACCCGCAACTCGTCATCGTCGACCTCAGCCATCGCATACAAGGCTCTGCACCGCCGCGCATCAGCTCTGCCCCAAGCCCCTACTGCTGCCAACGTTTCGCCCGCCGCCGCTGTTTCCAGCATCCTCTACGAGACTCCCCTACCCTCCCAAGCTCCTCCCAAACGCCATGTCCTCAACTGTCTTGTTCAGAACGAGCCCGGTGTGCTCTCGCGCGTCTCTGGTATTCTGGCCGCTCGTGGCTTCAACATTGATTCGCTGGTCGTCTGTAACACCGAGGTTCCCGACCTCTCTCGTATGACCATCGTCCTCCAAGGTCAAGACGGTGTCATTGAGCAGGCCCGCCGTCAACTCGAGGATCTGGTACCAGTCTGGGCCGTTCTTGACTACACGACTGCTCCTCTCGTTCAGCGTGAATTGCTTCTGGCCAAGGTTAGCATCCTCGGTCCCGAGTACTTCGAGGAGTTGCTCGCCCACCACAGAGAGATGACGGATGCCGAGGCTCAGGCTCAGGCTGCTGGTCTTACTTCTGAAGAGCTCGAGGACAACGCTCGCGCCCACCAGGAGGCCCTAAGACGAGACTTCCACCCCAGCCGCCTTGCTGCCAGTGAGGCTCTGAGACACAAGCACAAGCATCTCGAGACCATCACCTATCTGACCCACCAATTCGGCGGCAAGGTTCTCGACATCTCAACTAACAACTGCATTGTCGAAGTTTCGGCCAAGCCTCACAGAATCGACTCGTTCATGAAGCTCATTGCGCCTTTCGGTATTCTCGAAAGTGCCAGAACAGGTGATTTGCATTTCTTGTCTGTGTTTATGCTCAAGCTAATCACAACCCAGGTCTCATGGCCCTCCCCAGATCGCCCCTTCACGGTCCCAGCGAGGATATGGAAAAGGAGGCAGAGGATGTTGTCGATGCCAGCACTCTGCCTCCCGGTTAAAGCAATGTACACAGTTCTTGCAGCTTACACATCTATCTTTGCTTTTGACCATGTATGACTATACGAGATTTGCTTTCTATCAATCTTCTAGACTTGCCTCCTTTCGAACTTTTTTTCCTGTTCTTACACGATTTTGCCCTTGTTCACAACAAAGCTTTCTAATGCGGCTATTCGTGGGTCAGCGATAGTTTCAGGATCTCGAGATGTTGCAACTTACAGATGGCGGCCCACAGACGATTTTCTGCTTCCTGGAAGACCAGACTCTTGGGGCTGTAGAAGACTTCATCGCTCACTTCCTCAGGGTGACGAGGTAGGCAGTGCATGAATTGCCAGCCCTCCTTAGCACCACCTCGCTTGGCCAGCTCTGGTGTGATCTGGAAGCCTTCAAACGCCTTCAGACGAGCAACCTTCTCTCCTTCTTGGCCCATGGAAATCCATGTGTCGGTCACGAGGATGTCTGCGTTCTTGACAGCCTCTTCGGGAACGGTTGTTTCTGTGAGCGTACCAGCCCTGGGCGAGGTCTTTGCAGCATCTTGGATGATCTGACGCATGGAAGCAGGGATTTCGTAGCCCTTGGGAGTAGCAACAGAGATGTCGACACCCAGTTTCATGGCACCAATAGCCAGATCATAGAGGACGTTGTTTGCGTCGCCAACCCATGCGATCTTCAATCCCTCGAGGCCCAATCCTTTGACACTCGCCGTCTGAGTCGAAGGGAAGGCTTCGTGAATGGTCAGAAAATCGGCAATGGTTTGTAAAGGGTGGTACAAGTCGCTCAGAGCGTTGATGACAGGAACAGATGAGTGCTTAGCCAAGTTGGCAACGTCATCGTGACCATTGACACGAGCAACAATGCACGAAACCATGGATGAGATGACGACAGAAGTGTCGTACAGAGACTCATTCACGCCGAGTTGGATGTCCTCCTTGCCCAAAAACATGGGATGACCGCCCATGAGTGCAACAGCGCCTTCGGTGGACACACGAGTGCGAGTGGAACGCTTGCTGAAGGTCAATGCAACACATTTCCCGAACAGAGAGCCTTGGAGTGATGCAGGGATTCCCTGGCCGGATTTGATAGCATTCTTGTGTGAAGCTGCATTGCGGACGAGGGTGCTGAGTTCGGCTGAGGTCAGGTCTGATATGGACATAAGATGGCGGGGAGCAAAGGGTGAGGTCGTGGGTTGAGCTGGAGAAGTGGCATATCCGCGGACAGAAGATGCTAGAGGCTTGTGCAGGCGGCAGGCCCTGTGGGCAGCTCGTAGAACAGGCATTGTTATTTGCGATAACAATTTTGGAGAGGGTTGGAGTCATCGCCGACGACGGCCGAGAAGAAGTACAGCGGATAGCTATCGATAAGGCCGTGAAGCTTGGACTGCACTCTGGGGAACGACTTGGCCGGCGGATCGGCGCCTCGGCTCGCCCGTCCGCTTTGACGTTTCGGGTGACGACTCCACCAGTCTGTCTTGCGTCTTGACTGACTCTCTCCGCTCCATCCGCCTCTCGCCCACACGCTCTGTCTTTTGTCTTACGCCCGCGCTGGCAATGTGCATCTAGTTAGCTCGTCTTGTACCCCGGCGCATACCGCTGACTCCAACAACAATCAATCTCCCATCTCCACCACTGCTACTCAGCCATGCCAGACACAAACTCCCAACCCTCTTCACGGCCGCAATCGGCCCATTCAGTCCATTCTGCGCCCCGCAATGCCAACGACGAAACCACTCCACTGCTGCCTGCAAACAACAACCATAATGTCGAAGCGCAAGACGGGGTCGAACATGCAGACCAGTCGACGTCCGAGTCGCGCTCGCCTGCCGTTGCCCGTCTGCTGAACCTGTTCCAACCCCAATCCAAGAGTACAACGAGATGGCCCAGTCTATTAGCTCTACTGCTCCTTTGCATTGTTGCCGTGCTCATCATGGTCTTGGGATTCCTGGCTCCATCCAAAGTGCAAGAGTACGCAATCGAAGCCGCCACATTTGAGCCTACAAGCTTATCTATACAATCTTTCACTACCACAGGCGTTACTGCCAGGATACAAGGTGACTTCTCCATGCGCGCCGAGAATGTCAAGGACAAGTCTGTCCGGCGCTTTGGTCGCTTTGGCACCTGGATCGCCAGAAAGGTCGAGACCGGCCAATCCTCCGTCCAGGTCACTCTGCCAGATTACAAGGATGCCCTTCTGGGAACCGCTGAGATACCTTCAATCGTAGCCGACATCCGCAATGGCCACACTACCCATATCGACTTCCTGACCGAGTTGTCCCCTGGCAACACCGATGCCATAAGACGTCTCGCTAAAGACTTCATCGATGGAAAGCTACAGGAGTTGCGCGTGTCGGCTGAGGCTTCAGTCCCTGTCAAATCGGGCCTTGTCAATCTAGGCAGACAAACCGTCTCTCGTGCTATGGCCTTTGGAAACGACAAAATCCCCTCTCTGCCAGAGTACAAGATCCACAAGCTCAACTTCCGTGAAGTAGAATTACCCGACCTTCAGCGTGCTATGGTAGCTGATGTTGCTGTCGAACTCGGCAACGACTATCCGTTGGATTTCACCATTCCTCCGCTAGGCTTCGCTATCCTCGTTGACAACTGCCGCCCTTCGCAACCTCTCATTCAACTGGCCGACGCCACAACACCTAGCCTATCCGTCAGACCAAAGGAAAACCTCAACGTCAGCGTGTCTGGTTTTGTAAGAAGGTTGCCTCAGGCTTTCACTCAAGCATGTCCTGGCTCTCATGAATCTCCTCTTGACGTCTTGCTTGGTGGATATATCCATGGTAATGACACCACCGTGTACGTAAGAGGCTCGGACTCTCCCTCCTTGGACACACCTCGATGGATCACAGACCTCATATCAGACGTGACAGTACCAATTCCGTTCCCCGGACACACCTTCGGACATCTCATCAGGAACTTTACAATGGCCGACGTACACTTTGGACTGCCCGACCCATTTGCTGAACCCAACAGCCCTGATGCACAGCCCAGAATATCTGCTGTAATCAAGGCGCTAGTCGCTCTTCCAGAGGAGATGAACTTCAACATAAGTGTTGGTCGTGTCAGGGCGAATGCGGATGTGTTTTACCATGGAGCTAAACTTGGCTACCTGGATTTGAGCAAGTGGCAGAAAGCAAACTCGACTCGAATCGCTTCTGCCGAGGACGAAGGACCACTCCTAGCCGTACAATCGGCAATTGAGAAGGCTCCTCTGACTGTCACGGACGATGATGTCTTTACCGATGTGTTGAATGCGCTGCTCTTTGGCGGCAAGGGAGTCGAGTTAGGCATCAAAGCCGAGGTTGATGTTGAGATGGAGACGGCGCTCGGTCAATTGGCTGTCAGGAAGATTCCTGCCGAAGGCAAAGTGCCTGTCAAACGTTCGTGATCGCTTCCTGCATCGTTCGTGGCAGTCAAGAGAATCATGTAGCTAATATGCGGCCCTTGCAGCCATCAAACGAGGCGGTATTGGTTCTTTCACACCAAGAATCGGCAATCTACAGATACTGGACACTAGCAAGACCTCATTGACTCTCACCGCAATGGTCAATTTCACCAATCCCACCGAATACAGCGCAACGGTTCCCTTTGTCGATATTAACATCCTGACCAACGGCACGTTGCTTGGACATGCCACAGCCAAAGACGTCACAGTCGTACCAGGAGTCAACACCAACATTCTAGTCACAGCCATCTGGGATCCTCGAACCATGGGTGGTGAAGAAGGTCACCGAGTTGGCGTTGAGTTTCTATCTCAATACATTTCTGGTATGTGAAACAGGCTGAATGTAGTATACCATCTAACGCATCCCAGGCTTCAACACGACATTGAGTCTGCGCACTCATGAGGGCACTATACCAGCTCAGCCTTCTCTTGGTCGTGCACTGTCCAAATTTGGAGTCGACCTTCCGACGCCGAACTTGAGAGGTGGTGATGGCAAGGATGACAAGCATTTCATCCAAGATGCTACGGTTGGTTCTAAGATTGGCAACGCGCAATGAACCTGGCTAACCTGAATGTCAGATGCATCTCATCACAAGAACAGCAAACTTTGTGTTGCTCTCGCCATTGAAGACGTCGACAATCTACGTCACATACATCAACGCGACGGCATTCCACCATGAGAATGCAGTCGGACATATCGTCTATGACTTGCCGTTTGCTGTGCCTCCAGGATCCTCAACGTCACCTCGTCTACCAGTGGACTTTGGGTCGGTTGGATACGACGAGGTTAAAGGAGCGCTGGGCGGAACGCTCAAGATGGCGGCGAAAGCAACGGTCGGAGTGCGGCTGGGCAAATGGGAGGAGAGGATATGGTACGAAGGAGCGGGTATCGGCGCAAACATCAGGCTGTGATCTTTTGAGACGATTAGCACGTAGCATAAATGATATGAATTGCTCAAAATGATTGGCATCCTTCGGTATCCCCGGATCTGGCATGTGATGCGGGGAATCGTGGAGACTCGAATTCAGGGTGCTCAAACTTGTGACCTTGGAACCAAACCTGAGCGACAGGTGCAAGCAAGTAATACAGTAGCAACTAGACCAGCGCACCATGGAGGTAGGTATGTCATGATTGGACGGTTGCTGATCATGTCTTCTGACACGAGGGTCATCACAGTCGCAAGCGGGCAATCGCATACGCACCTCACGTCGGTCGCACACCAACCTCGCCAACCTTAGACTCGCCCCTCTCTCACGAGACATCAGTCCTGTGGACGGGCGACGAGACATGTCCGCATGGCCGCACACATCCTATATCGAAGGCAAGTCTGCACCTACAACGCCGAGTATCCTTGGTCGCAGCTCGAGTCGCCGACAACTGGGCGGAGCTGGCCTGAGTCGCAAACTTTCCATCCACGATGCCGAGTATGCTCCAGTACAAGTCACAGCACAAGGTCTGCCGCGCAGTGGCTTGCGTCCGGATGCCGGGGACCATGTTATGCCAAAGGCGAAGAGTGAGGCTGCTCTGAACCAGCGACCTACTCGCGCTGGTCTGCCAAAACTACGCACGCCTCTACTTCATCCCCATTCTGGTTCTCTTGCAGTCAAGCCGTACGACAAGCAACACGACGACGACTGGTTCACTCGCGCAGGCTTAACCACGACATCCATGCTACGAGAGTCAAAGGGACAGTCATGGCTGACCTCGCGCCAGTCATCAACATCACTCCAACTGCTACAATCCTCAGACGATGAAGAAGATGCTCTGGCCAGCAAAAGCGCCGTCTCTCTACAACGTCTCCACTTCGCCGACGACGAGTTCAGTCCAGAGACACCGCGTGCGACCAGCAGATGGGGCAGCCGATTCGGCAGCCGCGCCGCCAGTACCCGGACCAGCCGTCGCAACAGCAAAGTCGACTTGGACTCGCCAAAACTACTCCACCGCGATCCATCCGACTACTTTGGAAATGCTGTCATGGAGCCCGATACATCTGTCAGACCCGACTTTGTAGACCCGCGAGATTATTCAGACAGTGAAGATCCGGAACAGGAGGTCGCGAGGTTGGCTAGGGAAGCTTCGTTTGGCTTTGGTTCGTTGGTTGATAGGCTGATTGGGTGGACTCTGTTTGATGTTGCCGAGGACAGGGAGGCTACGGATGTCGAGGCTGAGGATGAGACGCCGACTACACGTGAGAGAGTGGTGCGTACGCCTGTGCGACCGCCATCACCTCCTCGGCCTAGACAAGCCGTCGGTGAAGCTGATCGGCAGGGTGATGTCGAAGAAGGTGCTTGGAAAGATGCAGCGTGGTTGCTTGGTGTTGCCTCCAAGGTCTTGCTTTGATACTTTTGGCATGGTAATATTTGCTTCAACGACTGACGAATGGTACTAATTGCTCCTTCTCTTCAACTGACCTCATCTCAAAATGAACTAAAAGCCCAACTCATATACCCCCTCCGGTGTCATCGGTCTACCCAGTATCACCGAAGCTTTCTTCGCCTTCAAATCCATCACGATATTGAACAACGTACCCGAATGATTGCCCTCTTCCTCCGCCCGACAGATAGCATACGGATAATTCTTCTCATCCTTGAACAGCCCTTGTGTCTTTTTGGTCGTCGGCGCATCACCTACTCCATCACAAATCTCCTGTATACGTTTGATCCTAAACCTGCTGTCCTCCAACCAAACCGTATCCACCACACCCGGATGCTCCACCAAGTAATGGTTGGAATGAAACACTTGCTGCCTCTCATTCATCTCCAAGACCTGTAGATCTTTATAACTCCATTCCAAACCCACACTACCTTGAGAGTCTGCAATCAGCATGTGGCATGAAGATGCTATACCATATTTTTGCAGCTCTGCAACAGCTTCTTTGCAAGAATTGCTTTCGAGCACCGCACGCAGGCCTAGATGGCATGGCATACGTGTCTTGTCCATTCCTTTTGCTTTTATGGCGTTGAGACAGACGCCTACGCCTGCAGAGTTGAAGCCGATTTTGCCTATCAAGCCTGCTTCTGTGACCATTTTGATGGTGGGTTTGTTTTGCTGGTGGATAGTCATGAGAAGCAAATTTTGTTTTTGCTCTGTCATCCACTGTGAATTCCCTTCTGATCAGCTTTTGTTCTTTTTTCAAAAGTCAGAGTGGTGGTGGTGGTGGTGGTGGTACTCACGTCCCAGTTCTGAGCCAGTATACTGGCATCTTTGTGTAACCAGGACAACGCAGTACACCCATCAGAAAATAAACCAAAGTTGATTTCGGTGCGAACATTCAAGGCAATGATATCGGCAAGTGTTTTTCCAGCTCCCTCTGCTATCCCCCTCATCTCTTCAAGGTAGTCTGGCCAGTGTTGTCGTATCGTGTCCTCGAATTCAAGAGCGGTGGATTGCACCTGGGACCAAGAGAGCTTCGCGTTTTGGTCGAAGAGGTTGCTATAGAAGGTTATGCTGCCTTGGATTTGGTGGGTTGCTTGGGAACCGTGTTGGTGTCCTATCTGTTTTGGCCATAACGATTAGTTATCTGATGTGAGAGGTGTAGATGTGGGGGGCCACTAACCTCGTAGGGCGAGCCTTTGCAAGTGATTTCAAGCATTTTGATCTTCGATTTGTGTTTTGTATGAGCTGTTTTGTCGTCTCAAGTATAAAGGATAGAGCATCTATGTCTTTTGATGAAAGTGAGCACAGGGTCTCGGGCAAGGATATGGCCCGAGAACAAGGGTGGGGTTGTTGGCCGACTTCCTAATCGGGATTCTGTGATCCTTGATAGGCATCTGCATCTTCCCGACCCCTCATTGCACAACTACAGTGATGACTTGGTTGTTCATCGAAAAGATGTGATCTTCTACTTCTACGGGCAGATGGCCTTGCATTCCCCTCTATCGTTCTAAGCAGCACATCTTAGCCACACACCCAATACCTCAAAGAAATCATGGGCAAGAAACGAGTGCTAGTAGGCTATGGTGGTAAGTATAATGCCCCGACTTAACCAGAAAGTCTGCCCGAGTAACATAGAACAGTCGACGTGGACGCTGTGTCGGGCTGGTATGACCACCTCATGCTATCCTTCTAGTTCCAGCAGAGCTTATAACCAAACAGGATCAACACTCAAGACGGCAGTCCACAAAATGGCACCAATGTCTCTAGAGGCATCTTCGGAGCTACAGTAGGAATCGACAGGTTACTCAAGTTGTTCGACAAGCACAACATTAAAGCTACCTTTTTGTCAGTTGACATGCCATCTACTGCTACCCGGTAGGGCAGAATTTAGCTGATTTGTGCCACTTTTGAAGCACACCAGCTCACACGATCGAATCGTTCCCAAAACAAATGACCAAAGTCAAAGATGCCGGGCATGAAATGTACGTCCGCAAGCAAACAAGTAGACCAGCCTCCAGGAGATTTTTAGACTGAATCGAACAAGCGGTCTCCATGGCTACACCCACGAACACATCTCCAAACTCTCCCTCACCCAACAAACTGCCGTCCTCAAAAGATCCATCGACGTCCTCACCTCCTTTACCGGAACCCCACCAAGAGGCTACACAGCACCTGCCTGGGACACCAGCAAAGAGCTGGTCCCTCTCCTCGAACAACACAACATCATCTACGATCACAGCTTCATGCATCACGATTTGCAACCATACTTTGCGCCTGATGCAAGTCATTCATGGGTAGAAACTAATATGAAGAAGGAAGCGGAGACATGGATGAAGCCAATGACAAAGCTGAGACCGAGTAAAGTGGTGGAGATACCGGCGAATTGGCATGTGGACGATTGGCCACCTTTGCAGCCTCAGCCGGGAAGGGCTGGCACGGTAAGCTTGCATTGCTTTGGGTTGCCTGTGGTTGTTCGCTGATAGAGTTGCACAAAAGCATGGATTTGTGAGTACACACGAGCTAGAGAAACTATGGCTCGAGCAATTTGATTTTGCATATGAAGAGTACGATAGCTTCATCTTCCCGATGTCGATTCATCCACAAGTCAGTGGGAAGCCACATGTCATCAAGATGCATGAGCGGTACGCCCCCTCTCTGAATGATTCAAGTAGACTGCTGACTTCGCTAGCATCATTGACTACATCAATAAACACGATGGAGTCGAGTGGATGCCGTTTGAAGACATGGCCAAAGAGTTTCTTGAAGGCCGAATTCAAGGAGTCGAGATTGAAGGAGGGGCAGAATGAAAAACTTTGATAGTGGAGCTACTTAAAGAAAATGTATCGTTGAACTAAATATGCAGAGCGACTGGCAGCGCCGGTCATGAGATGGAGCTAATTGATGACAGCGAAACAACATGATCGTGGAACTCAGACGGACATATTGCCGTGATGTAGCATAGAGTAAGGCTCAGTTGAGCTCATCCTGCAACCACGAACTCCACATCTTCTGATATTCCTTGTGCTTGTTGATGTCTTCCTTGGCTTCCTGATCAACCTCCTTGTGCGCCTTCTCGTTTTCACTCTTGATCAGCCTGCGCACATTCTCAACCTCGGGGTTGGTATGAGACGACGGGCTCAAGTGACCGCTCATAACCTCGAGACCAAACTGAGCTGGGAACTTTGGGTCATGAAGGATTTGGGCACCGAGTTCTGCGATCTCTCGACGAACTTCCTCCCATTTCTCCCAAAGATCTTCAAGACCATCTTTCGTCTTCTCAAGTTTTCTCTGGAAGCGTCGGAAGGTGCTGCCAATGGGGACTTCTCCTTCGCTGGTAATGTTTCCAGCATCGTCCTTGTAAACGACGCTAACGAGTGTACTGGCGAATGGTGTGAAGGCATCTTGGGATGCCCTGATAGCGTAGGCAATTCGTGTGCTCAACGCATCGGGTCCGAGAGTGGTCTGATCGAGTTGCTGGACAAGGTCTTTGTAGGCACGAGCAATCATCTGCTCTGATTGATCGGCTACATGACTTCTGTATTTGTTGAGCACCTCTGAAAACGGATTAGTAAGTAGCTGTGAGGACGGAACTACGCTTGCCATACCATTTGACTCGTCGGCGAGAGTGATTCTCCTAGGTGGAGGTGATGAAGAAGGCTCGCGGCGATGATGCTTCTTGCCTAGACCACTCTTCTTGCTCTTGGGTGATGCTTTGTCGCGCTTGTGGCCTCGATCAGATCTGGACTTGAAGATGGTGTTGGTCGTTACATATTTCTTTTCCTTCTTGTCCTTGTTTGTTTCTGGGAAGTGGGCTTCTTTCTTCTGCGCAGTAGAGAAATTGTGGCCGCGATGGCCGGTAGGTACGGTCATGATCGTAAGAGTTCAGTGGTGCTGATGAATAGCGAGATGGAGGTTACTGTTGGCTGGACGCGAGTGAGACAGAAGTCACATGTGAAAGTCGCACTTTCCTTTCTCAAACTACAACGAGTCGCCCGCGACAAGATAGACAGGAAAATCAGTGCAGAGAGCAATTGGCAATTAGTGTACAAAAGTGATGATACAAACCATCGAAGAGGTTGACCTTATTTACATTGACTCATACCCCTACTCTGCAGGAACCAGAACGTCCTTCTCCTCGAGCAGCTTGGCCAGCGAGCCATCCTGGTGCATCGACATGAGGATATCTGTGCCACCGACGAACTCCTTGTCGACGTACAACTGCGGGATGGTAGGCCACTCCGAGTATTCCTTGATTCCTGCAATCCCCAACATGTCAGCGTATACCTAGAGTCTGTATAACGTGTATAGACCAACCTGCTCTGAGCTCCTCATCCTCAAGGACGTTGAAGGCAGTGAACTTGGCTGGGTTGACGCCCTGCAGGCCGAGGATCTGAATGCTTGCTCTTGAGAAACCGCACTGAGGCATCTCGGGGGTGCCCTTCATGAACAGAACAACGGGTGCCGACTCGACAGCCTTGTCGATGGCTTGTCTAGTCTCTTGCGACAGCAGGCGTGTCTGCAGTGAAGCAAATCGTGACGAGAGAAGAGGGTTGTGGCGAGGGCGGAAAGCGGTGCGGAAGACCTATGAGGTTGCGTGTGAGTATGCGAATGAAGTCTACGAGCATGCGCCATACCGCTGATGCTGCTGATCTGGCTGCCATTGTTTCTGGTGGTTTGATGTGAATAATCAACAAGATCAACTTCTTCGCGATGCTTTGACGTGTATGCCGCTTCTCCGCCAATGACGCTGACCCATTTCAAAGCAACACGTCCGAATGACTCGCGAAACACTTTCCGATCAGCAGCCGTCAACTTTCAAATGTATCTCTCCAGGCATCATCAACATGTCCCAAACACAAACACTACGTGCATCCGAGCATCAGAATGACGGCCGTCCACACGTACTGCTAGCATGCACAGGCTCAGTCGCAACCATCAAAATCCCTCTAATCATCGAAGCCCTCTCGCACCATGACATTTCTATGCGCTTAATCCTGTCATCCTCAGCCAGCCAATTCCTGCAAGGCCAATCTGCCGAGCAACCTTCAGTATCCTCACTTCTCAAGATACCAAATCTCGAGGCTGTATACACGGATGAAGATGAGTGGTCTCAGCCTTGGACTCGTGGTGCAGATATCCTACACATTGAGTTGCGGCGCTGGGCCGATATAATGATCATGGCTCCGCTTTCTGCTAATTCATTGGCTAAGATGGTTGCTGGTATGGCTGATAGTTTGGTCATGTCTGTGGTGCGTGCTTGGGACACGACTGCTATGCTGGATGCTCGACGGCCGAATCTGCCATCGTCTCTGCGCACATCGACAGGGAAGAAGCCCTTGTTGGTTGCTCCTGCTATGAACACTGCTATGTGGGCACATCCGGTTACGCACAAGCAAGCTGCTGTGTTGGAGCAAGAATGGGGTATTGATGTCGGAGGCTGGATCAGACTCATCAGGCCTGTCGAGAAAGAACTGGCGTGTGGTGACACGGGAGGAGGCGCCATGCGTGAGTGGAAAGATATTGTTACCATCATCCGGGGATATCTGGATGTTCAAACTTCCAGTATTACGAACATTTCCGTGTAATGAAATCGAGTCAGAGACCAACAGATATGAAGTTTTTACTTTTTTGGATTGGATCATTTCTTCTAGCCTTCGCCTCTACGGAATGCAATGCCGGTCTCGATGCCGCTAACCCTCACCATCACTGCCGTGACTCTGATTTCCAGTAAGACGTAAAAGACAGCCATCATCATAACAACTCAACTCCAGTTTTGAACAGATTGAGAGAGACCCCTTTTTGCGCTGGTATCGAACAAGAAAGAGTTTAAAGTAAACATGAAAGGGTGTGCGGTTTTGTGGTAATAAGAACTAAGACGTCGTGGGTATGAAGGCTTAGGCCTCGGTGGCGGGGCGGTTCTGTTGACGGCGGTCCTGGTTGTTGTTGTTGCCGCGTTTTTGGTTCTGGTTGCCCTTCTGGCCGGACTCTTGGGTAGTGTTGGTCTCGGTGCCCATGGTGAGGGCGGCAGTTGCGAGACGGTTTGACAGGTCGATTTGGGTGCGGATAGTGTTGGCGAGGTATGAGACAAGGAGAACGTCTTGAATGTGGTTGTTGCTGTAGGGAGATGGTTAGCAGACGACAGACGATATACGGACAAGGACAAAACATACAAGTCACGCTCGATATCCTCGGCGTCGACCTTGGGAGCCAGAGAAAGAGTGTTCATCAGGAACTGACCCAGAGCAGAGCTGGGCTCGGCCTCCTCATCCAGAACGTTGCTCACGTAGTTGGAGACACGCTCAATCATCTCGAGAACCTGCTCGATGGCGCGCTCCAGCGACTCAATGTCGGTCTGCAGCATCTGCGAACGGTCCTCTCTGTCCTTTGCGCCCGAAATCAGCTCGAGACCGCTGCGGTCAGCCTCGCCGTACTTGATCTCGTGGGGAACGGGAATGAACAGGCAGCTGTCGGCAGCGCGCTCAGCGGTGACACCGACGGGGGCAGAGATGTAGGTCTTGGCCTCAATGTCCTTTCCGGGCACGGTGGAAACAGTCAAGTGAATGGCAGGGTGGGGCCAGGTGCCATCGCCTTGCTGGCCGTAGAAGTTCTGGATGAGGGCGGAGAAAGTGTTCAGGTCGGAAGAGGTGGCATACCAGCCGAGAAGGACCTCCTTGGGGTTTGCGCGGAGGTGCAGCTGCAGCATCTGCTTCTGGTAGTCCATGTCGACCTCGACCTGCTCCTGTGTCTCGGTGTGGGGAACAGCGTAGCAGTTGCGGATCTCGACTTCGGTTCCATCTTCAGAGCGGACACCGAGAAGAGTGCCGATAACGCGCTCCTGGTCCTGGGGTCTGCGGAGCGAGTGGTCGAGGATTGCGAAAATGGCCTGGGGCTGGACGCTGACGTTCAGAGGAGCGGTCGAGGGCTGGGTGCCGATTTGAACGGGGCCCAGAGGGCGGGCGAGATGGAGGAACGAGTCTTGGGCCATGGTTGCGTGGGCGAGGTGAGCTTGCCGTCGTCTACTTCAATCACCCTGTCGTTGTGAAAAGTTCAGTTTCGGCGACGCAGCCCGACGTTTCGCCGCACGTCCTCTCTATTCAAGGAAGACGGCCCTCGGACTTAAGACTAAAGTGCTGCAACTTTTTTGATCTTGACTTTTTTGCCCAAGACAATACACCACAACACACGATGGCTCCTTTCAGAGGAAGAGGAGGAGGCTCACGAGGCGGTCCGCGAGGCGGTGCAAGAGGAGGAAGTAGAGGTGGCAGTTTTGGCAGTCGAGGCGGAAGCAGTTTTGGTCGCGGAGGAGCACGAGGATCGTTTAATCGAGGCAACAGTCGAGGCGGTGGTCGGGGAGGAAGAGGAGGACGGGGAGGGAGAGGTGGAAGAGGGGGAAACCGAGGAGGAAGAGACGAGTTCCATTCGAGCAGAATCGACGAACCGGAAAACCAACCCTTGCTGAGCGAAGACGAGAGCGATGCCGAAGACGAGTCCATGCTCGACCTGGATGTACAATCTGTAGGAAGCGACGACGAGGACGCACCTGCCTCGAAGGTTCGCGCATACAACGCCCTTCTCCAATCTTTCCAACAAGAATCAGACGAGCCTCGTCGCAAGCGTAGAAAGATCGAGGAAACACCCAAGGAAGACGAGAGTGACGAGGAAGAGATTGACGGCTCAGATGCTGCTTCAGATGCGTCAGAGATCGAAGATGGGGCCCAAGACGAAGACCAAGCACAGGAAGACAGAGACAGCGATGCCGAAATCGACCAAGACGAGGTCGCCGACGACGAGGATGAAGACCCAACGGATCCATTCGACCAACACTTTGCGAATCCTGAAGCCAATGGTCTCGCTCAACACATCAAATCAGTCACCGACAACCAGTGGCGCTCGGCAAAGCTCAAGGCTATAAAAGAAGATAGTGCGACCAGTCTAACCCTTTCTCTTCCTGAATCGGCCCCTGCCTCGGCACGGAAATCTCTCAAGTCGGTCTCGCAGCTCAATCTCAAGCAACGCATTCTAGAGCCAGCAACGAAACACATCGGTACTTTCAGCGAGCTGGGACGGGAACTCGCTTCCTCGATCTACACCTACCAGGATGTGCTCTGTGGTGCTAGGACAGTCGAGAATGCCTCTGAGCTTAGGCATATGGCTGCTCTACATGCTCTAAATCATGTCTACAAGGGCCGCGATCGCGTACTGAAGAACAACTCTCGTTTGGCTGCAGCAGAAGGAGATGCCGACCTCGAACTACGCGACCAAGGCTTCACCCGTCCCAAGGTCCTTGTCTTGCTTGAGACTCGCAGTGCCGCCGCGAAATACGTCGAGGCTTTGATCGCTCTATGTGAGCCCGAACAGCAGGAGAACAAGAAGCGTTTCGAGGACGGTTTCGTACTGGACGAGTTGAAGTTTGGTGGTGAAGGAGACTCACATCCTGCTGACTTCCTAGAACTCTTCGAGGGCAATGATGACAACGACTTCCGTCTGGGCATCAAGTTCACTCGCAAAACTATGAAATTCTTCTCGCAGTTCTACGCTTCAGATATCATCCTTGCCTCGCCTCTCGGTCTTCGCCGCATCATCGAGCACACCGATCCCAAGAAAGCGGACAGCGACTACCTCTCCTCGATCGAGATCTGCATCGTCGACCAAGCAGACGCCATGCTAATGCAGAACTGGGACCACGTAGACTTTGTCTTCCAACACCTCAACCTGCAACCCAAAGATGCACACGGCTGCGACTTCAGCCGCGTACGAAACTACTACCTCGATGGCCAAGCCAAGCACCTGCGCCAAACCATCATCTTCTCAGCATACATTGCCCCCGAGCTCAACCGTCTTTACAATGCCCACATGCTTAACATAGCCGGAAAGGCAAAACTTGCACCTTTCTACCCGGGCGTCATCGGCGACATGGACCTCGAAGGCATGAAACAGACCTTCTCCCGCTACGACTCATCCTCACCCCCTACTGACCCCGACGCACGCTTCAAATACTTCAACACGGCCGTTTTGCCCTCTTTGCTGCGTGTACCAAAACCTTCAGATGGCGGACCCGGTATCCTTCTCTTCATTCCCTCATACCTCGACTTCGTGCGCGTAAGAAACTACTTTGCAAACTCGAACGAAACACAACACATTTCCTTTGGGGCCATCAGCGAGTACACACCCGTGCCTGATCAACGCCGCGCACGCAGTCATTTCCTCAGTGGTCGCCATTCTGTTCTCCTTTACACAGGGCGCGCTCATCATTTCCACAGATTGAGGCTCAAGGGGGTGAGAAGAGTGGTGTTTTATGCATTGCCCGAGAACCCTATATTCTATACTGAAATCGCCAAGGGCTTTTTGGGGACGATGGTTGCGGAGGGGAAGTTGGAGACGTCGGAGGCTGGTGTCAGGAGTATCTTCTCAAAGTGGGATGGATTGAGGTTGGAGAGGATTGTGGGGACTAAACGTGTGGGAGCCATGTTGAGGGATAAAGGTGGTGATACCTTTGATTTCGTGTAGGAGGTCAAGAAGAATCAATAATAATCTTGCTCTCTTTCCCTGCATGAAAGTCCCAAGTGCCGTGACATAGGCGGTTAGGTAGGTGTGTTTCTTTGTGCAGCGAGTGGGGTGGATTGCAGGCACGTCATCCTATGGCGGGAACAGTCGATGGCGGAAAGCGGCGTTCGACAAGCCCTTCACGCGAACGGGGGAAGCGACGACTTACCTGTCCCCCTTCTTCTCTACCACTAACAACCTCTTGTATTGTCGCTTTCTCAAACGCGTCAAGACACAGCCTTCCAAAGTTCACGAGACGCGGTATTGCTCGCTTTCACCTATTGTTCCCAGATCACGTAACCAGCGTCTTCAGCCGGCCCCGCTTACAGAACCTACTCCACACGCACCACGCACATCGCACTCAGCTGCACATCCAAGCCCGCCTCGGACTCACAGCACCACCACCCTCGACCACTCGCCAAATCTTTTTAATCGCCCACCTTCGCCCAACCTCCTCGCCCTCCGCGATCCATCATGGGTCAAACCCTCTCCGAGCCCGTTGTCGAAAAGGTACGTGTCGCCCGCTCGTCACAAGACCTCCTGCCCTTCCTCGCCCGCCTGCCTACAACTGCATCTACAAGCGCCCTATCCACCGCCAACTCTGCGCTTGCCTAACTTGAATGCTAACACATCGTTCTGCTTGCAGCATTCGGACAACGGACAAGACGACCGCATCTTCTACGGAATCTCATGCATGCAGGGATGGCGCATCAGCATGGAGGACGCCCATGCCACCATCCTCGACCTGCAACCCCTCGAAGGCGATGACCTGAAGCCTGCCGCATCCGACGTTCGCATCAGCTTTTTCGGTGTATATGACGGCCACGGTGGAGACAAGGTCGCCCTCTACACTGGTGAAAATCTGCACAAGATCATCGCAAAACAGGAAGCTTTCAAGAACAAGGACTTTGAGCAAGCTCTCAAGGACGGTTTCCTCGCCATTGACAGAGCCATCCTTAGCGGTTCGTCAACTTGCACGCCAGCGCTTGCCAGCCTCGACATTTGCTGACTGTGCTATAGACCCAAGATATGAGGAGGAAGTCTCTGGATGTACCGCCACCGTTGGCATTGTAACCCACGACAAGATCTATGTCGTACGTCGTGCTATTTTCTTGACTGGAAGAGCTTTGCTAACTGGCTAGGGTAACGCTGGTGACTCCAGAACTGTCCTCGGTGTCAAGGGTAGAGCAAAGCCTCTCTCCTTCGACCACAAGCCTCAGAACGAGGGTGCGTCTCTACCTTCTGGCTCTTCATCCCTGATCTTGCTGACTCCTGAATAGGTGAGAAGGCAAGAATTTGCGCCGCTGGAGGCTTTGTCGACTTTGGCCGCGTCAACGGCAACCTCGCCCTGTCTCGTGCCATTGGCGACTTCGAGTTCAAGAAGAGCGCCGATCTCCCTCCTGAGCAGCAGATTGTCACCGCCTACCCCGACGTGACTGTTCACGACCTTTCCGACGATGATGAGTTTATTGTGCTTGCCTGTGACGGTAAGTAGTAGCTCACACGAAAACACTACAAGACAAATCGTTTCTGACTCTTGTTCTCTAGGTATCTGGGATTGCCAGTCTTCGCAAGCCGTCATCGAGTTCGTCCGCCGCGGAATTGCAGCAAAGCAGGAGCTGTCTGCCATCTGTGAAAACATGATGGACAACTGCCTGGCCTCGAACAGCGAGACGGGTGGTGTTGGATGTGACAACATGACCATTTCGGTCGTTGCTCTGCTTAACGGCAAGACCAAGGAGGAGTGGTACCAGATGATTGCGGACAGAGTCGCAAACGGTGACGGACCCTGCGCACCCCCAGAGTACGGTCAGTCGTAACACCTTTTCCCCCTTACAGCCCTTGCCCATTTGTAGCATACTGTTGCGCCCCTTTATTCCCGAGTTTTCCTTGATTATTAGCGCTATATGCCTGCGGATACCCATGTCAAAAAAGGAGCTCGACAAGTCTTGTCTGCGTACCATACACATCTCATCAATTGCGCCCCGATCGGTGACGAGCCCTTGTCTAATACGAATGCCTTGTACAGCCGAGTTCAAGGGACCTGGTGTGCACCACCGCTTTGACAACGACAGCCCGGATGAGTACGATATGGACATGGAGGGACGTTCGCGCATGGTTAGCGGCCACGGCGGTCGCGTCATCCTGCTCGGCGACGGTACAGAAATCATGACCGAGTCTGGAGAGAACGACACGGACATGTTCGACCAGAGTGACGATGAGGAGAAAGACCTCGCCAGTCAGGTCAGCAAGGGACAAGACGAGGGCAAGAACGGATCACAAGGACAGGGCCAGAAGAGCACCGAGACTCCCACACCCGCAGAGCCCAAGATGGGAGGTGTTGCGGATTCAGCATAGATACGGATATTCACGAGAGATGATTCAGGACATGGAATTGGCGATATAAGCACTGTTCCAGCGTCAAGACAGCGTCAGAGGATACAGTCGAGATTCTTTGGTGCACGGCGAGGCACAAAGTAGAAAAGACTGGAGGATGTATTTGTTAATGCAAAGAGCCAATCAAAAGTTTTGATGAGTGCATGAATGAGGCGCAGGATTTTGTGAAAGTCTGGAGTCGGACGAAACCTGTAATTCGACAAACGTCTCGGCGTCACTTCATGATCAGGACGGGAGGCTGTGAGGCGTGAGATGAGTTTGAGAAGTTGGAACTTGGACGGCCTCACTCAGCTGTGGCCCGTGCGAGAGTTAGGTACGCACAGGCGTGTCGGTTAGGCTGATTGCGGAGTTGGTCGTCACCCTCGAACTGTTCACTCGAGCTGCTTCTCCTTTGCGCGCTCCTGCAACAACTCACCCTCAACTCAGGCAGTTGTCACTTCAATTCCCCTACACAATGGCTCCCAAACGCAAGCGGGCTGGTACCGTAGGCTCCAATGCCACCGCCGAGTCAAACACCAATCTTCCCGACCAAATAGCTACAGACGCGTCGGCAGAGGACACCACCCAACAGACTCCCCAGACCCTCAAGAAGTCCAGATCACACAACGACGATCAAGACCAGCCTAACAAGCGCTCTCGCTCGGAAAACAACACCCACGACGATGAGGACGAAGACCAAGATCTTGGTGTCAACGGTGAAGCTGGCACCATGAAGATGGAAGCTCCTCCCAAGGCTGGCTTGATTGATCCCGTCGGCTACAAGACCAATCCTCCTCCTGAGGGTCGCCCTGTGCGTATTTACGCCGACGGTGTCTTCGATCTGTTCCACATGGGGTATGAGGCCTGCATCTGCACTCTTCCGAGACAGCTTGCTAACTGATTACAGACACATGCGCCAACTCCAACAAGCCAAGTCCGCCTTTCCCAACGTCCATCTTCTCGTCGGTGTCACTGGTGACAAGGAAACTCACCGCCGCAAGGGTCTGACTGTGCTGAGCGGAAAGGAACGCGCCGAGACGGTGAGACACTGCAAATGGGTCGACGAAGTCATAGAAGACTGCCCCTGGATTGTCGACGTTGAGTTCCTCGAGAAGCATGAGATCGACTATGTCGCTCACGACGACATCCCCTACGGCGCTGACGAGGGCGACGACATCTACAAACCTGTCAAGGAAAAGGGCATGTTCCTGGTCACCCAGCGTACCGAGGGTGTCAGCACCACTGGAATCATCACAAAGTAAGAACCGGACGAACAAAGCATCTCGGTGGTTCACCAACTGACTTGCGCGTGTGCAGGATTGTTAGAGACTACGAACAATACATTGCGCGTCAGCTCAAGCGCGGCACTACTCGCCAGGAGCTCAACGTTTCATGGCTCAAGAAGAACGAGCTCGACATCAAGCGCCACGTCGCCGAACTGCGCGACTCGATCCGCACGAACTGGACCGCAACTGGCCAGGAGCTCGGCAAAGACCTCAGACAATTCTGGCAGCCCAGTCGGCCCAACAGTCCCGCCCGTGGTCTCTCGACCCCCGATCGCCTTGGCTATAATTTACGCCAGGGCGCATCGAGAGGCAGCAACAGCGACTTTGCTGCCGGCTACACCATGGGTCTTCTCGGCAGCGTTCGCAGCTGGGTAAATCTATCCAGGTCTTCTTCCTCCACCGACCTTTCGACTGACCGAACTGCAGATGCAACGCAACCGCAGAACCCTCAGCGACAGCAGACCCGATAGCCCTGACAGTGGCGAGGACAGCTCAGATCTGCTGAGGAGTCCCGCCGACCAGGGTAGAGGCCGCCCCGGCAAGCAAGTTCAAGACGAAGTGGATGCTCAGGTCACCCACGAGATGAACTAGCGGCAGGACATCGTACGTAAAATCTTATTTCCTGCTGCAGAGGCTTTCCTAATTCCTCTTTCACGACCGACCTTTTATTCAAAAAGAGATTCCCCTTGTATAACAGCACCTCTCAAGAATCCTATCTTCCAAAATCCTGATTCTTCTCACTTTTTTTCTTCCCTGCTCATGCTTGCACGTGAAGAAGCGTGTACTACCATGTGTTGTCGCTGGCATTTGGTTTCGAATAAATGCTGGCTTTAAACTCGTCCTTTAACAAAGCAGATCCGACGTTTCCGCTGTAGCATGTGCCTGGTCAGGATGGTCTTCGCTTAAGTTTTGGAGGTCTTGTATCACTGTGTATGGCGTGGTCGGGCTTTGCGCTGTTCGGCGTGTGAAAGTTGTTGTACCACGTATGGATTGAGGTGAACAAAACCTGGCCAACACCCGGCAGCGAGAGTTGATTCTGACTTTCACAGCTCGCGCATACCTCGAGACTTACGCTCACAGATCACTTGACGTTCTTCACATCTATCACCTGCCTGAGGCGATAAGATCAGGCATCAGGACCACCACCAGCAACCTCCATAAACCGCATGGAGGTCACCTGCCCGACAACTGGCAGGCACGATCAAGAAATGGCCTCGCAGCAGCAACAGCAGGGGTCGAGCAACCCTCCACGACCAGGTCTCTCCCAAGCAGACCGCGAAGCTCACGATCTCTCCACCTAAGGCTACACCATCCTCAGCCTGACACAACTGTGCAGCGCAGCAGAAGCCGCAAAAGCAAAACGCAAAGCCTACAAGTCCGAGCGGAAGAAGCAGGCAGACAAGCGCAATGCCTTCCACGCACGCAACAACAAGGATCGTATCATTCAAGCCAAAAGCTTCTAGATCCAAGACCTATGTGCTCGCATCAATAGCATGAACGAAAAGCATCGAGAAGAAATGGAAAGAGTCACCAAGTTGAAGGATATCAGGATCGAGGCGTTGCGTGAGAGGGTCAGAGAGGCGGACACGTCGATTCAGGAGTTTGAAGATATGGTGGAGGAGATGAGGAGGGAGGATGCTGCGGAGTTGGAGAGTCGAGATGCAATGCAGGCGATTCTGCTGGTCGATCTTCGTGAGTTGACTCAGGTTTATGACGAGGAAGTTGAGGTGTTGAAGAGGACCATTGATCGTCAAGGTAAGTTGTGCCCGCCCCTACGCCTTGGCTCTGCCTTACCTCACCTCGCTGACACCGTTCTAGCTCTCCCTCCCGATTACTCCTCCATCAACAACCTCGGCCCTGTGATCGCCCTCGAAGACACTGGCTCAGCAACCCCTGAGCATGTCATCGCGACCGCACTCTCCACCCTCCGCAAAGCCCTCGCTGCACCCAGTGACTCTGATTCCACCCCCAAGCACCTCGTCCACATCGCGAATACTTTGCACACCTCTCTGCTCGCCTCCAAGAAAGGATTCACGACTCACCTCTGGCCTCTGTCAGCGACCTCTGCATCTCTACACGCAACACACGAATGCGTGGATCGCGTGATCCATTTCCTCGCCGTTCACCACCCGGACCTCGACGAGCGCATCTCCTCACCACTCTCTTCACCTTTCCTCCGCCATCTCACAAGGACATTCAAGTCCCCAAGCACTCTTCTTCGCCGCGCCTTCTCTTGCGCCGATTCTTTGGCCCTCGAACTCTGTTCTTTGCATTTCGCCAGTGGAGGCAGGAGAGCTGGGTTGATGCTTCCCGTGCGCCCTTTGTCCTTGGATGCTGGTATGCTGGACAGTGGAGACAACGAAATCGATACAAACGACGATTTGTTGGAGTTACAGTATTGGAAGAAGAAGCTTGAGAGTGTGAGAAGAGAGGCGCTGGAGCGCATGGAGGATGTGGGCATCACGGTGTTTGGGGATACGATTGCTTGGTTGGAGCAGGAGATTATGAGTTTAGTGTGAATTTTACCCGGGGACAAAGCTTCTTGCTCGATGGGAAGGGAGTAATCGGAGTTTGGTCTGGCGGATACGTTCCTTCCTATGTTATTCATTTGATGTTGGTCATGTATCGAAATGCTGGTAACTGGGCCACCCTGTTCTTGAAAAGGGGTTGCGTATTTTTTCCAGTCGACGAGGTCACTCGATCAGCAGGCAGACAGATGTAAATCTCGAATCAAGGATCAAAGACGTGTTGATCTTAACACTTGTCGCTTCATTGTCAAGCGGAGGTGACGTGCATAGAAATGTTTGCTATTTACATAACCATCTCTGTGCCAGAAACTCCCGAAGCCCACGTGCACATCGTCCTGAATAATAAGCCATTCAATGCTCTTCATTGTTCACCGAAGCTATCTAGCTTCTGTCATTGAGTATCATGCTTCAATAAAATGTCGTAGCGTGGGTCAGCAAACCCCAGTCGTCTGTCGAATCAATGACTATCGACGCCTGTGTTGGCGTTTGTCGAGGAATTGTAACCATATTACTCCTGTTCCGGAGTGTCGTGCTGTAAGACGTGCTCTGTCAGAGTGAAAGCGTATTTCAGTCGTCTGTCAAGTCGACAGTTTCGATGCCAGCGTGGGCATCTGCCGAGATCTTGAGCTTTTTGGTGGGCGGATGGTGGTAGGTCAAGGTGGGTTCCTCATCGCTCTCATCCTCAACGCGCGTTCTCTTTTCCTCGGTACGCTGCTTTTCGTGTTCTAGCTTGATCACAACCATCTCTTCTTGGCGGGCCTACCAGAGTCAGTACAAGTCCCCGTCGTCCCAAGATGTAGCCGTACCTTCTGCCTACGACACAGTTCGAGAAGCTCGTCTCGGGTGAGGCTCTCTTCTGGTCGATCCTCCAATGGAATAGGACTGGGGCTTCTCGGGATGAGGCAAGAAATTTGCAGATCCTCTGCTAGAGTAAGTATCGTGCTTGCGTATCCTGGAAGAAGAACTTACTGCGCGAACGGTATCGGAAGTTGAACGTTGCGAAAGCATCACCAATACGTGTGCTCGCAGTGGTCATAATCCGGCCGATTGGTTTTGCCTCTCCCAGTCTACGCAAATTAGTCGCTGTGCGCTTTGGTCACGGAAGGAGTGTCCTACTTGGCCTGAGTCGATATCGCTTGACCTTTGAGGTGTTTCTCGTGAATGTTTTCATGTCCGACATTGGCCTCCGAAGCATTGTCGGAGTCGCGAAAGTCGGTCTTACCCGCTTTGGAATGGTAAAGTTTGACAGTGATCGTCCCCAGGTGGTTGAGCTCAGGTCTTGGTTTGGCGTATGCTCGGTCCTCACCTAGAGACGGTATCAGTGATGAAGCGACCAAACACGTCTGCAATTGACACACTTGTCACAAGATCAGCGAACATGAGCGCTCTCTCCTTGCAGATTCCACCCTCCATGTAGCGAGCTGCGGGGTATGAATAAACAGCATATCCACTCAGCCAAGGTTGTGGAAGCATTACGCCGCCGACCCTTTGGCCATCAAGAAAGTACGACGTCTCTACAGAGTCACCGCCTCTGAGATGCCAGTGTTGTAGATTAGTGAGATTGATCCGTATGGCGAAGTGTGAGCCAGGCATGCATTCGACGTATTTGGTAGTGCTGTTCGGGGTTATAGATTCACTGTCGTCTTCGTCGAGGTATTCGGGGAGCGGATTGCCGTCAACCGCTATATCCACGATGACGTGCGGGATACCCGGGATGATGGCCATGGCGTTGATGGTTGACGGAAGAGGAGAAGAAAGACCGCAACTGCAGGGTGTGCGAAGAAGAGTTGAAGTGGAGAAGTGGAAATGAAGGAAGTTGTTGTGGGCTGGACAGTCGAGGTCAGTGAGTGTTGTCCTATCTCGTTCAGATCCTCGCTCACTCACCCTTCGTTGGAAGTGAACAACTGCGCTGAGTGATCCGGCAGCCACGGGATGACTATTGCACAGCGAACAGTATCATGTGCCGTGATGAACGAGGTGGAGTAACAAGTGAGGGAGATCGATTCGATCCGATGCAAGGTAACAGGGCTGTCCAGTCACCAGCTAGGCCCGGACCAGAGCTCGTAACTTGACGTTGATGAAAGTCGAGGGCAAGAAAGATGGAGAGCAGGCACCGAGAAGACGCGACGCTAGACACGAACAAGGTGCCAGAAGCCGTGAGCCCAACTAGGAAGTGACGAAGGTTCTCAGGCAGAGGCCACTCTTGCATCTGGGGCCAGACGAGCCAAGACATTCATTCAGTCAGGAAGCAATCGCGAAGACTTTGGTGTGTGTGATGTGATTGTAATTTTTAGTTGAGTTTTTAGGACCATCTGTGACATGCTCAGCCCTCTCAATAGTGTTCTATCTAAACCTTTGCCTTGCCTTTTGCAGAAACCCACTTCGCAAAATAAGAACGCCTCGCAATGCTATCATCATGGCTGCTAGTGACAAGTAAGGTAGGGAAATGCAGCTCAATGTGTGTGAGTTATGAGTAAACAAATGAAACGAATGATGTGGAAAAAAGCAAATGAAGGGCAGTTGTGTCCCACAGGGTATCTTGAAAGCTCGTTAAACCAGTCTTGCAGCCATCTCACCAGCGTCCAATGCCGACAGAAACGTCAGGACCGTAGGTACCGGACAGGATTTGTTGTCTGATGGCAGCACGCTCGTCGAAGTTGGAGGGAGTGCCGCTGCCAGCAGTTGGGCCGCCCAGGTAGGTAACGTTGGCACGCAACTCGTTGACAGCATCTTGCAGCCTGCCGCCAGACTCTTCGTTGTGCTTGAGAAGCTTCTGGTCCCAACCGGCGTATTGCAAGTGGAAACCACCGCCTCTCTTGGCACTCTCACGGATGGCCAGAGCCCAGGCCTGAGCAAGTTCGTCGTATGCTTCGTGTTTTGCATGGTTGTGCTGGAATGTGTCCCATGTGGGCAGGCGATGGATGATCTGAGTGACGGCATCGAGATATTGGAGCGAGAGTGTGGGTTGAGGTTCGTTCGGAGGGAGAAAGTGAGGAGTGAAGTCCTTGAGAGCTTCGATGAGCTGCATCATAGGCTGGCGGACTCGGTTGTAGGTATAATCGGAACAAGGGCGGTTGCCGAAGGGGAAAGACTCCTTGAAGGTGGTCTCATATTTTTGCAGGACGGAGAGAGTAGACTCGACACTAGGACGGGGAGCCATGGTGACGACTTCGTGAGCGATTGCGGGGTTCTGATCACAGATGTTTTGTAGGAGGTTCCTCATCTCATCGGGAGAAAGAGTTTCGAGGAGACGAGGCAGGTCGAGTGGACGACCAGCGGCGACGGCGGTGCGGCTCCTCTTGGTAGAGCGTGAGGCGGGGAAGAGCTGGCGACCTGTGACGGCGGGCGAGGCTGTGGGCGAGGCCGACATACGGTCGTCCACATCGTCTTCGCTGGCCTTGCGCTTCCGGCTGGACATTCTGTCGCTGCCGAAACACTCTGTTGGCGGTATTAGTATGTCGTGGGATTGGAGGCGGTATGACGCAGCAGGTCGGGGCGTACCTGAGCGCGAGGGAGATGGTCGAGGTGTTCCAAGTAGGTGGGGAGCGAACAGGGGGTTCGACGAGATGACGGAGTTCATTGCGATGAGGCAGTAGGAGACAAGGGCGTGTTGATATTCTCACAAATAGCGCACCACACAAATGCGTTAGATGTGAAAGCGAAGTTCGTAGTTGAAGATTCTGGCAAGTCTGGAATCCACCGCTCAGATCGCCGAGACCGTCCAAGTACTGGAGGTCATGTGTCGACAAGCCATCACCATCACCATTTTCACCGCCAACTCATACAACACACGTCCAATCACATGTCATGCTTATGACCGAGTCTTTGTCGTCATTTGATCTACCTATCTACATGCTTCACACTTGTGAAATCCTTGGTACAAGACACGATAATGTGCCTCCGCTCGCTCGTTGAACCGACAACATAAAAAACGCCTCGCCGCTGCCCCGTGCTTTTACCGTCATCCATGCCCAAGACGCCTTTGAAAAGATACAATTCCTTATGCAATCACGCTGCATGCTTACAAGTACAGCGATTGTGCCGCGACAATGTCACGTCTTACCTTTGTGAGTGCTGTCTCGAACTTCTGTTCAAGCTCCTCACTTCCCATGACCTTCGAGGCTTGTGCCATCTGGCGCAAGAGCTCTTCGAGACGTCTAAACAGACGAATCAAACTGCCTTCGTACACGTCCGTCATTTTGCTGCGAATACGATTAGCTTATGTAAACATATAGAATCCTATGACAGAACTTACCAAATCTCGGCAAAGGTTGCTCCATTGCACCACTTATAGACGACTTCCATGAGCTGGTACTTGAATCCATCAACGTACTCGTCTTCGTTGACAGCCAATTTGCTCTCCTGCGAGATCTTAGCCACAGTGCGAGCCTGAGCCTGGATCTCACGGTAAGGCTTGGCGAGTTCTTCCTTCAATGTCGGTGTCTCGTTGCTCTTCTCCTCGAAGATGAAACAACTGAGAGCAGCCGCGCATTGTTCAGGGGTAAGCTCGTTGAAGAAGCGGTTGAACAGTAGCTCACTGAGCACCAGTTCATCACCAGTGCTGATCTCACAAGCAACACGAGCCTTGAGTTGCACTACGTCGGCTTCGTTGATGAAGCCCAAGCGGCGAAGGACCCTTCGTCTGTGCTTGAGCTCCTCCGTCTGCAACACAGACATGGCGTCGCTGATCTGCTTTCTGACGTCCTTGATCTTGTTACCAAGCTGAACCTTGTGCTCGTACTGTGTATGGAGGGCTGCAAGCCTGGGTGAGTTGTGCAGAGGGTTCGAGAGTAGTCTTGACTCGAGAATCTCGATTTTCTGTATATCCGTCAGTACTTATCACACGTGTGGAAAACGATACAACTTACGCGAAGCAACTTCTTGAAACCCTCGTCTGTAATGCCCATGTTCTCGACAGGATCCAGGATGGCAATACCATCGGGGAATCTTCTCTTGACTTCCTCCAGACCCTTGCGGACATTGTTTCTTTGGTCTGGTGACCTCAAGTCTGTAGGCAAGAAAATTCTGAGATGGCCGATCGCATCGACGGTGGATAGCAAAACTGGTACAACTTCCATCTTGCCCTTCTCACCAGCCATAGGAGGTCGGACACCGGGAGGAAGCTCATCGTTGTTCTTGTTAGCAGGTACGGTAACGTCGCTGGCTACCTGAAGCAGAACATCCACGACATATGAGCTTGCGTTAGGAGGATCTTGTACAGGCTGGCCCTTGGGAGGGCGGCATTTGGCGAAGTTGACAACAGCGCCCCATCCAAAGTCGTGGTCGTTGTGCTTGATCCTGACCAATCTGCCAGATTGGAGGAACTGGAGGCAGTGCTGAGGGTGGTTCACAACATCGCGCATATCCTTAGCGTAGTTGTTGAGCTGTGTGCGGAGGTCGTAGTAGTCCTTGATGGTCGGCTCATCCTCAATGCTCATGTGGTTTCTCTCCTGCTCCAGCTCGAGCAACTGCTTCTCCAGTCCAGCGACACTGGCGGTGTTCTGGAACTGGTAGAAACATCTCTCAAGCATGAATTCAGGTGAGATACCTTCAACACGCATCAGGTTGAGAATCATGTTGTAACCGAGGTAGAAGGCCGAGTTGAGCTTGTCCTGCTCACCACGAACTACCTCTTTGGCGACTGCGGGCTCCATCTTCTCGTCAATCATCATAATGACGATACCACGTTCATCAAGACCTCTTCTTCCAGCACGTCCAGACATTTGGATGAATTCAGATGGCGTGACCCAGCGCTCAGCGACACCGTCGAATTTGCGTACACTGGTGAACACGACAGTCTTGGCAGGCATGTTCAGACCAATCGAGAATGTTTCCGTGGCGAAAAGAACCTTGATCAGACCTTCCTGGAAGAGGATCTCGATGGTCTCCTTCAAAATGGGGAGAAGACCAGAATGATGAATACCGATACCTCTGCGCAGAAGAGGCAGCAAGTGCTGGATCTGAGGCAGCTCGCGATCTTCGGGGCTGAGCATTTCGATAGCGCTCTCGAAGACCTTCTTGACCATTGCCTTCTCGTTATCGTCGTTGAAAGCGAGTTGACTCATCTGGAGGGCATAGTTCTCGCAGTCACGCTTGCTGAAACTGAAGACAATGACGGGGTTGTAGTTTTTCATCATGATCATCTTGACAATCTTGTAGATGTCCGAGGGACCTTCTTTCCTGCCACCCTTGTTGACTTTCTTGTCCTTGCCCTTACCTCTGCGCTTAGCCATAGGATCAGAGCCATCGTCTCCGGCCTTGTCGGCGATGGTTGCCATGGCCTTCTGGAAGTTCTCCTCGCGGAAAGTACCCTTCTCGTCAACAACGAGGTGGATGCCTTCTGCGCCAGCGGGGAAGAGGTAGTGTTGGAGAGGAGTAGGTCGGAAGTCGGTGTAGACAACATGGCAGGGTTGGTTGTGGGTCTTTGTGATCCATTCGGCGAACTGCATCGAGTTGGGGATGGTAGCGGAGAGGAAGACGTAGTGGACCTTGTCGGGCAGAAGGATGATGGTTTCCTCCCAGACGACACCACGAGATTTGTCGCGGAGGTAGTGGACTTCGTCAAAGATGACCCAGGCCACTTCGCGCATAATCTCGGAACCTCTGTACAACATGGAGCGCAGAATCTCGGTGGTCATGACAAGACAGGTGGCTGTGGGGTTGATCGTGACATCTCCAGTCATGAGACCAACATCACCAAACTCGGCCTGGAACTCTCTGAACTTCTGGTTACTCAAGGCTTTGATGGGACTGGTGTAGATAACTCTTTGGTTCTCGCGCAGACATTGGGCGACTGCATATTCGGCAACGACAGTCTTTCCGGCACTGGTGTGAGCCGAGACCAGGACACTTTCGTTTCTTTCAATACTGGCGATCGAGACCTGCTGGAAGGGATCGAGGGTGAAAGGATATGTTTTGGCGGGGCCGTTCGGCGGAGGCTTGTGCTGCGAGATGGGAATGTAATCGTAGTCCGGAGGAAGGGCGACTTGATGGCGAACTTGATGCGAGAGGACGACGTTTGCTTCTTCCTTTGAGGCCTGGAGACCAGCGGCGGCGGCGACTTCTCTGGATTGCTCGGTCTCGAAAGAATCGGTCACAACGGGGGCGGGCTCATCGCGTTTTTGGCGCTTGGACTCGGAGGCAGGGGCAGCGGTCTCGGGCTCGGAAGATACTGGCACGCCTTGGTCCTCGTCGTTATCGTCGGCGGCAGGGGTGGCAGCATCCTGGTTTACGGTGGTGGGTTCGGGGGTCTTGACATGGCCATTTGCGGAGCGCTTCTTGCTCGATTTGTCGTTGGCGACTAAAGCATTTTTGGTGGGCGGGGCGTCGTCGAAGACGTCAAACAGGTCGTCCATGGTGGATCACGAACGGGACGAGGGTGACGATGGGTTGCTGTTGCGACGGAGAAGTGCAGGAAAAAAGTCGAGCTTTGGATCGCGATAGATGGGCGACTGGCGGAAAGAGCTTGACGCAATGTGATTGGCTGCATGACGCGCCTTCCGTACTTTCGCCGGCATCCAGATGGACCGACCGCTGGGCGTTGGCTGTGTCGGGTGAGCAGCGACACAGCGAGCAATTGATTCTCTCCAGCATCTCCACTCACTCACACACACTCTCAACGTACGTCGTGCTGCTCGATCGCTCCAATACCATCCATTGACAAACACCGTCCAGATGTTGTCCAGAACCGCCATGCGCATGCCCACCGTGGCCAACCAGATCGTCGCTCGTCGCACCTTCTCCTCGACCCGCTCGCAACTCGCCAGCCCTTACCACTACCCCGAGGGCCCTCGCAGCAACTTGCCCTTCAACCCCTTGACCAAGTTCTTCGCCCTCAGATTCTGGGGCTTCATGGGTGAGCCGTCTCGCGAGTCAAGACAAGGATTCCTCGTGCTAACATGCTCCAAGCCACTGGTTTCTTCCTTCCCTTCGGTGTCGCTGGTATATCAATCGCTCCAAACATGCCCTTCTCTGCCGTACGAATACTCACAACCCAACAGTCTGGCAGATCAAGAAGAACCAATAGACGTATCGCGGTGGATGCACCTACATTGGCCTGGCTTCAATGCTACCATCAAGACGCTGGCCCGTCCTTTCGGATGTATATAATAGTGATTCTGAATCCCAAACACGTCTTTGACTTGACTTCTGCATCTCAATCCATCTGCTGTGCCCATGTCGAATTGTTTGTCGTGACATGTGAGCTTCCATGACCCTCGCAGCTCTCTCGGCAAGAAAAGCGGCTAGCCCCGACTCCCAAGATTTTTTTGAAGCTGCTGACCATCAATTATCCAATCAATGCTTGTAACATAACACATCAGACCATGCGAAACTTGAGGAATTCAAGGCATTCGCTTGTCGAGTTTCCTAGCGATTCTCTGCCGCCTACAGCTACTACCTGGGATCCTGCTTCCGATGGTCTTATTGCCGCCTTTGGTCCTTCATCTTCTAGCCCGGTCATCGAACTCAGACGCTTAGCCAAGGATTGTTACTCTGCTCACGATGCAAAGCAGATTGCCTCATGGGACGCGCCCAGTCCTTTGACAGATATTCCCGTGGACCGTATCTTGTCAATACAATACTTTGCCGACACCGCTACTATTTGCTTGATCTTGGCCGGTGGCGACATTGTCATTGTCAGAGAAGAGCCACTACCTGGGGAAGACCTCATCGAGATTGTTGGTTCGGTCGACGAAGGAATTGCTGCAGCGGTATGGTCGCCCGACGAGGAACTGCTGGCCATCAGCACTCGAGCCAATACTTTGATTCTAATGACCCGCGACTTTGAAAGTATCGCCAACGTCACTCTTTCTCCCGAGGACGTTCAAGTTTCTGCGCACGTCTCCGTTGGATGGGGAAAACGTGAAACCCAGTTCCAAGGCAAAAGAGCCAAGGCCCTCAAAGATCCTACAGTGCCAGAGCACGTCGATGAAGGCCAACTCAGCTCTCTGGACCAACTGCAGACTACTATCAGCTGGCGTGGAGACGGTGCTTACCTGGCTGTGAACTCTGTTCAAGATGACAAACGGCGGATGATCAGAGTCTACTCACGCGAAGGTGTACTCGACAGTGTGGGTGAGCCTGTAGACGGACTTGAGGGTGCTTTGAGCTGGAGACCTGCTGGAAATCTCATGGCTGGTGTACAGCGTAAAGCTGACCGCGTGGATGTGGTCTTCTTCGAGCGAAATGGTCTGCGTCATGGCCAGTTCTCTTTGCGCCTATCCGCAGAAGACATGGAGACCTGGGCCAGTGCCATCACCCTCGCGTGGAACAGCGACTCTACTGTCCTTGCTGTATCGTTCAAAAATCGAGTACAGCTCTGGACGATGGGCAACTACCACTACTATCTCAAGCAGGAGATCTTTACCAACGTCACATCAGATGCAGAATTGCTTCCTGTCCGTACAGCTTGGCACCCCGAGAAGCCACTTTATCTTTCTGCGTCGTCTGGTAGTATGTGGAGGTCTGTTTCAAGTCAAGATGTCACACGCTAACATAAATCTCAGACTCTCTCCAGATGCTCTCGTACGTGTTCAGTGTATCAAGAAGCTCGGCGAAACCGCCACACGACTTTGGTCTCACCTCTGTCATTGACGGGCGTAACTTGAAGATCACACCGCTCAGGGTGGCCAATGTTCCACCGCCTATGGCTCTCGCGGAATTGGAACTCAGTGCCAATGCTATCGATGTCGCTGTCAACGAATCGGCAACTAAGATTGCAGTATTGCATCAGCAAGGTGTCTCATTATACGAGCTCGACTACAGCATCAGACCATTCCAGCACCCCAAGCTCTTGCGCGAGGCACCTTTGGCAGAGCAAATTCCTCGACAAGTTGCTTTCTCTGAGGAGGATGGCGTATCAGTGCTCTGCAGCGAACCAAACACTCCAGCTGATACCGTTGTCGGGATCAAAATTTCCGATGACAGTGCTTTTGACTCTGGTGAGTTAAGCTCCGGCGCTGGTTCGCTGTTCTCTGCCGTAGACTTTTCGAGTACCTGTTATGAGGATGCACACGGTGGTGTGTATGAACTCGGTACTTCAGTTTCTTCGTCTTTGCTTGCCAAGCTGCCAGTACACTGCCCGTGGACCGAGGTATGGAGGGATGATGAGACGACGATTGTGTTTGGTCTCTCGGCCGGTGGCACCCTGTTTGGCTACCGCAAGTCTGCGGATGATGAGAAGGCACAAGAATGCCTGCAGATTCGCAACTGCACGTCATTCTTGACCACTCCCGCTCATCTCATCTTCACTACAACTCAACATTTACTCAAATTCGTCCATCTTCACCAAGGCGACCTGGAAATACCTCTGGACGAGCCTGAAAAAGACGAACGTTGTCGTAGTATTGAGAGAGGCGCAAAGCTTGTGGCTGTCATGCCTACGACATTCTCTCTTGTTCTTCAGATGCCCAGAGGAAATCTGGAAACAATTTACCCACGTGCTCTGGTTCTTGCTGGCATCCGCAGGAGCATCAGTGCTAAAGACTACAAGACAGCTTTCTTTGCCTGCCGTGGCCAGAGAGTCGATATGAACATTCTTCATGACTATGCGCCACAGCAGTTCATGGCCAATGTCCTGCTTTTCTGTAAGCAACTGAAGAAGGCTGAACACATTGATTTGTTCCTTTCGCAACTACGGTATGTTGTATTGCTAGAAGTCTGAAGAGCCGAACTGATGAATCACAGTGATGATGATGTTGCAGAAACAATGTACAAGGAAACGCTCAATGCCCCGAAGTTGGGTCTGCACGGTGACAGCCCTGTTGAAGCTCAACAGGCAAGCGCTGAGCCCCAGAGCTCAAAGATCAACAGAGTCTGCGACGCTTTCCTGGATGTCTTGCGCAATCGAACATCGACTCACCTACAGAATATCATCACAGCGCATGTTTGCAAGTCTCCGCCTGATCTTGACGCCGGTCTGACGTTGATCGCCAAGTTGCGAGAAGAGCAACCAGACTTGGTTGAACGTGCAGTCGAGCATATTTGTTTCCTTGCAGATGTCAATCAGCTTTACGAGCATGCTCTTGGTCTTTACGATCTCGATGTTGCGTTGCTCATCGCGCAGCAGTCACAGAAAGACCCTCGAGAGTATCTCCCATACGTCCAAGGCCTTGGCAAGATGCAGCCCCTTCGGAGACAGTTCACAATCGACCACGACTTGAAGAAGCACAACAGGGCACTCGGTCATCTGTTTACCATGGACGAGTTTGATGAGCTCAAGACCTACATGGCCAAGCACGAGCTCTACAGTGATGCCATGCATCTTTACAGATACCAGACTCAGCGTCTGAATGAGATCATGAAGTTGAACGCCGACTACCTCAACAGCCGCAACCGTTACAAGGAAGCAGGCATTGCCTACGAGTATCTTGGTGAGTATAATTTGGCCTTTGAGGCCTACCGATCTGCAAACGAGTGGCGTGAATGTCTGTCTTCGGCTACTCTCATTCCTCTGCCTGAGGATGAGCTTGTGGCTGCAGGTGAAGCATTCGCCGAGGTACTCACAGAGTCAAAAGACTACTATGATGCAGCGACTGTTCATCTGGACTACCTGAACGACATTGAAGGAGCCATCAAGAGCTTGTGCAAGGGTTACTACTACGCAGAAGCTATTCGAGTCATTGGTCTGAGACGACGTGCAGAACTGATCGAATCTGTTGTTGATCCCGGTCTGATAGAGGGGTCCGCAACCATGACAGAGCTCCTCGCAGAGATGAAGGGTCAGCTCAATGCTCAGGTACCGCGACTTCGAGAGCTGAGACAAAAGAAGGAGGAGGATCCACTTGCCTTCTTCGGAGGCGTTCCTGCAGATGGACCGGATATCCCCGATAATATCTCACTTGCACCAACCGAGGCTACTACTTCGGCTGGTACATTTATGACCCGGTACACCAATCGTAGTACTGGCACTCTGGCCTCGAATGCAACCCGTAAGACTTCGAAGAACCGCCGACGTGAGGAGCGCAAGCGAGCCAGAGGCAAGAAGGGTAGTGTGTATGAGGAAGAGTATATCGTCAACTCGATTGGACGTCTCATCGAACGCACGAACAGCGTCAGCGAGGAGGTTGCTCGTCTTGTCGAAGGTCTTATGAGAAGAGCGATGAGAGAGCGTGCTGCTGCCGTGGATAATGTTATGGCTGAAGTCGTCGAGCTATGCAAGACTTGCATCCCTGAGGTGTTCCAAGTCAAGCCGACGCAGCCTTCTAACACTGAGTCGGGAGAGGTCAATGGAGAGGACGAGGCTGGCAGACCTACTGCTGGTGGTCAAGCCGTGTTCTTTGACGCAATGGAGGCTAATCAGACCAAGCGAGAACCACCGGTCGTCAAGACTTTCTCCAGGCTTTCATTACTTGGTTAGATAAATTATATCGCAGAAATAATGCATGTCATGATGAATATTAACGTAGCTCGATGATGTTCAAGAAGAAGTGCTGATGTCAGTGTGCTTTCGACGTTGAATCGACAATGGGCAAAACCTGACCCTGTCCTTCGGGATGTCACGGCCGACAGCCGACGACGTGGGGACTCTCCTTCACGCCTTCTGCCTCGACCTTCTAGAACATCCATCTGCATATCACGCTTGCAACCATCACAATATCTTCAAAACACTGTCAAAACATCAACGCGACACCCAAACAATATAGTAGTCTGGAATATCAACACCATCGCTCGACGGAATCCTACATAACCACGCGCGCACTGCGCGATCATCCGCGAACGACCCCACCACATATCTCGTATCACACATCAATCAAGCCACCATCATGAGTGTCATCTTGTGTACAGGTATCTTTAGCTCAAGAACCGACTGTAAATTGCATACAGCTAACCGATTATAGCTGGCTATGATCATACCATCCGGTAAGTGTGTGTGTGAACGTCTGCATTTCTTTGTCACATGGCGCACTGTAGCTCTTCTTGTCAGGCGCAAAGGAGAGCATGATTTGTCTTGGATTGCGCCACAAATATGCCAGGACTGACACAAACTCGTCACCAGATTCTGGGAAGCTCTTTCAGGCATATGCAGCCGCACGATTCCACACCCAGACTCGCAGGTCAACCGCTTGTGCATATCTCCAGACAAGCGTTTTCTTGCTGCTGCCGGACACCATACTGTGAAGCTTTATGACATCAAATCTACGAACCCAGCTGCCGTCTTGACATTCGAAGGTCACACCAACAATATCACTGGACTTGCTTTTCACTGCGAGGGTAAATGGATGGTGACAAGTTCGGAAGATGGCACAGTGAAGATCTGGGATACACGCACTGGTCACGTTCAGCGTAACTACAGCCATGGCGTTCCTGTCAATGATGTGGTTATTCATCCGAACCAGGGTGAGCTCATTAGCTGTGACAGAGGTGGCAACGTGCGAATCTGGGACCTTGCAGAGAACAAATGCTCACATCAGTTGATACCGGAAGAGGACAAATCTGTCGCTTCGGTCACTGTCGCGTCCGATGGCTCTCTGCTCTGCGCTGCCGTTAGCAACAGTCAGATCGGCTCAGTCTACGTCTGGCGTATAATAACGGCCAAGGATGTGACGACGCTGGTGCCTGTTACGAAGTTCAACGCCCACAACACATACATCACACGCGTTCTACTATCTCCCGACGTCCGCCACCTGGCTACTTGCTCTGCAGACCACACAGCGCGTATCTGGTCAGTCGACTTGTCAAGTCACAACGCCATCGCTGCTGGGCCTGGAGACAAGGATAGCAGTGCATTTGAGCTCGAGCAGGAACTCGACGGCCACCAGCGCTGGGTCTGGGACTGCGCGTTCAGTGCCGACAGCGCCTACTTGGTAACAGCTTGCAGTGACCACTACGCGCGGTTATGGGAGCTGAGCTCCAAGCAAGTCATCAGACAGTACAACGGACATCATCGTGGAGCGGTTTGCGTGGCACTGAACGATTACTCGGAAACTAGATAGAGTCTGAGTGACAAAGTAGCGCACGAAGGGCGTTTCAGAGGGCTACGCGAATCAGCACGTGGGGAGTTTGGCAAGCAGTACGATGCTCGCTAACATCGGACCATCCGATGCTGGAGAAGGCACTGCGTTGGCACTTGAAATCGAGGTATTCTTTGACCAAAAAAGACATGGAGTCGATATGGGGGTTCTGGGTTGACGCTCAGGCGTTGTCGGTTTGATCATGCCTTATCACGTCGCAGTACAACAGACATTGCTAGGTATTTGAGCACATGTGCTCAGTATTTCACCGATATCATTGGTGGTACAAAGAGATACAGAGATTCCAGACTCCGAGCAAATAAAGCACAAAGCCATTCCGTGTCGGCAGCAAACATTCCTTATCGTGCCTGCCTCCCCGAACATTGCCGAAGATGATAAGGAAGATATGATGGATAAAACCGTTATCGCCGAAACGACATGACAACCTTGATAAACGAGGACCGGGAATATTTTGACATGAATATGTATTTGTACATTTTCATTTCTCTTTCCCAAGCGTCTGTTAGCAGACGGGAGACGTGCGAACAAATTCATAGAGTTACTGGTGAAGCATATCCTTATCTATTGGCTGTTTATTGAAAGAGTCTCATGTTGCGAGGACAAAGGCCTGACATAGGGCCCTGTCTTCCTTTGACGCTCGAATGCGGTAAACAGGCACATGAGCAGACACCAATAGTTTTTCCATACTCCACAAAAGCGATAATAGCAACGGTAAGCAGATAAGACGGTGAGTCAGCTGCTGAGTGGCGGCAGAACATGAACAGTTGATGGAAACTTGAGTCATTGCCCACCTGGTAGTGTCCTCACTCTTCCTTCTATCTACACTACTGAGCATCATATTTCATCCATCAGTGCTTTTTTGTTTTTCTTCGTACAAGCCCTCTTTGTCTTCCATATATGTGTGTTCGTAGTAAGTAGAATCACCTCCTTTCTGCATGCCATCTCTAATCTCTAACTAGACTTTCTGCTGTTTGATTCGATATTTGGATTACGTCTTCAATCTCACTCTGTCTCTCTGTTTTGAGTCTGCTACCCAGACTCACCAATCAGAATGTGTACGTACACATATAGCTGGTACATCTGCAACCACAGCTACTACATCTGGAGCGACACGATAGAAATCTGTACCAATCGATTCTTGTCAACTTATTCATACGATGCTTGGTCGATAGGTAAGCGACAGCCTCATAGCCCTCAATCTGCTCCAGAAGCAAGAAAATTTAGGAGAAAAAGTTGACTGATGATTTCTGTAGACATGTGTAAAGACCACATAGCAATCTGCAAAGGCTTTGGCGATTATTACTGTCAAGATTGCTCTGAGGACCATACGCTTGAGTGGGAACTTGAGGAATGAGAGGAAGAGACAGAAGCCAGAGGTATGGCATTGGCATTGGCATTGGTGTCGGCGTTTCTGAAGATTGGGTGTCTGAGCGAGATTGGTATACACCATTGAAGGGATTGTGAATCCTCGTTCTTTTCTTTGCTACCTCTCTTTACTCTATCAAAGGTTGATCTCATTCTCCATCTCTTCTTTGTTTGCATGAACCTCCTTGTCCCATTCCCGTTGGAGGTACGGTAAGTAATCACATCTCCGACCGCCATGCTTTATTGATGTCTGAACGGTCCTGACCATCCTCGATCTCGATACTCGTCTCACACCACTAGACTCTCGGTATACATCTATCGTCAGAAATCAAAGAGAAATATGTGCAGATACACATACTGGTTCCACAAATGCAACCACGGCACCTACGGCAGGCTGATCAGACTTTGCGCCAACCGTGCAGTACCAAGTCAAGCATTTGACAATTGGTCGATGGGTAAGTAACAGCGATATCCAAATCTCCAGAGCAAATACCAAACTCCCAAGCGAAGATGAAGTACTGACGATGTTGCTGTGGACTTAGATTTGTGCGTGGATCATGTTGCGACCTGTAGGGGCTTTGGCAAACATTATTGTGCCGACTGCTCTGAACGTGTAGATACCAGGCCGAAGATCAGGCACAGAGCTAAGACCAGCATTGATATGGCGTCGTTGGGTTCGTTTTGAGTGATTAATTTTGGTATCAGGTCGAGCATTTCTGGCAAGGACTTCGTGTGGATCGCGACTTCTTTGGGCAGATATTCGTATCTTTCTATTATGTTATTATATTTATAAACCAGATTATTCTGTCACCCTATCTTTTGCTCCAGAGTCGATGTTATCGTGTTCAACGCTCTCTCTTATCCTCATTGCTCTTCTGCGTGCATCGATATACATCATAAACTCGGAATATGATTTCGGCATGACCTTGATGTCACGTTCGACGGTGAAGGTGTAGTTGAACTGGCCTGTCGGTTTGGCGGTGCCGTGTTCGACATCGCGGACCTTTGTGTCCACGCGAACTTGGATTCTTGTGTATTTTTGTTTCTTGTCTCCATCTGAGTTGGGTTGGTCGGCTTGACCTGAGACGATTGGAGGATCTGTATAGACGACAGTGGCTGTCTGGTAGAGGACACTGCCGACAGGGACAGGGTTTTGGAAGGTCGAGGGATCGAGCGAGACGAAGGTGGGACGACAATGAGCGAAACTGGCGGCGGCACAGAAGGCGAGTTCGAAGGTTTGCTTGAGGAGAAAGCCACCAAAGATCATAAAGTGGTGTCTGTTTCGATATTGTGGTTGCATAATGGCAGCAGTGGACAGGCGAGTCTGTTCCATTTCGAAGACATTGTCTGGTTTGCGCACGGGATCCATAGGATCATGGTATTGTAGTTGCTTCTGCCACATGGCGTGGATGAGGTCGGACTCTTCATCGTTTGGTGTCTGCTTGATCAAAGAGCGACTTTTGAGATGTTTGCGGTGGGCACTGTTCTTCTCGCCTTGTGCGAAGATGGCCTTCTCTTCGTCCGTCTCAGGAGCGATGGCAGGGATGTTGACAGGCTTCTTGGTGCCGGGATCGAGGGATACCATGGTGAACTGACATGTCAACAGGACATCCTCAGGTTTGACAGTCTCGCCCTCTTTCGGTGCTTTTGCGACTTGTAGCGAGATCTCCATACTCGAGCGACCAGTAGCGTATGTAACCTTTCCGGAATACTCGAGGTCGGAGATTTCTGTCAGGGGATGCTTGATGTCAATACGGTCACAGGCGGCCGTGACAGTCGTGACTCCATCGCCCGTGTGCTTGTATGCAATGACACCACCTATGAATGTGTCAGTGAGAAGCTACAGGGTGTGCTTGTAGCAAAGACGTACTCAATGCATCCAGATCCATGAACAGCGTGCCCAATCGAATGTGACCGCTTGAGTTGGCGTAGGTGTCGAGTAGCCATGGTTCGCGAGCGAGAGGCAGGACAACGCTGTGGTAGCTGTCGCTCATGCGCTTGGGCGAGAGGTCGCGGTCATTGGGAGTCTCTGGCTTGCCCGAAGGCTTTGTCGGATCGTGTCCACCACGCTCTTTCTCTCGTAGCGCATCGATCCAAGGAGTCTGGATTCTGTTCTCGGTCAAGGCTCGAAAGACACCGTCGGTCTGTGGGCGTATCGTGGTGGAAAATGGTCGTCTGGTTTGTAGTTGTAGGCGACGAAGGCAGCTGAGACTCAATCGTTTGGCCATTGTGATGGACTGAATACGGAAACTGCAATGCAGCTCTTCAGCAGCGGCATGTTGGTCATATACATGGCGGAAGCTGACCGAGGGGCAGCTTCCTTCTTTCGCAGCGTCGCTGACCACGCTCCGATTCTCCCCGCTGACATCACAACTTCTCCAACTTGACCCGACAGACACCACCGGCAACCTTTCCATCACGCCGTATACCGCCTAGCAATGTCATGTCAAGGGAGAGGAAATGAGTCACAATGTCCGATACTATCAGCTTGGGCAGTTTGCGGCTGTCTTGTCCCTCAACTGGCCTCGATCTTGCCCTGACTAGTAATGCCGATATCTCGACTTTGGCTCGGCCCTGCTCCGATATTCCATCCATCACTGACATTGAATCTGGACGAGTTTGGCTCGCCCCTAACACCAACGTCAAACTGCTTCTCACCATCATCTGGCCGTCTACTACATCCGAGCAATGCTCTGGTGTTTTGATAAAATGTCTCGTTACTGCTCTCCAAAATGCAGCAGTCAGTACTATGTCTATCGTTTTGTCAATATAGAATTGACAAGCTCGAATATAACAGCTATGGAGGCAGTTGAGTCTTCAACCTTCCCTGAACGTTGAGCCTTCGCAGTGTTCCAACACATGTCTCCTTGTCATATCACTGACGTCTGCACCTTTTCTCTTACCGACAAAGAAACAGCCCGCTCATCGTCTGGCAAAGAATGTACCGTCCAGCCATGTCAAGCCTCCAGAGGGTCTACCACATTGGACTCTGAACCGAGTACACTTGAAGTTTGATATCACTTCACCACTCCCATCCTCCGCCTCAGATACTAATCCCATGCTATTCGAGAATTCAACACTCCTCGAAGACAAAGGGGACATGGATCCAGCTTCATCAGCGAAGATCAATCATCTAGAACATATTGTTGGCGCAATAGATGTGGCCTTTGGCCTGGCATTGACAGATCTACCTCCTAGGGCACTCTCGGGTTTTAGAGTCACCGAGAAGTCATCCTTCAAACATCTGCATGACATTTGTCCGGCCATGTGGAGTCCTGGTCATGTTGAGGTATCCCAGACGTCGTGGTCTGTTGTCATTTTACTGACGATGCCTTCAACAGGCTCTTGCTTCTCGAGCAGTCTTCCTGCCAACCGTCAGCCACGCCATCTCCAACTCCATCTCACAACGAGCGCGATCGTTCTCACTGAGAGAGAAGCTCAAGGAGATCGCTCGGCAGGAACACCTTACCGCATCCAGTGGGTCAAGATTCGAGCCACGGGCAATCCAAAAAGCCGTCGGTATCCGGCTCTGGCGTCTCACGCAACGCCGTCTGCGTGACCCATCAGCTGCAAAGAAGCTCCAGCCCATTCGAACCAGTGACACAATAACATCGACCTCCGAACAAGATGAAGACGTCGATAAAATCTTGAGCTTTGAGCTTGACGACAATCATCTTATATACCCACAGCTTGAAACATGCTTGGGATCGGACGACGAAGTAAACGGAGAGGACTTGCTCGAGACCGGGTACGAAAGCGAGTGGGAAGATCTCTTCACGGATCCGGCAGCAGAAAACCCCGTCAATGACGATGAAGAGATGCTGGACTGTCTCCACATTGTACAGCACGACGATGACGATGAGGATATGTTCTCTGGTGATCTCGAGGATGACATATCTTCAGCATTGGAAGAAATGCTCGAGCTATGAACCCAAGCTAGACTAATCATGTTCAATGATTCTTATCTCCGGTCCCCCTATTACTTTGGATGCCATGTCATGTTTCTCGTCAAGCTTTGTAGCCGTGTTTGAGCCATATGCTACCGCTGTGGCCGTCTCAGCCTTACCATCTCGCATTTGGTCCAAGTTTGAAGATATGTTTGGCTCTAGGGACCCTGCGTGAGCCGTTCTGTATTCACAACAAGTCAGCGCTCACACTTCCAACCCTAGAATACGTACACCAGTCAACTCACCGGAGCAGGGGCATAATCCCTAAATGCCAACTGCTGCTCATGAATAAGCGGCACGACCCTCTGCGGCAAATTCAACAGCTCTTCCAAATTCTCATAGTGACCCTCTTGCGCATTCAACCTCTTTTCTTCGGCAATCTCTTCCTCCGTATATCCTTTGTAGAGGTTCACTGTCTCAAGCCTGTCTTTGCCAAGTACAATCTTGTTCAATCTGGTCAAAGCATCGTTGCCAGCGACACGGGACAGGGCGACTTTACCGAAAATCTGTTTGCATGTTGGCCTGGCACGAATTTCTGCCATCTTGGCTTCGCGATCGAAGGAGAAAGGGTCGGCTTCTTCTTGCGCTGGGGCTTCGCCTTGGTCGGTTTGTGGTTCCTGGGGACGATACATGTACTCCTTGAGCAGTTTCAGAGCCTTCTTCTCGTATTTGGCTCGCGTCATCGGGCCGCTTTTGGTCTTTGGTACGGAGGGTCCTGTTGTTTCATCTTGAGCTGCGGCTGGTAGGGCTTGTGGCAGCAAGTGAGGTGCTGCTTGCGGTTCTGGTGCACGCTCAGTCTGTGTGGCGGAGTCTTTATGTTGACGGAAAACCGCAGGAGCAATCCCTACAGGTGCCTCTGGCTCGAGACTAACATGTGTGATGTTTCCGAGGGCCAACGAAGGTGCCGCTGCTAAATCGGTCTGAGCAGCCGAGTTCACATAAGCATTCCAAGGCGTCTTTGTGACAAGTTGTTCTTCCACAACTGGTTCTTCTGCGATGGGCTCCTTTGAGATGGGTTCCTCTGCAATAAGTTGTTCGAAAATTGACTTGTGATGTTCTTGCAGCAAGGGTTCGTGCGACGGTCGCTCTTGAGGCTGTGAATTATCGAGTTGTGACTCTTGAGAGAAAGCCTTGTCAGCTTGTGTTCCTAGTACCGGCTCAATTTGGTTGAGAGTGGCGTCGTCTGATATCTGAGTAAGCTCTGGAAGGAAACCTTTACCAGAATCCAGCTTAAGGGATTCCTCTGGACGATCAAGATCCATCGGCGTGCTCTCATCGTTCGGCGCCGGCGACGCCTGCTTCGAGCCATGGTCAACGGTGTCTGACTGTTCAATATTCTCTGTAGGATCTGGCACTTGCTGTTGCTCCTGCTTGTGTGCTGTATCGTCAACGTCGAGCAAGCTTCTGGTGAATATTGTGCCATGATATGGACTCTCTGTGCTCGGTACCGCAACCGATTCTGGAGGCTGAGAGCTCAGAGATTTCAAGCCGGAGGTGTTTTTGGGAGATCTCGGGATGGAAGTTTGAGCTCTATCAGTTGGTCTGATTGCTCTGGGAGGTGACCCGAGAAGGTTGTTGACATGTCTCTTAGCCGCCTTCCATTTTTCAGTCCCTGAAACTCTTTCTAGGTCCTGCTTTGAGGCAGTCTCTAGGATACGATCCGTGAAGGGTGTCAAAGACTTCTGTGTCGGGGTGGTAATCGTTTGTTTTATCCAGGTAGGCTCTCCGAATTCAGCGAAACTCGGCCGCTGGTTCCTTTCTGAGATGTTGTCAGGCATTTCGTCCAAGAGACTGGTGACAGTTCTCTCTGCAGGCGGCTTCTGATGATCCTGTGGATCTGCTACTGGAGGCGATTGCTCATCCTCATCCAAGGTGAGATCAACCACATCAATGGTGTCGTCAATCGTAGAGGGCAACACAGAGGTTTGACTCCTAGCTCTAACTGACAGCTTCCTGCTGGTCTGGCCGACAGGAGTTATGGGCAGTTCAAAGTCGTTGTTAACAAGATCATGAGCTGAAGTAAGGGACATGAATGTATTTACCCCTCGCTTTGCGTGGGCATTGTTGTCATGAACTTCTTGTGGTGAGGCGCCAGCTCTCGATTGAGGAACCGTTGTCTGATCTTGTGGTCTGTATCTCATACTGGCGTCCTCGCGGAATGTCCAAAGTCCTTCCGAAGCACCATCTCGGCGGATAAAGTCGTTGTTTTCTGCCAAAGCGACCCAGATTCCATCCCTCCAGCTCTTGTCCTCGAGATTGTGGTCGGGAACATTTTCAATGATCCACTCGTACACTTCATCAATGCGTAAGCATTGTTCTGGAGCATTATGCAGTGCCATGCCGATGAGCTGATCGTATTTCCGTAGTCTCGGACTTTGTTGTTGCTCCGATCCTTGTGATGGTACTCTAGATGGTCTGGTGACAGCGGCGGACACGGGACTTTCGATTTTGCGTCTCTTCGGGGCTGGTTGCATGTTGTCGACGGAGTTCAGATTGCAAATATAGCATTTCCAGCCAAGTGGACAAGGTCTGGGTATAGAGCCTCTGCAGCAACCTCTGTGGTATTTGCGCTTGCACTGGCAACATGTAACGAGAGACCACTTCTCGTAATTAGACTCCTTTGCGCAAATGAAGCACAAGTCTTGCCGGCTCCGCGAACTGGTTGACGATCGTTCGGATGGGGTTTGGTCGCGGACTGAAGAAGTTCTGTTCTTCTTGACAGTCGGAGGTTTGTTTGGAGGGGGTCGCATGTCGGTGGATCCGACGGACGGTGAAGCATTTTGCATAACTTCCTGCTGGTTCGCCAACTGGCGTGGGTCAGTAAAGTGAACGTAAATAGGATATGGAAGCGGAAGAGAAGTGGAGAGGATCAAAGATTATTTAAATCAGGTCTTTTGAATTTTTTGAAACATCATGTCACACTTGCGAGAGATCAAGCTGCACTGATGGACCATGGAACTTCGAGGATGCAAAACGACGCAAGTCCGTGTGCCAAGCTGCTCGAAGTAGATGATAGTTTGTAGGCCAGCGCCGTTGGTTGTGGGCTAGGGAAGCAGCGTAACAACTCCAAAGCTGGCAGGAGATTGATGTACTCATCAACCGTCAACTCCGGGCTAGAAAGCATGTGTTGTGTTGGCTTGAGTCTTCGGGAACATGAATGACAAAAGGAACATGCGAGTTTGATCGCAACGAAGGACATGATTCCAAAACAGTTCAAACGTGATAGTGCAGGCGATATGCCCTTTTACCATGGTGATCATCATTCTTTGATTTTGGAGGAGGCATGGTTGGAGTATGAGATGAACCCACTTCTTGTGACGCGTCTGCGACATCGATGCTCAGCCGAGCGGCAAATGAGTCGGGACCAATCATTACATTGCAATCAGACGAACAGTCAGAGAGGGTGGTCGGTGAGATGGATGAAGTATGTGGAGGTGTGATGTAAAAGGGTCAGGCTGATGGACAGATCGAGGGAGGTGAGGCGAGCTTATCGATAAGGAAGCACCTCCGTAGGGAAGCGACGGTGGCAGCAACACCAGCCAACACTTCTCAAGACCAACTCCTCGATTCCTCGGGCGCAGCTGAGCAGACATGGACTTCCTCAAGTCTGCCGTCGCATCAGCCATCTCCAAAGGCCCGGCCTTTCCCTATTCGTTCGGCGAAAGAGTCGACATCGACCAGTCCATCTGGACTCTCCACAATGGCACCAAGAGGGTAACAGCCACACATCTCACTCTTCTCGACGCACCCGTCTCTGACAGCATTACAGGAAGACGGCTCTCGATGCAGCATCTTCTCCTTCGACGTGACCGCAAACAAGTCTCGCCTTCCCCTCGCAAAGAACGCTCTACGCAAGTTCCGTACTCTTCGACACCCGGGTGTAATAAAGGTCCTGGATACTGTTGAGGTAGTCGCAACAACTTTCCCAAAGACCGACCTGCGCTTACCGGACGCCAAGGCAGACAGACACCTACATCTACATTGCAACTGAACGTATAATTCCTCTTGGCTGGAAGACGAAGAGAAAGGCTGTCTCCGAAGAGAGCATCAAATGGGGTCTCCACAATGTCGCTGTAAGCAACTATGCATACCGCAATTCTCGCCCATCTGCTCATGCTGCTCTTGTAGAAAACGCTTGCATTCATCAATGAAGAAGCCACTTCAGTACACGGATGCGTCCGTACCTCATCGATATTCACTACCGAGAGCGGAGAATGGAAGCTCGGCGGTCTGGACGTTTTGAGCTCTATGAAGGAGGACGAGGCCGTCATCTACGTTAGTGGGACATATCGACTGTATGTTCTTACTGTGCTAACTATGACACTCAGACATATGGGAGTCTCGCTCCTGACTCGGGACGCTATGCTCCGCCTGAGGTTGCCAAAGGCGGCTGGGACAGTATCAAAAAAAGCCCTGTGTCCGCTGTCGACTCTTACGATTTTGCTATTCTTGTCATTGAGGTCTTCAACGGAAGTTTCTCGGCCAGCGACCAGGTCGGTCAGACCAAGGGGATCCCGGTCAGCATGCACGCTTCATACAAACGCCTAGCCCACGCAAATCCTAAGACAAGACTGAGTATTGCTCACTTCCTGGAGCAAGGCAGGAAATCGGGTTCATTCTTCGATACGCCACTCATCCAGCTGACTGATGGCATTGACAACTTGGGTCTGAAGACCGAGACTGAACGTGAAGAGTTTCTTCGGTACGTGTATGCCGATCGAACACACGAACACTACTGATGTTGGTGTAGCGAACTCGAGGCCGTGGCAGAAGCAGACGACTTCCCAGAGGATTTCTTCAGAGTCAAAGTGCTGCCAGAGCTACTCAAATCCCTCGAATTTGGCGGCGGAGGTCCTAAGGTTTTGTCACTTGTTATGCGTATCGGCAAGAAACTCTCGGACGAAGAATATGAGTCGACCATCACACCCGTGGTTGTCAGACTTTTCAGTAGTCCAGACCGCGCGCTTCGCGTGTGCCTTCTCGATAATCTGCCACATATGATTGATCATCTTCCTCAGAAGATTGTGAATAACGGCATCTACCCACAGATGGTACGGACACATAATTGATTCTGAGTCGATCATTGTGCTAATTTACCTGTAGGTTACTGGCTTCACTGACCTCGCGCCGCTTGTCAGAGAACAGACTGTAAAGGCGGTCTTGGTCGTGGTGCCCAAGCTGTCGGATCGCATCATCAATGGCGAACTCCTGAGATACCTGGCTAAGACCGCAAACGATGAGCAGCCAGGCATTCGTACCAACACCACCATCTGTCTGGGAAAGATTGCGAAGAACCTTGGCTCTAGCGTATGTTCATTTCCTCCGTCCTTACCTCTTCCGTTGTCTAACACACTCGCAGTCACGTACTAAAGTTCTGGTTGCTGCCTTCTCGAGATCTCTTAGAGATCCCTTCGTTCATGCACGCAACGCAGCACTTTTGGCCCTGTCGGCAACTGCTGATCTGTTCACGGAGGACGACTGTGCGACCAAGTTGCTTCCAGCGATTTGCCCGTCGCTCGTAGATAAGGAGAAGTAAGTAACGAGACACTCGTACCGATGGACAGACTTTACATGCTGACTCGACGAAGAATTATTCGAGACCAAGCCAACAAGACTCTGGACCTCTACCTCCAGCGCATCCGCAAGTATGGACAAACTCTGCCTGATAGTGTGTTGCCACCGCCAGAAGCTGCTGGCTCAAATGCGCCACGCATGAGCACTCCACAGCCAGGGTCGGGATCGGGATGGGCTGGTTGGGCTATATCGTCTTTCACCAACAAGCTTGCAACTGCCAGCGGAGAAATCCAACCCAACAGTAGTACCGTAACAACAGCCAGCTCGGATAGACCATCCTCCACTCCGCCAACAAACCCGAGCTCGTCAGCTGCTGAGTCTCTTACAGCTGGCCGTACTCGACCCACACCAACTTATTCTCCTTCTGCACCAACAGTACCCAGAGTGTCCTCAGGCCTTCGAAACGCGACCCCGACCATGTCTGATGTGGATCAAGAAGACTTTGGTGATGACTGGGGCGCGATGGATGATGATAACGATGGTGCTGCCGACGCTTGGGGTGAGGTAACAGACAGCGCACCGCCCGTTGCGTCTACTAAAGCTTCGGCGGCCTCCTTTGATGACGGCGGTGAACCGGACTTCGAAGGTTGGCTCAATGCGCAGGCGCAGGCCAAGACGAAAGCAAAGAATCCTCTACCCAAAGGTCTTGCAAAGAGCAAGCCTGTCTCAGCTGCAGCATCAAAGCCCGCTGTAATTAGGACTGCATCTGCATCAGCTGCGACCAAGGCGAAGCCAGTAGCGAAGCCAGCGCCTGGTAAAGTAGTCAAGCCTGCACCCAAGGAGGAGGAGGAAGAGGACTGGGGTTCAGCATGGTGATGAGAATATGCAGGAAACGTACGGAATACCAGCTCTTGGATTCTTTTATAGAGTTACATAATTTACATTGCGCCTCGCCCTCCGAGACACTGTGCTGATCAAAATGGTATCTTGCAAAAGTCGTATCTTAGGCGGTCGCCGAGGGCTCAGCAGCCGCGTCTGCAGCTGGAGAGGTGGGAAGCTCAGGCCACGGCTTCTTCAGAGCATCTTGAATCTTGACAAGAGCTCCCTTGGGTCCAGCAACGCATCCTGTAGTCGAGTCAGTAAATCAACAGGAAGACGTTAGAGACAAACTCACCATTGACGACGACAATTCCGTTGGCAGCGTCAACCTTGAGAACGCGTAGGTTCTGGACAGTGACCTGCTGGCCACCCATGTTTCCAGGCATCTTCTTGCCGGGCAAGACTCTGCTACCACTACCCTGCGAGGCACCCGAACTACCCATGATTCTGTGAGCCAACGAGTTACCGTGACTGGCAGGTTGACCGCGGAATCCCCATCTCTTCATACCACCCTCGAAACCCATACCCCTGCAATTCGCCTTTGCGTCGATGAACTGACCCTCCTGGAACCAATCTGCGCCAATGACCGAGCCAACCTGAGGCAAGCCCGCCTCATCCTTGACGCGGAACTCGTGCAAGTGGCGGCTGAGACCGACCTTGTTGGCAGCAAAGTGCCCTCGCTCAGGCCGCGTCACATTCCTGGGTTCCTTGATGCCGGCGCCGATTTGGACGGCCCAGTAGCCGTGCTTTTGGCGAGTCTTGTGGGAAACGACTTGGACGCGATCGAGTTGGAGGACTGTGCAGGGGGTGCGCTTTGCGGTCTCGGGGTCGTAGAGGGCGGTCATGCCCTTCTTGATAGCAAGGGCGCCGGTGCGTGGCGGTAGGGTGTAGGACTTGCGCTCGAGGGCGGCGGTTTTCGAGGAGCCCAGCACGGGCAGATCGAAACCGGCATTGAAGCGACTGGGCTTGATTTTCGGGTTGAGCGTCTTGATGGAGCGTGTGAATGTGCGCGGCAGCAATGAGGGTTGTGATAGCGCCAGTGGGGCGGCGAATGTGATGGGCGGCATTGCGTGTGTGTGGTTGCGGTATGTCGGCGCTATTGTATGGACTTTGATATTCTGATGCTGGTCGCTGCTTCGACTTTCCTGCTAGCGTGCTTGCCTTTTTGGATGGCCGCCGCGACCCAAGCCATCTCCCGAGCGTCAGAAGTCTTCGTCACCTAGACCTAGACAGGGTCGCCCTCCAGCCATGAAATTATAGCATATCAACAGTATGTTCAACACCATAAAAGGCCCGCCGTGCTCACATGCTACATGATATCTTTGATCAATGTCAAAATATAGGCCCCATCAGCTGAGGCCGACTTTCATATCCCAAAGGTGGCTGTTGCATGCATCTGCGCATGATGCTGAAGAAGCTGTCTTTCTTGAAGGTCCGTTTCTCATCTGCAAGTGCACCGACAGACGCCAACACTTAGCCACGCGCGTCCTGTCGACTCTCTCGGAGACTTTCAATGTCTTCTTAAACCACTGTTTTCACTATGGCTTCTCTCGTCCCCTTTCCTGCCGTGGTTCTGTGGATTTTACAGCATCTCCTCGTTGCGACACGTCACGCGGCCAGAGTCGCAGATGTTGAACCGTGTGATCGCCTCCTGATTTATTGATGCCCGTTCTGTCGGGTCGTCTAAGAATAAGTGTCCATGCCATACTCCCAGAAGCGACCAAAGACTGCAACTCCACCCCCTTCTGCCAACTTTCCATGACACAATTAGATCATCATATCCGACTTTCGCACGTAAGCTTCATCTCGTCGTCGCACCTTGTCAACGGTGTGTGCCAGGACATGGCAAAGCCACAGTTGGGTCGAGCAACGCGCTCAATGTTGATGGGACGTAGTACTCCAGCTCTTGATATGTCCTCAAAGGAAAAGCCACCGTGCCATTGTCAAGTCTGGTACGACTCGCAACGGTCCGCCTTAGGGCCCGCATAACGAACCATTGCCGGGTCTTGGAGATTGGGTCTGCGATATAAAATTCAAAATAGAACCACACTTCATGAGTGACATGTCCTATTGTCGCCGTACAGCCTCACGCCAGTCGCGGTCGTCGCGCCCTTTGGCAGGGAGATCGCAACGCGCACACAGAACCGGCTTCCCACATTCGGACGAAGCGCCTTGGATTAAGGCCGAAAGAACATGATTTCGACGGTTGCTCCAGTACACCCATCTCTCCCAGATGCCGCTCAGCGCCTGATGAATGTAACGCGTGGGGTCCTAAGCGGGTCCATGTGCGTCAGTTAGTGCGCGCTTGACAAGCTCGGCACTTTCTCATGCATGACAACCCTCCAGGCCGTTGCCTCGAACATAGCAAAGGACAATCAATCATGCTGCGGGAACCGGGAGCCAGCCATGTCGGACCCTTGGAGCGCTGCTGATGGTCCAATCCACAGAGAACTACTCTCGACTGTTCGCGGTGTAGGTGTGAAGAAGGTACCATGTTGAGTGGACAAACGAAAGTGGGCGCTCGAGGCGGCCTATCAAAACGCTAAACGATCCCTGCGCGGATTTTGGCAGGCGCGGCAAGCAGCAAGCCCGCAGCTCCACGAAAAGAAGCGGTAACCTATTGCTCGGAGTGCTTGTTCTTGTATTTGTTCGATCTGGCCAATGCTGCCGCCGCTGGCGTTGCTTGCATGGTTCGCTGCGTTGTGCTATGCTGCTTTCCCTGTCTCTACTTCGCCCGCGTGTTTGCTCGTTTCGTCCTGCCTGCCTTTGTCTCTCTGCGAGTGCATGCGCCGAGTCACAGGTCTCTTAGCCGCAAGCCGGCGGCTCTGACAGACGCTGCATACGCTTGCCAACCCAATACCCTCGCTTCTCGTGTTTTTGTTTCCATTCTTGCGCGCCAAAGACCTATCTGACACGTTTCATTGTCAGGCTTCTCTACGAATCCATTTGCACCGCTGCCCCACCCGACAGACTGGCTAATCGCAGGGACTAACGGGTCCGCAGGAACAGCGAACGCGAAGTGTCTTGTGCTTGTTTCCGCTAGTACGAGTCCTTGGACTCGGCGAGATATTCTGTGTCTGCGTGTCTGCGCAAGACTCTGCAAGACTGGATTCCGAAAGTGTATGGCTGCCATCAACCGGTCTACCGAGGTCAATGACTCTCGGATGAGTAGAGAGGTCGAAGAGGTGTCGACAGCAAGAAGATTCACTCCAACGAATGGCAACAAGAGTGCCGCGAGTCCTCCGCAAAACACTTCCTTCCGACCCGATCCATCGGCCCTTCCTCAACCTTTTCGACAACAACAAGAACAACAACATTCTCTAACTCGACAGGCACTTCCATCAGAAGGAAAGCCGAACCCGCTTTTCGTGGACTCGGAGGAGAATAGAGGCGCCTATCACGATAACCTTTCCTTCCGCTCTCCTGAGAACGAGTCCAACCGTCAGGGGAAGCGCAAAAGGTCCAGAGAAGCTTTCAAAGTCTCACCCGAGTTCACATCTCCACCTCCTCGACGCGAAGATACCCTCAAGCCACCGACCGGGTCAAGATCGCCTGCTCGAAGCCTACCACCACTTCTCAGAGAGACTGACTCTCAACATGCATCGTAAGATCTTCGATGAAACGGTCTCAAAGTCCGCTGACACGCAAGCAGAGATCAATTCTCAGGTTGGCACCAACCACGACCGAGTCCTGGCCAGACAGAGTCACAGCTGGAGGACGCCTTGCGACGAGACTCGCATATGCCCAAGGCTCGCAATGGCCACGACCACGACCAAGACCCCGACCATGACGAAGGTAGTGGTAGTCCGCAAATGGACGTAGACATGCAAAGCGACCAAGAATCGGAGATGCAGGGCGACTCGATGAGCGGCAGGAAGGGGCCTGCGCGACGGCGGTTCTCGCAAAGAACAAAGACAGGTTGCCAGTAAGTAAATAGAGCTCCAAGACCTTGTCTTTACACTGACACGTCCCTCGATAGTACGTGTCGGCGGCGCAAGAAGAAGTGTGACGAAGGCAAACCGCAGTGTCAAAACTGCACCCGTGGAGGCTTTGCCTGCGAGGGCTATGGCCCTAAACATGAGCTCAACGTCAAGCTTCCGTCCAAAACAATTCCTCTGCAAGCAAAGACTACCGGTGCGCATGCGTTTCCTGCCCATCGACAATCGTGAGTTGACCCAACCACCGATCTCCCAATTCAACACTGACAGACCTAGCAGGGCGCCCGGTGCCGCCGAGAACTGGCTTGAATCACAAAGGCGCTGGTCCCATGACAGTCGCCCACAACCCCCCGGTGACGCATCGCGCTACGCAGGACTGGTCGCGCCAGCAGAACTTGAACCGTCTTTCGCATCTGATCGTTATGCCCCACCCCATCCTCCCGAGAGAGCCCGGGCACCACCCTCGTCCAGATTCGGCATGTCAGCGCCCAGTATCATGAGCGATACCAATGGCGGCAGTCTAAGCCATAGCAGTGGTGGCGTGAGTACTAGCTTGGGCAGTGGCTTTGACACGCCGAGAGGCATGATCTCGAGTCGCATCGCCATGAAAGCACCACTAGGGCCATACCATACTGCTGGTCCCAGTGAGAAAGACAACATGCTTAGCGGCAGAGACTATCGCCACTTCACCGATCCAGAACTACTGACCGATAGAGCATGGTGCAAACAAGCAGTCGAACGCTACAACAAAGGCGCGAAGTCGTCTTTTGACATTGACATGGACTCACGCATGAGGCTGTTCAGACAGATACTACAGCCGGATCGTCTGTTGCGACAAGCGGACTCGCGCAGTCATCCTATCGGCACCATTGGCTCCAAGATTCTGATCGAAGCACCGTTCAAGTGCGAGTATGGCTACAACGTTCATATCGCAGACAATGTGGTGATACAGGCAGGCTGTGAGATATACGATCCTTGCCCTGTCACGATCGGCAGAGGCACCATCATTGGCCCAAACGTCAAGTTCTACGGACTCGGACCGGATACAAGGCTTGATGCAAGAGTACGCAACGGCAGCGAAGGCAGACTAAGAGGAGGCAAGATCTTGGTCGAAGAGGACTGTTTCATTGGCGGCAACGTCGTCATATTGCCCAACGTGATCATCGGACGAGAATGTGTGATCGAGCCCGGGACTGTGGTCAGCGGTGTGAGTAGCCAAAATGACACTTTGATCTCTGCCTTAACACTGACATTTTCAGAATATCCAACCAGGCAAAGTCGTCGCCGGCAACCCAATGAGGATAGTCCGCGACGTTGTCCCGATACCGACCCAAGAAGAAGGATATGGTCGTCCTGATCCGGCGATGACAGGAAACATGTGGCCAGGAGAGCGATCCTACAACCGTGATGTTCGCATGGGTATGTGAAGGGCACGAAAGTACAAAGAGATGGAGCCACTGGGCAAAATGAGCATATTAATACGAGACATTCCGGCTTAGCGAGGAGTTATGGAGTGTTGATAGCTGCCATACGCATGTAGCAGAGCCGTAGACACTTCGATCATTTTTCTCATTGTTGTCGTTCACGGACTTCTTGGTTGCGCCGTTGACTTGAGCCTGGTCAGTTCAGCCTCCAACTGCGACTTTTCTTGCTCGAGCTGTTCTATTTGTTCACGAAGTGCTTCAGTCTGCTCTTGAGCACCCACGCTCAACTCTTCCATGATTTTCAAGACACGCCAGAGGCGCAGGATGATAACCAGAGAAGCGACCTCTTCGAGAATGCCACGCAGAAGGACATCTATGACGAAGCTCGCTATGATGACAGTCGCATCAAAGCAGTGGAACTTGGATCGGAAGAAGCTGTGGCGATTAGCATCAGAGGACTGACCGTGTCACTGATTTCTTCTTACTGGAATCCGAAAGCCCATATACTCGCCAACAGTTCCAGCATGAACAAGCAGGAAAAGACCAGACCAATGATACCTAATGCTTCCTCGGTGACGTGACCTCTGGGTTCGGAAATTCTCCCTTCGCAGCTGAGGATCTGGATGATGAATTCGAGAAAAATACACGCGCAGTCGAGGGACACCAGGAGTAGGATGGCATAATGGCCGAACTTTGAATTTAGATAGCGACGAGTGTGTAGACGGGCAGTACTGATTCTCGAATCGTTATGCTCGGGAGAAGGCTCGCGCAGAAGTGGTCTTTGTGATTCTTCCATGATCTTTGTGAGCTACAAATGTTCAGTACCTTGTTCTCACATTCTGAACACTTGATCTGAGACGATATGCTGTGAGGAGGGTCAAAGATAAAGGAGCTTACAAGGCGGTCATATGCACCGAGAAGGTTCTAACTTCGCATGAAAGGCTGTTTTGACGAAATTCAACTAGATATACTCAAGAGACATATATCTCTAATCAGACTTGCATCAACTTCAAGTGAAATAGGCAGTGACAAAGAATACGGACCAACCCATCTACCAAGTGCGAATAAGGTTTCTCCAGGATGCTTGGCAGTCGCGAGTGGCAGCGGCTCGCGGGAGCGTTCGCATGCCATTTACTTTGACTCGACCCTCCATCGACCTGTCCCATCAACCACATTTGTACCTCACTGCCTTGTGACGTGTGACCGAATCGCCTGTCTGGATACTTCCTGTGTGACAGCCAGCAACCTTTGTCTTCACCAACAAACATCCCCCTTCCCTCTTATTCTCCAGACTTCCATCAATGTAGGTTGCTCTCCATCTCAGGCCATTGTCCCTCGTCGCTTGACCATGCTGAACCCACACGCAGCTCCCTTCCACCCTCTCAGCGCAACCATGGCAGACAACGAAGTACCGCCGCGACCCGAGGAGGAGCAACCCGTCAACGACGACGAGACCAACGATGAAGAGGAGATCGCAGCAATGAAGAAGCGCGTGCAAGAGATGGAAGCAGAGGCGCAGAAACTGCGCGAGATGCAGGCCAGCTTGGATCAGCAGCAGGACGGTCTGCGCGAAAGCAAAGAAGACATTGACTCGCGCTCCGTCTTTGTCGGCAATGTCGACTACGGCGCATCGCCCGAGGAGATCCAGGCCCACTTTGGCAGCTGTGGTCCCATCAACCGTGTCACTATTCTGCTTGACAAGTTCACTGGCCACCCCAAGGGCTACGCCTACGTCGAGTTCCAGGAGCCTAGCCTTGTCGCCAACGCTATTGTGCTCAATGAGAGTGTCTTCAGAGGCCGCAACCTCAAGGTATGCTATGGCTTTGCTTGGATCTTTGTATCCACAGTTTGCTGATTATGTCTAGGTTGTACCTAAGCGCACTAACCTCCCCGGTCTCGCCAGAGGTGCTGCTGCCGCTGCTGGAGGCCGTGGCCGTGGACGCGGTCGCGGCGGTCCTGGCTTCGGCGGTCCTCCTCGCGGTGGCTTTGGCGGTGCACCTCCGTTCGCCCCTCGCGGTGGCGGGTAAGTCAAAACATACATCTTTGAATACTGAGCAAACGCTGACAAGTCCTACAGTTACCGTGGAGGCTACCGTGGCGGCCGTGGCAGAGGCTACGCTCCCTACTGATGAACCAGCATTCTCACAGATTGCAATTACTGGCGACCAGTTCTCGTGGCAGCAAAAGACTCGGCTACGAACTGTTATCCTGTCATCACACCACACGACCTCTGACCAAGCCAAATCAGGCAACAGTGCTTCAAGTCGACACGTGGGCACGTGGATGGATTCGCGGCGAAAAGTGGGAAGGCGACACGAAAAAGGAAATGCGCGCGACCAATGACTCTTGATATTTTTAAGTTCTCGCTTCTCTTTTCATGTTTTACTATATTGGGGTCTCTGCAACGAGAGGAAGAAACAGGCCGGAGAAAGACAGAAAGACAGAAAAAATCTACAAAAGAAGAAAGTTTCACGAAAAGATTTACTTGATGAAAGAGAAAGAAGATAATGCCCAGAAACATGATCATGAGGACAAAAGCAGGAGATTGAATATTAGAAGAGGCAAGGACAAGAGATTGTGATACCCAAGGACCAAAAATATTCGCAGATAGAATTGTGATGCCATGGATGGCTGGCGACGAGGTCGGAAATGACACTACGCCAACAACGTGCATTCGTCCAACCTTGCACCAAACGCCTTCAGCCACTTTAGCTAGCCATCAAAGGTCCGGCAATAGGAGCAGACTTCGGAAGTCGTGTCCCGGATGAACTAGGTTCATGCAAACTATCCATCACGCATACTGCAACGACACCTTCCGATGCGAGTCAACAGAAGTCTCGGAATCTCAAATGCATCAGATCGATATGTACGGTATCTGAGAACAGCAACGATTTCTCATTTTGGGTAGACACTCAAAGGGTTGTGGTGTCGAAGGGTAGCAGATGATACGTCGCACCTGCCTCAAATACACACAACAAGAGTCTAGTTATGCCCTCAAAACAATTGGGAGGCCATAGAAGAGCAAAGCTTCAGAACGGAACCACAGAAAAGTTGTAGTCTCTAGGAGGCGGAACGGATACATCTATCACACGAGCGTCTTGATTGAATCTTCCAAAGACGAACACTTTGTTGTCGTCCTGAGATGTGACGTTTTTCCGCTTGTAGTAGGCAACTGAATGTCATGCCTTTGTGACGGCAAGAACATGCTATCGGCGCGCTACCTATCTGGTTTTTCTACCGTGACCGTGTTGTCTTTTACCTCCTCGCATTGGCCATCTTTCGAGCGCGAGATGTGATAGCCAGGTTGCACAATCTGTGCTCATGCTCTAACGTTTGAATTGAAGAAAGCTACAATTTCCTTCCAATTCTGGTTGGCATTGTTGCTGGTTGCCGTCACTGGCCTCATTACAATGTTGCCCCTAATCTTCTTGCATCGAGATTAGGGGGTTTGTCGTTCTGAGTTGGCATATTGAGGTTGTTTTGAAATCCACTGTAGGTGTTCTTTGCCGATCCGCTATGTTCATCCTGATGATCTCTGATACTTGCGGCGGACTTTGATTGTATGTCCTTCCATTTCCACCTTCTCATGGAGACAAGCCTAGATTGCTGATGCCTATCACGGGATAATCACTCTTGGACGTCCCCTTTGGCAACCTCACTGGAGATGATGATGTCGGGCCGAGCGATTTTGTGACTTATGTAAGTCCACAAAAATCTTCTTGTAGTGGGTCCGGCTGATGGTAATAGCAAGATGGCGAATGCTGATCTGTCAGCTTGACCGGTGGGATGGCTCTGCCATACTCTTGCTTTGTCTTGCCACTGAAAAGCCCGATCGAGGGAAGTGTTGAAGAGAAGATCGGAATCAAGTGAGAGGTGAAATAATGATAAATGTGTGCGCGCGCTTTCTTCTACGCCATTTGGAATCCTAGTATACAAACGACATGCTCCTTCCTGTTTCCTGACATGTCCAAGAGAGCGGAATCCCTTCGACCTTTTGTACAATTGTTTATATCTTACAGTGATGGAGCTTTTACTCGCAGGGAGTATACTGTCCCGATCTACGGCTTGATTGGCCTGATGTCTCTGAGCTTCTTCTTTCCGACTTGCCAACCCCAAGATCTCAGGATTTTAACGACCTTTGGTGTAACGGCTACAGCCAGTGGCACTCGGATGAAGATGAAAGACTTGTGGATGGCGTAAGCGAGAACGAATTGTGTCCACAGAGCTTCGGTATAGTCAGCATGAGAGCATGGCGAGGAATGTGGATAGCAGACATACATGCTTCTTCCTTGTTGCGAGCATCTGCCTCCGGGACACCCCATACATTGCCTTCCCTAGCAGCAGGGCTGCCGACAGCAGTCTCGACTTGTTCTACAACATCGTCTGCCTTTGCGCCAACATCGGGCATGACAGCCTTGATAGCGTCCTTGACAGTTCCAACGATGGCATGTTCCCAGCGAGCGACGCGGTCGGTGCCGAGCCCTCTGACAGCCAGGAAGCAGAAGGGAAGATCCAGAGCGGAAAGTCCGAAGTAGACACCAGTCACGACCCAGCCGTACTCTTTGCCGAGCTGCTTGAATCGCTGGAAGAAAGAGAGCTGGGGCGTCGGGCTACCGAGTTGTGATGTGGGATCGGGATTGGGCCTCGAGCTGTTCCATCGCCGCGAGGAAGGGTTACGGAAGCGAGCGAGTAGCTGTCGCCATGTGGCAGTGTTGTTTGTGGTGTTGGCAGGTTTCTGAGCGAACAGCCTGTGGAATTGCGCTCGCTGTTGAGGTCTCCAGATCTGATTTGCAGCCCTGGATTGGGCGGAGAGGTGGCCTGTCGAGGCGCGGGTGACTTTGCGCTGCAAGTGTTGTAGTATGGGCATAATGATGGTGTTGTTGATGGTCGCTGTTGCTGTTCCGCAAAGCTCAGCTGTTGGTCGCAACTGCCTGATTCATGATGATGCCGAACGCTTCGAAAATCCGATCAAGCTTTCCCTGCGCCAACCCCGGTCTCGGCCTCGCCGACTCCGTTCCATCAAGTGTACATGCGCCGAACAGCATCCACCATGCACGAACACGCATCGTCGAAACGCTGATTGTTATAGACTCTGCTGTCTTTCCGTGCTCTTTGTAACATGTGTCGTCACATCGCGCATTTCACCATCATGACCAAGCGTGGATGCATCATCTTCTTTCCAAGCGATCTAGGCCCTGTAATTTCCTTGCAGAGCATAGTGCCAGTGCTTACGTCCGTAAGAGTCGGCTCTTGTGCACTACCGAAGATACCGTGAGACTGTGGGAGAGACTGATGAGACCATTTGAGCGCTCCCGTGCGCGAGCTCCACCAAACGTCTAATATCTACTGCTAACATGCCGCTCAGTCACCCTTCCTGCCCAATAGACATCTAGCCATCTTATCACCACTCAATGGAGGCCGACCGGCCGCCGCGTTTCTGCAGATTAAACATGGCCATCAACATGTCGTTGTTCCACACTCCCTCTCTCATCCACGTGCTTGACCTCACATCCCGTGATGACGTGCCGCTGTGCATTCTTCAACCACATCATACCTGCCCAGCGGTTCTGCTGCCGCACTCATTCGGCAGCGGTGTCCGAGTCGAACGCTCAAGCTGCAAATGTCTTCAATCTAGCCAACAACCGAACCAAGCGAACGGGTTCACTCGTTGATATTGCCATCCAAGCCTTTCATCGAATGCGGTATGAATTGTAGAATGTTTCGACCATTCGAGCGTGTAGCCGTTGGTCGCAGCCGCAGCTGTCCAGCTGTGTACACAAATACGTGCATGTACAAGTCCGAGACTGAATGTCCGAGTTGCCAATGCCACAAAGACTCCAGTCAGTTTAAGCTTCCGAGCACCAGAACAAAATAGGTAGCAAGGCTCAGATTAAAGTCGTGGCGATGCGTTTCTCCACCAATCAAGGCGTCCATTCGGAGACGAGCCTAACGCCATCTTTACGTGAGGCGTTGACTTGATACTTCGGTACATGCGAGAAACAGAACAATGCTCTCGATTTGCTTTGACTTTCTCTCGCAACACGTCGCCCTACATCAGGGTCGTTGGTGACAATCTCAGGGTTTGTGCTATTGTCGGTCACGCTGTCATGAGGATTCGGGAACACGTTTGAATCGGTTGTTCAGTGGGTCTCTGTCTCTCCAAGAGGCTTGAAAGACTGTTTGGCTTGCTCGGCAGGATAGAGTTTGGCGCAAGAGAGTACTGTAGCATGACTGCTTGCGTGTGTAGGTTTGACCTTTGACTCGAATCCTTTGTCCATGGCCGTTGTATGACAGCCATATCCATAACCATCGACTGACCACACGGCTATCGCTTTCATCTTGACTCTCGCTTCGCGCTCGACTGCCTGTTTCATATCTCCATGCCCCACCCGCCATCTCACACTCTATTAGACTTCCCTTGTTCTCGACTTCTCAAATAGCTTCTGGTGACATTCTCGCGGGGCTCCTAAACAGTTCAGAGATAATAAGTCCGGTCTGGTGGGACTGTCCAATAACAACCAATATAGAGTCTCCAGGGCTACGTTGGTGGTGCGCCGTGTCGGGGTCTTGGTAGAGGACGTCTGGTCCGATCTGACCTATTGGCAAGGCTCGTCCATCAGACCGTTACGATGCCTGATCTTGGTGTACCTGTCTGCGAAGCATGGTGGTGGAGTATACACTTCTCGGCGCCGCCGCCCCTTCCGCCGCAGCACGCGCCCCTAGTCCAAAACACGTTTTGGTACTCGCAACAGCAGCCATTCGAAGCTTGTTCTCCAACATCAACTTTCCCATCACAGGGGCGTCACAAGGCTCGCTCCCTTTTTTTCTCTTAGGCTAAACAATGGCTGCACGGGATGCTCAGGCCTTACGTATATAGATATCCACGCCGTGACCCGGCCTGATTCGTCCACGTCGTAAGTCTTTCAGACCAGAGTCCCAAAGAAAAGAAAAATTCCCTCTCTTCCTTGACTATCACTTCATTTGCCAAGACACATTCGCTCCTATGGCTATTCAAATTGCTTGTCTTCCCTCCCCGAACATGTTCGCCGTGGACACTTCTCCTCGATCCAGAACTCGTCAATACTCGACATCATCCTCATCCTCTACCAGATCCATGGCACAACGCGACTCGATGGACATTGACAGCGCTGCTTTGTTGGACATCCAACGTGCTCTTGACATCGCTCGCAACACTGAGGGCGACCTCGATCACTCTGTCGAAAAGTACCTGGAAGAACAGCTCACTGGAGTCTGGAACAGACTCGAGTCTCGTCCCAACACCTATGTCCTCTCCAAGGACGAGTTCGCCATCTTCAACTACTTTGTCGGTCGCTACCAAGACTCAAAGGTGGCCGAGAAGGCGATTGCTCGATTCTGGTCCAGCTATCAGGACACTGGCTCCTCGTAAGGTTCAACAAGGCTTGAATCCTACGAAGTACTCGTAAGCTGTCACTTCTTGCGGTCTGCTACACGGTTGCTAATGCAGCACGGAGTAGCGGAACGTCGCGATTGGCAGCCTTCGCGACAAGAACTCCTCGGGACCAATGCGGCTCCCTTACCGAGGATCGACATGCATAGATGACCAAACAATCAGGCTTGCAGGTCTGCAGGCGCCCTTCCCGCCTTTCATCTACCATCGCATGGACCTACACCAGATGGCTTCTCTTATGAACACTCCTATCTGGGTTTGGACACTTGTGCCCAACTCACAGCTGTCTGCATACCGACTTTCCTTTTCAGGGATATGCTTCCGTCCTCGAGACGTGAAACTCGATGGGCCGCTGCTTAAATCATAGCGCGCATCCGGCGGCCACAACCAGGCTTTGGTTAGGATCGCTGGTCGACCAACCCCCGACGACACAACATCCTCTACTGCTCAGGAACACAGCCTCATACACGGAACACTCACGACCTTCGTGTCTGACAGATGTATATCTGCACCACGATGTCCATCTTCCGTTTGAACGATTAGAGCCGAACACAGGCATTTGCTATCGATCACACCAACACTTTCAGGTCGTTGAGAACCCATGGCGGGAAGACGCATTCGTGCGTAGTAATTATCGAGGACAGTCGACGGAGGCCAATTACCTGCCTATTTGGACGGATTGTCGAGGGCTTCTCTGTCCCACAGACCGTACACCTGCGGCAACACGGCACATATCAACATGGCGGCGTACATGGAACGTTTTACCTTATTGTATCTTAGAGCAACGATCTGGTCCCATAGTTGGAGCACCAACACAATCAATCCAAGATTGACTATCTTGACACACTTTTCAGCTGCAATCTCCCTGTCCCTATCCCGTTTGGATTACATACTCATCGGAAAAACATATGTCAAAGGAAGGAGTAGAGTCCAGAACTGCGTTTGGCTGTGGGTTCGTGGAATGCCCCTTCCGGCCATGCCTTCTTCCCTTCCGAATGCATGCAGCTACTTGACTCGTATGTGTATCCACCCCCAAAATATTGTTAGTACCGACTTCCCTCTAAATTGTACGGAGCACTCCGGACTCCAGCTCGAATAATTGCTTGCCCAGCGGCCCCAGCCCTTTGTTGTGGATACTCGCCAAGTTCTAGGGCATCAGGGCAACAAGCCCTCGATCAAAAGGATCAGGATCAGAGCCGGTGGGTGACACGACATGTGAAGGATTATCAGATGATCGGGACGAACATTTGATGAGAACAATCGCCCCGAAAGCTACAGTAGAAGGGAAAGCCGTTTCCTGCTGAATCCATACATGCATGAGGCACACGTCGGGCGCATGACTAAACCGCGTGACGAGATTTTTCTTCCTGCTTGTTTATGTTTTGTTCATGCTCAACTGTGTTTAGATTGGCACGCGCTGGATGTTTTGCCAGTCAAACTCTCGAAGAAAGACCTCTGCCATACGAGTTGAACAAGGTTTTCGTTCGCCGATTCAGAGCAACGCAGGGGAGGAGCAGAGACTGTACGCAGTAATTGATCCAAGAAAGCTGAGCCGGGTTTAACAAAGCAAGAAGCAAACAACGGACCCATCTCCCATATTGTCTGTTGCAGTCTGCTACAATTCTTTCTCTTTTTTTCCTTTTCTTTTTACGTTTGTCACAAGCAGTTTATTATCCTTTTCCGTTCCACAAGCCCCCCACCTTGCAGAGTCAGGTAGCGTAGGTGGGGCTCGTGGAGATGGAGAGAAATGGTTTCGAATCGCAAAAGTTGCAACAAGAGACATCCAACATAAAACTACCAGCTCAAGGCCTCGATGAATTGTTGCAACCTACACCGTCCCTTTAGGCCTTTTGAACGCCTATCTCGGATGTCGAAACGATATAAACAGTTGTTTCTTGCGCAATAACGGGGGAATGACTTTGCAATGGTGCATAGATTGTTTGTGGCACACGACTTGAATCAGTTTTCCACACACCACCGCTCACGTAAACATGAGGCTTAGAATTAAACATTTCTAGCCCCTTGTCTGCGATCGATTCTGACGTTGGCCGTAGAAAATGTGCTTCCGTCGTCATGTTCGGGGAGCCAAGACTGACAACAGGCAGGCTTGACCGTGTTGGTGACTGCCTTTCTTGCCCTCATTCCTTCCTCGTCTGCAGTGTCTCGTTGACAACTCACGAAGTCGTCGATCTGACACTGCAAGCGTCTCTAATCCGTCGCCTCGTGCATACATTCACTCTACATGCTTGACGTGATGTCTACATCTGCCTTTTGGACCAGCGGTCTCGACTCTCGACGGGACGACCAACCCTCACAAGTCCATGCGTCATGTGCTGTCCACACTCACGCTATACCGCATCCAAGTGTTTGGACGACCATTCTCTGCAAGCAGTAAAGCGCGTAAAGCTCCTCTAAACCTTGTTCAAAACTTTGCCCTGAGCCGTCTACGCCGTATGACAAAGCTGACTCGCATGTTTCTACGTCGTCTTGTGTGCAAATACCAACAAGGTTTACACGTATCAGAATTCCAGCTAAAGGATTTCTTGTCTCCGCCTGGTGTCGTTCTTGGCCTTGCTGGGCAAAGTCGCTTGGCAACACCAAAACCGTTCATGAGGGCACGATGGGCGAGGAAGAGTACGAGGGTGGAGCATGCCAGACCGTAGTTCGAGACGACATGTGGCATGACATGCGTGATCTCAACTGCGAGAAAAAAGTGTGTTCTCCGCTTCGAGGTCTCTCCGTGGACTGCCCCTAGAACCAACGCCCCTCTGAAAGCAGCTCTCAGGTCGGAATAGGTCGTAGGAACGACTTTCCTCTTCGTGTGACCAAAGTCGCAAGCGATCATGACGCGAGAGCGACAAAGCTTGTTGCTGTTTGATAGGAGCATGGTGTTACTGCTGACATATCAACCAACAAACACATCGTCTCACATACCGAGAGAGCTGAACCTTATACATGAAAAAAAAAAAAAAAGCCTTACAAAAGCATGACTTGGCAAATCTCTGATCAATAGCCATGGGTACGGTCAACGAGACATACGCAATCAAATCTAGAATGATGGTGAGTACTCATGGAACACACCTCCGAGTCATCCTCTAGATTCGGCCGATACTCCGGCGTCCTTGGTGTGCATCATCGCTCAAGGTTCGCTTGTCAGGGTAAAACAAGAGAGATTCTCGTCACAGACAGCATGATTACGCGGTTACGCTCAGCGATGCAGAGGAAAGAACGGCCTTTGCGACACGCAACACGCGCTCGTGGCGCCACCGCAGAGAATGGAAAAAAGTGTAGAGTGTGATACATCAAAAGTCTATAAGCGAAATGTGTCTGTCACGCTCTGTACGGATGGCCTATAGTTCCTCCGAGAGAAACGCAAAAATCTTGCAAACTACCTTCTTATTTCTAAACCTATAACCATCTGACTCGATGGGCGTTGGTCAGCCCAACGGCATCCAAAGTCGTATTCCTTCAGACTTGGCATGAACTCTACTCTTCTGTCGTTACTTCAGGAATCAGCAGCATCGGCTGCCCTGGCTATAATCACGGTTGAGAGCGGCCGGGTCACTACGGATATAATATGGAGTACAATGGTCGATCAATCGTTATCTCGAATGATGGATAGGATCAATAGTCCTCGAACGAGTAGCAAACTTCCCACTACACGGTCAAACGCAATTATCCATCTACAAGATCGCAGCCGTCCCCTTGATAAACTTTTCTCTAGCGACCCAAGACAGATCCACCCCTCATTTCTTCCCCAGTGACGGCGAAGACGTGTCTCTGGATTTTGATACAATGCGGATCTTCTTCCCGTTGCCTCTGTCGAAGATCGAACGGTGCATCGGTGGAGGTGCGCGAGCTGCTTCTTCCTCGACCATCTTCAGCGCTTCCAACTTCGCGCGCCTGTTCTCCTCCTCAAAGCTCACTGGCTTGGCCGGGATCTCGTCTGCAGAGTCAGAAGCATCGTCATCGTCGTGATCGGCAGTGCCGTCTAGCTGAGGCATTGGCTGAGGGTGTCTGGATGCTGCTACTGCCGCTATAAGTGCGTGGATAGCTGGTCCAGGTCTGTTGGGCGCCCTTCCTTCCATTCTACTCCTCGAGTCTTTGTAGTTCTCAGGCAGTTCGTCAGGCAGGTCTGGATCATCGATGTGCTTCTTCTGAATGTAAGATGACACTCTGCGCTTTCCGTTCTCCTGTTGACGGCCGTTGTACGCGCCGTCTCTGTCATCCTCTCCGGAATCAAAGTCAGATTCAACATCGACTTCTTCATAGTCTGCGTTAGCTGTGCGTTTGCGCCTCTCAGGACGTGCTGCACGGGTCATGCTGTAGTCGTCGTCACGTTCGACTCGGATCTTCATTCTGTTTGGGTGTTGAGGTGCCTTCTTCTTGGCTTTCTCCTTGGGAGCGATATCTGACCTTACCAGCACGTTCTCTGGAGGCACTTCTTGATCGACCTCTGGAGTCTCAGAGACAGGTTGGAAAGATTTGGCAGCTTGTTGCGCGAGCAGTTGCGCAAGACGTGGTCCAGATATGTGAAGTCGGACGATTCGCTTCTTGCCCCGTAAGGCAGCCTGTGCTGCAATGAACCGTCCTGCCTTTCGTGCTTCATCAAGAGCTTTGCGTTCTTTCTCCTTCTCGAATTGTTTCGTTGCTTCGTTCCTGGGCTTGGAGAATGCAGAAGCAGGATCTTCCGAAACTCTGCGTCTCTTGGGGCGGCTGCCTTCCATGTAAATCCTGTCATCATCGTCTTCGTAGACCTCCTGATTACGCTTATTACGGGGTGCGGAGCCGGACAGCAGCGACGAGATGGGCTGATATCCTTCGTCTTCATCGTCTTCCCCGCGAGGGTCGGGGTACGCGTAGCTACTGTTTTCAACATCTGGGTACATAGGAGCCCTCGGAGCAGCAAATCCGCTGGTTGTAGCAGGCGCATATCCTTCAGGTGCGTCGACTGTCGACCGGTAACCATTACTCAACGATGAAGAGGAGGCACTCGGTTTGGCACCTTTGAGCATTGCTTCTGGCGGTGGCAATAGAGACGTTGCAGACTTCCCTTTGGCACGTGTATTCTGGGGCGTAGGGTTCATGAGTTGAGGATCGATCAGGGACTCATCGGGCGAGTAGTCGAAGCGGATATGGCTCTGATCAGCGTCGAGCTCTTCTTCATCGTCCTCGTCATCCATCAAGGGGTCTGCCTCTTTGGCTCTTCTAGCTTCTTCGCGAGCTCTCCTGATACGAACACTTTCCTGAACGTTGTCGTCATCGTCTCTCAACCACGTGAGGTTGGAAACGGAAAAGTCGACAAGACACTCTACACTTCTGGCATCGGCAATCCTCTTGGTGTCATGGCCTAGTAGAGTGTTCTTGGGCTCATAGGGGTGCTGCTTGGGGTCCTTTCGGCAGGCTCCCGCGAAACATGCGTCCTGGCAATGCGGACACGACCAGTTGGCGTCTTGCATTACTGTCAATGGCATCAGGTCGGCTCCTCGGTACAACGATCCATAACACCACCATTTGTCGCAGGTGGTACACTTTGCAGACTTCCAGTTCGGGTGTCTCTTACAACAGACGTGGCAAGGGCTGTGTGTCTTGAACCAAGCCTTTGGCTTCTTTTTGACTGCTTTCTTGACACGGCCTTCGTCATCTACGATGATATCCTCCTCGCTCTGCTCATCGTCTTGTTTCGGCTTGGAGATGTCGGTGAAAGGGCGGCGTTTCAGCTGCTCTCTACAGACTTCGGCAAGCGTCTTGTGAGGTAGATTTCTTCGAGCTTCGAGAAGTGGTGGCGGAGCTTTTGCTGCATTGCCACCATCCAAATCGACGGCTTGCTTGCGCCAAGAGTCGTACTTGCCAGTCAACTCTTTCCATTTGAACTGTTCCGTCCACTTAAGATTCGAGATGCAGCCGCATGACCTGCCCATAGCGTAACAGTCCAGACAAACGTCGTAAGGCTCTTCCTCCTCATGTCCAAGCACGTCCTTACAATTCGAGCATGTCAAGAAGCGGTTGAAGATGTTGCATCGACAATAAGCGCATGTGACATTGCTGTCAAAAGGTAGAACCTCGCATTTCTCCTGAGGACCATCGGGGTTGAACATCTCAGAGACCAGAACATCGAGGAATAAGCCAAGCAGGCGCCTGAAGTCTTTGATCAATTCTTTGATCTTGCGGCTGCCCATTAGCTGGCGAGCGGCGTCTGCGGGAAGCTTGTCGGACTGTGATCTGGCCAATGCGAGTCTGTTAGAATACAGCATGAGCGTGTAGTAGATGATGGCTTTCGTCTTGTACTGTTCGTCTCGGCAAACAATCTTTGCTTTTGGTAGAGCTTCCTGCAGCGCCATATCGAGAGTATCCAGCGTGGTCCTGTTCCAAGCGACTTTCGTGGTTCGTGTTCCCCTGTTCCAAACCTGATGTGGAGCTAGCGGAGGAATTAATATGAAATCGCCGGGACGCTGTTCGACTACATAGACATTGAAGGGGGCCTTCTTCCAGGCCGAGACTTGAGCAAAGTGGTTCTCGACTTCGATGTCATGTCCAAGAGTATCAAGCCAGTACTCGGAGACCAAATTGCGGTCCTTGGACTCCGTCATGAACCAGATCGAGGAACCAGGTCTTTCGGGCTTGCCATCCTCGCCAACATCCTTGGAAGCTTCCACCATGATGTTGTGACCCATTGTGGCGCACATCTCTCGGTGTGAGGGTGTGTAGGTACCTTCGTGACCGATGTAGCACATGAGGTTTTCGGCTCGCATCTCGGGAGGAAGGGTGCTCATAAGATCGCCAGCTCGAGCAATTCCACGGGCAGGCCGCCTGCCGGGGCCAAGAGTGTAAGGATTAGCACCAGGACCTCCGATGTCTCCGGTGCTCTCGTTGAGGTAGAAGAGGAATGGTGGGATGTGGTCTTGAAGCTTGTCGTGCCAGACTTGAGGGCAGTCGATGTCTTTGAGATAGATCCTTTGGCGACTTTTGTCCTTGTAGTTGCGAGTGTTTTCGAAGAACTGATTGCTCAGTTTGTTCATGTTTCTAAGATAATGACCGATGGTGAGGGGTAGTGATTCTTTGGTTGAAAGATTCTTCGAGCTTTCGACTGTGATGTGTGTTAGTGAGGAGAAGGTGGAAGCAAGTGTGGTTCGGCGTACTCTTGGAACCGACGTTGTCGTTGAGCCATTTGGGAGAGAAGGTCCATGGGTCCAGGCGGTTCTCAAAGCCATCGACGACGAGAGGCTTGCCTCCGATAATGACATGGAGAAGGACGAGCTTCTCGAAAGCGGCGACACCTTGCTCGTCAATCTGGTCGACCGAGATGCGGTCCACGAAGGAGAAGTTTGGTGTATACTCTATAAGGCCATGGATGTCGAAGTCGGGCGCGATCGGCTCGAAGGCCGCGCGCGGTCGCTGAGCGGGCATCTTTGTAAGTATTGTGTGTGGCCCACACTGCGGACCGGTGGAGGTGACATGCGCAACACTTGGCCGAGTAGATTGCGCGTGTCAAAGACTGCGAAAAGGACCTGCGAAAGGTAAGCAAGAGCGCCGCAGTGAAGTTGAGCTCGCGACGTGACTGTCGAAACGGAAGCTGCGACCTGACACACCCGGGCAGACGCGTCGTCGGGGCAGCTCGAGCCGATCGGCCGCACGCACGCGCGCACGGTTCACGAGCCTACTCTGCTCTTTCTGTTCTTCTTTCCGGTGCACCTCTCTCCAGCTGGTTCCCGAGATCAGTGTGTACTGGTAGATCATTCTCTCTACTCTTCACGCACTCGAGTCACGCATCTCTCAGTAGGTGTCAATGCGCTTGTCGACCTACTCTGGACTCTGTATATTGAGCTAGGTTTTCGGTTTTCGTTGTTCTCCTCCTTCTCAAGTCATGTTGTCTTCGCGGATGCCAGCCTTTATAGGCCGCAGGTGCTTCACCAATCCTTCGAGAACAACAAACTTGACTTCTTCCTGCTATATCACTCCTCTGGGCCTTCCTTCATCAAGGCGACCGGCTCAATTCAACCACAACACGCGCCGGGTCACGCCTTATTCAAACACCGCCTCTACGACTACACCGGTGCCTCCCAAGTCTACTGACCACAGTGCCTCGATACTCCAGCATGAAGCTGGTTTGACTCAGAACGCCCTTCCAATTCACTACGAACCTCCAAAGTCCGGCTTCCTCTCCTATTTGCCGGCCTCATTTGTGCCGTATGCTGAGCTGATCCGAATCGACAAGCCGGTAGGCACTTACTACTTGCTTTTCCCTTGCATCTTCAGCACGCTTCTCGCTGCTCCGCTGGTATCCCCCATCACTGCTCCTTCCACAGTTTTGGCCACGTCTGCTCTCTTCGCCACCGGTGCATTGGTCATGCGCGGTGCAGGCTGCACTATCAACGATCTCTGGGATCGGAACCTAGACCCAAAAGTTGCACGCACTCGACTGAGGCCTATTGCGCGCGGTGCTGTGTCTCCAGAGGCAGCCATTGTCTTTACTGGCTGTCAACTCCTGACTGGCCTGGCTGTGCTATTGCAATTTCCGTTTGAATGCTTCTTCTACGCTACGCCCTCTTTGCTCCTAGTGTCGACATATCCTCTCGCAAAACGTGTTACCAACTATCCTCAAGCCGTTCTAGGTCTCACCTTCTCCTGGGGCGCCATCATGGGCTTTCCTGCTTTAGGCGTCGATCTCTTGTCGAACCATGCGGCACTCACTGCCGCAGCTTGTCTGTACTCTTCCAACATCGCATGGACCATTCTCTACGACATGATTTACGCGCATCAAGATATTAAAGATGACGCAAAGGCAGGCATTAAATCGATTGCTCTCCGTCACGAGAAAAACACCAAGGCAGTGCTCAGCGGTCTGGCCGTCGTTCATGCCACTCTACTGGCCGCTGCTGGAGCCGCCATTGGAGCTGGTCCCATCTTCTACATTGGCACATGTGGGGGTGCTCTGCTTACTACCGCAAACATGATCTGGAGGGTTCGTCTGAGCAGCGTCAAGAATTGTTGGTGGTGGTTCAGGAGTGGATGCTGGATGACTGGTGGCGCCATTACTCTCGGTCTCACAGGAGAGTATCTCGCACACTATCTCGGATGGTATAAGGATGAACCTCGCCAAACCTAGGATTACAGTCGGCACATGTATGTATACTGTACGAGAGACTTCTGATTTCGCTGTCGAGAGTATGCCCAGCTTGATCTGGAGGGTCTACCTTGTTTAGTGCTGAAGAAATCGGTTGATTCGTTGTTACGAGTCTGTATCTGCCACGCTGCTCTTACACGATTGGAGCTGTCAAGACGCACGCTCGCCATGAGCTGAATCCAGTCACTCGAACCACGCTCTCACTGCAAAGGATAGATGGAAGAAGCCATCGTAATGCACGGTTCTTTCTAGACGGTAGCAAGGTCCATGGAGAGCCGATAGTATCACAACTCTCCATGGACAATTTTCATCTACTAAAGAAACTGTGCATTTCTATAGCTATCCGCGTGGCATGTCTTTGCACATAGGAGGACAGCTCATTCTGGATGGTAGACAAGTCTGTTCAGAGCCGACGATATCACGCCTCTCAGAGAATGCTTCACTTTTACAGAAACTACGCATCTTGATGGCCACCCGCGTGACATGCCTTTGCACACGGGGAATCCCTTCTGCCCATGGCACCAATCCTGTGGTGCCGCTTCGTGGGTTGCAGAGAGTGGGGCCTCTGCATGCAGATCATCTGTACACGACCAAAAAGTCGCGTCCTGTGGCTTCCAACTCCCGAGTTCTGCCACATTCTCAACGCCATCCGTTACACGACATGCAGATAGCTCGAATATCACCGGGTCTATTGAGTAATATTTGAATCTGGCCATCGTAGTTCTTCTCTGATCGTCGGAAACTAAACTCGTGATGCTGTTATGATCATTACTAAAGGGGCACCCTACCAAGATGGCAGAACACGGCCAGGATGCCTCTATCTGTTCGTGTGTTTTGTCGAGTAACACAGCATGGTAAACAGTACACTCGCGTTGGGAAGTTGCGACAACGAACGCAGCTTCCATGCGCAGTCACCGACTGGATCTCTTCTATTGGCTCGCTAGACTGCAGTCACTATGCGCCGTTCCGACCAATGTGGTGTGAACGCCTTTTCAGAAGGATCTAAAGGTTTCAAAGCCCTCGACATCAATCCCTTTCTACCACCGCGCATCATTTTCTTGTACAACTCTCCTTCCTGGGCACATCGAATATATACGCAAACAAATATGACCTTGCTCACCACGAGTCATAAACTCTCCTCTAATCCTTGACTTTGATGAAACGAGCACTTCCTCATCGACACCAACATACATTACTCTGGCGATACGGAGTGTTAAAATCGATCTGATCGGAACAATTTGCGACACCGTTCAGATTGAGGGGAAGGACTTTTGGCTCTCAAGTCGTTGCTCTCTGGGGACCATACGACTTCGCATGCCTCAAAGTTGACCTCGAAATCAAGCTGGCGATAGACACTAGTTCATGTGTCTTGCACAGTTCAGTGCATCTGATCTTGTTCGCTTTTCTGTCCCGTCGACGGGGCATACGTTCTTCCGTCATATTCTAATGTCGCTATCACAATTCATCGCTTCGCATGACGACTCGACAGCGGAAACACAACCTTCGTTCACTGATGATCACGTTGTTGGCTTTACGCCAGGGGACATGGTACCGTGGCATTTCATGCCAAGTATCATCGTTGCCTCCTTCTTCGCCAGTCTCAGTGGGACTCTATTGACAATTGAACTACTTCAACGCAAACGTTTGGGCAAGTCACTGATGAGCAGGTAAACACTACCAACTGTATACCTCCAGCACCTTGCTGACTTGGCTCCAGGGTACATCTTTTTGCCTGCTCATTAAGCATGGGACTCATTGGAATCTGGTGCATGCATTTCATCGGCAACCGATCCATCGCCTTAGCATCCGGTCAGACTCGACTACAGCTCGTCTACGATCCTAGATACACTGGACTATCGTGTGTTCTGCCTGTCATCGGTTTGACTGTAGCTTTCCAGATTGCGGAACTCAGGATCAACCATTTTGTCTTGCGACGCTTCCTTGACGTTGCCTGCGGACTTATGGCTGGACTCTCTATCGTCTCGATGCACTATGTCGGTAACCTCGGGGTGTCAAACTACACATTAATCTACCCCAAGCGATATGTCGTCGCCGCTTGCATCATTGCTGTCGGAGATTCCACTATTGCTCTTGCCCTGTTCTTCTATTTCAAAGAAAGATGGATCAGTGTTTGTTGGAAGCGTTGTATCTGTGCACTTCTGCTTGCAGTTGGGGTTTGCGGTATGCACTTCACAGCTTCCGTGGGCTGCCAATATCAGCTTAGACGCATTCCACCAGAAGTTGCACCGGACGCGAGAAACACGCCTGTGATTGTGGCGGCTACCTTGGTAAGCCTCTGGCTGTAATGCGCCGTGAAACAGGGCTAATATCAAACCAGTGCTTCGTAGCATCCTTGTCTTGCCTCACTATACTCTTCTACGTTCGATATCGCAATGCAGCTCTCGCTAATCGAGCCCAGCATATGATGCTAGCATGGTATTTCCATGTCGTTGGCTTCTTGTATTGCCTTGTTGCTAATTGATTTCAGTGCCTATTTCGATGAACATGGCAACATCATGGTCACGAACGAAGGAACTCTGCCTTCACAAAGGATTGCCAAACGCTTTGTGCTCCAAGTAGGTGCATATCGATGAGCTTGCTTTCGCACGGCGCTGACTCTTGTAGAAATTTGACGACCATTTTGGCATACACCATCCCGTCTGGTTCTGGATTTGGAAAGTAAGCAGTGATTGGAACAGTGTTGTAGATCTGATTTCCAAGATGCGAGTTCACCTCCAGAGGACGAATCCTCATAGCAAATACAACACAGCGACATCAAGTAGAAGTAGTATCTACGATGAGGAGAGCTACCACGATTCAACAATCTTGTTTCGAGAAGGATACTGCGTGGCCGCGGCAGATCTTGCCGCACAACTGCATGTCAATCTTGTAGACGGGCTAGGTCCTCTCTACGATCAGGTCTTGGGTACGGGTCTTTTGACAGCATACCAACATGGCATAAGGGCTCTCGATAACGGCGGTACCCAACAGTCAACGATCTTCGAGAAAGGCCAGTTACTATTCTACACTCGCAGATTGTCGCCTGCCGAGTTGGACCATTACACGTCGATTGGGTTCAGATTCGCCCCACTCAACCGTGTGGAGGGTGCTATTGCAAACACAATGCAAATCCCTGTCGGCCTCCTCGCAATACAAATGCAGCGCGTGCAGGACTATGCCTACAGAACGAGTTTGCCCTCGCCACCAAAACAAGGCACTTTTTTCGTCTGCCTCGCAGCTCTTGCTCGAGTTCGCGATAGCTTCCGGGTACTTGTACCAATGGATAGGCAAGACGAGTTGCCAGACGTTCAGGTCTCCCCGTACAATATGAACTCACGGCAGTTGGACTGGCTCAAGCGTTACAACAACTGGACAGCGGAGAAGCTCATTTGGCATATCAGATTGAAAGAGCAGAACTGGAACACGCTGGACGATGATGAAGAGAAAGCGTTCTTGATTATGCTTCGAACTGCATTAGCCTCCTTGTCTACCAAAGTTGGACCACATTGGCTCATGGATCTCGTGTTTTGCGCGGAGCCGATACCTATACGCTACGGTGCGAATCGGGCACAGAGAGATGGTATGACGATGGTTTTTGGCTTCACTAGGTTGGTCGACATCAACCAGCCGACCCGCAAACTTACCGCTGGCCTTACACTCGCCAGTTGGGATCTTGTGAGAATGCGACAACACTACTATCCAGGATGTAACGATCAAGGTCGAATGCGAAGGGAAGTCCATGCAGAGTTTGGGTCCTTAATCACAAAGTACGAAGAAGTCATCCGCTCAGAAGAAGAGCGAGTCAAGTCTCACAAGATTGGTCGAACACGTTCGGCTTGCTCTGACGATAGCAGTGTACTCAAACAAGACTCTTGGCTCGAAGGGAGGCTCAAAGACGCAAGAGGTGAATCCATTGACTCGATAACCGGACATGCTCAGCCGTGGGGCGGTATCCTCGCGACAACAGATACAATCATCGAAGGCATGTCCAAGTCGGGAATCGAATTGCGCAACTTGACGCCTCAAGTCACAGCGAAAGCTTCGGCGACAGTGCCGCCCAAGGAACCAAAGACTTTTGTGGATTGTCTTTATGAGCAGGCGAAGAGTCGTGCTGGCCTTTCTGCTTATCCTTGCTTGGAAGAGGCTGGAGTCGGTTTCCACTGATTACCTGTGTGTTCCTGTATTAGTCTTGTTTACGATATTTTTATATAACTAATGTTGTGGTCCTGCGAACAGAAGTTCTGTATCTGCTCAGACTGTGACATGACTTATTCGTAGATGGTAGGCCATGACGGTCAAGACGATTGATATACTCTGTCCTGTGATTGCAGTAATCTTACCTAGACAACTCACATATCCCTGCTCCGATGCAGCAGTCAGAACTACCGATCGTGTCACGAAGTGGAATTGGCGGCTGAAGGAAGAAGAAAAGTGACGTGGTGATTCCGTTAGTGGCGATGGTTATAATAGCAAGTTAATGAAATCCGACATGTACGCGATCGCGGAGCTTACAGGAGCCAACGGATCAACACACTCACTCCGATTCCAATCTAACAAGAGTACGATACCACTAAGTAGCTCCACTTGTCGATGAAGAGGGTGGTGATCGGCCAGCAATAGGAAAAGAATGAGTGATTGTCAAAGGACAGGGTTGCTCCACTAGCATCAGCTGCTGATCAAGTCAAGTTTCAAATCAGCCCTGAGTTTATTGTCTTCTGCGGTGATGAGAATGAAAGATGCAGTAAGTTTATGGGTTGGATGGATTGAAGGATGTCTACTTAGTATGTTATGCCGCCCTGCCAGCGCGGATCAAGGATCTGCGCGATAAAGCTCTCGATGCTCGACAGACTTTGGCGGCTACTCATACCCTGTGCGAAGACGATAGAAGCAGCGATTGATGTGACCGAGAGACAAGCAGAGTTCGTGTATGCTAGAACAGAGATGTATGCTCTCTGGAGGCAATCTGCGACTCTTGTAACCCGTGTATGTCCCAATCTTTATAGCCCTTCGTGCGCAGCTCTTTCAGTGGCATATGTAGAGTGTTTCGACTCGATGTGATTGGCGTACAGTCGAACGCTTTCTCGAGGAGTGTACGGTCGCGGCGAGATAGAGAATCGACGTGAACGAGGAGGGTGGTATGCGCAACGATCGTACCGTCAACTGGCAGCGGATGCCAGCAGAGCACAGAAGCCGGGTTATCCAGGACCGATGCGAGGCATGTCGTGGTGCTCACTGAGTGTCGACAAGTACTTGTTCAGTTCCTCGACACGTTCCTTGTGAGTCTTGACACCTTCGCGCATCAATTTCTCTTCCAACTGTAATCTTCTCAGTATACCACTCAAGTATCAAGCTACTGTCGCAATCAAACTTACGCGCTTGCGCCTGGTCTCCTCATGGCGGCGCTCATATTCTGTCTTGCCATCATCCGGTACAAGACGCTCTTCCTTGTTCTTTTCCCTCTGCTCTAGATCTGTGGTGTTTTCGGGGATTGCGGTGTCGTCTTTGGCGGGCGATGCATCTTTGGATGATGAAGCTGCGGCAGCGGTGGATTTGGACGAGGATGACTTCTTCTTGCGCTTCTTTTCTACGCCGGTGGGTTTGGCGCCTTTGAGTTTCAGGCCGCCGCCTGCGGATGTGTAGTCGGAGGACGGCATGGCCTTGGTGGTAAGGAAAGAGAGATGCAGAGGCAAAGGTGGGGATGACTTTGGTGGGCAGCTTGCGCGCGGACAACGGTGATGACGATCACCACGACATGGCCATGTACGGAGGGGGTACTTTTGGATGGGATACAGATGACTACGGAGAGGCAGTGACAGGACAAGGTATCGATATTATGAGCAGACGACTTCCTTCGGCACGAGCTACTTGACAACATGTGCATATACAGCTGCTGCCTTGAGCAACACAGCATCACCAATTCTGCGCCGAGCGAGACGTGAATGCATCCATAAACAAGCAGCAGCTATCAGACGCACATTGTCAACAGCAATCAACACACTCATGGCAGCATTCCTACTCTTCTGATACCGAATTTCTCTTCTTCAATGACCAGCTAGGTGACAGCTGATCCATCAATGAAAAGGGTGTGCAATGTGATGAAAACACAGAGATGAAATGAAAAATTACAGAAGTGGAGGCCCCGAAGGACATCCATGAAAAGTCTCCTGCGCGCTGTGCAATGCACGGAGTCTCTTCAGAAGCGTGGCATTCTTGATCGCCAACTTCCCTCCAAGGTAAGTATGCTGTGCGAAAGATGGGTGCGGGTGTGACCAGATATTTATACTGCTGGCTGCCGGCTTCTGCTTACTAAGCAGCCGCAAGCTGGAATCTTCCGGCTTGCATGTGAAGACAGTGAGAGGTGAAGGCAGAGAGGCAGAGGTGAAGCCGACTTTGGAAGAGAGCAAGTCGAAGTTGCTTCAGGCTCACGGGATACCTTACTTTCACTTTTTGGTGGAGTGCATTCGAGTAACCATACTGCCTGTCCTTGACGTACGTTGTTGTTCTTACATACAGAGTACAGAGTTCTGTACAAGAAGCTGCGCGTCTTTGTATATAGGTAGTCTACGCTGTTGCATCCAAAGCGTTCATGGCAGACATCAGCCTCTCACTCACGATTGGAGCATGTAATCAACACCACTCTGGCTATATCCAGTGGGCGAGCGACAAGATCGCCTACTCCACTTTACTGTCGTTGTCAGAGACTCAAGTCGGAGGTCGAGGTCAAGTAAAGTCCGCGCGGATTGGTCGGCTAAGCGAACATGTCTGCCGACGAAGCGCACAGACGTCGAAAACAGCCATCTCAGCACACGGCGCTGGAGACTCCCTTTTTTCTTCCTTCTCTCAAGCGTAGGATATTCATCTCTTTGCGCCCACTACAACTCCTCGTCCTCACCACCCCCCCCGGAACGACATCCACCACCGTCAAGATGCCTGCTGCCACCGTATGTGATTGAAACCTCAAACCGCTTTGCTGCTCTTGCAAAAGACAGTAGGCTGAGATTATGAAAAATGTAGAAGCCCACCGCCACCAAGGGTGCTAAGAAGTCCCAGAAGGTCACCAAGAAGGTGTGTATACTGATCTCTAAGGGTCCCTCTTACAATGCGCTGACTTTTGACTCTAGTTCATCATCAACGCTTCCCAGCCCACCAACGACAAGATCTTCGACCCTTCTGCCTTCACCACCTTCCTCCAGTCGCGCATCAAGGTCGACGGCCTCACCGGCAACCTCGGCGAGCGCATCACCGTCACCAACCTCAACGACGGCAAGATCGAGGTCGTCGCCCACCAGGACTTCTCCGGTCGCTACCTCAAGTACCTGACAAAGAAGTTCCTCAAGAAGCAGCAGCTCCGTGACTGGCTCCGCGTCGTCTCCACCTCAAAGGGTGTCTACGAGCTCCGCTTCTACAACGTCGTTGGCGAGAACGAGGAGGAGGATGACGAGTAAACTTGTTCCATCTGAAAAGACTTTGAGATGCAGAAAAGTTTATTGTCTTTTTTTTGAGGGAATGTACATGATGGATGCAGTGCATGTCGCATTAGATACCCCTAGCAATCCATCTGTTCCCGCAAACCTTTTGATTCTTGTTGTCCGATTCTAATGTGACTGTTGCCCAAATCTTCCTTGACTTTCAATCTCTGGTTGCTTGTTACCAAGCATGAATGAAAGACACCGATGAAAGTCATTGTCATGAGTATGCGCATTTGATTGACTTGTTATCCACAAAATCCCACAGATCCTCCCTTGATATCACCGCAAGAAGACAAAAGCTGATCCTCCACCATCTAAACGCCCATTTGTACACCACGTTTCCAGAATCATGTACAAAAGAAAAGTCTGCACTCAGTACCCTTGCATCTGCAGGTACCTCTTCTCATCCCCTCTATCGTCACCCGAGTCCCAACTCTGGCGTCTAGTATCAGGTTCCAACTCGTGCAATTGCGTCGTCGTGGCATCCATCTCAAAGATGGGCTCGTTGTTCCCTTCCATTTCGAAAGTGTTTTGCGGCAACTTGCCATAAAACTCGTGATGGCCACCGGCAGCATCCAACTCGCCCCGCCATGGTGCATCCATCTCAGTCGCATGAGTCTTGCTCGCACCGGCAATCTCGTGAATCTGTCTCGAGCTGTCGAGTTCGCCTCCAGTGGGCGTGCTGGCGCCTGCATTGGAATCTTCCTTGAGCAGCGATGAGTCTGCAGAGGCTCCCTGTGCCGCAGCCATGGACTTGGCTTCCAGTTCCACAGCCGCGTGTTTCTTCTGTTGCTTCTTGCGACGCATGAACCAGAGTGCTGCGGCGAGGATGGCAATGATTGCAAGAACACCGATCACGATGCCGGCGATGGCACCACCGCTGATACCGCTTTTGCGCTTGCCATCGAAGGAGTAACCACTGTCTGGAGAGAAGATGGTGCGGATCTCGGATGCTGCGTTTTGCTCCCAGACACAGGGTGCGACTGTGAAGTTGCGGCGTTCGTAATCCGCTGCGACGTAGGCTTCTTGCAAAAAGGTACGGCCCAGAGTGTACTGCTCGCTCGAGTTTGCACGCTTCAGAGGGAAGTAGCGGGTCGAATTGGCCACATAAGGGAAAGCAAGTTCCAGATCGAAGGCTGCGTAGGGCAGTGTAACGTCGACGGTCTGTCCTCCAGATGTCGCCTGGCCAAGCGTGAATGTAACGCTCTTGTTCATCGATAACAAGTTCGAGTGCATGGTCTCGTTGACAATGTAAAAGTCATAATACTCGTCGTAAACGATACCGAATGCTTGCTCGAACGCTGTGCAGATGGATTCGGGCAAGTAGAGGTAAGCAACTGTTGAGTCAATCAGCGCGTAGAATGCATTGGTCGAGTTCGCCAGAGAAGAGCTTCCCGCCTGAATGGACTGGACTCCGACGAGCAGGTCTCTCGACACGTCAGAGCCGAACGGAATAGTAAGATTAGTAGCCTCAAACTTGGACTGATCGTAGCCACCGAGAACGAGACTTCCATAAACCCCGGAGAAGCCTGTCAGTCGTCAGTATATGATACAAACCCATTCTCGATTCTCAGAGAGACTCACGATATTGGTTTCCAGCAGTGTATCCCCAGCTCACACTCGGGATGGAGTTGTTCCTCTTCAACTGAGTCAAGAAACTCGGTTGGGGATCCGTGTAAGTTGTGAAGTTGGCTGGTTGCGGGTTTAATCCAAAAATTCCAAGCCAAAATTCATAATAAGCATAGTTTGCAATGGTGCTGTGTTGTACCGATGGACCGCCTGAGCCTTGCCATCCCAGAGTGACGGTATCAAATCCGTAGTTTGCCTCGTCGTCCAGTCCCAAGTTCATCTCGTTCGGCAATCCTAGCTGGAAGATAGAGTTGGGTACCCATGTCAGAGATGTGTTGGTCAAGAAGTATTCTCCGCGCGACTCTTCACATCCAGATATCGATGCTGCTTGGCCTGTACATCCTAGCGCCTTCACGGTCCAAGTTGTGTATCCATTCGTCGAAATGAAGACTCGTACGTCTTGCGCCGGCGTGCCCACCTGCAGTGGAAACGAAGACCTGCCACAACATCAGCCTGTATTCCTCCTGTTGACCGCTTCTATGCGACATCAATTCTCGTACCATGGTCCATCAGCGCCGTCCCAGTATTGCGATGCCTCCACATTGATGGGTAACGGTATGTTCGTCGTGTTCTCTCGTTTTGCTAATGCTCGTGCCGGAAGTATCGATTCTGCGATGCCAGAGAAGTCGTATGATGCTGCCGACTCGAGCAAGAGGGCGCCGAGCGCCGCAGTTTGGAAGCGCATGACCGGGCGGTGCGCGTGTCGGGTGTCCGGATGCGGGCGCTATGTGTTTTCGTATATGTTTGAGGACCAGTGTTGACGGAAGGGTGTGCCAGGATAAAGATATTAGAAATATGCCTATAGGGTGACGAGCAATGGGGGCTCTTGACGGGAATTGAAGGACATGGAATAGAAAGAAGAAAAGAAAGACGAGCTGCTATCTCTCTCGCCCCTAACAGCAAATACGGGCGAGCCACACCAGTTGACTCTCAGCCTCTACGTCGCTGGGCGAAAAGACGACGAAACTCTGATCTTGGAGAACGGCGGCCCCAGATTCTTTTACGCTCTGGCCCTAACGGATGTCCTGACAGCCGATCCTCGTCGCTGTAGCTCGGTCGTTGCGAGGGAGAATGATATACAAAAGAGCGTGGGCACAAGAAACAACATCTTGCAGATAGCCTACCTGTGATGGATATGGTTGACTCGATTGCTAGTGCACGATCTCCTTCCTGCTCCCCTCGAGCGTTCGCATGGCCACGAGCATGCACAAACGTCGGACGAGCAAAGATCGCTGCTTGGCTTCCATCATAACATCTCCTTTTGAACCTTGCGCTTGAGCCGAATACGGGAGGGTTACCTGGGAATAAATAGAAAGCTTGGCCTTCTCAAAAGACAAAATCAACCAATCACAGCATTGTCGGAAGTTCCTTACATTTGACCGAGAGATGCTGAAACACATCAACGACGAACAATTGATTGTTCAGGATGCTCTGTAATTGATACAATCCTTAGGAGTACAGACCACAATCATCAGTCATTGATGTTATACCCGCCCGACAACGGGCTGCAAACCTTGTGCTATACTTTCTCGCTTTAAGAGCGACTATAGAATGAAGTTTACCATTTCCCACATTCATATAGCTAGTTTTGGAGCACCTCGTGACCTTAAACTCGTATAGAGTCGGTAACTTTTGAGACTATACCACAAGTACGTCCGTATCGCCTACTCCTTGGGAGTCAAGCCTCTGAGGCTCAAGTCATAGACGACATCCTCGACTTCCTTGACACGATACTTGATGCCATCCGATCTCTTGCGAAGCGAGTCGTTCTTAAGGTTCAGGATCTGGAATCCAGCATGGACGTGCTTGATGAACTTCGCGATTTGTACAGGGCGAGAGTAGTCACCCTGAGTTACACTGTTGCGAGCAAGACGTGCCTACCGATGGGATTAGAACATTCACATATTTAAGTGACTGTGCTGACTCACCAGTTCATCAATCAGAGAAATCAAGGATTGAAGGTATTCCTCGATGGTGAGGTGGAAGACGTCTCTGTCCTTGACATTGACGGGAACTGCAAGGAGTTAGGTATCGTTGTTAAGCGGGGCACCCTCATCTGCTTACTGTTCATGACTTGACCGACCTCCTCGATGGTCAAAAGACGACCATCCTGGGAACTAGACTCAGCATTGTAGAAGCCGCCGAGGTATCCGCAGAATAGAATGGAGAAGGACTAAGCATTGTTAGATCTGATCACTTGGAAACGGACGAAATTTTCGACGAAACAAGGGTCAAAGCACATACAGCGTCTTGGACATGTCTTGTCCACATGCCATTGTACTTGTAGTAAGGATACTTTGAAGCAGCATCTGAAAGCTTGGCAATGGACTCAACCTCCTTGTGAATAGATTCCTGAGCAGAAGAGACGACGGCTGGGACTAGTAGTGGATCAGAAAGGAATGCTCTCGTGAGCGATACTGGTGTTACTGACGCTCGTTGGTGCTTGATGAGTGTGCGCGGGAGAGGATGGCCTGAGTCGATCGATCTGTTTCTATGAGTATGAATAATACAAACGTCCAACAAGAAGATATTGACCTTGTTTCTCAAGTGTTTGGACAATTTCACGGATAGACTAGAGCATTGATTAGTACAGAGCGCACTCAGAAAAATTGGTCCAGCAATGCTTACATCTCTGACTTCGGTCTCCTCGTCAATCTTCTTCTGCAAGCTCTCAAAAATCTGAGGCTGCAGTAATCCTTGCGAGTTTCCAGACATTTTAGATGTGTAGTGTTGATATGATGGTGTTGGAGGGGCGTCTGCTTGTTTCTCTGGTAGGCAAAAAGTGTGGAGGGCAAAGCTTCGACGACATCATCATGGTTGCACGAGCAAACAATAATCACAAACAAAGGTCTTGTAAAGTCGGTTTGGGCAATTGCTTTGGTTCAAGGTACATAAGAATTTCACTTCGTTGTAATCGCATTCTACATCTTCGCACAAGGTCTTGCTATACACTTTCGAGATGGGCGAACTTGCCGCACATCAAGAGAAACGAGTGGCGTGTATGCATGTCTCTAGGATGAGTGGAAACTATTGGTATTCTGTTCGCTCGCGTGACCCTTAAGTCAAGCAAAATACTCTAGTGGTGGTAAACACTTTGGGGCATGTTCTTCACGCCCCTTGCTCTGGCCTTGCAGGATTGAGCAGAGCCAGCCTCCACTGTGTTTCCCAAGCCGCACTGCGGTTCAAAGTTCATGTCCTTCGTTCTCTTTTTTTTTTTTTATACAAGCTGCTGAATGTAGCAGCGGAGTGGTCGAGTCGTGATTGGTATCGAGGTGGTAGAAAAGTCGACAGGGGAGAGGCAATTTATCGCATGAGGCCACCTGACTGAGCCATAGCAGCGTTCTGCTCCTGGAATCTCTGACCAAGGCGCTCGGATCCCTTGATGAATTTGTCGACACAGCGCATGGTGCAACCCTCTTCCTTTGACGAGAGCTTGGATGAGGTGAAATCATCGACGCAGTGCTCGAAGCAGCGCTGGACCAGGTTGCTGTACATCTAGGGTGGTGCTTCAGCGGGCGTTCGCATTGAGGCATAGGTGGTGAAAGTCATACGTTCATGAACTGCGACATTTGCTTCTTCTCCATGCGCATGGCGAGTTCGCGCTGCTCGTTCTGGTTGAGACTGTGCCATGGTTAGAGGCAGTTTCTACAGAATGTGCAAAGACGTAGCGTACCCTTCCATTTTGTGGATGTGAGATATGAGGGGACTATGGTGAACAAAAGTCGTGTTATTGATACAGATGGTTAGTAAATCTTTCTGTCGCAAGCACGAAGCTGCAAGACTGACGACGAAGCTCAATCCACTTGCACGTGCGGGCCTTTCCGAGCGTCACGCCCGCCGGTCAAGACCGGGCATCTATCGTGTCCAACCCCTGCCTCCTTGACCGCTCTCAATCTTTAGCTGTGATCTGCAAGCTACGACTTGTCTGCACATCAAAGACCAAAGTTCGTCCAAAGTGACTTGGTTCTCATGTCGTTGTTGGACAGTGTGTGAGAGAGGATTCTGGGCTCGTCCGACCAGCAGAGCCCAAAGCCATGCCGCACCACATGCACTGCCAGACCGTTGGCTCAGGCGGGCTATAAATAAACAATGGCTCTCGTGCAATCATCAGATGGTCATCGACCGAACAGACTGGCCTGTATATAGCGTGGATAGCCCAGCCCCAACCTCCTGTTCTCCATCTGCTCCGCATCTACTCCACAATCTCAAAGACACTATCTGATCCCACCTCCAGAGCCTTCAGTCTGAGAAGCATAGAGTACGCGTGGCTGGTGCCAAGAGCCTGTCAATACACTTGCGGCGGCAGATGAACAGAAAGACAGACCCAGAGCAGATTCAACCGGTGCAAACCTGCTTTGTTGACAGGGCGTCGTCATTGTGTATGCTGGTGCTGGCCAAGGTGGTAGCTAGCTTAGAGCGGGTGTTTTGTGCTCTGTAGCCGTGACCAAGCAGGACTCATCTCAAACAGCGAAGCCAGCAGCCGCCAAGTCCTCGGTGTGGTCGTCGACTTCGTCCATCGCCTTGATTCACCCTCGCTCTCTCGTGCATACATAACCAACCTCTGTCTTCACCCACGTCGCCTGCTTATTGATTATCGGCCTAGCCAGAGCTCCCACCCAGCACGACGGCGGGCCTGCATAATTTACACCTGCGCCGAGCGTGCCCATGCCGTCCGCCGGGCATCATCCCGGCGCGAACCTGCCGCCCTCTGCGCCGCCCATGACCGCTTCGTCCGCCGAGGCCGTCCAGTCCAAGCGCGACCTGACTTCGTGGTGGAAGAACTTCAAGCGTGCCACGCCCCAACGGGTCCAAGAAGAGAAGGGTAGGTTCTACACGCCCTCCGCCTTGCGCAGTGACTTGGCCGCGGCTTCACATGCTAATCTGTTGTCTTGTCGCGCAGCTCCCCAGGGCATCTTCGGTGTCCCTCTCCAGACGAGTATCCGTTATGCCAACGTCGCCATCTCGCTGTTCAACGAGCAGGGTCAGAGCTACATCTACGGCTATGTTCCTATAGTCGTTGCCAAATGCGGCGTCTACTTGAAAGAGAAGGGTGTGTCTATCCCATGGTCCAAACCACACACACCACGCGCTAACTTCAGCCATAGCTACCGATGTCGAGGGCATCTTCCGTCTGAGTGGATCCGAGAAGCGCATCAAAGAACTGCGCATTGCTTTTGACTCTCCTGATCGCTACGGCAAGGGGCTCGACTGGAGTGGCTATACCGTCCATGATGCCGCCAACATCCTGCGCAGATACTTCAACCAGCTGCCCGAACCCATTATCCCTCTCGAGTTCTACGAACGCTTCCGCGACCCGCTCAAGAACCACCAAGCCCAAGCCGTCGGCTCCATGGACATGCAAGCCCCCAACATCGGTCACTTCGACCCTGTCAAGGCCATCCGCGTCTACCAGAGCCTCATCACCGAACTGCCTCCCTTGAACCGTCAGCTGCTCCTATACATTCTCGATCTCCTTGCCGTCTTTGCGAGCAAGTCGGACTTCAACAAAATGACAACTCCCAATCTTGCTGCCATCTTCCAGCCCGGTCTCCTGTCGCACCCCCAACACGACATGGCCCCTTCCGAGTACCGCCTCAGTCAGGATGTTTTGATTTTCCTTATTGAGAACCAGGACTCGTTCTTGATCGGTATGCACGGTACTGCTGCCGACGAGAAGACGGTCAAGGAAGTCCAGAGCGGTGCCCCCTCTCCCAAGATTCCTGGATCACCTTTGACCCCAGCAAGATCAAAGACTCTGCTTGGTCGCTCATCTTCCAACGCTAGTGCCGGTGCTGATAGCGTGCGCATGTTCGGAAATCTTCGCAGAAATGTCTCGGTATCCTCAAGAGCTTCAAAGCGCTCTGCCCATCCTCAAGGCCATGTCACACCGACCCTCGGCAGCCCTGCCAATTCTGGAGGTATTCATCGCAGCAACACTGTTCCCTCCAAACATAGCGCATCTCCACACTTCCGTCGTGAGAAGAGCTCTGAGCCACCTACTCCTAGCCCAGGTTCTGGTTCCAGTCCGCTGCCTACCGTAATTGATACCTCGTCAGTCGCCGAGAATAGCATTGCTGAGGAACGCACACCCATCGCCTCCACTCCTGCCCTGGCTTTTCCAGAATCCGCGCCTGTACCAGTTGTTGCCTCTGCCGCAGCATTTCAACCTTCGCATCCTGTCCCTCTTGGCCCTGAAATTATCTCGGCTTCATCTAGCGAGGCAACTACCCCTCTTGCTACTCATGGAACAGAGACAATGGGGCTGCTGCAAAGAGAGCACACACAGTCTAGCACCGCGCCTCTAAACACCATGACTTCACCAGCTAGTGATCGAAGGATCAACTCTGCTGACCGTTCTCCATCTGGCACTCCTTCTCGCGCAATCTTGGATTTTCTAAAGCCCTCCCCCGGAGGTAGTGACAGTGAGAGAAGAGATGGCCGTAAGCCTAACAAGCTACAAAAGAAGCGCATTCCTGGAAGTACTCTTTCAAGCGCTCACAGTTCTGCCCATTCTCTCCAGCACGAGCCTGAGTCACTGAACGACTACTTCGCCTCTCCGACTGCGCCGGCATTCGAAACACGTGCTGGGGATCACCTCCACGAGTCTGGCTATGACCGTTCCGAATACACCACGGCTCAGACATCTCCTAGATTCATGGCTCCTCAGCGAACAGAAACAGACGCTACCCTCAGACCTACTTTGTCGCCAGCACATTCGTTCCACTCCACAGATGTCACGGACGTGACCGATGCTTCTGACGTGGATCACCACGAGCAGTTCCCATCATCTGCCGAAAAGCCCGAAAAGAAACGTCGCTGGCGATTCTCGAGACAGGCTGACGACCGCGAAAATGTTGATCGTGCTCGTGCAAATTCCAATCTCGGTAGTGCCAACAGCGCGGACCAAAGCAAGTCTACTATCAGTAGTGTTGGCGGTGGACAACCCAGACGCAGCTTCCAGGACAGCCATGTTATGTCTGACCCCGAGTCCATACTGTCTGACGGCGAGAACAAAAAAGGGCCTATGAGCTGGATAAGGAGCAAGTTAAACGAACGCAAAGAGCGCGAAGCAGAAAAAAGAGCGCGATCGCCGATCAAAGTCTTGAGGGAGGAGCACAACAGCTCAAGACAGAGCTTCACTGCACCGACGAGTGGAGGAAAGAGTATGGAATTGTCAAGACAGCGGTCTCCCACCGGACAGCGTACGATCCCGGAAACAAGTACAGCCAACGTGCATGGTGCCTCGCCCTTGGCAACTTCAGGCCATCAGCTTCCTGGACAAATCGATAGTAACACTGCCTCCGTTGCAGTCAGCGAGAACCAGACACAGGTTGCCCAGGCTTCGGAGACCGGCCAGGCTGAGCTTACTACTGTGCCAAAGCAGACTCAACCCTTTGATCCCTCTCCGAATGCTCAAGCCTAGGTTGTTTGGTATGATGAGAACGGAAACCTGGTTGGTGAAAGCTCTTGGATATCAGGCTTGGAACGCACGGCGAACAATGGAGTTGCGGGAAATTAATTTGGTTGTCCATCAATCTGGATGAGGAAAAGAAGGCATTGGAGCTGGAGGATGGCTGGCTTGTTCAGCGATGCGCAAAATTGTTACACCACTTTTTACTGCTTAATTCGAACTTTGCATAAGGTCCTTTCCGTTACAATGGCATAATTATGTACCACTGAACACGTTGCACGAAATCACATGTGAGGGCGCAGTGCGATTTGCTTTTTCAGTTCGCAGGGCACAGGATGCAAGGTGGACTATTCATAGAGGTACGCGAGGACACACGAGTAGGCTCCCGCGGCCCTCGGAGGCCATCTGGTGAGGTGTTGCAAGGTTACACCTGCAGTCTCTCAGGAACAGGCAAGATGTACAACTGAAAGGCGTCGAAAGCGGACAGCACAAGATCGACGAGCCCTGTGTAGAGACGTCTCTTACGAGATGTCCGGAATAAGCGTACTTGGGACACGGGTCAGCATGCCCATTGAGCATAAAAGCAAGACGATGCAGCAAGACCCCACTTGCAAGAGCGAAAGTATCGCGTCAAGGTGGAGTGTTTGCAGCAGTTGTTCGTGTTTCGAGTGGAGGATGCGCGTAGGATCGGACGGCCTCTAGAGACTAGAGCAAGTTCTGGCAGAGAGTCAGTTGACATGGATCAAGTCCTGCTGCACGAACGGCAGAAAACGAAGCAGCTAACGTCATGTCCGGCGAATGCGTTGAGCGACGGTTTGACGGGAAGCCGTGCGTCACAGGCATCAAGGCCGTGTGGCGTAGTTACGCAGTGGTGGAATGAGAGAAATGTCACAGACTTGCTACGTCGTGTGAACACACGGCCACAGAGTGGTATAGCTGGGTGGCGAACACCAGGGAGGAAGTAGTGCTCATGAGGACAGCTTTATTTTTGGATTTGGCCTCGATGGGCTGGGTTGGCAGACTCGTCCAGTTCGCGTGGTGCTGGCGATCGTAGCCGTCATTGGATCGAGGCTTGGTCTGCCGCGATCCGAGCAGCTTTCAAGGTTCGACGGTTGGCAGCGTGTGCCGTCCCATAAGCCTCTGTCCTTCATATCCTGCTGCTTCTGCAACACCGGGCCTTCTTGCCATCTCTTCATACAGTCGCTTCTTCAAAGGCCATATTCATCGAATTTCGTCAACCAACGCTGTAGCAGAAGTCGTTGAACAAGCAATCTTCGACTCAGACGCAGCTGTACCGTTGACCAGGGCTTACATCGCAGCGGGACGAGCTATATAGTCAGCCACACATTCGCTTATACACGATAGCTGATCCTGTACGTATCCGTCCGTCTTGTCTCACCTGCTCGACTCCTCTTCTAACGCGTCTTCCTCCTACAAGGTTGTGCACCTTTTCTCTACGACACACTTAGACTATACTGCGACAATATGCCTTCGCTTCGGTCACTCTTGTTCGCTGGACTCCAGGTCACTGGCTTTGCGCTGGCCGACTATGGCGACAACCGCGAGGAAGAGATTGGCGTCTTCAGACAAGCCATGAACCGTCTGCCGGAAGAGTCGATCCACGCCGCATTGTCTGGACACCTCGGAGGAAAGTATCAGGCTGGCGTATTCGAGAGGGACCACAAGGCCCTTGAGCACATTCAAAAGGACAACCCGTCGCTGGCCTCGCGTCTCATCGAGATTGCAAAGCACGATGTGGCCGTCCGAGCAGAATTGCGCAAGAGACAGGACGACAGCGGTAGCAACACGACCGTCATTGCCGTCCCTGCCACCACTTCCTCGGACCAATCTTCTACCACTAGCACTGAGGCTGTCATTGTCACCGACTCGAGCACAACTTCCGTTTCCCTGACCACAGAGACCTCGGCCGTCTCGACAACTAACGCTCCTACTTCGGCCACCGAATCGTCTGCAGCTCCTTCGAGCACTACAGGAGGTGAGAGCAGTGCTGATTCTTCTGCTGTTTCGTCGATTTCTGCTTCACCTGCGTCGCGCTCGGAAACTGTTGTCGTGACTTCTTCCGGCTCGAGTCGTATCTCTTCCACTCTGGCCTCGGCTTCCGAGACCTCCTCTACCGCCCAGAGCTCTGTCTCCTCCCAACAGAGCTCTGATCCTTCTGCTGCCGCGTCCTCCTCCGCGGCACAGTCTTCTGCTTCGTCCTCTGATGTTTCTGCTGCTTCATCCGCTTTGTCGTCTTCTCGCGCTGCTGTTTCTTCTGGACGTAGCTCATCACTTGTAGAAACCTCAACCGCAGCTTCTTCCGAAAGCTCCACGGCTGCATCGTCTGCCGAGAGCTCTGCCGCCAGCTCCATTGAACCTACCGTCGTAGGCATCACCACCACCAACTCTGCCGGAAGCACTATCGAGACTTCGGCTACCGCCACCCGCCAAGTTGCTGCTTCCAGCAGTTCTGCTGCTCAGTCGTCCGCCCCTGCCTCGACTGCATCCGGTGTTCTCGTTCCTGTCGTCTTGTCGAGCACCAACAGCGCAGGAAGCACTGTGGTAGAGACCACTTCGGCTTTCCAGCAGTCCGCATCTGTCAGCGTCGAGCAGACCTACACCACAACTAACTCCGAAGGCCGTGCTGTCACCACCTCTGCTCGTTTCCCTGGTGTCGTCGTTGTCACCACCAACTCCCGTGGATCAACCGTCTCGACAACATCGCCCGTTGCCAGCGTTGCTGTCAACCAGAATGGAGATGTTGTCAGCTCTGCCGACGCACCCGAGCCAAGCGGCAGCACTCGTCGCACCAGCGCTACTGACGTTGTTACTACCACCGATCAGTATGGCGCCAGTGTCGTCCTCTCTGGTGCTTCTCGTGGAGCCGTCATCACCACTACCGATGCTAGGGGATCCACTTTCATCACCACTTACACTCCCGGTGGTGGCAAAGTCAGCTCCCTTGTTTTGTACACCACGACTTTGCCTGATGGTGCACCTGCTACTGTCACCTCGCTTGCTATCGTTGGTGGCGCACAGGCTGCGACCGCCTCTTCCGATCGCGCTACCCCTACCAACACTGCCGCTCCGGGTCTACAGTCTGGTGCTGCCAGCGCGCCTCATGCTCACATGAAGGGAGCACTCGCTGCTGTCGGTGGTGCTCTGGGTCTTGCCTACATGCTCTAAAGGCATATACGGCATGGACGAAGTCAGAAGGATACGAAAAAAAAAGATGTACAGGCACACGATGCCTTGTAAATATGTTGCTGCGAGACCGGATTTCCCTTCTATGTTTTCATTCGACTAAACGATCACGACTCTCCTTAAAAATGTTTTTCACTTTACCATCTAGCATAGCGGGAAAATGGGGATTAGGAATGGCATGTAAACGCTTCTGGCGTAACATTTGTGCGTTTGATATCAGATATGAGCAATCTATCTACTACATTTACTTGCAGTTTCTGTTCGAGTGACGTTGTGTACAAATCGTCGTTGGGCTTCGCTAACTACAATAAGAACTCGTATGAGGAAGTTACGACCACACATACCTGCCGCCGGGTGCTGCAATCAATGAGTCCCATCGTCTAGTCTTCTGGTACACTTCAAATATTCATCACAATCAGACTACACATCACCACGCTCCTTTTCGACTCCAAGCTCAGAAGTCAGCACCTAATGCCTAAGCAGCGACTACGCCCACACCCACACCTACGAGCCTGAACTTCCTGCCATGGTCATTGCAACTCTCAAGCGAATTCTTTACATTCGGTTGTTCCGAGCCGTTCGCAACACACGCATCTCACCCATTGGCATGTACCTAGCCTATAAAGGGACCGGCCTCGGCGACGTCAAGATGTTCGAGAACATGAGCATATCAGACTTTGTAGCGGTATAGGAGCCATACAATGGGAACGCTCAACCTACGGATATTGTCGGCAATCCCAAGAACGTCAGGTATGTGCCGCATGGCGATATGGCTTCTGGCAATACTGATGTTAGAGGCAGGAGAAAACACAACTGCATCCATCCCAACTGTCAGAGGTGGCATGTCTGAACGTCTGTACGATAAGACACACTGGACGGTTGAGAGCACAAGATGAGAACAAGTCAGAAGACCAAGTATGAGGAATCGTTGGAGGATCCAATATTTTCGTTGTCGATGATGTGCCAAGAGAAGGGACATGATGGTAAGCATGGGAAGAGGTGTTGCACATTTGACTTTTGAGCCTCAGGGCGCCGAGCGTTGGCTGATGGCGGGTGACCATCAGACCGGCCACACCTCTGTCCATCTCGAGCGGGGTCTTTGTCTGCACAAGAATACAGCTTACATCTCGAATCCTTCTGTTTATCGCAGAAACTGCTAAGGGACGACCGTTCAGAAGTCTGGCAGTAGCAACAGCGGAGACGTCCGACTTGAGCCGAAGCTTGCGGTGTCTGAAGCTTCTTGGTCATTTATATCGAGTAACGCAAACACAGGCGCATGCAGAGTCGATAGTAGACCTTTCTGCAGGAATTTTCTCTTCCAAACCCACCTTGACCCTATCCTTGACTTCCGCAACCATAGAGAAAACGACAGAATGGTTCCCGCATTGAGAAAGATTCTTATCATCAACCCAAACTCGACGAGGTCCATGACGAATGCGCTCAAACCGCTAGTCGACTCTCTGGGCTACTCTTCGGTATTTATCACATGGCTACAAGCCCATTGAGAACACAAGAGCCAAAGTCTGAGTTTGGGTATTCGTAATAGACACAACACACATATTTCACGGCACCTTCGGGACCGGCATCCATCAACAATGAAGACGATGCGGCAGAATCGGCAAGGCACTGTCTAGAGCCTTTGCTTCCGCTACTCGAGACACACGACGCTTTTCTCGTTTGCTGTTACTCGGCTCATCCTCTGGTTGGACAACTCAAGGCCCGACCAGAAATTGCTGGTCGTCGCAAGCCGGTGACTGGTATCTTTGAGGCATCGGTCAGCAGCAGCTTGCAAGCCATCGCACCTGGTGAGCGATTCGGCATCGTTAGCACAGGCAAAGTGTGGGAAGCGACTTTGCGCGAGGCTGTGGACAACTATCTAGGTGTCGAGGACAACACTGAGGGAAGTGCGGCATTCGCTGGAGTGCAGACGACGGGGCTGAATGCTTCAGAGCTGCACGAGATATCGCCGGTCTCGGTACGCAGCCGTATGAAGAAGGCGGTGGCAAGACTTTTGACCGATGACGCAGGAGGTCCTGTTGGAGCGGTATGTCTTGGTTGTGCAGGTATGGCAGGGTTTGATGACATGGTTAGAGAAGCAGCCATCGAGACATTGGGTCACGGTCAAGGGTCAAAGGTGCGCATCGTCGACGGTGTTGTGGCTGGCGTGACATGGTTGGAAGGAGCCCTGCGATCAGGAATGTAGATTTCAATAGTCACACGACTCTGATGGATGCATGTTTGAAGGAGTCGAGTAATGTCATTGATATTGAAGGTCGGGCTTTGTTCGGAGAGAGGAGGCCGAAGCTCTCCTGGCGCGGCCGAGGCTTCCCAATTCCCCAAACAAATGTTCAAGCAACAGCAGCAGCAACTTCTGTAGTCTCTCTTGTACACACACAACAATGGCGGCGACAGAAACAAAGACAAAGGCGACCAAGTCGCATCCGATCGAGAGCTGGGATGATGGCTTGTCGCCCATCTACACACACCTGCACCCGCTGCTACTGCTCGGTTTCTTCTACTACCAGTTCCCCTCGCTGGTCGAGAAGCCCATCGACACACTCCCACAGACGGCCATGGGTGTTGCTGCTTTGCAACTGCTATACCTTTGCATTTGCATTCCTGGAAGCAACCATGCACAATTACCCCAGCGCGGCAAGAAGAAGGGAATGAAGACTGGCGGAGACACCGGTTACGGCGCCAAACTGGTCGTAAGTTCTCGCACAACTCTGCTGCTCCATGTACTTCTAGGTTGGCTAATGTACGACAGCCTGGCATCCTTTCCCTCATCCTTGCCGTCACACTCGGCGCCCCCGTCATAGCCATCATCCTCGTCCTCTTCGGTGCCCCGCTCACCTCGCACCAAGTCCACACCCTGTACTGCGCCCTCCACATCTCACTACTCGCCGCATACCCTCTCTTCTACGTCCACGGTGTCGACGCTGCCAAGTGGACCGAAGTAGGCGCATTGGCTGCCCCCATTGACGAGGTCTTTGGCGCTACCGTGGGAACGTTGATTGGCGCTTGGGTGGGCGCCGTGCCCATTCCTCTGGACTGGGATCGTGAGTGGCAGAAGTGGCCGACTACCATTTTGGCTGGTGCTTATATGGGCTATGCGATTGGCAAGGTTGTGGGTGGTACGCTGCTTAAGGGGTCCAAGATTAAGATTGCATGAAGTGGATGAAGAATACTATCTAGGACACACAACCTCAAGGTTTGCCAATAACTACATGTCGGTCAGAAGATTAAGTGCGTAGCCATCCGAGGATAGAAAGTACATGGTTGTGCAAGCGCCTGCAAGAACAAGAGACGGTCAAAGAAGCATGGCGACGTTGGTGTCCGTCGACTTGAGCAAAATGGCGATGCTCGAACTGCGGAGTCAAGAACTACGCGCAAGAAGAGTAGCGAAAAGACCTACGAAAGACCGACCCGGCCAATCGCATACCTCTATATTATCGATACAGAGTACTATATCTCGCATGAACCATCGACTTGGCATTACCTCAGTCGACAACCTCTCCAGAAAATCTCCAGACTACTCCAGATGACCAAAGAGCCTGCAATTTCAAGAAAACAAAGAAGAACGTCTTCCAATTTCGCCTCCGAAGTGTCGATGGGGTGTCAAAGTCGTAGACATCATCTGGCGGCGGATCTTTGGTACAATGGAACAAGTGATCGACACTTCTAGAGCTCTGGTGGAAGATGCAGAAATCGTGGGGAAGGTGATTTTACAGGCAACGGCTCGGAGAAAGTGCAGCAGATGCGAAAGGCAAAGGAGAACGATGCATGTCTTTTGCTGCATGAAATGCTTGGGCCTTTCGACCGTCTATGCTGCATATGAAAGCTGTCATGGATTCTCATCGGTAGATTTGCAGCAATCGTCTGACAGGACGGTGGCTGGTCACCTGCACGATATTAACCGTCATGGCAAGAACGAAATGTATGTCTCTGGTCATGTCGCGCCATTTATTCGGACTGGGTTTCAAAGCATTGAGAGTTCCGGGTCTGGAACGGCTGAAGACGACTGCCGAGCAGAAGCGCGGTCGCAGCGACAGACGTCCGGGACCGGAGCAACTGCATTGCGTGTATCAACACTTTCTCATAAGCAAGCCGCTGCTCCCGCTCGTCTCGCTGGCTCATCATGACAAACTCCGTTGCCTCCGACTCCGGTATTACCCTGATCATACAGAGTTGGTGTGTTTAAAGACGAAGAAAGTCCCGCTGCACTCGCGCGTGAAGAAAGTCCAAGATCCAAGACCCTTTGACTGTTTGTGAACGGTGCCCTGTCAAGTCTACAAATTGCTCTCGGTTTGCCCCCACCACCGCTGTGGGCAGCACTTAAAACTCTCAACCACTTTTCCTCCAAGAACAGTAAACCTCTTTGCGCCACTCTTGATCTCGACCTGGGTCTTTTCTCTCTTTCCTACCTTCAACAACATACAAGTCAATTGACATCCAGCATCCTCTTGGACGCCTCCCGTCTGTCCGCCCTGATCATTGTCTTCGCGTACCCCGCCAACCCCGCCTGTCCGATCGACTTATTTTCTTGACCTTCCGAGCACGCGACAGAAGCCTAAGAGCAAAACAACAAAGGCCTCTAGAACCCAGCGGGCAAAATAAAGAACAGGATTTGCCTGTTGCGAGGATACACTCGCCCAAGCACAATACAAACATGATTCCTTCTATTCCTCGCCTCGAAGACTATGATGTCTCGGAAAATTATGGCTTCCTTCCTTCAGAGTACCCGCTCGAGGTGCTTCCTGATACTTACTATAGACCGTGGGAGGCCATTGTCAGGAACCTCCAAGGTTTGATTCTAGGCAAGAGACTGCGTGGTCTTGTCGACAGCCTCCCAGTCCTGTCCACTGAATATCTTCGCTCAGATGCTGAGTGGCGCCGCGCATACATGATTCTCGGCTTTATTTCGCACGCATACATCTGGAACGGAGACCGACCACAGGAGCGAGTTCCTCCTAGCATCTCAATCCCCTTCACAGCTGCCTGCAAGCATCTAGAGTTGCCCACTGTTGCCACTTACGCTGGAGTCGTGCTATGGAACTACCGACCACTATTTGACGATGAAGGAATCGGCTCTTTGGACAATCTGTCTACTCTCATGACTTTCACTGGCTCGCTGGACGAGTCGTGGTTCTACCTCGTTTCAGTGGCCATCGAAGCTCGCGGCGCCCCCATAATACCCCTAATGCTGCATGCTATCGAGGCCGCTCGTCGAGGCGACAAGTTGAGAGTAACCGAATGTCTGCGCTCCTTCGCCGAGCGTCTTGATGAGCTTTCGTCGATGCTGGTCCGCATGTACGAGAACTGCGACCCACACGTCTTCTACCACCGCATCCGACCCTTCTTGGCTGGAAGCAAGAATATGCACGAAGCTGGTCTGTTGAACGGCGTCATCTTCGATACTGGCAGCAAAGACGACACCTACGTGCAATACAGCGGCGGCAGCAATGCTCAGTCCTCAATCATCCAATTCTTCGACCTGATCCTCGGAGTCGAGCACCGTCCCACTGGCAGCAAACCCTCTGACACACCAGTCGCATCCATCCAACAAGGACCGTCTGCAAACTTCATCCACGACATGCGCACATACATGCCCGGCCCCCACGCCCGCTTCCTCGAACACGTGGGCACCGTGTCCAACATTCGCTCCTTCGTCACCACGAACCGACACGATCGTGCTCTGGCCGGCGCCTTTGATGCTTGTCTAGCCATGCTGCGCAACTTCCGCGACAAGCACATCCAAATGGTATCACGCTACATCATTGTGCCCTCGCGCGAGTCCCGCAATAGCAATGCCCGCAGTATTTCTCCTTCACAGCGCAAAGACTCTGCATCACCCCAACAGCTGAATATCGCAGCTGCGAGTTCGGCGGACAAAGACAAGAAGAATCTCAGGGGTACGGGAGGTACGGCGTTGATTCCTTTCCTCAAGCAATGCAGGGACGAGACTGGAGAGCCAGCTATCGATGCTTGGGCGAGGAGGTTGCTGAACAATGGACCTGGTGCTGCTGAGCTGGGTGGTGCAAGGATGGGAAAGATTGGAGAGCATGCTTCTGGCGAGACTGCCGTTGTTGGGTTGGCTGGTGTGTGGAGCGTGGATGACTCTGATGGTGGTATATGCCATTGGTGATTTGTCTTTTGCTTCTTCTCCTCTTGCCCTTTGCTGTTTTTTTGTACATTTTGGGAACAAAAAGCGATGGAGTTTTGGGATGGCGCGATACATCAGATTTTGCGGCTCACGCTTACGAGGGAGAGGACTTGTTCATTGAGGGCATGCGGGACATGTGTACATAGGTATGGTTCTCTCTTGCCATGTATCAAACATCGAGACTGTAATATCTCTTCTCTTGCTATCCGCTGTCTGACTTGTATTGCCTGCGTGCCTGCGTTCCTGCATTTACTGAACATCTGCAGATTGGTTGATCCTCCACGTGAACCAATTCCTGTTGTGGTTACTGCTTTCTCGGCCCAGACTTGGAGACCCCAACTCTTATGTGTTGTCCCCGAGGCATTTGTATGTGCAGCTGATCCATGCCTCCCTCTATGTTTACAATCTCTGAAGATCGTGTGGGGGCACTCCTCTCGATAGTCCCAAGCTTCCGACTGATCGCATTTCGTGGCCATGGCCAAGAAGCGAGCCTGGTGCGGTCCTGCAGAAGCCATGTGATTACGATGGCTTGGCTGGTGTTATCGTGGTCCTCAGAGATAGTCCTTCTTGCGAGCAGTGCGGGTGTATTGGTTCATGTGCCACTCGACATCTCCATCCTTGTTCTCAAGAGTACCTGCTCTGATCTCGAACAAACGCATCGTCATGCGTGGCCCGACTTCTGCCAACTCGACACTCTGGTATCCAGTCTTGACGAAGACGTGGTGGCGGACCTCGATGCTGTCGTCGATGTTTTTGAATGTAACGACACGGGAACCGAGCTTGGCTGAGGGCTCGCGAGGAGGGAAAAGATGTTGTAGAATCTTGACGATGCGGCGACCGAGGACGGTTGTGAATCCTTCAAAGATGAGATGAGGGTAGCTCTCACTGACGGTGCCGCGTTCGGCATTGGGGATATCGGCGCGCAGGACGACGTTGTGCAGGGAGAAACTGGCGGTAGGACCGTGGGGGAAGTGACTGATGGTCATGGCGGTGGGAGTACCACGGTGTTCGTGGACCAAGATCATGTCGCTGAGACCGGAGCCTTTGGCTGAGCCAACGAGGTTGTTCAAGATCAGGTTACCACGGTTCAGACGGACGGCCGTAGGCAGGAGCAGACGGATCTCCTTTGCGAAGGTTCCAAGCCTGCTGCTAGGATCGCGGGAGGTTGTGACAAGGATGCGAGGGTCGACAACGCCTGACAGATGCGAATATTCGTCGTCTAGTTCGAGTTCTTCCTGGGTAGAGCGATCGGGGCGGGATTCATCGTAGCGGTAGTCTGCGCGCAGAGACTTGTCGTTGGCGATCGAGGGGTCCAGGGGCTTTCCAGAAGCCAGCGAGGACTTTAGCTTTGCTCTCTTCTCTGCAATCTCGGCATCGCGCAGCGTGAGGGCACGGCGGTATAGGTAGTCGCGGCGTTCGCGGGCTTGACGGCGCTGGCAGGTGTCAGTTCGCAGATAGGCGAGTGCACCATTCCAATCATCTTACAAGCATGTTGAGTGATTTTCTGTCTGATTCTTTGATTGACAAGGATCAAAGAGTAGTACAGAAGTCGCCGCTGGGCGATGGAGGAAAATGTGACAGAGATGGAAATAAATTATTCTGAAATGCGGAGATGGATTTTCCGCTGCAATCGCGACTGCTGCCGCTCCTGCTCCTGCTCCTGCTCCTGCCGCAGTCGAACGCTTTCCAGAAGATAATCGCTCTTTCCTGATTGAGCACATTCCAGCACGATTTGCCTGTGAACCATCGTCTCACTGGCACAATACAAGCTCTTCACATGCTTCTGCAATCCGGTCTTTCCTTCTTCTCCAACTTCTGTCCAACTCGTTGAACAAATCACCAGTTCTAGCTATTGCCAAGGCCGTCAGATACAGCCCCGCCACTGTTGCTTCAGGGCACATTTCAAGATTGCCGTCCTTGGGCTTTCCTTTAAACACCCATCGCCGCCATGGAAGGCGCCTTTACTCATCTCGGGAACCACTTGATTTCCGATTCCGCCTCGGCTATCAATGCCGGCGATGACCTTTCCACCATCGATGCCGACGAAGCTGCCCTGGATCGCGAATACCAGACCAGAAACCAGGCCCCCCAGGCCCGCCCTCGCCGACGCAGAGCCCGCGACAACGACGATGAATCCGACATCTTTCCCGACGAAGACGACGATGTCGATAGCCTAGTCAGTCAACAGATCAACGGCCAGAATGGCCACCATCACCAGGATGAGGAACACGAAATCGAGCTTCCCACTCACGCCTGCGCGTATGTCGCCCAGTACCATTCCTCCGCTTGACAGAACTGACTAATCCCTTCAGCTACTGCGGTATCCACAACGAGAGCAGTGTCGCCAAGTGTTTGTCTTGCAACAAGTGGTTCTGCAGCGCTCGCGGTAACACCTCGTCCTCGCACATCATCAACCACCTCGTGCGCGCCCGTCACAAGGAAGTCCAGCTTCACCCTGCCTCCGCCCTCGGCGACACCGTCCTTGAGTGTTACAACTGTGGAACCAAGAATGTCTTTCTCCTTGGTTTCATCCCTGCAAAGTCCGACACCGTCGTCGTCCTCCTCTGCCGTCAGCCATGCGCCGCGATGCCCTCGTCCAAGGATATGAACTGGGATACCTCGCGCTGGCAGCCTTTGATCGAGGACCGATCTTTCCTCCCTTGGCTGGTCGGCCCTCCCACGGACCAGGAACAGATGCGCGCTCGTCACCTGCCGCCTCAAATGATTGCAAAGTTGGAAGAGCTGTGGAAGGACAACCAGCAGGCCACCATTGCTGATCTTGAAAAGGGTGTCGGTGTTGATGACGAGCCTGCCCCTGTACTCTTGCGCTACGACGATGCCTACCAATACCAAAATGTCTTCGGTCCCCTGGTCAAGATTGAAGCCGACTACGATCGCAAACTCAAGGAATCGCAGTCGCAAGATGGTTTGATTGTGCGCTGGGATTTTGCGCTCAACAACAAGCACCTTGCCAGCTTTGTCCTGCCCAAACTCGAGATGGGCGATGTCAAGCTGGCTGTTGGAGACGAAATGCGCCTGCGCTACACCGGAGAACTGCGACCTCACTGGGAAGGTGTCGGATATGTTATCAAGATCCCCAATAACCAGTCCGACGAAGTCACCATCGAGCTGCGCTCCAAGGGAGATCACAAGTCTGTGCCTACTGAGTGCACCCACAACTTCAGCGCCGACTACGTCTGGAAGGCTACTTCTTTTGATCGCATGCAACACGCCATGAAGACATTTGCCATTGATGAGATGAGCGTTTCTGGTTACATTTTCCACCGTCTGCTTGGACACGAGGTTGCCGCTGCTCCCATGAAGACTCAGCTTCCGCGCAAGTTTAGCGTTCCTGGCCTGCCTGAGCTGAATAGCAGTCAGATCAATGCTGTCAAGAGCGTTCTCCAGAAGCCGCTGAGTCTGATCCAGGGTCCTCCCGGAACTGGTAAAACTGTCACCTCGGCAACAATCATCTACCATTTGGCCAAACTCAATGGTGGTCAGATTCTTGTTTGTGCTCCTTCTAACGTTGCTGTCGACCAACTGTGCGAGCGTATTCATCGTACTGGTCTCAAGACTGTCCGTGTTACTGCAAAGTCGAGGGAAGATGTTGAATCTCCTGTCGGCTTCCTGTCTCTCCACGAGCAGGTTCGCATGAACGATACCAATGTCGAACTCAACAAGCTCAACCAGCTCAAGGCTGAGTTGGGAGAATTGTCCAGTCAGGATGAGAAGAAGTACAAGCAGCTCGTTCGCAATGCCGAGCGTGAGATTCTGTCCAACGCCGATGTCATTTGCTGCACCTGTGTCGGTGCTGGTGACCCTCGTCTTGCTAAGCTCAAGTTCCGAACAGTCCTCATCGACGAATCTACACAGTCTGCTGAGCCAGAGTGTATGATTCCCCTGGTCTTGGGATGCAAGCAGGTCGTCCTAGTCGGTGATCACCAACAGTTGGGTCCCGTCATCATGAACAAGCAAGCAGCAAAGGCTGGTCTGAACCAGTCTCTGTTCGAACGTCTGGTCATCCTCGGATGTGCTCCCATTCGTCTGCAGGTGCAATACCGTATGCACCCTTGTCTTTCCGAGTTCCCCTCCAACATGTTCTACGAAGGTTCTCTCCAGAATGGTGTCACTATGCACCAGCGTTTGCGCCGCGACGTCGACTTCCCTTGGCCTGTCGCTGACTCGCCCATGATGTTCTGGTCTAACTTGGGCAACGAAGAAATCTCTGCATCTGGTACTTCCTATCTCAACCGCACTGAGGCTCAGAACGTCGAGAAGCTCGTCACTCGTTTCTTCAAGGCTGGTGTTCAGCCCCAGGACATTGGTATCATCACTCCGTATGAGGGTCAGCGCTCATACGTTGTTTCATCCATGCAGGCTACTGGTACTTTCAAGAAGGAGTACTACAAGGAGATTGAGGTCGCATCCGTCGACGCTTTCCAGGGTCGTGAGAAGGACTTCATCATCCTGTCTTGTGTTCGTTCCAACGATCACCAGGGCATTGGTTTCCTCTCTGATCCTCGCCGTCTCAACGTTGCTTTGACTCGTGCCAAGTATGGTCTAGTCGTTCTGGGTAACCCCAAGGTTCTCAGCAAGCACCCCTTGTGGCACTATCTCCTTCTCCACTTCAAGGAGCGCAACTGTCTGGTTGAAGGCCCCCTCACCAACTTGCAGGTGTCTCTTCTTCAGTTTAGCAGACCCAAGACCACCTACCGCGGACCTCAGCGTTACCAGATGGCTTACCAGCATGCCACCAATATGGCTGCCTCTGGCGGCAATGGCGATGGCCGTGCTACTGGTCGCAAGAATGGTTATAATGACAATGGATCTGTTGTTGGTTACATCCCCGACGATGTTTCTTCTGTCCACTCTTCGGCCCTTGGCGGCGCTTCCCTGCCATCAAACTACCCTCCCATGTTTAAGAACTTTACGGAGTCTTGGCCTAGCCTTCCTGGTCGCAACGGACCATCAGCACCCACCAAGAACAACGTTGCTGAAAGTGTTGCTGGCGAAAGTGTCGCTGCCAGCGAGATCACCGATATCACTACTACCACCAACGGTGTGCCTGGCAAGAACGGAACCGGAGTCGGACAGGGTGGTGTCAGTCTTGCTGGCTTGAGCATCAATGACATCGGTAAGCAAGCTAGCTTGTCTCAGTCCGATCGTCTCAAGCGCTACGTCGAAGGCGGTACCATGCCTTCTGTTGGCCTTCGCGGTACCAGCAGACTTGACGATGACGATGTGCGCAGCGTTAGCACCGCTTTCGCCAGCCAGGTCGGTCTTGGAGGATATGATTGATTGACGCAAGAATGACCATCTCATGGACACTTCTTCTTTCTTCGGAAAGAGTCATGCCTACCTTCACGTCTCGCTCATTCGATGTTTAGCCGAGTCACGGCCGACATCAATGTCGCTCGCTGCCGTATCCCTCCGGACAAACCGCGGATGTCTGGGCTCAGGAAGAATCCTCAGCATCTCCGCAAGTTCACCATTTGAGGGCTTGTTATGATTTGCAGATGAGAAATTGCTTCGCAACATGACCACAATGTCCTCCTTCCGGGCACAACCAGGAGCGATACTCCCACTCGCTGGCAGTCAAAAAAAAGAAAGAAACGGAGCCGCCCTTCTATGGAGCCCTTCTCGATGCTTAGCCTATGTTCAGTAAACTTTGTTACTCATCGGGTTTTGCTCATCACTGACAGCAGTGAGTTGTGTTTGATCAACATCGACTATCACCTTTCCTTCTTCTGGGGATAGAGGGGGATGTTTCATGCTAATCAGAGATATGGTGTTCTACCCGTCGAGGATTTGCTAGTTTTACCTCCTTTATTCTTTGCTTTACTCAATATAACTCTTGTTTTCATGCGACTCATTACCTGTATCATGCTCGTTCCAAGACGATGCTCTTTTCACCCAGCTGCGCTTTTCACTCGTTGCTGCTGATTCGTTCGTCATTAGTCGTCAATGTCCGAGCGGCTGGCTGCTGCCTCGTTCCTTCGTTGCTTACACTACACCTTCCACACTGCCCCTAATCCCAATCTCGACAATAGATGCAATTGATCCGCAGGGAGCACGACCATCGATTTTGAGCCACTGCTCAAGCTCGCTGACTCGTCACGTTTCAACACATGACGCAGTCACCCCCGATGATTTCCACGTGAAGACGTTCATCACCGGCTTACCACTACCGCTGCCTCGAGTCAGAAACAAGCACTAGGCCTTAATATGGGAGCTGCCGTGGTATGGTCCACATGGGTATTCGCTCGAGTCAGCACTGACAGCTCAGCCTAGGCCGGGCCTCTGCACTGTCATGGACATAGACTCAAGGTTGGTGATGGGGCAATTGCGTCTGCCTTCAGCTTCCGTTTGCAATTCAGGTCCCACTGATCGTCGGTTAGCCACAGTGGCATGTCTCCGGCCGTGGTGCTGTGGGGGCATACCGTTGTTTAATGTGGCCCACTGTAATTCTCCTTCTTCGTAACCTTGACTCGACATCGACCGAATATCGGGGTCCAATCAATGATGATATGGAGTACAGTATACGCCGAGAATTTCGGCATGACATGGTATCGTTATATTCGGATATTCGTTTAAACCTTTTTGGATAACGCAAGCATTCTCTTACCGCTGTTGATGCTTTCCAGCACCGCAGATCTCGATCGTTTGACAGACGGCTTCTCATGGCAGTTCTTGAATGGTGTTGTTCTGGACTCTTGGTATCTTCTTGTCTCTTCCCTTAGCTGTTGCATCGATGGCCGCAGGTAGCACTTGCTCATGACATCTGTTACTCGTTTTCGGTTCGTGTTGCCTTGATCCTTGCAGTCTACATGTTTGAATACCACTGTTAAGAAGGGATCGAAAGACTTGCGGGTATGATTAGGGTGAAACGTATGCAAGAGATGAATTGGAGAATTATAGAGGCAACATCTCGAGTCTTCCATCTTTCTAGTCCGTCGGAACCACTAGGATATACATTTGTAGTCATCATAAACTTCCCGAGCGGGCTGTAGATATCACTCACACCACTCATTGCTAAGATACTTATACATGGATCCTCTAATATGAGATAAAATTGTGATGAGACGTCAAATTTCAAGTCCGACGTCGACCCTGTCCGCCAAGTCAGGGTCTACGTCACGTCAGGACCCATCACCAAAAAAAAGTTCTTACCACCCGCCCCAAAAACACCTCCCAACACAACCAGACCTTGCGAAGACAAAAAGAGGCGTCAACGAATGTGTAGGAATAGCCGAAGGCGGGGCTCGAACCCGCGACCTTGAGGTTGGAATATCAATGCTGATAAGAGCCACACGCTCTACCGATTGAGCTACCCCGGCAGGTCTGATTGATCAAGTTGTGTGACACAACTGGCTGTTGACGATGGGAGACTCACAGACTAGCTCCAGTATATACCTTCCATCAAATAGCAGTCTGGCTGTTGAGAGGAGAAGCCGTCGTGTGGTGGACAGAAGTTGGACTTATGACCTTGCCTCCCTTCGTCGAAGATATGCTACACCGATATTTATGCAAATGCACAGTTCTCTCAGCAGACGCGAGGTGTCCACAGAGAGCCGTGACACTGTCGCCTCTCTGCGGACTCTGCTTCCGTCTAGAAAGAACTATGCGTTTCAATGCCTCCTACTTCAGTCTGTGTGTCACCATGAGAGCAGTTGACGGGATCGGGTACCAGGAGAGACTGAGCGGAATTCACTGCGTATGGTGAATCGCTGATAGAGAGAAGGTCAGAGTGGTCGTCGTCGAGGTGATTCAATGCACCAATGATATCAGGGGTCATTCCGGATCTATCGTTACACTGTTTGCATTTCTTGATATCCGCGAGGAGTGCATCCGCCTGCTCACACAACTGCTTCTGAATGTGGCGGTGTAGAGCAAAGTCATTGAAGAACCCTTCGTGGCATCCAAACGGACACTGATGACTTCGAGCATGGTAGAAGTAAGCAGTATGAGTACCATCCTCCATATGCTTATAGAACTGTTGGATTGACCACGACTCGGTGATTGAAGCATTGCAGTTAGCGACTGGACAAGCGAAGACCTTGCCGCTTGGAACGCCGGCCAAGTCGTTTGCAGTCCTTCGATTAATCGCCTTGGTTGATGCTGCAAGTGTCCTCTGAGTAGGTGTAGGTGCAGCTCCGGAGGTGAGTAATGGAAAAGACTCGTGCTCGGAGTGGGACTCTTCGTCTTCAGCAGGTACCTCCTGACTCGATCCTGCATCTGAGGAGTCGATACGTCTCTTCCGCTTGGTACCGGTCTCAAAATCGAGCACAGGAACATCGTCTTGAGATGCATGTGAGCTTTCGGCGATATCATCTTGAGGGATGTCTTGAGGAGTTTCATCTTGAGACGGATGGGGTGTTTCAGCGGCTAGAGGAGCGGATGCGATGGCTGGAGTTCTGGTATCACCGGCTGGAGAAGCGGGTGCGAGGGCTGGAGTTCCGGCCGTGTTGGCCGCCAAAGGAGTGTCACCGGCGGTGAGAGGAGTGTTACCGGCAGCGAGAGGTCGATAGTCGCGTGCATTTTCGAGGGCTTGGATAACAGCAGAAGGTGCAGGAGGTGCAGTGAGTCCAGAGCTATCACGGGCATCCTTCGGTGACTGCAGGAGAGGCCCCATTGTTGTTGCAGAAGGCGCGGCGAAAGTGAGACCACGACTATGCACTACAGCTGTACGGACGTCTCTTGCTAGCCTCTGGGTCTGTCCATAGTCGCCTGCAGATCTGTGGTGAAGGAGGGTCTCAGCGACATCGAAGTATGAGTGAAGTCGCGCGTCTGAGAGGTGGAGGTCAAGTTGGAATGCCCATTGCCTATCGCGGTCTCTGCGCTGGTTCAAAGTCTCTGCGTGATAAAGGAGCAAACATGAAGCCAATATTATATGTTCACCATGATTGCATGACCAAACTACCTCTCTTATTGGACCGAAGATTCATCTCGAACGTGCTACGGGTAGTGAACCATGGACGATAGAAGACAAAAAAAGGCTTACATGTTGACCGTAGGTGTATTCCTAACCCACCTCTTTGATGTGATTATGTATTGTACCCGAGCAGTGCCATGAACGGCGAATCATTGATGGAATCAGAAGCCAGGACAAGATTGACAGTTTGACCGTAACCGTGTTGATAACTGTTGGATCACACCCGTCTTTTCAATACTTTGTCCGCGATATGAGTTACAGAAACTTCTGATTTGGAGAGTTGAGTTGAAGTTAATGAGAGACATCTACGACAGGTAACCATGAGTGAACAAACGACCATCGAGTCCGCGGATCAACACCTACAGGCTTATTTCCAGAGGTACAAGTACAATAACACTCCATATCACTTTCTCCGGGACTCAGGAAGTTACCAGGATATTGCAATGTCTCCAAAGACTGTAAGGGTGTATGATCGTCCGTAGTTTGGCGCACTGTAGAGGGTTGTCTCCGTCTCGGCATCCGGATATCCTACGGTAGATTCAAAAGCATATGCACACGGCGCTCGTGTACGCGTCCAACTGCTGTGCAAATTGTGAGCGATGGCGTTGCCAGTTGCCTATACGTATACAAGCCCTCTTGGATTGTGGCGGTCGCTTGCGGAGCGAGCTGACACCCCTCGTAATGCATGTCTCAAATTGTAGAGTCAGGGTTAGAGGTATAGCAGAAATTGTCAGAAACGTGGCCGATGTCGTTGTGGCTTGTTCTGGAAGCCGCCGTGGAAACTTCTATGCTCGGTCCGAAAGGATGGTGACTGATGCCACGTGCAGAGCCGAGGGTCTGTGGCGGGGACGGCAACTAGAAGCTTCGGCAGCAGGCACGACCCATTCCCCCGGTACAACGGAGACTCACAACAACAGGAGAAGAAGAGTAATATGTAAGAGCGGTACGGTGTACCAGTGAATAGCTGAGAGTAAACGCCACGCCGGTACGTTAGAAGTGATGGCATGTTCCGTACACAACGACCTCAACTTTGGGAATCCTGGAGCAAGACTCGTGGTCTTACGTGTTATGACTATGCTCTGGTATTTGCTCTCCCCTCAAAGTGATTCCGTCTGCTCTAGCCTCCAGCAGAGGGCCGGACGAGTATGGACGAGTAAATAGACCCTTACACATATGACACATCAGCTTGTAGAGAGTGCCTTAGTTGCGGTCGGTTCGCGGTGTCAAGGCACATGAATCAATTACCAGGCGTCGACGTCGGTAAAACCAATGTTTATAAAAGCAAAGTTTGGCAGTCCAAGCGATGATGAAACTGCGATACCAGGTGGACGTCTGGGAGCACTGCTTTCGATGCTATGCAGCAGAAGAGGCCGATGAGTGGCTATCAACAAAGCCTGTTGCACTACGAGAGAGTCCCGCAATTGAGTACTTGTATCTTCTGTCGGAGACGTGACACGCGGCTGTCACTATGTGTTTCCTAGTGACTAGTAGTAAGTTGTCTCCGAGTCACTGACGAGGCTGGGACTTCTGTTTGTGTCGGGAAGCGAAGTTTCGAGCTTTGTAGGCTTCTCGCTTCCACTGGGCCTGGCGTTCAAGTTCCAGCCGCGCGTCAGAGGGACACATCGTCATGGTACATGTTGTTGAGCAATAATACGATCTAGAGATGTTTCGTCATTCCATGGAAGAACACATACAAGTACATGTACCCCGATCTTGAACGAATCATGGGGACTCCACTTGAGGACGAATTCATCGGTCTCGTCTAAGACTGGTGAGAGGTGAGTTCCTGACGTTGGTGGAAGTGCGTATTCAATATCCCGTGTAGCCGCATATAAGGTTCATGAGCCTTCTCAAAGGACAAAGGGCAGATTTTGGCCATGTCATCCGTGCCTACGGTAGGGCGACAAGCGACGGCTACCAACGGTAATCATCGGGTTGAAACAACCTCAGCGCAGGTTGGTCCTGGCGGACACGATCAAATCTTGAGAGTATTCGATCATGCGGAGGACATAGCGCGAAGCAAGCAACGGCATTTGTCGATGCCAGTACGGTAAGCGTATCCGAGGTCCACAATCCATTGCTTGGTACGTACAGCAGCGTAATTACTGGATCGAGAACACCAGTATTGAGGTCGACCTTCATGCAGAGGCAGGAGTTAATGTACTGGCACCGAGCTATGAAGGTATTAGGCTCTCCGCGAACAGATCTACTGAGCGAAACGGACATCATCACTCGGCTATGACTGTTTGGCTCATAGCGTGTTCTCAGAACTTCAGACCGCTAGCGATTCAATCTGCTGCCTGATGTCCAGTGAGGTTCGTAGGACTGACTCCTGACACTACAGTGGTTGTGGTAGAGGCAAGCAAAGAAGCATCGCAGGTGTATAGGCAAGTTACCAGATACAATCACGAAGAAGGCGCATCGGATCGATTCGCGCTGTCGATGAGCACAGAGAGATGGGTCATGGAAGGCTCAAACTGTCAGAGTTGCCTGCAATAGCGACGGCCACGAGATGATATCACGGTAGATCAGAAGCCTCGAACGCCAATGCAGGGGGTTCATCGGTTCCCCATATGCCGCGCTTGGTGACTTGCTGGTTCAATGTGTAGTGCTCAGTCGAGTTCATCCTTACACCTGTGATGTTGCACTCGCTACGAAGTGAGGACCGAGGTTTGTTGACGATGTTTATAGCATGTGGCCGAAACTGGACTGAACGAGTCAAGACTTGGTGTTCTAGCTCGCAACTTGCATACTCGGAGTAGCATGGTTAGCGACACGGAACCCATTGTATCCTCCAGAACCGTAGCAGGATTCATACGTGACCCTAAGGATATGCATCGAGTCATGGTCGAATCTTGCGGACATGACTCGAAACCAAGTTTTAGCGAACGGAAGGATCAAACAATCGGATGCCTGCAGAGGCGATTGTCTGAGCATAAATTATGCTTCTCGGTGGAGAGCAAAAGCTACGCTGGTTGAACAAGTGCGGCATGCTCGGGTAGAGAACGAGCTCCTTGGGCAAGCATGAGAGGATGGGCTGTAGTTGCAGAGGCAAATAGAAGCGACGAGCTACAGAAGTTAGGCATGTATAAGAGCATAATCATGAATCATGTCAGACGATTGGCGAGCTCTAGCAGGGACGGAGCCAGGGCTATTGATTAGTGTAGCGAATGAATAAGCAACGTGCGTAAACACAAGTGGCATCAGGGGAAGAGATATACCGTTGTAGAGGTTTAGAACTGCCGGGGGGCGAGAGGAGATGTACAAGGGAACTTTGTGAGGTGAACGGATGGCATTATGAGCAGTTGAAACGACCGGCAGAAGAGTCAAAAGTAAGAAACAGAGATCTGCGCTGATGGAAGTGGTAAGCGGATGGCTGCACGCAGACAAGACAGGACTCATAGCGCAGTCTTCTCGGAGGTTGGAAATAAACGCAATGGTCAAGACAGGCTAGTGATCTGGCGGGGTTGCAGTTGCGACGAGGGTGGGGCGTGTGAAATTCTCTGGATGCTCGAACCGCGAAACGACCGTGGGCTGCTTGCGATGAATCTCGAACCTCGAGTTTCGAGAGTCAGTTACTGATGTACTAACAGACAGTGAACAGCCAAGGCCAGGACTCTGTACGGAGAGTCAAGTGTGGTAGAGGCTCTGTGCGGGGAGGCTCATTGCGGCAGGGAAGGAACAGAAAGCAAACGCCCTGTCAAATTTGAATTTCGAGGGACGCGACTTCGGCGCGGGTAAGGAACAGAGGTCATAGTGGGAATAACGTAGGCACGACCACGCTAGAGAGGGAATATTCTAAGGTTTGAGATGCGCCCAAAGGCAGATGCAGATAGAAGTTGGACAAGTCGCGGGAAGAAGTGCGCGCACAGAATACACGTAGACCAAGAGGCACGATCTACAGGCATGATCTGCGTCTTGTGCAGATGTTTGGGCAGGCAGGCGCCACGGGCAGAGTGATGGAGTTGGGTGTTCGACGGGCAGGAGCGCAGACCAACTGAGCAGTTGCCAAGCGTCTTGGAGGCAGTTGAATGGCGGCCATGATTCGACGCCTGACTCGTCCGTTCGGAGGAGAAAGATTGACTTTGACCAAGAAGCCATGCTCTTTGGTGTTATCCCCATGATCCACTTCTTCTTCTCCCTTCGCCCATCTCCTCTTGTCTCTGTGCCCTCTACGGTCCTTCGCCATCTGTTTACACCCCTGCTGTAGCCTCGACTCGCCTGCTTCCTCGCCAGCACTTTCTCGACAGCTCCCCCGACGTGCTCGCCAGGGCCGGCCGACCGTGCATCCAGCCCCGACCGCGTCCTGCATGACTCGCTTATCTGCTTCTCACCAGCGGAACACAAGGATTTTCCATGATGGCGACGACGAATGGCTCGTCGGGCTACGGCACGCCGCAGCGTGATGGCACCATGTCAATGCCTGCCAACAATGGCACTCCCTTGTCGCATACAACCCCCGACGACGCGACGGGCATGGGAGCATACCCCGCTGCCACGAATGGCAGGAAACGCAAGGCCGATGGCACCTCGTCGCGCGGTGTCGCCAACCTGACGCCCGAGCAACTGGCTAAGAAGAGGGCAAACGACCGCGAGGCTCAGCGCGCCATCCGTGAACGCACGCGCAATCAGATCGAGACGCTGGAGCGGCGCATCAAGGAACTCGAGAGCCAACAGCCCTTCCAGGAGCTGCAGAATGCCCTCCGCCAGCGCGAGCAGGTCCAGGCCGAGAATGATGACCTCAAACGCCGTATGCAGACCATCTTCTCATTGCTGCAGCCCGTTGCTGCCTCGCAGGGTCTGAATGGTAGCAGTAGCTCTGTCGCCCCCAACTAGTCCGCCCGCAAGCTGACACAACCTTAGACCTTGCTACTGCTACCGCCCAACAGAGTCCCTTGCCCCTGCCGACGCATCATCCACAACAGGCCTCTCAACCCCCACCTCAAGCCCTCATGTATCCTGCACAACCACCCAACCTGTATGACCAACCCCCCTTTGCTCAACACCATCTCCACCCCGACCTTCGCAACCTCCAACCCAACCAACAACCACAACAACCGCCCCGTCAAAATCAATCTCCAGCCAGCGCTGCAAGACAGTACGCCCAAGCTGCCCAAGCCGCTCAGCTACAACAGCAGCAACAGCAGCAGCAACAGCACCCACAACAGCAGCAGCGCTTCTCACCCCACCAACACTTCCAGCCCGCACTTGCCCCTGCTCCCGTATCTCAGCACCAACACCATCAGCTCGTCCCAGAAATGCCCTCGCAGAGCTTCGGAAACTTCCTCGTTGAGGATCGCAAGATGCGCCCAGCGTCGCCAGCAGTGCGTGATTTGATGCCTACCCCCACCGCAGACATGCCAATCCATCTGCGTCTACCTCGTAATCAGGAAGCCACCAACGCGCTGGACAGCGTCATGTTAGATTTCATGACGGAGCGTCGGAAAGCTGCAGCACAAGGCACGCCATCTTCCTCATTGGTTGGCCCGGCCTATCCTTCCATATCCTCCCTCTTGAATCCGGCTCGAGCACCCAAATCACACCCTCTCAGCAAGCTCTTCACCGACGTCCTGGCCAACCTTCCCGAGATTGATCAGATTCCGGAGCAAGTCGCTTGCTTGTACATCATGTTCCTTGTCATGCGCTGGCGCATTGCTCCTACCCAGGAGAACTTCGAACGTCTACCCGACTGGATCCGTCCCATCCGATCACAACTTGAAGTCAGCCATCCTATCTGGTTTGACAACGTGCCATGGTAAGCGCTAGTCAACATTACCGCAACGTATAATACTAACTCATTCGCCAGGCCTTGGATGCGCGAAAAGATGATAAAAAACGCCGCAGGATACCCAAACGAGCGCTATGGCCCTCTGTACTGCCAGAGTCTATCATTGAATTGGCCATATGACCCTCAGCAATGTCTTTTGCCGCGCGCGAACAGCGTCCAGGGTGCCGAAGCTACTTCAGCCGCTGTTCTGGACGATCATGAGGAGTTCATGATCAACCCTGTCTTCGAGTCTCACATGCGCAATCTCAGCAACTGGTCTGTCGGACCCGCCTTCGCCAATGCTATGCCAGAGCTTGTTGAAGGCGTTCCAATCAAGGAAAGGTAAACTGACCATCGCCTTCCTTGAATTTCCGTTCGCGCACTCGATGATCGTTCTCCTTTCCAACCTGACGACTGCGCTGATACGCGAGGCCATTAGTAGCATTTCGAGCTCGCCTACTCGGACCTCTTCATCGTTTGATGCGGAAGAGTCAGCCTACTGAGTTGAAATACTGTCAGAATTATTTTCTCTACCTGCGGTCATGGACCAAAATTTATTGTGAGGAGTCTGTCGCCTGGCTGGCAAGACCAGCTTCAGCCGAACTACATGTTGATTGACTGAGCGGAACGTCCGCGCTGTAATCCTATAGAGGTGAAGAGTGGGCTTACAACCCCAATACAAAATTTCATACAAGGTCTTATCATCCACAATGATTCTCTCTCTCGAAGCAGTACTTCCTTATCGGAGGTATTCGACTGCTCATACTGACGGTCTTAACCAAAGTAGAGGCTGGACATGCGTTGTCTTGCTCGCATGACAAAGCTTCAATCCAGGCTTATTATTTCCCTCTTCCACTTGGACATGTGGTTTACTCGAGCTTTCTGGATCTGGAGCTTTTGCCTTCTCCTATATCTTACAATATCAATCACGCTGGCTCTTGTATCCCGCATTCGTGCAAAGCTCATTGCCTATCTGTTTACTGCCTCTCTCTGCCAATCAGTCGTCCCGCCATGATCAAACATACCACATGTTCCATTCAGGTTCATCTCAACAATCAGCACTTGCGGTTTGAGCTCTTTGGTTCCGAGAAGACCAGAATCTGGCTGCTTCCACAGTTCACCAACCAGCCTCCTTTCATCGTAGCGAGAAGATCATCACATTACTCTCATGGACCCATCTAGCAGACATCATCAAACATTTGGGAAGAAAGAAGAAACAAACATACATCGACAAGGCCACGACTGGATCGAACTTGGCCATCAGCAAACATGATAGGATATATGAAGCCTGTGTCATGCCTTCTCAAACCACCATACCATCTCATCATACAAAAGATATCACAAGATGGCCACCACCAACGTCGATAACAGCAACTCTGACAATATGCCTGTCCGCAAGATCGATCTCAGCGATACCACCAAGTACCACCAAGTACCACAGCGATGGCGTCCCCAGATTCCGCCACATGACCAGAGAAGACAACGGCATGTTCCTCAAGAACCTCACTGAGGCCTTTAACAACAACTCTCGTTTCGTTACCGAACTTGGTAAGTGTCCCCAATTGTGCCTTTCTTCGCTTAATCTCGTTGCCGTTGGAACGACGTCTGACGTGTTTATTTCCGACATTCAGGCTACAAGGTCGACTTCATCAACGAGCCTCCTCACGGCTACGCCTCGTACATCACCCCTGACGTCCACGGTGATAAGTCCACCTACGGGCACCCCATCAGCAACAACGAGTACTACCACTCCTACGACTACTTTGCTGAGCACGTCTTCTCGATCATCAAGCGCGATCTCGACAACTGTGGCTGTACCCTTTGTGAGAAGGTCAGAGGTCTGGCAAAGTTGGGCGCTCGTAATGCTGCTTCCCTGGGAAAGCATCACGCTCGCAAGGCTGGTTCTTAAAAGTTGCATGTGGCGAGCAGGAGGGAGAGATACCTGACGGGATGATGTTGCATGGAGGAGGAAAGGCTGAAGGCGGGAGAAAGGCATCGTTTTTTATGGACAATCGACCGTGGGAATTGGGTGGTTGAGGTGTCAACAGACCAATCTTTCATTTGTTGCGGCACACGGCCTCGCATTGAGCCAGTGATTGATAGAGGGAGCTGTAATGAAAATCGACTCGCGAAAAGATTCAGATACCATCGCTGTAGAGGATCGCAAGATGATATTGACTGATGGAGAGACTTATTCGCTCCTTCCAGTACCGAAATGCACGCAGGAGACCCATACCTCGTCTGTTCGACTGTCGGTCTGACCGATTTCTCAAGCACCAAATCTCTCAAGGTCGTCAAGCAAGCATATGTGAGATCGGTCTCTAGCCACACTAGATAGGTAAGAGTGAAGATAAATTTGAGCATGAGGTCTCAATCTGGTCTCGACTTAATCTATACCACTACGTCACTCCAACGTCCAAGCTCACGACGCGAGGTGTGATGGACAAGAGCAGCCATCAATGTTCATCACTAAGCGACTCCATGTCGGACAGCAATGAAGCACCGGTGAAGCTCTCATTACCGCTGGTAGGGCCCGAGTACGCGAACAGGATGACGCCGGTGCTGACTAAAGTGTAGGAGTTCCAGCAGGAAATATTCAAAGAGCTCCGCGAAGAAGATGAGCTCGTCATCATGGCGCGTGGCCTCGGCCTCTTGCGTATTGTCACCAACCTCCTCCATTCGTACGATGCTGCCGGAAACAACTTGATAGTCGTCGTCGGCGCAGACGACCGCGAGAACGGATGGATCGGAGAGGCCCTGGCAGAACACGCTGCCATCAGCGCCTCGCCAAAATGCCGCGGATTGAGCCTGGTCAACACAGATCTCACGGACGTTGGACAGAGAGAAAAAATGTACAAGCAGGGAGGCATCTTCTCAGTCACATCGCGTATCCTGGTCGTCGACCTCTTGACTGAGAACCTCGACCCTGCAAAAATCACCGGTCTTGTTGTCCTCCACTCGGAACGCATAGCTGCTACCTCGCTCGAAGCCTTTATTGTCCGTGTCTACCGCCAAAAGAACAAGCAAGGCTTCCTCAAGGCCTTCTCTGATGCTCCTGAGCCCTTCGCTTCGGGCTTCGCTCCTCTGGCTACCATGATGCGCAACCTGTTCCTCCGGCGACCCTCGTTATACCCTCGCTTCCATGTCACTGTCGCCAAGTCTCTGGAAGGGCGTCGAAAAGCTGAAGTCATCGAACTTGAAGTCCCCATGACCGAGGCTATGCGCGACATTCAGAACGCCATCATGGAATGTGTTGAGGTCAGCATCTCTGAACTGAAAAAAGGAAACACTGGCGTGGATATGGAGGACTGGAACCTCGACAGTGCTTTGCATCGCAACTTTGATGCCATTGTCCGTCGACAACTGGATCCTGTCTGGCATCGTACAAACTTCAGAACCCGTCAAATCGTGCGTGATCTTGCACTATTGCGCAACATGCTACACTATCTTCTCACCTTTGACGCCGTAAGTTTCGTTCGATATCTCGACACCGTCTTGGCCGCTTCGTCTCCTCCACCTGGCTCGAATCGTCAAAACCAATCTCCCTGGTTGTTCTTAGATGCTGCTCACGTCATCTTTGATAGCGCCAAGCGTCGTGTATACACTGGTAACATCAAGGATAGTCAGAGTGTAAATGCCAGAACTGGTGTGCCCGATTCTCTACGTCCAGTGCTTGAAGAAATGCCAAAATGGAACCTTCTGGCCGAGATTCTGGAAGAGATTGAGCGCGACATGTACTTCAACCCTTCATTCCAGGAAGAGTCCAATGGCAGCATCCTGATCATGTGTGGTGATCAGGGAACATGCCGGCAGATTCGTGAGTACTTGCAGAGCATGAATGTCCTCCCAGACACTACGTCAGCAACCGATGATCCGGAAGAGGACACACGAGGACCATCCGGTGCTGCTATGATGCGCCGAAAGCTCAGAAACTATTTCCTCTGGAAGCGAGACTTCAACCGAGTGAGCAACTCACTCTTTGCCGAGAATCAGAAGAACATCAACGGCACGACTGACCAGCGTCATGGCCAAGCTGGGCGAGGAGGACGAGGTGGTGGGTCTAACAAACGCCGCCGCATGCGAGGCGGTTCATCTGTTGCAACTGCTCCTACACGCACAGCGAACGGAAGCGTTCATGTGGCAGGTGACAAAGAGTCTCATGTACAAAGCCTGTTGGCCGAGCTGGAGCCTACAGAAGCCGAAGCTCAACAGAAAGCCGAGATTGGTGCCGATCCTCTGGACGATATGGACGACTTCTATGAACTTTACGACATGAAAGATCTGATAATGGTGCACCCCTACGATGGTGACATGGACGAACACATTCTCGAAGAGACCAAGCCGAGATATGTTATAATGTATGAGCCGGATGCGGCTTTCATTCGACGCATTGAGGTCTACAGGAGTAGCCACTCGAACAGAAACGTGAGGGTCTACTTCATGTACTACGGCGGAAGTGTTGAGGAGCAACGATATCTGAGTTCTGTACGCAAGGAGAAGGACGCATTCACCAAGCTGATCCGTGAAAGAGGTTCGATGGCGGTCACTCTGACACACGACCCTGCAGGGCTGGACCCTCAGGAGTCATTCTTGCGAACAGTCAATACTCGCATCGCTGGTGGAGGTCGACTTGTTGCGACGGCAGAACCACCCAGAGTTGTCATTGATGTGCGAGAATTCAGGTCATCTCTACCTTCGCTTCTACATGGTAGGAACATGGTTATTGTTCCATGTACTCTGACAGTAGGCGATTACGTTCTCACGCCCGAGATTTGCATCGAGCGCAAGTCAATCAAGGATTTGATTCAGTCTTTCCAAAACGGTCGTCTCTACCATCAAGCTGAGACGATGCAACAGCATTACAAGAGCCCGATGCTTTTGATCGAGTTTGATGCACAAAAATCTTTCACACTCGAGCCCTTCGCGGATCTGTCAGCCGGTGTAGGTTCTGGCTCTCTGCAAGCATCTGACCTGCAGTCCAAGCTCGTACTGCTTACTCTGGCTTTCCCACGCCTACGTATCGTTTGGTCCTCATCACCATACCAGACTGCCGAGATCTTCGAGGAGCTCAAAAAGCAACAGGAAGAACCTGACCCAATCAAAGCTGTCAACATTGGTTTGGAAGAGAGTGACATGGACGGTCAGGAGAGAACTTTCAATCAACTGCCACAAGACATGCTTCGTGCTGTACCCGGAGTCACTCCAAAGAACTTGAACAACTTGATTCTCAAATACGAGAATATAATGGAAGTTGCCAACGCGGACGAGGATGAGTTGACAGCGTTTATCGGAAGGGAGGCTGGCAGACAGATCTTCCGCTTCTTCAACCGTAGTGTCTTTGATGATTGATGGGGATTCGAGAAGCGTCACTGCAAGCAGTACTATTAGTACAGTAAGATATAATAAGCAACGATCAACAACTAGTCACTGTCTCTGTCTCTGCCTTGAACACTGTGAATCAAACAGTCTCCTCGTTGCAGCAGTTATATCTTGGAGAGCAGGTCATCGACGCGTCGAGAAGCAACTTCTCATCCCAGTTTGTAGAAACTGTTGACTTGTCACACTCGTGTAAATGTCAATCGTCAGGAACTGGCTCGTCGAAAGGGTGGCTCGGGTCTTGTCGTCGTCGTCACGCAACAGGCAAGTGGTAATGTCGTTCGTGGTTGCCATCGCCAGCGCCGTACGACCGTGAGGCACCGACTTGACTCGGTGATACGGGGCCGCCTACAACAAAGCTTCATTTTGGACTACATATCGCCGTCGTCTTCCCTGCCGGCAATGATCCCGTCAATGACTCCGTATCATCGTCATCGGATAGTTGACTGACAACAACATCCTTTTCTGACCTCACAACACATGCTCGACGCCTATAAGTGAGACCATTCCAGGCAGTCATCCTTGCTCGTGATGCAACTGAAGCTTGTTACTTACGTCCCCAACGGTTCACTATACTATCTTGAGGCTTCCCTGTATCGACACTTCTGCTTATGATCGGTCCGATGCTCGTGCTCGGTCGTTCACTATTTACTCCGTATTTGGAAGTAGCAACACTCCGTGTGTTGTCGTTATTGTATGGAAGCTGCACAGGACCCGGTCCCTATGCTCAATCGCTCACTGCAAACTCCGTATCATCGGCATAACAACCCTCAGGAGCGTTGTCACTATTACATGTGATTGGTGCTAGACCCGGTGCTCGTGCCTAATGGTTCACTAGAAGAAGTTGTATGCCATGGTCGTGGCGACAGATAGGCAACGATGACAACAAACGCACGGAGAATCTTGCTGCTACTTCTCGTTCACTGTTGCAGCACATCACTATACATGAATCCAAACAGTTACGTTCCTACGAAAGACCTTCACGTCAAAAGATTCCTATCAGTGCCAGAAGCAAGTATCGCTATACCAATTCTGCGAGAGAAAGTACTTGTATGTTAATATACATTCGCACTACAGAACCACCACACATTCACGCACCACAAAAAGCCATGGCAAAACAATCCACGCCCCCGACGCCCTCTACCTCTCACTCGGGCCCCCATCGCCTACCTCCAATAACACCAGTCTCCAAACCCCCCGAGCCCAAAGCCCTCACTCCCTCCAACAAACTCCACACCTACAAACAATGTCTCCGTCACGACAATCTGGCCCGCAACACCGCGATAGCCGCCTTCAAAGCAACAGACACCTACATCTACCAAATGTGTCATTACAAGCGCTACACAATGTTAGCCGCCATCGCAGCCGAAGTGGATGCGAAAAGAATCGAAGCAGGAGAACATGTGTCTTGTTTGTTTGAGAAAGTGGAGATGACAGAGGCGCCGCTTTCTCCTGAGGAGGCGATGGAGAAGTGGGTGGATTTGAGGAAGGAGGTGCAGTCTAAGAGGTCGGGGTTGAGGGGTAGGGTTGAGCGGGATATCAGGATGCTGCCCAAGAAGGAAGTTGCTGCGGTCAAGAGCCTGAAAGAGCAGAAGGAAAGAGTCAAGGAGGAGCAGAACAAGATGTCCGAGGGGTTTACTTCGAAGGGCATTCCTCTTGTTATGATTGGCGATGATGATGATGATGATGATGATGATGATGATTGAAAGCACGAAGGGGAGAGAGAATGATATGTATGATAGGCAAGGAGGACACGACGACGTTCTGACGCAAGGTTTGATACTCCAACTGAGGTCATAAGAATGTATGATAATGTCATCAAATGCGGACGCACCCACTGAGATGGCCTCATCTTGTAGACTCTCGCTCATGCAGCTCAGTCCTGAATACAATTTTGTATTTTGACAGAGTACTCAAATCACACAATTTTCACGTGAGACAACGAGAAAACATACAGAGAACCGTACTGACTTGCGAATCCTAAAAATACAAAACAAGGTATCAGAGATACTCCGATCTTCTCGCTAGTTTTCTAACAAGAGAGTTTAAGCGCTAGAGCTCTTGATCTCGTCCTTTCTGGCTTGAGCGGCCTGCTCGGCGATTCTGCGTTCTTCGATAATGCGAGCTTTACCTGCTTCCTGGTGTGCGAGAGACTCCTTGTCCCAGGCTGTCCAGACTGTGGAAGAAACGTCAGTGTGTGATGCTAAGATTCGCATCGCGCAGGTTGGATGGGCTCGATAGAAGCGTAGATGAAAGAATTGAAAGTAGAAAGCATTCGACAGGAGACATGCAAGCCTGTCGTTGTCCAGTTGAAATAAAAGAGCAAGGAAGGAATCGATCAGAAGAAGAGTCGAAGTCAGTGAGAATAGAAGAGGAAAGAAACAGAAAAGAGATTGAGCAGTGGAAAAGGAAAAGACAAGTGATGAAACTTACGAGGCAGATCACTCTTCGAGTGCTTCTTGAGCTGTGCGACCCACTCATTGAAATTCTCCTGCTTCTCCTTGCGGTTCTCCAGCGATCTTCTTTGCAACTCGGGGTTGTATCTCTGTGTTTGCGAGTTGAATCAGCCACGCATTCCCACGACCATAGAACAGTCATCCCCTAGCAACTAAACAGAAACCGAAAAGCTCTCATCTAGTTTGAACTGGTGAGCGACTCTCAGCGTAACTAAAAACTCACCATGAACAATTCTTCCTCGGTTGGCGAGACGTAGTAGATCAGGTAAGGACCGCCAATACACAGGATCGCACCCCTAAAGTGACAATATATCAGCACGTATACTTTTGCACAGCGATATGGGTCTGGAAGCAGATTGTGCATACGATCCGATCATCTTTGCCCACAACTTTGCGCCAGGCATGGTGGCGAGGTGTATGTGAAAATTGGACTGTAAGGTTTTGCGACTTTTACGTTTCGAGGTGGAGTGATGAGTCGAGAGGGCTACTGTGGTTCTGAAACAACTGTTTGTGCGTCGGGATAGTCTCGCGGTTTGTTTATGCGATGCGACAAAAATATGGAAGATGTAATGGATGTCTAGCCAGTGGAGCTGTGGAGGTCAGCGCATGATCGAGCCACACCGCAGCCACAGTGTCTTCACCAGCCACATCTTGGCACAGATACCCATATGAGGAAGAAAGTAGGTAAATTTTTTGCTATGGTAAGAACCTCATAAGAATGGGACCGATTTCTCAAGTGTGTGCAGGAGCCTCGCCGAAGAAAATGTCGTCCAAAAGATTGTTGGAGAACCTCTTGTGCAGGCCCTTCGTAGTCCAACCCTGCCGTTTGCCAATTTTCTCCAGCGTCGCCAAACACTCTGAAATCTCGCTCTTGTATGCCACCGTCCTGACATATTCACGAGCTGGAAGACCACCGAAGCGCATCTTCACCCACTCTTTTCCCCAGTGTGGACGTAGCCTACCTACTGGAGCCAATGCAGTCAAACCATCTACGAAGCCTTGACAAAAAGTCTGCCACTCTTCCTCGGTGACCGTGTCGGTGACTGAGCCAATCTCGATAGCTACAGTGCCATGACTGTTCCCACGTTGAGGAGCCATGATAATTTCGCTGTTACCTGTAATTCTCATGTCCATCGCCAAACGCATTGGTGAATTCGCCGAGCGGTATACCAAGTCGATCACGACCCACCAAGCTTTTCTGACGACCAACCAGTCCGCCTTGCTCTTGTCCGTTGGTGAGGGCGGTATTGGTAACTCCAGCTCCATGTTTCTTGCCCTCGCGTAGTGGCGACCGCGTCGAAAGTGTAGTGCATTTGGCAAATTGGTCTTGATCTCGAAATCATCTGGATCAGTGGTCAATGGCGACAACACAGCCATGTTGCCTGTCACGAGTATCTGGGACTGCCATCTCGCTGGTATATCAGGATAGAAATCAGTCCCCACGATGACCGCGGTAATCTATGCCGCTATCCATTGCATGAATGTTTGGGCGGGAGTTGGGTAGTCCTCTTGCCCTCCACCATCAGAGATTGTCGACCATGTGTTGACAAGAACATCTGATTGGTAGGAAAACCACGACCACTCGGCATAGTGATCTTGTCCAGCCCGTCGCTCAAAGTCGGCGATCGCTTCCTGAAGTTCTTCCGGGCTGACTTCAGTATGGAGTGCCTCGGGAACTTGACTGGGATCAGGGGGTGGGATGGCAAGCATTGTCTTTACTTTGCGAGGCCGCATGACAGCGAAAGTCATTTTTTTGACTTCGTAGGTGACGTGCGTGATGATGCCCAGCAGTCCGAAGCAACCTAGTGCAGCGTGTAACTCGCTTGGATCCGTGATCGTCTGGACGGCACCATTGGCATCAACGTATTCGACTGACCTGATATAGTCGTTGATAGACTTGTGCGCCAGGCCTGAGCCGTGGCACATGGAACCAATTATACCGCCAGTGGTTATCCTGGTAACAGTCAGCTATGCATCAAGACAACCGTGACATCTCGCTTGACCTACTCGTCTGCCGTAACATCTATGGGCAGTGACCAACCGTCTTTGATCGCCCACTCGCGAAGCTCTTCAGGTGTTACCGCTACACCGACTCGAACATGCTGGGTCTCAGTTTGGCCTGCTCTGGGAGGGGAGGTTTGAACGCTTCTCAACTCTCCCGACACCTCCGCTTCGTTGATCCGACTTGTGAAGATGCTGATCATTTCTGGCAGCACACTTGCGACGTGGTGCAGGCTGACAAAAGAGACGAGAATATCTCCATCTTCAGCGAAAAAGTCGGATCTGGTATGGCGATAACCGCTGCATCGAATGCGCTTTTTGGGATATGCCTTGATCAGGTTCTGCAAACCGAGTACAGTGGATGGGACGAAGGTCAGGACTGGTCTGGTCCGTATGTTTTGCTGCTAGTTGAGGAACGGGATGTCGGCATGAACCTGTAACGTGTGTCAGCGGGCGGTCGTGCAGACTGATTCTAATATGCCATGCGGACCTGCATTATCATAGTCCTCTCGCGGTCTTCGAAGACGACGTGTCGATGCTCTACTGCATCTATTCCTTGTTCGACTTTGGCATAGGCGCGGCCGCCCAGAAAGTTATGCTTCTTGTGTGTCTCAGGGGCACGACCGCCGAACAGGTGCCTATGGAGACCCAGAGGCGTGGGAGTTGGATCAAATCCTTTGGCTGCGATGGTCTCTGCCGGAGTGCCACTGAGAAATGCCGAGACTTTGGCCTTCAACTCGGCATTGAGCTGGCCGTGCAGCACTTCGAAAGTGAAAGTGGCCTCAAAGACCTGACACAAAGCACGGATCGCATCTTCAGATTCAATCTCGTCGTTCCGGACACCATCGGCAAGCTGACGAAGCAGGTCCAGATCGACGGTAGGATGGATATCGGCCAATGCGGAGGCTTTCTAAGCAATCTCTCCAAGGATGTAGTAAGTGTCGAGTTTTGAGGGCGGTGGTTGATAGAGTTCTAGGAGCATGATGGAAGATGCAGAAGAAACGATAGGAAGAGAATAAAGAGACGTACAATCGATGTGGGGGCGCCTGGTAGGAGGTATCAATCTTGAGGCGGCGGTTGAGTTCAGAGTCAGAGTCATGTCTTGCTTCCACGTGTTGTGCTGCGTTCAGGGAAAGGGCAATGGCTGACTCCTTCCTCCCCGTGTGCAAGACTCGAAAGCTCTTCCCCTCCTCGCACGAATATCCAAAGCGATGTCCTTGCTACACAACGAAGGCACAATCGTCCAATCAGGGATGTAACCAAAGAAAGCTCAGATTATATACGGCATCTCAATGGAAACTGTCCCGTTTGTGGGAAGTAATGTGCATTTCTACACGGGTGGGAAGAAGCGGTGGGCTGCCTTATGTCATGATGCTCAGAAGCTCGAGTTACCTTGAACCTGTTCGGAGGTTTACGGACGATAAATTGATGGACTAGGGTACTCCGTACAGATCTAGACAGTATCGGGGCAAGCCTCACACTCGCCGCGGACACGACGACTCCATCAAGAGCGCTGCTGCGGGCTTCTCAGAACAAGTCAGGCAGAAGCCAGTAATCGGCTCAAATCATGAATCGGTGAACGTGGGAGTTGTGGAGGTCATGGAGAGCAGGGGAATGGAGATGAAGAGAACAACCGATGAGTGGGGCGGTGACATCTGAAGAGACCGGCTGGACCTTTGGTGGGCACGCGACAGCTGGATGATTAGTTGGCATAGATAGATGGAGATATGCGCAGAATACTCGGCCTGGCTCTCATCGCGATACCGACAGATGGGAACACGCGCGAGGTGGCGTTCGTACCGACAGCTCTTGACTAACAAAATGCTCCTCCCATCGCGAATCTCGCAGCGAGCGGCGTTGAGAAAGACTGCTCTTGAAAAGATGTTGTTACGATGGCTCGAGCGACTTGTGAAGCTAAGGTCGGAAGCTGCCAGTTTAGGAACGAGGGGGAGCACGTGGCGATTTCATTGGCTGAATTTTCCACATAGCTCTTCTCCCACCTCTAACGTGGTGAGGCCAGTGAACTCGGAGAACGATCCACTTCGTTATTAAGTTGGCGGCATTTGCCAATGCTCATCAGAGACCCCTCTCAACAGCCGTCGGCAAGCTGCTTCATGTGTGCGAGACCCATCTGACGCGCTTTCCAACCGCAAACACGACCAATATCGTCCCGGACCCATATGTCATAAGGATTGTGGTCCAAATAAGAGTCAGGCCCCGTCGCTCATCAGTAACTTTGCGTCGCTTGCTTGCCAATCACGTCCGATCATCCTCGGCAGCGAAGCTGTTCAACAACCCCTCCACGCCATAATTTTAGGGCGCCGAAAAGGCACTCTCGGTCAAAATGTGTGTGATCATCAGACACCTCTGTTTTCGCAGCAAATGTATCATCACGATCTGACTATCTCGCCATCAGGAAGTTCGGCAAACACATTCAGAAAAGGCAGCTCGATATCCCCGAATATGCCGCCAGCTTCGTTGACTACAAGGCGCTCAAGAAGGTAAACTCCTTACGCTGCCACAGTCCTGGTTCCTGCGAATCAGACGCCACATCTGCCTTGTGCTGACAATCCACAGTTGATCAAGAAGCTCAGTGCCACGCCAGTAATACACGCACAAGACCTCACAAATGCCGGAAGCGGTCTCGCGGATTCCCAAGCTTCACTACAAGCAAACAAAGCTACCTTTTTCTTCCGACTGGTAAGGCAGTATCTTCTTTTCTCGTTGGTCAGAAACTAACAATGCTGCAGGAGCGTGAACTGGAGAAGGTCAACATATTTTATTTACAGAAAGAGGCTGAGGTGTGTTAATGAATATCAGCGTCCGAAACTCTGGCTCACATCATCTCGCAGCTCAAATTACGGTTGAAGACACTGGCGGATAGGAAAAAGTCACTACAAGCTCGTGGATTATCTGCTTCAAAATTGTCCACAGTTTTTGTCACCCTGGATGAAGGTTTCCGCTTGTTCAACAGTGATCTCGACAAGCTTCAGGTTCGTCGTGTCAAATGCGGCTCAAGCACTCGGAATCTGACTATCATAGCAATTCATCGAGATTAACCAGACAGCCTTCTCAAAAATCCTCAAGAAGGTAAACTTTCGTTGCTCGCCACATTCCAGATATGGATCGCTAATACGATATCCTAGTGGGACAAGACTTCCAAATCACGCACGAAGGAGCTGTATCTCTCAAGAGCTGTAGAGATTCAACCTTGTTTCAACAGGGATGTTATCAGAGACCTTTCCGATCAGGCCACTTCAAGTTTGCTCGAGCTTGGCGCATGGGCAGAGGGCGAGAAGATTGAGTATGTCCCGACTGGTGACCAACAACCGAAACCTCAAGCAGGCGCGCAAGAGGACAATGACATCGAGATGCAAATGCAACAGGCAGTGAACACTGGTAACGAGACACTAATCAAGGAATGGATCTCAAGACTTGGATCTACAGATGAAGCAAAAGAGCGCATCAATCGCATCTTCCTCAGCACAATCAACGATGCCCCTCTGGAGATGCAGAACACACTCCTGGAGACAAATCTGGTCAACCTGGATTACGTGGACGAGATCAACGAGCGTACTTGTCTGCATGAGTTGTCGATCTCAGGAAGGCTTCCTAGTTTGACAATGGTCCTCGAGCGTGGAGCAAAACCCACCACGACTGATATCTATGGCCGCATTCCGCTGCACTATGCCTGTATGCGTGGCCATGTGGAGGTGGTCAAAGAGCTCGTCAAGTACGACTCGGCGGATGCAATGCAAGGCATAGAGAGTACTTCCTCAAACGCCGCACCGGTTGCCGAAACTGTTGACTGCAAAGACTTGGACAACTTCACACCTCTCATCCACGGCATTGTGCATGCTCGCTTCGCCGCTGTAAAAGCTGTCTTGGAATTGGGGGCCCGCGTAGACCCAACCAGCGAGGCTGACCACATTCCAATCAACCTGGCTTGTCAATACGGATCGGTCTCGATTGTGGATCTGATTCTCCAGTACCATCCACAGATTCTGCCCGATGCTGAAGGTCTCTACCCACAACATCTAGTTCCCCGGTCAGGACGTAGCCCGCAGATACTGGAAATGTTGAAGAATTACGGAGCCAACCTGGACCAACCTGACAAGCTCTATCAGTGGACTCCTTTATTCCATGCTGCGAGTGAGGGCCACTTGTCTTGCTTGCAGTCTCTGCTTGAATTGGGCGTGGACGTCGATGCACTGGACGAAAAAGATCTCTCCGCCATGTACTACGCTGCATGGGAGGGTCACCTCGACTGTTTACGTCTGCTAGAAAAGGCGGGCCATGGTAGAGGTATAGCTCGCGAAGAGCCAACTCCAGCTCCTGCTACCTTCCAATCTATCCTCAGCTCGAGCGCGCCCATCCCCGCAAGTGCAGACATGGAAGCAATCCCCGACCTCTCTCTACCTCCCCCTATCATACCTCTCAGACGCTATGGCCACAACTTCCTGGACACGACAAAAACATTCATCGTCATCAGTTTCGACTCTCAAGATTCGGATGCAATCGAATTCTATGGCGATAACAAGTACCCTGCTGCAAGATTGACGATATCATCCAAATCTTCAGATCTCATTCCTCGCAATATCCCGTTGCCAGTGCAGGACGAATTCAAGGTCATCTCTTTCCAAATCGACAACCTCGACACCTTCTCGATTGACTTTGACATCTTCCCAACGTTTGGCTCCAAGGTGATTGCCAGAGGTGCGGCGTCGTCACTCGTGTTCTCGAGCAGATACAGTAGTTCTGGAAACTGGCATCTGGAACTCTTCGACCCCAGACTCAGAGCCATCGGACGTATCAGTTTCAAGTACCAGGTCGTTACACCATTCCATGGCATCCCAATGGAGATCACGCAATTCGCCACGTACTGGAAGGCGACGAGTCAGATCAGCTCACAGCCCAACGCACTCATCACTGGTTCGAGTTTGAGTGGCGATTACATGCGCATTTTTGTGCAAGCAACCAAGGATGGTGTGCCAGTCCTATACCCTTCGTGGGCTATGCCATCTGCACTTGCAGCATACGGCGTGAGGAATGACCTGATCAGTCGAGTAACGTTCGAGCAGTTCTCCGCTATCGGCAGAGCAAATGGCAAAGGACCTGAAAGCCTAAGAGCTCTACTTGAATCATCACCTGCCGAGTTGGCCCAGGGACTCGCGACATCATGGTGTTCTCTGCACGACGTGCTCGAGATACTGCCTCCGCAGATGCATCTCGATGTGCACATGCTCTTCCCTACAAAGTCGGAAGAAGAGCTGCTGCAGCTTGGCCCGACGGGCAACATCAACGAGTTTGTGGATGCTGCATTGAAGGAGGTCTTTGATCATGCAAGGCGTCTACGTGGAGCCAACGAAGGCTTGATCAGATCGATTGTCTTTTCTTCTTACAACGCCAACATCTGCACAGCGCTCAACTGGAAGCAGCCAAACTGTAAGCGATTGCAAATGAACGCATCAGAAATACCAAACTGACATTGCTCACAGACCCCGTGCTCTTGTGTAACGACCTTGGCATCGAACAAGCAATGACAGAAGAGGCAGAGTGGCCGTTGTACAGCAGCGGACGTACCACGACATCTGTCAAGGAAGCGGTCAGGATCGCGCAGAGCAATAATTTCATGGGCCTGATGTGCAGCTCCAGATTACTGGAACTGGTGCCGGCACTGATTGAGTCAGTCAAGACGGCAGGACTGGTCTTGATCGCAGACGTGACCAACTCGACCACTCAGGAACAGGTCGCAAGAGCATCATTTGATGCGCTTCCCGACGAGGTGGACGGCTATCTCGACAACAATGCAGTGTTGCGATTCCACGAGAGCATCGATATGTAAAGACAGGCTATTAGATATGGGGGCCAGGACAAGGTGCAAGGTGTGACGAATAGAGGCGTTGTCTTTCGGGCGGAAGCGAGAAAAAGCAGCAAGGCTATCAATAGGGGAGCTGCATGACGATGGACGACTGATAATCATATTCATAAAAGACTTGAAAGAGAATCAAGCACCCTTGTAATTGTACTTGAGACGTTCCAAGCTGGCGACATCGAGGGGAACGAGTTGAGAACGAGCGTACATTGTGACGAGGAGAATAGCTGCAAGTAGGGAGTCAACAGAATAGACGGAAAACCAGTGGATGAGGGTGACACACCAGCAGGCAAGAAAGCACGCCATGCTTCATCCAGCAAGTCTCTCTTCCAAGCCAGCACACCGGACAAGGCCAGCACAGCAGTAAGCGCAACATTCAACCAAGGCAACGCAACATCCAACGGACCCCTACTATCAATCATCGCAGGCGACAGACTCCCACTATCCACAGCAGCCGGCGCAGAATGCACATGGAGCAAAATATACACCGTGCCTGCCAACGAAGTCAACGACAGCAGAGCCAGCAGCACATGCCTGAAAGAATCTGCAGAGAACAAGACAGGCAGGTATATCAGCGCTGCAGCAGTGGGTAAAGCAGTAAAAGCGCGTCGGTAGAAGATTGTGTTGTTCAAGTCTCGCTGCGCCAGGTCTTGGATGAGTGATTCCTGCTCTTGCTCGTCGAGGTCTTCGCGGTCGCTGGAGGAGTCGGCTGCGTCGTCGGTGGGGTAGTGGAAGGTCTTGCGTAGACGGGCGGCCATGGTTTGTTGTTTTGTAACCAGCAGTCGCGATCGGCCAGCTGCGAATTGACGTTTGGAGACGCCTGAACGCGGAAGACGCGCCGCGAAATGGAGAAGGAAGCTAGCTTCAGCATGACGTGCAGCTTGCTCTTTCCCGGAGAAAAGCCGCGAGTATGCCGATCAGATCAATCACCTTGCATGCCTCCATCAATCTTTCTGCTGCCCAGCCCAGAAGATACCAACACACACCACACACAATGCCACCGAGACTACCACTCCGCAAGCCTCTCGAGACCCTCATCAAGCGCAACAATGCCCTCACCATCACATCCCGCCGCACCCTCATCGCCGCCCCAAAACCAAACTCCGGGCCCCTCATGGAACGCCGCCCCGACCGCGCCCTCCCTGACATGACCCCCTCCAAGTCCTGGATGCTCACAGTCCCTCTCTTCCTGACCGCCATGGCCGCCTCCACCCTCGCAATCTTCAACTACCAAAAGCAAAATTCGTCCGTTGTGACCAGTACAATGTACTCGTTACGCACCAACCCCGTCGCAAGAGAGATTTTGGGGGACGAGGTGTATTTTGCGAGTAAAATTCCATATATCGGGGGAGAGATTAATCAGTTGCATGGCAAGATTGACGTGGTGTATTGGGTCAAAGGAACGAGACAGCAGGCCAAGATGAGGTTCAAGAGTCATAGGAAGACGAGGATGGGGATTGTGAGTTTTTGATGCAAAAGGGATAGAGAGAGAGGATGAAAGTGCTGACAAGGTATACAGTTTGAGACGACAGAGTGGAGTTTGGAGTTGGAGGATGGGACTGTGGTTGATTTGCTCAAGACCACTGACTCTGATCCTTTCGTTGCTACGCCCATGGAAGCAAAAGTCATCGCTGCCGAGGCGTAAGAATGTCTTTCGGGACCTTTCTGGACGCTGCAAATACGCCCTTCGACCCCTTCGCCATATGTCGACTTCCCGGACGCATAACCATCAAGAATCGACGGAAGAAAGCAATTCGCTTTAGCTTTACACCAAGCATACTGTAACACTAGACATGGCTTGCTATAGCCACCTTAAGCGGCCATACTGTACATATACCACCCACCAAGATGAAGAAATGCATGAAACCAAAAGATTTACACCATTTCCGATCTTCTACTCTCGGATTCGAGCTCTCCCTTCGCGCAGACAGGCTGGTATCGTGAGAAGAGCAGTGCTCGACGGCCTGGTTGCTGTAAGGAGAGAAGGAGCTGCTTGTTTCTACGCATGCTTACATCAACCACGTTCAAGTCAAAAAGTCAGGGAAGATGACCAACCATTCCAACAGTCACATCTACATCACAGGAATGGCACAGTCAGCATTTGGGGTCATGTTTCGATTTGAGTCATCTATTCATTCTCAAAGCTGGCTCTCCAAAACTCTCGCAGAGCACTGAGGCGATCCCGACACCCTGGGAACTATCGAGGTTTGCAGCATACATTATTCTTCCTTGCCTTCTCAACTTCAGAAATGCCCCATCACAACCTCAAAAATGTCCCATGGAATAGCCAGACACTCGGAGCGATAGAGAGAGAAGAGGTCAAATACACCTATTCAAGGCTGAGAGAGATGAAGTGTTTTGAAAAAGACTCCGTGCTTGGTAAAAACAGCTTTGCCAGACCACCGCCGGCGTGCTTTGAGTCGTATGTGTGTTTGCTGATTTGCTTTCATGATTCATTCATGTCGTGGATACGTTTGTGGGTTCGTTTTCATGATTCTCTCATGTCGTAGATTTGTTTGGAGTGTTGTCTTGGGCGCTGTTGATTTTGTATCCATACGCGTGTCCTTGGTGGGGTTGAGTTCTTGTTTCGTACCTTGTGGCTTTGGCTGACTTGATTTGATGCGTCGATCTGACGCTTGTTGCTTGTTGTTTTGCACTGCCATATTGTTGCTTTGATGGTTGATTCTTGTTGCTTTGTACGTTTGATCGTGTCATACTTCCGTCGCGTCGTGGTTTGCATTGCTCGTGTTCCCGAAGTAAGCCTTGTCGGTGGGTTGCTTTGATTGTTTGGAACCGTCGTCTTTGTAGGTTGATTCTGTGACTCGAATCGATGTTTTGGAGTCTGTGTTATTGATTTGTTTCAAGCTTTCTTCATCGCATCGTGGGTTGAGTTTGCAAATAAGGTCTTGTTGGTTTGGGCGTTTTGGTGTTTTGTTTGATTGAGTTTGGCATTTGCTGTTTTGCCGAAACTCAGGGGTATCTCGAGTCGTGTTTATCATTTCTCATCAGGCATTCTTCGTCATGTTGTGGTACTTTTGCGATCAATTTTGGAAGGATGTTTTGTTGTTTGTATCCTTGTGGTTGTTGTGGTCCTTGCATTTTTCGAGACTTTGGCTTCTCTGGGACCTGGAGATATTTGGTATCTTGTCTGTTCTTTCCATGCTTTCGTCATGTTGTGGGGCTCCGTGTTGGCTGCTGCGTCTGGAAAGCAGAACTTGTTGCTTTGATGATTGCCCTGGTCGAAGTGGTAGATCTGCTCAGGTTCTTTTGCTCTGGCGGCTTTGTCTGGCTTGGGTCCGTGTCTGTTCAATCGACGCCTGCTGGTTCTTTGTGTTGAGCGTTGCTTTCGTGGGTATCGCGAAGATGAGAGATGATTATGTTCGAGCCAGGCGAGGAGAACGGCTTGCATGACGGGCAAGCGTATCTTGAGGGCTAAGAAAGAGATGGGCGGGCTTGGATGATTGGCAAGCGTAGAGAAGAGAGGGTTGTCGAACTGGAAAGCAACTCTCGCGAACTCAGGAGGAGACAGTTCGAACGACAGGCAAGCATATGCTGCGTGTCAAGCAAGGAGAAGGAGGGGCTCTCATGGGAGAAAGGTTCGGCTCTTGCATCCCAAGAGAGTAAGCTCGTATGACGGACAAGCAGAGAAAGTAAAGGTTGTCGGGACAGAAGAGTCAATCTCCTGGATTCAGGAGGATTCGATCCGGAGGACAGACTTAGGTAAAGAAGCAGCCAGAAGAGAAGTATGTCGTAAAGAAGCGAGTGCGTCTCATCTTTCTTGTCAAAAAAGGAAGCCAGCTCCCTGGAGTCCGAGAGAAGAAGAAACACCACTCATGTTGCTTGTTACGAGGCAAGCGCACCTCTCGCATCCAGGAAGAGACAGATTGTTGCGAAGAGAAAAGCTGAGTCTGTCGGAGCCAGGTATCAACAGGCTTGTTGAAAGGCAAGCGCACCTTGTTCTGCTTGCTGCGAGGCAAGCGCCCCTCATCTGGCTCGTTGAAAAGCGAGCGCATTGAGAAGAAAGAGGCTGAATTGAGGAAGAAAGTGGCTTGTGTTGGAGAGGCAAGCGCACCTCTAGCTTGGTCATCGGGTCCTAAAGTCGCTTCACCTCTGCCATGTTGTATTCGTAGCCGACCATAAAGTTCAGCGAGTCGTTGTGTTCTCTTGTGCCAACCAGTCTACTGATATTGGCTGCAGCGGCCGAAGCGGCAGCGGTTGGTACAACGGTGGAAACAGGTGCAGATGCAGACATAGGTGCAGTCGTGTTCACAGTTACTGCAGGAGAGCCGCTCGTTGTGTTGTCATTGGTGACTGATGCAGAAGATCCTGGAGTTGGCACCGATGTCAGGGATGAGGAGGACGGGGCCTGGATCGAGGGAGAAGGTGGTTGAGCGCGACAGGCTGATGACGCTGTGCGCCGGGGCTGCAACGCAGAGAGGTGGTGCCATGATGGCGGGAGAGAAAGAGGAAGAAAAGAAGAACATGATGGTGGTGATGTTGATCTTGACGGGGGCGGGACGAGGGTGAGGGACAAAAAAGATTGTATGACCAACGTGAGAGAAGGAAGGAAGAGAGAGAAAGCGCAGCGTCAAAACAATGCTTCCAAAGTGAGCTGAGTGCGCCGAGGGACGAGCCAAGACTCGGCCACGAGTGAAATCGACGGAAAATTGAAGTGAACAAACGGAGAATCATTCACTTTACCTCTCCTTGGACAGTACTCGAAATCAATGTTCCCTCGTGCATTTCGATAGTTGGATTCCAAGCGTCGTTGGACGCTGAGATCGTCGAACGTCGAAACCAAAATCACGGGCAAGTTCAAACTTGCACTCCAGGCTTCTAATATCATTTTCACCATACGTAAACATTCAGAGTCCATCCCATCCTGCTGATGTTGCTGTCTATCAACTGTGATGAACAGACAGTGGTGGTAGAAAGGAAGCAACAGACGTCGAATCTCAAATTCAGGGGTAAACTCGGGCCCGCTGCCTCTACGCTCAAAGACTCATCGACTGCCTTAGATCCCCAACAAAGCTATGTCTCGCACAAAGAACCCCATACACTACTACAAGAAACCTCTGTCTATGGCAACTACTCGGAAGAGAAGTGCATTTATCATTTCGTCCATGGGAGCCTTCTACAGGCAGTATCAGAGACCCGAAGTGCATCTCCTCCTTGGATCCTTCGAGATACTCTGGTGCTTGTTCATTCCTCGTAATCAAGTATCACAATACTATTTTGACTCTTAACAATACATTTGCTTCAGAAAACCGTATATCCACATGCCAGAGTTAGTCACATCAAACCCATAGAGATGCACAAGACTGTCCACAAGAGACTAATATCTATTGAGAGTCAGTAATCTAGCTTGCTTCTCTGGTTATGCGTCCAATCTGTTACATGGCTGTGCTATTTTATGGTCCATAGTGGAGTTCATGAAGTAGAAGAGAAAGCAATTGATAGTACAGCCACAGCCATTTCACATACAGAAAACAACCACAACGTAACCATAAAAATGCACAACCCTTTACAAGAATGACTGCTGTCCGTTGAGAGCCGATATCTCAGGACTCTTCTCTGGTCATGCTTCTATACCATTACATAGCTGTGCATTTCTATAGCTCATGATGTAGCTGTATCGAATGATGAGGGAAATGTTCATGGCGAAGCTACAATCTCTTCTTATACACAAGACCGTCACATCACAACTATAGAAATGCATAAACTTCAGTAGAAAGGAGTACATTCCAATGAGAGATATCGCTCCAATATATCTCATTCGCCACAACTGTGATCAGAGAAGCAGCTGTGCATTTCCATGACCGAAAATTACTAATATGCAATGGGGAGAGATAAGTCGATCATCAAGCGGAACCCTCTTCGTGTACACAGACAGTGGTATAGTAGCTATAGAAATGCATAGTTGCGTACCGTGAGGAGTCAAATCCATTGAGAGACGTCGTTGTATGATGTCTCTTTGGCTAAAGCGTTGATTGGAGAAACAGCTGTATATTCTGATGGTCTACGATGTGACTAGACATGCCCGGGAGAGTGGTATTAGATCACATATCAGGGGGGAATTACGTCAGCGAGATATTTACTCAGAACATTTCTTCTATTGTTTTTGGTTTTTTTAATATTTTATATGCAAAAATGCAACACAGAAAACTCCTGACTACAGACTCCAAAAGAGCAGAACCCGAAACGACGGAGGTCAACTCGATGTCGCCAACCGGGTCAACTCGACGTCGCTAACCGGGTCACAACTTCTTCTTGCCCCTTCGGGCCTCCTCCATGTCGAGAGCTCTCTGCAGCTCCCGTGCCTCTCTTGAGGCCTCTAATGGCTCGTGGTGCTCGACAAGACCATTGTCGGGCTGGTCTACAGGAGGGGAGGAGGGAGCAGCGACCGCCTCCTTTCTCTTCCTCTCCTCTTCTACGTCCTTTGCGTAGTTTCTCTTTGCTCTGGCGAGCAACTGCTCCTCGCGGTGCTGTCTCCAACGAGACAAGAGACCTGGCCCCTTTTGGGCCTTCTTCCACTCCTTGGCCTCCCTTTTCTTCTGTGCCTTCTCCGCGGCGTTAACAACCTTGAGTTCGGCAACGAGGTTGCCCAGTGAAAATTCATCATACTCAGCTTTAGCCTTAGCCTTAGCCTTAGCCTTAGGCTTGGGCTTGGGCTTTCTAGCAGCTGTCAGAGTGGAAACAGCCGTGCCTACAAAAGACTTAGGCTTGGCATCGCTAGGAGCCTTTGTTGGCTCGGGCTGTGGTCCGGAAAGGTTGTCCATCTCGTATCCCTCCACAAGGTTGTCATTATTGAGACGGTGCACATGTCTGGTAGACTCTCTCTGGGCTGCAGAACGGCCACCGTAGTAGTTATGATGACTCAGCTTCTTGGTGTCCTTGTAAGGATTGGCGTCAGGGTCGGCCAAGAGCTTGGGTTCAGGCAGTGTCTCGAAGAGGTGGTACCTGTCATTGGCCTTGCCTCCGCCATAGGGGCGAGGGTAGGGGTTGTTTCCATCAAGGCCGTTAGGGAATGTAACCTCTCCAGGGTCCTGCTCACGGGGAACATAAGGCTTGTAACGGACCTTGAAAGGCATGGTCAGGGGGTCGATGAGGAATCTGGCTTCTGGTGGAATAAAGGGGGGTTGCTCAGGCCTAGATAGGGATCGATCAGAAGGGCTGGTGGTGACGTTTGAATAGGCAAAGCCAAAAGAAGGTCCAGAGTTGACATACGGATCAGGCAAGGCGGAAGCAGGATCACTGACAACACGCGAGTCGGCAAAGACAGAAGAAGCACCAGCGGTCGTTTCCGGTTCTTTGAAGCCAACACTCTTGCGCCTGCAAGGGGTCTTGTGGGCGGATCCGGGAGTGACCAGGATAGATTTCAAAGATTGCGGAGAATTGGGCGACTTTGGTTCGTCGAGGACGTTTGGTTTCGGGTTGTGACCAGATTTGGGCGAAGGCGGATTCTTGATAATGAGTGGTTTGTTGTCATGAGGAGACCTGGGCGAACGCGAGTCGTCGAAGACAATTGGTTTGAAGTTATGACCAGACTCGGGTGAGGGCGAGTCGTGGGTAGTGACTGGCTTGAAGTTATGGGTGGACTTCGACGGGGGCAGAGCGGCAGTTGATGCCACAGGTGTGAAGAAGTGGGAAGATCCACTTGAATTAGGCGTGGAGACGACCGGTCTGAAGACTTGAGGAGATTGAAGAGAGGGTGGAGGAGGAGTGACGGGGTCGGGGGCATGAGCTTGGAGCGAGGACAAAGAGTTTGAAGAAGGACTTTCATGAGGACGTAATATTACAGGACTACCGTTTTCATCTGTAGTAGATCGACCAGGACGATGTGGTGAAGACCAGTGACCATCCGAGGAGCGCATCTGAAGGGGACGGCCACCGCTCAGTTCTTCTCGCGCTTGAGGCGTGCTGGAACACATGTTAGAGGCTTTTGTATGTGATAGTAGTTTCGGGGATAGCTTACAGAGGGATGCGCGCAGGCTGAGGCGAGCCTTTGTCCATTTTGAGCGCGATTTGGTTGTCGATGACTCGATACTATGGATCAAGGCTGGGCTCTTGGATTGGCTGACAGGCACACTCGATCTATCAATCGTCTGAGGAGTATCCGTGGGAAGCAATGAAGCGACGCTTGGTGAAGGAGAGGGCGATGGTGACAAGAGACCCAGGAGGTCGTAAGTGCTTTTAGATCTGGTCAGGGTGAACTTCTTGAGTTTCTCCTTGGTAGCAGAAGAGAGCTCAGCAATGTTCGTGCTACTCTTGGTGGTAAGACGAGCCAATCCGCTGTAAATCTTGGTGTACGGTTTGGCTTTGGGTGGATTGGTGTTCTAGGATAGTTAGTCGATGTAAGATTGCCTGATGATCAAGGGTAGTTCTGACCTGCTCAGGAAGCGTGATGCTCTGCGCACGAGATGCGTGAACCTCCTCGTAGGAGGCTGTCTCTGCCGAGTACTCGCTCTCGTTGATTGACTCGCTGATGGACTGACAAGTTAGGCGGCTGTCTGCGCAAGGTCGAAACAGTACTTACAGGAAGGCTGTTCTGATAGAACCTTCTGATCTCCCTCGAAGGCAAGGCTGGTTGAGTAGGCACACGATCAGATACAGGAGTACTGCTGTTGACTACGGGAGGACACCGTCTCTGAAATTCCTGGAAGGAAGGTCGAGGGTCGGGTTCGCGGTGAATCGAACTCATATTGACAGCGAGCAATTCCGCACTAGTCACGCGCTAGTCTGGCTGGTGACAGCACGGGTTAGCGTGCACGTGAGATGGTCTTGACAGCGAGGTAGAAACGAACAGCGAATTTTTCTGATGTGTAGGACTCGAAGTCGATGAAGAGGAATTACAAACCACCCATCATCCTCACTGTTGACGTCTCTATGTGCTCGGCGACGACACTAACCTCGTTCGGCCGTCGCGGAGACGCACCTCTAACCACCCAGATAACCCATAACATATCCTACAGTCCGTCCCTTGGGTATCAACGAAGCGAATAAATAATGAAGAGAAAAGAAAAAAGGAAAGAAAAAGGAGCAAAGGCCCATGTCTTGACCACCATGGCCGCAAGCCACTTGTCCGCACTACATGACAGTACAGCAGTTCTTCTTGAGGAAGCGAATAACCTTGGGCAGGTTCTTCTTGATCTCCTCCTCGTAGTCCATCTGCTGTGTTCCCTGTTGTTGTTGTTGGTGATTCTGCTGGTAGCCTTGCTGCTGGGAAGGGTATCCTTGCTGCTGGTGGCCTTGCTGGTTTCCAAGAGGATAGGCAGTCTGGTACTGGGGCTGTCCATGGTGTGATTGATCGTACTGCTGAGGCTGACCATAGTTCGAAGGAGGAACAGCAGCTCCACCAGTGAGGTTGATGTAGATTCTACCTTCGTTGTGCTCGGTATGGTATTGGAGGCCTTGCTCCTGGCAGATCTGCTCGACACGAGGCTTGATCTTTTGGACATGGTTGACAGAGTGATTGCCCTTGCCGACAATGCTGCATCTTCCATCAGAGGCGTTCGAATTGCAGCAAACTTCAAAGACTACTCACACATGCAGATGGTTCTGGCCGGTACTCTTTGCGTACTTGATTCTTTGTTCGAGGATCTCTTCGGCCTCTTCCACGAACTGACCGTGAAGGTCAATGGTATCCCCATCGACTCTTCCTACAGCATTGTTCTCACGAAAGATGTACTCAGATGCCTGTCTGTTGTAGTCGTCTGCCTTTTGTCCATGGTTCTTTGCTTGTTGCGACAGGTCGTGAGCAGCACCTCCATCTCCACGCGCGTATGCTTTCTGCGACTCGGCGGAATAGTGTTGGCGTTGACCGTGTTCCTTGCGCGCAAGATCTCTCAATCTGTCGTACTCGGCTTCGGAATCGCCAGACTGCTGGTGGTTGAAGGCTGAAGCCTCACGTTAGTACTCTGTGTATCCACGATAGACTGAGACGCGGTTGCTTACCGCTGCCGCCGATACGCGTCGAGGATGGGAACGACATGATTATGCACTACGGGTATGGATATGTGTACGAATGCGAAGCAAGGAAACAAAACAAGGACGGAAAATGAAAGGCAGCACACCCAAAGGCACTGCCAGAGCCCAGATCAGCCACCATCGAAAGTTACCTGCTGCTTGACCAGTTGTCGGTCAAACTGTTTGCTTGGCAAAGAAACAAGAAACACAATCCGGGGTTCGAGATCTTCGTCCTCCACATGAACCACACCCTTGGCGACCCTCTACGTTTTCACGATGGTAGAGCAACCGACGGCATCGAGTGGTGTATGCGGATATTCAGAATTCAGTAATCTACACGCCTAAAGCCGTCAGTCACACATCGTCCTGATACCGACGACATGGGTCATCTAGACTCATTGCCTCGAGAACTTCTGTATCTGATTCTCGAACATTGTACCTTCGAAGATTGCAAAAATTTGCGAGAAACCTGCAAATATATCAGTGGTCTTACAAATGCCCGAGTATTTCAGACATACCGCATAGCTTTCTTCCAATCTCATTTGGAGAGATTCGTTCGACTTTCGTCAAGGCCAGATATTGCACAATGCATCAAACGTCTCGTCTTCGTAGGAGATATATTACCGGAAATCGACTACATAAACACTTTCGAGAATCTGATCGATATGCGTGAACCCTGGTCAATGTTTTCCAAAAAGTACATTGAGGTAAGCACTATTCTTCTAGCAGCGAAGAGACCAAAGGCTCACATCAACTCAGGAACGCATCACAGTGGATACAGCACGTATGGACAGTCGTTTGTCTTCTGATGATGAGTACGACTTCCGGATGCGAGTGTTGACAGAGAGACAAGATCTCCGTCAAGCGGCGTACAAAGAGTACGACAGCATGCCCAAGCACACTCTCGATGACGACGAGATGTACTATCACTTCGAGCAATACGCGAGATATTGCTGCGAACAAGAGATCTGGGGTCCGGACCATTTGTTCCTTGATGCGCTATCAAGACTGCCAAACCTGACATCCGTTGAGAATGCAAAGCATGGCTTTGCTGACAATCACCTACATTTTCCATGGAATCGGATCAAGAAGGACATCGTCATCACTCCCGACAATTGGATGCAACTCAATGCGGTCGAAGTCGAGGATGATGACGGAAGTGTCGTAGACGCGCTGGGGAAGCCTGTGCACATGAAGCATGCAGATTGTCTTTTGGCTGCGATCGGACGTCGGGCAACCTCATCACATGCGTCTCCACTTCGATGTCTGCGACTTGTTAATGTTGGTGCGCAAGCGTTCCTCGATCTGAGTGAATACTACTTTCACATGCCAGAGATCGAGCTTCCGGCATACGAGTTTGATACTGATCTTTCTATACCTGAATTGAGGCCAGAGGCACTTCAAGAGCTGGTCTCCGCCAGAATTCAGGGTTTAGAACACTTGGAAAAGCTAGAACTGGACGTGACGTATACCGACTCTCCTCTACATGGTCCACGGCTCGCTGTGATACAGACAAGGCAACTGTTCCAGGAAATACACACCATCTTATCGGCAGCAGCACATTCGTTGAAAACTTTGAGACTTCAGTGCCGTGATGATGAGGGCACTTGGGCTGCCGAAGAACGACCCATGAATCCTGAAGACGACACGATAGCTCATCTCAAGATTCCTCTGCTACCACAACTTGAATCTCTACGACTGAGCTGCAATGCAACCGAGAAAAGTCTGATCGAGCTCCTTCGCGCACAATCGAAAACACTGCGCTGTCTTGAACTTGTAGACTGCGATCTGAACATGGGCACCTGGAACTCCGTCCTTCGTCAAGTCCCAGAGATATTCGAGATCGGCTTGCAACGCATCTACCTGGAAGGCCTGCATGACGAAGACTACCCACGAGATACTGGCGACGAAGCATTGTTCGAAGATGGTTTGGATGTTGGAGAAGGCGCACACCCTCACGATCGCGCTATCCTCAAGTATTTGCTTCACGGTGGAGAGATGCCCGAGTTGGATTTCAATAGTTGGTATGAGCGCAACCGTGAGCTTGCTGACAGAGGCATCACCGAGTGGGAAGACGAGCTCCTCGATTCAGAAGTGCCGTAGTTAAGGATTTGCGATTGATGAAACAACGACAGTCGGCTGGACTCGTCTTCAGAAGAGTCATTGGCATGCGAGTCGGGATAAAATCAGACGACATGCCAGCATAGCGTGACTAAGAAACGATCGAGGCGGTTCTTATGCGGTTGGATAGACGTGGTCATGGATGATAGATTGACCTTTGGCGAATTCGACTTGATAAAAGCTAGATCGAGCACCTTGCATCTTAGTATGTGATGACATTGTGATAGGAACATGTCCCCAAAGACTTTATATTACCATCTTAATATGCTATCCACGTGTCTGCCACCGCTGGCATGATGATCGCCCGTCAATGCATGGGGATACGCATGAATCATTACGATTGCTCAAAGTTTAGATCTCGAATCTCGAGACACCGACAAGTGGTATTGGCGGCATGACTCGGTTGTCTGTTACAGGAGACCGTTACATACGGCAACCTCTTTTTTTCTCTCCGACCGGCGGCACTATTGTTTAGCTAAACCGTGGACCGGTGAATCCTGGAGGCTTTGGAGGCGTGCATCGGTAAGTAGGGCCCGCACATGGGAGTGGATACAACATGATTGCTGTCTCGTATCTGCGTAGCGTTGAGGACAAAGGAAGCAGCAAAGAACATTCTTGAGCACTGCACCGGGTTGCTCGGCCCAGCACGGGTGAATTGAATGATTGGTTCGGGGCAGCAAGCGGCCCGTAGCGGGTCATGGTACCCAACGGCTCGCCAGGCTCAGGGACCGCAGCACCTGAGCATGGACAAACACCGGACTGACCAGAATGAGCACGCTCAGGTTTCCGACCAGGCAATCGAGAGGAAAATCTGCATCTGCACAGAGAAAAAACAAGCGGCAGTTGGTAATGTCTCAATCAGAAGGCTGCGTGGTCCTGCTGTGGCCGAGCTTGGCATGCTGCAGTGTAGCTCATGCATGGAACCCTTGCTTCCCTGCAGACTGCATACATGCCTGAGGGTCGGAAAGAGGGCATCAGAAGAACACATGGCTGCAGCTTGAGCTCTGAGATGGAGAGGGCTGTCAATATAGGGTTTGATGAGAAAATAAGAGGGCATGATAGCAGACAATATAGAGCTGGACTAAGCGTAATACACAGGGTAGAGGAAAGTCCGTGACCTGACACGGATTGTATATGGATGGCTCTGTAGGCAAATCTCGCGCGGACGGAAAGACGATCGAGTGAAATGAGGCCCTCACACGTGTGGCAGGCATGCGAAGAGCGTGTGTAAGACGGAAGGGAAGCTTTGAGGAACTCGAGGAAGGTGCGACGCTGCACGCGGCAGAGAATAGCAGGCTCGATTTCTCCGTGTGGCTGCCGATTATGAGAACAATCTGTACACGACAGGTAGGTACGAGTATCCACAGGGCTTGTATAGAGTTGTATCAGGGTGGAAGCTGGAGCTTGTCAGTCCAATGCTTGATCAAACGGAGCAGAGGAAGGGACATGGCTCACAGCCGAAGGTTCCCTTGCTATCCACTTGTAGCACGTTTCAGGTGGTCTTTGCATGGCGCGCAACGGGTGGGCGCCGCCGTGCACTTCTGGTGGCCGACTAGAAACAAGTTGAGTTAAAGCCGTGACCCCACTGTTTGGATATGCGAGCTGCTCAAGAACGAACGAATACCGCGCTCCGGGCCTCCCATATCTTGGACCGCTCCCTTGCTGATTCCACGTTATCGCCCCTCTCGTCCCGCTTCGTCCTACCTCCCTCTTCACGCACATCCCTTGGGTGCTCCCATTCATCCGCAATCGAACAAGAGATTGCCCTATACGAACCGCGATTCTTTGGCTCGGCGAAGGATCATAGCTCTTAGACACAGACCCCGACGAGTCTTTTGTCGCAATTCGCAATCACACCATCATCTCCCTGGCTTTGTGTCAAATTAACTCTCCCGAACGACACGAGCCCTCTCCAATCCTCGCCGCACTTCGACCTCTCGAGTACAGTCCTGCTGGCGCGTACCCTGTCCGCAAACAAATCCACCACCAGAACCGCACACCGCCGATCGAATGGGCTTCATGTGTTTCGGAAGCTCTAAGCAGGATGATCCGCGTGCCAGGAAAAATGCCGACATCGAAAAGCAGCTGAAGGCCGACCAGAAGAGACAGGCAAAGGAGGTCAAGATCTTGCTTTTGGGTGCGTTATATACAGGGACAGATGGAACAAGCAGAAATGCTGACACGCAAATCTAGGTGCTGGAGAGAGCGGCAAGTCGACAGTTTTGAAGCAGATGCGTTTGATCCACACCAAGGGTTTCTCACAAGGCGAGCGTAGGCAATGGAAGGTGACCATCTTCAACAACTTGATCCATGCCTTTCAATGTATTCAAGGCGCCATGGAGGAACACGACGTCGCCTACGGAAACCCCCAAAACATCAAGGCCATGGAAGTTGTGTGCTCGGAACCAGAGATCGGAACCGATGACCCTATGCCATTGGAGTGCATGCATGCTTTCAAGAACCTGTGGGACGATGATGGCGTTCAGGGTGCTATTGCAAAGGGTCACGAATATGCGCTGCACGACAACCTCGAGTAGTACGTCTCTCGTCACTTGCAGAACACAAGAGACCCTATGCTGACAGATCAACAGCTACATGAGCGACCTCAGCAGACTTTTCGAAAAGAACTATGTTCCCGGAGATCAGGACATCCTGCGTGCACGCCTTAGGACGACAGGTATCAGCGAGACCATCTTCGACACTGGCAATTTGACCTTCAAGATGTTTGATGTCGGTGGTCAGCGTTCGGAAAGAAAGAAGTGGATTCACGTTTTCGACAACGTGCAAGTCGTCTTGTTCCTTGTGGCCATCAGCGGTTTCGATCACGTCCTGGTCGAAGACAAGAATGGAGTAAGACTCGAGAAGACATCCCCGATGTGGTCAATTCCATGCTAACAGTACATGCAGAACCAAATGCACGAAGCTCTGATGCTCTTCGAATCCATCGCCAATAGTCGCTACTTTGAGAAATCCGGCCTGGTGCTATTCCTCAACAAACTCGACCTTTTCACTGAGAAGGTCTCAACAGGCCGAGGACGCATTCGCGACCATTTCCCAGACTACACAGGCAGCAACACCGATGTGGCGGCAGGTCAAAAGTTCTTCGCTGACAAGTTCCGCAACCTGGTACGGGATCCTACAAAGGAGGTCTACGTGCACGGCACGACGGCCACGGACACCAACCTACTGGAAAAGACGATGAAGAGCGTGCAGGACATGATCGTTCAACGCAACCTGCACTCGTTGATGTTGTGAGTGGACGACCCTTTGCGACTACCTGCGCTTCAAAACAAAACACACAAAAAGAACAAAAAGAACAAAAAGACCATTTCCCGGATCTTGTCTATTGGACCAACCGGGTGGATCCTTCGTTCATGATTCTTCTTCACTTCGCGCACACTGCTTTTTGTTCTGGTTCTTCTTTACGCACGCATAAAAAAGACAACACATTCTGATTTCGACAGCACCTGAACTACCTCTACAACAACAGTCTGGTTGTAAAGACAGTCGGTTGGAGGTTTTGGTCTGGGAAGATTGTTTTTCTTGAATTGATTCCTGCGTTGCATGCTGAGCGACCTGGTTTTTTCACGGTACTTTGAGGAAGGAGTTTGGTGCTTTTTGGGAGGGATATCCTTTTGTTTTTCTGTAAGTTGTTTGAGCTTGTTCTTTTTGATCGAATTTTCGACCGTTCGTATCTACATCCTGGCAGGCAAGCAGGAACAAGCGGTATTTGAGCGCTGGCTACGGCTAGACCAGTTGAATGGAACCTTCAATTCTTCTCCATGACAAAGTCTTGAAAGTGATGATAGTGACAAATGGATGAGGAGACATGCAGCGCTGCTTACCAAGGCATGGAGATTGGAAGTTCGCACCAAATTAAGACGCAATCTTGTCCAATCATGCGGCAGGAGGGCAGGCCGGGCGGTATCGGCTACGAGGGGCCCGAGGCGGGCAAGTCGGGCATTTCGGCTCTCGAAGCATCGATTGAGTAATGACCCTGGATGATGACAGCGCGAGACTTTTGATCTCGTCCTTCTATCTTTCTGTACACAGCTGTTCTTCTTTCTCTTGTTCTCGTATACCAATTCAGCAACCATGTCGTACCCTGCACACGCATCACCGGTGTTCCCGCCGCTCAATTCGTCGCGGCCGCAGAATACACAGCGATCCATGTCCCACCTGTCGACTATGTCCGAGTACGAACTCGAGCACCACGACACTGCACCTTCCGAGTCCTCCTCTGCTGTCAAGCCTCTCCTCGAGCCTATGCCCTCTGCACCGCCATTGGTCTCGCCCTCAGGAACACCCAACCCCGCCGAGCCCTCGACCGACCCCGCTACCCACGATGCCGACGCCCACGAGGCCGAACCCGCCGCTCCTCCCGCCCTGCTGGAAGAGCTACCCGAGGTCAACTGCGAAGTACGCGCGCGCATCCCCACCACCTCGGGCCAAGAAATGTTCCTGCACCTCTACCACAACAGCGCGGACAACAAGGAGCACCTCGCCATCGTCTTTGGCCCCCACATCCGCAGCCGCAGTCTCGATGCCCCGCGAGAGGGCGAGACCGAAAAGGACCGTATGATCAGAGGCGCCTATGTGGGCAAACTATACCCTGGCCGCACTTCCAGTCGCTTGGATCAGATCAAGCAAGATGCAGGTGTGCCCGCTGCACAAGTATCGCGAAGTCCCACGCCTGAAGCCGTGACGACCGAGGAGAGACAAGACAAAGCTGTCAAAGTGGCAGAAGCCCAAAACATGCCTGCGCCCTTGGCCCCCATGGTGCGCATACACAGTGAATGCTACACTGGCGAGACGGTGTGGAGTGCACGTTGCGATTGCGGCGAGCAGCTCGACGAAGCGGCCCGTCTGATGTCTCTGCCCTTCGATCCTACCGATGCTTCCATTCCCTCTCTGGGCGGTGTAATCATCTACCTCCGTCAAGAAGGCCGTGGTATAGGGCTGCTTTCCAAGCTGAAAGCATACAACCTGCAAGATCTGGGCCACGATACCATGCAGGCGAATCTCCTTCTCCGACATCCCGCGGACGCCAGAAGTTATGGATTGGCAACAGCCATGCTGATGGATTTGGGTCTGGGCGGTGACAGAGGCATCAGATTGTTAACAAATAACCCTGAAAAAGTGCGCGCGGTCGAGGGACCCGGCAGGGAAGTCGTGGTCAAAGAGCGAGTTCCCATGATTCCGCTGGCTTGGAGCTCTGGCGGCAAAGAAGGTGTCCAAGGACCCGAACTGGAAAAATACATTGGCACCAAGGTAAGCAGTTTCCAGCCGTGTACGAATACGCCCGATTGACGACTGACTTTTTGCACAGATTGAGAAATTCAAGCACATGTTCAGTCCTTCTTGATTCCCCTCGAAAGCAAAGAGACTCGGAGATCAAGGACTACATGCGGCGCATTGCAGCAAAGAAGAGAGCATTTGTGTTCAAATACATTACAGCATATACCCCCCAACTATAGCATTCATCGCTTTTTCAAGAAACTACACGAGCGAAACATACGCATCAGGCAAATCTAGACAATTGTATTCAGCGGTAGTAATATACGTTCATATTGCTTCACGGCGCTGTCGATCAAAAGTGAAAAACTGCTTCAACTATTTCTTCTCCTTCGCTACAATAATACCAAGACATTTAAGACCTTTTTGGCATCCACGGATCACGAATCAGGACTGGCTTGAACGATTGTGGATAGGGAAAAACTTTTGATAGATTATTAGGCTGTGGTTCTATATACTGTGATACTGAAGAGGACTTCATAATTCGTAAAAGTGATGAGTGGGGGTATAAACTAGCGACCATAGTGATACAATTTCGTGACATCCGGCAGTACTCCAGAAATCAGACAACCTCCTTCTCGGGCACTGTGGTGACCGGTGCGGTCTTGGGCTTGATCGAGTGCATGCCCATGCCCACACAGACGATCGCTGCAGCTGCTGCACAGCCAGCGCCGAGGTAAAAGACGTGGTTGATAGCCGCTGTATATGCTTGCAGCACATGAGGCAGTACATCAGCCGAGACAGCGCCTCTGACTCCAGTAGCGCCGGCAGCAAGAACAGTCTCGGCCGAAACTTCTGGTGCGTACTCTTTGAGCGCAGAGGAAAGTCCGGTGTTGAAGACAGTCTGTGAGAAAGCAAGGAAGAGCGCTCCACCAAATGTCTGGGAGAAGATGAGCAGTGACATGGAAACAGAGGCCAGCTTCTTCGGCATCAGGTTCTGGATGGCGATGATGGGTATTTGGATACCGAGACCGCGGCCAACGCCACCAAGAATTTGAAAACCGATCCATTTGGCGATGGGGGTGTGAGGGCCGAGCATGCTCAACAAACCACAGGAGATGGCAGTGAGGATGCCGCATGCAATACTAAAGGGCAAGAAGTATCCCACTTTTCTGACTGCGATACCAGAGACGATGGCGAAGATCATCTGGCTGATGATGCTGGGCAACAAGTCGACACCGCTCATGGTTGGCGAGGCACCACGTACGGCCTGGAAGTAGATGGGTAGATAGTAATTCACGATCTTTGCGGCAAGGGTTAGCATGATTTCGTAGAGGTGGGACAGAATGTACTTACAAGCATAGACGCAAAAGTGAAGAAGACGGTCATGCAGCTGGCTGAGAAGATGCGATTTCGAATCATGGACAAGGGAATCATGGCATCGTCACCCTTGAAATACTCCCAGGTTAAGAACACCAGGATGGTTGCCGCACCGCCGCAGAAGAGACCGATGACGATTGAGCTGCTCCAAGCATACTTGGTGCCACCCCATTGTAGCGCAAGCAGTAGTTGAATGATAGCGGGCGCGAACAACCCAAAACCGATGAGGTCGAGACTGCGTAGGAACGCACCAAGGTTGAATTTCTTGGTCTCTGTCTTTTCGGGTCCGGCAGGGACGGGTGCGAAGAAGAGAATGACTGCAACAACACCGCCCACGGGCAAGTTGATGTAGAAGCACCATCTCCAGGTTGAATATTCGGTCAAAGCTCCTCCAATGAGAGGCCCGAACAGGACTCCGAGCTGACTCAGGGCCATCATAAAGCCCATGTATAGCGGTCTCTTCTCAAGAGGTACTGAAGCCGAGATGATAGAGAGAGCACCGTTCATCAAGCCAGCGCAGCCCAGACCAGCGACGGCTCTTCCGATAATGAACATATTCGACGAGACAGCGACACCACAAAGAAGGGAGCCAAGCTCGAAGAGGGCAAAGAACCAAAGGAAGGTCCATTTGTAGCTGAATTCTTTGTAGATCTTTCCGGCGAGAGGTTGTAGAGCACAGTTGGCTAGCAGGTATGCACTTCCGTACCTACAATGAGAAATGCAGTTAGCAGACTATCCATGAAGTGATGGGCGATGAATAGATCAAATACGTACCAACCAACATCATCGAGAGAATGGAATTGAGTTGTAATTCTTGGAATGGCTGTAGCAACGATGGATGTGTCGAGCATCATCAAGAAGATGACAAGGACCAATGAAACCAGCACACTCAGTAGTGTGAGACCAGTGAGGTATGATTCTTCTTCTTCATTCTTTGGTGGTGGTGATTCGACTTGCGGCTCCCGCTCCTTCTCCATACTGGTAGTAGACATGTTGATTGAGAGTCGTATGACATCAGTGTTACTGTAGACTGTGTGATCGTGGTGACTAGTGTCAAAGGACAGGAGGTAGAACTGAAAGTTGCTTGGGAACACAATATACAGAAAACAGAAACCGGGGGTTATTCATATACAAGAGTCTCATGACAACGACTTATTTCCAAAAGCCAATCAAAGCGGACGTCGGTGGTTCAAACAAAATCCATCCGGGCAACCAGGCAGCGATTTTTGGAATGCGCGGGCGTTAGGAGTCGTACGTTCGGGACCGAGCATGACAGACGGGTGACAGACGGGACCGATGTCCATGGGACCTACTCTTCTACAGCATGTGGCTTTTTGAATTGCGCCGAGTCCGTGTCAGTCGGAGTTTAGCCTATCATTATTCCCCTGAACCACCATTTTGACTGGGCGGAATGTTGCGACTATGGCCGGCAGAAGCAATGAAGGCGCTGGTCGCGGTGACTCCTTTGACTCCTTCGTGTGTTTTGTGTCAGTCACGTCGGCGGTAGCGATCGCCGGTGCCCGACTACCTACCGAGCTCTGCTCCTACTGCACATTCATCCTGATTCCTGAACAATATACAATCAAGGCGACCATCAATTGCGATGTACTTTACTATTTGTAGTCGAGCTTCAATCGTGACTCATTGATTTGTAGAGTGCTTGAGACGGCCATGGTGGATGGTTTGTGATCACCCGTCTCCTGCAACGATGAGAACATCGCCGCGGACGCTCCATGGACATTTCCTAGAGCTACATCCTAGAGCTACACTAGTCTTACAAAGCTCTTCTGAGATCCAATAATCCAGGTCGTCACTCTGCGCTCTGCGCTAGCTTAGTTCCTCGATCGGTGCTTTGTATCTTTGCCTGAATCTGGAGCCCTAAGCGCAGAAAGTGCATCAATCGAGCTCCCACTTGAAGAAACGCATACTGGAGCTTTCCAAGTCGATTATCATGAACAACCATTTTTCGTGTCCCCTCGTCGGAACGCAATATAATGGCCATCAGGAGCTTCCATAGTGTTGTGATTACACTTACAATGGCGCATAGCATCCATCTTATTTTGTGTCGCTGCTCATTATCACACGAACTCGAGAATATACCATGCAGCTGTCGTCGACTTTCCAGCAAGACCACGCTGGATTATGAATTTGTCCACTATCGACCAACAACCATCTCAAGAGCATCACAAACTTGTCAAGCCTGATATTGAGCACTATACATATATATCTGACAGCTCGTAAAGCATTCGAGTATCCATGTAGTTGTCGGGAAAGCGATATTGATTGAAGAGCAGGGTCACCCTCTCCGCAAAAAGATCGCTCTCAAATCTCAGCACCGCAATACAGCCGTTACTTCCAGGGATATGTGTCTGCTCAAACAAGGCAGTCGGCGATGACGGAGCAGTATTGTGTTGTGGATGGTGAAGAGCATCCTGACCATGAGTGATGAACCTGGACGGGATATCACGTGGATGCCAAGGGTGGCTGTCTCCGATGGCCAACGCCTCGAGACAACCTCAAATCGTCACATCGTCACCGCGCGCGCTCCCTTGGCTATTACATCTGCTGTACTCTCTGCTACATCGCCTCCGCCTCTATAACCTCTCAATCCCGAGCAGATCCATCACACATACCGCAAAGATGCCTACTGATCTCTGGTACGTTGCCTTCTGTAGCTTGTTGAGCCCGACGTCCGCGCCAAAGGCTATTGTCGACTTGCCTTCTATGGCTGTTAGATAGCCGCAGACCTCCTGGCCAGCGCTACGTGCTTCTTGAATATCCTTCAGAATGCTGACTTGATGTGATCATAGCCCCGTCTACGCCGTAAGTCCCATGCGCTGCCTCCCATGGTCCTCTCAACACCAAAACATATCACAATCCGCCTACGCCCCCTGCTACCCAGTCTTCACAATGGCCTCCATTGTCTCGCGCTATCTCCGCAATCCTATCGCTACTCGCACCACGGCTCTACAATGAACACAAACTTACATATCTATAGCCCTTCTTCGGTGCCATGGGCTGCACCGCCGCCATTGTCTTCACCTGCTTTGGTGCTGCCTACGGTACCGCCAAGGCTGGTGTTGGTATCTCGGCCATGGGTGTCCTCCGCCCTGACCTGATCGTCAAGAGTCAGTCTCTCGAAGATGAGAAAAGCTGGTATATATGCTAAACTCGCCACAGACATTATTCCCGTCATTATGGCTGGTATTATTGCCATTTACGGTCTGGTCGTTGCTGTCCTGATCTCCAACGATCTTCAACAGAACATGGCTCTCTACACTGGTTTCATCCAGCTTGGTGCCGGTCTCTCTGTCGGTCTTGCCGGTCTCGCTGCCGGTTTCGCCATCGGTATCGTTGGTGACGCTGGTGTCCGTGGTACCGCGCAACAACCCAGACTCTTCGTCGGAATGATTCTTATTCTCATTTTCGCTGAAGTCTTGGGTAAGTCTAATCACCGCACGTGACCACATCGCAAAGCTGACATGGTATCTAGGTCTTTACGGTCTGATCGTTGCTCTTCTCATGAACTCGAGAGCATCGCCCGCCGAGTGCTAAATGTACCATCGATCTTGACATGCGCAGCCCATCGACAAGTTACTAAGCGCATGTTGTGCTCGAGAAGAACGCCCTCCTACCGTAACGAACTACCAGCAGTGATGGAGGGAATGATAGGACAAAAGAACGAAGCCGAGTTGTGGGTTCGTGGGGAGGTATCATGATGGCAGAGGGCCATCGCAATTTTTTCTTTGCCTTGTAACATTGTCTTGTGTTTTGAGGAGCATCTCTGTACCGTTGAGCGGGACGGTCGGCTCACTGTACCTATCTAGAAGTAATGAGCCAGTACATGAAGTTCACCTTACCGTACTGTATTCGCGATCTCTATCACACACAAACGGACTTGCTTTGCTGCCATGCAGGCTTCATGACTATGCCGGGACTCCCAACCCCGATACCGAGCAATTGCTTGAGTCGGTTGCAGTCGTGTGTCGGTGACACTTCATATGCGACATCCACATGTTAGGCGCACTTGTGATTGACCGCCGTCTCAGGTCTGAGGAGTGGGTTGAAGCAATTCCCGAGTCCGGGACAAATCCACAAGCATCTTTGGAATCGTTTTTTCCTTTTGGTAAGAAAGAGTTGCTGGCAACCTGGTATCTCAAGATTGTACGATTGCGGCCCTGCCCAGCCTGTCGCGCTTTCGCAGACTGCAGCAGCTAGAACCAATCACGAACACAATCAGGTTCGAATTGGTAATGATAGCGCGCGAGGGCTAGTCATAGAGTTCTGGGTGGCCGTTCCGACCCCTCTTGATATGGTTATCCATACCGGATTACGGAGAATGTTGCCTTTTCGGGCAAATCATGTATAAAGCAGCTTGGAGCTGCCTCCCAGCTTCTGTCAAAAGCCGCAGCGTTGCTTTCTCCCTCTTCAATGTTCAAGAATATCGCGGTCCCCTTCTCTCCCTCCTCCTCTGCTCGTCTCACTCCATTCCTCTCATCCTCTCCAACTTCGTCGTCATCATCTTTACGCATCCCTGCTCTTCCGGCCATCTCCCAGAGTGCCAGCATCTGCCGAAGGAATAAGTCCGAGCTATCCCCAGTGCTCGGGACGACGGTGACAGGCCCCTCCAAGCTACCCCGCGTACATAATAAATCGACATCATCACGCTTTCCCGCCCAATTTCTCCCTTCTCCCTCTCAACTCATCTCTCAGACATCCAAACATTCATACGCTACAATGTCTGCCGATACCGTTGGAAAGACCATCACTTGCAAGGCTGCCGTCGCCTGGGAGGCTGGCAAGGACCTGTCCATTGAGGACATCGAGGTTGCCGCTCCTAAGGCCGGCGAGGTCAGAATCCAGATCTACTACACTGGTGTCTGCCACACAGATGCCTACACTCTCTCCGGCAAGGACCCCGAGGGTGCTTTCCCCATTGTCCTTGGACACGAGGGTGCCGGTATTGTTGAGTCTGTCGGTGAGGGCGTCACCAACGTGAAGCCTGGTGACAACGTTGTTGCTCTCTAGTAAGTCAAAACGAATTCGTGTATCTCAAGACTCAAAAGCTGACATCCAATTTAGCACCCCCGAGTGCAAGGAGTGCAAGTTCTGCAAGTCTGGCAAGACTAACCTCTGTGGCAAGATCAGAGCCACTCAGGGCAAGGGTGTCATGCCTGACGGAACCTCGCGCTTCAAGTGCAAGGGCAAGGATCTCCTCCACTTCATGGGCACCTCTACCTTCTCCCAGTACACTGTCGTTGCCGACATCTCGGTCGTCAAGATCACCGACAAGGCCCCCATGGACCGCACCTGCTTGCTCGGCTGCGGTATCACCACTGGTTACGGTGCCGCTGTCATCACCGCTGGCAAGGGTGGTGTTGAGAAGGGCTCCAACGTCGCTGTCTTCGGTGCCGGCTGTGTCGGTCTTTCGGTCATCCAGGGCTGTGTCAAGAACGGCTCTTCCAAGATCATTGTCGTCGATGTCAACAACAGCAAGAAGGAGTGGGCCGAGAAGTTCGGTGCTACTGACTTCGTCAACCCCATGGAACTCAAGGACCAGACCATCCAGGAGAAGCTCATTGAGATGACTGATGGTGGCTGCGACTACACCTTTGACTGCACTGGTAACGTCCACGTCATGAGATCTGCTCTCGAGGCTTGCCACAAGGGCTGGGGTGAGAGCATTGTCATTGGTGTTGCTGCTGCTGGACAGGAGATTTCCACCAGACGTAAGTTACTTGATCGATTTGGCACAATATAAACAACTAACACAACCACTAGCTTTCCAACTCGTCACCGGTCGTGTCTGGAAGGGATGTGCTTTCGGTGGTGTCAAGGGCCGCACTCAGCTCCCCGACCTCGTCGATGACTACATGACCGGCAAGCTCAAGGTCGACGAGTTCATCACCCACAGACAACCTCTCGACCAAATCAACGCCGCCTTCCAGGACATGAAGGCTGGTGACTGCATCCGCTGCGTCGTCGACATGAACAAGTGCAACTAAGCCAACGATCAAGAGCAAGAATAAAATCCATCAAACGATGTAACGATAATGCTTGGAGCCGCAACTGCTTTGGTTCGGATGAAAAGAGCGAGATTGAGTTGAGGATAGTTGTCTGTACATGCAACACTTGTAGATACCTTATTTGCTATATGGCTCTTTCCTAGGAGTCAAAGACAGAAACAAAACACTTTTTGGACCCATCCGACGTTCCTATTGTGCTGTGCTTCTCTCGTTGATTCCATCTTGTGGTTGTCCACCTCCCGAGTCGCTTTAACATCTCCTGACCATGACAAGTTTATCGCCGACTAACACCGATAACTGCCCGGGCCGGGAGTCTCGAAGGCAGACTTGCACCTTCTTGGAGACTCTGCCCATAGTCCAGAGATATCGTCTTTAAAGACTCTGATAACCTCGGCTTCGATCGTTTCATACACAAACGACGGCAGTCGTTAGATAAGTTGTAAGACAGCAATTCTAGACAGGGTGATGGACGAGCGTTTGTCAGCAATCTGTTGACGGTCTCCACCCCACCCCGGGTCTGCTCGAAGGTTATCGAAGGCAAATGACGTGCACGGTCAATCAATTCTTCGAAACTCGTTGACAGACTGGTCGCCATTGGCACCGAGGCAACCAGGCAAAAGAGCTTTTGTAAGCATGCAAAGGGCAAGATGCGCGCATTGATATCCTCCTGTGACGTTTCCACTAGTCAGTCGCAAGATCATAAGTATTGAACAATTTCCATTCCCTTTCTTCTCAACCCTCCTATCTGTTTCTGATTCAATCACCATCCTACATCACATATACACACACCGCAAACATGGCACCTCCTCGTTACGAATCCGAAGATGTCTCCGCTGCCCCTCTGGGCCAGCCTCTGGAGTTCGCCTTTGCCAACCGCTCGGCACCTAACAGATTCCTCAAGGGAGCCATGACCGAGCGTCTGTCTTCCTGGGACCCTGAGAACTTGCCTGCTCGTGGTGTACCTTCGGACAGACTCATCAACCTGTACAAGAGATGGGGCGAGGGCGAGATTGGTCTGATCCTCTCCGGAAACATCATGTTTGAGTACGACCATCTCGAGGCTGCCGGCAACCCCATCATCCCCGTTGATGCTCCTTACGAGGGCGAGCGTTTCGAGAACTTCAAGCGTATGGCTACCGAGGGAAAGAAGAACGGTATGCTTATGGTTGGTCAGGTTTCGCACCCTGGTAAGTCGTCACTCTATCTCTTTGTATCTCTGCTCGATGCTTACTATATGTTCAGGTCGCCAGGTCGAGAGCCGTATTCAGAAGAACCCTATCTCAGCGAGCGATGTCCAGCTCAAGGGTGACGTTATGGGCATGACTTTCGAGAAGCCCCGTGCTGCCACCGAGGAAGACATTTCCCGCATCATCGACGGTTTCGCTCACGCCTGCGAGTACCTTGAGAAGGGTGGCTGGGACGGTGCCGAGCTTCACGGTGCTCACGGCTACCTCCTCGCCCAATTCCTCTCCCCTACCACCAACCAGCGTACCGACAAGTACGGTGGCAGCCTCGAGAATCGCGCCCGCCTCATCATTGAGATCGCCAACGAAGTTCGCAAGCGCACATCGCCCAACTTCATCCTTGGTATCAAGTTGAACAGTGTTGAGTTCCAGGACAAGGGCTTCAACCCTGAGGAAGCCAAGGAGCTGTGCAAGATGCTCGAGGAGAATAAGTTTGACTTTGTCGAGTTGAGCGGTGGTACTTACGAGCACCTCGCCTTCGGCCACAAGCGCGAGAGCACAAGAAAGCGTGAGGGCTTCTTCATGGAGTTCTCAGACTTGATCGCTCCCGCCTTGACCAAGACCAAGGTCTACGTTACCGGTGGCTTCAAGAGTGTTGGCGCCATGGCTACTTCGCTCAAGTCAATCGACGGTGTCGGTCTTGCTCGTCCTCTCTGCCAGGAGCCTCGTCTCTGCAAGGATATCCTCGCCGGCAAGGTCAAGGGTGCCATCAAGCAGCGCCCCGACGACAACAACTTCGGCATTACCAACGTTGTCGCCGGCACCCAGATTCGCCAGATTGCCAAGGACCAAGAGCCTATTGACATGAGTGATGAGAAGAACGAGCAAGATTTCATGAAGGATATGGGCGAGTGGGCACAGAAGATGTCGCAGGACAGCAAGAACGCCAGCTATGGCTACATTGACCTGACCAGCGCCACTGCTCTGCCTTATGGTGGTGCCTCTGTTTAAAGAGGAAATGTTCCGTTAGTGATAAAAGTTTAGACATACACGATACCCTTAGACATGTAGATACAAGTGACGATTTTCATATCAAAAGCATTTCCGATATTGTTTCGGTGACAGGTGAACCTGGAAGTCTTGGACCGAGGCTTGTGGACACAAGTCGTTGCCGGTCTCAGTCTGGGGTTTGCCCGATAGTCAAAGAAGTTTAACAACGCGTGTGATTGTTTGAACACGGATCATCAATGAACGGAATTATATTCTGAGGATGCAGCGCTGCAGGGATATTCTTCTAATGTTTCTACGTCTGACTATTATCGTCTAGAGGGTATTTACAAAATGGTGGAGGTGATATGGTAATGTCAAGGGTTATAAGCACTATTTTTCGCGCGGCAACATCTTTTGTCTTCAAGCCTCGGACGATGATATGAACGGGTGTAATTCCGCTAGTGAGAATCTCGGGAGCTCGGGAGTGGGCATCGGACATGAGGGGGAAGTGCAAGGTACCTTAAGGCTATTGAGTGGAACATTACACTTTTGACGGAGAATAAAAGGACCATGATGTCGCTTCATACTTACCAACCAACACTACTCCTTCGACGCAGCTTTAGCAGCAAACAATCGATTCGAAACATGGCTTCAGCAGCTTCAAAGCAGGTGCACCGCGTCACCCTCTTCAAGATTCCAGAGCCAAAGGACATTCAAGCCGTACTGGATAAATACACCACGCTAGGCCAAGATGCAAAGAAGGTACACTGAGTCCTCATCATCCACGAATACCTGATCAATTGGCTGACTCCTGATGCAAATCAGAACGGTCAACCATACATTCTCCGATGTGTCGCAGGACGTGCAGTCGACGATGCAAGAAGCCAAGGATATACTCTAGCGGCACAAACGACGTTCTCGAGTCTGGACGATATGAAATACTACGACAATGAGTGTGAGGCACATGCTGCATTGAAGGCTGTGGCCAAGGAAAAGGTGGCTGGGCCGCCATTGATGGTGTTTTTTGATAACGCCGTTGGTGGTTCTGCTTGAGCAACCACGAGATCATCAAGCATATTCAAGGATGGAACAAAGGAATGATTGGAGTTCGTTGGCAGAGTGGACGGAGAGTGTATGGAGGGCTGCGCGAGCACAAGGAAGCGGAGTTTAGACGGTGTTATGCAAGTGGTCCGAGCTCATGCGCATCCAGCTGCACGTCACAAAACCAAAAGATGGACAAGACAAGACCATCACATCAACTTTTTATTGCAATTCCAGCGAGCGTGACAGCATTTCTCTGCATCTTTGTTGTTGTTTTGTCGTGTCAGCAAATCATCCACTGCAATTCCGAATACCTCCAGCCGCAAGCAGACGCTTCCACCGCTGTCTCGCACCGCCGTCACATGCCTCGACAACAATACTAAGCCCGCCATAAAGAAAAAGAATTCAAATCTACCGCCGACACATGCCCTTCAGGCGCAACATCCGCTTCCCTGCACGCAACTCCAATACCGAATCGCCTACCATGTCTTCCACAAATCAAAACACACAAGCCGACACAACACCCACGGATCGCCTGGCCGAGATCCTAGACAACTCAGCCCGCATCCAAGAACTTTCCTCGGGCCACGAAGAAGAAATCCAAGAAGCAGACGATGACTCCGACTATGAGACGTCAGATGACGACAGCGACGACGGCCAAAACGTACACGGCTGGATGGCCTCCAAACTACCCCCAAACCTACCTTTCTACTTCGCCGGTCCCGGTCCCCTTGCGGATGGTTTGGAAACAACAACGTCGGCAGCTCAGGAAAAGACAATGCGAGAGGTCATAGATCTTATGACGGGAAAGGGACAGACCATGACCTATGTCAATGCTTATGGTCTACCGCATTTGTTGAAGGACAAGCATGCTGCCTTCCTGCGTACCATTTTGGGCAGGTATCCTCCGCCGTTTCAGGTCATGGATGCCAGTCGACCTTGGTTGCTGTACTGGGCTCTGAATGGTCTAAGGACCTTGGGAGTTGATGTCAGTGAATACAAGCAGAGGTGCATCGACACATTCACACCTTTGCAGAATCCAGAGGGTGGCTTTGGAGGTGGACATGGCCATCTTTCCCATGCCGCGGCGGGTTATGCGGCCACCTTGAGTTTGGCTTTGGTCGGTGGTTTGGACATGATTGATCGAAGAGCCATGTAAGTATCCACACGGCATTCAATCAGTTCATACAGCTAATCGCAACTTCACAGGTGGCACTGGCTTGGTCAAGTCAAGAACCCCTCCGGCGGCTTCAACATGGCCGTGAATGGCGAACAAGATGTCCGCGGCGCATACTGCTGCATGACTATCCACACTCTACTCGCTCTACCCCTCGCCCTTCCGCCGTCATCGCCCGCCCGTAGAGCCGGGCTTGAAACCTTTACCTCTGGTCTCGGCTCCTGGATCAGTCGTTGCCAAACCTTCGAAGGCGGCTTGGGCGGCGCACCAGACAACGAAGCTCACGGCGCCTACGCCTTCTGTGTCCTCGCTTGCCTGTGCCTGCTCGATGCTCCTGCCAGATCCATTCCAACATACCTCAACACCCGCACTTTAATCCGTTGGTTAGTCTCGCGGCAATGCGCGCCCGAAGGCGGTTTCAGCGGCCGTACGAACAAGTTGGTCGATGCCTGCTACAGTCACTGGGTCGGTGGCTGTTGGTCTCTCTTGGAGTCTGCCCTCAACATCGACCCTGCGAAAAGCAGTCTGTGGCACAGAGAGGCTCTAGTCCGATACACACTTTCCTGCTCACAAGCCAAGAAGGGAGGACTTCGGGATAAACCCTCTACCAGACCTGATGGCTATCACACGAATTACTCTTTGGCTGGTCTGAGTGCTGCACAATATGTCTACACCTATGCGGAGTCGAAGCAGACGGAGGCAGAGGGCGCAGAGGCGTTGATGGTGGCATTCAACTGGTCATTCCAGCGTCCGACTCAGCAACAAATGAAGGAGTGGTGTTTCGACAGCAGCGATTTGGTGGAGCCTGTACACCCTGTCTTTGTCTTGCCGTTCGACATTGTGGAAAACACGAGAGCGAAGTTCGCTGGCAAGGTCGGTTTCTGAGGTATCAATCTCCGTCAGGAAACTAGCAAGCGGGATGGCTGCCTGCAAACAGATAAGTGCTACAGCCATAGTAGACTACACAATAGAGCCTCTCAGCTATGCCTCCCCCCTCCCCACTGTACTACCATACCCATGCTCATGACTCGAATCGCCAGGAAGGAGTACCGCCTGGAACTTCGTTTCTGCCTAAAGAGCGGTCGAGTCACGCTTGATGATATGTCAGCACTACTTGCACGGGTCATGGCTCCGTACAACACCGATCTCGTTCTGTCGTTGGAGGGGACTCGACGATATGATGAGCGGGGTTGAATATAAAAAAACAAGGCAAACAGCCACACAATCCTGGAGAATGTCCAACTCTTGTTGACGGAAAAGAGTCGAGATGAAATTGATCAGAAACATCGTATCCGATTGGACTCGAGAACCAGGGGGCTTCTGTCCATCTCCCATCCTATCAAGTTTCAGTACCGATTTCCAAGTCTGCCTCAAGAAGCTACGACCTTTTCCTCTAGAGCATTTTTGACAACGACCAATGGATTTTTCCCTCAGACCGAGGTAAAAATGATCTTCATATGCTGAAGCCTGGAGCTCAGGGGACACTATGTTTTTTCATCTCTCTTTCCCTCATCTGCTCATACTATATGATGCCCCCCTTCACGCGGATGGAACCAGGAAGTTCGAAAAACTCCCAAACAAGTAATCCGAAAAGAGGTATCACAGTGTTGAACCCCCAAAGCATCGACCTTCCTCGCATCAGTTCCGGGTCTTGTTCGTCAAAGTGACAAAGAGCTCGAAAACATATATCGGAGAGTTGAAGGAGTCATGGTTCATAGGATAGCAGCCCAAGGTTGCATGTGACCTACGCTTCCAGTAGCACAGATTAGATGGAGTGGCTGACTGTCCGAGTTACCGCAGAAGAACAGCATACAAATGGAGAAGTATATAAACCCCTTTGTCTTGTCTGAGAGAATAAACAGGCGACCCAGCTCCCTCAAAGACTTGCAAGCAAGATATTTCATTCTTACCAAGTCATTTCCCTCTACCTTATCTTTTGTAGATACCAAAACCCCTCCACCCCGCAGCTTCGGATTCCCCAAGCCAACAACACACGACTGCAAGCATCAACGACCAAGCTAAGTTCCACAAACGGAGGCAGAGGCAGGGGCACAACAATGTGTCGCATCGAAACCTCCATCCACAGCTGCGGCCACGCCAGCATGCCAATCCATGAATTCTGTCCACGCAACCCTTCCCGCCTACTCCCAAACGAGCGCGGAGCATGCCAACGCGGCTACGAAAGAAGTGTGCCTCTGCTTCCTGGCATCTGTATCAGGTGTGTCGAGTTGCTGGATCGGCAAAGGAAGGGGTTGTGTTTGGAAGATGGTGATGAGCGACAAGTCATGCAGAGAAATGGGGCAAAGGGATGTCAAGTTGAGATGAGGAGGGGTTCGAATGTTTCGAAGGATAGTGATGAGCAGGAGAAGAGTGGGTGCGTGGGGGATATCGTTCTGCCTGTCGGGGTCAATGGAGTCAAGATTGCATGGCAGCAATGACACGGAACGAAACTGACACCGCATTGCTGGCGATGCGTGTGTCCTCCTTTTACTGTCAACGGGTCTTTGATGCTGCTGTGTATGATGTATTGGCAAATTGTTTTTGCAAGATATGATTTCGATGGTCATGTATTGTTATCTGCCTCCAATTCATTTGTTTTCGAGTCAACCGCGCACGGAAACAGATATTGCAGCAATTCGGACTGTCACGCGACCTTCCTCGCTGATGGCATTTGTACCGAGATTGACTTGTTTACTCTTCCTGGAGCAGAGGCTGTCTCTCTCTATCCTCGTCGACAACGGCACCACGCTTGAAGGGATCTTGGCCAATGAGACCAGGGAAGCCGACCAAGACGGAGAGGACGAACAAGACACCCATGATGACAAAGGCGAAGATCCACTGGAAGGCAATGACATGGGTGAGAAATTGGGAAACACCGAGAGCTACGGAAGATGTCAGGAGGGGTCGTTTTGATGATCACGGTGTGACTTACATGCGCAGAGAACACTGAGGTTGAAGCCCATGGTGTAATCCTTGTAGGCGACAAGGAAGAAGAAGCCGTAGCCCATGATGGACCAGATCATGATGTTGGCGAGGATTCTAGCAGGCAGAGAGTGTGCGTTGACCGCGGCAGCGCCAACACTGAACAACAGAACATAGTTGAGAGCCAGAGGACCGGAAACAACGGGAATGTGGATAAATCTGGGAGTTCTCGAGTGCTTGAAGTACTGGGCCGAGAGGTTGAAGAAGTTGATGATGAGCAGCATCTCGGCAAGCCAGAAGTGGCTGCGGCACCAGAGGTGGATGAAGCCGAACCAGAGCAGGTTGTTGAAGATGAAGTGCGAGCCAACATCGGCGGCAGCCTTGACGTAAACCTCGTTCTCCGAGTACAGGTGCCAGCAGTAACCGATCTGCAGGATGAACAGGACAATCATGTAGATGGAGGTGATGATGGAGTTGAGGGCAAAGGGGGTGTGGTGGTGCGAGTTCTGGTGCCAGATGGTGCCTCTGTGGTGCTTGCCCTCGGTTGGCGCATTGAACGTGTAGTAGATGCTGGTGACGACCAGGAGGAGCCATGAGGCAGCTGTCAGGATCTTGTAGCTTCTGAGGCTGCCGGTGGGATACGCCTCGCGGTCCATGAAGGGGTTTACTGCAGCTGTCAGATTCGTGCTGAAGGTCAGGGCTGTGTCAAGGCTAACCGGAGTGGACGCGCTCGTGTGCGGCCTGGAGAGTCTGAGCGACACCCTCGGAGGTGTTGTTCTCGGACATGACGTGAATTTGAGCCTGGGTTGTCGTGCAAGTTGTTTCTGGCTTGTTCTACCAGAATGTCAGGAGGAAAACAGAGAGAAGGACAAGGTGAAGATGCTGCTGCCCGTTGCGAGCCAACCACGCGAAGATCGATGATCGGCGCGAGTGGGGAAAGCTCGTGCACGGTGCCAGGGAACCCATCCGTCACACGCTCCACTGACGTCGCCCAGGACCGAGTCTCCGCTACTTACACAAAACGTCCTGTTCGAGCTGACTCGCCATCTGCGACAACGATCACAGTTGTCTGTCTCTCAGCTCCAGGCAGCAATCGTGTAGAGCAAGCACATGGATACCGGAAGATGATATCCTCGGGTAGTCGTCAAGTTGTTGCATCTCGAACAAACGTCAGGATCCTTCATCAGTCTGCCTGCAGCGGACGGCATCTTCTCCGAGCCGTTCTGTACCTTGCCTTATCTGAAAATTTTGATAGTGGATGCAGGAAAGTGCATGACAGCGAGTTGTGACTTGTATGATTCTTATGATTTATGTTCTTCTTTGATGCAACTGTTGACCCGGCGTGCATTCGTCTCACCAGCTCAGCTCTCTGTCTTGTTGCTTGACTGACTCGGCCTACCCCAACTCTAAGCCCAATATAAGCTGAGCGTGACACCGCAGAATTGTGCCTATTATCTGCACGGCAGAACTCTCTGGCAGAGAAAACGTGGCAGGAGTGTGGCAGGAGGGAGTCGTGAATTTGAGTGGGGCATGCAAGTGTCGACTGATATATGCAGACACATCCACCAGCTTACTGACCCTTCTTACCATCTCTCTCCTGCTTTCTGAGAGCCCGCTTACGGATGCTCTCGTGCATGGTCTTGTTCTGGTCCAGCACAATCGAGTTCATGGTACCAGTGAAGGCGCCGAGCGCCCAGTGCATGATGCCATGGCTCCAGTAAGGAGTGCTGGTGTATGCAATGCCTTGAGCACCACCAGAGCGACCAATCTTGCCCAAAGCAGCTCTGACAAACTGCTTGGGGTTGGGGATGGTAGCACTGGCGCGCTTGATCTTGGACATCGCAGAGGTGACCAGGTAAGACTGAACAAGCTGGACGTGAACACCGTGAGGCTTCATCTCAGAGCCCATAGCACTGCTCCATTGCTGAAGGAAGGCCTTGCTTCCAGAGTAGGTGGCCAAGAGAGGAGTTGGCAGGATACCGCCGAAGGAAGCCATGGTAAGAATCAGACCGCGACGGCGTTGAACCATACCAGGTGCAACGATTTGAGTAACGCGAAGAGTGCCCATGCAGTTGATAGTGATGATATCCTTGAGTTCCTTCTCGGGAGTCTGAACGAAAGGAACGGGCATCTCGTGGCTCAAACCAACATTGTTGATGAGAATGGAGACTTCGAGGTCAGACACCAGGGCCTTGAGAGCAGAGAAATCGGAGTCCAGGTTTTGGGCAAAGTCCATAGCAAGAGTCTTGGTCTGAACAGAAGTATACTTTGACTGAATTTCAGAGGCGAGAGTTTCAAGCTTCGACTTTGTGCGAGAGACCAGAACAATGTTGAAGCCCTTCGCTGCGAGTTGCAAGGCATACTCCTTGCCAATGCCATCAGAAGCACCAGTCACGACAGCCCAGCTTCCCTTGCGGCCAAACTTGGACAGCTTCTAGCAGTCAGTATTGTGCTGGTTCAAAGGCAATAAGTACACTCACAGAAGTGCCAGGCAAGATGAACAGACTAGCAACAAGCCTCCAGAAGCTGAAGATTTTCAGGGAGATGTAGAGGAGACCAATACCCGCAAACAGGGCAGTAACCGGCTCCTTCCAGGGATCCTCAACAAGTGCAGTCATCGTGTAGACAGGAACGATCTGATGCTGTTGGACGGACAAGAAAGTTGTCTTGTCAGTCTACAAGAATCCATGGGGCTTCTTCCTGGAGCTGCCGGCCGAGGCGGGAATTTCGGCGAGTCAGGGTCCGAAGGTCCAATTTCATGCTCCCAAGATTGAGTCGTCCGATGTTTACCTTGTCCTCGAAACATCTTCTTGTTATCCAATTCTGGTCGTCCAGGCCAATCGTCACACGATGAACTCAGTACTCGAATACCTGCCGTCGTCCGAGGGTTGGTTGCCCACATGGATCTTCTTCGTGCGTCCGCAATCTTTCGGTGATTGGCAATTCATCTAACCAGTCCCAGATCTCGGTTGTCTCGCTCGGTAACAGCATGCAAGCCTACCTCTCGCTTGGTCCCACGCAAAAGGTCTACTGCGGCTCGAAGCCTTCGATTCCAGCTGGTGTGCCTGCCAACACTGTCGGTAGCACGTCGCCCGTCACACCTCTCTCAGCCCGCACCTTTGGCACTTGGACTGCTATCACTGCCATTGTTCGTCTGTACGCTGCCTACAACATCAACACCAAGCCCATGTACGAGCTGGCCTTCTGGACATACGTGGTCGCCTTTTCGCACTTCATGTCTGAATGGCTGATCTTTGGATCTACACGATGGGGCAAGGGCCTCGCTGGACCTGCCATTGTTGCTACCACCTCCTTGATCTGGATGTACACTCAGTGGGACTACTATGTCAAGGCATAGATATGCGATTGAAGAAAAGAGACGACAATGGATCACAAAAGAACATAGGCAAAGCAGAGCAGACGAAACGCAATGAGAACAATGACAATTACGACGGTTCGCTTTCTATAGAGTGTCCAACAACGTCCAAGATCAGGTGTATCGCGATTAGTGCAGCTTCTTGCGGTAGAGCTCTCCACCGCAGCCTCTAAGTCTGGCAGCGGCCTGTTCAGGGGTTATGTCGCGCTGAGGCTCTGCCATCATCTCATAACCGACCAGGAACTTGCGCACCGTAGCGCTGCGGAGGAGGGGAGGGTAGAAGTGCATGTGGAAGTGACTGGCCTCAATCTCCTCGGGTGTACCTTCAAGCGGTGCTTGGTGAAGACCCATGCCTGTTTCATGTTAGTCACTGCAATCTCGCAAAACATGTTTCTCGACATACTGTAGGGGAATTGAGTCTCGAAGAGGTTGTCGTAGCGTCTTGTGACTTCTGCGATGGTCTCGGCCAGATCTTGTCTCTCCTTGTCGTTGAAGTCGACCAAAGCACGCTTGTGGGTACGAGCAATGATCATGATCTCAAAGGGCCAGGTAGCCCACCAAGGACACACGGCGAGGAACGATTCGTTCTCGAACACGACTCTCTCCTTCTTCTCAGACTCGAGTTTGGCATAGTCGACCAGCATGTGTGATCCACCGTGCTTCTTGCGGTACTTCTGCAGGCTCTCTAGTTCGAGTGCAGGCTCTTCTGGTGTACCAGTCGTGCACCAGACCTGACCGTGGGGGTGAGGGTTCGAGCAGCCCATTGCAGCACCCTTGTTCTCGAATATTTGCATGTAGCGGTATTGAGCGTTCGGTGCGGCGAGGTCCTGACCATGAGGAGCAATAGTGGTGGGTCCTGCGACTTCGGCGAGGATGGACTTAGGAGACAAATGGGTGGTGTAGATCTTAGTCCAGGTGTTGATGACTGGGAGGATTTGCGAAGGCTGGAGGTCTGCGAGGGTCAAGTTGTGCGTGGGAGCAAAGGTGATGACATAGCATTTGCCAGTCACGGGCTCAGCGCGTAGCAGCGTGCTGGCAAGAGCTGATACGAGTCAATGCCCAGTCTTTGTATGTGTAGTCCTGCAAACTCACTTCCATCGTTGGCTGGCTGCTCATATTCGGCTTGCTCTTCCTTGACAGCACTGTAGTCATTGACGAAGACGTAGGTACTCTCATATTTCGGGTTCGAGTCTCCAGCGGCACGCTTGTTGCCAGGACAGAGGTAGCACTGTTCAGTTCAGCAATTGTAGCGCGGGGTAGGTGGCCGCAGCGATGCATACAGCTGGGTCGTAATCAGGAAGAGTAGTTTTCGAAGCACCCTCCTGCTGTCCTCTGAGGTAGTGTCAGCATGCTGAACCATGACTTGCGGCGCAAGCTTGTCTCTTACTGCCATGGCCGCTTGGTACGGTGGGGTGAAACCAAGATCCAGCTTCCCCTCAGTGGGTTGAAGCGTCGGTGAGAGATGTCGTCCAAGATGGCGTCAGGCATTGTGCGTCGGTTGCGTGGGCAGTAGAGGGACAAGAGAAAGAGTGCAGGAGAAAAGAAAAACTGGTATTGGAGACGACTCTCGAGAAGCAACCCTAATACCACGCCTTGAAGCCAACCCACCTGTATTTACCCGTGTGCTCCGTCATCTAAATCCTCCGCAAGTTGATTGTGGGGGTCTCATCTCTCCAGCGACAGGACTGTGGGTTGAAGCCATGGTAGACAGCGCTCAGGGCATCCTAAAAGTTCAACTAGTATTTTGGACACGATAAAGAAAGATGTTGGGGGAAGTTGTATTTGAAGCAAAGAGAGGAGTATTGGGTCTGAATCAATTCAGCCTATTGTATACTGCTAGGGTTAGCTTTTCGGTCCGGAGCCAGCGCCGATAGCTATGCCTATGTCATTGAACTCCAGTAGAGATGCAGAGTCAAGTGAACAACTGACTGGACTCTTTGATGTGCAGAATAATCAAAACAAGACCAGGTTAGACACTCAAGATAAAGCGTTCGTTGCAAATCCAAGTGTCGGGATCTTTGTATGTGATGAAGGATGACGGTGGTCGAACGTCGGTCGGTAGATGCCGCAATACGCGTTTCGTGTTTCGTAGCTGTTCCGTCCAGGGATCGGAAGCTGAGCTGGCATAAACCAGGGGACACAACTTTTGCGCATCAGACTACCGATAGAGCTGTCTATACCCTTCGACACGGACCATACAACCAAACAACATGGCCGCCATGATGCCCAGCGGAGTAGCTTCAGCGAATCCATACGAGCACTACGACCAGGATCCCCTCGAAGATGATCTTATTGACCCGGATGATGGTACCTAGTTGTTCGCAAGCCTGGAATTCGAGTTTACTGATTACTCGCAGCTGCTCTGGACCTCGAAGACCCTCTCGCATCATCCTCTGACCGAGCACCTCTAACAGGCAACATCCAACAATCATCTGCTCGCGCACAAAACACTCAATCCTACCTCAACAACACAATCGGCGGCGAGGACCGCAGAGCTCCACAGAATACCATTGACGAGAGTGTCTGGGATACCCTATCGCGAGACTTACTTGCTATCTGGGAGAAGATGCGCCAAGTGCTGTATCCCAAATATCTCCTGGGTGGTCTACTGCAGCGTGGTGGAGGCATGGGAGGTGCAGAAAGAGCTGAGGGAGACAGTATGGGCGGCGGTGGTCTGAACGGACTGGTAGGCAGATGGCCAGATGCAGACACTGTCCTGCAGAGCGGCATGAGCGAAGGTCTAAGGGACTGGGATCTATGGTACGCGCTACTGACGATCATTGCGTTGTCAAAAAGCTAACACTTGTAAAGGGGGCCTCTTGTCTTCTGCTTACTGCTCAGTTTCCTCCTTTCGCGCGGCGCACAAGACGAACAGAAGTCCATAGTCTTTTCTGGAGTATTCGCTACTGTTTGGATCGGAGAAGCTGTCGTCACACTCCAAATCAAGCTTCTAGGAGGCAGCATGTATGATCATCTTCTCGACTGTGGCATAGTCAAATGCTAATATGTGTGCTAGTTCATTCTTCCAGTCGGTATGCATTATTGGGTACACACTGTTCCCACTGGTCATTGCATCAACTCTCAGTGCGGCCGGTCTTCCTATGATTGCTAGGATTCCTGTGTACCTTGTGCTGGTCGCATGGTCACTGGCAGCGGGTGTGAGTATTCTCGGAGGATCTGGTGTTGTCAAGAACAGGGTAGGTCTTGCAGTGTTCCCGCTGCTCGTTTTCTACATCGGCCTGGGATGCTTGTGCTTTATCAGTTAGCCAGGAGCGGTCATTGGCCAAAAAGAAAGAGTAGAAGCAATTGTATTCAGTTCTTAGACTGCACAAGACAGACTCATTTCAAGACTGGATCAAATCTAGGCAGGCTGAAGCTCGGTGTTTGTTGTGCAGATTTTGGCGATTTCAATGTGACTAAAGGCAGATGGTTGTTTTAAGTGTGAGAAGAGAGGAGTCAAGGTGAGGCAGAGAGACAAAGACAATGATGGCCCGTTTGGGACTAGGGCGTGAGGGCGCCGCGGATGGCATCAAGAGACACCGGCGGTTACTGCAGCACGAGCATTGTGATATCTGAATCGTGGTTATTTACTAGCATTGTGACTTTGGATACACGAGTCCCTGTCTTGTTCACCGTCTTAGTAGCGCGCATAGCAGTGTATCTAGCGATTGCTCAGTCGTCACCTCGGGCAAGACATATCCAGCGCGGCCGACGCAGACGGCGCGCTGAGCTGCTTCACATCTGCTTGACCCGCCTCGGCCACTTTCTGAACCTGCACAGCTCTGCTCTCTCCTTTCCTGCACCCGTCTCACTACCCAAAGCCACGCAGCCTACCTTCCGACCTCTCTCTTCGCTGCGGAACAACTCCCGACGACTCCAATTCTTCCTTCTCGCGCAGCAGCCTTCCCCGCCGGCATCACCGTAACCAAAATGCCCACCTCGCCGAAGGAGTCGCATGTTTCCGATGCCGAGGGAGGTGAGCGACCTCTGAGGGAAAGACTGAGAAATGCCTCCATCAAGAGCACTCCTCAAATCTCCAACACGACCGCAACCTCCCAGCCCGAGCCCGAAAAGGCCCGCGCCAAATTGCACCGAAAGCGGAGCCACGAAGACGTCGAGAACCTAGAGGAAGAGCCCGCGCATAAGAGCAGACAAGCTCGCACGAACAAGAGATCTAGGGAGAACTCGCCTGAGGACAAGATCGTCGAGCAGTCCGCCAAGCGCAAATCTGACGAACTCGAAAGAGACGATCAACCCGTGGCAGTAGACCCTCCTCAGCAGTCAGCACCATCTGTCTCGACCGCCAATACAACCGAACCAGACGACTTGACCAAGTCCGATGAGAGCCCAAAGACGAAGCGCAGCAGGGTCGATGAGACGACCAGCACCGACACAACCTCAAAGACGGCATCAGACGCAAAGGCAACCATCGAACTCGAAGGAAAGACTGCCACTGAAGAACCGGCACAGCAGGCTCAGCCAACAACCAAGATTCCTGCTGGAAGTGGGTTCGCAAACACATCTGCATCCTCACCATTCGCTTCTCTAGCCACCGCTAAATCACCCTCGGAACAATCCCAACCTACGACCAGTGCTTTTGCTTCGTCTGCGTTCGGCGCCCTTGCTGGTTCTTCCACATCAGCTTTCGGCGCACTAGGTCAGAGTAAGACTTTGTCTAGCTTTGCAAGCCCTGGCAGTACGCCTGCACCTGGCGAGGACAGCGCAAAGCCAGCGCCGAGTGCTTTCGGTGGTCTTCCATCGACAGCTTCCCCTTTCGCGACTGCTGGCTCTTCAGGCTTCGGTTCTGGTGCTTCTGGATTCGGAGTACTCGGCAATGGTTTCGGTGGTGGCTTCGGAGGTCTGGGCGGCGGTTCTAAACTGACCAGCTTCGCGAGCAGCGGGACTCCTGGCGTCATTGGATCGAGCACGAAGACAGGAATCACAGCATTCGGCGCGCCTGCTGACGAAGAGGAGGAACAGTCTGGAGACGATGGCGAGGATGATTCTGGAGTTAAGAGCCCAAAGCTCATCGTCGACGAGGACAAGAAGGACGAGCGCTTCTTCGAGCAAGACAGTAAGTTCACTTACTTCGAGATGACTGATCTATCATTGCTAACAACCAATCAGTCGAAACTGGTGAAGAAGGAGAAACCACTCAATACACATGTCGCGCCAAGCTGTATAACTTTGTGGACAAGAAGGAATGGAAAGAGCGTGGAGTGGGTGTTCTCCGTTTGAATGTGACCGAACCAAAGTCGGGCGATGAGAATTCGACACTGAAGGCCAGACTTGTCATGCGTGCAGATGGCTCACACCGCGTTGTCCTCAACACGCCTATTCAGAAGGGTCTCAAGTTTGGCGACGTCCACGGCGCAAAGCCCACTGGACATTTCATGACTTTTGTTGGTTCTCTGGAAGGCAAGCCTCAACTCGAGATTCTCCAGATGAAGGTATGAACACGGATGTTGTCCACAGTATGCTACCGTTGATGCTAACACGAGATACAGATGAGACCACAATTCGCTGGGGAACTCTGGGAGCACATTGCGGATTTGCAGAAGGAGATGTAGATGGCAACGTCCGAGGACAGTTACGATCATCAATCGCGTTGAGTCTGGCGCAACTTAGGCGCTGGCAAGAAGGTTAGCAGCATGGGCACATAAGTTGGATGGGCGGTCCTTTTGTCTCCAGCGAATAAACGAGCGTACAAAAGATGATATTCAAAACCAAAATAGAAACACAATCTACATAAGACCAGTGCTCGCTTTGAACGAATTTATTTCGCATTCTCGAGCCAAGATTCAACTACACCGTGATTCTTTGACTTAGCAATAGTTGTTCTCATTGTGCGGATTGTAAGTGGTGGCAAAGGCGTCGCGAGATCTACTTCTTCCCTTTGTATTTACCTTCTTGATATACACACAAATCACAACTTTGATGCCAACTCTCAAATAACAATACGCACATCGCCAGAATCAGCCGGGCCTCGTAGCGACTTGTACATCCATCACTACTGAACTTGATGTCTCACTCCTAGAATATCTTTTTACCAGTGGCTACGTCATTGAGGTTCGCGTCAACTAACAATAACAACAATGCCCAAATTGCAAGCTGCAACAGTATCCAACAAAGTCGTACGCAAGAGGAAGAGAAAGAGCCAGGACGAACAAGAACAAGTAGAAGCCGAGCCCGCCAACACACAAGACTCTACGACAAGCACCACAACAGTTCCGACCAAGACACAAGATGGAGGCAAGAAACCGAAGCGGACGCCCAAGGCCAAGGGTGCACCACCCAGCCTGTCTAGGAAGGGGTCTTCCATGGTAGAGACGACGATACCTTGGCCCGAGGAGTTCACCAAACTAGGCCAAGTCCACCGAGCTCTGAATCTGGTTTACACCTTCTGCTGCACGCGCAAACATCTGGCCACCACCTTTGAGACCATAAGGACTACTGTCGAATCGCACATTGGCCGCGAGCTATCCATACAAGATGTCGCCAAGATCAAGGCCCTCATACCGCGTTCGATCAACTTTGCATACATCGATGAAGACCTACTGCAGGTAAATCTCATGGGCGAGCAAGAGAATTCGAAGAACAAAAGATTCGAAGGTTACATGGCCTCGGAGCCAACAGAAGACAAGCAAGAGAAAGGAAACAAAGAGGTCTTGTTATTCGAGTACATTGACGGAGATCTGAAACGTCAAGTACAGCACAACAAGACTGGTGAACCTACAAAAGCAACGCGGAAGCTCAAAGATGAGGATCTCAAGATGCCTGTATACAGCCAGAAGCAGATGATGAACTTGATCGAGAAGAGAAACAACAAGTTTACGTCTGCAGTAAACGCCTGGCTGAACGAGTGCGACGCAGAGGGCATGAACCCAGTAGAGAAACTGGACATCGAGCACAACCTGAACATACCCGCGCCCTCGGAAAGCAGAGGAAACACACCAACTCCTGAGAAGCGAAGAGCATTGCTGCCCAAATCAATCCCCGACGAACGCAAGACTATCCCTGAGATTGTATCTGAGATCAAGACCCTGGAGTGGTATACTGGTCAGATAGTGCCAGATGGTCATCGTGTTTTCGATCCCCAGCCTGCCATATATGGCGATCTGAATTTCGAGCTGTCGCAGACGCTTGTCAATGCACTCTACAATACTCGCGGTATCACTCAGTTGTACTCGCATCAAGCAGAGGCTATCAACAATTTGTACGACGGTCACAATGTCATTGTCTCGACATCAACAAGTTCGGGAAAGTCCTTGATCTATCAAATACCGGTCTTGCATGAGCTTGAAAAGAACAAGCAAGCTAGAGCCATGTATATCTTTCCCACCAAAGCCCTGGCCCAAGATCAAAGACGTAGTCTCAAAGATCTCCTGCAATATATGGAGGGACTAGAAGATTTGGTTGTGGAGACTTTCGACGGTGATACACAAATGTGCGATCGAAATTTGATTCGAGATGAAGGAAGCATCATCTTCACCAACCCAGACATGTTACACATTACCATTCTACCACAAGAAGAAGCCTGGAGAACTTTTCTGCAAAATCTACGTTTTGTGGTCGTGGACGAACTTCACGTCTACAACGGTCTTTTTGGAGCACACGTAGCTCTGATCATGCGTCGTCTGCGTAGGATCTGTGCTGCAGTGGGAAACCGCCATATCAAGTTCATCTCTTGTTCAGCTACTGTTGCAAACCCCGAAGAACACATGAAAACCATCTTTGGTGTGGAGCAAGTCAGACTTACAGATTTCGACGGTTCTCCCTCTGGTAGGAAAGAATTCCTCTGTTGGAATACACCATTCAAGGATCCAGCAGATCCGACTTCTGGTAGAGGTGACGCTTTAGCGGAAGCTGCGAAGCTATTCTGTCAGCTCATTCTGCGAGGCGTACGCGTCATTGCGTTTTGCAGGGTGCGAAAACAGTGTGAAGCATTGATCGGAGCCGTCAAGAACGAACTGGCATACTTGGATAAACAGGAGGTCATGGCAAGAGTCATGTCCTATCGTGGCGGTTACGCTCCTCAAGATCGACGAAAGATCGAAAAGGAAATGTTCGATGGGAAACTCGTTGGAATCGTGGCGACCAGTGCGCTGGAGCTTGGTATTGACATTGGCTCTCTTGATGCGGTCATGACTTGTGGTTTCCCATACACGATCGCCAACCTTCGTCAACAGAGCGGTCGAGCTGGTCGCAGGAACAAGGACTCGATGTCTGTACTTGTCGGAGACTCCTTCCCAACTGATCAGCATTACATGCAAAACCCAGACGAGATCTTCACGAAGCCAAACTGTCAGTTACAGGTTGATCTTGAGAATATGCTTGTACTTGAGGGGCACGTGCAATGTGCGGCCAATGAGATGCCGATCCAGCCCAAAGAGGACGAGGTGTACTTTGGCAAGCTCTTGACGGACATTGCAAGGGACCGGATGAGAAGAGACGATCTTGGCTTCTTCCATACCGCCGACCGCTTCCTCCCTCGACCTTCGACTTTTGTGGCGATCCGCGACACTGAGGAAGATCACTTTGCCATCGTTGACATTACTCATGGACGCAACGTCGTTCTCGAAGAGCTCGAGGCCTCACGTGCATTCTTCACCATCTACGAGGGAGGCATCTACCTACACCAAGGAAACAAATACCTGGTCAAAGAAATGTCAACAGACAGAATGATGGCCCGAGTCGAATTCGTACGCGTGGAATGGACGACCCAACAACGCGACTTCACAGACATCGACCCCATCGAAACCGAAGCCATTCGCAAAATCTCAAAGTCGCTGTCGCGAGCATACTACGGCACAATCAGAATCACCCAAGTGGTGTTTGGCTTCTTCAAAGTAGATGCAAAGCGCCGCATTCTAGATGCAGTCGAAGTCGACAATCCACCCATCACAATATTCAGCAAAGGCATGTGGCTAGATGTCCCTCGTCGTGCGCTACAAATCCTCGAGTCCAGACGCTTGAACATGGCAGGAGCCATCCACGCCGCCGAACACGCACTGCTGTCCCTCATGCCAAACTTTGTCATCAGCATGCCCGGCGACGTAAAAACCGAATGCAAAAACGCACTCAAGGAGTTCCAAGCACGCGAAAACAGCCGCAAACGTCCCGCTCGCCTCACCTTCTACGATGCCAAAGGTGGTGCAGCAGGGTCGGGTATCAGCACCAAAGCCTTTGAATTTGTAGATCGCTTGTTGGTGCAGGCTTGCGAGCGAGTGGGCGCTTGCCACTGCGATGAAGGATGTTTGGAGTGTTGTTGCTCTGAGCAATGCAAAGAGGCGAATTCGGTGATGAGTAAAGCTGGCGCGGAGGTTATTCTGAAGAGCCTGTTGAATAGGGAGATTGATGTTGATGCGTTGCCTTGGGGTCCGGAGGATGAGAGGCAGCCGGCTGGTGTGGAGACTGTGGTTTTCGCGAATGAGGTTGCGCCTGGGCGAGGTAAGAGGTTTGGGGATGTTATTATCAAGACGGAGGACGGTGAGGAGGAGGGTGTTACTGTCATCAAGGATGAACCCGAGGATTGAGAAGTTTTCGGGTCAAGTAGCTCTACATGGCTATCACGAGGTCACGCGTCCCGGCACAAATATCTCGCTTGCCCTAAATCTACTGCTGTGCTGTTGATTGGATCTGTCTCCTTGCATTGCTGATTGTCTGAGCCAGAACTTAGTCACCGAACAGGAGAAGAGCCAGATATTGAGAAAGGGTCAAGCACGCACGAACAATGGAAGCAACGGTCTCAGCTAACAAGATTGAGGTTGTGCGTGACCAATTGACAGATCCATGAGCTTCAACAGCACACTGGATGGATTAGCCTCGGTATGTGACTCTGTATGAAATTCGATAGTGATTCAAGGGCAGGGTGGCATCCCTAACCGTGGATTTCAGGAGTCCAATTGATATTCGGGCAACAGGCCAGCTCTCTGCATCTTTCTTTCTCTCTCCTTTGCCTTGGTTAGTCAGCCTCTAACTACGATAGAGCCTCTCAAACGCGGATTCATGCAAGAGAATTCCTCTGGTCTGTAACAAACATCCTGATTCTTGAGCACTGAGGTTGGAATGTTGAAGGAGGTAGACGGCTCGAACACGATAGCAGAAGGAGATCTCAATTAGTGCGACGTTGACCTCGGTGGTCTAGTACTCATTGCGGCACTCTATTCATACATTAACATTACTCATACAATCGATCGTACATCAAACTATCCTGTGGGCATCCAGTCGACAGGGATCAAATCATGTTTCCGATCTTCCATGACCTCAAATCTTCACGCCATGGATTGTCGAACTCATCAATCTCGTTTTGTCCCAGCTTGTTAGATTTCCGTTTGGCAGATTCCAGCTCGAATTTGATGGCTTGCTGGTGCAGACTGCTTCGACCTCCAAAAGTGCCTTGCTTGCTGAGGCTGCCAGCAGAGGAACCGTCTTTGGACCAGCCGTCAAAGCCTTTGCGTCTGTCGGACTGTACGCTTTCCTTACTGACTTCGCGCTGGTGGCCTCGCATGGGGCTCTTCGAACGCGCTGTTCTGTTGGATTTGTGTGTTGGAGTCAGATTGTTCGATTTGGCTTTGTCTTCGTCGCTGCCGCCGGGAGCGAGATGTTGACTGCGTTGGACGTGGTCAAGATGTGAACCCCAGCCATCACCACCAGCAAATATATCCTTGATACAGTCGTCGGCTCGTAGCTCCTATAAGCATCTTAGTCGTGATACGTGAAGGACACAAGAGTATAAAATTACCCCTGGCTGTGCGACCCATGATGCAGCTAATGTTCGCCGATACATGTCTTGTAGTTCGCCGTTCTCACGGCTCTTGTTGGATAAAGAAGGGATGTTGCTGCCCTCTTCGGCGACTTCTGCGACCTCCTGAGACATTATACCAGTGATACCACCGAAAACGGGCGCGGTGCGCAATGGAGGACTGTATTGTACTTCAGCCAGAATCCGGACAAGGATAGAATCAAGCTTACGCATAGTAGCTTCTGTCACCCTCGAGATGCTTGAGATGGAGCGAGACTTTCAGAGTACTGTTGATCTTGCTGTCCTGCATGAGGTAACGTCTCGTGACGCCTTCTTCATCTTGGTGGGCATGGTCGTTTGTGTCGACATATTCGGCCAGATTGAGCTTGATGTTTCCCAGAGTGATGCGCTCTCCTTTACCGGCACTGGAATATTCTTGTATGATCTCGAGGTGTATGTATAGCTCTTGTAACATGTGATCCTTGCCAATGACAAGGCGTACAGAGGTCTGTTTCTCATAGTCGAAGACGACCTTGTGATCCTTGATGTTGCATTTGTTTGTACGGCCGCGATGCTCGGCAGCACTTGATGAGGGTAGATGCCATTTGACGAAGCAGGTGCCGGATACCAGGGGGACGTTGTTCAAGTCAAAGATGTTGAGGTTGAAGTCGAAGCGCGGCTGTGTCGGATGTGGAATCAATAGGTGTACAGGCAGTTCAGACTAGGGATGGAGGACGTACGCGACGGGCCTTTGGGACTGCGAATGTCAGCGTTGAAGCGCTCAAGGCAGGCGCCATTGCACTCGTTCAATCTCACCAAAGGTCTGCATGTTGGAAGACAGATGGATTCGTGATTGCGAATGTCTGCGGAAGGAGCGGCAGGCACCACGACCTCATCGTATCCATCAGCATGTGAACGATGATGGCATCCGGCCCGTTGCACGGAGTTAAGATGGATTTTCGATGCCAAGATTACACTTTCGAGATCCGAGAGCCGCGATTGTAGATTGTAGATTCGACTTGAATGCAGCTGCTCAGTCGCTCCTCCTTGCTCGCACGTAGTTTGTCTTGATGTTACGCCCGTCGTCAGTTCGGGACGCGTCGACATGCCTACGATGCAACCTGCGCCTCGTCCTCGGTCAGATCCAACCACGCCGCTACCAATCCTCGGATGAGTCGCCTCAAACATCTCAAGAATCTCCTGCCTCCCCGGTCACGCCTCGCTCCGATCAGCAACAGAAGCACCAAGCACCGCGTCTTCGCATTGTCCGCCACCATTTCAACCATGGCAAGATTCGTGGTAAGAAGGGCAGCCAAAGACGTGTCGAGTCGGCAGAGGCTCTGTCCATTGCCAGCTTGGGTCAAGATTCCGAAGTCATCGTTCTACGTGACTTGCACGAGCCTCGGGTCGAAACAAAGAAACCTGACAACCCTCCATTAAACGTCGTTTTCGACGACTTCGACGATGCTGAACAGAGCCTGGCTCCCCCAACCGCTAGCGACATTGAGAACATGTCGGCGGGCAGAAGAGCAATTCGTCCCAAGGACCAAGAAGTCTTCGAGTCCATTGATGGGCTTAGGCCACCACCCAACGTTGACGTTGTCAAGGAGGTCGAATTCCGAGCCATCTTCACTGCCTTGGCCAAGGGCTATACTATAGGACAACTGAAAGGCTACCTGCTCCAGGAAATCGCACCTACGCGGCTCGCCTCATCCAAGACCAGATCTTCTCGCCGTGCTTTCGCTTCAGAAATCACCAGCAGCAGCGGTGACCTGCAAGTCCTCAAGCGAACCGCATGGCATCTCGGTACTACCCCCATCGCTAGGCGCCTGTCCGTCATATTCTCTGCTCATGCAGGCCCTAAGATGAACAACAAGGAAGATGTTATAGAGTCCATTCTGCGCCATGCCTGGATACTAAGTATCGAGGAAGAGAAGAAAGCCTTGGGCGAGATAGAGTTCCTGCTGTCGCCCATGCAATTCGGCCTGCTGCTCACAAAGAATTCGAAAACCTTGCAGCCCCTGCTCGAAAGCACAAGGTTCTACACCAATTCGCGCTTTCAGTTGCACCAAGCCGACCACGTCATTCGAATCGTGGGCCCACGCTCTGAAGCTGAGGAGATTGCTCTTGTTCTGACCCAAGCATATGCTCCTGCCAGGAGCGCTGACATTCATCTCGATACTTTTGATCTTGCCTTATCAGCAGATCGAGCAGGCTACACTTTACAGGACATGTTGAGCCCCGCGCAGCTAACCAGGATCATGCAGTTGACCAGGACCTATGTACACTATGACTCCACCGCTAAGCGTGTCCGCATTGCGAGCTTTGCTGATGTAGCTATCAATGACGCCCATCGCCTACTTGTCGCTCTCTTGGACTCTCGTACGCGGACCAAAGTCGCCATGATCTATGATTCGCACAACGCTAAAAAGTGTCGCCTCGAAAACATATCATCTAACAAGGATCTGCCTTCCTTTGCCCACGACCTCCAGCTTGGTCGTTGGGTCACCTCGTCCTCGAAAGCCAAGCAGTCCGCAACTGACCAAACTCTTCTGGGTATTCAAGACGGCCATTCAGTTGGTCGCCATGACGATAAAATGCGCGCCGAAGACGCTGGAGTAGCAATCTCGCCTCTGACCACTCGCAGTCCTATCATGAAAAGGGCCTTTGCGATCATGAAGACTTGTGTTGACTCATCAGAGAAGGCACTTGATACGAATGTGTCAATCTGGTCAGAGCGGCCGCCTATGTACGACTTCTGGAGGGCTCACGTCGGCCTTTCCTTGCATAACAATGAAGCTGAAGCTACCTACCCCAGTGCTCAGGGTCTCTACACGAATGAAGAAAAGTATGCACGCTCTCACCGGAACATCTTTACCTCCAAAGTCCCGGGCCTGGTCGGTCTCTTGGCCTCTATCCCACCCAACGATCCCAAGAAGGAAGCTCGTGTCAGGCGTACTAGGCTCATAGCTCATCTGATTCCATCTCCTTTTGAGCATGCAAAAACTTGGGCTTCGACGGCATTCCCCAAAATTCAGCTTCGCTTTTACATCGAAGGCTCTACCGAGTTACGAATGTCTGAAAAGCACGTTTTTGCTGATCTGCCCAGCGGTAAACGTATAGTTTTCCAGGATATACGTGCCGTCATTCGTACCGAGATTGTACAGCTAAATCTGCCTTCACACCCTGCTGATATACAATTCAAGCGCGAACAGCGACTCGTTAGTCGTCGTGTGAGCGATGATGTGGGCATCAAATCGTTCATTGACGCTATATTTGAAAGTATGAAGAGCGATACCGTTCTGCGTGCTCCTCCAGCTCTTCAGATACCCATTCCGCAAAACATAGTCGCTCCCATGCCGGAAAGATACCTACCACAGATGCGAGGCGCAGTACGTGGTCTCAAAGCTCAAGTCTGGTCCAAACAAGCTACGAAGAGCGGAGTAGTCCCCGTCAAGTACCTCTTTGCTGGTTTCGAATACCAGGAAGCACGAGACTTTGATCTTGGGACACTTGCACCATACCATAAGGCGGATCTCCGGTCTTATGAAGGGGGTGTAACAGGAGGCCGTCGCCTTGATCTGAGCTTGCTCGCTAAAGACGCCAAGTCCACAGAAGTTGTCGAAGACAGCAAATCTGTGCAAAGGCTTGTGGATGCATCGATCAGGTTGATCAACGCTTTGGCAGAGTCTCAAGTCGGTCAACCGAGAAGTCGTCCTCATTTGGCTCATGACACGCGACCCAGAAAATCACGCAAGACAGCCCCTGAATTAGAGGAACATCCCAAGGAGATGAAACAGAGACGCCTTGACAAGAAGAAGACGTCACAAGCAAAGGAGATCAGCAACATGGATTCATCAGAAGTGAACGAGGTGGCAGAACAAGACAAGGCTCTCGAGCTAGGCACCGATCAGGACGACGCAGAAAGAGTGACACCAATCGAAGCGAATGCTCAAGAGACAATCACGGCTGAGAAGCCAGAGACTCGACCTCGAGTCTTCGATGCCCCTGCAGAGCAGGAGCAGACGGAGCAAACGTCAAGCACAGATGCGTCCACCTCGACATCTAGTACGATCGATAACGATACGACTGAGCAGACATCTACTCAAACACCACCCGGGCCTGAGACACCAGAGGCCAAGGCAGAAGAAGCAAAGCCCGTCGAAGAAGAACCCCTGAGCGTTCGTCTTCAACGCATGATGGGTAGTGGTCGTTGAGGCCTCATCCAGAATTCTCATCTCATGAACGACCAAAAAGCATTTTGGAGGGAGGGCGCTTTGCCTATTTTCCTCGTTGTAATATTGTACATATATCTCATGTATCACTAGATTTTCTTGGACAGATGGATGAATAGACAACTCCGACATCTTCATCTACACAAGCATTGGAAGTGAGAAGTGTCATGTGTGAGGGAGTTTGAAAGTCGATATATATATATCGGATGATCAAGATCTCTGTCCTGTCTTTTCTCCTCCTTTGTCCATCTGACATGTAAAAGGGGAAAAGGGGGCTGAAGCTCGCTAAGCTACAAGAAAGGATTCAGAAAAGCATGTACAGGACGGATCCATGCGCATCCCTCCATCTCTGCCCAGCCATGTCAGGCAAGATCGAGCCATCATCCAAGAATGAGATCGGCCGAGCAAAGAGCATAGTCGAGGACCTCTCTGCCCCGTAGTCAATCGAATCATGAGGGATGAGAGAAATCAATCAATCATCTCGTCCTCAAACGCTTCTCAGTAGCAGTAGAAGGAGAAGCAACATCGTCGTCAGCAGCATCTGCATTCTAAACAGCACTGACGCGCGGCCTCTTGCGACCACCTCCAATCGTCGTCTCGGATCTCGCGGTCCTCTTCTCCTGGTTATCGAGCACCAAACTCAACACGTCGAAACCGAATTGCGGGAATTCGAGACACATGCTCCTGAACTCTGCTTCCGCCTCATGACGCAACACATGACTGCGTGTAGCCCAGAACGCCGCGACAGGCTTGCGGATGCTTTCGTCCGTAGTCTTTGTGTGGCCGTACACGTAACGTGCGTATTCGATCTCGCCGCGGGCGGTGCTCTGGGTGAGGTGGATCTTCTTGTGGGCGAGGGTTGCGAGGGCGGGGACGCCGAAGCGCTGGGCGAGTGTGTAGACGCGGGCGTGACGGAGGAGGGCGACGCCGTCGGTGTCTGGCGTGGGGATGGTGGGGTCGGTTTCGAGGAAGGAGCCGCTGAGGGAGGGGAAGTAGTCGCCTTTGTAGAGGAATTCGAGGAAGCAGGCTGTGGCGGTCAGGTCTTCGTCGGGGAGCTCGATGCGGCGCTGAGAGGGTAGAGGTCAGCGTTTGGATGTCAGAGATGTGGTGCTCAAGTGTGGTCTTTCTTACGTTCTCGTCTCCGAAGGTAGCGATTTGACCCTCGAGGACGGGGCTTTGTTCCAGCAGGCGCTGGTGAGCGTGCAGAATGGTGATATCGTCATCCTTGCCGACGGAGAGCTCAATGATAGGTGATTTGAGGCAGCTATCGCGTCGCATCAGTGATCGAAGAACGCGTCTCTATCGCAACGGGAGATTCCCGACTCTAGAAAAGTGACGCGGGCGGGGACTTCGGGCTCAATGTTCTCGAGACCGGAAGGCTCGAGATCTTCCTGCTGGTCGGCGGTGTTCTCGGGCTGGGTGCTCTCCTCCTGGCCTTCCATGTCGACGTCCTGGCTCTGGGTTGGCGCGGGAGTGTTGTTCTCGCTGGCGTCGATGACGACCTCGGGTTCGGCCATTGTAGCGATTTAGTGTGTGTGAGATGCTGAATGAGCTGTGCTTGAGACGAGTAAAACGCGAAAACACGCGTTGGAAAAGCGATTGAGATGGACGGGAGTGAAAGACGCGACCGACTCCGACTCCGACTCCAATTGCGCCGGAGCTGGACCCCTTCCGCCTCGGCAGGTCCGAGCTCGCTCGCCGACCTCGACCATCATATCGATACACGACCAACACTTTACTAGAATGGCTCATCAAACACAACGAAGGGTGTATTTACATACGATATCGTACTGGACTGTATCTCTCGCCTGTACTGGGAACTGGTCTCTCTACCCGGATCACCCACAGCAACCAATCTTCGAGAGGAACAAAAATATGAAACACCTTGTTTCCCATGAACGCAATCAACACGTACGCTGTCGCAACCACAGCATCCAAAAAGTAGTGGTTGGCCGTCGCTATGATCGTGATCAGAATCATCATCGGATAGCCAACTCCAAGCCCAACATAGAAGAATCTCCTCGCCCAAGGTTTGCGCACTTCGCCATACTCTAGCTTCTTCCGGAATACCCCTGAATGGTATACCAAAGTGCAGCCGATGCAGAAAGCATATCCAAAGTGCATACTCGGCATAGCAGCGAGACTGTTGACGTATTTGCCGCTCATCCACACTGACTGCGCATCGTCATGCCTGACTGTATCCAAGAATCCATATTCTTTTGGGAGCAGTCGCGGAGGCATGCAAGGATACAAGATGTACGTCGTGAACGCCTTGAAGTTGGTCAGATTCATAGTGCGACGTACCGTAGCGAATGTCGAATGCGACGGTGCAACGTAATAGTACCATGCGATGAAGCCAACAGTCCCGGGTATGTGTATCAAAGCGTATACTTTGTTCAAGATACTCAATACAGCTTGGTGGTTGTGCATGAACCACTGCTGTATGTCTAACTCGCGTGGGAACATGTAGTTGAAAAGTCCCTGTTGCTCGATCTTGAGCACAGCAAGGCCATTGCTTTCGGCAACTTCTCAAATGCCTCTACCAGAGAGGGTCTTCTGCGACAGGCTGGCAGTCATGCGATAGAACAAGTAGTTGATGACCCAGTAAAACATTTCCAATAAGAAGAGAAAGCGCTGCAGCACTCGGCTATGCATGTTGTTTCTGAATCTGGACGTCTTGGGTGCTTCGAAGGTGAAGCCGAGCAGTTTTCGCTTCGTGCTCGTATGGTTCGTTGCAACCATATATTCTTGTGTATCGTGCTCGCATCGCTTGTCATGACCTAGAAACTCGCCACAGAAGCATGCAGTGTCATCACTGCCCAGACCTGACTTGTATGTGCTAGGTCTCCTTCCAAAGATACGATAGTCTCTCTTCCTCGTCATGAACATGGCCCCGAAGAGAATCACAAGAACAATCTGTAACCATGCACGTTAGCTTACTATTCGTCAATCAGCACAGGTCCGTACCAATGGCTCCGCCCAGCCAGGCAATTTGAACGCTGGAGTACTATTCCATTGAGCTTCCTCAGTGGCCGTCAAGTTCTCGAGACCCAAATCCATAGCCACACACGATCGAGTTCGGGTATCAAGAGAACAGGCGGACGTAACGACAGTAGCAAATTTCGGGTTTGTGGGTCGCGTGACAAGAAATTACATGGTTGGAGCGGATCGAGTTTCGAAGACCCCTGTATGCAAGGGATTTGTTTCGTCCCAGGATGCTGGTTTCGAAATGGAGTCTCAGGTAAGATAGGGATGGTGAAGAACGCAGGGATGCAGTGAGCCAAACAGAAACCCGTCGTATGATTGACAATGGCATATGACAGGATCGTGATAATTCCTTCCGCTTTGACTAGGTACCTACAATAACGTTTCGATTGTTTGCCAACCACGTCAATTAGACTTGCGTGGACCTCAAACTGTGACATATGACAAGATCGGTTTGCAGAAATCGATTTCAACATGCCTTTTGGTAATTTACCTTCACACAATGAGTGTCAAAGCGACAAATGCTAGCACACGAGACGCAGTGCTTGTGTCATTTGCAATGTATAATGTGCAATATGCTGGCATGCTGGGGCTACTGAATCAGACTATGCCTACAAACAAGAAAAAATGCCTCTGCTCAATCAAAGAGAAATCGCTCCACACAACAACAGAACTAGGCTAATACAATCCCAAACTCCAGACAATCCACCTCTTTTTGTCCAAGAAGTGAACAAGATATGGAACAAAAACCAAAACAAAAATGCTATTCTATGCTTTTCAATGCATGATACTCTGCCTCCACCGATCAATCAAATCTCTCTGCGCAACAAGATTGGGATCGTGCATACCGCCAGCCGCTTGCATCTGAGCCACATGCGCGTAAGCCTGTTGCTGTTGTACAGGCATCATCATCTGCTGCTGTGGCATTTGCATCTGAGGATATCCAGGGAAGCCTCCTGCAAACATCATGTGGCCATATTGGGCTGTAGGTTGCAGGAAGGGAGGTGGTTGCGCAAAGCCATATCCAGGCATACCTCCAGCAGCCATGTGGGCAGGATACATAATAGGTGCTTGTTGAGGTTGCAGTGTTTGCGGGTTGAAGTACTGTGGTACTGCGCCAGTGGATCTAGAGCTGAGGAGCGGAGGTGCCGGTTGGGGAGCCAAGTGGGGTGGCATGCCGCTGGTGAGCCGGTTGTAGGAAGTTGAGCGTGCGGCGTTGCGCTCGCGAAGTTTCCTTCGTGCTTCCTCTTCTGCGCGGGCGGCGTCGGCTAGAAGGGAGCCGCCTACTTGGGTGTTGGCAGAGCGGGGACCACCAGGAGAAGATACAGGGTGGGCGGCAAGTAAATTGGCGAGGGAAGAGGAAGAGCGAAGGAGAGGAGGGCGAACTGTGCGGATTGAAGGGGGGTCGGATGCATCGCCTCGTTTGGCTTCTGCTTCGCGCTCACGTTGCAAGCGTGCTCGTCGTTGTCCCAAGGTTTCTTCTTCTGGCTCGGGTGTCTTGACTTTGGTGCCTGTTATACCACCGAATGTGCTGAGGATATCTTCGGAGAAAGCAGTAGACTTGCGTTTGTCGGCTTCTGCGACATCGCCGAGTGCCACATCGAGCATCTGCTTCTGTTTGAGACGGCGTAGACGTTGTCCTAATGGCTCGTTCGCATCTTCCTCTTCGTTTGAATCTTCTCCAGGCAATGGTACTGCTTCGGGTGGTGGTAGAGCTGCCTCACGGCGTTGCCTCTCCATCTCTTCACGGATGCGACGTGCATCGGCAGCGGGCACGCCCTTGAGGCGGAAGCGACGACTGCTTAGTGGCTCGTTATCTTCAAATTCCCGCTTTTCCATGAGACCCAGGGGGCGATCCCAGTCAGACTCGTCTTTCTTGCCTCTGTTTATCAGACCGCCCTTTGTAGGATACAGAACGCCGAGTGGGACGTCTTCATCCTCCTCGTCCTCATCAGCGCCTGGATCTTCCCATGCAAGCTTGGTGCGTCCAAGCTTTTTCTTCTTGTTCTTCTCAACCTGTTTGACAGCGTCCATCTGGAGCAACGTGCTATGCATGCCATCGGGGAAGGCATCTGCCGCAGCACGATTGCGAGACTTTTGATGAGCCTTGCGAGCCTGTAATTCGGCCAGCAGGGTAGTGGGTTGCGCAAAGAAGGGTATCTTCATGTCCTGTTCATCGTTGTAGATGCTCTCTCTGTCTCCGGTCTCTTCCTCAGCAGCCACCTCGGCATGTTCGCCCTCAGGAGATTGCTCGGCTGGCTCCTCGATCTCGAGTTTGTCAAAGTGAACACTAGCAGGTCGCGACTTTGCAAACTCAGTAGCAGTGTCACCACCATCATTCATATCCAGGTCAGTCATCAGGCTCATCTTACTGTTTCTCTTCCTCAGCTTCTTGCCCTCTGATCTACCACCAAAGTCGGTGAGAACAGTCATCATGCTGTTACGCTTAAATAGGGCCGGCTTCTCGATCGTACCAGAGCTGATAGATCTGTCATGTCCCTTCTGTTGTGCATCGTCCATGATCATATCAATTTTGGACAAAGTTGCGCTACGACGATTGGCAGGACGTTCCTGGGCATATATGTCTTGCCCATTGTTCCCAGCGAACGGATGGTCAGTAAAGACGTTGACGGGGGCATTGACAGATGCAGCTAGGATACTGTCCAGTGTAGCCACAGCAGATGCGGACTGGACCTTGACTTCAGTTGGAGGCCTCTGTCCTTCGTTGTCGAAGAAGACGGATGCTCTCAATTGCGGAGGTAGATTAGCGATGCTCATTCTGCTGGCCTGAAGATCCATCATGCTTCGTCTCTGCTGCTTTGCCTGGGGAGGAGAAAGGTTGGGCGGTGAAGCACCTTCTTCGTGCTCGTCTTCTCCAAGATCGAGAGCAGGTAGCCAGGGGGCGCTTTGTCTAGAAGCAAGAGGCATGGCGCTCAAGACCTGAGAGCGACGCTGGGCTTGCTGACTAGCCGAGGGCAATTGTGACAACCGCTTGGGTAGATTCAACATGCGAGGGACTGGAGCGGGATAGTAGACCATGTCCTCGTTTGGTGGAGGTTGTGCGTAAGACATAGGGCGGGCATATGACATAGGACGAGGTTGACGGGACATTTGCGACATGCGTTGACGCAGATTACTCGAGGCTTCCTCCTCGTTCACTGGTGAGTAATGCACGCCGTCAAAGTCCTTGAACAGCGAACGGGCATCGCGGAAAGTGTCGGTGGTTGGCGGGCGATCCGGAGGGTTCTGAATGAAGTCGTTGTATCCTTGTTGGTCGGCAGCCCGTTGATACAGGTCATGGGCTTCTTGCTGCCATTCCTCCTCTTGACTGATTTTGTGTTGGTGAGAGTACTGTTGCGGCTGGGGGACCTGTCTGTCTTCTTGCGAGTAGTGGCTTTGTTGATCATGTTGCGAGTATTGGCTCTGTTGGTCCGGCTGGGCATAGTGGCTCTGCTGGTCACGAGAGTAGATACTCTGCTCATCTTGCTCATCGTAGTTTCGTATGGCGTCATGCGAATAGTGGCTCAGCTCGTCAAGGTCGGAAAGGCGTCTACTCGACTTGTCCCACTCTTGATGTTCAGGCTCAGGGGTCTTGTCAGCATCGTTGGCATGTCGGTGTTGGTCGCCGGGCATCTCAGCATCTTCAAGGGTCGGGGCGAGCGAGTAGTGAGAGGGTTGACGGCGTGGACTCGAGTACGAGGTGGGCGAGGCAAGGGGCGAGTCGAGGGGACGACCTTCCTGAACGGGCTCAGGCATGCCAGAGGGTCGGTGGAAGCTGCTGACGCGTGAGACGGCGGGACTGGTGATGTATCCTCCGGGCGAGTAGCCACCCCAGCGAGCGTGGTTGTTGACGTCGACGATGGAGTTTGAGTAGCTGGAGGTCGAGTGGTTGCGACTGCGGGTGCTGATGACTCTGTCGATGCTCTCCTGGCGACCCTCGCGGCCTTGAGAGTGAGAGTGCGACAGTGACGGCGACTCAGAGGCAATACTGCTCGAGCGTAATGAGAGTCGGTCCTGTTCCTGTTTCATCTTGCGAATCTCATCGCCAATATCACTCCCCCCCTGACTCATCTCTTCTGCCGATTGCTCCAGACGCTCGACATTCTTGATGTAAGCCCCCTGCAGGCTCTCCAGGCCGGGGGACGGGTGTTGTAGCAAGACTTGTTCAGCCGATGCCGTGCGCATCAGCGCTCCCCGTGGCGGTGCAGCTGTAGACATGGCCGAATCGAGGCACTGTGTACCTGTAGCACTCGGCCCTATAACAACCCACTTTTACACTCCCTTCATTAGTCTCTGTCGAATACGAAGGGGAACTAGCAGTCGGTAGGTATATCGTGCGGAAGAGAGGGAAGAGTAAAGACAAGTCGGGCACAGTCGCACACAACCTTGATCGATTGCTCGCGCCCTGACACGCCGATAGGTACCTACTCGTCAAAAAAGCAGCCACCTCGAGCCTCTCCTTACTCAAAGTTACATCCGCGCCAAAGCTTGGCTGCATTATTTTTAGCTGTCACAACCTCCGAGCCGCATCTCATTCCACTCATTCCCGTCTGCGCTGATCTCCTTCATGTTTTGCTAGATGGGCATTCTTCTAGGCCTTGTGTTCTTCCACACCTCACTCCCTCGCATCTTTTGATTCTCTGTCACTCCAGCCACCATGACATCGCACGCCGTTTTAGAACAACGTTTAGAAAAGCAAGCATTCACCAAGGTTAATCCACGCGAAACTGCCATCTGCTCCTTGGCATACGCATCTTCCCATGCTCTTCCGTGAACCTTCTTATTCCCTACCCAATCGATCTGTTGCTTATCTGCTGCTGTCGTCTGTTGCCCGCATGTCTACAGGGGTCCCATGAGATAGAGTCGTGGCTCATTATTCGCGGTATCTGAAGATCAAGATAAGGATCTACTGGACGACAGCAGCAATTTATCTTAGTGTCGCTTGTCCGTGCGGTCATGAAATGTAAAGACTTCTCAAACATCTCAGTCGAATACGCAAAACCATGCATGTTCACACCGAGCCTCGTTCTTCACTGGAATGGAAGTAAGCCACGGCCTTCGGAAAGAGAGCTAAGCGACATTCTTTGAGGAATGCCGTCTGGTCCTCCTAACCCTATGTTCTACGTATCTCGGCTCTCCTCAGCACCATCACCAAAGCAACATCAGTTCTGCCGACCGCGAAATGTACTTGGAGATTGCAATCTTATCTTACCGGAAGGATTACATATCCTCCCCATATGCTGATGTCTGTGATTTCCGCGCACTCCTATGACCCTACACAGACGACATTGATGCTATGAAGAAGCAAAGTGATTCCAAGATGGTAGTCAAATCCATGGAGAGCCAATGATTTTATCACTCTCATTGGATGTTTCTTACATATCGAAATAACTGTGCATCCCCATAGCGACTTGCGTGACATGTCTTTATACATAGAGATAACGCACCAAGATGCTGCCCCATCTCTTGCAAGACCTAGAATCCAACAAAAGCGACCAATAGAGAAGTGGCCAGAAGGGCCAGAGAAACGCCACCAAGAGTGCTTCCTGCACCTGTCGCATCCTCAGCACCGGTGCAACTACCAGTGTAATTGCCGTTCTTTGCTTGCGTCGTGTTAGACGGGTTGCAAGTCAGACTCCCGGCAATCTCTCGATCAGTAACGACTGAATTGGTGAGTCCGTTCAGTCTGTCGCCATTCTCTGCATTGTCTAGTGTACAAGCCTCCACAGTCTGACCTTCCAAGTCGTTGCCCTCGCAGTCAGAAAGTATGCCTGTGGCGCATATGGTGTAGGGAGTGAAAACGACATAAGCACTTGTGCTGTTGCCAATCTTGAATGCATCCTGGATGGTAGTCACTTCGTAGGTCTGTGGCTCTTTAAAGTCCAGATCGACAACCTTGGAGATGGTCTCGTATATGGACTTTGCTGAAGCTTGGTCTGATATATTCAGGGTGCGACCATCGGTGACCCAGCCACCAGTATCAAGAGAGCAGTTTTGCGAAGATGGACAGGTAATCCCTTTGCTGATGATGAAGCTACGGCTGATGGACGTATACGTAGAGTCGGAGTAGTCGGTGGTAACATTGAAACCAGAGCAGGATTGTGCCAGAGCTTGTTGAATTGAGACCAGCACGAGGGCTGAGATGATTGATAAGGAGAACATGATGTCTATGGCTTCGGAGTCAAGTTGCAGACAAACTTCTGGAGGACAACGAATAGCGGACGCGAGGACCATTGTTATATGGCCAACACGACCCATGACCACCCAAGACCATGGAAGCTGGGCGTGTGTGACATGACGTTCAGTTGCTCGGGAACAAGAACGACGGGTAGGTAGATCGTGTCGATGCTATTCATTCGTTCGACAAACCGGTCTTGAAGCCCGTCCAGAGTCATGAGGATGCGCTTTAAAGAAAAGCTGAGCAATGCAAAGTGTATAGTGAATCCTCTGCAACCAAGCTTGGTAGATACAAGAGGCGATCTTCCTGGTTGCTAAGGGTCATGGGTTGTCCGAGTCGACGACTGCAGGACCTACGTGGAGCTTTGTATCAGTTCGTAATGAATCCACTATTCGCTCTCATCCTTCGGGCGCATGCTCGCGTAGAAAGTGGGCATGTTGTGTAGTAGAAATGTCATGTCGGCCGTAAGCACGTTTGATATATCGCGACTTCCAACCGTACGGCCACTCGAATTTCGGCATAGACTAGAACATCTGGGATTAGCATTGACTCCTGTGAGAATGCAAGAGCCAACACTGATGATCGATGGTTTGATAGAGTGAGCCTTATTGAGGAAGCCACAGCCTCTGGATGTGCCAAAGTTTGTCACTGCTGCGCTTTCCTCACGAAGAATCAGAGCGACTTGCGCACTACAGAAAGTCATGATAGTAGCGAGCAAACATGTGTCCGAAGGGAAACAAGGTTGTGTCATTCTCCAACGAATACTCTCACTGTTCTTAAGAGTAGACATGCTTCGACAGTCGCACACGGGAAGAAGGTAACCTAGGGGGATGTGATTGGACAGAGGTCAGCAATGTCTTGGCAATCGCGAAGTGCGATCGATGTCGTCTTAGACGTGTGGCCAACATCTTAGCGACCTCCTACGCCTCCCATATCAAGTCTTGTCTGCACGGTTGGCGACTGTGAGTACAATCTCTACACATATCAACAACATGTCGCGCGCCACATCAGCAATCACATCGGCGGCATCGCACCGTGTCGTGCCGTCGGCCACCGCCACCACCTCGAGACTGACCACCTCCGCCCGTGGTCTCGCTACCGTCCAGGACGCTCCCCCAGTTCAGCACAAGCGTGGTCTCCAGGATCAGGACCGCATTTTCCAGAACCTTTACGGCCACCATGGAGCCGATCTCAAGAGTGCCATGAAGTACGGTGACTGGCACAAGACCAAGGAGATTATCAACAAGGGTCACGATTGGGTACGCGTTGCTACACATTGCTAGTCGGTGGCTGTTGGGCTGACACGCTTGCTACAGATCATCTCAGAAATCAAGGCCTCCGGTCTCCGTGGACGTGGTGGTGCTGGCTTCCCCTCTGGTATGAAGTGGTCGTTCATGAACTTCAAGGACTGGGACAAGGACAACAAGCCCCGCTACCTGGTCGTCAACGCCGATGAGGGTGAGCCTGGAACCTGCAAGGATCGTGAGATTATGCGCAAGGATCCCCACAAGCTGCTCGAAGGATGTCTGGTTGCTGGTCGTGCCATGAACTGCACTGCCGCCTACATTTACATCCGTGGCGAGTTCTACCACGAGGCCACTGTTCTCCAGCGTGCCATCCAGGAGGCCTACCAAGCTGGTCTCATCGGAAAGAACGCCTGTGGCTCCGGCTACGACTTCGACATCTACATTCACCGTGGTATGGGTGCCTACGTCTGTGGTGAGGAGACCTCCCTCATCGAGTCGCTCGAGGGCAAGCCCGGAAAGCCTCGCCTGAAGCCCCCATTCCCCGCTGCCGTCGGTCTGTTCGGTTGCCCCTCGACCGTCGCCAATGTCGAGACCATTGCCGTTGCACCCACTATCATCCGCCGTGGTGGCAGCTGGTTCAACTCCTTCGGTCGTGAGCGAAACGCTGGTACTAAGCTTTTCTGTATCTCCGGTCACGTCAACAACCCTTGCACTGTCGAGGAGGAGATGTCTATTCCTCTCCGCGAGCTGATTGACAAGCACTGCGGTGGTGTCATTGGTGGCTGGGACAACCTCAAGGCTATTATCCCCGGTGGTTCCTCTACTCCCATCCTTCCCAAGAAGGTCTGCGACGACCAACTCATGGACTTCGATGCTCTCAAGGATTCTCAGTCTGGTCTCGGAACGGCTGCCGTAATTGTCATGGACCAGAGCACCGATGTCGTTCGCGCCATTGCCCGTCTCTCCAAGTTCTACCACCACGAGTCCTGCGGTCAGTGCACTCCTTGCCGCGAGGGTTCCAAGTGGACCGAGCAGATCATGCACCGCTTCGAGAAGGGCCAGGCCCGCGCTCGTGAAATCGACATGATGCAAGAGCTCACCAAGCAGGTCGAGGGCCACACAATCTGCGCTTTGGGTGAGGCCTTTGCCTGGCCTATCCAGGGTCTGATCCGTCACTTCCGTCCCGAGCTTGAGGCTCGCATCCAGGACCACGCCAAGGCACAGGGTGGTGAGGCGCTCGCTGGTGGCTGGCATCACAACTCTCACAAGGACGGTCTGCTTGTCTCTCCCGGCCAGTAGATGCTTTTATCCTTGCGAGAATGACTTGTGTGTAAATATTTCAGCTGCGCCTGCCCCTTTCCTTGTATTTTCTGTCTAACGTGAGTACCAATGTGTATCAATGGCGTTCTTTTGTTTAGCTCTAGTTCATATCACTTTTTCATTTTGGGAAGATAGAGAAATCAAGACGATCTTTCCACCCAAACATGCTGTCTCGCTGGACTACTGTGAATTCAATCGTTCCGAAATCCCTAGCCTACGCGCTTCAGGTCAGTACCTACGTGCGTGAATGGTTTTCGTCTGAACCAGGCCGAGGCGAGCTCTCGTGCGCATATGAGGTTGAATCGAATAAATCATTACGCGTATTCATCCGCTGATGAACGTCTGATATACTTGGTATGCGTTTACCGTAATGTATGATGGTGTTTTGGTCACAAGGGCGGATGATATTGGCGAAGCACGCATTTCAGCATACTAGGCGGCGTGTGATTAAAGTGTGGTGAAATTGCTATGGCAGCCAAGGGAGGGTATGTAGAGTGATATGCCCCTTGAGAAGACATGGGTGATCGAGGATGGGTGAACGGAATTGGTACTCGGAAAGAAGAGCAGTTATAGCATAATCAAGCGCCGGAGAGAATAGACAGAAGTTGCGAAGCGTACGGGTTGGTGGTACATGTATCGTGCTCTAGTGCAAGTTCTTCTCGACCTGTGTCATTGTATGTCAGTCCTTCTGTTGCTCGACTCGCTCGATGTCGTCTCTCGGAATTTCGACGTACTCTCCATCCATTGCTGTACTCGAAGCCAGCGGGGGCAATGGGTCGGTCGACCTGGCCTCTGAGCCAGCCTGTCAAGCGGCGGTCGCGGTCCATCACTTCATATCCGAGTCAGCGTTTCCGAGGCATTGAGTTGTCGCATGTGAAGCAGTTGCGCACTTTGTCTGTCCCATTGGTCGACGGAGTGTCTGGCACGCTTGCCGCCGTTCTGAATGTTTCTGATCTTTGAAAGGCCGGCGCCGGTGATACCGAAGAACTGCGCGTCGGACGTGTTAGTGATGGGCTTTGCGTACGCAGAGGCGAGGGACGGTGGTATCGTACGGCGAGACAGATGCCGTATGGCAATAGAGCTTCGAATGGGACACCCATGGCTGTGTGTTGTTGTGTGATATGGCCCTCAAACACCCTCGTCGTCGATACCTAGACTGCGGGTTGATGACCAGCTACGCCTTGGCAGTGATGAAGCCGATGTTCAAGCGCAGAGACGGCAAGTGCGGCGTGGAGCTGTGACTTCTCCACATGCTTGGTTGCAGTGGAGCACAACAAGAAGCCTGGCCGTGAGAGCGAGAGGCTTCAATAATCTCGCATCAATTCACCAATACGACGTATCACCTTACGCTTGCTGGATCCAGTGTCGCTGAATCTTCGTTCATCGAAGCAGTCGCTCGTCGCGTCCGTCGCAAAACCTCCCTGCGGCCTACATCGTCGCCGCGTCGACTTCAGCCTCCTTGTCCGAGCTCCTCCACCAAACCGCCTTGTCCTCGCTGCTCACGAATCCCGCGTAGTTACGTGTTCTTTGGACTGTTTCAGTATCTTCGTATACTGAGAACATCCATACCGACTCTCTGGACTACCATACGAGCATTTGCCGACTTGCGACCACTTTACCCACTAGGACGCCAAGATTACAGCAGCATCTCTCCTTGCGATCTCTCTATGCACTCTACACATTGCTACTAGATATAACTGGCTCTGTGGTACTGCAGCCCTCAGGGCGCTTCAACAGATACACACACATCCGGGATCTTGCGCCGTCGTCCAAAGAGCCGCATCGCCATGCGCAGCAGCAGTATCGATGCAGAGGGCGAGGAAGACGATCTGGACATGCCCGAAACCCAGTCGCCTAGCCTTCAGAATGATGCTCCCGAAGATCAGGACGACGATGAAGATGAGGAAGACGACGAGGAAGACGAAGATGCCGACGCGGACCAGGACGACGACGACAGCGAGATTGTCGGTGCTGTCAAGAGAGCTCCCACGAGGACGAGGACATTAAGAGCTAGGAAAAGTCGCGACATGGAGTCTAGCGAAGACGACGACTCTGCATCCGACGGCGAGAATGATTCCGACTCGTCTGACGAGTCGGCCGCTACTCAGGCACCTTGGGAGAAAGAAAGCGACACTGCTCAAGAACAGGACCAGGACGTTGTGACAGACTCGATATGCGTGTACGTCTCCATATGGATTGCTTGCTCGCTGATAAATTACTGATGTCGACTTGGCAGGTATTGCGGACAGGACGAAGAAAATGATCCGAGCGACGAATATGAAGAATATCTCGAATGCGGTCATTGCGGGGATCACGGTGAGTTTTTCTATCATTGCGATGGATGTCAAGCTTCGCCAGGGTCTTTTGAAAGCTGACTTGATGCCTGCAGCTCATAAGCAATGCGCCAGAAACGCTAATTCGCTTAGCTCCGATCAGGGTATGTTTACTATACTAAGTTGCATCCTTCACGATATTCTTTGGCTAACATATATCAACAATTCCAGACAAAAATCCTCGAACCTGGATGTGTCATGATTGCGTGGGAAATGGATTCGAGCTTCAACAAGATGTTGACAAGATGACCATCAACGATGGCTCTCAACGTCGATCATCTGTGCCCAAGCTAGCTCGCGATCTCTTGCCTGCTGTTCGTGGAGGTATCAAACCAAACTCACATTCAGTCTTCAACAATCTCATTCTCGATGATGACCCGATGGATGGTTCCCGCTCCCTTAGAAAACGCAGGATATCTTCCGTCGAGGCGGATGAATCAACGCAACGAGCGACGTCACGGAAGAGAAGACGATCAACGGCATCTGAAAGCCAGACTAACATTAATGTCACTCCGAGGGATGCAGTGAAGGAGCAGAACACGTCGACGCGAAGCAGTGGCTCGGCGGAAAGTGAGAAGTCTTCCAACACACGCGCAAATCGACTTCGGAAACAGCCTCAGTCGGGCACAAACGCAAGGATTGTTTCCGCAGAGACATACGACGACCAGCCCAAAAGTCTCGTTGTTGCCATTCCCATCAGCGCTGCCGCCCTCGAGAACATTGAGCGCAACGCACAGAGAAAGGCTCGAAGGCGCGAACGCGACAGAGCGCGTCGAGCACTGATGGGTGGCCGAAAAAAGAAGTCTGGCGCGCAAGGCGATGTTTCTGAAGTAGTCGAAACGACTTCCTCACACTATCCTGCTGTCGCTACAACGCTATACGACAATCCTTACTACCCCTTCCCGGACCGCGAACTGGACACTGTGCAGGGCAAACCCTTTGGTGGTATCCTCACTGATGCTGAGGCTGACACAACCAAGACATTCCCTCAACAGGCCGACCGCGATCTTTTCGAAGAGTCACGCCGGCAGGCCGACGAGGCTAGAAAGGCCGAGCAAGAAGCTAATCCAATCGAATTGCCATCCAGATCAAAACAATCTGGACTACCAACCAAGATCAAATACATTCACTTTGGCGGCTGGGAGATTGAAACACTGCATGCTGCGCCCTACCCCGAAGAATACAATCGTAATCCGATTCTGTGCATTTGCGAGTTCTGTCTCAAGTACATGAGCTCGTCTTATGTTGCGTTCAGGCACAAACTCAAATGTCCACACAAACATCCTCCAGGCGACGAAATCTACCGCGACGATATCATTGATGCCGACGGCAACAAGAAGAGCATTTCATTCTTCGAAGTCGATGGTCGACGCAGCCCTCTCTATTGTCAGAATCTGTGTCTACTGGCCAAGCTGTTCCTCGGGTCGAAGACCCTCTACTACGATGTTGAGCCTTTCCTCTTCTATGTCATGACGGAGAATGACGAATTTGGTTGCCACTTCGTCGGTTACTTTTCCAAGGAGAAGCGCGACTGGTCCCCACCTCTGGATCCTCGTGCTTCCATTGAAATCAGCGCTGACCCGATGATCAATGGTGCCCAAGCAAGGGCAGGTGCTAATTCTATCGACCCGCCTGGCAACAACGTCTCCTGTATCCTGGTCTTCCCTGTTCATCAGCGGCACGGATTCGGTCGGACACTGATCGAGTTCTCGTATCTACTGACTCGCGTTGAGGGAAGAACGGGCTCTCCGGAAAAGCCACTGTCGGACTTGGGTCTTGTTTCGTACCGCTCGTACTGGCGTGGTGTCATGTGCAGATTACTCCTCGGCTACAAGGAAGCGCCCAGAGGCTCATATGACATCTCCTTCTTGAGCATGGCTCGCGCTACAGGCATGACTATTGACGACGTCGTCTCATCACTCGAAGCTCTACGCGCCATCGTCAAGGATCCCGTCACCAACAAGTATGCTCTTCGTTGCGACTGGGCGTACATGGCGGAATATTTGGAGAAGCATGACAAGAAACGTCACATCAAGATCGATCCTGCCAAGCTCATCTGGACGCCGTATGTGATGGGCAAGCCTACAAGCTATTTCCCTGTTGGTGAAGAAGCTACTGGCCCTATCCAGACCAAGGCTCGTCGCGATGAGCCAGAGGATTTGCAGGCTGCGCAACCAGAGGAAGGCGTTCAGCAAGCTCAGGTCAATGGAAACTCGACTCCTGATCCAGACGCTGTTCAAAGTGAAACCCTCTCTCCCAAAGCGACTCGTAAGGCTCCTCCCTCGACTTTGACGCCTCAGCCTTCCATCACTCAAGGCTCTCCTCGTCGCTCACCTCGCAAATCTCAATCACAGCCTCAACCTGAGCAAACTAACGGTGCAACTCAAGAAGACCCAGCCTCGCAAAACGACACTTCAGACACTTCGTCAGTCAGACGCGGATCCGCCTACACCGAGGATAGCATCCCTGCCTCGCGCTTCGAGATCTTCCCACCTATCCCCGGACAAATCACAAAGCGCAAGCCCGGTCGTCCCATGGGCAGTCGCACACGCTCTAAACTCACACCCTCCGTCAACAGACGCGCCGATAGCATCGAAGAGAACACACCCCCACCTCAGACCGCGTCCCGCATCCGACCCAGTACCGCCCGCCGCGCCCGCAGCAAACTCGACGAGATGGAAGTCGCACCCTCCCCCGACGAAGACGAGATCCAACGACAAATATCCTCTGAGCACGAACGCGCAGCACTGGAAGACGTCGTTGCTAAGAACAACGGTGCGGCATTCACGCGACCCAAGTTTATGGGTAAACTCAGTGTGCCTGAACATGCTGTTGAAGACGACGAGGAGGAAGACGAAGATGCGGAAGGCGAGGATGTGGATATGGAAGTTGGAGTGGGCAATGGGTATGATGGTGTTGGGGGACGCGATGCTTTGCCTAGACAAGAACCCGATGACGAATATGTCGGGGATGGAAATGGAGGTGGAGAGGACGAAGATGAGGATGTCGATGCTGAGGGGGATAGTGATGATGAGATGGTTGATGGGTGATCCTGAGTATCACTTCTGCCCAGCCCTAAAACTGGCGTTTTTGAGTATTGGTTTCTTGTTCTCTTTTCGGGGGGAGATTTGCTTTTCGAAGGCGTTTTGATACGACGATACCATGGGAGCATTGTTTCTTGTATTGATCAGCTTCTTGCTTCTGTTTCTGCTTTTCTTCTACTCCCTGAGGGCACAGCAGAATACACTTTTTGTACTTTTATGCCTGCGCTCTGAACCAGGAATGAGATTACTCCTTCACTCCCAAGATCGCATTCGTGTCGGGTTGTATCTACTCGTCTGTCTTGTATATCGATTGACTCCAAATACTTGGATTGAAGATGAACAAAAGTCAACTTTGCGACAGAGCGACCCTGACTAGGTTGGTTTTTTCTTTTCTTTTGCATCATGCTCCATCTGGCCCTGTGGGCTTTGCAGAAGTGACAGTCAAGCTACTCAGCTATGTACATCACCGACACATTAATCAAAGTGCTTCAATGTGTTAAAAGAGTCGACTTTGCCAAGTGGAGAGAGGCAGAGATAAGAATACATAATTAGTGAGCTAGAAAGCTCTCGTTATCCACTCCAGACTACTGCAGCTCGGAAAGCTTACTACTCATTCGCAACTTGACTCACTCGATCATCGCCTGGTATAGAGTCCCCGCGCGCCGGCAGAATAGGCATCATCGAGTGGTCGAAATCAACATCAGCTCCATTCAGAGGTATCACACGTCTGATCTTGACATCTGGTCTTCCTTCCGCACTGCGCCTTGAAATGTAAATATCAGGCCGTGGACCCTCGATCGTTTCAGACGTTTAACTACGATTCAAGGGTATTGTTGGTCAAAATAATGCGAGCATTATGGATCCATAATTTTAGCAGTGTATCTCATTCTTAGATCTGAACCACATATATCCGCAGCAAGTGCGAATCTTTGGGTGAGTGTCGCCTAAGAGAGCTGGCTGGATCGAAGTCTAGGTGCGTGCATAGAGTGGATCATCATACGATACAAAGTAGCGATGATCAGCTCGCAGTATGACTGTCGCGATGGACCGGGGTGCACTCCAGTGCTCAAGGACCCGAGAAGCGCTTGAAAAGGTGCATGAAGAATGGTCTCGTCGAGATTCGAATCCACGAACCACGTGGCCGAGAACTTTATATCGGTGTTCCAAACTCCTCTATCACCAGCACCATCATTTGCTAAAACGTGTAATAACCCTATCGGACGGAATGTCAAAAGATAAGGGCCGTCCAGGAGCAAAAAACTGGAAATACAGGAAAATCCTCCCCTAGTTGCCTTCATACAACGTGTTTGGTTCGCGTATTGCTGAACGTGGCAATGGTTCGGTATTTTATTTGGAGCTTCCCGACCACTAGACCAAAGGCGTCCCTTTGGTGACCAAACGGTGCCCGAGTTGCCGCTGAGAGGGTCCCAACTTTAGTTGAATATATATGTTGGCTGCAAAATAGAGAGTTGGGTCCGCCGACGCTTCTGAGCTCGCCTTGCGCCCATGATACTGTCTCTTGCTGTCGTCTGGTTCTTCCAACGTCGCTGGCGAAGCACGAAAGGTCGAAGAATGCTCGAATCGAGTTGATCCAGATCATGGTGAAGTCGCCAGGGTCTGTCGGTGCATACACTCGAACAGCCATATTCTGGTGTCGTAGTTGCAACAGTGGAACTTTCCGTCGGAGGACAGACTTACTTCTGCTGTTCTTGCAGCGGTTCCTGCTTTCCATCGTGTCTCTGGTAAAGATGGATTTGATAGCGCATGTTTTCGAGGTCAATAGGATATCTCAGGTCCTCATCAGGTAACCTGAACCATCTCGACTCGTCAGACAACAGCTTGTTCCACTGTGCGGGAGTACCTTTCGCTGCATCCTTCTTTGGCGAGATCAACGTGTGGTCGAGTAACCACTGCATGGGATACTTCTGCGAGGCACCGTTGAGTGTGACGGTAGAATAGCTTCCAGGGCTGTCGACGACGAGCAGAAGTGATCCAGGGCGCATCGAAGCTGTCAATGCATACAAGAGTCTTTGGGTCTTTGCTACTGAAGTGCTGTAGAGCTCGTTCAGAGTGAACATGATGGTGACGATATCGCTGTTGGCAAGCAAATCTTTGACTCCAGCAGCGTCAGTATCCAAAAGATCTTGCTGCTTGAAGCGGACGTTGAAGACCTCGGAGGGCAAGACGGCGTTATTGGCGGCCTTTGCAGCTGCGGAAGCGTATTTTGATAGGAAGGGAGGAGTGATAACACCTTGGTGGAGATCCTGCATGACTGTGTCCCAATTGGCGACATCGACACCAAAGATATCGAGTTTGGAGATGTTAGGTTGAGGCTTGTCTTCGGATGAAGACTTGTCGTCTCTCAAATGCTTGTACCAACCAGCGAGACCGACAACCTCAGCGCCTGCTCCACCGCCTAGGCAAAGAATGTTCAGAGGTTTTGAAGAGTCTGAAGTTGAGTCCAGGTTCAGTTTGCTGTCGAGTTGCTCGGACAGCTCTGAGACATGCTTACTTGGCTCTTCAGTGCCGGTTGACTTTTGACCAAGTAGCTCGGCAATTTCAGAAGACAAGTCAGAGAATATCTGGGCATAACCCAATGCTCTGCTAGGGCTCCATCTCGCGGCATATGCTTGGAGATATTCATCCTTACCAAAAGCGGTAGCAAAGTCACGGTTGAAGAGATGACCCTTGACTTCCTGCAAGATATCTTCAATCTCGGCAGGCGAGCCCTTGTTGCAGGCATCGCGGAAAACGTTCAGCAGAGACTGCTGGACAGAAGATGGGATAGCATTGTCTTGTTGGTAGGCCTTCTCAGTGGGGAGAGGAATAGGACCTTTGTTCTGCTTGGTCGCTCTCTGGCGCTTTTGCAGCGGCTGCCAGGATGATTTGTCTCTGGGCATGTCGGTGTATGGTGAACAATTGGTGTTGATAGACGGAGATAGAGATTTAGTGAGCAGAAGCTGCAAGAGATGCGGACGAGGCAAGTGCAGCCGAGGCGCGTCATCCGGAGCTACAGTTGCAACAAGCATCACCCCTGGAACATTACAGCTTGCTGTCAATACACACGGATCTCACTTTCTTCCTAGTAGTACAACATGGCCGACGTGGACGACAAGGAAAAGGCTGAAAAGCTTGCCGCCGCAAAGAAGCGTGTACGTGGAGTTGATCAGTGGAAAGTGTCATGAGCTAAACACATACACAGTTCGAGGAGTTGAAGAAGAAGCAGAAAGGCAAGAAGGGCGGCAAGAAGAAGGCCGACAAGGCCGATACTACAGAAGAGAAGGGCGATGCGACCACGGATACACCTGCAGATGGCGACGCAGCAGAAGCCGACGTCGATGCCCCTACCCACGAGAAGACGACCAACGATACACCACCAGTCGCAGACGCCTCAGACGATACAGCAGAAGAGAAGACAGAAGAGGCAACCGAAGATGCAGCAGTAGATGAAGCTTCTGCGGAACGACCAGCACACGAGCGTAAGCCATCCCAGTCCGAGCAGTCCCGCCAACGATCCGCCTCATTCAGACAAAACTCTGGTCTCACCTCCCCGAGCCTGTCGAAATCGCCTGCTCTGCCATCCATCAGTGCCGAGGATGAAGTCCAGGACATCTACCGCAAGCAAGCATCACGAATCGAAGAGCTGGAGAAGGAGAACAAGACGCTTCAGGACGCGCAATCAAAACTGCAAAAGGTCCAGGATGAGCTCGAGCAGTTGAGAGAAAGCAGCGGTGATGTTGCTGAGCTCAAGTCTAAGGCTGCACTGGCTGACAAGCGACACGACGAAATTGAGAAGCTGGTATGAAGCCTCGAAACAGGACACGATCGCATCAAGACTAACAATCTATAGACGTCCGAGTTGACATCGGTACAGAGACAACTTTCTCAGGCGCAACAGCAAGTAGCCGATAAGCGACGCAAATCCAATGCAAGTCCATCACGCGAAATTCAGGCACAACTAGCATCCAAGACATCGACCATCGAGTCGCTAGAGCTGGAATTGTCCAACCTCCGAAACCAATACAACATGTCGCAGTCCTCCGTCTCAGCTCACGAGGCTACAATCAAGGAGCTGGAGCATCGCGCAACCACAGCCGAGCAAGTCGCCGAAACAGCACAGAAGGAGATTGAGACATTGAAAGAGACAATCAACAAGCCAGTTGAGAAGAAAGAGAATGATGCGGAAGACCCAGCTGCCCTACAAGCAAAGATTACAACTCTGGAATCCGATCTACGCACCGCCCAATCATCCGCAGACACAGCAACGAGCCGCGCCACCTCCCTCGAACAGAAAATTGAGACCCTCACGAAGCTCCACAAGGACCAAACCAACACCCACGACTCCCAAATCAAGGACTTGACTTCCAAGCTCGCGTCACTCAAAACGTCCCAAACGCCTGCTGCAAACGATACAGACTCCATCGCCGACGATGCCAACGACCTCGAGCGCGAGCAGCTACACCAACGCATTCGCGACCTCGAAGCCGAAACCACTGATCTCCGCCGTGGCGTATGGCGCGATCAAAGAGCAGCTCTCCAACCAGACATCAACGATGCCTCGCCAGGCTACGAAGACGTAGACTTGAGTAACCCCTACGCGGCCCCGTCATCTTCACATCGCCCGCAAGCCCGCACAGGCAGCAGTTTCCAGGATGTACTTCAAAGCGGTATCAGTGCTTTTACTGGCGGTCAGAGGAAGCAATCGTTGGGTTTGCTGAGTGAAGAGGACTTTGATGAGGATTCGTTCCGTGTGGCGCAAGAGGAAGAGGGTAAGAAGAGGATTGAACGAATTAGAGAGGTTAAGCGTGGTTTGGAGGATTGGAGGGGATGGCGTGTTGATCTTGTGGACTTGAGGGCTGGAGGTTTGGGTGGAGGTGCGGCTACTGGCCCCATGTTTGAAGTCTGATCTTGTCGATATTAGAACCCTCAGCAGCAGTTGATTCGTTGTGAGATTTTTCATTCCGCCTCTTGTTTCCTTTTGCTCAATGCCCATGCTCTCGTTTTCTCTTCCTTGCTCTTGCCTCTTCTTTTGCATCTCTGTCCCTCCTTACTGCCTCGCCATTCTTGTCCAACCCTAGGATATCACCCATCTCCTTCGCTTTGCCGTGTCCTCTCTTGACACTAAACTTGACTTTGGGTCTCCTGCCCCCTCGAAATCTCAACCCGAAGACCACAACGAAACTCGGAATTCGAGGATCTCCACATACAATCTCGAGTTTGAGAATCGAGGGTTGACAGTCTTGGTGCCAGGGCTGGTGGGTAGAGGGTTTGATTGTTGATGGGGACGAAGAGGAAGAAGAAGATGACGAGGGAGGTGAAGAAGATGAGGTCGGTGAAGTGGGAGAGAGATTCAAAGGCGAAGGAGGATTGTTGGGTGGATCGGGTTGAGGATGCGGGTAAGGATGTTTTGCTTTCTGAGCCGTGTCCAGCGGTGGTGGTTTCTGCTTCTTTTTGAAATGTGTAGGCTTTGCCTTTGGGTAAGGCAGGAAGTAGGATGGCATCGTTGGTATAATCTGGAGCGTTGGAAGCAAAGGAATGGGTAATATGTGCGGATGTCATATAAGAGGTGAAAGTTCGTTGCCTGCGGTGTCAGTCATCTGGAGTGCTCTCCTGACCTTTTCGATAGTGTTCATGCGGTTTGCCGGGTGTGTGTCGTTATCTGCTGATGCAGTGTCTTGGATCTGTAGGTACATTGATGGCTGTTCTGTCACGTGGTATGGCCATGCAGAGGATTGAGTGTGAAAGCAGGCGTAAGCACCATCTATCAACGATCGAAGACTTGCAAGTAAGTATAATGAAGTTGTCTGTATTGATCTCTCCTATTCTACTTCAGGTAAATGGGCTTACCTATCCAAGTCATCTTCCCCTTAGAATGACTTCGCGACTAGATCCTCGAGTTCTGATGACGACAGGCCCTTGACACCCAGCAACTCATTATCATTCTTCTCATCCCACAGATTGCCATACCCCTCCTTGAAAATCGAAATCTTGATAAAGCTCACCATAGCAAGACCAATGTTTCCACCGTCCTTCTTCAATTCTGCATAAGCATTCTTCTCCACCTCTGCCAAGTCCACTTGTTCGGTTTCGGCCTTAAACTCAGGCTTGACCTTTCCCGCAATCTTGAGGACTTGGTTTTGGCTGAGAGCAGCAGTTTGCACGTAGACACCACGGTTTTTGGTTTCCTCGGGGTGCTTGAGGACGCCGGCGACGGCTCTGCCAATGTCGGTGAGCAGAGTGAATGAGTGAACACTATCGCCGTTGTCGTTGATGTCGGTCTTGCCCTTGAGATTAGCGAGCCAGCCAAGATTGAGACCCCAGTCCAAGAATAATCCGGTGATCAAGAATGTGTAGCTGATTTGATCCTGCTTGGAGCGCAGATATTCTTGCGTCTTGACCTTACCGGCAAACACAGGCAGAGCGCGAACTTTCTCGTTGCCGATGGTGTTGCTGCCGAATTCTGAAGGGATAAATCTTTGGACACCGGCAGCGATGGCGGCATCGATGAGGGCGGGTTGCTGGTCGTGTTTGGGTATGGTCGAGATGAAAGCTTCTTGACCGCGCAGAGCAGAGACGACGGAGTCTTGAGACGAGTAGTCGACCTTAATGACTTTGACTGCTGAGGGCAGAGCAGATGTGTTGCCGGAGCTTGAGAGGACGGTGACTTCGAAGCCTTGGTTTACGAGCTCGTTGACAATAGAAGGACCGAGATTGCCAGTGGCACCTGCGATGGCTACTTTTCTGAATGCCATGATGGATATGTTTAGAAGAATGCGTGGAGTGGTGAGTGTTCCGATGGTGAGGGTCTTTTGAGAATGATGTGAATGGAAGAGACGAGACCAACCTGAGGAAGCTTTATGTCATCTACTTATCCGTCATGACGAGGAAGCACGCCAGAAGATGCCATTTCAGACGGATGAATCAGCATCTGCGGTATGCTGAGCCAAAGCAAGCCCTACCGTCGTGTCTTGTGTAAGCAACAAAGCAGAAGGACTAAATTGCTACCAAGCTGCGCGGCGTTGTTCCGCTGCACTTGGTCAGCTTCGTGATGCAAATGCTTTGGTGGAGTGGCGCAATCCCATAGACGGCCAATCATAACTTGCACGCTGGTGCTCTAGGCTTCTCAGCAATATCATGCCGAACGATAACTGATAATCATGACTTCGGATGGATTAACAGGCCGACGCAGACGTCTCTGCGAGAGGAGACGCAGACTGATTTGCGGCTTTGTCAGCCATCCACGAGACTTGGCATTCGATCACAGCATCATGAGAGCTTGTCTTTCTTGACGACGGTCATTACCCACCAGCATGCACGAGTGTCATGGCCGGGTGTCCGAAGTGGAAAGCTCGTTGACTTGTTCAACTGCTGCTTGGTCTCGTCGATGATTGCATCGTGATATGGCCGGGTCCCGGCTCCGGTTCCCAAGCTCGAACTCGACTTCGCGCAACATGCGGTAGCCTGTCTCGAGTCATTGTATCTGTCGCGTACCAGACTCGCATAACAGCACCCCTCCTAATTTCGACCGCTACCGTTATCATGTCTGCTTTGGCTATACGACTACGATCCCATCTTCTTCTTTTTCTTAATAGGTGACACTCTCCAGACGCCGAAGTTGGCGAGCTGCTTAGACGATCCTCTTGGGAACCCCACTTGGTAAGGGCTTCCACTTGAAACCGCCGTGACCTTGGTGGGTTGAGAAACAAGCCTCGGCAGGGCTCAAATGAATATTTCAAGAATCGTACATCTACCTCTAGAGAGTAGGTCCCCTTCTCGCTGACCTTCTCGCTGTCGCTTTCTGCACCTAGCATGTCCCTACTCAACATCTTTGGCCGCCGCAATGAGGCCTCGCCAACATACAACCCTGTATCGGATGACGAGGACAAATCTCTATATGAGCCAACACAAGCTACTAAAGCCGAGCTGGAAAGCCTCAAGCAAGCGAATACGAATCTGAAGCGTGTACTGGCCGTCGTTGCCGCCTTTTTCCTGGCCTTCCTCGCCATCATAGCGGTCAAAAGTTGGGAGTCGCACAAGGACAGCCTTCTGTTCCCACGCATTCTCGGTTCGCCTGTACCGCCCAGTCAGCAATATCCATATACTAGACATGACTGCTCACCGCTGACAACCACCACCAGTGCCCATGAATGTCCAAACCTTCGAGCGCAATCCTCTGTACGCCAACCGTCCAAGCTCTGAAACCGACGCAGCGTGGAACGCTCTCCTCCCCGAAGGACGCGGTTTTGTCTACGTGTCCGACTCACAAAGATACTCCCTACCACCCGGCGAGCAGACCTTCTACGGCGAGATATACTCTGTATCTTTGTTCCATCAATTGCACTGTCTGGGCCAGCTGCGAAAATACTACTGGTTGTTGGTCGATGGAGTAATGAGCAACAGCACAAGTCTAAGACCTGTTGTGGAAGGTTTACTCGGACCTTCTGGCGAACACGTATCGCATTGTTTCGATTACCTGCGGCAGACGCTGCAATGTGCGGGCGACATGGCTTTGGAATGGCCGAGGAAAGAGGAAGATGGGAGTAGGTTTGCTGTGGATGGTTGGGTGAGTTGTGCATATCTTGGTCTTGGAACATTACTAATTGTAGACATAGGGTATTCCTCACGAGTGCAGGAGTTGGGACCACATTGTCGATTACATGAAGGGATCGTATTTCAACCTTTCGAGCAACAACGATATCGCGCCTGACCACCCCATGCATAAAGATGGCATGGCGAGGGTATAAGGAAGGAAGGCAATCGTAAATAGGGCAGTACAGTAAATCAACAATATTGAACACTGCACAGATCAAACAACAAGTGATCACCGTGGGTAGGACTTGAACCTACGACTTCCCGATCCTTAAACAAGGACATTAAGGCAAAGCGAACGAAAAGCGAAACGAAAGTAGTAAATCAGACGTGCTCACTACTATACATAAAGACTATTGTAACTCAACTAATATGTTGAGGTTTAAAAAAAAAAGATGCTTTAGTAACTACCTAGATCTTAGAAAGCCTCCTACTGATCGAGAACCTCTTTATTTGACCTCAAGCTTGATTGATTACTTATGATGCTAATAGATAGCTACATACTAGAAGTCTGACATTACTTAGCATTTCATGGATAAGTTCAGGGCTGTCAATGGTTTACATATCATGACCCAGATATGACGTTCGGTAATCGTGATATATGGGCCCGAGCTACCGAGCTTCCTCTTGTGTCATGTCTTCTCCCCCCACCTTCCCGCCAAACACGACAAGGTAATCTTCGATCGTGAACTTGTGCTCAATTGACATCTCTCCATACTACTCTCCGAACCATTCCATATCTCACAGCAACCATGGACACCTCCAAGCCAATCAATCCCTCAGACCTCTTCTCGGCCAAGGGTCTCACTGTTGTCATCACAGGCGGAGGTAGTGGTGAGTACCCGCGTCTACGTCTTTGAAACTCTCAAATAACATCCCACAGGCATTGGCCTCGCCTTTGCCACCAGTCTGGCAGGGTCTGGAGCCGAAAAGGTGTACCTCCTCGGACGGAGGAAGCAGAATCTCGAAGATGCTGCCAAATCCATCAACCCCGACATCGTCAGACCCGTTCAATGCGACGTTAGCATCCCATCATCGATCGACGCTGCAGTCAAGCAAATCGAGAAGGAATCATCACACATTGACGTCCTGATCAACAATGCCGGAGTACTCGGCCCAGACCACAAGGGCATCGACAAAGCACAGAGCATCCAAGAGTTGCAGGAGATCATGAAAAGAGATTGGTCAGGCTGGGACACTTCGTTCCAAACAAATACCGCCGCCATCGTCAGTGTCAGCGCTGCCTTCTTGCACCTCCTTGATGAGGGCAACAAGAAGAGAGGCTGGGCTACAGGCAGACAAGAAGTGCAGCAAAGGGTTGAAGGCGCAAACTACGATGCAAACGATCCAAGAACAAGTCAGATCATCACCGTCGCCAGTATTGCTTCTTTCAACCGCTTCGTCACTGCTGGTTTAGCATACTCGGCGACCAAGGCCGGTGCTGCTATGTTGGGCAAGTCATTGGCCACTCTGCTTGCACCCTTTGGCATCAGAAGTAATGTTATTGCCCCAGGAAGTGAGTGTAGATCTGTTAGTTAACATTTTGCACGAGATACTGACTTTACATAGGATTCCCTTCAGACATGACTGCTGGAGACACAGGTTCATTCCCTATCACTCAGATTCCTGCGAGCAGATCTGGCTCGTACGAGGACATGGCCAGTATGATCTTGTTCCTCGTCGGCAAGTCCGGAGCCTACCACAACGGCAATGTTCAAGTTATTGACGGTGGTCGCCTGAGCATGATGCCCTCAACATACTAATTGTCCACACATTCTTGCTAGTGCGATAGACCATGAGGTATATACATCCACGATACATTGAAAGTATTTGCTTCATACCTGATGTATTTGCTGATTCAAAATGCTGCCTGAATTTGATCGAGTTGATGGTGCCCAAAGCCAAGGAGCGGTCTACCCAGCGACCTCAACTCGAACTTTTAGTGAGAAACCAGACAAAAAGATACACTTAGGCATCAAGGCGGTGAAAGCATGCATGCACGCCCGAAAGTATGGAGCCATGGTACTGGACTCTACTTGGCTGCCCGACGCTGGCGATTGACGAATCAGCGTGATCGTCTCGGACGGGGGACGGGCTGCGTTCCCTCGAGAAGTTGGGTACGACACGTCCGGACGAGTCGAACACCATGCCTTGACAGATGTCAAGGGTGTACTTTTAGCTTCGCACGACATGCACGTCGTCTACGGATCTACTGGATACGCTTTCGTTGCCTGATGCCACGTCTGCCCAAAAGGATCAATCTACCGTTGCTGCGGCAGCTCTGGGTTGCGAGACCACGAGGCACTGCATGGCAACCACGACTTTTCAAGGATTCATTCATGCGAGTATTCGTATGGCTTGAGTTATTGGAAGAAAGGCTATGTTCGGCTTAGCCGAAGTGAGTACAAAGCCAAGGGGTGATATAGAAGAGACGGCATCCTCGCCTATCTCGCATCCATTGGCACTCAGCTGACTGTTGGGTGACGCGGGAAGTAAGTTTCGAGGTATTGAGATGGTGAGGTGAAAGAGAGTCGTAGCGAAGGAATTTCGTGAGATAGATGAGGGGAGGGGTATGGAGGGGGGATGAGAGGAAAATGGGAGGAGGATAAGTAAGTGCAATGCTACGCTCGTCTCAATCATTTTCTCTCTCGCGCTCTTCTCCATCTCATACCCAAAAAGCACTCGCTTAAGATTCATGCCTTCTGCAACATATTCCTACGCTGTCCAGCCTGCTGCTCCTTGGGCTGTCTCGACAAAGACATCTGCATATACAGCTGCATCTCAACCCTACCAACCTTCTCCTGTCTACGGTCAGCTATACCAGCCTCCACCCTCGCGGTCAGAGAGTATCAGCACAGGGGGCAGTTCGTACTCTATCCCGAGCAGGGCTCAATCTGTAAGCTCGTACTCGGGCAGTGAGAGCAGCAGACCGGTCGATGCTATCAGCTACATGGGAGAACGGCTGAACAGAGTGATGGACCCAACACCACTAGATCGTAGTCTTGCAATCCAAGCCCAGAGGTGAGACACTTTCTCGACTCTCGAATCATACAATTTACTGACACTGTGATCAGATCAGGCGAACTCAATGCCAAAACCCGGGAATTGCAGGCTCTACAGGCATTGGCACAATCTCGACTCAAGTCGGCTAGAAGGAACTTTGCCGATGGCGTCCAGGCTGCTAGAGATGTTCAGAGAGACCTTGAGTGGACGCAAGAAAGAGTTGGGTAAGTAGGAGATTGTTCACCATGATTGACGATGAGGAAGTACTGATGGGAGACCAGCGTATTGAACCAAAAGGTGGCTCAGAGATGGCCGGACCAGTACACGACAGCGAGCTCAAGGTTCCCTCGTCTCCCTCTCGAAGATTGTTAAATTCGCAAACCTACAGGACGATGTTGGATGGTGTCAAGCAGAAGGATGTTTGGGTATTCAGTTGCAGAAGACTGTATTCAGACAGGTCTCATTCAAGTCAGTGTGGTAGTTTGCACAATGACGAGCTCAGGCTACAGCTTGTGAAGGCGCAAACAACAAGTGAAAGACAAGCAAACCATAGCATCGAGTTGACCGCAAACGGACGTGTGAATGTAATTGCGACTTCGCTCGTCCGATTGTCAACTCAATCTCTATCATTCCAGCAATATGGAAGACGTTACAATGGCATCCTCAGACGATCGGTCTGCACGACTTTACAGATGGAGGGAGAAGAAGGAGCAGGAAGATCTCCAAACGTACGGCAAGCATGGCAAGGTAAGTTCCGTGCCAAGAGACAAAAGATGGCAAGCTCCCTCAGGCACCAAGTTGCAAGGGCCCAGCCACATCCACCTCTCCATCGTCATTTGACACAAGTTTATCGACTTTCCTCCTGTCCCATCGCATCTGTTCGATATTGACAGGCCCGCTGCCCAGTACACCCCGAAGATCAACTACCACCCGCACTCCAACATGTCGCGCTCCTCGACCACTCTCTACGTTTCTGGCTTTGGTCCTGCCACTCGCGCTCGCGATCTTGCCTATGAGTTCGAACGGTACGTGTTCCATTACGCGGCATGCCCGCATTGCGCCGTGATGCGCGTGCTGTAAAGCTGTATGTCAGGGAACCCGATGCTGACTTTTCCAGTTACGGACGCCTTGTGCGCTGCGACATTCCCGCTCCCAGAACCTCTTCCAGCAGACTGTAAGTCTTTCTCACACCGGTCCAGCCTTGCCAGCATGTCGCTGATCATATGCAGTTTCGCCTTTGTCGAGTACGAGAGCCGCCGTGATGCCGATGACGCCTACCACGAGATGCACAACCGCCGCATCAGCCGCAACGAGGAATTGAAGATCGAGGTACGCGCCTTCCCAACACGCTTTCCAACCACGACAAAAGACTGACAGCTCCCGACAGTGGGCCAGAACCCCTCCCTCTGCTTCTTGGCGCTTCGATGCCGGTCGTCCTCCTCGCGGTGAGCGCGGAGACCGTGGCGATCGCGGTGATCGCGGTGACCGTGGCGACCGCCGTGACCGTTCTCCTCGTCGCCGCTCCACCAGCCCTGCACCCCGTTCCCGCCGTGGCGACAACTCTCCTCGCAAGGAAGACCGCCGCGACCGCGACTACGACCGCCGCGACCGCACCCGCAGCCCCGAGGACCGCGAGCGCGAGAGAGACCGTGATGTCAGAGACCGCGATGACGACCGCGAGCGTGAGACCAAGCGCGACGACGACCGTGAACGTGAGGAACGTCCTCGCGAAGATCGTGAGGACCGTGACAGAGAGGAGCGCGAAGAGCGCGAAGAACGCGAGCCCAATGGTGAAGAGCCCAAGGGTGAGATATGACTGACTCTGCCACGCCATGCAATTGCTAATGTGGTGCCACAGAACCCGCCGTCGAGTCCCCTCCTGCTGCCGCAGCCCACGACGACCTTGACACTGCCGAGTAGTTATCCTGCGCTCAAGCCCAATCCTACCCCACTAACCCCGTCGCTGCTAGTGTGAACTATGCCCATTGGGATAGTGACAGATACGGTGTTGCCGTCAGTCATCGTCCCTGGCCAGCGTAATTCACTCCCCCCTATCCTACAGTGCAGCAACCTCGTCGCCTCCTACAGGGTTCCTTTTCATGGGTAAAATGCGCGAGGTTATACTGTTTGACGCCCCCTTCTACGTTTTTGTTTTCAGTTGCTGTTGGGTGTGCTTTTCAGGCGGGCGTTTTTACTCGGAATTGATCACAAAATAGCAGCAGTGCGATTCGACCACTTCGTACGAGGCGAGCCATTACACGAGCAACCCGATCCCTTCGATATCGTATTCAATCAATTACCAACCTTTCGACGTCCTCCTCCTCCTCCCTCCCGACGCCATTGATCCACGAGATCAAGCGATACGCAAATGCGATCCGATCCCCTACCCCCTCGTCGTCTCGTCCTCGACCCACAACATGCATTTTATCCCCGCCGTCGTTTTTCGTCCTTCGTCACCTCACCATCACCGTCTTCGAGTCCCTTTCGCAACCGATCCACACCTTATCCGATGCTTCGACATTCATGCGCATTCAGCTTTTCTCAGAGGTAGCCGTATCGTTGTCGTAGATGTTTGTTCTGTTGGGTGACATTGGCGTGCGTCTAAACCCTTCAGCTGTGGCTGTAAGTCTTGTGATCGTCTCAGTGAGGAGAAGCATAGTCAGCCACTTGCTCTAACAAGGAAGTGTTGCGTTTAGTCTCTTGATACTGTAACATGCACTGGGAAGCTCAAGCTCCTAGATATGTTTCCTACTTGTCCACTATTTGTTCTTTGGCCTGCCTCAGCTCAGCTCATTTCGAGCCTGTCATATCCTTGAGCCGCTGACCATACATATTCTTCACTATCGTGTCGTGTGATATGCAAGGCTCGATTCACTAGTGTGCACCCAATGCTCACAGGCACCTCGGTAAGTGAAGACGATGCAGAGTCAGGGTTGAAGGATCTTGAAAGAGAACGACATCATCATCAAACTCCATATCCCCAAAGACTCTTGTTATGTATATCATACATGGCCACCCTCAACCCATCAAGCAAAGACCAAGGACAAGAAGTGGCAGGATAAACCCCTTTTCTCCTCCTCCAAGTACCATAAAACCCTCACGCCAGCCTCTGAATTGAACCATGGACCTTTGGAGCGAGATAAACCACGCAAAAGGTCACGACCAAGCACTATCCACTGGGCTAGCCACACGTCTCCTTCGTAAACTAGGGAGGGCAACCAGGGGTGGAACTGTGATTGGTCCTGACGAAGAGAAGAAGACTGATTCAAGTGGTATATTTGTCACCGCGAAGGTGATTGCGGACAATCAGCGAACTATGCATGGAGACAGTAAGATCCGTTGTTGCATTGTGTCAAGCCTAAGATACGTTGTCGTGCTGGAGTAGCTTGTAACGCGTAGAAACTGCTGTTTCCACCCGCCACGGGTTTGGACTCGTCGCAGTGCTTCCATAATCCAATCACGTTCTACCGAGAAGAGCGTCGAGCTTCAAGGAAAGCATCCATAAGTTGACGTCTCTCATTGAACATTATATACGGTTGTAGAAACTCCTTTGGGTTTCTCGTCAGGTACCAATAGATATTCAATATCAGTGCGATGTCATACCGTTCATTTCACATAAACATATACCAAGCATGAGAGAGTTGGGTTCAACTGCCAGGCGCATAACGACTCCACCCTCTGATAGTCTTGCCCTTCAGATAAAACACAATCGGCACCGGCACCATCATCAAACAAACAAATCCCAACACGGAGCACGCCCACGGGCTCCCCAACCCCTCAAACATGGGCCCTGCGAATAGCGGAAACGACGATGCCACAGTACTCCTCACCACCAGATGTATCGACATTGCCGAATTGCTGTTGCTCAAATACGTATCGACCAAATACACAATGCCCGCAATGAAGATGAGCAAGAGACCGAGGCCGACAAAGTAGGCTGCGATGACGGCCGAGACCCACGAGGTGGATTGGGACCAGCCTAGCCAGAAGAGGGCGACGGGGAGGATAAAGGCGCCGAGGATCATGGGTGGGAGACGCGCTTCTGGGGGTGCAGAGTTTGTGCGAAGCCATAGCTTCTTGTAGCTTGTCAGTGTGAAGATGGAGAAGATGAGACATGCGCTGACTATGCCGAGGGTTACGGAAATAAAGGGAAGATAGGCTGCTTCAGGACTCCATCCCCTGTTGCGGAAGGAGAAAGGTATAGCCTGGTAGGACAGATACAGCGTTCCGTATACGATGGTGAGGTATATGGTGACGAGAACAAGGATGGGTTCCTGTACAAACATTCTCACTGGCTTGGTGGCGTATTTTTGCACGAGGGTCCTAAACCCAATGGGCGTTTCTTCGAATTTGGCATGCAGCTTCTGGTTTCCGGTTTTGGAGCGAAGGCGTTTGGCCTTGCGGGTGAGCAGCACTGGTTCAAAGGTTTCGCGTATGATGAGCAGGCCGAGGGAACCCACTATGCCAACGAAGATGAGGGTAAGCCACGCTGTCCACCTCCAGTTGAGGTGATTAGTTGCGTATACGCCAATGATTGGGGCAAACGTGGAGCCCAGGTTAATGCACATGGATGATGCTGCCAGACCCACACCTCGGTGGATTGGAGGCCATATATCGACAAACATACCGCTCACGACGGCCATGATGGCGCTTCCGAAGAGGCCTTCGAGGAAGCGACACACAAGGATGGTTTGAACGTTCTGAGCAACGGCTTCTGATATCTGGAAGAGTCCCGTGCCAAAGAGACCTATCCAAAGTGGTATAGTGCGCCCAAGCACCTCACTCAAAGGTCCAAAGATCAAAGGTCCACAGGCAAATCCAAGGATGTGCAAAGTGATAGCCAAGTTCATCACTTCATGCGAAACACCATATATCTGGGCAGTAACCCTGGTAGCGGGACCAAAAATACTCGAAGAGATTGAGACGGCAACGATGAAGCAACTGGCGACCGCGGAAAAACAGACTTTACGCCACATGGGCCAATTCATGGGTTTCGTTGGATCATCATCGCCGTCCCAGAGCACGAGAGTGGGATCTGTTTCGAAGCCGTCGTGCTTGTGGCATGGTTCTCCTTCCTCGTCTGTGAGGCCTTGTTTGCAGAGGGAACATTCTGGATGCGGTGGTTTCCGCGATGCGGTGCGTTTGAGTGTGATGCCATTGTCGTCTGAGCCGGACGAACAGATGTCGTGTTCGAAAGATTCTTTGCTGAGATGTGGTGCTTCGACCTCTTCGGTGGTGTACTGTCCGAGAGGCCATTTGTGTTCTTGCTTTTCGATATCTGGATCCATGCCGAGAATTTATTGTTCAAAGAAAGGCGGATGATGGTGGACCAGTCGCTTTTGGTGCCTCATTGGTTAGTGGTGTACAATTTCTAGATGTCGATGAGATGACCGCGTTATAGAGGGGAGCAAATCATCGCAAGAAGAAGTGAAAAGCAAGACGAAAGACAAACTGCGAGATCGCTCATTTCCCAGCCAAGTCGATTGTTATCCGAAGACAAGACTCGGAGTGACCTTTACCGAGATCTTCCTTCGAACGGTTCTTCATCGCGGCACTGATCATCACTCTTCGAGTTGTCGTGACTCGTGAACCCTATACTCTGCCGTCAAGCGGAGCACGACAGTGCGATCTCAAAAAGGATCGCTATTGGACCTTTCTTGTTCAGGTGTGCGGAGTGTCGGAAGCCAAACACTCGTATGGTTGGACGGCACTGATTTGCGGTAAGAGGCGTTGTTGCCTCGAGACGAGGCTGACAGCCCTGGGGGCGAGATGCGGAGGCGATCGTCGGAAGCGCGTTTCCGAGAAGCAACCTTGACGTCGTTTGCTTGACAGCTCTTTCCCTGTCCTTCTTTCTCATGTGCCAACCCTCGACGTGTATTCAGTCTCTCTCACATTGACAAAGAGCGTTATTCCAAGCTATGTCGATGCACGACGGGTTCCAGATCAGAGTTTCTTCCGGAAAAAGCCTGTCAATGTCATGTATCTCAATGAATACTGTCATGTTTCGCAAGACGGCCGTGCATTGAATTGGCTATGTATTCTGCATTTCGTAGCATGCAGACATGGTGTCGCTGACCCAACCAACTTCATTCTCTTACATATCATCAGCATCGTATATGTCTCTCACGCCAGAAAAAGTATCATGTCCGCCAAAGAAACGCGATTACACCGGACTGCATTTGTACAGAGTGTGTCATCTTGTCTCTCTATGCTCTTCACTACTTTTGACGCTCCAGCTCTTCTCGAAGGGACTCCACCTGCTTTTCTAGCTGCTTCTGCTGGCATCCCAGCTCCTCCAACACTTGCTTTCTACTGCGCTCCTGTTCTTCTGTCAGAAATTCGATCAGCTCTGGTTCCATCAGCTCCTTCCCCTCAGCGAATGACTTCATAACCCGGTTGTTGAAATACCGACGAACAACATCCAGGTCAGTTCGGGCGTAGTTCATCCTCTGCTCTTGAGGCATCCCGGACAGTAGGCGCTTACGGAGCACGAAGTGCTCCCATCTGGACAACTGACCGATCATTTGAGCAGAACGTCTGTTGATCTCCCTTTGTTCGTCCAGGGAGAAGTTGTAGCGGTTACGGAGAACTCGCTTGTCGGTGGCCATTTCTTTCATAATCTAGATTCCTTCTCCTGAAAGCTTCAGATCGTGCGAAACTAATAAGGAACGTATCTCGTCCGGGACCCGAGCCAAGCTGACATCAAATCCTTCTTCCTCAACCTTCTCCAAAGTTCGTCTGCACTCGTGGAAAAACGCAACTCGGAGGCATTGTAGCTCTTCGTTCAGAAAGTCTTGTCCAACGCCCATGTTATCCCACAAACATCTGATATCGCTCTTCACACCATCGATCCAAGCTGCATCGTCGATAGCCCGGTGTTCGTCGCTGCGTTCGCCCGGTGTTCGTTGCTTGCCGCCCCTGAGACGAGCAGCGGGGTCTGTCACCCAATAGTCCATACGCTCGGCAAGCTTTCTGATGTAGCTGCGGTCGTTGGCGTAGTCGTCGAGGGGGTGGGGAGGTCGCCTCGGGTTCTTCTCGACAAGGGTAGTTTTGATGTTGGGGATCACGTCGTAGTCCTGTTCATCCGGATCGTCGTTGTCGATAAGAGTGTATTCGCGGTTGAGTCTGGCATCTTTGTGCGGACTCCAGCTGTCGGCCATGGTAGGATCGACCTTGGGCTTGTTCTGAGACATGGTTGGGCGTGATGGGACCCGAGTGTCGTCGTCGGTGGTCGCTGGTTGCGTTCTCGTATTGTGCCCGGCCAGAATCAGGGGTAGAGGTGTGAAGTGAGGTCTCGCAGAGGTGAGTAAGCTGGATTCAGGTGTGCTGCTCGGTGTGTGTTCATCATCGTTCGGTCTCGGCGCTGCAGTGAAGAGGTTGCCGGATAGGAGCCTACGGAGCATCCTCTCGATTGACTAGTATCGAGGACCGCCCTCTCGCGTATGATTCTTTCTCCTGGAAGTGTATGAGGGGATTATGTTTGTGCGTATACCAACGAAGAGCCTCCTGCACGCCTGTGATGTTGTTGGAAAGTGTTGGGATGTATTTTCAGTCATCGGTCTACTTCCAGCAGCGTCCACACTCCCGAACCCACATCTTGATTCCCCTTGCTACCCTTCTAGTACAGTCAAGGCTTTCTTCTGTTTGTAGAATTGCACAGTTCTGTGGACAAGTGCATCAGCATCCGCTGAGATCGTCATTTTTAGGTGTTCTCCTTGGATACACCTTGAATCAGAAGTATATTGTGCATTTCTATCGCTCTCGCCTCCTCCCCATGACCATTGAGATGCGTTACTTTCATAGGCTCTCTTTAGACACAGCTCCAGTCTGGAGAACACTCTGTATATCCATAGCTTCCGAAAACTTTGTTATATCCGCTGAGACCATACCTCTCACAACATCTCCTTGGATCTGACTGAAATTCAGAGAGGACTGTGTATTTCTACAGCCCAATAACGCTTGCTCTCATCCACTGGGATCATCCATTTCACCAGTTCACCTTGGATACAACGTCAGTATGCCACCTCACTGTGCATTTCCATAGCTCACAACTCTTTCTCGTATTCGCTGAGACTCTCTATGCCGCCAACTCTCATTGGGAACATTTCTGCATCTCAAGATGACTGTGCATTGTAATAGCTGATACACCACACTTAGATCCCAATGAGAGTTGTCTTTCACATAGGCTCTCCTGGGATTGCATCTTTGATACAAATACATCTGTGCATCTTGATAGCTAGTACATACCTCTTTTATCCGAAGAAAGCTTTGACGATATCCGATTTCTCTGGGCGTATACTCAACTTCAAACTGTTCTATACAGACATGTAGCAGTCACGCAGGTGGAGAGACACGCGCAACGTCTTAGGGGCAAGAGGCAAGGCACAATCAAAACTTATCATGAAGAGAAAGAGAAAATTTGTAATTCATCTTCACCATATGAGATGGTGGACTCCCGACCTTGTATAGAATTGAGAAACCTAGAACCCCCAGAGAGAAAACCATGCAAAGGAAATTGAATGAAGAAAAACAACTCCCAAACCCGCCTTGCCTTATGCGTTCCCACACCCCCAAATGCATCCCATCCAGAAAACATCAGAACACATACCCGCTGCATTTGCGCCTCCAATTTTTTTTGTTTTTTGATCGTTAGTTGCCAAGTTGAGAGACAAAATCCTCCAATGCTACAGACATTAGAGTTCTTATCCACCAACTTGACCAAAAAGGAAAGGAAAGAGAACAAGGAAAAGATATGGAAGACATCCGTTGAAAAGCAGCATTTTTCGCCATCACACCCCTGCCGTGCACCGCTGTTCTATGCATATGTGTAGTTGCTGCGTTCCTCAGGTCTCTGGTCTCGTTGCTTCGTCAGAGTAATGATAAGGAAATAAAACAGTACTGAAAGTAAGAAAAAGGAATCAGAGAGTTGACAGTAAAAGAATAAGCTCCCAGAATGACAAGAAGAAGACCAACGTCAGAGGGCTGAGTACACTGATGGTTGGTCACCCTATTGAAGAGGGAAGAAAGCACAGATTAGAAGAAATCATATGGAGTGGAAGTTCAATGATCTCTTTCATCAAATTCGTTCGTCGTAGTCGTGGTCAAATGTTGTGTCGCAGATCCGCAGGCTAGTCTAGTCGATCGTGCCTGCATGGAATATCGAGAAAGCCTGCCCCGGAACATGAGTAAGATGGTGTCATGGGTCATGTTGAGATCCTGGGGACATTTGACGGTTGCGCTCCTCGAATGGATCTTCAGCTAATCCGGCATCACGTGGCGTGAAGCGGCGTGGGAAGGTGTTGAAACGATTATTCGAAACGCCACCAGAGAATGGAGAGCCGAGTCTGGGAGGTTGTGCAAGCTTTGGTAGGTCCAATCTGTCCGAAGCTTCGCCCATCTTGTGATTGACACTCGACAAAGCCTGCGGGAACAGTTGAGGGAAATTGTTGTTGGGGTTCCGAGCCATACCGTTGACGGCGCTTAAGCTGAAACCACGGTTGCGCATTGGGTTGTCAGACGCTGTCGGAGGTGCAGTGAACACATCCTCCAAAGATGGCTGCTGAGAAACCGATTGATCGTCAACACCGAATCTGCGCTTCAAGGACTTGACACTTGGCATCGGACCGTCGAGTGGGAACGGAGAACGCAGAGAAGGCGCAGCGTCTGTCAAGCGGTTGTTGTTGGTGTTCAGGAAGGCACGTCCGAGAGACTGTGTCTTGCTCATGTTCTCTAGGAAGTTTTGACGCGATTCTTCGCTGTCATCGAACGGTGAGGCTAATATGCTGCCACGATTGAAAGAGTTCGACTGCATGCCAGACGAAGAGCCCAGGCCTAGACCGAGCTGCAAGGACTGACTCTTCTGATGAGCAGCACGTGCTCCAGAGCGACCGATGCGAGCGTACCAGTCTGAGCCGCGACGCTGCTGGGGCGCCATTGGAGGCTGATGAGTGCGCTTGTGAAGCTGGGCGAGCGGACCATCTGGTTGCATGGAAGGAGCAGTTGCCTCAGCTAGCGAAACATTCATACTGCGACTAGAGAAGGACGAAGGCTCAGGAGTAGGGGCCTGAGCGACGGGAGCAGGTGGCTGGTTGGGGCTGCTGCTGGCACTGACACTGCTCGAAGATTCGAAGGGAGAAGGACTACGAGTGCGGAGAAGTCTCATGTAATGAGCAGAAAGAGATGGCTTGCGCTTGCACAAGTCGCGTAGAAGACGACGCGTAGCACCCTCCGAACGCGGCCACTTAAGTGCGACGGGGTTGTGCGAATACGCAGCAGTAGGGGTGGACTGATCCATAGCATCGGATGAGCTGATGGGATCAGACGAGTCTGCACACTGGATGGAAATGCGGGGGATGCCATGAGGGGCACACGACAGACGGTTTGCCTTCCAGGTTGCCTTTGCCTCTCGAGCAACACGATGACAGACGCCCAGAGGTGGTGAGGTGCCAGGTAGCATCTTGAATGGAGTGACCCTCGGGTCCTGAACGTAGGTCATGTATGTGAACCAGAGGTGGTCTTCCATCTCGGGTGTGAAGTGATGCTGGCGGGTCGTCTTGACACGCTTGGCAGTGGGGAATCCACTGGATGGGGTGACTGATTCTGGTGCTCCAGATTTGCGTTCGAAGAAGGCGAATGGATCGCCAATGTCGCTTTCGGGGCTAGTGCAGCTGCCAGCCTCGAATGAGGATTTTGAGTCAAAGCTGCTTCCATGGGATGTCGCAGAAGAGTCGGAGAAGGTTGAGAGAGCTGAAGAAGGTCGCTCGATAAGGTCGTGAAGGTGCATGGGATGGAACATTGACCATTCCGTGGCATCCGTAGTTTCAATGCTGTAAGATGTCACTTGCGATGCGGGAGTCTTTGGTGGTGATGAGAGGCGTAGGTGTCCAGCACGCGGCGCGAGATATCCTGGAGTCGACATGAAGTAGGTGGAAGCGTGGTGAGCCGGCTCATCTGCTTCGGTCATCTCGATACTGGGCAGGATTGGGGCCTCGTCCATTGCACCAGTCTGCTGGTCGCGTGGGCGACGGCGCAGCTTGAACGTCTGCTTGGGCGGCGCAGGGGCTTCGAGATCGAACGAGTCTACAGCAGTCGAAGGTCTGGCAGGCGTTTGTGGTATTTCTGGGTCGTTGTGGGAGAACTTGAAGTCGCGTGGGAGCGTGACGGAGGCGCTCGGCTTGTGCAAAGCCATGGCGTCTGATTGCGCGTAGCCAAACAACAAACGAAAACAGTCGGAGTTGATGCGCGATAGCAACGAGGGGTTCGAGCGAGCGTCAGGGGCAGCGGGAGTGCTGTGGTTGTTTGACGTCCAAGGCTGCCAACGTTGGAGATGCGGCAGCGGTCGCGAATGTGGGCCGGATGCGCGTGCGGAAACAACAACAAAGCGGGAGTGGACGCGATTTGAGGCTTGTCGGGTCAATCGGCCATCTATTTGTCGGATCGGGGCGATGACAGCGATGCGCAAACGGTAGTCGTCGCTGAAGAGAAGTAAAGTTGTTGGCGAAGAGCGAGTTTGTTTCGAGAGCGAGTGACGAGGGAGAGAAGGCGCGAGACAGGTGAGCAGAGAGAGCAAGAAGCGGCAGGCGCGAACGCCCACCACCCTGCGACCGCAACTGCCTCCACAGTGCGCCACGACACCTTGATTCTATTCGCTGGGGCGCTCGGGCGCCAGTCGATTTGCTTTTTGCACATCGATTCTCCGCAGCATTGACTCGTAGCCTACATAAAGCCCTTATTCTACTGTAGCTTACAGAGCCTTCTCTCACAGCTCGACTTGACTGTTGTTTGTTGTTTTTGCGCCGGCTCTCCTCTCATCACAGCGCGTCATTGACAACAACAACAACAACAACAAAGGGCCCATATGGCCGCCTCCATGTCCAGAGGAGCCGCGATCATTGCGGTGTGACATGCAAACACCACCTGAAGCTATGCGCGCTGGGTCATGCGGCAGGTCGACCTCTGATAAATAATCCATCACACCGCCCTTGCGTGAAGCGTTGCAGCCGGCTCCACACGTGCTGTGCATCTTGTTCGCAGTTTGGCGATCGTCCCGCATATGTACTATTGGTGCGCGTGCTGGACCTGTCACCAGAACCTTGCTACAAGGCTGCAAACGTCTATCCGTCTCCTCGTACTTGCAAGTACCCTGTTTGACGGTGAACCTTTTTCTCAACGATGTCTCTGTACTTGTATCGTTGGTCTCGTTGACTTTATCGATTAGGCCCTGCATATCGACCATGTATCGCGGCCGCTTTCTTCCTTGTTTTTGATTAATCGCGCTTGTTGAGCACATCGCTGCATTGGTGGCCCAACTGGAATACAGTACGTCACGGGCTTCCACACTAATCTGGTATGCAGAATGAATACAGAAAAATACAATTATGCACAAAGCGATTGATGTGGGTATATGAATATGTTCTGAATCAGCATTGTGCTCCGTAAGGGGAACATATACGACTTTTGTATCTTTTGCATATCGACTACATAGGGACAAGGTGCTCTAATTATGCTTCAAGCGAGAAGTCGAACGGAGCAAACGCAGCCTTGAAGGCCTCAACATCGACGTTCTCTTCCGCTTCGCTTTGGTCACAGTCCTGCCAATGCGATCGCCCTTCCAGACCGAGCAACTTGGCCAGAACTCTTCGTCCGAACTGCAAATCGAATCTGAATGATGAGTCGAGAGGAAGAACCATGGTCTTCTCTTCTGCTCCGTCCCAGATAGTGGCTTTGAAACAGTCGCCCTCAGCCGCTACATCAGTTGAGACACTCGACGACTCGAAAGCCGGATAGCTTTGGTTCTCGGCTTCCACCTTGAAGCCTGCCTCGACCAGTCCTCTGTGAATGATCTCTAGAGGTACTGGCATAAATTGCCAGTGAATGTGGATACCACCCATACGGCTAATCTCCCATGTAACCGCTCCAAGCTTGTCTGCTTCGGCAGCATCTTCGGACCTCTTGGACAGCATACTCTGCAACGCGAGTCGATAGCGATGCATCTCTGCAATGGTGGCTTTCTTGGAATCTTGATCCTGTATGGTAGCCAAAGTAGGCGAGTGCTCGAGCGGAATGATCAGCATGTGACCCGGGAAGCCTAATGCTGGGAAAGTCTTGGGTGTCGGAAGTGGTCCTTTGGCTGTTGTCAGATACGCGCTGTCACCAATCGAAGAGATGAGATGTGATGCAATGTTGGGATTTGAGAGGCAGAAGAAGCATTCCGATGGGTTTGGGTTTGGTCGAGCGCGCTTGTTGCGACCTTTGCGCCTACCACCATCACCGTCGCCACCAGAGAATCTCGAGAACGATTGCGCTTGAGATTCCACAGCCTTGCGCTTCTTTGCGAACGACAATGGAGATGCTGTGACTCCAGAGGGCACAGTGGCAGTAGGCGCCACTGAAGTATCCAGGGTGAATGCATAGATCCACTTCTGCTTGGCGGCGTTTCCATAGGGAGCCAGGCTGATGAAGCGAGTCACCTGATAGCCACTGTCATCTTCACCCTGGGTATGGAAGAAAGGCTCACGTTCGAGGAAGCCGTCGGAGAAGGAGAAGTGGTAACGAGGCTTTAGCACAGTGCAGAGGTCTGCGACACCTTGTTGCGAGACGGCTTCTTGTCCGGTGTAGGATGAATTGGAGCCAGTACGAATCTCAGCAGGCCACTCACTCGTAACCAAAATGTCTGCAGTGTTGGCGCCTCTCAGCACCTTGATATCCTCTGGTGTGTGACTAGGGCTGAATTCTGTGATCAAGGCTTTATCCGAAACAGCATCCATATGAGCGCCGCCCAGAGCGACAATCTTGACGCCCTCTGATGTCTTAACGGTGGTCCTCCGACCGAGGAAGTAGAGATTCGAACATAGCTCGCCGGCATTGGCGCTCAGTCTGTCCTGGACTTCGAGAGGTAGCTCACGTTTGCCAAGAGCAAAGTATACTGGTAATGCGATTTCAATCTTCCCATCGAGCAAGTCCTTGAGTTGGCTGGCCTCTTCTGCACTGGAATTCACTGGATCCGCGAACAAGTCTCCAGTGATGATAGCAAAGGCAAAAGCATTTTTAGCGTGCAATGCGGATAATTTGCCAAAAACCGCAGAAACCTGGCCGTTGACCGAGCCTACTACTGCACTGATGTTTGATTAGCGACCTCCACGAGATTCTGAACAGATTATGCGTACATCTTTGGTACCATGTTCGGTGGATCTTTTGGTCGTGGAAGTGAACGAAGAGAAAGGGTTTGTGCTTAAACGTGATTCGATGAATCTCGACCGACAGGCTACTCGAGTGGTGTGGCTGCTTGTGGCTGGCACTCGATGGTCAAGCCACCTTCCCCAGAATCTTGGCGCGTAGTGTGGTGGGTGCCGAAGAAAGTTCTAAAGTTGCATCAACTTTTTTGCCATAGCATTTCACAACCACGACATGGCGGGTATGTCGAGGAATACCGCTTCAAATGGGCCTAAGTCGGCCAAGGCGACCACGAAGGTCGTCAAAACACAAAGGAAGACAAAATCGACGCCCTCAAGTCGACGACACCACTTCGAAGGTTTCGCCCAGAGGATCTCAAAGATGAAGATCGATCCCATTCGACGCACTCGTCGCGGAGTAGGAGCTGAAGGTGCCCACGAGCTGGAAGGAGAGTCCTCGTACTTCCGTACTGCCTTGGACGAATGGAAGGACCTCAACTTGTCCGAGAATTTCTCTACTTTCGCCAAAATCGTCTACAACATCTCGGACAGTCTGCCCATGGTCATCTTTCACGAGGAGACTATCATGGACAACTTGATCACCTATATCGAAAAGGGAGACGTCATGTCGCTCGAGCCGCTTCTCGCCCTCATGTCACACTTCGCACACGACCTCGACGTCCGATTCGAGAAGCACTTCCAGAGAGCCGTCGCAACCGTCGCACGTGTCGCAGCCAGCAATGCAGAGCCCGAGGTCGTCGAGTGGGCCTTCACCTGCCTCGCTTGGCTCTTCAAATACCTCTCCCGTCTATTAGTTCCCGATCTCCGACCGCTGTACGACCTTCTATCGCCATATTTGGGAAAGCAAAAGCAAAAGCCATATGTCATTCGATTCGCCGCAGAGGCAATGAGTTTCTTGGTCAGAAAAGCCGGAACCACATACCACAAGGCTAGAGAACCCTTGGACACAATAGTCGAGCACATGCTCAATGACTTTGCCTCAAACGAGACTGCTTCGGACGATCTGTACTCACAAGGTTTGATGACCTTGTTCACAGAGTCTATCAAGGGTGTGCAGGGAACCCTCCACTCGGGAGGAAATACTGTCTTGCAATGCTTGACAAGGTTCTGCTTCAATGCTAACCACTCAGACTTCCTCAAGGGCAGGTCCCTCCAGATCTTGAGAGGTTCGCTGATCAGTGTCGTCCATCACACTACTCCGGAAACTTTCGAGTCCGTCCAGGACGCAATCTTCGATTTCACAGACCCCAGTGACGAGGACGCAGTAGAGAATCTGGATGCGGCCAACACTCTTCTCTTCACCGCCGCATCAGTTCGTAAGGGAAGCAGAATCTCGGACTGGCCGACCTATGTCAAACGTGTAACGACCATGATCAAGCAAGCCGACAAAGCAACCAAGCAGATTGACTCCGACACATTGACCGCACTTCTCAACACGCTGGCCGTGGTACTTAATTATGGACCTTTCGACGCAGTCCTCCAGGAACTCGCTATTCTCGACACTATCAGCCGTGACAAGTGGATTGGTCACTTCCTGCCATTCTGTAATATTTTCTCAGAGCTAAACCAGGAACGTTTCCAGAGCTTCGTTCTGCCGATCTTCCAAAAATTTATTGTCAATCACTGGAAGGAAAACGAAATGGCCCTCTGTGCAATGCTTCCGTCTATGTCTCGCAAAAACACATTTGCCAAGACGCCCTTGCAATGTCCACTCGAATGGCAAAAGGTCATGCTACAACGCCTGAAGAAAGCTCAAGGAAAATCGCTGCCGAAGGATGACGAGACACTACATATGAGTAACGGCCATTTAGCGGTACTGCGGATTTCTCAGGGAGACTCAGAAACTCGCAAAGCTATCGCAGCCAGTATCCTTGACTTGCTCAAATCTGCCGCAAAATCATCCTCTACGGAAATTGGAGGCTGGGATCTTTTCGCTCTGGGTCAAGGTTTCCAATACATCTCGGATGAGTTCAGTGAAAGTCTGCAAGACAAGGAACTTGCAGAGGCTCTATGTTCCGTCTCTACACGGTGCAAGAAGCTTGTGCCTTACTGGACTGCTCTTAACTCAGTTCTGCAGAAGGCTGATATTGCTCTTACTGGAGACCAGATGGACTCTCTCGTTGCTAATTCAGTTGAATGTCTGAAAACCCCTAGCCACGATCTAAGACTTTCTGGACTACGGATATTGCAAACGATTTACGGGAAGAGACAGAACGATGTTCCCGAGTTATTGTTACACGCACTCTCGATCGAGGAGACGCCCCCAAGTGTTCAGACAGCTCGTTTCATCTCTGCGCAGATTCGCCGGCTAGCTCTTGGATACCCTGACGTTCTCTCTGATCCCGTTTTGGCGAAAGCAATCCCAACCTACTGTTTCGGTCTTCTTCATATTCATCTTGCTCAGGCTTGGGAGGATTCCATTGGAGCACTCAAGGAGATGACCCAGCATGGAAACGCCGAAGAGATTATCACGACTACCATCACCCAGTGGCTTCAGGGTCATGCCGATGCGGAAGGAAGTGCATTGCAGCCAGAGACAACACAAGACAGAAGCATCAGTCACGTCAGCTCCGATTTTGAGTGTTCCAACATGAATCAGATCGAGAAGGACATTGAAATCTCGGAATCTCTGTTCGCGGATCTCAACCAAGGAATTGAGAACCAGTTCAAGAGAGATCACGTCCAGACGTTCGCAGCTTCCCTTTCTGAACGATCGCAGGCACTTCGCGCGCTGAACTCGATGCCGCAGTTGGCAGAGAAGCGATCGCGACTTCTGGTTCCCGTATTGCTCGAATGGGCTGGTGATGAAACTGAAGCGCGGGAAGAAGAGGAGACCGGAAATACTCGTCACTGGGGCCGCAAAGATCAGAAGGCTATGCTTGGAGTCTTTGCTCAGTTCCAGAATCCTAGAGTGTTGTTCAAGGCGACTGAGGTTTACCAAGCCCTGCTCAACCTCCTCACGAACGGTGACAACGAGATCCAGAAGTCAACGCTTAAAGCCATCCTGGCTTGGAAGACTCCCAGTGTGATCAAATATCAGGAGCATCTGATGAACTTCCTCGACGATGCAAGATTTAGAGAAGAAGTTTCCGTGTTCCTTCGTCTTGAGGAGGAGGGTGACGCCATCCGAAGCGCTGACTGCCCTGAGCTTATGCCGGTCTTGCTTCGCATACTGTATGGTAAAGCGGTCACCAGAGCTGGTTCAGCAAGTGGTAAGCGTGGGCAGCAGACTCGTCGCAAGGCTATCTTTGTTGCTCTTGCTCGCTTCCCTGCAGAGATTGTTGGACAGTTCCTCAGTATTGCTCTAGGCTCGTTGGCCACGACGGAGCCTATCAAGGATGGCGAGTTGGATCAGTCAGCCGTAGACAATTTTGCTGTCGCTCCAAGAAAGCAGGTTGGTCTATTGAACATGCTGGACGATATGGTACACACTCTCGGTAACAGACTGGACCGCTACGCAACGAAGATTGCCGATGCCGTTCTTCTATGTCTGCTCAAAGCTTCCAAGTCTCATACTGAGTCCATCGACACTGACGAAGAGGTCCCAGTCGAAGATGAGTCTCAGACTTCTCTCGATCGTGCCATCCGTCAAGCTGGTTTCCACTGTCTGATCCAGGTCTTCTCTTCGTGTACCGAAGTCTCTTGGTACAGCTACGCCAAGGTCGTCATGAGCGAATTGGTGGGCCCTCGTCTAGAGAAACTTCCTATCGAGACCGCGCAGTCTGTGTCTGCCTTCTTGCGTCTCTTCTCAACCTGGGCTAGCTCTCTGGCTACCTGCCACTACTTGACAGAGTTCTTCCCTGAGACTCTCAATGCTGTCGCAGACTGCCTTGTGGTTCCTAGCGCTAAGAATGAAGTCAAGTCGTTCATTATTGAGCACATTATCGGACGTCTCTTGGATACTATCCAGCCGCGCCGATCGAAGGATGCCAAGATGAACATTGATACCACTGAAGCTCAAGACCAAGCACGCGTATCTATTTTGGGACCACGTGCAAGTCTGTTCGTTGTTAGACTTGGTACTGTTCTGAGGCAGAGTCCTCCCAAGGATATTCTGGACTCAAGCGTGTTGTGTGTTTCTCGTCTCGCACCGCTTGTCACTGGTGTTGAGAACATCCGTGATGTCGTTGATGTTTCGATATTCTTGCTTGGTCAGCCCTCGAAGACTGTTCATTTTACCACCAAGCGTGATCTGCTGCAAACTTTGTTCCATCTCATTCCTGGTGCCGAACTCAACAGGGATGAGGTTCGCTTCAACCAGGTCTATGCGACACTCTGCCCGTTATTCGGCTACTTCAAGGACCGCGAAAGCAGAGAGCTTCTTGCCGCTGTTGTTAAGCAATTGGCCGATGAAAGGAAGGAGCTTTCTTACGTCGCTTCTCTGTGCGAAGATCTGAACTCATTCTCGACGTCGAGACTTGATGAGCCTGACTTCGAGCGCCGTGCCATTGCTTTCAGCACTATAAACGAGGAAAAGTACTCAACATTCACCGCGATGCAATGGCAGCCTCTAGTCTACAGCATGCTGTACTTCGTCAGAGACAACGACGAACTAGCCATCAGAACCAACGCCTCTTTCAGTCTGAGAAGATTTATCGAGGTAGCCAGTGTTGACGGCGACTTCAGAGACGAGGAGTTCAAGACATTGACCATCTCTGGCCTGTATGGTGGTCTGCAAGGTGGTATGCGTGATCCTTCCGAACTGGTCAGATCCGAGTATCTGCAGGTCTTGGCACACATGATCAAGCACTTCTCGAAATGGGATGCTGTCAACGATATGGCTACTTTGCTTGTTGAGGGTGACGAGGAAGCTTCGTTCTTCAACAACATTCTGCACATTCAGCAGCACCGCAGACTCCGTGCTTTGAGGAGATTGTCAGAAGAGGCTCATGCTGGTGTCATCTCGAGCAACAACGTCAGCTTGTTCTTCATTCCCCTTCTGGAACATTTCATCTTCGATCCTGCTGGTGACGATGGTGCTCACAACTTGTCCGCCGAGACCATCAACACCGTCGGAGCTCTTTCTGGATGCTTGGATTGGCAACTTTACAGATCGACTCTGCGCAGATTCGTCAGCTACATTCAAAGTAAGCAGGAGCTGCAAAAGATTGTACTCAGAATTGTCAGCCGCGTGATTGATGCTTTGGACCGTGCTTCCGAGTCTATTCGCAACAAGAACACTGTTATGGAAGTCGACGGCGAGACTGAAGCGACAACTAACGGTACTTCGGCATTGAGCCCACTTGCTGCTACTTTGCCTTCAGAGGAGAAGTTGTCCAACGAGATCAACAAGCAGCTTTTACCACCACTCACTTCGTTCTTGCACCTCAAGGACGAGTCCACTGTCAGTCTGCGTGTTCCTGTGGGTGTCGCTGTGGTCAAGCTCATCCGTGTTCTTCCTGTTGCCGAACATGCCTTGAAACTTCCCACGGTACTGATGGACCTCTGTCACGTTCTTCGTAGTAAAGCAGCAGAGGCCAGAGACATGACCAGAAAGACATTGTCCGAGATTACTGGTATCCTTGGCCCATCCTACTTCCAGTTTGTCATCAAGGAGTTGCGTAGTGCTTTACAGCGTGGTTACCAGCTTCACGTCATGTCTTTCACCATGCACTCAATTCTGGTCGACAACATTGCCTCTTTGGAATCTGGAGACCTTGATCACTGTATCAACGACATTATCGCTGTTGTCATGGACGATATCTTTGGTGTCGCAGGTCAAGAGAAGGATGCTGAGGAGTATATCAGCAAGATGAAGGAAGTCAAGAGCAGCAAGAGTTACGATTCTGCTGAGCTTATCGCCAAGATCACAACAACTTCTCATCTTGGTGAGCTCATCAGACCTATCCAGTCTTTGTTGCTGGAGAAGCTGGATCTCAAGACCGTCAAGAAGATTGATGAACTTTTGCGTCGTATCGGCCTGGGCACAAGTCAGAACCTGTCCGTCAATGACAGAGACATCCTTGTCTTTGGCTACGAGATCATTCAGAAGGTATACACTGCTACCGCCGCGGCCAAGACTCGCCCTGTCATGGAGGACTACAAGATTAGAAAGTACCTCATTCAGATGCAAAGCGCTAACAAGTCCGGCAAGAAGGGCGCTACAAGCTCGTACATTTTCAAGCTTACTAGATTCGCTCTGGACCTTGTTCGCGCTGTCTTGCAGAAGCATGACGAGCTCAAGACCCCGGCGAACCTTGCTGGCTTCCTGCCAATCCTTGGTGATGCTCTGATTGGCGGTCAAGAGGAAGTTCAGATGGCATCTGTTCGTCTACTCACTTCCATCATCAGAGTGCCGGCGCCACAGATCGTCGCCAACGGACCGGTCTACGCAGCAGAGGCAGTCAAGATCCTCAGAGCTGCACCCTCCATGATCACTGAGCTCGCCCAGTCTTCACTGAAATTGATTTCGGCCATCCTCCGCGACAGACCCGACATCAAGATCAAGGAGAACGACATGGCCTTTGTACTTAAAAGGATCAAGCCCGACCTCGAAGAACCCGATCGCCAAGGCGTAATCTTCAACTTCCTCAAGGCTGTTGTGGCTCGCAAGATCATCATTACCGAAGTGTATGAAGTCATGGATTCTGTGGCTGCCATCATGGTCACCAATCAGACTCGAAGCGCTAGGGATCTTTCGCGTGGTGTGTACTTTGCCTTCATGATGGAGTATCCTCAAGCGGGCAGTCGCTTGAACAAGCAGATTGCCTTCTTGGTACAAAATCTCGAGTACAAGTATGTCGAGGGCAGACAATCCGTGCTTGAATTGCTGCATCTGCTGTTGGCCAAAACCCAAGGAGATCTGGTCCAAGAGCTGTCGAGTATGCTGTTTGTACCATTGGTCATGATGATGGTCAACGACGACTCGCCCGAATGCCGCGAAATGTCCGGTGCTCTGATCAGCAAGATCCTCGAACGCGCCGATGAAGAGCGCACCAAGAATTTCGTTGCGTTGATGAGAAATTGGTTGGAGCAGGATGAGCAAATACTGCTTCGTCGTATTGCTCTACAGTGCTGGACAATCTACATCGGTCATGGCAAGGCCACTGCCAAGGAAACTTCCTTCCTCTTCAAGCAAGTGTCTAAGCTTTTGAACCCTGAGGAAGTGGAGACTGAAGATTGGGAGCTTCTGTACTATGCACTGCAGGCCTTTGCCAAAATGGCTGAGATGGCTCCTGCCACTTCTCTGGCACCTGCCGCCAAAGCGTCTTGGACAAACATTTTCAAATGTCTTGTGTTCCCGCACGCGTGGGTGAAGTTGTCCTCTGCTCGACTGATCGGTTTGCTGTTTGCAGATATGGGCAACTGCGCTTCCAAGACTGAAGAAGGTCTTGCTGCATTGCCATTGTTCACGAACAGCAAGATGGAAGTTACGGCAAAGGAGTTGCATGAATTGTGTGCTGCTGGCCTTCGAACCTTGCGTTTCAGCAATGTCAGCGAGCAGTTGGTGGGACAGACTGTTCGGAACTTGATCTTCTTGGGTCGTTGTTACAGTGCTTCAAACGTGGAGTGGGAACATCCTACTCCCTACATCAGAAATGGCGTCGCTGCCACTTCTGCACAAGATGAGGAAGAGGAAGAGGAAGATGAAGAAACAGCAGATGCAGAAGATGACGAGGAGGACACCACTGCTACTACACCAACAACAGCACTTCACCATCTACTATCCCGCATGTCTGCCCTTGTCCGTCGCGACGACGGCGCACCCACTGCCTCCGTGCTTTCCGCAAAGACCGGCGCCTTACAAGCCATCGCCTCCCTCTGCAACATCCTCCCCTCCGCTGCCATCACCCCCTCGCTCCCCACCATCCTCACACCCATCTACCTCCTCACCGACGCCAGCATCGCCGCCCCCCGCCTCGCCACCGAGCCCCTCCAAAAATCCTACCAAGACTTGAAGGCTCTAGCCGTCGAAGTATCCTCGCTACTCCAAAAGAAGCTAGGAAGCACCGAATACGTGGTTGCCATGAGAGGAGTGCAAGAGAGAGTCAGAGGAAAGAGAGAAGAGAGAAGAAGAAAGAGAAAGATCGAGGCTGTGAGTCAGCCCATGAAGTATGCGGCTGATAAGAGGAGGAAGCATGATATTACCAAGGCCAAGAGGAAGGAGAAGAGTGCTGAGGCTAGGGGTAAGAGGAGAGGGTGGTAGGATGTTGATCCTACTGTCCCCTCGACTGCATTTGTTCCTGGTTAATTTCTCTTTGTTTCCGTTCTTCGTTTATGCATTGTCAAGGCGTTTGCAGGGGTATTGTCATCATAAAAGCAAGTTAGAATATGGAGTTTTATCATATGTGGTTTTCTATCCCGAGCCGTTCCCTTGCAGTCATCATGACAGTGTTAGTGTCATGCCGATCGAGCGAGGAAACTACAATGTTGCACAAAAGATGAAGTCGAATCAATTATCCAGAAAGTAACACAACAGACAGAGCTAGAAATAACAGCTTGGAAAGTATAAAGCATTAATTATCATTGAAAAAGTCCAACTGCTGTAAAAGCACCTCGCAACCATATCGTCCAAACGCCATATTTGATAGCTCTCGTCAACCCGTGACAGGCATCTAGTAGTTCCAGGTCCAGTTGACGTAATCATCAGGATCCTGACCAGTCTCATAGGCGTAGTTCATAGCATGAGTACGTGTGTTGAGCAAGTGTTCACGGGTAGATGATCCCTTGTTGCCAAGAACAGACTTGAGACTGTCGATGGCCAGGATAGCCAAACTGTAACGATCGGTCTCGTTGCGGATGGCCAGCTCAAGAGGAGTATCGATGTTGCCCTTCTCCTTGTATCCGCGAACGCGCATCAACTGCTGGCCCTTGCGCTTGTAGGTCATTCTGTGGACCAACCAGGGGTAAGCTAGAAAGAGGGTATAGTCAGCATGAATTCATCGAGATCGGAGGCAATGATACGTACAGTGGAAGTTGAAGATGACGGGCTTGTCGTCGGTGAAGATGGCGGCGTATTCGTCGTCCTTGAGACCGTGGGGGTGGTAGCCGTTGGGCTGAAGCTTGAACAGATCCACGACGTTGACGAAGCGAACCTTGAGCTCGGGAAGGTGCTCGCGAAGCAGAGCAGTAGCAGCGAGAGCCTCTTGTGTGCTGACATCACCGCAACTGGCCATGACAACGTCAGGCTCTTCACCCTTGCTGTTAGAGGCCCAATCCCAAATGCCCAGACCCTTTGAGCAGTGGATGACAGCATCGTCCATGTTCAGGTATTGCAAATGGTTCTGCTTGTCGGCAACAATAACGTTGACGTAGTTGGATGACTCCAGGCAGTGGTTCATTGTACTGAGCAAGCAGTTGGCATCCGGAGGAAGGTAAATACGAACAACTTCAGGCGACTTGTTTGCCACGACATCAAGGAAACCAGGATCCTGATGAGTGAAGCCGTTGTGATCCTGACGCCAGACAGTGGATGTAAGTAGGATGTTGAGCGAAGCAACCTCCTGTCTCCAGGAAATCTCAGCGCACTTCTCGAGCCACTTTGCGTGCTGGTTGACCATGGAGTCAATAATGTGGATAAAGGGCTCATAACTGTTGATGATGCCATGGCGGCCTGAAAGCAGGTAGCCTTCCAGCCAACCCTCAACGGTATGTTCACTGAGGATCTCCATGACTCTGCCGGCAGGAGCGAGATTGCCGCCGTCCTTGTCTTCTTCAAAGTACTCGGCCATCCAAACCTTCTGGGTGACATCGTAGACAGCACCGAGCTTGTTGGATTGTGTCTCATCGGGACCGAACAGACGGAAGTTGGTAGGGTTAGCCTTGACGATCTGGGTCAAGAAGTCTGCGAACAGGTTCATACTGGGTGCTTGCTCGGCGGCAGGCTTCTTCACGGTCTGAGCAAATTTCTTGAAGTCAGGGATCCTGAGGTTGGCTCGCAGAAGACCACCGTTGGTGACGGGGTTGGCAGTCATACGACGGTTGCTACTAGGAGCGATCTCACGAAGCTCGTCGATGAATTTGCCGTTCTTGAAGAGCTTCTCAGGCTCGTAGCTGCGCATCCACTTCTCAAGCAGAGCGAGCTGGTCGGCGTCCTTGAGGACGTTGGTGAGAGGGATCTGATGAGCTCTCCAGTAGCCTTCGAGGAAGTGGCCATCGACGGTGCGAGGGCCGGTCCAGCCCTTGGGTGTTCTGAGAACAATCATGGGCCATCTTGGGCGCTCGGCCTTGCCAGAGTCTCTCGCCTTCTTCTGGATAGCCTTGATCTCGGTGATAGCTCTTTCTAGGGTGGCGGCCATTGCCTGGTGCATGGTGTCGAGATCGGATCCTTCGACGAAGTAGGGCTCCCAACCATAACCAATGAAGAGAGCCTTTAGCTCCTCGTGGCTAATTCTCGAAAGGACAGTGGGGTTGTTGATCTTGTATCCGTTGAGATGGAGGACAGGCAAAACTGCACCATCAACGATGGGATTCAGGAACTTGGTGCTGTGCCAGCTGGTAGCCAAAGGACCAGTCTCAGCTTCGCCATCACCGACCATGGTCTGCAGAGCTAGATTAGCGGAAGATCAATAGATTACATGCAGGTACAAGGCTTACCAGGGCGATCAAGTCGGGGTTGTCAAACACGGCACCGAAAGCGTGGGAGATAGAGTAGCCGAGCTCACCACCTTCGTGAATACTTCCAGGGGTCTCGGGGGTTGCGTGACTGCCAATGCCTCCTGGGAACGAGAACTGCTTGAAGAAGCGTTGCAAGCCCTCAGCATCCTGAGACTTGTCAGGGTAGACTTCGGAGTAGACTCCTTCGAGATATGAGTTGGAAATGACGGCGGGAGCACCGTGGCCGGGACCGGAGACGAAGAATGCATCAAGGTCGTACTTCTTGATCAAACGGTTCATGTGAATATAGGTGAAGGATTGGCCAGCATCGGAGCCCCAATGTCCCAGAAGACGAGGCTTGATGTGCTCGGCCTTGAGAGGTTCCTGCAGCAGAGGGTTTTCACGCAGGTAGAGCATACCCAAGCACAAGTACATGCTGGCGTGGAAGTAACGGTTGATCTTGTCGACTTCGTCCTTGCTCAGAGGTTGGTCGGTCACTGTAGCTCTGGCAGTGCCATAGGGCGAGAGGCTCTGTGTCTCGGCCATTGTGAAGGTTGTGTATAAGAAAGAAGAGGGATCGAGAAAAGTTACAGGATGGATGAAACAGCTACTTGTATCTTGAAGCTCCCAACAACTTCACAGCTCCACTTGCTCCTCGGAAGCCAGCGGCTTATGACTGCTTCACGCGTTGTGTTTGTCAACCTTGACCTCGCTTTGACCTCGCTTTTTTGACGTCATCGCCTATCACCCCACGCCAAGCTGTGAGCTCTCGCGAGATCGTCACGCCAAATCGAGCGGAACCTCGTCCGTGCCTTTTGTGTTGCCGAGGGCTCCGAACTATGAATGCACAAGCCTTTGATCATGATTCAAGCCGTTTGCTATGGTTGGAATAACGCGGTTGGTGCAACTGAATTCGAGGCCACTGCGACCTTCTTGGTACAGTGAGTGTCACTAACTCTAGCTGGAGGAAGCAGGAATTTGTCCTGAACTCCATTCTGAAGGATTCTGCCGTTTTCCCGTGGCATGATTTCTACATGTGTCGTTGTGAGCGACTAGTAGTGCATTGGGACGCAACATCCTCGCCGTGTGCCTTTCCAAATGCTTGTCTTCGTCTAGGATCTGCCCTGATCATGCCATGTTTCGAAGAGGCAGTGGAAGCCGAGTATCATATTCGGTGATGCTGCCCTATATCAAGAGCATGCAAGCTGTAGGGCTGTCCCTGGCTTCCCCGTCGACAGTCTGCTTGCTAACGTGCGAGCCGTCCGCTGATCATAGACCCTGCGACCACATGAGGCTTATACGGGTTAATGTCATGGTATACGACGAGCGCTCGTGCCAAATGAACTCGCCAGGTGTCTCGTTGAGATGGTAAGTTGTTTTGTTGGCCGATCATCACGCCATTTGTTTCAAGACTACCAATTGCCGTTCCCAATTTCGCCCGGAGCAACACAGTCAGCGAGCTTATGCGGCATGCTTTGACTGCGGGTGTACTTGATAGTCGACTCTCAATCGAGGTAGATCTCATCTTTGATACGACGCAAGTTGTTTATGAAGCCGTACCCACTGCCTTGGTTGCTGGTACGACTAGCCTCGGAAGGACTATTGTTTCTGTAGTCGACTGTTGCGGGGGAGGCTGTACGTTTCTTCGCGTCTGCTTTGCGAGCGAGAGCCTTTTGCTCATCCTCGATAATCTTCTCAAGACTGTCAATCTGACGAGCTCGAGCCTTCTCTTCAGCAGTGCCTTTCCAAATGATTGCAAGGTCTCTTAGCTCGTCAACTCTCTTGATGGCAGCAGTGATGCCTTCTTCTGCTGAGACGGCACTCTGGAGCAGTTGAGTTATCTCCTCGCGCAGCTTCTGTGCATGTTCCTTTGCCTTCTCTTCACGGTTACGTGTCTCCTCCGGGCCTCCAGCTGAAGGAGCAGATACCGAGATGAACGAAGATGTTACGAGATCAGATGGAGCAATGGGCCAGGCCATGGCCTCGCCAAAGATCTTGATAACGGAATCGAGACGCTGCCGCACCATGACGAGTGTGCGAAGTTTTGAGATGTAGTCCGGTTCGATGGGCTGGGTAGGAGTAGACACAGCGGTTTGTTCGGGGGGAATGTCGTCGGTGTCAAGTTTTCTGGGCTGCTGTAGGGTCTGAGGGGCGAACAAGGCGATGTCGGGCTGAAGGGAAGTGTTCAAAGCATCTGTGAGGCCAGCAGTCTCAGCTCGAAGCATCTCGACCTGGTAGGCGAGCCTGCTGCCACTTCGGAGGATATCATCGGTAAGCTGATTGAGAGTATTTGTGAGTCGTGATGTTTGCGCATTGAGCTGCGAGATGAGGGTTTGGGTCTGGGTAGATAGGTCGGCAAGGGGAATACGGTCTTTGGTGGAATTGGAGAAGGTCAAGGATGGCAAGGTGGAATTGAGGTAATCGGCCGGGTCGAACAGGGATTGGAGGAAGGGCTGGAGAGCTTCGTCCTGAACATGTGTTGATTTCGGTTCGCTCCGTACAGGAGCTTCAGACTGGACTGGCATTGTGTGTGTGTCCCTTGTTTGGGATTTGGTTGTTGCGAAGATGTCATGACAGGCTAAACATTCATGTGAAGCATGGACTTGTTATCGAACGTAGGCGCTTTCTCGTCGAGCACAATCCTTGGCGGAAACTGTGCTATAGATATATCAGTGGGTTGATATGGCATGACCTTCCTTTGGCTCATCGGTTGATGTCTACACATTATGTCTACATCGCTATGCAATCTCGTCGAGCTGGCAGGAGCCCTGGCACGTTGCTGTGAAAAACATGAGTTGAGCATGACAGACGGCGTCTCGATTGACCCGAGTGGACAAAAAGCAAGGACGGATTGCTCCTAGTATGAATCTTCACGCGTGCCTGCCTGTCTGCATGTCTGTGCCTCTTTGCAGCAGGCAGCCATGCAGCAAACGCTGCCTGACGAAAGGCACTCGCTCTCTTCCACCAAACATTTACCGGCCAAGTATCGTCTTTCACCGTGACTCTGCTCGAGAGCTTGCTCGCATGCCCTTCGAACCAACTCCATTTGACTCTTTCCTCTTTCACTCTCTACTAATCACTCCCTTGCCTTTCACTCGCCAACTCGCTGCGTCTTGTCGCAGCCACCGTGATTCTCACTAAGAAGCGCTGTCTTGATCTAACCATCGAGACAACTTCCGCCTTTTTCCTTTCAACTGTCAAGACGTCAACCTTCTTGATCATCTTCCCTTTCACTCTACACACACCCGGCACAGCCCATGCTGTCAACGGTCGCCCATCCTAACCATGCCTCGTAAGCAGTTCAAGGCCGATCTGGACGACGCCATCAAAGGCAAGCATGGCCTCGAGTTCATCTCCGACTGCTGTGTCCTCGAAGACGGCTTTACCTTCGCCTTTGCTCATCCAACCCTCACATCGCCTGTCACCATAACTGCCAGCGTCCCAGAGCAGTCCGACTACCCCACTGCCCACTATTACACTCTCTTCTGCGATGATAATGCTTCCAAGGATATTGCGCACATTGTAGACCGCCTTGGACAGCCCAGCTGCATGACCATCCAGCAGTTCCTCTCACATGTCTCTGATGCGCTCTCTGGCTCTGCTGATATCGAGTCTGAGGCAGAGTCGCTGCAAGACCACGACCCCGACGATGACCTCGACGACGAAGACATCTACGGTGGAGGGTTCGAGACTGCTGCCTCCGCGCCCGCCTTTGCCATGCCTACCAAGACGATTCGCGCAAACTCTTCAAGCCAGTTCCAATCCCGCATCCGCAGCGACCTCAGACTTGCTCATCAAGCCGGCTTCAAGGTCTCTTGCTTTGGTGCTCTTTTCGAGAATGACACCTGTGTCGTCTCGCTGTCTATCTCCGCTCGCAAGCTCGGTATCTCGGAAGAGGCTATGCAGGCCTGGCGCATTGAGTCTTCCGACTATATCATCCTGCTCATTCACTACAAGGAAGGTTACAAGACTAAGGATGATCTGATAAGACTCACGCCGTCTTCTGTCTCCGCACATCTCGAAATGCGTGTGGGTGCTTCCAAGCACTACAAACCGACCCACGATCAAGCCCGCAATGCTTTCAGCGCCAAGGGTTCATCAACAATCCAAGACTGCGGCCCGACACAGTTCCGTGATACTTTCATATCCAAACCCCTTAGGGATCTCTTGTCTGAACGTCTTGTCTGCGTTATTCGCTACAGGGGTGCTGGTATGTCGTGGCAGGGCGCCGAGGACTCATACAGAATGAGACAGGCCGACCCGGAGATAGATGTGGGTGCCATCGCTCAGCATTACCAAGAGGAAGAGACGCCTGGATACCCTGATGTCGTCACAGCAGACCATCTGGGTCATTGTTCGTCCAAGGAACCACATTCGTTCCCCCTCGCCGCTATGCAATTCACGCTACGCCACTTCGTTCGTTGTACCGAGTTCTGTCTCGTCTGCCACAAAAAGCTCGACACGTTAGTTGAAGCACTGAAGCCCTACGTTTGCGACGAACCGCTCTGTCTGTACCAGTACATGACTCTCGGATTTGGCCCATCAATAGAGCATGAGATAATGCATCAAGACAAGGTCGTAGACTTGCTCCTCAGCTTCTGTTACAGCAGTGCCTCCATAGGCAGACTCAAGGACTTTCCAACTGGCCTTGCTTTGAGCGTACCCCAGTCCATCATCTCGCCCGTTCAGGATTATATCAACAAGACGAACGGCATTCAACCTGCACAGCCTTCAGCTTCCACTGTTCCTCGGTCTGTACCACGTCTCCAAGCTCGTTTCGACATAACCAAGTCAGAAATCTTGTTTGATGATGTCGGACCAACCTTTGTCTGCCCTCTCAAGAAAGGCGACTGGGTCGCCCTCGAGCTCCCCGATGAGAGAGGAAGTCCAGTCTTCCATTGCAGAGTACAAGACACACTCGGCCCTTCCGTCAAGACTGGTCCATTGATCAGACAAACCGCAGAACAGGAACAGCAGGAAGTCGGTACTGCCAAATGGTCCACAGTCTTCATCGACAAGTATAACATCAACTTCGACGACTTGTCCGACACTGACAAGCGCGGTACCGTACAGCGTCTGCTGGCCTTGCTTCCATCAGTCCAAAAGATGAAGGCCTACCTATCACAACAGAGCACACCTGACCTGTCTCGATGGGTCGACAAGATCTCGCCAGCCGCCCTATCCGTTCTTCGATGGACTCTGGCCTCTAATCGCTCTTGTATCGTCGAGGTTGAGCCGGAGAGGGCTGTGCACGGCATGAGCGGATACATGCAATTTCGCTTTGCCATGGGTGCCCCTGACAAGGAACACCGTTTTCTAAAGGCTGTCAAGGATACCACGGCTCGGCTCAAATCCAAGTATCCAACCATGTACGCGTGGCATGGTAGCTCTATCCAGAATTGGCACAGTATTATCCGTGAGGGTCTTCACTTCAACGAGACCATGAACGGCCGTGCTTACGGACACGGTGTCTATCACTCTCCACATTACGCTACCTCACTTGGCTACTCCGGTATGCATTACTCGACTGCAGCAGGACCACACATGTGGCCCAGTTCGGACTTGCAAATTTCAGGAGCTATGGCGCTGAACGAAATCGTCAATGCGCCAGACGAGTTTGTCTCCAAGACGCCTCACTACGTGATCAGTCAGCTAGACTGGATCCAGACTCGCTACCTCTTCGTGAAGTGCGGTGCTAGTGGTGATTACGTTCTGCCAACATTCGACCAACTACCAGAGCACAAGCTGGAGCAGGATCCTACCCGCATTCCCATGGGTGAGCGAACGCAAATCGTTATTCCAGCACTCCACCCCAAGGCTGGGAAGCGTAAGCTGCCTAGCACCGCAACACCTAGCCCGCGCAAGATCAAGAAGGTGAAGAAGGACTTGAAGAATAAAATCGCAAGCAAAGTTGTTGACTTGACTGGTGATGACGATGGTGAGGTCGAGTCCTTTTCCAACGACAGTGAGGTCAGCGACAGCTTGAGCGTCACTACTGACGATGAAGACCGTGAGATCTTCGAAGAGCCCAATTCTCAACAAATGCTGGCTATCAGAACAGGCCCGCCGCAAACCGACTTCATTCCAGGTTCTCTGGACCACGATCAGCTCCCCAAGCTACCAATGCCTTCGTATGCCAATACCGCCACGACCAAGAGACTGAATCAGGACCTAAAAGCCCTGATCGACGTTCAGAAGAAAACACCGCTCCATGAGCTTGGCTGGTACATCGACCCTGAGAAAGTCAACAACCTCTACCAATGGATTGTAGAGCTGCACAGCTTCAACATGTTCAACGAGGAGAACCATGTGTTGCCTCTTGTCACCGACATGAAAAAACACAACGTCAAGAGCATCGTCCTCGAGCTTCGCTTCCCTGGCTCCTACCCTAACAACCCTCCCTTCATCAGAGTCATCCGCCCCCGCTTCTTGCCTTTCATGAACGGTGGCGGTGGACACGTCACTTCGGGAGGCGCCATATGTCACGCCCTTCTGACTACAGACGGCTGGCTTTGCACTACTACGATCGAATCTGTTTTGTTGCAGATCCGCATGGCCATGGCCTCAACAGATCCAAAGCCTGCGCGCTTGGAGGTCAGGGGTCAATACACCGCAGGGGACTCCAACTCATATGGTTCTGGAGAAGCTATTGAGGCTTACAAGCGTGCTTGCATGACTCACGGATGGACTGTCCCCGCCGACTTTGACCAGACGGTTGCTGAACAGCCACAGCAGGAGTAGACAGTATACACATACACCTGAATCAGGGAGAGAGAAGAGGGTTCTCTCAGTAGAGGTGTCCGTTTGTTTTCCAAGTTTCTTTTAGATGGCGTTCACATCGGGTATAAGCATCAACAAGCGTTTCAAAAAGGGAGGAATGATTCAAGAAGCTGCAACTGGAGCGTAGCTTATCGTATAGACGAACGCAGACGACACGAAATGATGCCATGATTATTGATGAATATCACTTTCTCGGTGTGTGAATTTCACAGTCTTGTATATTGAAGCACAGTGTTCTTTTAAACACAGAGGTATGCCCACAACTCGAAACAACGTCCCCCAATGTATAACGCTTATTCCCGTATGGTATCATTGATTCTATAGCTAGCTATAGCATGTGATGACAATCCAACTCGAGAAACTGAGTTGTTAGTGTCTTGGCCATGGTCGCTTACAGCGTATCTGATCGGCATAGCCCACAATAATCAGTCGTGACTCCACTTTTACCGCTGACAAGCCAGATATATATAGGAGTCGATAGGTGCCTGAATCCTCGTCTTCTAGGTCCTACTTAACTCACCGAGTTTTCTGATAACAATGGATAAGATGCAGGACATGCTACGATTTGTGGTCGAGCATCATCCGCGTATCTTCAAGATCTCTTATGTTGCTCTGATACTTCCCATCGTCATTCTCTCTAGTATGTTTACATCTTGACTTCTATCAGTCCTGTCGAGGATCGATCATGTTGTGTTGATTTGTCTGACCTCCAACAGTCATCCCTCTTCTATCTCCGATATTCCTCCAACTGCCCAATGCAGATGTCGTCGAGTTCCAGCTCAGAAGATCGCAATCCGTGATTGATATTGGCTACTACAGTTTGTCCACCTTTGACCAACAGCTCGACGTCGATTGCTGACAAGGTATCGTAGGTATCTGCTTGGGCCACTCAGACCGCTGGTTCAAGGACGCTGACGGCGAAACCTACTTCCATGCCTGCATCAGCACTGTTGGTCACCATGCCACTGGCAAAACACTCGCACGGCAATGGGGCAAAGCAGCTGCGGCAGGTCCCAGGATCTACGAGCGCCTGGTCGAAGACTTTGACATGACGATACAGCTGCAGAGAGATGCGATGTACCCTGGCCTTCTTATCGCTGCTGCTGTACTCTGGACCATCAGCATTGCTCTCTTCCACACTGGCTCTTACGTCAAGGGAAACAGGGAGCAATGGGTACTGAGGGCATGCAAGGGATTTGCTGTTATTGCATCTCTGCTGTTTGTTGTTGCTACCACTGCTACGACTGCTGGTGTGTATCCTCTTGTACAATACTTTGATCCTAGCACCGGCTGGGATGCTGATGGACGTATGGGAGCTATTCTGGCGGTGCAGTGGGCTGCTGCTGGTGCTATGGCTGTGCATACTTTGCTTGCTTTTGCTGTTACTGGGGATATGCAAGACAAGTCGGAGGGGTCGATCAGGCTGGATAACTAATCCGAGTCTATGAGATTCGTAGGTTGTGGTTCTCGTTGTCATGATTGGCAGTCTGCAGGTATGGATTGTACAACATGGAATGAGTGTTGATTGGTTGGCACATATGCATGCACTATATATCTATATATCCATATAGTCATCGATGTGTTACCTCGGTCCTTCAATCAACCTCACCGCCTGACTTCTTGTCGAGAAACACGACTCTCAGACCCTATCTCTTACAACGGATCGGACATCCTGTGCCTCGCCATCACTATGAGCTCGATGACCAGCCCCATGTGGGTTTGTAACATTGATAAATGCAACAGACCTGCCGTACGCATATTGGGTGATTGCGTGTCATGCAACCGACATCTCTGCTTTAAAAATTTGCAGAAGCCATTGTCATACTTGTGCTTCCCCTGAGGTGACTATCCTTCCCATCTGCAAAATGTTCTACGAGAGGGATGTACTAAGCACTGGGCCCGTGTTCTGTCCTGCACGACTACTATCAAAGCAGCATTACTCTACTGCTTAGACTCACCCAGCGCGGAGAGATCCACACAGACAGACCAACAGACGTCTTTCTGATATACAGATTCTTATACGACAGAGTGCGGGACCTCTACCCTATCAACCCATACCAAGGCGCTTCTTCTCTGGGAAAAGTGCTACCTCAAGCACGCCGATGACAAAGGTTTCCACGTTCTTGTCGATGAAGACTCCAACATCACTGGTCTGATTGATTGGTAATGGTGCTTCACCGCCCCTGCATCTCTGGCTTTCAACTCGCCAATGCTGCTACTTTCAACGTCCGAATTCTTCAGTGGCGAGACCAAGATTGGCAAAGACGAAGAATTGTTTGCAGAGTGCTTGGAAGCTAAAGGGGCAAAGGATATGGCAAAGTGTGTTAGAGAGGGTGGAGTACATCATTTTCTGTAATCTTGATCTTTGTTTTGCCTTTGAGAATATGTTGGGCTTGTCCAAGGGGTTGAGGAGGAGTTTGGGTGTGGATCAGGAGTAAGGATGGGATGAATGGAAAAAAGGTGGCTCTCGAGCGATACGCCGATGATCACAGGTTGATGGATATTTCTGAACAGGTCGGGAGGATAGAACTGATTCATTTGTTCTTTGCGCGGTGAAAGCCCAAGAAAGAATTTAGGGTAGCGTTCTGGATCGACTAGAAGCCGCATGGGTGGTGTTGAGCGAAGCAACCTCCTGTCTCCAAGAAATTTCGGCGCACTTCTCGAGCCACTTTGCATGCTAGTTGACCACAGAGTCAATAATGTGGATAAAAGGCTTATTAACTTGCGAGCAGGGCGTAGCGGCCTGAGAGCAGGTAGCCTTCTAGCCGACCCCCAACAGTATGTTCACTGAAAATCTCCATGACTCTGCCGGCAGAGCGCGTCACCGCACTCCTTATCTTGCAAGGTGGCATCCATCTGGCATGAGGGAGAACCTTCAGTATATGGCATTGTGTCGTGTAATAGGACCAACTCCGCTGCTCGTGCTGTTACAGATCGAAGCTTCTCCAATGCGGTATGATATTCATCGATACGATGGAACGGGTAATCCATTTATAGAGTGATTCCCTCTTCCTCGGCAGCTCTCGTAATGTATTCTCTGACCTGACAACAAAAGTTTAGCAGAAGATCATTTGCGCCACGAGGGGAACAAGCAGCCAAAACTCACCTTGGCGTCAGGAGCAAGATCCAGCGCCAGAGCACCGGTACTGTCCTTTTTGTCCGTCTCTGCTCCAGCCTTGAGTAACACAACCGCCGCATCACCGTGGCCCTCGGCAATCGCGTGATGCAGTGCCGTACACCCATCTCCGTCGCTCGCATTGACCGGACTCCTGTTCTGCAAAAGCAATTTGATCATGGGTACATTGCCCACGGCAGCTGCTCTGTGCAGAGGCAACTGACCCCTCTTGTCCTTGACCCTTGCTGAAGCTTTGTGCTCGAGTAGGTTCTTTGCGGTATCCAGATTTGACTTGGAGGCTGCGAAGTGCAAGGCTGTGGCGCCTGTGGAGGTTGTGAGGGTGGGGTCGGCGTTTTTGGCGAGAAGAAGGTTGACGAGGGGGTCGGAGGTGGAGGAGTCTTTTAGGGATGAGGCGATCATGAGGGGTGTCCAGCCTGCGCCGTCCTGTTGTTCGTCTTGTCAGAGCTGCTCCTTGCTGGGATATCTTGAACGTGGAAGGACGGGCATACTTGGACGTCGGGATCAAAGTCTTTGCGATCAGCGAGGATGTCGACTATGGGGAGGCGGTTGTAAGATGCAGCCCAGTGGATGGGTAGTCTATCATCGTCGTCGCGTAGTTTGGCGAGCTTGGGATTTGCCTGGGAGAGGAACAAGGCATGTCAGGATCGCGTGAGAATGGGCGGAAGGCGAGCGATTACGATGATTGCGTACATTTAATAGCGATTCGGCGAGGTTGACTGTCGCGGCGTTAGCGATGGTGTAAGCAGAGGATGCGAAGACACGCACTCTGTCCATCACGGCAGGCAGCATGGATGGCGAACTTGTTGGTCTCTCCTTGATCGGTCGCCATGTTGGGTCTTTAGTCGTGTAGGGAGTTCAAAGTCATCAGCACATGAACGCTGGTGACGCTGTCAGAAAGCAAGAAGACCCTCGTGACGATGCGGGGTCTTTTTGTGAAGTGAGTGCTTGTGCGGGTACAGTACAATCAAGGTATGTTCATTAGTCATTATTGGCCATCTACCAGGCGCATTTCACTGCTTCTTCACAGCAGCATTCGCAAACATCTGCTCAACTCTCCCTGTACCCTTCAGAGCCAATCTCACAGCCTCGAACTTTTGTTCAGGTGCTCTCTTTCCATTAGCCACACTCTCCATAACCCACTCCGCCGTGACAAACTTGACATTCTTGCCTCCAATGTTGGCTATTTCCTTCTGCATCTTTGAAGCCGAGAGTCCACCGCCAGCTCCAGGAACACTCGACCCATTTGCTCGACCCAGAATTACGTGACTGACAGAGCGACGTCCAAGGTGAATGCTGAGACGTGCACCATGTGTTACGAGAAGGTGCTTCAACTTGTGGTCCGATATTGTTGGAAATGTGCTGCCATTGATGTAGATGCATGTTTCCGCAAAAACCTGAGGGGGCTTTGGCGTCGTCGCACGTTCTGCATCCTCGTCGTGTCTGGCATCCTGCGCCTGCTCGTCTGGACTCGACTTCTCGCCTAGCAGCTTTTCCTCATAACTTGACACTTGCTCTTCCCGCTCTTGGGACGAGTCCTGTCGTACCGGCTGCGCACTCGGTATATCCAGAAGATCCAGCTCTTGCTCGTGCACCTCATCCGCCAGAACCTTCGCCTTTGCCGTTTCAATCGCGCTATCCTTGACACCTCCTTTCTTGACTCTGAAAGCTTCCACCACACTGATCTGGCCTCTTTCCCTCAGACCAGGTGCACCCTTAGCCCAATCTCCATTTTCCAGTCGACCGTCTTTGCCAAAGTCTTCACTGCCAGCCCCGACGCTATCTGCAACTCGTGCACCGCCCGAAGCACCGCCGCCGAACTGGTTGCTGAGTTTTAGACTGCGCGACTCGCGCCAACTCGTGCTGCCCGCCAGGCTGTTGTCTGCTCTTTGGTGTCCAGTCGATGACGAGTTCCACGGGTCGAAGAATCGGCGTTTTGGCTTTGCGCTCACGGGAGGTGGGAGTTGGTGTGGATTTGACATGTTTGTTCGTCTGGTTATGCGCTTGTTCCGAGGGACTGTCGCAAGACAGACCGAAGAATGCTATGTCATCTGGCGTTCGTGATGGGCTGCTGTGAAGTCAAACACTGGATTGTTTTGGTTGTATGGAATTGTTCGTTCGTTTTGGATGACGCGACGAACGAGACCGCCAAGTCACGTTTCTCATTTCGCTTGCACCTGCTGATCCATCTCGTTCGGATACACTTGCCTCTTTTCCACAGATGTTCAACTTCACATGAGCGGATGCATCCAAGATGAATGTCGACGGTGTGTCTGTATATCTCTACAAGGTTATACATAAACTGGTCTTAACTCTTCATTCGTGATGTCGCTTCCTGATCTAGCTGCTCCAAGCGTGCTACAACTCTCTTCAGAGGCAGAGCTGCTCCTCTGCTGACCACGCTGAGTCCGTCACGAACTTCAACCTTTGCACCATCCTCGCTGTTCCTCAATATCGTATGTGCTGCATTGATTGCTTTGGGCAACAACTTTGCGCCATCAGTATCAGTGTAAAGCCAGCGCAGTACATCTTCAAGTCCCTCCAACCCTGCTGTTTCTCCGCGGCCCAAACGACTAACGGGTGAGATGAGGAACGCCCTTGCGCGAAGATAGGTGCGTTCCGTGTAAGCCACGCTGTTCTGATTGATGGATGAAAGCCCTTGAAGGGGCTCAAATCCGGCCTCGTTATAGTAGGGTTCTCTGACCAAAACGAGGCCGAGGATGCTGACCAATACTTGTAGCACAGTGCTTTGGTTAGGCGTCCATGCCTCGTTTCGCGCCTCGTCACCCTGCCATGTTCCTAGCAGCGACAAGCATATCTTTCCTTCCTCGTATAGGTTGGGATTCACTCGCCCAGACATGCCTGCTCCCTCTGCCGTCCAGCTGTGGAAGAATGCCTTTGGAGGCTCGTACGGGTACTGAGATGGTAGGTGCAGGTCGATCATGAACGGTGCGTATTCGTATGGCGTACCAAGCGGACCGACGAATAAGACTCGGATCAAATCCATCCGGGACTCCCATGTTCGAACGTAAACACCTTCCGGGAGTGCACCAGGCGCACTGAGAATCTTGTGCTCTTTCGACACGCCCTTCATGTGGTGTGCAGACGTCGAGCCACTTTGAAGCAGATAGTGGTGGTCTGAAGGTACCTCTGACTCGAGGATCTCGTAGGCTGCTGGTGCATTCGGTAGCGAGGATAGGCGTAACTCTTCTACAGAGACATTGCTCATCTTCTGATCCGTGACTTTGTCTGTACTATCGACCTGAGCCGGTTGTGTAGCAGGAGTAACGGGCGCTGAAGTTGATATGATGTTCGTAGCTGGCGTGTCGTCTTGCGTTGACATTGCATCCGTATTGTCGTTATCTTCATCCTCCGTACTCCAAGAATCATCCGCGTCGTCGATCGGGATATCTTGTCCATCTTCGAACCAGATATCCTCCTCTGATCCTGAATCCGAGTAGTGACCCATCTCAAAGTCGACGTCATCGACTTCATCGCTAAACTCGTAGTCTTCATTGTCGTCAACATCAGGAGGGTGGTCTTCCACGTCTAGGTTCATGGCTGGGGCTGTGTCTGTGATGTCACACTCGACTTCCTGTACTGGCTCAGCTGCCCCTAACCTGACTGTACACTTTCCGTTCCTGCCAAGATCCACGACTTCACCGAACCAGTTGACACTGTTGGGTGCAATAGAGGGCAAAGGTGGTATTTTGAGCAACAGAACATAGTCTCCTCTGTTGCGATTGACACTCTTTGGTGCCCGTATGTCGTAGAAACTGACTTCTTCGGATTCCTCACCGAGAGTTCCGAGCTTCGTGCTTGGGACTAGCAGATCCAAACTCTTGTCACAGAATGAGAGTGTAGAATCCTTGAACCAAGAGACGTGAGCTACTCGATCCTTGCTATTGACTCGATGAGCGATGCCCACTCGCGCCGGAGTTATGGCCCAAGACGTCATCGCTTCGGGTGGTGGCTCTCTCGTCTCATTCGTGCAGACAACTTCGCCAGCGAAGACTGCATCTTCGTCGTCAATCGAAGGATCTGGGATGATTGAGGTCGTTCGAACTGTTTCTATGGTTGAGTCGTCGCTCCAGAGAACATCGGCTGCCGTTGTGGTACTGGTAATCGTGAAAACATTTAGATCATATCCAAGATTTTGCGTACGGTCGAGCTTCTCAAGTTTGCCATGAGAGTCTGATCCATTGTACTTAGCGCAGGCTCCGGGAAGGTCCCTGAATCTTACACGCAAACCGCCTTGTAACTCGGGATCAGAACGTGCTGCAGTCGAGCCTGATTCTGACGGCATGTTTGAGATGTCGTACAGGCGAACGTCGTCACCCTCCAATTCGTCGGGGCCAAGTACGCCCTCAGGTGCACTACTCCAGATCGGAGTCTCGCTGGCAGCTTCCATTCGAGGGTGCAACCAGTCAACTTGACATTCTTTGGTGCGCACGTCAACCACGACCCCGATAGGCGGAGTGTTTGGAGAGTAGGTTCCGAAGATCCATCTGCCTGTTCTGAGAACGCCCTTCTTCGTCTTGACCAGCGACCCAACAGCAAACCTCTCCTCGGGGTCACCACTCATCGGCTCCAGCTTACCCTCGTCTGCGATACTTACGACGCCATTGTCGGTCAATCGAACAGTGACTTCATCAAAGCAGTCTTTTATGCGGCCAATCCAATTTTTGTAGATGATAATGTCACCTTCGTTGAAGGTCTGCACGAGCTTCAGTTCGGAGGCGGGTACGTCGTAAAGCAGCCCACCATCATTAACCAGTTCGAGAGAGGGCTCCTCTTCCTCAGGCAAAGGCAACCAAGCACACTTCATGATCTTGCGGCTCTTGGTTTCTCTGACGTCGCACATGGAAAGAAGGGTGCACCTCGTCCTCGTGCTGACAACGGTCCCTGATCGGTTTCCTTTGCGCACCAGGTCTCCAGACATGAACGAACGGTCCAAGAGAAGAAGATCGCTGCATGGAACCAACTCGGCCTTGTTTTCGGTTTGCCATTGCATTAGTACGAAGCCCGGGGGTGGTATGCCATCTCTCAAGAACTCCTTGTGCAGTTGGCGCGGCACGGCTTTATGGCGATGAACTTTGCCATATGTGTTTGTCGGATATGGTGTATGGCTCTCAATCTCAGCATGCGTTCTATCAACGTAGCCGACGGCTAACTGGTTGCTGCTGTTGGAGGTGCACACATCATCGACATGGAGTTGAAGGCTCGGTTCTGTGGTTGTCATACCGCAGTCCGAGGGATATGGTTGATAGCGGACTGGTGCGCTTTCTGGTGGCAAATTTCACAGTTTTTCCGGCCAGGAAAACAAAGTTGATGAACCGAGGGGACGAACGTTGTATTGTTCTTGGGTTCTAATTTTTTGACCACGCTTTGTTAGAGAAGGCGAGAGTTTGAGAGCGGCGCGAAGCTTGGACCAAGTTTGGTGGAAGGTACCACCCTGTTCCAGTAAACTATCACCGCTTCGCCATCATGTCGTTACCTTGAGAGCAAGAACTTTTGAAGTTGTCATCAGTTGCATACGAGCTAGGTAAAGTCAGTCTTGGTAGCGACTAGCATGGAGGGGGACTGTGCTGCAATTGCGTGGTAGTTCTCAGAAGTAAGAATTTCCTACCGATCATCTAATCGCGAATTCGCGCGCGACCAATACACACAATATTGGAGACGCACGATACGACAAGATATAGCCATATCCACTGGGACGAAACATGATTTAGGCTCACTTTGGGCGTGTTTCTAGTCGAGAAATCACTATGCATTTTCAAACCGAGGACGCCATTTCTAACCCTTGTGAGATGAGCAAGGACGTTCAAAACCAAGCACGGGGAGAGATTTGGAGTACACAAGTCTGTGAAAGTATATTCTGAGGCAAGGATACAAACTATGATACACGAGTATGGAGTTTGTGTGGAAGATTGGTGTCAATTCGATAGACACAATCATGGTTCGTACCGGCTGTGTGTTCTAGCCGATAAAGCTGCGAGCAGAGAATAGTGGCCAATACTCTTCTATCCTTGGCTCATCACATCTTTGTCATGCTGTCGCGCAGAACTTCCCAGGCATCCTCCCAGGCTTTGTTTGTTGAGACTGATGTACCAGTATCGCGCCTGGCTTGGTCAAGCTCTGCAGCTGCCTTCTGGAAGACCAACTCACGCTCACGTCTCATCTTCTCTAAGTTGGTTTTGTTATCTAGAAGGCTCTGAGTGTCTTGGTCTGGTTTCAGTGTTGGTCCTGGTGAGAAGTGCTGTGCAGAAGGACCCTGGACCGAGACAGGCTCACGATGTGGTGGCGGCGCTGAAAGATGGATGTTCAACCTGTCATGTGGATGTTGAGTGTGATCGTAGTTAATGTATTGAGGGTGGATTGGTGGTGCAGCGTAGGGAAATCTTGAGCCTGCTGACGCGACCACACCGACTGGAACGAAGTCGTTCTGTGGCCGATAGTCTCCAAGCATTGGTACCTCAGCAGCATCATCTATGCCAGGAGGACGTGGATAATTGTACCTTCTTGCCTGGAGGTTGTGCTGCGCTTGAGGATGTGGTGGTTGGTCCCTCATCTGAGGATAGCGTGGGCTTTGGTAGATGCTCTCATTTGGCGATGGCCAACAGGCAGGCTGGAGTGGTGGTCCACGCATCTGGGGTTGCCATCTTGTCACATTGGATTCATTCTGGGTTATATACCTGTCAAATGACCTTGGGTGTGTATGAATGGTTCTAAGACAATCATCAAGCTGAATGTCTCATCAAAGAAGGCAGCCTTGAGTGTATGAGACGGTTCTGTGACCAACAAGAGAAGTCCGGTCTTGACTATACCATTCCGTAGGATCGGTTGCATTCATGCATGATGTAGTTTGAGGATTCGATCAGAAAATCCATTATCCAAGATCAGTAGTCGCCATTGTCGATCAGCTGGACGCTGTACAAGAAGATGCCGCTTGGTACCCATTGGCTCCTCAGGGTTCGATTTCCGTGTAGAAAGTGGAGTATCGCACTGTTTTCGAGATCGCGAGTCGCAAGTACGAAAATTGACAGTTTCTTTGAAAGATAAGTTGGGTTCTTTCACTGCGAACACTTCAAAAGTAACTGCAGCCTTTGTCAAGAACCTAGCATTTTGTTGTGCTATTTCGGGTCGTTTGAGAACAATAATACCACGCTTTAGAAAGTCGAACCCATGGCGACCGAATGTTGCGCGCGCCGAGGATGGTGAACGTGACAGTGTAGAGTCAGATTCGAAGGAAAACAGCAGGGTGCGCCGCACGAGACCAGCACGGTATTGCTACTGAGTCTACAGGAAGTCTATAGCATCCTTGGATGCAGAATTCCGAGATGCCGCGCTGGGCAATTGACAAATCGACGATTCCACGTAAAAGCACACCGGTCGGTCGGCGCAACGGGACTTTCGCAAAGCAGAATACGGCCGGACACTCCAGACGGGAATCGACGGATGCTACAGGAATCATAGAAGACGACCGGCCAGTCTCCCAAGGGAATCGAACAGGACCGCCATCAGTGTGATGGATACCTAGGTGTGCTCAAAGTTGGGTCGGCCTGAAGCGAGAAGAAACATCGAGGTCTGTGTTTCTCCGGATTACCATCATCGACAAGGTCGTTCACAAGTCACAAAGTATTCGACCCCGGAGCATCTGTCACACAAGCAAGCAAGCAAGGCTTCCCAGACGAACAAGGACTCCAAAACTCAACCATTCGAGGATGGCAAGAATTAGAACCCTAGTTATGCAGCTGCACTGGGGCTCGGGCGTGTTTCAACTTGTCCGATCGCACCCTCGAACCATCAGTCAGTTGCCACGGCTTACGCGAAAAGTTGGTCGCTGCTTGCCTGTAAACTGTTAAACATTTTAACACAAAACGGTCCCGCACTCCGTACTCGCATTGTATGGGACGCCTCAAAACGCCACAAGGTGACATTGACAGAAGCCCTACGCTCGTCGGGGTTTTGATTTGGAGCCAACTGTCGACGAAGCAAGCCGTCTCTGCGACCGGATCGAATGATTCTTTGCCGAGCACAGCATTCTCCTTGTTGTCAGATACACGGGGGCGGACTATCTACCGTCTCAGTCCCAACCAGGAGCAGTCTATCCAGGTCTAGAACAGCGCATGCTCCTGCGTGCACGCTAGGCGACAGAGTAATCTTGCCTTGCAAAGCAAACTCCTGTTCTTTCCCACATGCTCACCTTCGACGATCGTTGATTTTTCCATTCATCGCTCCTTCCACTTGTTTCTTTTCTGATCGCAGCAGCCACAAAATAGCGCGTCCAATCCACGCAGCGGCTGCTTGCTTGCTCTATCTCTCCAGCCACGATTGTCGCAACGTCCCTTGCTATTCGATCAAGGCGTCTGAGCTCGGGTTTCAATTTCATGGACACCGCAGCGCGAAATTTGCGCGGCTTCGTTGAGGATGTCCAGTCACCAAGTGCCGGCCTGTTGGATTTCCCCTCACCTGCAAGCGACCTAGAAATCTACACTCCGGGTGTTGGCTCGTTGTCTTTGGCAGCAAACGTGACCTCTAATCCATGGTCGGATTCCGATGTGTGCCTATATTCTGCAACATCTGCAATTCCTGATACTGTAGAGCAGCCGCAACCTTCGTTTTTCACGCCAGCTCACGAGTTCGAACAGCCTGATCTTGGCTTTGACACTCTCGTTGGCGCTCGAGTAGCACCTGCCGCAGCCAGTCCTCTGCCACTTCTCTCCCAAAAAGACCCAAGAGACCTTCGTCTGCCATCCTTCACGCAGCTCGGTATAGCTGCCCCGCACTCCGAAACAGTTCGTCCGTTGCTTGTACGCAACCCTCATCCTCGTCTTGGCGACGACGACTCAGCAGCTCGGTCTCAATTCGACGGCACAGTCTTTGGAGAAAACGCGAGACCCTCGGCTGATCGTCGTGTCGACGATGCTGTGTTTGAACACGTAAACGCACGCCAACCTGAATCTTCACCCGCAGTGCAACCCAGAGCACCCCTTCACGTCCCGGTGCATCACTATGTAACGACGCTTACACCTCCTGACGATACTGGCAGAATAACGTGGGAACCTATCACGCAGTTTGCGACAGAGCCCATGGCTTCTCCTGTGACTGCTAGCGGAGACCTGGCTTCCGGTGCTGAGGCTTCAGCCGCACCGGAATCAGATGGGTCGGCACTTCCAATCATTACACGCTCCACTCCAGTCGAAGAATTGCCGCGCCCATGGCTAAAGGACGCAATAACAATCATGCGTGAGTGGTCTCCATGTTCGCACTTCTAACACCACTAATCTCAGGCTGTGTAGTCCAGAATATTCACTCCGCGTCAAATGCGTATCAAGACCCAATCAAGGTCCTTTCGCACGCACTACCTTGTCCCTCAACAGAAGGCCACGCCTTTCCCACCATAATCAGCTCTCTACACGACGACACTCCGACCTCGCCCACGTGCTGGATCAATGTTTTCCATGCTCTTCCCGTGAGTTCTACCATTGCAGCCCCGGCTCCGTTTTCACTTTTGGTGCTTGAAAGTCTAGCACAGCACATGCGCCTGTTTATTTCGCGGCGCAAATCACTTGTCTGTCTCCCACATACGAATCGCATGCTGACGAACACTGCAGGGTAGATTCAGTTTGGCAGATCTTCCAACCTCACCTCCCAGCACCCCTGGACCTCCCATTGGTGGCGACGATTACTTCACCAGCAAAGTCTTTGACTCGGCTGTACACATACTCGACTACGCCGACAACCTTAAATCTCTCCCACAATCTCCGCGCCCTGTTGTACCACCTTCTTCGGTCGATGTCTCGATAGTCGAACGCTATATCCCACCTACCAACAAGAACGAGTTCGCTGAGATGTTCACCACGAAGGGTCCCTCGCTGCTTGTAGACAGACTGGTCGAGTTGTCACCAGACAATGGCACGCTTATCTTCATATATCCTACCAAGCGCGGAGCGCAAACATTCGTCAACGAGTACCTTGGTCCAATCCTCGACCCAATCCTCAGATCTATGGTCGTTGTCAACGGATTCTCGTCAGACATGGGTCAGCAGCTGGGTAAAATGTCTGCTGTCGACGAACTGCCTGACCATGACATGATGAAGAGAAAGATCATGTCACTCTGCTCCTCGTTGAGCCAGTCAAGCCCCGGTATGGAGCGCTTCCACAAGATTCCCACGAACTTCGAGTTGCTGCTCTCCTCCACAGAGAAAATCACACTGGACCGCAAAATTTGGTCGGAGGACTGGTGGGCCAAGCAGGAGAAGCCACGTATCAGAGAAACCATTTCGCGCTTCTTCCGCAAAGCCAACAGAGCGCAGGAGGACCAGACACCCGTCAGTCTTGTTCACGAGGTTCTTGATGGTGTTGCTCAAAGGTCATACCCGGAAGGACGAGATAAACCATCTGACATCGAAGTCAGCGTGTTTGTCATTTCGAGATCGAGATGCACCAAATGATTCGACGACTTGCACACGAAAGACCGAAGTTCGCGTTTTCTACTTTTCTGCCACGATATCCCTGGGGCATTGCCGGCGAAATGAGCAAAAGGAGGATGAATTCATTGCATTTCTTTGGCGCATTGGAAGAGATGGGAGGTAATTCTTGAGCTTCATGATTATTGAGCGAAGATGGTTAGACGGTGATATCTCTCCAATCAAATATTTGAAACACGCAAGAACGAGCATTGCCAGTAGACATCGACAAATCAGCTAACGGAACGGGCGACTGCAAATGAAGATCTGGACAACGGTACTGCAAGTACTTGTGAGGCTCTTTGATATGTCGATCACCAGACCCAGACAAAAGCACGCAATTGCCCATGGTCAACAAGCATTCTCGGGTCAACTTTCCGATTGGATGCCGCAGGTCTTTTCCGTCTCACGTCTCACACTTCTAACCGCATCCCCGCATGAAAGACAACAACAGATGACGTGATAGGATTTGAAAGCACAATGTTTAGAAATCAAAAGGATACTCTTGCCGCTCACCCGCTGTGAATATATAAAACTCTGGTAGGTCGAGGGTAGAGGTTTCAAAATTACTTTACCTTTCGCAATAGCACATCCCTCATCGCCACCACATATAGATACTTGACTCAAGATGTCTACCATGACAACGACAACCCTTGCAACCACACTGACCTCTCCGCCTACAAAACCACAAGAAATCGAGATACCCAGAGGTCCGGTGACCTCGACTCTGATCTTCTACGCCCCACCTCCAGATGATGCCAAACCCTGGAACTACGTAGAGCAACCACCACCAGGCCTCCCCCAAAGAAACTACACCGAACATCCCTCCGAAGTCTCCATCTCCGACATGCGCGGCCAAGAACCATCCTTTGAACTCGACACCCACGGCTTCACCACCGCCTCTGCTATCCCCAGCAAAGTCACAGACTTCAGCTCCGAGGACCAGATAACCTCAATCTACTATCCAGAAGTCGAGGCTTTGATTCTGAATCAAGTTCCTGGAGCCGAACGCGTCTTCCTCTTTGACCACACGATACGCCGCGCAGATGCAAACGCAAAGCGTCAACCCGTGCACCGCGCCCACGTCGATCAGACGGAAGAAGCAGCAAGGCAACGCGTACACCATCACCTCCCCTCTGAAGCTTCTTCCCTGCTCGCCTCCCGCGTCCGCATAATAAACATCTGGCGCCCTCTCAACGGACCCGTCGTCTCTCTGCCTTTGGCCGTCGCCGATTCGCGCAGTGTTTCTGAGAAAGCGGTTGTGGGCATCGAGCACAGGTATCCCGATCGTGTGGGTGAGACGGCGGGGATTTTGAGTCAAGAGGGACAGAAATGGTGGTATTGGAGTGGGATGACGAATGATGAGAGATTATTTTTGCAGTGCTATGATAGTCATGGCACTCAGGCTAGGACGCCGCATACGGCGTTCAAGGACCCGAGGACGCAGGAGGGTTGGCCGGGAAGGGAGAGTATTGAGGTCAGGGCTTTGGTGTTTGGGTGATGTGGGACAGAATTAATGGATAGGTTAGATCAATGGAAGAAGATATGTCGTCTTGAAGCTTTTGAGTATTTGGATTTTGTTTTTGTCTTTTTTTCTTCAGATATTGTCTTTTATCTGAGAAGGTCTTCTATGCGTGCACTTCCTCCAGCAAGCCAGCAGCAACAGTATTGCCGCCAGACCTCAGCACGATCCTACCAGGCACCTCCAGCGGCACAGCAGTATCCAGCTCAACCGTGACCCTCGCCACACTGCCTGGCTGCACAACCCTCGGTTTCTTCTTCAGCACATTTCCAGTACTCTTATCTAACACACAGACCATACTCGCAATACGACCAGGCACATGCATTCTACCTCTGTGCACATCGACAGTCATAGGCAACACATGCTCAAACGCCAATATTTTTGTCGTGAAGCTTCTAATGTTAGGCACTGGCTTCCTAGCATCGCAAAGTAGATCTGCTATCCTCAAATGTACGGGGTCGATTTCTGTGAGGTGGAGGGTGACGATTTGGCCGGCTACTGCCCAGTCGGCAGGCGCGTTGTCGATTTCGATACCTTTAATTGAACAAGATTCGTTGGCGGGCATGGCGATAAGGCTGTCGCCTACTTGGCAGCTGCCGGCTTCGATGCGACCAGAGATGGACAAAGGGTTCTGAACGCCACCACGGAAGATATCGCTGATAGGTATGCGAAGCGGCGAGGACAAGGCTGCTTTTGTGGGTTCGTGGGCTTCCAGGGCTTGAACTAGAGTCTGAGGGGAGGAGGTTTTCGTGTACCAAGCTGCGGCCTTTTCAGGGGCCGGAGTGACGACGTTTTCGCCCGTCAGGCCAGAGCAGGGGATAAATGCGATGTTTTTCGATTGGAAGCCTGTGGTTGTCAAGAAGGCGGAAATTTGTTGTTGGATTTCTTCGAAACGGTCCTGAGCCCAGTTGATGCTGTCCATTTTGTTGATTGCCACGATGATGCGCTGGACGCCCATACTGCGGACGAGTTGTGCGTGCTCTCGTGTTTGGCCCTTGAGACCAGCTTCGAAGCTGTTGGTACCGGCATCGATGACGAGAACAGCAAAGTCTGCTTGACTGGCACCGGCTATCATGTTAGGAATAAAGTCTCTGTGTCCAGGAGCGTCCAGAATAGTGAATTTTGTCTTTTCCGTCTCGAAGTTGTTCGTAGCAATGTCGACGGTGACACCTCTTTCTCTTTCCTCGGCGGTCGAGTCCATAACCCAGGCCAGAGCAAAAGAAGATTTGCCAATACTTGTTGCCTCTTTCCGGTATTTGTCAAGCGAGCGTTGATCTACAACCTTGAGGTCGTATAGAAGGCGTCCCATGAGCGTACTCTTTCCGTGATCGACATGTCCAATTACAACAAAACTGGCAGCGTTCTTGCGACCGGCCTTTGCATGCTCTGCAAGAACATCTAGGTTTTTGCTCTTGACCCTATGAATGTGTGAGCAACGATAACTCAGGGTTCAGACCAGATGCGCATTAAACTTACTTTTGACTCGTCTGTTGGGGCTCATCCAGAGTGAGAGAAGAAACACCATTGGTGACAGATTTCGTGTCCTTTTGTTGCGAAGCCTGTTTCTTTGCACCCGAGGCTGATGAATGAGTTAGTACACAGTATACGAGTCTACCTTTTCACGACCGCGCCGAACCTTTTGCCTGGGCTTGCATGACAATGTCATCTGGGCTCGGACCTGAGAAGGCATTGGTATTAGCAAGGTTCGCGTCGGGGCCGTAAATGGCAGGCAAGATATTTTGAGAAAGAATAGCGGTGTCTTGGTGAGAAGGACGACGTCTCGAGCTGCCACCACACATGGTGCTGGCGAAAACAGATGGACCTGCGCGCACATGTTCGACAGGCTTCGGCGCTGATTCTGGTGTTTCGGGCTTGGTAGGCTCTGGTGCTGCAGGTCTACGGTCTTCTACTGGAGGTGGCGGAGATGGACTTTTGCGCTTGCGGATAGGCATGGCTTGAGAGACGTTTCCGGGCTTGAAGTTCTCCTGCCCTGCAGGCTGAGCAGATCTTGTTCCAAGACGGTCCATGAGTGAGGCGACACCGGCAGGCTTCTCGGACTGAGCGCCTTCCTGAGCAGCTTTTTGGTCTGCCTCCTTCTTCTTCCTCGCAGCTGCCAGAGCGGCCAGCTTGGATGGCTTGCCGGTACCGCCTAGCAGACGCAGGGGTGATCGAACTTGTTCAGGGAGTATTGTTCCGACTCTTTCTTCGGGCACATTGAACCAAGGTATATCGGCGAATAAGTCGGAAGGATTTGGATGCGATCGGGGCAGTGGACTGGTCGGCACTGTTCCAAGCCCAGTCAGAGGGTGCTCGCTTGTAGTACCAGTAGGGTAGTTGGTCCGAGGCTCATCTCTGGCAAGGTAGTCCAACTCGATCATGTGTGTGGTGGCGCTCTACGTGAAAGAAAGGGTGAGGGAGAGAAGAGAAGATAGTGGACATACCCTTTATTTGTACTGGCTTCTGGGCAGCCTCGGTGGCAGCTTGATCGAACTTGGAGACTTGCTTCTGCTTCTTCTCCTTGGGTTGTGCTTGCTGGGGAGCATTTTGATCTGGCAGGTATGAGCGTTGAACAGCGGAATGGGGGGCTTCGATATTACTCTTCAGATAGGTAACGGATTTGGCGACGTCGTAGTAGTAGTGCCACAGAGCTTCTTGGATGGCGTCGTCGGTCACAAAGTCGCTGGCGTCTCCTAGAGCAGCTCGTACGCTCTCTGTGCCTATGCGCATCTGCTCTTTATCCTCGGGGCTGAGTTCATCCTCTTGACTGGCTGCTGGTGCGGCGGCTCCAGTGTCGGCACCCTCGTAGGCGTATTCGTCCTCGCCCGAGTAGTAGTCGTCGTATTCATCCCCGTCGTAGTCGATCTCCTTTACTCTGCGGTGGGCCATGGTGTTGTCTGAGTGTGAATATCGGTCTGTAACTCTGTCTAAGCGGTAGAATTGCTTGTGCGAAGGGCTGCGCGGTACAACAGAAGTTTGTCGCGATGAACGATGCGTCATGGACCCCCACACGTCATCCGCTCTGACTCTTTTCCCTCCTCCACCTCTCTTTTTTCTTTTGTTCCTGTGGAATAAATATCTCGCTCCAAATCAACTCCGATCCTCAGCGACGCGTTCGGATTTGCGAAACCTTGGCCGATACCGCACGTCTGCCATCTTGCGGTAATAAACTTCTTCTGTTATAGTGTCTGCAATGCGCTATCATGTCGCTCCATATCTCCTCCGGTTCGGAGAAACGCGTCGTCAACTCGACACCCTGGCCCATGTGCATATCATGATTCGCTAGGCTTTGACGGGAATCAAAAAGTATATCTCGAACGGGTCCTGTATATAACAGCCTCTGCCGCTCTCACTTTTCTTGTTGGCCTGCCCTTGTCTCTCCCCAGCCACAATGTATCTGTCGATTCTCTCTTCGGCCCTTGTACTGCTAGGTACAAGTGCTGGCACTCTGGCAAGCACTCATAGTCATTCCAATCAATCTCTCGTTTCAGACATCAATTTCATCTCTCAGCAATGGGGTCAGATCAGTTCCTACTCTGATAACCCTTTCGATGCGTTTGGCGTCAAAGACGTCGGCCTACCTGCTGGTTGTCAGGTCGAGCAAGCCCACACCCTTCAGCGCCATGCTCAGCGCTTCCCTACCAGCTATGTCGACGACGGAATCTTGACAGAGGACTTCGCCCAGAAGGTCGTCGACTTCAGAGCCAATTCTTCCTCGTCCTTCTCTGGCCCCTTGTCTTTCCTCAACTCCTACAAGTACCAGATGAACGAGAGCTATCTTACCAGCATTGGTGCTCGTACTGAGTTTGGCCTGGGTGTCGACTTCTGGAACAGATATGGTCGTATCCTGTACAATGCTTCTGCCGGTCAGGTCAGCTATGACACTAACTTACCCAATGGCACCGCGAGACCTAAGCCAGTTCTTCGTACGACAAGCCAGTCTCGTATTCGTGAGAGTCAGATCAACTGGGCTCTGGGCTTCTTTGGTCCTACCTACGAAACAGTCCCTGTGCCGAAACTGACCAACTACACCTCAGGTGATTTCTTTGACCTTGTGATTATCCCAGAGGGCGGTACCGAGAACAACACTCTGGCTTCCTACGACTCGTGCTTTAACGATTTCCTCACCGGTATTGGCGACCTTGGTGACCAAGATGTCTTTACCTACATCCCAAGATATCTTCAGAGTGCAACCTCTCGCCTTCAGAAATATGTTCCTGCAGACTTCAAGCTGTCGACCAACAACACATATGCCATGCAACTCCTCTGCGCCTACGGTAAGTTCGTTTCCCGGCGGGTTTGTGACGGATCATCTAACGTCCATCAGAGCACGGCTTCCTCGGCATGTCCGACTTCTGCGACTTCTTCACCGCAGACGAATGGTACGGCTTTGAAAGCACTCTCGACATAGCCTACTACTACGACTACGGCTACGGCAATCCCACAGGAAGAGCCCAAGGAATCGGCTATGTCCAAGAACTCCTCGCTCGCCTGACCCACCAATACATCTTTGCTTCCAACAGCTCAGTCAACAGCAGCATCACCAACAACTCCAGAGACTTCCCCTTGGACCGTCCTTTCTATGCCGACTTCTCCCACGACGACATTATTGTTAGCGTCCTCACCGCAATGTCTCTGGACTACTTTCGCGACCCTCCCAGTCTTACAGAGTACCCTCCCAACCCCGATCGCCACTTTGTGCTGTCCAAAATGACACCTTTCGGCGGCCACTTGGTCACCGAAGTCATCGGATGCGCTTCACCCAACCCCACCGCCGTGGCCAAAGACCGCGTACAATACTACCCCGAGCAATACGGCTACTCGCCATCCAACGCCACGCACAAATTCGTGCGCATGCGTTTGAACAGCGGAATCTTGCCCCTGGACACTCTGCGTGGAGGTGCCTGCAAAGGACGTACTGATGGCCTGTGTGCATTGGACAAGTTTGTCGCCAGCCAGAATGCATCGTATGCGTTGAGCAACTACGACTATGCCTGTTTCGGCAACTGGACTGTCGCCAACACTACCAATGGACACGACTACGATGGAACCGTGTATCTTGGTCAGGCAGGCATCCTGGAGAACACGCAGCCTCCTGCTAGCAGTGATTAGAGTGCAGGAGTGGTGACAAGTAGATGAGAGGAGGTGCTCTGCTCGAGTTGTATAGGAATCTAGATATGTAATGTGGATATCAGGATAGAGTTGTAGAGGGTTGACGATGAATAAAAGTTCATTTATGTTTCTGCTTTTATTCGAACCGCGAAGCTTCCGTAGAAGCGATATTCAGATTACATGTGTGCCCATCTATACATCGTGAGCGAATCTTCCTTGGAGCAAACCTTTATAGCACAAGATGCAAACCGCAGAGGTGTGCAACAGTCAGCAGCAGAAACGTACATAAACCACGACACAAATGCATCTATCGGGGAAGTTTCCGTTCCCATCACTTCATATTTCTATCAACAAGCTCCCGATACATCTTCTTGACCTCGACAAGATCACTCTTCAACTCCTCAACCTCCTCTTCCTTTTCCCCAAGCATCTCGAGACAAGCCTCATACCTCTGCTTCACCTGTCCCAACTCTGACTCCAACTCATCAGTCTTGCCGTCCACTTTGCGTTTCGTGTCGACTTCGCGCATCATGCTCACAACTTCATCTCTGGCTTCATCGCGTTGGGCCACCAGTCTCGCGAGCTCGTCTTTGGTGGCTGACTTTTCGGCTTCCAAGCGTTGGATTTTGGACGACATGTGTTGGACTAACTGTACAGAGGGACCGGTGTGGACGGTGGAGGCGCTAATGACATCATTGATGGTATGTTGAGGGCTGGATCTGTTGTCGAAAGCGTCGTCAGCGTCATCGTTGGTTGTGTGGATAGAAGGAGTTTGAGGTGCATTGCCGTTGTTCCCGTTGATGAGTTGAGCAAGAGAGAACATGGAGCCCTGTCTGCTGACGCTTGGAGAGGGGAAATCGGGGGTCATTGGTGTACGTGAGGTCATCAGGCCAGGGGTCAGGGTCGACGGACGTCGCGATGCAGAGCGGTCGATCGAAAGAGTTGGTGTTTGCTCTTGCGAAGGTATGCGTGAAAGTCCGCGCCGTGACTGTACAGACCCATACGCATCTTGCGCAGATTGTTTGCGGAAGTAGCTGGTTGGAGATTGTGTTCGTGAAGCCATGGCTTCGTTGCTGGGGCTGGCGATGCCGAGACCTTGGGAGAGTTGCCTCGCTCTTTCCTCTTCGAGTTTCTGGCTCAGCTCTGTCTCAAAGGACTGCTTTTGACGATCAAGATCCGCCTTCGCTTCGCTCAGCGATGCCTCAGCGGCTTGGAGACGTGATTGCAGTTTCTTCATCTCCGTCGTACTGACTTGTAGCTGCGAAGTCAAGGATTGTGACTCCTCAGTCAATTCTTCGATTTGGTCTTCGAAGCGTTTGGCCTTACTGCTGATGTCACGGGCTTTCTTGCGTACATCGGCTTCACGCTTCGTAGCTTCGTCTCGTTCCTTTTCGACAGCAGCGATGCGACCGTTCAGCGAGGTTTCGATGGTCCGCCAGTTCTCGGCCGCCAGGGAATATTGAGTCTGCAGCGTTTCGATCTGACGGAGCAGTTTGGCTTGTGAGTCTCCTCCTACATCTGAAGATGCTTCCTCGGCACGAACGCGAAGTGCCTCGAGACGACTTTCATAGTTCTATACTTGCACATAAGTATCGTACACACGAGCTGTTCTCCGCCACGGCCGAAACTTACCGAGATCTCGTTGGTAAGCTCTGTCTCGCGGAAACTGGCCTGCTGCTTCTGCTGACGAGCCTCCTCGTTCACTCGCTTGAGCTCTGCGCTCCACACATCCTCTGCCAACTTCTTCTCCAGCTTTGCGTCCTCGAGTTGTTCTTGAACCGCAGATAGCTTCTGAGTATCTGCTTGGGTGATGCTGTTTTCCGCCTTCTCGGCTGACTTTTCAGCCTCAAGCAGTTGACTCCGTAGGACAGCGATAGTTGCTTTATTGCTCGCAAGATCTGATTTGTGATTCTCGAGGTCTTTTTCAATATTTGAGACACGTCTGAGGTATTCAGCGTTCTGTTTTTCAACTTGCTCCGTCCGCCTCAGCTGTTGCTTGATACCAGATTCGGAATCTTCCAATCGAGCAAGACGCTTTCGGAGCTCAGCCATGGCCTTTTCGTCCTGCTGTGTTTGTGCGCGCATTTTCTGGATAGCGGTGCCTCGCTCCTTGATAGCATTTCTTTGACGCCATTCAGTCTTGCTCAACTCAATACCTTCTCGTCTAAGAGTTGCAATGAGGTCATCCTTCTCCGCGAGCTTGCGCTCATGCGGTGTCAGTTGTGAACTTGACATGGCCTCTTGCGCAGCAGCAGCCGTCTCCTTGGCAAAATAACCGAGTTTGGCTTCGAGCTTGTCGATATATTCTTCGAGCCTCTGTTTTTCACTTTGTTCGTCCTCTTGATGCACTTCCGTATGCTCAGCATCTGGAATAGATGCATCTTCCGCAACCGTGACTTCATGCTTCTCTGCAGAATTTTGAGCGGGTGCTTCTGAAGGCTTCTGAATCGTCATCTCTGACCCCGCTTCAGCATCAGCCTCAATCTTGGGCCTGGTCTGGCTGTCACTAGATATACGAGCGGGATTGATCGGTAGCCCGGAAGTCAATAGAGTGGGAGTAATTTCAGTAATGACAAGATCGGGAGCGGAATCCGAGGCCAGAGAGTCAGGAACAGGTCCCGCAGTCGTGTAGTCGGCCGGACCCGAGCCATTGGGCACTATGTCAAGGGCACCGGGTATCGACGTGGTATCATCTTTTGGTTCCGTCTGCGGTCGTTGTATGTCGATCGACTGTCGTGAACCCATGCTGGACCTTGGACTGGCGGGCTGATTCAGGGGAGTGGTGGAGCGAGAGGGATTCCGATTGGCAGCAGCCTTGGCCAATTTTGCCTGCAAGCGGTCGTTGACACGAGAGCGAGAAGGACTACGTGAGGTATCTGAGGGAGCGCTAGGGACGACCAGAGCAGTAGGGTCTTCGGCTGGTGGCTTGTCGTTGGCGGCAGCTTCATCCTGAGCTCTGCTACGAGCAGACGCATCGTCAGTGTCGGCTAGAATTGTATCCAGTCCTTGTTCGACGACGGCAAGTAGCGAGCCCCATCGTGATGCTTTGGGTTTGTTCGGTGGCTGCGATGCCATTGCGGCATAGTAGTTGTGAGCACTGTCACTGTCACGGAAACATTGATGGTCCGCCGTGAGCCATTGCCGTGCACCGACGACCAAGGGACGCGGCGGCCGCTCGGGGGTGAACCTTGGCAGAACGCGACGTAGCCACAGTCGCTCTCGTTCCTGCACTTTTTTAACAGTCGCCCGATTGCGCTTCCCTTATCGAGTAACTGATGACTATTGCATCTCTTTCTCGTTAGCAGATGGGTTCCTGGCGTCGATCGATCGTGCCCCTGGAGGCCCTGCATATCTTTCCTCCGTAACCCTTGCTCTTTCCTCCTGTTCATTCTTCTCAATCTTGCCCCTCTGACCCCTCTACGTAATTCAGAATCACTAGCAAGAACAGCACATAATACCGCAAACATGGTCAAAGCAGTCAGTCTCATTCTCCCTGACGGCAACCAGACAGTGGACTGACCCGATTCCCAGGCAATTGGTCAAATATGCTCCACCTCAGACTTGTCGCACAACCTCGAGCAGTGCAAGACTCTCGTCAAAAAGGCCGTTGCTGAAGGTGCAAAGGTCTGTCATTTTGATCGGTTTCAACATTACAGTCAACTGACTGAGCATGCCACCAAAGGTTCTCTTCCTTCCCGAAGCTGCTGATTACATTGGAGGATCGCCTGATGAATCTTACAACCTTTGCAAGTCTGTCACCGACTCGCCCTTTGTTCTCGGTCTCCAAGAGGAGGCCAAGAAGAACAATCTCTGCATCAATGTTGGCATCCACGAGCCTTCGGAAGCACCCAAGAAGATCAAGAACACTCTGATCTGGATTGACGAAAACGGAGACATTACCCACCGCTACCAGAAGCTTCACATGTTCGATATGGAATTGGACGATGGTCCTAACATGAAGGAGAGTGACACTGTTGAACCTGGCAACAGTATCCTCGCACCCTTCGACTCGCCCGTCGGCAGAGTGGGTCAATGCATCTGCTTCGATCTACGATTCCCCGAAATTGCTCTTGCTCTGAAACGTCAAAAGATCGATGTACTCTGCTACCCGTCAGCTTTCGCCCCTGATACCGGCAAGTACCACTGGCACGCACTCCTGAAGGCTCGCGCTATTGAGACGCAATCATACGTCTTCGCCCCAGCTCAAGTTGGCCCTCACAACAAGAAGCGATCAAGTTTCGGTCACTCTTTGATCGTTGATCCCTGGGGTAGAATCCTCGCCGAGCTGGGCAGTGAAGAAGACTTCAACGAGAAGGGCGACTCATGGGAGCCCGAACTTGCTACTGCCGAAATTGATCATGATCAATTAGCGAAGATCAAGAAGGGTGTACCTCTTCACAGGAGAATGTAAGTGTAATGATGTTCAACATCCTTCCAGTATCTTACTGACTATTTTGAGCGATGTTTACGCCGAAGTGTAAACGCCTAAATAGACACCAAAATATTCAGAAACGAATTATGCCTCGCCATGCCCATCTTTCGAAACTTAGGTCTCTGATATCTCACTCCTCTCGGACGAGGATAACTATTCATGGGTCCTATGTGTCACTCGAACAGCCGCCAATTCCCCTCGCTTGCTGACAATCCAGTCATACATATAGTTGTCTCACCTTGTGATCAGCGACGAGACTGGAACCGCTGGGTGATCTCATGGCTCTTAAGCACTACCAACCAAAAACTCCTCGAAATTCGATATTGTAAGCCGTCCAGCGCTTGGAATTTTGGATTATGCTGAATTTGGTCGCTTGCATAACCACTGTCGTGCATCTTTTTACCGCACAGTTCTACTCATATCACTCGTGACTCGTGACAAGTAGACGAATCGCGTTATCGTTAAGCGAGCCAGCGTCTATGCTTCACAAATCTCGACGAATCAGCAAAGGGTGTCGAGCAAGCCTTCCGAAGTTGTTCGCGTGCGATGTTCCAGCGCTTTGAAGCAGCTCTCACCAGGCTACTACCCCATCATGCAAATGCTCGGCGCCTAACACTCGTTGGTGCCTAACGACTATAATATACATGTACCTATCCCGGCTCCTGTCAGATGGTTAGTCAATTCTTCACTCGATTTTACGATGTCATCCCAGATCCAAATTTCGTTTCAAAATCAGTCATCTGCCTACCCCTAAGTCGCTCATTGGATCAGTTCTGTCTGCAACACAAGCCCCTACTTCTTCAACTCCCAAAGAGTACAGCTATGAAGCATATAACATCGGCATAATCTGCACTCCACCAGAAGAGCTGGTAGCTGTTGTGGGAATGCTGGACGAAAAGCACCCCCCAGCTTGTGCAGAAAGAAGGCGATGACAACTTCTACCATTTTGGCTGAATCGGTGATCACAATATAGTCATTGGGTGTCTACCTGATGGCAGACCTGGTCTTGTTTCAGCTACCACCATTGCCTTGCAAATGAGACCCAGTTTTCCTTCCACTCGTTTGGTGGCGTACCAATCAAAAAGCACGATATTCGTCTTGGAGATGTTGTTGTGAGCCAACCGGCTGGAAATCGTGGAGGTGTCATTCAGTACGACTCTGGAAAGGCCCAGGCCGAAGGGACCTTCGAGATAATTGAATTACTATCTCCACCACCAAACAGACTTCTCAATCTCCTTTCCGGTGTCCGAGCTGCTCAAATGATGAACAGGCTCAAGATAGACGTTCATCTGTTGCGGTTGACTGAGCAATTTCCGGCGTACGAACTACCATCGAAGCTCTCTGACGATTTGTATGCACCAGACTTTTTGCGCTTGGGCGAAGAAGACTGTCTCGATTGTGGTTCAGCGCATTCGCTGCAACGTGAGGCAAGACACGGTGAACTGCCTGTTGTCCAATACGGCACCATCGCTTCTGGCAACATGGTCATGAGAGATGGCATCGGGAGAGACAAGATCAATCAGAAGCTAGGTGGACTGCTCTGCTTCGAGATGGAGGCCGCTGCTTTGATGAACAACTTCCCTTGCCTTGTCATCCGCGGCTCCTCAGACTATGCCGATTCGCACAAAATCGACGGCTGTAAACTGTATGCAGCAGCCACCGCGGCCGCATTCTCTAAGGAACTTCTCGTTCGTCTCGCCCCGACAAGTGTCTCGCAGATACAGACCATCAATCAGGCCATGGACGGTACGTCCTCACAGCCAGTCGAGACCACCAATACTGTTCGACAAACAGATCGAAGACTTGATTGTACGTCACACTGACTTCACAGTATGCCAGTACTGACATGCTCCAGGAGGCACCAACGAGCGAGAGATTCTCGAGTGGCTGTCACCGCCGGTCAGCCAGTCAAATATTCAAGATGAGACTCGTGATTCCCGATTGGAGGACACGGGCGGGTGGTTGCTTCGAGATTCTAGGTATCCCGATCGGTGTTGTTCCAGTGGTTTGAACCTGGGTCCGTGGCGTTGGTGAGCAGATTCCAGTGTCTATTCGCAAAGGTGACACTCCCCAAGTGAGTCTGAAAAAGGTTCTTTTCTCCATTGCTCACTCGTGCTGAAAAATGAGTTTCCGGGAACTTTGCAGCGTGTCTCGGCCAAATGTCACGCAAAGGAGAGCTTCGGTCTGCCACAAAACATTTTTTTTGTTTCCGTCGAATCCCATATGACACAGCAAATTATGAAATCGCGAGAGAAGTCGTGGAAAACAATCACCGTAGCGTGTCTCATATGACTCTTTGATCGTTGCTCGCTGCCGCTGGAAGAAACTTGAGGGGTCTTTACAGCTTTTCACATCAATTACTTGGACACGACATCTTTGGGACAAGGAGCAAGAACTCCAGGACCTGGCGCGAGTGACATCAGCTATCTACAGGTGTTACGTATGGTTATGTATACTCCCGACAAGAGACCCAGCGACTACTTCGACGAGACATGATATACCGACTAATTGCTTCGACACAAGAGCTATTGATTGAACAAGTCAGTACAGGCTGCAACCCCAGTACCTGCATCTTGCTCCTTGGTCACGAGTAACAAGACATCGACTTGATTGAGATGCTCTTCCATGGGTATTGATTGCAGTCAAATGCTCTCGCTTCACTGGCTCATACTACCACTCCAGTGCGGGGGCTTCAACTGGTGGTCTTGTTCGCCTCAAATACCATCCTACCATCGGACAATCAGACATATCCTGGATTGGCAGTGTTCGCATCCACGATGCATCTCAGTCAGGGAGAAGCTCATCGCACTGATCGAGGATGGTAGAAAGGCCTCCTGTCTATTGTCACAAAGGTTCCGTGAGATCAATTTACAGTCTGCGCGCGAAGATCTTAGCATATTGATTGCTTCAAAGTTTTCCTTGTATACATGGAGAAATCGAAACGAGTCTGACGTGTACCCTGGGTAGTCGTCCTATGTTCCGATGGACGTGATTGTGCGGCAAAGTCAATTCGAGGGTCTTTTCGTCATGCGATCGTAGAATCTGGGTCGGAAAGGTGGTTGCAACAGTTTGGTTCTAGGATCCGCGGGAAGAAGTATTATGGTATTGGAGGAAGTAGAACGATTGATATTTCAGTCAGTGAAGCAGCAACGAGTGGCTCTTGGGAAAACAAACACCAGTGCGTTCCAAGTGGGAAGACCGATGGCTCTATGTTGGGGGTGCTTGGATCTGCGGCGTTGCAGTATCAAACATGTCTTTCGTTGTTTGTGTAGACGATCGAGATGCGAGCTGAATGAAATTTCAGGGTATGCCAATTTGATTTTCTTCTAGAAAGCTACAATACATGAATTGCTGTGTTTTCGTGATATAGGAGTCGTGAAGCACAATACCAATCCTACTCCAGATCCTCGATTGAACGATGGGACGGGCAGTGTGAGCGTGGGGTAACAGAGAGAACAGCCGGTCCGGCGAAACCTCCAAAAGGCCGATCCGGGCCACTCCAGAATGAAAAGACGAAAAACTTGAGATGGTAATAAAAACTCGCTAATGACATGAAGGTGGAAACATCAAGAATTTTTGTGAAGCAGAAAAGACATTTAGGCGGTGGCCGAGACGGTCTCTACCTCGACTCTGGGAAGAGGTGCGGAGGTGCCGCCGAGGTCGGTCTTTCTTGCGTTGGGGTTCTTGGTGTAGTAGTTTGAGATGGCGGACTTGATGGCATCCTCAGCGAGCATGGAGCAGTGAACTATTATAATGCAATCAGTATGCGTCGTCTTTTTCTCTGTATCTCCGCGGGAAATGTGTCAACTCACGCTTGACAGGGGGCAGGCACAGCTCCTTTGCAATCTCGGTGTTCTTGATGCGACCAGCCTGCTCAAGGGTCATGCCCTTGACGAGCTCGGTCAGGTAACTGCTGCTGGCGATGGCGGAACCGCAGCCGAAAGTCTTGAACTTGACCTCGCTGATGGTGTTGTCGTTGGGGTCAACGCGGATCTGAAGCTTCATGACATCGCCGCAAGCGGGAGCGCCGACGAGACCGGTACCGACGTCGGTGTCGTTCTTCTGCATGCTACCGACATTTCTGGGCTTGCTGTAGTGGTCGAGCAGTGCTGCGCATGTTAGCTGAGCGTTCGTGAATGATCAGATCCACAGCTGCCATTGCGTCGATGACCGAGAATTTGCCATCGACAGAGTGACAGCTATGGAAGGTGGGTGAACGTATCTTTCTCGTGGTAGCTTCTTCTTGCGTTGTTGAGAGCGGGAGCGGCGGCGCGGAACGAGGGAGCGATTGAAGGTCTGACGGCGGCAGCCATGGCTCTGCTGGCCTGGGCGGGGACTTTGGAGGCGACTCTTCTGAACATGGTGATCGATTTGGTTGTTTGTATGTGGTGTGTGATAGGTGACAGGATCGTAGGTGGGTCGAGTGGTTGGTGTCGGGGAAAGCGATGATTTGTACAAAGCTGAAAGAGAGGCGACCACTTTATGACGCTAATCTGATCCTCGGTGAACGAGCCGCGAGTTCGGACCCGACACTTTTCGACGGCAGCCAGGGCCTGTCGCCGTTCTCTAAGCCCTTTATCTTCCCGCATTTCTTCTCGCTTTTAGGACAGATCTTCCTACAGCCCGCAACGCCACGGGAGTACAACCAATGATGCTCATGCTGACTGTTCGTTATCTTGCATCTCGGAGTGTCCGAGCTTCGGACTCTACAACTACACTTCATGCTTGCTATTTCTTTCTCAGAGTCTTTCAGAACTTGAACTATCCAGGTGCAGAAGCACGATGGACATCTGTCCAGCTGATCATCATACGAAAGCTATGAATGAGAAAATCGTTGCAGTTAAGCATCTACATATCATGTCACTTCGGACGCACGTGGACATATAGTTTATCGTTGGATAACAATAACATTTTTTATTATATCAATAAAGATCCCCATCCAGATCTCCTCGAATACCAATTGTTGACAAGAAAGAAAAGCGAGCTTGAAATCTAAAGCAAGCCGCTCATGTAAGCATCAGTGTAGACACCAACACCCCAAGCAAACTGTTCATCAGAAATGATAGCGCCGCCCAAGTTGCGAATAGCCATAGAACCAAACAAAGCATCGTCAGCCGGTCTTCTTCCTTGACTCAACTCGCCGACAACCATTTCATCAACCTCTTGGACCCATTCGACCATCTGATCAGGAATAGGCATATCTTGAGCTCTGCGGAGAGAAGGAATCATCTGCTCACAAACGGCCTGAGTAAATGTAACAGCAGGCTCGCCCAAAGTCAAGAATCTAGTTTTGCGAATGTTTCTAAAGAATGTGGTGGTTTCGAGGATTTCAGTGAGGAGAGTAATGTTGTTGAGTTGGGCGAATCGATCGGCGGTAGAGGGGCGGATTGCAAATTCAGGGAGGTTTGAGGAGGCGTGGTCGGTGGGATTGAGGATTTCCTGGAGGTGAACATCAGCCCATTGATCGGCGCATGGGGTCCAAGCCATTTCGTCGCTCAAGTTGTAGTTGCGAGTAGAGGACCAGATGAAGTACGTACGTTCACTGATCTGCTGAAGGAAGGATTCGGGGGCCCAAAGGGAAGCTCTGCCATTTCTCACCCAGTCGGCGTAAGCGTCGAGGGCGAATTGGTAGAACTCAGGGTTTGTGGTGAGGGCAAAGTCAAGGACCTTTTGAATGAGCTCTTCGGCATCGTCGTAAACTCCGAAGTAGACTCTGTTGCCAGAAGCTCTGTCGGTGAGATGGAGAGCAAAAGAGATGTACTCGCAGCACTCGTGCATGTCATTTTGTTCGGCTCCATCTTCTTCGGTTTGGAATACAGTTCTCGGAGAAGGTGTCCAAGGGGTGAGCATATTGTGGTCGGTGAATTCGGCGAGAAGTTCGCGTGGAGTGGCCATCATTGTGGAGGATAGCTGGTTTGTTGGTCTCCGTGAGTGTATACAGTTAGGTAACTCAAGTGGTGATTTGTGTGGTGTTGGGTGTATAGGTAGTCCTGAAAGTAGGTTGTATACGATTTGGAAGTTCAACGAAGGTCGAGTGCTACTTGTGTGGACACAAAGAGACGTGTGTTGGGTTCTCACGCGGACAATGAACCGTATTGAGGAGTTGTCAAAGATTTGTCTCATGCTTTGGTAGACAAAGCTGGGAGACAATGACCTTGTTTTGCTGCTGAAAGAAAGGTTTGGTTAGTGGAGTTCGCCATCTCACGATCTCGGCGCCAGGATCGTATCGTACAGTTAACAGGAAACGATCCGCTGGGTAGCGAGCCTCGATCGTGTTCGTATGGCCTCGCGTGCCCAGGTGCTAAGACCCCGGATCCCTGGGTGGAAGCTCACTTACTGGCTCGTGGGAACAACCCCGGTATAACAGTTAGCAAAACTGCCCTCTCATTGTCGAACTGGTGGGATGGGGCAGCGGTCAAGCAGTGTTCCTTCCGCTTAGCTAGGCCGGAGCCCACTGGTTCGATCCTCGGCAAGGCCGATTTTTAATGCCATGAGGGGTCCCAGTAATCCTGGCACGACAAAAACAAGGAAGAAAGCCTCGTGAGTTTTCTCTTGACCAATCTAGCAACACGGCGGCTAGGGGGTTTCTGTTTTGTTAGTCCATGCTGTGTTTTGTTTTTGCTGGACTTTCGATAGATCAGATAGCTCTATCGTAATTGTCGTTGATGCGCAAAGCCGACGAATTGACTACTGCTCGAGGACAATTGGCCACTCACCAGTCCTCATCACAAGCCAACAGCTCGCGGAGGTAAAAGCGCCAGCATTGAAACAGTTCGATCCTGGTCAACGCCATAACTCTCAGGGGTTCCAGCAATCCACGAACGACCGAGGAAGCAAAGTAGCACACTTTCTTTTTCCCTCCTAGCGGTATGGCAGCTGGGAGGGTTTCTGTTTGCTCAAAGTCTTGGAGAAAATGTATCGTCCAGCTACCTTGACAGTCTGCTCTTTGCTTGGTAACTAGGAATTTTCATATTGCCACTCTCTGCAGATGGCGAGGCATAAGGCAAGAATCGCTCGTGGAGGTACATGACGAACTGGCCACAACAACTATTTCTGGCACCGTTCTCACCATCTGCCAATCTTCTTCTGAACACATGCCGTCTCCGCAGCAAATCTTGCTATTTGCAATAGTCTGGAAAACGGACCGAGTGAAAGACTATCGCTGAAAGAACGAAAGTAAAGCTTACATTATGTCACTAATGAGCGTATGGCTTATCAGAACAGAGGGAAGTTATTCGACATAGAGGACATTTAGGCATCAACAGAAACAGCCTCGATCAAGGTCTCGTTAAAAGCGTCGAAGGATAATAATCAAGTTGTGCCAAGAATAACTCCGTTGTTGCTTTGAACATGATAGATGCCACTGCTTAGTTCATCCCCTGGTGGTTGTGAGGTTCTCTCGTCCTAAATCACCTTGTCTGAGGTTCTCTTGTCCGAGGTATGTGTGTAGACTTGTCCATCGTAATCGTATACAACCCTCAAGGTTTCTCTTTGCATGCAATCCAAATTCGTCGTATCGGCCTTCGTCAGGGCTATGTCGATGTTTTCAAAGTCCATAGAGCGAATTTCCTGGATTTTCCGATGCATCAACAAGACTCCATCGCGTAGCATGATCAGCCAACAAGCTCACGTCTGCTGCAGCTTGAAATAGATCCAGGAGCGTTCGACAGAAACTGGTGATGGTGATGGTGATGGTGGTGACAAGTCACGTTGATCTGCAAGACGTAGATTACCCCGCCTCTCCCCATGAACGAATCGGGCAACTATCGCGAAACGAAACCGACAGGCCGACAGCCGAACCTACCTCCTCAAACTTGCTCGAGGTCAGCAGGGATACAAAAGAAGCTACTTGCTCTCTTTCGTTTACCTTGATACTCACCACGTCTCATACCAATACTTACACAATAAATGGCACCCCACGCAGATTCAGACAAACCCGATGTCGTAGCTCCAAACGAGCCGGGATTAGATGAGCCCTCCGCAGCCCTGCAAGTTGGCAAATTCCCCAAAGTGAGCCTCTACATGTCGGTAGATTGCTTGATATGCTGACGCTTAAACGAGCCACCAAAATTCGCTGACAAGTACGAAGAACGTGAATATCTCAAGGGTCGTCTTGCCGCAGCTTTCAGGATCTTTGGAAAGTTTGGCTTCGATGAGGGAGTGGCTGGTCACATCACTCTTCGCGATCCTGTGGATCCAGAGACCTTTTGGGTCAACCCATTCGGGTAAGCAAATATCATCATCTTGTCGTTGCAGTTCACCCTGCTAACGCAACTCGCCGGTCAATAGAGTTGCATTCTCGCTGATCAACAAGTCTGACCTGATCCACGTCAACGAAGAAGGCGATATCATCGGGGGTGGCGAGACCAGGCTTCTCAACACAGCAGCATTCATGATTCACAGCGCCATCCACAAAGCAAGGCCTGATGTTATGGCTGCTGCACACAGCCACAGTATCTATGGCAGATCCTTCTGCACGTTGGGCAGGACGCTGGACACTATTACACAGGACGCATGCTCATTCCATGGAGATCACGTCCTGTATGAGTCGTTCAACGGCATTGTTCTTGCAGCTGAGGAAGGTGAGAACATTGCCAAATGCCTCGGCAACAAGAAGGCGGCGTTGCTGCAGAACCACGGCCTGTTGACAGTCGGCAAGACGGTGGAAGAGACGGTTTTCTGGTTTGTGTCTCTCGAGAAGTGTTGTCAGGCACAGCTGCTAGCAGACGCGGCAGCAGGAGGTCGAGGAGGTGAGACCAAGAAGATCGACGAAGAGGATGCGGTGTACACGTTCAAGGCGATTGGGTCTCCTATGGCAGGATACTTCAGTGCCAAGCCGCTTTTCGATGTGATCCACAAGGAGACAGGAGGTGACTATCTTCAGTGAGGTAGGGGTTCATGTATGTTTCGGACAGCCAAGCACAAGACATCGTTGTATCAAATTTCGGGTGCTTCACTCAGCCGGCGTGCACGCAAGTGACCAGGGATGGTTGCTATCAGCCGAAGCGGTTACCCGGGTGGTTTCTGGGCCGAAGAGCCGTAGGAATTGACAATTGAAACCGAAGTCGTGAGACCGGCGGAGCATTTCAACGCGAGCTAAGCAGCCGGTACGTAAGGAGTTTCGCGTCTCAGATGATTGGTCTTTGGTTGAGAGGGATTTTCAAAAGGCGCGAAGCGGGAAATAGGAGGGCGAAGTGACTTGACGTGCAGCTGCTGCAAAGAGAGCTGACGGCATGGCAAGGCTAGACAATGTCATATGCCGATGATTGAAACAAGCAGTCGTAGGTCTCAAGTAGCAAGCAGATACATTCATAGGGTCGAAACTTTCAGGAATGAACTTTGTAGTGATATTTCAGGCGAGTTTCTCACGGTGGCTATCCCCGGCGGAGATTGGTCGCAGGGGAATTGTGACGACGTTTGTGGGGCAAGAGCGCGGCGGGCAGGTGCAGTCGGATGGACAGGGCATGTTTCGCTTGTGTCAGTTGCCGATTGCTTGTCAACGAGGGAAAGTCTAGCGCCTTGATGTTCTGTTTCGCTCGAGCTATACCACTTCCTCCACTCGTCCTTGTTCGACATCTGTTGTGATCAGAACTTCGACATCGACGACATCATCACACCGCAGCTTGACAGCCAACACCGTCATTGTAGCTGCTACTTAGGCCATCCAAGACGCTCTCCCACGCACTCCAGCCACGAGAGCAAACAGTGGATGCAGTAGCTAGGTGGCTATCAAACATCACCCGGTTGCTCTCTCGCTCGAACCATGGCAAAGGCACCAGCAGTCGTGATAGTCGTCAGGTAGGCCCGATTCCCTCCATCATGTTTCAGGCTTATGTCGGAGACATTTCAGATGACTGATTGCCGTCCCACAGACATGGTGCTCGACTAGACGCTGCCGACCAATCATGGCATCTAACATCGCCCACTCCTTATGATCCTCCGCTCACCTATGGCGGTTGGATCCAGTCGAGAGCACTTGGTTTGCGCATTGCCAGTCTCCTCCACGAACGGGAGAGGGGCTCCGCCTCGTCAGGCACCTCGTCCCCAGCTGCTCCGCCTACAGATCCTGGCCTCGGCATCAAGGACTTTGCCTTTTCTGAAGCCAATATACCAGCCAGGTCAGCTTCCACATCACGCACGAAGCGCAGAAAGCACAAAGTCGTCATCCATTCGTCGCCCTTCCAGAGATGCGTCCAGACGGGTATTGGCATTAGCGCCGGCCTCACTCAATACCAGGGCTTGCCAGCCAACGCCCGAAAGAGTAGCGATGCCCGCCTCAAGACACTGAGCCAGCTCCGTGGCTCCCCTAGCCTGCGACCTCGGGACGCCTCGGCCTCTCCCCAGCTACGTCCTGTGCCTGAGCATGAATCCGAGTCGCGAGACTATTTGCGAAGCTCGCTCAAAGAGAAGGACTCGACACCACATAGCCGTGCCACTCTTCGTGTGGATGCCTTTCTGGGCGAATGGTTGTCACCCGATTACTTTGAGATGATCACGCCGCCTCCAGAGAGCACCTTGATGGTCACGGCTGCGAAGGCCGAGCTTCTTCGTCAGGCCGATAAGATCGAGACCTATACGCCATCATCTCCAGCCGTGTCAGGAGGCAACCTCTGGGGAACGCCTCAGACTGGTCGTCAGCACTCGAGCTCGGTCAGCAATGTGCCTTCTCCTTTGTCGCACGAGACCAATGGTCCTCTCGAAAACTGGCAGGTCTTCTCACGCGATATGCCCTCGAGAGATCGCACAAACAGCCTAGGGACCAACAAGCAACCTGAGCACTTCAGACCCGCTGATCCATCCAATCTGTCCCACAAGCACGACGACTCGTCTGGCTACAGCCCGCCTACCCCAACCTATGCCATCTCCCCTGGCGATCCTATCCCCCGCGGCTATGTTGCCCACGCTCGTGATCAGTGTGCCAAGGTTGACTACAAGTGGGACAGCATGCGCGAACCACAATCTTGGGGCGACGGTGGTCGTTTTGGCGAGGAATGGAGTCAGATGCACAAGAGATTCCGTCATGGCATATCTAGTATGGTTGACTGGTATGCCACAACTCGGTCCGAGTCGAAACAGCCTACCCACACCCATCACGAAGTTGTACCCGAAGATGATGACGACGAAGAACTTGTCGTAGTGTTGGTCACGCATGGAGCCGGCTGCAATGCTTTGATTGGCGCCCTCACTAACCAACCTGTACTACTCGATGTCGGCATGGCCTCCCTCACCATGGCCGTACGTAAAGGTGACACATCTACTTCACCATCTGCAGGCGAGCATGGGTCGCCTAGTGATTCATCAGCTCTGGGCAACTCGCCTGCTCTTACCCCTGCCGATGCTGCGAACCGTCCAGTACCTCGTCGGCAGAGCTCTATCGACTCCGGTCTGTCTTCATACTACGAGATGAAGATTATTGCATCATCAGAGCATCTTCGTCCTGGTGTCGATCCTACCAGAACATCCGCACCCATGGTGTCCTCTCCTGTCCTTTCTGCTTCGCAAACCGTGCCCCAATCACGCAGTCGCCGTTTCGGCTCTGCCAGCTCGCATGCATCAGCAGGCGCTCCTGTCGATGCGAACTGGAACTTGCCAGAGCCAAGAGCTAGAATCAACAGCTCGCTTGGTAGTATGCGGCGCCCGTCACGACCGGTCATCACCCCTGTTGTAAGCAGTCCTGTTCTCCCTTCTGCTGTCAGAAATGATTCGCCTACTGGCCTGTGGAACTCCATAAGTGGCAAAGATGTCGACTCTCCCAACTTCCTCAATACACTAGCCCGCTCCAACTCATTGGCCGCACGCTTGTCAACGCCGAAGGCCGCCACTCCGGAGCGTTCGGTTTCACCAAGGGCTAACTCGAGATCCACGCCAGCGGAAGTGGAGCTGGACGCGGAAGGGGGCGCCCTCAAAGAAGAAGCAAAGTCGGATGTTCCTGCACTGCCAACCGTAGATGAAACTCCACCACCGAAGTTGGCTCGCTCATTGAGCCAGAAAGGTCTCTGGGGCAGCGCTCCAAATGGCGCTTTTCCTCGTGAAGCGGGAATCCCAAAGAGACGTTGGACCGTGGTACAAGATTGATCTGACCATGGAATTCCCTTATGGTCTACGAACGCTGGCGTTTCGACCATGACATGTAGAAACGATGATACCCATAAAAACAAGGCGTATATGTATAGGGCTGTGGTGTGTGCAGACACATGGCAGGTCGGTCATTGTGTAACGATGATGACGATAATAACAATTTCTCTCACACAAATGGCTACACCATTATCACGGGACAGTGCGGACTCCAAAGTTTCAAAACCCAACACCCATGACCTAAACATAAATCAATAACGTGCGTATCAAACACTACAGATGGTTGGTTGATCAAGATAGTTGTGGTGATAGATTGTGGCAGGGTCGTGTGTTCAGTGAGATGAAGTTGGCGCTTTCACAACTCGGCCGAGGGCATCGCGCAGCCGAAAAACGCTATTTACACAGGTGTCGTAATTAGCTTTGAGCGGTGCTAGTTGCCCGAATTGTTGCTGTACGGAAAGAACAGCACGAAGGATGCTGAAGCTTTCTACACAATTGGATGGCCTTGTTGTGGATGGGAGGGAACTCCATTGAGCAAGACATCGGTAGATTGCTCCTCGGGAGTCGGGATAGACATGCGCAACTCGAATACTGTAGGAAGAGCGCGGCAACGTTCGAGACCTTCAACGCCGCGATTGCCGGTTTGGCTGAAGGCTGCTTCTTTTTCCCTCACTCTTGTGTCGCACGCGTGCGTCGCAAGGACTCATCCTGTCTGTGAGGACGGATTGCACTCTGGCGCATACTATAGGAGACGACAGGCGTTACCAAGCTGCAGAAAGAACAATGTACTGAGCACTCGAAACATCGCACTACGTCATGTTACCTGAGGCTCTGCCTGATGAGCTGCCCCCGGAGCTCGACCTTCTGGTGCAACTAGCCGTAGACGACAACCGCCCGACTGTCGTCTTGGACACATCCGCGCCGCATTCGATCTGCCTATACCAAAACCCTGCTTTCCAGCATGCTCTGGCTCGAATTCCCTCCAACACGCTCCAAGACTGGCTCTTTACGGAATTGAACACTCGATGCACGACAGAAGCTACGCCGACCACTGAATTTGCGCAGAGGCAATGGGTCAAGAAAAAGCTTGGAACTAGATACGCTGTGATATATTGCAAGCAGGAGTCATCCGCGCTACCCCTTTCTGGTAGTGGTGAAGATGGTTCTCTGGACAGTTTGGTACATGACTGGATACGATTTCCCGACCAAGTCCCCACTACACCTTGGATACGCTACTTGCTAGACTATGACTGGAGTAAAACTGCCATAGGCGCCGCCTGTGGTTCAGATATGCGTCAATGGCCCCCACAGCTGAACGAAATACTACTTGCCTTCATGCACTGCCCTCGACCAAGGATCATCTACTGGGGGCCTGACCTGATCCAGTTCTACAATGAGTCTGCCGTGAAACTATGGCGAGCCAAACATCCTGCTGCGCTGGGCAACAAGATAACCGACGTCTGGGACCAAGGAGTAATGGACCTCACTGCTGATTTGATACGGAGCAGTTGGGAAGAAGGTCAATCTGTCCATAACAAGGAAGTGAGATTGCCGCTCGATCGCGACGGCTTTCTCGAAGAATCCTATTTCGATTGGTTCTTGATTCCCTTCACTGGCCCAGACGGCCGCTGGATCTGCTCGGTGAACTGCTTTAACGAAGTGACCTCTGCCGTCGTTCGGAAGAACAGGGATGAGGTCTTGTTTAAGCTGCTTGAAAAGACCACGCACGCTGCAGACCTTCCTGGCCTCTGGCTTGAGTTCTCCGGCATTCTGGACGAAGAGGCTGACGATGTAGCTTATTCGCTACTGTACAAAGTGTACGAGGACACTGCAGCCTCCGATGACAAGAAACATTACAAGCTCCACGGTTCGTCAGGCTTGCGCTCACATACAGACTTCGAAAAGCCCTCGGAGGAGCTGATCGAAGTGTTTGAGCTGGCCGAAGGTGGTGAAAACGTCATTGCAATGGAGGGAGATACCTTTCTGCCGGAGCTCGGCGTTACTATGTCTGACGTTGGCACGGTCACTTCGGCCTTCGTCTTCACCATATTCGATGTAGAAGGCTCGGTTCAAGGCTCGGTGGTCATAGGCATAAACCCTCAAAGGCGCGCAGACGACGACATGAGACGGTTCATATATTCGCTGAGCGAAATGCTTCTCAAGGCAGTCATTGTACTGCAGTCTCCTCCTGAACAACGCAAACTGCTGCAAGCAGATGATAGTCTCGGCTATCGTATCAAGCTCGAGAAGCTTACCAGACAACTGAGTGTTGCAACCCTGAAGAACGAGAAGAACCAGGAAACTTTCAGCCGCATGGCAGAAAATGCCCCGATTGGCATGTTTCTTTACAAGGGAGACGGCACACCAATTTATTTGAACGACTTTTTCCTTGAACTATTGGGTGAGACGAGAGAGGACTTTTATGAGAAGGCCAAGTCAGGGTATGCTTGGCGTGACTGTATCCATCCTGATGATCAAGAGTTCAGCGAGCAAGCTTGGCAAGAGGTTACAGAGTCACGCGAAGTCAAAGTGTTTCAATTTCGAGTCAGAGCAGGCACAGAGCATTCACCTACCCGCGCTCGTTGGCTCGAAGTTGTGTGCTTCCCGCAACGAGACGAGAATGATGTCTTGGTGACATTCCAAGGATACCTGACTAATATCACTGCAAAGAAGCTGACGGAAGCTCTTACCACCGAGAGAATGAATGCAGCGATCGAGACAAAGCGAAAGGCACAGAACTTTATAGACATGATCTCAGTGAGTTCTACAAAGCTTGTCTCAACGATTTTTATCCACTGACAGCAAAACAGCATGAGATGAGAAACCCGTTGAGCAGCATCATACAGCTGACAGAATCTGTCATCTCCTTGCCGGCAGATGCATCACAAAGAGAAGCATTCGACACAGTGTCTGATGCAGCTCACACGATCAATATCTGCGCTCTGCACATGAAGGTAGAGCATTCTTAACTTAATTGTTTGCTATCGACTGACGTGATCAAGGTAATTATTGACGAAGTACTTGACTTCTCCAAACTGGACTCGAACCTTCTAGTGCTGGCTCCGGAGAGAACACGACCTCTGGAGGTGATCGAGAAAGCAGTCAAAATGTTTGAAGCCGAATTGAAGAGCGCCGACATCCAGACCGAAATCGAGGAATTGCCAAGTGAGTGCTCTGTGGCAGATGTGCTGTGTGATCCTAGCAGGTTGTTGCAGATCATAATCAACCTCATCACAAACGCATTGAAGTTCACTCGCAATTCAGACACTCGTCGCATTACTTTGGCCTATGCACCATTCTCAGCACCACCATCAGCTCAAGATTGTGGTGTGACCTTTATCAGACCGCGCAAAAAGAATCATGATGAGACCGAGACTGTTTCAGCAATGCTGGCTGCTGATGACTCGGAAGACAGCGCTGACGACATCTATTTGATGTTTAGCGTTACGGACACTGGTTGTGGACTTACACTAGAAGAGTCGCAACTCCTGTTCCAACGATTCGCTCAAGGTAAGTCTCGCATGTCCGAATCAAGATGATCGAGCAAAAAGCTGATAGATGTCCAAAGCCCCCAAAACTTACAAGCAGTATGGAGGTGTGTACAGAGCTCAATATCAAGCAAAGCATTCTCAATGACTGACAAGACATACCTCAGGTTCGGGCCTTGGCCTGTTTATCAGCCGCGAGCTCGTGGAACTCCAGAAGGGCCAAATTGGATTGCGTAGTGAGCCTGCAGTCGGTAGCCGTTTCGCTTTTTACATTCAGGCTCGACGTGCCGTGCGAATGAGTCGCTCTGGCTCTGTGGCTTCTGTCGAGTCCGCGATCAGTGTTAAGAACATTCCTCAGTCCGTGGGTGGATCATTCGACACAGTCAAAGTTCTTGAAAAGATCGACATGGTACCACGGCCGCAGACTCTGATCAAAGACATGCACGTTTTGCGTATGTTCATCCGAAGCGCTACCAGTGAAAGTCACTAACAACTCACAGTCGTCGAGGACAACGTGATCAATGCTAAAGTCATGTCGAATCAATTACGCAAATTGGGCTGCAATGTTAATGTAGCAGAAAATGGTCTGGAAGCTCTCAACTACCTGGCCACGACCACATATCAGTCCGGTGCCGGGGAAGGTGCGCCACTGAGCATGATCCTGCTCGATATCGAGATGCCAATCATGGATGGCTTGACCTGTATACGACGCATTCGTGCACTCGAACTTTCTGGAGAGATCTCTGGTCACGTTCCCGTGATTGCGATCACAGCGAACGCTCGTAATGAACAGATCGCTGCTGCAATCGAGGCGGGAATGGACTCTGTGGTTACGAAGCCTTTCACGATAAAGAATCTTGTGCCGCAGATGGAAGCATTGGTAGACATGTGGTCATCTTGTGAATGAGGTCCTATGGCCGGTAGCACGATGGATCCTTCGCTAGTCATCAGCCCGGTTCCTGGGCCGGTCAATCATCGACGCTGTCTTCACACGCCTACGAATTGTCTCAACAACTCATGCGGAGACGGTTTGAGCCTCGGGCTTTCAGCCTTTCCAATGTTAGATGCGAAGCTGACAGGATTCATGCATGCATGTACAGCAACATCCCCCACAAAGTCGACCCGGCCTGGACTTCGCAAGGATATGCGCGGGACGCCGGCGCTTGCGAGCATGAAGCAGAATATTTTTGCCCACAGAGCCTATACATGTTACAGAGGCTGAAAGACTGCATGATGCATATAGATGCGCCAGCCAATATGCTTGCGAAAACACGGCTCGTTCGCAGATCGATGCCGTCTTGAGAAAGCTGGACTGCACCAGGCTCTATGCCCAGGAGCCGCCAACCCATATAGCCACCGACTTCCCACTGTCACCTATGAAAATACGTCTTGGAAAGCAATCATGGTTCCTAATATCCTATTGTACTTCCTTGGTGTAAGAATCGCTTCTGCACTGCAAGTGCCTCGACAAGTGACCACCTCTTACACGAACACTTCGGCCCCTGTCAGTGTACCGATTTCAACTACCCCTGGTCCTTTTTGCTGTCAGCTATATGCTCCAGCGGTTGGCTTGCATCTTTGGTACAGCGGACCTGATCCCAAAGTTCTTGACGAAGTCCTTGTAACGGAGTTCATACGTTACAACAGTACGTTCTCACCAATCGTGACTACAAGATAGCCAGTCGAAGCGTTATCACTTCCCAAGCACATATTGCGTCGAGTCGCCGACCCATATGCGTGTTCGCCTATAGCTACACGATCGCTGAACATGGAAATGCTGACCACATAATTGCATTAGACACAATCGTGCCAGCCTCAACGACCACTACATTTCCCACCGATAGACTATACCCAGGGATTTACCTTGCGAATCAGGACGGATATGCTCCCATCCCAGGGTTTCCCACCGACATCAATGGTCCAGTCGATTTCGGCGCGTACGATGCGACTTTGGTAGAGATCGCGACCGACACAGTCTACACGGACAACTTGACTACGTCGTGAGTATTACATGGCCTTCGCACTACTTATCAATTAATGGTAGTACAGCACAATTGCGTCGACTCCGTACATGGAATTCGCATCCTTTTACGCCTTTTCCGGCCACGTCAACAGTGCTGGAACATGTATGGGTACTAATAAATTTGACCCGCGCCAAACATACGTGGTCTCCTCTGTGGCTCAAGATTGGTTTTCGACTGCCTCCAGGTATCCATTCATACCCAACACTCCTTCCTTCTCCGACAGCGTGGCCCACACGAGCTTCTGGGTCTACGACTATGCGAGCTTCGATATCGATTACGATAGTCAAGTGTCGTCTCAGACAAGCACGTGGAACCGAAAAGTCGTCGGAACTGAGATTGACAATGTCTTGTTTGCCTGGCTGACGAAGCAGTCTGCTGTTCTGTCTGCGGTTCCAAAGATCATGAGCTGCTCACCGGTATCTGCTGCCGGAGCGCCTCAGTTACATGTCCGTGTATCGTTCCTAACGACTTCATCTGCTGTCACCAGCACGACAAACGCTGTTTACTCCAACACGGCAGCTGCCAAGACGGCCGCGCCTGCCAGTAAGACACCAGCCGTCATCACAAGTACGAATACGCGGCCTTTCAACGTGCTGCAGCCTAGTACGGTAGATGACTTATCTAATAATCCCCTGAACGAGCCTACACGGCCATCTGTGAGTCAGAAAACAGCTGCATCATCAGTGCTCCGTCCTGACCAACCTGGGATTCAGCCCACTGTGCGTACTACGAATGAAGGGGGCGGTGTATCAAGTGGCCAGACAGCATCGTCCAACACAGCAAGCGTCCTCGTTGATAGCCCTCCTGCCCAGGCATCCGCTACTCCAGATGCGACTGCACCTTCGGACAAGCCTCCAGGAAATCCTACCCAGCAGCCTGCTACAAACCAAGAATCAGACAACCCCCCAATCGCGCCGTCTGACAACTCTGGAAGCCAGTCTACTCGTTCGACTGCGAATGAGGCAGGTGCGTCGCCAGCGGTCTCTTCACAAGGCGATGTAGATACAGATACGGAAATCACCCAGACAAGTGAACCAGTTGTCGTTGTGATTGGCAGTGTAACCGCAACAGCACTTTCTACAAATATCGTTCCTATCGAGAGTACTACCCTTGACACAGGAGGACATGTGGTAGTGGTTCCCGAAAGTACCCGATATACGCAGGCATTTGGTACCACAGAAGCCTCTTCAAGTCAGATTCTCTCCAATGGACAAACAATGCAAGAGTCAACTGCTGCCATGTCTACTGCACACACTGTGCCAGTGGTCGGCTTTTCGTCCGAGCCTATATCATCCGGGGCATATGCCATAGCGGGTCAAATACTCAACCCCGGCGGTTCTGCTATCGAGATCTCTGGAACAACCTATTCTCTACAGGTTACGGGTGGTGTTGTAGTCAACGGAAACATAGTTTCCATCTCGACAGTGGCACATCAAACACCAACACCACCCGTGCCTGTTGTTATTGGCGAGATTACGGCCACATCTCTAGCTTCAGACAAGTATCTTGTGGCAGATCAAACTCTCAGTCGTGGAGGTAGTGCTATCGAAATTTCCGGGACCACATACTCTCTACCGCCATCCGCGAATAATGCCATCGTCAATGGACAAGCAGCACCTATCCCTATTGTTCAGGGATCTCCACAGTCACCAGCAACCGTAGTTATAGGCGGTGTTACAGCAAAGCCAGAATCTTCCGGTGCATACTATCTGATTGCAGACCAAACACTAGGTCCAGGAGGCTCGGCTCTTGAAATCTCAGGAGTAACATACTCTTTGCCAACTTCCGGCGCGAACATCGTGATCAACGGAGCGACTTCTGTCGTCGCACCGGCAGACACTCATAGAATTTCTGCTGTGGTGTTCGGTAGTGCGACAGCGGTGCCACTACTAGCTGGAGGCTACGTTGTGGGAAGTCAAATTCTCAGTCCTGGTGGCTCCGCTATACAGATCTCGGGGACTGTATATTCTCTTCCAGCTTCCTCCAGGAGCTCGGTCGTCGTTGACGGAAAGACAACCGCGATCGAGGCGATTACCGCTACCGATGACGCCCTGATCACACTCGGATCGCAGGTCTATACCGCAGTAGCTGCGTCCATTACACCACTCGTGATTGCTTCGCAGACACTGGTTCCAGGCGGTAGTGATATCACAGTAAGCGGTACAGTCTTTAGTCTACCGTCAGATGCTACAGGCAGCATTGTTATCAATGGTCAAACGACTGCATTTGCGACATACATTGCTGGGGGTGTTGGACTGTCTATTGGCTCTCAGCAGTTGTCGTTCACACCTCTGAGCTCTGGCATCGTCATAGCATCGCAGACCTTGTATCCCGGCGGTCCGGCCATTACTGTCCAGAGTGAGACACTCAGCGTTCCTTCTGATGGAACTGCAGTGGTGATTCAGTCGGGAACAAGTACGAGCACCGAAGGGCTTGGTGCATACATATGGCAGGGCATTGCACCTTCGGATCCGAACTCAAATTCTGATTCGAATCTCACCTCCAGCACTACAGTGCTGTCGAGGACTTCTGGTGGTGTTACGTCGACACAGGCGGCAGCTTCAAAGGAGACTGGAAGCGCGTCTTCGGCTCATACTTTCACGTCTGATGCAGGTGGTCAGCAGCCTGCATCGAGTTACAAGCCTGTCACGATAGCTCTGGTGGTTTGCTTATGTGCGATCATCTTCTTGTGATCATTATAGAGAAGGATAGTACTGCTAATGTTGAGATGATCAAAGATGTGAATGTAGCACAAGAAGCAATAATTGAGATATTTTCGAACATTCAAGACTATTGAACTGCACAATTAGGAGCCCTGGTCGTGACTTCCAGACCCAGATGATAGGGCCAAGACTTGAGGTGCGGAACAAGCTTCAGATCGGACCTTGGTCCGGCAGTGGAGCTCGAGGAAGGTGGACTCACCGGCTCATGTTTCCGTCATCTTCTCGTCCTTTTCTCCACAGACGTACTACACTTGCTGCTTTCCATCCCGCGGGATACTTCAACATGCTTTTGACGGTGTGGCTGTTTGGTTTATGGTTGTGTCCCAGGTCCCGGAGAGGGCGCCGCCGCTATGAATGTCTTCAACGATCACGATGCTAGTTCCGCATGCTGGTACCGGCATTGTGGGCATGCAAGTATGGGGAAGTGTGAGCTCTCCATGATCTTCCCGATTGCGAGTCACCAGACCGATCGTTCGAATGATTGATCTTTTCATTCAGTGGTCTGGTAGTGCCTGCAGAGTATCTCCATATGCGCATCTTTTAGACGATTCGGGCCCTGCTGTAAGCTGAAGAGTGACTGGGGTAGGAGACGAAAAGCCTATGGAACTAGCGAAGATCATGGGCCTCCTGCCGTTGATCGCATCAGCTCTGACGCGACCATGACTCCCTTGGATGTACCTTCGATGTCGTGTCCGGAGTTCCGTTCCTAGATGGAATATCACAAGCCGCTGACGAGTCCGTTCATCACGACCGGCCTCGATTGGTATAAGATAGTGGTGTTGTTCGAGATGGCTTCCTCTTGCAACTATCTCAATCCGTCGACATCCTCATACGTACAACCATGAATTGGCTTGAGAGACGAAACGACGCCATCCAGGTGAACCCAAACACGCAGAACAATAAGCATGTCGACATTGCCATCACTGTTCGCGGCTCCGACTTTTACTTTGCCATCTGCGCTATTATGGGATTTGTTGCTTTGGGCACGATCGCCGCATCTGCTATGAAACCTCGTACAGATCGTATATTCTTCTACATCACGGCTGCTATCAACATGACTGCTTGTATTGCTTACTTTACTATGGGCTCCAACCTTGGCTGGACACCCATTGATGTCGAGTTTCAGAGAACGTGGCCCAAGGTTGCGGGTGTCAACCGCGAGATCTTCTATGCTCGCTATGTCGATTGGTAAGTTTTTGGGTCTAGGGATCCAGAGGGACAACCACTTATATGGTGCTAGGTTCGTCACTACACCACTGCTTCTGATGGATCTTCTCCTTACTGCTGGACTACCTTGGCCTACCATTCTCTACACCATCTTCCTCGACGAAGTCATGATCGTTACTGGTCTCATTGGTGCTCTTGTCAAAAGTCGATACAAGTGGGGTGAGACTTAACTCCCTTGCATTGTCACATAAACACACACTGATGTTGCACCAACAGGCTTCTGGACATTCGGCACCATCGCCATGTTCGGCATCTTCTGGAACCTTGCCATCGAAGGCCGCAAACACGCCAAACACCTCGGATCAGACGTCTCTCGCACATACACCATCTGCGGTTGTCTGACCTTGTTCATCTGGCTGTGCTACCCCATCTGTTGGGGAGTCTCTGAAGGTGCCAATATCATTCCTCCCGACTCTGAAGCTGTGTTCTATGGCGTCTTGGATTTTTTGGCCAAACCTGTGTTTTCCATTGCGCTGATTGTTGGGCATTGGAACATCAATCCTGGAAGAATGGGACTGAAGTTGCGGGATTATGATGAAGAGCCCAGTTACTTTGGTCCTAAGAATGGGGCTGAAGCTGCTAAAGAACGTGGGCATGCTGATGGTGCTGTAGATGGAGTCGTCTAGGCTGGGCGCTAGATGCGATGGATGCTCGTGAGAGACTTGCTTCTAATCCATACGATGATCCAAGTCTGTCGAGATCAGAGGGAGTTGATGATCAGACATGCCTATAGTTGACAAGACATGGCATGATGGTTTTAATGATTAGATACACTGTGTAGCAAGCAACAGCTAATACTGGGAGAATGAATACAATAACCTGACACATGCAACTAAAGCCAGTCCTCCCATGAAATCAGACGCTCTGCCAAAAACAATGTCCTACGAAAAAGAGAGGTTGCAGATAATGACGTACATGGGATGTAACGAAAACATACTTTTTGTTCAAACCAGCCTTTTTCCCGACTTGCTGATCACCTTGCTGGTGCCTCGGTTCTTCCAAAGCATCATAGGGAACAGTAACAGACCCTATGACCCAGAGGAAAATCTGAAATCGTTTCGAGATTTCGCATTAGCCACACGATCACCAACAAGAAATCCTTACACAAATATACAACATACCATTCGCAAGATTTCCTGTAAGCCAAACACTGTATAGTGCTACGGATACCACACATACAAACCGTCACAGCCGTTCAACACGCAAGAGACGCTCCTCCAACCACAGCGCAGCCATGACGTCTAGCGAAAGAAGCAGTGAAGAGCAGCAACCGATTGTAGCGCCGCCGCATCGTGTGTCCATCGGACGTGGAGGAAGAGGAAATATGAGTGCGTCGCCCGTCTACTAATCACGCATGTCATCTCTGTGCCAATGTACTGACAAAGCCACCAGTCGGACCAGAAGAGATCAAGTATGAGTTGAAGAAAGCTTCGAGTTCTGACGAGTATGATGGTATGTTGCCACGGCCCTCGGTGCTTCCACTTCTTTTTGCGACATCTGCAGAAGAAATTGTTCCACCAGTCGGCTAAGTAGCTGATGGTTTGAACAGCACTGGCCGAACATAATCACCGCAGATCAAGCAGTAGTTGGTCCTTACATTCCAGCAGCAGTCAAGGGACGTCCAAAACAGAATCTCTCAAGGACTTCTTTAGACGAGGCAGTCAGAGCAAACGGAAGAGTACGAGTCAAGATGAAATTGCGGAAGGCGAGGAAGGAGATGGAGAACTGAAAGCGTGAATTGGAAAGTGCATTATGTAACTGGACGAAGGAGTTTGATGGAAGTTTAGCGATATAGAGAGGGTGTCGGGAGCAGCATTGGAGTCTTTGAAGGAGTTCCGGGCGGACTTGATACTTGCTGGATATCCTCTGCTTGATTTGCTTTGGGATTGGCTAAATTGAGATGACTCGAATTGTACGGGTCGTGTACCTTGAGGCTCTGAGCGCCCAGCAATGCTATTGATCAGATATTCCCCTACTGGAGTGTTGATCAGATGGAAGGCAACAACATCGAAGTCAGGGCTACTCTCCGTTGCAAGTTTCGCGGGAATTCGAAAGCTGATTCCTCGGCTTGGTCTGGTCCAAAGATTTCTGCATTTTTACTTACTAAACTGAAGTTTTGAGGTTTGGGTCTGCGGAAATCGGCTTTCGAATTCCCACGAAACTTGCAGCGGAGAATAGCCCTGACTTCGATGTTGTTGCCAAGTGCGTGATGCCGCGCTGGGCGCAGCATTCATCCCCCTCTACCTAATTACCTCTTTCGTTAGGAAACATTTCTTCTCTCGAATGCTACAAAGCCTCGCCGGGGTACGAATTGATGCGTAGAAACTTGGTCACATCCACAATCTTTTGTGCGTCCAGTCTCGCGGTTCTCCAAAATGGCTTTAGCTGCTCTTCCCTATCACGAACCCGGCATCGTAACGATACTGATCCAAGCCTCATTCTTGATCATTCTTAACGGCATCAACTGGGTGCTCGATAATGCCATATACTGCGGTCTCGTAGGTCAGATATTGATCGGAGTGGCATGGGGCACTCCAGGTGCAAACTGGCTGTCGCAAGAAGTACAAGATACAGTTATGCAGTTGGGTTATCTTGGGTTGATCCTTATTGTATATGAAGGTATGTAAATCCCGAGTTTTGAGAATATATATGGCTGATAATCTTTGCTAAAGGCGGTCTGTCAACCTCGTTCGGATCTCTGTGGTCAAATATCTATCTATCCGGACTCGTGGCACTCATTGGCATTACCTTACCCATTGGCATCTCCTATGTCTTGATGGAATTGCTAGGAGCAACCCCCGTTCAAGCTTTTGCTGCTGGAGCCGCATTGTGTTCAACTTCTCTGGGCACCACATTCACGATCCTTAGCACAAGTGGACTGGAGAAGAGCAGACTTGGCGTCATTCTGTCCAGTGCTGCAATGCTAGATGATGTGGCTGGACTTGTCATGGTTCAAGTAATATCGAACCTTGGCGGTTCTGCTGACTCGTTCAGTGCTGTGACGGTCATCAGGCCTGTCTTTGTTTCGATCGCGTTTGCTGTCGTTGTGCCTGCTTTCTGCTGGGCTGTGGTGAAACCAATCACCAAATATGTCTTTAGCGGACCGACAACGGCAGAGAAGGAAAAATCGAAAGTGCGTGGATGGATCTGTACGCCTGTTTCGGCCTTCGCAGCCCACACGTTGATTCTCCTGGGTCTGGTGACAGGATCGACTTATGCTGGAACTTCCAACCTCTTTGCAGCTTATATTGCTGGAGCTGTTGTGAACTGGTGGGATGCTCTGGTGAGCACGACACTGCAAGAACAACGCCCAGCGCCTGTGACGGAGAAGAGTGTACGTAAAGGGCAGAAGGCATCTACTTCCTCTGGAGGACAAATGACAACACCAAGCCCCCCAACGTCTGATGCCTCGACTTCTCTGACAGATCAGCCTGTTTCAACGACACACGAGAAGTTGAGAGGCGCAGTCATCTATGAGCACATGTGCGCGCCAGCCATGAATTCGATTCTGAAGCCCTTCTTCTTCGTAAGTACCACATTCGCCATCGTCGAAACTCTGGGCACTAATAAACGTCCCAGACGTCAATTGGCTTTTCCATACCCATCACTCAAATGTTCCGCGGCGCCATCGTTTGGCGCGGAATCGTCTATACTATCCTCATGATCTTCGGCAAGTTAGCCTGCGGCATCGTACTCGTCCGCTTCACAAGCACGTCCGCCAAAGTCCAACTACCGGAAGGTCAACAAAGCACCGAGACAGCTGCATCCAATGAGACCCCAGACAGCCAGACTGGTGAACAGGCGCCCTCTGCAAACTCGAAGCGCAAGCGACAAGCGCCTCGCAAGTTGCCCAAACCACAATCACTGTACCCCTCTCTGATGCTAGGAAGCGCCATGGTAGCGCGAGGCGAAATTGGTTTTCTTATCTCGTCGCTGGCAGAAAGCAACGGTGTCTTCGGTACAGTAGAAGGCGGAGGAAGTTCCGACATTTTTCTCGTAGCTACCTGGGCCATTCTGCTCTGCACAATCATCGGTCCAGTAAGTATCGGTGCGATGGTAAACCGAGTCAAGAAACTTCAGAAGGCTAGAGCGGCCGATACAACGAAACCCGATCCATTGGGCGGATGGGGAGTCGAGAGTTAGTGATTGCCGTTGTTGGTGGATAAACAATGATGTTATTTTTTCAACCGGTGTGACATGATTTGCTTCTGCTTCGAGGAATTTACGCGTTGGTTGTAAGGTTGGAAAGAAGGTTAGGTGGTTGCTTATCGCAACGGTGATAGCGTGGGGAGGCGCTGGCATGGCGTCGAGGAAATGAGCTGAAAGACTGCAAGGCTGATGAGATCGATAGCTTTTGTTCTTGTTCAGCTTCGGCAGTATAAAAAAACTCGGAATTGCTTAAGAGCTGCTGAGCTAGATGGTCTGAACTTGTTGTCGTAATCGTATTTCATTGTTGACGGTTGCCGTATACCGAAGAAGCAGGGTGGTGCACATCTATCTACCTAGATTGGCGAGATGAGATTGAGACGAAGTCATGACCTTGGTCCAGCATGGCGTCAGGTCGAGCTTATCACGTCCTGTTGACCTTAAGACGATGGGACGTCCTCTTGCTTGTGCAATTCGATGCCTTCTACCCCACGTTCCCTTCTCCGTCTTGACCAACCCCGGTGGCGCAGGCCTTCTCTTGCAGCACTTAGCATACGAGCCGAATATTGCTGGGCAGTTGAACGACCACGTTTGAGACTCGGCCTGCTCTGGGCGCGAGCTACCTTTTCGATCTATTGTCATCTGGTGTATGTTGGTAGTGTGTCGCTCAGCCCTTGATCTCGACAGGCTTGTAGTCCAAATTCTGACCTTCAGCCTCTGGGAAGCCTAGAATGTCGGATACCGTGTCTCTGATGAAGTTTTGCTCGTCGATGGTGAAGCGGGTTTCGACGTCTTCGATCATTGCGGCGAGGTGGGTTCGTCTGTAGGGGCGTTGGTTGGCGAGGATCAAGTACTCGGACTTTGTGAGCTGGACTCGTGGTCCCAGAGTCTGTATCAGCTTGTTGAGATACTGCGAGTCGTTGTCGTATCGAGGGTTGTTCAGGAGTGGGCGATCCTTGTCGAGGAGGTATTCTTCATGCTGGCAGGTATGAGTGTGGGAGTTCCAAGCGGCTGTTGGGGAATCGAGTACCTTCTGTAAAGACTTGATGAAGTTGGCGGGTCTGTGTGTATTAGGACGGCCCTCTTCTTTCGACTGCTCCTTCTCGGCCTTGATCTGAGTGCGCTTGTTGCGGATGAATTTCAGGACGTCATAGTCGTCGAGGACTTCGGTACCAGCGTCAAGAATCTTGGGAGAGTCAGCCTTTGCGTACTAGAAGAACTCTGGACAAGTTACCTTCATGTTGGGCAGTTGCGACCGGCGAATGTGACTCGTAGCGTGGGAAGGGTCGATCGACCGGCGATAAATTCTGGACCTCCTTCACATGTGATACCTGGTGCGTATCTTATCTGATCATCTGCCATCGAGATCAGCTTCACCGCCTTCGGGTGCAGTGGAGAGAACGACAGCGGCTTTGGGGGAGGCGCGGGACGAAACCAAGATTTTGGCTCGTCATGGTGCATGGCGTTTGCACGTTGCGCAGCAACAGCAGCTGATTATCCAGCTTCACCTAGCAACCAGCGCCAGACTCCAACCCCATGTAAGCAGAGGCCTCATTAGAAGGCCTCAAGCCCGTCCGCATTTCATTCCTGTATACTCCTCCTCCCCTGCTGCCTGTAGATATCATCTATCTGCAGAAATCAATCTACATCTCCTTCGCGAGATAAACTCCTCCAAACCACCCTCCTCCAAACGCCGTTAGGCCCATATATCAAACCACCAAGCTTCGCTCTAGTGCGACGCGCCTGATCAGACTCTAAGACACTCTCCGCCCGGCGGACGCGGCTTGCACTGCGTGAGGTATGGGTGGATTGCTTTTTCCAACTGTATAACCTGCACACGCTGATACAATGCCTTTCACAGATCCGGAATACCGAGATATTAACTTATCCTCGACCAATTCGACAACTAACCCCATCCGGACTCAATCTTTCACCACCAATATGCTGTCAACTCACAACCAAACCTCGAGCATCCAACGACGACGTCAACAACACCGAAGACAGAACTCGCTCGAGGTTCCGATGATCAACACACACATGTCTGCCCAGTCAAGACAACGTCCATCTGGCCACCGCCGTGGACTGAGTATCGACCAGGGCATGACTCTCCTATCACGCCAGGAGCTAAGTATGCAAACTAACCAACAACGACCATCATCACAGCATTCCGTGCAAGAAACGCAGCAGCACAGACCTTACCAGCCGGGACTATATCACATGGACCCTAACCAGCAGCACTTTTTCAGACCAGCCTTCCTGGAACAGGACATTGCTTCGGCCGAGCAAGCAAAACAAGCAATCCTGAACCTCGAACAACATATCCAGACCGTCTACCGCACATACGGTTATGTTCCTCAGACACCACTCTCTCAACCACAACCTCAGATGCCCACCACTCCTATCATCGTTGCCACACGGCCGACCACTCCTTGCTCAAACTACCAGCCATCCATGTCTGGCCATCCTGAAGGACCTCTTCTTGACGTCTCGCCTATGCCGAACTCAGTTGCAGTATCACCTATGCACCCTGGAATGTCGCAAATGCCAGTGCAGTATGCCAACGTCCCCGTCGTCCAGGTCCAGGAGCCCTACCAAGACAACCACTCCGTTTACGCAGAGTCTTTCGCTGGTGACTACGCATGCACACCGTCGTACACCTCGTCGATGGCCGACCCCAGCTCACCCATGCGTTCCCCGATGGAAGCCAAGTTCAACCCCCTTCCTACTGTTTACGAAGCTCTCTCGCCTGTGCCCAGCCACGCCACCTACGCTCACGATTCAATGATGCTTTCTGGCGAAGCCACTCCCAACATGAGCTATTACACAGAGTCCCCTCAGAGATCGGCAGTGTCTCCTCGTGAGGCTATGTTGCAGACTCTGGACATCGATGCTAGCATCGAGGACACTGGTATCTCGCCTCAGGATGTTCAGCAATTCATCAGCCCCCAGGACCATTGCGATGGCAAGTGGACCTGTCTCTTCGATGGATGCAACAAGAAGTTCGGCCGCAAGGAGAACATCCGTGCCCACGTCCAAACCCATCTTGGCGATCGCCAATTTAAGTGCAATCACTGCGGCAAGTGCTTCGTCAGACAACACGACCTGAAGCGTCATGCAAAAATCCACAGTGGTGACAAGCCTCACAAGTGCCCCTGCGGCAACGGCTTTGCCAGACAAGATGCTCTCACGCGCCATCGCCAACGTGGAGTTTGCGATGGTGCTCTACCCGGCTTCGAGCGTTCTCAAGTCAGACGCGGTCGTCCTCGCAAGAACCACTATGACATCTCTGAACGTCTCGAGAGAGCTGCTCACCAGAGAGAGATCAACTCACGCAGAAATTCCGAATTCACCGCATACGCAAGCTCTTCGATCAGCGAGGCCAGCTACCCTAACACACCTGCCGCCAATGTTGGTGATGACTACGACGACGAAGACTTTGCCAACTACCAACAGCAAGAAGGCAAGTTCAACGTCGAAGAGCTGTCCCGCTACACACCTCCCACATCGCCATTCTCAACCGGCAATGCCTCACCAAAGAAGGAGTACAAGTACACCGCCACCGATCTCAATTCATTACCCACCGCAGATGTCAAGGCAGCCCCTTCATCGCCACCTCAGCTCCCCCACAGTCCGCCACCAAGCTCGCAATGCCCGAGTCAACCCTTTGGCTCCAGCGACAACACCTTCAGCTTCTCGGCAGTGGACTGCAAACCCGTCATCATTGAAGAGAATGAGTGTCTGTCCCCTGCAGCCACTTCTTCAACCCACAGCGTCCACGAACAAGATGACTTCTCACCGAATGCAACTCACGCTGTCGAGAGCGCTTTCATGGGCTCAGAGGACATTCTCGAGTTTACTCCTAGCATGTATGGCGGTCCTGGCGACTCGCTGTTCAATGCTAGCTTGGACGCATGGCTCGAGAGTCACTAAAGAGAAAGTAAACGACAACTTAACGACGATGGGTACAGCACTTGTGTATGACAGGGAGGACGGGCAAAGGTACATGACTATTATTGACGATCAGAGCATTTTGGATGGAACATGAACACAGGACATTTATGTGCAAAAGATGATATGGAGCAAGGGAAACAATTGGGGTTTACGATTGAGAACAGGAGCGAGCTCTTCTGGCATGTATCTTGTGCTTTAGATGGTGTTTTTACAGGTGTTTTTTACTTCTTTTCGCGAGCGAACAGAGCAGGAACGATGCAGCAACAGCAGCAGTTTTGTCTTTTTCTCTTCTTCTTCTTCTTCTTCTTTCACTCTTTTTCTTCCATTTTGAGACAGCGGATGTTAGATACACTCCAGCAACAATCACAAGATATTTACCTGCCAACAGACCTTCCAAAATCGTTATCTCTCATACCAGTGAAAACATCAGGTGAGAGCCGTTCTCGCCTACCTTTTCGATCTGACGATGGTCTATTGACCCATGATTTGCACTACCAGGCACCCGAGCGCGATCGTTTGCTCAATCGCAAGAACGAGTCCCGTAGAGGGAATACGACCTAGACTGCCGGTGCTGGCCAGAAAGTGGTCACTGTGTCAACGCAAAACCCAAAACAACACGCGGGACAGCTAAACCCTTTTTCCTATCCACTCGGGTGGATTTGACTTGCGGGTCAGGAATGCAAGGGACGGAGAGCAGAGACGAAGCAGAGTGAGCAGTCACACAAAACACGACAGATTCACCCACATGCCCTTGTTTGATCTGCAATGCGATGTGTGTGTATGTACTGTGTGCCGTGTGCCGTGTGCTGTGTGCTGTGTGCTGTGTGCCTGATCTGCTTTTTATTTCTCCGTACCTGCATTTTGCGGGATGTTCTCAACAAAAAGTGTGGGACATGTTGCACCGCCGCGTCTAGAGAAGAGTGTCCGGCCGCCACACAGTGTCCGCCTTCCCCTGTATAACGACAGATATTGCCCCCCCAACCCCCCGAGGGGGGCTTCAAAAAGTGTTCTCTCGTATAGCGAGGTGCATCTCTATATCCTCTGCGAGTTTGAAACAAATCTGAGGTGGTCAAAATATTGGCATGCTCCCAGTTAGTAGAGACGGTCAGCCACATAGTGTCCGCCTGTGGCTTGGCGGACACTCTTCTCTAGACCTCGCGATGTTGCACAACCTTCGAAAGGAAAAGAAAGAGAGGATGTGCACAATTAATTTCGGCGAGAGATTGCATCCGACGCTCCGAACCAGAGATGTTGCGATGCGATGCGAGTCGGCCGACTTTACCGATCCATGTTTGCTCGCTCTTACCGCACTGGCGCTTTTTTTTTTCTTCAACAGAAATTTCTTGTTAGACGGTGAGAATGGACAGAGTAGGGCCGGTGGATTGGAAAGTGGTTGGCTCCTTCTTGCTCTGTGCTTGTGGGGGTATAGGGAGATAGATGGCGAGCAGAGAGCAAAAGGCCGCAACATGTGCAACACCCAAGCAATAGGGTTGTATAACAATCGCGACTCTTTACAGACGCAAGCCTTGACTGTGAAACGAGGATGCAGTAGATTGGCTGTGGGATGCTGCATTGCCGCGACAAGGGAACGAGACCCTACCCTTGTCGCTATGGTTTCGTCAAAACGGCGAATTTTCGAAGGGGTTCAGAACATGTCATTCTACGGTTAGTGGTTCTGCCTACACGACTCGGGGGTGTTTTGGTAGCCGCTGATGGTGTCTGCGATCATCAACGCTTGTTGGAGATTGGTGATGTTGTTAATAATAAGGAGTTTAGGCATCAGGTTAGGAGTGATGCAGGATGATACGAAGGCAATACGGCAGAGTCAAAGGAACGAAGGATGCTTATGCGCCTCGGTGAGCTGTCTGCGCATCATGTTGGACGATGGACTTGTTTATTGGCATGACGAGCGAGGCTTGGGAGCAAGGCTAAGGGAAAGTTTTGGTGACGGATATGTCAGCTTCCGAGCGCAGCCGGGCAGTGTATGTTTGTAGACGACAGAGAGATGTCTTATGGGAGAGAGATGGAGCAGATTGAGATCTATGTGGTAGACAGGATGACAGGACCGGGAGGTACGAGTGCACGCGACGTGGTACGAGCACATGTGGTTGCGGTGGAATGGTGGGATGGGATTGTCAGGATGAAATTAGGGACGGAGACGGCATCTGGCTGAGGGCTTGGTCGCGCGCAACAGTTGGGCCGCTTGCCGGGCGTGAGCCAAAGTTGATGGTTACTTCATAACTTCTACTCGATACACCTGCGAGCGAGCCTGTGACTTTCTTCCCTCTCTGTCCCGCCTGGCCATTGTTTCGCGACTCGACTCAACCGGCTCGCGCTTTCCCGTCTTGCTATCCATCGACAGCCCCGTGTCGACGTCTGTGTACTCTATTCTTCTCGGGACTATGAGCAGCAGCAAATACTTTGCCCTTGGGGGCGCCGCCGACGACAGCGAGTCGACACAACGCTTCTTCACACGCAACAAGTTCCTTCCATCTCTACCCACCATGCTCCCCCACCGCCTGCGCCGCAAGTTCCGCAGCACACGCTCCAAGATCCGCAGCAGACAAACGCCCACCTCGTCCATCTCGGCCCTGCAGACCAGCTTCAACCCACGAGACACGCTGCGTTCGCTGCGTGACCACCACTGGTCCGTCTATGATGCTCAATACCTCTTCCTCGCCGTCGTCGGCATCTTCGCCCTCTGCGTCATCCAATCGCCTGGTCCCATGGTCAAGACTGCCGTGGCTACGCTGTTGATGCTGTCGCTGCTGCTGCCCGTCACCCGCCAGTTCTTCCTGCCATTCTTGCCAATTGCCGCATGGCTCGTCTTCTTCTTCTCTTGCCAGTACGCCGCAACTCTCTTTCTCTCTGCCTTCTTTCCGCCTCTCAACGTCCTTTTGTCTTGCGCAGCTAACACAACCCTCGCAGATTCATCGATGGCAAGTACAGACCTCCAATCTGGGTTCGCGTGCTGCCCGCTCTCGAAAACATCCTCTACGGCGCAAACTTGAGCAACATCCTCTCGGCTCACAAGGCCGTCGTCCTCGATGTCCTCGCCTGGTTGCCTTACGGCATCACCCATTTCGGTGCTCCCTTTGTCTGCTCCGGTCTCATGTTCCTCTTCGGCCCTCCCGGAACTACTCCCACTTTCGCAAGAGCTTTTGGTTACATGAACTTGACCGGTGTTATGATTCAGCTCTTCTTCCCCTGCTCGCCGCCGTGGTACGAGAACATGTACGGCCTCGCTCCTGCCAACTACTCTATGCAAGGCTCTCCCGCCGGTCTTGCTGCCATTGATAAGCTGTTCGGTATCGACTTGTACACCTCCACTTTCACCGCCTCGCCCATGGTTTTCGGTGCTTTCCCCTCGCTACACTCTGGATGTGCCACCATTGAAGCCCTGTTCATGAGCCACACTTTCCCCAAGCTTCGCCCCTTGTTCATCATCTACACTGGCTGGCTCTGGTGGTCCACCATGTACCTTTCCCACCACTATGCTGTCGATCTCGTCGGTGGCAGCTTGCTTTCCGCCGGTGCTTACTACATCGCAAAGGGCAAGTTCCTGCCCAGACTTCAGCCTGGCAAGATGTTCCGTTGGGATTACGACTACGTCGAGGTTGGAGAGGCTAGAGAGAGCCATGCATATGGTCTCACCGACCTGGCCGAGGATGACTTCCACCCGGCCAACTTCGGCATGGATAGCGGCGATGAGTGGACCATCGGCTCTTCGTCTTCGATCGCCTCCTCGAGCAGAAGCCCTTCGGTTGGTGCAAGAAGCCCTGTCGACGAATCCTGGGAGGGCGACACCCTAGCTTCCACCTCGGACAACGAGTACTACCAGCAGAAGTCGCAGCAAAAGTCATGAATCCCCTGATCAGCAAGCTTGTTTTGTCAACTCGACTGGCAATGCCTACGTGAGTACAAGCCATGGCTCTTGTTTTGCGATACCGTCCCTGGGACCATGTGTGTGTCCAGCGCTTTCTATTCCATACGGCCGAGCAGGATTTGGACGCGAATTATCCAAACGTCGTCGCCAATCGGCCATTTCTGTGCATTCTTTCCAAGGACATGTTTTACTAGGAGTCTTTTGGAGTTTCTTACGATACCCTTCTTCGTCATTCGCTTCGACCTGTGTTTTTATCTCTTCTTCGTCGATTTCACGGCTATGCATACAGCGGAATGAGGGGAAATGTACATGTACGAGAAACTGCGAGCCATGATGGTTCCAAGATCTAACGACCGAGGGTTTTTGATTCATTGGAAGGTACCAAGGGAGGTGCTCATGGCGCTTTTGTGCGCAAGGGAGAGCCGTCCCACTTTGTTGATATACATCTCATTGCTAGAGGATATCATACGTGGATTATGGGGGCGATTGGAAAGAGACGGCTAATGTGAGAATATTGACAAGGAGAGGACGAAGGGAGGGAGCATAGAGCGGTCGGTCCTTGAGCAAAAGACTTTCTGTTGGCTCTTAGGACAGACAAGACTTCCTTTCTTATTACTGTAATGCATAATGTCAAGACGTCCAAATAAACAGGATTCAATTCACAAGTTTCTCTTGATACATAACATCCATTTCATCTTGAACTCTGGTCGCAGTTTCGCGAGACCATGTACATCCAAGTTCAGACTTCAAATTATGGCAAACGATACCTTCTGTACTAGTCAAGTCATCAGCCACTCTGCAGTCTTATCGTACTAAGAGTATGTTGATTTATTCTCATCATGCTTGAACTGTAGATGTGCTGTATCTTTGAGGCAGAATCCCACAAGGATAGACGATATGTTGCTCTCGACCAGGGTGACGCTCCAAGCCATGCTCGCGCCGCACAGACCACAAAAAGTTCCCCGACATCAAGACATGGCGGAAGTTCGCAAGCAAGCAGGCGCAAACCGGTTTCATTCTTTATACATCACACAACCACGACCATGGCACGCAAAGCAATCCAAAGAGATCAAATTGTCAAACTCATCGTCGGCGCCGGCCAAGCCTCCCCTTCGCCGCCGGTCGGTCCGGCTCTGGGTTCCAAAGGTGTAAAGTCGATGGATTTCTGCAAGGTATGCGATTCCCACACACACCCACCTACCTAGGTGTGCAAAGAGAGAGAGAGAAGCAAGCAAAGGCAATTGACACCCAAACAAAGGAATTCAACGCCCGCACCGCCTCCTACGTCCCCGGCACCCCCGTCCCCGCTCGCGTAACCGTCCGCCCCGACCGCAGTTTCACCTTCGAACTCCGCACCCCACCGACCGCCTCTTTGCTGCTCAGCGCAGCAGGCGTGGAACCCAAGAAGAACAAGCTTCGAGGTGCGGGCAATGTCGCAGGTCCGAACTCAAAGGCTGGATTGGCTGGTGTGGGTAAAGCGTCTGGAGGGCAATTGACGGCTGGCAATGGAGGGTTGGGCGTCGTGGGGACGGTGAGCTTGAAGCATGTGTATGAGATTGCGAGGATCAAGCATGGAGAGGAGAGACTAGGGGGTTTGAGTCTGGAGGGTGTGGCGAGGAGTGTGGTTGCGCAGGCGGGGAGTATGGGGGTTGTTGTTGTGCCTTGATTGAAGATGAGATGGCGAAAGGGCAAAAAGACGAATCTTTTCCAAGGATGAGGAGAAAGAGGCAGATTCGGGAGGGATGCGAGGAAGAAAAGGAGCTGGGGAAAGAAGAGAAGACGCTCAGGTCGAGCAGAAGAGGAAGCACCGCCAGGGTTCTCTTCTCTGGAAAGAATGGGCGTGACGATACCAATGCCTCTTCTGCTTCACCCACACGCATTGGGTCGGCGTTACATGACTTTGTTTCTCTACCATACGACGCAGCAGTTCACAGTGTGAACTTGTACATCACTTGTAACATATTCTGATTTACCACTTGCAACTCTCAACATATGTTGTCGTGACATAGGACATAGAACTATAAGCCGGATATTCTTTTTGATACAACGACACGATTACTGCTGCATGACCTGCAATGAATCCGAAACCTTGAATGGCGCCTCCGTCTTCGACCTGATCTCCTCGACCGTCACTCCCTCGGCATGCTCGATCAATGTCAATCCTGTGGTAAAGTCGACATCAAACACAGCCAACTCGGTGATGATTCTCGAAACACAAGCCTTGCCGGTCAACGGGAACTCGCACATCTTCATAATCTTAGGACCGCCCTTCTTGTCAGTGTGCTCCATTGTCACAACCACCCTCGTCTTCTCGGGGTTGGAGACCAAGTCCATAGCGCCGCCCATTCCCTTGATCTTTCCAGGCATGGCAAAGTTGGCCAGGTCTCCTCTTGCTGATACTTGCATGGCTCCAAGCATGGTCATGTGAATTCTTCCTGCGCGGATCATAGCGAACGACTCGTCGGAGCCAAAGACTGAAGCACCAGGGCGTAGTGTGACAGTCTCCTTGCCGGCATTGATGAGATCAGGATCTTCTTGACCCTTTTGAGGGTAGGCTCCCAGACCTAGAATACCGTTCTCGGACTGAAGCTGGACCTCGACGCTCTCGTCGACGAAAGCCGGCGCCATCATTGGCATACCAATGCCCAAGTTGGCATACATGCCATTCTTGAACTCCTTGGCTGCTCGTCGGACGATGCGTTCACGCTTGCTTGCAGCATCGCCACTGCCGAGAGCGTTGAGAGCTTCGGCTGGGTCTTTGGCATTGACCACCTTCTCAATGTTCTTAGCTTCTGTGCTCTGGATAACGCGGTCGACGTAAATTCCGGGTACATGGACTGCTGCTGGGTCGATCTCGCCGACTTCGACAATGTGCTCGGCCTCGACAATGGTGACCTTTGCGTTACGAGCCATGGCGCCATTGAAGTTTTGTGCTGCGAATCTGAACATGAGGTTGCCGAGTTTGTCCGCCTTCCATGCCTTGATAAAGGCGTAGTCGCCCTTGATTGCCTCTTCCATGACATAGCTCTTGCCGTCGAAGACCTTTACATCCCTGGGGATCGAATACCGAGCGACGGATCCATCGCTGTTGTGTACGGTTGGGAGCTCTCCAGTCTGGACGACTGTTCCGAAAGCTGCTGGTGTGAAGAAGGCAGGAATGCCAGCACCACCTGCTCTACACCTCTCGGCGAGGGTTCCTTGTGGTGTAAGCTCGAGCTCAATCTCGCCCGTGAGGTACATCTTCTCGAAGACCTTGTTCTCTCCGACATAACTGGCAATCATCTTCTTGACCTGCTTGGATTCAAGAAGCAGACCAAGACCAGAGCCGACGATACCGGCGTTGTTGGAGACGGCGGTAAGCCCTTTGATCGAGGGCTTGTTCTTGACAGCATTGATCAAGGTATCCGGTACACCGCAGAGGCCGAAGCCACCGCAGAGAAGCGTGCTGTCGCCCTTGACATCACTGATGGCATCCTCAGCTGAGGAATAGACCTTGTTTATTTCTGATCTTCTGGCCGAGGATGCAAACTTGCGGAGCTGGTTGTAAGGCTGAGCAGGTCAGATTGATGAGGGGCCACAGTAGAGTGTGCTTAGGTACCTTTGAGCCATTTCTGGCCAAATGTGCAGCTGTTCGTATGCTGAGAGTGATTGAAGGCATGATGTGAAGGTTATCGAGGCAGAGAAAGACGAGAGTATGCAGGGACTGACGAAGGAAGAGACAGAGCGAGATGAAAAGAAAGACGGAATTGGTTCCTACCTTGCCAAACAATGGCATGTGATGTGGAGGAACCGATGCCGTTGGTCGAGCGGAGTGAAGCCGGCAGCTGGGCGGGAGGGGTTCGGGCAGGACAGCCGAAGTCAGTCTCCGGTGCAAACCCACCCGACCGTCGAAACTTGGTCAACAGATACGACGGAGAGATCAAATATACTTGGTCTGGATCCGAGGGATCGCAGTGGGAGGATTTCTAGATGACATATCCTGAGCAAAGACTGTAGAGCGCAAACGAGGGAAAAAGTCATGTCGAGCTTGAGAGTTGACCATATGGATGGACGAGCTGAAGAGCACTGAGAAGATTGCGTCCAATGGTTGGTAGCGGACGTTCCGTGCCGTGGAAGTTGCTCGGTTTGTGAAAGAAGACCGAGTCGATGGAAAGTAGGTTGTTGCAAGTGAGAGCGTGTTGAGGGTTGATGGTATCAAAGGGTAGATAGATGGTCTGAGCTTCGACTGTGACGATTGACGGACAGAGCATCACAAGCGGCGACTGCTTGCTTCCATCACCAAGAAACATCCCTCCATCTGCGACCATCTCCACCATCTCTCTCCATTCACACATCGCGCGTCCGACATCTCTCCTCCGACATCACACACCCTAACAACATCAACATGTCCGAAAGCGACGTCAAGAAGACGATCCAGCAGCTCCATTCGCTGTCCGAGAGCAACCTCAGCAACGCTTCCGCCCTGTTGTCACGAGCAAAGATCTCGCTGCTCAAACTACACGCCCTCGTCCCCAACGCCTCCACATCCCACCAACATCTTGCCCTCGCCCGCGAAGTCCTGGAGATTGGCGCCTTCGTTTCCATCCGCCAAAGAGATCCCGAGTCTTTCACACGCTACTTTCAGCAACTCCAACCCTTCTACTCATTACCTCACGACCGATGGGGCTCTCACGATAAGCACGGCAACCAGAGCAAGATCACCGGCCTCTACCTACTACTCTTGCTGAGCCAAGGAGACTATGCCGCCTTTCACACTGTCATTGAAGGTCTCGAAATGGCCTTCGGCGGCAGAAAGCGCCTGGACGATGACGCCTTCATTCAATACCCCATGAGACTGGAGCAGGCTTTGATGGAGGGTAGCTACGACCGTGTTTGGAGCGAGGCCAAGGGCGAGAGAGTGCCCAGCCCTGAATTTGCAGTCTTCTCCGAGGTATCACGCCCACATAACAAAGTCCTCACTACACTGCATACTAACACATTCTCAAGGTCCTCGTCAACACAATCCGCTCCGAAATCGCCTCGTGCAGCGAGCGCGCATACCCCTCCCTTCCCATCTCCAACGCAAAGAACCTCCTCTTCCTCGAATCCGAAGGCGCTGTCATCTCGTTTGCACACTCGCGTGGCTGGGTCGCCAAGGAGGGTCGCATCTATTTCCCTGCCCAGCAAGAAGAGTTGGCACAGGGTGAGAAGGACATTCTCTCTACCAGCGACAAGGTCATCGAGAACACGCTCGAATACGCCAGAAAGCTTGAGACCATCGTCTAAGTGATATAGGCTGTCTCATTTGGCTTGTACTATAGAAATAAGCATAGGTTGTAGCCAAGATATGGCTGGACGGCTTGCATCTAGCGGTTACGGTTCTAATGGTCTGATCAAGGCTTTTAAGCAAGACATTTTCAAACTAAGCCTTGTGGTTTTACTTTCTGCCTCTACTGATGATCTTTTGTACCTACTGCCCGTGATTTGACAAGATCAATGCTCTTGTCTTTCTGCTCGACTACATATACCAGCCAGAGCGGAAAATACCGTTGCCTGGTGCTCGGTCTACGATTTAATCAGTCTCGTCCATAACACATCTTTCTCAACATCACCCACCCAAACTTCTCCGCTGTAACCGTCTACATTGATATCGTTGGCGTGATGCTCTCAGCTCTGTGGAATTTCGGCAATTCTACTGCGCGGTCGTCCACGGCATTTCTGCGAGGTCGATGGTTCCATGCGTGTAACGTAAATCACACACCCTCACACAAGGATCCTGTAAAGCGCAGAGAGTTACTAGATCGACAGAACGCTGCTAAGAGACTCAAACGCCTCGAGGATCCTACCAAGTACCGGAATCAGAGACGAGATTATCACAATACCCATTACTATGGCAGTCCTGAGAACAAACAAAAGTATACTGAGAGGAACAAACGACCAGATGTGAGGCAACAAATCAAGGAATTCAGACAAACCCCAGCAATCATCAAATCGGAACCACTGCGCAAATTCATTCTGAGACGGCCCCATATCTGGCGACATCTAGAATGGAAAACACATACGCCTGTTCTTTACGATACCAAGACCAAGCATGAGTGCGCTAGCTGCCATACCAAACCTTTTCAAGGCTTCGCATTGTGGTGGAAGCGCCACGACGATCTAGATCACAATCCAAATATCTACGACTGCCACGCCTGCTTTGTAGCAGACTGGAGTCGTGCATTGCCCATTGGATACGAGGATTTTGTCTTTGGTCAGGGCAAGACATTTCGTCTTCGCGACAGGGCTGAATCCGCTACAACAGCTACAGACTCCAAGGAAAAGGGATAGTGAAGCCGGAAGCTCCATGGATTACCAATACTTGGGCATAGGACCGCTGTTTCTTTGCGACCATCAGAAGAACAGAACCGTGATGGCAGGTGACATCCTCCTTGGAACGTGGTCGAAGTCGGTTCATCTGTACATCCGTTCGTACACCTCGGCCATTCAACTCAGTCATGGCAATTGAGTGGACTTCGCAACCGCCTCGAGCTCACTAGATCTCACTCCTTCTGTTCGTTGCTCGATATCCTACTCAGCCAAGCTGTTCAACGGTAAGACAGTGTACAGGAAGAAGAGAGTCTTAGAGATAGAATATCGAGGGCTTTTCCGCAGCAGGTCAACAACAGACCATGACGGCGAAACGCAGATATGTTCAATGTTCAAGTATACTATCTGGACAAGCGGAGATAGGAAGGAAGCAGTGGCTTAGGGGTATAGAACTATCACTTATTAAGCTGTTTGTGATCATCATGGATTCGATAAGAGAGGCTAAAGCACATATCTGCCGAGTTCTATGTAGAAGCATGTTCAATTCGCAACAACGACACGAGCATACATGCAGCGCTAAGACTATAACCAACCGGTAGTATGCAGAGCAGCTCCTTGTCGTGACGACAGCTTGACTGAGTCGGAAGTTCGTTACTGCTGCCTCAACGTGGTCTGATAATGTCAGCTGGCCGCAACAGCCAGCCAAGGGTCGTGATGAACGGTTTGGAACGCGCTGGCTGTGAGCCATCTCGGCTTGGCATTCTCCACGTCAACAGTGTGTGCTCAGAGACGTTCGCGCGCGCATCGCATCTCACCACCCTTCTTGCATCAACGACTCCGCACCACCAAACGTCACTAGCATCTGTTCAACCTGCTTGTGCGTTATTGCCGACTTAGCAACTTCTGGAGTCTTGCGTCGCGAACGCTTGCCGATTGTGCGCCACTTATCAAGGTGAGTGCAGAAGCACCTGAGTGGTGACTTGGTTGGGCGACGGACTTGAGACTCGCGGGATATGGAGTCTCGGCCAAGGCTTACCCCCGTGAGCGGTTGAGGGGGTTCCTTGTGTGCAGTGTCGAGGGAGGGCGGCATCAATCGGGTGATCTTGAGTGGTGGCATTAGTTGGGTTGGCCCTGGGGGGCCACGATACTCGGGTAGCCTTTACACTACTTGGCCGGTTTAGCCATCATCAAGACTCGTTGTCCCATTCGCGTTCATTGGTGCATCTCTGACGCAGACTTGCGCTTTAGGCAAACCCCCTGTCATTCCTTCCGTTGTTGTAGCTGTGGTCTGCACTTCTTCGGCGCTTGACAGCTCAACCTCTACCCTTCCGTTGCCGTACAATGGGTGGTATGTTTCCATGACCCCCCCTCCCCATCTCTCCTTCCCCTCGTACCCCAAAGGCTTATCACACAGCAAACAGACACCGATACCTACCGTCCCCGCGAGAGTGTAAGTAGACAGCTCCCATGTTGTTGTCGTTGCTTTTGTGTTGCGACCGTTGGCATTGGTGATGTTGGCAGTGGCAGTGGGTGGGCAGCTGCGATGTGTCGCTCGGTGGAAGGTGTCGTTGACAAGGAAGCTGCGACGGAGCTTGACAAGTGGATGCGTCGGATCTGGGCAGTCGCGACCGACTTGTAGCGCGTGCTGGGAAGGCGCGCTGGACACAGAGGCACGAGCACCTACCGTGGGCTCTGAACTGTTGCATCGCAACTGCGCCGGGCATTGCGCTCTCCTTCACTTGACCACCTCCACTCGATCTTCACTCGAGCTCATCGCCAATCACTCGAGACCCGCTCTTCGCATCCAGCTTCTCTTTCACACCACTCCCAGAGGATGAGAATCTCCGTCAGGCCACTTCCAAGTCGATTGACCAAAGTCGGTTCCGTTGCTGAGCTTCCTCGATCGCTTCACAACTGCCTGCCTATTCTGTACCAATGCTACCATCACCAACACTCCGCCTTCGATCTGCTCGTCAGTTACCGCTAAGGCTACATACTGATCCCACCCAGCGTGACAGATCTCGCTCGCGCCGTCGCTCTCGCAGTCCTCGTCGCAGCCGTCGCTCTTACGATTCCAGATCCCGCTCACGCTCGCGCGACAACTACAGGAGAGACGAACGCAGGTCCCGCTCTCCCGTCAACGGATCCGCCGCCGCTCCCAACTACCCATCCAACAACGCCTATCCTTCCGACCGTGAAGGAGGTGCCGCAGCGCCAGCTCCCAGAAACTTTGAAGAGCGCGTCGTCGCCAAAGAACAAATGATGCAGAACGTTCGCGAGCACTCTCAACAAGATCGTCGTGTCTACGTCGGCAATCTCTCGTACGATGTCAAGTGGCACCATCTGAAGGACTTTATGCGCCAAGGTGAGACGAACTGAGTAAGACAACTTTACCGAATCAATTCTGACCATTCGTAGCTGGTGAGGTCATCTTCGCTGATGTCTTGCTTCTCCCAAATGGAATGTCGAAGGTGGGCTCATGATTTTTTGGCTGGTTTCCCTGGCTATGGCTTTTTTTTTGAGGACATTGGATTGACGGAAGGACTTTGTTCCGGGTGATTGTAGGGATGCGGGTAAGCTCAATTCGGGTGTCTGCTGTTTGCCAACAATCGCTGACCCATCGCAGAATTGTGGAATATGCAACCAGAGATCAAGCTCAGAACGCGGTCAACTCCCTCTCAAACCAGAACCTCATGGGCAGACTGGTTTACGTTCGCGAGGTATGCACTCGTCCACTACTTGAAAGACTGACTACCGTAGCTCATCTCTCATCTCGCAGGACCGTGAAGCAGAGCCCCGTTTCAGCAGCGGTGGCCAAGGCGGCGGCATGCGTGGTGGCTTCCAAGGAGGTCCTCCCATGCGTGGCGGATTTGGCGGCGGTTACGATGCTATGGGCGGCGGCGGTGGCCCTGGCATGATGGCTGGTGGCAGCCGTCAAATCTACGTCTCCAACGTTTGTGGCCCTTGTCAAATGACGCCGTAATGATATTGACTGTGTTATTAGCTTCCCTATACTGTTGGCTGGCAAGATCTCAAAGACCTCTTCCGTCAAGCTGGTAAGCTCGGAGCTGTGTCTACAGCATGTCCACCGTGTACTGACATTTCGTGTAGCTCACACTGGAACCGTCGTCCGTGCTGATGTTCACGTCACCCCCGACGGCCGCATGAAGGGTTCCGGTATTGTCGCTTTCGACAACCCTGATGATGCTCAGGTCGCCATCCAGCAGTTCAATGGATACGACTGGAATGGCCGTGTCCTCGAGGTCAGAGAGGACCGTTTCGCCGGCCCACCTGGCTTTGGTGGCGGTCGTGGCGGCTTCATGGGCGGGCGTGGAGGTTTCGGCCAGCAATTCCCTGGTCGTGGTGGGTTCATGGGAGGTCGTGGTGGCTTTGGACAGCAGCAGTTCGGTGGTCGCGGTGGCTTTGGCGGTGGTTTCGGCGGTGCTCCTCCTGGTGGATTCCACGGTGGCCCCCCTGCTGCCCCTGCCCCTCCTAACCCCTTCACTGACTTTGCCACCTCTGGCGGCGAGCCCGGACCTGTCATCTATGTCCGCAATGTAAGTTGTCGCCAAACGCATACTCGGAGAATGGATTACTGACAAATTGCAGCTGCCCTGGTCTACCAGCAACGAGGATCTGGTCGAGCTCTTTACCACTATTGGCAAGGTCGAGCGCGCTGAGATCCAGTACGAGCCCAACGGTCGCTCGCGCGGAACCGGTGTCGTCGAGTTTGGCAGCGTAGAAGATGCCGGCACTGCTATCAGTAAGTCGCAACCCCAGTCTCACAAGTGTGATGCTTTTCTAACACCCTTCTCAGCCAAGTTCTCTGGATACCAATACGGAGGTCGTCCTCTTGGCTTGACCTATGTCAGATACTCCAACCAGCAGCCTGCAATGGATCCCATGCAAGGCCAAGAACAGACTGGTGGCATGCCCATGGGCCTTACCCAGGATCAAATCATGTAAAATTGCCTCATGCCCACCAAAGAATGATAACGGAGACGTCTTCTTGGACCAACAACTTTACTGGCATGTCTTTCTTGCCAATGCTGTTTTACGACCAAGCTTATCAGTGCTGAGCATGCTTCCGGCGTGAGCAGCACTCGACGAGTGATGGCATTACGCGTCCCATATAACTTTGTTGCACTGTTCAATCTCAGAATGATCATCAAACTACTTTTTCATTACTCGTGACGAATAGTTGGCAGACCAACCTTCTCTGTCTCTCTATATTCTGTATGACAGTGAATCCTAGGTCTATAGTGTGGTGTGGTCTAAACTGTTTGTAGTTAATCCGGCCTTTGAGGAAAGTAAGATGTGCATCATCCATTCATACACAGCCCATTGTACAGCGTTGACAAAGAAGGCTCTGAAACTGCAAACACCGAGTCCGCGAAAGAAGACGGATAGACCTTCCTCTCGATACGCCTGTCTTGTAATCTGTATGGTACTCAACCTTCCTGAGCTTTGAGATGGAAGCAGTTCAGATTGCTCTCCCGAGAGTATGCTGGCTGGTGATCTTGAAATGCCTTGAGTTTGCACCCTGGTCTTTATGACATCTAGAAGTTCAAGATCAGCATCTGTCATTGTTGGAGAGTCACGCCAATCGAGATACCTAAGGGGAACACGGAGGCCCAAGTCACCACACCGGCGATACCACCACAGAGCAGGATGGTCATCCACTCTGGCTTATCCGTACCGGATCTCTCGGATATCAAGGCTCTTTTGCTTAGCTCATAAGACCAGAAACTGTGATAAAAAAAAAATTCAGCCTCTCCTTCCACAAAACACCACTTTACCTTGTCACTCAGAAAGGAAGAAGAGAAGAAGTGGTAGGGAAAACATACTAGAAGCCATAACCAACACTATCCCTCAGACTCGTGACAGCACCACCCCAATACAAACCCCTCAAGCCCCTCTCCCTCCACAACTCGGTCGCAATTGCCCAGGAACTGGTTTCGACGCTACTAACCTGGGCTCTGCATTTTATCAACTCTGTAGGTGCAGAAACCAGAAAAGTAGCTAGACCGCCTAGAGCACCTGCGACAAAGGTTTTTGAGAGAGAAGTAGGCGATGAGGGATCTTCAGAAAGGGAAAGCATGCAGCGGTTGTATGTTATGAACATCAGGGCGTTCAGGGCACCATAGCCGAGGATTGGGGCTGCAGTACCGCGGAGAAGGGTGTGGAGGGAGGTTGCTGCTTTTGTTGTCGTTGTCGTCGTGGTGGTTGCTGGGGTTAGGATCGGTGCTGTTGTGGCTGGTGGGACGAGAGGTGGGCCTCGGTCTCCTCGCTGGAGGTTTACTTTTACTATGTCCAGAGGGTTGCCGATTATTATGCCGGCGGCTCCTGATACGTAGCCGGCCCAGAAGTCAGCGGACATTTTGATTGTTGATTGTTGGTGGTGGGGTGGATGGTATGGAGACGTGGAGGGAGATGGTCGTCTGGGGTGGATTTGAGATCCGAGGCTTGATTGAGATGTGTAGGAAGATAACCGAGAGGTCTTGATATTGAAGGTGCGACTGCGACTACAGAAATGGTATATGTACTTCAAAAGGAGGTTCTATATAATCTATCGTTCTTTTGTCGTTGATGCAAAGATCAACCACAAACCATGCCCTCTTTTGGCACTTCTACCTTCTCACCATGATTCTCTTGCACTTCGACTCTGCCCTCCGGCACTAGACCTGCTTGTTTGTTCTCCTCCTTCTCGCGCTCCTGCCTTTCTTTCTCCTTCTTGGTGAGTTGCATAGATACCATGGACAAGTCAGGCAGTTGAACAAAGACATGGCAAGTGCTTTGTGTCAGGGTCTCTGGTGGCGGTGTCGGACGGTCTGTCGTCCGGTTGGCTGTTGATGTGGGGCATGCATGACTACATGAGAGTCAATTGACATTCGCCTTCGCTGCTCGCCTTCTAGACCCTCGACAAGACATTATTATGAGCTCGTCTCTCACTCGCACCCATACCAACACCATCCCTCTCGAGCCTCGCTCACCCCTCGTCCACTTCCCTCGCTCTCTTTGCTTCTAATCCACGCTCTTTGCCACTCGTCGAGCCACCCCCACTACACCAAACACACGACGCTGTTTCTCCTCTTACGCCCTTCATGGCAGCTGTACAGTCCACCAAGCCGTGGGACCTTTCTCACGTCTTCGACCTTATCAACACCCTCTCGCCGACCAATTCCCAAGCGAAAGATATGCCGCTGCGCCCGCCAATCACAAAGCATGACAGTATGAACGAGTCATCCTCACTCCCGCTCGCTTCGCCGTTACAGCATTTCAACGCTGTTGACGAGGGCGTGTCATTGGGTGACTTTGGCAAGATCTGGCAATATCTAGGCACTCCGATCAATTCACCTGCTCCCAAGCCCGTCGATACCTCTCCAACTCTACAACAGCGCATGCCCGAAAAGGCCGACTACGCTAGTGATGGTGCTGCTTACGGTACACCGAGCAAGCGTATCGCCAAAGGCGGCATCAAGTGGAGAGACCAAGTCAACCTCGGCGACCTTACTGACTATGCCCCTCAAGAGGACGAAGAGGACAAGAAGTTGACCAAGAAGCAACGTCAGAAGAAGAACAAGAAAGAGAGGGAACAAAGACTGGCCTCTGGCGCTGCCAAGTCTGTCAGTGATGTCGACGAGCCTGCGCTGGACACACCAAACTTCTACGACACGCCAGCCCGCAAGGCCAGCACTCACATTGTCTCTGCCGAGCTCGTCGGTAAAGCCAACCGTCCCGCGAGTCCCGTCAAGGCCGCATCCCCCAAATCTGTGTCTAGCGACACAGTCGAATCGACCAAGTCCCGTCAACCAGAAACCAAGGCATCGACACCGCCGCAATCCGAGCCAATCCACTTCGACTCACTGCCCAAGACGCCCAAGACACCAGAGTCCAAGCACCAGAAAGAGTTCAAGAAGCGATGGCCAGTCTCGACTCCATTCGCGACAAAGTCCTCTCCTTTGCTTCCCGCATCTGTACAACCTACACGTACAACATCAACCCCATACAAACCCACCGACGCCAATGCAAACCCGTTCCACAAGGTTCAGCAAGTCAGTGAAACTCCTATCAAGAACAACCGTTCGGCTATCCAGCCCAAGACTGTTCGTTCTGGCGAGGATCGCAACTGGGCTTTACTCTTGAAGATCATCGGTGACTTCTACGAGGATAGAGCAAGTCTCGTCAGCCCTGCAAACTCAATAACACATTCGAATGACCCCAACGGCATTCACGTCTTTGTCGATGCCTCGAACATCTTCATTGGCTTCCACGATCAGCTCAAGCGTGCACGCGACATTCCGCAGCACGTCCATGTGCCCAAAGTGGACCTTTCCTTCGACGCCCTGGCTCTCCTTATGGAGCGCCGTAGACCTGTCGCCAAACGATGCCTGGTTGGTTCAAAGCCCCACATGGCCGCCTTTGATGTGGCTCAACGTGTCGGCTACGAGTGCAACATCCTGGACAAGGTGCTCAAAGCGCGAGAGCTCACCGAGCGCCAAAAATATTTCCAGGAACAGGAGAAGAAGTGGCGCAGACGTAGTGGTAGCTACAAGAACGGCACCAGCACCGGGGCAGACAGTGGTGGCAGTGGCTCAGAAACGAGTAACACTGGCCCCGTCTTCGCCCCTGAGAAGTACATCGAGCAAGGAGTCGACGAGATCATCCACCTGAAAATGATGGAATCCATTGTCGACACCGAGACGCCCTCTACTATGGTGCTGGCCACTGGCGATGCTGCACAGGCCGAGTACTCTGAAGGCTTCCTCAAGATGGCCGAACGTGCCTTGAAGAAGGGATGGAAGGTCGAGCTTGTTAGTTGGAGCAAGAACATCAGTCTCGCTTACAAGAAGGCGGCCTGGCAGAAGAAGTGGGACGGTCGATTCAGAATCATTGAGCTGGACACCTACGCTGAGGAATTGCTCGACATGTGAGACGATAAATGGTAGATGGAGTTTTGGGCGCAGCATTGCAAGAGACTGGTCATTGTTTTATGGATCTCCTTGCTCTAGTACATCATGTTGATGACACTGCCCGGGTGGCATGGCCTTTTTTATACTATTCCGCATAGCGTGGGCATATGGGATGATGCGAGGATTGAGGCTTTGCTAGATATTATTACGAACTTTACATGGACAACGATCCACTTTCTCTGCAACCAAGCACCTGTCTACCAACGTCTTTCCTTCTGCCGCCAGCCTGAATGTCCGTTAACAGCAGAAATACGATACGATCAGCAACGGTCATACCCGTGTGCGACGACAAGGGCGTGGAGACGAAACGATTTCCTCAAAGCAGACTTTCGTGCGTCTTGAGTCGAGTGCAGGTCATCTTGTTGATCACTGCACAATCTTTGGTAAGGATGGGCAAAGTTCTTCGATCGTCAACTGCCGTCGAGTAACGGAACGACGGCACGTTCGGGGTGCCCGAGAGCGACGTCCTGCATTGCTTGATTTGGACGAAACGCTTTTTCGCGTTCGGACGAGTCAGGAGAGGAGGACTACATAACATGCGAACTAAGGACGACCATCCGGCCGAGAGAAACACAGCATGATACGTGGAAGATGAAGACGCGCCTCCTACGCCCGAATTACTGGGTTGTTGGTTTTGCGGCGGAGATCATGTTGTTCCTAGCAAACGGACTATAATATGGTAGGTCCATCTTGACCATCTCTCCTTCCTCCCATTGCTGCTCCTCCACCCTGAGAGCTCCAGTTCTATCACTCTACACCTCTACCTTTTCCCCGATCAAGACGAAAGCATTACGACGACTGGGCATTTCTTGTTAAACTTCCTTGACCATCCGCCGCATTATACTTTGGCGTTTCCCGCTGCCCGGTGTTCAGAGACCAAGGATATAGCCGAAAAGAAAGAAGCGAGGAACAATGGAATCAAAACAACACAGTCTTGGATCGCAGTCTTCGCACTCATCATTCCAGGATACAATCATGGGCTCGAAACCAGAATTGCTTCGGCCGGAGCAAGTGCAGCAGGGCGAAAAAGACGGCATGTTTGATGAGGAGAAGGGAGGAGTTGCTACGGCCGAAAGATCCACAGTTGGAGATGATGGGCAACAAGATGTTGCTGCACCTTCACCGCCGGCGTTTGATCCCAGGGATAATCCTGATGGTGGAAGAGATGCTTGGTTGGTTGTGCTGGGTGCTTTCTGTTGCATGTTTTGCAGTTTTGGATGGATCAATTGTGAGTGGTCGCTTCCCTTACTGAGAACTGCATCATACTTCGTTGTTCGGCTGGCGACTCGGCCAACACATGTTTCATCCTCAACCGAACGTTGTACTGATTGATTGTAGGCATTGGAGTATTTCAAGAGTACTATGAAACGCATCAACTACGAGGGCAGAGTCCCAGCACAGTATCATGGATTCCGTCCATGGAGACCTTTCTGATGTTCTTCCTCGGCCCGTTCATTGGCTACTTCTTTGACTGTTATGGTCCTCGATATATCTTGATGACAGGGACTTTTTTCCACGTTTTCGGTGTTATGATGGCTAGTCTTGCCACAGATTACTATCAGATTATGCTGTCCCAGGGCATCTGCAGTGCTGCCGGAGCAAGCATGTGCTTCTACCCAGGTATGTTTGTACAGTCTAACGCTTCGCAGACATCGCTGACTCGTCGAACAGCAATGAGTGTGATGCCTACCTGGTTCTTCAAGAAGCGTGCCGCTGCCTTTGGTATCATGGCTGCAGGCTCCTCGACTGGCGGTGTCATCTTTCCAATCATGGTCAACAAACTTATCCTCAGGATTGGATTTGGCTGGACGATGCGCGTCTGCGGCTTCCTCATCCTCGCTCTCATGCTCGTCGCCAATGCAACCGTCAAGTCACGTCTGCCTCCCCGACCAAAGACCTTTCACATCATGCAATTCATCCGGCCCCTCAAGGAAACACCATACTTGCTCACTGTACTCGGAAGCTTTTTTTTCTTCTTTGCAATGTTCTTGCCGATCAACTATCTCATCCTCCAAGCAGAGACTTTGGGTATGTCGTCAAGACTTGCAGAGTACTTGATCCCCATCTTGAATGGCGCATCCTTCTTTGGCCGCGTGTTGCCCGGCGTCGCAGCCGACAAGATTGGTCGTTACAATGTCATGACCATCATGATGGCTTTCGCTGGAGTCTTGATTCTCGCTCTGTGGATGCCTGCCGCTTCCAACGCTCCCATCATTGTCTTTGCTGCTTTGTATGGCTTTGGCAGTGGGTCCTTCGTCTCTTTAGCTCCCTCTTTGGTGGCTCAAATCTCAGATGTCAGAGAGATCGGAGTGAGGAATGGTACGGTGTTTGCGATCATTTCGTTTGCTGCCCTGTGCAGCAATCCCATTGGTGGAGCGCTGATTGTCAAGTGGAATGGTGAGTACACTGGTCTTCAGATCTTTGGAGGAATCATGGCCTTGAGTGGTGCTTGTACGATTTTGGCGGCGAGGATTGTGCTGGCTGGGACGAAGGTTGCTGTCAAGGTGTAGAGGCGGAGCCATTCCTTACTTCTCTTGCGACCCTTCATGAATACTATTCCTTACACTAAATTCGTACCAATCGGATGTAACAATGTCCGTATAAAACGGTCTCTCGCTTCAGGGCATCGGTAGCTGCCCTCAATTTTTCGATCGTTCTCATCCGCAGCCTCTCATGCACCCAGCCATACACCTCTCCTACCGGCCGAGAGCTGGGATCAGACGCAACAGCCCCACTAGCTCATGCAAGCTATAATCATCATAAGCGTCTGCCAGGATGCATGCTTGTGGGGTGAGTATGCTTGATTGAATCCTTGAGTCCAGGTTACGTGCGTATGCCTATGATTCCGGAGACCTCGCTGTTGTTGCTGCTTTTGGGTACTGGTGATTGTTCTTTGACCGGACAGTGAAGCCGAGGCATGAGAGAATCTAGAGTGAGCCTCCAGGTTATGTTTATTTGACAGGAAGACCGAGGATGTAGTTATTGGGTCATCAGCAATATGAAAGTCTTGGACGAGGCTTCATCATGTTCCTTTGAATGAATTGGATGTGTTGTCTAATACCAAAGAAAATCTATGGGTGTGTGACAATGCAAAAGAGATCCAATGGATGTAGGCGAGAAGTTGGCATCATAGTCGAGAGCAACACGCTTGCTCAGAATCCCTTGCCCAATCTGATGGTCTCGCCACCAGAGCCGTACCTAGGAAGGAAAATGTCAGCAAGCGGAATGACGTACGGTTACGGCAGAGATGGAAAGACTTACCAGAGAGCACCTTTACGGTTATCGAGACCTTTCCCTTCACCAACGATCCACTCACCACCAGTCTTGATTCCCTGGCCATCTACAGGCCAGAATTCGGTCTTGAGCCAGTCATTGATCTCATCGACTACCTGGACTATCTCCTTCATGCGAGCTTGGTCGACCTTGCCTTCTGCAGTTTCGGTATCGCAAGTCTTGATGAAACGACCCACTGTCAAGTGGGCCGAAGGTACAACATATCTACTCGCAACCTTGACACCAGTGGCAGAGGTCAAAGCATAGAGATCACGTCGCAAGTGGTGATATGTGAAATCATCATCCTCGGGTTTGCGGGATGGATCCACTGTAGAGGGCTCACCGGCCGCAGGAAGGAAGGATAGAGCAAAGGCTTGGGCGTCGTAGGAGAGAGATGGCTTTACGATGCGGGCGCGGTGTGAGTAGGTGTAGTCCGTAATAGCAGCGATTCCCGAGCGAGATTCCTCGACTAGCTCATCGATCTCAGGTGCGGTGAGGGAGTGTGTGATTTCGAGGGCTGTCATGTGCAAGCTGTCTTGTGGCATGATCCAGAGATCTGTGAGTCCGCAGTCTCGTGATTAGCTGAGTCGGTTGATGATTTATATCGAGTATCACTCACTGGGTGCGACTGCCTTGAGTCTCTTCTGCACCTCTGCAATGACAGCCTTGACTTGTGGCGGAGGACGAGCCCAGAACACAAGGCAATGTCTCGGATCCTTGAACCCAGGTTCGATCGTCTGATCTTCCAGCTTTGCGAGAATGGTATCGACGGTTACACCTGCAAAGTCTGGAGAGGTGAGTTTCTCCTTCTGTTGTGCGCCTCGGTTGCTACGGTGGGTTTCATAGCGAGCTTGTATTTCGACCTGTATCGCATCAGATTTGGAAGCATTGTGGAGTTCGACATGGATTTACAGAGTTATCGTGGCATGCTTCAATCAGACCGTCGTACGGGTTGTCTGATACAGTGGGTGTCGCGCCAGAAAGGTCTTCAAAGGTGTAGGAAGCAGCCATCTTTGCTATCAAGATATCAGATTCATGACTCTTCTAATATTCATTGCACTCTTTGTTTCGCGCTCACTCGGCCATCCTCGCAGGTAGATGTATGTTTTCCATACGATTCTGCCAGGAGCGGGAGTGAAGCGCAACATGGCTACAAAGACTCACATACCTCGTATGCTACTTTAGGTTGTGCTGGTTGATATGATCAAAATCCGGCTTGTTGTGTGACACGAGGATATGTTTAAGGTGGTTGAGCTACGAGCATGCGGGAAAGGGAGTCGCGTATTCCTCGTATTGAAGAGTCAGGCTCCGGAGCCTCAATCCGCTGGACGAACCAACCATCCCATTGCTGGGAGTCTGTACGTATTTCTATACCGCTTGCAGCGATTGATGATCTAGACGAATTCTTACATACGACTCGAGCCTTCTCTAGTACGACAAAGTGGATGAAGTAGAATACCACTGAAGATTCGATTGTTGAAGCTCGAGTAGAGCCCTCAGGCGTTCGTGCTCTTATCTTGGCAATATCTCTGTCCTTTGTAAACATCAATCAGTGAGCGCTTAGTAACGATGCCTGACAGTTCAAAAAGCGACGGCTTCACAGGATTCTGATGTACTCGAAGCACAACGAGCACTGGCAAGGTGGCATGCCTGGTGTGGTTGCCCAGTGCTACCTGTTTGCGGCAGGCGATAGACTTGGCGTTTGGTCGAAACGGAGTTTGCGGAAGGAACGATAAACCGATCGGGCTAATCATGCAAGGCACAAGCCGACCATGAACATACGCCCAGCCTCTTGTGAACTTGTGCTATGGCTTCGAGTGCCATTGTGTGCTGTATTATAGTTGGATAAATCGAAAGGCATGGGGAGTGTAGCCGATACCGTTCAATATTGCAATTGCAAATATTGGCAAGCCGCCGCGGGCAACGGAACATGGTGCGATGATGCCCGTCTGAGAAAAGCGGTTGCCTAACGAACACAGTACCTTGATAATGACGCTCGCATCGTCACGAGACGCCCGGGCGCAGCCACCACCGTCTTGGTCCGACCAAGCTAGCTACCATTCATCAACCACTACCCTCCATCCGTCCTCCGCATTCATTCTCCCTCTTTCTCCATCCCACACATCTCCCAACTCCACACAGAAATAACAAGATGAAGGGCAGTTCTCTCATGGCAGCCGGTGCGCTGTTTGGCTCAGCTTCCGCTGGTGTCCACAAGATGAAGCTCAAGAAGGTTCCTCTCTCAGAGCAGCTTGTGAGTGGCGTCATGTTCACCCAACGCGACCGACCATCGGCTAACCACCATCGCAGGAGGGCGCAAACATTGGCCAGCACGTCCAGGCTCTTGGTCAGAAGTACATGGGCGTCCGCCCCCAGAAGCACATGGATGAAATGTTCAAGGAGACCTCGGTGCACGCCGAGTCAGGCCACCCCGTCGCCGTCAGCAACTTCCTGAACGCTCAGTGTAAGTCCAACTCTGTCCTATCAATCTGACACGCCTCTCTGACCAAGCTCAGACTTCTCCGAGATTGCCATCGGCAACCCTCCCCAAGAGTTCAAGGTCGTCCTCGACACTGGCAGCTCCAACCTGTGGATCCCCTCGTCTGACTGTGGCTCCATTGCTTGCTACCTCCACAACAAGTATGACCACAGCAGCTCTTCTTCATACAAGAAGAACGGTTCCGACTTTGCTATCCGCTACGGCTCCGGTGCCGTCGAGGGTTACATTTCCCAGGACACTGTCCAGATTGGTGACATCAAGATCAAGAATCAGCTCTTCGGTGAAGCCACCCAGGAGCCTGGTCTTGCTTTCGCCTTTGGCAGATTCGATGGTATCCTCGGCCTGGGCTACGATTCCATTAGTGTCAACAAGATCCCTCCTCCCTTCTACGAGATGATCGCTCAGGACCTGCTCGACGAGCCCGTCTTCGCCTTCTACCTCAGTGACACCAACGACAAGGAGGCCGAGTCTGAGGCCATCTTCGGTGGCGTCAACAAGGACCACTACACTGGCGAGCTCACCAAGCTCCCTCTCAGACGCAAGGCTTACTGGGAGGTTGACCTTGACGCCATCACCTTCGGCAAGGAGAGCGCCGAGTTCGACAACATGGGCGCTATCCTCGACACTGGCACTTCGCTCATTGCCCTCCCCAGCACTCTTGCTGAGTTGCTGAACAAGGAGATCGGTGCCAAGAAGGGCTACAATGGCCAGTACACCATTGAGTGTGACAAGCGTGACTCTCTCCCTGACCTCAGCTTCACCCTTACCGGTTACAACTTTACCATCACCCCCTACGACTACATCCTTGAGGTCCAGGGCTCGTGTATCTCGTCCTTCATGGGCTTCGATATCCCTGCCCCTGCTGGACCTCTTGCCATCCTTGGTGATGCCTTCCTCCGCAGGTACTACTCGGTTTACGACCTTGGTAGCAACAGCGTCGGCCTTGCCAAGGCCAAGGCTTAAGTGATGATTGTCAGTTGAAGACAGGTCTTAGGAAAGGTAGTCGCATCAGCGTTGCTTAATTATTGTAATCTCATTTCCTAGTTTGTTGGTAGACGGCCGCAAATATGCATGGGACGGTTCTACCACAAATTTTGTATTAATCATTCATCCACTTGCGCATACTCTCTTGCTTCTGTGACTGGACAGCTGACTCACTGCACCTTCGCCTCTCTCCGAATACAATGTGGATGACGTGATGACACGTGAGAGTGTGGGGAAGGCTTCACTGCCAAAGGCGGTGAGGGTGGTGGCCACAAAGGTGGTCGAGTACTCGAGCAATCTGCAGCCTATCAAGGTGCAGATCGGAGGACTGCGGGCTTTCTGAGGTTGCAGGCCAGCGTACAATATGTAGCAGTGAATATGAATCAGACCGTACAATAGTGTCTAGACAGAAGCAGGTCATAATTCGCTCTTTATCATCAGCCTGTCACGAGCGTGAACCCCAGATTCCTTTGTAGGTTCGAGGGGCGCGTGCAGGATCTCAGTGGTTCGTCTATCCGCGTGCCTCGCCCACGTTGTTGCATCAGGATCCAGGTCGAGTGTCGTCCTCGACTGCTGCCGCCCCGTACCTCGACCTTTCACACATCATGGCCTCCCATCGCAGTACGCCGCAAGCTCGTCGACGAGCGTCCCTAGAGCTGCCCGAACGATTCCGCTTCGACGATGACGAGGACCTAGATCAAGATCAAGACCAAGACCAAGAGGTGGATAGAGCACAAATCATAGATATGGCCCTGATGCATCAAAGTGTATTCGGCATTATCGCCGCAACACAGTCAAAGGCCAACACGATGCGGTCCATGCTCCAAGAGGCCGATAGTGATAGCGACGATACAAGTCCGCCGACAAGATTCAGCAGACCCACGATACCATCTACGCTCCCTCTACGGAAGGGCCCACTCGCTCGCAAACCCCACCTTCAGAGGGTGCCCGACAACGACCTGGTCCAGTCATTACCTGGTCTGCGCTCTGCACCCAAGCATACCACCTTCGCAACCACAACCCCCACTCGCTTCTCCAAGCCTGTCGACGCACCTGAACCCAGCCCCCTCGCGGGCGCAGATCTGGGATCATCGCAGTCAACTATCCGAAAGCCCGCCAGCAGGAAGCCAAGCCCTGTTCCAGACATGTCATCAAGTACCACCCAGGTCGCGTTGCCCGATGCTCTGAAGGACATCTTCAACTTTGACGAAGCCGAGAAGGTTGTCGCAAAGTATCCCTGCTGGTACCTCCAAAGCGTCCTCCTGCAAGGCTATATCTACATCACACAACGTCACATCTGCTTCTACGCCTACCTACAGAAGAAGACTGGTGTCACCATCAAGTCTGGCTACCTTACCAAGCGTGGTCAACGCAACCCACGTTACAAGAAATACTGGTTCGTGCTCAAAGGCGATGTCTTGTCCTACTACAAGGATCCTTCGACTCCCTTCTCTCCGCGAGATGTTATAGATTTGCGATACGGAGTCTCGGCAGATATCACACCGACGCAAGCACAGGATAAGGAAATCGCTTCTTTCTCTGTCGTCACAGATGCCAAAACATACCACTTCAAAGCAGAGACTGCCTCGAGCGCAACAGAATGGGTCAAACAGATACAGAAGGTCATCTTCCGCTCACGCAACAATAGTGACAGCGTCAAAATCTGCTTACCAGTCGATAACGTTGTTGACATTGAAGAAAGCAACTTCCCAGACTTCGCCGACACTATCAAGATTCGAGTTATTGACAACGACGAGACTTTTGCTGTCGATGAGGTAAGTGATTCGGTTCGCTGTACACATCCCGCACTCCTCACTAACAGCTGTCTAGTACTTTTTCTCTTTCTTCGGCTTTGGTGAGGAGGCGCTTCGTGTGCTACGAAGCTTGACCCAGGAGACAAGCGCGCAACGAGTACTCGCGAGTCGGCCCACCTCACCAACTCTTACCATGACCGATCGTCGACCATCATCAGCACATGGAAGGAAGTCTCGGGTGCCGTCAATGAGTCCTGCTCCCGGGAGCTTGCATGAGAATGTCACGGCCACTCTGTCCCCAGCCTCTGGTCTTACTTCTAGAAGTGCTCGGTCAAGTAGCGAGTTGGAACGTTCTACCCTCGATCTCACACACGAAAGAGAAGAGAGCACTTCCAGCCCAATCACAAAATGGCGAAGTGGTCAGAAGCAAAAGCAGTGGGATCAATTTCCACGAGATGCTTCGGAGTCAAATGTGTCCTCCTCCGATCAGGGAAATGACAGCGAGATGTCAGAATCGGCAACTGGCACGGATGCTTCGGGTAGCCACATACTGAGTGGAAGCGTCATGTTCCATAAGCCAACCATCGGGAAGCATCACGCTGACAACGTTGCATCGCATAACGCAAACACGCAGACGGATGTACCGTTTGCTCCAGCTAAGAGAGCTGGAAAAGAACCTGGAGCCAACACTCTGACAAAGAACTCACCAGACACACAAGCGCAAGACATGCAACAATCAGATTCTTCAACACTGGGAGGACTGATGAAGGTCGGCGCTGTCCCTATTCAGCGTGCCTCGGGCTTCCTGTACAACTCTGGTAAGCGTGTCAGTGGTCTGTTTGGAGGCACGCCCTCAGAGTACTATGACAAGTTTTCCGGCATGATCGCTGGTGGTAAAAAGCACTACGCCGAAGCAGACGAACTGCAGCCTGGAGAAGAGGTGCAGGATTCTGAAGATGAGATGACTGTTCGCGAGGCTGAAAAGAGCTTCCGAAGCCATTTTGCTCTGCCAGATTCCGAGAAGCTTGTAGCAACATTCTTTGGTTTCTTCCACCGAGTGTTGCCCCTGTACGGCAAGTTATACGTTGGAAGCACTAGGCTATGCTTTCGTAGCTTCATGCCTGGAAACTGGACAAAGGTGAGCTCGAAAAATGGTCTCGATGCTCTGCTTTTGCTGACTGCGCCTAGCTTGTTGTTCCGTTCAAGGATATTATGGACGTTGACAAGGAAAGAGGCTTTCGCTTCGGGTACTCGGGCATGGTTATTGTAATCCGAGGGCACGAGGAAATCTTCTTCGAGTTTGGCTCGCAAGACCTACGCGACGACTGCACAGTCACTCTCTTACGTTCTCTTGACTCGATGGAGCCGTTTCAGGAATCCGTCCTGCTCACAGAGGAAGAGAAAAAGGATGCCGAGGCAGCAGCAGCAGAGAACCTCCTGTTGCAAGAAGCTCGCCAGGGTGATCGTGGTGGTGTTGAGTTCCAGCTCCCTCGCAACATCGATCCCTCAGGCATGTTTGATAACTCTCTGACTACCATATCTTCTTCTAACAAACTTGCAGATCACGACTCGTCAGCCGTTTCCTTTGACGATCCAGCAGCCTCGGTCCTCGATTTCAAGCCTGAGGAGTCTTTGCGCATCACTTGTCTGACCATTGGGTCTCGCGGAGACGTACAGCCATATATAGCCTTGTGCAAGGGCTTGCTTGCCGAAGGGCACAGACCAAAGATTGCCTCTCATGCTGAATTTGGTGATTGGGTACGAAGTCACGGAATTGATTTCGCACCGGTCGAAGGTAACCCGGCAGAGTTGATGGCACTTTGCGTTGACCACGGCATGTTTACGCCCTCTTTCCTTTATGAGACAAACCAGAAGGTATGTTCAGGTCCTCCCTTGCTTTTGTTTAGCCCACACTAACAGTTCTAGTTTTGGCCTTTCGTCAAAGGTCTCCTCAAGACAGCCTGGGCCGCGTGCCAGGATTCGGATCTATTGATTGAGAGCCCTTCCGCCATGGCTGGAATTCATATTGCGGAAGCTCTTGGTATTCCCTACTTCAGAGCCTTCACTATGCCCTGGACCAGGACACGTGCCTATCCTCATGCTTTTGGTATGCAGAATAGCAGGATGGGCGGTGCGTACAACTACATGACATATGTCATCTTCGAGAACATATTCTGGAAAGCCACATCGAGTACGATTAACAGATGGCGCAAGGAAGACCTAGGTCTAAAGGCCACCAGCATGGAGAAGATGCAGCAGGACAAGGTGCCGTTCTTCTACAATTTCTCGCCCAGCGTGGTTGTTCCACCTCTCGACTTTGGCGAGTGGATCCGAGTGACCGGATATTGGTTCCTTGATGAAGCAGACAATTTCACTCCTCAGAAGGAGCTTCTCGACTTTATCAAGAAGGCACGCACAGATAAGGCGAAGCTTGTTTACATCGGCTTTGGCTCGGTGGTCGTTCCTGACCCAAAGAAGCTTACTCTGGATATCATCGCTGCTGTTAAGAAAGCCGATGTTCGCTGCATCCTTTCCAAGGGCTGGTCTGACCGTATGGATAAGAAGGATGCCAAAGCACTCGAGGTGCCTTTACCAGACTTCATGTTCCAAATTGCGTCTGCTCCGCACGATTGGCTGTTCCGACAAGTCGATGCTGCTGTTCATCATGGCGGAGCAGGTACCACAGGCGCCAGTCTCCGCGCTGGCATACCAACCATCATCAAGCCCTTCTTTGGTGATCAGTTCTTCTTTGGCAGCAAAGTCCAAGACCTCGGAGTTGGACAAAAGGTCCTGACCGTCACCGAGAACGCGTTGGGTAAAGCGATATGGATCGCGACGCACGACTCACGCATGATTGAGAAGGCCAGGGTTCTGGGAGAGCAGATTCGATCCCAAGACGGAGTCGGCACGGCCATCAAGGCCATCTACCGCGACATGGAGTACGCAAAGACACTGGTCCAACAACGTGTGGCCAGAGCAGCGCAAGCTGATACGGATGCCGAAGACGAGGAAGAAGTGGAGGTCGAAGACAGCTGGACATTGGTGGAGAATGACTCTGATCCAGACGCGACGAGCCCAACAGCCATGATGCAGCCACAATCACCGTCGTCGAGCGGACAGGGGAAGAGCAAGGCGGGAGGCAGGTTTCTGGCGCTCAGGTCGTGAAGGTTTCGGTATAATGTGAAAACGACGCTTTAGAGACAACAAGATGAGAAGATGATGACAATTTGGGATTGCGATGGTCAAGGGGGTTTGATTTGGTGCGGACTCATGCAGCATGGCGCTTATACGGAGGCTTATGCAATCTCATTTCTTGTCTTATACGGATAGATGCACGATAATCGGATAGAGATAGGGAGAAATACAGGCGGTAACTGCAGAGACATGGAATGCGCACAATCGATAGACGTTGGTAACGGTTGGTCGGGACTTGCGGTTAAGGCGATAGGCGATGAAGGATATCAATATAGACGAGACGTGTGTTTCAAGCAGTGGAAGCCAAGTTGGATGCGACAAAGGAGACGGGAAGGGATTAATTTAACAAAGTCAGTAGCGCGGGCTGCATTTGGCCAGTGGGCGGGTCTAGTAGGATCGGAAACAGGCGCGTATTTGAGGGACTGTGCTTTGGGCTGCTACACTTGGTGCCCCGCCATGGGTCGACCAGGCTCTCTTGCATTTGACCTTGTTGTGAACTGACCTGTCTTTCTTACGTCTGAACCAAGCGAGAACAAACAGAGACGTGCAGCAGCCCAAGCAAACAAGTCGAGCAATCAAGCCGCCGAACAAAGAACAGCATCCTAAAGAAAGAAAGAACGGCTGGACCCTCTTTCCGCATCACCATCTCTCGAAACGGCCTTGAGTGACTGCTGAGTGAGTGAAAGCAAACTGCCCCTACATTCCACAACTGACCACCGTCAAGTAGATCCGCACCTTCCTTGCACAATTGCGCCCTTCCACCTATAGCTTTACCGACAGCCTTAGCAACAGCCAGCCCGCAACCATGTCGCGCGCACCCCAAAGCGGATCCCGCAAGATCTCGTTCAACGTGTCAGAGCAGTATGACATTCAAGACGTAGTAGGCGAGGGTGCCTACGGTGTTGTATGGTATGTGACCCAGTCGGACATGTCAATGTCAAGCTAGACTGACACTCGTAGCTCTGCACTGCACAAGCCGTCGGGCCAGAAGGTGGCCATCAAGAAGATCACTCCCTTCGACCACTCCATGTTCTGTCTGCGCACACTGCGCGAGATGAAGCTCCTCCGCTACTTCAACCACGAGAACATCATCTCAATCCTCGACATCCAGAAGCCGCGCAGCTACGAGACCTTCACCGAGGTCTACCTCATTCAAGAGCTCATGGAGACCGACATGCACCGCGTCATCCGTACCCAAGAACTGTCAGACGATCACTGCCAATACTTCATCTACCAGACACTGCGTGCTCTCAAGGCCATGCACTCGGCCAACGTCCTGCATCGCGATCTCAAGCCTTCCAACTTGCTGCTCAACGCAAACTGCGATCTCAAGGTCTGTGACTTTGGTCTCGCTCGCTCAGCTGCCTCGACCGAAGACAACCAGGGCTTCATGACCGAATATGTTGCTACCCGTTGGTACCGCGCTCCCGAGATCATGCTCACCTTCAAGGAGTACACCAAGGCCATTGACGTGTGGTCCGTCGGCTGCATTCTCGCCGAGATGCTGAGCGGCAAGCCCTTGTTCCCGGGCAAGGACTACCACCACCAGCTCACCCTCATCCTCGACGTTCTGGGTACGCCCACCATGGAAGACTACTACGGCATCAAGTCACGCCGCGCTCGCGAGTACATTCGTAGCTTGCCCTTCAAGAAGAAGATCCCGTGGAAGGCCATGTTCCCCAAGACTTCGGACCTTGCCCTTGACTTGCTCGACAAACTTCTCGCCTTCAACCCTGCTAAGCGCATCACCGTTGAAGAAGCTCTGAGACATCCTTACCTCGAGCCCTACCACGACCCCGAAGACGAGCCTACCGCCGACGCCATTCCCGAAGAGTTCTTCGACTTTGACAAGAACAAGGACAACCTCACCAAGGAGCAGCTCAAGCGTACGTCTAGCCAAATATGATGAATCGAAAATATGCTAACTGTCATCTTAAACAGAGCTCATCTTCGAGGAGATCATGCGGTAATTCACAAGCTGCGACTTCTCTACTTCTGGATCTATTTCTTTCATCTCTTGCCATATATCTCTTGCCATTTAAAAGTACTTACCTCGTTCGCAAACCCCATGAGCCAGATCGCTAACCCGCTCTTGCAGCGACTGCACTCTCGACAAGCTCAAATATCAACTACCCAAATCGAACACTACCGCCATGACCTACTACCCTTCCGTCGATCCTATTCGTCATACTACCTTCGCCAGCATAACAGAAGCGCCTGTAAGCTCTCCTCCTTGGTCTGGTGACAGCACGTTTGTCCACAGTCCTCGTAGCGCCATCACCAACGCCCCCTTTGCCGAGGGATCGTGGGCTAGAAGCTTGCCCGCTTTTAAGAACTTGTTCCGTTCAAAGAAGGAGGCGCCCGACGAGGCAGAGACAGAGAAGCAGCAACAAGAGTCTGCCAGCCCCGACGCCGAAATCACTTCGGACGAGAAGACTCCCTGGCACCAAACCAGTCAACGCTGGCTTCTCTGATTCTGTCACAGCCAGAAAAATACAAACATACAAAAACAGGCTAGAGATATCGAGATCTGGAAGGACCTAAGAGACTTGAGTTGTCGTTTTCTTTTTCCTCCGTTGTCGTGTCTTCATCTCGCAAGAGACCTTTCACCGCGACTAGAGCCCGTCTTCTTACTGTTTCATCCATCATCACCACTGTCTTCGCGAAAAAAGGGAGGGTGCCATCATTTGGGGGGCGTTTGTCTGCTTTTTTTCTTTCTTTTTCTGCACATCACTTTTTTTTCCTATGTCGGCATCAGCAAGCGTATCCCAGAAGCAAAAACACTACAGTACAGCGGGAACAAGAATTCAAAAGAATCAAATCACCTTTTTGCACCTTTTTGCACCTTTTTAGAATGTATTGCATCGCCGCTTGTGACTTGTGGGCTGACTGTCATATTTGGCCTCAGGGAAGATGTCAGGGGTATGACCCTGTCGTGATATATCCATATCTTGCACCACCATCCATTGTCTAAAAATTGGAGGGCGTTGTCTTAGACAGCTTGTAAATCCTCATCTAGTTCATCTCTGTATGATTTGACTGTATTGGAGAGCACTGATGCAATCATGTTGAGTAAACAATGCATTGTATGATATTGATGACGAAGTCTACATGAAGAACACTTCCAACTCGAATGAATCCGTAACGATTACAGTACACTGATTCAAAGGCTCGCATACGGCGAAACATCCTATCTAAATATGTAAAGTAAAGGGTAACCGTAGGAGGAATAGGAGACTACAATTTGGGACAATAGGATGTAGAGCGAGGCAAAAGAGGAGTGATGCAATTCAGCTTTTTGTTTCATGATATCTGTTTTCTTCTGTTCGTTTTTCGTTACATCGTTTCTCGAGCAAAACATAATCGAGCAAGTAGTAGCTTCTTTTATTCTTCATCCATGCGTCCCCTAACACCTCGTGTCAGACGCCAAAGAAAAACAATCCTCTTCTCTTTTTCCCTTCCGATTTTCCCATTAAAATGATACTACAGGGGTGCGAGAAGATGACACAAGTTTACCAGGTGGTGGGTACACTAGGGTACTCCTTGTGAGAAAGACCCAAGTCTGCAAACACCGTGTCGTCTCCCTTGAGGTGCTCGACGCGGAGCTCGTCTTCATGCTCAAGCTTCTCAATCTCCTCTTGCGGTGTCTCCTTGTTGTCCGAGTTCTGGTCCTTGGATGTGGCTTCGAGAGCGTGGCTGTCATCCAAGGGCTCTCCGATCATCAACAACTGTGCATTGTCATAGTCGAGGTGCTTGGGCTGGGCAGGCATCCAGTTGCGGCCGCGGAAGTCCTCAATGATGTCTTGAGGGAACTCTGCGGGCTTGTCGAGGGTAGCGTATGATGGACCCTTGGCTTGAGGATTCTTGAGACTGAGCACGAAACTGCCCTTTTCGCGGATGCCCATGTCCTTTTGCATCTGACCGGGCTCTTGAGGGATGGTGAGCATGTAGGCAAGATGAGATTCAGAGCGAGTGCCAGTGGTGGTGATGGCGTAAACACCTTCGCCGATAGGAGTGATGGGGTGGTTGGGTCGGTTGCCTGTAGCGTTAATTTCTTTCTCTGAGCCTTGGAAATAGTTCTTCTTGAGTTCTTCCAAGGAAGCCTTTGCCTTTTCGACAAAGACCATGAACTTGTCACTGGGGCTTTGGGGAAAGACCTTCTTGGGAAGAGCGAAGAGACGGTTGTTCTTGGCATCCTCGATAGCGCCGTCACCTAGCTTTGCGCCGGTGGGGAGGGGACGCAGAACGAAGTAGCTACGCTGCAGGTCCTGGACGCTCTGAGGGTCGTCAATGCCAACACGGCCTCGGGTGAAGAAGTAGATGATACCCTTTTCTTGGATGTTGCTGGGCATTTGCTCAGCACGATCCTTACTTTCCTCGACAGCACCACCGTCCTCGTCCTCCTTGGGCTTCTCCTCGATCGGGACCTTGGGATCAGCAGCGAAGTCGCGGTGGATGTCGTCCTAACACGGTCAGTCGATGAATTGGCCAACAGCTGGATGGTACTTACGATGGGGAGGTTGTCGGGCTTAGGCTTGGGCTTGTCGGGCTCGATGGAGTTTAAGCCAGCACCACCACGAGAGTCCTTGAGGGCCTTCTCGGGGTCGTCCTTTGACTCTCCCTCTCTGTTTTCGCCCTGGTACGACTCGCCGACCTGCTTGATGGAACCGTCGTCCTTCATCTCAGCGTTAGTCTGTTCAGAAGGCTTCTGTTCAGATGATTGCTCGGACGACTTTTGCTCAGCTGAATCGGCAGCAGGCTTCTGCTCGGCAGTCTCAGTCTGACCAGCTTCAACAGATGGCTTGGACTCGGAGTTGGCGCCGGCGTCTTGGGCAGGCTTGAGAGTCTCTTCAATCGTCTTTTGCTCAGCAGCGTTCTTGCGGCCCTTTTTGGAAGGGGAGGATTGAGAGTCGTCGGCTTTGCGTTTGTTGTCTTTGGTTTCTTGGGAAGCAGCCGGGGGGCTGGACTGCTTTTCAGCCAAACGAGCAGATGATCGTGTGCCAGGCATGATGTGTATATGTTGGAAGGTGTGAGGGGTTGTCGAGCTAGCAAGGGTGCAATTGGTTGGATGGAGCAAAGATGACGGCGTGATGGACGTGACGATTGGTGATGTCAATGGAAATTTGTTTGTCCAGAGAGGGGTTTGTAGCTTGCGTGATCAAGAGAGGAGCTGAGGAGTGTATATAAGGAACCTCTAAGAGTATTTATCGTAACGATTTAGCTTCGAAACGCGTCTCTAACGCGAAGGTCGTGATCGAGCTCGGTACACGTCATCGGAGTCGCACTCGGACGTGTTTTCTTCCAATGCTGACGCACGAGACCTTCTCAGTTGAGTAAGGCTGATCCGGCACAGGCAGACAGAGCTCAATCGCGTCAAGAGCTCTGATGGATTGTGTCTTGATCGCGTCGTTCGCCAACAACGCTTCTTGCATTTTTGGTGAGTGGCGTGGAGTGGTTTGCATCGCATCACCGTGGCATAGTGTGTAGACAGAAGGCGCCATCAACCACATCGTCCGTCCTTCCAGCCCGTCCTCCATCGCTCTTCCCATTTCTTGCAGTCGAACGACTTTTTGCCCAGCTTGACATTGACAGCATTGTGCGCCTCACACATCCATTGTCCAAAGTCATCTCTGCTGCTCACGCGTGGCTCGTTGCCATCTTTCATCCACGCTCTGAAATCGTCGGCGCATACCCAGCAAGGGTACATCTTGCCAAACAATTGCATAAACGTTCTTGTCTCTTTTTGCTGCTCTGCTGAGGCCTTTTCTGGGTAGCTTGCTGCCATGGTATGGAGGAGAGTCCACGCTGAGCGTCCGAGTTGTTCTACGTCTGGCGGACAGTCGGCCGGCATGTCAAGGGCAGAGGTCGCTTGTGCTGGTGGTGTAGTAGTCGAGATCTTGGATGGGGTTGTGGTGCCCTGCTTGGCCATAGCGAACCACGACGACACTGAAGTGCATGACCGACACCTATTGCTTCACCTCAGTGTGTGATCTAGTATCTTGTGCAGTGTATCCCAACGTACGGCTTGCCATCAGGACCCAAGACCACGCCCTTCGGCAGCTGCTTGGGGCTTTTATCCTCTTCGTCGGCCTGAGCCTTCTGCTCGGGCGTCGCGTCTAGTGGTTGAGGCGGCATTCCGGTCGTCTTTGTCACAGCGCAGCCGAATTGCGAGAGGATCGGGTATGGAATCTCAGTGATAGGCATGTTATGGATCTTTCTATATTTCGCATTTGTCAGTTTCCCCGTCCGCCTCCGAGGGTTCCTCGTCCGTGCTCGGGCTCCAGCGCTCCAGCGCGTCTCTTCTCAACCACCTTTTCGGCCATTGCCGCTGACACAATTCGACCAACCATCAACGACATATATTCCATATGTCGAGCACAACACCAGATATTCCTGTCTTGCTGCTCAAGACAAAGTCCATTCCGGCTGATGGATACCATGAAATTTTCGCTGGCTGGAACAACTATCTACCCACTTTTCTACCCGTCTTGGAACATCGCTTCAGAGATAATGCTTTGACCTGGCTAAAGAACATAACTTCAGACAGAGGTTTCAGTTCTGATACTACCACGCCTACCACCTCGAGCTTCGGCGGTATCATTTTCACTTCACAGCGTGCAGTCGAGGCTTTTACAGCAATAGTCGAGTCTCTTGGTCCTAGCACTCGAGACGAACTCCTGCCCGAAGCTCTACCGTTATATGTTGTTGGTCCAGCTACTGCCAGAGGACTGCGATCTTTGAACCTGAAGTGCCAGATCATTGGAGAAGAGACTGGCAATGGCGCCGCCCTATCCGCATTCATGCTGGACCACTACAACCGCCTTCCCATCAGCCAGACGGTAAGGCAAGACCGCAAGCTTCCTCTTTTGTTTTTGGTAGGAGAAGTACGCAGGGACATTATTCCCAAATCCCTTCAGTCCCCTGATCTGCCCCAAGGAGCTCGTATTGGTGTGCACGAAGTTGTCATCTACGAGACTTGTGAAATGGCATCTTTCCACATTGACTTTGCTCATGCGCTCGAGGAAAATGTTGCATCCGGGACCAAAGAGCAATGGGTGGTCGTCTTCTCACCTCAAGGATGCCGCGCAATGCTCGATTGCTTAGGATGGCTCGACGAGTCTGGCCGCTTCAAGGGGCAAGACACAGGCTCATCACCAATTACAACATACATTGCAACCATCGGCCCCACAACACGCGACTATCTGGTCAAAGAGTTCGGGTACGAGCCACATGTGTGCGCTGAGAAGCCCAGCCCGGAAGGCATCTATGCTGCTATAGAAAATTATAGGAGCACGAATACAAGGATGCAACCGTAAGGCGGCTGAGTCGAGATGCACTGGTGCAGTGCTATAGGCGCTGTGCATAGTGAAAAAAAGGCAAAACAAGGCAGGGAAGGCTGTCAAAGCAATGCACTTCTGACGTGCTCTATGTACAGATAGATAGATTAGGCAATGGCATGAAGCATGTCATTCAAAGTCAAACATGGAAAACAACACTGCTGCAGGCTGTAGAGGCTTGTCTTGGCGACGATGAACCTCGGCGTCGCGACGAGGTCGAAGCTGCGCTGTGATACAACTAGCAGGCATAACTGGCACTGCATGAACGCCTGGATCTCAGCATGACTTGTTGCGCCCAGGCTCAGTGATGATGCGAACGATCCATCTAGACAAATCCGTCAATTCACGACATGGCCGCTGCAGTGTCTCCCCCGACGAGGAGCCAGGAACACCAGGCAACGCACAAGAAGTCGCCCACCGAACCTAATGTGCTGAACGTCGTCCTGGGTAACATCCAGGTTAAGCCATGGTATCCCTCATTCTACCCTGAAGATCTCGTCGGTCGGAAGGCCGAGCGCCTCTATGTCTGCGAGAGCTGTTTTCGCTACTCCAAAGAGCTCATGCCATATCTGGCACACAGAGTATGACTGCCATCCTTGGAGGGAGCACAGAGTAGCCAGACCAAGCTGACGCGACCCAGAGAGTCTGTCCACTCAAGGACGCACCGCCGCCGGGAACACTGATATATCAAACGGCCGACCAATCGATATACGAGATTGATGGTGAAGAGCACAAGGTACATTTCATCTATCGCACCTGAGAGTTGCCTGATAGCTAGCTAACATATTGAGCAGCTGTATTCTCAGAATCTCTCCCTGTTCGCGAAACTCTTCCTCGACACAAAGTCCGTTTTCTACGATGTCACGACATTCCGATACTACCTTCTCGTGCTTACGGACCCGCAAAATGCCGAAACACAAGTCGTGGGCTTCTTCAGCAAGGAGAAGATGAGCTGGGACAACAACAATGTGGCTTGCATTCTGGTCTTTCCACCCTGGCAGAAACGTGGTCTGGGTCAGTTGCTGATGGGCGTGAGCTACGAACTAAGTCGTCGCGAAGGCAGACTCGGTGGCCCCGAGAAACGTAAGAATTCCCCATCCACCTGAGTTCTGGGACGCCACGCTGACTGAACCTTCAGCCCTATCGAGTCTTGGAAGAAAGGCATATCTAGCATACTGGTCAGCCTCGATCTGTCGCAACATCTTGTCGAATCCTTCGAATCGATCTTGGACTGTGGACCAGATCGTTCAACAGACTTGGATTGCACCCGAGGATGTGGTCATGGCCCTGAGCGAAACGGCCATGATCGAGCCGAACAAATTGCCCGATGGATCAGTCGTGTTGGTCAGGGGCAAGATCGAAACCTGGGTCCGGGCACATGAGACGGCGGCGGCCACGCCGGCCATTGATAGGACCGCCTTCACGCAGACCTTCCGTGACCAGAAACACCGAAGTACGAAGTACGAAGCCGGAAGATAGACATTACACACTAAGCATGCAGGTTTCAGAACAAAGGGGAAAGATGCATGCTCCGTATTTCTTATCATTCTTCGTTGCACTCAATACGGACGACATGCTCCAGTCTCGAAAACAACCAATCTCTTGGCAAGTTTCTTTTTCGGGAGCCAATCGACCGGTCAATGGTCGTCGAACAGGTGCTGGCTGCAGGTCAATATACGCAAGTGGACGCATGCAGTACCTCAGTAGACGCCGAGTGGAGCCACCTCTTTGGCCGCCGGCGGCTGCTCGCACGAGGCAAGAGTGATTTTCCCTCCTCATGCACGACATTGACCGAATATCGTTTTGAGTTTCGACTGTTTTCTAGAAATTCTCGACTATGGCGTAGTGTGGTATAGAGTAGAAAAAAGAAGCTCGTCGTTAGCACAGGAACAGCAGCGCAAGTACGTCGATGGTCAAGTAGACGGCGCGACGGGGTTGTCCGGACGAGTGACGGATCCAGTTCGAGTGGCACGCTATACGAAGGTAATTCCTACACTTTTGCATGACAGGCTGTCATGTACCGAAGCGGTCTGCAGATCTCCATCCTATTGCTCTGGCCTGCATGTCGGGAGCATGCACCTATGCGGGGGGTGGCTGGCCGCTGTGCTGTGAAACGATTTGAAATCACCGATTTAACGAAACTGCACCGCTGGGCTGCAGTGATGAGTGGTGCGAGAGTGCGACGAAGGTGCAAGAGATCCAATCAACGCGACGATGTTGCAATGATTGCACAACGTGGCAGCTTTTCGATCCGTCGCTCGCAGCAACAGAACCAACTTCACAAAGTCACGGTCGGATCACGGTTCTAGAACCTGCAATGGGATTATGTTCCAAGGTTCTTCGTATCTGCAGCAAGTTTTGTCTCCTGACCGCAGATTGTCTCCTACAGGCGGTGGAGAAGCTCACGGCGTAATCAGTGTGCGCTGTTCAAGAGCCCTATCAACGCATCACTTTGCGGTTCGTCCAGAAACCGGTGCGGGACGATGTGGTTTTTGGGCGCGCCAGTTCAAGCCACTTCGTGATCCGCGATGAACGGGTGAACTCTCTCTCCACCTTGCGCGACGCTCCGCCCCGTTGTACGTCAAAAGGTTCCAAAAAACCGTGGACACGGTTCTCCACCTTGCGCTAAGAAAGCTAGACCGACATGTCGAGCAGAAGGAGGCCCGACGAGCAACTTGTAGCGATGAGACTGCAGCAGCGTTTGGTCACACAAATTACGGACATGTACGCTGCAATTCACCGTGATTGTCTTCAGAATGCTGGATCGAATATGGAAGAAAAGGGTTCGCAGATGAAGGAACAGGCCTAGATTGGTAACACATCTCTGAAATGCTTCATCGCAAAACCTTGATATATCACAACACCCACGCAGGAGCCGGAGGACATGAACGCTGGACAGGATTCCCTGGCGGCAGGGTTCGAATCTGAAACCGGTTGTGTCGGTAGAAATGGGAGATCGCCATATCTTTCACCGCTGGTTTGGATGTCCGGGATCCGGGAAGGTGAACGGCTGGGTCTGACGTGAATGAGGTGTAATTGCTCTTGCATTGAGTGACTCTCATTTGGGAAAGTGTTGGTGCCCACCTTGCGTGATTGAAGTGAATGATTAGTATTCTCATGACGGCACAGTTTCTGTTGGATGGGAGTAGTTGAGGTAGCATAGATTGAGGTGATGGCACTGGATGCTCGCCTCGAGAGAGAGGGCACATGGCAGTTAGATTAATCTATCAGAATTGAGATGGTCAAAACCCAAGTAAAATTGAGCGAGGCAGATTCTGGGAGGGAAGCAGGCAGTTTCAAGGCCGTTTGGTGGAAACACGTAAGGAGCTTTTGTACTGCTTAGGGATTCCAGCCACGCGCACAAGGGTCTGTAGAGTATACATATGTTTCTACGTGAGTCTCTCTGAAGACAGTAACGAAGGTAGCTTGGCCGCGGAGAAAGGAGCGAGGTCTAGGCTCTGACAGTCAAAGCGGAAATGGACAGTCCCTGATTTGTTCATGACGGCAGGAATTATTTGTGTTCGTGAGGTGAATAGAGTGGGTGACAGATGTCATATGGATAGTCGGATGAAGGTTTGGATTGACTTTCTCGGACGCGAGTCAAGGAGGTTGGCTTCGGAGACCCTGACTCGCACAAAGCTCAAGGCGGGCGGGTGGGCAGATGTTTGGAGAGGTCCTTCTTGCTGCCACTAGAGCTGCATGACAGTCGTTGTTAATACTCAGCGCAGACTTCTTATGCGTTTAGTGTGTGCCAGGCCTTGGGCGTCCTTCGACGACGGAAGCTAAAGCTAGCGACTCTGGCGCTAGACAGAGGGTGTATCTGGGAGTCGGGACCACGGTCGTGTCTAGCATGCCCATGGCCCTTGGCTGGTAGCGTAGATCCGCAACAAGGACGACTTTTTTTCGACAGACGAGATCGCGGCCGGCGCACCAGCGTTTGATGGGCCCAGCGAATCGTACTCTATCTCGCAGGAGACAAGCAAATCACCCAGATTCGACCTCGACTCGCCCTCGTCATTCTTGCCAGGAAAGTCGGCTCAGGCACAGGGCATCATACTCGAACCGAAGCCTCAGTATCCCAGGCTGCGAGTGCCTACTAACTTAACCTGTCCTGCACGCTGCTTTCACCCACGTTGTGCCCCTGCCACCTATCTTTGCTACTGCCGCCGCCGCATCTTGGTCCCACCAGATCCGATCTGATCTGAGCAGGAGCCCTCTTCCCACCCATCGCCGAACAAGATCCTCGCCCAGACGTTCGTCAGCTCATCTCCGACCGTCGCCGTGTCTGCTGCTCGTCCCAGTATTGAAGCTAAAGTGCTTCTGCTTCTGCAACTGTCTCTGCTGCCGCCCCCGTTACTACAGCCGCCCAGATCTACCCTACCTGCCCACCTGCCTGTCCTGCGGACCCCTGCGTGCACACTTGCAACGTCGGAGCGCCACTGACACAGACGGCCCTCTACAAATCAATCTTGTCAGTCGATGGATCAACGACGCGCGCCTTTAGCTGGCCCCGACCAACACTACCATCGTCCCTCGCTCCCATCCGACCACTCCGTCCCTCCATCCAACCAACAGGTCTATCCCCCACCGAGGCCTCACAGTCTACCCAGTGTCGACTCTTACCCGCCTCCCCCTCCCCCACCGCCGCATCAGTACCACGCCCAGCAACCCACGCCGACCGTGATACATCCTGCGCCTCACCCCGAAGGTCCGGAGAGGGCTGAACATCCATATACCGCTCCGCTTGCTGTGCATGGAACTCCTGTTATCAAGGCGGATATACCTCCCGCACCACCTCAGTATCCACGCCCTCCGAGTAACCCTTTGCAATCGCAACCTCAGTCGCAACTCCCCGGACCATCGCCAGGCGCTCGCCCACCGATGGACCATCATCCAGCTGCTTATGTGCAGCACCCCCCGGGTGAACATGTCAACTATATAGTCGGCCCCATGCTGGATCCTTACGGTCAACCACCACCGGGTTACTATCCACCGTTCATGCCAACCATGCATATGAACAATCCAAATTCGCGCAAGAAGAGCATGCGTGCCAGTCAGGTAGGCGAGCGCGTCTTGACTTTGTCGATGCTTTCTTAATCTTTGAGTACAGGCCTGCGATAGATGCCGTGAGCGTAAGTCCAAATGCGATGAGAATCGCCCTTGTGCAACCTGCAAGGAACAGAATTTCGAGTGTAATTACAAGGACACACATCCCACAAAAGCCGACAAGAACAACCAGGCGCTTTCTGAGATGATCGCCGAAGTCTTGACGTCCATCAAAAGCATCAGTGATCGCCTTGGTGCCGTAGAACAGCATCTCGCCATCCAACCGTCAGCGCAGGCTCGTATCGACTCACCAAATCCGCCAAGTCAGAGCGACTCAGATGCAATGGCTATAGACAACAAGAACAACATCGAGGAACTGACAGTTCCCAAACAGCAGACATGGAAGATCGGTGACCACACCACAGCAGCTCACAAGTTGTTGCTTCGCTGGCCTTCTATCCAGCCTCTGGTGCAAACCCGCAAATGCAACATCCAGGAGAACTATGTCATGAAAGGGGAAGACCGTCCTATCTTGCTTCTCTATGGTACTGGCGACAAGCGCCTTAGAGACGATATGGTCAATATCGGCGCCGCAAGTCCTGCAGGAAGTTCAAATGGAGATGATCTCATTGCTTCAACCCCTGAGAGTGACCCCAGGCGGTCCGAGCCATTCACGCCTGGTTCTCCTGTCATGACTATGGACATTGACACCATCGACAACCTGTTCAGTTCCTACAAGAAGAACATCCATCGACTGCATCCTTTCGTGGACATTGACAGTATCGGCAAATACGTAAAGGATTTTTTCAAACCGAGGCACTGCGCAGAAGTCAAGAATCACCACTCGCCATTGTTTGTGACGAACGGCTCTGGCGAGAGGGAAACCAAGCGCAGAAAGGTACGGAGCGACAACTATGCTGTTGGTCTTCTGCCAGGAGAGCATACGAGCAACTCGACACCTCCACAGGCCAAACGCGCGCCGGAAAGAAATCTTACCAATGCGATCGTGTACTTGATCCTGGCCTTAGGCAAAATTTGTGAAGCTCCCGATCCTCTTCCTGGACCAGTCCAAGAAGTCGCTTTGACGAGCAAGCCTAATTACCTCCACACCACGATGGCATCGCCTCCAATCAAGCCAGCCTTTGCGTCTCCAAGACATGTCCTCAGTAACGTTGCCAACTCCTCCGCTGAAGTCACGCAGGCTCAATCTTGGGACGGTACCGTCAACCAAGCGTCGAACAAGAGACAGGTTCAGAACATCGAAAAGATAGGTGGACTAGTCTATTACAGAGAAGCTGCTTCTATCCTTGGTGATTTTACGGATTCGAACGAGCTCGCAGCCGCCCAAGCACGTCTTCTGGCTGGTCTTTACAAAGGTCAACTCGCCAGAGTCCAGGAAAGTTGGAGCTGGATAAGCACGGCGGCACGGACTTGCCTTTACCGCATGAAAGTGTAAGTCCTCATGATTGCAATTGAACAGGAGTCTCATTCACATATCTACAGCGATGGTTTGGACGATACAGTCAACGACAAGGAAAAAGCACGGAACCTCAACAAGCATGAAAACTTGACTGTGCTTACCTTCTGGTCGGCCTTGCAGCTTGAGAGGTATGTGTAGTGTTCTTGTGTTTCTGGCTAGGCTAATAGTGACTTAGTGATATCCTTGCCGAATGGGACTATCCTCGTAGTGGTCTTCATCTACTTGAGGGATCAGTCACTTATCCTGGGCAGGACAAGCAAAAGGCAGAGACATGGTCCCCGGAAGACGAGGAGAAGTCCATTATATTGTTGTATTACTCGGCTCAACTTTATCTGCGTACGAAGCTGAACAGCATTCATACGAATGTGTATGGGAGGCAATGTATGTTTTTTTCTGTCATCCACTCGGAAACAATGCTGACGACAAGCAGTATCATTGAAAGATGATCCGGAGAAGCTCGCGGGGCTCCTTTGGCAGCAGACAGCAGACTTGGAAGGCTGGCAAAAACTCGTACCTTCATACTCCTGGACAGACAATGACCCTCCTGCTTCGGATATTGTGGTCGCTCGGCTGAGAGGAAAGTATTATGGTGCTTGTTACGTTTGTACTCGACCCTACCTTGACTATGCTCTGCATGTCATGTATGAGCTCGGAAATGGCAATACTCTCGAACAGCTAACCAAAGATGCCAACGGAAATCAGCGGGAAGCTGAGCTTGTGCTCTTCACTGCCATCAACATGTGGCATAGCGAAGAAATGGTCAAGGATAAATGCCGCATCTGTATCGACTCCGCCATGCGCAGTACTGTAGCTTTCGATGGTGTGGAGAATTTTGGCCACCGCCTGATAGTCACAAACATCATGGGCACCGCTCACGCGTAGGGACCCTAGTTTTTGATTCGTTCGAGATGATTACTGACATTGATTAGGCAATTCGGCAACATGCTTGTTCTGGCTGCAGTCTATAACTGCAACATCGGCTGGCTCAAGGAACTGGTGCCCAGGGAAAAGCTGCAAAGCTTACTTCGTCGCACCATCGCCTTCATTAGGCGTTTACAGTATGCCTCCAGTGTCGCAGTCAGCGACGTTCTGATACTCGAAGCAATCGATCGTGAACTGTTTCCTGAGAGCGACGGTGATGACCTCTACAAGAATGAGGGCTTGACTGGCGATTCTATCGCATCTGGCGACTCGTTTCACTCCGTCGACCCCATCGTCTGATGGATTTCGCGACTCCAACGTTGCTCTCCCGAACTATGGCACATAGCTGTGCTTTTCCATTCCGGCTTTGCTCTATACTTACCACTGGAACGTCACATGTACGTATCATGACTCTGCATATGTCTCTCACCATAGCATGTCCTTTCATGCATGAGAAAAGTTCTCTCCCTCGGCCTTTGCTTCTCCTTTTCATTTCTGTTTTGCTTGCAGCATTCCCGGATATACCATTTACGCCTTTGTCTTTGCTTTTTAGCGTCGAGGATACGTTGTTTTGCTTTGTCATCTCGCATTCATGTTGCTGTGTTTTTATTGGGTTTTGCTTTTCGGTTTTCTGCTTTTGATGCACTGAGCGAGCGTATGGACGAAACACGGAAAGCCTAATGCATGCATATATCACGAAACTGGCTGACGATCTCTTGGGGAATTCGATGGCGTTTCTTTTTGCTCATCTTATGTTTAATCTTAGTCTCTCCCTTGATGTCAATGAATCATTTGTTTTGTCAGGTGCTAATGTCCTTTTTACGGTGCACCCCACCTATGTGAAGGCAAGTGCAATCACTTATGTTCAGTACCCGCACACTGCGAACCAACTGTAGAATTACCTTCCCTTCCCCTGTCTTTTCTCCACCACCACCACCACCACCAAGGCACCCGACGACGAGATGGCGTACCCGTTGCCTTGGTTCACATGTACCTACGGTCATCACACCAACCTGATGTTGAGTAAAAGAGCACTACCTCCAAGAACTTGAGGCCTCTCTCACATCGCTGCAGTTCCACGTGCATCTCTTGTTGGTCCGCGAGCGATCGATACGGCAGCGAGCAGCTCGGGGTCCTGTCGTCACTGCGTCATCAAGTTTTGGCTTGTTCAACGTTAGTCCAAGTAGACAAGTACGAATCTACTGACAAACAGTATATTTGATACAAGATGTTATAGCATTTACTGAAGGCTAGGTGTCGACACAGTAAGAAGGAAAAGCTCATTGGAAATCATTCCCGAGAAAGAAAATCTGAACATGGGAAACAGCAGGAGGTTGATCCCTTCTCCCCATGTGCTGAAAGTTTGCTACTCGCCAACTCTCTCACGGTTCTTCCACTAGAGTTAGTACTATACAAATGCACAACTGTCTCCAGAAGGTAGGAAAGTCCACAGAGAACTATGGGTATCACAACTCCCAGTGGGATTCCTCCTACTCCTCGACACTACTGTGCATTCCTAAGGTTGCGCGCGTTACAAACTTCAACACAGGCTGCGATCCTTTGTCTAAGAGCCATTGATACCCTTGTACTTCTCCAGAGCAGGTGGAAGCTCAGTAGCAGAATCAGTCCTTCCGTGTCCATTACCCGGCATCTGCGCCAACCAAGTAGGAGGCATCATACCCGTCTGATCCTGAATGGTCGAAAACAGCGGAGGCAAGCTCTGCATGATGTTCTTGATAGGGGCGAATGAGTCCACTCCAGTAGCAGCATCTTGAGCACCCGTAGTCCAGACGTTGATCTTTGGCTGCAATCCTCTGATGGCTTCTGCATTTGCCTTTGCGAGTTGGACGGGAATGTTGTTTTGCAGCATCATCCAATCGCGTACGCCTTGTGGCCCGCCGAGAACCTTGCTGAGGACTTCGTAGGCAGAGGCGAGTTGTTTGATACCTGCTGCTTCGCGCTCGTGACGGACGTAGAGGGCTTCGGCTTCTGCCTTTTTGAGCTCAAAGTCACCGAGGGCATCCTGTTGTTTGCGGTACAGCGATGCATCCGCGGCTTTGCTGTCTTGAAGGAATTTGGCTTCCGTCTCGCGCTGTTTTCTTTGGTAGTGGCCCTCTGCTTGTTTTTCGGTGGTGTAGAGTTCCAAATCTGCGGTTTTGGATTGTTGGAAGGCGATGGCTTCTGCGTTTTGTCTGGCCTTGTAGAGTTGAGCATCTGCCTCTTGAGCAGCGGATTCCTTTGCGACTTTTGCTTTTGTGACGGTGGTTGCTCTCATTCTCTCCAGCTCCATCAGAGCTTTGCTTTCCTGCACGCCCTTTTGGAGATCGGCGTCTTTGAGTTCGGCGGCACGTTCGGCTTGAATGCGCTCGATGTTTAGTTTTCGCTCAATGTCGATTTCTTGGGATTTGAAGCGTGAGTCGGCCATTGCCTTTTCGATCTTGCGCTCTGTCTCCTGCACAGCAGTATTGGCATTGATCTTTGCGATCTCTTGCTTGGTTCGGCCTAGGTTTTCGGCTTCTCCGATCTCACCCTGCATGCCTATGGTTCCCAGGCTTCAGTAAGAGGATCACAACATGATGCAGGCAATTATATAGCCATTAGAGGTTATGGTTAGACTTCACTTACGCGCATGTGCTACATCGACCTTAGCTTGGTTCATAGCTCCCGTGTGAGCCTTCTGCGACTGGAACTCAAAGTATTGAGACCCAGGCATGTCGCGGAGTTCCTTGATAGAGGCATTGTAGATGTGGAGACCGAACTGGGTGAGTTCTGTCTGAACGTGCTCAACAACCTTTGTGCGGTACAGAGCGCGCTTCTCGAAGAGCTCCTTCATGGTGATGTTGGAGACAACGGATCTGGTCTCGCCTTCGACAATGCCCATGATGATTGCTTGAATGTGCTCACGGTTGGCAACGCCAGCATGCGAGGCGCTGTCCGTCATCAAGCCAGCATACTTGACGAGAGATTCTTGTTCGTCCTTGGGACCGATGGTGAAGACGGCTGGTAGACAGACTTGTAGCTTTTCGGATGTCATGGCCTGTAGGTCGGTCGTGAAGTGGAAGGGTGTGACTGACATCTTGGTCACCTTTTGGAAGGGAAAGACCATGGCTTTCTTGGTGAGCTTCAGTCCTTTGACCCCTGCGCCGGTGATGACGAGGTAGGAATTCGGCTCTGCGACATGATAACCCCAAACCATTTTGATGTTGACGTGTGAGTGTAAGACTTGTGTTCTTGATGGGTAGAGAGTGTGATTTTGTAAGTGCAAAAGGACGGCATCAATACTGATCTTATATAATTGAATGGAACCAGTCACATAGCGCATCTGACCAGCAGTTCGCATGGCGAAGCTATCCAAGATCAATGACAGCATGGTCTGCCTTCGAATGAGCCACATCTTACGGCCTTACGGCGATGCCTTCATTCCCGATATCAACTCTGATAACGCCTGGTTGGCGCTGAGGCGAGTCAGGTGCTGAGTTTAGTCGCTATTTCCTTCTCAGGATGGCAGACATACGGCAGCAGCCAAGTAGTTGGTCGGAGTCTCGTGCCGAACTTTACGATTGTTCGAACAAGATTATGTCTTGGCTTGAGCATGATAGAGGTGGAGTCATGAATTCTCCACAGTCATTGGTGCCAAGCCACCCGGCTGTGAGTAGGCTCAGTCGGAGCCGCCTATCCAGAAGCTCGTTGGAAGGATTGCCAAAACCAGGCATCTGACTGTCCATCCAATTATCTCTAGCAACGCTCTCACCACCCTGGGAATTTTCAGGCACACAACCACCTCAAGGCGCAGCTGTCTGCCTGACTTTTTGATCGAGTTTGGAAGACCAAAAGCATTTCCCAAGTGGCAGATTTGATCTCTTTCTACATCCAGACTTGAGATGGCCGACAATCCACCCCCCTACGAGGAGACGTGTTCGGGCGAATCCAGCGGACTCCGCAAGGATGATAAGAAGGCGTCAAACCAACCAAGCAACCTCAGCGATCAAGCGACGACATCTCGATGGATGTTGGTGTCTGTCGTAGCGGAAAGGATACACATTGAGCTAGAACGGAGAGCGCTGTATGGCATCTCAAGGTCTACACTGGTGGTCATACCATCTGGGCAGGAGTGCAGTAAGTCAGCAGCGGCTAGCGGGACAAGCACGCAGACCTTCTGACAGTAGCAGACCTCTCCAAACCTTACAAAATTGCCGACTTCAGCGAAAAGCCCCTGGTCATGGAGCTGAGTGGAGAGCTCAACAGTGTGGAGTTCTGGTCACAAGCCCAAGCAATCGAAGAGCTGCGCCAACAAGTGGCTTCCAGCATTGGTGGTGGAAGGGGAAGCATGCTGGAAGTCGGACCCAACAGGGTTCATGTCCGACATGAGACGTCTTTCGGATTGTTTGACACGATAGATATCATGGCGATCGTAGTAGAGATGCGATAGTCTTCAGAATTTCAAGGCTCGGCTTGGGTCGACTTCTTGTCTCCATTAGAGTCGAAGCCCAGGGTTTCGAGTTGTCGAACGAGCTCGTTGATCTTGATGACTTTCTGGAACTGCTCTGGAAGTAAAGAATCTCCCTTCTCTTTCTTGTCCTGGAGATCGCGTGCCTGGCGGAGCTTCTTGGCCAGCTTTTTGGCCTCTTTTGTCTTTTCTACTTCAGGGTCTACGGGCTCCTCTTTGGCGGGATCTACGAAAGTCGTGGACTGTTTGGCATTTGAAGTCGCGGCAGGAGCATCGCCGTTTGTTGGTGCAGAGGCTGCTGCCTTCTTCCTGGCCTCCCTACGCTTTGCGTTCTTGTTGGCAGCGGCCGAAGGAGGTTCAGGCGTGGCAGCGGCAGTGTCGGCGCCTGGAACACCAGCTTTTCCACGGTTCTTGTATGCTTCGGCGGTACGATTTTTGTAGAGCTCGACATCTTCGGGTGGGCGGTAGCCAGGGCGGACTCTGATCTCTTTCCTCACGGAACCATCTGGTCGTACGGACGAGGGAATGTGTCGCTCGCCGGTCGCTGAGGTCGCGATGCCGGCGCGGGACAGCTTGGAGGGTTCGGTAGGCATCCTAATGCCAGTGGAACTGAGTCCGTCCAGGAAGACGTGTCCCAATTGACGTAGTGTGAAGGACGTACTCCTAGTGGTACAAGGACTCAGTGGGTTTCGGCAAGCAGAAAGCGAGTTTTGGACGCACGGACGGCCAAGACGTGCTGACCATCGTGTCGATGGCGGCTTCCCTCGCTGTCGCCAGTCGCAGTTGCAGTTGCAAGTCTCCCACACTCACGTCCAGTCGCTGTCTCACTCGTCCAATCTTCACAATGGCCTCCTCCGTAAGGATCTCGCATATGCGCTCTTGCTGGTCTGCTGCTAACACCGACTGCAGGCTCTCCAGGGTGTCTACAAGTCAGTCCTCGCTCCACAACCTCTCCCGCGCTCGACAAGCCTCTGACTCTGTCCAACAGCACCATTTTCCGCAGAAACTACGTCTTCCTCAGCGTCGTCTTCGTCAGCGCTTTCGGCTTGGAGATGTACGTTACCATCTCACCAAATCCCACCCGCCCAACAGCTCCGTCTAACCTATCTGCAGCGCTTTCGACAACGCCTCCAACAGCGTCTGGAACAGCATCAACAAGGGCGTACGTCCTCTGAACTCCCAAGTCCGATCCATCTCTCCACCTGCTAACACAACCTCTAGCGCCAATGGAAGGACCTCAAGCAAAAGTACATGGAGAACGACGACGAGTAAACCAATCACGCCCCACCAGTCCTCGATCGCCAATAGATTCCCAAACACTCTTCATGTATCATATCTGAAAATTCTCAATCGCCTTTCGTCCTTTTCTCAAATTCATCCACTCAATGGTTATAATCCTATCAAGCATTTACCACCGCGACAACGACTTCGATATTCCTACGCTCGTGGTCCCTGTCTACGGATCACGATGCATGTCACAATACAAGCCCTCGTTCTCTAGGAGCCAGACAATCATGTGTGACTCGATTGAGGAACTTTGTTGAACGACACGCTTCAGCGTAATCATGCACAACGGACGCCACAACGGATAACACAACATTTTCACACTTGACGCTATACATAAGCTTCGGCCACGCCCATCGTGTCTCTGATACAGGTAAAAACGTGTAAGATAGGTCCCAGAAGGTCACATATGCAAGCCAGACCTGTTGTGTGAGAGAACCTAGAGGCGACTATGTGATATCTGGCTCTTCCCAAACCCCCCTGAACATCGGTTGCTTAGAACTAAGTATACGTGAGTTTTGCCAGTCCTGTTATTTGATCCGAGTCGAGTATATCACATGGCTCAAAAGTGCCGGAACAACAGCCTCGAGAGCCCCATCACTGATGATGTCACTTTACTCTCACTATCTGCACCTCACACACCTCTTTATTCTCATTCCTATCTACAAGCCTCTCGAACCAGTACTACAGACAAGTCAATACCAACAGCATGCCTTCATGGGACAACAAACCTAGCGGCAAGATGACGGCCGCCGTCTTATCCTCACCCGGCGCCACTCCTCCATCAAAATGCTTCACTATCGACAAGGAATATCCTAAACCTACGCTTCCATCACAAACCTGGGTTCTGGTCAAGGTCAAAGCCGCTGGATTGAACCGTGCCGAGCTTCGCGGGAGGAATGGTGATGAACCTGCTCCGCCTGAATTTGGCATGTTTGTTGATGAGTTCCATCCTGATCCGCCAAAGATTTTGGGTAAACTTTCCCGAGACCGTTCTTTGCTTACTACAGCTGACTCGTCGTTTTTCACAGGCGAGGAATTTGTCGGTATAGTCGAAGAAGCAGGCTCAGAAACCAAGTTCACCAAGGGAGACCACTGCACAGGCTTCATCTACGGAGGCGGCAAAGCCTTCGATGGCGCCTACGCCGAATACGTTATCTGCCCTTCCCAGCGGTGCTTCAAACTACCCCAGACGACTCTCTCCTGGGAGACCCTAGGTGCCACCACGATGTCCATGTGGACAGCCCACGGCTCATTATTCCAAGCTGCTCAACTAACCAAAGGATCCACTGCACTCATCCACGGAGCCACAAGCAGTGTAGGCGTCTGGGCCACTCTGCTAGCCAAGGCGCAGGGTTGCACTGTCATCGCTACCACACGCCAGTCTTCAAAAGTCGACAAACTAAAGTCATTGGGCGCAGACCACGTACTCCTGGAAGAAAACCTCGGCGACCACCTCAAGAAACTAGCTCCCAAAGGCGTGGATTGCATCCTTGAACTCGTGGGCCCGGACACACTCCAAACTCTCGCCTTGCCACACCTCGCAAAACACGGTTCGGTGGTGGTGACGGGAGTGTTGACAAAACAGTGGGCCATGAAGGACTTTACGCCTGCTCTCATCCCTCCCACCCGCAAAATGACATTTTACAGTTTGGAGCCTGGACAGGAAGAGGACGAAGGGGTGGAAAAGGTTATCGAGCAGGTGATTGGGAAAGTGGAGGCTGGAACGTTCAAGCCAGAGCAGTTCCTTGACAGGACATTTTCGCTGGAGGATGTAGGTCAAGCACATGAATATATGGAGGATAGCAAGGCTGTTGGCAAGGTGGTTGTGACTGTCCCTTGAGTATGGCGAGACGGACAATGCAAAGACGAATTGATGTATCCTCTGCTTCCAGTTGAAGAATGTCACATTGTAGCTGTAGAGTTTATGCCCACAGGAGATACAGTAAATCGAAATTGAGCCGCGAGCATGTATTCGCGGTCATCGGAGCTACGTGTCGATTCAGGATCAAATAGAGATTCTTGTGTTTAGCGGTCCCAGGTGCCTCATCAACAACGCACGCATTCTGAACTTGTCGCGTCTAAAGCCGGATGTAACAAAGTTGGCAAAGAAAAAAAGGAGCTCCTCTGCCCCCAACAAGCAAACGCCATCTCGTATGCAGTCATGTCGTAAAATACCAAGTCGCTTCAACCCCCCATGCCAATGCAATGCTTGCTTGCTTAGAGATCCGCCATCATGTCTTCATCTTGGTCGCCGTTCTCAGGTGCGTCCCACACATCCATCGGATCTTCGAAACCTTGGGCGCCAGCGGTTTCTGCACGCTTGTTTCTGCGCGTGAAGTCGACATACTCTTTCTGGATGGCGAGTTTACGATCGGCCTCACGGACATGCTTGGCCAGTCGCTCGATGTGGATAGACTTCTCCTTCAACAGGGCATCTTGATCGATGGTAGGCTGGTTGGGATTGTGAGAAAGGAAGCGAAGAACTGGCTTGGTTTCAGCACCAGCGATAGGTGGGGGAAGCATGGCGTTCAGATGGCCGTCGCGAATCATGGTGCTGAGAAGGGTGGTTGTAGCTCCGGGAGTCAGATTGAGATGCATAGCGATTGTCTCGATGGGAAGAGCGGCGTAAGTCTTTTGCAAGTCAATCACACGGTATCGGCGCAAAGATTCGGCGACTTGGTTGACAATAGCTGTGTTGCCATCCTGTTCAAATTAGACATACGATGCCATCTATCAATCATTTGAGCAGACATACCTCGTCCCATACAGCGGTCGCAGCGCCGATCTCAGCATCAAGACGTAGGACATCGCGCTTCTTGAAAACATCGGCGAGAACTTCGTAGGGCTTGGACAGACTCGAGTAGGTCTTGACCATCTGGGCGTTGATCAGACCTTTGGTGAAAGTGGTAGAACCAGTTGACAGCAGATTGACGAGAATGGACTTTTTGTAGGCCTCGACCATCAAGGGAGTGGCGACGTTCTGAGTGGGTGAAGCAAGAACCAGCTCGAGGAAGAGGCGAGCACGAGTATAGCGACGCAGACCAATGTAGACATGTGCGCCCAGCAGATAGTATTCGTGTACGTCTGATGCGGTGAGCGGTTGTGAGATGTTGGATGACTTTGTAATGAAGGTGGCACTGAGTTCGTGGGTTGCGCATAGCAGACGGTCATCGACACCTCTCTGGGGGTCGGTCGGAAGGGTGTATATGTCCTTGTCGAGGATTGGCAGGGCTTGACGAGGCAGACCAGCGGTCAGGCATAGCCGCAGGAAGAGCATATGATTGGATGTGAGAGTGCTGGACTCTGGGTCTAGGCGGAGGATGGCGGTTGCGATGATTGGAATGAATGATGCCTGACGTCGATGTTAGTCTAATACAGCAGGCAGTTTCTGGGTTGTGCGTACGTCTCTGGCATACTCATAGTAATTGGCCAGCCAGGTTAGCAACTGCTGCATCTCGGGGCCGACATAGCGAGCCTGAACGGGGTCAAAGTGAGTGAGGAAGTTGGCAACCAGCGCCACCTGTTGCGCCAGCACCGCCTGTTGAGCGTATGCGAGGAGTACAGCTAGGTAGCCGATTGTGTTGCGAGTAGGATCCAATAGCTGGCAGGTCAGGTCAGTCATGTACAGGGAGAGAGTGTCAACAGCGACCCACTTCTACCAAGGGTTTGCCCTGGACCTGCTGCGGCACTTGGTTGGCCTTGAGCTTTCGCATGTGATCAACCAGTCTGCGTGCATTCGCATCGCGCTTTGCATCATTCAGAGGGGCACCGCTGTCGTCGGCTAGCGGGTCCGTCAACAAGTAGCTCACAAGATCAGCCATCTTGTCGTGTAGGCGTTGATGTTTGGAGCTGCTGGTGGAGTTTACGGATGAACAGAAGCACATGCGGGCAGCCCATGACGATGTTGGAACAAACGCGTCCGAGCTTCTACCCATTTGTCCCTGCCTTATTTATCCTCACTTGTGCAACTGCCTTCTTTCACTCCCTTCTTGCATCATTCATCTAGTCGTTCAGTTACTTGTCTGGACTGTTCTTCCACACCTTGATGCTCCCGTCCAGACTACACGTCGCTACCATGACGCTATCCGGACTGCTGTCAACCCCAAGAACTACATCCTCGTGTCCTGTCAAGACCTGCAGCACCTTCTTCGTGTTGACATCCCAGATTACTGCCTTGCCCTCTTCATCGCCACACATGGCAAATGCTGATTCCTCTCTGTGCTCATCGTCACTGACATATTCTCCAAAGCACGCGTTGATGCTGAATTTCTGGTTCACATGTCCCTGATATGTCTTGATGCATCGGCCTTCGACGTACTTCCACAATCGCACGCTCGAATCTAGTGTCGCCGCAAGCACGAACTTCCCGTTGGGTGAAAAGCGCACCGATGTGACCGGTGCATTGTCTTCGTGCACCAGTGTCTTCAAACACTGTCCAGTATTCGAGTCCCATATTCGGCTATGTTGCCCTTGGTCAGTTCTTGATCAACGTCTGCAAAGCACAACTTACATGAGGCCGTCGCTTGAGCAAGATGCTACCAGCGTTCCGTCCCGCACGAAGTCGACTCCAGATACGGGGTCCGAGTGAGCAGGTAGCGATCTCATCACTCGGGCTGTCCGCACATCCCATAGGAATACTGCTTCATCGTATGATCCGCTGACGAGCATGTTGCCCTTTGGTGAGAAGGCAATACTGTATACGTAGTTGTGGTGACCGGTCAAGGCCGTCGGCATGCATTTTCCCTGCTCCTGTAATCAGCCTTGGTCTCCAGAAGCGTATGTATCGTTCGTACCGTCCTAACGTCCCAAAGCCTGATGGATTTGTCGTCGGAGCCCGATGCAAGGACTATGGAGTCGGGAGCCCAGGATATGGTAGATACACCAGCGAGGTGACCTTCCAGAGTGTGTACAAGGGTTCCTGTCTGAGCGTTCCAAACTTTGATGGTGCAGTCGGCGGCTGGAACGGGTGTCAGTCGGACTGGGTGTAGGGTATAATCATGTCGCATTGCTCACAGCAGCTGGCGATCCATTTTCCATTGGGCGAGAATCTCACGGCAGCGACACCTCTTTTGTGACCTCGTAGGGTCATATACGGTTTGTAATCCACACCGAGTGGTCGCGAGTCGTCTGCTTGGTGATCTCGTTCGCGTGGTGTCTGTGAGCTGCTGGCGGTGGGCCGATCGGCGGTATCTGACTCTTCTTCAAAGGCGTATCCATTCTCTCCATCCTCTGCTGTATCGTGGTCCGGGTTGTGGTCGTTTTGGTAGGAAGATTGTGGTGAATCTGAATCGAGTCGGCGACGCTTCGGTGAGGGATCTGGCTTGAGGATATCGTCCATCAGGCCTTGGACCTGGTCGGCGATGCTCATGGTGTAGAGCTAGTGGGAGCCTAGAGCGTGGAAGAGCCGAAGCCAAGGCGTGGTCAGAATGTTGGTGCGACAGGATTGTTGATCGGATTTCGCTTTCACATGCGAATGTTTGTCGCTTCTCCAGAATTGCAAGTCGAAATGACATCAATCTCGTCTGCAATTCAGTCGCAATTTCCCTTGGTCCCTCCTGCCAACTCGACAAATGGAACATACAAGACAGCCATTGGAGCTGCCGAGCTCAATACGCGTGCTCACGCTCAATTGCTGGGGCCTCAAGTTCATCTCAAAGTACCGCCATGAACGCCTCGTAGAGATTGGCAACCACCTCGCCAGGCTTTCCCCTGCCCCGGAAATCGTCGGTCTGCAAGAATGCTGGACTCAGAAAGACTACAACGCTATTCGCGAGCGAACAAAGCACATCTTGCCTCATGGCAAGTTCTACTGGAGCGGAATCTTCGGCGGCGGTCTAGCCATCTTGTCCAAATGGCCCATTGAAGAGAGCACCATGGTCAGGTACCCGCTCAATGGCCGGCCAGCCGCCTTCTTCCGCGGTGACTGGTATGTTGGCAAAGGTGTAGCCTGCGCTCGTATCCGCCTTGGACCTGGCAAGAAAGACGTCGTCGAAGTCTTCACCACACACCTGCACGCCCCTTACGAAGCCGAGCCCAACGATTCGTACATCTGTCATCGCACTGCCCAAGCCTGGGAGATTGCAAAACTCATGCGCGGCGCTGCCGAACGCGGTCACCTTGTTCTCGGTCTGGGCGATTTCAACATGATCCCATTGTCTCTGGCCCACCGTTTGATCGAAGCTCATTCTCCTGTCAAGGACGTCTGGAGAGTTTTGCATCCCAACTCTGCCATCGGCGCTGCCATAAATGAAGCCGAGAAGGCGAGAGGGTTGCCAGTCCCTTCATCGGATGACTGTCTGAAAGAGCACGGAACCACATGCGACCACAGATACAACACATGGCGCTGGAACAAGGGCGACAAGAAGAAGCTGTTGAAGAAAAGAGAAGACACCCACGTTGATGGCTCAGAACCAGATCCCAGAGCCAAACGTCTAGACTACATCTTCTTTGGCGGCGATGCAGAAGGTCCAGCATCAAAATGGAGCATTGACAGCGTCAATGTAGGAGCCACCGAACGACACCCTGAACTCCTCTGCTCCCTGTCCGACCACTTCTCCGTAGAAACAACTCTCACACGCTCGTCTCATCCAACAAACACATTACCGCTATCGACCACCTTCCTACCATTAGAAACTTACGATCAAATCCTCGCCATGATCCACAAGTACGAGTTGCGCGAACGCAAGCAACGCAGATACCGTCTCGCCCACTTCGGCCTCGAGCTAGTAATCGCCATCGGTTGTCTGATCGCTGTCTGGTGGTCCCCGCGTAACTTTGTAGCTTTCCTACTTATGCTACTAAGCACTTTGGGTCTGTCCGCTGGTGTCATCGACGGCTTGATGGGAGGATTGTTCGTTGGAAGCGAGTTACGCGCGCTCAAGGAGTTCCAGTGGGAGATTACGAATGCTAGGGACATGGCCATTGCTGCGCAAGAGGCCTTGTTGAAATAGGCATGATTGAGTGATGATCGATAAAGGTTATCTGATCTTTCCAATTTTTTTGTCATTGTATTTTGGCCATCGTCGATGAGGAGTTGTTTGTTCATACATTTGTTCGTCTACCTTGCACAAGGTGCCTACATAGCTTTAATACTTAATCCAAACAATTGGCATGACTGAATCTTACATCCGCAAAGAATACGAGGTAGAAAATGCCTCAGTTTCCATCAGGTTTCCTTTCCTCCCAACAATTGTTTTCTCTGCAAGCGGTGATTCTGTTGGTCTTTTTCCATGCAGGAACAGAGACTCCGACGGGATCGTCTTTGCATATTGCATCCATCCTTGCACAGAAACGCTCAACATTTGCTTTACCTTGCAAGCCACAACACCTGAGCATCCATTTTCCTGATACAGTTCATGCACAGAGCACTCTTTGCCATACAGCTGTTTCCCGCAATGTTGAGCCGCTCTCAGCTCCCTTTGACAGCGACCAAAAGTTCAACATGGCATCATCGCACGTAAAAGGCCCAGCCTTTACACAAAACGGTGCTCGCAAACTCTGGCTATGGATATCTGCTGTCTGTCGCTTTCACCGTGAGCCTTTTGCCGTGAACCTTCTTTGTGATAGAAAAAGCCACAAAACGAATGCACCTCGCAACCCTACTCGCGTAGAGACTTCTGGGTATACCCGCCTAGAAGCGGCAAGGGTTTTTTTTTTATGAAGCATGCAGGCAGTCAAAGGAACCCTAACACCTGTTACACGAACTCTGAACAGCTGTTTGACCCGCTATTGCCGAGGTCTTTCTGTTCAAAGAAGTTTGGTACAACGAGACAGGTGGAGTTACGCTTTGTGGAGCAAAGACTCGAGAATGGAGAGAATCTGGCTGTTTCACAGGTGGATAATGGCAGGAGGAATTCCAAGAGGTGGACGCCAAAACTCGCGTGCAGTTTACACATGCATCGCTGGAGGCGCAGTGTGGATGGGTAGCTAGCTGTACCTGCATGATCTCGCATGGTGTAGAAATTTTTTTGCCTTTCCGTTTCTGCTGAATCCTCTCAGTGGTGAACCAAAACATGTCCAACAGACCCTCGCGGCCGGTTTCGCTATCAAGACCAGATAGACAGGTCACAGGAAGCCTGTGTCATGATAGTCGTTGGGTCCTTGCCATACCAAAGATTCAATTGTCAAAGACACCACACGTGCTCACCACTCTTATCAAACTGGCTCCTTACCTTATCACAGTCCTCTCAAGGCACGTGCCTCTACCATGACTCCATACCAATAGGGCACGCCGAGCACAACCGAATGGTGGATCTACCAGCAATATAAGTTACTATATGATAACTCCATCTCCCCGTACTCGCACCCGCTTGTTGGATGTTGTTGATTAGTATGGCGGGCGCGCATACGCAAGCAAGTACAAAACAGCAGAGTCAGAAATCCCGCAAGAGAAAAATCACAGATCCTCGCAGATCGCTATCTAGCTTCCCCCAACCATTGTGCGATACTGTATATTAGCATAACCATGGATAGAACAGAAACACCATAGTGGAGAGTTCAATCCAGGGTATCGGGCAAGAGGAGAAACAAGCACTCCATCTGATCGATCTCCAGAGGTCTTTGCCAGGAGTCAGACAGACAACACGTGCTCATCTTTGACAGCTCGAGCAGTGTCAGAAGCGTGCGTGATACGAATGTCGTGATCTGTGTTTTTCATCGAACATCCGAGCTCCCGACATGTCTGTCGGTGCTGCCGCTGATGGTTCCCTGTGCCGCAGCCTCTGGCGCCCGCGGACAGCAGACGGCGTGCCTGTCAACAATATCGATCACTCCGGTTGTGCGAATCAGGAGATCCTCTGTGCCACCCTTTCCAATATTCGCGAATGGGATGAAAGATAGCAGGGACGAAACGGAGTGGTTCCGAATGGATAGCGCGAAAGCAAGATACAGTGCTGATATAGACTCTGGAAGTACGCAGGTACGGAAAGGATGCGACAAAAGAGACTTTGCTGCTAGGTGCTATACAAGAATGATAAGGCCCAGAAGATCGGGTGATTGAGCAGCAACAGAGAAGAGAGTTGGAGGCCTCGAGTACATAGGTAGGTAGGTACCTGACGATCACAAGCTGAGTGCTGAACGTGCCTGAAAATCTCAAGATTCCGTGAACGCATCTTGCTGGCAAGTCACACTATTGGAGCTTCTCAGCTGTTGCAATTATCGGTGCATGATGTTGAGCAATGATGTCTTGCCGTTGGCAAAGAAGACCGATCTTGCATAAAACGGTCCTTCTACGATGTGAACAAAAACGGGTTCGCATGGGTTGCTCAGCATAAGCTTCGAATGTAACGGTGCTGCATGTGTTGAACGACCGTGAGCCTCCACTTCAGCTCCTGCTGCTATCATGGTCGGTTTCACGAGTCCTTGTCGAAGAAGCACTGTTCGACAATTCTTTCTTCGAATTGTTTCTACGGACGTAACTTTGGCTGGCTGGACAAACACACGAACGCCATGAACGCCATGCACATGGCGAGAAGGATTCAGATCCTTTTGTTTGTGGTAGGCGTTCGTGTAAACAATATCCGGTCGCCCCTCATGGCGTTTCCTTTCGGTTTTGTGGAGAATCTTTCAATCGCTGTCCCGCTGCTGCAAAACGCCGCCGTCAACCTAACATCGTAACTTTGCAAGGGAAAAGCGGAAGATTTGTGATGACTTACGGGATAGCCGCCCAGCACGGGAGTAAACGAGCAAGAAAGAGGCACGGTGCGGCAAGACAGTCAAATGAAGCGACAATGATGGGGATCTTCATTCGATGCAACAGAAACAGCAACTGCGGACCTACTTTCTCGCTGTAGCTGTTCAATAGGCCGAGCAGCGTTGGGGTTCGGGGAAAAGTCTCGCATTGCCGCCAATATTGCCTGATGTGTAACCAGAGCTGCGCGCAATGCGTATGTCTGCTGCTGCTGATACTTCTCTGCAGGTGAAAAACGTATGCGTATGTGCCCAACTATCGCTGCTTGCTGTCGGCGAGCCGCTGGCTCCCTGGAGGGCTTTCCCAGGACTCTGGGGCGTATGGCGCTTGTCGGCTGCCGTAGCCTAGTCCACGCCATATATTGGTGATTGTCTGGTTGGCTACTGTGGTGGTATGGAGAATCAATCTCGTCAGGCAAGCAGAACACGACGACCAAGTCTCTTTCGTGCATCGATCGAGGGTTCATTGGAACAAGGTCTGGTGCGTGCTCCTCGCTTTTGGGCAGGCCTTTTCGTCCGTGGTAGAAACGATGATGGGTTGTCCTGCCATTGGCATTGTCACATTACGCACGTAGACGGCCTTATTCGATCAGGAGGACCCAGTATGATGTCTTGGATTGGCACGGCATTTAGAAAACTTCACGCTCTAAGGGACCATGTGAAATTGCGAGGCCATGTTCCCTGACACCTGTCTGCTCATCTTGACCACATGTAGCAATGCATTTCTGAGCATTGTACAAGCATAAGCTGGTGGATCTTCAAGTGACACCAACGAAAAGCCAGCTCGTCCGGCTCTCGCTCTCCCGCTCGTTACAGCTCAGCAGGGTGCATGTGGGCGTCGAGGCCGTGCAGCGGCATGGACCCCCAACTTGTGCGGAACTCTCCCAGAGTCGCCGAGTCTCGATGTTTTCTTGAATCGCAAAGACCCACGAAATCCTTAGATCGGACTAAGCACGTAAGGTCCTGGAGTAGAGTACTGGGCAGGTGCTGTGAATCGACAACTCCACAATGTTATAGAGGAGACATTCAAGGAAGTTGAAAAAGAAAGAGTGAAACCACACGGCACATTCGTTCGTCAGAGCGTCTGCTTCAGTCATCAGGTTCCGGTTGCCGTTGAAGTTGAATTGGAAAAAAAGGTTTAGGGTCAACGGTCTAGCGGAGACTTGCATGATGGAACAAGTCAGATTGAAAGTCTGACAAGAATTAAAGGGAGAGGCAGCGCTGGCTCTCAGGCTTGCAAGAAGCAGCAGGCGGCAAGAGTGGTGGTACGTTAGCGGCAGCGTGGCGCCACGACCTGGGCAGGAACCAGACACCTGATGGGCGCTGGAGCATGTGTCTGTGGTCGTCGAGCTCCAGGATCCATTGCCCGGGCCCAATTTAAGACCAGCGCCAGCCGAGCGGTGCACAAAGCGTTGGTCCCAGGAAGCTTGGTTCGATATGGCAGAGCGAGATGGATCATGGCGCTGCCTCCCCATGCCCCATGCTTTCGCTCTCATGCTGTGTGATGACTGTGGATAATAATAAAGAGTACTCGACAGGCCGTCAAAACACTCGCCACATCTCGACTTTGGTCCCATTGAGAACTCGTTGGTCTCTTGTTACAACCTACAAACAGGCCTTTCCTGCCTCATCCGTTCTTTCTTCCAATTCTGTGTCGCGTGCTGGTTACATAAACATTCTTTCCAAACCGTTCAGTCTTTACATTGGCCGTGCCAGTCTCTCTTCGAAACATAACCAACCCTTGACCTCTGGAATATCCCTCCTGGACCTGTCTTGTAGTAACAAGGAGGCGTTTGCTCGACGTTTCAACTAGGGTCCAAACAAACCGTCGTGTCTTTCTCTCGGAAAAGCGTTTGACGCTTTCCTGTCGAATGACATAGCAACAAACCATCCCACCACGCCATACAAAGCAGAAACGTCTCGCAGCTTGCAGCTTGCTCGAGTACCACCTTCCTCGAACATGGACACGATGGAAAGCGCGTCGCACTCACGCACCGCCTCTGTGGATCAACACACGTATGCTTTGATCCTCGAGCACATCCTCAACGACCCTGCCACCTACGAGCTTCCTCTGCGCACAATGTACACCATCAACTCGACGCCTGCCACACGTGGACACTCGCTCTCCCAAACACGCACGCGTGAGAACTCCATCGACTCACACGCCAGCGCGTCACCAACCTCGCCAAACTTCCCCTTCCGCAACGACTCGGCCACCGAGTCTCTGTCAACAAACCTCATGGCGCAAATGGCCAGCCTTCCCACTCAACCCACTTCATTACCGCCATCCTTCATCACCGCCTTCCTCCGCAAGGCTTTCTCCGCTGACCTTCGCTTCGTCGACTTCCCTCAGTCGCTGACTGGCCTCGACTACCTCAAGGACCTCGAGACCAGAAGACGCAGAGAAGTCGCTGCCGCCCTGGAGTGTCTGGGCATTGACCGCGATACTATTGGTGCCGCGGAAGAGGACCTCTCCAGACGCTATCCTGGCGTGCTCTCGTGGTTCCGCACACTTGAAGAGAAGGAACGCAAGATCGAGGCTCTTTACACACAGATCTACGTTGCCCTCCGCCGCTGGGTCCTCATCAACGAGCTCTCCTTGACTCCCTTCAACAAGCACAACTGCATTGCCATGCTCAACACTCTCTACCCCCCAATCGTCTCTTCCCAGCCTACCTCCAAGCTCACCCCTGGTATCTTGAAGAAGCAACGCGACACTTTCTTCAAGTACATCCAAGCTGTCGAGAAGAGTGGCCCCTCTGTCTTGGTCAACCTCATCCAACAAGGCAAGAGGCCCACTGACGAGAACGGCTGGGCTTCAACTCGCAACACTCTTGACATGTATCTGCAGGTTGCCAACAGTCTCATCTCTGAATGCCAAGAAATTCTCTACACCGATACTACCTCCATCGTTGACTCGGCCGAAACCAAGCGCAAGGGTCGCAAGGTCGACTCTGGCATCAGCTTCGAGTCTGACCAACGCCGCCCTTCATCTAGCAGCAGCAAGAGCAGCAAGAGTTCCTTCGTTGAAGATGCACCCGTCGCTGAGATGCGTCGCAAGTCATCTTCGGGCATTCTGAGGTCTTCGGGCTTGATGAAGTTCGCTCGTGAGATGAAGAACATGGGCTTCTCCAGAACAGAGGTCGATGAGACAATCAAGCCCTCCGCCCCTACCCTCACTCCTGCCTTCCCTGAAGTTGAGGCCCCGACACCTGACAGATCCTCCAAGAGTTTGCGCAAGGCTCGCAGCTTTAGCAACCTTGGTGGCCTGCGCTCTGCCAACTCCAGCTCGACCTCATTGGCCAGCAGTGGTCATCGCAGCGATGTTCCACACTTTGACGCAGATGAGATGAAGAGACAGCGTCTCATCTACGAAGCCAATGCCGCAAAGCAGCCAAAGCCTTGAGCTAAGCTGTCCTCATCACATCACAAACATAAGACTACACTACACTCAGTAACGACTTCACGACCCTCCACCGCCAGCATCTGCGACCAATGTTTCTTTTGTCATGAATTATACCCCTTTGCCGCTGTACAAATTCTTTGCGATGGATGCCTATACCTTGCACAAGGCAACTATGTTGATCACGCATCACGTTTCTTTCTCTCATGGTTTACATACGGCGTCTCGAGATATGGAAAAGGACCGGGAAAATTGGAGGCTAGCATCTTTGAAAAGGCAAAACGGCGGACCCAAAAAGTGATTCTAGCATCTGAAAGAGATGGAGTTCGAGACTTTGGCGCCTTTGGTTTCCTTTAGCATGGTGTGGCCGGCGATGCCACTCTTACCGTTGTTCTGATACATATGCCACACTTCCCGTTACCACAAACTAAGGCACCGAAAATGTACCTTTACTCTCCGAGACCCTTCTTTCCTATGGCTTTTTTACACTTTTCCCTTGACATGTTCGTGAGAATGCAACGTGACTATTGTTTCATTTCCGTCCGACCATGACTCGTCCAGGGGTTGTGGCTGGCGACATTGCCATCCTCTGAGATTTATTTGGGCTCTCAAATCGTCGCGAATCCACCTCCGGCACTTTCACCGACGACCGTTCATTTTTAGACTTGTAGATCTGGTTATCGTTGAGCTTTGTTGCGACTCGGCACGATCTGCCGACATTTGTCTTTGAGTCAGCAATAGATATCGCCGGCAGTGGTATGTAGGATAGCGGAGGAGGAAATTGGTTGCTATCAAATGTGGTGGTTTGGAACACCCTGGCGACTGCGGCAGAGGAGGTTGCGGACAAACGTTTGTCCTGACTTTCTTCCCACATGGGGTGAGTCAATGTGCACCTTGTTGATTGTAGGGCGTGATGAGTCAATGACCATAGCCATCATTGTATAAGTTGACAGCAAAACATAGGGTTGTTTCCTTCGAACGACCCTGTTCTCCTCGTGTCTCAAGATCAATCCGTTGCTACCAAAGAAGAGACATTTGGGAAACGTCCATTCGTCTCGTTGTTTCAACCATCCTCCAATTCCAGCCACCCCTCAGACTGTTCGAAGCAAAGCTTTCCAGCGTCTCACACCGAAAACATGGCAAGCCTTCAATACACCACCTACGACGTCTTTACGGACAAGAAGTTCACGGGCAACCCCTTGGCTGTCTGCGAAGTCCCCGAGGACGTCACGCTGACTGGGGAGCAAAAACAAACCATCGCCATCGAATTCAACTACTCGGAAACCACTTTTTTGCACCCATGCTCGAATGCCGACGCAGAGATACCAGAATGGCCTCTGGATATCTTTACAGTAAAGACCGAACTGCCATTTGCCGGCCACCCCACCATTGGAACCGCGTGTCATGTCTTGAGCAAGACTGGAAAGACGCAGGGCAGATTCAAGGTCAAGGCCGGCATCATTGAACTCGAGTACAAAGACGGAGTAGCCAAAGCATCCATTCCTCACAACACCCACATCCACACTTCGACCGACTTGACCGCCGAGGCAATGTTGAACTGGCAAAGCGGCCTCAAACCCTTCTACCCCACCACCTCCGACCTACCTCTCGCAGCCGTGTCCCCAGTCAAAGGCATGAACTTTGCAGTCATCCAACTGCGATCGCTCAAAGAACTCGCCGCTGTAACTCTACCAGGCACAGAGTTGAACTTTTCCCTCGACTCCTCCTGGTCCGTAGGCCCTTGCTTCAGCAAATTCTACGTCAAGATGCCTGATCAGGGCGATGGTGTGCAGCGTCTGCGCACTCGCATGATCGAAGGCAGTTTTGAAGATCCGGCGACGGGGAGTGCTTGTTGTGGTTTGGCTGCTTATTTGGTGTTGATGGACAAGGTGCAGGATGACACGGTCAAGTTTGAGATTCTGCAGGCCGTGGAGATTGGGAGACCCAGTGAGATTGGCGTCGAGGTCGTGGTTAAGGACGGTGAAATCAAGACGGTGGTGCTTTCTGGAAAATCGGTTGGTGTTATGGAGGGTAAGATCTTTCATGAGTAGAGAGATGGATAGTGAACTAGGTATCGAGCGTGGCATGATATACATAGTATCTAGGCGTCTTTGATATAGTGACTGAGCATCCGCATGTCAAAGATTGACATAACATCATGACCAACTTCCCTCCCCATCGTGAGATTTAGTCATATCGAAAGCCACACATATACACAGTCGCTAGGAGGACAAGTCCGGAAGATGTCGATGGAATCACAAGCGTCATATGATTATCACTTTGATACTAAGGGTCAAGGTCTTGAAGAGCAGAAATCAATTCTTGATACCAATGCGTATAGTAGGAGCAATTAACATGAAGAGTAGTAAAGTAAACAAGTGGAAAGGAAAGCAGTGCAAAGAAAACCATCATGTCAAACTTGCAAAACCATGCTTGAAGGAGAGAAGAAGATTTCCATCCAAACGGTTGACGAACGCCCGAGGAGTCGAGAATATCACGAAATCACAAAGGAAAGCAATCCATTGATGTTTCAGTCAGTGGCCGTGTCACTTCAGACTTCCATATCGAGGAAGATCCACTTGTCACTTGTGCAAGCGACGCCCTTTGACCAACGGTCCAGGGTAGTAAGCTCGAAACCGACCCATCCGAGGTCGCGAGTCAAGTCTTTGAGGTCTTCTTGGTCGGCAGAGCGATCAAGGCAGACGACGAGGTTCGAGCAGCCAAGTTCATCGTTGCCAGCCAACTCGAGAAGGCACATGAGGCTGTGTGATACTGTCAGTGTATGGGCAGTGCAAGAAGATAAATGTCAGACATACCCATTCTTGAGGTCAGGTCCGATGACCGACTTGTCGAAGAAGACGAACAGAGTGCTAAGTCCATTCTTGTCGGAGACAAAGCCGCGGAAGCGCAGTCCAGCAGCATACTCCCAGATCTCGACCCACTCACGCACAGCAGAGTTGGGAACAGCCATGTCGATAGCGCTGTCGGCCGAGGGCGAAGGAGAAGGCAGTGGAGCACTTCTATCGATGCTTGTCTTGTTGATGTTGTTACGCATACCCATCACAAGCGAGTCCTGAGCGACGGTGTTTCCCTCACCAAGAAAAACGGTGTCCAGTGTCTCGCAGAAGAGTCTCTCACATTCTTCCGTGATGGTGTATGCGGCGCCTCCGCTGCGCGAGCGAGCCTTGAGACTCGGGCGCTCCGGCGACGACGAAGCCCGGGTGGGCGACCGCGGGGGGCTCGGTATGCCAGTGCTTACCTCAAACCCACCACCCCGCTCCTGTTGCAGTGTTAGTGGCAGCGAATGAGCAGTCAAGGGGCGGAATACGTACCGCCTGCCCCGCAGGTGGAGTAGTGGAAGCCCTTCAGGGCCATGTCGACGGCATCGACGGTGTAGGCGCTGGCCTGGATGTTTGAACGGGCGGCGACTTCCTTGGTCGCCTGGTAGTAATTACTACTACTATTACGGGGTTGATTGGAATAATTCGCCATTGAAAGGGTATGCCACGGTTGCGTGCCGGGGCTGGACGGGTGTGGGGCTGGGTTGTCGGAGACGAAGTCGGTGAGAGGTGAGAGTCTTGCGAAGGGCAGCGAGAGGGCGCGAAAGGTGGGTGGAGCGAGTTGAGTTTGAGTTGCGGTGAAGAAGGATAGCAGGTGCGCAGGGCTTGTACAGGATTATGAATTGACGTCCCGGCGTTTGACGCTTCGAGAAGGCACTAGCCTGTGCCCCCGCACACGTGATGGCTCTTTCCTACCCATCTGCAACGATAGGTATCGACGACATACTGAAACGGCTACCGGCTTCACAAGCTCCTTCCATTCTTCACAAGCGTCTATCACGTCTGGAACATGCACATGGAGTTTCAGAGCCATGCTTCATCATTTGTTGTATTTACACTAGGCAAATGCCCCTCTGATAATCCAGCGCCCCCCAAAAACCTCAAAGGCCCTCCCTCCTGCTAATGTACAGTAGTCAGAGAGGTTTCTGCATGCCAACCAACGCCAACGCTGAATGAAAAATATTTGGATCCAGTAGAAAGCACCTGGTGTCCAAGAGAAAACATGTAAACTAAAAGCAATCCCCACTCTCGTGTCTACCAGCTCTCACATCTCGCGATAGTCGACTGATCGCTGTCTGCGGTTGCGTGCCTGATGGCGATGAGGGTTGACAGGGCGGCGGATGTAGGCGCCATCGTCGCCTTCTGCTCCTTGCTGCTGTTGGTTGTTGTTTGTGTTGTTCCAGTTCTGGTTGCCTTGCCATTGCTGACCTTGACCTTGGCCTTGTCCGTAGCCTCCATTCTGACCCATCATCTGGTTATTGTACCCGCCGCCGTACATGTTTCCTCCACGCTGTTGCTGCTGCTGTTGTGGGAAACCCATGCCATTCATTCCGTTCATACCATTCATGCCGTTCATGAATCCCATATTTCCCCATCCTCCGTTCATCATCATCTGATTAGGCATGCCCATCATGTTCATCGGCGCCATGCCCATCATACCTCCAGGGAAGCCCATTCCCATGGCTGGGTTGAAGCCACCCATGCCTGGCATGCCTCCTTGCTGGTTGGCGAGAGCGTTCATGGACTGGATGAAATTGTTTTGGTCGAAAGCACCTCCCTGTACCGGTGGCTGAGATGCATTGTTTTGTTTTCGCATAGCTGCAGGGCCAGTAGGGATTCTGGTGTTTTCCAATTCGTCCTCGGCGGGGCGCTTCTTTGACTCGGTAGCAGTGGTTGTTTGTGGAGTCGAGGTAGCGGACTTTTCTCCGTTTACTGATGCCGGTTTCGGCGAGTTTGATTTTCTCTCAGTCGCAGCAGCATCATCTGTGGATTGTTGCTCAATCGTTGGTGGTGGGGTAGCAGATTTCTCCTTTTCCTTTTCTAGCTTCATCTTTGCCTTGTCTTCTTCGTAAGCCTTGATCTTGTCTACGGCCTCTTCGTCAGAGATGAGATTGTCAACTAGTGTGTTGTCTGAAGAGCAACCAGGGCAGACAAAGTCATTTTCAAGAAGAGCATTCTCGATACAGTCACGGCAATAAGTCTTCCCGCAGCAAGGAGTTTTCATTGGATCGACGAACATGCGTTTGTCAATAGGACATTCCAAGCCTCTTTCGCTCAGCTCCTGGCTTCCTGTGTTTGCGGCTTCGGCCTTGTCTGCGGCCGCCTTAGCCTTGGCCTGGAACTTTTCCCATGCAGCCTCGTCTGGCCTTGCAACAACCCATTCTCCTGTGGCAGTGTACATGACACCGGCTGGCAACTGGGAAACGTCGATGGTTCCGTCGCTTGATAGTGCAGTCGGCTTCTCGACGACCTTTAGGAAGGAGCGGGGAATACCAGTGGTACGTCTAAACTTGGGGCGGCCATCGAAGTTGGGGTCATTGTTGGTGGGACATGCCTGGATCCAGTGACCCTTTTCACCACAGCGATGACAGGTGTAACCAGGGGGCAGAGGCTTGTCGGGAACGTTTGCTGTCTTTTGGAAGCCGCCAGTACGGTGGACGGCCTTCTGGCTGGCCATCTCTTGTTGTTGCTGCTCCCACTGAGCACCACCTGCCTGGAACATGGCTGCGATCTTCTCTTCTTCGGTCATGTTAGGGTTCATGTCCTGAGGGGCGCCATTACCCATGGGGGTGCTGGCTGTAGCTGTAGATCTGGAGGATTCGATACGATGTTGGTTCTTTGCCATGACGGGCATCTTGCCGGAAACATAACGCGCGGCTCTGCCAGCACCAGGCTTGGTAGCAGGAAGGCGTCTGGCGAGAACGGTCGTTCCGCGGGAGATGATGGATGTGTCGTCGTTGTATTCTGATCAGAGTTAGTCGACTGAGAGCTGGAAACGGGCGTTTAGCAGTTGTTGCTTACCTTCATTAGTGTCGAGGTTGTAGATGTTGAAGTCGAAATCGGTGCCGTCACCGAGTCTGCTCATGTTGATTATGTCTCGCTTGAGCTCAAAGACCGAGATACCAGTGCCATCGAAGGTCACTCTCTGCACATCCTTCTGGTTCTTGAACCTGAAGAAAACGGAAGAAGACATGATTAGAGGGTTACCGCAAAGGGCAAGTTAATGTTAGAAGCAGTAGAGCGGTACGACTGAAAAGTGAGAAACCAGATGGATTCCAGGCTCAGATTGTCAAAGAAGGACAATAGGTCTTATTCAGGTATTGCCTCGTGCGAATGCCGACTATAGTAAAATGTTTCTTCTTGACTTTTGTTCTTTTTCTGAAGGTTTAGGAGGTCTTGTTGACACTAAACACTAAGGGGGGTACAGGAACTCTGAGTAGAGGGAAGAAAGAGTGTATTGGTGATGTGTGAAGACTTCAGGGCAAAGGTTTTGTATGTGGATATGCAGACTGCACAGTCTCAGGCTTGTCCCTCCTCTCAGACCAACTTCTCAAACACGTCCACTTGCTCGTGTGAAGATCTTGCGCGACTGACTCACTGGGCGACAATAGCGCGTCGCTGGCACTTGTCGACGGGGCGGGCGGGTGATACGTAGATGTTCAAGCGTGATTACTCGACGCGACAAAGACGGTGTCTGTGGTGAGTGGCGGCGGATGGAAGAGTCGGGCGGGGTTGATGAAAGACAAGAGAAGGATGTCTCGTTGGCGAAGTCCAACAGGAGCCTGGAAGTCACTTAGTCAGCCGGTGTCGGAAGAACTTTCCCGACCTTTCCGAATCCGGTCACTGTCCGCCTTCACTTTCGATGCTTCCGTCCAAGCCAAGCACTCCGACCGCCTAAAAAGCGTATGCTTTGGAGTGGCTAAATCTACGAGTCCAAGACAAGGAAGCAGGAACAATTGAATCAACGCTTGTGTTTCAATGTCATGTGAAGAAGCACCGAGTACATACGTTTCACAGCCAGCTCTGTTTCACCCTGAAGACCGTCACAATAGAACAAGAGCGATGGTGAAAAGAAGTGCATCGATTGTCATTAGTGCCATTGAACCTCCAGCGCCAGATACTCATAACTTCTAAACTCTAATACAGCTCCAAAGAAAGAAGCAACGACCAAACAGACCTCTCACCTCTTCTTCGCCTTGACTGCCTCCTCCATCTTCCTGACCATCGTCTTGAGACCAACACCCTTATCGCAATTTGCCACCAACCAACCCTCCATCTTCTCCCTCAGTCCCTTTAATCCCTTGCACAGCGGCATCTTTGCACCTTCTTCTTGCTGCACAAACATGGTCGGGTTCAACAGCATCTCAAACGCCTCGCCCCAAATCTCCTGTTGCCAATACCTCTTCAACCCCTCCTTGATCTTGTAGTGTTTCGTTGCTCCTGCACCGAGACCTTGACCTTTTTCTGCAATGGTGCTCATGTATTTGCCAAACAGTAGTGAGTGCAAGAGACCGGCTAGACCATGGTAATCCACTTGGTAGGTCCAAGGACGCATCTCCCTCATCTCAGCGCAATCAGCATCGGAAGTTTCCCAATCAGCTACGAACTGGACCTCTGAGGCAAACACACGCATATCGATGCCTCTGCCAAAGTCGATCAATGATACTCCTTTTGCTTTCCAGCCGTTTGCGCCGCAAGGGTCGTAAGTCGAGCTCCAAGACGCGCAGTCGTCCAAGCGCACCAACACATTATCCCCCTTCAGGTCTCCGTGGATTAGCCCCTTGCTGTGCAATGCTTCCACGACTCTTATCAGCTCGGTGGCAAAGAACATGGCTAGAGCTTCGTCAAGTGTTCCTCCTGCCTCTGCCCTGGCTACGTTGATCAGATCAAGCAATGTGCCTTGACCGCGGAATTCCTCAACCAAGAAACCTTCGTCACGGAAGATGTGCATCTCGTAAGCGTGAATCACTGATTCGGTGGCTCGCGATACTCCTAGACGACGGTGGACTTGTCGCAACATGTAAAACTCCCAGGCCGAGGGAGGATCTTCCATCTTCAATGCTTCGAACGAATGGCGTTGGACTGCTGAATAGTTTCCCTGTCCCATGACAGACGCGTTCTCGTCGTTTTCGTTGGTAGTTTCGGGAGAGGCTGAGACATTGTGGTTTTCGAGCAAGTAAACTGGTGCAAAGGCACCAGCACCCAACTCGCGCTTCAAGGTGTACTTACTGCTCTCGAGGTTGAGGATAGGAGCAGGAGGTAGAGAGGCGCTGCTTTTTTCTGTAGCGGTCTTGCCTTTTCCAACTGCTTTCGAGTATTTGCGGATCTCAGGTGTGCGTGCGTGTTGGATGTTTTTGTGCTCAAAGTAGCCTTCGTATGAGCTCAATGGGGGATGAATTTGTGACAAGATGGTCTGGCGGAGTTCTGGGTCTACTGGGTTGAGTTGTGGATCTTTGATGATAGGTCCTTTGGTGATGGGCTCCGCAAGTGCTGGGCGTAGAGCGAGAGGCTTGGGTTTAGCAGCGCCTGCGACGTCTTCGCTGAGGGATACTATGCCCTTTGTCGTTTTCGTGCGGATGGGCTGTAGGATCTTACGTTTGTTCTCTAGCTCGGCGCCACTGAGGACTTGGAAGGGGCTGCTCATAAGACTGTCTTCGTCCTCATCTTCTTCGTCCTCATCCTCTTCCTCGATATCAGCATTGCCGTGATTCTGTCTCGACGGGGTTTTGGCAGTGAACCCTTTTTCCAGCTCGGCTCGGATGGTTGCAGCACCAATCGAAGACTCTGTGTGCTCGACAATGGGCGTCATAAACGGTAGACGGTTCTGAGCCACGATGACGGGATCCCGATACTGCGACCTTACAGGTTCATAACCCTCAGGTGGTTTCGGGACATACTTTGTCTTCTGCTCCTCGTTCTCGCCATCGAAAGGTGGAGGCATCTCATCGATTGGTGTTGACAAACCATCTCTAGAGTGTGCAGAGGTCGCAGCAGTATCGGTGACAGGCTTGCTTTCCTCATAATCAGACCAAGCGCTAACATCAGTCTTGTCTTCATCATCATCTTCTTGGTCCTCGGTATTTTGCGTCGTTTCCTCTTGGGAGGATTGTTGCGATGCAAGAATCTCTCGTCGTGTCTCGTCACCATAATCGCTTCCTGCAGCTGAAACATGACCCGTCGTGGTATCCTCTCCATCGCTGCTGTAATCGTCGTCACTGTCGTCTTCGCTATCTTCCTCGCTCTCGGATTCTTCGACTTCCTCGTCAGCAGCAGTCTGGACCGGTTGGCTGAAGATGCCATAGATTTCATCCATGGCTTCCTTCGTGTTGATGGTCATTGTGGGTTCGGCAACCTTCTTCTTCCGTAGTTTCTTCCCTGAAGGCGAGTCCATGTTGAGTTTGATGGTCTGAGTCTCCTTTTGAACATGTTCGACATCCATAACCTGGATCTTGCGAGTCCGGTTAGCACGCTCTTCGCGGCGCATCCTCTTTGCAAGTTCAACATCAGCCTTGGAAGGGGGTCTGTTCTCGTCGTTCTCGTCTTTGACAGGTATGACTTTGAGCGAAGTGTCGATGGTCAGAGGTGACGACTTGTTCTCGGAGCCATCTTGGAAAATCTGGAAACCGCGTTGACTCGTAGGGCGTTCTTGTTCAGGTTGCTTTGCAGCAGCAGGTGCGTCGCTGAAGATGGCAAATCCACGCTTAGGCTCTTTTGATTGTTGACTGACTTCAGGTTCCACCTGTGCTTGGTTAACAGACAACGCTTGTTCTCGCTCAGCAGCCCAGTCACGATCTAGCCAGCCACGATGCCTGGCTCTTAGCTCCTCGAAGCAGAATTCGACAGAGGGATCGCTCGGGTTAGGATAGACTGCTTCAAGATTCACAAAGACACATTCGGGTCTACCAGTCTTCAGGTTGATGACTCGTTGGGAAGCATGTTTACTTAATTCGTAGGCATGTCGTACAGTAGAGGATGACTGGAATACACAAAAACGTCGCCAGCCCGTTAGTCCTGCATTCGTGAATATCTGGTACGTAAAAGGGCGGGAGGATTGGATGCTTACCCTGAAAATAGACATCTTCTGCATGCCGGTGTTTGTCTTTCCTGCCTTCAATGTCTCTCCGGCCATGGGCTTGGGCGCAATGGCGTTCTCCTTCTTTCTGTTCTGAATCGACTCGATGTTATCCCATCCATTCTTCTCGCCAGGAGTTCCGAAAGCACTTTGATCTTGTGGAGATTCGTCGCTGAAGATGGCCATCTTTCCAGCCTTGGACTTTTTGGTTGCAGCAGGCTTGGCTGCTTGTTGTGGGGTGGTTGCGGCGAGTGCAGCTGCGAAAGGATCGACCTTTGCGCCCAGGACGGCGCGAGCGACAGGAAGAGCAGGGCTTGTGGGTTCGGCAACCTCTTGATCACGAGCAGCGTTGCGCTGCTGGAACTCGTTGAACTTTCTCGTCAAGCGTGCGACAGGTGTGGCACCCTTCTCAATACCCATATTGTAGACTTCTTCTGCTTGTGTCCATCTGCCGGCGTGTTCGAGCCAAGCAGCGAATTCCTCGTAATAGAGTGCGAGCGACTCGGCGACTCCGTGGCGATTAAGGAAGACGAATGTCTCGCGAGGGGCGTCGGAGAAGAAGCGAATGTAGTGTAGCCATAGTTTCAGATAGCGAGGATCGTTCTTGTACTGTGGTGATGAAAGGAAGGCTTTGGTGGCACGTTCGAGCAGAGGCAGCAGTTGTGATTGCGGTGTTGATTGTGCCGAAGGGTATGTGTCGAGGGTCCACTTGACGTAGCGGTCGTAGATACCGAGTGGGTCGTCTGCTTCGTCGATCAAGGCAAGTTCATCCTCGTACTCGTTGCGCTCGTCGTCATGAGCGTCCTTGGTGAGGGAGGTGCGTTGTTGTCCGCTGGTCAAGGGTGGTGAGTACAGGGCTGCCAAAGCTCTCGCCGATCGTCCACTGGGTAGCGCCTGAATGTTCTCCTTGTGTCCCTCGATGACCTCGAAGTCGATCAGATCCGAGCCTGCCATTTTTGCTGTATGGAATTAGTTGTGTCTACCTCTGAATGCGCTGCTGCCGTCGGAACAATTTATTGTTTACCCCGGCTTTTGTTGACTTCCAGCCTTGGCGTAAACAACATGACTCGCCAATCACATGCCACTTCTTCTCTCCACCTACTTATCCTTCCTCGCTACCACGTCCAATCTCTTCATGGACCTTATTCAGGCTTCTCATTGACGATAAGGTTGACTGACCGTGGAACCTCTCATTCTTTCACACCTACTGCTTTCTTTGAACAAATCAACCGCCCCGCCACAATGCATTATTCTAGCAGAGCATTTCTTTGTTTTCATACGACTAGCACTAACCCATGCCTAAGTACCAACTGAACTTTGTTTAGTATATATACGCTTCTCGCGGGACTACATTGTCTTCCCAACACACTTTCCCAACTCAACTTCTCGCTTCCAACCAGCAAGATGAACAGAGAACAGCGCCAGTCGCTTATCAACGACCTTTGGGATCGTGATGACCTTCACGTTATGATTGTAAGATACAATGATGAAGCCCAGAGAATTGGAACACAAGGAACCACCACGACTTTCCACGCCAATCCAATGCAAGCCATTGATGCTTTCTTCAGTCTGCTAGGCAATAGGGAGTATCAACGACACCCTGCCCTGAACGATAATATGTACCAGTGGTTGGTTGCCCACACGGACGGCCTTGCAGAACCTACTGCTAACGACTTGGTGGGTAATGTCATGTCTGATCTCACAGAGGACAACACAGCCATTCACTCCAGTAACATCATTGCACTCGAAATCATTCCCCTCCTCGAGTATCACAATAGAGACCACGGTATGCTTGCTGGAAGACCCGACAGAACCATTGATCCTCGGCTTCTACCCAGATCTGAGTATACCTTGGGTCTAGACGACCCCCCACCTACTCCCAATCCAGAACCTCTGATTGATCTTGATGAAGACATTGTCATGTTTGACCACTGGATCCCACCTCCTGAGTTCATCCCTCCCTTCGTCGATGACGGCTCCGAAGTTCCCCCATTCGAGCGCGAGCTCTTCTCTCCCTCTCCTCCCGATCCTCCTCTTTTCGCTAATCCAACACCTGGTCCTGTGCCACTTCCCGCAGCCAACAACACTCCTGCACCCTCTCCAAATGCTCCCGCTCAGAACACTCGTAATCATCCTAGACGCCGTGTTGCTGACCCAAATGTCGATGCTCGTAGAATCCACGCTTGCGCTTTTGTCGGTTGTTCGTCGCGCTTCACCAGACCTTCTGACTTGGCTCGTCACTGGCGTACTGTTCATACCGGTCACACTCAACAGTAAGTTTTCATCATTGTTAAAGCAAACAGTAGTTCAAGGTAGGTTTCTGCTTCTGTAAACTTCGAATAACATAATAACACATTTTTTTTTCTGTCTCTACACAATCCATACATATTCCAAATGAGCGCCTCTGGAATGAAATGAACCGAAGCGAATAAGAACTGTCTGAAGTTAAAAATCATGTAAATGGACTACTATTACAGATATGCAAAAGAAGAAAACAATTCTGCACCGCGCTATGCGCAAAGTAACAAAGACCCTTAGAAAAGTAGACACGAAATGGAAGAAACACAGTCAGACGGATACCACCAAAGACTGCCGTACCCCTCTGTCTCACTGATGGCCAAGCCGCCGAGTGTTCGAAAGTACATATGGACGAGCAAATCTTGTGGCTTGGATCTACTTTCCCTTGTCCTGATCAATCTTCTTCTCCCTGTCTTTCTGATCATTCTTCATTTCGTCCTCTTTTGTCCCTTCGTTGCCCAGGGTGCCGTTATCCAGCATTTTTCCCAGCTCCTTCAGCTTGACGGGTTTGGTCATGAACGTGTCGACCCCACTGCTATAAGCCTCTTGCTGCGCCTGCGCACTCGCCAGACCAGTCAATGCAACGATTGTAGCAGGCTTGATGTTGTTCGCTCTTTCATGAGCACGGATTTTTCGAGTCGCGGTGAGGCCATCCATGATTGGCATAGACACATCCATGAGCACGTAGTCAAACGGCGGATCCTGCATCACGTTTCCGTTGTCGGACCCAGCCTGAGAGTTGTCGCACTCCGATGTGTATGCCTCCAGCGCTTCGAGTCCGTTGCTTGCTGTCTTGAAGTAATGGCCAGATCTCTTGACGAAGGTGACGAGGAGCTGAAGGTTTACTCTATTATCATCCACAAGCAACACTTTGCGAACGGGTTGATCTGAGTCGGAGTTTGTTCTAGAGAATGGATTTGATGAACCGGCTGTTGGTGCTGGTGATGCAAGAGAGCTGGTATCGTTCAGCAGAGACTTGTCTGCTTTCGGCATCTTGGAGTTACCCTGGGGTATCTCGATCGTATCCTTCTGAGGATGTTTGAAAGGTGCGTCTCCTGAGTGGCCTTTTTCCTTTGCTTCCACGCTCAAGGCGTGATCTTCAGAGTCCAGTACTTTCTGGAAAGACGAGTCTTGGAGGGTTTGACCCTCTCCCAAGCTGTCTTCCAGAATTTTGCGAACGGACGGCACCGGCTCGTTCGTTTTGGAGTTCTTGTGAGCTTCCAGACAGAGCGTAAGTGACTTCGCGAGTTTCCTTGGACCACAGGGCTGACTCAATACGCCAGTAACGTGTGATTGCGGATGATGCATCATGGCGTTGGCGGCAGAGACGCTGTTACAGATGACCAGCAGTGGAATGTCGGCTTCTTTGTTCTGAGCATCCTTGTCAGACTCATTTTCCATACGCTTTTTCAGTTGGTCCTGCACCAACTCGAGGCCCTTCTCGGTAGTGAGAAAGACGTCGACGTCTGACTGATCTATCCCTTGGGTTATCTGCATGTCCATTCCGAACCAATTTTGGCACATTCTATGGAACGAAGCCATAAACCTGTGACCGGCATTCTCTGGGGATCGTGTTCCTGGCTGTGGCTCTTTCTTGTAGGAATCAGCGTCGAAGCCGACGAACCCGATCTTCATTCCTTGCGTCTTTTTGGCACAACCTGTAATCACACTCCGATCCACATCCTCTTCCTTGACCGCGATATGCATCATTTCCAGAGTGACCGTGGTTTTGGTTCCTTTGCCTAGCTCACTCTCCACTTTGATTGTACCACCCATAGATTTTATGATGGCCGAGATGATCGCCAGGCCCAGACCAGTCCCCGGCATCAATGGATCTTCCTGCGCGAAGGGAGTGAAAAGGCTTTGTTCGAGGTATTCCTGACTCATACCCTTTCCAGAGTCCGTGACGGACAGCGTGACTTTGGAACTACCGCCCCGCTCCTTGGATGGCAACGGCTCGCTGTCGAGCTTGACCTGGATGAATCCATTTGACGTGTACTTGAGACTGTTGTTGAACAGATTGCTCAGGATACGACGCCATGCGCCGGCCTGCGTTCTAAAGATCCAATGGGAGTCTTGAGCTTTCGAGATGTCAACGACAATCGATACATTCTTTTCACCTTCGGAGCTCTTTGCGCTATCATCGACTTGTTTGTTTCCGTGAGACGGCATCTGCTCAGTCTCGCGGCCAGCTCTGATGAAGTCATGTCCAGCAAAAACAGTTTCCAGTACTTCCTCAGTAACTACACTTAAATCGACATCAACATCGAGCGCAAAGTTTTGTTTTTGTTCGTGTGGATTCGAGCTACTTGTACGTGTTTGAGTGCTCTTCCTAGTAAAGTTATTAATCTTTGCAAAGTCGAGTAGATGGTCGATCGTGTCCAACAAAGTGTGACCACAGGTGGCGAGAGTATGTACAAGATTCTCCTGGAAGGGGTCGAGAGTTGAGTCTTCGAGGCATTCCACACTGCCGAGTATACCATGGAGTGGGCTGCGAAGTTCATGCGATATAGATGAGATAAAGTCCGATTTTGCTTTGTCGGCAATCTTAGCATTGATCCTGGCCACTTCGCTCATGGCGCAATCGCTGAACGCTGCGAGATAACTAAGCTCTGAGTGTGTGGTGAGGATTCTATGAGGGTCCAAGGTCCAGGCGATACAAGCACTGAAGAACTTCTGATCGGAGCTCCACATAGGTTGGATAGCGAGACTGCGGACTCCTGGAAACAGCTGTTTGATTATCCTGGCTTCGTTCGACCTTAGACGCTTGCGTTTCTTGACGGTACTTTTGGCGGAAGCCGGGCCATTCGTTGCTTCTGATTGTGCCGGATCCTCGCCAGAGGACGGGTCAGCGTCCTCATCAAAATTGAGAACTTTACCATGTGGATAGCGACGCAAAAGTGATCGAACGAATTCCTCGGTCATGTCATCAGTAAGTCTCGCCGATTGGTCTCCGCGGGCGCTGTTTATCGTAGGCGTAGATATGCCGAGAATTTCAGAACGATGCGCACCATCTTCTCTTGCCAGTGTCTCCCTCTTATCGGGGTCAGATAGCTCTGTACCGGACTCAGCTGATGAGTCAGGTTCGGAGGCTGACGATAGTTTCCGTCGCTTCGGTCGTTCATGGGCTGTGCGATCGACGAGACCTCCAAAAGTAGACTTAGCAGTAGCATCGAATATGACAACAGCATCAATCTGCAATGACTCTCGGATGATGTTTGCTGCGCGACCAAATGTGGCCTTGACTTCGGGAGCGAGGTGATCGGTAGGGGATGTCTTCTTCGCTTTGGGGTCTTCCTCGGCGGATGGTTGTTGTGGTGATGCATTGGAAGCTCGCCGTGAGGACGACTTGTCAACGTCGACAGATATTCCAACATCGGTGGGAGACGGAGAGCCTTCCTGGCCATTTTGCTGAAAGTCAGGGAGTTGGTTGTGATGTCTAGAATATTGGCGGTCGGCCCATTGTAGTGGCGAGTCTCTTTGGACATCGGGTGTATCCGAGTCAGCGCCCAAGGCTTCCCAATCACCCAAACTGTGCTTACCCTCGACAAAGCACCCTAAGCCATGTACCATTCTTTCCCCCTTGATGCTTTCCGACTGTGCGCGCAGCATATCAAGATGTATCATAACGGTCGTGGCCATGTCTTTCATGAAGGCTATGTCATCGGGCGCGAGCTTTTGACGAGGTTTATCGTCTATAACACAGTAGGCACCGATCTTGTAGCCATTAGGAGAGATGATAGGGACACCGGCGTAGAATTTCCAACCGTGATCTGTCGTGTATGGTTTGTCACTGAACCTCTTGTCTTTGGACAAATCGGGCACAATAAAGATCGAGTCGTCATTGGCCTCCTCTGTATCATCAAAGGGCAAGCAGATGGTGTGTTCGCAGATGCTTCCCCTTTTAGGGACGGCTGTCACGCCGTAGTCACATTCGTCGCCAGGGACAGCTTCCGACTCGGTGTGCAAGCTGAGAGATTGTGTGGCTTCTGCAAGGATGTACTGGTAGCTGCGATCGAAGAAGGAGATGGCGGCGCGTTTGCAGTTCAAGCGTAGGGTAGCGAGTTGTGCGAAAGCCGTGAGTGCTCTATCGGGCGATGCACGCGCTCGTTGCGGAGCCGACTGGTCCTTGAGCGCGTGGATATCTGCCAAGCCGAGCCTGGTGGGCTGATAGTACCTGGACAGTAGAAGTTAGCCACTCGATGGAACGTGATGCTGCGGCGCGCATCGCTGTACTTGTAGAACTCGCGCTCGTGGCCGACATCGTAGGCCAGTTCCTCCATCGATGGACCGGGGGGACAAGATGCCATGGTTGTGCTAGCTCTGTACGGGTTGCATGTAGACCGTCACAGTGATTGAGGCTAGCCTTCCTTCACGCTCAATAGGTATCAGTGGTGACGACCAATGAGTCTGAAAAGCAAAATCGTTAGGACAACGAGCAGCAAACAGTGACGGTTGAGAATGATGTCATCAGCGATGAAGCGGACGGCGGAACCCTGGAAGTCCCATTACCGGGGACCCGGCTCCGGCCCAAGGTTTAGGTATATGTCCCGGAACGGCAGTTGCATTCTGCGTTGTTCTGAGGATGCTGAAACAAAACACCATTAGTCGAGTATGATAGACTGACTGAGAGACTCTGTATCCTGTTGTCCATCTATCATGACACTGAAGCATACGACAATAGCGTAAAGGAAGAACAGTAATAATATCAGTATTGGGTATCTAAAAACCAAAGCGGCTAAACGACAAAGGAAAGAAAAAAGGCAAGAGCTTCGCAGCTTCGAAAAGATCGTCTAGTTCGTACAATTGTATATGTGCCGTCATTTTTCTAGTCCCTTGCTGAGCTCAGCAATCTCATTGTCGGCAAGTGCTGCTAGCCAAAGGCATTTGGTCAGAATCTCGGCATCTGCTTTGATGGCATATCTCGAACTGGCATCCAGTAGACGCAGTACTCCTTTGACGATCGATGCAGTAGTGCGGTGGCGCTCAAAGTTCACGAGCTTCTCGTGCGATCCGTCTGTTGACACCCTTCCAGCCGGCGTGATGAACGCTGGCTTCTGAGCATTGAGTGCAAGGTCGCGAGTGTAGACACCAAGGAATGGAATCACTCCCTTGCCGGTCAAGACCTCGTCATCGCTGAGCTCGGCTGCAGCACTCTCCATTTCGGCACGCAGCACAGCAAAGTTGCGCATTGGGCTGACCAAGGTTTCCAGACTTCGGAGGGCATCTTTCTCGGCCTGTGCAACCTTAGACCACGTGGTACTGAGACGAGAGAGATCCGAAGAGAGCAAAGCTATCGTGATTTGTGCTGTCGTGGCAAAGTTGCGTAGACTGCGATGTGAATGTGTCGCAATATGTACAAACTTCGTAATGCACTGAGCACGCTCTTCCGATGTGCCACAGAGCAGCACTGAAGAAACACACCACTTGATCACCAAGTTAAATCGTGTGATGATCAGGTCGATGCTGCTGACTTCGGTGACATTGGTGGGAAATGCGTGAATATACTGTGCCCAGTCTCGCACAGAAGACACCTCTTGCGACCAGCTGAGGTTGATCAGATCCTTCCAGTCAACAGAGTCCAGCGCGTCCTTTTCGATGATGGTGAACTGCATAGCGAGTATTTCAGAACTATGTGCCAAAATGAATGGTGTGTGTTGCGTGGGAAGGTTACGTGTCCGTGGCAGTGCAGAGTGGTCTGCTCTCTTCGCGAATTGGTCGGACAGTAACAGCTCCGAAAGACGGAATGACTTTTTGGATTTCGCGATTGGTGGACCAGGAAGCAGCATTTGTGCATTGAATTGATCAAACCCATGATCTGAGATGTTGTCCGCTGTTGTAGGTGGGGTCAGAGGGGAATGTGTCATGCGAGGCTGATAGTGGTCTACAGAGTCCACAACTGCATCTTCATCTTCTGCGTCGAATAGGAAAGTGTCAACCAAAGGCTTTGTTTCATGCTGTCTGATGAGCATCGAGTTGCGGTCAACGAGCGATTCCCCGTCATCAAGCAGAAAGGTCGAGGCTGGTGTGTTTGGCGAGTCGGCTCTTTCTGGTTCACCCTGAACCGGGGTGACGGGTCGCTCGAAATTCATAGATGGATCAGGATTGGCAAAGTCCTTTGTTGCAATCGATGACCCGTGGATCGGAGTTTTCGTCGAAATGTGCTGAGTCGGTTGATTGGTCGCTGCAACATCGACCGCTCCATGCCTTCTGTGCACGACTCTTGTCACCTCAGTCCCGGAATGCGTAGGCTCTGTTGATGCCACATTTGACGACTTTGACACATCAGTTCCATGTGAAGCTCCAACATGTTGACCAGTGGCTTGCTGTCGCGTAAGGCTCGGGAAGTCGTTGTCCTTGTGACCAAGATTGAAAGACTTGACAGTCTTGTCAGACGATCTACTCGGAATATACCTTCCTTCAAGCTTCAGTAGCGTAGACTCGACACCACCATCATCCTCGACCAGTGGCATCTCTCGAAGTCTAGCGACTTCTACTTCCATTGATGGGCGTAGATGACGAAGAGATGAGTGAGTAGATAGCAATCGCAATGAGCTTCTTCTTGCTGCATCAGAAATGTCTCCGTCGCTGGCCTGGGCTCTGAGGGGAAGCCGCGAGAGATGAGACTCAATGCGTGCATCGTCACCATCTCCAGATATGGTTGTTAGGATTGGAGAGCCATAAGTGGAAACTGGTGATGTGATGGAACCTGTTGATTGGCGTCTACGAGAGATTCCAAGATCATGGACAGTATTGACACCACGAAGATTGCCCCCAGGTTTGCGACGAAGCTGTCTTGCAGGCTCATGTAGATCAGCAGGGTCTACTTGTGATGATACGCGGAAGCTTAACGCCGGGCTGCCATCGGTAGAAACACCCGGTGAGTAGAATTGACCAGTACCAAACGACGTGGTGACCTCGGTATCAGGGCTAGGCTTGCCATACGTAACCTCGACTGCACGCTCTGCGAAGGGATTCAGAACGGTAGGGAGTGGTGGGAGAGGCACAGTTGGGGGAGGTGAATGTGGTGATGACATGATGGACAAAGTCGTCGGCGCGGTCGACAAGGTGGCAGACTTAGTCGGGCTTGTCCAGGCAGTTTGTTCAAAGTCCACCATATTGTAAGGAAGCAAAAAGGCAGTATTGTTTACAGCCACATCGTGGACTGCTGCTTGGTTGTGTTCCTGTGTGGTCTGCCTTGACAGGTCGTGTTCCGTCGCTGAGTGTGTGAAACCAGCAATCGTTTTTACTATTTCCGGAGTCCGTTCGGATTCATCGAGCCCCGTACCATCAATGATCATGATCGATCGACTACTTGTAGTGACGTTACTCAGAAGACGAAGTGCGCCAGGGCGTACTGGGAGATTTGTTTCGATCGTCTTCGACCTGTTTCGCGTGACTGTTAAAGTACTGGGACTGAACTCTGTCAACTCATGCATCATCTCATTGCCTTGCTGTTGCCAAGTCCGCATGACCATTGCAGCCAAAGCATCTGTGTGAGTGTTTTGAGCCTTTCTGGCCTGTATCTGTCTGATCATATCTCTCGGTTGGGGTTCTATACTGCCCATCTTGCGCAGATCACCAGAACTGGCAGTCTTCGGCCTGTGTTGAAAAGGAGATCTTCCGCCATTACGTGTGCTCAACGCTCTTCGTACGCTCCCAAAGATGTTCAGACGAACATGATTGGGGGGAACTTCTGAGGCTCGCGAGAGGGTTTCTGACATGCTAGGTCGGGCGTCTTCGGGTCTGACCAAGAACGGCGGACTCGGCGGGCCAGGGCCGATGACATTCGCCGAACTGGGATGGATAACAAGCCCGCGGATGATCCTGCCGGGTCGAACTTGAACTTCGGCGCTCGGCTGAGAAGACTTTGGTCGATCAACACGAGAATCTCGAAGTGCATCTGAGAAACTGTCGCTTCTCTTATGACGATGGAAACCTTTCGGCTTCGGAGGCGAGCGATGACCTGGCTTCTCAGATTGACTTTTCAAGTCATGCTTGGAGCGCTTCAGTCTTGGGAATGAGCAAGACGTTACCTGAATACTGGCCTCACTAAGGCGGGATCCCGTGTCAGGTCGTCCCAAGGCCACAGTAGAGATGTTGTTACCAATGTAGGACGAATTTCTCATATGTGATTCGTTCGTCAGCGAGCGCATGCGAGTCGTTCCAGGGAGCTGCGAATCATCGTCACCATCCAGTCTGAGTGGCATATATGCTTGAGGCGCGACTGTTGGTCCCCAAACAAGCGCACAGGTTCGGTTCCAGCACTTTTGTAGCTCGGTAAGTACTTGAAGATCGCCACCAGCACCACCTTGAGGTCTTTGGGTCACATGCAGAACAAGCTTATTGACAAGACTGCAAAACAGATTCCGAAGCTCGTGGTCAGGCTCGAAATCTTGGGCGAAGTAATTCAGGATCCAATGGCGCAAGGCAACAAAGGTTCGTACACGTACTACCCGTCCAGAATCATCGGTTTGTGATACGGCCCAGCGTAATCTGGCGACCAGATACCTGGCCAGATCAGACGGGGACAAGAAGGCTCTGTAGGTTAGGAAGAAGTCAGATAGGAGATCGTAGTCCAGAAATTTGACCGAGGTGATTTCCACAATCAGACGAGTGGGTGTCGCCGCAACGATTTCGGCAGTCCCATCCGCATATCTAACAAACTGGTTGTTGTCCGGATCCGCAGCCACTTTGTCGTAAATGGTATATGGTATCTCATCTCGGTCCAACTCAGGAGGAGGAGTGGCGAGCGGAGAAGGAGATAGTTGAGGTCGTCCGGATTCTACAGCAGGTGATACCGAAGGAGAGAACCAGGAAACGCTAGGAGATCTACGTAGATCTATCGAATTCTGGTGACGTTGAGTTGGAGGTGGCATCAAACGATCTAAGCGGTCAGTCGAGAGTGGACGCAAGTCGGCCGTGCTAGAGAAGGCGGTATGATAAGAGTTATGGAGAAATGCAGTGCCACGATCACTAAACCTCGGCGACCCAAGACGAAAGTGAGGTATGGGTACCTCGAGCAGAGGAGCAAACAAAGAGTCGGCAGCATCGGAGGCGGGGTTTTTGGTTTCCAAGTGTTGGCGTGGATCTGATCGAGGGTGTTTGGGGATCGAGTCAAGGCTTGGTGAGCGGAGATGGGAGGCCTGCCTACTCTTTCGACTATAGCCGCTGTCAAATGACGATCTTCTACGTGAGGCGATGAAGTCATGGTCTGATTGGCGTAAAGACAGCTGAGCAGCGCTCTTATGGAGGCCGTCATGCCAGTAGAAGGCCGAAGGAGTTTGCTGTTGGACGCCTGAGGTGTCAGGAGGAGTTGGAGGAGGCCGAAAGGTCCTCGGGACAGGCCGAGCATTCGGTCTAGGCAGCATAAGTTTGTGGTCCTGCGCTGTGTCGGTAGGAGTGTGTTCGAACCTCAGGTACATGGTACCATTCTGGCCAACGTTTGCGACGCTGAATTGGCGGTCTACTACTGCCTTGGACACATGGTGGAGACGGGGTAGAGATTGTGATTGTGGTTGTGATTGTTGATGGTCGTTCTTCTCACGATGGTAGCGGAGACGAGCCATCTCAGCACTGTCTTTTGTGTTGCGGATCGACTTTTTGCGGACCTTGCGACGTAGGATAGATGGCGGCTCGAGCGGCGGTGATAGTAGCAGAGGAAGAATCGTGAAATCGTTGGTATCGTTAAGCGCGTTCGCATCAGCGACATTCGACGAGGCTTCTACATGCAGAGGGAGCGCTGTATCCATGACAGCTCATGGTCGCTGTTTCGCAGTAAAGATAGTAGGACCAGGTGTCTCGTAGACGGTGGCAAGGTCTCGAGGACGGCACGGCGAATGGCTGCAGAGTACAAAGTGCTCAATGCTTCGAGACGCGACAAGGCAGGGAACGTTAGGTATGGCCACAACGGCCGTTCGCAAGTGCGCGACGTGACACAGGCGAGGGACCGATGATTGAAACCGGTGTCCGCGTGTATCCAGGTTGATCCAAGTAAATTTTGGTTATCCGGTTGTGTTCCGACGACTTGCAAGCGAAACTGGGCTGGGTCGAGATGCAAGCAGTGTCTGACGCCGAAGTGACTATACTGTCTGCACGTCTAGGAAGCAGGTGGGAAAGACAAGGAACAGGAACAACAGCGTCCGAGACGACGCGAGAGGGCAGAGACATAGTGCTAGACCATGACCATGCCCGGTATGGCCGACCGCCTGGCTCGCGGCCATGACATCGGTGCCTCTGTGTGCCTCAGTGCCTGTGCATGTCTTGGGGCCTGCTCGGGGCTGAATCTTTTGGATATTAACCAAACGCTAACCGCGTCCCGCAAACCGAAATCCATCCACGGCCAATCAGCGCCGTAACCCACGTTTTGATCTGGCTCGGCGATGTGCAAACCATCAGATCAAGTCTAGCAAGTCTAGCCTCCACTAATTCCATTCCGCCAGCACAAAGACGGCCTTTTTTCTCTTCGCCGTATTCGTGAACTCCTGCATCTGCACAACACACTCGAGCACATGGCGCAAGACGCCGTTTTCCTGAACACCCTGTACGCCGCGCTCCTTGTCATCAAGTCCCAAATCTCCTGGTCGATCTGTCGACGTAACCGCGCCGTCAGACAGGGAAGCGACTGCTCGACCAAATCAAACACAAGGCCAAGCCATCCCTTCTTAGCACCACTCTGAAACATCACTCGGCCTTCGGCAGACCCATGATTTGGCTTCTGTTGCTTCTTTTCCATCATCTCGCTACTCATGTCCTGTTTTTCTAGAAGCTCCCGGTCTGAGACACCCCTCAACTGCCGTCGTCCACGGCGACCGAGCAAACAAGCCAGCTCATTTTCCTCAGTCATCTCCCGTAGCTTTTGACTGCTTTTTATCATCTCTGCTGAGGCCAGCCACTACCTATAAGCTTCTGCTCATGTCGCCTGCTTAACTGCGCGTCCCAAGGATCACCCAACTGAACGTGTCATGGCTTTCCCGTTCCGTCGGCCACATCAGGGCTGCTTGCAAGGCCACCAACAGCCACCAAATTGTAAAGCCTCCAAGCATAATCACTTCTTCTCATCAACACGTACAGTCGGTGAAGGGTATCTGTCCCACTACCCACATGCTGCATTCCTGTAAGAGTCTCCCTCCAACGATCTCGGCAACGAAAACCCGGCCCTTCTCGCTACCGGTCTCCGTCGTAGCGGTTAGCGTTGAAATCTGCCTGGTTATATCCACAGCGTAGAAAAAAGGAATTTGAACGAGATCGATTTTTACAAGCTCAACGTGGACATGAGTAGTGGCTAACATGTTGATGGCATTTCATCATGGTCGGTGAAATATATACGCCCTCCAGTCAGTTGACTGCCCAGATTCAAATGGCCCCAATCGATACACTCGACACAACGAATTTTCAATTCCCACCCATTTGCACTTTCGCTCGAAAGCCATCCTCACGAACTCGTCAGACATCGATGTTCAGATGTTGCACCTCCCCAAGCCATCCTGTCTGACCTCGCATTAGCCACGTCAATTCCTTCTCACGCATCTTCAGTCTGGTCGTGTCGTCTCTAGATCCGAAGCGAGGAATTGAGCAGTCACCTTCGAAATTGCAGTCATCAGTGATCTCACGCAAGCCATGCAAGATATGAGCTGCTTTCAACAAGGCCGGAAGCCGAGATACCAGACATACCTCAGCACTCCTGACGTGGTGTTTCTTGAGGTGTCCTCCCTTATCATCACGGGCCAGTTTGTGCACTCGCATCGATGCTTTAGACACGCCCTCAGCATACTCAGCTACTTTGTCGGCGATGACCGCAACAGATGACCCCAAATGATCAGATGTTTCTCGGACTGGCAGGCATGTCTCGTAGAGCGTGGTCAAGTCTTGTGGAATTTCGAACTGCCTCTTGTGGCCTTTCCGAATGGCTTCTACAGCAACAAGCATGCTGACAAGTGCTTCCACGAATCCAGTGGCTTCTCTCATGTGCTCAGCTAGGTTCTGGGTTTCTGTTCTTTGTTTATCACGCCAGTCTTGCTTTCTTGCATTTAGATGTCCCGAGTCGCGTTCCGAGTCCACCTCCGTTTCTGTCGAGCGAGCTAGAGATGAATTGCGGCGAGGCTGTATGATAGGCCTGTGCGCCAAGTTGATCACGTCTTGCGATGTCGATATTCTGGATGTCCTCCTGTTCTCACTGAAAGGTCCGTAAGGTGGTGGGATCAGCTTCGCTTTGCTTTTGCTAGAAGATGGTACGGCAGTATCTGTACCGCGCTCGCTTCTGCTGGATGGGGCCGCCATTGTTGGGCTGGCGCTGGGTCGATCTTCGCTAGAAGGCGTAAACCGAGTGCACATGACTCTCGACCCTCGTTTGCTGATGTTGATGCAGGATAGAACGATCATGGTCGGCGGCAACCAGCAGCGTTATATACGGCGTTGATGGTGAGAGTGCATGTTGGCAGACAGCCCCTGCTTCTTCCAGCGCTTCCTGCTATACAAATTTAGCAAGGTTCTTTTTTCCCAAGGACGTGGCCTAGGCGTCGCTTTTATGCGTACACGTGAGCAAGCGGTCAACGCATCCCCCAGGACGTTGTGTTTGGCCGGCAGCAAACACATTCCAGCCCCAGGATACTTGCTACAAACCTAGCTTGTTGTTCTTCTGGGCTACAACTTGATATAGATCATAAGTATCCCGTGTCGGTGGAAAGCAATTACTCCTGTACCAGGCATACAGCCTTATTCGAGCTGGCGCTGTTGGAGTCAACAGCACTTAGGTAGTCGTACAATAACGTTCTTGATAGCAATCTCTTCTTGTCATCAACCACAGCTGGGTCCGAAAACCTACATCGTGCCTTGGTCTCGCTTCCTTAGAACGATGACAATAGCCTTGTCTGCACTTTCTCGATGGGCACAGTGGTCCAACACGGCGCCTGCTACCAACACATCATTCTACCTTTTGGAGCATGGTTCACTATTCTTTGTCGGACAGCAACAATACCGCTTTGTCTGAGTCCGAGTCTGCAACGCTCCTCTTTGTCTTCTCAAATATCTTAGCCTATTGTCCTTTGTCTCACATTCACGTCCCTTTGTTCTCCACAGTGCATTGTATGCTGCGAGGCTCGACATTTCAGAACATACAAAACCATCTTGGAGTTCCTGGAGACCGGATCTTCTTCTTGTCACCCTTCAACACACATCGATCCGACGACCCTACTGCAGGTAAGTACCTTCCTCCACAAAGTTTGCTAACAAGACTACAGAATGTCCGACAACAACCCTACCCCTGTTCCCGACTTGAGCAGCCCAGAGGCTCTCCAGATCCCTGATTTGGCTCGAAACGATGAAGAGGCTTTGACCCGTGTTCTCGTTGAGTTCCTCGCCGAACCAACTCCTGGCCCAGTCATGGGTACATTTGATGGTGAGACAATCGAACTTACTGAGGACAACATGAATTGGATGGCAGAGACTGCGACAGCAGCTGGACGTGGACTAACAGTCAAGGGCAAACGTCGTCAGCACTACATGACGTTCAGCCCTCCTCATCCAGGTACCACAATGGTTTGGGTGGCGGACACTCCTCCAGAAACACCTCCTCCTGGGCCCAGCCCAGTGCCCGTTCAAGCTACTGTCGCGGCAGTGGTCTCTGATGGTCAAGCCCCTGTTCCTCTCCCTCGTGGTGGCGGTCACGTCGGTGCCGGTATCCGCAAGCGCCCATTCAAATGTGCTTACTGCCACTCTACTTTTTCTTCGGTAGCAAGACGTACCGCACACGTTGAGAAGAACCACGCTGACAAGCTCGCTAGCTCTGCTGGTTCGTCTAACCAGACTCCTCAGAACTAGGTGGACATCAGGTAAGTCATTCCCAAATATTATCGTCTGCTAAACTTTCTCTAGGGTATCGGACCTCAACCAAGGCTTTTTCCCCTTGCCTCGCTTTCCACCTCGGACAACCTTTTAGGGTCAGTTGTTACGAGGGAAGCACTACCGCACCGGGACAAGGGTTTTTCAGTCTTGGTCATGCTCCTCTTTTTCTCCGTCTCTGTTTCTATATTTCCTTCTGCATAATCACATAAACACTTGGAAAACAAGAGAACCAACGAAAAACAGACTTTGATCTCTTTCTGACGGTTTTGGGAGCATGGGATATCATTGAGGCGTTTTTTGAAGTCGGTTTCCTTTTGGGATTATTGACTTGCTTTTACGTCTAGCCCTTGCGGTCTACCCCTGGTCTCGCTTTTGACGGTCTTCCTTTAGGGAGACTGAATGTTTGCTTGATTGGGTCGCGATTGAGCACTGATATCCTCTAACATAGTATCTTAACAATACAAATACTTTTTTCTTACCATAATAATTTTCTGTGATTCTTTAGAAATGGTTGACAATACAATGAATTTATATGTGAGAAATTATCACGATCTTGCAAGACTTTGTTAACCGATCGATGTTTGGTGAGTATCTGTTTCATCGTTGCCTTCCTCATGGCATTGTTCTATAGCGTATTCAACACGGCGGAGTACGGATGAGATATGCTGTTGCTAACGCCTGCCGGCTTGTCTTTCTCGCTCACAACTTCTTTCCACGAACCTTGGACAACAACAACCATCAATCACACTGACATACCGTTCTGCACCCCTCATTCATAACCGTGATCCCCGCAATGATCGACCAAATATCACCACCAGGCATATTCAGCCAAAATATATACCCCATTTAAGCTCGACAACACCTTTTGCATTGGCAAGGGTTTAGGCTTGGGTTCCCTTCTACTGTCCAGACAAGCGGGGGTTGCATGCATGACATCGGTATTGACTGCGAGGCTCATGAAGCAAGGTTGTTGATTTCCAAGGAAGGTAGGTCATGTCCAAACTGTATGCGATGATCTATTGTTTGCGCCTGCAAGAGGATTTAGCCGGTCACCCAATATTTTATCTCTTGGAAGCAGCTTCCTCATGCTTGAACCATATATAAGAGCGGCAAGGACCAATTGAGATCTTTCCGTCTTTACTCATAACCTCGACCTTCGACAGTCCTGCTGCAATGAGGCTCTCCAGTGGTGCCGGTATAGGCATTGGCTTCGCAGTGCTTCCCTTGATCACTTCAGTTCTTGGTGCCTCGAATTCTACATGCCCGCCTGCCATCAGTTATACTGCTGACTTCGAATACACCGAGTGTCGTCAAGACAGCTATTATGGTCGTATCCTAGGCAGAGAACGCAAAGCAGTTTTCCGGGACACAAACACTCCACAATATTGTGCTGACTATTGTGGTCGAAGCGGCTACCCATGGGGAGGTGTCGAAGCTGGAACGTGAGTCTCCCTATCAAGCTTTGTACAGTGCCCCCACTGAATGTTCACAGCCAATGTTTCTGTGGTGGTGAACTCGATGGTGGAGCAGTGACCGGCAACGCCAACTGTTCAACCTACACTTGTTCTGGGGACGCTTCCCAGGAGTGTGGAGGCCAATACTTCATGAAGGTGCTCAAAATCAACAACCCGCTCCCAGTTGAGAAGGTTGACGGAGATGTCAAACGCCAACCTCTGTGCCATACAAGCCCCTTGTGCCAACACGCAGTCTGCGATACATCACTACCTATTGCGGATAGAATTGCATCACTCTTGTCAGAGATGACTCTGGACGAGAAGATTGCCAACACTGTCAATGCTGCTGACGGTGTGGGACGCCTCGGGCTGCCAGGCTATGACTGGTGGAATGAAGCTCTGCACGGTCTTGCGCAGGCTCCGGGAGTCAAATTCAATAGCCCTAATGGCAGCGCTTTCAGCTATGCTACGTCCTTTCCCATGGCTATCACGACTGGCTCTGCATTTGATGATCTCCTGATCGGACAGATCGCCGATGTCATTGGCAGGGAAACCCGAGCTTTTGCAAACTTCGAGCAGTGTGGCTATGACTTCTGGACACGTGAGTTCTCGAGTGTCACATGGAAGCTGTATGCTGATTGACCATACCTAGCCAATATCAACACCTTCCTGGACCCCCGATGGGGCCGTGGTCAAGAAACACCTAGCGAAGACGCATTCCACACTCAGCAGTACACAAAGCAGCTGATTCCTGGTCTCCAAGGAGGTCTAGATCATCCTGAAGAGAAACAGATCATTGCTACATGCAAGCACTTCAACCTGTATTACGCCGAGACAAACAGGTAAGTACATTGACACTCTAAAGTGTCCAATCACTAACATTCATGCAGATACGGCGAGAACTATAATGCTACTGTGCAAGACTTGGCCGAATACTTCAACCCCCCTTTCAAATCATGCGTGCGTGACGTTGCTGTAGGCTCTGTCATGTGTGCATACGTAAGTTGGCCAATCAAAAGATTATGATCTGATGCTTGATATCACTGACACTTATTATAGACTGCCACATATGGCGTTCCTAGTTGTGCGAGCGAGTACTTCTTGCAAGATACTTTACGCGAAGACTGGGGCTTCGAAGATCCTTACAACTATGTGGTTGCTGATTGCGGTGCTGTTGAGTACATCCATACCATCCACAACTTCACCGATACACCTGCCGAAGGTGCCGCTGTTGCTTTGAATGCCGGTACCGATTTGGACTGCGGCTTCACCTTTGGGACGTATCTTAACGAGTCGGTCATCAACAACTACACCACAGAAGCGCGTCTGAACCAGGCCTTGACTCGTCTTTACACTGGACTTCACACTGTTGGATACTTTGACGGCCAGAACCAGTATGCTAACCTGTCTTGGGAGGATGTTGACACCCAAGATGCTCGAAACCTCGCTTACAAATCAGCTTGGGAAGGTATGGTTCTGCTGAAGAACGATGGGTTGTTGCCCGTAGCAGCAGATCACAAGAAGGTTGCACTTATCGGACCGTACGCGAATGCATCTAGCCAGATGCAGGGTATCTATGCTGGCCAAGCACCATACATTATTACTCCTCTGCAAGCAGCAGAAGCAAATTGGGACAATGTTCAGTATGCTTTCGGCACGGGTGTCAATGGCAGCAACACGACTTTCTTCTCGGCAGCTCTGGACGCCGCTAGATCGGCTGACCTCCTCATCTACATGGGCGGTATCGACAGCACCATTGAACAAGAGACCCAAGACCGCAAGTCACTTCTATGGCCTGGAAACCAGCTTGACCTCGTGCAGCAGCTGAGTGAGCTTGGCAAGCCTCTCGCTGTAGTGCAGTTCGGCGGTGGCCAACTCGACGACAGTGCGCTGCTTGCCAACAAGAATGTCCGCGCTCTCCTCTGGGCGGGCTACCCAAGTCAGGAAGGTGGAAATGCTGTCATCGATATTCTGCTCGGTAGACAAGCACCAGCTGGCCGCTTGACCACAACTCAATATGCCGCCAACTACGTCAACGAAGTCAGTATCTTCAACCCGGATCTGCGTCCGAATGGAAGCTACCCTGGTCGCACTTACAAATGGTTCACTGGCAAGCCAGTCCTGCCCTTCGGCTTTGGACTCTCATACACAACCTTTGATCTTTCATGGTGCGGTAAGCCCTTGAAGCACTCGTACAATATCAGAAGTTTGTTCAACAAGCGTCAGTCTCATGGTCAGAAGCCTACTCCACTTGACACTCTGCCTTTCGTCACTCTCTCCACGACCGTCAAAAACACAGGCAAACACACCTCCGACTTCTCGGCTCTCCTCTTCCTCTCAACCTCAAACGCAGGTCCCTCGCCCTACCCCAACAAATGGCTTGCTTCGTACGCTCGCGCTCACGGCGTCGCCCCTGGCAAGTCTCAGACGGTCAATTTGGATATATCCATCGGTTCGTTGGCTCGCGCCGATGGGAACGGAGACTTGACTGTGTATCCTGGCAAGTACAAGGTGGCTGTCGACAACGATGAGCTTTTGACCGCAGAGTTTGAACTTGTTGGTGATGCTGTTATTGTTGATCGGTTGACCAGACAGGGCGTCTACGAGTATACTGTTCCGGTGCATTATAATGCTAGTGCTAACTTGGTGTGAGATATGGTAGAGGTGACATGATATAGTGTTTTATATATGATCACGTCTGGACGAGAGACTTGTGCAAACATAGAAGAGGAGTGGTGAACTTGACACTACGAGTTTTACCTTCTAACTGTGTATCGTCTGGAATGACATTCATAATCCTTCTACGAGCCAACAACCTTGTACTTTGCCAAAATCGCATCGTACTGCTGCTGATACACAGCCAAGACCTTGCCATGCTTGACATCCTTGGGGAACCCACTCATATCATCAGGCACCCAGGCAGCCATGTCATCCAATGTGTCCGCCGTAGCCGGGATATAAGTCTGCAAATCATTCTCATCAATCCAGAGATGGAACTTGTTTGCATCAAGGTTATCCCTGAAAATCAAGGGACCCTCGTTGTTCGAATATTGCGAGGCAAATGTGACGCGGACATCATCAGAGGCACCTCCCACATTGACCCAGTCGCCGAGAATGCCGTTCTCAGAGCGTTGTTGGTAGATTGTGTAGTCCACCTCGGACTTGATCCAGCGGTACCAGACGTTGGGACCTTGATCGGGGGTGGCGATGAATGTGGCATCGATGACAGGGTAGCCCGGGTAGAAGTACAGTTGTGCTTCTGAGAAAGTGACAAAGTCGGTTGTGGTGACATACATCAGTTTGTTGGGAGGTTGAGGGCCAGTACGGTCAGGGTCGGCATCAGGCCAGAAGCGTGATGCAAAGACTACAATGTATGCTTCAATCAGAGGCTCCCAGTATGCTTCGGGCGCCCATGCATTTCCTGCGGTCGAGTTGACAAGATTTGGTGTCAGACGAGCCTCACCCCAGGTAGCTAGATCTTCAGACTCCCAGATGACGAGTTGTCTGGATCCGAATCTGGTTGCTTCGTTGAAGTCGTTGGTGAAGTTGTTCGCGAGCAGGTCCGTAGCGATGAGCCAGAATTTTGAGCCGTCTTGAGAAGGCACGATGAAGGAGTCTCTGACGCCTTTGGTGCCGACGTCGCTGCGGAGAATGGCTTGTGTTTCCGGAGTGCCGTCTAGAGAGAGAGCTTGGTAGGATAGAGGGTCATTGCCATTTGAGAGGTGCAAGTAAATGGCTTCATCATCGACAGGGAAGGAGGTAAAAAGGTATCCGACTTTGGTGTCTCGTTTTGTCGGCATGGCTGCAGTCGAGCTAATGGCAGTCAAAGCCAAAAGAGATTGAAAAACTTTTGAGAGAATCATGTTTTCGACTCAGGTTAGGGTTATATCTGATAATGCTGAATGATTAGATAGAGGAACAGACGGATGATATTTATATCAACCGATCGTCGCCATAATTCCTCCTTTGTCGTTTTGTCAGTATATCTTGTGACAGCGCCAAAGGCATGTTCGCATCTCCGTGCATCTCGACAAGCCCGAGCCAAGAAGACATGTCTTGGAGATTGACATCAACAGCAGCGGCGATGTCATGTTTTTCTAGGGACGAAGTTACAATTGGAGTGGCTACTATGCACGACATACGAGCTGATCAGCTTTCAGCCTGAAAAGCGGCGTGATGCGAATCGCCGCGTAGCAGATCCTGCCACATCAGGAAGCTCCCCACGGGGCAGTTATGGACTGTGGAGCTGTACATCTGATGGTGAACTCATGATTGACTTGGCGATGTGTAAGAGTGAAGCGATGATGGGCCGAGTGAAGGCATCGCTGTGGAAGAGACGAGAAAGGGCAGGCAGGGTGGCTGATTGCGGGTGAAGCTGAGGCTGAAAGTGCCGGAGCGATGGCTGAACGACGATCTCTCGACCTCCAGTGTGTGAACAAATGTCTGGGCATGTATTGCTTAGAGAGACGATTGAACATCGATGACAATACATCAAACCATGATCATGTTGGTAGTCCTTGATGGCAAGACTGGGAGATGATATACTCATCACTTGTCTTCGAGTCGACGCAATCAAAATCTCTACCCAAAGACGTGTGCTCGGTGAACAGAGCCATATTGTCAAAAATCCACTTTTCAAGCACATACGGCCACAGTCAGCTGAAAACTGGGCATCCCGTCCGCTCTGCCATACATAAGCAGTTGAACGGCAGATTAGTACTACGGTGGGTGACCACGTGGGAATCCCTGCTGCTGTATGTTTTGCATTCTCTTTTGCTCATCATGAGTCGGTTGACACGTTCTGATCGCGTTCACATTCTGGTTGACATGGGAGCGACGGGTTATCGAGAAGTTTTGACAAGGATGTGTTTGCACTCAGGGGTCAACATATCTCAAGCTTTGTATCCTAAATGCGGAGCCTGGGATAGCATTGATCGCATCACTCTCGGTGGTGGAGACCAAAATGTCCAAGCAGGTCAAGTCTAAGGTTCTGAAGCACAAACATCCTCATTGGTCAATACCAGTATTGTGTATGAGGAAGTCATTTCCACGGCTATACAAGCCATGCTTGGCTGCATTAGAGGCTGTACAGCATGTGCGCAGCAGCACTTGCAAGGCCATTGGTCAATTCTAAACATCCATTCGAGCCATCAGCAACCAAGTGATATATATAGAGCATCGACTGCACACATAGCATGCTCCGTCCAGACATCATTTCCATTGGACTACCTCTCTACAGACACTCCTTCCGAGTGGCGTTCCCTCGCCTCTTAGGACGCGTCTTCTTAACGTACCTCTCCTCAAACCACTCATCCAGCCACGTCAATAGACTTTTACTTAAGAACCATGCCAACCGAAGCCATCATCGCGATCGTCGCCCTGGTTGCCGGATCAACTCCTACGCTCTTGGTACTCTGGCATTGTATCAAGAGATGCGCGGGAATGCCAGTATCATCCGAGTCTTCTGAAGCCGGGCGGGGTATGTATCTCGATACTGCGTCGAGGACTTTCGGTTGACGAGGAGATACAGGTCTAGATCTTTGAAGAGGGTTTCGTATAATGCTTACGTCTTAGGTGGTTGTGTGTCTGCATTGGGTGGGTGCGATACCTAATGACTGATCTCTTAGAGATGTGCTGAGGATTTGGTAGCATGTTTTCTCTGTATTGGTCGAGAAACGTTTGCCTACGGTTCTTCCATAGCGATGATATTCTGTCGTTGTTTTGTAGCTCTGTATGTAACCTGTATTGATCAATTCCCCTCAAGGAGTGTCATTTGCATCACTGTGGAAGCTCATTTTTGAACGTGTGTCAGAACATCGGAGAAAGGAGATTGGCATATCTTGCAGGATTAAGCTGGTACAGGAACACTAGAAATACCGGGCCAATCTGTGAGATAGTTAGTATCGAGCGTATTACGAAAATCGGTATAAGTACGACTTACCAAAAACTGTCCTTTCAGCATTGCGCTGAGTGATCGTGATCTCATCACCAACAGCCAGAGACTTGCCCTCATCACCCTTGCCCAAGAACGCATATCGGCCAAAGACAGGTGAGTATTTGTGTCCCTCGTCTACTCTTCTATCGCTTTGCAGCTTCTTGAGCACTTTTCCAGATTCGCCTTCACCAGGCTTGCCAGTCGCATAGTCGATGTTCAGACTTACGCATCTGACACAGTTCTGCACCAGATGTAGTTTCACGTTGCTGGATGTCTCTAGCTCTGACCAATAGTCTTCTTCCCAGGATGACTCGGCACCGCTGACGATGATGTTTGGTCTGAATTTTGTGATGTCCATGTCTTCACCTTCCAGACGTTTGCTGACGTCGTGAAGGGAAGTTTCGTTGACGATGAGGAAAGGGGCACAATCGGCGAAGGTGATCTTGTCTTCCGTTTGTGTGTCACCTGAGATGATTGTGCCGATGGAAGTGGGCAACTTGTTGGTGATGGCAGATAGCCAGCCTCCCTGCTGAGCTTGGGATTGGTTGTTCTCTTGGTGAGTGGTCATAAGAACTGGACGTTCATTCTCGCCGAGATATGCTAGCACGACATTATAGCCCAGACATTCAGACAGCCATTTGTTGTATTGGTCGTCCATCTGGTAGGCATCAGTAGGGCTGGAGTGCATAGTCACATGGATCTTCTGTAGAGAGGATGTGTCGGGAACAAGAGGGAGACTCAGATCTCTTGATTCGCCATGTGGCGGCTTCCAAGTCAGATGTATAGAGGCGTTTTTGGGATTTTGATCCTTAGGAAACTTGATATCGGCGAACAAGAGGGTCAGCTCGGGGTAGTGTGCGACGTGCATGTTCTTGAGCGAGCCATCTGGCAGCTCTTGGAGGACCATGAAGCAGCGGTCGTAGGTAAAGCCATGTCTAGTCACTTCGGCCGAAGAAGGTTCGTACGGTCGAACAGACTTGATAGGGTAAACGAGAATCTAGGATAAGTCTGTAAGACGCTATCTGGTGACGCGGTAAGCGGTGTTACTGACCCTACTGATATGCATATCTTAGGTTTACAGAAGATGTGTTGGACAAGCGTAATGAGGAAGACGTAGTGATCTCGTCCAGAGAGGCAGGAGAGAGAAAGAGATGTCAAGCACAAGGCGTGAGGTTGACGTTCCCCGCGAATCACCTATAGAGGGGTAGAAAAAGCTTGGGAGTCTTGCCCTATTTGGTATACAGATTGGCCATGTTTATATCTATGAAGAATGGACTCGATAACTCGAGATGTCGTGAAGATGGACTGAGTGCTCGAGTACCAATTGCGGCAGGAGTCTATACAAGCCTCGACGAGTCCTGGAGTAAGCTGGAGAGGTGAATAGTTGGCAAACCTGATTTGCGAGTAGACACGGTCAAGGCAGCCACTCCACTGCTTGCTAGAGAAGCCGAATAGGGCCCGTTCTCGTGAGCGAAGCAGAGGAAGAGAAGAATGTTCAGAGACATGATGAGTTTCGATTATCATAACGATCGGGCGAGTAAGGTTGAGATGAAGCATGAAATGAGGCTTATTCCCAGATGAAGAGCGACAGGAACCCAAACGAATTGGATCGTGTCACACACAGCCACCACGCGAAAGCGCAAAACGTCACCGACCCCGCGATGCGCCAATGAAAGTGCCTCACGTTCGGTCAGTGACCATGTCGGTTGTTTTGCAGATGATGATGACTTTCCACCTGGGTGTGCTCCAGGGGGGGTTTCTTGCAACTGCCTTCCGCCGTTCACAACTATCGATAGCAATGACGCAGCCGTCAGCCTTCTTGTCGTGACATTATCCGGCTCGATCAAGTCGAGGCTTCCACACAGCTCCGGCCAAGCGGCGCATCCATCCTTCCTCCACCAACGCGCCAAGCGCAACCCTACGACTCTACGCCTAACAAGACAGACCAACCCATCTGGAACCTACCTCGAACCGTGCCCGACTCTTCCGATCACGTACTGACGACACCATGGACGCTGCCAATGGAGTGCGGAGGAAGGACACGACCAAAGGCCCTCCTCTACGTCTGCTCAGTCTGGATGGCGGCGGTGTGCGCGGCTACAGCATGCTGATCATCCTGCAAGAGTTGATGCACCGCACATTCGTCGAGATTGAAGGTCGCGCCCCAAAGCGACACGAGATTCCGAAACCATGCGACCACTTCGACTTGATTGCCGGAACCGGCACCGGCGGCCTGATTGCCATCATGCTGGGTCGTTTGCGACTCGATATCGAAACATGCAAAGACGTCTACGTACGCATGACCCGGCGAGTCTTTGAGACGGACAAGACCATTGCCGGCATCCCATACCGTTCCACTCTGTTCAAAGCCAGCAAACTCGAAGAAGCCATTCGAGAGTGCGTCCGAGAGCACACGATATACGACGATGAAGGCAATGACTCTCAGGATGCCGTGTCCTCATCGTCCCGCCAGAGTCTCCAGGTTGCGAGGCCTGCTCGCTCCGTCAGCGTTGCCAGCAGACACAGCACCATCGGCATGACTCCAGTAGACCCTCGCACATCTGTCGGCATCTCCAGATGGGGCAACCCCAACGCTTTACTTTACGACAGTCGCGAGAACAGGACAAAAACTGCCGTGACAGCCGTCTATCGTGGCACTCCCAAAGGCGGAAAGCCCGCCCTGTTGCGCTCATACGACTCGCGTAAGGAGTCCTCACCCGAGTACAACTGTTACATCTGGCAAGCTGGACGAGCCACCTCGGCCACCGCTCTTGCTTTCAAGCCTATTCAGATTGGTCAGAGTACCTTCCTCGACGAAGGTGCTGGAAAGTACAACCCAAGTCCGCAAGTCCTCGATGAGGCCGTCTGCAACGAATGGCCGGGAAGAGATGTGGGTGTCTTCTTCAGCATCGGAACCGGCAAACGTCCTCCTGGCACAAACAACCGGCAGACAGAGTGGTGGGAAGATTTTATTGGAGGTGGCATGGGCGACTTTGCCGAAGCCCGCCGCAGGCTGATTGCGAAGATTGAAGCTTGTGAGGAGACACACCAATATATGCTTGACGAATATCTGTCAAAACGACAAGTCAACCGTCAGAACTACTATCGCCTGAACGTCGAGGTCGGTGTCGGCGAGTATGGCATGAACGAATGGAACAGGCTGGGAGACATCAGCACCAGCACACGCATGTACCTTGCTCGACCCGAAGCCCAGGCGCAGAACTTCGATGCGGCTGCGAAACTCGCCAAAGTGTACTTCAGCAAGATTCGTCATGAACGACAGCCATCGTGGGATGGCCAGGAAGTCATCAACACTACCTCGCGACACAACGCTCCCCTTCCTGCAATCCCTCTCCCTAGCAATCCTCTTGCTGTTGAACTCCCGGCCGACGACGTCTTTCCGCCCCAATCATATCAGCAACGTCCACCAACATCACAGCCGCCCATGCGTCAATCATCCATCGCCGACATGAAATACACGGTTGTGCCGGATGACCAATGGCCTCAGTCAGAGCCTTTGAGAACGCCCACTAGCGCTACACGTCCTTCACCGCCCCCAGGTGCCTACCGACCCTCAATGGATTCCATGCACCGTTCCAGTGGCTCGCTAAGTCAATACCGACCAGAGTCGCAGGACAGCGGGACAGCAGCCTATGCGCCCCCTCTACCGCCGAAAACCCCTCTACCATATCCAGATAATGTCGCGCCGCTGAGCCCTACTGTTGGCAGCCCAGCCGTTGCAAGTCCGATGAGACATTCATCACATAATGGAGGATTGTTCAACATTGCACCGCTACGTCAAGCTCTACCGCCGTATCCAGACACAGATGGTCCTCCACCCATCGTCAACATCGCACGCAAGCCTGAGTACACTGGCGGACCTCGCTACTAGGTCTTGGCTGCAACACTTCTGTATATGCTGTTACGACTGCGCATACCGATTTTGACCATACCTTAATTTTGGCGCTTGCTTCACGACAGCCCCTTGGTTAGGGGAAGAGCAGGGGCCACATGAATTTCGATGGCATATGGAGCATATCCGTTTTTGGTCCCGAAGGTCTTGGCTTGATCTTTCTTCTTTCTTCTTCTTATGACCCTACTTCTTGTTTTCTGTAATTGCTGCTTCTCTCAACGAATGATACCACTCTGTTGTCCTCTTTTTGAATTACTGTCTGATCGTTACCAAATTACACAATAGTAGTCAATGTAAGGACCCATTGACTCTCTGAAACATAGCTATTGAACACACTTCTTCAGGAGTTATCCATCTCCACAATCGTGAAGGGGAGCTCAGTCGATCACTGTTTCCTCTTGTTGACCTTGCTCACAATCATAAAATTCGGGACTCGGGCATGGACGGTACGTGTTGGCAGAATGAACGTGTTGGCAGAATGAACGTGTTGGCAGTATGAACGTGTTGTCAGAATGAATGTGTCGGCAGAAGGTACGTGTTGGCGGAACAAGTACATCTTTCTCCTTCTCTGACATGCTAAATCTAGAGGAAGTCGCAACGTTCAATATGTTGGAGTATCCCTGAGTGCTTCATTGTTTCGGGCGAGCAGCAGCGTCATCACACCCACCATTGCCATCTCGATTGTCAGCATCTGCTCCAACTCTGTGAGTTCTGAACCGTAGGAATCTTCAGAGTTCAGATCGTCTTCGTCTCTGTTGATATCCTCATCCGCGTCGTCATCATCTATGTTTTCGTTGTCGTTGTGGGCGTTCCTCTTGTTCTTCTTGTCATGAAGACGGATCTCTGGATTGGGGAAGTGACAATCGTCGTCTGCGAACACATCTTCATCGGCCATGGAGGCGCGAGTGCTGAGCCAGGGGATGGACTTTTTGCTGCTTGTGGGAGGGGCGACCAGGGAGGAAGAGTCGTTTTGTGCGGCTGTCTTCATGCGTTTGTTGACTGGTGTTGAGGCAGTGCCCGCAAGGTCTTCGAAGAATACGACTTCGCTGTCCAGAGGTCGTTTTGTTGTGTTTTGCAGTGATGGATTCTGCTGCTTCAGAGCAGTGGTCCCCAATGTTGGTTTCTTCTCTAGCAGGGCCAGTTGCTTGACCTCATCCCTCCAAACTTCAATTCTGGTCCTGTGAGTTTTTTGGCCTTGCTTTGTTGACTTTTCGGTTGCCTTGACTTTGTTCCTTTCTGCGAGAGCGGTTGCGAAGGCAATGGTCCTCTGTTCTTCTTCCTGGGCCTTTTGCTCACGTCTCTCTGCAATGTAGGCGAGTCTATCTCTGATGTCTTTGATGCAGTTCTGGGTCATCTTTGCGATTTTGAGGAGGGGATCGTTTGTTTCTGCTTCGGCGCGGCTCTGGATGATCCTGGCTTTTGTTTGCTCGAATTGTTGTTTTGTCATGGGGATCTTCTTAAGCTCTCTCATCACGTCGTCCAATGGTGCTGGGGTCGCCATTTTGGTGTCAATTATGATTAGGTTGTTTTGCTTGAACCTTCAGTTTTTATGTTGTATGTCTCGCCGTTCCTGGAAGTTCTCTCCAAAGAGAAGCTAGAAGAAGTGGCCGAGCGTGAGTAGAACACTCCGGGTTGATAAGCAAACAGGAAGTAGTCGGATCAATTACACCCCCGGGTCTGTCGGAGTACTTGTGTCTACGGATGCCGGATATAAGAACGACCGGAGTATCTGCTCGTGTCGCAATCCTTTGATGTTGAAGAAACAGAATCGCGAAAGGGCAAACAGATGGTTATGTACTAGCGACCTACCGCCACGTTTATACTTCCAGCGAAGGATGAAGGTGATGTGGTGTCTACGTTATCAGAAACAGAAAAAGGTTGACTGATACCTCCTCGGCTGATGACCGAGCCGAAGACCCCGCTACGGTCGGTTCTAGTCCGAACTATCTGCGTGTCATTACTTATACCAGAATCCTCGAAAATTCTTTTCATGTCGGACCTGTGGCGCAGCGGTAGCGCGTGTGATTCCAGTATCTTTTCGGGACATCCACAAGGTCATCCGTTCAAATCGGGTCAGGTTCATTAGAAGATCTGAGGCGAGAGCCTTGGATCACATCTCTTGTAATTTTGTCAAGTTCACCGGGGTATTGCTCCTTTCTGATCTTTTGGTGTGTCGAAAAGGTCTGAAGGCATTTTACTAACCATGGTCAGCTAACCTCGACCAAGTCTGAAAACTATCCATCGTTGTGAGAGTATGATCAGCGAAGCAGTATGGCAGCGACATGGACAAGACAGCTGCTCCCCGTGTGCAGAGGGGTGTCACGCAGCTATAATTATAGGACTCTCTGGATACCTCATTCCTATTCCACAAATGACTGTGCCTTTTCGTAGCGAGCCTTGTGCTCTACGGCTTCATGGAAGAGAAGGAGTATGTGTAGGATTGTAGGAGTCTATTTGTTTTTCAAGTCCGCAAAACCAACTTACTGAGCTTTCGTACGCATCTGAGTGTGCATTCCTGGCGAGGCAGATGATAAAACACATTTTCGTAGATTGCAAGACAGTGAAGCCTAGTGTGGCCCATAGAAACCAACGAGCCATAGACACGTATATTAGACACATATTCAAACAGTTCAAGTAGAGAAAGAGTTAATGTTGCGGCCACAACATCATCGTCGACCTCTAAATTGCTTGTATGTAGTGCGACCCTGCTATGTCCCAAAAGCCGATTATATCCGGGCTGGTCTCTCGACTTTCAGCCACCTCGAAACACAACTATACTTTTTGGCACAAAAGGAGGCTGCGAGAAAAGATGAACATGCACGAAAACACTGCAGAACGCAAAAAAGAATGATGCGGCGAGTGAGGTTCGAACCCACGATCTCTGCGTCTCCCTACAGCACCATCTACGTCGAAACGACCGCAAACAGTAACTGAGAAATAGCTTGTGTTTGCAAGACACATTGACGCAGCGTCTTGACCACTAGACTATCGCCGCTTATATTGACAGAAGCAAAAAATGATCAATCATAAGGGTACAGACAATCAGCCGGGAGTGTGCAGGTGCAGTCAGAAGGAGCATGTGACACGCAAGGTTGGCAACTGCGGAAAAGGTAGGCGCAGAGCTCAACAAGAATCGCAATGGCTCTCAAGGCTTATGGTGATTGCTATGCCCGAACCTACTTTCCGGCTTCCTTTCTCTTTTCCATCACACCCAATACATCTGCAGCACTGTTCTTGTCTCCCTTTCTTCTTCTGCCCTTCTTTTTCTTCTCTTTGCTACCTCCATCATCACCATCATCGTCATCATCATCTCCGTTACCCTTCCAAGTCGACAACTTGATTCTCTTTCCATCGTCTCCCTCTTCTTCGTCTCCAAATCTTGAAGATCCAAAGCCGAGATCCATGTCTTCAAGATCACGATCGCTGGCTGCGAGCATTTGGGCTCGCTTTTGCAGACGAGCTTCTTTGGCTTCGGCAGACTCTGGTGCTGAGGGGTCATCGGAGGAAGCATTGAGGGATAGGGAGATGTTTGAAAGAGCACCAGCTTTTTTGATGGCGGCAAGGAAGGCTGCGTCGTTGAAGGGGTTTTGGGGTGCTTGAGGTTCTGAAGTTTCGTCGGTCGTGGTTGTGGTGGATTTGAAGTAGTTGCGTGATGCTGTGGACTGTGTTGGTGGAGGAGGCGGTGGCGGCATTGATGTTGTCGTAGCTTCTTTTGATTCCGAGGTCGACTCCGATGGTGCTGCTGTTGTGGCTGGCTTTGGTACCTTTTCTGGAACCTCTCCGTCTTCGTCGTCGGAAGAGTCATCGTCTCCCAGGCCACCTAGCGGATCATAAGCATCGCCGACACCGTCGAAGATGTCATCGTCCGAATCGTCCTTGGGTGCTTCCACAGGTTTCTCGATCGGCTTGGGCGGCGGCATTGTGACGCCCTCGTCGAGGAGTTTATGCGTTTGAGCTGATACAGTCGGCTCTTCAATCGGTACCTGCACCTTTCTGACCTTCTTTTTGACGTTGCCGTGCTCGTCAGTTGTGATCAGGACTTCACGCCCTTTCGCATCAACCTCGACACGCGAACTTGCACGCGACGAACCAACATCGCGGAATCTGTCGCCTAACTCAGGTCTCGCAGCCAATCTGGCATCAGCCTGTGCTTTTCGTTGTGCCTTGAGCTCAGCCAGAATTTGATTTCTAGATCTCTTTGCACCAGCAACAGGCGGTGGGGGAGCCATTTGTCCCTTCTTTGCGATCTTCTCTCGTTCGACACGAGCAACTTCCTTCTCTTCGAACCTCTCGAATTCGTCTTCCAAGTCTTCTTCTTCTGCAGGCTTTGCTCCTCCAAGCACATTTTCGCCCTTCCTTACGCGCTCGAGCAATTTGCGATCGAGACCTTTTACCAGATGTGTAGCGTCAACATCGCCGCCTGTAATCTGATCGCGTAGAGCTTCGAAAGTTGCATTATCCAGTTGTCCGAGTTTGACTTGTTCCTCTAGAGCCTTGATGCGGGCAGCTCGGTCGTCAGCCTCGTCATCGTAGCGGTTCTGCGTGCGGTCGGTGAAGCCTGAGCCTAGTCGAGATCCTTTCGGGGCGGCAGAGCCTTTGAACTTCTTTGTAGTCTGATTTGCGGCATTGCGCTCGGCGACCTGGCGGGCGAAATCGTTTCCAGAGACACCTCGGACTGAGCGCGGCGTCATGGGCATGAAGGAGGAGCGTTTTGACCCCAGTGACGAGGGCACAGCACTCGGCCGTGGGCTGTTACTTGCGCCTTCCTGTCGCGCCGGTGTGTTGAGGAGCTTTCTGAACTGGTCGTTATTCATTTTGATCTTGTCGTCGCAATGACAGTTGTGAAGGCGCGATTGTCAAAAGTCAGCGGCTAAATTCGGCCATCAATGAGCCGAAGTCGCGTGGCTGCATCTCTTTGCGGGGAGAGTGAAGGAAATTGCGGGGATCATGTACTCGAGTAGGTCAAGATGCAGTGCAACAGTGCCATCGCCCCGTCGCTCCAATACTCCATCCAAGACTTTCTAGTCCGGCGGGTACTAATCCTATTGTCGATCTGCAAAGGTAGGTAGGTATAAATAAGCTCTTCATGTCTACTTCCATCGTTTCTTTCTTCAGTTCGAACAGCACCATGTTCTTCTTCAATGCCCTGTCCTCCTTGGGCTTCTTAACCTCTCTTGTCTCCGCCCAAGTCTCGAATACTACCAATGGAACTTCTGGTTCAAGTACATCAACATATACAAACCCCATCTTAAATGAAGTTGGCGCGGATCCTTGGGTTATCCGTCATGGAGATTACTACTACATGTAACGGTTATCACCATCCACTCTGGTCGCATCAAAGCTGATTGACCATAGGACTTATACTACGAATACGAACATAACTATGCTTCGAAGCTCTGTCTTGACCGATTGGGATAACGCCGATGTCAAGCTAGCCTTCGACCCGCCTCCAGGCATGAACTACTCGACTGATCTTTGGGCACCTGAATTGCACCAGATCGACAACTCCTGGTATATCATTTTTACTGCCGATCCCGCATTCGACACGCCTTCGCCCGAGATAGACATGCTTTGTGACTTCAACTGCCCTGCAATTCATCACAGAATGTATGTTCTCGAAGGCTCTTCCTCCGACCCTTGGAACTCGACCTACACTCTCAAATCTCAGCTCAATACGTACGATCAATTCGCTATTGACGGTACCTACTTCCAGCATGACTCTGGACTCTACCATATCTACAGTTGCTGGTACCGCCAGTACGACGCATGGCCGGCCAACCTTTGCATTACCAAACTGTCAGATCCCTGGACTGTAGCAAGCAATTTCAGTGAGCGTCAGATCATCAGCACTCCAGATAATCCTTGGGAAAAGACACCATATGGACGTCCCTTCAACCAGCGTCTTTCGTCGAATGAAGGACCGCAACAGCTCACCAACCCCACCACTGGACAGCAGTTCGTAATCTACAGTGCTGCTCGTTCTGACAATCGCAACTACTGCTTGGGTCAATTGGAACTCATTGGCGATGATCCGATGAACCCTTCAGACTGGCGCAAGAATAACCAAGGTTGTGTGTTTTATCAGAACCCCAAGGTGGAGGCATTCGGAGTGGGACATGCTAGTTTCACAAAGAGTCCCGATGGCAGCGAAGACTGGATTGTTTACCATGGCATGAGAGACCCCACAAACGGTTGGAGTGCGAGAACGATTAGAACGCAGCAGTTCACGTGGAATGCTGATGGTTCGCCCAAATTCCCTAGACCGGGATACGGACCTTACCAGGTTCCCTCAGGACAGAATTGATGTCGGTTGTGATCGTGTAAAACAAATAGAATAATGTCATTACGTTGTGATTGCATACTATTTTGCACATCATTTTGTGATCATTGGAGAAGTAAGTGAATAAGTTAACCCAGGGCCTTGGCAATGGATTTCTAACGCAAGGTGTGTGATTGGCTGCGGCAAAGCAGTCGAAAGTCCGCTTTGCCCGAGGCCGTGCTTTGCCTATGACAAAGACACAATCATCACCTTTCCACTTTACACCGAACATCCAACCTCTTGCCTACGACTCAGCAACTATCTCTCACTCCGTCGATACTCTCACCGACATTAACACTCACACACACACACATCAGAGCAGTCATGTCGCTGCCTCGCGCCACCTCGTCCGTGTCGACGACCATGTTCCGATTCGCCGCTGGCGGTGCCCCTCGTCTTCAATGCAACCAATGTCTGCGTCCCGCCTTCCGCACATCACAGCCTGCTCTGCGCTTCTCCTCGCGACGAAACTTGCAAACTGCCACTGCCTACCGCCCTTACACATTGGACCCTATGCCCTCGCCGCGCAACGCTGGTGTACCAGAGACCTCTATTGCTGGCCTTCCTTCGCTTCCCTCTACCTCGTCACGCTCAGCAAAACCATCTCCCGCAGCCGACCAACCCATCAGTGTACCTGAGCAAGAAGCTCAAAAGTCCTCGTCCGCAAATACGTCATCGACGGCAACCACATCTGCCACCACCAAGCCCCAAAGAAAGAGCAAGCTGCGTCCTCGCAAGGCCGCTATCACACTGTCGTCTTCAGCTGTATCACACCTGCGCGAACTACTCGAGCAACCAGAGGCCAAGCTGGTCCGTGTCGGCGTGCGTAACAGAGGCTGCTCGGGACTAGCATACCACCTCGAGTATGTCGACAAGGCTGGAGCTTTCGACGAGACGGTCGAGCAAGACGGTGTCAAGGTATTGATCGACTCCAAGGCCTTGTTCAGCATCATTGGCTCAGAGATGGACTGGCTGGAGGACAAGCTCAACGAGCGCTTTATCTTCAAGAACCCTAATATCAGTAAGTTGATCTACAAATCCGTCGGGTCGAACAAGAGTGCTAACATCATTTCCAGCTGAGCAATGCGGTTGCGGAGAGTCCTTCAGCATCTCATAAGCATCGACCAAATCTCCCTGTCCCTTGAAAACTCTCGCTTGCCGACGATCATGAAATGCTTGCATTACTGGAGTTATAGCGCCTCTGCTTCTTGAATTGTACATATTTGGGCCTCAACAGGAAAGGCCGCCTGGTTTTTACACAACATACCCTATCTTGAACCCTCTTTGCCCCTACTAGATGGATACAGACGAATAGAATCTCGATTTTAATGCACGCTACACCAGTCTTTCTCAGGCTCCCAATTCCCGGCATGTGTACTTCCGTAATATGGACCTAGAGACAGAGTCAGAACGCGCGAACCGGAATCCAGCATATCCCAATGTCGCCTCCTGGTCATCTGCTGGTGCGCCGAGTGGAGTGAGTAATAACTTCTTCCTCAACCGACTTAGTCGTGTCTTCTTCCAGATCAAAGGTCTGTATAAGTGACACCGTACTGTACTGGTCCCTTGCATGGTATTTTGCTCACAAGTTCTAGTGAGACCATTTTCTGACGGCCTGCCTTTTCATTTTCAGGGGGAGCCACAAATATCATTTGTCTACTCGAACGTCTGACAGAATCAGGATTCGACTGCTTGTTCCAGGCCACGCCACAAGTCGACACAAACAACCAAGCCAAGCCCTGCTGTCTCCAGAATCATACCGGTGTCATAGCATTAGCAATAGCCTTGATCAACTGCGTCTCAGCGTACCGCACTCTTTTCCGCAGGCTCTACAGGATTAGGCCCAGGCACCCTATGCGACGCCCACTCTGGTATCTTTACAAACCTCAACGCATCAAGTCCAAACCTCGGCACCTTGACCGTCCACATATCTTCCGTAAAATAATCATACAGCTGCCTCTGCGGCACGGGGAAATGCGTGGTCGGTGAGGTGAAATCCTTCTTGATCCCTTTCTGCAAAAATCCATTCCCTGCTGGCATCCACGGGTGCCATTTTTCCATGACAAAGACTCCAAACGGTGCGTAGGCGTCTGATTGGGCTTTGGTTCGTGTTGGTGCGCCTAGAGGTGGTTTGAAAAAGTTTGCGACGGGGATGCCGGAGAGTATGTGCAGCATCAGCGCGTGCCCTAGCTCGTTGAAGCGAGAATCTCCTATCCAGGGTTCATCCTGATATACACCGAGCGGGTTTGAAAAGTACGCCATGCGAAAGGCGTGAGCGAATTCGTGCACGAGGATTGCGGCAAAGAGAACTATAGTGCGTAGAAGAGCCGAGTCGAGGTTTGTCTCAAAGTTGGGAGGTATGTGACTTGGGAGTGTGCGAGCCGTGTCGAGGATGTCGCTGAAGAAGTCGGCGTAGTCTGATCGAATATCTTTGTCACGCCAGTTTTGTATGGCAGTGGAGTAATGGCGTGACAGGCCGATTCTGCTGTGTCTGGTATGCCTACGAGCGTCGTCAGAAGATGTCCTGGAAAGGCCTTAACACGACGTGATTCCGCAAACAACTAATATGACTTACATGCTTGCAGCAGTGGTACCCCGTGTCGCCCGAGTCCACGCCAAAGCTCCTTCTTCAATCAAAACATCAGGATCCTCCCAGTAAAAGCAAGTCCACTATCGCATATCGCAGATCTTCTGGAAGGTCCACGCTTGCTGTTTTTCAGTCAAAGAATCAGGAACCTTGAGCCTCCTGCACAGTCCCACATTCGGATCGATAAAGTCTTCCCAGCACGAAGGCGTTGCCAAAGCGTAAAAGACACACATGGTAGTAGGGTCATCGAGCAACGCACTCGCCAGCAAGATGGCAGGTTTGAGATTGAGGTACTCGACATCATCGACCTCCCTCCACATATCCTGTCTAAACACAGGATGCACAGCATCTCCCCTCCATTCCTGCGGTCTCTTTGGCAAATACCGACTCTGGGGCGCCAACAAGGACTCAGGGGATCCTAAATCGAGATTCAAAAATCCGGCCTTGTCCAAAACCTGCAGACCCCATTTCGCGACTAGATCGATCCACGGGACGCTCTCGCTCGGACGACCGAGTCTGTACTGTACATCCCATTCGTCGTCGTTGTCGTCGTTTCGTTTCCTTTTCAATAACGCCTTCAAGCTTTGGTCTTTCTTTGGTCTGTTGAGAGGGCGGATTTGGAAGCCTCCGGCGCCTGAAGGTGCGTCTCTCGCGCCAAAGTACTTTCCGTGTTTCGCCCAGTCTGCGTCGATCTGGCCGCCGTGAGCATATTGCGGGTCCTGGATTCTGCGTGGCAGCGTCGGTGAGTAAGGGATGCCATATGGCAGTGGCGGCAATCTTTCGGGTTCGACGCTGCTCATGTTGGTATCTGGATCGCTCGTGTTGAGAGTCTGAGAGACACGGGTATCAGCATACACATCCATCATGACAGGGTTTAAACACAATGGAAGGGCGTCTTTGTTCTTTGTATCAATGTGGACTCGACCGGATGCGGACAACAACTATACAAAGAAACAGGATTTGGAGAATTCGCTTCGTAGCTTGTCAGTGAACAAAGATTTTAGATCGATGCAACGGCATGATCAGACAACCAAATACTTGTTGATCAGGAAATAGGTTTGCTTGCAAATGTGTTTCTTTGATCGCAAAAAGTAGATACTGTGGAATGTAGTTGTGGTCGATTCGATCTGACTGTTGAGGAATAGAATAGTCACACAGCTCTGAACCCCTCGAAAGAAGAGATGATCACATTCGGCCCAGCGTTACGGCGAGAGTTTAGCATAAATTCTCCATTTCGGAAGAACCGCCCCTCTTCCATCAACTCTTACCTCGATTCGTTAATGTCTCGCGTGCTTGTAGAAAGGAATAACCCCCTCACAACAATCCCATCCATCCTACAACCGCCGCAAACCCATTCAACACAGCAAGTCCAGCAGCAAGACCCATTGCATCGACACCTCTGCCTGGCGCAGCATTCAACACAAGCACAAGCCCACACTGCGCAGCCGCCGTCGTAGGCAAATTGTCTCCCTTCGCGTACAACGTACTGCAAATCGTAGGCCCAGGTCCAGTCACATATTGTGTTGCCGTCGTGGTAGTCGTTACCGTATATGCTGGACCTATCAACCCTGTCACTGTGGTTCCCGAGTGAGTCCACCAAGTCGATGCCGTAGCACTGGGTACATAGACCGTTGTATATGGTTGTTGAGGTTCTCCATCGCATAACGCGTTGTCGGCGCAACAGCCGATGTGATTCTCCGGACCTCCATATGCGCAATACGTGTGAGGGCCGCAGCAGTAGTTCGGTCCTGAGATTGATTGGCAGTTTATGTATGCGTAAAGGGGGCAGATGCCTGTGCTGTCTTGAAGGAGGACGGCGGGGGACCAGCCATAATTCGAGCGGAGCTTGAGAGTTTGATTCACAGCGATGTTTGATGGTGATGAGATATCTGCTGCCTCCAGTATTTGAGGTAGATCTGTCTGGCGTGGAAGGGAAGGGCTGGCCAGAATGGCTGTGAAGAGGAGCGCGGTGATGAGGAGTTGGCGAGCCATGATCTTTCGATTATGCTGGGTAGTAGGATGCAGTGTTGTTGTTGATGCAGGTTCCCGTGTCTCAAACGGAGAGGATGGCGCAAACAATTCAGGCAAATTCGAGATACGTTCCACCAAATTGGAGTCGGAATTTTCTGATGGAAGTTGATGAGATTGTTGTTCGCTCCTTCGCGGTTTGGCTGAGCAGTTCGCGTATTGATGGTCGACGTCCAGATAGTGATACTCAGTAAATTCTCGAATAATGATGCCCAAACAACGATACAATGCAGCCCGGTTATCGTGCAGTCTGAGCGGCAGTGAAGTGTTGTGAACGGAGTGGAAAAAGATGCAGGATCATGCACGCTAAAGTAATCGCAGGCCTACCAAGCTCTTCCGAACAACAAATCAAGGTTGAAAGTGAGGTGGTTGGGCACTATACGGGAAGGAAGCATGCGCAATCATCACTGTTCACATCACCAACCCTTCCTTCATTCTCGACAATGGAAGCAATATAATGCAACAAAGTCATATGATCTGGACATCAACTCAAGTAGATTTCAACACGGTAGAGTCGTTTATCGATGAGCTTCATGAAATGTATCAGCAAAGAAAAAAAGACTCCAGAGGAGGTTGGGAGTCTTGTCGCACTTGGCCGCTTTGCAAAACTCTCGGGACACGAGACTGGCATTCATCGGCTCGATGCGCATTCCAACAAAAGACCTTGAACTTGTTCAAGCAAGAAAGACGATAGTACAGTCACTGGAGAAAGCAAATGCTCAAGAGACACATTCTCGTATTCCAAAGATAAACGTCGGGGGTATATCTCCAAACCAGACCCAATCCACGACTGATCTTCCACCGAGCCCTAAGAAGCTAACATTACAAGAATAGAACTGACAAAGAGATGTACCATGGGGTTGTTCGCTGATCAAAGACAAATGATGGAGTTCTATCAAAATAGAACATGATTTCCGACAAAGGAGAAGATGGATGCAAAGAAATGCGCGGGAAGCGTAGATGTCTGTAGGTAAGACAGCGATGAAAGGAAGGAGAGACAACAAAAAGCGACACTCTCTATGCGTCGCGAGAAGGGGTATATGAAGGAAGGAGAAGACGGGAATGAAAAAGAAAAGAAACTTTTTGCAAAGTGGTGCAGGAGATAGAAGATCAAGCAGAGGCATGTCTTCGGGTCTTCATGTGGATCTTCCACTCGGCTTTTGCGACCCGCATCAGCATGTCTTCGTCTCGCACAGGCACCCAACTGGTGAGCACCTTCATTGCGTTCTCAAAGTCGCCTTCGACAATGAGAGACTTGGTAGCGTCGACCAATGCAGCACTGGTGGCGTGCAACACACTCAAGTCGGCGCCTTCGAAAGTAGACTTGCTTTCTCGAGTAGGTGGTGGGTTTCCGGGAAAGTCGGCATCGCCCAACAGCATAAACACATCCCAGACACGTAGTTGGGCTGGGAAGGGCATGCTGAGGTTGAAGAGTGTGAGGTACCATTTCGTACCGTATGTCATGGCGTCGATGCCAAAGTCGTCGAGTTTGGCCTTCAGATCTTGGTCGTTAGCCAGCCAGTCAGTCTCGAACTCCTTGAGCGTTGTCATGAGCCCCGAGAAACCATGTTCGTAAAGCACTTTGAGTCCACGCAGCTCCCACATGCGAACGAGCATGACAAAGGTGTGTTCCTCGTCATAGTAGCAGAGCAAGGTTGCAGCCAAGGAAGCCATGCCTTGTACATAACCCGTAGATGGGAAATGGACAGAGATGGCATGGAGGACGCGGAAGAGCAAACGCTGGCCTCCTCTATACCTGCGACGGAACATAATGTGCATGCTGATCGTTCTAGGAACATCGACATCGATCTGTACATCATCGGCAGAGCTTTCTTCCTGCAGTTCGTGGAAGATCTCAATAAGCTCTTCGTCGGACTGGCATCCTCCTCGGCGTTTGGCCGAGGCAGACAAAAAGGCATGCCATGCAGTTGCGCGCCACTTGTCAGGCACCCCCTTCCAAGTACGTGCGACGAGTTTTGGATCTGTCACATCGAATTCAAAGTTCATGCCGCCGCCTCTTGGACCTTCTGGCATTAAACGAGCCATCTTGCGCCATTTCTCTTCGCGCAAAACTTCACGCCGTCTCAAGAAGCCTTCGTGCGCATCCTCTTCCGCGAGATTATCGAGGCAGGCGGGCAATGTGAGCATATCGCTTGCGTCATCGAGAACGCGACGGTCGCGCGAGCGGAAAGGGTTATGGGAGCGATGTTGCGAATAGCCGGACTGGAAGGAATATACAGAGGCAGCGTGGGCAGAGGGAGATGAGGCGACGGTGGTACGGGTGTTTGTGCGGGTGGGAGGTGGGAGAGAGCGCGAGGATCTAGCATTGGAGGGACCTCTAATCAAGCCTCTGCGCCTGCGCGGACTGCTGGATAAGAGTTGTAGTGATGTGGTGACACGCTGAAGACTAGGCTTCACAGACGTGCCTTGCGGGCCTTCGGTAGGGATGAATTTGGTCGGGTTGATGAAGCCATAGCGATCGACATCCTTGCCAGACAAATCCTCCCAGTCCTCGACGCCGCCAGCGCACTCGTGCTCGTTTTGAATGAAGCTGAAACGATCATGGAAGTCCATTGGCCTCGAACTTCGACTCGTGACAGGTCGGCGACGAGGGTTGGTGAGAGAGCGTACAGGAACTTGCGGTTCGGGAGTGTCTTGTCTGTGCACGTCGTCCGGAGTGGTCCAATCGGCAGCTCTCTCGTCGCCGTATTTGTACATGGACCTCACCTTGTGGGAGAAAGTCCTCTCTTCAGCCGACAGCACTCGGCGACCATCGAGAACGGCATTCAGCATGTGTACGCTCGGTGTGCGAGGACCGGTTGTAAGACGCTTTGGGTTCAGTTTTGTGACCTCTGGGGTGGGAGACAGCGGCGGGGAGGGCGGAGCTTGCATGGGAGGGGAGAAGGTGGGAGAATTGGGGGCCGTGTGGAAGTCGTTGTCGGTAACATCGCCGTCGGTGCAGTCGCCATCGTATTGTCGCATCATCTTTGCCAGCTTCTTTGAGTTCAACAGGATGCTACCGCGTGTCGAGAACTTGATCGAGTCTGGTGAGGTGAGGTCATCGAAGGCGGCGGTAGGGATGTCCATGTCGATAGGGTGAAAGGAGCGGATGCGAGAGTGGCTGTTGGTCAGAGGCGATTCGGGGAGGTCGACGTCGCTGTCTTGGTCGATAGGCTTGGATTTGCGTCGCAGGAAAGAAGGGGGATTTCGTTTCGAGGATATGCTGCTGGGCGGAGCGACAATAGCATCATGAACGATGATGGATGGCACGCTCGCGCTTGGCGACAGAGGCAGGGTAGGGGCTTGGGTGTTGGTGGTTGCAGGTTTTGCGATGGCAGAATCGCGCTTGAGGTCGCTGCTAGACTGCGAGGTGTGGAGAGTTGTTGTTTCATCCATGGCGGCCACTGTATTTTTGGCTGCCCCTGCCGACGGGCGTGTTTCGTAGATATATTGTTTGCTCGTTCTGCCAATCAATCGAGCCCACCCGATGCTCCTCTCGTCAGTCGCTCACGCGTATCCTGCTCATGCGTCTCCTCAAGTCTCGGACCTAGAAAAGTGCTGAGAGAAGGAAAATTGGCAAGGCGAGCAGTCAGTACGTATGCGCCGCTCCGGAGTGATCAACAACAGAGTCCCTTGGTGAAGCACTGGCCGTTTGGAGAGCCCCGACTCTGGAGAAGACTTGGCCGAGATTGCTGGAGTCCAACAACCTGCTTTTTCAAAAGGTCTTTCGGCTTCTCTGCGTACAGTGCGGATAGCGATGATGACAATCAATTTGCGGTCGTCGTCTTCGCCTATCCCGGGTCCATGGGGTTTATATGTGCACCAAGCCTCGCTCGCCCGGGCGACATCTCAGCGCAGATCCAGTAACCCCTGAGCAAAGCCGCTGTGCAACGCTATCCCGAACCTAACACGACCACCAACCCCCGTTGCATGCACTTACCTTGCAACTGCCTCTCTAGCTCTGACTTTGTACCCAACGGTCACCGCATGACTGCTGATTCCCTGCTTCCTCACCAGACGATAATCGATCATACGGACATTTCCTCATCGATATGTGTGCAACATGTATCTACATCGTAATCACTTGCTTGATCGTTAACCAGTCTGGCGCCATCGTGCATCATCAAGCCTGCCGGGGCTGCTTTTTTCTCTGCTCGGCTCGTCCCCTTCTCCTGTCCATCCAAGCTCCACTTAGAGCATCCCTTCTATGTGCGTGCTTCTCCACCAGTTCCCCTGATCACGTATTCCGAAACTATCTTAGTCTTTCCGAAAGACCCTTCTCGTCCAACTCCCATGCGAACTCTTTACTGCCCGGCCAACCAGCCGAACTTCTGCAACTTGACCCTGGGCAAGACTCCAATCAACGTGATGGCAGCCGCGACGAGCACGGCCCACAGCTTGATTTCAAGAACCTTCTTGTTGTAGTCCGTCTGCGTAGCGGCTGCCACTGTCGCAAGCAGCATCAAGAAGATGAAGTATCCGCTGACACGGTGGTACTTGTACAGCTTCTTTGCGTTCTCCTCGCCGCCGTAGATCTGCGGCACAAAGTATTGCGTGAATCCAACAAGTCCTTGAATGAGGATAAGGATGTATGTGATCAAACCCAGAATAGCGTGGGGTGACACGAAGTGTGTGCCATTGTGGGCAATCTTGTTGTACTCGATCACGACGAGGCCCGCGATGCCGCACGAGAGAGCGAGGTCGTTGAGTCCGGCGTGGGCCCAGGTGCCGTGCTTCTTTTGCTTCGGTGTGTGCGTGGGTTGTAGGATAAGGACGCCCTGGGTAAAGAGCAGGATTGCTGCTGAGTTAAGCAACTGATGGACAGTCATATCAGCATAGTTTTTGTGTGTATGTACCACGAAGCCTTACAGGATGCGCCGAGAACAGAATCACAGGGTTGGAGAATACTGCGCCCCAGACAATAGCAACGAGGATCCAGGATCCAGCCTGTGCGACAGCTCCAGTACCTGTAGAATTCGTGTGAGTGTTGCTGCCTTGCACAACTAGTGTGAAGCGAGACCATACCGATGATTAGATTGTGGTATAGCGGAAGACCGTCTTGCTGCGACGCATCACCAGGTCTTCCAAGCAGAGGCTCCTGCTCGCCCATACCGGGCCTCTGAGTCTCTTGTTCCGACATGGCTGTACAAGGTCTTCTCGTCGTGTAACTCCGAAATTCCGGAGGTGTAGGAAGAATAATGTTAGGCTGGTGGTGCCTTAGAAGAAAGGAAGCGGAGAGCTCTTGATTGCAGAAGCAGCAAACACCCGGCTTACATATCACAAAGTACGAGCCTCTGGCGTGCTATCACGATCTTGATTTTTGATGACCTTGATAGCACCCTAACCGCTGTACCTACCCAATTCGGTGTTGAGCTAGCTTTCTGTAAGCGGGGCTTGCGGCTCTGTGGCTGATTATCTGACCAATCAATGACTTTAGCAATGTCAGATTGCTAACGATGATCTCAACACCGCTTCTCAATGTCTGCACTGCGGTCAAGGTACTCTGGACATTGAAGTATCCGAAACGCATCTGCCTATGTTGAAACACAGGGGCAACAACCAGTATAACGGCATACGAAGGTTGTCTGAGGATAACAGAGACACACAGCATCGCGATCGAGAAGAGGGTTTGACCGAGTAAGAGCGATCTGTTATTGAGTGCACCAGAGGAGAATGTTGACCATAGAATCAGGTGTTGGACGTCTGTAGATGCATCCAAACATAGCAGATATCGGAAAGGCTTCACGAACGAACTCCTGAGAGGCAAAGCGGTCAAAGAGAGATTTATTACCATGAGGTATAGTAGATCGAAATATAGAAGATATACAGAGTAGAAAGAAACAGCAAATGGTGGTGGTATCGCGCAAATATTTCCGAACATCCGTCCCGCTCCAAAATCGTGAAAGTAACCCTGTGCACCGAGGACCAGCATCGGTCTAGACAAAACGCGAGACTTTTGTTCAAGCAAACAAAAAGACCCAAAACAACAAAGCAGACAATATTCGTTAAAATGGCAGTTCGAGGAAACAAGCGTTTAACCGTCCAAGGTGCGTTGTTCGCGTTCGGCCTTCTCGTAAGCAACGGCGTGACGGTCACCACCGATACCGGTGTGCTCGTTTCCTTGACTGTCGCTCTCACTGGGGGCCTTGCCCTCCAGCATTTGCGAATGTTGGGGGATACCGTGGCGCTCACCCTGAGGGATCTGGTGATCGGCAGTCTCAGGCTGGTCCCGAGCAGGAGTCCAGGCGAGGTAATCACGACGGACCTCAACGTAGTCGTAAGCGAACTCGCCGAGCTGATCGTCATCCATTCCTAGCAATTCGGCTTCCTCAGAAGCGCGAAGGTGGAGTCCAGGGATTTTGTCGATGACAAAGGCGATTGCAGCGCTGACAACGAACGAGTAGGCGGTGACAGCGGCGATGTAGGCAATTTGCATATACAACTGCTTCCAGTTGTGCTGAATCCATCCACCATCAATACCGTTGTTGACACCGTCGAGACCAATGATGTAAGAGGCAGCGAAGATGCCGTTGAAGAAGAGACCGACCATACCAGCGACACCGTGCTCAGCGAACACATCCATAGCATCGTCAATGCGGATCCAGAACTTGATCTTGGTTGCAAAGTTGCATACGATACCAGTAGTGATTCCGAGAACAACAGATGCCCAGGGGGTGATGAAACCAGAAGCGGGAGTGGCGGCGACGAGACCAGAGATGGTACCGGAACACCAACCAACCATGGACCACTTACGAGCAAGCCTCCAATCGAGAACGACCCAAGCAATGGCACCGAACATGGCAGTCAGGTTGGAGTTCCAGCAAGCCATAGTAGCGCGAAGGTTGGCACCGAAAGCGGAACCACCGTTGAAGCCCAACCAACCGAACCAGAGGAAGACAGTACCGAGAGTGATGAGAGAGACATTGTGAGGACGGAAGTTGAGCATCATCTTTTCCTGACGTCTTCCAAGGATCATCGAGTAGGCGAGAGCCGACATACCAGAAACAATCTCCACGGGACCACCTCCGGCATAGTCGAGGACACCCCAGTGGAAGGCCCAGCCGTGGGCGCCCCAAACCCAGCAGGCGACGGGGCAGTAGACGAGAGTGGCCCAGAAGAAGATGAAGACCATGCAAGGAATTAGGCGACCACGTTCAGCGACGGCACCAACAACAATGGCGGCGGTAACAGCACAGAATTGCATCTGTGTTGATGTTAGAATTTGTGACGGAAAGGAACGATATGATTGTTACGTACCTGGTAGAAGGCGTAAAGGAGTTCGGGGATCAGAGGAGAGCCAGGGGAAGGAGCCCCAAGAGTCTTCATGAGGCCGAATTTTTGCAAGTCGCCGATGAAGCCATTGGTTGCGTAGTCGGAGAAAGCCAGAGAGTATCCCCAAAAGTACCATTGAAAGGTGATGACTGAACAGGAGGCCATACAAGCCCAGATCATACTGAGAGCTGACTTTCTGCGTGCGAGGCCAGAGTAGAGGAAACCAAGACCGGGAATCATGATCAACACCATTGCTGATGCGATCAGAATGTACGCTTGGTCACCAGATTGGTACCATTGGTTGAGGTTCTCGTCGGCTACAGCGTGGTTAGACGATGCTTGCAATCGGACGACACGGGATGCGGTATGAACTCACTGGAGTCACCACCCAACGGAGATGTGCCATTGAATTCTGTAGGTGCGCCGACCCAGGAGTAAGACATGGTTGATGTGAGTCGAGCGTCAATTGCGCTCAGGGAAGTACAGGAAGGGCCTTTCTATCAACGCCGGTGATGTCGATGTCCAAAGAGTTATGTAATAGTCCACGGACCAGGCAGAATAGGTGTGGATAGGTTGGAGGAAGAAAAATGGACACACGATACGCAAATGACTGCTGGGGAAGGTTGGGGGAAGCAAGAGATATATAAAGAGGTCTTCTAAAGGCCGTCACTGGCTCAGCACGCGGCAACAACGGCGATGTGCACTGACGGACTGATGGGATGAGGATAAATTGATGAGCCCGAGGGTCGGATCTGGCTCTCTTGAAGTGTCCCAACTAGCGGAGGGAAACGGGCCACACTTGAAGTAGACAATCGAAGGGTTTATTGTACGTCAAACGATCTGCCCATCGAAACTGAAATTGTCTGCGGCAGCGGGCTGGCCTTATCAGCAACACCCGCGCGCAACGGGCCATTTTGCGATGCAGCCTCTTTTTGTGCCCCGGTTTCTTCAGATGCGGGTGACGACCAGCGAAACCTTGCTTGCTTGAATGAGACAACCTCGCAACGCATTGTGATGCAGTGCAATTATATTTGGACAATAGCCGGCAGCAAAGCATTCTGCTTTTTCTTCGCCACTGCAGGCCTGAATTGAAGCCAGGGTCGACCATCATCGAGCTCAGTCGCTTGCTGGCCATGACTTGTCTCCCGTGCTACTGCCTCGCCAACACGCGAACCCACCAGGGAAACACATGCAGAATACATGACGAGATGGCGCTTCTTGGAAGCAGTGCTTGGTTTTGCAGACAGAGATCCGTGGATGTTTGTTATTCACACTGTGTGTCCATCGCAAAAGTGGTGCTCGTTATCAGAGAACGTCGTCCAGTCAGAGAACAGCCGAACTCGGACTCTTATCACTTGGCCAGACCTTGCCCGTTCGAGCGTAGTGATGTGCAGGGCGCATTCGAGAAGCTTGACGACAGGCCCGATTTCCGTGGCTCCCATTGGCTGTGACCACTTCTTATCTCTGGTGTAAAAAGCATTGTGGTAACGGCTTGTGAGCCAAAGCTGACCAACACTCGCTTGGTGACATGTGAATCTGTTGACGAGATGCCGTGTCCTCTATGCATGGGCGGAGTATATTGCCAAGTGGGTTGGCATCGAGCATTCCGCGAGAGATACAGCTCTATCTTATATGCATGCAGTCGCTATCTCGTGGCGCGCTGAAAGTGGAAAACGCCATTTTGACTGCAGAGATAAGAAAACACAGCATGGAGAAAGCCAAATCCGAGGCCAAGGGTCGTGCCCCCCGACTCCAGCCGCTCTGTCGGGATCTGTAAAGTGGTCGACTCGTGTCAAAAAGTGCGCCACGAGGTCTGGGGAGCACTCGCAGCGACCTCGCCCCCAAAGAACCATACTTTCCTCTGCTTCCGAGAACACACTCCGAACGATGCCATGGGCCCATGGCGGCGTGGCCCCTGATGAGACAGGAATTCGATTTGGTAAAACGTGATGTCTTGTTAGGCCTCTCACTTCTCTATCACAATTGCCGATCTTCAGTCAACGATTCACGAATCTGTTTCTCGTCCCACGCCTTCTACCCCTTTCTGGTGCAGTATATCCTTGGGTTCTCACGCTTCCAAGCTCTCAACAGAATCCTGTAACGATATATGATTCAAAGTTAATATCACGCTGGTACCTGAGGTAAGGGGCGGTCAATGGTCATGGACAATTGTCGTGAAGTTCTTGATTCTATCAACATGTAGGTCCCTTGATACTGCACTAATCTAGTCAATCAAAGGGATGACAACTGCGCTGCTACGGGACAAAATAACTGGACCGAATAGAACAGGAGTCACACAATGGTGCTCTGGATGATACCCAGTCCCCGTGACTCGGACTTGCACTACAGCCAGTACTACTGTTGCTGTTGCTGAAGTCTGCGCCAGAGGTCGGCGGCTGCCTGGATTGCCTCGGGCGAAGGACCACCATTCTGAGCTGATGCTGCGGGTGCCTGCTGCTGAGGCTGCTGAGGCTGGTGCATCTGCTGCTGTTGCTGTTGCTGGAAGAAAGCAGGATTGACAAACGCGCCTGCAGGTGCTCCAGGGAACTGGTAAGGCTGCTGTTGCTGTTGCTGACCCTGATTGTAGGACTGCTGCTGCTGTCCTTGGTTGAAGAACTGAGGGTTGGGTGGCCATGCGAATTGCATGTTAGGGAATGGCGACTGTGCCTGAGGAGGAGGTGGAGGAGGAGGAGGGAACTGCTGCTGGTTGAACTGAGGGAAGCCGAACTGAGCGTTCATCTGAGGCTGGGCTTGATTCCACATCTGCTGCATCTGAGGCATTTGCTGCATTTGTTGCATCTGCTGGGACACTGCAGGCTTTTGTGGGAGTTGCTGGGCGTAAGTCGATGCTCCGGCGTTGTGTGTATCAGGGTAAGAGTTGGAAGGACCCTTGCGCTGGTTTGCGCTGTCGGCTCCGCCACGACCACCACCACGACCGCCTCTACCACGATCGCCGCGACCTCTGTCGTTGCCACGACCTCTACCGCGGCCTCTGCCTCCACGTTCGGCAAACTGGCGACGAGCTGGTGGTGCTCCGTTCGTCATCATGTCTTGCAGATTGTCTGGACGAGCAAGTGGTGTGTACATGTCCTCAGCTTCGGATTCGTCGTCGTAGTTGATGGCGCCGCCAGTGTAGGGCTTTGCGACAGGGGCCTGGTTGGGCTGGTCGCGAGCAGCTCTTGCACCCTTCTTGGCCTCCTTCTTAGCTCTCTTGTAGGCGGCCTCAGCCTCGTCATCAGAGAACTCCATCTCTTCGTCGGCGACTTCCTCGTCGTGCAAGTTAGAAGCATCGGTACCCTTCAGGTTCTTGAGCGGTTGTGTGAAGACGTAGGTAGAGTGAGAGTCGACGTAGAAGATCTTGGTGTTCGTAGCAATGTTGAGGTCTGAGATATCGGAGGGTTTCGTGAAGGCGACCGAGTACAAGGGCTCTTCGACCTTGCCGATAGTATCCTGAACAGCTCCAATAACTTCGCGGTTCTCCAGACAGAGAACGGAGCCGGACTCTAGAACCTGATACTCTCCAGACGTGAAGGCCTTGATGAGAATCAGCGTGTCGACGACGTGCTGGACAGCACCTAGGGGGGTGATCTTCATGTCAGGAGTGACTGTGACGTCCGGTTTGGGGACAATCTCCTCGGGCACTTCGTTCTTGGTGCGAAGTTGGCTTCCATTGGCAGCCTTGCTTCCGCCGTCTTCATCGTCCATGCCACCTTCTTCCATAAGCATACGCGCAGCGGTGGCTGGGTCGAGCAACTCGTATCCTTCTTCATCGCTGTCTTCGTCGCTCGAGGAGTCGTCGCTGCTAGAGGACTCGTCGGATGATTCGGCATCGGATGAATCGTACTGCCATTCGGCACCTTCAGCGCCTTTTTGTGCTGCGGCGGCTTCGAGGAACTCGGGATCAACAGGAGGCTTTGTGGATGCTGAGGCAGTGACAGGTTCGGTAGTGGGTGTGGATGTTGTGGCAATCTCGGACTCGGCCTTCATAGGCGTGGGAAGACTCTTGTTCAGCTCGTCGTTGTTACCGAGGGCATCGAACAGAGCGGAAGTAGCGTCGGGGCGAGCAACCTGGGCAGGGACAGACACGACCTCGGTCTTGACAGCAGTCTCGGCAGGGATGGAAGCGGCAGCGGATTGTTCAAGAGGAAGGTCGGCGGGGTGTTCTTGGGTAGCAGGGTATGGGATAGCGTCTTCTTGGACTTTCACGATCTCTGGCTGAGCAGTTTCGTTGGATTGTTCGGTCTGAGGTTGGGGCAGGGTAGTGGGAGTCTCAGGAGGAAAAGAGCCCAAGCCAGGGATGCCAGCAATGTGCGAGGAGGCCGAGGGGAGCTGCTTTGCATCGACATAACTGGTTGCTTGAGCAGTGTGGATGGCGGGGGTATTGTTGGCGGACGGGGTGCCGTAGATGTCGTCCATGTCGTCGACAGGAACAGAAGTGGACATTGTGGGCGGGGGAGACAGACGAGCACGTTTGTTCGGTCTGGGACTCGTCTCAAACATCTGATGTGATATCAGATGTGAATGTTTGCGCCGCCCAAGAGAAAAAGATGAGATTTGCTGCCGGACATAACGGAGTTACGCCCTACCCCAGACGGCGCTAGCCATGCGGGTAGGAAGGTCAAGCCACACCGTCAGCTTGGGAGGCTTGAGCAGCTGAGTTGGGTGGTCAAGGCTTCGTGATTCAATATTGCAGGTATTGGACAGACACTGCTCTTCCTGCTTTCCTCAACGCGACCAATCGTTCACCAACAGCAATGTCGTCTCCTCCGCCGCCGTCGCGTCCGGTGCGCCGCCAATTCATGACGACCATGACGGCCAACAAGGCGGCCAAACAGCAGAGCAACAAGGCTCTCCCCGTGACGCCGACAACAGCTTCAGCAGAGGCCCGCCCTACCCACATGTACCCCGCCGACCTCACAAAACCCCTCGATGCTATCGCCGACCCCATCCATCTCAATCCCCTGATTGCATTCTACATTCTCGCCGCTGCCCACACTATCGCTGCTCTCTGGTTCCCTATACAAGATTGCGACGAGGTCTATAACTACTATGAGCCCACCCACTACTTGACCGAGGGCTATGGCAAGCAGACTTGGGAGTACTCTCCCGAATATGCCATCCGCAGCTGGGGCTACGTTTCGCTTCATGCCTTTGTCATTGGTCTGCGTCGCATCATTCCTGTCTGGGGTCTGCCCAAGGTCTGGAAGTTCTACTTCTTGCGCATCATGCTTGGAGCAATCTGTGCCGCCTCTGAATCCAGGCTCTACGCCGTCATCTCGAGAACTCTCAACCCTAGACTCGGCATGCTCTTCTTCCTCATCATGCTCACCAGTCCTGGCATGTTCCATGCATCTGTCTCCTTCTTGCCTTCATCCTTCTCCATGTATACCACCGCTCTGGGTATGGCTGCCTTCATGGACTGGCGTGGAGGTGTGCGAACCGCTACTGGAATGATGTGTATGATCGGTGGTTCTTTCCTCGGTTGGCCTTTTGCCGCTGCTCTCATTGCTCCCTTCATGATTGAGGAATTCATGCTCGCTTACTTTACCGACAAGCAAGAGTTCATCGACTTTTGCTACCGTATCCTCGATGGCTCTGTCCGCTCTACCATAATACTCGTCATCCAGTTCTGTTTTGATGCTTTCTTTTACAGGAGGGTCGCTATCGTGCCCTACAACATTGTCTGGTACAATGTAATCGCTGCTCGCAGTGGCAAAGGTCCCGATATCTATGGCACCGAGCCCTGGCATTTCTACGGCCGCAACCTCTTACTCAACTTCAACATCTGGTTCATCATCGCCTTGGCCGCCATGCCTCTCTACTTCGTCCACACTTTTGTTCTTCGCCAACCTATCTTCAAGCAATCTTACCTGCGCGGCGTCTTCTTCCTCACCCCTTTCTATCTCTGGTTGACTATCTTCACCCTCCAGCCTCACAAGGAGGAGCGCTTCATGTACCCCATCTACCCTGCTTTAGGGTTCAACGCCGCTCTAGGCTCTCACATCCTTCTCACCTGGCTCGGCACATCCAATCCCCGTTCTCTTATCGCCATGATCCCTGCTAAGTTGAGACTGCTCTTCGCTGCTTTCTGCTTCATCGCTGCTGTTGATTTCGGAGTTTGGAGAACTCTCGGTATGATCACAGCTTACAATGCTCCATTGAGCGTGTACAAACCTCTGCGACTTCCTGGCGTCACCCAATCTGGTGACAATGTTTGCCTGGGCAAGGAATGGTATCGCTTCCCCTCTTCGTATCATCTCCCGACTGGTGTCAGCGCCAAGTTTGTCAAGAGCGAGTTTAATGGTCTGCTCCCTGGTGATTTCAGCCAAGCTGGCAAGGGATTCGGTTTGTATCCCGGTGCATGGCTTATGCCGAGCGGGATGAATGATGAGAACAAAGAAGATCCTAGCAAATACGTAAGTTGGCTTCTTTCGAAGACTGTATAACACTCGCTAACTCATCCTAGACTCCACTATCGCACTGCTCCTTCATGGTCGACTCGTACTTCCCAGGCATCGAGCCATCACCTCTGGAACCCAACTACATCAACCAGACAGAGACTTGGGAGAAGCTGTCATGCGAGCCGTTCCTGGATGCTTCGCGTACTGGAACTATCGGTCGCATCGGATGGGTTCCTGACTGGGACTTTATTCCGTCCAAGTATCGCCGCCAATGGGGCGAGTACTGTCTCCTGGGCCGCAAGACGTCCTCGCAATAGGACTATGCATTTGATTCATATTCTTTGATATCAGTCACCTGATTATATTTTAGCGGTTTAGGCAAGTCGGAGCGATCTATAGACGTGTAGTATTGACCAAGATTAGTTGCTAGATCTTAGCTGGACGTTGGCGGCGGCGCGAGCCCCACCATGGCCATATCAGTGTCCCTTTTCGGACGTTTAGTCCGGGGATGATAGCAAGGCATGGCGGGGTCCAGCAGGCTTATCACCACGACCAAGACAAATCTAGGAAACGCAATGTGTATAATAAACATGATGTCTGCTCAAGCATATAACTTTTGCTCATGTCCATGTTATCGTCGTCCTTACAACCGCATCTCCACTATTCCCAACCATGACCACAATGCATACATTATTGCAGGACAGCATCAGCAACATCCAGAGCATCTCAACACTACAACAGGCAAAGTCTCTCATATATCTTGGACTGGCCCTTACAGCATTTGCGTATCTCATACAGCGTGTCGTCGTCGGCTCGAAACGGGAATCAAGAATTACCTCCCGATCACCGGACCCGGAAAAGCCAACGCGAACAAGACCCAAGGCACCCGAAAGGCCTGACGGTGGTGAGTGCTGACTACAAGATTGTATGGTTTACTTCTGACATGCTCTGCAGTGTGGATTCCATCGGACTTCAAGAGGCCCACCGCCGCACCATACCCAGACTGGTCTCTCGAAACCACGAAGCCCCTGCCCTATCGCCCTTTCCGCTATGGACCGAAGTACAACATTACCATGGGATTGCGCACAATGAATTGGGATGAGTGGATTGAGTTGGACAACCATTACCCGAAATTCCATGCCGATAAGAAACGCCGCATTGAAGAACGTGGCAGCAAGTGTTTCCATACAGACCCTAAACCGCAAGTGTTCGATGGCGCTGTAGAACTTCTGGAAGAGCTCTGTGGTTATCTCCCCGAGCGCTACCCAAGCATGTTTCGCAAGACTGAACACGGAATGGTCAACTTGTTTGCGGACGAGACTTTTGATATCAGAAGGGATGTCTTGACCATGAATGGCAACCGCGAGGATCCTATGCAGATGGCCGCACGTATGGTGCAAGATGATCTGGCAATCATGTTCGAAAAGGAAGACGGTCAGATGTATCTCCTTGCTGGTGCAGTCTTGCTGGCAGGTTTCTGGCGTTTACAGGATAAATTGGGCATGTCTCTTGACGAGATTCATTACAGGTACGCCCTTGCCAAACACCATACAAGGCTTCTTTTGTACTAACTCCCTTGCAGCGGCGATGTTCCTGGTTACCACGACAAACTCCGCAAAGGCATGAACAACTTCTTCCGACGCATCAAGCCCGAAGCTCCAGTGAAACGCAACAACTACTTCCTTCAAGTCGATGAAGACCTCGCATGGTCCTACAGCATTGGATCTGAAGACGCTGGAGAACCCTCGTGGGATACAGCCGCTGCCAATCGCGCAATCGAACACCATTACTTCCGCTCTGAATGCCAATCTCTTCGTCGCCTACCCAGATCTGGAGGTGTGTTGTTCACGATTCGCACGTACTTCCATCCGATTACGGATATTGCGCAAGAGGATTATGTACCAGGAAGATTGGCTAGTTCGATCAGGGCTTGGGGTGATGATGTGAGCAAGTACAAGGGCAAGGCGAAGTATGGCGATGTGTTGTTGAATTACCTGGATAAGAAGCACGAAGAGCAAGTAGCTAATGGACTGGATCTAAGCAGAGAAGATGAGTGTAGGGCATATCCATACTAAGCGGATAGAAGAGATAAAATATTTGCATGGATATTGTAGTTGTCCTGAGTGACTGCTTCACTTTATTTTCCATTCCAAACCCTTCACAATAAGAACCAGAGGATGGAGAGCAGATGCAATTCGAGAAGGCGCATGTTCATGAAGCACCTTCCTTGGAAAATGCCAAGCAAATGCATATAAATCTTGGCATCAATGCAAACTCCATTCCATTCTCGCCTTCTCTGCAACTCTACGACACAACATCAAAATCAACAGCTATGAGTTTACAAATCGGTTTCAAACAAGTTTTGCGTATCTCTCCACTACAGAAGACGTTTCGATCTGCCGGAAGCATTGCTATCTACGAGAGACAAGCCAGCCAGTTATGGTCACCATCTTCTTACAATCACGTTACCAGTCGCCTTGCAAGCACAAAAAGTTATACACCAAAAACCGAAAATAAGAAGTCTAAGGTGTCTGATGATCAAGATGCGGTACAACTATTCTACACTCATCGGGAAACTGGAACTCTCACAAAACCGCTGGCTACTTCGTGCCTCAGGGACTTGGACAGAAGAAACCGCCACGACACTGGACTGGGAGAAGCCACCATCAAGTGGATGTGGAATGAGCATGACCGTTACGAATTTCCGAGAGACAAGGATCTTCTAGATCAGATGGTCAAGCACCTTGTCAAGGAGGGCAAGGAGGACATGCTTTGGAACTGGATCGAACAGAAAAGCCGAAAGACCGACTCTCTAGGCCCCAAGGATCGATTTGTGTGGAGATCAGACGCCGTGAAATCGCTCGTTAGAGCCAAAGCTTTTGCTTCGGATGCCGACAACCTCGATGGAGCGTTGGAATCCTTCGAGCGTGCGAGACGTAGCACGTACTCTATCCCACTTGCTCCAGCCAGAATGACTATGGCGCAGCTGCTGATGATGCCAAAGGACAAGACGGGCATAGACTCTGTAGACAGCAAAGCCGAGATGGAAACACCCAAATGGCCAAACACGAGCATAGAACTCTGGGAAGACTTCTTCAAGGGCACTGATCGCCACCAGGATGTCAGCGAACCACTCTCAGTCCAACTACCGCTATATCACCCTGGAGGACCGAACGCGATGCCATTTCTTAAGCATTGTCGATACCTAGCAACAAAGGAGGATCTTGTCAGAAACATGGCAAAGAGACCATCGGTGACCCCTTGGATTGCACGAGGTAGACATGCCGAGGCAGTGTTACGACAACAAGGGCATGAAAAGGATGCCGATTGGTTGGGAGAGTTCATCCGAGACTTGCATACGAAAGCGGAACCGCTCAGGAGGAAGGAGAAGTCCAGGAAGGTCGAGAAATTTGCGAGAACCAATAAGAAGTGAGAAAGACCTATAATCGTCTCTTGAGCACTCACGGTTTCGTCTGTCATGACATCGCCGATATTCTACCAAGACACTCATGAAGGTTCCATCTTGTTGAACGACGCAAAATACCAGGATCAATCAAATATTCCTGCTCGTACTGCCCTCATTACACATTCATGGAAAACAGCACTTGCCTCGGCGACGATAGCAACGCAGATCACATCAATCTTTCCCAGATCACACGCTCAAAGCAACTACATTCCTTCCAGTGATGTCCAGCAGCTTTGGCATATCCGGCACAGGCCCCCAGACCAACGCATCCAAGTGCTGCAATCCAATCTATCGCGTCGATAAAACACAACATTGGCTTTTCAACCTTTTCAATCACATACACAATGGGACAGGAACTCACAGAAAATGGTGTCACTTGTCAAACACAGGGAATTCTCTTCTGAGATCCTTCAACGTCAATTCGCAGGCATCTTCGTCCTTGTTCCTCAGTTTGTCTTTGAGATGTCTGAAAGGGGTTGTCTTGTGGATTCGCACCAGCATCTTTTCTTGCTTGTCGACTCCCCTGTCGATTCGTAGAACGTTAACGTCGGTGGACTGATATTTGACCTCTTCGGCTAAGTTGGATGGGGTTGTTGGCTGGTGTCTGCCTGCGACTACGCTCTTCAGCATACGCAACTTACTGACAAGTTCAGTCGTCTGCTCGCTAGTTTGAACTGAGGACTCTGGTTGCGGTGTAGTCTTTGTGTTAGGCTCCGGTATCTCTCCTGTTGAACGATTGCTCATGAACCAGTCCGGACGAGTCTGTAGTCTTGAATGTGGTTCTCACGGATCTTGAGCTGTAGGAAGCAGGAAGAAGGCGTCAAAAATGGATTTAGCATCTTCTGGCTTGGAAGGCGCATAGGTGGTCTCTCTCATGATTGCGTTTCCAGATCTCGCTTGGCTTGCTGGAACAGATCGTGTCGAAGTGGAAGTGCCGCTCGAGAGAGAATTTTCCGTTTCGGAGAGAGTGTCAAGACCAAAGCTCCAAGAGTCATCCGTATCGTCCATCTCACCCTCGACCTCGACAATGTCAATATCCTCATCTTCCTCATTCTCCCAATGACTCACCTCCGTATCTGTTGCTACCTCGTCCGTGTCTTCCACATCTTCCCATTCGTTCACGTTCGTTTCTTTCAAATTCTTATTCCTGTCTGCCCTTTCTTTCGGAATCTTGTCCCGCACCTCTAGCGAGACCGAAAAGAGGCGAGGAAAAGGCGAGATTTACGAAAAGTAGACAGGAGATGTGGTCTTGATGCAAAACGAGGGTAATAGCGAACATGAGCAAGTTTGTGCGGTCAAAATTGGAGATATGCTCAATCTTCGAGGATGCACACCGACAAGCTTCGAGCAAATTAGACTTTAATATCCCTGCCTCCTACAAACCGATTTGCAACATACTCGACGTTCAACAATTGTCCTGTATAAAGAGTGTTGAGGAAAGAGGGTATCGTCTTCACAACTTCGGACCTGCACAAACAACAGAAAAAGCGATATGACAGGCGAATAGCTTTGAGACGATCAATCAGTATCTATAAAACACGAGAACATAATGGTTTTTCTACTTTGATTAATGTTGATGGGATGCATTGCTCCACACCACTCGACCATGCTCCGTGGCTTGTTCCCATTTCTTCTTCTCTGCGCACAGCCTTGCGTTACTTGCAGAGTGAGACTTGTCGGTAAGCAATGTACAATATTGTACCCAACACTAACACTGCCTGTATTCGCCAATCCATGGCCAGGTCGATGATCATGTATTCGTCGCAAAACGTGACATACACCAGCTTTGCGTTGTTCTTCAACTTGAGCTAATCGCGCCTGTCGTTAGTGACGAATTCAGAGAAGCGTCTTGAGGTGATACACTTACCGAGACTGGCGTGTCACTGTCAAGGATCTGAGAATGTGGGGTGTTATGCAGGGCTAATGTGTGGTCGCCGCATCTCTTGCGAAGCTTCTCTGTGAGGTCTCTGAACGGAGCGTTGGGGTGCATTCTCACGAGTATGCTCAAAGTTAGTCCTCCCTGATGTGAATGACGAAGTATTGCACCATTGTAGATACAGACATGCAGCTTCAAGGGAGCGGTTGCGGTCTGGGCAACTCCCATGCTGTTCCGTTCATCACTCGATTCGTTTGATACGGTCTGCCGACTGTAAGTTGATTGAATCTGTCGAAATGCTCTGTCCAACTTACCGAAGCAGGTGTGAGAACACCGGTCGATGAGTCTGAAGCATCGGACAGATCCCAAAACGTTGGCTGGTATGCCTGCATTGCATGTTCATACCGAAGACGCCATTTGATTTCTTTCGCTTTGAGCATCTCCTCCACAGCTTGTACCCGCTCTGTAAGAACCTTGTAGTGGTCATCCTTGTCCGAGGACTCTGGAGCACCTGCATTCTTGCTCACAGGTTCTGGAGTGCCTGTATCATGGTCATAGCACGTTCTATCTTTGAATCTCTGCAAGGCAGCCCTCTCGCGGTTGAGCTGCTTGTAATGTAAGTAGTTGGGGAAGCTCAACGGATCATGATATCCCGGCAGCATTTGTGAGATGTTTTTCGCAATCACGAAGAGTCTTTGTGAGATCGAGCCAAGCACAGGACTTATCTTCTGACACTCAATTTGATGTTTCGGGAGGAAGCGAAGGATCTCATCAATCATCCAGGACGTGATGGTCTCGTTGCTGAGTTTCTCATAACCCAGAGCCCTCAGGGTTTTGAACTCGTTCAAAGCGTATCCATCGGCTTCGAGCCTGTAGAGGCCTTCCTTGAGAGGGGTCTTGGAACGTCCGTCTACCTGTGCCCACGCTGCATCATCCTTGGGAGGGTCGTCGAAGAATTTTGTAATGGCTGAGGAGAAAGCCTCACGGAGTTCAGAAAGTTGCGGTTCCCGCATGGTAAAGTGCAAGTAGATATAGCGTCCCGGTGGAGCGCGAGCAGTCAGAGCGGTTTGAACAGTCGAAGCGTAATGGGATGCAGAATGAACCGGAGTGCCAGACCTTGTATTTTAATAATCTGAAAAGCGTGCAGTGACTAACAATCTTCATGTGAATCATCAAGTATCGATATGCACAGCGTGCTTTGAGCAAGTTTGAGACGAGCGAAGATGTATCTTGGTTCCCACCTCATGCTAACGGCTCACAGTCGACATATGTAACTTGCTCTCCACTTACTGGGAATTTGTTTCAGGGATTTTCTCTACTGGTGAGCTCCGAATCACAGTGATGACGATTGGCTTTGGCAGAAAGCTCTCAGTGTCTGAGCAGCTGACGCTTTGCGATACCATGAAATTGCTTCGAGCATTGTGGTGTTGTCTTTGATCCTAGCAGGAATGAGCGTTGACGTGAACTAAGGCTATGTCTGAGTGTGAATTGAGTGACGGTAAGAGACAATCGATGTTGATGATGAGGAAAGGCAGTCGGTCACATGACCAGCGCAGGATGATTGGCCAGGGCGTACGGATTAGGTAAGCGAGCTCTGAGCGCGCACCGACCGCATGTCAAATTGCGAAGCGAACATTTCTTGCGACTTCCTTTTCCTCACGACTTAGGACGACAACGACCCCGCTGTCTAGGTCGCCATCATGCAGATTTTCGTCAAGACCCTTACGGGCAAGACTATCACCCTCGAGGTGGAGTCGTCCGACACCATCGACAATGTCAAGTCCAAGATCCAGGGTGCGCATCTCTTTCCCCGCCGGCGCCTCGTCCATCGCCACCCACGACCGAGCGACAGAGGCTAACTGCAAAACACAGACAAGGAGGGTATCCCCCCGGACCAACAGCGCCTGATCTTCGCTGGCAAGCAGCTCGAGGATGGCCGCACCCTCTCCGACTACAACATCCAGAAGGAGAGCACTCTTCACCTCGTCCTCCGCCTCCGTGGTGGTGGTAAGAAGCGCAAGAAGAAGGTCTACACCACCCCCAAGAAGATCAAGCACAAGCGCAAGAAGAACAAGCTCGCCGTCCTCAAGTACTACAAGGTTGACGGTGACGGCAAGATTGAGCGTCTGCGCCGCGAGTGCCCCTCCGACACCGTAAGATCCCTCGCTCTCAGTCCATCTCAATCATCATACTAACAACCCTCGCAGTGCGGTGCCGGTATCTTCATGGCCGCCATGCACAACCGCCAGTACTGCGGTCGCTGCCACCTCACCTACGTCTTCGACGACCCCAAGTAAACGAGTCGCCGAGGCACGTGTTGATGACTTTTGTTCCTTTCTGCTAGCTATCACTAGTGTTTTGCAATAAAGTCGTTGTCCCGATCACTATACTTGTGCCTTTTGTCCCTGCTGTGACTTGTTTTTAATTACTCCTTTGTCAATGCTTCCTCTCCTTGCGGCTTGTCTTGTGATGAAAATCTTGGTATTTCGTATACCCTTCGACTAACTCCTAGCCATCGCAATGCATGTCATGTATTTACAAACACTTTTTCCTTCTACCCTCAACCACCACGGCCTTCTCGTCCACCATCAGCTTCTTGGTCTTGCCTGCCTCTAAGGAGTCGGCCCTTGACCCCACAAGATCGAGTTGAGCACGCTATAAGGCGAATACTCCTCATCAACCAACGCACTCGTGTTGGAAGGAAACACGCTCGAGTGATCCACCCCCGCCATACCAGGACTCTCGCTGCTATCCGCAACACTGCCACCAGAGGGCGCCAAGGCAATATCCTCGATAAACCTCGACGGCCTCGATTCTTGGATGTTCAGTTTCTTGAGTGCGGTGATGGCTCGTTCCATGGGTGCGGCCAGTTCTTGCGGGTCGAGTGCTGATTGCATGTCTGACATGAGCGCCACGAATCTGCCTAGGAGGCGGCGTGCGCGCTCGTTGTGGGCGTGTTCGCCCATGATGCCGAGGAGGAGTGCGGAACTCAGACTGCGGTGCACGGCAGCCCAGGATTGTCTTGCGTAAGGCGTGATGTTTTGCAGGCCCAGGAAAGCCTCGACTGTGCTGACCAAGCTATCGATGCATGTCTGCTTAAAGGCCTTGGAGAGCTCGTAGTTGGCTGTGCTGGGACTGATGGCTGGTCGACATAATTCGGACACTATGTACGACACGTGCAGGTACAGAGCCCAATGCTCGAGCGACTCTTCTACTGTTTTGCAAGTGCGTGAGTCACGCAAGTAATCAGCTGTACCTGCCATGATGTCATCGATCTCGTTTCTGTGGTTCGTGATCCTGGCGAACAGCTCACGCGAGCTCATGGTTTTCGTGCGGTCGCGAACAATTTCCAGACCGACCCTGCAGAGTCTGTACATGGCGAGGTGATAAGGTGGGATTTCAGTGTATGCGTCGGGTGCTGGCATACTTGACGGGTCGATATATGCGGTCGTCGCGGCTCGGTCGTATGTGATTGACAGTAGACTGTCCTGCCATACGATTGACCACCATACTTTGGATCGAATTGCTTTGGTCTCGATGTCTGCGGCAGGTGGACAGCTACGGTGTAAACCCAGACTCATTGCTAGTCTTAGCGTAAGTCCCATGAGAGACCATGAAGTGCCGGCGTTCATGTTGTTGGAAATAACCTGGAGACAAGTCAGATGCTGGTAGTTTGCTCATAAGCAAAGTAACATACATTTCCAAGAATCAACAGTGTTTGGATACTCTCTAATGTCACATGCGATAGGAAGTTGGTGAAGCGCAGACATTCGAAACTGCAACACACTGCTTGAGGTTAGTGTCCCGATCTTCCTAATGCACGATTTGGTTCACATACTGTAGACTTGAGAGGTCAATTCTCGTTCTTTCCTCGGCAGGCCAGAGCACTGGCAACCACTTGCCAGAACGGCGAACAGCAATCCCACCCACTCAAGATTCTTGTCGTAGATAGCCTGCTCATTTACTCCAGGAAGAGGACTGTCGGCAGGCAGAGATCCAGCTACACCCATCTGTTCGTTCCTCTTCTGCAGGAATCGCGTCAAGTCCATCTCGAACGTCGAAATGTCTGCAACACCTGGGAAAATGATGTTTCCAAGATTCTGATAGTATCGGAAGAAAGACAAACATTGGCTGTCGGTAGGTATCGTCTTGGCCAATTCTTGCGCGCGTGCGAGCGAGCCATGAGCCAGTCCCCAGAGATCCACAAACGGATACGTCGCTGTCTCGTTGTCCAGACCGAACATGGGAAGAATGGATCTGCCCAAGATTTCTTGAACCGAAGGCTGTTCGCGGTCACCTTGGCCCAAAGCCATGACAAGCGCGGGTACCGAGGATCCTCCAAGATGTACAGTTTGCCCAGTAAGATCATTGCGAGCGTGAAGTCCATGAACAGTGGTATGACGGGTGAATTGATTATTGATCCATGGCTGAGCAGTGTCCGTCTTCTGCGTAGTGCTTGATGGTGAAGAACGTCCAGAAGTGTGCTGAGCCGGTCTACTATTCCTACCCCTCATCTCCCTACGCATGTCTTCCAGCGCGTTTTCGACATTGTCAAGTTTGCGACAGAGATGATCAAAATCCGATCGTGAAAGCGTCACTGTGTTGGCACTCGATGCAGAAACTCCTCCGCTGGTACCCGCAGTAGGAAGCGGGAGAGTTGCCGAGGATGAGGAGGAAGTGTTCTGCTTCTTGCTAGGTGGATGGTAGTCGCACAATTCTGGATGTTCGCGCTCAACACAGGTGCGGCAGGGCCTGGCAAGATCACAGCGAACTTTTCGTTGTCGACACGGATAGCACGCCTTGTGTTCACGCGCCTTTCGTTTGCGACGCAAGAAGTCGTCCACCTCGGCTTTGGCAGGCACATCTGCTGGCGCTGGAGTCATATTTGACGCGCCCGTCTCCATTGCTGCGCGGATCCCTCTGTTCAATTATGTTTTGCGTGCGAAAGATGAGAAACACGAAAGACGGTTTTTGGTCGCGGGCTTACCGGCTCAGGTAGCCTGGCGGGCGGCGTTCCGATCAAGCCTGACGTGAAACCCGACAATCTCAGGCAGTAACCACACGAGTCAATATATCAAGGGTCGAGCTGCAAAAGACGCACGAAGTCTGGTAAAAGCTTGAGAAGTAAGGCATCCAACCACTGGTATGGATCTTGAGTGCCGAATACAACGACTTCTTTCTCGTCGGCCATGGTTAATAAAGAGTCTTGGCGAAGAGCAAATTGTGCTTTAGAACGCTCTGACTAAGAGCACTTCAAGTCACGATGGAACAGTACTATCAGCGAAACGCTGGATAGAGGTCAAAGAGGACAAAACCTCGATTCGAAAATCCCATGCTACATAGGGGGGGGGGGGGGTATCTTGCTAAATAAAAGTCCTAAACTAAAACAACCCATGAGGACTCCTGTACAATATGCATATGCAATACAAACATTGTCTACACGAGACACATGTCTCATCATGGCGACTTGCCGTTGACAATCATCGAGCCATTGGTGTCTGTTCTGTTGAACGAAGCCACGGATGTGATGGTCGAGGCGTGTCGCATGGCATGCTCGGCGCGTGCCTCCTCGTACTCTTTTCTGCTAATGCCGGCCGCTGGGCTAGCGAAGCCACTACCACCTCCTGCTGTTGCAGCAGAGCTACCAGCTGGAATCTCCTCCGCCATCCTCTCAGCCATATGAGCGTCGTATTCGCGCTCACGTGCTTGAATCGACTGGGGGTCGAGCTCGCGAGCAGTTGCAAGCAGATCGAGAGAGCCGTCGGATGCAGCGTCATCATCCTTGTCTCCTTCCTCGTCATCGTCATCATCACTATCGTCACTGCTCAGGTAGGGCATATCGATAGTTTGAGGTGCTGTGGCGGGAACGTCATGGACACGATCGAGGTCAGGCATGATTGATTGATAATCTTCGAACTCGGATTCATCGTCATCGTATTCGTCGATGTCCATGAAGCAAGAGGCAGGTGGCAGCTCAGAGGGAGGCAACTCTTGGTGAAAGGTGCTGACGACATCATCTTCGAACAGGATGGCCTTCTGTTTACGCTCCTTGAGAAGCCCAGCAATACGAGCAGAGTATGGCTTTTGTTGTCTGGGCTGCGCCATGGCGGCATGGTTGCGCTTACGCTCGGTCTTTACGTTGACCGAGAAGTTGTCTGAAGGGTAGATACCACCAATACCAGAAGCCTCTAGGTCGATCGGGTTTCTTGCTGGTCCAGATGCGCCAGTCGCATCAGACAACGGTGTGGTCCCCGGGAAGTTGATCTCAAGAGCTTCAGGTATCGGGTTGTCGTCAAGGCACATGGCTTCAGGAAGGTCCTTTGCCTCGTCGAGGGGACCACGAGACTCCATGACACCGGTAGCGCTTGCTTCAGAAGGTCTTGGAATACCGAGTGCATGCTCAGTGGTAGTGTGGTACAGGATGGGGTTGTACATCATGGCAGCTTCCGTCTTCGGCTCACCACTAAGATCGGTACAGAACTTTGCGTTGTTGTAGAAGATGATAGGGCCGTTGTCTGTCTTCTTCTTCTGTCTCAACGAGACAGTGCGAATACCAGAGCTGGTCATGGCCGAGGAATCTCCACCAGGAGGAGCCAAGAATTGAGAATCGGTTTCGTCTTCTTCGGAAGAGACATCACTGTCATCTTCACTAGTGCGGTGGAAGAAGAGAGGAGTGTAAGCGAATTTACTGTCCTGCTTTTCCATCGTTCTGCGCTTCTTGGCACCAGCGTTGTGATGAGACGATTTTGAGCGTTTCTGTGGGCTCGTGCCGTTAAAAGAGTTGCCATAGGTTGATGGTGAACTACCATCGGTATCGCTGGCTGATCTGGTGATGGTTCTACCACCCTTCCAGCGGACTTTGCGGCCGTCTTCTGAAAGCTCGAACTTTGTGCTGAAGTCAAGCAGGGCTTTCTTTGCAAACTCGGGAGTGACGTTCAGAGTATGAAGCTGGGCCATGTTGAAAAGGAAGTTCAAGTAGATCCAACCATGGCCTTCCTCATGAGCCTGCATAGTGGTAGGCTCAGGTGGCGAGAAGCCTAGATGGCGGATATATTGGAAGTTATCGCGAGGATTCTGGGCACGATGAGGATCGAGATCCAGAGGTCTTGTAGGTCGCTGCTGAGGTGAGAGGCCAGACTTTTGTTCCAGTTCGGTTCCTTGAGCGATTTCGGGACCGCTAGCATCCTCGGCACTTCGGTCCTCATCGTCCTTCATGATTGGGGCTTCTCTGATACCCTCTATCTTAGCAGTCTGACCGGTGGCTTCCAGAGCGCTTCTGTCTGCCTTGGCTGCCATTTGAGAAACCTCTTGTTGCTGAATAGGGTGGTGATGATCGCCGATACCAGCTCCGGTGCCGGCAAAGATCTGTTCCAGACGACGAACGACGAGCTTCTTTCTCGAGTACTCGGTCATGGCTGCTGGGTGTTGTGGCAGCAAGCCTTCTGGGATGTCGTGAAGATAGGTCTGAATGTTGCTGGTGCGGGCCTTGCTAGAGCGACGGTAAGGATGTCTACTTTGAAGACTGGTGGAGTTAGAAGTGCCGGATGCAGAGGCAGAGGCAGAGTTGGAAGCGTAAGCAGAGTCGGCGAAGTTTGATGATGATGAGGCGGTCTTGTGGGTCTTGAGTGTAGGGACGGCGCGGTCGTAAGGGTTGCTTGCTTGAGAAGCGGAGACGGCATTGGTCTGACCCGCAGCGCTCACAGCAAAGTTGCGAAGGATGTCTTCCAGCTCACGTCTCTTGGTCGACGACAGGCCATGGACGCGGACCTCGAACAATTTCTCGTCCTTCAAGTGGGCGTCGTGCAGCTTTTCATACTTCTTCAGACGTCTCTTGAGCTTCTTATTCTGAACGGTGAGATCGTCGATGACAGCACGGAAGTCTGAGCTACCACTGTCCTCGGTGTCATTCTTGCGCATCAGAGCGTGCATTGGGACTTGTTGTTCCAAGATTGCGCCCTGACCTCCATGATTCGGAGTCTCTTCCGAGGACGAGTGTTGGAGGAAGAATGGGGGTTCGTCTGGCGAGGAGGTTAGCCAACAGCGAGCTACAGAGATCAGAAGCATGAGGAAGACTCACTGTCGAGGGCTGAGATGTTTTTGCCATCGGCGTTGTTGTTGGCGCCGTCAAACCACTTGTCGGCATTGCTGCTCTCACCAGAGTCGGCCTTGCTGACGTTAGGCTTGTTACTTGACGGAGAGCCACTGGAGGCTTCGGTCTGTGAGCTTTTGGTGTTCTTTGGGGCAAGCGAGGCGTCGTTGTAGTGTCTGAGGGAGACGGAGCGCTGAGCTGGCGGCCTCCGGGGGTGAGGCGGGCGCAAGTAGGCTTCAGAAGCCATGGCGGCGAATGTGGAAGGGAGTCGATGTGACTGAATGTCTAAGTACCAGGCAGGATGGCGTAGGTCGAGATGGCTAGTGTCCAGAAAGGATTAGTGTCGTGTATGGGATAGGCGTATAGGTGTAGTGAAGCGACGTGAATGTTCAGGAGGACTGTAGGACTGTAGGAGGGACGAGGGGAATATCAGGGATTGTCGCATGGGGCGACGGAGGTGGATTCGAGGTCGATGGACATGTTCGCATCGAAACACTCACCTGTGATCAAGCAAGATGGCAGCCCGCAATTACAGATTCGCAAAAAGCAGATCGCCTTGGGCATCGCAGGTCGCGAGACGTATCGAGCGCCGATTCACAAGGGTGGGGGATCAGAGGCCGCAACTGTTCATGATTGACTCTGCAGGCAAGCGAGACACAATTTTGCGCCCATCGCCGTCGTTGCAACCAAATCGCCAGTCCATCCCGTGCTCTGTGCGGCCGACATGGCTTCGATCCTCAGGTACTGCAACCAAGTCCTGCGGATCGGCCGTTCTTCATTGGAGGCTCAATTCGTCACGCCGAACATTATGTCACCGGGACCCCTTCCCAGCACGCCCAGCACGCCCAAAGTCTAGACCGCCGCTGCAACCTCTCTCCTGCATTCTTCTCGTTTATGTTTTGCAAGTTTCCAGGCTCTTCGACTTCCCTTGTTGTGGCTGAATACTTGCGAGATCTGTAAAAACGAGTTGCGCAAACCCACCGTCGGTCGCTTTTGACTTGTTTGTGAAACGGCAGTTTGCCTCCTCCCATCTTTGCTTGTTGTTCGGCCAAGCAAGCCGAATCGCCGATGACTCTACACCTGTAACCCCATTCATCATGTCGGTCGATTCCCATCCGGACATCTGATGTCTTTAGTCGATCTCGATTTAGAGGCCGGCTGACGAGCCGCCTATTGTTCTATCATGATCTCGCCCCGTCTGCTTTCGTTATCGTTTAGCTCCCATCTATAAGCCTATTGCGCTCACGTTAGCGGAAACAATCAGCTTGCAGAAACAGTTGTTCCGACGCTTAATCATCCCACAAAGTCGCGCTTGATTCTGTGCTCTACGAACTGCTTTTCAGTGCTTGTCTTGTAGCCGCACTGCGTCCAAACCTTCTACATGTGTTCCATCAATTTGCCGATGCCTCCCATATCTCCGATATATATCTAGATATCAAACCACGGGTCTGTGTACACATGTAACAAGCCGAGATTCTAAGAGTGCTCTAGAGCAGTAGACGCTCTGTTGGCCATGTCTCAGATTGCCAACTTGGACTCGGAAAGAAGCTCCGAGGTTCGCTGTGGTTGGTTGATTCTCGAATCCCACCAGCCGCAACTAGTGTGAGGGAGAACTCTTCACCATTCACCATCGGCAGTCCAATATCATTCGTGTGATACTGCGAACAACAATGCTCCGATCATCGAAGAGAGCCTGCCTGTTGCTTACAACTGCTTACGCGCCAATGTCAGCGCCAGGTGTGGGAGGAGAGCTTGCGAATCGCAAATCGGAAATCGATGCTCTCGAGCTCTGCAGAATGGCATGGCGACCCAATCTGTTGACCAAATCCCAGAGAGTGTTTTTCGATTGGTGGCAGTTTCCATGAGCATCCAAGTAGGTAAGCTTCGACAATCAAAACAGTCGGGATCAAACGCCAGTCCATGTCTGCCTCTCATAATCTTTGCCAGAGTTTCTTGCGCCAGAAACACAATCGACTACATTACTATTTCATATCACGACGACTACAAGAAATCCCCGATGTGTATGCGCCATGCATGCCAGTCTCATATCTCATCCCGCAAACAACATGGAGTGGTCGCACGAACCCTAAGCCTTTGAACCCCATACCACGGTCCACGTTTTCTCAGATCGGTCGATTGTGATTGAGATGCTGCAATCTAGGCCACTGTAGTCTCACACGATTCCATACAAACGCTGGATGCCGGCGTCGGGCGTTGACGAATCGTTTTTTGACAGGCCACTGCCCAAAAGCCTTCTCCAATTATGTTTGTGTGGCTTGAGGCACGGCGGACGCATCACCGCCTGCTCGATGGTCGTCGTCGATGGGTTGGCGATGTCCACCGAACATCGCTTTCTCTTATACACTAGGGCTTCTCCGCACTTTCATCTGGTAGAGTGCGGCTCAGTATGGAGCGATGTTGCTTACAACCCGTTAGCCATCAGCAGCAATTCTATGCTATGGTACGTCAACAATCTTCAATGTCGTCGTTGTTCTTCGGAGTAACCCCCGCATCGACAACCTGTCAACCGCAGCATTCCAAGTTTGGCACGCATCGGCGATTTTCTGCATCTGACGTCGATCAAGGGTTTGGCTTCTTCGATTCCTTTTTCCTCTTGCTTTGCGATTTCTCGATTCTTCGCTGCCTCCTCGTCATCACTCGTCATGGATTAAACGTTCACAGTCGCTTTTCGCTGCATTCAGCATTCGGACCACACTCCTGGATTCTCCCAGTCAAGTCATCGTCGAGACAACGACAACACTTCCAATCGACTCGAAATCTTCGATTTGGTATATCACGCTACTGTCTCCACTCACCTTGGACAAGCCAACGAGCAGGATACAAATCGAGATTGAACAATCGACCGATAACACCTCGATGCTCGGGCGTACTTGCGACCTCATCAATCTTCAATTTAGCAAACGGATTCAAGCGATCATGAGAACCATTCGAACTAGGGATGTTCTCATGTTCACCATGTGACTTGTAGATATGTGCGCTGGTATCAAGGGGTCAACTCCGCGCGAGTAGGACGTTCAGACGGTCGACTATATTTGGCAAGTCGTCGATGCCTCTCGATTTCCATTCGATGGTCTCTCGATGCCCTTCTAGGTCTCGATGCTTGACCAGAGACTGTCGACGGCGTCATCTGCCCCCTCTATTCAAAGGCAAGTCTAAAGTGTGCTTCAGATCCTCCTCACCAGAGGAACAATCCGGAGCTCTGCTCCTTGTATCGTTTCGCTACGTCAGAAGAGACGAGCATTCGACGTGCTTCTCTCATCTCATTGCAGGGCAAAGCAGCAGAGCGCTTCTCCCTCTCTCGCTACTCGAGAATCGCGAGTTCCTTTGCCCCCATTCTCAAAGAATCGCTAATCGCTAATCGCAAATCGAGGATCGCAAATCGGAAAATCGGGTCAATACTGCGATGCCTCCTCTGTCACAGGCAGTCCAAGCCCTACTCGCCAGATCACAGAAAACAAGGCATATCTCAGTACCAAGCAAAGGTCTCCGTTGCACGAATCCCAAACGTTCATTTCGACCTGGAATCAACCCATCTCGGATTGTCTGAGAAGATTGCTAAGCAGAGGTATGTGCGGAACGTTTGGGATTCTGTTATGTGGCGTGATATGGCTGTGTTGATATCGCTCCTCGTTGTCGTGTTCGGGTATTTTGACCTTGTGGTTGGGAACCTGCCTGTATTGGAGCCCGGAACTCATCACCCACCGTCTCGACTACAGATAGTTGAGATCAATGCCATAGCCATGGTGTCCGACTAAACATTCGGGCCTCATACGCGAGCAAGCTCGAGCGTCGGAGTACGAGGTTCAGTTGGAAGGAATGGCTAGTCGTATCCAGACAGTAGATGAGTCCGTACTATACGATTTGCAGGTGGACACTGCCGACTCTGCTATAGAACCTGTGTGCATTTTGATACCTCACTCGCGTGACATACTTTTGAGCGTGGTTAAGAGGCAGCACAGGGTCGCCCTGCCGGCATGAAGTCGCGAACTTATATCGACGATAACATGGGTTGCATTCTGTCTGACCTCTTTGACTATCACTTGGGTGAGATGGATACTTCAAGTTTCGTATGTGAAGGTGGAATGTGATGTATCCTTCATCTACAGAATTTGTTTGATTGAAGTCAGGCGTGAGAATTTCCGTACACAATGTCCTGTGAGTACACCGTGTGAATTACATATGTATCCCAACGAAGCAGCGAGTATATGTTCAGTCGCGATACTTATCGAGCACTATTACATTATCGAAACGCAAGATGCAAAGTCCTCTAATCGGGAGACATTACCAATACCATACCCTCGTGAGTGATTTGACTCCTGACCTGCTTATTGCTGACATTCCTACATTCGAGAAGAAGCGATCATAAAATCTGTGGCTATTTGTGGCATAGAAGAGGGGATCGTCAGACCGATTAATCATTATAGTGATATTCGAGTTGTCTGCCAAACTCAGACCACGAGATGCGCAACACTTTCTAAGCCTCCTTGACAATTTCATCCTCGACCTTGGCCTTCTTGCTTGATGCTTCCTGAGTTGCCTCATCTTCCAGCTTTCTCTTGCTTGCCGGACCGGCAGCAGCGGCGGCAGGCTTCTTCTTCTTGACCAAACCGCTGAGGTCATTGGCATTTGCTGTTGCTTCGGCAATACGCTGTTTCTGATCGGTAGGAGTTTCGCCCAACATGCCACCTAGAATGCCACGAAGAGGGTTCTCAGCAGCTGCCACAGGTGTCTTGAGGTCGATGAGGCGCTGCTGCATTTCGGACATCATTTCCTTGACGTCCTTGATTTCCTTCTTCTTTGCTTCTTGCTTGTCGGCTGGCTGAGACGAGAGATCGGATTCCTCCTTCTCGACCCGTAGGCGGCAGGACTCGATGGCTGATTCCATGTGTGTGACTGCTTCCTTGCGCAGGTCTTCGTCGACGGTTTCCTCCTTTTGAGCGCCTTGTTCGACGGCCTCTGCATTTGTTGTAGTGACTGAAGCGAATTCCATGGCAAGCGCCAGCTTGAAGTGTGCTTCTGCGAGAAGGCTAGACTCCAAGGGATACAGCTTCTGCTTCAATTCGAGTGCTGAGCGACCTTCTGCGACGGCTTCGGGGAAGTTCTCGTTCTCCATGGAAAGTTCGGCTTGGAGGTCGTGCGTGTCGGCTAGGCGATCCATGACTGTTCGTGCCTCGGGGTTCTCGACTAGTGTAGCCTTCTCTTTGCCCTTGCCGTCGAGGTGTTGAGGTATCGTGTCGAGCTTGCGGGTGAGAAGGACGCGTGCGATGTCGAGGATCTCGTATGCGATAGCAAAGTCATCGTCTTCCTCGTCTTCCTCTCCATCGTCTTCTGCATCGTCACCTTCATCCTCGCTGTCTGTCCAGTTCTCATCGCCAGTGATCTGGAAGAAAGGCTTGTTCGCTGTCTCGGAGTCCTTCTTTGTAGCGCTTCGGTCCTTCTCATCTACGACAGCCTCGACGACCTCCTCAGCCATCTTCTGCTCGCCGTCTTCGAGGACATCGGAGGTTGCAGCGGCGGACTTTGTCTTGCGTTTCTTCTTCTGAGGCTCTCCACTGCCAGCGACCTTGTTACCGAGCACATCACTCTTGCTGACAGCGAGGTGGTACAGACAGCGGCCGTATTGGTAGAGCAGATCGGCGTTGGCCAAAGACATTTCTCCGTTCAGAAGCTCCTGTAGCTCCGAGGCTTGCGAGTAGAAGTCCGAGGCGGCGGCATAGTTCTTGAGTGCATACTCCTTAGTGGCGGCGGCTTGTAGTCTGGCGAGGTTTGCTTGTGCTTCTTCTCTGTCCTCGATCTGAGGAGCTTGGTCTTCGGCGAGCGTGTCGAGCGGCTGTTGTTCGGGTATCGACATGATGATGTGTTATACGATGATTTGATGAGGCGTATGTGATAAGAGCCGGTTCGCAGAGATGGTGAGAATGACCAGCAGCAAACAATTGTAAAGTTGGACAAATGTTTGTGAAGGTTGCTCGGCCAATCACATGAAGATTGAGTGAAGAAGCACGCGCGCCTGCCGCGTCTCGTTCGCGGACCACTTTAGGAAGTCGCGTCAACCACCAACTCGGTCAACAAGACAAGAAGTTAACCACTCACAAAAATGGCAGCTGCCTTTCGTCTTCAGGAAAACGCCATTCCTTCGTCAAGTCCTGCCTTTGGAACGCCCGTCCATCCCATCAATCCTCGAGACAAACGACCTTCGATTCCTCCACCAGCCTTCAAGCCTTCTATACCTACTATCTTACCAATCCTCCTTCCACCAGCCAGTCTACGACCTCTGGCATTCCGGACTTTCACCAAGAAGCACAATCTCACTCTCAGCTCCCCTGCTCTACAATCACTAGCCACATTTATCGGCAAACACTGCGGGTCTGCATGGCGTGAACGAGGAACAGCAGAGGGCGTCCTCGAGGAAGTCGCAAAAGCCTGGAAGAAGAGTGGCGGCAGCTTGATCGTCAATCATGGCTCTCTACTCAACAACATCTTGAAGACAATCGGCAGTCTTATGACTGGTGGCAAGATCACTCAAACAAAATCAAATTTGTCCAGACAATCGAGTTTCGCCTTTGCTGGAGAGAGTCAGGAGTCGAGGCGATCCAGTCTGGCCGAAGTTTCCTTTCAATCACAGCATCTTGGAGACGATAATGATGATGATGCAGAGAACCAAGACCCTCGAGCATGGATCAAGGTTGTCAGTGCCAACGATCAGCCAAGACTAAGCTACAATGTCCACAAGAAGCATTTTGAGAAGATCACTTCAAAGTCCACCCTTCTTCCTTCACCGACTCACCGTACACAGCTCTTCCGCGATCGTTTCAACCTCATTCATCAACGTCTGATGCGAAATGAAGCCTTCCAAGCTCCCTCGGTGGCCAACACTCGGTCTCTCAAACGTCAAGATTCAACGTCGATACAGCAGTTCTACAAGATTACCCCTATTGCAAACCTCTTGGGTAGGAATGCCAGCAACCATGTATTGCTCGGCATGTTGGTCATCACTCCTACCGGTACCCTTGCACTGAATGACCTGACCGGAAGCATCACTCTGGACCTCCAGCATGCAAAGCCTCTACAAGGCCTCGACTCATCATGGTTCTGCCCCGGCATGATTGTCCTGGTCGAAGGTGTGTACGAAGAAGAGTATTCAGGAGCCGGTGCTAGTGGCCTCGGTGCTGCCACTGGTGTTGGTGGCACCATTGGAGGCAAGTTCATTGGCTTCAGCATCGGCGGGCCTCCATCTGAAAAGCGTAACGCAACACTGGGCATTGCAGACTCGTCCAAACAACAACCAGATGTCGGCCTTGGAGGTGGTTTCGGCTGGACTGACTTCCTCGGCTTGGGTAGTGAGAAGGTCATGGGAGCAAAGATGCGCAAGCTCGAGAAGCGCCTTCTCGCACCTACAGAGGTGCAGGCCTCTCAGCAACGTAAAATGGTCATTTTAGGTGAAGTCAACCTCGACGATCCGTCATCACTCGAGGCTCTGCGTGCCGTCCTGCGTGTCTACGCTGCAGAAGATGAACTGACGCCTTTATGTTTCATGCTTCTGGGCAACTTCGTCAGCCATCCTGTTATGGCTGGTGGTGGTAGTGGTGGCAGCATCGAGTACAAAGAGTACTTCAACGATCTCGCCACTGTCCTCTCAGATTTCCCTGTGCTTCTACGAACAGCAACCTGGGTCTTTGTGCCCGGCGACAACGATCCTTGGGCTTCTGCCTTCAGTGCCGGAGCCAGCAACCCTGTTCCACGTCCGCCCATCCCTGGTCTCTTTACTAGCCGCGTCAAGCGTGCTTTCGCTACTGCCAAATCAGAGGCACCCTTACCAAAGCCAGACAACAACAATCTACCAGTCGAACCGATATGGACGTCGAATCCAGCCAGAGTATCCATCTTCGGTCCCGCCCACGAAATTACAGTTTTCCGCGACGACATTTCCAACCGTCTGCGCCGTAACGCAATAACCTTTGGCAAAGCTACCGCCGCAGAAGACGGAGACGACGACATACTCGACTCGGAACCAGGAGAAATTCCTACACCCACACAAATCGCGCGTAAACTTGTCCTCTCCTTGCTACCACAGTCAAATCTTTCACCCTTCCCACTGTCAACGCGTCCGGTGCTATGGGACCAAGGCAGTGCGATGAGCTTGTACCCTCTACCGCACACTCTGGTCTTGGCCGATGCTGAGGCACCGGCATTTGCAGTCACGTTTGAGGGCTGTCATGTGTTGAATCCTGGACGGTTGTGTAGGGATGAAGGAAGAGGTAGACGTGTTGCTTGGATTGAATATGATTGTTGGGCGAAGAGAGGTGAGGTCAAGGAGATTTGGTCGTCGTAAGGCTGGGGAGGACAAGTCAGAGGATTGTTGCATAGCGGTTGAGTTATGGAGGGTGATTGTCACTGAGTAGCGTACAACATCTGTAGAGCCAACAAAAGGATCACAATTGAGCAAAAACCTCTTGCATTTTGTCAAACATGATGTGAATATTGCCAAAGCCGATGTAAACCAACAATCAATGGAGTTTAGATCTTGTAGCATGAAATAGTACCACTGCAATATCACAAGGCAAAAACTTTTTCTGGTGAACAAAACAAGCAGTCTAAAGCCAATCCAACTGTGACCTTCTTAGCGAGCAGAAGCGGTGGTAGCAACAGGCGCAACACCATCGCTGCACACACAAGCAGTACTACTAGCCAACGGAGGCCCATTAGTACACCTAAAAGCAAGGGTACAGTTAGCATGTTTCTTATGTCAAGGTAATGAAGGTACAGACGAAAGTCGAAAAGCCATCTGGTGGCTTTTGACCCCTACTATCTGTACCCTTGCCTTACGTACCAAGCACCCGCATCCCAAGGCACAGTCGTGGTCGTCGCACCCTCCGCCACCTTAACCCTCTCAGCCCTGACCAACACCGGAATCACCGCTCCAGTCACCAGACTGAAACTTCTGTGTCCAAGCACACGCAACAAACTGCTAGTTTCTCCCGAGTGAGTGGTGATGGAAATGACTTGTGCATCGTCAGAGGCGAAGATTTGATCGAGGGCGATTTTGGAGCGGTAGTCTTGGGCCGAGGAGGATTCTTCAGTGATGCCGTTCCAGAGGTCGTCGGTTTCTGAGAATGTGGGTTCGATGTGCCAGGACGGGAAGAGGGATTTGATGTATGTGGCGTTTCCACGGTGATCGCAGGTATGCGTGCTGATGCCTTCTCTGATGTACTCCTTGATCGTAGGGACAAAGTTATCCAAACCCAAGCCATTGAAAGTCAAGTTTGCGGTCTTCAAGCAGCGGGTCAGGGGAGATACGTAGAACGACTCGGGAGTCTGGATCTTCTGAGCGGAAATCTCGTGGGACCAGAAAGTGTTGGCTTTGAGGGCTTGGGCAACGCCGTTAGGGGTGAGATCGGCGTCTTGCCAGCTGTTGGTACTGTTGCCGGTTTGCTGGCTCCAGTAACAGTTCCAGGCGGGTGTGCCGTAGTATGTTTGGGCTGCGTTGTGGTAGCCTTCGCCGTGGCGGCCGATGAAAAGGAGTTTGTAGGCAGTGTTGGCGGCGGCATCGCTGTTGAGGTGCTTCAAGAGAGTGTTGAAGCGTTGCCATTGGGTCATTTGGCTGGTGGAGCTGGAGTCGGTAGAGTAGGTCTGGTTGATGAGACCGAAGTTCGTTGCAGTCTAAAGTCGTTAGCAAAGGGAAATAGTCTATTTCTTCCAATCAGAACTCACGTAGTCAAAAGTGCTAGGGACGGTACTGTCGAGATCCTGGAGGAAGTAGCCGGCAACATTGGTGTAGTTGATGTACTCCTTGCCTTGGTCGACAGTGGGAAGAGAAGCAGTCACTGGTGCAGTGGAGGCAGTGGGCTCAGAATATGTAGGAGCGACAGTCACACTGTAAGAAGTGCTATGAGAGGTACTGTGGGAAGTGCTGAAAGAAGTGCTGAACGAAGTACTCGATGAAGCACTGCTGGACGAGCTAGAAGGGGCGTCCTTGATCTTGCGTGCACCTCTGATACCCTTGTTAGAAAGAGGCTTGTTGAGCTTCGACTTCATGTAACAAGCAGTACCAGACATGCTGATATCAATGCATCCCTCAGTAGCATCGCATGCATTGATGCAGTCGGCGATTCTGTTGCTGGCAATGTTGACAGACTTCAAGTCTCCGCCTGCATAGTCGATCCCACATTCGATAACGAAAGTGGCTCCACTCTTAGCAATGAAGATGTCGTTGTCGGCCTTTGGGCACGTAGGGCTATTGGTGGTAGGCTGAACCGAAAAGCCTGTCGCAGAAGCAATCGAATCCGAAGTGCTGGAGCTTGTGCTGATGGCTTTGGCATCGCTCAGTGCAAGTAACGAGATGGCGACAGAGGCCAGAGAGATGGATGTGTGCACCATATCGATTTGTGTGATGAGAAGACGAATGCCACCTACCTGTAAATTCGTCGGGGCCAACGAAGCTAGATATACCTTGCCATTGTGCCTGGAAAAGGGGATGGAAGAAGATGGCTTTGAGCAATTCAAACAGCATAGCGAATAACATGATGTTCAGGAGACACGCTATGTTCGCGTGTCCACCTCTTGCCGTCCCACGTCGTGGTAGATTCACCAAGTTCTCGGGTAAGGTCAAGTTGAGGGAGGAGGGCGGGCAGTGCGGAGTGGTTCGAAGTTGCCACGGTCCAATCACAAGCCCCACGTGCCCGCATACCATCTTCTTCAAGACAACCAACCATCGCGGCATCGAAGCCTCGGACCCGCATCCAATCTAGAATATCGTATCGTTCGGCAGAAGCAGGCATAGAAGGCGATCACAAAGACCCATACTTAACAGCCGAAAGCATAACACGCGTGAAAAATTGTAGGAGTCTCGTTCATGATAATATCATTGATAGACCACGTGAAAAGTTCGGGTTCTTGTTCAACTCCTGGCTCCTCAACGGCTAATTGGTATCTGCTATACTCTGCTAGCTTGAGGGTTTCTATCGCTTCAAGTCGCGCCCAAAGAACGGCAACGATAACAAAAAAATGATGAACACGAAGTGAAGAAGAATGTGCGCCCAGGCTGACCGCAGTATGTTCAGTCTCACCTCTAGGAAGCTGGACAGGAGTGCAAGGCTGCAATGTAAGTTTGGTAGGCAATCGGGAACCAATACATGCTCAGTCAAGAGTGTAGTTGTGGCGAGTGCGCTCAGCATCTTTACGCATGGTTTGACCAGAGCCAGTGAAGCCCACTACACAGATTTAGCAGACGGTCAAATGACAAGACGTAGATCACACATACCTCTGGCGGAAGGAGCTTCACCAGTGCGGAACATGCTCTCTTTCTGGACGACCTTGGCGGCTTTACCGGTAGAGGCTTTGGATTGCCAGGACTTCCAATTACTCTTACTGCTCTCAAGTGCCTTGGAGGTCTTCACCTTCTTCGGGGGCTTTCTGTCGCTGTCAAGCGGCTTGATCTGATCCTTCTTTGCGGCGCTTGCTAGGGCAGGATTGATGTTGGCCTCGGCAGAGATGACGCCAGGAATAGGAGTGCTGACTGTAGGCGTGGACGGAATGGAGACTGCAGGAGAGCCATCAGCCTTGCGCTTCTGAGAGGTTGAAGGCGCCGCCGAGGGGAGAGGGCGCAGATGTTCTTGTCGTAGGGTTTCTGAGCCCGTGTAGCCCTTGAAGTTGACAGTGTAGATCGGGGCGGCCGAAGAGCCGGTGACAGAGATGATGCGGGCTTCGTAAAACTGCTTGTCGCCTGCGTATTTTGCCAGCACTGTATCGTTGACCTTGAACGAAACAGGGGCTTTCTTCTCTTCAACTGCCGGCGCAGTGGTCGCCGGCTGCTTGCGGTATGCCGGGTGATTCTCTTTGCTCCATTTCTCGCTGGACGAGGCTGCTTCTGGTTTGCTGGCGGAAGGTTCAGGGTTTAGTGCGGCGATTCTGCTGTCGACGTCTTGAAGCAGACCGACAATCTCTGCTTTCATGGCGAGGGCATCCTCCAGGTCAGGCACCTCGGCGAGCATCTGCTCGACTTCGACAAGCTACCGACATAAGTTAGAGCAGTCCCCGGATATACACTAGCATCAACGACTTACATTGCGCTCATAGTCGGCGCGTTCGGACTGTAGCTGGGTGAGACTCATGGTGAGTTCAGTAGAGTTCTGTTCGTTGGTCGTTAAGGGGTGGTACCAATCTGCCTTGAATTTTTCTTTGGACCCGGCGATGTATGAGTCTCAACAGCACTTTCACTCGCTGCGATACGCTTCAGTTTAATCGAGTTGCAAGTTTGTCACGGTCGATGGACTCGCGGGCGCAAAAGGTGGAGCGGCAATGACGATTCGGCGCACGGGCCTCTCGGCTATGCTTCCCGCGATGCTTTCTGCAAACTTGTCACCTTCTGTTACTCTCTCTGCTCTTCACTCCTCCACTATAGGAACATCGCATATTTTTTGGAAATATTATTCTGGATCATACGTATGCATACGTTGAGTATGCTGCTAACCTGCTTAGAAAACACAACCTTGACGCCTGCCCTCCTACCATGCCATATGCCAACTCGATGCCGACAATACCATGCCCAACAATTTGTTTGATGCCTGCCAATCCCAATGCCCAAACGCCATGCCATCATTCAGACTCCCAAGGACCTGCTTGAGACTCTTCACAAAAGATACGCCATATCCCAGATCGACTGCCTGTTCCACTGCTTGATGCCCATATCCTTCACCAATTTGTTCATTCTCATCTCGAGCGCCTCACCGAGTCTTTCCGCGTACTTGTCTGACCGTCCACTCGTGTCGACACGGATGTATTCGATCTCGTAGCCACTGTCTTGTTTCGCAGAGTACCGCAGACGGAAGCAAGCACTCGCATCGCGATGCCATTCGTTGTATGCATCTTTGTACACCCCACGTGCGATCTGCACAAGCACCACTGTCTTGATCTTTGCAATTCTTTCGCTGCTCATGTTGTCCAGCCATCTGGGAACTCCGGTGTTGAAAGAGTTGTAAGGGTATACGACGGGTGCATCGACGATCGGCCGGGGATGGAAGTTGAGCGAGTCGCGACGCCTGACCACAAAGTCGTTCTTCTGGTAGAAGATGGGTTGTCCTTCAAAGCGCGCTAGCCTGCAGCTTCGCAGAAATGCTGGCTCCTTGGCCGAATCCTGACTTGCATGACGACTTGTACTCTTGCCCATGACTGCTGATACGCCATCGTTGACGCAGGCCATGCCATAAATCATTTCGCGAAGTTCGAAGGGAAGTTGAAAGATGCGACACTGTTGTTGTGTATGAACAGGATATTCGTCGATGGTAGGCAGTAGTTCCGCTGTCGTGCCAGTGACGGCATCAAACGGGTCTGATACAACGGTAGGTGCTGGCGAGGGAGAGGACATTCTCTGGCGTTTGTATCTCGCACCCTCATCTTCAAAGTTAGCTGCTCCTGGAGCAGCAGTCATCTTGGCTAGCATTTGGGCATGAAGGGGCTGGGGAAAAGAGAGGACATGCATTGCATCGTGCTGGTCACACGGTCGCATTAAAATACTTCCCCTCAATGACCGAAGACGTCCTTGGCAGGGACTATGGGCTCAAAGGGTGCTTATTCCTTGCGCCAATTTGCCATCGTTATCTAGGCAAACAGAAGGGAGTCATGGGCCGGGCGATGATCCAGAAGTGATAATTCAAACGCGCGGTCCGGAATAGAGGGGTTATGCATAGTGATCAGCTCCGTCAGCTGGCGAAGTGCGGTCAACGAAGCCGAAGGCCGTCTCGGAAGCATGCCTGAAAGTTATGGTACATGTCTGAAAGTGATGCAAACGACGCCCGATAAGCATGGCTAGGGTCGACGAGTTCCGTATCAGGCAGTGCCTCCTTGCTGGTGGCGGCGCATCACCGATAGTCCTAAGCTCGCTATTCAGAGCGGAGATAAGGAAGATAGGCCTGGAAGGAAAGTTCAAGGGTCCAAAATTGTTTAACCAAAGCTGGTCAAACATCGTCGATGCGGGGAACGTGCGGTGGATCCGACTGGACAAACACGACTCGGGCCTTCGTGTCAACCACAGGCTGAAGCTTGGAGAAACATCGCAGGGGGCACGTCTTGCCTCGTGATTCTCAGGTTATCAAACTTAGCATACCGCACTGTCGCCGACCCTGACTCCATGAGCAATTGCACGTTAGCGAAGTCGGAATCACAAAAGTCTGGACTAGAAACGAATATGCCGGTGGTCCGAGACGCGCAGAGTGCACAGGATACACGTCTTTTCGTGCCTCTGGCACAGTGACTCAGGCGGGTTATCCTTGTTAAACGAGGGAGGGCTCTGTGATCCGTATGGTGAAGGAGGCACAGAAGTCCATCATACGACACATGTGAGTAATTGACTGATCAGCCCCATGTTAGATCATGTACCTGCCACTTGGGGTTTCCCGAAGCAGTCAGGTGCTGTATTGCAGCCAAAGCACGAATAAAAGCCCATTACGTCCTCTTGGACGCGGTGATGTGTGCAACCAGTCATGGGTCGAAAGAGGTTCTGGTTTCACACTCGGAGTAGTCTGAAAAGAGTCCGAGACACAGACATTCTGGATTTGTATTGCTTTGCGAAAGGTCTAGGAACAATAATGAGGACAGGGTCGCAACAGTACCAGCGGGAGGAAGCAAAGCATCAAGATCAGGCAGATAGGAGGACGAAGAAAAAGAAGACAGAAAAACAAAAATACGGACGGGTAGGGCAAGCTTCGAAGGCGGAGTCCGAGGACGCGGAGTAGAAGGCCGTGGAAGAGACTAGTGCACACGTGCATGCATGGGATGGAGGAAAGTGCGTCCGAGCAGCCATGCGACTAGAAGAGGGTGGTGAACGAGAGGTTGTCTACGTGACACAAGTCGCAGATGAATGGCGAAAGCAGAGTAGACGTGAGTAGAGCGGAGGTAGGTCTATGATATGGGTGGTGGAGCAGGTGTCGAAGGGCGGAGAGTTTTGGGCGAGTCTGGGCAAGGACATCGGATTTCTAAGCAACGCGCTCCTGGGTCAGAGTCTGGTGGCGGTAAGAGCCGGGGCAACTGACAAGGGCGCTGGCTGCCTGCGGTGTCCACCTTTGCTCTCCTGCCTAGTCTCTGCCCCTCAACGCTTACTGCTGATTCTGATCTTGCGACCCGACGTTATTCGCATCTTTTCCTGCAAACAATTCGACCCAAGACCGTCCTTTGCGAAAGCCTGGACGACCAACGGACCCACATCGCCCTGGATTCATAGCTGCATCATCTCAAACTCAAAGCCTCTTGCCTGTCCGCTGGGTTGGCCGACTCCCCAGCCTCCGCTCTTCTTCGACAATTCCTGGTCGTATTTGTTGCTTTCTGCTAGACCGACCACAATCGTATTTGCGCCAAACAAGTTTGATCGATAGCAATTGCATTCGATCGTCCTCTCCGCTCTGGTACCAATCGTACGACTGTGTCAGAAATGGCGGGGCAGACGACCGGCAACCAGCCCTTCAATCCATACCTCTCCAACGCACAACAAGAACTCCTCCTTGCCGCATTGGCTTCAAACAACCCATCCGCCAACCGCGACAGCTCAAAGCCTCCCGTCGACATGAATCCTCTCGATTTCGACGACACCAGCCCGTATCTGGATTATCTGGATGGAGACACTAGCTTCGACTTCGACGCTTCCGATCTGGGCGGTCAACACATGTTCGAAAACATGGGCAGCAATGCTAGTAACAAGTCTGACTCGACCGATGGTGATAAGCCCGACAAGCGCAAGAGCCCAGAGGATGATTCGCCCGAGGACGAAGTCGACGCCAAAAGAAGAGAAGGTGAACCAAAGGAGGCCAAAAAGCCTGGCAGAAAACCCTTGACCTCGGAGCCTACTACTGTAAGTAAATCGTCGTGCACTGCTCCAGTGCCATGGAGCTGACTTGTGCAAAAAGAAACGCAAGGCTCAGAACAGAGCTGCCCAACGTGCTTTCAGGGAACGCAAGGAGAAGCATCTAAAAGACCTTGAGACCAAGGTAGAGGCTCTCAGCAAAGCTCAAGAACAGGACAAGCATGAGAATGGCATTCTTCGTGCACAGGTCCAACGTCTTCAGTCCGAGCTCGGCGAGTACAAGAAGAGAATATCTTATGGCAGTGGAGGCATCGCTGCGAACTCACCTCCTTCGGCCCCTCGTGCTGGATCAAGAAGCAACAGCAATTCTCAAACCGACTTCCAGTTCGACTTCCCCAAGTTTGGTGCGCTTCCTGGCAACCAATTGTTTGGCAACAACATTCAATCCAACCGCGAGAAGACTGTTAGCCCCTCTACTGGCCCCAATGCCACCCTGCCAAGAACAAACAGCATGGGTAGAAACCCAAGTCCTGGAACCCAAGTCAGCAACAACCAGATGAGCTCAGGTAACAACTCTAGAAGCGGTAGCATGAACAAGGGAACCAATAGCCCTCTTGCTCAAGTCTCGGCCATTGGCACCACTTACGCCGACCTCTTCAGTCCCTCTGCTCTTGGAAGCCTCAATAATGACTTCTTGATGCAAAACACGAACAACAACGATGGCCAAGCCTTTGCTCAATACGCCGACAATGGCACTGACAGTACTAGTGGCATCTCCAGAGTCTTCAGATTCAACAGTGGCTCTGCTTCTGCTTCTGCTTCTGGAACAAATTCCAACCAGTCCCCCTCGGTTCCCGCACTCACACACTGCAATACCTCTTCTTGCGGCACCTCTCCCGAATCCTCAAACTCTCCTCCGTCCGATATCAACAAGTCGGGCATCAACGACTTCAACGACATTTACTCTTTCAAGCCTGCCAACTCTAACAACACTCAAAGTAAGCCAGAAGCGATTGCAATCGGTGGACTCGTATCTAACATCGATCTAGAATCAGCACAGAACAGCGCAATCACCAATGCCTCGACCCCCGGTTTCGATTGGCTTGCTGCACAGAACGGTGGTCAATTTGATCCTGTTCTCTTCGGCGACTACCGCGAAAGTCAGGATGCCGTTGTCGGCGACGGTGATTTCAACAGCGGCTTCTTCGAGGCTGCATTCCCCTACGACTTGAACACACCGTTCGCCATGAACGACTTCTCTTCCCCCAAGGCTCCTCAACAACAGACTTCGGCCAGCGCAAACTTGTTGGCCAAGGTTGAGAAGTGTCGTGAGGGTGGTGATGATGACGACATTTGCCTGCCAACACAGGTCCCCGCTCAGCAAAACCAGCAGAGCATCAACGAGATGAGTTTGAAATCGGCCGAACAGATGCTCAATTGCAACACGATTTGGTGCGTGGACTCTCCAAACAACAATACATATACCAACACTAACGCCAATCCAAGGTCGCAACTACAATCCAACCAAGACTTCAAAGAGGGCAAGTTTGATCTCGACAACCTCTGTGCCGAGCTCCGTGCCAAAGCCAAGTGCTCGGAATCTGGTGTCACAGTGCCATCAGAGTACGTGGACGCCGCCTTCAAGAAGCTATCGGGTACAAGGGAACAGGTTCCTATCGATGACTATCATGCCACGCATTCTCAAGAGGGCATCGATTACCTTTTTAACCAATATTCTGTCGACGAAGCACTCAAGAAGCTTGGAGGCTAATGTCGGAGTTTCGAAAACATTCAAAAAGGAATTTCAACAGACGATATGACGAATGGATTGGGGACTGACCTTGTGGGTCAGGGGAAGAAATATATGGGATGGCGGGATTTGCTTTCTGGGAATTACCCCTTTGCCTTGATATGGGGTTGATCTCTGCTCATTCATTGCACTGAGAAACAATCGATTGGCGCAAGTAGCTGGGTCTGGCGTTGTCAATTCGTTTTCTGCTGCAATTGGTCCTCAACAGACGCCAAAGAAGCCTCTGGGACCAAACACTCTTTATTGACCTTTGCATTGCAATATACCTTTCAATTACCTCTATCTTCTTCGTGCAATATGGTGAGAACATGCCATGTATTGTACTCTATCTGGTGTCCCTTTGTCTGCCTAGCCTTAGCTCAGCGACGATGATGCTGGTCCCTGCCTCGTCATTTGGCGAGTTTACAATGAGCATTGACAAAATTTGAGTACTGGAAGCCTGAAACACAAAAGAAGTGGTCAATCTGGGGAAACAAGTTTCAAAGATTCAGACAAACTTCTGCACCGACCTCGAGAACTTTCTTCTTCAGCTCCCTGATTTTGAATTCCTGATGGATGCCTATTCCTAGGATGCCTGATACAACAGGTCTCAGTATCTGACCGCTCAGTCCACACGTCACTCCAGTGTATATCGCGAGTCAGGTTGCTGCGTGTCATCTTCTTAGCGTGAGATTCGATCTACCAATCTCGACGTGCTGTGTCCGAAACTCGCATCTCATGATTGTGGACACGGCAAGGGAATATGTTGAGTTAGGGATGCAGCAAAGCGGAGAGACCTCTATGCGCCGTCGTCGTCGGGCAAAAGCTCTGGATATCTCGTGCGATGCAGGAAGACCTGTCCGGGAAGATGATCTGCCGGGACAGGCCACCGAGCCATGACTTATTGCCTAGCGTGTCTGTGCAATCTCGAGCGACGTCGTTGATTTCTCCGAGTCGCTGTTTCGGCCGTCCACATTTGCTGCTGTCAAGCAGCCAGTCTGCCTCGAACCGGCCTTGAGCATGAGACCTCGCTGTTTCGAGCAGCTGGAAGGAATGGCTCTTCTGTTAGGCGCTCCACGATGCCCTCACCAAGATCTTGACAGGTGCTTAGGGTGCAATGTCAGAATCGTTGGGTTGAAGATCTCTTGCCGTGCCATTACTATATCTTCTTCCTCTCCTGCTTCCTGTTTTCTTTATCCTCGATCTTCCACGTGTGTTACCTGCATCAATCTCCAACATGAAGTCCACAACCATCCTACTCCCTACGATGCTGGCACTGCAGGCAAGTGCAGTACCAACACCTAGAAACTTCCAACTACCACGCCTCAATGCAACGATATCATTTCCATACAACAACAACACTGCTTTCGATCCTCTTCCATCAACATCGTGCCTCGCCAAACTAGAAAGCACCCTTACCGACCTTACCAGCTCAACTCTATCAATCCTCCTCGGTTCTTCAACAACACTACTCGGCTATGCATTCTGCGGCCTCACAATGCCAGTAGAATCATGGGAGACATGTACGGACTTTGCTGTTATTGGCGGCAGTGTTGTCGGTCTTTCGCATCTGGCCATCTGGAAATTTCCTGAGCTTCTCAATGACTTGCATCTTTACGATTCAACTGCCAGACCTTGGGAGGAAGCCCCTGCTGTTTGGAGCGAGAACGATGGTCCCGACGACAAAGTTGAGGTCAAACCTCGCCTTGATCTCTCGAATGCCAACCTAGGGGCGTGGCCTTGATCTGAGCACCGCGCACTTTTCACAGCCTCCTCTGCAGCTATCATATGAACAGCCAAGATTCTCGTACCAAGTCAATCACGACAATGAGTTTCTGCTTCACCAGCAACCACATACCGTTAGACACCAACGCTTTCAGAAAAGCCACGTCCCGCCCAGAGCGGCTCGGAGTCTGCAACATACAGAACGCTCCACAAAACAGTGCCTTGAGACAACTGCTCTCGTCTCGGGCGTAGCCTTATCACACGACTTGGAGGACAACGACAGTTCGCACTCTACCTATGGCCCCATATCAGCCTACTGCTGGCCAGTAGATCTGCGTCTGCGACTTGCGTCAAATCGCTTGGCCACTCTATCGCTGGTCTCCGCATCTTTTCCTTTGTACATTATATCATGTCATGTCACGATACCCACGATACACAAACACCCTGGACAGATAGTCCACAGGTAGACCAGTTTTCTGCGAAACAAAAACGTTCTTTGCTTTCCACTTGGAACAAATTGTCGTCTGTGTCTCTTGTCTTTCTTGGTACAAGTGCTCCCTGCATTCCAAGTGTTTGACGTTCGGCAAATGCTTCATCATCTTTCTTGCATCTTCCCTGCAAATACGTGTCTTCTCTCAGAAACATACCTTGCTCCACTCTATCTACATTCAAAAAGTACAGACCAGCCATACCCACTTTCCCATTGCGAAAGCCTGCCAAGCCTCGTCAAGCTCTGTTTCGATCCTGCAAATCTTGCACCTGGACAATCAACAGACCCTACAGGACAAAAGAACAACCTTGTGCATAGTATAACCAGCCTGTGAGCAAGCAAAAGGAATACTGATCAGAGTGGGATTCGAACCCACGCGATTTCTCACTAGTAAACTCATTTCAGGTGAGCCTGAAACTAGCGCCATAACCACTCGGCCATCTGACCAATCGATGAGGATCTCGAAAGCTAGTTGATACATGATAGCGCACTCACTTATCAAGCACAAGTTTGCATGCGATCGCACTTATAGCGATACAGGCGACATTCTCTCCAGAAGCAAAGACAGACAAGTCTAGCAGTGTAGAAAGGTATCGCATCGAGTATGAGCGCTAGCAAATATCATATGTCAGAATGCAGCACGATCCATCGACATCTTCGTTCTCGAAACATACTAGTAAAAGTGCCATGCTCCGTCTTCACCTCTCCCATGATTTCAAACCCAAACTTCTTGTAAAATAAAAAAGTCCATCTGGAGATGCCATGACAAAATGACTGAGCTTGTGTCTGTCCGCCATCTCGCAGCCCCAGCGTAATAGCATACTTCCAACGTCTCGTCTTTGATGCTTTGGTGCCACTGCTATGTCGTTGAGTCCTGTTTGCTGGGTGGTCAGATGAAGTACAGTATAGAGGACTTGCGAAATCACTCAGGATGGCTGTTTTATTCCGAGCCGTATACTACCTTGCGCAGATAGCAAAATGGCTTCTCCAAGCTTTCTTGCAGACCTTCGATTGTCCATTTGTTCGGCAAGCAAAGACTGAGATGATACCTGAGCTTTGGAAGTCTGGAAGAAACGTTGAGACAACTCGTGCTGATGATTGACCGAGGACATTGTAGAGCGTGGAGTGTGCGATGGCAGTCAACTCAGGCTCAGACGATAGAGGAAGTAAGGCGTGGTACTGCAGAGAAGGTAGCGAGGTTACAGCGAATTGTGGCGCGAAGGCGGTGAGCTGAATCACTGTTAAGATAGAGTTATCAATTGGAAAACCACTTCCGACACCAACAATTCTGGACCACCCATCTCATCACACAAACACGTTGGTATTGCCCGAATACATGCTTTCAGCGTGTCGCTCTTGATTATGCGTCCGACGGCAGTAGGAGATCTGACGACCAATACTCAAGACGCGCCGTCAGATCACCGGTATTCGCGAAAGCGTAAGAGGCGCGAAAGTGCCAGCATGGACGACGAGGCTTACAGTGACAAGAAGCATGGACAAAGTGCCGACCAACAAAATCAAGCCAGGCGGCAACCAAAACATTCAACGACGGCACCGTCACTCGACACGACCAAATACACGCCTATCATGCACGATCAGACAGACAGATCAGGGTGTATAAAGGATCGCTGGAATGAAGAGCAGCTACGGCGCATCATCACAAGAGCGACAACCGTACCTTTCCCGTCAGCCTCTGCGTGAGTATTTTGCACACCTGTATACTCTCTTTTCGCTTACTGATGCTGTTATTCTCGATAGCCTGCATCCCACTGCTTTCATCGTTGCCGACTCGGTCATAATTCCTAAAGTACCGCGGCGTGCTTTCGATACTATTCGGGCACTGTTACCCACCTTTCCTGCCACAGAGTCGTGGAAACTAAACTACTGTCCACGCACATCATCCAACCGCGGTAAACTCACTGTCACCATGCCGAGCTACATACACGAAGCCTTTGCACCGTTTGCGCTGAATATGGCCAACCAAATCTACACCGCGGGCTTCCTGCCAGCCCCGTTGACTAGTAAGCACATCAAAGAATGCCGTACTACCAAGTTTCGAGTCGGTGATAAACATCAAGAGCCCGATAGTGCCCTCTGCTTCTGGAATGTTGCTCGTGGGCCCTTTCTGGTCCTGGAAGTTGCATACTCGCAGCTCGAGGCTGACGCTCTGCGCAAGGCTCAGCGATACATTGTCGACTCTCGGGGAGTCATCGCCTTTGTTGTTGTCATTGTAATCACCAAGGGCACCAGATCGAAACCGCCTGCTGATGCTGATCCCGTGTCTGTCCCTATGCCACACTCGACCTTGTCTCGAGATCATGATACTGTCCATGTACATGTCCACCGCTCTGTTCGAACGAACGACAACAAATCGACCGGTACCGTCTTGATCAATCGCGTGCAGATATTCCCAACCCACTCGCCCTGCCTGCCAACGTTCACTGTAGAGTGGTCTGACATCAATTATGGGACGTGGTCCGATTTTGTCCACAATTACTGCATAGCGCCCGACACTCCGTCTCCAGTTTGCAACATCAGTTTGGATGGCATTGTAACCATTTCTGAGAGCCACGCTGACCACCCTTGCCTTGCTGAACCCGGAATCAATTGGTCGTATGTGCCCCCACTACTAGAGCTGACTACTAAGGGAAAAGCCTATCTCGAGAGTTCTATCCCTGAAGTACAGCTGTCGAGTAGTGACAGTGCTTCAAGCACTGTCGAGAGACGCCTCGATCCAGACTATCAGCCTTCTATGGCCTCTACCACGTCTTCCGCGAGATCTATATGAGCAATAAGGTCACGATACTGTTTGGACCAGGGTGTTGATAGCCATCATGCTTGCTTGCGGCGTTCCTCTATTGAGCTACACATGCCTCCCCGTGTGCCAAAGGTTGTAACTCTTAGTATCCTAGACCCGTTTCTCCTACAAAGATGTAGAGTTTAATACTCGCTATAAAAAGGCATAGTAGTCTGTAGCCTCGAGATGCATTCACAGAGAGCGTATGAAACACCGCATCTCGATGGATGCCATCCAGATCTCGAGAATACTATGCATTACTATAGTCAGAGGCGTTACAAACCTTTGCACACGGAGAGGGGTTTCTCTATGTTGCAACATTCTATCGAGAGCTCTAATGCATACGGTGGCGTTCGGGAAAGTGTACACTTGCCGCTGTCTATGGGGAATCGAACTGGCTAATTTGTCGACGCTCTTTCATTCAAACCTGATTTCAGGAATCTCAATCCTGGTTTGACGCCAGACACGTGATAACTATCTGTTTTTCGATTTTGAGAAACCCTGTAACAAACTTGTATAGTAGCTCTGTAAGCACAAGCAAGTCCGCCGCTTGTCAGTGTCACAGTCCTAGATTGGACTTCTGGAATAGGGCTTCACCGTATTCTCCGCGGACTCTCAAGAATCACCGGGGTTTTGAACCACTGGGATGGGTGGGGGGAATCTCGGGTGTGTTTGCAGTGTCTGTACGATGGAAACCATCTACCCAAAGAATCCACCTGATGAACAGAGGATTGCCGCAGCTACTGATAGACCGAGAGTCAAAGCTCTGACCTTTGTAGCGAGTAAACAGAAACGAAGTCAAACGGAGACTTCTGATCTCTAGGGAAGTGGTCGAAAGCAGACTGACGTTTGTGTCTTGCTGATATTTGACACGTCCGGTGAATGTCTGCTGTGAACCTGGCGATCTGTTTGGCCATGAAGCTGGGATATCCATCTCGCGGAAGGCGGAAGACGAACGACGTTGACGGATGCGTAGTAACAGGATAAGAGGTCCTCTGCTGTCTTGATTATTCGACTACGATCACGCCAGAGTTTGGCATACTTCCTGAGAACATCCTAATCATGGAAGCACTGGTTGATCTGGACGCTGTTCGATCGCGCCTGCGTCCCATCTCAATAACTCGGTCAGTATGGTAAAAGGGCTGTAAACTATATCAGTGTGAACGAACATGCTTCAGGAATCGAGTTTTACTTCTCATGATCGAAGACAAAAACTACAACATTGGAAAACGTATGCAGGATACGAGGATAAGTTTCCGCGACTGCAAATATCCGAGACTGATGCCGTGATTCTATTGCCCAAACAACATCTCGCTTGATGATGGGATGCAAAGAATTATCGAGAGCACTCGAGGTTAATCTTGTTGCTCTTTGCCCGACTGCTGCAGCCGCGGCCGGCTCCAGTCCGTCACAGTCGGTTGCCTCACAGTCAACGTAGAACGTCGGATGGTCGAATCTGCAGGTGGAAGGATCCATGTAGAGATGCACGTCAGAAGAAATTGGATCCGAGCTGTAAATCAGGCCAACTGGTAGCGATCCTGCTCGTACTGATTGGACGCAGAAACGGTGATATCGAGTATCGTAGTCGATTCAGACTGCGTGTCATCTGAATCGAGGTCAAAATCGAGTAACAAGTGAGTATCAAAGTGCAGACGCGTAGACGGGGTGCGCTATCCGATGGATTCTAAAAGACTTTCTGTACAATCGTTCAAGCGCTGGCCTTGAACATGCGCCGCCGACTTGTGTCTGGCTTCATCGCCAGCTTGTTGCACCGTTCGTGCGAAAAATGCTTGTATGAGTGGGAAGAGAAAAATGGCTACATCTATGCAAATAAAAGCCGTCCTGTGAAGCCACAACAAAAACAATAGGCCCTAAACACCTCCGATACTCCTATGTCGTGGTGCTTGGTGCTAATTGATGAATAGGAAAGTCCCAAATATGTTGTTGCTTTTAGTCCGCAATGAAGCCCCAATGTACTCCATCCATCCAGAAAGGTCCGAAAACAAGAATGGGAAACCTGAGAATGATCCAAGAAGAAAAAGAGGAGAAACTCAAAGCACTTTTGGCTTCATCCACTCAGAAGTGCCGACACCGAGGTTCAGACCGTTACGTGCCCACCATCGTCTGATCTCCATACCTTTCCTGCCTTCAACGCCGTCTTCAAGCGCCTCTTCGATGTCGCAGGTTTTGTACTCGACCCGAAGGCCACTCTGCTTCCACCATTCAAGAACATTGACATGTCCCATTTTGGTGGCGCCGACCAGTACCTGGTTGTCAAAGATCATTTTAGAGCCTTTGACGGCATGCCAGACCTTCAATACCTCGACATGCCCGTGTGTGCTCGCCAGTTTGGCGACAGCGTCTTCGTGTGGAAAGGGTATACCAGAATTTACCCACCAGCGCACCACGTCTGCGTTTCCTGACTGCGAAGCATAGCAGATTGACTTGCCAGGCTTTAGACGAATTGGCTTAGTATCATCGTCAGGACTTGTGGCATGGTGGTGGCGCTGAGAAATTTCTCGCCACCATTCCAGGACGGCGATGTGACCAGCTGAACTAGCTTGTTCAAGGGCAGCTTCAGTAAAGACAAGGGTAAGACCAGACTTTTGCCACCAGTCTAGGACGTCCATGAAGCCTTGTCGTGATGCGCCATCTAAAGTCTCGGCTGTGTATTTCTTGTTCAGGAACCAGGCCGAAGTGTTCCAATATTCAAGAACTTCAACACGACCAAAGACGGAAGAAGCCTTGTCAGGGAGGAAAGTGCCGTCGAAAGTGGCCCAGAAGAGGTCCTTATGATTGGATTCGAGATAGGAAAGGACAGAGGTCATGCTAAAACGCATGATGACTTTGATACAGAGGCGAGATAGCCAGCGTGGAACAGAATTGTCGGCGATGAATTTCTTGATGTCGGATAGATTGCCTGTCAACAGCGTCCATTCGAGTTGCTCCATATATGTTGTTGGTCCCCTAGCACTGGCATGTTGTTGCCACTCAGCAGGCGGCTCAAGATTGGTGTAGATATGTAGTGTTTTGGCCAACTCCCAGTCGTTCGTAGCATCGATGATCAGAGACCACAACTCTGGCGGCAAGACAGTACGTGACTTCTTGGAACTCCTTTTGAAGGTCGATGAAGCATTAGGTGTGACATGGACACCGTGACCAATATTCATCAAGTCGACTTGGTTGCGCGCCGTATCGACAACTTCGTCCAGGGCATCCCAACACGTTACCTTCTTGTGGTCATTCTCAAACGTCCACAACAAGGGCTGTAGAACTTGTATCCAATTCCACTTCCTCTTTATCTTTGTGAGCTGCTTTTTTGTCATGGGATTCTCCCACATCAGACTCGACATGCCAGGCACCATGACGATTTTCTTGGACACATTCCAGCTTCGCAAGATTTCGAGTACCAGGTTATCCGTGTCGCCATGCAGCATCTTGGCTAGGTTGTTGGCGTCGATGGGAGCCAGAACCAGCAGGTCAGCCCATTGACACAAGTCAAACGCCTCTTGCTCGATGTCCATGACATGGCCAGTCGTCCTCATCTGGACGCGCGATACATTAGGAATGGCGATGCAGTTGCTGGAAGCGGCGATGAGGTCGGCACCATGTGAACCAGGGTCGAGTACGGCTCTGACGGAGCATTCGGGCAGCGAGACGAGTTGAGGTAATAGTTTGTTGATGATATTAGCATCGGTACATGCAGTCGACGCCACGACTACATTCAGCGACCGAGGGGCCATAGCCTCGGTCGTCTGTATGTCGGGCACAGTGATGGCGCTCCGTGCCATCTTGTTTGTGTAGTAGGTACAAGTGGAAAGTCGAGGTTGGAAGAAAGACAGGTCCGCCTTGTCGAAAAGGCAGAAGGCGCATACAATCGGCCTTTTCTTTCTGATTCCTGACGTGACGTAGGAAACGTCGAATTGTCACGAGCTTGTTGCAGGATTCGAGAAGACGATCAATCGTCGTTTAGTCGAGAGCTCGCGTGCCTGTCTGTTTCGTGGTGGGCATGCCTATACTGCACCGTGCTCGAATCGGCCAGCGATAAATCGAGGTTCGTTGCGTGAAGAGAGGAAAATTTAGGCTCGTTGTTCTGTTACGGTAGCCGCTTGAGGCTCTTCATGACCGCCATTTCGAGGCCAATCGCAAGCCAAGACCCTCGCCATCTTCGATCTTCCCCGATCTTATTGGTCCCTGCCCCGTTCCTCCTTCCCCACGCGTCGATAATCGAGATCCTGTCTTATACCGGGAACAACCACTTTGAGCTGTCATCGCGACGCCAATATTCTTCGCATGATACAGGTAAAACGTCTGGATACATAGACGACTTAATACGCAGGCTGGACAAGATATTAGAACATGGACTTCTCTTGGGCAAGAAGCCAAACCTCCAGAAGCAAGCACTCGACCAAATTCTGCAGGCGACAGATGGAATGTAAGCAGTGCTGAACTTTTCAAGTAAGTAGCCTAAGCTGACGTTTTTCAAGATACCTTCTCGCAGAACAATACGCACGGTATATGGCCGGCACGAGAGGGACGACGAGATTATCCGCCGTGCTTAAATAATGTTCATATCAAGAGTGGTCTCAATCTCATGATGTCCATCAGAAATTGACTGGTCGAATGTGTAAAACGCTCAACAATCCACCTGCTTGAAGCTCTTCCACGATAAGAAAGATGAATTCCTAAACTCGAGAGCCCAAGATATCATCTATCAAATCCACAACTCAGGGGAACAGGACCAGACAAACGGGTAACGCACCTGGCATGAATCTCGAAAGTATACTTTAAACGTGAGTGTCGAGAAAGAAGATCAAAGGGGGTCTCATAAGGCAGAACAAAACAAGGAGATCATATAGGGTGACGGTCGAGAAGCAGAAGGAGCAAAACGTACAGCAGCAGGGATTCCCACGTGGTCACCCACCGTAGTACTAATCTGCCGTTCAACTGCTTATGTATGGCAGAGCGGACGGGATGCCCAGTTTCCAGCTGACTGTGGCCGTACGTGACAGATTGAAAAGTTTCTACCATTATGACCATCGGTGGTTATAAGCATCAGCCGACAGATAAAGTAATCCACAAGTCGGGCTTGTCGAGTTGTGAATATCAGCGGCAGCGACAAAAGCAGGACAAGCATGTTGGACGAGTTCGTGTTGGCTCTTCCAAATAGTGAGCGGACGAGACAACTGACATTGCTTCACAGAAGTTTAAAGGTTGCAGCGATTGGAGTTCGAAATATTGATATCGAAATATGATTGCATACTTGCTGTTCTCAGCAAAACACTACGATGTAGTGATGCGACTGTATCTAATCTTCTAACGTTCATTCTTCTTGACTCTCTATACAAAAATGTGGCTCAGTAAAATGCACCAACACACCCAAACATTTCCTCTTCCGAAACTCCTGCATGCGCCATGATCTATCGAGTCATCATTGACTACAGATCTGTATGGGTATCTCAAACTTATTTTCTTCCATTCTCTTTCTTAAGGCTTGAGGGGCTTGCTCTCGTCGCGGATACCTCTCATGCTCTTGAAGTACTGAGCACCATCGACCAGTCTACGCTCGTTGTTTGCGCGAGAGTTGACGAAGTCGGGGTAGAAGAGGGAAAGCTCGACGGAGCCGTTGACAATGGCATCGACGGCCTCGACACCCTGCATGAAGGAGTGGTCCTGGTTGCCGACCTCATAGCGCCAAGCGCCGAAGCGGCCACGAGAGTAGATGTCCAAGTCCTTGAGCTTGGGGAGGAGCTCCTTGAGGACGCCCTCACGCTCGAGCGAAGGAGTGGGGTAACCGTGGTCGAACTTGCGGTGGTAGGTCGAGACAATCTCGTCCTTGGCCTGGAGCATCTCGGTGTTGACAAGACCCTGGATACAGTCCTTGAGGAGGTTCTCAGAGTCAACAGGCTTCATGGAAGACTCGGAAACCTCAAGCATGATGCTCCAGTAAGGACCCTCGTTGAGGCCAGTGTTCTCAGGAGCGGAGCCATCGGCGAGCTGCATGGTGGCGAGCTTCTTGGTGGCAACGGGCTGGTTATGGGGAGAGTAGTTGGAGAAGATGGTGGCGCGGTAGAAGGGGCAGTCATCCTCGGGGAAGTAGAGCCAGCACTTGTCACCAATGCGCTCAGGGCGGTGGCCACGGATACCAACACCAATGACGTGAGTGCTGCTATAGAACAGACCCAGGGAGAGCTGGTGGAGGTCGTGGTTGCCCATAGCCTTGGTGAGGAAGTCAACCGACATGGTCGAGATGAGCTTGCCATACTTGATGGTGGTGCCATCCTTGAGGGAAACGGTGTGAGCGTCGGCATCGACCTTGGTGACAGTGGCGTGCTCGCCGTACATGGTCTTTTCCTTGGGAAGAGTGTTGGCGACGGCAATCCAGATACCACCGGTACCACCCTCAGCAGGGAAGCGGAAAGTGGCGTTGGGACCCCAGTTACCAGCAGTCTTGTTCAAGATGACGTTCTTGGTGACGGTCTTGAGGTCAGGAGCAGCAACACGCTCACCGAGCCATTGGCACTGCATCTTGGTGGTAGGAACAGCCCAGACCTTGTAGTTGTAGGGGCGCATGAAGAGGTCGGCGATACCCTCACCCATCATTCTGACGATCCACTCGTCGAAGTCCTTGGGCTTGGTGTTTGAGACTCTGGCCTCCATGGCGGCGTCGATCATGCCGTCAATGCACTTGACCTGCTCCTCCTTGGGAAGCATGGAAATGTTGTTCTGGAAGGGGTAGGGGACCCATTGCTCCTTGCAGCGAACGTAGGAGATTCTCTGGTGGGTGTACCAGTCGGTCTCTTCGGGGAGAGCCTCATTGATGCAGTCGTCGAAGTACTTGTAGTGCGAGAAGATAACGTGGCCGCCGACATCGTAAAGCTGTCAATGGCTGTCAGCGCTGCTCAATGGGATTTGGAAGTTTTTATCAAGCTACTCACGAAGCCCTCAGGGGTGACATCGGTCGAGGCAAGACCACCGGGAACCTCGTTGGAGTCGACAATCATCCATGACTGGTCGTTGAGCTGGTTCAGACGCTTTGCGGCACCGAGACCAGTCGGGCCAGCACCAATGACGAGAACGTCAACCTCACTGTGTACAGTTGTCAGCAGAGTTGAGGTGGCAACGGCTCGTATTCGAAGCTCACATTTGCTTGGACATTGTGATGTGCGAGTGTGAAAGAAGGGATTAAAGGAATTAGAGAAACAACAAGGGACGGAGCAACGAAAGAGGGTATCACTGGAGAGCAGAGAGGCAGGAGGATCGAGCGTCGGCTGGACTCTTTAAAAGTGATTGCTGTTGATTGGGAAAAAGGAGGTGAGTCGCCGCTCTCAATGCTCTTGGCGGCACATTTACACGCTCCGGCCTCAGCATGGCCACCCTGAGTTTCAAACCTCAGAGATCCTTGCTGCACTAGACCCGCCCCACCTTCCCGCATCCAAACTTTTAATCAACCTTCTACCAGACAGAAGGACAAAACACCACCGTCCAGCCATGATATATAGTCAGATCAGCAGCCACTTTGGCAGCCATTCGGTCATCTGTCAATTGGCCTCGGTTTCACTGTGTCGAGTCAGTTGTGCCGCTTTCGCAAATTTCTCAAAGGTCACAGCCACGTCTTCCGCGCGTCCAGCTTGCATGCCGCCGAACAAACAATGTTTGACCCTTTTCTGTGGCATTGACAAGAGTTACACAGATGCATGCAATCTTCAAAGTGATCAAGCTCGGCCAAGCTTCGCTCGAAGACTGCAATTGACCTCTCTCGGGTCCATTCGCTGAAGCAGCGTGCATGCACTGATTGGCCCAGATAGTGCTGCTCTGAATACTCAGGAGAAGGTGATAAATTGTGCCGTGCAGCATCCATTGACAGTGTAACGCGATGCGCCTAGGGAAAGCAGCGGAGCGGAGCCTCGCACAGGGCTCGACAGCAACATGTTCACACAAAGAATTGCACAGCGTTTGAAGATGAAACCTGCGGTATTCAGATCGTCGTGGTGTCGAGGAAGGTCATGGATGGTATTAGAGTGGGTGTGATTGCGTGTACCCGGCGAAGTGCTCCTGGCTGAAGCGCGTGTCAACGGTTTCGAGAGGGCGGCTCCACTTGCTCAGCAGCGGCCTTCCAAGCTTTCCTGACGATGCAATCAAGGGGGTTGGACTTGTGCGCGCCGCAGACATCAAAACTTGTCCCATCCTCGCAACCTAAATTCCAATTCGATCCTTCCGTCTTCCATTCCTTGCCTCTCCACACATCGCTCCGTGCAAGCTGTCCGCTGGTCCATCACCGTTCAGTGTACCCATCTTTTCGACTCGTAGCCCCGACACCCCACGTTTCGTACAATGGAGAAGGAAAGAACCTCTGGCGAGGTCGAGAGACCTGAGCAGGCCGAGCCTGTCTTGCCCACCGTCAACCCGGCGCTCGAGAAGCCTGCTCCTCCTCAGAGCAGCATCCACCCCGCCCTCTATGTTGTGTGAGTCGCGCTCAGAAATAACAAAGTGCATGGGGCAAGAACCGAAGCTGATAGCGTGCGCGCAGTGTCTGGATTGCCATGAGCTCCAGTGTCATTCTCTTCAACAAATACATCCTCGACGAGAAAAAGCTGAACTTCCGTGAGTCTGCCCTCGGAGCGACTGCCATCGAATACCAGCTCATGACCCTGCAGGCTTCCCCATCTTCCTCACAACATGGCATCTCGGTTTTGCGACCATCTGCACCCAGATCCTCGCTCGTTTTACCACAGTTCTGGATTCGAGAAAGAAGGTCCCCATGAACGGCAGAGTCTACCTTAGAGCCATTGTTCCCATTGGTATCTTCTTCTCTCTGTCGCTCATTTGCGGTAACCTCACTTACCTCTACCTCTCCGTCTCCTTCATCCAGATGATCAAGGTATGATGAACATCACCCAAGCATGAGATACTGGACAACCGGAAACTGACTCGAGCAAAGGCTACCACTCCCGTCGCCGTCCTGATCACATCGTGGGTCATGGGTCTTTCTCCTCCCAACATGAAGACTCTCGGAAACGTGTCTTTCATCGTTATTGGTGTCATCATTGCCTCTTTCGGCGAGATCCAGTTCGTCATGCTCGGATTCCTCCTCCAGGTCGCCGGTATCATCTTCGAGGCCATTCGCTTGACCATGGTCCAGCGCCTCCTCTCTTCTGCCGAGTTCAAGATGGACCCTCTGGTCTCTCTCTACTACTTTGCTCCTGCTTGCACCATCATGAACGGAATCGTCGCTCTTCTTGTCGAGGTCCCCTCCATGACCTGGGCTGACTTCGACCGCGTCGGTTACTTCACCCTCCTGCTCAACGCCATGGTTGCTTTCGGTCTCAACGTCTCAGTCGTTTTCCTGGTATGCGTCTTTCGTGAACTTCGCTCACACGCTGTAGCTAACAAAGCTTCTAGATTGGCAGAACCTCCTCCCTCGTTCTTACGCTTTGTGGTGTCCTCAAGGACATCCTCCTCGTTATGGCCTCGATGCTCATCTTCCGCGACCCCGTTGCACCTCTTCAATTCTTCGGTTACTCGATCGCTCTCGGTGGTCTCGTCTACTACAAGCTCGGAGCCGATGCTCTCAAGGATTACGCTGGTGGTGCCGGCCGCGCCTGGGCTGATTACGGCGTCAGACACCCCGCTCTTAGAAAGCTCATCGTCTTCGGTGGTGTGCTCTTCGTTCTCTTCCTTCTCCTCGGCTCGTTCAGCTCATCCCTGCCCGTCGACCCTAAGCAATATGTCGGCAACAAGTACACTGGCTTCTTTGGCAACACCGGCGCATAAGAGTTTCCAAAAGAGCTTGATTTATGGGAAAGGGATAACATCGATTTTGGCATGCTGGAAGCGGGTCTCGACGCTACAAAAGGAAACATTATAATACTGTGAATGACTATTGGGATGCGGTGCGGTGCCTCGTTCAGGCTGCCTCACAGATAGAGCACGCGATGTGGGAGCTTTGGAGTTTTTTTCTTCTACCATGTTACGAAACCATTCAAAAAAACTACAATCATCTTCCAAAACATCAACCACCTTGAGAAGTGAGCTTCACCAGTATTGTTCTTCTCAGCCGTTGTTGAGCAAACAGTCACCAACGGTAACACGAGGATCGATCTCAAGCTTTACAACGTCAGCTGCCAAAGTTTCGTTCGAAACCTGGAAAGACAGGCCGCGGGAGTCCAAGTTCAAACGAAGCTTGTTTGCTTGCCGACGCGCGTTGAGCGATCCATCTTCAGCTTCCCGATTGCCTACCAATTTTCATCTATGTTGTGTTCCGTCCGCAAATCTTTTGGCTGGGGAAGGCGCAGCACCCATAAGCTAGATCTCGTCGAGCCTCTGTGCCTTGTTGTTCTTGATAATAGCACAATTTAACTGTTGTTGAGATGAAAGAATTATATTGCGCCTCTGCTTCTCCGCCCCGACATTTACAAGGCGTCATAGATCTGATTGGACCTTTCCAACCAACCAACCTACTTTTCTCCCACGTTTTCTTCCATCCACCACTCGAGCAGCAAGAGTCGGACTTGGGCTCCTGTGCTTGGCGACGAGGCGACAACCTTCGAAGATGCTCGTATTCTCGGAGTCCGGATAGGTGTGTGTGGCGGATAAGATCTACTCCGAGGTTTTTTTGATGGGTGAGTGATTAGGCTCGGGAGTGCCTGATTTCCACTGAGAGAGTTCGTATTCTGAATGGAAAATACATGACTCGGGACGTTGTTTCATGGAGAGTTGCTTCTTCTTCTTGCTTTGTTCAAAGGAAGTGCCGCTACTGAGTCGTTGACGACTACCTAGGTGAAGAGCACTCAGGAGAGACGTATGTATGATATATTCTCACTGGACTGGACTCTCCTCGAAAGACATATGCGTACAAACATCTCCAGGCATACTGGACTGGTACGACGCAGTAGCACACAACAAACTTGGTCGACAGGGAGTCCGCATGGTCATATACTGGAGAATATAAGGGAAATCTCAGTAACAAGAAAACATGAAAAGCAATGAAGCAAAGAAATCCTCCTCCGGACCATATTTCCCCATCGTCAATATCAAGATCAAGTCAACATCGCAAATAGCAACGCAGGCCCGAGTTCCACTACCGCTCGCCAAAGTCAGGCGCCATTGCTTTCAGCAGGCAATGCAGACACATACACGCCGAAATTCTCCAACTGCTTTCTTTCCTCCAAGATGTTTTCAATCTTCTGCTTCTGCTCTGTCTCAATCCTTCGAGCCTCTGCTCTGTCGCTCATGGCGGTTTGCCATGCCTTTGAGCAACGGTTGTTCTCTTCCCATGCCAGCTGAACGTGCTTCTTCGATTGCATAAGCCACGTGTCCATGATGGGCTTGTGAATTCCTTCATGGGCTCCCGCCTTGCGTGCGGATATCAGATTATCCTCTTGTAACTGCTCAAACCGTTTCAACCCAGCTTGAGCTGCAGCTTGTTTTTGCTGGGTTTCCCGAACTGTACGTTCGATTTTTGGCGTACTGTTCTGCATTGTCTTCAAGTGGGTTTGGGCGTCCTCAAGCTCTTTCTGCATATATGTTGCCGGACGACCTTTGCAAGCTTTCCACTCTTCGAAGTGACGCTTCGTGCTCGACTGCAGCAGCTCAAGATTGAGTTCGCCCTTCGCAGTAGCTGGAGCCACTGTGCTTCCCAGGCTGTCTTTGCGTACCATTTTGGCTGTTTTGGCGACACTTGTCGTTGGAGTCGGAGCCGGTGTTGCCTGGTTACTGGTCAGCCATCGGATCTACAAGTGGAGAATTCATTCTCGACACATACCTGCTGCGGTTTTGGCTTTTTGTTCTGAGTCGGTGTGGCTGCAGTCGATTCACTGGACATCTGCCTCTTGGTGCTTGATCGTCGATCACCAGGCGAGCTCGATGGCAATGAAGGCATCAGCGGTGTTTGGGGCATTTTCGCTGGGTAGTCGTACGCTGGCTCTCTTGGTCCACTCGGAGGGCCGTGCCAGTATTTTGTCGGGTTGGTTCTCGCTTCACGGCAATGGGGGCACTTCAGGAAGATGTTGTGCGAGTCGTGGCCGATGAGTTTGAAGTCGGTCTTGTGCCACCACCTGTTGCAGCCGTCCTTGTCGCAGCGTCGAAGGTCTGCTAGCTTCACCTCAACAAGAGAGGCAAATGCCATCGACAACGCTTCTGGTGACAACAAGTGAGGAGGCGGAGGGAGAAGGTTTCAGTGGCGATAGAAGATGAGTTGTCGTTGCAGATTAGACTCCTCTCACGACAAGGAGTCTCTGAACTGAGGAAGTGGTGTGGAATAAGGTAAGCCGATCAAGATCAGACAGGAGGGCTTCGACAATGGTGGCAGGAGCTAGGTGGGAGACGGTAGGCGTGAGAGGGTAGGCATGAAAGGTAAGTTGTGAGAGGGTTGGTGTGAGATGTGTTGAAAGGGAATTGCAAGAGCAGGTTGAGAAACTTGAGTGACAATGTAGCCGACTCGTGGTAGGCAGGAGCGCTCAAGTATGGAATATGGAAGGAAGGAACCACTCTGGGTCGTGGGCTTATATGAGTGAGGACCCGCTCAAGGGTAGGTAAGTCTTGATTCGTGTGTGTTGCTGATTTCCGAGACCTGCAGACGGGAACAAACACGCTCCGTACGGCAAGCATCTACCCATGAGTAAGTATCGAGAGGCTATACCGCGGACTTCAAATTCTCTTTATTATGCCGGTCCTGTGTCGGTAGATTCGCTTCTTGGTAGAGTATTTCTCAAAGCAGCTCGATTCTTTGTACAAGCAATCAAGTCATGTATTGGTAAGAACCAAAGTACGTTGAAAGAAAACCACAGGTCTCCAAAGGCTCATCGTTTGACGTGCAGATGGTTTGCAGAGTGATGAGATGTAGGTACCCGTTCGGTCTGAAACAAAGACAGCGGCGAGCGTACAAATCCTCCGACCGGCAATCACCAAAGCATCCCGACGAAGAAACAACTTTTTGTGCTGCCCGGTACCTGCTTTGTGAGTGTAAGCAATTTTCAAAGAGCTTGTTCTGTGGCGAGTGTTCTTCGGAGCGTGGCATGGCCATCTTGGAAAAGGAAAATTGACGTTCTGGCTACGACTTTCTGGTGAACTTCATCATGTTTGTTCGATATCCTGCTTGCTTCGCGCATATAATGGAGCGGTGAGTATTGATCCAGTCTCAATCAGCTTGCTCCTTCCTTCGTGTATCGCAGTTACGTGTCAGAGAGTGGCCAGGGGCCCTTTCCTCCTACAACTCCAGTCTGAACATCAGATTGCTCTAGTCCAAAATCCCCCTCCCATTGTCAACATCGCTAGAACATGTTCGTCATCGACACTGTCACCATTGACATCAGTATTATTGCCACCGCACCTACTTATCACCTGGGTCTCTTTTGTCACGAGCATGAAGCCTGCTCATATCAAGAAGTGGATCTCCACCCTGGGAAGAACTGTACTACCCTCCAAAGATACAAGTAGCAGCTCTACAGAATCGTCACTCCACCTACCTGGTTGCACATGTCAACCTTGTGGACAACACGTAAACACTACATCGCATCACGGTCAACAATTTGGGAGCGCTCCAAGCCACCATCGACACCTACATCAGAAGACCGATTCGCTCAACAGACTTCATGAAAGAACCGGCAAAGCTAAAGCTCCCGAGATCCAGTCACGACATGACCAGGTTGCGGATCCAATGGCTCCGCACGAAGAACCGTTACTTGGATCAATACCAATTAGCTCTCACATTGCATCAGAATCCACTAGACAGACGATGACCGATCTTGCAGTCCCTCCACAACTCAATCTACGACTGCATGACTACGAGTTTTGCGATCTGCTCTGGCTTCGTCCGAATCTAGAGGGTCATGAAGTGACAGGAGCAAGACACCCCCTCCATCATACACATTACGATTCTACCGGCGCTACCACCAGATCTTTGGTAGTATTCATCGCTGCAGCCTGCCTACCTGAGCAGCACCAGTACTACAAGCCTGCTAGTCTCGGTGTATTCTTCAACAAATATTCAGAACTGAACATCTCCGAGTCTTTCGACATGACACACCAACTAGAATCTTCTTACTCTGGAGCTCGTGGTTTACTGCCACACCTGGTTGCAGCGAGGAATGCTCTTGAAGTTGTCCGTACAGAGGTTGTCCCAGACAGGATACAACTCATACGAGACGTCGCATTGCGCTACGGCTGGACAGAAGAGGACGTCCAGGATGTTGCACGCTTCCACCTGCTCGTCGGAACAGATTCTCAAGCCTTGCTAGATGAAATCAGCAGTTGGAAGTCGAGTAATGAACTTCGACGCTCGTTGAGAGTTGACTCGACCGGTGAAAGAGACAGCTTGGTCGAGCTCCTAGACCAGATCGAAGCTTTGTCAAGGCTTGGGATACAAGTAGTGTGGTCTCATGTCAGCGAGAGGTGGAATCGACCTGCGCAGAAGCTGGCAGCAGATGCGGTAATCAGATATTGTTCAAGGATGGATGCAAAGAAGCCACTGCGTGTCACGGGCTCAGGCCAACGCCAGAAACCGAGAGCGGGAGTAAGTGATTGCGGCGGGTCTCGCAATCCATTCGCCAAACGGGTTCGAGAGCTTCCTAACTACGGCTACCTTGGGTCCTTCTGGGGGTATCGAGGTTTCTAGAGCACGTGCCCTGCTCGAGCGAAGGTCGATTGATTAGTTTGGCGGATTCGCTAGGAGTGTACAATGAGAAACGTCACCTCTCGCTTGAAGGCTATCATGACATAAGGATCAAAGCGGGACTTCGTAGGATATAGGCAGTGATATGTACATTACAAGCAAAACTTTTCTTACCAGTCAATGGTCATAATGATCTTGCCCCTGGTCTTGTTAGACTCCATGAGCTGATGAGCCTCGACAATCTTCTCCCAATCCATGACCTTCTCGACATAAGCCTTGAAAGTGCCATCCTTGAACTTGGGCAGAGCGTGCTCGACAAGCTGATCTCTCAACTTGCTTTGGTAGTTTACATCTCTTGCTCTGAGAGTTGAGCCCTCCAGTCTCACTCTTTTGAACAGGAAAGCGCCCATGTCGGTGTCAGCAGGCAACTTCAATCCCGTCAACGCAGCCAGAGTAACGATATGAGCATCCTTAGCCGCAGCCTTCAGGTTGTTTGCAAAGAACCCAGCACCCATGAAATCAACAATGATATCCACGCCCTTGCCATCCGTCGCCTTCAAGATTTCGTCAGCCCAGTCTTGGGTTTCTGAGTTGAAGGCTGCAGTTGCGCCGAGCTTCTCGACCACAAACTTGTTCTTTTCGTCTGAGCGGGTGGTAGCGAAGATTTTGGAGGCAGACTCGGCTTTTGAGAGTTGGATCCCGGCGATGGAGACGTTGGAGGCGCCGGCGTGCCAGAGGATGGATTGTTTGGGCTTGTACTCTGCTACCATGTACATTGCTTGGAGGGCTGTGATCCAGGTCTGTTGGGTGTATCGTGTCAGCAAGAAGTTCGCAGAGGTCACAAGGGCAGGAGACAAACCTCGGGGATACCGGCACACTCTTCAAAGCTCAACTCATCAGGCTTGTGGACGAGCATGTGGGTGCTGACAGCAATGTACTCGGCATAAGCACCACCATATGCCAGACCAAACACAGCATCGCCCTTCTTGAAACCATTCTCGCTCTCAGAAGCGAGTTCCTCGATTATGCCGCTGAACTCGACACCGAGAGTCTTGGGAGCTTGAGGAGGAAGAGGGTAGTTGCCTTCGCGTTGGAGCAAGTCCATGCGGTTGAGACCGAAGGCCTTCACGCGGACGAGGGCTTGTGCGGCGGTGGGCTTCGGACGTTCGATCTCGTTGATGAAGAGGGAGGTGGCAGGGCCCTTGCCCTCCTTGATGTCTGTGTTTCGTGTTAGTCGAATGTCTTTGCTATGCTTTCGTGAAATGAAGCTTCAAGTGTCAGAAGACGTACCGACTGCACGCATATTGACCATTGTGATTGTGCTTTGAAGTTTGAGGTTTTAGTAGAGAGAATGACAGCCAATTCGCAGCAGAACGATTTAAATGAGAAATTGTGTCGCAGGATAAGACAGCATCTGGAAAGTGAGGCTTTAGTAAGCACCGTGGTGTTTTGGTGGGGGCTATCTCGGTGACGCAATGCCGAGGCTTTCCACCCCTCGCACCTTTATTTTCTCGCTCTTGTCAAACACCACTAGCACCACTTCGGATTAGTATTGTCGTACAGATCAAAACTGGATCGCGTCGTTCAGATATGCCAGAGTCTGTGCCTCGTAAAGATTTCGCAAGTCTTCCTCGGATTGTCTCTGTCGTATCTCGCGTAAGCTCTCGGTAACGGGTGAGCAGCATCTTCGCAGTACTGGTTTGCGTTTCGGGGTGGTTCGTCGAATCTTGAGTTGAACCGCATATCCTGCTCCAGATACTCCTGGTGACGAAGGTGCAGAATCCGTCGACGAGACCGAGGAAACGGATGAGCTTAGTCGATGGCTTGACCTGCTATCTGATGTAGAACTTGCAGCAGACGAGTCTCCCTCATGTTCCTGCTCGTTAGAGGGTATGCGAGCGGACTGCAGAATATTGGCGTAACCAGCATTGTCTGTAGACACATGAGCCCAGAACATGGGCCTTAGGGTGCCTGTTTGTGCGTCGCTTGCGGTGGCCATGTTACACTGCTCAAGGTGCTAGAACTGCTCAAAACAGAAGATGCTCGTACAACGGGGAGCCCGCAGATGTAAGAACATAAAACTTGGTGCCAGCCATCGGTCAGCAGCCTTGTCCTACTGTGCTATGCTGTCATATATTGCTGAGGCTATCGAGTTACTTGTGGGAAGTGCATCATGAGGCGCTGCCCTTGCCATGGAAATTTGTGCCTTGTTATGGAGACTATTGTTACTTCTGCAGGGTACAGGGCGACCGAGGGAACAAACTTCGGCTCCTCGAAACCTTGTTTTGGCTTGTCATCTTTGACCAAGCGGATGCACATAACAGACAGCGAATGAAACCTACCGATGGCTGATTTCTCTCAACCGGCGTGATGGTCTTGTCTGAGTGGCGCAAACGAAGGAATAAAGGTAGTGGTCAGCAGTGTTGAGAGGTTCTGATGTCCGGCGGAGGATTGAATGTTTGTTCGAACCCTCCTAATCGAATGGTTGGTATGGCGGGATCAATGGTCAGAGCAACGAAGTCACAGCTGCAGAAAAGAAGGCGGGAGGTTGGTCGCCAGATTTCAAATCCAAGATTTTATTCATCATGCTCCAAGATGACGAGCAGGTCCAAAAAGAACATCCATTTCATCCAATGCGATCGATCGAGAACTAAAGGGGACATCTTCATCCTGCCATGGCTTTCGCTACACCAGTCATGCTACCTGCAAGACATCAGTCAGATTTGATCGTTACAAGCAATATGATCAAGCTTACCCATAGGAGGGTACTCTGTACCATTCTTCTCGGTCTTTGGCTCGCAGTCACACCATTCGTTCTTGGGGATCGAGTCCATGACCGATGGTACATGCATACCACAGCCGAACCAAGTGCGCTTGCCTATCAGAGTGGTCAGCAAAGAGGGCTGGTACAGTGTTTGATAAAGACAAGGCTGGCTGAGATGTGAGATGCGGCGGGTGGCGGGGCTGGGAAATCTTACTGCAGTTATCACACACGGCGCCTTTACACATGATTGCTAGATGACAGTTGTTCTTGAAAAGTTGATTTGTCGAAGGGTTGGATTGGAAGTATGTATCTGTGACTGAGTAAGATAAGTTAAGGTCGCCGATGTAAGGACATGTCTTCAACGGTGCCCGGTGTCATTCCCGAGTCATGCCAAGGCCTCCGATATCGAAGGTAATAGTCGTGGTGTAGAAGGAACGGGCTCACAAGGCGGATTGAAGTCACAAGACGAGAAACTGTGGCATCCTAGGTTCAGACAATACTTTTGGTTGTTGACTCTAGCTAAGGACCGTCTATGTCGTACAAAAAATCCTCCGTAACGCCGTAATATGCATGCTCCATTCAGGTATACCCAATAACGAAACTAGTCATCAAAAGTGACCTTGGTGGCGGCCTTCATCTCACCAGGATCTCTGTAGAAAGCACCGTAGGCATCGTGAGCCTTCTTCTTGACGGTGGTACCGAACTTCATGAGATTCTCAGGAACGGGCTGGTTTGCGCCCTTAAGGACGTTGATGAGACCGCCGGCAAGACCCTTCTCGTGGTCGGTGAAGAAAGTGATGGCTCTGCCGTCTTGACCAGCACGACCAGTACGACCAATACGGTGGACATAATCCTCGACAGTCAAGGGGAATGTGACGTTGATGACAACCTTGACAGCAGGAATATCGAGACCTCTTGCGGCGACATCAGTAGCAACGAGAAGCGGGACCTTGCCTGCCTTGAAGGCATCCAAACTCCTTTGACGCTGGTCCTGACTCAGATCTCCGTGAATACCGCCGACGTTGAAGCCCTTTGAACGAATGAAGCCCTCGATTCTGGTGGCCTCCTTCTTGTACAGGCAGAAGACCAGGATACGGTCCTCCTTGTTCTTGCCGCTCTGGTATTTCTTGAGGAGAGTGATCAGACGGTCGTTCTTGTCATAGGGATCCATAACCTCAACTTCTTGAGTAATTCTAGTGTTGGCGCGCAGCTCTCCAGTGGTGTTCTCACCGATGTTGATACGCACAGGCTTCTTCATGAAGGTAGCGGCAAGTTCTCGAACTGATGGGGGCCATGTTGCGGTGAACATGAGGGTTTGACGACCAGTGGGTGCACAGCTTCCAAGAATCTTACGGACTTCCTCCTCGAAACCTTTGTCAAGCATGCGATCGGCCTCGTCCAGCACAGCGTAGGTCACGTTGCTCAGGTCAATGGAGCCCTCGCTGACGAAATCGTTCAAACGACCAGGAGTAGCGACAACAATGTGAGCACCAGTGAGAGTCGCACGCTGCTGGTCCTTGTTCACACCACCGTAAACACAGACAGCCTTGAGACCAGCAGGCTCGGCCAGCTTGATGAGCTGCTCCTGAATCTGCACGGCAAGTTCTCTGGTAGGAGAAACAATGCAAGCCTTGATGCCCTTCTTCTGCTCCTTTGCGGAGAGAGAAGAGATGTATCTTATGCAGGGAACACCGAAGCCCATGGTCTTGCCGGAACCGGTCTCAGCAACACCAATGACATCCCTTCCAGCGTAGAGGTAAGGCCAGGCAGCAGCTTGAATGGGTGAAGGGGTCTTGAAGTTGGCAAAGGGAGCGCGCTGGGCCTTGTCGGTGATGGGGACGTAGTCGAACGAGGTGATGGGTCTGTAGGCAGGCGATGCCTTGGACTCGTCGGTCACGGTGATGAACTTGTCGGCGACAAAGGCGTCGATCTCGGATTGGGGCAGAGCGGTCAATCCAGGATGCTCGGTGTAGCCGCCGGTGGCAGCAACGGGAGCGGCAACATTCTCGGAGGTGGTAGCGGCAGGAGCGGTGGTCGAGTCGGCCTTAGCGGCAGCCTTTGCGGCCTTCTTCAGTCTCTTGGCCTCTGCCTTTGCCTCGTCGGCATCGGCCTCGCCAGAGGAGCCCTCGCTCTTCTTCTGTTCCTTTGCAGCTTTGCGGGCAGCCTTGCGAGCAGCCTTCTCAGCATCGTCCGTCGTCTCCTTCTTGTCCTTCTTGGCCTTCTTGTGGCCCTCAGCACCAACGGCGGCCGTGGCCTCTTCGCGTTCTCTCTTGCCCATTGTGAATGTAATGGGTTGTGTATGCGACAAAGATGCGACGCCTCTTGCTGGGTCCAAAAAAATTCGTGCCATCTGCGGGCTGGCCGCGCTAGCGACCGGGCCGAGGCCGACCCCCGGCCTCGAAGAGAACGGGCACCAACGAGGAAGGTGGAGAGGCCCAACTCGACCGACTCCGCTTCGTCTTCTTTGTCCTGCACTTGCACCTCCTCCAACTGCAATGTTCCTACCATGTAAAATACTCGGTCTATCCGGTGAAAGCCCAACGCACGCGGCGCCACTCGATCATCTTTATACACTAATATGACCATATCTTTCCCAATCTTTCTAGTTCACCTGGTCAATATTTTTAGCGAGAGGAGTCACCCTTCGACTTGCGCGTAGCCTCTTTTGCTGAACGTACAACTTGTCAACTTCGCCGTCTCAGCATGTCGCGGCCAAGTCCTGCGAAAAGAGCGCGTGAGGTCTCCGAATCCCCGAGAGACGCAATCACTCAAGATGGGACACCGAACGATGCTGCATCTCGGGGCCTGGCTAATGAACCACTTGACTATCCTCGAAAGCGAGCTATTATCGCTTGTGAGATTTGCCGAAGTCGTAAATCACGATGCGATGGAGGAAAACGTATGTCGAACTTGGTCGACACCGCTATCGCAGCTGACCATCTGTGCAGCCAGGTGCAAATTGTGTGTCGAACTCAACGCACGATGTGTCTATCGTGAACCTGGCATCAAGCTTGATGCAGGCGATAAATTGATACTGGAAAGGCTGGCTCATCTCGAGGATATGCTGCAGTCCGCCATGATCTCGGCCCATGTGAACGTCAACCCTACGAAACCAGTTGCTCACATGGGCACTTCCCCTGCCGCGAGTACGAGTACCGCCGATGACACATCTGCAAGACGTATCAGCTGTAGTGTCGCTCTGGAGAACAACCGTTTGAATGGTCTCGGTACATGGGATAGTGTTAACATCTCGACCATGCCCAAAGGACATACTACCCCTGCTTTGAACCTCTTACAATGGCCGCTCATTCGCGACTTGGTGTCCCAACCTCTGGATCCACAGGTCCTGGTAGAAATGGAGATGTCGCGGCCTCCTGTCAATTTACCGCATTTTCCTCGACCAGACATGGCAAATACAGCAGTGTACGCTAGCTCCTATTTCGATCTGGTAAACGTCTGGTACGCATGCGTCAACCCAAATGCATGGCCCAAGCATTATCATGAAGCTACTTCAGTTGGTTATATACAAGGAGCAGACAGCTGTCTGGTCATGTTGGTCCTTGCTCTAGGTGCAGCCGCTCATGGTGGAAGCATCTCCAGGCATCCTCACAACGCAGAACCTCGTGGTATCGATTACTTCGCATCCGCCTGGAAGATAATACCCAATCTGGCGATACGGAACGACATCCCAGCCATTCAGTGCCACATACTAGCTGCAGCCTACCTCTTCTACCTTGTCCGGCCGCTCGAGGCATGGAATATGATCACTGTCGCTTCTACAAAGCTACAGCTGGTTCTAGCTGTTCCTGATCGAGTGCCAATATCGCAAAGAGAACTACTTGTGAGATTATTCTGGGATACTCTTTTGGCCGAGTCGGATCTGCTTGCAGAATTGGAGCTGCCGCACTCTGGCGTTGTCAACTTCGAAGATGCTGTAGGTCTGCCAGGTCCTTTCCCCGACGTCGAAGGAGAATACACTAGCAAGGATGAGCTATGGTACTTTCTCGCAGAAATCGCGCTACGTAGACTCCTCAACAGAGTGAGCCATCTGCTTTATGTCAAAACGCCGACCACAGTTCCTACCTCGAAGCTGGCACGAGTCGCTGCAGAATTGGACTTTCAACTATCACAGTGGTACGAGGGCTTGCCGCGACCGATCAAGTTCTCGATGGCGACACTTTCTGCGGGCTCCCCTGGTCAAATCTGCTTGAGGCTACGGTATTTTGCATGCCGGACGATCATTTTTCGTCCTTATGTTTTTGCTGTGCTCTCAGACGAGAATGCTATCGCCGATCCGGTGGTAAAGGAAAACTGCCGAAAATGTCTTGAAGCATGTTTGAGGCAGATTGATAATGTTTCTGCGCAGTAAGTAACCTTAGGTCGTCTAGATTTTAGAGCTACAAAACTAACAAGAGCTTAGTCAAGTTGGACATCTTCCCTATCTCTGGCAGGGAGCTCTTAGTCTGGTTTCGCAGACGTTATTGGTCATGGGTGCTACTATGTCACCGAAACTTGCTACTCTCCTTCCACCCACCACATCCGTGGAAGCAATCATCGCGGAGGTGGTTGCAGAGTTGAGCAGGCTGGCCCATCTTGCGCCGAGCTTGAAGTTGAGTGCTGAAATTGTGCAAGAAGCCGGAGCAAGAAGGAAAATGTTCTTTGATAGCCAAAAATCGCAGGTCTAGCATGCAAGCAACTCGGCTTTGGATTGGTTCTAGTCTTTGCAGCTAGACACTTACCTTTTGTTGTTCTCGTTGATGGTTGTGCAAAGAGTGGATGACGTCGCGTGATTTTTGGACGCGTCTTTGACGCGACACAGTCTCAAGACAGGGTTGTCCCAGGAGCATCAGGCTCTGCCAGTGATTTTGCTACGGTGGCTCCAATTCAGCATATTTCGCTTTGAATAAATGATCCTGAAGTTGCTGTTACTACACCCCTCCATATGATACTAATCCGAGATCTGTCAGAGATGTGGTTGTCGCTGTGTGATCCATAACAAGATTTAGGATAGTCAGATATCGAAACTCAGTCTCGAACCGCATGGATGGCAAACAGCATTGGTGAATGAAAGATGGCACGGGGAAGACCTACTCGCATTCATGCGAGCTGGAGGCTAAGTTCATCGAAAGCCACTCCTTTGACATATCATAGACCTTAAGAGTACATTCGCATGTTTCGGAAGCGGCTGCTGTGAGATAGCGATACCTTCGCGATGCCTTCAAAGACAGCGAGTGCCAAGAAACACTTCTGCCTCGAGCGCGAAACGCGTCTCCAAAAAGAAGGCGCGACGCAGCAGCTCACGCCTCTTTGCAACAACTTCCCAGATACCATCAAGACAATCACCTTCACTTGCAATAGAACAATTCCACAAATCTGTCGACGAAGTGCACAACAACCAGAGACTCGACTAGCAAGCATATACTTACTTCACGATGGCCAACCCCATGGACGCCATCACGACAGGCTGTCTTCGCCGCGTCTTTGCCGGCGAGCAGATCCAGGATCCCGTCGTGCAATGCGTTCAGATCAAGCCCATGAACAACTCGGCGTCTGGTGTCGAGAGATTCCGTGTTGTCTTCAACGACACTGTCAACTTCATTCAAAGCATGCTTGCCCAGCAGACAAACCACATCGTACACGACGGCAAGCTGAAGAAGGGTTCGCTTGTCAAGCTCAAGCAGTTCCAAGCCAACTCGGTCAAGGACAAGCCGTGAGTTTGATATGCTCACAGTCTTCTTGCCACAGTTTCTGACTTCTTTGCAGCATCCTTGTTATCATCGATCTGGAAGTCCTCGACGAGTACGGTGAATGCGAAAAGCTTGGCCAGCCTGGCCCGCTCGAAGTAGTCAAGTCTGACTCCGAGCCTGCCGCCGCTCCACCTCAAGCACAGCCCGCCAGCATCTCCGGCAACCAGTTCTACGGCAACAAGCCTCAGCAACAGCAGCAGCAGCAGCAGCAACCGCAACAAGCCGCGCCGCAAAGACAACTGCCTACTCGCTCCCAAAATGCTCCCCATGGCGGCAACATTTACCCCATCGAAGCCCTCTCACCATACCAGCCCAGATGGACCATCAAGGCTAGATGTTCGCACAAGGGTGATATCAAGACATGGCACAACAAGAATGGCGAGGGCAAGCTCTTCAGCTGCAACTTCCTCGACGAGAGTGGCGAGATTAGAGCGACTGGTTTCAAGGAAGCCGTAGACCAGTGGTACGACGTGTTGCAAGAGGGCTCGGTCTACTACGTGTCTTCGTGCAAGGTTCAGCTGGCCAAGAAGCAATTCTCCAACGTTAACCACGACTACGAGCTCACCTTTGAGAGGGATACCAGCATTGAGAAGGCAGAGGACAACGAGGGCGTTCCTCAAATCACCTACAACTTCACCACTCTCGCCGATCTCCAGAGCGTTGAAAAGGACACCACCATCGATACTATCGGTGTACTCAAGGAGGTTGCCGAAGTCAACGAGATCGTCTCCAAGACGACCTCTAAGCCATTCAGCAAGAGAGAGTTGACTTTGGTCGACGACACTGGCTATAACGTCCGTCTCACGATCTGGGGCAACACCGCCATCAACTTTGACGTTGCCCCCGAGACTGTGATCGCGTTCAAGGGCGTCAAGGTCAGCGACTTCGGCGGTCGCAGTCTGTCACTTCTCTCATCAGGCACAATGAACGTGAATCCCGACATCGACGAGGGCCACAAGCTCAAGGGCTGGTACGACGCTCAAGGTCGTAACGACACGTTCTCATCACACGCCAATAGCATGGCCACAACATCGACGAGCGGACGTAACGACCAGATGAAGACCATCGCTCAAGTGCGGGACGAAAACTTGGGCATGGGCGAGTCGACGGACTACTTTTCTCTAAAGGCTACCATCGTCTTCGTCAAGTCAGACAGTACTTTCGCCTACCCTGCCTGCCTGTCAGAAGGATGCAACAAGAAGGTGGTCGAGGTTGCAGAGGGAGAGTGGCGCTGTGAGCGATGTGACAAGGGCTGGCCCAATCCCGAGTGGAGATACATCATGAGCATCAACGTCAGTGATCACACAGGACAGATGTGGCTCAGCTTGTTCGATGATGTGGGCAGAATGATCATGGGCAGACCTGCCAACGACATCATGAAGATGAGAGATGAGATGAATAACGCCGAGAGGGAGGTGTTCGCCAACGCCGTCTGCCAGACTTACGTCTTCAGATGCAGAGCCAAGATGGACACATTCCAAGACCAGCAGAGGTAAGCAACGTTGTGAAGCAGGATCGAAGCTTTGACACTAACACAATACAGGGTGCGTTACCAAGTCTCATCAGCTGGACCTGTCAATTGGTCGGCAGAAGGAAAGAAGCTTGCAGATATGATCAAGCAGTACAGCCTGTCGGACAACAGCGACAGTCTATTTGTCAACTAAGGAGGGGGTATGCTTCCAGAATTGTGCGTTACTATGCAGAATCGAGAAGGGAGATTGGAGTGGTTCTCTACGTTGATGGAGGATTGAAGAGAGGGATGATTCTGTGTACAAAATAGTTTATTGCTCGTGACGCCGTAATGATAAAGGAGAAAGCTTGACCAAGTTTGAGGAAGACTGTGAAAGGGAGCGAGTCTTTGTGAAAGTTCGGAGGACGGAGTTTGACCCCACGATTCGGCTGTTGTGTCTGACGCAACGCAACCAGAGTCGGAGCTCGTGAGCAACAGAGAGCAATCACTCTGTCATTTCTTTTCACACTTCCATCTCAGCACATAAACTCCCGAACAAAATGTCAACCTGTCCACACGTGTCATCAGCATCGCTCAGCCCGCCTCGCCCCAACCAATCTGTCTACAGAGAAGACTGCACACTCTGCTTCGATAGCATCGACTCGCCCGAAGGCCTCGACGTTTGCCTGCATTGCTTCAACGGAGGATGTTCCACTGAACGTCAACATGGCGCAAAGCACGCCCGAGAAACAAGCCACCCGCTGGCCCTCAACATCAAGCGTACACGCAAGCAGAAGCACAGAGATGAGCCGCCACAGAAGATGTCCAAGCTGGCCATCAACGCAGAAACCGAACAAGACCGCTTCGACACTGTCTCGACCGTCAAATGCCTCGAGTGTGGCGAAACCGATCTGGACAAGAGTCAGGGAAATTTAGCAGCCGTGGTCGACGGTGTGCTCAAGGCAAACACTTTCGCAAAGCAAGAGGAGGTCAAGGCCTGGGAGCAGGAGATGGTTCCGTGTGAGCACACTCTCTGTCTGGAACAAGAGTCTGCTCGACAGATTCATTCCCAGTCTTTGGGCCACTGTTCACAGTGCGATCTCAACCAGAATCTGTGGCTCTGTCTCACTTGCGGTAACCTGGGTTGTGGAAGAGCTCAGTTTGGTGGTGTTGGAGGCAACTCGCACGGAGTGGCGCATACCGGTTCTACAGGCCACCCTGTCGCTGTAAAGCTGGGTTCTTTGACTGCTGATGGCAGTGCCGATATCTACTGCTACGCCTGCAACGAAGAACGTACCGATCCCGAACTTGTCGCTCATCTGGCTCATTGGGGCATTGACATTGCTGGTCGTGAGAAGACGGAGAAGAGTTTGACAGAGATGCAGCTTGAGCAAAATTTACGCTGGGAGTTTAGCATGACCAATGAAGATGGCAAGGAGCTCAAGCCTATGTGTGGTCCTGGTCTCACTGGTCTGAAGAATCTTGGAAACAGCTGCTACCTTGCAAGTGTCGTCCAGAGCTTGTTTGCCATGCCCGAGTTCGCCCAGAGATACTACAAACCTGACGAGCAACTACCACCCACATCAAACCCCGCCGAGGATCTTGAGATTCAGCTTCGCAAAATGGCAGATGGTCTCCTGTCAGGACGCTATGCAATTCCCAACTCAGATGTCATCGCTTCGGAAGACACGACAGAACAACCACATCAAAAAGGCCTGGCTCCTGCCATGCTCAAGCACCTTATCGGCAGAGGTCACGAAGAATTCTCCACTATGCGCCAACAAGATGCTTTTGAATTCTTGCTCCATCTTCTCAAGCTCGTCTCTCGTTCGCAACGTGCAGCAAAGGAGAACTACAAGGACGTTTCGGATCCCGTTGATGCTTTCAGATTCGTCATGGAGCAAAGGCTGCAGTGTCTGAACTGCAACAAGGTTCGCTATCGCCAAGACGAGGTCGAAAACATCTCCGTCGCAGTACCCATCAAGCGTTTGTCAAAAGATACCAAGATGGAAGGTGTAACTCCTGGCCCTGATGGCTCTGCGGAGAAGGAGGTCGAAGAATTTGAGTCTGTGACTCTTCAGCGCTGCCTAGACGACTTCACTGCCGCAGAAGTGGTTGAGCTGAATTGCGGTGCATGTGGCGGCAAGAACTTTAGCAAGCAATCTCTCTTCAAGACATTCCCTACCGTTCTGGCTGTCAACGCTCGCCGCTTCGAAATCGTCAACTGGGTTCCTACTAAGCAGGACGTCCCTGTCATTGTCGATGAAGGCTCCATCGACTTCGAAGCTTACCGCAGCAAAGGTCAGCAGCCTGATGAAGAGCTTCTTCCGAACGAAGCTGCAGACGCTGGCGCCGCTTCGACTGCTTTCGTGCCCAACGAAGCTGCTCTCAGCATGCTTGAAGCCATGGGTTTCCCTCGAGTTAGATGCGAGAAGGCACTCCACGCTACTGGCAACACAGACGCAGAAACAGCCAGCTTGTGGTTGTTCGAGCACATGGAAGACCCTGATATCGACGAGCCCACGGATCTTTCAGGAGGTGATGCCAGTACCGGTGCGAGCAGCGCAGTGGATCCCGAGAAGATTGAGATGCTTGGAAACATGGGCTTCCAGCCGCCTCAAGCACGCCAGGCATTGAAGGAGACTAACGGTGATATGGAGCGTGCAGTAGAATGGTTGTTTAACCACCCTGAAGCAACTGGCGACTTTGGAGATGAACAGCAGGACACTGGCGACAAGGCTGCTACAGATGTGAGTTCATGTAAGCGACAATGTGTGCATGATCAACATGCTGACAACACACTCATAGAACGAGCCCGAGGCAGCTGTGGAAGATACCAAGCCTGCCAACTTCAAGCTCCAGTCCATCGTATGCCACAAGGGCAGTTCAATTCACGCTGGGTGAGTTCCACGAACAGCTTGCTAGACAAACAACACTAACATGTTTACTAGTCACTACGTTGCTTTCATCCGCAAGGATCCAGGATGGATTCTGTTCAACGACGAGAAGGTTGCCCTCGGTGGTGATGTTGACGAGATGAAGAAGTTCGCCTATGTCTACTTTTTCCGCAGAGAAGCTGCTTAGACAGGCATTATTGGAAGAAAGCTCAACTAGTACATGTAGCTACTAGCTAGAGATAATTGGGATCTTTGGCAGATCGACTATCTGGTATGCATCGAGCAATCAGAAGACCTTACCCTCAAAAGTACGGACTTCGACTATCGTCACGGTGCATGTGTTGCTCCGAGGAGTGTCTCCACTGTCAGCAACATCCCAGAGTTTTCTCGGCCGCATGTACTCGAGCCGCACGGTGAAACAAAGTAAGTGATTAACTTTGAATCTCTCAAAGGTCCGAATGAGCACAAGGATGTGTTGCTGTCAGGTGTTGAAATCAATTTGTAGCTACAGACCTAAGTCGAAGGTGGGGAATCTGTTCACACCACTGCGCCAATACATAGAGGACCAGAATGCAGCACAAAGAGACAGGAAGATATGAAAAACGGGTGGAAGTATGAATAATAAGGTCTGGTGAATACCTGTAGCATGACGTGCCGGTACCTGGCCTGTGCTGGGGCTGAACAGATCCTCCACGTGATCGAGGTACACTAATAGCAGTAGACCCCGCCATTCCAGTCCACCGGGTACCCTTTCCATACCAATTTACAATCAATTCAACATGTCTTCAGGCTCTTCGGGCAACAATGGGACTTTGATAGTAGCGGGTCCCGACACCATCCAAGTGGCGGACTTCTATGTCCATGCCTCGATTTTACATCCTCTCGTCATTGGATCCATAGCCATTGTTGTCTTGTTCACATCACTCCGCTTCTTTAGCAACCGCTCGATTGCAGCCATGAATGTGACAGACTGGATTGCAAATGTTGCAATTGGTTCGACGTTGGCTGGAATCGTCAATGGCAACTCCCTCGCTCGAGGCATGATCGGGCTTTGCACTATTCTCGGCTTTCAGTATCTGATGTCCTTTATCGGTGCCCGTTTACCATCCCAGCATGCGTGGATCCTTTCGTCGCCGCCCATCATCATCGCTTTTCGTGGAAAGCTCTTGACTAAAGTCATGTCAAGGCATCGCATCTGCCTGGGCGATCTATATGCCTTTTTACGGCAGAAGAACATCTTGGACTTGTCTGAAATCGAGTGTGTTTTTATCGAGGCCAATGGATCGTTTACCATATATACGAGGGCGCAAGTTGGAGATCGCAAGAAGGTGGATGTCTTGCTGCAGGTGCCGAGTTACAAGGCGCTGTGTGATGATGCTGATGAGAGGATTGCAGAGAACACTGGGGACAAAGACGGATTGAAGGCCTGCGATGATCAACAAAACCACCTTGCTGGCGACGCTTGCTGATAAAAAGGTAAACCCGGACTTGAAATCTCGCCAGGTGGTGATTGATGCTCAATGTATCTTTCGGTTCCGGAGACAAGACCAACCGACTCAAATGTCTTCTTGTTTGGCAATTCATGCCTTGTCCTTGGAGTTTGGGGTCCTATCTTCGAGATTCTCTAGGCTTTAGTCGGTTCATGTCCTCACCTCAGGCGTTCAGTCGTGCTCCCACAGACACTCCGCTTTATTGGATGTTGCAGTGTCAGGCATATTCAGGACTATCGTCGCGAACACGTCTACGTCTGCTGCTGTCGCCTCAACTTGCCTTGCCTGAATCGTCTCAGATTGTCAAGCTTGGATGCAGTGTTGTGGTCGTCGGCTCCAAACATATGCAGCCGGAGTCGCTTTTGTGTGCTTCGAGGAACCTTGCGGCTGCAGTAACGCTTGGGTATCTTTCGCTTCCATTGCAAAGTGGAGTCAACTCTTGATGGATCATATGCAAAGACGGTACTCGATGCAGCATCAGTGCGTACGTAATCCGATCCTGGCCTGGTTCTTTCATGGTCGGTTCTGCAGCCCTAAGGCCGCTTTCCCATCTAGGGCTTGTCTGCAGCAGCTTCAAGATTGCAGTCCTCGAAGACACTTGAAGATATCATTTCTTACTGTCAGTTCTGCAGCAACCTCTGATTGATTGTTTCCAAATTTCGCGTTGGCGAGTAGTACTCGTTCTCTTCTGTGGTACTTTATCTAGATAGCCGTTTGGTGAAGCCTGTTGTGGCTTGTTGCGGCACCGTTTTTTCTTGCGACACTCGCGTGGTGGCACGGCTCCACATTGCGTCCCGTACCTGCATATCTGAGCCGCAACTACCATCAACCCACGCACAAACAACGACATGGGTCTTTCCCGGATGTGAAAGAAAAAGTTGCTATTTTCTCGAAGGATGTGCCGCGTATCCTGGTCGTAGATCATAATCGATCATGGACATGATGGGGTATAGACAGGTGAGGGCTCGCGCTTCTATCGTTCTTGCCTTTGCATCTTCCTCTTCTTCTTCTTCTTCAAGTCCGGTCATTCGTTTGTACCGATAGTCTCACATTCTTTCCTATCTTCTTTACCAAGTCGCTCATTCCTCCTTTGAGGGTATTCTTTCGCCATGGTTCACTTTCTTTCCATTGGCCATCTCATCAACAGCATCTTCCACTTCTCAAACAAGAACAATGCTGGAAGTGCTGCCGCTGCTGCCTCGACGGTCCAAACATCAGCTACACCTAGTGCTGTCGTCTTTGCCAATTCAACCTCGACCTCAACTGCCGCTGTCGCAGCTTCGTCCAACGGTACTCAAGCTATTACCGGTTGCCAGGATTTGATTCAAGCTCTATCTTTCCCTGACCAGCAGGTGTCTGTGGTCGACTGCGAAGACATCACAGCTGGAACCGCTCTCACACTTCCCAACGGACCTTCCAACTGCAACGGTGGGTCGGTACAGACCGATCTCCGTAGAGTCACTCTCAATGTCGTCACCTCTTACGCTTCTTCCAACTATGTCGAGGTCTGGCTTCCTACTGGACAAGATGCTTGGAACGGCAGATTCATGGCCACTGATAACAAAGGTCTCTCGGGCTGCCCTTCTTACGATGATATGATCTACACCTCAAGCCTTGGCTTCGGTGTTGTAGGTGATAACGGTGGTCACAACAACACTGAGTATCTCGGCATGGATGCTCAACAGTTCTTGAATAATAACGAATTGGTCATCGATTGGTCTTACAGAGCTCGCCACGCGGCTGTCGTGGCTGCAAAGCAGGTCATCAAGACCAACTACGGTCAAGCCGCGAGAACATCTATATCGATCGGTTGCTCGAATGGAGGAAGACAGGCTCTTCAATCCGCTCAGATGTACCCCGAGGACTTTGATGGTATCATTGCAGGTTCTGCTGCTAGTGACTTCAACCACCACATCGACTGGTCGGGCAGAATGTTCATTTTGACAGGCGCCGATGAGAGCGACCCCAAGTATCTGACCTACGACGACTGGGTCATCGTCCACAATGAAGTTCTCAAGCAGTGTGATGAGCCTCTCGATGGTGTCGCTGACGGAATCATCGAAGATTCAACTATCTGCGATTTCAACGCTACCACCTTGACTTGTGTTGATGGCCAAACCGACAACTGCCTTACCTTCCAGCAAACATCCACCGTCTGGAACGTCTTCTCTCAGCTATACGACCAGGAAGGAAACCTCTACTACCCTCGTCTTACTCCTGGTGCCGAACTATACGCCTCCACCAACGGCGTCTTGCACGGTGTTCAAGGTCACGTCAAGGATTGGTTCGGTGCTGGCGTTTGGAACGATTCTTCTTGGGATCCTACTACGCTTTCCCAGACAGACTACACCAAGGCTGATGAGACAGACGAAATTCATGGCAAGGTCTCTTCCTTCAATAGTGATCTCAGTGCCTTCCACGCTGCTGGAAAGAAATTAATCATGTACCACGGTCTCATGGACCCTGCCATCACCCCGGAGAACTCTCAGCGGTACTACCTGAACGTTGCCCGCGACATGGGTCTCGATCACACTGGCATGGACGAGTTCCTCCGCTTCTTCCGCATCAGCGGCATGTACCACTGCACTGGCGGTATCGGAGCTTGGGCCTTTGGTCAGAACGGTAATGCACAAAACGGCACTTCGAATGTCGTCTGGGACATTGTCAACTGGGTCGAGAAGGGCGAGGCACCAGACACCATGACCGGAACTAAGTTCGTCAACGACGATCCTGCTCAGGGCGTGCAGATGGAAAGACATCACTGCAGATTCCCTTACCGCACTACCTACAGCGGTTCAGGAGATAGCAATGATCCCGACAACTGGTCTTGTGAGTTGATCAATGATTGGCAAGAGTGTGGCGTCTACCACGTCCCTAGACTCTGCTAGAGTAAAGAGCTTTGGATTTTCTTCTTCAAACCTGTCCATCTTCTACATAAATATAGGATATACTTCATAATACTATTGCAAAACTTAGCGCACTACCCTAGAGGACCTTCGTACGCTTAATGGTCTTGTTCAACAGTATATTTTGAGTATAAGAATCAGCAAAAATGACCTTTGGATCATGAAGCGTGTTTGTTTGACCAACTATGATGGTTCTGGTGTTTTGGTTGGAGTCACGAGCAGCAGAACCTGCAATAATACCATCAAAGTCCTCGGGGTGCATCTGAGCGGATTGAAAAATCTGATGTCCTCCATCAAGCAACTGATCTAATAACTATAGCTCACGGCTTGACCGTAGTTGGTCTTGGTGACCTGCTTTCCAGCCACGACGGTAGGAGTAGTACTAACACACTTGAGCCACCGATAGAAGCATTTGGAGATATTTCGGCACGATAAAGCTTGGCAATTGATGTACTTCAGTCTCATCTATATCAGCCAGGGCGATCCAAAGCGGTCCCGATCAATCCTCGACCATGAGAAAGTCTTTGATGGCCTGGGAACACAAAGGCTCTGGAAGGATTTGTGAATGCCGCCCTCGGAACCGTTCTTTAGCTAAACAGCTGGGTTTGCGGGATACTCGGGCTTAGCCTTGAGCATACGTCCGTTTTGAGCAAATCTTGCACTACTTTGAGATGTCGCGGGAGCGCTGCAGTTGCCGGGTATATCGATATTGAGGGAATTGACACTAGGTGTAGTGTCATAGGTCAATTGCATCCCGTTACAGACGATGGCCTGATCGTAAGAGAAGCCCTTGAACAGGTTGGCTGATCGGATTGTATCAGTACACAAAACATAAGATTAGTCGAGAGAGGGAAGAGTGTCTTGGACAACGTACCTGAATACATCTGTACGCCGACTGTGTTACTAACGCCGAGATCGGTCACGTTGACATACTGAAATGTAACAACGTTTGGCCTGTTCTCATAAAACTTGACCAGGAAATGGTAGAATTGCGTCGAGTCGTCGAAACTGCTGAGGTAAAACTCAAATGACGTCTGGCGATTGGGTAGATGTATTGATCGCCCCACAGGCCGCAAGCAACTACATCACCAAAGCAAGTGTTTGGCCACGCAGTCACGTTCGCTTCTTGTACAGGTTGTGGCTGCGGCTGCTGTGCACACTGCGGATACTTGGAATAATCAACACCTCCACCATACGGAAGAGGAGTGTTGAGATACTCTTGGTTGAGATCCCCCAGACCCAAAAGGCCATTGGAGCTGACACGGATGTTTGCGCTGGATTGGCCATACATGGTGAGGTTCACAGGGAGTACGACGGAGTAGGCTTCATCATCGACAGGGTATGGTGCACCGTATACACTTCCAACGATCGCCGTTGGACGCGCGAGAGCAATCGCAGGCACACCAGATGGAGGAGGTGGAACATAGACAGAGCTGTAAGACGATGTTCCGATGCTCGGGGACGATGCAAATGCAGGCGAGTAAGTCTTCGTTATCGTTGGTCCGTACTGAGCGACCTGAAGAGTCTGGGTGACTGGTAGAGTTTTCGTGATGGAGAACGTTTGTGTAACGGGAAGGGTCTGAGTAATAGGAAGAGTTTGTGTGATAGAAAGAGTTTGTGTGATAGAAAGAGTTTGTGTGATAGGAAGAGTTTGCGTAATCCGAAGGGTTTGGGTGATCGGTAAGGTTTGAGTTATCGGTAGCGTTTGTGTGACAGGGAGGGTTTGCGTTATTGGAAGAGTTTGCGTGATCGGTAGCGTCTGCGTGATCGGTAGCGTCTGCGTGATCGGTAGCGTCTGCGTGATGGGAAAGGTCTGCGTGAGCTGTAGCGTCTGAGTGATTGGTAGAGTTTTTATAATAGGTAGAGTCTGGTTGATCTGTAGCGTCTGTGTAATTGGAAGAGTCTGTGTGATCGGTAGCGTCTGGGTGACCTGTAGGATTTCCGTGACTCGTGGTTGTGTCGTTGTGAATTTCAAGGTCTGTGTGCCAAGCGGCAACACAACCGTCTGTGTGAGCTGCAAAGTGTCTGTACCACGTGGTAATGTGAAAGTCTGCATGTGTGTCTCTACGGGCAGTGTGATGTTGACTTGCAGTGTTTTTGTCAAGGGTGGGAGAGTGACTGAGACGTAGACTGTCTCGGGATTGAGAGTAAGAGTCACGTAGCTAGTGATGGGGGTGGGTGTGATGTAGGCTGTCTCCTGAGGTAAGGTCAAAGGAAGTGTTTCAGTCATATTCAGATACGAGACCAGTATCACAGTTCCAGGGCCTGGTATCGAGGTCACAGTCACTGGCTGAGGCGTGATAGTCACGATTGGTTGCTCCAGGGTGATCATCACAGTGGACGGGTCTAGCGTCACGTAGGCAGTCGATGGATCTTGGTAGACTGTGGAAGCTGGCAATGTAACGCCAGGTTGAGTAGTGGTGAAAAGAGCCGTTGAAGTCGCATATTCGGTCTCGACGACCAACGAAGGCTGATACGATACCACGATCGAGTTGAGGATTGTTGTTAGCGTGGCTATGTCCAGTAAGCTCAGGATAACATGGAAGAGGTGTTTACAAGCAATAGAATTTATACTCACTAGTGGTGGTTGAAACGCTGGAGACCGTGACATCCAAGTACTGGGGAATCGCCGTGGTAGCGGTCTCAGTAGTAAGGAGCAGCGTTGACACTGTTCTGGTCTCTGTAGTCGGAACATTGACCGTTTGGTATACAATGGTAGGTATGGTAGTTGTGAAAACGACCTCAGACCCACTGATGAACGTCGTTGTCTCGAGTTGTGTGAAGATCTGGGTTTGTACAACGGTTTCTGTCATAAAGACTGTGATAGTAGCCGTAGAAACTGGGCTAGCACTACTGCTACTGCTAGCATTTGCAGCCAATGCATTGTCGGTGACAGACACATCATCTAAAGCCACATAGGCAGAAGTGGAGCAATCCACTGAGAAGGTAGCAAGAGCGCTCTCTTCATCGATAGGAGATAGGTAGTTGTAGGTAAAGCGAGTGTAGTAGGTTGTGATAGGAAGGGGGAATCCACAGTCGCTGTCTCCGCATATAGTCAGAAAACAGTACGATTTGTCGGCTGGCGTTGTGACTGCCGCCCAAGCTGTCAACGCATAAGTGGTATTTGTCGATGCCGGAAATATCTGGGTAACATTGTAGACGAGAGGCGTACTTGACCCTGTTGACTGACGACGGACTCGACCTTGAACTGGCGCCGTCTTGTTGAGACTGATGAGACTGGACACTGATTTAGTTCTAGTTCGGATGTCTAGTACTACCAACATACAGGTAGCTGTCTCCTGAGTGAGGCTCGTAAATACCATCCTGGGCCACCTCGGCTGTAATGGATGTTGAAGAAGCAGAGAAGTTGAATGGGCTAGCTGCGACGTCTTCGAAACTGTTGTTGGCGAGCACAGGATCAACAGGTGTCGCTGATTGCTGAGCCGACGGTGCTTGTGAATAGACAGTTACCGTCGAGGCCGGTTGCGTAGCCACAATAGTAGAAATAGAAGTATTGGTACAAGAAGCTTGTGTCAAGGTCGTTTGCGAATAAATAGTCACTGTCGAGGCTTGTTGTGTGGTTATGACAGTAGAGACAGAAGCATTAGCACAATATGTTGGTGTCGATGGAAAACTCGAGGTGCCGACATCAGTTACCAGATAAGTCGATGAATCAGACGTGTAAACGATGACACTCCGCTTGACACAAGAGTTCGAGCTACTAAGTGCAGGAGCGATCGATTGAGCAAAGGCGCACGAGACAAGCAGCAGACAGATGTAGAGCAACACAACCATGGTGCAAGGAACGACTGTGTTACACGAAGCGCCTGAGCATTGAGAAGAGCGGCAATCTGTGATTACCATCTCCCTCATGACTCGCTTGTTGTCGACCTACATGGTATACTTGGAATGCAATGAGATGAATTCGAGGCCTCGATGTGTTCACAATAGGACCGACTCTTTGATCTCTCGAACCTACCCACTGGACTGGTAATGGAAGCAAGGATGAGATTCGTTCTGTGACGGCTGGGCAGCCACCCGTTTGGTGTCGTGTAATAGGATACCCCGGAATGTTGCCATCGACAGGCAGTTGAGTCAAGCAGTTGGCGCTAGATGCTAGCCTATGGACTCCGGACCCAAACCAGCGGATCTACCAATCCGGCACAATGGAGCAGGCGAGCCATATGGTTGGCTAAGCATTGGCAACTCGAGTCAAGCTCTCAAAGGCGCATGACCAAGAGGAATTTGCTGTCGTCAGATCAAGATGCCACCATACAGGATGTGACCCTAGCACAATAACATTGCATTGTGAAGGACGTAACATGGGACGCTTTTCTGAGCCATGGAAGATCTGGGTGTCTGGGGAGATCCCATCAGAATCAACTCTTGTCGGACATCTGAGATGGAGAAGTAAGTTCTCACGAGTACCATATAAGAGCTCATATTCAGTTGTGTTCAGACGGATTGGCGTGATGAAGTGGTGGAGTGTGAGAACAATGTTTGCTTTGTTTGTTTCCCATCCCCTCGAGGACAACCCTGACCTGCTTACTGATAATCGATCAGAGGTCTCGAGAAGAGTCAACGAGGCGATTCGTGATGACATGAAACGATGAAAAGGTAGAAAATCAAGTCATGATGGCAGTGGTGAAAGATTTGATCCACCGAAATCCATGCTCAGAACAAAACCGAAATACAATGAGGTATCACAACAAACCCAACCAAGACCTCAGCCCGTAACACCCTTGGCTACTGTGCCCAACCAAGAAACACCATGTCCGACGACCCAAGGAACTTACTGAATGAAACTAGCCATAGCTTTCCTCTCCTTCTTAAGAGGTGAAAACATGAATCCATCATCAGCAGTCAAAAGTCCAGACTTCTTCTTGCCCATGCCGCCGATAAAGCTACCTCGGACACCACCAGCTGCAAGAGGTCCCAGACGTGATGCTCCGAATAGACCGCCTCCACGGCCAGGAAGCGGCTTACTAGGCGCATCATCCTCGTCGTCGAATAGCGTCTTGCCCAAACCACCGAGCTTTCGCTTCTTTTGCTTCTTTTCTGGTTCTGGTTCATGTGTAAAGGCAGCGAAAGTAGCAAGGGACTTGCGTTGCTTGGGCTTAGGTTTGGTGTCTCCATCAGTCTTCTTGGCCTTGAAAGTGGGGACCTTAGTCGTTGCAGCGTTCTCTTCTTGAGATGCAGGTTCGACTTCTTCGATGACTTGTTCCAGTGCTTGCTTCTTTGTTTGTTTCTTAGGTTTCGACTCAGCTACGGGCTTTGCCTTCTTGATGTTGCTCTTGCTGGCAGGCACAGTCGCTAACGGCTTAGGGGCAGCTTCTGTGGTAGGTCGGACGTTAGCTGCGCTCGGAGACTCGGCCTCAATCTCTGATTCTGATTCTTGGGCAGCTGCTTCTGCTTGAGCTTCCTCGGCTTGCTCAGGACTTTCTGGTGCAACACTCATGGTGCGGTTGAGGAATGGTGTGATGGAGAAGGTCGACTTGTCACCGACTGCAGCAGCTTTGCGACCCTTTTTGGCGGGTTTGGCGTTGCCTGGTGTTCCTAGCTTTTGCGAGTCTGGGTCCATCTGTGCAGCGCTTCTCTTCTTTGTCTGTTTGGTAGCTTTCTCAACCGCGACAGGTGCTGATGCCGCACCGGCTGCAGCAGACCTTTGAGCATCCTCAAGCTGTGTCTCGGTCTCCTTCAACTTCTCCTTGGTAGACTTCAGTTTCGTGCGGAATTGGTTGAGCTTGTCGTCCAGAATTGCTTTCGTGGCGTCCCAATCATTTTGGGTCTTTTGATGTGTTTTCTCGGTCCTCTCGCGCTCCTTGCGCTCCTTTGCGAGTTGGCGACGCAGCTCTTCCGTCTCGACTTGCACACTAGCATTTTCCTCTGCTTTTGCAGCTTCTGTTGTGTTCTTGCGCTGGGCATTCTCTTTCTCGCGTTCCAGCTCGGCCTGAGCAGTTTCCAGGTCCTCCTGAGCCTTCTCTCTCAACCTCTTCTCCCTTGTAAGAGCCTTGCGCAAGTCGTCGATCTCATCCTGTTGATTCAGATCGTGTTGAGTGTTACGGCGTTTTGCGATTGCGCGCTTGGCTTCAGATTTGGCGTGGTCAAGTTCGACTTGGATCTCACTGACTTGTCGTTGCAGAGCGAGCTTTTCGGAGAGGAGATCCTGGTTTGAATCTACTTGAGCGCGTAGATGGTCGAGTTCTGGTTTGAGGGTAGACAGTTGGCGGGCCAGGTTGAGTTTCTCGGTCAGGAGTTTTTCGGAATCTGTAGTGACGTTTCGTAGAGCGTTTGTTTCTGCCTAAGCGGGATATGAGTTAGTTGATGTATGCGACAACAGCGCAAGATGCATACCCTGAGTATGGAGAGCTCTTGCTCTGCAGCTTGTAGATCAGTCTGCAAGTCGATAGCATGAGCTTCGGCGTCTTCAGCACGAGCGAGATTGTCGTTAACAGTCTTCTCGAGTGCCTCTGAGCGGTCTTCCTCGGTGGTCAAGAGTTCGCGCAACTCCTCATTGTCGTCTTCGAGTCTGTGCATGTCGAAACGCAGTTTACGCAGGTTTTCGTCTTTGGAAATGATGTCGACTAGGTGTGTTGATCGCTCATAGTTGAGCTCTAGCGATGCTGATTGGAGTGATTGGTCATACTGCGACAGTCAACAGGTGGATGCGAGGAAGGAGGAATGGAAGAGGATGTTACATTAGTGCTCGTAGAAGTATGTAGTGCATTGATGGGAGCCATTGTTGCAGTGGCCATGGGCAGGAGAGAAGAATAATCGGACGTCGGCCACAGGCTGGCTTGGGCTTGGGGACTTTGACTGCGAATGCGATGCGACAGCCGTGACGGCGCCTTGTTTGTTTATCGCAGGCCCGGCAACATCCGCCGTTAGCGCTGTCTCTCTGTCGCGCAGCCCGCAGCTTGCTCTCCCGAAGCGCCGCCCGCAACGCCAAGCTCCGAGTGGCCGAGCTCGAAGCATACGTAGTCAAGTCAATTGGGCATACAGCTCGAGTTCGTCTGTTTGTCGTTCCAATTGCCCTGGTCAACCCAAAATGAAGTTCCTCCAGACCGTGACAGCCTTCCTGCTGCCACTCGCAGCTTTGGCCGCAAAGAAACCCTCGACCGACAAGTTCGCCGACTACCGATCGCAACAGCTGTCGGCTGCCGCTCCCCTCAAGCTCGACGACAATGAATACTCCAAATTGACCTCGTCTCCCCGCGACTACTCGGTTGCCGTCCTCTTGACTGCTCTCGAGGCCAGATTCGGATGTGCCATCTGTCACGAGTTCCAACCCGAGTGGGACCTGTTGGGCAAGTCCTGGGCCAAGGGAGACAAGAAGCAGGAGTCCAGACTCGTCATGGGCACCCTCGACTTTGTCAATGGCCAGAGGACTTTCCAGTCTCTGCAGCTCACCACTGCTCCCGTCTTGCTCTACTTCCCTCCCACCACTGGTCCCGACGCCAAGCCCGACACTCAACCTCTCCGCTTCGACTTCACCACTGGGTAGCACTCCTGAACCCTACCTCTATACCAACCCCCAGCTAACAAGACTCCAGTGTCATTGCTGCTGAGCCCGTCCACACCTGGCTCGCTCGCCATGTCGCAGGCCCAACTCCCCCCCTCTCCCGCCCGGTCAACTACGTCAAGATCATCACCACCACCGTAGCCATTCTCGGCACCATCACCGCCTTCACAGTCGCTGCTCCCTATGTCCTCCCCATCCTCCAAAGCCGCAACCTCTGGGCCGCCATCAGCTTGATCGCCGTCCTCCTCTTCACCAGTGGCCACATGTTCAACCACATCCGCAAGGTCCCCTACGTCGCAGGCGACGGCAAGGGCGGCATCTCCTACTTTGCCGGTGGTTTCCAGAACCAGTTCGGTCTCGAGACTCAGATTGTTGCTGCCATGTGTAAGTTCTGTTCTCTATTCTCTCTCTCTCTCGCAAATACTAACGATGAGTAGACGCCATTCTTGCTTTCGCAACCATTTCTCTCGCTCTCAAGGTCCCTCGTATGACGGACCCTCGCGCTCAGGGTGTTGCTACACTGGCCTGGGGTCTGGTCATGTTCGCCATGTACAGCTACCTCCTCAGCACTTTCCGCATCAAGAACGGCGGCTACCCCTTCTGGCTGCCTCCCTTCTAGATGCCTTGACGATACTTTGCTGTAATCTCGTCAGAAAGCTATGGCTGTCGCACGCTTTCTCAACGACAAGGCTGCACTACTACTCTCAACAGTCATACAAAAAGTTCCAACTATATATCTCGCCAATAGACGAATCCTACCCATCATCCAACTTCATTCTGGCCCAGTCGTCTAGTTGACCGACAGTGTATCTGAGATCATCAATGACAGTGACGCTAACATGTAGAGAACACCACCTCGGAAGCAAAGAATTAGAATCAAAAAGGTCTAAAGGATCTAGGTAAGAAGCGAAGATCGTCCATCTGACTTTTCTCTTCCATCTCATTCGTCGTTGTCGTCGTTGGTCACAGGGATAATCGTAGGTCGTGAGAAGACCGGCCTCCTCTCCTTGCCAACCTCCGGAAACACATACCGCGGGCTGCGGTACGTGTACCCCAGGAATGCTCCTCTCTTCCTTCTCTCCAGAACTCGTTCCCCAAAGCGTACGTCGCGAAGCATAATGTCCTTGGCTCGCTGTCGCCGAGGCCTCGATCCCAGAATTTGCTTGATTTCCGCATCTGGATCTCTGCCCTCTTGTATCTTGCGTTCGCGCGTTCTCCTGATTCTGGCTTGCTTGAACGCTTCCCACTGCTCGCCTTTCTCTCTTCTGCAAGTCTCGACATTGTTGTCAGTCCAAGTCTCAATACCCATCTGGACCTTTTCAATCTCTCGCTGTTCAGCCTTCCATCTTTCGTAATATGGGCCAAGTATCTTTCGAGCGATTCTTGGCTCTGTCTGAGGTCCGACTTTTTCTCGCAAACTCATGTAGCTTGTACCGATATCATTGGCGAACGTGTCCTCGTGCTCGAAGTACATGGCAATATCATCTACCGGTTCAGGTACGAATGGAGGCTTTGACCGATGCAATGTCTCCCAGCGGATGGTCTTGAAGAAAGGATGCGCTTTGATTTCTTCAGCATCTCCACCAACGACGAAGCTTGCATCGGAAAGGTTTTGATGGCGTCTCAGACGACTGACACTCGGGCCATAAGCTGTCGAGCCAAGCCGGTGATCTTTCTCTCGCAGAAGGTCTTTCATGAAGGCAAGTGCAGATTCAGTCGGTGCTGAGTAGCAAAGACCAGTGTTGGAGTGACGCTCGCCTGAAGGAAATCGAAGCACATCCCGATGGTGCTGTCTTGTTAGTACTGTAAGATGATGAAATGGGAGAAAAGTCATACCACAATGTTCCTCGCTGTCGTTTGTCTGTCCGCACTAAGAAATGGAGTTCTTGAATAGAGACACTAGGAGCAGTTAGGAGGAGCCTGTACGTGAAACACAGGCGAGACACACCTCGAAGACGATACAACCAAGACTCCACCAGTCACATCTGCCGTCATAAGTGTGACCTTGGATCACTTCTGGAGCCATGTACTGCTTCGTACCCACGATGCTCTGCGGACGTTCCTTCCGCATCCTCTCAGGTTCACTCAAAAGTTGTACCATGTCGCGTGCATTGTGCATCTCGTATGGTAGACGACTGCTCAACATACGAGGCACACCACGACTTCGCCGTGCTGCAGCCTGAACGTCCTGAACATCGCCCTGGAAGGGGATCTTGTATTTGTTCAAGATGGAGTGTCGTGTAGTATCGTAGTAGTCGTTGATGTGGGACCAATGGCCATCGAATGCGAGTCCAAAATCGGATATCTTCAGGTGACCAGAGGAGTGTATCAGAAAGTTGTCTGGCTTGACGTCGCGATGGATCCATCCCCATCTATGGGTCTCCTCGATAGCTAGAACCATCTCCGCCATGTAGAACCTAGTGTCATCTTCACTGAGAATGTCGTGGCGACACAAATATTGCAAGAAGTCACCTCCGATCATGAACTCCATTACCAAGTACAAGTTCGTGTTGTCCTGGAAACTCGCGATCAAGGGAACCACCCATTGAGATCCTTCTGCTTTGACAAGAAAGTCTCGTTCGCCGCGAAGATGTCCTTCTTGACTGGTTCGGATCATCTCAGCCTTGCGAATGACCTTCATAGCGTAACAGTCCTTCATGAGCCGAGGATTGTGACATTCGCGAGGGACCAAGGTAGGACAAGGTGCGCCGTTTGACGTGCATGGCGATGGATCCTCAGTGACAAAATGGTCGGCATCAGTGACCAATTTGACCAGACCAAAGGTGCCTCTGCCAAGGATACGAATCTCCTGGAAGCCGGCGTGGAACACACCTTTCGATGTGTGCCTTGCGACCGAAGTAGTCTTGAGAGTACGGAGTTGTCGGAGATGAGTCGACTCGGATTGTTCCCAGGCGCGAAGCAGCTCATCTTTCTCCAAAGATGATAAAGAGCTCTGAGCAAGGTGATCGAGCAGACGTTGTCTTCGAATAGAGCGCTCAGATTGTGGTTGAAGATAGCGTTCGTTGTAGAAGGTTTCTAGGTAGACTTTCACTGCAGAAACGTCTTCTAGGGTATCGATTCTCGTTGGCTGGAGCCTCAGAGACCTTTCGTCAATGGGAAACTTCTTGAGGACCTCACTCAGATTCTTGGGTACGCTTGGAGCTTTGCTCTGTACGTTGGAGCAGATGACCGTGGTCAATGTAGGAGAAACGCTGGAACCAGGAGGAGTGTGGCCTGCAAAAGCAGTGTTCTTCGGCGAGTCAGGACCGCTGACCTACAGCGAAGTCCGACCTGTCGACCTCTGGCTCAGCGGACTCGCGGAAGAGGAGCCATCAAAATTTGAAGTTGAGGAACCAGTCTTACTGTCATTGCGGTACTCGATAGGCAGACCCGATTTTTGACGTCGAGGGGTGCGTCGGACGAGTATTTCAGACTCCAGTAGGTCACTGACATTCTCAGCAGGGTCCGACATGCTGTAGAACATGGTGCTCCGGATGCCTACCCATTCGGGACCAGTTCCCACACAAGGGGTAATGTTGGAGTCACTCTCGATATACTCAGGGGCACCATCGAAGTGGACTGCCTTGAACGCTTTTGGGGTCTCGGAGCGGCTCTGGGCTTCATTTTGGGTTCCGGCTTGGACTTTAATTGCCGGACGAAGATTCGTTGTCTCGTTCGTTTCCCTTGACACAGGTAAGACGGGAGTCGCAGAAGGATTCAGAGGCAGGGTGTCTGAGCCTCATTAATGCTCGGTCCGGACGTGAAGAAAGAAGAGTGTTGAGGGCTATGGAAATGGTAGACATACCTTTGGCAGCACGCTTTTCGGCAAACCACTTGCTCGTTTTGTGGCGGAGCCGGTTCAATGGAGACTGAGGGGGATCGGGCACCAGGCAAAGAGATTGTTGTGATTGGATGTTGAGATCGCTGGAACCATGGTCGATGACTGTCACTGCAGCGTCTCTGAGGTAGATGGTCTGGCAGAGATGGGAGCCGGTCGGTGGAGATACAAGGGGACGTAGCTGAGGAGCACTTTGCTGAGCATGCAAACGACGCTCATCTCGGCTGCGAGTTGAGAAAGGCCATCTATCAAGAACTCGGAGAATCTGGATGTTCGGAGTCACGGGCATAATGAAGATGCTGGTTGAAAAGAATGCGGCGTAAAGATAGTACCGATCACAATACTCGTGTGGTTCGACACACGCGATGGATATAGAGAAAAGGTAGACGCTTGACTTACTTTGCTGAGATCCATCGCTCAACAGGTTCCCGTCGAGGAAGCAGCGTCTTGCTTGCTCCTGCTCTCAAAAGGCGGTGCACTCACGACGCCCGAAAGGACTGCAGCTTCCAACTTACCACAATCCGCGCTGCCGGTCAAAACGCGACACGATCTATCGCCAACTCTGACAGGGCGCTTGCACCGCATCGCTTCAAGATGTAACAGCAGGTGATACGCTGATGTTCGAGAGCGCAAAAGATTCATGTGGTGTCACATGGAAGAAGGCTCCTTTTCCCCACCCACACCGCTTTCCACCCAACGGCATGGCGCGGGGCTGCTGATGTTTGGATTCCGGCGCACGTCACGACCTGTCAACTGACTGTCACGCGCTCCCAGTGGTCCGAAACGTCCATGAGTCGGATAGGGATGGATAAAAAGACCGAATGTCGCGCAAGTCGTGAGACCTGAAGCTCTGCTGTCTTGTCATCTTTGCTCTGTCGAGCTCTGTGCTCATCCTATCCTCGATTGCCCTGATCGAAGCCTTGCAAAGATATCATCTTGTATTGCCGAAACATACGATACTCAAGGATCTCGCACGTCCAGATAATGCGCCATGTCTCCATCAATATTCCCATCATATCTTGTGCCATCCCTGCCATTTCGCCGTCGTAAACCGAGCACTGATTCCAACACCTCTACCTCAAGCACCAATACAACTGACAGCACAAGCTTTGAAAGCTACCTCCGAGGCAACACGTCTCATCTACAATGTTCCCGCTGTCAAGCACATCTAGCACTATCAAACCAAATTGTATCCAAAGGCTTTACAGGCCGTCACGGACGCGCCTATCTTGTCTCTGCTTCTGACAGCTGGGTCCAAGCTACACCAACTTCGAGCAAGAAAGACACACTGCCAAACCTTCCAAACATCTTTACGCACAAGCCCGCACCTCGGCAGCTTGTCACTGGTGCTCACACTGTTAGCGACATCAGCTGTGCACAATGCGGCAGTGCGCTGGGATGGAAATACGTCGCTGCCGAAGAGGAATCGCAGCAATACAAAGTTGGCAAGTTCATCCTGGAGACGAGAAAGACTTGTCGGAATAGCGGTTGGGAGGGCCAAGCGGATGCGATCGTCGAAGCTGGGGGTGTTGCTACGAAGACCAGATCTAAACCACTGGATGACATTGAGTTTGACAGCCAGGATGAAGATGAATGTGAAGATCTGTTCATGGGCATCTGGACACCTCAATCCGCAGACAGAAGGCGCAAGATGAAGACCTTCTCAAAGCAGAGCAGCTGACTATCAAAGAGAGATGGAGCACTGGTCGTTGCACCGATGTGACGAGCGACGAAATTAACGACCTCGATGTGGAAAGGACGAGCTGGGGCATTTTGGAGTATTTTGACTGGTTTTGTGAGGAACACGGATTATGATACCCTTAGTTTAACAATCATGCATTTTTTATTTTATCGCAACTCGTGAATCATGGTATATACATCGTTGGTCAACATACGCGATTGCAGCATCAAAGTGGCTCCTCAACCAGTATGAACCTCATGGTATTATGTCTCGGTCGTGATGGCGGTGATTATTAGTCGTAAGCAGGCGGTGAATCGTGTCGAGGCACAGAATATGGTGGTGGCTGTCCGCTAACATTGTGTGAGTATGGCGGTGGTGGATCGGCACGTCGTTGGGGGCGTGACGGAGCGCTTCTCGTCGGAAGAGTGCCGTAATGAGGGTAATGGGTGATTGTTGTCGAGCCGGAAGAGGTCTGCAACCAAGTGATGATGGTCTGGGACTGTCCATAGAGGGGTGTGCTTGTGGATTGCTGGAGTGCCTCTCTAAGCCTACGCTCGCGGTACTGGCGACTGCGAGTCTCGACTGCCCTGTGTTGTTCTCGTCTGAAGGCATCCTGGCGTCTTCGGTCTATCTCGACTCGGAAGAGGTCTCTGTGTGCCTGATGATCGTGCTGTCGCCGTCTCTCACCGCTCGAGTTTGATGATGTCCAAGAGGGTAAGCGTCTCCGTCGCTCAGGTCGAGGAAGTAGCGGTTGACATTCGCCGCGACGTTGGTGTTTCTGAGATCGACGCAGCAGTCTGCAGAACATGTAGATTGCGAAACAGCATAGGTAGATGATGGAGAGCCACAAAAGGAGGACCAAGATGGCTGCAAGTAGAGTATTTCCTGCGGCTACGAGCACATCTTCTGTCCATTCCAAAGCACCCCAGAAGAATGGACCGATGGCACGTGCGGCATAATTGAGAGCGTTCAAGATGATCAAACAAATTGAGACCATGAGCTCGAAGATAGTGGCTGAACAAGGCCAGTGATCCGGATGCGAGACCTGCATGTTGAGAGACAGAGAGGAAGGGATGGGACGGTGAAGAAGTCGAAAGATGGGGATGCGGTATTATTTGCAAATGGAGGCAGCGGTATGCAGACGCCTAAGGAGGATCTACCACGAGACGTGTGATACCGAGCTAGGCGAATGTGACAAGTACCTCTGTACACATTGAGAGAGACGAAAGTCACGCAAGCAGATGCAGAAGCGAGGCCATTGTTTAGACCTACAGGCTTGGAGATATAAGAAAGCGATGAGACGTTGACGCGCAATCAAAAGTTGAACAGAAAGTACGAGAGCCTTGTGAAAGTTACCACGTGCTTTAACAAGAAGATAAAGGCGGGAGGGTTGGACGGTCGCAGGCAGCGAGCTCGGACCGAAGGCGGTGAGCGATTGCCCCGCCAAACACGTTCCGACAACTCGCGCTCCGTCATTATTGTCGGCCTTAGCACAAGTCAATCCACTCGAACAATTCCAGTCTGCTCTTCATACAAACACCACCAACCAGTTCCTTCTTCCCCAATACCAGAAGTCGAAAGAAAGCACACAACATGCAGATCAAGTGAGCACACCACGACCCGGGATCCCACACCGCAACCAGCAGCTAACCACAGCCTTGCAGAGTGCGCACCCTGACCGGCAAGGAGATTGAGCTCGACATTGAGCCCGACTACAAAGTACGACATCACCCTTGATATAGAGATCTTCTTGGAGCAGCCCACGACGATACGCACCCACCAGGAACATCAGGACCCTGGCTGACAAAGCGCCACCCACAGGTCTCTCGCATCAAGGAGCGTGTCGAGGAGAAGGAAGGCATCCCTCCAGCACAACAGCGTCTCATCTTCGGTGGCAAGCAAATGTACGTGCGAAGAACCATCCAGGACGAAAGAGACGGGGAACACACGACTGACAGCACGGGACGAACAGGAACGACGACAAGACCGCTAGCGAATACCAGCTCGAAGGAGGCGCCACTCTCCATCTGGTCCTTGCTCTCCGTGGAGGACGATGATCGAAGAACCCAGAGCACTTGCAGTAACCCTTTAACACGCATACAAATGAAATAATGGACTTTTCACAATAGCATGAGATTGAGCAACTTGATCGCGGTGGAAAAGGGCATGCCTGAAGAATTGCAGCAGCAAAAAGACTGCACTGAATGTGGTTGCACCCTATACTATGGATAGTATGGCTTTCTTCTCTATCACAATATTTGAGATGATGGCGTCTCACAAGAACCACTCCGCTTTCCAAAATCGCTAGACTCATCTATGCAAAAGTCCTTTTCTTCGTGATGTACACAAATGTTTCCTGTAGTGATTTCTATCTTAAAACCACCGTTTGTTATCTGTTTCGTTGATGCAGCTCGGATGCGGCATTGAGCAGATAACAACACTCCTTGTCCTAGCTGTATGAGATATCCCAACTTATTTTCGCAAGCATGGTGTGACGCCGCTTCATGTGCGTCTCTTTTTAGCAGGCAGAAATGGATCATATGCAGGCCGTTTCCTTGCTAACGTAGAGGTCGACGATGTCGGTACTGGTGCTGGTCTTTGTGCTGGCACAGGCGATGGCCTCCGTTGTGGTGCTGATGCGGTTGGCGGTCTACTCGTTGATGTTGCTGCAGTAGGCCTGGGCTTGTTCGCCGAGGAACCACTGGTCAGAGCTAGCAATCTTCTTTCCTTGGCCTCTTGTTCTTGCTTAGTCTGGTTAATGGCAGAGTTCAAGACACGATCGGCGTAAGTTTGTGGTTGGCGAGCAAAGACGGGTCTGTATTGTTGACCTTGAGGCACAGCTGGGGGTGGTCTTGTGGGTCCAGGCTTCTGAGCATAATTCCGGATCATATGTGCGGGTGCCTCGTTGACTTTGCCTCTAAGCTGAGAGAGTTGATGCATAGGTACAGACTGAGCGACACTGCGGCCTGCTTGTCTCTGTGCGGTCTGACGTTTGAGGACGGTGATTGTTTGGGCAGCTGTTCTTGCGTTTTTCAGAGCTTGGTTGCCGAAGGGCTTGTCGCGGGGTGCTGACGAGCTCCAAGCTGGACGCTTCTCGCCTGACGGAATGACAGCATGTACGATGTGAGTCTGCTTCGCTCCTTTGTCGACCTTGTGTCTGTTGAGTGTAGCCTTGAGCCTGTCTTCTGCTGCCTGAGTGTCGGCCTCATCTTCTCTCTTGAGTTTGCGATACACCTTCCACCATGAGGAAGGGTTCTTTGGGCGTGTGGTCTGAAGCTTAGATTCGGCTTTTAGTATATCTCTTCGGATGAAAGCCTGCCAGAGTTCTGCGTCGTCTTCGGCGATGTGAGGGGATGCTTCTTCTATTTGACGCTACGACAAATTAGTAAGAGAAGACAGACTGGAGTGCCTAGTTTATGCTTACGAGCTGTGCTGGATTGGTGACTCTTTTGAGAACGGGCCTGATAGTTTCGTATCGAAGGTCGCCAACGTCGTACATGTCCATAACATTTCTGATACAAGCACGCTGTGCCATATCAAACAATGTGGCTGCCATCTGAAAGTAGGTGTTCTTTGTCGAGTATCGAAAGAGTCTGACTTTCCGTCGAGATCTTGATGACTCCAGGAGGTACTGATGTAGCAAGGACTAAGATGCGTCGCAAGTCGGTAATGCGATGGTGACCAGAAGCCGATGGCGATACAGAGCAAGAGAGCCAGATGGTTCAAGAGGTCTATTGGTTATTAAGGAGAACAAAGGGAGAGAGAAGAACAATCAAATTGACAATCAGCCGTCAATGACCTCGATAGCCCGCCTAGACCCATACGGAAAGGGCTGGCTTGTGCTTCGGATCTCGGCCCGCCGCAGCAAGTCTGGGGTAATTCCTGCTTGGCCGATCGGCGCCGCGATCTTTGGCGTTTGCTGCTTGCTGTGCTGTCTTGCTGCCAACAAATCTTCACAACCATCAAGAAACAATATCCTTCAGCTAGGATCTGGAACGCGCACGGGAAGTATACACTATGTCCGGTCACCCATTTGGACTGCTCGAGCAGTCAGAAGAAGGCAAGACAGTGAAAGTCACCGGCGAAAAGCAGGATGCTAACACCTGAATGTAGATGCATTGCACACTGCGCGCTTGCTCAACGTCGAAGAACGTCCATTTGCACGCGTTTCCAAGCGACTATTGGGCAAAGATTCACTCCTCAGAACGAGCGCTCAACTACCGACACCGCCGCCCGATGAGTCCGAAGCAGACCAGGAACAAGAGCGTCAGAAGAAAGAGCAAGAGCGAAGGCAATGGCGCGAGGATGTTATGCTAGACTTTGCCCTCCTGGAGAGTACTTTCATCCGCATCCAATTCCTGAAGGACAGCAACGAGAAAGAGCGCCAGAGATATGCAACTGAAAAGACCAAGATCCTGGAGACTGCCCAAGCTGTCCGCGACAACACTGCAGAACTACGCGTACAGCTGGAAGAAGCTCAAAAGACTTTGACTCTGCGCAAAGAATACGACGTCCTAGCTGAGAAGATTACCAACAACCGCATGCTGAAGCCGCGCGACGAGCAACGCGCAAATCTGGAGAAGCTGAATGCCGAGATTGCAGACCTAGAGAATGAGGGCGAAGAATACGAACAAACCTGGGTCGAGCGCAGGGAGCAGTTCGATAACATCATGGCTGCCGGAAAGCAAATGCTCAGGGTCATTAGGGGTGAAAAAGACGAGCCAGAGAAAGATGAGACCATGGACGACGGCGAAGAGCGTGAGGATGGCGAGGCTACCAAGGAGAATAGCCGAATGGGTACACCCGGACCTGACATGGGCGGCGAGGACGATGAGGTAAACTCAAAACGCAGTCGAGGACCATCACAAGGCACTGGAGCCAACACGCCTGCTGCGGGAGACGCACCGACACCAGATATTGGCGATACAGTGCCTGCTCCAGCAGAGAAGCCAATGGACACGGACATGATGGAGGCTGGAGAGACACCACAGCCAGCCCCTGTCTCGGAGCTGGAAGAGGGAGAAGCAGCTGAAGATTCGGCTGAAGAAGGCGAGCACATGGATGTGACCTAGATGATAAGGCTTGAGAGACACCAGAGATAGATGATAGAAAATTGCTGTGGTAATCATGGATCTCATTTATACTTTTGTATAGTTACACTGGTCATGGGAATGCGATGGTCTAAGAAGACTCGTTGATGGCATTCTTGGCTGAGGCTACGGCTTCCTTTGCCTTTGAGGTCTCTTCAGGGCTGTTTTGTTCACCCTGCTCCTATCATTCATGTGAGATTGGTTATGTTCCAACAATGTATTGCACAAAACTCACGAGTTGGTGTTCAAGCTTGGCCAGGGATTCCTGAATACGATTGCGGAGTTGAGGGAACATGGCCTTGGTCTCGTCAAGAGCTCTGTTCTGCACATTGTCAATATTCTGTCCCGAAAGCGATTGATTGGAACCACGAACCTCCTGCTTCAGGTTCCATTCGGCATTTTCTTCATCGCTGCTGGCTTGCTTGAGCTTTTCAATGCGAGCTTGTTGCTGTTCCAGCTCCTTGTGGTAGCTTGCCTCTTCCTTGACAAGGCGGTTGACTGCTGAGGTAGCGATTGCGAGCTGCGAAGGAGGAGCCATTCTGACAATGTGTCGTCGATTGAGAGTAGGGTGTGGTTCTGAATGTTGATGGTCGAACACTTGGGAGAAAAGCGAGACTATGCCCAAACGGGACAGATGATTGATGTCCACGAACCGAGCACGTTCGGCGCGCCCTGAAATTGTCCGAGCTTGGCTGTCTGTTTGTTTCTCGATCATAGCGGCCAGTCAGTGCAGTCTTGTCCGTATAACATCTCCAATCACAATGTCTTCTCCACCGGCAGCGCCGAGCAGTCCACCACAGGACAACTACGGTCCTGACGATCAACTACGCGACGAAGCGGCAGCATCACAGCAGTCATTGCAACCCCCTACCGGCAACACTACTCAGAATTCATCACAATTTCCCCCAGCCTCGTCACCACTCTTCTTCCACTCGTCACCTGCCGTCAATGTTGGTGCTGATGGCTTGAGCTCGCCCATGAGGGCCGAGTCAGCTCTACCAAGCGATGGCGGTCCTACACCAAGAGCCTCGGGACAAAGTATAGGAGGTGTGCAACTGTCCACAGTCGAAGCAGTAGAGACGGGAACTGACTAGAGCCAACAGATTCATCTCCTATTCGTTATGCGTCCAGCTCTAGCGGTGCTCCCTTGACAGCAGGCAACAGAGCCGATCAACTCCGTAGCGATAGCAGCGGCCTTTTTGTGCGCTCCCCCTACTCTGGAGGTCCCGTAGGCGCAGCTAACAGACGCCACGACATCGAGTCAGAAATTCTCTCTGGAAGCGGCCGAAGGAGACTTTTCGTCGACGAGAATGGCAGACCTACACGCAACGAAATATCGCCCTCGGACACCGCCACCTTCTCCAACGTCGACCCTCACACTTCTGAAGCTAACATTCTCGGAGGCCAATCGACCAGAACTGTCTGGGGAACCAATATCAGTGTTTCGGATACCTTGAGCACATGTCATACCTTCTTCCGCGACTTCCAAAGGAAGTACCGCTTGCGCTATGATGGAGAACTCACAGAAACTCAAAATCTGCCCGCAGATCATCCTGGGAACGAAAAGGTCTACTTGAATGCTTTGGAGATGATGCTGGACCTTGGAACAAGTCAACTGAACCTGGACATGGAGAACCTAAAGGCTTATCCCTCGACACAAAAGCTGTGGTACCAGATGCAGAACTTTCCTGCCGAGATCCTGCCCATCTTCGACCAAGCCTTGAAGGACACAATGTACGAGCTTGCTGAGAAGCGCATGTCGGAAATGCGTATCCCTTCCCAGCGTCTCCAGTCCGCTAGAGATAGCTCTATGCCAGCCATGCCTTCATCAGATATCGACGCCACTACACCACGACCTACGCAAAACGAGAACATCCCTGATCTCATTCAGGAAGTCGAGAGCCGTATCTTCAGAATCAGACCTTTCAACATGGGCAAGACCATCAACTTGCGCGACCTTAACCCGGGAGACATGGACAAGATGGTCAGCGTCAAAGGTCTTGTCATCAGAACCACCCCTATCATCCCGGATATGAGAGAAGCTTTCTTCCGCTGCTCTGTCTGTCACCATACTGTCAAGGTCGATATCGATCGCGGCAAAATTGCCGAGCCCACTGTTTGTCCCCGCGAGGTCTGCGCTTCTCCCAACTCCATGCAGATCGTACACAATCGCTGTGTCTTTTCCAACAAGCAAGTCATCAAGTTGCAAGAAACTCCCGATCGTGTACCCGATGGTCAGACTCCTCATTCAGTTTCCTTGTGTGTCTACGACGATCTGGTCGACGTCTGCAAAGCAGGTGACAGAGTTGAGATCACTGGCGTGTTCAAGTGCAATCAAGTCCGCATCAACCCTCGTCAACGATCAGTCAAGAACATCTTCAAGACTTACATTGACTGCGTCTTCATCAAAAAAGTTGACAAGCGTCGCATGGGCATCGACATCTCGACACTCGAGGAAGAGCTGTCGGAGCAGGCTTCGGGTGGCAAGGAAGAAGTCAGAAAGGTCAGCGCAGAAGAAGAGGCCAGGATCCTCGAGACTGGTGCTCGACCTGATGTCTACGATCTTCTGTCTCGATCCCTGGCTCCCAGCATCTACGAGATGGACGACGTGAAGAAGGGTATTCTCCTTCAGCTTTTCGGAGGCACTAACAAGTCATTCGAAAAGGGTGGTAGCCCCAAATACCGTGGCGACATCAACGTTCTACTGTGCGGTGATCCTTCGACGGCGAAGTCTCAAATTCTCTCCTACGTCCACAGAATTGCCCCTCGTGGTGTTTACACGAGTGGTAAGGGTTCGTCGGCTGTCGGTTTGACTGCCTACGTCACTCGCGACCCAGAGACCAGGACGCTTGTCTTAGAGTCTGGTGCTCTTGTTTTGTCTGATGGTGGTGTATGCTGCATCGATGAGTTTGACAAGATGAACGACTCAACACGATCGGTATTGCACGAAGTCATGGAACAGCAGACCGTTTCTATCGCAAAGGCAGGTATCATCACCACCCTAAATGCAAGAACCAGTATTCTTGCCTCGGCCAACCCCATCGGCAGTAAGTACAACCCAAACTTGCCAGTGCCTCAAAACATCGACCTGCCACCAACGCTGTTGTCGCGTTTCGATTTGGTCTACCTCGTGCTCGACCGTATCGACGAGATGAACGATCGTCGTATGGCAAAGCATCTGGTTGGCATGTACCTCGACGACGCTCCTGAGAATGCCAGCGCGAACGAGATTCTTGTAAGTTCCTGCCTCAAATCTTCCACTTGACTCTTTACTGATCATCACACAGCCCATCGAGTTCTTGACATCCTACATCTCCTACGCCCGCAACAACATCCAACCAAAGATCACCGAAGAGGCATCACAAGCCCTTGTCAAGGCCTACGTCGACATGCGTGGTCTCGGCGCCGACGTCCGCGCACAAGACCGTCGCATCACAGCCACAACCCGTCAATTAGAATCCATGATCCGTCTTGCCGAAGCACACGCAAAGATGCATCTGCGCAGCGAAGTCACAGCCGATGATGTCAATGAAGCCGTGCGTTTGATCCAGTCAGCACTCAAACAATCAGCGACAGATTCCAGGACTGGACTGATCGACATGGGCCTGTTGACCGAAGGCACCAGTGCATCGGAGAGGAAACGCAAGAGCGATCTCAAGGATGCGGTGCTCAGTGCTGTGGACGATATGCTCAGGAGTGGTAACGCGAGCGTCAGAGTCCAAGATCTATTGAGAAGGGTGGGCGAGGACTCGACTGTGCCCGTCGAATCTGCTGAGTTGGGCGAGGCGTTGCGTGCGCTCGAGGGAGAAGGCAAGCTATTGATTACTGGTGAAGGACAAAGACGTACTGTCAGGAGGGTCACTGGTCATGCTTGAGGAACTTTCTCGAATGTACGGATATGGATGATGCCTTTTCTCTGTTTCTAATTCTGGGAGAAAGGGGTTTTGGGAGGGGGTGTTTCTATCTCAAAGGATGATATCAAAGGCGTTTTCTGCTTCTTTCCTCTTATTCCACCATCTATTGTCCTCTCTTGCTTTGTCCCGCTCATGGAACGAGAATGGACATAACACAATCGTCGTTCGCAAAGTATAATCTTTGCGCATCTCCTTTGTGATGACTTTTGAGAAGTGATGGATTTGAGACTTGTATGCTCTTTCCTCTTCGCTTTACATTGTAGATTGCTCTGGTTTTTGTTGATTCATGATGTTTCGTAGCTGGCTGGTGCACTGTTCTGGAGTAGCAGCTCTCAAGCCTCGAGCAAGGGACTACAACAACGGTCAGCAAATGTCGCAACAGAATGCGAGCACTGTCAGGATCAACATACCCGAGGAAATCCTCCTTGATGGTTGCGATGGCGTACATCTGACCGACTTCACCTCTGATACCCTTGATCTTGACACGAATATGAGTACCTCTCTCGATGACTTGATCGGCATTATCAGTGAATTGTGGCGGCGTGGCATTACCATCGAACTTGATGTCACTGGGAATCATCTGTTGTCTCTCAGTCAGCCACTTTCCTCCTCTAACACTTTGGACCTCAAGAAATACTCACAGCCTTGCTAACAAACACATTCAACGGACCCACATCCACAAAGAAGCCATTGCTAACCACACTGCTCACCATACCATCACAGACCTCACCCTTGAAGGGTCTCCAAACCACGGCTTGGAACATGATTGTGAATTCTGCAAAACCGCTGCCTGGCAAGACGCGAGGTTCCGAAATGTCGATTACGCTGACGACGCAGACGATGTAGAAGTTTCCGGTGTTTGTGCCTTCGACGTCTTGGTAGAGGGTGTCGGTGATGTATTTGTGCGTGTCCTTGTCGAAGTAGGAGGGGTGCAGGTTTACGACCCGTTCCATTTCGTGGAGGAAGAACATTGTGAGGAGGGTGTGAAGGGTGGATGCGCGTTGGAGCGAGGAGTTTGGTGTTGGTCTGGAGAGTATGCGGGAGTTTGTTGTCGAGTATGCGGAACAAGGTGGTGACGCTAGGAAGCCGTTATGAAAGTCGCGATTGATGACGGGAACGAATCGGCGACAGCAGAAGTGAAAGGCGACCAAGCTAATGGCGCTTTAACTGCTATGTTGGTCGTTTTGAGAGACGGGCGCGCTCCAGTGGTTCCTTGGTGTCCCTAGAATCCTGGCGAAATGACCGTGATGTGACAAGAGCGCTGCGATCGAGTCCAGCCAATGCGCGCGCAGATGACAAGGGCGGAAAGCAATTGACGTCGGGATGGGAGATGCACGCGACAATAACAGAATCGCGAATCGCAAAGTTAGGTATAGCTGTATCGGCCTCGACGGCCTTGCTTGGCATTGTTGTTGCGACCGAGCGTCATTTATGTTGGCCCGCTGGCCGGCTTCACCTAGACATTTGGCATGATTTTCATGTGGACCTCCTCTTGTCTCTGGACTTCCACATTTGTGAGATATGCACATCATGTGCTGGAGATCGCGCGCTATAGGCGCTGTTCTGGGAAAATACCATCGTGAATACTCTTTGGAAGGGTTTCATATTTCAATCCGAACTTCCGACAAGTCCCCTAGCTGCTTAATATCATCCCCGATGGAGTGCGTAGCAATGTGCATTCTGTCTCTAGCAATCGTCGTCGTCTACTCGAATCTGCTGCCGGTAATCACACTCTAATCATCTCTGATCCTCGTCAAAGTGCACGACTCTTGTCAAGGCTCTTAAGTTTGGCAAGAGGATCCGTTGAGAGCGACAACCGTCTCCGTCGTTCAATCACCACTCACCGTCCACACGCTAGTACTACTCAACAGACATGCAACAGTTGAGCAGATTGCATAGACCGTCAATACGATGCGGTCTCGATGGGTGGCTAAAGCCAACAGCCTTCGTGAACAAAGAACTTTTTGCAAGTGGTGTGTCAATGCCTCTGCACAAAACTCGAGCTTGGAGGATTGCATTGTTCGTTGGGTTCCGGATTAGGATGCTCTTCTCGAACCTCGACTTCTGACATCCCATCAGCGGTGAATCGAACTTACACTGTTGTGCATCGACACTGTATAAAAAGATGTCAGCCCGAGAAGATGATCCGATGGACACTGATGGCAGTAGCTCGGATGGGAGTGAATCTCTTCTAGAAGATACCGAACGGGAAATTCTTGGACTCACTTCTGATGCCGAAGCATACGAAGATGTGGACGAGGACGAGGATATGGATCTGGACGACTCTGCCGAAGAGTATGCCTCAGATAGCTCGTCTTACAGCGATGACTCAGGATCGAAGGCTCTCCCGCCGGCTCGTGCTCCAGCTCTGCCTGTCAGACTCATGTGGCACGAGGGCGATCCAATACTGAGTACTATTGGCCTCGAAAAGCTGAACGACAAGGGATGTGTCAATCTCGAGACCATCTGCACAGATCAGTCTTTCGGCTATTCGAGCAATCGGCCTCTTCATGCCGCTAGATGGCGAGCAGAGCTAGAAGTGCAGAAAGGCTTGTACCATCAAGTCAACAAGCACAAGAAGGGAAAGTATGGGAAACTTGATGACATTCATCGTATCCATCCCATCTTTCGTCAGGACAATTGGGACGCGGACGACTTGCTGCTCGGAGGTGAGCAAAATTGCACCTTCGACAAATTGAAGCCAGTGCTACAATTGGCCACGTTACTCTTGGAAGACGAGAGCACAGTTGGTTACATATTCGCCATGCTTGACGTTAGCAGCCACAAGGAGATCACTCTTCCGGGGGTCGAGAAAAGACTGGGACGCAAAGTATACTGGTTCGAGCGACGTCTAAACCTCACCGAAGCAGAGCGACAAAGCGTCTGGAAGGATCTATACGAGCTCTCAGAAAACCTATGGTGGGTCGAGGTGGACTTGACGAACGAAAAGGAAAAGGTGCACGGGTACACAATTGGCTGCAGAGGTTCAATCGAGATACATTTGAACAAGCAGGACACCGACTGCGCATGTAGAGAAGTCCAATGCGCTGAAGACGCCGTCGAGTGGCAACCTGGCTCTAATGAATCCTCTGCACGGCTGAGAGTGATGTTCAATCTTGCTACCACACTGGTTCACGAAGTCTTGCACGCACTGTGGCGCAACTTCGAACCTTATTACATGGACACGAGAGCTGCAGAGCTGGGCTTCCAGTGGGAGCAACTCCTGTACTCGGGCCAGATCGATAACCCTACATCCGACAGAGGCAGTCCCTATGTGAGTCCCACGCTATAATCACTGCCGAAAGAGTCTCTGCTAACGTTCAATCAGATTTTGGAAATCAACAATTGGCCACCTCCTAACAGCGACGACGACGAGTATGAGAAGTTCCTCATGAGTCACAAGAAATGGGGCTCGAGCGATGTCCATCAAGACTTTGCAGTCGAGATGAGTTTCGTTCAAGGTGTGTTCACGCATGAGTTTTGGGAGGAAGTCGACCGATACGGAATCTCCAATTTCCGGCCTGCAAGAATGCTGGGTGTTCGTACCACTGTTGCTTCCAAGTATCGGGACGCCGAGAGCCCAACTATCAGGGGACTTGCTGATGGTAAACCTCCAAGTCCCGATGACGCGGATCCTAAGGGAGTCATCGACCGGCATTGAGTCGTCTGGTGAAGACAAAGGCAAATACTACGACCGGATTTGGTCGATGTTGTTAGCTATCGACAAAGAAGATGTTTTTTCTGTCAGCACCAATCTACGACGACAGAACTCGGCTTTGTTCGCGAAGCGAAGAAGATGTATACTAGCCATATAACTTTGGCTGGGCTCAAGCAACAAAGGTTAAAACTGTGTATGCAGACTTGTTCGTTTCCGGAAAGTCCTTGATCTTTGTACAGATTAACATGAACCCGACAGGGGCCGTGGAAGACCCCGTAGACTCACTCGAAACATCAGCTCTGCTATCCACGTACACTGGTCTAAGAGATGCCAGGCCCCTTTGGTGACGTCCCGAAAGCTCACGAAGACGCTCTTCGTAGAAATACACGATCTCGCGGCATAAGTGCGCCGCCTCCAATTCGAAGATCTCCCCGACTAGCCGGAATCCCTGCCGATAGTGACTTCGTTCTATCCTCGAAACGCTTTTTCACACCCGAGGGCCTCGGGATTCATTCAACTGTTGTGTTTGACAGAAAGAAAGGAGAGTGGCGCGGCGAGTGGGCTTATCGAGTGAACAAGAACACTCGCAAGAAGCCATTCTTCCCTGGACAGATCATCCAGGCTTTCGACGCTCATCCTCAGACTGTCCTCGACAAGACACTCGACGATCCCTGCATTGCACAAGTTGCCGCTGGTCCGGTATTCGCCAAAGTGAGAGCGATGATCGTGATCAATCTCACTGCCGACGGCATATTTTGTCTGCCAATGTACACATCAAAACCGGGCAAGAGTAAACCAGCGCAAAGACTCGCCGAGATGGCCAGTATCTGCGACGACAACAAATGGAAAGGAAGGACGCCCTGGGCCGGTCAGCCCCTTCAGATGACAATCTACAGTCCCAGGGACTCGCCAAATAGATCATTGATCGAGCTACTACAGCCCGTCCACGTTCTTAGCGCATCGAGGATCATACCAATTGGCTTTATATCTGGCGGAGAGTACGCGAGATTAATGAGGCTTCTTCACCATAAGGAAACTCAGGCGAGAGCAGCGGCATTCCACGTTTATGGCGAGACGTATCTCCCAATAACTGGTTGGGCGCCAAAGCCTAGGATCCATAGGCCGTACCCCAAGGCCAAGGCTAATATGCACAATAGGACGGGCATGAGGTGGTAGTGCCATGGAGATCCTATCACATCTTTGGGAGACATGGATTGGTCAGCGATGGAGTATATGGGATGTGGGACTTCACAGCTCCTTGGGTTTTAGATTTACTGTTGAGCCAGTGTAGTACCGATATATCTTTCGTGCTTATTGCCAGGCCTTCCTCATGAAGATTGCAATATCTCAAGCTCTAGAAAACGACAAACATACGGTATGAATCCATCGTCATGTGCGCTAGATTTAGTAAGACCAAGTGATCTTCAAGCAGAAGGCCCCTCTTAGACTATGTCTTGAGCGAGCGAAGCTTCTGCTTCTGAGAGGAAAAACGTGCAAATTGAGCTTGCGAGCTTACTATATGAAGAATTGAGGACGAAAATTCCCTACTCGGGTGGTCAAGCGCCCAAGTGTCAAACACACGTCGGGTCGCATACGGGGGCTGTTCGTGATTTGTGGATCTTCAGGTATAGGAGATTGAGTACGACCTGATCGTTTGTGATCAACCTCAAGGCTTTTTTTTTTTGCATTCCTTCATTGGGTCACACACGTCCCGCAGTGTCAGTGAACAGGGCTCAATTTTGAGCATGAGCAATTATCTTACACTATCATAACCCACAAGCGACGATCAAACAAGAAGGTCTCGTCAATTTCTTTGGAGCTGTCAAAGACAAAGAATTCATGCAGTCAACGATCGAGACTCGACAGGCCGGAGTCAGTTAGCTCGGGTCAGGAACAAAGACACAAAAAACTGATTGCAGTCCTCATAAGTCGTCAGATATCCTCAGCAACCCATCTCCGCAACTTCTCCCGCAAACTGTTTCGCACCATACTACGTGAAACACAATGAGTACATCCGTGACACACGTGTTCACGGTAGACGACATCCCGCTTGGACCCGATGGAAAGACCCCTCTCCGAAGATCCAAGCGTATCCGCAAAGTCAAAGGGGATCACGTCCTAATCGAAGAGGAGCAAACGATCAAAGGCATAGACTACAAGAGACGTCTCTTATACGATGAGAATATAAAGAAGACCGTTAAGCTCTACGCCAACAGAGCGCTGAATGTCAACCTCGACAATCTGTGGCCTGGACGTATCGTCAAAGCGATTGCCTGCTATCCTCAGACCAACTTGAAGATCGAGCCATATGACGGCAAGACTGCAGCGACTCGCTTGGCGGGACCAGTCGAGGCAAAGTTCCGGTACATGATCGTTGTCTGCAGGACTGATCAGGGTGTGACCGCTGTACCTCTCTACACTTTGTCCGAGGCGAAAATGCGCGCTTCTAGATGGGAAGAATATGTCAGTGTCTGTACAGAGCCTCTCTGGAGGGGCGAAACGCCCTGGGCCGGTATGCCAATCCTCGCTAAGTTCAACAAAGAGTACGACTGCGAGGACAAATGTTTTGCCGATCTGTCTCGTCTACACTTTATCGGACAGAATGAAGCAATCGCACACGACGTTGGCAGGGTTACCGGTGGAGAATACAAAAGATTGATGGATCTTATCAACATGAAGGAACGCCAGTTTAGGACGGCTGCCTTCGCAAACTTCGACACAAACAACAACGCGCCTGAGATCTACTCCCCTTGGACGCCGACCAAGCCGCATCAGCCATTGCCAGGAAGGAGATACGCAGACGACAGGACAAGAAGGATGGATGCGAAAAAATTTGCTTAGAGTCAAGGATTAGATGGATTTCTGTTGCTTTTTTCTGTATCCTATCTCGAGGGATCACGGTATGGGATTGGTTTGTATGTACTGAAGTTTTGTACTGTCGAATGCTGCTATTCACGTACGTCGTGGACTATGACAAAACTGTATCAAAATATGTGCTATCTTCTAGCAAAGAGCAATGCGGATGGAGCAATATTGACGATCTCAATGTGATTACTAAATGATCTCGGTGACAATTGTTTTTGGAAGTTGGCTGCGCGTTTTTTTTGCATATACATTAGTTGCCCTTTCCGCGACAGAAACATATCTATCATCTTTGAAGCTGTAGCCTGTACTGACGAGTCTTTGGAAGGAACAGCATAGTGATGTGTGATAACGTTTGGGACTTCACTCAAGAACAAAGACCTTGACTCCAAGCTGAAAACGGCTACCTGCAATAGACAAGATACGAGAAATTAATCCCTTAGATAGGAAGGAGAGGTGCACAGTCAGCAGGTGTCGTTGACACGCCTCACCAAAAGTGCCGAGTTTCTGCCATGTGTTGTGCCAGCAATCTCTCTCGATAACCATCTCTTTTCAGCCAACAGGCATGATCTTCTCCCATCTTCACAACCTGTTACACTGTCGCAGTCCACTGTGCAATGGTCGGAGAATTTGTCGCATGGTCATGGTTGCGGTCTGCACGCTATACATGTCCGGCCAATCATGTTTGAAAGGCTTGTTTCGATTACCGCCTGTCCAGCATGCTCATAATCTGTCTGAAGACCATCAACAGCGTCAAGAGTGTCAACAAATGAGCAAGCGCCAATCATGGAAGCCACACCTGAATATGGCTGGGTTGGGAAACCAGATGAGTGATTGGCGCGCATGCAGAAGGAGCACAGCATGTGGCACGGACTTTCGACATGGACTGGGCGCGTAGCAGCCAAAACCTCGGGGAGTATGAATGGTAGGTCTTCCTGGGTCGTACCTTCTGGTCTCTACTTGCAATTCCGTCGTTCCTTCCTACTAGTTTGACTTTCCTTGTGTCTTGCGTTTGGTTTCTTGTTTCCTCGAGCTGGTTCTCCGATCGCCATCATACCATTGTCGGTTCGTGACTAGGTGTCGTCGAGCAACACTCTCTACGTTCGGATAGCAACACTCTTCTTGGACGAAACATCTAGACATTGACGCCACGATGCGACTTCCCTCTCTTCTCTTCGCTGCTATAGCTGGTCTATGGCAGCAGCCGCTCGTTTCCAAAGAAGAGTCGATCACAAGCACACGCCATATCCAAGTTACCAGAACTGTTGGCGACTTGTCCAGTACCGTGTATGCTGTTCGTATAGGTAAATCGACCATATACATGGAACACCTGCCTGCTACCCCGGCCACGAGATCAGTTCCCTGGCAAGCACTACAAGCAACGCATCTCGAGTTGCGTGCTGAAGAACTTAGCACGATGCATATCAAAGTCACTCAGACAATAGCTCAGATCCAGTCCACAATGTTTGCTAGTAAAGTCGGGACCTCCATTTCGACTATCACGAATGCTCCTCAGTCTCTGATTGAGGAGGCCGCGGAGGATGCAGCCGAGATGTCGTCCCAGCAGTTGGCGGTCGCTGTATCATCAGCGAAGGCCGACGCATTGGCACACTCGACTGTCGCAATACTGACGAGCACTACTCTGCCTTCTACCCCAGAGGCATTGGCCCAGCCGTCATCGACTCAGGCTGAGCCCGCACAGTTCACCAACTCAAGCTCTCCGACGACTTCGACTCGATCTGTGGCCACCAGTCCGAGTAGCCAAGGCAGTGGTGAGACCATGCTCCCAATAGGTCTCGAGCTTCGAGGCAATACGGCAACCACGACTAGCACTCAGCTGCAGACAACGACCAACGAAGCACATACTACAGTGATGCTCGTTATCGATGGCTCTTCGACGTCAACTGTGACTTCAATGCCTGCTCCTTCGCTGCAGGGTGTTGCCTCTTCGCAATCTTCTGCCACATCAGCATCGAGTACCTCGGGGCAGGCCACAAGCTCAGAGCGTTCCCCTAAGACCACACAAACTGTCGCTACATCCGTGGCTATCGATACAAACGCTGCTCAAGTCAAGAGCACACAAACCGCTTTGATTCAAGCTTCCACCTACAGTGATGAAGTGTCTACCACCGTCTCCTCTGCGGATTTCACGACGGCAACAGCATCATCAGCAACGGGATGCGTCGAGGACTGTTCTACTCACGTACTCTCAACAATCTTTTCCACGTCCAGCTCTTCCTCCACTAGCAGCAACAGAGTCTACACGTTCTCTGTCACTATGACAGAAGCATCCTCTACCTCATCCGCCGGCGGTACAATTGTCCCGTCCGCTGCGCAAACTTCGGATGCGGCCACCATCTTCACATCGTATGGCTCACAAAGCAGTGCATCCACGGCCGCGGATATCGCTGCTGACAACGCAGCTGGAGCATCCGGCGGCTCGGGCAGCTTCAAGCTCAGCAAGGGAGGCTTTGCAGCAATCATTAGTGTCGTGTCTATTGGTGTTGGTCTAGGCAGTACGTCTCAGAGAATCGCCTCTATAACACCTCACACACAAAGCTAACAACACCTCAGTAATCTTCCTCGTCCTCTTTGTCGTTGCCAAACGTCGTCAATGGAAAGTTCGCCAATCCATCGCTCGCGCTTCCCGCCGCATAACCGGTCGCTTCTCCTCACACCCTAACAGAACAGCTTTGCGCTCAGAGAAAGAGCCCACTCTGCCGATCATCGAACCTCGTCAACCCCTTGGGCCTCGACCCGCACCATCTAGCAGACGCAATCAAGGCTTTGCAAACATTGACGCTACTCTGCATTCCAACTACCGTGGCGTGGAGACAGTAGGCAGGAGTATGTCTAGAGGCCCAGAGGCTTGGAGGAAGGCAATGGCCATGGAGCGATTACAGCAGAGTCAGAGAAGGAAGCCTGAGCTGAGAGTTGATACGGGTGCGGCTGCTAGGATGGAGGAGGGGAGACGGGGACGACAGGCACAGAAAAAAGGAAGTTGGAAGGATTTGTTCAGAGCACTGTAAGCAGTACGGCAGAGTTGTCTGAGAATATGAATATGATGTAGATGCCAGAAGTGATAGAATGAGCATATAGGTAGTCTTGCAAGAGCTTAATGGTATTTGGAGTTCGTCGTTGCGTTTTGCCTTGATCAAGCTATTCTATCAATTGATATACAAACAGAGTCTCGTTCTCAGTCATCCTCGTCATCGTCGTCCAGACTCACAACAGCATTCCTTCCCCTTCGACTCGAAGCAGGCGCAGCAGACGGACGTGGCGTCCTACCGCTCAACCTCTCCTTCTTCATCCTCTGCACAGGCGTCTCATCCACATCCATAGCATCGTCATCGTCATCACTGGCAATACTGTGCGGTCTGTTGCTACCCTCCTCATCACTATCTTCCTCGGCATCCCGGTTAGCCTTTTGCAATCTCGCAATCTTGCGCTTGATCATAGGATCACTGTGGATATCCGCCAACGTCAAAAGCTTTTGACATCCAGGGACTGGGCATTGAACAGCAGCAGCACCTTCGGAGCGCACATGATTGTTAGGCATCTGGATCATGGAGGTGATGGCTTCGCGCTCAAACGAATGAGGGCATTTGCGACTGGTGACTGGATCTTCGAATTCTCGCAACGTCAATGGACATCTTGTGCTGATTGTTTCTTTTGCAATTTGCAGATCGTCATCACTGTCTTCGGTACCCAAGGCGGTTTCTCCAGCATCGGGGCGGTCTTCTTTGAACCAGAGGTGGGGTGGAGGAACATCGTCGTTGTGATAGCGAGCGTCGTGGGTGATTTTCTTGAAGCCGATGTAGTGGTTATTCTTACTGTAGCGGTTCGTCAAGGATTGAGTGTTGTAGCGGTCTTTGGCGCGGGCAACGCGGTCGTTGAAGAGATGGGCAACGGCAAGTGGACGCTGAGTGGCGTTTGTCGGATCAGTGGGGTCAAAATCGGGGTACTCTTCGCTATCCTCTCTTTGTGTGCGTTGTGTACGCTGGGTAGAGGCATTGGAGACGTCTCTGACAAGCTCGGCGAGGGTGTGTTGCATATCTTCGATGTTGTTGTCGGCGTCGATCATCTTGCGTACATCCTTGTCCATTTGAGCCGTTATGCTGTCGACCTTGGCCTGCAGCTCTTCGAACTGAGCCTCCATCTCTTCGACACGTTGTTGGCTTGTGGTGGGATCATCTTGGTTCCTGGCTTTTGAGCGAGCGAGGTCGGTCTCTTTGCTGCTCAAGGCTTCGTTGGTCTCGGCGGCGGCTTCACTCAAGCATGAGATGACTTCAGCAAGCAACTGGTGATGGACACCAAACTTTGTGGGTTGTGAGAGCTGGCGCAGCCTGTCACGACCAGCGGCGCTGAGAGGGTGTTGAAGCGGTTGGTAAGGAGGGAGTTCGTTGGTGGGCGCTCGTTGTGTCGAAGCGGCAGTACCAGCTCGACCAGGCGTGCCTCTAGCAGGTGTCGATGCGACTGTCGAATGTCTCGTTCTCAGCGACATGATGGTTGTGTCTTCGGCTGACTTGCAGCTCTCCAAAAGTCGTTTCGAGGAAGACGCGTTTCAGGGCGCGTCCATTCGCGCCAAGCCTGGCCCGTTCCTTCCTTTTGTTCCACGACACTATCGCTCCTTCCTTTCTTCCTCTTGTACAACATCACCATGAAATTTTGATCAATATGGTCTGGGATACTGAATGTGCTATTCGCTTATGTCCATTTGAGCTACCTGGCTCTGGTTCCTGATTACATGAAAAGCATTTGTGGGTATTACTGTCTCTTAGGGCTTTCGTGTCCTCTTCTCTTCATCATTCGTCCTGCCTTTTTCCAATCTGTCGGTTGCTAGTGCTTGTTACTTGGTAATGAAGCCAAGGTAGTCAGCCACGATGAGTGTCACCATACTGTCGTGCATGTCAGCAATTGTCACGATACACTAATTGGTCAAACTTACGCGTGAGGCGCGATGCGCACGTAGTATGTCGAGAATCCTCTGTAGAATCTCAATGGTCCTTCCTCGGCTGCGACCTTCTTGAAGCAGTCGAACATGCCCTTGTACTGAACTTCACCGTTAGGTCCCTTGGTCTGCTTCTGCAGTCTGGTCTTGACAAAGTCGAATGGCAGACTGAAGAAAGATGCGAAGAAACCTGCTGCTGCCGATGCTGTCAGGGTCTGGGTGCGAGGCGACAAGGATGTGTCTTTGAGTTGGTTCTTTGCTTCCGAGAAGAAGGCAAGTTGTCCAAAGTTCAAGGCCATGGCGCGCACTACCGTGGGTCCAGCACCAGACCAGAGCGCAGCGACTCCTTCCTTCTGCGAGATGCGAGTCAGGGCGTCGAAGACCGACTTGTAGTTTGCACGCTGCGCTGCAGGCTTGAGACCATCACTCTGCATGCGGATGAGCGCGAGATCTGCAGGGTTTCCGACCATGGCTGCCAATCCGCCTGCGGAAAGACCAGCTACAGCACGCTCAGCGAAGCCAACTTGCTTGCCCTGTTCCTTGGCTCTCTTGCTCAAAGTGCCCATGAAGGTGTCAAAGATGCCAATACGGGCTGTCGTGTACACGGCTTGTCTCAAGAGGCCTGCACTGAGACCAGTGTACAGATCGCGGGCCTTGCCGCTGGCGATGATATCGCGGGTAATCGACAGAGGTGAAGGTTTAGGTCCAGTCTTGACACCTTCGCCAGCAAGCTGCAAACGCACCTTGATCATGTCGATTGGCTGGATAACTGATGTGGCGACCATACCTGCGATGCCACCATTGATGAAAGGCAAAGCAGCGCGAACGAAGGGTGTGTGCAGGATGTCCCGAGTGGCCTTTCTGGGGTTCTCGGCTGCTGCCTTCATTGCTTGAGGCGCATCCTTGGCCGCGTTACGGGCCGCAGCTGCGGCTTCGGAGAGAGTCGAAGTGGTGCTCATGTTGGGCAAACAGAAGTGTTCGAAGAAAGTTCCTATCTTGCTCGTTCGAAGATATAGGCTGACGGATAATGCTTCGACCTCAGTTGGTTGGGCTGTTGAAAGTGTCTTTGGTCTGTGTTGAGTGACACGAAAGATGTTAGTCAATTGCTCTTATCAAAGGTAAGCGGGTAGCAGCATGCATATGAGCCCATCAATGTAAGTGGTTGAAACGGCTTCAGATCGGGATGTGTGGAGAGGGCTGGCAAGCCAGCCGGCACCCGCCAACGCGAAATGTTCCGTCCATACAATTGTTGCTCCAGACCGTGAAGCCGCGATGGACGGTGTTGTGACCCGTGATAGCGATGACTCCTCACGGCAATCATACGAGGACATACCGGGACTTTGTGGTGGGGACGAACTCGATTGCTTACCTTTGATATCAGACACCCGGTTTGTTAGCGCTTGCTGGGCTATTGTCTTCTGCACTCAAGCTGAAGTGTATAGTCGACGATGTCGAGCTATAAGGCGTGCGCAAAACTGGAAAGATTATATAACAAAAGCAGATGTTGTTGTCGTGGAAGAGGATCGAAGTGAAGGAAGATAACGCTATTATATATCGGAGTTGCGGATGTTCCCCAAGGCTGGTAAACAAGGCTTTTGTTTGTCCGGAATTCTACGATTCGCTGAAGGAAGAGAAGCTCTCGAGCAGCAGAGGGAAGACGAGCTTCTTGATCTAGGAAGTCACTTTGTTACTCGCGCCTTCCTACGAGGCTACGAAGGAGATGCGGGGTCGATCACAAGTCGTTTGTATCAGCAGCTCTCAGCATAACCTTTGCCCCGCGCCCAATGGCAGTGACCGTTGCCTGCACTTGATGCAGACGAGTGAACCTAGGCTAAGGCCGCCGCGTCGCCATTCGCTCGCTCATGAGGTACACACAGGTAGCTACGTTACGCGTGTGGATCTCTGGGCTTGCTTGTTTCGTGGACTGCCTTGTCAATAAACCTGACCCAGGGCCCAGGTTGCTCCGGAAAATCAGGGACATTGTTCTCCAAGGGTCTCAAGTCCCTTGTCTACAGACCACCACCGCTGTATCTCTTGGAGACATTGTTAAATTCTTGCGTGGAGACGGAGAGTGAAGTTGCCGTCGTTATTTGCTGACCATTCGGGTGGAGAGAACGTGGATCCCCCCACATCCTGCGGAGATCGCGGCCGTCGACAGCGGGGAGATCGGCTTCCCGACATGCTCCGAACACGGAAATGGACGGATGGAAGTGGTCTTCAACTCCTCCAGGGGCCGATGCCGAGGCCTCATCCTCTATGACTCCGCCGCAATCGATTCTACGAGCATGACATCTGAGAGTATCTCCAGACGCCATCAGCACAGCTAGGCCTGGCTCTGGAATCTTAACGTCTAGCCATACAAAACACAAGTGTGCAAAACGTGTGACTACCAACTGGACATCTCTCTGTAAAACAGAGATCATCCAATAAACCTTTATCTTTATGGCTCTACATAGTCTTGTTTGGCTTGCAGCACTCGAATTCGATCGCAGGCCAAACGGCCACAACCGCTGCGCTGTCTCGAGAGCTTCAGTTACACTTTCCCCTTCCTCCCGGCTGTCCACACAAGAAGTCTAAAATTGCTCTTATTGCTCTCGATAGATTGGGAAAACCTCCTCCCATCTTTCTTCACCGACCCCCCATCGGTCTCGCAACGAAGCAGTCTTGCTAGTCAGGATTTCAGTCTCCACGTCGACTCGAGCTCATCCAACTCCACGCTCAAGTCCTGCATGTCAGTCTGGCATGGTTGATACAGGCTATGATCTGGTAGTCCAAAGCTCTGCCATTGTTGGCTCAGATCAGTCAGATGCATGATCGGTCGAGGTCGGGTGACAATGCCAAGAGGTCCCGATGCATTGGGTGAAGTTCTTGCCTCGTCAGTCGAACTTGTTATGTTCGAACATCGATTTGAGGTACTGGTCACCGCTCGCAAGTCGCCTCCCACATCTGCCTTGAGTCGTAGAGCGATGTTGTTCGGCGAAGCACAGATTTGCAACTAGTTTCCAGCACGATCCCGTTCTGTCTGCTTAGATTTTGCCCATGTCCCATCCGAACTCTGTCGCAGCCAAAAACTTCCACAGATCTGTCATGCTGATCCTCGAGGCAGTGTACTCCTTGTTTTGATCAGAATCTCATCATGGACTCGTTTCCTCAAGAGCTTACTGGCTCCCTAAGCAGAACCTCGATATGGACATATCTTCGATAAGCCGGAACCTATATTTCACTGAACCAGTTATGTTCCAAGGCTTCCTTCGCGGTCAATCTGGAGTTTGGGTCGAATGCCGTGAGACCGCTTATTAAAGTCTTGAAGCCACTCCACTCCTCCTTGGTACAGCCAAGTGACTCGTTCCAAAGCCAGAGTGAGAATGGCCTGCGTGGGTTACTGTCCCCAATGTCGTCCCATAGAATCTCAAATACCTCTGCCCAAGGATTACCGCAGAGATGGTTCAGCAAACCTGTTATACCATCCCAGTCGGCAAAATATGATATTTGGCGTGCGATCACACGAGACAGTAGCTCCTCTCCTTCCTCCAATTCTGATTTAGCGACTGCAAGCACTACCTTGTTGGTGACTGTATAGATACACTAATCTTGTCAGTCCAAGCGCATACGAACGACAAGACTGGCACCAACGACGATGATGCCGATTTCTTGTGACTTACAACAAGGCCAAATGAGAACATATCAGAAGGCGAATTCACTGGTCCTTGTGCGTGTGCCTCTGGACTACGCCACATCCAATTGCCGACCTGTAGCCCAACAATATTGCGGCCAGGCGGAATATAGCAGGCGTCTTCTACATCCGCTATCTGAACACCGTTGACCACAATATCGTGATCATGGCCGGGGCCCCAATCGACAAGGATATTGTTCGGCTTGATATCTGTGACCAAGTCAGTATCGGGGATTACATCAGAGTCAGCGTCTTCACCTGTATGAACATAGTCGTCTGCGTGTAATGCTACAAGTCCTCGAAGCGCGTCCTTTAGAATCCGTTTCCTCGACCTGAGTGAGAGCTGCTGGCTAGCACACAGATTCAGGAGATCGTCTTTCATGTAGGGGAATATGATCATTGCGTGTTCTTCGTTCGTGTCTTCGAGTCTTCGTACAAAATCGCTCATAGGCAGGCCTTCCTGAAGTGCAACATCGTTGTGAAAATCCTTCTTAGCAGTGTCTTTCAAGACGAAGAGTTTGTCTCCAGCGTTAGGTTGATGATAAGTTATGTGCTGCGTAGAGATCATGTCATGGTCTTCGGTACTCACATTGCGCGGTAGATTGTTCCTGAAAGGTCTTCCCTATGTTGTAGGACTTTTTCCAGAGTATATAGGCGACCCGATTGGCCTCGAATTTTAATACCAAGACGAAGTGTCGCAGAACAACGTGGAACATCACTCTCCAGGCTGGATCGGAATCTGCAACGAGGAGATAATGATGGACGTACATTAGAGATTTGCAGAGGTCTCGCGAAAGGCTTGAGAAGCATGGTGATTACGGAACCTGACACCCCAGGCTTGGAAACTTGGCCGGACAGTTGAGTCTGCGAACAGTTTATCACATATGATTGTTAATATGAGCCGGCAGGTTGTCCTCTCCATAAACAAACACGGGCATCCCTAAGGTCGACGTGCATGAATTCTGTGGTCGGTGCGCACTTCCGTTTCGGAGCGCTAGCTGTCAGTCAATCAGTTTAACTCGCATGCTTCTCAGTAGTAGTTTAATCAACATCAATAGCGACACAGAGCTTTGTTGAGACTTGATTTCTAGCTGCGGTCTCCTAACTGAGATGGACGCATACTGGAAACGATCCAGCATATCGAGGACAGCGCTATACATCATGTCTGTAATCTCGAGTTAGGCAAGAAACACACCGATATCCTTGAGCGTATGTTGGCTGACTGTAGCATCTGTTGACAAAACATCGTATGGACTCGTTCTTCCAGCATCTCAAGCTCTGACTATAAAGATGAACCCACCAAGATTATCGGAGATAGCTTAGACAAACTCTCGGCGTAGATTGTGCAACCCTCCAAATCTTTGTGAGCGGAAGAGGTTTATTGCCTGGACCTTGGTCTTGATGCGAGCATCAGATGTAGTCGGCAGGTGCTCCCCATACACCGCCCGGCAAGGACGGACCGCCTCCGGCTTGCGTACATCGACGCTCTTTGAATACTAATTCTGACAGTCAGCATTGCTATCAACATTGTAGTTGTCTGCAGAACTGGAGCGATAGAGCCGGGTCGGCATGATTTTTCAGCTCCCCCTTGGTTCGCGTCAGATAAACCCCCGCTGCTAAACATAGCAATAGCGTTGATCTACCGAGGGATCCGCTCGCGCTGCGCTCTTGCCTTGTTCGACGCTTGAAACCTTCTGCTTCCTCAGTGTTGGTACCATCATGAGGTCACAACGAGCTATGGGCTGCCTATAGCTCCATTCATACCCATAGCCGCCACAGCGCTCGCGTCACCAAAATACTACCATGGCTGTGAGGCTCAGAAACCAGAGGTTGACGTGCGAGTACTCGTACAAATCCTTCGCTTCAAGCGGAACAGAAGATCAACAGTCGATGGAAGCTTAAATATCTCCGTACAGTGCTTGTTTGGCTCGCACTTCAGTGTCAAGGGATCAACACTAGAAGCATCTCTCAAGTATTATCAGGCCCGGTGTTCTTCCTCCCTGTCTTTCATACATACCAAATATGCCGCGAGTGTTGGCGCAAGCGCTGCTGCTAAGCTGCACGTTGCAATATGGACTTGCAGCGACTCAAGTTGGCCCGCCGCAGCCCTTTGGATCTCGGCGAGCCGCATTGGAGCAACGACAAGGTCTGAACAAGACATCGACCGAGTCAGACCTCGCAACTGGATTGAGCTCTGCTGCACAATGCGCTCAAACTTTGGCATCGTGGCATAGTTCTTTCACAAGCTGGTCTTTTATCCACAACTTGTCTTTTGTGTCGACCGAAACAGAAACACTACCTGCCGGAACTGTTGTGACAGTACCTTATTTCAGCGCGACTTCGTTAACGACACTATGCGATGGCCATCCTCGAGTCGTGGGTTCTGCTGCATCGACGTCGACGACGTCAACATTGGGCAATCCTCACTCAAACACGACAACCCAGTACCCTGTCACCTCATTTCAGTACAATGTACCTCCGTATCCCACGCCTCAACCGTGTTTTATACCCGATGATGAATGCCAGGCGCTTTACAATCAGAATGCTTCAATGGTCTTCGTCTCGTACAGTTCAATCTGCAATTTCTCAAGCACCAGTACCACGACTCACACTTATGCGACAGCATCAGCCGGCGGCCTCTGTTCGCTTTGTTATCTACGGGCTAAATCGGCCAGACTCCTTTATTGGCCTGTACGGACTTTTGAAGGCAGCGGCAATATCTGCAACAGCTCCGTGCAAACTGTAGGACTGCCGATGACTGGCGACGGACCCAACACATTCGTCACAGATGGTATCACGATAACGTCGCCTAGTGTGGCCATATCCTTCGCCAGTGTCTCACGTGTCGATGGATGCTTCACCACCTTGGAGAGCACCATTATCGTTGTCTCAGCGTCCGAAGTGATGTCTGCTCGTTCAGCCAGAGCACTGTACGACCACAAGCCATTCCGCTACCAAGATCTCAATTACAAATGTCAGCCTGCGAATAGCTCGACATCGTGGATCCAGGATGAGCCTGGTGACGACTGTTTCCAGCAAGTCCCTGCCGCTGCCTACTTCGTTGGAGAATCTGCGTTCGCTTGGGATGAGTACTGTAAGATCTCCTCCTTCTCTTGCATACTTGTGTAACAGAAAACTGATGGTGTGTCAGATCCTACCGCATATACTCGGGCACTGACTATAGGAGATGACTATCGGCCCTATATCCTGTTACCGTCGACGATGACAGAATGGGCAAACAGTGTCTTTCACACCACGAGCTGCGAGATCCAAGTCAACGGGATATGGTAGGCCAAAGTACTTTCCGCATCCAAGAATGACTGTTGACTAATTCCACGATTCAGGGATCCCCCACGAGCATTGATTCCTGGGACCACCGTTGCGACACCAGTCGTGGCTTGGTCGACTCCTCCTGCTGCAGCTGCATCAAGCACTGTTTCTGCTGTTCCAGCAGAGGCTGACCATACTCAACTGCCTGAGACATCCACATCACAGATTCCAGCGACAAGCACCGCACTTGCGGACAATTTAGGCAGCGAGTTCTCCTCGTCAAACGAACCTAGCGCCGTGACGAATACGGTGACTCCCGAAAGTCCAGTCGCAGCGCCTTCACAAGACTCGCAGTATCACAGCGCCGGCGGTATGCAGCCTTCTGCGTCCGCCTCATCAAGTATGCATGAAGAATCTAGCCAACCTGAACCCAACGCTTCAACAAATGTCATGGATACCTCAATACAAGACTCGCAATATCTCAGCGCAGATGCCGGACAGTTTTCTACGCCCGCGTCATCAAGTGTACAGAATGAATCGAGTCGAGTGCCCACAATGGATGCTTCAAAACACATCTTGAGCACGTCAACGCAAGACTCGCAGTATCTCAGCGAAAGCGCTGGTCAGACTTCTATACCCGGCTCGGTGATTACGCCAGAAGAGTCTAGTCAATGGCCTAATTCAGATGCTTCAGCGAGTAGCACGAGCACATCTGCGGATCCATATACGGCTGCAATCAACACTGTAGCCACCCCATCCCATCCATCAGGATCTTCTCCAGCTACAACAGTCGTGGCATATCAGGGTAGAGCTGCAGCTGTCGAAACCTCTATTGGCGGATTGTTGATAGGCTTGCTCTGTTACACTTTGCTCACATGAGTCATGTCCGTGTGTCCCCTAGGACTTCTCTATCATAATTCCGTTGTTCATAGATAGTTGTTATTTGCGATTATGCTACAGAGTAGTAATTTAAATATTACGTGCCCTGTATCTATAAAGAGCAAGTGATTCATCGAATCTTTCTACTCCTTATCGATGGCCGCCGGCTCTGCAGCAAAAGGCTCCTCCATATCCGACGACATTGGCGTCAAAGAGTCTGCAGTCTTCTCAACTGAGAGTGCTGCTTCCTCGTGAGAAGCCTCGGGCGAGGCCGCAATTCTTCTATTTCCCTGTTTTGATGTGCGAATGACCCACGACGAGGCTTCCCAGTAGCCACCGCGGAAGACAATGCCAGGATGGAATACCGTGAGCATCAGGGTCGCGATGATTATCATTGGTCCTTCTAGGATGTCGAAGGGGACTTCTTCGTTGGCGAGCTTGCCGTCGAAGCCTTCGCAGAGTTCGATGACGCGGTAGATGCATCTGATCATGATGACGGAAGCAGCGATAGGGAGGGCTACACTCACTATGTTAGCGATCACATTGAAGCGGGACCTATATAGTCTTACCAATCTGGAATCCTGCAAAGGTCTTCTTGGCTCTGAGCAGAGCGAAGTTGGGGTTGCGATCCTCTTTGTTTCCTTTTCTGACCTTGAGCATGAAGTCGGCGCTTAGAAGGATGAAGCATCCAAGGGAGAAGGCTTGCAGTGCCAAACCAGCGATAAGAATGTCCGTTCCTATCGTGCGCTGACTATCCGTGTCTGCGGAGCCTGTGAGACCACCGCCAACTGCTTGAATACAGAGCGAGAACACATCAACGCAGACAAAGACGAGAGAGTAAGTCTTTGGCTTCAGGCGAGAGTATTGCTCGCCAAACACAATGACAACATGGCCGAGTGTGATGTAGATGGCAGCAGTCAAGAAAGCCGGACCAAGACCGAGAGGGATAAAGTATGTCAGGAAGATGCTCATGTCGAAGGGGTTTGAACGTATGAGGATGCGGCCAACGTAGCCAATGATCTCCAGCACTAAGCCGCCCCAGATCGCAAAGCCGAACACCCATGTGCGATAATAGAAGGCGATGCCGAGTTGGATCATCATGAAGAGGGCAAATATGGTCAGGTAGGCGACGCTGACAGCCAGGTTGGGTGGGTAGTCGAGGAATCCTTGCTCGAAGCAGCAAGTCTGAAGGGTACACACGTCCATGGGGATGGCGTTGTTGCAGGCCACCATTTTGAAAGTATTCGAGGTCGTTGTCAGAATTTTGTAGGCAGAGTTGATTGTGCCAGATGGAGACGACCTCAACGCAGCTTATAATACTTACAATCGTGCGACTTGTGATAATAACATGGTGACGCACTGAAGCTACATGAGATTCTACAAAGGAGTGAGGATGAGGGTTGCGGAGGAATAGTTGGCCGACTTCTGTGTCGTCGTAAGATGTAGAGGCTGTGCCTGAATCACAAAACACCCTCGAATCCCTGCTCTCGCTGACTTGTAGCCAATACGTGCGTCGCTGGGAGACAGCACGGGGTAGATATCGAAGACGAGACTAGACCTAATGCGACGAGATTGCGAGAAATGTTATAGGTGGACTACGCCCAAATTGACGACGTCTCGCGAAGATACAAAGGTGCGTAGGATTTGGCCGAAGCCCGTTCGACTGAGGGATTCCGCGATGCGCGCCTGAGATCGCGATGGCGAAGCTCGATCAACGTCGGAACAACACAACGGATCTGATCCTGCAGGCTGCGATGGAAGAGTTGTTGCTCAGTTGTCGCATGTATTTGCTGTTGAACCTGGAATCCTTGATGCGAGGTTTGTGTTAAGGAGGTCGTCAACGTCCTTCATTCGCGACTCGATCAAGCTGATTACGCCAGGCGGTGTGCTCAACGATCAGGCTTCGTCACATCTTCGCATCGTTCCTTCTCGCAAACCAATTTCAATGCGACAAAGCTTGACTTTGAGCCTCAGTATTGCTTGCACATGTTAGCACGTGGCTGGAAATGATCGTAAGCGCCTACAGAATCGCTGCAATCTATGTCCGTCGCAATAGCCCCCAACGTTTAGTGACTGTGGTATGTGCTGATAGAACACCTGTATCAGCGCTGCCTTCTGATTTTCTACACTAGCATATCCGCCATATTCATCAAAGTCACTGAGGACAATGGTGCAAGTGCTCATTGTATACAGCACGAGTCCCACTCGAACGTGATCACTTTTCTGGACCTCAAAGAGACGTGAGTAGAATCATCTCGCTGACCGCCAACACCACGGCCTCTTTCTTGTCCATGGACTTTCTCTGATCATCACAACCCGCCTTGGACTCGATGCTCCGTCCTTTGGTGCTTTGTTACCGCATCCGGACGACGACAATGAGCTCAAGGAAACTCGAATTCTCGTTCCCTTTCCGGATGATAACTTCTTCTTTGTCTCGATTTCTACTGCCGCAAACCCGCCACTATAATTTCACGCCATGTTGCTCATTCGTTACCTCGCATCGCTTTCCACTCGACCATCGAATTCGATCTAATTCACGGCATCGAGTCCGTTCATTTCACTCATCTTCAATCAATACAAGAAGATTTACGTTTCAAGATGCCGCCCACGCTGAGTGATAAGAAAATAAGAAAGGACGCATCATACGCTGGGGCTGTCAAAGGTGGTGTCATCACTGGTGGCATAAAGAAGCCTTCTCCCTCGCCGAAGTCACCTACCAGATCTTCCTTGAGACAGAAGAGCAAGGAACCAGCAGGTGGTCCTCTGCCCGACACAGAATGGGAAGCATTCGGTTCCTCCAAAAAGTCTACCTACTTCAGCAAGGAACAGTCCGACGAAAAGACCGCAGAATGCGTCGCCTGCCACAAGCTGTGGAAGAGAAACCATGACACCGGCGAAAGGAAACTCTGGGGTTACTGCGCTGAACGCAAGGCTGAGCATTTCTACCCCGGTCTGATCATTCGTGCCATGGACTCCATGCCGCAGACTTGGCACAATGCACCTATAGATGACCCGGATACAGCTTCACACAACGAGGGACCGGTATATGCCAAGAAACGACCCATGGTAGTCTTGTGGGCCAGCCAACGCGACATCTTCTGCCTTCCCATCAGATCGCTGTCGAACAGTGTTGCCAACTTTAGCAAAGATCCGACGAGATGGCAGGAATTCATCAGTGCCACCACGGTCGATGACACAGACTGGAAGGGCAAAACTCCCTGGGCTGGACCTCCACTCACATTCTTGGCCACCGAGAAAAAACACACTGGACTGCATAAGCAATGCTTCATCCAGCTAACAAGGCCGATAGTAGTCCAGATGCAGTCTGAGATGCAGATGAACATGGGACGTCTGAGCGGCAGCGACTACTGCAGATTGATCCAGGCCTACTCGTACTCACAGAATCTCCACAAGCAAAAAGCGTTCGAGGAGTATGGGCAGATGGCCAATCTTGTAGACGGGACGAAGTGGGACGAAGGCGAAAAATCGGCTCAATGGCAATTGCGAGAGAAGCAAATGGATCTCAAAAAGCCTGTGGTAGTCGACAAGACAACAAAGACGTACAAACTGCAATAATCTTCGGTGTTCAGATGTATCTGGACTATGTAGACAGGGTTTTCTTTAGCTTCTTGATGTCGTATGCGCAAATAGTAATTTTGGTTTGACGCTCGAAGGCTCCACTGCGAATTGACAGCGAGTTGTACATGGATCATAGATAAGCTTCTATGGTAGCAGTGTTCGCATGTGTCTTACGCCCAGACATCGGCTAGGCAATGAGCATTGTGTCATACTATTATTTGTAACCATCTGTCAACTATGTAAACGCCATCAACGACGTCTTCATGTCACTGGAAGCAGTTTTTGATATGGTCAGGCTCTATTTCAAGCTTTCTCCTTCCGTTTCCAAAGCTTGTGTTGATATCGCCTGGAAGCACCTCTCGATCCGTAAGATTTTCTAGTGATTTCAGACCCCAAGCACTGCTCAACAACATCCATAAGTCTCTTCAATTCGACCTAGACTTGATAATGTTCTAGACCTTCAGGAATGGCTGTTGTGGTAAGTGGTGGAGCATGGATACCAGATTTCGATTACTAGAAGGAGAATCAGTCGCACCTCCCTCTTTTAGCTTTCTAGACTTGCCTTAAACTTGAGCAAATAGTGGATGTGTATATGCTTGCTGCATGCGTCTACAGCAGAATCAACCAGCGTTCTTGCTACATGGTTTTCTGATTGATTATGGTCATCGTATTGAGTTCTGCTTCGAAGACTCATTGCGGACCGACTTGCAAAATCATCTGCTCCTTCTTTGTAGCTGTCTGAGAAGTCCTCGTAGATGACTCCCGAGTATGGTATATCTTAGATTACGCGACATTCTGTCTAAGCTTTTTCGTTTGCATGACTCTTGCGATTTTGCATCCTTCCAGACTTCCGAACTACAGACATTCCTCGTAGCTATATCTTCATAAGCAAGGCCAAAGTCATGATCTAAGCATCAATCAAATCTGACTTGCGATTGATCCACGACCGGCTCCCCATTACGCGACGGTAATCGAAGAAAGGAAGCAAGAGATCTTTGATTCATACTACTTTGCAACAGATTAATTCCTATCGCTATTTGTACGTATCCAAAGTCGTCTTATGCCCTAATGCAGGCTTTGATTTCGGCTTTCCAGTGCCGCCGCCGCCTGTGCCAGGCTTCGGGCCTTTGTTACCACCCGGGCCTTTAGTAGAGGTTGAGCCTGCACCTGGACCTTTACTTGGCTTCTTCTTCATTGCCTCCTTGTATCGATCCTTCGCTTTCTTTGACTGGAACATGCCATGGAACTTCTTGTCCGCCATGAGCTTTTGCCAATTTTCGTAATTATCGTACTCTGCTCGGTTATCAAATACTGAGCCCGGTTGAACGATTCTATCGTCGTTGAACGTTACTCCGCTCTCGAACTTGTCAAAGGATTGTTTCAGCCATTCATTACTCCGTATCTTGTATAGACTCAAGAAACGAAGATACTCGTCTCCGTCAAGGGAGCCAATATCTTCCTGGAGGTATTCCCTAGAGGTGATAGATCTAGCCGAGGCGAGATCTGCAAAACAACAGGGGTTGAGATCGCCCTCAAGGTCGGGATTGAGATTCATGATGATAGAATGGCCAGCCCACTCCGTATACTGAGGGTCCACGCCTGAAACAGTGGTCAAAGTAACGAAATCTCTGATGCGTTCCTCGTGCATAGTAGCGAAAGAATTGCCTCCGTTGAGGGTGAACAGTCTGGATTGTTCATTGTTAGTATACTGCCCCTTTGTATATCACGACAACCGCTATTGAACTTACGGTACGACAAAAAGTCCTCTCGTGGTGGTCCAAAGAACTACGGAATAGCGGCGTTTTGCCCCTGCAGATAGATTAATATTTCAAGAAGCACAAAAACATCAAGACTGGGATATAGATCATACCAACAGGTCCAGCATTAGTCGCAGCGCATGGCCCAGCTCCAGCGACTTCGTTGAATTTAGCTGAAGGATCATTCTGCGGGTACGGGCTGGTGGACATCACGATTTGCCCGGGATGAAAGTTGCGAAAATCCCAAAATGCCTCGACTGCCCATGAATACAGAAACACACCGTCTGCAGTTCGGTATACATCCTTGGTTCTGACTTGGTAAGCTTGGGATGGAATTGGCTGTGTATTGAAACGGAACTCTAGGGAGCCATCGGCAGGGAGCCCTTCTGCCACCAACGCAGCCACTCTTGCGAGTCTCTCCTCTTCCTTCTTCTGCTCCTTCTCCTTCTCCGCCTTCTCTATGAGTCGATCCGATTGTCGTGTTGGCACAGCCGCCATTGTAGTCGGTGATCTTGCGTTAGATGAACACAAATAAAATGCCAGTACTGTCAGAGATCGTGCGATGCTGTATCTTGTGTACCTTATCGAAGTCAACGAGTAGTCCTTGACATTCCTCTCATTTCGTTCTTATGAAGCTCTTTGTACACAATCTTCTTTGTCGACACTTTCCGCTTCCGGAGGACTGTGGACAAAGCCTTGGGAAGGAGAAACTTTCGAGGTGCTTTCTTTGTTGGGCTTCCACTGTATTGGCATGGCGATCGAGAGCACGCCATTGATGAAGGGTAAATACGGTTCATCTGATGAAATTTGATGGCTACTAGACTGGTCGTGGGGTAGTGAGTCTGAAGCAAAAGATCAAAGCTGAAGGAGTGGTAGCAGAAGACCAAAGTCAGTTCGACGCGAAAAGCAAGTAGAGAAATCAGGCAGGATTGGGATTAGTCAATCGGTGAGTATCGTGCGAGTTTCATAATGGTCGTTTTCGCTGTGGGTTGCACATGCGTAAGTCTGAGTCTAGAGTCGAGGTTTGAAGCCGAAGCAGCGACAGAACGAGCAAGTGTGACTCAAATCGTGCAGTGGCCGTTCTTGCCATGTATCCACAGACTGACTTGAGCGTCTCACGTAAACAGCTCTTGCCTCGACCGTGCTTCGTTCGTCCTGAGCTGGCAAGTTAGCAGTTCACATTGTTGTACTCTAAAATACCATATAAGTTAGGAAAGAGCCACTGTACATCTAGATGCTTTTGGCAAAATTTTGCATGAAATAAAAAGGAAAATACGAAATACATATAAGCTTCTGGAGATATTTTGGACCCATCCAAAAACACATCATCTAGATGATACACTCTGCTGCTTTTTGTTGCAAATGCCCTGTGACTCCGACGCACCCATGCGAACACAAAACACTATAAAGTCCTCTCTTCTACCACTCAACCCTGGATGGCATTGAGAATCATCTCCTTGGCGTTCTCGACGCCATCCTGGGTACCGGTGATCTCGATGGCCTCATCGCCACTCTGAGCCTTTGGGACCTGGATCTTGGTGCCGGTCTTGGCACGGATGTCGTTGATGGTGCTGCCCTGAGGACCAACGACTCTTCTGTAAGAGCTGGGGTCAGGGAGAACAAGGAAGCCGGCGTGGGTTAGCTTCTGGGCGTCGGCAAGGGCCTTCTTGACACGAGCGCTGGCCTTCTCGACGCTCTCGGCAGATGCTCCTGACAAAGCCCAGGTGATTTCGCCTTCAGGAGCACCCTCGTGGAGGTTGTGGACCACCCACGAGACATTGTCATCAGAAGCGCCGGCGGTAGCATCGTCGGTGATCAAGGGCATGCCGGAGCCAGCCTTGCGAGTCGACAGTGCCTCGGGACGTTGAGGAGGACGCTCTCCCTTGTGGTCGACAGACACCTTAAGGTCGCTGCGAAGACGGCGGAAGAATTGGCCATTGTCGGCAATGGCGTGATGGAACTTGAGAGGGACCTGGATGTCGGTGCTTTCAGCATCCTTGGTGAGAGTCTCGATGTGCTCCTTGGCCTTCTCGATGTTCTCGGCACGTCCAATGAGCTTGACCCTCGAACGCTCTGCACCAGTGACAGACTGCTTCGGGATGTCGAGCTGAATGCTGAATTCTGACTCGATCTTCCTTCTGATGTCGCCGCCACGACCGATAAGCTTGGGGTGCTTCTCGGGTGAGACGTCGATGATCTGAGTCGTTTGACTCTCAAGCTCAGAGACCTGCGCCTGGATGGCTTCGATGATCTTGTCAGCGATGTCCTTGTTGGCCTCGACGCGAATGGTGTTACCCTCGGCCTCAGCGCGAGGAAAGCGCACCATGCGGGCGAGCTTTTGTCTGTCGTCAGGACCGCCAGCATTGACAACGATGTTGCGGATGTTGGCGCCGCCACCGCCAATGATGTTGCGGTGGTGCTTCTTCTCAACATCGAGAGTGCGAGTGACGGTTGAGTCAAAGACCTTGGCAGCTTCTTCGATCTGCTTCTTGGCATCCTCGACAGCCTTCTTGGAACCCTTGATCTTGATCTCGACGCGTGCGGAGGCGTCAGCGGCATCGCGGGTGTTGGGAACGTCGATTTGAGCACCAGTCGCGAGGCGGAGGTTTTCAATCTCACTGCCTTGTTGACCAACAATCATGGGCACCTGACTTTGTTGGACAGAAACAGTGGCAGTGTGAGAAGTGTCCATGGTGTACTGCAAGAGGTTGAGAAGTTCCTCTCTAGCCTCGTCAGCACCTCTCTTAGGACCCTTGATAATGACTTCATCAGGGGCCTGAGTCGACTTGCGAGAGTTCTCCCCTTCAGCAATGCCATTATCTTCGGCGTTGTTGGTGCGAGGGAAATTGATTCTGACGTTGTATCTGTCTTGAAGACGGTTGACCATGCTGCCCTTTGTGCCAATCAGGTCCTTGTGGAATTGAGGCTTGACCTTGATGACGTGAGTAGCTTCATCCTCGAGCTTCTTTCCAAGTGCCAGAATGTGGGCCTTGCAAGCATTGGCCTTGGCTTGAGGACCCTTGAGCTCGACCTTGCCATCGTTGACTTGAATATCAACATCGAACTCCTCACGAAGCTTTCTGATGTTTTCGCCCTTCTTGCCGATCAAAATATTGGCAAACTTCTGGGGGAAGTCGAAGGTGAGAGTGAAACCACGCTCAAGCTCGTCTTGTTTCTCCTGCTCGATGAAAGCGAGCAGGTTCTCGACAAGCGCATCAGCGCGGTCGCTGGGACCACGGACAGAGAGTCCTTGAGCAGGAGCCTTGCGAGCCCCCTGTCCGCCAAACAGGACCTGAATGGGAATTTGGCCTGATGGAAGGTTCGATTGCTCACGGTCCACGTGTCTTCTGATCTTGTCATGGAACTTGGAAGGTGCTTCAACGTCGCGCGAAACAACCTCCTGCTGGCCACTGAGCAGACCAAGAATGTGCTGCTGAGCCTCCTTCAAGGCACGTTCGAAGTCTTGAGCCTCGTTGGCAGCAGGTTGACGTCTTGGCAATTGGTAGTCGGAAGCGGCAGAAGGGCCTTCATAAACGAGCAAAATTTCGTCGTCGCTGTCGGACTCTTCGGGAACAACCATGTGAACACCAAACTGGTCGCGGATTTGAGAACCAGCAGACTGGCGCAAGTGCTGGTGGTAGAAGGGGTGAACCTGAACAGGGTTGAGACGAGTGGGAGGATGGCCGCTGATGAGGTTCATGATGTCTGAGCGAGCCTTCATGGTGTTCTTGCCATCGCGAGAGTAGACTTCCCAGGCAGTGGGGCCGTTACGAGCAGTGCTAGCGACGATGCGAGCATTGTAGAGACGCTCAAGGTCCTGGATAGCACGTCTCTGTTGGAGGTACTTGGTGACATTGCGAGCGTGAGCCTGAGCACCGAGAGGGGCGTTGGGGAAGGAACGCGAAATATCAACACTGGCCATGGCCATGCTGGATGCAAGCTCCATGACCTTGTTCAGACCTTCGTCGAGTCTATCAGCGGGACCAACGATGGTCAAGTTCTCGTCGTCCTCGGCATCGGGAGGCAAGATGACAGCACAGCCAGTCTCGGCAAGGAAGTCGTGGAGAGAAGTGCCTCTGTCACCAACAATGAACTGGTGGCGACCACGCTCGATAGCGACCTGGTCAGAGACGAGCTCACGCTTAAGTTGCTCAACTTGACGTTCGAGCTGGGCACGGGCTTCGTTGGCAGCCAGGCGGTCACCGGCGATCTGAATGGGCAAGCTGGCCTGAGGCACGAAAGCAGGAGGCTGGCGGTATGCGGCGGGCTGAGCAGGAGCCTGCTCGACCCAAGTGTGGTAGTGAGGAATCTGCACTCTCAAGTCACGACCGCTCTCGAGGTCACCAACACGCGAGTTGTGGGCACCAGCAAGGAAAGGGTAGAACTCGGCAGGAATGTCCTTCAGACGGAGGTTGATGGACGATGTACGCTCGTTGACAATCTTTTCAATCTCTTGACGGGCCATCTCGGCGGCAACGGCGTCTCCCTCGATAAGAACGTCAATGGTGGCTGAATCATCGTCGTCAAAGGTGTCGGTGTCTTCCTGGCGAGGAACCTGGATCTTGGCACCAGTCTTTTGGCTGAGATTGGTGATGTTGGCACCACCACGACCGATAATATGAGCACGAACGGAGAGCGGGACGGGCACCTTGACGCTTTGCTGTTTGTTGTCAGTAACCATCGAAGTTCAACTGGGCGTAGCGATGACAAAGACTTACTCTGGAGCCGAGTTGGCGGGCAACCTCCTTCAGAGTCTCACGAACGTCGTTGGGAGTAGAACCGGTGGCTCTGAAGGCATAAGAACCGCCAGCACCTTGGCTCATCTCAACCTTGGCCTTGGAGCGCTTGTTGATGTCGCGGAGGATCTCGGAGACAGGCTTCTTGAGATCCTTTGACTGAGCGAGCTGGGAAGGAGCAAAAGAGATGGCCTCGGTGTGACGACCTGGGAGCGAGACGCCACGGAAGCCAGCAGCGGATGAAGCGGGAGTAGCGACACCCGAGGCGGGAGTAGAGCTGCGCGAGGGAGCGTTGTTGGCGACCTGACCATTCTTAAGACCGTTGGCGTTAGCGACAGCGGCAGGCTTCTTGGACCAGGGTGAAGGGCCGGCAGAGGAGCGAGGCTTTGAGGCGCCGAGCGAGGGGAACAGCTCCTCAGATTGAGTGTCGAGGACCGAAGGCTTCTTGGGAGCAGGAGCGGGGGCGGACTCGGGGGCGGGAGTGGGGGCGGCAGTCGAGGGACCAGCCGACGACGAAGCAGTGGCAGAGGCCGAAGGAGGAGGGTGGATGATGTCCTCCTCGTCGACAACCTCCTCGACCGAGGGCTTGTGGTCGTCGTGCTTCTCGGCCAGACGCTGGGCGGGCGTCAGGCTGTCGGCAGAAGAGCCAGCGAGGGTGGGAGCCTCAGAAGCCATGATGATACCAGTTCCGGTAAGAAAACCTAGAAGATGCTGCGAGGTGCGGGTCAGAGGGTGGCCTGGTATGAGCGTTGGCAGGAAGACGGGGATGCACCTACAGCTGAAACCGTTACTGATGAGCGGCTCAACCAAGAGTGAGAAGCAGGATAGAATCTGTCCCTGTATTAGAAGACTGCGGTATGCGCAAAACGGTTCTGGCAGCAGACTCACAAGGAATTGGACTCTTGTGCGATGACTAGAGGTGACAAAGGTTAAAAGGAGGCTCGACTGACACCGAGTCCAAAATTAGGAGACATCTCGAGCTTCCAGCGACTTCCTTCCCCACACTCTCGGCCCCTCGATGGCCGCCAAGATTTGGAGGACACCTGTTGTGCTGCTCTTTTCGCCTGCTGCGTATCGCTCGTCACGCTGCTAAATCAATTTCAACAACCTCCAAAAGTCTTTCATCTCTCACGTTTCTTCTGCAACAAATCATCTGTAACACAATCCAGTCTTCAATGTGATCAACGCAGTTCTAGAACATCCCTTCCCTGGATCGAGGTGGATTTGTGAAAACACACCCGACAAATCAGTAAGTGCAGATGGACGGAATTGCATCACTCATCTCCAAATACATAGGTATAGTGTTTAATACAGACTCAAGCACGCGTCAAGGCATCGACCCGTCCGAGCAGGAGCGCTTGTCGCCCACCAGACCTCTGCATACTCTGGGGAAAGCTGAACTTGTCGTTATCGTTGACAGTTTGATTCGAGAGGGCTTTTCCACAGATGGAAAATACAACATCAATGATACCGAGGATAGCGATTCGGCTCTTTACATCGCTTGCGAGCGCGTACATACCGAAATGGTTGAATTGCTTCTGCGCGCAGGTGCCCGTCTTTAACCCGATCCCATTACCCCTTTTTGCTGGTTCGACGTCGAGACACCTCTGTACAGGGCTATCCTCGAAGGCCATACAGCAGTAGTCGATCTGCTAGTTCAGGCTGGAGTTGATCTGAACGCTCCTACCAACCTTTTCAGTTGGTATACATACCCTCTGCAGCTCGCCGAAATCCACGGACATCTCGATATTGCAAAGCTTCTTCTAGAACATGGTGCCGATAGGAGCCTTTTCGACAAGGGCAAAGCCTCAGTCTTCATTGTTGAAGACCAGACGGTCGCTGGTGCTGAGGGATGGCAGATTTCTATAGTATGATCTGATTTGTTATTTTTATTCGCTTTTTCTCATAGATCAAATCGATTTCTACAGCTACCCGTATACATTTTGGTACACATATATGCAAACGATATGGGCCTTTTAGCCTTGGAGACGGCAACGTGTAAAGATTGTCACAAATGTTGTTTGAATCTATATGAGCAGTCTTGACTTTGTAGTCTAGTGGATCAATTGCTGATAGAGATCGAGGTATGGTGCGGGGATTGCTCGGAGTAATACACAGATCATTTATTCATGGGTATTACTCCTACGTTGGTGGAGCATAAAGTCCTTCGGCAATGTCGCGTGTCCATTTGTTGATGAACTATGGAAGTCCGCTAATGAACACGCAGACAAGTCAGAAGAGCTAGGCAACACGTTCTAGGAGCATCAGTGCTCCTTCGCTTGTCGATTGGATTTCATCAAGAGTCCTTCAACAACAGCGGTGAGCTCGGGCAGCTTGCATGAACGAGCCGAACACAGCCGCTTAAGCGGTTGATATCAATGCTTCTTTGTTCTTATATGGAAGAACGCTCAATAATCCAAGCTCCTTTGTCAGCTCGCAAGTCGCAGTACCGCAGACTGACCCCGGCCGAGCGGACCGAGTTTCGAGCAGTCAGACACAGTTCCTACCCTGGAGGGTGACACCATCATTCGCTCGGCGGAAAAGCGTGCCTGAGTCGGAGTGACCGCCTGTTAGAACGGTGGGAATGACTTGGGAGTATACAGCCCCTTTGACGTGGCCTCTCATGCACATCAGACATGCAGCATGCAAGAAAAAGAAAAGGAATGTCGCTTCTTCAAACCCCGAAGGCCCCTGTGTTTGCTTTGCTCGCGCCGAGTCTTGTGGTGACGATATTGCACCAGCCACAGCAATCGTCATCGACAGCCCCATTATACTCTTGTGGCTTAGTCGAAACGTGGCTGGTACCAGTTGCTCTTCTGAGAGGCCTCATGTCTGCTGCGGCATGGAAGCATGCAGGAACTGGACGGAAAAAGACGGTGATCAATTAGTTTTCTGGTGAGCTGGCGTGCAGCTCGAGCTAAATCAAGAAGTATCCTCAAGTCGTTCGGAGAGAGCGAATGTACTGGAGTACAGAGTCGGTGACTGTAGGCCATCTCCGGGATCCGTCGCTGACAGGGTCGTAGAAATTTGTGTGGCTTGCATGCTCCATGCAGCCCTACCCGATCGGACCCTGAGCCCAACGCTCGATTACCAAGATCTGCTATGGCTTTCTTTAACTAACCATGCTCGCAACACATGAGCCCGGGGTAAGGTATGTTCCAAACTCCGGAAGTAGAATATGGTAAGCGAGTACGGACACCGGAACACACGACTCTAGGCACCAAGAGAGTCACAAATGCGGTGGTGACTCCGACAAAGTCACGCGGTACAGCACGATGAGTCGACCGTCTTTTCCCAGGCAGCAGAGTTGAGAGTCATCGCAGCGATTGGTCCTGGTCACGTTGGCAAGGACGAAATCTACACCCCAAACCAGGTCTATCAGGGAAAATGATCTTTCAGTATCGTAAAGCTGCGTAAAGCGAATCGAAGCAACGCGTATAGTGATATTTTGGGAGGTGATGTACGGACAGAAGCATCTAGGCCGCATCACGGAACAGCGCGATCCGGTAAAGTGCATCTCGGCATGCATCTGTCTGCAGGATACTGGTGGCGCAGCACTCGCACTCGGCCATCATAAACGAGCCCCAAGAACCATGACTGGAAGCAAAAAATCTTTCTATTAAACCAAGCCGTCCGGCTCCGGACCGTTCTCGAGAAAATAGAAAGCAACGGAAACAAATCAACAGATTTCAGAAAACAGAGAGAACAGATTACCAATTCAACGGATACCCTGTGACCCCTTCAGCGGCAGCTACGAGAAAGCGATCGGCTTTGGACTTGCCTAGAAGGCTCTAGCTCCAATTTTTCTTGACGTCATCCACAGTCAGACCCTGAACGAAACGATGACATATTATCCAAATCGGACTTCCTTCTCCTGCTCAGGCATTCGATCTTCCTTCGACCCATCGACACCTGATTCTTTCTCGACCAAACGACACTCATCATCGATCAACACCCCACATCAATTGACACTGGATCAATCATTTCAACACAACCCTCTGTTCACATATTCTTTCGACACGGACTCGACATCACAAACAAGTGACTGGCATATGTTTCCAGTGCAGAACCACACTGCCGGACTGCTGCGGAAAGGAGAAGGCCACCACCGAAACGTATCCGAGTCGACTGTAAACTCGACCGGCCCTTCATCGCCGTTCATGCAGGGCAGCACCTATCCTTATATCGCCAACGCCGACCAGTCTCCTACCACGTCGTACTTTAGTGATAACGACCAGACCTTCAACAACGTCGGCTACGCACCATCTAAGCTGTCTCACACGCCTGCTGCTCATCTCGCCATGCAAAATATGGCCATCGACCAGCACAACTCGACCTACAACGAGGACATTCCGGACTTCGCACACTCGTCACGGCATTCAGTGTCTAGCAAGGCTCCGGACTCGCCATCAACGCCTCAGCCGAGGTCGAGTTCTGACCATGACAACGAGGAAAGGCCGGCTCTGTTCAAGATGCCAACCAATGGTGAGGAAGTATCAGATTCCGAACTGTTTGAGCGATACTTATATATGAGCTCGCTTCCAGACTACAAGGCCAATGCCCCTCGCGTCGAGCTTAACCGCACCGAGTCTGCTGCTTTTGCCGACGAGCTCTTCAACCCTAACAACTCTGACTCTCTTCAACCACCACCAGTACATACCAACAACACCAACATGCTGTCTCCACACCGCAACCTAATTGACGAAAGGTTACGTACTGCCAACAGTATCCGATCCCAATCACCTGTTGGGGATTTGTCTCGTAATCGATCACCCTTCAGGCAGAACTCACCCTTTGCAGCACCAGCTACTCAGAGTTTCAACGGACCTGGGCCGTTCTTGGCCACCGCTGCAGACTCGAGACGTAAGCAGAGGGAAGAGGCGAGCGCCAGAGAATGGATGTCGCACCAGCCCAAGCTACGAAGAGAAGCTACCAAGACTATGTCGCCTAAGGATGCCCTTCTCGATTTCGCAGACAGCGAGGGCTCCGACATGCCCTTGTTCGGCGAGACGCTGCCTTCAGGCTACAACTTCGCCACCAGCATGGCTGCTCCTCCGACCAACGTTGGCGGCTTCCGCGCTTCGTCTTCTGATCAGTCCTCGGTTGGCTCCACCACTTTCAATTTCTTGCCACCTCAGCAGCCAATAATGCCCACCAACCCTTATGCTCAGGCACACTACCGCCCCACTGACTTCAACGCTGAATCTACTCCAGACTTCCCTGCTCACTTGGCTACCATGGAGTCATCCATGAGCGAGGGTCCTGGTGCCTCTTCACAGGGTAGCATGACTGCTGCCACTGTCTCGAGGCCACAGCACACCACTGCCGACACTGGCAGTTACACATGTTCTGCCGATGGCTGTTACCAGCGCTTCGACTCGGCAGTCAAGCTGTTGAAGCATGGACGTGAAGCTCATCCCGCTCGTCAGTCTCTGTCATCGACGGGCACTGCTACCTCGTCCCCTGAGGAAGACGACCGTCGCTCGAGTTCACCTGCTGTCGCTCCTGGCACTCTCGGTAGCTCTATGACTGCTGCCGCACTGGCCGAGCGTAATTCGCAGCAAGGTCCTCACAAGTGTACACGCATCAACCCATCGACGGGCAAGCCGTGTAACAGCATCTTCAGCAGACCTTATGATCTTACTCGCCATGAAGATACTATCCACAACCGTCAGAAGCAAAAGGTCCGCTGTCAGTACTGTCGCGAGGAGAAGACCTTCTCGCGTGCAGATGCCCTCACCCGTCACATGAGGGTCGTCCATCCCGAGGTTGACTTCCACGGTAAGCGTGGGAGAAAGGGCGATCATTTCTAGATGATCAAGTAACCCAGTAATGTTTATGGCTTACTTTTGGTTTTAATGCTCACGACTGCGCGGCGTTGTTTCCTTGCTTCTGTACTGTACTTGTACGATGACGATGACGATACCGTTTTGGCGTTCTTTTTTTCGGTTGGTCGATTGCTTGCGAGGGGTCTGGAATGGCTGCCTCTGTCTTTTAACCCATGTACTATTATATTGTGAAATGCTTTGATGAAAAGCGATGTCTTTTGTTTCCAGTTCTTCTAGGATCTGTGCTCGTACGCTACATCGTGTCTGTACTCTGTGTATAATTTTCAACCCGACTTGTGTGATGATTCATCAACACGACTGACTACCTTTGCTTCAACATCGACATATTTCTGCGATGATTCTCTTGTCACCTGCAAGCTTTCAGTATGTCTCACTACTAGGCGATGCTGATTTTTTCTTTACAGTTGTGCTTCCACGACTTGAGCCACTGGAAATCAAGTGTGGTATGGCTGCTACTTTTCGACTCGAAGCCTCTGGAAAGTGTTTTTGAAATTCCCAAGCTCCCGAGCCCCGATATGGCAGATCTGAACCTATCATGCAGCTTTGATAGCTTATTTGCAGTATATCCCCAAGTATTGAGAAGCTATCATGTCGTGGAGTTCACATATCGTCGTCTTCGGTGTAGAACAGGGTGGTACGCTCATCAAGAAATGTGGTCAGTGCGTCCCCAGCCACCTCATCTTCCATCAGATCGCTACGGTCTACCTACCGTTGCGATTTCCACTCACGTCATTGAGATGATGAAACGCGTGAAAACACGCGCCGGACTCTCGACTCGATAGGCTTTACAGGACGCTGGACCTGTAGTGATCTATCCGTCGTCATCGGCATACACATACGTAGTATGTCTGGCCATGTAGAGGAGATGGAAGTAGGTGCCTGAGGTATGTCCGATCATCGTCAACCTGATGCCTCTACGCGTTTCCGGATGGCAGGGCGGTGAGTACCTAGACGAGTCATTGACGCGTTCTGTATGTATTGTCTCTCTTTCAGACATTTGCGACTGTGCATCAGGCATGGTTCCGTCGACAGGATGCCTGATGTCGCGTGCAAGTGGGTCTCGACCAACTGCTGCCTATTGCGAGTCTTCGAATTTAAAAGCTGGTTTCACTGAGCAACATAACACCATATGCACAATAATCACATCCTTCGAACACTGTCTTTCTCTGCAATATGAGTCTCGCGAACGAAATCTTTGATGAGTTCGGAGAGCTCAGTGCTGCCGAACGGCACGAGACGACCGCCACTCTTGTGTCACAGTTTGCCGACGTCATGCGCGACAACAACAAACGAATCTTTTCGAGAGTACTGGACATGATCGCTGAGACGGAAGGTGACGACAAGCTACACCTGGACATGCTGGCGACACATCACGACATCGAAGGCCCAGAATATATCGAGGCCAAGTCGTGGGACATGCCTGAGATCACTACTTTCAGCGATTACAGAGCTCGGACTCACCTTGGGGATGATTCTGGCATCTGTGACCCAGAATCAGAGTCATCTCTCGCATACTACCTATCGGACTTGGAGGCCGCAGTACGCAAGAATGCAGATAGAGACTTATTGGGCAGTTTGGCGGATAGCCTCCAGTTACCAGCCGAGTTCGTCGAGTTTCTGAAGCACACCAGCGGAGTCACTTATCCGAACCTCGACAAGAGCAAGTTTCTTTGCGCTTTCGCAACAGAGCTATACTGGGCAGACAAACATGCAAAGCTCCTGGAACAACTTTATCGATTCTCCGGTTGTAGTGGTTTCAAAGTTGCTGCTGGCTGGAAGGCAGGTGACAACGGCTATGGTCGGGTGATTTACTATCTCCTTTGCAAAGATGACGAGGAGCCCGACGAGCCATGGCAATGGAGGATTTGGGTCAACATCGCCTATTCAGAGGTCAGTTATTTCGACTGCCTACGCGACTTCCTCTGCTGGTACTGCCACGCATATGACTGGGTAGATTGGGACATTGTTGAAATGGATATAGATGATCTGAACAAAAAGTGCAAGGAGGCCTCAAAGAGGGATCAGGAGCAAGGCACTGAAGAGGAATCTGAATGAGCATATACAAGGCAAATGTTGCTGGTTATCGTGGTGCAATATTGCCCAGTGCCGGTGAAAGTCTCGGTGTTGGATAATTAGATCGGCAAGCAGTCTGCCACAATTTGATCAAATTCACGGCCTCGGATTACCCCTCAATCCTACGGCAAGCTGCGCATGGTACCCTCATCTTGTCAAGCTCAGGTCCCCAACCATTGCAGTACTTTCCACTGCCCATCAGAGCAAAACAACATGGCGAGCCTTACTCTCTATGGATACTGTCTGTCGTCTTGCTCGGCTAGACTTCGCATAGCCCTCGACCTGAAGGCGATCGATTACAAGCCTATCTACGTCAACCTGAACAACGGCGACAATCTCAGAGATGAATATAGTGCAAGAAACCCGTCTCGCTCTGTACCAACTCTGATGGTCGACGATTCATGGTGCATTCCGCAATCCATGGCAGCTTTGGAGTATCTCGAAGAAGCCTACCCGAAGTCAACTCCTCTTCTTCCTAAAGACGCAAAGTCAAGAGCAGATGTCCGCACCTTGACGTACATCATCACCATCGACACTCAACCTCTGACCAACGACACACCCACAGAGCATGCCGAATCGTCTGGAGCTGACCCAAAAGAGTGGTTGAAGTTCTTCACCGAAAGGGGACTCAAAGCTTTTGAGACTGTGGTCAGCAGAACGGCTGGCCGATATTGTTGCGGTGATATAATCACTCTTGCTGACGTTTGCCTGGTGCCTGCTCTGTGGAACGCCGAGAAGAACGGAGTGGCCGTCGAATCGTTTCCGACCATTTCTAGAGTTTATGCTGCTTTGAAGGACCATCCTTCATTCGAGAAATCACATTGGCGGAATCAACCAGATTGTCCGAAAGAGCTGAGATGAGTAGCACAGCGAGTACATTCCCATCTTTCGGTTGATCCTAGAGACATGGCTTGCGGATAGTTACCAGTGAGAGTTCCAATAGCCACAACATAGCTCTCATCTTCTTGAGTCTCAATACGAGTGAAGGGAGGCATTCAAGAAATCTTGACACTTGCACACAATTCGGGTCGCGGAAACTGTTCCGTGGTGGTGACTGACCCGTTGCTTCCCCAGCTTCACATCAAGCGGGGTGACGGCCCGCATCCGTGTTCACAACATCCTCTGACGGCACCACGAACACGGATCAATAAGCAGATAGGTAGTCTGCTACTCCCCTGCTTCTGTCGCACTGAACAATATCACAATCCACATATATCCATCGTCAACCAACATCCTAAACTTCACCATCATCAACCAATAACATAACCCATCACGATCACCAACTAACCACACAACTCATCATCGTCACCACCAATCAGCATCAGAAGTCATCACCAGCGACGAACAAGATGCCCGGTCTAACAACAAGAGATTCCTTCGTCTTCAAATCAATCTTCGATCCAGAGGCATCCGCAGCATCCACCAAGCATGCATCCTCACAAACATCACTGCCCGGAATGGCAGAAGACAAGTTCTCCGACCGCAGATCTGATGAGCTCCAAATCATCTCTCAGCTGCACACCGGCACTTCAAATCCAGAGACTATCCACAAAGCTGTTCAAGATCTCTCATCACTGATCGAGGAGTCACCTGGCTACGCCTCTGCGTACATCAACCGCGCACAGGCAAGCCGCCTACTCATTCCTACAAGCGGTCTCTTCACATCCGATCACGCCCAAGCAAGTGGACAGCTGCTCAGAGATCTTCAAAAAGGCATTCAGCTTGCTGAGCCCACCACCTCAGCCCAACAGCTCTCAACTCATCAAACAACAGTCCTCGCAGCTGCTTACACACATCGCGGCTTCCTGCTACTCAAGATCGCCGACATCATCCGCAATGGCGAGCAGGTCCATGGTGTTGGTGACAAGCTCCAATCAGCATCTGCAGAGAGCGTCGAGGAGCAAGCAAGCCAGGACTTCGCCGCTGGAGGTCAATACGGAAGCAAGGAAGCACGCGAGATGGCTGTGAGAACCAATCCTTACGCCAAGATGTGTGGTGCTATCGTCAAAGAGGCCATCAGAAAGGAGGTCGAAGAGTGGAAGGCAGATCAACTTTGTTGATTGAGGATCTCCAAGAACAGAGCATCGGCCCACGACGGAAAGCAAAACAAGGCGACTATGAAGGATCACGACGGATTATGTGAATTACACGAGGTCTCTCACGACGTACACAGGCTCAGCAGAAGCTGTTATCAAAGAGAGTCACCAGACTTGCGATTATCAGATCCTCGTGTCTCCCATGTGCTTGTAGTACTCTTGATCGTGACACTTCACATATTCACAATGGTGTTACTACCATAACGTCACTCGTAGTGTCGGAGGCGGAAGGGCGCCGCGCTCAAGACGTTTGCCGGGGTCCCCTCACCCCACACCTTCCTTTCAAAGCTGTTCAAAGGGCATCTGTAGTCCGAAGGAAGCTAACGGGCCGCCTTCCGCCTCACCAATTGAGCTCATGACCTGTTCGTTATCTACATCACAAAGGTCCTCGAGTGATGATTTATTGATATATAGCTCTTACACTCACTTTTGGAGCAAAGTCCACAGTGATTGTTGTCGTCGCACCAACCCACAGCTTTATCTATCCTTCCACAACATCACACTGCATCCAACAGCCACAACATCAATCAACAACATCAACTAACAACATCATCAATCATGGCGCCCATCGCCTTATCACCCCCTCGTGAAGTATCTCCCCCCCCTACTTCACAGGAAGAGGTGTCTTCGTATCAGGGCTACGACCACGTGCACTGGTACGTTGGCAATGCCAAACAAGCAGCCGCCTACTACATTGCTCGCATGGGCTTCGAGAAGATCGCATACAGAGGTTTGGAGACCGGATCTAGAGGATTGGCCTCCTACGTCGTGCGCAACGGAGGCGTCACTTTCGTCTTGACCTCTCCTCTTCGTGGTCTCAGCATGTTGCACGATGTTCCCGAGGATGAGAGAGAATTGGTCAGAGAGGTTCACAAGCATCTCGAGACTCACGGTGATGCCGTCAAGGGTGTGTCTCGACAGCTCCTATGTTTTTGAATGTTCACTGATAAGAAAACACAGATGTGGCTTTCGAAGTCGACTGTGTTGGATCGATCTACAACGCCGCAGTCTCAGCAGGCGCAACCTCTATCAAGGCCCCTAACACCGTCCACGAAGGCAAGCTCGGCTATGTGAAGACCGCCACTATCCAGACCTATGGAGAGACCACCCACACCCTTATCGAGCGCCAGAACTATCGTGGTCTCTTCTTCCCCGGCTTCCGCCTCGAGCCCAACATCAAGGACCCCCTGAACCTGATCCTTCCTCCCATCACCCTCGAAGCCATCGATCACTGCGTCGGCAATCAAGACTGGAACGAGATGGACGATGTCTGTAACTACTATGAAAAGGCCCTCGGCTTCCACCGCTTCTGGTCCGTCGACGACAAGGACATGTGCACCGAGTTCTCAGCTCTAAAGTCCGTTGTCATGGCTTCCCCCAACGAAGTCATCAAGATGCCCATCAACGAGCCCGCCGAGGGAAAGAAGCAATCTCAGATCGAAGAATATGTTGACTTCTACGGCGGCGCTGGCGTCCAGCACGTGGCCTTCAGAACCACCGATATCATCACTGCCATCAGAAACCTCAAGGCCAGAGGAATGGAGTTTATCAAGGTGCCTGAGACTTACTACGTGGCTATGAGACAGAGACTGGCTGCTGCTGGTATGAAGCTCAACGAGGACTTTGATGTCCTCGCCAGCCTTGACATCTTGATTGATTTCGACGAAGGCGGTTATCTCCTACAGTTGTTTACTAAAGTAAGTGAAGTCGATGAGTTTGACTGTAAGCGAGAAACTGACTTTGAACTCACAGCATGTGCTGGACCGCCCTACTGTCTTCATCGAAATCATCCAGCGCAACAACTTCGACGGCTTTGGTGCTGGTAACTTCAAGTCGCTCTTCGAGGCCATCGAGAGAGAGCAGGAGCTGAGAGGTAATTTGATCTGAGGTCAGCCCCGCCTATCAAGGAAGACAGTCAGCAGTACCGATGGCTCTAATGCACATCACGCGGAAACGATATCAGAGATGAGAGAAAGAAAATGGGGACGGACAATGTCGCTCAAAAGGTAGCGGGATAATTACGGCGCTAGATGAACAGCATCTACCAGAAAGACTCGAAAGAGAGTCGTTTCCCAGGAAGCTCGAAACAAGAACGATGGATGATAACAACGAGCACAAAGAAACCGGAAAGTCGGTCTAATTAGATAAGAAAACAAATCAAAGTGCAACTTCGCGCATTGAGTCCTCGAAAAGTAGAAGGGAAGAAGAGAGCAGCAGTTGCGACTGGTATTCAATCTGCACTGCAGAGCTGTCTACTTAGACACGCACTATATCCTGAGAGCTTGCTCGTTTGAGAGATCTCGAAAACCACACAGACCAATCGGACCTAACATTCGTGTCAGCTCTTGAGCAGCAAGAGTTCAGTATAAAGCAGTACCACTTCAATGTCAAAAGAGAACTCTGAATGCCTTAGCGTTGCATGTATGATAAGGCGAGAACCTCGATCCGCTCAGAAATTTGGCAAAGCCGATTGTGCCATGTTCAGATAGCCAACGAGCGCTCACAACGATCTGGATCGAACTCGTATGTACAGAGAGGGTTCTGGATCATACAAGCCGCCATGATACGCATTTCTTTGTGATATTGATCCCGAAGCTTATTTTTCGTTTCTTTGAGCCAGTCTTTCCAGCCAGATAGTCGCAGATCAAAAGCGTAAGGGAGTGCCACTTCGTAAGCCACTTGGCGTATGGTTGAAATGGAACCATAGCAAGTATGTTCTAGCAAAGAACGGTCAGCCTTGCTTCACTTGCATCAAATCAAGATGGACGATACCAGCCATGAAGATGTAGCGACAGTTTAGCACGTGATTGGGTTTGTTGTTGTGCAGAGTATGTTTGCACATCAGGCAGGTCTGAACGCCGCAGGTTTGACAGGCAAATAGAAGCCCCGTCTGCCATGTGTTAGCATTGGGACCTCAAGATAGATGGAGAGGGCCACGGGAGGATACATACTCGCACTTGCATCGCACAGAGCGTACACTCAAGGTTTGTGACAAATCTTTGGGCCGTCAATGAGTCAAAATCAATCTCCACCTTCGAAAGATGATCGAGACCGCTTGCGGTCTCATCGAGTGCTCCAAGTGCACGTGTTGTTGACTCGTCAAACCATCGAGGGTTATTGCCGTAGTGTAGGAATATGTCATACGGTGTCCAGGTTTGAGGAGGGTGGACTGTTGTGACGCTCTTCACTTCGGAGCCGTGCTCCAGGAGTGTCTCCGTCATCCGAGGATGATTCCCTCTACAAGCCCAGTGCAAGAATGTCCAATCGTCAGGTTCTTTTTCAAGCAGTCTTGGGTCGTATTGCAGGAGGAATCTTAGTGGCTCGGCTCCATCTATGGCGCACACAGCATAATCGACTAGGCTCATGTTAGCCTCGGACTTGGCGTATATGTCAGCACCTCTTTCGATAAGAAAGTTTAGTATGCGAGTCACTTCTGTATAGCTGACGTCAATGTTCAGTGGTCCAGCTCCAACGTGATACCCAAGGACGGATCTTCCCACACGATCGGTGGCATGTACGTCGCTGTTGTAAATATCGCACAAGAGCTGGACCATTTCCAGACTGCACGCCACCATAAGTGGAACGAGTCCCTTGACGTCTGATTGAAGGCAAATACTCGGGTTCTTCTTCAACAAAACTTTCGTGATCTCGAGATGGTCCTTACGTATGGCGACACTAAGTGGGGATTCGTACGAGGAGTCTGCGTCGATTCTAGCGCTTGCGCGAAGAAGCAGCTCGACTGTGTTCAAGCATCCCTTGCCGCAAGCATAGGATAGAGGCGTTCTCTGACATGGATCGAGCTCGTCCACATGATGACCATCCCAGATGAGCTCTTGCACCTCTTCCGGGCGAAACCAGACCGCGAGATGGAGGGCGTACTTCGGAATACTCAGTTCCATCCATCTATTATCTAGTCCTGGTATAAGATACAGACTTGAGGTCCACAAAAGGTAATTCTTTGAGATTGCTTGATCGAACTGCTGTCCTTCTATCGATCGGCCCAACGGCATTCGCATCAATCGAAGCTTCACCAGGTAGGCAAGTTTTCCCGTATTGGCACTCAAAAGTCTATCGATACTTTTCAGTAGTTTGGCAGGAACCTGTTGCGATCTGCTGATGGCGCATACTGCATGCTTATCGAAAAACTTCACCGGGTAGCTCAAATGCATGTAGGTGGCCCAGGTTTCTGAATGCTCCCATTCATCAGGCAGTGCAAGCAAGAGCCAGTCGATGCAACCACGCGCTAAGACGCTTTCCGAAACTTGACTGTTTTTAAGAGTGCTCCAGAAGTCACCTTGAAGCTTGTCTAAGGGTAGATCTTCGAGATATTCCAGGAAGGAGAAATGGATCGGAATGATCGATTCGTCCAAATTATTGGTTCCAGACAACCGCACCAGGTTTCGACATTCTCCTACAATGTAGTCGCCCGGCGACAGCCGTGACATCAGCTCCTGTGTCGTGCGAGGAGCTTTGAGAAGTGTGACAGCGACTCTGAAAACATCTAGCGACAATGGTCCTTTTGCGTACATCATCCAGCGGAAGCACTCCAAAGCGACCTTTCGAGCATGTTCGTTGCCGTCGGCGATATCATCGAGAATTCGAGTATACATCGGAACAAGGCCTTGGGGTAGATAATCAAGCGCCTGCCTGAGTTCCTGGTCGTCGGCTCCTTTGCTGATTCTGCAGAGCTGTTGCAATTGGAGATTGACCCACAAGAACCTCATATGGTTAGTCAGACGACAAGTCGTGGTCTCGATTAAACTCACATGCCATTCGACTTCTCCACTAACTTTAGAACAATTTCTGCAAACAATGCATCATCTCGAACACAGAGTCTCGATTCTGACCTGAGTCTTAGGGCTTCATCTCGAACATAACTCTGGATATCTGCAGTGATCTTCCGGGTCTCCAATTCGATAATAAGTGCATTGAGGTACTTGAAACGCGCACTGATGTCAGTTTCTTCACGGCTGCTCACGAAGAAGTTGATATTGGAGTCGGTCCTGCTTGACACTTCGACAATGAAATCCAGAATCGGTGATCGTCTCTCCTCAGGGCACTCGTCAAGTCCATCAATGACAATAAAAATTTGCTGGTAAGGCCTGGTGATATTGGCGAAGAGACCGTTATTTGTCACACCAGACGGCTCTTTTCCCAGTCGCTTAATTCTCATTAGATCTTCTGGTACGCTACCCTGTTGCTCACATAATTGCCTTAGGAACAGTGCAATCAGAAGCCTCAAGTCTTGGAATGTAGAGGTTGAGAAACTCAAATACGCGAAGCAAAGGCCCCTTTGCTCGTCAACATAGTTCTTTTGGATGTGGTTGATGACATTCGATCTTGACATGATAGCGTCAGCTTAGGACACTGTAGAACATGGCATAAATCTTACGCTATAACAGATTTGCCCGCGCCAGCTACATTTACTGATCAGCAAGATACCAAAGATTAACTAAAGACACTTACGCTTGCCATAGCACCACAAGAGCCGAGAGGATGTCGCATTTACCCACTGCAGAAACTCTCCCGTTTGAAACAGCCAGTCGCCTGTATCATGATGTCTGATTTCGAACGTAACCTCCTGCTTCTCGTCGAATGAGTATGGTGACAACTAGCGTAGGAACTTATCATTCTCTTCAACTGTGATGAGTCAGAGTGCTGTAACACAATTGCCACAAGGAGATACTTTCATTCTTCTCGCCGCTTGTCATCGGCACGCTTTTGCTCTTCTCGTTGCTTCTTCTCGCCTTCCGCACATAGCAACTCTGCTTGTGCAGCTTCCAGAAGAACACGACGATGGTGATCCATTCGACTATTGATCTCACCGAACTCTGTCTCGAAAGGCTTCCATTGGGAGTGAAGAAACATGTCGAAAGTGACATGTGCTTTTGAACGGCCATCTTTATCCATGAATAAGGCACTGGAGGCTCTATAAAAGTCCAGAACATCACCATAGACGTTGACTAGAGCGGCTCTCACGATCGAGAGGTCGAGGCGCTCAGCGTAGCGCTCTAGTGGAGTGATAACGTCGCTGAGACGATCAAACATGTCTACTAGCTGGCCGAAGAACTTGGTGAATCCCATAGCAATATCTACTATGAGCTTTACGCCGCCGACAGCGATAGATGAGATGTCAGGATTCGCCTGGATTGCGACGGATATGCCTCCAAGCAAACGGTCCAGCACACCCAAGAACTTAGAGATCTTCTCCGCGTAGGGACGGAAGGACGAGACCGAAGCATGCTGCTTGTCCAGTGATCTGACTTTCTCCAGAAGGCTACCCAGAGAGATGTTGGTATGTGCTTGACGAAACGCTTCCTTTTCCACTTCCGGTAATTTATCAATATGCTTTTCCATCGCGGCGAGGAAAGCAGGATTGGCCGGAGAATTGGAAGTTGTAGCTGGTAGGAACGTATTTGGAGCACTAGATGTTACTTGCTGTAGTGTCAGAGGATCAGGAGATATAGTGGAGTTGAACGCCGAGGCCGCTGTATTTGATTGCATTGATGTCTGAAGAGAGCTTGATTGTACGACCTGAAGAGAGCCTGGCGAAGTGGCGGTAGGTGTAGATGATTGCACAGAGATGTGTGAAGACGATACAGAGCCCACTGGCGGACTTGGTGACACAGGCCGAGATCTCTTAGGCAAGATACTCTTGAGCCTGTCCCTCATCCTGGGACGCTGAGGCATCGCTGAAGTCATAATTGTTGATACAGAGCACGATAAGTATGGAGAATAATCACCCGACAGGAGGCGGGATATCGAGAATGATAAATGTTTATCCTGTCAAGCGTCAACGAATGCATGACGCCGAGTCAGCGTTAGGCTGCCTCGAGTAGCGATTTGAGGCTGGAGATATCGCATGGCGCAGCGACAAGAAGTTCTGCGCCTTGACGGTTGATCCGTTGTCGCTATGCGGGATTGCGTCAAATCAGTGGACAAGAAAGTCTGGAGACAACCGAGCTGTAGACAGCCGATAGCGATTTGGAAGAAAGAAAGAAAGGCAGTGTGACGCTTGCCAACGAGACAACGCAGCATAACCATTGCCCTAAGCGCCGAAATATGCATGATCTCGGGTTGGAACCAACCGACGTCGAGTAGCTCCTTCCCAGGCGCTTAGATTCTGTGTGGCGCAGTCGCGAGCTGCTTCCATGCTTCAACCAGATTCTACATCAACGAAATTTTTATACGGAATGTGCTGGGATCTTCTGGGTCCATGAGTCGTGACGCAATTCATGAACCAGGCATCGCCATGTCTACATCATCTTCGAACCGCTCAGATGCGTCTTTCAATCGTTCGTATGCTTGCTCAACAGCCTCTGCAAGATCATCTCGCCCGCAGCTGAGTTCTTCCAACATAGGTGCATGCTGATGTATCAAACGTGCGAGCCCCATCGCATATTCTTCAGTCTGCTCAGCACTGTTCTCATGTAAGTTTCTGTACACCAACTGTGATTGTACCCAACGTACCTCGTAGAGAACGGCCATGACTTCAGCTGTCCAAGTTCGAGCTCGAGCAATGTAGGAAATAAAGGTTCAGACGAGATCCTCCAAGCTCCGATATCATGTACACCATCCATAGATAGAGTAATGAGTTCTGGACAGCTTTTACCAATCAATCTTGTCTCTGAGATCCAATGGCTGGCTATTGGACGAACGCCAAATGCCAACTTCTCCAGATTAGGATGACTAGATATCCAGGATAGGAAGTCATCATCGGTCCAAGCATGAGCGATCAGTAGCGGTCCATTCGCTTGGTATGGATCTGAGGGAGGTCCGCAGATGACGAGCTCTTTCAGACGCAGTAGGCCCGATATAGACTGTAGCTCTTGTATGGAGAGGCGTTTGAGGTTAGAGAAAGAAATCTCAAGTGTCTCCAAGCAGGAGAACGACCCAATGGTCCCAAATACATCGTGCTCAGAATCAGCTAGATTCAATTCAAGTTCAACCAGAAATTCAGCTGCAAGAAGAACGGGCCTTACTGCTTTCGACTCGATGCTCAGGGATAAGTTGCGTACGTTGCGGAAAGGTCGCAGGCGTGAGTTCCTTTGCATGACCGTCTCTATCGAGTGGTACGAGATGAAGTTCACAGGAGCGTAAAGAGACTCAAGCTGTTTGCGAGATGCCAAGGTCTCCAGCACGTGTAAAGAGAAGTCTGAACCATCTTGAGAACTCAATGTGAAATCCCTCAGGTGTCTGCATTTTCGTAAGAACTTGACGAGATGCTCATGTTTGTGGTATGCAGCCATGTAGTCGAGATGGACATCTCGCAGCTTGGGACAACAGAAAGCAATCAGATCAAGCAGGGAGCTGGGAAGATGAGGACATCCAAGCATGGTAAAAGACGTAATACTCGGGCTCATATATGGCCGAAGGTCGAGTTTCATCCAAGGTGGGCAGGAGTTGATTTCCAGTCGTTTTAATTGGGGAAAGCTTAGATTCGCGAAAGCTGCAGGACACTCCACGTGGTCTTGACGGTACAGATAGAGCCCGATGCTCTGAACTTTGTCGGCATACCGCTGTCGGCGCTGGGGCTGTATCTTGGCCAATGCAGGAGTGAATGGCTCACGCCAAAGCAGGTTTGTGCCTCGTGCAGACCAACCTCGATTGACAAGGATAGCAGGTAGAAGGGATTGAGCATAGCAGCGCCATGCTTCGTCGTATCGGAGCGTTGAGACCGCATGTCGAGCATCTTCCGCAAGAAGCCCCAGTATGCTCAGCTGTATTTCTGTCGGCAGATGTGGATAATTCCTGGCAGACATGATTGTAGTGGAGTCGTTCGCTGGTCTTTGGTCCAAGGCAAGTCATGGCATTTATGATTTCTTGAGTCAGACGAGGCATCAACGCAAACTCGGTCCACCAGCTCGAATAGACTGAGCGATCGAAAACGAGTGGCCCAGAGTGAGTGTCTACCAACAAGAATATAGTCGCGTGTGCCGCGCTGCCCGCGCAGAAACGGCGAAGCTGATGGTTAGCCAATATAAGTATAGCTGACGGTAGTTAGAAGTGATAAATCATAATTAATACCGGTATGCAGGTGTCGAGGCTGTCTTGCAGGTTGTGGCTTGACTGCAGATGGGTTGCGAAGCTTACATGGCAATGAGGCTCGCAAGGATGTGAAAGGAGCGCGAAGCGCTTCGTCGACCAATCAATGCCCGCTGCCACCCACTATCATGTGTGCTGGATGCTCGACACGCTCACCGCGTGATACGTACCGAAGCAGGGCTGTACTTTGATTGATAGCGAAGCAACATCCACACCTTCAGCCGGAGGTGTTGCTTCCATGGCATCGAAGCGCCTGTATACGTTATGGCCAGTTCCTTCGGATAATCTAGGCATCAGGTCACAATCTCCATGTGATTGCCAGTTTGGCTGGCAGGATCTGCCGACAACGGCAAGGCACTGCATTGTAATGTGTCATGAGGATCATAGATCTATGTCTTTGCCTATAGAGGCTGTTGCTGTACTCGAAAAGGCAGTTGGTCAGGGTAGATCGAACTTGGTGTTGTTGAGTGTAAGCTGCTTGACGATCCCTGAGACGCGACTCGCGAGGAGCGTCGAGCGCAACGGCGATATTGGCTCAAGCAGAGGGCCAAAATCCCGACAGACTGTAGAGGTAGGTATTGCGATCCCATATGAGTACATCCGGCAGTCTGTATCAAGCAATATGCGGAAACGGAAGGGCATGTTCCCGCGAATCGTCGATGCGACGAATGTCCCAGCAACAGGGACAAGAGGATCCGACAACCTTTGTTACATTAGGGAAGGGTCAGAGATGACAAGGTAGTTTCTGCAATGTCTGTCGGGAGAAGGAAAACTGTAAGATGACCAACGAGAGAAGGATGCTGCTGGCAGGGGACTTGTCGCTTGGCAACGTTGTAGACGCGATACCAACAATCTCTGCCACGGAAGGCAAAGCGAAGGGAATGGAGCAACTTGCCGATGGCATCGTAATACTGAAGGTGATGGATGGTATCACCATGTACTATTCTCGACGAGACAGCCGTGACCATGCCGTGAGGATCTATCTAACAAGCATCTCAATCATATAGCTGCTTCACAACCATCGCCGCCTTTACCGTTAACCGTTTATCCTTTGGCCTGGCTCTCTTCCTCCACGAACTGCCAGATTGTCAAGTCCATCGACACCCAGTCATCAATCGAAACAATCACATATGGGCAATACCTTGCTTCATATTACAATGTTTGAGTCATATTGTTCTCATGCATGACTGCTACTTGTCTCTCTGACAGAAAGTCGGCAGAACATCTCTCCCTGCCAAATGTCGAAGTGTGCTTGACTATTGTCTGTGTTGCAGAACTCACACGGTACACGATCAGGTCCGAGATGCAAATTGCTATATGCATACTTCGTACACAGACACACTGAACTGTTGGTAACGAATGCCTAATATAATACATGAATGGATTTCTAGCGGTTTCTGTCTACGAATGACCGTCTTGCAATGCTACTTGTGACGCGACTTGTAATGCTAATGGTACAATGAATGTAAAAATGACCTCTTTTCCACAGGTCTCAAGGGAAGAAAGAATGCTAGTGTCTGACTGCCGACAACTTCATCCGCAGCAACCATGTCTCGTGCGCCCCTTATTGTTCTCGTATCGTGAGAGCAAAGAACAACTTCTCAGTGAGTCAGGCCAATGACCTTTCTGTTTCTCTTGACCAGACGGCGCAAGCCAGCTTCCTTATCGTCGGCGAAACGTCTGGCTTCGGTGAGTCGGCGTTCCAGGTCCTCGACGCTGACGATGTGGTTCTTGTCTCTCTGCTGCTCCTCCTTGACAGTCTTCTCGCTGGGAGGGCTGAGAGGGACAGGAGGCATTATGAACTCGTTGACATACTTGCCGGCGGTGTCAACCAGGAAACTGCCCTTCTTGCTGCCCTCCTCGACAGCCTTCTCCATTGCATTAGCGCTACGGTGGCGATTGCCGTTGGACGCACCCTCGAACTCGCGGCGCAGGACGTTGATATCCACAGCGGGGAAGTCGACATCAGTAGGAGTGTTGCTGTGCTGGATGGGATGGAACCTTAGGTTCTCTGGCAGCTGGCGGTTCATGGCTTCCATAGCCAAGAAACGTTCCTCGAGCTGAGGCTCCATGTGACGAATGATGGTTCCGCTAGGTGAGATGACGAGACGCTCCCAGAGACGCTGTTGCTCATCGGTCATGGGACGCCAAGCGTTTCCCGAGAGCAAGACATCGATGTCCTCCTTCTGAAGCTCAGGCTGGTGAGGTGGGATTGCGTTTTCGGGGGTCAAGTCGGCGGAGGTTGGTTGCTGAGTAGGCTTGTAGTGGGCAACGGTTTGAGCGAAAGGGCGAAAGAAAGCGTCGAAAGCGCCGGCTAGAGAGCCATGTTCGCTGCGCAGTTCTGCAATGAGAGAGGCAGGAGTCAGCGCTGCTGGTGGTGGCGGTGTAGGGGCTTTGACCGGAGTGACGGGAGCAGGTGGAGGAGGGGGAGGAGTCTCGACCTTGACGGGCGTGGCGGGCTTCTCTACCTTTGGTGGTTCCTCGGGCTTGGCCTTCATCTTGGGAGAGGCGGGACGCGAGGGAACAGGTGTGACTGCAGTAGGCGTGGCTGCAGCAGGTGTCGCAGGCTTGGCGCTCTTGGACTTCTTCTTGCGACTGGTAATTGCCTCCTGGATGGGCTCCACGATGGTTTGAACGTCCTTGGTCAAGATCTCTTCGGTCGCCTGACGGGCCTTTTCTTGACGCAACTTCTTCTGTTGACTCTTGGTGTTCTGGCGGACGTATGCGGAGCCGACTCTGCTCGAGGTTGGTGGAGGAGGAGTATTTGCGCGCGAGAGCGAAGTCGATGTGACAGAGATGTCGTCAGAGACGTGCTCACTGCCAGGAGTGCCGGGTGGCTGAATCGAGGCAATACTGGGTTGTCTTGATGGCAAGCGCGATGCTGTGGCGGGAAGTGTGCGGATTGCAGGCGCAACAACAGGTGCAGGTGGAGGCACGGCTGTTGTGAGACGCAGGGTACGCGGAGCCGTGACCTTTCTGGCCGAGTCTGAAGCAATGCTAGGGCTTTGTGGGCGCGACGTAGTAATGGTATTCCAGGTGCGAGGAATATTCTCGGCCTTGACTGGGGTCGAGGTGACTGAAGTAGGGACTTCACCACCCTTGAGGACGGCAGCTGTAATGTCAATTTTTCCAGGGTGCTTCTTCTTACTAACAGTCTCACCAGCAGCAGACTTGGCTGCGGCAGCAGCTTCTGCGGGTGTCAGATCCTTCACGAGGTCTACTGTCTTGAACGCAGCCTGAGTCTTTTCTTCCTTGGAAGCGCCTGGAGGAGCTGGTTGAGTCTCTGAAACCTTTGCTTGAGGTGCTGCGGCCTTCTCAAGCTTCTCGGCAGCGTTCTTCTGAGCTATAGCTTCAGCTGCAGCATGAGCAGCGGCAGCGGCTTTCTCGGCCTTCTCCAGTCTCTCGGCTTCCTTCTTGGCCAATTTGTCTGCCCTCTTTGCTCTCTTTGCCTCTGCCTTTTCTGCCTTGAGTTCAGCCTTCGATGGAGTCTCGACTTCGGCACCTGGGGCAGTATCGTTGTTCTCGGCATACTCCACGTTGGCAAGATGAGATTCGGACCTTCCGCGTTTTGTAGGAGTAGCAAATTCATCAATGATATTGGCGAAAGGTCTGCTCTCGTGCCTTAGAGGCGTAGGGGCTCGCGAGGGGGTTCCGGACAGGACTGGGACAGCAGGGAGGATTTGAGAGTTTCCGCGTCTGAGACTTGCTCTCGAACTAGATCGCGAGGTTGGAAGAGAGGTAGCTGAATCATCCTTTGGAGGAGCAATGACGGGAGCCGTGAAACCTGGAGGGATGGATGGCGTCGAGCGCCTGGGAACATCGTCCTCGTCGTCGAGGTCAAGAGACGGCAATGACTGACCAAGGCCTTCGAGACCTGGAGGCACTGGTGGCGTTGATCGTCCGGGCTCGTCGAAGAGGTCTGATGAAAGATGAGCTGCACCACCAAGAGAGGAAATGTCTGAGATATCTATACCTCCAGTCAGCACTGTTCTAAAAGTTTCGTTTTGTATACGTCGAGTAAAAGCGACTGGTTTCGACAGATGGTAGACGACCGCCGAGGAAGAAAAAGCTAGTATACATGATGCGATTCACACAGGGACGCCAGTGGAAGTATAAAAAGAGGTGCAAGACGGCAGACACTGACTTTGTTAATCTACCAATCTGCGACATCAAAAGGTAAGAAGATACGTACAAGAATATGGCTAACGTTGCAGAGACGTAAGAGGCATAAGGAAATGGGGGAACTCCTGCCGTTCATATAGCCACAGCGGCAAATGCATCGATGACAACTCCGAAGCTGACGAGAAGAGCCAACCGGACATGATATAAAACCCGAAACGCCAGTGGCTCGAGACTCTGGAAGTCTCAATTTGGGAAGGCCAATGCTGTGCTCGCTTTCCACCCTAAATCAAGACGCCGGTAGCAAAGTCATGGGGGATAGATGGACATGACGGAAAGGGAAGAAAAGAGACAAAGAAGAAAAGCAAAGCAAAACAAAACAAAAAACTCAAACGAAATCAAAGGGGTGAAGAAGCGGTCGTCTACCATCTGCGGAAAGCACCAGCGTCGGCGCTGCCGTACACATTGTGCAACCCACCTTGTCCCTGACCAGTGAATAGCCCCTGGTTTCCGATTTGACCAGCTTGGTGCAATCTGGCCTGAAGAATGCTCGGGTCTGCTACATCAACTACACCACCTCCAGAGGAGGAAGTGTTAGCATGTTTGTGCTTTTTGCCCTTCTTTTTGGGCTTCTGAACAGCGTCTTGGAAAGCTTGAGGCTGAGTGCCATAAGGAAGATTCAGAAGACCAGGGGCTGGGACTGGGACTGGGCTGGAACTGGTGGGGTGCTGATGTAAGAAAGAAGGAAATGATAACTCACGCTTTGCGGCATCTGACATTTGGGCACCGCCACCGAGGTTGCGGCTTCTCAAGAGATCTCTCATCATTTCGTCGTTAGGGTTGCGTCCGGTCAGGTTGGCGCCATAACCCAAGCCGCTAGTAGCAAAACCGTGACCCTGGCCAAACATGCCACCTCCGCTGAATGGAGGAGTGCCAGTGGTCTTGAGACCGGGAGGAGGGCCCTGGACATTGCTGTAGAAACCGCCTGGAGGAGGTTGCTGGAATGAGGATTGGGAAGGCATCATGGAAGATTGTTGGTTCATGAGTTTGGCGTTTGCGACAGGCTTGACGGCAGCCGAGGCCGTGTTGGAGTCGTTGGCGAAAGTGTAACGTGAGACATTGCGAGCGTGGCCGGCCGGAGCAGCAGTTGGTGGTTGGAAGGGAGGCTGAGATGAGGCGGTCGAAGGCGTCTTGAACTGTTGGAGGAGCAACTGCTGGCGTTGCTGAGCAGTCAGGTTGCTCAGATTGGGAGTGTTGTTGTTCTGGTTGGTGAGCTCGTTGGTAAGGAATCCACCATCGATGACGGAATTTGTACGCGAAGGAGGCTCAATGGCGTGCTGTGGAGATTGACCACGGCCCATAACGTCTTCCGGTTCACCTCCAAGTTGCATACTGCCACCAAGCTCGGGGCCATTTTCGTCCTCGACACTGTTCACAGTTGTTTGTTGTTGAGCGAGTTGAGATTGAGCCTCAGCTTCCAAGCGTCTGCGCTCCTCGTCTTCCTCCTCTTCACGTTGTCTCATTGCACGTCTCTTGGCTCCGCCACGCGGGTCGAACAGCGAGGGGAAGTTGTCAAAGTCGATGCTACTGTCTTCCAATGCCCTGTCGGATAGATTGAACTTGAAATCGTGAGACTGGAAGGCCTTGAACATGTGCGTAAAAGGATCCTCGACAGCGGGCTTCTTCTTCTTGACGGGTGCGACAGGAGCTGGAGGTGGGCTAGGAGTTGCGGGCTCTTCGGGCTCTGGGGAAGGTGATGGTTCGCGTTCGGGTTCTGGCTGAGGCTGGGGCTCAGGCTTGGGCTTTTCCTTGACTGGTTCTTTAGGCATGACGAGTGAGACAGAGCGACTGCTAGCTGTACGGCTCATCTGAGGAGCTCTGGAGGCCCAACTAGCAGTTGAAGGCAGCGCGGGACCGTCGTGCTCGACACTTGGGCTTGGAGGGATGTATTGCGAGTCTTGCCTCGAGAGGGTGTGGGCGGCGGCCACAGGTTGTTGGCTTTGCGGTGGAGGTTGTGTAGTGGCTTGCGACGGGGCTTGCGGGTGCTGGGTCGAGATGACGTTCATCGAAGACAAGTCCTGACGGGTGAAGCTGTCGTTCTCTTCACCGGGCTCGTGCAAAAACATGCAATTGCGGTTGGTGCACTGTTCGTTGCGCAAATAGGCCGAGCAATACTTGGTCGTGCCGAACTGAGCTCTCAGCACTCTATCGCCGTTTTGCGAGCCGTCGACGGCAGTGATGCAAGAGGCGGCGTCTTGTTTGCGAGCGTAGGTAACGTACACGCCGACAGACTGAGGGTTGATGTTGTCCTTTGCCTTACTGACGACTATCTTGACAATCTTGCCGTATTGACCGAAGTACTGATCGCCACGGAGTGTCTCGAGCAGTCGATCCTCCTGCACTCTTGGGCTCAGACCAGTCACATAGACGAGGTTCTTTTGCACGACGCGCAGGCCAGCGAGATGCTTGCGGGAGAGAGTGTCGGCCTCGCGCTTCTGAGCTTCCTTTTGGGCGGCGGCAGACTGCTTCTTTTGCTTGGCGGCTTGTTTGGCTCTCCACAGGGCTTCCCTAGGATGGATGTCAGTGATGGACGAGGGAAGCGCGCAGGCAGGGATGGGTACTCTTCTGGACCAGGCTTTCTGAACTCTATGTTGGCATCGTCGTATGGGCGGCGACAGGCAGGACAGAGGCCATTCATGTTGTTGCGCACATTGTGATAGCAGAACTGGCAGATCTGGGAGGGCTTGTTAGCTGGCGAGAGTGTTTCGGGGTCAGCAGTCAGCACGAACCTGATAACCACAGACGCAAGGGCGAAAGCCTCGATCTGAGAGATCAAACTCTTCGACGCAGAGAGGACATGTCTCTTCTTCATCGTCGTCGATGAACTGATCTTGCTGGGTCCGCGACATGGCGTGGGCTCTGTGTGGATGCGGAAGTAGTGATGCGAAGGAGAAGGTGGAAAGGGACAAGGCGCGCAGAAGCGGAGAGTAAAATGCAGCAGCGCGGACAACAGACGAAAAAGGACAGTTGAACTCGGAGGTGAATTAGAAGGAGATGGAATAGTGCTGTTGTAGTGTAACAGCAGCGGCCGCGGGAAAGAGCAACTCAGCTGCTCTGCTTGCTCGTCCAGAGAGAAGGAGCCTGCACGGGCCGCCGACTTCTGATTGGCCGACCGCGGCTGGAACGATGATGACCATCATATCGTTCCTTCCCAATTGTCTACCGCGTTGTCGATAGCAAGCACCCAAACACACAATGGCTCTACGACAAACCGCCACTCGCTCTCTGCGTCTCGCCTCGCGCAATGTCGCCCCTTCGACTCGCGCCTTCTCCGTTTCGGCTCTGCGCCAGAAGGAGCTCGCCGCCGATGTTTCCGACCTGCCAAACATGAGAGTACGACACTCTAGCTACGCAGTTGCCACAGGCCCATGTCCAAATATTGATTCTTGTATCAGCACGCCCAAAGAAGCGCTCAGGGCCGTCTCCATGTCCCCATCGTCAACCCCGCCGACAAGTACCAAGAAAAGGCCGACAGCCTGCACCAGTACGGCCAGTACTTGATGTCTTGCCTGCCCAAGTACATCCAGCAGTGCGTACACTTCCTCTCTGCAGTCGCCATACTTGCATTGACACGCTTCATACAGATTCTCGGTCTGGAAGGATGAGCTCGTCATCTACATCGCCCCCGCCGCTGTCCTCCCCGTCTTCAACTTCCTCAAGCACCACACTGCCGCCGAATTCACCCAGATCAGCGACATCACCGCTGTCGACTACCCTACCCGCGACCAGCGCTTCGAGGTTGTCTACAACATGCTTTCCGTCCGCCACAATGCCCGTATCCGCGTCAAGACCTACGCCGACGAGGCCACCCCCGTTCCTTCGATTTGCGGTCTGTACGACGGCGCCAACTGGTACGAGCGTGAGGTCTACGACCTGTTTGGTGTCTTCTTCGTCGGACACCCCGATCTCCGTCGCATCATGACCGACTACGGTTTCGACGGTCACCCGCTCCGCAAGGACTTCCCCTTGACTGGTTACACCGAGATTCGCTACGACGAGGAGCAGAAGCGTATTGTTGTTGAGCCTCTTGAGTTGACTCAAGCCTTCCGTAACTTTGAAGGCGGTAGCTCTGCTTGGGAGCAGGTCGGTCCTGGTAACGACAGAAAGCCCGAGAGCGTAAGTCTAGCCCTGCTCAAACGTGGCATCATTGCATGCTGACCTCAGAATCACAGTTCAAGCTTCCCACACCAAAGCCTGAGCCCAAACCCGAGGAGAAGAAGTAAAAGATGCACATTAGACTCCCTGGTGGTGTATCATAGTGTAATCAGTCCAAGTCCAATTTCAATACCGACTCTTCTTTTTTTGTTCATACCTAACGTATCCGATTCTATATATCGTGTCTCCTCCACCAATGCACATCACATCTTCAGGACTATCTAACTTTCAAGTCTCTTGCAAATAGCAGAAAGTCGTGCGCACGGTCCACTGGTTCGTCGTGCACCTTCCTATCACAGCCACCGACCTCAAGTATCGATAGTAAACTCTGAAGGAGTGCTCGCTGACCAATGGCAATCTTTTAGCACTCTAAAGGAACAGTCACCATGAGTCAAAATAGTAATTTGGTGTTGACCTCGTCGGAGACATATAGTGATCGAGTAGAATCTTCCATTGAAGCATTACTTTCTCAACACCTCCAAATACCAACCGCAGACATCTCGACTGAGAAGACAAGCGACAAATCTCACAGCCATCTCCACACGGAGAATAGCCACGACACAATCACCACAATCACATCGCCCACCGCAAGCCATTCCAGTATCAAAGATGGCAGACCCAACCTTCAGAACCCCCCGCCTCACAATCTCCCACCTGGACCCCTCAAACCCCTCACACTGCAATTTCCTCGTCTCCCTCTGGAACACACCCGAATTCATCTCCATGCTCGGCGGCAAGCCCACCTCTATAACCAAGCCTTCCGCCGCTCAAGCTCTAATCCAAAGTCGCTTTGTTGCTGAACATGCCCGCAATGGCTATGGAATGTATCTGGTCTCTTTGACTGAGGACAACACTCTGATCGGTACTGCGAGTTTGATGCGTGGAAAGGACTCTGCGTTGAAGGCTCCTGATGTGGGATTTGCTATGTTGTCGGAGTTCATGAGGAAGGGGTATGCTGTTGAGGCTGCTAAGGGCTTGGTTGAGTATGCTGATAGAGAATTGGGGGTGAAAGCTGTGTTTGGGTTTTGTGATGAGGGGAACGAGGCTAGTAACGGTGTGCTGAGGAAACTGGGTATGAGGTGGGAAGGTGTCAGACCGGTCAAGGAGTTCGACAACAAGGAGACAGCGGTGTGGAGTTGGGGTATGAAGGATGTCAAGGACTGGGGCCTTGAGTGAGTGTGAGGTTGGCGGTAAAGCTTGTTCTGCGTCTTCCATCTCCGTCTCTGTTGTCGATCACGAGGCATCTTTCTGATTACCAATGTGGGCTGTTCTCATGTGTCTTCCTATTTTCCACTGTTTTCGTATCTGCGTTGGCACGACTCTACAGCATGCTCCTTGGAGGTCACGCTAGAACAGATATTCCCAGCTATGGCAGAACATGAGACCTACTTCACGCATTATGCGTTGTACAATCGCATTACATTCTCTACTTCCCATGGACCTCCCCCAAAGAATCGCATCTTCATCAATAATCGAAGTCTCTCTATAACACTTACAAACTCCAAGTATGTCAGACCAAACAACCTACCTCGTCACTGCCGCAGATACCCTACTCGGCTACACCACAATCGTGCATCTCTCACACCGCCCCAACACCTTCATCATCGCTCTCACAAATACATCCTCTAAACAATGGTTATGGCGTCTCCTCTGTGCCGGCCGAGCATCTACCAACTCCTTCGTGCAGCCCTTGCATATCAACTCTACCTTTACTCTCAAGAATGCAGCAGAGATGGTAGCGCAGAAATGGAAAAGGAGCATTGATGTGGTTATTGCGTGTCCAGAGAGCACTGTTGATCCTAGGGTCTTGATGTCAGTGTTTACACCTGTGTTGAAGCAGGATGCTAAGGTGTTGGTGGTGAGGAAGAAAGTGGAACAGTGGTGTAGGGATTTTGTGGTGCAGATACATGAGGGAAGCGGGGTCGTTGGCATTGGGATCGAGGTCGGAGATGTCAAGGAGGTAGAGTTGAGGGAGAGGGTTGCGTGGGTGCTTGGAGTTATGGACAAAGTGGGTAAGAACAAAGGATCGGGTAGTGTTGTTGCTTGGGACTGATGGAGGATGAGAGTACATTGTGTTTTGTCTTGATGAATGGTATGTTTTTGATCGATGGGATTTGATTTGAATACGACTTGATGGTAGTCATTTGTATGATGTGCTAGGTCGACGACGCGAGAACGAGGATCACAGTCTGTGTATATCCTGACGAGTAATTCCGGTATGAAAGAACCATCTTCTCAAGGAGTCTTCTACTTGCAGCTGCTAGAGCCCGAAATAAACTGCCCATTCGAATTTTCACACCCACAAACCCCGGTCTGAGGATCTTTGATGCATCCAGCACCCTCACCCTTGCTCTCTCCATTCCCATTCCAAAAGAAGGTCCAGTAATCACTGTCAACACTCAACTGTGCATCCGTAGGCGCAGTACAAGTGTAAGCCACACAAGTACCATAGGGAGCTCCATGATTGGCATCGTATTGGTGGTCAACCTTGAACACAGCAAAGGTTTGGGTCTTTGAGGTTCTGGTGTTGTGACTGCACTCGGCGGCTTGAATGGCCTTGCTGGTCTTTGCGGGGCTGCAAGAGGGTGATTTTGGGTATTTGCCTTTGGTGTTTGAGGAGGCGGGGGAGAGGGTGGCGGTTGTGAGGCCGAAGGTTAAGGCGATGGCGAGGAGGGTGGTGGTGAGCTTCATCGTTCTTTGTATGAGGGTGATGATTTTGAAGAAATATAGTGTTCAGTGATTGACTTGAATGCAGAGTGAGACCAGCTTGATTGTTTTGGACTTGGAAGAATGTGATTCGAAGAGAGAACGAAAGAGCAGACCTTTTAACCCTTTTTGATCCTGAGCAATGCAGCTGCAAACTGACCTCGAAATCACCTACATTTGTTTCATAATGATAGAACGATGAGGGCATGATTGACTTGACAGATCCACCGTCTCAAGTATACAGAAGTTGCGACAGTAGACGTGTGTCAGCCTGAGGGCCGGGCTTTTTAACCCTTGTAGACGCGTCAACAAGACTTGCAAGTGCATAGTAAGGTGTCCAGATATCTGATTGTATCGAGCGGCATGTTTGATAGTTTGCCCTGGGTAGATGTAACTGATCAGGTGATAGTAGTGTCGTTGCTGGTTGGAGGCAGGTCTCAGGGCTTTTTTGCCAACGAAGTCGCCGCAGATTCGTGTCAACGCGCTCGAATTTCGGCCAAGTCGGGATTCTGACTGATTGACCCTGACCTTCGATGCACCATTGTCAATTCGTCGACACCAATACAATAGAGGTTGCAAACTCTTCTGTGTGGATGATCGAATCTCACTTGTGTTTCTTTCGGTCTCAAATGTCTATTCAAAGCGATAGCTTTCGACTCTGGATCAGAGCATTATTAATCGGCTTTGCGGTCCTGATGAAAAGCGCATAGAGACGAAGTACTACTCGTTTCTGCACACCTACTCTATACACAAGTTCAATTCTGGTTATGCGCTATTCCACTGACGTAAGGTTTGACCTATGATCTCGTTGGGAACCGCACCATTGTCGTCTTGTTCATATGAACAATAACCATAGCAGCTCTCTCGGATCAACTAAATGCAGGCTCGATACTAGGCAGCACGAAAGTGAACGAGTACAAGTCAGGAGGCTTCGTCAAAAGTCACAGGACAGTAACGAGACTACAATACGAAGATAATCAATGGGGCATGCCGGTATTGCCAAAGACACAACAAACACATCTTACCTACCTGTATAGTGCTGTGCTATGCAAAGAGCGGCGTGATCGGGCTCCCCAGTAACATATCAACCATACACCGGTAGCAGAGGCAGAATGATCCACGTGGCTTCGATGGTGGATGGAAGTCTGAATCCTTATGCAAGTATCGATATTCTGTGTAATGCCTGCATCGGTGAAACACCTGCAGGCATCCATAGTTACACCGTATCTCTTAGCAGCCTTGTGAGCAAGAGCGTAAGATGCAGGACCAACTGTACTGGACTGTAGTACCAATTAAGCCTTATCGGCTTCCTGAAAACCATGAACCTTTCGTTCCACCACGTGTGCTGGCCGAACCGGTGAAGGATGGGAATCGTGCATCAGAGCTGAGATTTGAGAGTCATATGGAACAGGTCGAGGTTCTGGAGACGAAACTATAGCGTTGTCTCAGGCCGGGTACAAGCCAACCTGGACGCCGCCATCTGGACTCAAGATGACGCCCGCGAGATCCTCGATGAAAGGTCTTGAATCTCGACACTCGATCCGGCGGAAATGTTGCATCAGGCGGACCGTAAGATAGTATACTTCCGTCAAAGCAAATTGCTCTGTGCACCGTCAGTCTTTTGGTAGATCAGTGTGTGGGAGTGCACCTACGACCAACGCAGATTCGCGGTCCACCACCAAACGGAGTGTAAGCCTGAACACAGACAGGTCAGTCGAGCTCAGGCGGATGTTGTGCATACCATACTTACCCAACCTGGGCGAAGATCTTCCCATCTTTCTGGCTTGAATTCTTCGGCATCCTTCCCGTAAATCTCTTGACGACGGTTTGCCGAATATATGTGAACAATCAATGCCGTGCCTTTAGGCACAAACAGAGGAGATTTGCCATCCTTGCCACCACCGAGTGGCAGTACAGTGTTCTTATTAGCAACACGAGGCGGCAAGATCGGGGTCACAGGGTAGAGTCTCATGGCTTCATAAACTTGTCAGGTCGTTGTGCCTTGACGAAAACATCGACGTGCACTTACCTTCGTGCTCACAGTATCTCAGATACTTCGCATTCTTTACCCATTCGTATGTTGGTGGTGCGCCCTCGAGCTGATCAACCTCCGCGAGAAGCTTGTCCCAAACCTCAGGATGTCTTGCAAACAGATACCACATACTACCAAGCAATCCGGCAGTTGTGTCTTTCCCAGCAAACATCAAGCTTGTTGCTTCATGTGACATCCTTTCGAGATCTTGTGTTTGTCGTGCCATCTCGTCGAGGAAGGAGTAGGGACGGGTGGCTTTGTGCTCTCCTCGTGCATGTTTTTGATCTTCAACTGCTCTATCCAGAGCCTCTTGCGCGTATCTGGTCGTCGAACTTAGCACATTGCTGACCGCCTGGTCGACGCCTGGGCGTCTGAGCCAACGATACAACAGGGATTTGCGGAAACGATCCGCAGCGTCCTGGATGGTGAGCTCAATGTCGTGAGCCAGCTGTACTTTGGCGTCTGTTGGGCTTCCCAGAGAGTCGAGCGATTCTCCAAACAAAAACTCGGAAGACACATCAAATGCATACCGATGGAACAGAGCACTGATATCGAAGGTCGACCCATCTTCCGGTATCAATTTCAGCAACTTCTGGAAATGCGCCTCATATAACTCAAGATCTGTAATGCGATCTTTGACAAACATTGGACGCAGGATACCGCGCGAGTGTGACCATGCAGCCCCATCAGACATGAATGTCGAGCCATTCATGAGGTGTTTGAAGGACTGACGTGCAGGTCTGACAGACCAGTCATCAAATTTCAAAGAGTAGGCAGTCTTGATGTTCTCCGCTTCGGTGGTATGGATAGCGTACTTCGGAATAGTCTGAACGACGAATGTCGGACCGTATGTTTGGAAATGCCCGTTGAACCACTGTAGTAGTTTCTTGTTTTTCGCTGCGGACAGCAGCGACAGAATCATGTCAAATGCTATGAAGGGCTCCAGGTTACGGTACACACCGCGTGGCGGAAGACATTTGTTGATTCGCTCGAGTTCTTGTCTTGATTGCCGGAGCTTCCACCAGCCGAGAGCGACATAGATAAAGCTCCCAGTCAGCAACGTGCCTATCGCTGCTACTGTCAACGGATGGGGAGCATAGAGAAAGAACATGGTGTAATTGTGTGCATGAAGCGTGATGATGAGCTGGAAGTGCAGTGCGACGTGTCTGAAGATGGAAGACAAGGCTGCAGTGAAGGATCGAGAGTAACGCAGTTGCAGCTGCCAGGTGTCGGGGCTACTTCATCCCACATGTCAGACGCCAACTGAACATCCGTAAAAGAAGTTTCAAGTGAGATGAGACTTCCAGCATGGGGTATGAGTTCCACTACTTAAATAATGAATTACACGTCTTCTGTACAGCCATTCTGATGTTCGTGAGCTACAGAGCACATTTGCCAGGAAAAAGTGCCGGAATGGAGGTCGAGCGCGAGCGGTCATCAGCGATATGATTGGCGGATAGCCCGAAGCTCTCCAGGGTGGGGCAATTGTGGTGCCGGAGCCGCCCCACAAACCCCGTCATGGTCACTCTGAGCATTGACAACCATCGAATATGTGAACAAGTGGTATAAAGACGACGGCCCGCGCCTACTCGAAAGCTCCATCACAATCCTGGAATAGGAGACATATATACTTCGGACAACATGAAGGACCTCACGACAGACAACATCACTGAAAATGTTCATGCTATCAACAGCCAATGTACGAATCCTCGGATGAGATACATCTTCGAACGTCTAGTATCTCATATGCATGACTTTGCGAGAGAGACACGACTTTCAACAGACGAGTGGATGGCTGGACTGGACTTCTTGACGGACGTCGGCCAGATCAGCACGGATTTGAGAAGGGAAATGATCTTACTATCAGATACCCTGGGATTGAGTGCTCTGGTGGACTCTATCGACCATCCACGCACTGGAAAATCAACCGAAGGAACAGTTCTTGGGCCTTTCCATACTCATGACGCACGCGAAGTGGAAAACGGTTACGCGATCCACAAGGACCCTGACGGCACCCCTCTGTTGGTTCTCTGTACCATCAAGGATACTGACGGCAACCCTCTGGAAGGCGTTCAGATTGATGTCTGGGAAGGTGATTCGCATGGAAACTACGATGTTCAATATCCAGACAGAGACGGGCCAGATGGCAGAGGCATCTTGTTTTCCAAGCAAGATGGAAATTTCTGGTTCAAGGCAGTGAAGCCCGTCTCGTACCCAATCCCAATGGACGGACCTGTGTTCAGCATGCTTCAAATGCTGGGCAGGCATCCGAATCGACCAGGCCATGTGCACTTCCTTTTGAGGAAGGATGGCTTTGATCCGCTGATCACGTAAGTCTTCGTCGCCAGAAATGTGCTTCACGAAGGTCGCCCGCTAACAGACAAGTAGCGCTTTATACCCTCGTGGCGATCCATACGAGTCTTCTGATCCTGTGTTTGGCGTCAAGGACTCTCTCATCGTGGACCTGTCCACGGTGGCAGATCCAGAAATGGCAAAGAAGTACGACGTTGAGGAAGGCACAGCTCTCTTGACCTACGACTTTGTGTTGGTGACCGTGAAGGAGACCTTGAAACTGCGCAAGGTAAAGGCTGAAGAAGCCATCAAGAAGATGGGAAGAAGCATGGAAGATTTCCAAGGGCTTCCCATATTGGACGTGGACTAGGTTCGAGGACACTGCAGGAATAAGTTGAAGACACTCAGCTCTTGGTTCCAACGAAGGTGGGCGTGTTTCGTCGAAGCGGGTCGCCGATCCCTCAATCCCTCAATCCATCGCGGCTAGATGTTGATGCTCGAAGACGGTACTTTGTACTATACATATGCTTTATTAGTCATTGCATCCGGGTCATGAGCCGGATGCTTAGTGCTGAAGGGTGAAGTCAGCGCAGGGCTTCTTGCACTCAAAACAACCATATAGAAAAGGCGGTTCGCTGCACCCCGCACTCTTACCCGTCGCAGTACCAGTTTAGAGCGGCTTCAGACTCCAGTACGATGGCTTCGTGTACCTGTCCAACCATACTGTACACTGACACACGGGTACGTTCGCGAGATTCCACCCGTCATCATCTCAGTCCAAGGGTGGGACAACATGCGATGAGGATTCGGACGGAAGTCCCGGGGGAGTGCATACCACGCCAAGGGGGTGGCCTGACAGCGCTGACGCAGTCGGACAGAAGATTCAAGGGTCGCTGTTCAAGTGATGCTGGAGATGCGGTTGTTGCTTGTAGGGTACCCCCTTCAATGGGGGAACGGACCAATGGCAGCACTTGGAATGTCGAGCGGGTCAAAGTATAAGAGTGGTCTACAGTGTTTACACCACGTTTGGTGTTCGAAAATGCGTCGGTTAGCGCCGAGGGAAGTGGCTGCTCGAGGGCACGAGACCCCCGCCCAGACAGCGGTTGCGCCGCCTCCGCATTTCGATCACGTCTGGCGCCTTCCTTATGTAGCCGTTCGAGCCTGCGCATGCCTACATATCTTCTTACCGTCTTCCGTATTCTATCAATCGTGCCCTCCTTTCGATCCTGTGTCTAAGAAGACCCCAAACAGAGTCGAATACCTCCCTCGCGTCGAACAGGTTTGTTGTCGACGGTCTCGGCCAGCTGCGAAGTGATCGGCGTTCTGCATCATCCGAAGTCTCCCCCACAACAAGGGGCCCGAGCAATCCAGAACATCTGTTCATTTCGCCCTTCTTCAAAAGCGGAGTCGCCTTGCAGTTCTATTTCTCGAGTCTTTGCCAGTTGAAAGTCACAGAGACCGGCCATCCAACGCGAAGCTAGCGAGACCCAACGAACGTGCTGACTCGACCTCCACGTGCTGCGCGCTTCTCCACAAACATCGCAAATGAAGTTTGGAGTATCTTGCTTTGTACAGGACCAACTCCATCGGAATAGTCTGTCGTGACTCGGAAAGTAGGACAATGAGATTGTGATTCAAGGCGTTACGTCGAACCTGTGAGCGAACTCCTTTCAAAGCTCGAGTTGCCCGCCGTGGAGCTTGCGACGACCGCGTGTATGGTGCTGACCGACTGGCAACAGGTATTTGAGAAGCTTCCACAAGACCTGCTATTAATGCTACAGATATATTCCCTTTTTGCTTCCACTCTGTTTTTGAAACAAACGCTCGCAATCAATAGGTGAGTTGTTTCACCTTGTCTTCGATTGTAAGCCTCGACTAACACACTCTCACCAGACACGGTTATTAGATAAACGGAAAAAGGCTTCGGTTACAGGCAATACAAGCGATCACTAGGTATGTGGAATTTTCAATTTATTCCTGTGTGCGGCACGCTGGTGTCCGCAACCAAATCGAGCGCTCAACTTTTACTCTGCCTACAAAGCGTGCAGCCTGCTGGATGGCGCAAGCTACGGCTTGACGGAGCATGTGGCGCCTAGAGCTTTGCTTCTTTATGTTTTGGCCCTATGTTTGATGCTAATATGGCTGTCCAGAGCATCTCACGCACTGCACTCTTTATGCGACCTTCTCCTTGAACCTTCTTACAGACCTCGATACACGTGGCGAAGTCTTTGTCCTCAGAGTTTGCTCTCCATATCGGTGAACAAGGCAGAACTAGTGAGTATCGCGCTAGCACTTCACTTGTGAGTTTTGTTCCATTCCTTGCACATGCTCATGCTGTCGCCCCTGCTTCGAAGCCCGGCTCCTGCCTGTTTCGGCGAACTCGACGTCGAATACACATCAACCACGACGGAGCCTCGCCTTAACACGAGATCGTGAAAACGGCAGCTGACTCAATCGAGCAGGCACCATTCGATTCGGGAACAGCATCATTCTTTCCGCCAACCAATCAAATCCTCAACGAGAGATTTGCCCTCTTTTGCGCCAATCACTTCTCAGTGCAACCTCGCACAACGCGCATTTGCCTACTTGTCAACTCCTTTCGAGTATTTCAAGATTTAGGGCACTTCCATATCCTTTGTCTTACTTCACTCCAGCGTGACGCGAGATCGTGAGGTATAATTTCTCCCAGCAGCTCAGTCCAACTTGTCCAACAACACACACAACTCTCTACACAACCGCTTTCAGCACCTTTGAACTTCAGTATGGCAGCTAGCACTGTCAACCGCTCTGGCTTCGGGCCCACTGCGATCAGAGCAGACAAGATCAAGTTTGGCCGCTCCACACCAGATTCCGAAGCTTTCGCATCCTCGGAGGATGAGCCAGAACTCTCTCATTCGGCTTCTTCGGTAGCTGTGCGCCCGGCTGCCGCGGCAGGTGCCCGTAGGTCCTCCTTTCTTAGTGAGATCAAGTCTGGTGATCTGAGAAAGGCGTCCATCACCGGCCCTGTTATGCCCTCCAACGGATCACAACCCTCGACTCCCTCTATCGAACACAACCCATGGACCTTTGGGTCCACGCTTGGCCGTGTGCCTTCTAATGGCTCAAATGGAGGCGCATGGGCTGCTCCCAACTCCATTTGGGGAGCGGATCGACGAGAATTACCCCTCAGATTGAACGAGGCAGGTCCCAACTCGTACCTTCCCCAGCAGAGCCCAGGCGTAGTCGATTCGACAGAGTCTTTCCCCTTCAACATTCCTCTGCAGCCCATCTTGAAGACGCACAGATCACAGTCCTACTCGGTTGGTCAGCTTGAGACGGAAGCAGGGCTCAACAACCCTGGTGCCGTGGGCACACCTCCAAGACTGCGTGCTGGTGTCCCAGGTTCCCAATATCGTCCCATGCGTCCGAGCGGACTCGGAGAAACCGTCTACGTCGAAGGAAGACCTCTGGCACAGCTCAGCGAAGTCGATGATGATGAAGACCAGGGAGTTGCTCTTGCTAGCCTCAAAGCACGTCATGATCAAATCTCAGATTTGAGCAACGCACTACTTCGCCAGGCTACCCATGAGAACGCTCGCGCAAAGCACGGATCCGCATCACTCGGTGCTTCGGCTGCAGATGACGTCCGCCGATCCATGTCCGACAGCTATTCACAGTCTGGCGCCGAGTCCGCCATCGAAGACGATGATTCTGAACAGTTGTACTTTGGAAGGGCTCTGAATCTCGGTCAAGATAACACACACCGTGGTATGTGGTCCACCTCTCTCGGCTTCGGAATGGACGACATCACACAGAGTAGAAGGCATTCGTTAGCAGACATTCCCACTCGCCGTGGATCGCTTGTTAGTGGCTTATCTGGTCAAGCTTTCAGCAACGCTGGCTCAGCATTAGCTGTCATGCCTCATGGATCGGAAATTGAGAACAGGGACTATCGTCAGACATCCCATGACCTTGAGACCAATATGACCGAGTCCGATATGCAGCACAGAGCATATGCGCAAAACTATTTCTCCGGAGCGGCTACTGCTCACAGAAATCGTGCCGAGTCCACAAGTCTCAGTCTTCAAGGCCCATATTCATCGGTCACACCTGCCGGGAGTGCTTTCGGCCGTCAAGGATGGAGCGCTCCGCTCTATATCGTCACGTTCAAGTGCTCAAGATCCGGCATCTTCTATATTCACGAAGGCACTGGTCTTGATGTCAAGGAAGGCGATCTGGTCATAGTCGAAGCAGATCGCGGCCAGGATTTGGGAACTGTCACTCACGCCAAAATCGACTGGTCCAGAGCAAAAGAAGCTCTCGAGAAGACTGGGGAAGATCACTACAAGTGGCTGATGATGTTCTCGCGTCACAACCTCGCCTTGACAGACTCAGAAACACGCGGTCTCATGGCCTCGAATGGAACGGATCGAGGAAGCATGCACAGGGATAGACCCCTAGATGAGTACCCGCCTGGCATGGGCGGACCTCCCGAGTTGCCTCAAGAACCTACCAAACCAAAGATGATTAAACGTCTTGCTCAGCCCCACGAGATTGCCAACCTCCGCGAGAAGGAAGGAAATGAAGCAAAGGCCAAGAGAATTGCGCAGCAAAAAGCTAGCGAGCACAACCTCAAGATGGAAATCCTTGACGCCGAGTTCCAACTTGATTGGAAGAAGCTCACCTTCTACTTCTATTCTACCGAGTACATCAACTTCAACCTCTTGGTTGGAGACTTGTTCAAGATCTACAAGACACGCATCTGGCTGTCAGCAATCAATCCTGCGGCTTTCCGATCACGCCCTAACCAGCCACCTAGTTCGATTGGACCTGGCGCAATTCAACCTGGCTCTTCACCCAGAACCATGAACCCCACAGCATCGTCCTTCTTTGTGCCTCGTGCTAGTGGTCGTTCGAACTACGCCGATGATATGACAGGTGCAGCCCAACCTCACTCCTACAACGAGATTCCCGAAACTCTGAGCCAAGGACAGAATGGATCACGTGGCGGATTCAGCAGACCTCAGTACATGGGCTCGGGGCTACCCGGTGCTGTTGAACAACCTTGGTACATGCCGGTCGGCGCCTATGGTCAACAGAGCTTCGATGCACCATACGGCGCCACTCCTTCACCTTCCCACGAGCTGGCGTTCAGACCTGCTCCTACATTCGGCCAGAGCTTTCTGAGAAATGGTAACCGCCAGGCACGAACCGGCGACTTCGGTCAGATGCGATAGAAATCAGAGTCTGTAGTCATCTTTGACGCTCCCATCCGAGTGGGGCTGCTGTCTAAGCGATTTTCGACGATGCCGAGAAGTATTCTATACGGGAAGCGAGAAAGGGATATGGGCAGAAAAGGATAGCACACCAGAGAAAGATGACCAGAGGAAGATGAACAGAAAAGACCAGCAAAACAGAGAAAAAGAGACAATAGTGACAGATGGTAAATGGCGAATGGGTACAGCAGGACTGGGCATGATTGCTTTGGTTTCACAAGAATTTCCCTTTACTTCGTGTTGACTTTTGATGATGCTCGAGGATGCAGAGAAGATCATGGACAGCAGATATGGGACAAGACAGTACAGGTTGTATCAATAAACTAGGTAGTGGACAGTCTTTCAACAATGTCGAAATACAGATATTGCGCACTTTCGAAGGAAGGTTCAATGCCTGCGCTCCTGCCTCGTAAGCGTGAGCGTGATTGTGTTTTGCAGCTGCTTCGACAGATTGACCCAAGCCAAAACAATCCAATCAACCACACGGCCATTAAAAGATAATCGACAACGCAAGCAAAAAAGGGACAAGACAAGAAAAGATGGCAAGAGGAAAGCGCAAGGCTGAGGGTAATCACTGGCAGGCAACACAAAGCCAGCTGTTTGCTGACACGCAATGGGACAGACACGCAATCGCCAGACGGTAGAGCATCCAAACGCAGAGCAGATGCTGAAGATATGGACGAGCAAAGCGCATCTGAAGAGGAAGAAGACCAAGGCCGTATCGAGAGCCAGCAGATGATGATGGTGATGGGCATCATCAAGCCCAAAGATGACGGCTGGGTCGACAAGATGCACAAAATGTTTGACAACGACGAAGCCGAGCTCAATCAGTTGCTTGACGGCAAAGAGCGCGAGCTGTAATTTACCGCTCCATTCCTGACAGTGTTCTCGCACTGACTTCAACCAGAGCGGATCTCGACTCGCACTTTCACAGGGACCTTCGCGCCCTCCTCACAGACGTCCTCGCCGCACCCGCCTCCAAGCAACGAAAGAACACTTCTACGACTGATACCTTCTACCTGCGACCTGCACATGAACATGCCAGCCTTTTGTTCACAAAGTCCGAGGGCCTCATAAACTACTACAACCAAGCCGCCGATTGCGTCGAGACGGGCAGACAAGAACTCGCCACCGATCATACCGAGGCTTTCGAAAAGGACAAGAACGATGCAGCTGAGATGCTCCATACTGGTAGGGAGCTCGCTCTTCGTCAGATCCAAAGAGTCTTGAAGAGACCTGATGACCAGACATCTGCAAACAACATGGCCCAACCGCTTTTCACAGAGCAGAAGCTGGACGATGTGGCATCTATCTTCAAACTCTTACGCGATGAGTCCAAGGAGGAGATGGAAGACGTCCAACACGGGCAGGCCGAAAGAGTCGATATGGCGGATGGCCAGGGTCTGTTTCCGCTGATACACATTACCAAGAAAGGAGTCAAGAAGCTGGCTGGACATCTGCTTGTCGAAGAAGATTGATCGGCTTCACGACTGCGCATCTTGATGCCCGCCGATGTACCTTCTCATTCCATCTGACAGTAATTTGAGCCGTCAGGCTCACGCGCTTGCTCTGCTGTCTTTTCCGAAAAGCTCGCACCGAATAACAAAGAAAGGGAAGAGGTAGTGCTGAGTCGGGATTTCTGTCGGTTAACCTTCCTGTTTCGGTCATGGTCCGCAATGACGTTTTGCTTGTATCTCGGTACACTGTCGCCCGACCTCATGCGGGAAGTGTCACCCGAAGGACCTCTTCTCTACATATATCATTTGCTTTGCCATAGCTTATGTTATCTCGCTCAATCAACTCGGATCAAAATCAGATATTCAATTGAATCCCCCAAGATACCAGAAAGCTCTCGCACCTATCAAGCTTATATTGCATGCCATTGCACTTGAGAAACTACACCATGTCCGACCGCAATGCTCTTTCTGCTCGAGCAATTCCGTTCATGGAGCTATCAGATGGATCAGATGCTTCACTGACTGCTCCACCGCCACCGCTGCCACACTATTTGAATGCTGAAGGAAGAGCTATGGCCCGTTTTGCTGTCGAGGGCAATGCTGTCAGTACGTGCTACATCCACAGACCGTGACTCCCTGTCACGTTGATGACTGGAAGTGAAATAGGCTGATGGATGATCTAGTAACTGGAGGAGCTGGTACTCTCGCCTTAGCAGCAGCACGAGCACTCCTGGAACATGGCCTGGTCAATCTCACCCTCTTCGACCTGCGCTCAACCTTTGACTCATCAGACGAAGCAATAGAAGCTCTCCATACCGACTTCCCCTCCGCCAAAATAATCTGTTCAGCCGTGGACGTCACAGACGCTGAAGCCGTAACCCGTGCTTTCGACGCAGCAGCCGCCAGATACTCCATCGATATCCTGCTTTGTTTCGCAGGTGTAGTAGGATGTCTTCACGCTATTGAAATGACACCAGAGCAATGGCGCCGTACCCTCGATATCAACACCACTGGTTCCTTCCTCTGCGCTCAAGCAGCCGCAGCACACATGCGCAAGCAAAACACCGGCGGCAGCATCGTCTTTACCGCCTCTATCAGTGGCCACCGCGTCAATTTTCCGCAACCCCAAGTCGCTTATAATGTCAGTAAAGCTGCTGTGATTGCTATGAAGGATTCCTTGGCTGCTGAGTGGGCGAGATACGGGATCAGAGTGAACTCTATCAGTCCTGGATATATGGATACGGTACTGAACGAGGGAGATGGGTTGGAGGAAGCGAGGAACATCTGGGCTGGTAGGAATCCGATGGGGAGGATGGGGGCGGTGGGGGAGTTGGATGGGGTTGTGGTGTTATTGTGTTCAAGGGCGGGGAGTTATGTCAATGGGGCTGATTTTGTTGTTGATGGTGGTGCTACGGTATTCTGAGGAGCTCATCGAGAAGACCTGTCATAGGTGAGTTGCTGGAATGCTGGTTCACATGTGCGAGTCTAGACCTTTCTCATCATCAATCATGAACTCTGAACGAGAAAGAGCTGGCTCCATTGTGCCATAATCATGGTATGTCGTGCGCCCGGCTGGCAGCTCGAAGCAGAAAGACAAGCTTGATCAGAGAGTCGAAACCCCAACCTCGCAGCGCGACAACGATTGCATTTCAAGTTCATACAAAACAATCATCGCACAGCAAAGACGACAGTAGAGACACGAAAGCAATCGCAAAAGCAAAGAGCCTAACAACCACAAAAGCAAAAAAAATTAAAAATGGAGCTTGGGAGTTCTTGACCGACGGTGAACCCCAGCCTACACCTCATGTTCATAAGTGTAGAGGCTGGGTCTCTAGCTCGGTCTAATCTTCAGGGCGAATTATTTCACTACACTAAGTAGCCGGAGTTTCTTCGTGCTCTCCCCTTCTGATTGGATGGCTACTTTTGTTACTTATATACTCACTTCCCTGGCTCACGCTTCACATGAGCATGGAGATTGGACTCCCATATCCAAACGGTTGTTGCTACTATAGAACAGTCATCTGCTCTTTGTTGTACAAGGATTGGTTGAGATGTCCGCTTTCGGCTCGACGTGGACAAAGAAGGCGCTGTTGGCATGCCAGTGCTCGCACTTTCTTTGTCAGCAACACAAACAAGCGATCATTGACGACCGATTGCAGGAACAGGACAACTACCAATGCACTGTTCGAGCACATGCCGATGGTCCATCGAATTTCTCGACTTCACTCGACTTCAACACCATCGCCAAACCAATAATCACATCAGCTCATCTGCAGACAAATCGAGCTAGCATCCTTGTTCAATCTAACACAACATGTTCTCAGACCTATCATTGACCGATCAACCGGTTAGAAGTAGTCCTCTGCCACAACTTAACAACTTCACCTCTTTTCCAAAGCTTCCCACGGAGCTGCAGGTCCTCATCTGCAAACATGCTGTGACAAAACGCAAGCCCATCGACCCCAGTAAAAGATCCAACCAATTACCTCCAGCAGTCACGCAAGTGTCCAATCTGTTCCACAACGAAGGTAGTAAGCTATACTATCGTGAGAACACCTTCCTGCTCCCTCTACCCAGTCGACTCAGTCGTGAGCAGAATCTCCACCTGGATCAATGGCTTTGCATGCCCTCCACCACCGAACTGTGCAAGAAGATGGGCAAGATCGTTGTACAGGTGTCACTGCCCCCGGATCGATCAAGTCTCGCCAATCTCCTCCTACTGGCCACGCACTCCAGCGATATGCCTAGCGAGCGAGCCAGGAAGACGACCAAGCTCCAACCCTTCTTCACCGTACCCGCCGAGCTTGAACCTATCATGTCCGTCACCCCTGTGGCGACTGAACTGGAAGCGCGTATCTCCAAGGCATTTTGGTATATCTATGACAGCAGCTTGCGAGACCTGGCTCGTGGTACGCACAAGATCGACTGGATCGACGAGGAAGAGATGGAGATGAATCGTGGTATACCTCTGCTCGAGAGATCAGTTGCCCTTGGTCGGATATGCGAAGAATTGTGGCTGGCTATCATGAACGTGTGGCATCCAGACTCGCAACAATAGTGCAACATCAGAAGCATCAAATTCTGATTCTTTGTTGCTCTACTCTGGATTCGGACGCCCTTTGACTCTAGCGAGCCTGTACTTTCTCCAGAACCGGATCCGGACATTTCTTTGTTATGGACAGTCGGTATTCAGTGGTGACAAATTCATAGTGTTTCTACTCATGGGTGAGCACAACTGGCCAGATTCGATATTCACTACGTCTTGACTATGGCTTCAACTATTCCGCACTTGAGATTCCATCTGTACATGATCGGAACTCTGACGGAGTATGACTTCCTCGCTGCCTATGATCCCGCTACCTTGAATCTTGAACAACAAGAATATCTGACAGAAAGGGTCGAGACGCTCGCGTTGGAAGCTAGAATCAGATCCACTCTCCCATACGATGTGCAACGACAGATCCATCGACACGTACTTCGCGACGCCGAGCCGATCGACATCACCAATCTTGTGAACCACATAGCTCCATCATACTATACTGATCCACATGCCAAGTTCGACTACTGGAGATATACGCCATTCGTGTATCCTACCGACAACATCCATGACGCTGTCATGAGCTCAAATGCGCTCGAATTTGTCGAGGACGTCCTTCTAAATCCCGATCATATGGCGCGCCTCCATACCCTGGACCCACCCAAACAGATCACTCACGAGATCCTAATCCACTGGGACTTTGCGCCAAACTTTTTGCCCGAGATATCCTTGCCAAATATCGATGCGCTGTTCGACTTACTCGGTGTTCTGGATGGTGATGTGGATCGCATCAGACTTGAATTCTTGTTCAAAGACTCAAGAGTAATCTACAGTAGAGATCCCACTACCAAGGAGGAGATTGCACCAAACAACCAAGGTCGACTTCGCATCATGAAAGCCAAGATGCTGGATTTGCTCCAGACAGCTATGGCAGCATACCGCGACTTCTTCCACGCACCGCACAGAGTAACGTCTGCGACTGCGTTCGGGCTTCACATGAACACCTACCGTATCACCAATCCGATGGCAACGAATGATATCTTGCATATGAGAGCTAGAGATTGGTTGGCGGATCACTGTTGCGATCTGTTTGACAGTATGTGGGATACATATAGGCGTAGATCTGGATTCGTCAAGTATCACATGTTGCAAGCTTTCAAGATGGATCAGGTGTACTATGATAGGGATCTGGATGTCCATGAGTATATCCAGAGGGGGCTGGGTATACCGTTCTTGCCTATGCCCAAAGATGTTTACTTTTAGTTGGCAATGTTTTTCGGATACTTTGTTAGAGTTGTGGCAATTTCATGTTTGTCTCTTCTTGATTGTCATTGGCGAACGAGCGACAAGGGAACTTTAGCTATGCTACGGCGGAGACATGCGAATGCATTTCTACCCGATATGATTGTCAAGAGCGAATGGTCACAAATAGTCAGACATTTTCTTGGAGGCTTAGACGAGCAGGGTCAATATTGATTTGGTATGATCGAGAGACTTTTTCATATGCATCATAAGACAAGTATCATCCAGCTGCAAATACACCATCGCTAGGGTGAAGCACTCATACCTTAGATGTATCGGTGAGGAGCAATGCTCCAACACGATCCAAAAGCCAGGGCGGAGCAGAAACGACCGCTGTGTAACTATCTTGTCGTTTGAACAAGTCCGGCCCTGAGTACGTGAACAGTGCTCGTTTGGTCAACTCGTCACGCGGACAAAACCAGTCCAGAATATTTTCACCTGACAGATGCAGGTCCCAGGCTTGTGACTCCAAACCTTGAGACATGACCTGCAAGTTTTCGTTTCCTTTACGATTGATCACGATCTTGAATGGCATCTGGTTCTGGTTTATGTATGTTCCCAGATATTCCTCCATGGGACGAAGGGCAAGTATTAACAATGTTGTAGATGCCATCTGGAGGGAAATTTTGTGAAGCAGCTTGGGTTTTCTCAGAGAAGCTCATCGACGATTCCTGCAGATGTTTCTGCTCGGTGAACAAGTATGGATTTCGTGACCATAACGGAGAGCATAAGTCAAGTGGAGGCTAGGATCGAGCATAATATCGCTGGAATATTCGACATTGCATGCCATGCTTGGCAAAATTCGCTGGGGGTCGGAGTCATGAGACGGTCGGTCAATGCGGCCACTCCGCGTTTATTCTGATCCCAGCGTCTGAGCCTTCCAGCCTCTCAGCGTCTGAGCCCATTGTCGCTCCTTACTACTACGATTACTTTAATACTCTTGCTAGTATACCAAGCATGATCTTAACAGAACATACATAATCTAGGATATTGCCGTCGCCTAAGGTGTTATGTCTTGTTCGAGCCCCTACTTAACGTGGGGGTCTACATAAGGTAGGTCATAGTATTTACGGGGTATGTATGCCCCTAGTAAGTCCCCACCCCCCTTCCTTAATAGAGCGATAATAAGATTATGGATCTAAGAAGACATAAGCGCACCATCTCTGGGTAAGTCCCATGATCAGTCCGAACAGTCGCCAGTGTTCGAGCTGACCTCAGCCGCTAGAATCATTGACTTTGGCTTTTCAGAGTATCTGCCATTGCAATTTGCGGCAGTCTTCCCAAGGATACTCGACCATGAGACGTATCAAGACCAGGATGATATCGAGGTTGAGTCAGAGGTAGCCCATGACCCCGAGTCATCACTTGTCTGGCGAAGTAAGAACACTGAAACAAACCGCCGCGATCGTCAACTGTTTCTAGATACAGTCAAAAACTTGTGCGATGTAGATGGGGAAACGTGTCGCTCTCTCTATCGTGTCCTTTCTTCAAAGCACGAGATCAGGCGATATTGGTGGTTTACCGCAATCAGCAACCAGAAGTTGCACCAGGCCATGGTCAGGGTGAAATGGTTACTACACGAAGAGGACCTGGTGGACGAAAACCTTTCAGAGGAATGGAAGCTATTTCGATCGGCAAATCCTGACTGCTAGGTCGATTGCGGCTGGTACATGCTGCCGAGCCATCCAAATCTGAACAATATGGAGGGCTTGCGATTGGACTTTCGAGTTGTTGAGGTTACCCAAGTATAGACAGTATTTAAAATCTGTCAGCGTTCTCATCGCAAGGCAAACTCACTTTGCCATGTGAATCGCCATCGCTGTAAGCTTTGTCGCCATATAAGATACGATCCTCTAGTCGCCAGCGCTGGACGGCAAAGGACGAAAGTTGTGAGTCAAGCCTGTACACGACATAGTGCAGGATCACTGCAAAATACCTCAAACGATCTTGTCGAGAGTATGCTACGAGAAGAGAGAAGTAATATCTAGCATACTGTCATATACAAGTCATACCCATCTCCATTCTGAGGCTACTCTCATGCGCCACTTCTCGACTGTCTCCAACTTCGACGCTATTTCCCATCTACCCGCAACCAACGACAAGCTCAAGGTCCAGATCTGCTGGAGCTCAAGAGACGGCTCTTTCAAGTACGACGATTTTCTTTGTAGGGACCACCTTGCAACGACGATGGGGAAATCTTGTCTTCGCTTTGTTCTGTCTTTGAGCTTGACAATACCTTGACCGGATGCGGCGATGACACAGGTATTTGTGTCAGTGCACACACGTACTCGAGCCTTGCTGTACCTTGTCCATACCATCGCAAATCGAGCCTCTTGCAATCAATTGCAGTCAACATGTCGGATTCTGAATCCTCTGGCGGAGCTGATACTCCTTCCGCCACCTCAACACTGGCTGATAGCACTGATCGTCCTTACCGCAATACCGATCTCAATGCTCGACTCGAGGTGACATACGATGTCAGGCCATCTCTGCGCGACAGACGCAGGGTAGTAGACATAACTGACCGCCAAGCTCATCTGACTCCTGATGTGATTCGTGACGGAGGAGACGAAGAATGGTTACGTTACTACTGGACCACGATCAGCTTGGTAGTCCCGGGCGAAAGAACACTCGTCGATCCCAGGCAAACTTTGCAACCTGACGGGGTCTTCCACACGGTCACCGAAAATTGGTCATGCGCGAACTTCAATGCCGCGCTCTTCATCGATGCTTTCTTCGATCCAAGACATGCCATGCCGGAGTATATGATCAACAATCGACAGTTTCAGCGCTGGCTGTATCAATGGAGACGTGCAGCTATGCAAGCGACCCACACAGCAGACGAGACTGCCTTGCACTCCATACCCACCAGACACGAACTTGCTGCCTACAGAAACTTGCGTGAACGCCACAACTTCAATCACGAAGTTCGATTCTTCTCAGAGACGCAAGTCACCTATGAGATCCTCATAATGTGGGACTTCAACTCCACCGCGCCAGAAGGCGAGATTACGCTGCCCAGAGTTTCGGTCCATAATATCCGTTTCCTTTTCGACGTCTTTGACGCCTTCCCTCGCGAATTGACCAATCTTTTGGTGACCAAATTCGTCTTCAAAGATGTCCGAGCTGGTCGCTACACGCATGATGCCAGCTCCAAACGCTACTTTGACAATGATAGCAGGCTTGGTCGCGCATGGAAACTGATTATCAGGGATACCCTCAGACAGGTGAGAACACTGCGCGACAACGTCATCGCAGCCGGGAATGAAGACGACGACACCGAAGAAAGCTTGCAAGCGAAGTCAGACCTTGCATATCAGGTTCAGAGACAGATTCAACGTACTTGGACGGGCGAGGAGAAGTTGTTCAATCGAGGACAGTTGAAGTTCTTTATGTTTGATGCTTTCAAAGAGTCGAGACGTCTGCGAAGAATGGATGAGGATGTTAGAAGGTGGTTGATGCTTGTCTGAGGCGGGTGTTCCCAGTTGTTGCTGTCTTTACAGGCGGACTTTTGCGAATTGCTCTTGCTTGACATCTTGCGGGATATTGGTTGGCAGTGCCTGCTTTTTGGTGTACATATTTTGTTGATAGTTGTTGTTCATATCTTTTTTGTTTTCTTCTGCACTCTGGCTATGCTGGCTCACCTAGTCGTATCGAGTTCGTCAACGAGGTCGTGCTCAGAGCACTGATATCACCTTCAATCTTTTGCAACGTCAAAGTCTTTCGCCAATATGACTATACAAGAGCTACCAAGCGACACGATATCTTAGAATTGCACACCACGATCTCTGGCTTCGATATGGCTTCGCGAGACTGGGAGTCGATCTCGACCCAACCTTTGTTCTCTAGATGCAGCTGAACAGCGTTTCCCTGTACCGCATCTGGAAAGTGAAGCTCTTTGTCCTCGAGCAAAGTACATCTGCAGCAAGAGGAACTCACTACAGTGGCTTCACATCATGCCGGCTCACACGTATACCTACGCATTGGAACCTTGATCTTGATGTTCTACAATGGACGAGAGCGGCGATGATATCCTACGACTGCTCGGGCCACCACCATATCGAATAGACGTGGAGCATGTGAAGAGCATCTTTGCGAGCTACATGCCCCGGGATATCACCATCGGACGACTTATAGATGCTCCACCATGGATCGAGAGCATGGGTCGGGGATCACAACTCTACAAGCTATTCTGGAAGAATGTCCCATTGATCATCCCAGCAGAGACGCACCGAAGCCCACCGCCAGAAGTCACAGGAAACGTCGTGGCCGAGCTCAAGTTATTGGGAGCCGAAGTGCCATCAGAAGTCGCGTTCGACAATGTAATGCATTTCATCGAAACGTACTTCCAGGACCCGAGTTACAGCTGGTTGGCTGATGCGAACACCATCATCTACGAGGTTCCATTGGAATGGGATTTTGAAGACGGAGTCGAGGGAGTGAAAGACACGTACCCTAAGATCGATAAGCATTGCCTTCTGTGTTTGTTCGACATCTACGAGAGGCTCCAATGCCACAGACATCCGAGTCGCCTCACCCCTGTCTTTATCTGGAAGGACTGTCGCGAAGGCAAGATTTACTCGAAGCAGCCAAGCACCAAGCGCAATATCCGTCAAGAGTTGGGTATCTCCCAACCTATGCACGATATCCTCAACCAGGGCTTAGAATGGTGGGGAAATTATCTGAGGAACGAGGTCGGTGCGGACGCGGACAGCGATACCTTCCAGGACTATCTGTGCGAGTACGTCCAAGACTATATCCACGCTCTATACGATGATGATGCAGCCAAACGTGGGTATCTGAAGTGGTATATGACTGATGCTTTCGAAGCGTTTCGGAGACATGTGGATGCGGGTATGTTGCGTTGGGTGGCACTTTCCAATCATGACATGATGCTGCCCCGACCTGACCTTATCAGACCGGCATCTAACCGGAGGCTCTCTTTTGGTTTTATAACTGAGGATGAGGGTGAAGATGAGCATGGGATGGATGCAGATGTTGAGGGCGGAGATGAGGAGGTGTCGGGAACGGAGGAGGGCGAGTAGGTGGAGGACGAGTAGGTGAAAGACGAGCAGGGAGAGGACGAGTAGGCGGAGGACGAGTAGGTGAAGGAAAGTGGTCAGGCTACGAAGACCCAAGGAGGCAAGATGAAGACGATGACTTTTGGAATGCTTCGACAAGATGTTTTATTAGTGTAGAACAACAAAGACAAACGCGAGTACTCATCTGAGAGTTGTTGAGCTGCTGTCACGTCAGGCGTCCTCAGAAAGTGAAGTGAGGGCAACCACCCCAACAAGCACCCTCAATGTCATAATTCCACGGGTCTGCCATAACAAACATCGAGCGGTGGCATGGTGCAGCGGTCAAAGGTAGTGTTCCCTTCCGCTTAGCTAGCCCAAGACCACCGTTCGATCCTCGGCAAGGCCGATCTTCAATGCCATGAGGGGTCCCAGTAATCCTCGCACGACAAAAATAAGGAAGAAAACCTCGTGCGTTTTCTCTTGACCAATCTAGCAATACGGCGGCTAGGGGGTTCCGGTTTTGCAGGGTTGTTTTGCTAGTCGATGTTTGCTGTCTTTGTTCGATCCTCTCAGCATCATCTGTTGTGTCCTTTTGCGTGACGTTCCGGCGTGGTTTTTCCTTTGTGTAGTCAGACTCACCTTTTCCGGCTGAAGTGCATCCGGATGCGGTTCGGCATTTGGAACAAAGAAAGTTGTCTCGCCTGAGTCGCTTGTCAACTTCATACAAACAGGGAATCCGGTACTCTTGCATCCTCAGACAAGCATTCATATACTCCACAATGGCTTCCAAGAATCCACCTGATGCCAATCTGCAAAGATTATCCAGGAAGTGAATGACCTGCAGCTCCCAGAATCTGCAAGGGCATACTTCATTGAAGTGAGCGAGATCAGCTTGACAACTTCATTCAAGACTGACTTTGTACAGCTACTCAAACACGTTGATACCCGCGATCGGGAGTGGGCCAAAGTAGTCAAGAAGTGGGAGCATTATGAAGCCCACTCAAAGAGTTTCAACAGAGAAATGGTTGGGATCATGAGCAATGTGCAGGACATCTTCTTGAAAGACGACGCATTCCTCAAGCAGTTGTACAAGGCTCGTATGAAGGATGTTGGGGCTACGTTGGAGGATGATTCTGCATAATGTTGGTTCTTGATACGACCCGAGACGATGAGCTTTGTGGTCACGTCTAGCAAACAGTACAAATGGAACTTGAGACTGCATCAATCAAATATAGAGTCAGTTTGTACGAATGAAAATCGGACTGAGAAGCGGTGACGAACCATTTCCACAGCTCTTTCGACGGAGCTTCCTCGCTTGCTGAGATCTTACCAACGGATGAAAGACTTCTACAGTATCATGACACATGTTTGTATAGAACAGCTGCATATCATGATCATGAATGACCTTTCTTGCAAAGGAACCAAACCCTCAAACTTGTTTATGAGAAATCTGAGATACAAATACAACACTCTTCTGCCTGACACTCATATCCATATTCAATCTAGCAAAACCCACTGCTCTATGATCTCTACGCCATGTCTGATCTACAATTCGTGTTCGTGCAACCAATTCAGGATGTTATCCGCCCTAACCATTTCCAGCATCGACAGCATCGACGAATCGCATGCCTCTGCTTCTGGCACCTCATCCGAGCAGCACTTGATGACCCAGAAAGCTTCCCTCGAAGGACGCATGAGACAGGTAATTCCAGCTCGACCGTATACATCTCTTTCCAAGCTAAAGCAACCTCTACAGATCTGCGAATACATCCAAACCAAGAGATCCTACATCGACTTCCTCAGTGACTACGCTGCCCTGCGCGTTGAGGAGCACAAAGATCTCGACAGACTAATCAAAGACTATCAACTCTACTCGCCAAACCTCGATGGCTCGATTCAAGAGATTCTGGAAAGAGTTGCAGACACGACTGAAAACGGCAATGTGTTTCTTACTCATTTGGCCAAGCGTGAAAAAGATGAAGTCTCGATGCTCATCTCTCAGGTCAAAGAGGTGTATACGCAGTGGTTGCCATTGATGCTTGAGAAGTTGAAGGAAAAATGTCAGAAGTCTAAGTCTGGAAAGTCGAAGTTGGGCAAAGAGGACACCAAGGTCTAGCCACGAGAACGATGCTCAGGACGAGGGCTAGAGAATTACGAGCAGACGTGGATGACAGCAAAATGAGTTTGATGGACTGAGATGTGGAAGAGAAGACAATAGAGGAGAGCGATGTTATCTGAACATGCTAGGAGAGCGATTTTATCTGAACATGCTATGCTACCAGCAATACAGCACACTTATATCTCTGTGCTGAGATATGTTCCATCTGTGATGAGGTGCTTTCGCATACACAGATTGCTGGAACAATCACAGCTAGCGGCTGGATCTAAGATCCTGCGGTGTTTGTCGTGCAAACGCATTTGCTTCCCGCGTCTGGCAACCAAGAGACAAAAGAACGAAAGGCCGAAACGACAAGCAACATGCGTGGTGCAGGCCCCATAAGACTGGCTGTATGCTGCCAGAAGATTACGACTTCTTCTCCAGAGTCATGAAGCTAGATCCTCGAGAAAGACCTGCAGCTGAAGAGCTTCTGCAGGACGAATGGGCCAACGTCTGGATTGGGACGATCACATTTTCTCCTTTGGTGTTCATAGCACGATAACATTCTCTGCTCTTCTGGATAGACTACAAGCAATTTCCTTCTGACTCCACATGTCTTTCCACACTAGATACGGATAGTATAGCAGTTTACATGACAAACGGACCACAGACCGAAGAAGCGCAGTGGAAAATGTGAATCTCAGACGTGAGTGGACCATCACAGGTTTGACCAAAGGCGATTACTCTTTGGCCCAAGTTGTTCTCCACTCGTGACCCTTGCAACCTTCATCTACTCCAGAGAGCTGTATGATCGAACCTGAAGGTTCAGGTGGCTTCCAGAACCACTGTGGGAAGTGAACGAAGCAGTTCAAACAAACAAAGCTTTCACTCTTCGTGCTGCGCAGCTTCCTCTGTCTGCTTCAGCTTTTCCAAGCCAGAGTTTTGTTGCATCTTTCCATCAACAATCATCTAACCATCACCCGCGCATCATGTCTATTTTAAACTCCGCGTATGTTGCAGCACCAATGGATGCGTGAAGCGTTTCTCCTAATCAAGATCTAGAGACGACCACCTCTTCGCTATCACTGCTGCTGTCCAGATGAACTACGATCAGGCTGGCGCTGCGGACCCCGGCATGACCCACGAAAAGGCATTCGAAACTGGAAAGAGTGTTGGACTTCTCATTGCCGTAAGCCACTTCTACCCGACAGTCTACTCAGAGCTAATAATCCACGCAGGGAGCTAGTATGGCTGGCCGCAACATGATGGCTGTCAACGAGCATCTCAGAGCCCGTCAGAACGAGGGTGACAGCGTGATGCAGCTGTGCCGCGACTACAAGCTTCGCTCGCCCAGCTTCGATGCACCCATGCTCGAGATCATCGACAGACTCCAGAAATTGCTCGACAAGGACAGCGACTTCCTCAATGCTCAGAACACACTTCACGGAAAGGAGTTCACGGAGGGCAGCGCCAAGTTGGTCGCCATGAAGAAGAAGTAGAAGCAGCAGATCAAGAATGAAGATTTGGCAGATCGAAGTGAGGAAGATCAACTAGGAGATGCAGGGCGAATGTGCTCTGATCATCGGAAGACAACCCTGAGAGTAGTCTGCAGTCTTGAAAAGGAATGAATACACAAATCTACCTCACTCTTATCATGTCGTTGATTCCAAAAGAATGTGGCCATCTGGTAAAACGCACGGGTGAGACAAACAGCCAGGGACATACTTCACTGACGGGTATCTCATGCCTGAGTAAACCCATACAAGTCGCAAAAATGTCTCTTCTTCCACCTACTCAGCCAAAACTCCTGGTCTTTGGCTGAGGGGAATAGCCGGTATTGCTCGCAGCCGGGAATATTAGGTGTAATAAGTCTAATGTTTTGCTGGTTGCAGGTTCGATCCTTGTTGGAGATGGGTGATTCTTTTGCTTTCCGCGTGCATGTGAAGGCAAAGACTTGACTCTCACTCGTGCCGGTTGCCCCGTGAGCACGATCCCACAACTGACTGGAAGTTTGAGCAGGATGGAAAATTGCAAAGCTTGACGCTCACTTTCCACACCGAGAATTGCGAGCTGCTGTTGTTCAGCGTATGACTCGACAACAAACAAAGCTTACCATCCTCACACTTACCACATACCTCATTGTCGTCAGTGCTAACAGACGCCTCGTACCGCGCGACTCTTTTCTCCTTGTTCGCCAACTGTATCCAACCCTTCTAGCATTGTCCAAAGGGTAAGTTTTGACGACACCATTACACCCCAGTGCGCTGACCAGGTGCAGACATGGAGGAGATCCAGCCCATCTTGAAAAAGGCAACAGAATCCATCACCAAACTCCAGAAAAGCCACAGAGCCAGCAAGCGCTGCCTTGAGGCCACCGAGAGAGCACTCGCAAGGATTGGCAAGAAAATGGGGTCGACCATCAACAACATCGACAAGACAGGCCAAGATGCTGTTCACAACTCAATCATGCTAGTACGCGCTGCCATGTTACAACTTACAATGCTCAGACTGACAGTTTTGATAGCTCAGAGAGCAAATCGAACAGCGCAATCACGACATCCTTGGAGCCGAAGAGTGCAAGAAGCAGCAGCTGAAGAACTACCGACTCTACCACAAAGCGCTCAGGTCGGTGGAAGAACTTATATCGGGCGAGATCGATCAGTGTGTTGGCTCAATCTACTGTGATGGACACGATTGGCTCACTGAGAGCATCGCTCGCTGGGAGGAGGAGAACAAGAAGGCTGAGGGTAAGATCCGCAAGCTCGAGTGGCAGCTGAGAAGTTGAGCTTCGTTCCACGGTTCTAGCGAGTATTGAGCAGAAGAAGATACAAGAGAAGGAGATCAAGCGGAGTTGATTACCGGCAACGCCTCGGCTGGTGGGGGAACTCCAGGGCACGAGCCTCGGCCAGAGCGAGGTTGGGCGATCTGTTGACTGCGTGGGGCCAGAGAAAAAGATGCGCCTGGCGGTCATGTTCTCACGGCCTCGCATGAATATTCCAGTATGCCAATTAGAAATCAAAAAGGGATGACTCTGAAGCAGAGATGAGGAAGAATCAGACCATTCGCAGACTTCATCTTCTTTTCTTCGTCCTGATCGTGTAGCGCTTGTCGACTTGCTTCTCCCGTACCTCGCCGTCGCTGCTTCCAACGACAATACCAACGGCCTCACCATGTCTATCGCAGGCAGCGTGCTTCGCGCCATGCGACCGGCCGCTCGTCCAGCTTTGCGCCCGGCAGCTCCGGTAAGACTGCTTCAACCTGTCCAATGTATCCGTCATTCGTCGCATTCTCCTCTCGGCAGCTCGTCGTCGCCCGCACGCAAAAAGGTCACGCTACCAACGATCATGTCGCTGTACCGCAAGAACGAACCCATCACCGTCATTACCGCCCACGACTTTCCCTCGGCACATGTAGCCGACCAGGCTGGCATTGATATCGTTCTTGTCGGCGACTCTTTGGCTATGGTTGCTCTGGGTATGGACGACACCAGCGAAGTTCTCATGGAGGAGATGCTCTTGCACTGCCGCAGTGTTGCCAGGGGTGCCAAATCCGCCTTCCTCGTATGTGATCACTCTCTCCCTGCTCCCTCCACTCCTTGTATTGCATTGGCTAACAATCAACCAGGTCGGCGACCTCCCAATGGGCACCTACGAAATCTCCCCGGACCAAGCCCTCCAATCCGCAATCACCATGATCAAGACCGGCCGCGTCCACGCCATAAAACTCGAAGGCGGCGCCGAAATGGCTCCTACGATCAAGAAAATCACCTCCGCCGGCATCCCCGTCCTCGCCCATGTGGGTCTTACACCTCAACGCCAAAACTCTCTCGGTGGCTTCAGAGTCCAAGGGAAGACTACAGCAAGTGCGCTAAAATTGCTACAAGACGCCAGAGCGGTGCAAGAGGCAGGTGCATTTGCGACGGTAGTAGAAGCTGTACCCGCCGAGATTGCAACTCTGGTGACGAAAAAGTTGAGGATTCCTACTATTGGCATTGGGGCTGGAAATGGCTGTTCAGGACAAGTGCTTGTGCAAGTGGATATGCTGGGCAACTTCCCTCCCGGGCGCTTCTTGCCCAAGTTTGTCAAGAAGTACGGAGACGTGTGGGGTGAGTCGTCGAGGGCGATCCAGCAATATAAAGAGGAGGTTAAGACGAGGGCATACCCTGCTGTTGAGCATACGTACGCTATGCCTCAGGCGGAGCTTGCTGAGTTTGAGAAGTTGATGGCTGAGGATAAGGAAGAGACGAGTGTGTAGAATTTCCTTTTGGTTGTTTTGTCTTGTTCGCGGTTATACCCTCATCGGCGATGTACACTCAGTAGAGTCTAGTCATATAAATCATGTGCCTCAGAGCGCCTTTTACATCTGATGTCTATCATTTCCTTGCCTGGAACTTCGCTCGCTGCGTATATCTTGCTCCTCCCATCCCCACACTGAATCTCTCCTTTCTTCTCCTCCTTTCCCTCTTCCCTCAACCAAAACTCTGCGCCAAACAATACGTAACCACCAACTCCTCACCCGTCCGAAAGCACCTCCAAAGATTGCCCACCCCTTCATCCAATCCCGGCGCAAACACCTGATTCACATAGCAAAACACACTTTCATGATTCTGTAGCTGCAACTTCTTGCGCAGGAATTTGATAATGGCATCGAAGTGCAACGATGAAGACATTTTGTATTTCTGTATGTTGCGGGGAAGAGGTGGAGTCGAGGGACCGGGGCGGAAGTGGAGGAGAACTGTTTTGGAGTTAGTATCTTGAGTTGATGGAGAATGGGGGGTGAGAGAGGCGATAGATTGTAGTGAATGAGAGGTTGGAGGAGGGAAAGCAGGTGGTGATACTTTTGTCCTGTTCCAAGAGTCCAGCTTTTGCGAGTGCGGTATGAGCATCGCGGGGTAGATGATCCAGAACCACTGATGCCGCCATAGTCATGGGCATATCTGTTTGTAGTGACTCTGAAGATGCTAGTGTGGCTTCTGCTTCTGCTTCTGTGCCTGATCCTGTTGATGTGTCTGCGATGGCATCTGGCGGTTGTGGTGATGAAGACATGGTTGCGTGTGTGTTTGTTCTGGGTTGTGGCTGCTGTAAGAGAGCTTCTGGCGACCAGATGTCCTGTTCCTGAGATCGAGTTGTATATCTGGTTTACTCCTCGTGCCGAGATGAAATCGTGTTAGGGGTGGTATGGTGTTGTCATTTGCGTGCAAGCGTGGGGAAGAAGTGCGGTGGAGGTTGTAGTCGACAGGCTTCAGGCAGCAGATCTGATACGCATTGGAGTCATACAAGCCATCAAACCATTCGCATATGTCAGAAAACGTTGGCCTTTAACGATGTGTGTGTTACACAACGGGAATAGTCATTGTTCGTCAAGTAAAAGTACATCGACTTGCTCGAGATATCATATCCGACTTCATGTCATACAAGGACGCTAAGAACAGCGCGGGTCATGATTCGACGTCGCGGTACTTTCTTCTCAGCAGGTGGAATTTGGGTAATCCACAGGGAGCGAGTGGTAGGGTCACAGCCAGTGCAACGTGGGATTCACACAGGGCACGAATCAAGTGATACTTCGAACAAGGACAATGATTGTGAAATGAATTGCAATTTTTATTCTAGTCAAAAGACTGGTTAATGATGTTTTTGTACAAGTCTTGAGCCACCTCTATCTGATCGGACTTCCAAAGATATCCTTCTTGATCGGTGGAGTTTGATTGGACCCTCCGAGCAGCGCAAGTCCCACCGTCTTCCTCGCTGGTGTGCCTGGTACAGACATATGTCCTGGAGTCTCAGGTCTCCACTCACCAGTGTCCCTCTCTGTTTTGTAGACTGATGGCGGCTTGAAGTTTGTTTCTCTGCCGCGGTCGAAGATATCATCGAGCATGCTTTCGATGATCCCAGCGTCCATGAACTCTTGGTATTTGCGCCAGAGCTTGAGTGCTGTGAGGGCATCCTCAACACTGTCGTGGCCTTTGTCGGTGTTTTGCTGAATCTCTTCTCGGAGTAAGTACCAAGCCAAGAAGCGTAGGGAAAGACGGCGTTGACTGCGGAGGCGATGTGAAAAGAGATCGACCGTGTCAACGACTTGCGCTCTAGGAACATGGATATTGATGATGCGGAAGTCTTTGGGTAAGCCGTGGCCGACAAACACGACTCCCAGATTGAGCAGTAGCCAAAGCTTTTTGTAGGCCACCTTGAGGTTGACCAGGTTATGTTTGCTGACAGCGCGGTCGAGATCACCAGGGCTGATGCCTGAGTACGCGGTCAGATAATCGACTACGGGCTCAGAACAGGCAATGTAGTCATCAATAAACGGTAGACCCTCGTAGGGGCCTGCACCACGCAACACCGATACACGTGCGAGACCAAGTCGAGGAGGGCGTACTGTCTCTCGCGTACCATCGGCTTTGATGTCAATTTCTGCTTTGGATAGGGCGACGAACTCGGCGTCAATTGCACATGGCATGCCAGCACGAGGAAGCTCTGTTGTAGGATTGAGGTTGCGCAGTACCGTTGGATCAGGTGATTTGTGCGGTCCTCTTGGTAGATAATAGAGCAAAGATGGGTCGAGGTTCTCTTTCCAAGAGTCGTCAATAACGTGAGATGCTGATTTAGCTTGGTAGGTAAGAATGGAGGGTAGTTTCCAATTCATGTCGAATCGCAGAGCTTCTTCAGAAGTGGTAGATCTAACGAGGAAATCGTTGAATAGATGCCATTGGTCTTGATCGGCAGGATCCGGCGAGGACGGCGCAACATTGATCAGCGACACCAGATGAGACTTTTGATTGTCTGCACTATTGATGTCAATAACCATACCAACAAGCTCATACACCATAATGTCGTAGAAACCGCGCTGCAAGTGGTATTTGAGGTCGGAGCCTTCGTAGCAAAAGAATTGCCCATTCTGGACTACGACGCCGATTTCCTGAGGCAGCCACCCAGGTGTTGACCACAACTGTTTGTGATCTGGCGAGTGAATGGCGGTATTGACCATCAAAACTTTGGGAATGCTCTGGATAGTCTTGCGGGTGCTGAGCTGCTGGTATCGCTTGCATCGGTCACACCAGCCTCGAGTCTGGTCCTGACGTTCAACACTAGCTTTGAGGACTTGGGAGAAAGCTGGCCTTGGTGGGGCCATGCGTGGGTGGTGTTTCAATGGTTTCGGAGGGTAGACCAGATCGTGAACAAGAGTCTCGCCCGGTTTGAGCATTTCGTTAGCGCAATGCCCGCATCTTATTGCTAGCAAGGCGCCTGTCATCAAAGACTGCTCCATATGTCTATTATGAGGAGGCAACTGTCTGAAGCCATCGCAGAATGTCTTGAGCAGAAATCTGTTTGCTGCTTGTATCGTGACGGAGAGTGGATTGTTTGCGGCGGCGAATTGTTCGAGTAAGCCCAAAGTTGACGCATCTGACAAGCTGCTGAAGACCTTGAGGAAGTTACTTGCTTGACAATTCATGCCAGCAGCTTTTTCTAGCATGTCTGTTAAGAAGCCCATCTCACAAAGCAGGCAATTGTCGTAGAGGCAAGACGTGGCCGTGTGATGAAGTGCCAGATTGCGAATCGTCGGTGTAAAGCGTAGAAGCTGTAGGAGAGGATTTGTGTACGAGTTGGCGATGTGAGTCTCCAGTCCAGAGTGCTTCGTTTTGTTGTAGTACCTGCGTCACGTCAGTGGGAAGCCAAAATGATAGCGTAAGAAAACCCACTCAAAGTCGAAATCATCTACACCAAATTTACTATATTTGATCTCGACATTTCGATACATGACTGGGACGTCTCTTCGTGTTGCACCAGCAAGGGCCAGATCGCCTAGTGCTTCGAGCGCATCTGACATCCGCCTTGGGCCTTCGTGACCTTGTGAATCATCCTTCTGTCGTTCACTGAGAAATCGAGGTGCCGAGAGAGTATCTTGCGCTCTCTGAACGGCCCTCGTATCTTCAAACTGATGCCTTCGAGTCTTACGCGGGAAGGATGTATAGCCTCCTATGTCTGATCTTTTCAACGACGCAAGGATGCCAGCGTCAATCTTGCTTGGTGGTGCTCCAACTTCGGACACAAGATGACTGGGCCAGGCGGAAAACAGCATCTCTCTATAGTATGGCATGCCGACCAGGTTCAGAGGTCTACCGACAGTCAGCAAACGGTCTCGAGTGGTCTCGAGCAATACTTACACATCTGGTGACCAGTCTATTGGAGGAGAAGGTGCAACCTGATCCGCAAACTCTGTCGGACTTCCATACTCGGTGAATTGAATCTTGTTTGGAGAGCCCCAAAGATGCATGGCGCATTCGGCATCGGCGAGCACCAAGGCATCTCCTGAAGGTGCTATATCTAAGGATGTGATATGAGTATTGAAGACGTTTGCGTGCCGCATGCTGGGCGCATCTGGATTCATGATGTCAATCGCGTAGATCAATCCACCTTGAGATGCGACCATGCAGGTCGTGGACATCTTAGGGTGCATCCTGACGAAGGCGGCGCCTGGCGGAAATGGTACCGGAGGTAGAGGCATGAGAGTTTTCAAATCAAAGACGTTGGCCAAGTGATCCAGCAAATAACCGTGCTGCGGTCTGGAAGACCATCCGCAAGTGACAAGGACATCTGATCTGGCATCCATGTCGTTGATGAACGCTGAATGGGCTTTCCATGTCCTGGCGACTTTGTAGTTGATGAGATCCAAAAAGTGGACATAACCATCAGCTGTACCAGCACAAATGTATTGTCCACCACGCTTCATCATGGTATATGGTGCATCGGCTTTGAGCTGTCGTCTGATTAGTCATGTCTATCAGATACGAGAAATACAAACGTACCGTCGAGGTGATGACACCCTTGTCGACGTCAATTTTGTACATTGTCTCCTGGCATCCAGCAACCAAAACTTCATGGACACCTTTCGAGGTGAATGCCATGCAGCGGAGGTCTTTCATATCATCTTGACTGGGACAATGTTAGACCTTGCTTAAAATGTAATGATTGAAATCTTACTTGAAATGCCATTGCGTGACTCCCTTTCGTGATGCCAGATGAATGCTTTTCGCTGTTATCGAGATGACACCACGATCGCACATAAGCATCTGCTTGACAGGCCCTTCTGCGGGCGCATGGCCTCGGTAGGAAGTATATCTTTGCAGCTCGGGTCCGTAAAATGATGTTATTCGACCCTAGTTTTCTGGGATGAGCGAAACTGGCTTTCCATAGATAACAGAAGAGCATCTTACAAATTCGTTTGCAGCCCATAATAGCTCTTGCATAGAATCAAAAGAAAACGTGCTGATTGGTGTATTCAAGGCATTTGGACTGGGTGGAGGAAGCACAACGCGAACAACCTGAGAGAAAAATGAATATGAAGTCCTTCAAAAATGCAACTGTCTGGAAGATGCAGAGTCGCAATGGAGTTGTTGGGCAACGCCTTACCTCATCCCAATCTGTCTCCATTGTTGCGGGATCGACTCGTTTTATGCAGCATTACTTGCGCAAACAACGACATGTGGGTTAAGAATAATGGAGCCTCCTGCTTCGCATCAACAAAGAGAACAAGCAGAACAAGCGACAATGGTGGTTATCTGCAGCGAACAAGCGGCCTTGCGAAACCGGCGGGACGTGTTGTCTCCTTGGGATTGGGACGCGTCTCGATGCAAGACGCCTCGGGAGAGGGAAGCCGCCGACGCCGAAGATTCCCCATTTGTCATGACGTCTTGCAGCGCTCCTTCTCTCAAGACGATCGTCATTTGATATTGTTTTACAAAAATGCAGAAACGACTATTTTCATGTCTGAGGACATTGCAGCATGAGAACCCGTTGGTGCGTTGACATCGAAGCTGATTTATCGTGGGTTGTTCTAAGTCATAATAGGGATTGCCGAGATCTGGCACGCCGCCGAATCTGAGAGCTCGCATGCAAAGAGGTCTACCTGAGAAGCGACCGATCAAAGATGTCAAGAAAGTCATTGCAGTATCTTCAGCAAAGGGTGGCGTGGGAAAATCAACGATATCCGGTATGCATCCACGCTCGCTGTTGGTTCCCATCCTCTGGCTAACGAGAACCAGTCAACCTTGCTCTTGCATTCGCAAGAAGTGGATTGAGAAGCGGCGTCCTCGATACTGACATTTTTGGACCTTCCATACCTACGTTGCTTGACCTCGAAGGAAACGAGCCACGACTGTCAGCAAGTAAGAACCAATGAGTGACCTCTGGTTGATGTTTGTCCTAACACAAAACCGTGTAGATAACCAGTTGGTTCCGCTCACAAACTATGGACTGAAATCTATGTCCATGGGATATCTTGTGCCGGAAACATCACCAATCACATGGAGAGGTCTTATGGTCATGAAGGCACTTCAACAACTCCTGCATGAGGTTGAATGGGGTGGCCTCGATGTCCTCGTTCTTGATCTACCACCAGGTACCGGTGACGTACAATTGACTATAACGCAACAAGTTGAGCTTGATGGTAAGCCGTAGCATTACCCCACGCCCGGTTGTGACTGACATGTTCCAGGAGCTGTGATCGTATCAACACCACAGGATGTTGCACTCAAGGATGCAGTACGCGGTGTTGAGATGTTCAGAAAGGTCAAAGTGCCGGTACGACATTCGGCGTGCATTCGGCTTCGCATCTCAGCTGACGTTCCATACAGATTCTTGGCATGGTACAGAACATGTCTGCGTTCACTTGTCCTAATTGTTCTACGACACATTCTATCTTTGGCCGTGAAGGCGTTGTCAAGAAGTGTGATGAGATGAACATCAAGCTACTTGCCGATATACCTCTCCATCCAAGTATCTGCGAAGACGCAGATCGTGGAAAGCCAACAGTGGTTGCTGAGCCAGATAGCTTACGTGCGCAGGTGTTCAAGGATTTGGCAGCGGATCTCAGGAAGCAGCTGCAATTCTGATCTTGTACATGACTGTTCACATGACTGTTCCAGCACTGCAGAAGGTTTCAGGTGCTCTCGGAAGGCAAGACTCGACATCTTCCGCCAAGTCAGTTGTATGATCCACCCAATAGAACGAAGCAACAACGTTCGTGTTCTTCGGCTAGCAGAAGCCTGCGTCGTCATATAAATACTGGTATTGGGTGCGACTTTTCGAGTATGTTCTGCTCGCAAGCCCCGCCACAGTCAGCAGGGCTGACTTCCACCAATGGATATAAGCGACCCTCAATCTTATTCGTTCTCAGACTCTACTTCTAAGAGGTAGTCCAAGTTGTCTTTCCGTGTCAGGCTGTGCTGATGAAACTCATCATCAATGATGTACGAATGCGCCCGCACCTTCCTCTTGCTTGCACAACGTCAGGAGTTGGCATGAAGCCTGGACCGCCAGACGCGAACTTTACTTTCTGATCTTTTTTGACCGAAGACAACCTCTGGTTATTCTCAAACAACCATGACTCCGCTATTTCCATTGCTCAAGAGGACACAAGAACAAGGGTCTTTGCTTCTTCTTCTACTCACGGTTACATGGACTCTTCTCTGCTGGCCAGTTCATGCACAGAACAAGATTAATCCTGATGCGAGCCCCTGGGTATTGAACTACACGTCACAAGGTGAGATGACCTGGAAGAACACCAGTTCATATGAACTAACAAAGTGTAGCTGGCCCTGATGGTGTGTTCTTCGCTGAATCAACCCTGTGATGCCCAATAACAGTATCTCCAGGACCGTGGAACGCAGTTGTACAACTTGTGGACTATCCTGAGCAAGTAAGTATGAGATCCAGTCCAGTATCACCGCGACGAAGAGCTGATGTAGCAATACTAGCCTGTTACCTTCTTCCCATCTCTGACACGAAAAACTGTGTTCATACAAGCCAGTGCTTGCGACACGCAGAATTCTGCTTGCCAACTGCAGCGTCCAGACATGTGGACACAAAGTGCCGCCCATTCGCTGTTCAATTGGGTCAACACTTCTATTACAGCCCCGGATTGGGACACGGCGGCAGATCCCCTGAATCTGGAAGGTTCGGGAGTCCTGACCACTGATCGAATCGTTCTGTGGTCAGCAGATTGCTCAGATGGACCATTTTATCTTGATGAGGTTGCTATAACCATAGCTTCAGACTTCAACGTTACGCCGACGAAGTCCGGGATATGGTATACCATGGACGTAGGCTTGGTAAGCCAAATCAGTCTCGAGAAGGGTTGTCTACGAGCCGACTGACTCTGTTTGCAGCTGTCGTTGTGGGCCGGACAAGACACCTTCAATTGGACGACCAGCAATGGTTCGGATGTAGGATATGACCGGTTCCTGAACAGAGCCTATCGAACAGGAAACATCCCGTCGGTCTCTTATGGCCTACACATGGGCTCAGTCTGGCCTCCAATCCCCGGTAGTCTTGTCCTAGGTGGTTACGACCGGTCTCGATGCATCAGTACACCAATAGTCTCGGACCACGATTACCTGCTAGCTGAGCTCAGTCTGGAAGTTGCCTCGGGAGGCTGGCCTTTCCTGAACTCCCCGAAAGTCGATTCTCAGCATCTCTTGCGTAGTGGCAACGCCAGCGACACTTCTCTGACAGTGATGCCAAATCCTGGGGTGCCATACATGTATCTACCGGAGAACACATGCTCGACGATTGCATCGTTCCTTCCAGTGACATTTGACCAGAAGATTGGCTACTACATCTGGAACACGACAGATCCAGCTTTCCAGCACATCATGTCGTCGCCATCGGCGCTGAAGTTCTCGTTCGACACTGGTTCAGGGAATGAGCACATCTCAGTGCCTTTTGCACTCTTGAATCTGACCTTGGACTACCCTCTGACCAACACACCAACGCAATACTTTCCTTGTGTGCCTTATACGCCATCCGATAACTCGCCGTACCATCTTGGACGTGCATTCTTACAAGCAGCATTTCTTGGGCAGAATGGGCAAACACGAAAGACATTCTTGGCACAAGCTCCTGGACCTGGTCTGAAAGCTGAGGCGATCACGAAATTAGCTTCTACCGACACTGGACTGACAGCCATGGCGAATCCGCCATACTGGAATGCGACATGGAGCGATCAGTTGAAAGCGCTTCCAATGAACAACTCACCGAGCCCAGGGGATACGAACGGAACTGGTAAACTGAGCGGAGGGACGATTACAGGAACCGTGATTGGATCGGTCGTGGGTATTGCTGGGCTCTGTGCTATTGCAGTCGTTGTTTGGTCCCGTCGAGGTGGGAGCAAGAAGCAACATACGGTACACTGGGGTGGACACCAGAAAGCGCAAGAGAAGGGTGATTTTCCAGGGGGGCCGGCGGATACAGTCAGCGAGTCTGCTAGCGAGGCCATCCATGAAATGGCGACTGCTGTGACAAAGAGGAGTGGCCATGAGTCGGGATTACCAACAGAGATGGAAGTACCAGCGTATGTCGGAAAATTGGAGGGAAGTGATGTATATCGCAGGAGCCAGGCTTTATCTTGAGATGGATATAAATTCTGTATGCGTAGAAAAGTGGTTGGGAAGTAGATCGAAGTTCACATGTCAAGGTCAGCATGGCGTGCGGCGAACCGGGCTGCTGGAGAGGATGACATGATCAGAATATACTGCTTCACAGGGGCGTGCCCATTGATGGTTTCAGAACACATGTGTATCCATGCGGGTAGAAGAAGAACGAGATGGCTTGACTCGTGAGGATGATTATGAATTGAATTGATGACCATTTGACAGGCGGTGACGCGGGCAACCCCGGACGACCTTCTCAGATTGCCGGGGTCGTCTCGTCTCTTCTCCACGGCCACGCCGTCATAACCAACGCACAATCGCTGCACCTCGTCGCATTGCTTGCCGCCCATTGGTAGCCCACGCCCGAGCAATCAACAACCAGGTACACCCTAGACGGTACCACGGGATTCGACACAATGGCAGGCGGCGATGACGCCCCGGCGAGCCCGCAACCGCAGAGACGCCCTCCTCTAGGTCACCGCCATTCGAGCACCTCTTCACATGTCTCGCAGTCGCCGAGCGACTCGACCACCAAGGGCCACCACAAGTCTGCACACCACAAGCCTCAGCGACATGTCGTCAGCCATCACAACCGCATGGGCTCGCGCAACCCCAGCTTCCATCGTTCTCTGAGCAAGATCAAGATCACCCAGCACGACCAGCGCCAGCACGACGACGACGAGCCTCCCACTCCAAAGCCGAAACAACAGGCCTCGGTTGCCTCCCAGTCCACTCTCGTCCCGCCCAGTCCAGCCCGTCCCAACATGAAGCGCAACAACACATCCGTCCACCTTCCACGCAACCACTCGCATGCCGCTCTCAAGAAGAATCTCTCCAGTGGTCAATTGTCTCGAGTCACTGCTGGAAAGACAACTGTACATGCCCGTACAGCCGCTCAACATCAACGGCCCGATATCCGACGCGCCCATACACAGCCATATAAACGATCCAAAAGTCCAGCACCCAAGCGACCATCCTTCGATGTAGTCGATGACGATGACGACGACGACGATGATGCTGAAGAGATGGAAGGCGTCGATGACCAATGGACAGAGGAGAGCGCTTCAGCTTCGCCCAGTACCACTCGCGACAACACGGCAAGCAACACTCGCCAGAATTCGGTCGTCCTGGATCCCAGACTAAACCCTTACGCTCGCCAGATCGCTGAAGAAGAAGAAGCTGCCAATGATTCGTCAGGCAGCGACACCGTCGGCTCGCCGAGTCCGCCCAAGTCAACCAAACCTCCCGTCACCCTAAGTATCCGCACAAAGGACTTTGCTGCTCCTCCACCTGGTCCTACCTCTGCACCACTACAACTCCAAGAGCAGCAACAACCGCCAACCTCATCATACAATCCTCAAGTAGCTCAGCAGCACATGCCCGATGCTGATGCCATCGCTCGTCGCCTGCTCGAAACAAATCCAGCCTTGAACGCTGCACCTCCAAGAGTCTCGTCCGTCTCAGCTATAGCAAACCCGGGTCTCGGCGATCCGAAGAGCGTGTCGACTCCGGCTGCTGGCTTGTCGGTCACAAATGGTTCAAACACGCCACTTGTGTCGCGCTTCATCTCCAACGATGGCACCGACAGCAAAGATGGGACGCCAGCCGATCAGTCGGGCTTCATCCAGGGTGCTAGAGGCCACAATCGCACCGCGTCACAAGCCCAGACGCGTAAAGAACAATCGGACCTCTATCGCAATCAATCAACCCCAAACTTCGCCTCGCAAAAGCAGCCACCAACACCGTCAGGCTCGGGTGCAGTCACCCCAGATCCAGCGCTCAATCAGAGCAGGACACAACAGAAATTATGGCTACAACGTGGTCTCTCCAACATCGAAGCCAGTTCGCAGCCCCATCTTCCTGGTCTGCTGCCCACAGGCCGTGCCCAAGCCATGCGCACCCCGCACGCCGGCAAGCAATTTGAGTTTGTCGACAAAGAATGGGCCGTCGTACGTCGCTTCCAAAACCCTCTTGATGCTGGGCTCGAACGATTGCGCAAAATGAATGGTGGCTCTTTACCTGGGAAACCGAGCAAGCCGAAAGCAAATGCCGCACAATCACATACCAATGGCGGTGTCAATGGCCATCGTAGGGGACCTTCCAATGCCGGCTCCATCGCTAGTAAGAAGAGTGATGCTACTGTTGTTGCAGGCCCTGAGCGACCAACAGTGGGCAGGAAGTCTCGAGTTAGCTTTCACATGGGCGAGGGTGATGGCGACAACGACGATGATGAGCACGATGATCACAACACACGACCTGACAGAGAATCTCCCGCAGACATTGCTCGCAGATTATGGGAGTCGCCTGTAGGGATACAAGTAGAGGCGTAGAAACGACTCTACAGCCCGTAATCCCTCGGACACCTTCATTGTTGCTTCATACCTATTCTATCTTTCGTTTCCGGTCTATTTTGACATTTTTCTCTCATTTCAGTGTTTTCAAGCTTCCGGTTCTATATGGTGGGTCGTGGGTGATATGGTATACATGCATCTGGCGCGGCGTTTGACGGGTCTTCTTTCTACTATCCTCACCCGTCTATTTTCTCGGTGCGAGCGTCAATTCAACAGTTCTTTCCATCGAAGCAGCAAACAATTTTTATATGGTGCACATAAAGAAGAAGGTCAATTGGCTGGATTGCGCAGCACACGCGGAAATGTGTGGTGTTCTTGGCAGCCACAGGCAATAAAAAACCGTTTCCAAGACTCTAGAAAAGCCGCCCTGTCGTCTTCGCGTGGAGATGCGGCAAAAAGGTTGGTTGAGTGGGAGCCGTCGACGGCTATAGTGGAAAAGCTTCCAGACCTTTGATCCAAGCCATCACAGGTACAACCCGACAGCGATTGGATGTCTGATTTCCACCGACTTGGGTTTCTGTGCAAAGTTATCGGTCGAAGCCGCCGTACAAACCTTCAGTCTCGGCATTTTCATGTCTCATGGCAACGAAGAATGAGATTTCTCAATCTCTGGGTCTTCTGCCTATCGTCACGATACTGGTTGATGATATGATAACTACCCATCTGTGACAATGACGATGGCAGTGTATAAGGCCAACTGACAGTGCAAGCGACAACTCAAAACGAACAAGAAAGGCCGTTGACCGGGTGTTCTGTGGTTAGGTTGCCTTTTGTGTCGTTGTTCGCTTCTTCTTACGCCTTTCTCTGACGTCGGTAGAACCAGCAACCAACCGAAAACCTGCCAGTACTAGGTTTTTGCCCTTCGAGACCTGGCGGATACCGTGGTGTGGAGTAAAGCACGCGAAAGCACTATTGACTGTAGACTCTCACACGACTCAGAAAGTCAATGGGCCAAAGGAAGCAGAGGAGCAGAGATGGGTTTTTTGTTGAACCGAAAAGTTTTATTGACAAATGTCTCAGTGAAGCAATTCTCTCGCACACACACCGCTTGGTATGTCTACGATGAAAATTGGTGGTAAGTGGCATAATCTTGAAAGTCAAAATATCGCGGCTAGTCATTATCAATTCCTTCCCACTTGCCGAGGGACGATAATTTGCTTTTGCGCGGTATAAGACAGAAAGAGGGGTATATTCTTCACTTCGAATTTCGCAGTCCGTTGGTGAAATGACAGCTTCTTGCAATTTCCCTCTCAGACGGCGGACAAGATGCATGAACTGTTGATCGCTTCATTTTCGATAGCATGGCCGTTGCTGGTTCCAGCGCCCGTTTTGTGTTGTTTTTCATCCCCACATGTTGTTCTGCATGGGAAACGTCGCGAGGCGAAGGTTGCACAACGACAGACCAAGAGTCGAGCACCAAAGTCTCCGATTTGACACAGGCACAAGCGCCAGGTACCAAAGTCTAATGGTCGCACTGGTTTGATCTAGCGCCCGCCTCGTTGCATTTCTGCATGAAATGAGGTGTGACACTAGACCCAAGAAGGCTGTTTGCGACCAAGCGCATACCGGGAAATGAGATGAGCACGTTCTTTTTGCCCTGCTTATGCTTCCTCCACACGACCAAGTTGGCCTCGTGCCCGCGGCTAAGATTGAGGGCAGTGAGCATCTTGGATAGGTAAGGTGGGAGATCGGGTTGCTGGTATATCTTGTGCGGGGATCCTCCTCGTATCGCGAGCCCTTCCCTTCCCTTTCTCTATCGATACACAGTCATTCCAGCTGCAAGACAGTAACAGTCACTCTTTCCTCTTCGGATCTCAATCTGCCAACTGCGAGCTGAGCTCTGCCATCCACACTCTTTACACCACCACTATCACACACTAGCCAACCTCGAAGGCCTAGCATCAACAACATTCATTGAACCAAGCATTACCGTCATTCACTTGAACACATCTACAATCACCACTCGATAACCCACTATCAAACACATCAGCCAGCCACAATGCAGTTCACCAACATCCTTCTTCCTCTGCTGTTCGCTCTCTCTGGTGCCAATGCCCAGCAATCCTCAGATGTCACCTCGGTTATGACCTACTACACCACCTTCACCGTCAGCCGCGTTGTCGAGACCACCACTTGCACCTCGACCACTACTCCTTCTGCTGAGCCCACCGTCGAGTCCGCTGTCATCGAGACTTCCATCGTCTCTACCTCTGAGGCTCCCGTCCCCACCAGCTCGCCCTCGACTTCCTTCACCACTGAGCTCCTCACCCAGACTGTTCAGATTGCCGCAGCCAGCTCTGCCGCCGCTTCCTCCATGGTTACTGTCTACCCTATTGCCGCTAGCGCCTCTGCCTCCATGGCTCACGGCTCTACCAACGGCACCGGTGTTGCTGTCTCTTCTCCTACTTTGACTCCCTACACTGGCGCTGCCTCTGGCCTAACCGTCCAATTCGGCGCTGCTGCTGTCATTGCCGCCGTTGCTGGTGTAGCTCAATTGCTTTAAGCCACCAAGCCATGCCATCACCTTCACTTCTGCCAACACCACTTTTCGTATCTCTTCTTGGAAATGCCCCGTCATGTCAGGCCTTTTACTAACATTACCCACCACCATTTTTCTGTATAATGTTTTCATCGACCTCTCTTGTACACTGAGGGGTCATTGATTATACTCTTCTTTCTTTTCCTTGTCACTCTCTTTTGTCTTATTCTAACGACTTGTTTCACCACCTTTTCAACACTTTATGAAGAATGACAAAAAGCGAACAGTACGGCGTTCGGAAAACCACATCTTCTTCTTTTTCTCGGCGGAAATACCCCTTTGGTGCTTCGATGATTGCTGTATCTTCTTCTTGTCCTTCATAACTATCTACTTTGATATATTGTTATATCTACATATACCATCATTACACTATACTCAGAATTTCCTCTGTGCAGTCTGTGATCCTTCGACGCTGAGGGTACCCACTCCATAAAAACGTCTTTTCATTTTGCTCCATAGCAAATCCTACGCTCTTTTGCGCGGGAAATTGAGGTATGCAAGGACGTTTGGTCATTCCATCATGGGCCACTGAACAGTTGTGGTTTTTGCGTCATAGGGAGGTTGGATTTTTTTGTTATCGCTCTTCATCCTTTACCGACAGAGGCAATCGTGCATCGCTCATCGATTACTTCAGGGCATCGATTGCTTCAGCTCATCGATTGGCATATCTTTAGATTCCTTCTCGACGTCATCTGATCATCGGGTCAGACGTCAGAGAAGTGCTGTGACACGTTGCTGTGACATGTTGCCATGTTATCCTTGGCCGCCTGAACCGCCGATGATCTGCTCAGGCTGCCCAAGCAAAGCCTTCGCAGGATCGACCCGAATAGAGATCCAGACCAAACGTGTTTGTGGAGGATGAAACCAAGGCCACGAACGCTATGGCTGTCAGAGGTCGCGAGTAGAGTATAAAATTAGGTATGGGAACTAGACACGTGGGATGGTATTTATATTTTGACATGCGGATGCTTGGGTAGATCTGGGGTGCAGGAGTTTGGGGAAAAGGTTTCGCTTTGTTTCAAGAGCAGTGATGTTTCAGGGAGTCGGAAGAGATGATGGTAGCGGGAGTGTTTCGTGATGATTTGGACAGAACCAGGTTGAGCTTGATGTGTAAAGATAGAACTGTCCGCTTCTTGAGACTACTTGAGACTTCTGTCGGAAGACTGGTCTCGTGGAGCGAGTGGGGAGGTTATGATAGCGAGAGGGATTGTTTTATTTTATTGTCCAGTATGGCTTTGTATCGATTGTCAACAAGCATCAAGGCGGAGTCGTGGATATCCATCTATCTGTCAGATGAAAATATCCTGCAATGTTTTCTGAGCAGATGCTTTGATTGGTAGAAGCCAAACAATAACCTATCGGTCGTTAAAGATTGCAGGTAGTACACAAGATAGTTGACTGCGTCAAATTTATGTATGAGTATATAATATCCTATACTGCACTGATATCACTCAGAATGGCGATGGCATCCGACGAAAGTAGTGTTGTGTGGCATACCACATGAATATGCTCTCGTAAAGGTTCTGCGACCGGGTCAGGGTGTCAGAATTCTCGAGCAAGAGATTCCATCATAAACGTCCGCTTTGGTGACTTTATGATATCAGACATCGTCACCTACATCAGAATCAACAAGCGTCTTTTTCCCGCCGTGCGTACCTTTCCCTGCACTTTAACAAGTTCATTGACACGGCTAAACACCAACGAGTCTCAACTATGTGCAAGCGATGTTTTATCCACGAGTAGAGATATGCCACACGCCGCACCAACACTTCGCCCGCGGCACTCTCGAATGGAGGTGCACCCGTAAGCGCCGCGTTGTACAATGATGAAACTGCGGCCATGCAGGATAGCCGCCTGCGATAGTAGCATGAAGACTCGTTAAACGTGAAAATCAAGAAACCATCCTCTGAGCTTTCCAAAGAAGAGATTCATCACCGAATCGATCAGAGAGCTTACAACCCTAATTTCTCACGTTGCAATGCACGTTTTCTCCTCACCACCAGGCCCGAGATCTGTTGCTTCTACATCTGCTGGGTCGGTACAAATCGAAGCACCTTTTCCGGGTCCAGGTCAGACGTCGAAGGTTTCGACAGATTTGTCATCTACAACATCATCAACATCGAGTCCGTAGAGCCTAGCGACCACTCCTTCACCCTCTGCACCAGAATATAGAATCGGAACAGCCATGGAATCGCCCATCACCGAAACTGTGGTTACATTAGATACTACCATCACGCTCCACCACAAAAGCGTGACTAGGACGTCTACAGCCATTGTGATTACAATATCTACCGAGAGCTTGACTGGAACACCAAGCACCAGTGTCCCTACATTCTCAGCACAAGCAACAACAACCACAGTATCAGAGCAACTCACAGAGGCAAAGCAAGACTGGAAGGGCATAGGCATCAAAGCAGGAGTTGGTGCTGCTGTCTTCTGCTCGTCCTCATGGGCGTTGGCGTCTTCCTCTGGCGCTGTCACCGTCGTCGTCGCCGTCGTCGTCGTCGTCGTCGTCGCGAGGTTCGCGGATTGCCTTTATGGACCGCTTTACCCGTGATAGTGCTTCTCGCAGACCGGCATCCTGGAAGTGGTATGATGCTGATAGAGTGCATATCTATGAGCTAGAGGCCGTTGCTACGAGGGTGGAATTGCTGCTGGAAAGTCCAATAGAACTGCCTGGTTCAAAGGGAGAAAGGCAGAGACATCAGACGCACCAGCCAATGAATCATGATAGTCCGCATTAGCTGAAATCTCGAGATGACAACCAAGAAAGTCTGTATCGCATTCTGATCTGATCAACAAGCCAAATGACTCCAGTTTGTGTGTGTTGGATTGTGCTTCATTAATCATATTTACTGAGATTTCCAGTCGGGTGGAGGAACAAAAGTGATAAGGCTGAACAATGAAGTGTGTGGATAGAGTGTGCGAATGGGAAATGTAATGAGGGTATGTGTGGAAGAAAATGATTCGTGAATCAGACGTCCGGCATGGGATGCTCGGCATCCAAAGCATAGACTTCGAAAGGTATACCTCGAAGTACCTTGTTGCCATGGTCGTTGGTCGTGTATAGTTCGGGTTTGAAGCCTTGTACACTGGCCCATGATGTAAACAAGCGTCGCCAGTAGCATGTCGTTGCTGCTGAAGTCAAGTATCGCTCGTGGAAAGTCTTGTAGTTGTTGTCTGCTATCTTCTGGCCTTCGAGATCGTGCTTGGTGTAGTATGTCATCTGCAAAATGAAATTGTTAGTATCCGCTCCATTCGATGTTTGTCAAGTTAGACTTACCTTCTCATCTAGATCTGACCAGTCCTTCTCGACCTCGATAAAATTTTGCTCTGGACCACTGGACTTCATAAGACCGTGGTGGTGCTCCAGGTATTGCAGTTTGTGTACAACAGGCGCACTGTTGCAGAGCTGCAGATACTTCAAGCGTCCTGAGTACGTGTACCCTTCTGTATGTACAGGGTACTTGTACCGACAAAGCTGATCCTGTGTCATACAATGCTGCTTCGTCTGGGCATCATAGATGTCGCAAATTCTGACATCCCCCCAAGCAGTGTCTTTCGCAGCACTGATGAGCTGCTTCCGAACACCTTGATTCAGATTCGCATCGCCTCGCCACACGGCCTTGTTGTATTTATTTTCCCATGGATATGCGAGATTGACTTGCCGTACGTTACGTCGAACTTGACTGTGACTTGGCACGCGTGCTGATGGCCAGGCCCAGTATGCGTAATCAGGGAGAAGCCAGATGTGTCGTTGATGTGCCAGTCTGGTGAGACCCCATACGGTTGTTTTGTTCGAGTTTTTGCCGTGTGCGAATTCGATAGGTCTTTGAGGGTCGTCATCGAGATCTAGTATGAACTCTATGTTGGGTATCGAGCCCGGCGGCGCGGTTATGATAGATTGATGAATCATGTGTAGGAATCCGCTAGTTCTTTCGTGCCATCGTCCCATCCAGCATTTCTTGTTTTGATGGCCTTGGATTATGAAAAGCTGCGAGCTTCGAGTCAGATACATGAACGAAACACATGCCGATTTCTGCTCTGTCACTTACTTCGGAGTCGTATATCAGTACTCGCACCATACACTGGTCATCTTTGATCTCCAACTCTTCCAATCGGATCGGATCTGCCATGCGTGAGGCTACAGCTGAATCAATGTCTCCATAGAAGCCAGGGAATGCTGCATCGCATTGTTGTGACGAGAGGCCGTAATTCAAAGCATCGCGAGGGAACTCATACCGCCAGCCTCCGAGTGATGATGTGTGAACGACGAGCCACCAAGCTCCCGCAAACCCGAAGAAGAGAGCAACAGCAGTTTTGAAGCTCAGGACAGATGCTGACGGCGACATGATTCAATGCCTCTTGCTGAAAAACCTGTGGGAATGGAGAGAGGCCATGACGGAGATGCAAGGCGAGGAATATCCAGTCATCCTCCCCTTTCTCAGCAGGAGTCAGACATGTTCCATCTCATATTTCTTGAGTTAGACTGGTAACTGTTTCCCTAGTTGGAGTCAATGATAACGTTGCAGGCCCTTGGCTCTCCATCTCGTTACCTTGTTTCGTCGACGTTCGCAACAGAATGTACACATATACACGTGCCAAATGTGTTGCCTTCATGACATTCTGTGTCGACAATCTGTCGATAACCTACCGAAAGCATGAATGGGATCAGCTGAGCACTATCATAGCTGAATGATGATTGAGCCCTCTTTTTGAAATCGTATTAATCTTGTGTAGCTAGATGTGACTAGACAAGCGTATATCATAGTGAACTCTGGCTGCTGCATCACTTTTGCCGTTGTGAGTATGATCCTACATTCGGATCGATGCCATTCCAGGAGAAGAGAACGCCTGTACATCTGTATACAACGTTATATGCGAAGAACCTAGCTCCCGTTTCGAAAAGCTGGAGGACGTTGCGACGTCAAGGTCAAGCGGGATAGCTCGGTCATGTTGAAAGGCAGCGTGGTATATCGAAGCTTGAGAAAACAGAAGGGCGACATTGTAACTTATGGCTATGATGAACGCGGCAGCATTCTGGTCACTCAGATACTGTCGCATGTCGGATCATGAAAATGCGATCCATCAATCGAGGAGTCGCAAGACAGGTACGGAGTAGGGCAGCCAAATGGACGTTCGGTGTTCATCCTGCAGGATCGCGAAATCTCGACATGGCTAGCTGACCGACAGCTGAGCTCGGCGGTGGCGACCCCTCGGATGTGCGCCTGCAGAATGAGTGTCATTTCAGGAGGTCGTTTGGAAGCAAGCACGACGATGCAGCGAACAGCTCTGGCACTCGGGAATCTCAATCGAAAATAGACTGCATGTGCGAGTAGAGGACGTGGAAGCCGCGACATGGTCTGAAGCCGACGGCAACATTTCGGAGAGAAAGCTCCAACTTCCTCGCTCCTCAAGCTTTATACAAGACCACGAGTTGCACCCTTCCTATGCAATATTTCCTCCTTGACAATCCAAGACCTGACTTCGATAAACTGAATTCGCTTAGCATCATGGATGGAGGCGTCCTCCGTGGCAGCCTTTCACAGCATCTATAGGTAGTCGTGTGCTCGTTCGTCCATGCCAGCGTCTCATCGGACACTTACAGTCTGGGACGACCGCCAGGTCATTCTGTGTTCCCAGAATCGTGAGCTTTTGCTCTCCGAAGCTACCATACACCTTAAGAAAGAATTTCTTCAGGCGTCTGACGAGGCCTCAGTCCCGGCTCAGTACTTCGTTATCCTCACAAGCCGGAACGAGCAAATCAGCAAATCCCAAACCAGCCACCACAGCAGAATCAAGCAATACTACGATCGATGATCTCACAATGCTAGAAACAAGTTTAAAGATCATGGACCAAGAAGTACACCATCTCCAAGTACACCATCTCCAAGTACACCATCTCCAAGTACACCATCTCCAAGTGCATCGTCAACTCTGTCGCCGAGCACCACCAAAACCAGGTCAGCGGCAACCACTAGTGGAAGGAGCAGCGATTTATCCACAACCAGTACACCTGCATTACCAACAGTAATGTTCACTAAAGCAGCAGAACCCCACTCCGAAGCAAAAGGAGACTGGACAGGTTTGGGTATTGGCGTCGGTTTCGGTATTACAGTGCCTTTGCTTGCTCTAGCACTCATTGGGCCAATGCTTTGGCGACGTCATCGTCGCAGAGCATTCCGAGGGATGATCTCGCCAGTCATATACCCTTCACGATAGTGCTCCATCTAGGAGTGCATCAAAGACGAGAGAGCCGTTGTCACATATGGCAAGACCTCCTCCGCTGTACGACGTAGACGGTGCACCAGGCTATGAGTTGGATGCTGTTGGTGTGAGAGCAGAGTTGTCAACCAAGAGCCCAAGAGAACTACCTGGAGCGAAAGGAGAGAGGCAGAGACATGTCGCCTATCGTCCTTCAAGTCGACAGGCCGTCCAGTCTGGGTTAGACCAGTAGCTACGACCGATCGGAAGATGGTGAGATGTGCTGTACATATGGCTTTTCCTCTCGCCGTTACATCATGACGATTTTCACGAGGAATGTTGCTATTCTCAGTTTGTTCTCCTTGTCTCTCATAGTTTCTGTGTATCCATTCTTCGAGCGCATATCTCCCATGTGATCGTGCGGCTGTGGTCTTGGGGCTGAAGCTGAAGCTGCAGTCACTCGTACATGCAAGAGAGACGGTGTTGGCCAAACTCTAAATGAATCGAGGCCATCACGATGTCAACACGATGCCAACAGTCGGAGCATGCTTCAAAAATGGAAATAGTTCACTCATACTCTCCAAGGCTTTTCCAGTAGGTCCGTGGCCTGTCGCCATATGCCAAAAACTCCAACAGGACCGCTATGCTTAGCAAACCAACGAAACCAGACTGACGTCCTCGCTATATTTACATGGGTTTTCAGTAGGTATTGTCCTTCTTACTCTTCCTTCTTCTTAGGTTCCTTCTCGCCCTCCTTTTGTGCTTTGCCTAACTTGCTCTTTTGGCGCTTCTCCTGGAGGTACTTCCAGGAGCGAGTTGGCCCGCCAGTGAGAACACCCTTCAATGATTGACTTGTACTCGGCCAGCTGATGGTCTTCTTGATACAGTCTCCAACAGCCTCGGGAATGTCATCTTGAGTACCAATGCGACGTTCGAAGTCTCCTCCCTCGCGACGCCTGATGCTCATCGAGTCCTCGTCTGTTGCTTCCTCTATGACTTTGTCGAATGCAGAACCAGGAATCTGGAACTTCTTTTGGTAATTCCAGTAGAGCTTTTGGCGGAAGCCCTTGGGTAGACGTCGAACCATGTTTCCACGACGCTTTGGGTCCATGTCCTGTTGCAGCTTGAAACCATTTAAGCCTCCAATGATGTCCTCGGCGGGGACTGCCCTTCCAGAAGATGAGAGAGCATTGGCGATGGCCGCCTCCGTCTCCCAACCGTGCTCTTTGGGAACACCCGAGTCGTTGAAATCGACGTTTGGCAGATTCTCGATCAGTGGGACATAGAGTTGACGGAAGCTAGGTAGTTGAGCGTCGACGATGTTGGCGACCTTGCGAGGGTTCTCACCGCCGAATCGAGGGTTCATTCTAGGATCACCCATGTAAGAGATGCCTGCAATGGTTGTGTAGAGTTGTCTTTCGGTGAAATTCTCGGGCAACATGAGAAGCGCGGTGCGGACGGCAGACATGAGGTTGATTTGGTTTGCGAGTCTTACTCTTGGATCGTCCCTGAGGATCTTGACAGGCTTCTGTAGACGTCCGGCCAGATACAGAGTATTCCATTCGCTTAAATCCTTGCAGATCGTGTCAATGTTGACTACACCGTACTTGATCATGACACCGTTGACCGTAATGTAAGGATTGAAGTAGACTCCGGCACCGATGCTATCCTGAACTTTTGAAACGGTCCAAGAACCCAAGCTCTTTAGGAAACTGTAGTGGTGAGGGTTCTGGCGCATGTTTGTCGAATGCCAATGTTCGGTGTGAGAAACACCAAAGATAAAGTCGATGATCTTGCCTCCTCCTTCTTGCCATTTTGTAACAGCCTCTGGCGGATGAGGGTGAGGGGAAAAGGATTGGGCTACGCTGGCCGCCGACTGGTTAGTGGATTGCGTGAAGACACCACTGCCATATGCGAAAGCGTATCTGATGGGGGCACGGAACTGCCACAAGATCTGACGCATAGCCTCCTTGAAATCTTCATTGATCTTGATGTGCTGGTTGGTGCCAAAGAAGCGATGGGGCAGTTGCGAGAAGGCGGTGATCTGCGAGTAGTCGGCATTATCCTCCCAGCCCTCGGGCATGGTTTGATTAGGAGTAGCGGATGCCGAAGATTGCGGACGTGATGTGGCTGAAGTCGAGGCATTGGAGCTGTCGGATGAGTTTGAGGAGGATGTGGTGGAGGAGGATGACGACGAGTATGGTGAGCGAGTAGCATTTCTTCTCAGAAGAGAGTCCGACGAGCGAAGACGACTGCAGTATAAAGAGTAAATCGGCGGCACACGGCCTGTCCCAGACAGCCGGATGGGACGGATAACCTGGAGACTATATCAGCACGATATAATGATTGGGACGCACCAATTGAAGCATACAGAAAGCATTATAAAAGCCGAAGATGGGACAATTGGAGGGGTGTTTCAAGCGGGATTTTTTGTGAAACGGTGTTTCTGAAGCGTAGGACGTAGGATGAGAATCAGATGGTCTATTGAGACAGCGAGTTATACATGATACAAGGCAGATGGAAGGAAGTACAAGAGAGTCAAGAAGGAACAGAGGTAGAGACAGGAAGACAAGAATGTCAGAGCAGGAAGGAGCTGGCACCTTTGGAAAGAACGACCGGAGCACCGTGGACTTTGCGTCAGAAGCCGGGGAAAGAGCCCCACGCGTGCCTGACCGTCGCGCCTTGGCAGTCACGTGTCGTGCCGAAGCTAAGCTTTCGGTTTGGTCCGATGGGTGTTTGTTGACGCGCTCGAGAAACAGTCAGAGACTCAGAGCAGGCTTGTCGCAAGGACCAAATATTTCCCTCCCAACACTCGCCTAGTCGTCGGCAACATGGCAGCTGTATCAGGCCTGGACATGTCCATGCTGACATACACTGCTCGACTGGCCACCTTCAATACCGAACATCAACTCACAAAGAGACGCGCTTCGAGTCAAAAGAAGAAGCAACCTTCGGCCGTGTCATGGCCCCACGAGGCACCTTCGGGTGAAGAGGTATCTGCCACACTTCTCTGGTCTGTTGCACCTGTTCTGATCACGACAGCTTGCTCGCGCTGGCTTCTTCTTCAAACCTGCACCCGACAGCGACGACAACGCCCAATGTTTCCACTGCGCCGTGAAACTCGACGGATGGGAAAGCCAGGATGTCCCCCTCCAAGAGCATCTGGCCCACTCAGCGCACTGCTCGTACGCCCTCAGTCTTTCCGTATCTGACAAAGCCGAGGAACGCGACCCCATGTGCCCCGAACTGAAAGATGCCCGCACAAGCACATTTGGAGACATGTGGCCGCACGAACACAAAAAGGGATGGAAGCCCAAGGTCAAACAAATGGTTGAGGCCGGTTGGACGTTCGACCCTTCACCTGCAGACGAGGATGGTGCCACTTGCTTCTACTGCAACATGTCATTGGACGGATGGGAGCCTAAGGACAGCCCGCTCGAGGAACACCGTCGCAGAGAGCCGAACTGCCTCTTCTTTGCCCTGATGGACCGTTACAAGTCTACAAGACGTAAAGGTGGGCGCGGTCGTGCTTCCACTGCCTCAAAAGCCTCCCGCCTGTCCACTCAATCCGTACAATCGACCTTCTCTGAGGCTCCATCGCTAATGTCCTTGGGTGACGCAGGTCCTCAACTTGACGTCGAAGACAGCATCGCACTTGATACCACAATCTCGTCCGATGCTGGCAAAGGCCGCAAGAAGACGACCAAAGCGAAGAAGAAGACCAGCCGTCAGGCCTCCGTAGAGCCTTCTGTCCAATACCCGACCTTACAAGACGCTCCGCAAGCCGAAGACGACATCTACGAAGTCCCCATCGACGATGAACCCATGTCTGTCATCGAACAACCCAAGCCCAAACGTGGTCGTAAGGCAAAGAACGCCCAAGACTCAACCATCATCGATGACTCCATTGCGGAGCCTGCACAAAAGCCTACTAGGGGCCGCAAAAAGGCAAAAGAGCCATCACCACCACCCGTCGAGACCAGTCTGGATGAGAGCCAGTTGCAAGCCGAATTGCAGGAAGCAGCAGAAGACGCTGTTGTTGCAGAGAGCCCCCCAACCAAATCCGGAAGAGGTGTCAAGAGAACGACCGATGGAGTCGAGAAAGCTCCGTTTGTCGAAGACGAGATTCTCGACGAGCAACCGACGAAAGCCAAGAAGGCCGCGAAGTCCATCAAAGCAAAGAAGACCAAGAAGGCAGTCAAAGATACCCAGGACGAAGTAGAAGATTCCATCGCAGTTACACAACCGGAAGTCAAGCCAAAGCGAACACGATCTAAGAAGACCAAGAAGGCTGAGTCTGAGCCCGACTTTGAAGCAGAATCAGGAGCAGTTGCTGAGTCGGCGATCGAGGTACAGACAGAATCGATCATCCCTGTTGAGATCGAGAAAGAGCAGGAACCTGAAGAGGAGGCGTTCGAGAGAAACTTCGAGATCGCCGACAGTAACGCCGGACTCGACAATCAAGTGCAAGCTGAAGCACAACAGCAGCTAGAAGAGGAGGATTTTGACCATGAGAACCTCGAGCCACCTACAGACGCCGAGGAAAACCACACACTCGATCATCACGAACAACAAGACGAAGATGTTTTGGACGAAGAATTCAACAACCTTGAGAACGAGAATGCTGAAGAAGCAGTCGCAGACGACAATGCGGCCAACGAGGTCGACGAAGAAGAAGAGGAACAGCCGGCTTCTATAGTCCCAACACCCGCCGCAGAAGAGTTCGAGCCCACGCCAACACCCGATGTCAAGCGCCACTCTGCAGTCTCAATGTCCTCTGTGCAAAGATCTGTTATACAGCGGGCCACTTCAGAAGAAGCTGAAGAATCAGCTCACTCGACACCGCGCAGTGCAAGGAGCCCACAACAATCAGATGCTGAGAATCAACCACCATCTTCAACCCATGCTCCGCCTACAGCGCAGAAGGCTACTCCTGCATTGAGTGCAATGAAATCTGCTATCCAGCCCAGGGAGATCTTTGCGAGCCCCACCAAGACTACTAGAGTTCCTCTGGCTGCATCCACGCCCAACCGCTCTCCCAGACGACCGCCCTCCAAGTTCGACAGACTTACTTCGACGACCGCGTGGGAACCAGTTGATCTAGAATCGGTCTTTTTTCCTGACTCAGAGAACGAGGCTGGAGATGCGGATGATGTGTTCAACAAGTTGCTCGAGGTTGGTGGTGCACTCACATCACAAGAGAAGAAAATGACCGTTGAGGAATGGATCCGATCACGAGCAGAGTTGGGAGAGCTCAAGCTCAAGAACGAGTGTGAGCGTATGGTGATGCTCTTTGAGAAGGAGGGTAACAGAGGTCTGGCAGCCTTGAGTGGCATTCAGACTTCATCATGATTGATCGGATAAGTAACGAATTTCGTATTTCTGTTGTAGGGAAAGGTGTCTCCAAGGATAGGAGTTTGGTTTCGGGAGGCAAGGTTTCGGGAGGCAACGCGACTCCTTAGATCTTGTCTGCAGTTTCTCACAATCAATTTCCATTTCTCCGGCTCTTTTGCCGAAATCAACAATTTATCAGCTTGTGCTCTGCGTTGGCCGTCTCCGCTCCATGTATTGTGTGCCTGCATAGCGATATATTGCTAGTCTACACGCGTCTTGGGCTTGCAGTTGCTTCGATGATATACACTTATCGGACCAATCATCAATAGTTGACAATTACACCTTTCCTGACTAAATCGTCGTGATCATAGGGCAAGATAATTGCATCAAAGGTTAAAGATAAGGCAAGAAGGTAGCAGTCAGATTCTGCTAGATACAAGCCCCTGAGGAAGGAATGAAGGAGTGTCCCCTTGTTGCTTGCGGATCAGCGCGGCGGGCCGACCCCAAAGTCGACAACCACCTTCCTCTCTCGACACTTGACATCTTTCGCCATTCACAACGCCTATCACGAAGAAAAAACCTCACTCAAGCTTTCGCCAAAGATGTCAAGCAAGGTTAAGCGTATCTCTGCAGGCGCCACAGGAGCTTGATCAGTATCACCTGCTTTCACCCCACTCGTTCAGTTTATCCCTACTGCGATAAGGCTATATTGCTCTCCACACAGCCTATGGCTTGATATGCCTCTACACTTGGGTTGGGCGCATCCAGTGTCTGGCCTCTTCAGGCTTTGCTCGCACTGTCGATCTCCGCCTTTGAGGTACATTACTGATAACAGTTCGCCTCGGCTTCGCGAACATATCATGCAATGAACCTCAGGATCTTGCCGCTCCGGCCGAGCCTGGTATGCTTCTGATCTGCGATAGGCTCTTTCTGGTTCTCAGGTCAATATGGTCCAGCCTAGCCTGCTTCTCGAGATGGATCCTATGCATGACTTGGGGTTCGTGTAGGCGAACCACTGGAGCACCTCACTTCTTCAAGACCAATCGCAACACGCTTTACAGCCTTCCATGCGCTCTATGGCTACAAACTCAAGGCCCGGAAGCCGAGTCTCAGATATCTCTCTCATTTTCCACAGTTCGGCACTCTCAATGTATCTCTTGGAAGATCAAAGATAGGGTCTCGACCCTGGCAAGGCGATACACCGCTTCGAAGCCCGACTTTCTCCCTGCTACATTATTGACCTCCTTGATTGCAATGTTCGCCTCGGTCAAGTGGACCTATTAATCAAACTGATCACACAATACGAGAAGCACCATCAACGAAGATGGAAGGTCATACTCAACAATGAGACTACGAGTAAGCGAGATGCTCCACACCATGTCTATCACGCCTTCAACACAAGCCAATACATTGCGGCATGGGTATCTCAGACTCTGTATATAAGACTTGAGGCCTTACCATGAAGGACCATCATCCGCCTCCATCAACACTCCCATCATTTTATCCTCACAAGCCACTCTTGCTTTCCACAAATTTCTCGTTCAGAAGTTTCTTTGATCCAAGACTATCAGGCCAACATGAAGCTCACTACCGCCTTCGTTGCCGGACTGCTCTCCGCCAGCACTGTCATTGCTGCCCCTGGCACTGCCATGCGCCGTAAGCGTGCCGAGGCTGCCATCGCTGCCAGTCGTGCTGGCTTTGTCAAGGCTCCCAAGCCTTTCATCGCAGCCACCAACGTGACTGCTGTCGTCCACGGCCCTGAAAACAAGCAGGTCAGCTACTCCAACAACTGGGCGGGTGGTGTCGTCGAGGGCTCCGGCTTCAAGACTGTCACCGGCACCTTTACCATCCCCAAGATCACCGTTCCCTCGGGCGGCAGCTCCAGGACCCTGTACTCTGCCTCCGCTTGGGTCGGTATCGACGGCTACTCCTGCTCTTCCGCCATCTTGCAAACCGGTGTCGACTTCAGCATCCAGAACGGCGTTGTCACCTACGACTCCTGGTACGAGTGGTACCCTGACTACGCCTACGACTTCACCGGCATCAGCTTCTCAGCCGGCGACAGCGTCACCGTCACCGTTACCGCCTCATCCAAGACCGGTGGTGTCGCAACCATCAAGAACAACTCCAAGGGCACTTCAGTCAGCCACACTTTCACTGGTCAAACCGAGGGCAGCCTCTGCCAAACCGATGCCGAGTGGATTGTCGAAGACTTTACTCAGATTCAAAATGGACAGGAGTCGCTTGTTCCTTTGGTTAACTTTGGCACTGTGACTTTTACTGGTGCTTCTGCTACTACCAACAGTGGATCTAAGGTTGGGCCTGCCAGCGCTGATGTCATTGATCTAATTTCTGCCAATGGCAAGACTGTTCTTACTGATGTTACTGTTGGTTCTTCTACTGTTTCTGTCGTTTACGGTTAGATGATTGGAATCGAATGAGATGGTCGAATGAAGTGTAGTGAAGGGCTTTTGACGAAGAGATCTGGCCACCAGTTTTTTGCTTTCTAGTGGTTGTGAGTGCAGCGTAAATACTACAGGCAGCTGGTTCATACAGGACCAATCAAGTTCGACTGTGCATCACTTGGCAATTATACTAGGCGTAACACTTCATGCAGGAAGCAACTCGATGTTAATTTGACTTCTGCTTCACCTAGAGTCTGAGATTGCCAGGATTGGTCTATTGATACATATTATTCGTACACTCTACTCCGTCTACTATTGTCTACATATAACAATCACATCTTTCTCCTCAATTCTCCAACAAATCAACAACAATAGGCGTGATTCTCTCCACGCCCTGCGCCAATTTGGCACTGATGGGAATAGCATGCAACTTCTTCTTCCAAGCATTCTTCTTACCACTAGGATGTTCCCTCTCACCTGCAGCAACTTCCCTCATATACTTTTGCAGCATCGCAAAATTCTCCCTCGTCTCTGGCAAATCAGCTTTAGTCGCAATGACCAACCACGGCTTTGAAGAAATAGGCGGTAATTTGAGTTCAGGCAACGCGCGCGAGCCATCAGCGTTGAAAAGGACGTTTTCGCCATCATTGCCGAAAATGGCCAGTGCAGGGTCGGGTTTGACGAGGGGTGAGTAGCGAACCATTTCCTTTTGCTCTTCGATGCGGCGTTCGGATTCGGCGTTTACTTCGCGGTCGCGCAGGGCTTCGTATTGGCCTACTTCTTTCCAGAGGCCCTTGAGGGCGGTGATGGCGTCGCCGGCTGAGAGGTCTACTACGAAGGCTAGGATGCCGGCGCGCTCGATGTGCCGGAGGAAACCAAGACCGAGACCGCGGTCTAGGTGGGCGTCTTCGATTAGACCGGGGATGTCGGCTATGGTGAAATTTGTGCGGCGAGGACCGGTTTTGTTCTCGGAGGTAGGGACTAGAGGGCGGCCTTTGTGGTTGTCGAGAACCACGGTGCCGATGTTTGGTTGCAAGGTTGTGAAGGCCCAGTTGCCGATGCGAGCGCGAGAGTTGGTGATGGCACGCAATAAAGTGCTTTTTCCTGCATTGGGCAGACCCACTAGACCGACATCTGCGAGGATTTTGAGCTCGAGTTGGATTTCGAGCTTCATGCCTTCGTCGCCTTTTGTGCCGTATTTGGGGCGGGTGATGGATTTTGTTACGAAATGAGGGTTGCCGAGTCCGCCCATTGAGCCAGCTGCAAGTAATTGGGGTGTTTCCATGGGTGCGTCTAAGTCTAGGCGGATGGGAGCTGGGGGCTGGGCCATTGCGATGTTTGATCTCCTTGGTCGAGGGAGGGGAGGAAAGTCGGCTGAAGTGAATGACTGGGGCATGGCGCCTGGGAAGAGCAGCCACCTGTCTCGTCTCCATTTGCGAGTGTTGTCGACAAGGCCTGGTTGATCGTCAAAGACTGCGTCTGCGCCCATTGCCTTTTCGCGCATGTCTGCCACTTCCTGCTCGGCGATGGGATCGTGTCGCCACACTTCGCGCACGATTGTTCCCACGGGCACTGTGATCAGGACATCCTCGCCTCTTGTGCCTCCCTGACCTTTTCCCTGTCCGTTTCTTCCTCGGCCGGCTTTTATGATTCCTCGTCGGGCGAGTTTGTGCAGTGAGGTCTCGCCCTGGACGGCTTGGATGTAGATGCTTCCTCCTGTTCCGCCATCGCCGCCATTGGGAGGGCCGTTCTCGATGTACTTCTCGCGCAGGAAACTGATGCAGCCGTGGCCTCCTGAGCCTGCGTGAAGCACGATCGATGCTCGGTCGTTGAAGGGTGTGATGGAGTATGAGTCTGGCGGTGGGTCTAGACGATCAAGTTCGCTCTCTGGTGTGTCGTCGAGGTTTTCATCTTCATGGCCGCCTTGGGTGCTGGAGACTGTTGCGATTTGTCGTGTGGATAGACATTGGGTGTTTCTGTTCAGCCGTGCTGCTTGTAGCCATCGCCTCAAGGCTCGTGGCGCATTGCCTCTGTTTGTCTGGAGGCACGGATAGAGGAACGGCAGAAGGGTCCCGTTCATAGCTGTTGTGTTCCTGCGACAGCACCTCGGCGCAGAGTTGACTGGCAATTAGTGGCAATGACTTCTGTAGCAGTCTCGGACTGGCGACAAAGCAGACGGCAGGGTCTGGCGAGCCGAGGCTTCTCGTTTAGACTTTCCATTCTATGCTGATCCCAGCTGATCCTCGATATTACCCCTCATGCAATGCTCACATATATCTCCTTATTGTCATCCCTGGCTGCAGTGTGACAGATCCCCTTCAGATCATTCGCGAACATGGCAAGTCTGATCAAACAAGCATCTTTCTCCCCAGTCGTCACTGGAGCAGCTCTGCTGGTACTGCTCAAAGGACCAGAGTCCATGCAACGACCAGTCTACGATACTCTGTACCAAATCCTCAAGCCTCACAACATCGACCGCTTGATCACCACTCTAAAATGGCTATTCGCATATGGCTTGATCAAAAACGTCAACGAAGCCTTCAACCAATTCGCCCGCAACAACTTCTCCCTGCGCTCCACAAAGGCAAACTGGGACTGGGACAACGAGATCGCCGTCGTCACCGGCAGCTCCTCAGGCTTCGGTGCTTTGTTCTCCAAGGACCTCTCAGACAAGGGCATCCACGTCGTCGCCATCGACATCAACCCTTTACCCTCCCACCTCCAAAACAACCCCAAAATCACTTTCTTCAAGTGCGATGTCACCGACGTCGAAGCCGTCAACGCTGTCGCCAAAGAAATCCAATCCAAAGTCGGTCATCCATCCATCCTCATCAACAACGCAGGTATAGGCGGCCAACGACCAATCCTGCGCACGAAACCAGAACAGCTGCAGAAACTGATGGGTGTGAATCTCTTCTCGCATTACTATCTCGTGCAGGCGTTTTTGCCAAACATGCTGGAGAAGAAAAAGGGACATGTGGTGTCTATTGCTTCCATGGCGAGTTTCTTCACTACACCTGGTATCACTGATTACTCGTGCTCCAAAGCTGCTGTGTTGGCTTTCAATGAAGGTCTATCCACTGAACTCAGGACTATTCACCGTTGTCCTGAGATCTTGACGACAATTGTTCATCCATTCTTTGCCGATACACCCATCATCGCAGCAGGAAAAGCTGAGCTCGAAAAAGCTGGAGCCAAAATTTTGGATCCACAGGATATCAGTGATGCGGTTGTGGATCAGATCGTGAACGCAAGAAGTGGGCAGGTGTTGCTGAGCAATGGCTTTGGACCTGCAATGAGAGCTTTCAGGGGTTTACCGTGGTGGTTCCAGGAGGGCTTCAAGAGACTCACAGAGAGTGATCTGAGTCGTTATGATAAGAAGTGATTGATTGCAGATGTGTTTGCTTGTTTTGGTTCTTCATGGTCTCCATGATGTAGGGCTTTTTGGTAGATTTTATGTAGAGAGGCAACGTTGCCTGTATAATGCTATGCGCTGTGTTTCCATCTGATCGTCATGGTTAGGATTACAGCAGAGCTAACGCCAAACCACCGAGTCCGACCAGAGCTGCGGCAGTCTGTTGTGCAGCCATCAATGTGGGAGCAGCACCCTTACTCGTAGCTGAGCCACCAACCGCAGTGCCCGTCACGCTTCCCGTAACACTGCCTGTAATGCTACCCGTAGCGACTCCAGTATCCTTTCCCGTAGCACTAGCACTCCTACTCGCTACCGCCTCCACGCTCTTCGCAGTAACCGTAAACGTTTCATTCCACCCCGTCCACGTATACGTCGCGCCACTGACAGGAGCAGTCAAGATGCCGTTCATATCACTCCAAGTGCCAGTAGCTGAATGCAAAGGCGTAGGTCTCGCGTACTCGGAAGCATTTGCCCCGTAGTCGACGAAGCCGTGATCAACACAGCTGAAGTTTTGGAGGCGAGAGGAACATTCGGCTAGACTTCCATCTGGGCCGCTCTGGCGGTATTCGACGTAGATTTGTTTCAGCGCGGTGAGACCGATATAGCCTGGATCTTGGTCTTTGCAGTCATCCCAGATGCTTTTTTTGAGGAGACAAAAGTCAGTAAAAGTCATGAAAAAAAAGGGGGGGGGGCAAAGGGCCATTTCTTACGCAGCAGAAGCAGCACCGTAAAGACAACAACCGCAGTCAGGGCTATCAGCCACATATTCATCATTAGGGTCTCCACCGTTGTCAGCCTGCACTTTTTTGGCACAGGTCAAATAGGGATCAGTGATCACTTCCATAAGGTCATTAGCGAGTCTGCTGATATTGCAACTGCATGCTCCAGCTGCATCAGCAGGAGGGGGATAGAATGGCAGATCCGGAGCAGTGAACGTCTGATTCAGAATTTGGGCTTCGTGGGCATCGAAGCATGTGGAATTGTATGAGAGCAGCAGTTGTTGGTAGTCGCAGGAGTACACCTACACCAGTATGAGCAAAGTTGAGATTGGTGAGGAGGTGTGTTTGACAATACCCTGTTCCAGCAATTTGTAAGAGCGCAGTCAATTCTCTGCTGTAGACCCGAACACTCTGGATCGAGGTATTCATTGGTGTAGTTCTGAGCATTCCAGCATGTCTCCATTTCAGTGGGTGCTGCGCAATTGGTAAAGGTGAATGGTAAATCCACGCGGTCGAATATAGTGGGCGCTTGTTGGGAATCGACTTGAGCATGAACTACAGCAGACAAAGCCGCAATGCAGCCTACGAGCGTGAATTTGGCCATCATGATGAGATTGGACTTGCGATCTGATACGAAGAGAAAAGAAGAGAAGAGCGCCCATGGTATAAGGTTGTTGCATTCCAGTCAGGCAGCCGGTTCGAAGGATTCAAGCACGGTTGCTGAGGCGCTGTCAAGGTTAAATTATGAGGCGCTCTGGATGAGGCGAAAACAGTTCTCGGCCGTATTGGTATACCATTACCACGGTAAAGCTTCATCGCCCATGTGGTCAACCAGAATTCAGGCGGTCAAGAGTATTGCGGTGCAAGACGTGGTGTTGAATCTCCTTTGGTCATCGGCTCACTGGCGCGTCTCCGCGTTTCTGACACATGGCCATTTTGGCTCCTCGTCGTCCTTTGCCACAAACTGCAGTCCGCCGAACCACGTTCTGACTTGACGGGCAGTCGTGTAAGAGATGCAGATGGTTCTACCGGGGATAAAAGAAAGTGATAATCAGATCTTCGGAGATCCTGTCGACGAGCGTGGCAGATCACTTCCCAATTCGACCACCGACATCTACACTGACGTACACGTCGATGATGATTCAAAGGCTTGTGAGTCAAAATAAGCAAGCTTTTGTATACAAATTAAAGGCTGGTCGATCAAGGTTTTATATATCCTCAAGGGTCCATAGCAATCTTTAATTCGCATCCTCATCTCCCTTTCTGCCATAATCAAAAATGTTCAAACAGGCGTTACTAGACACAATCGACGCCGAGCGACAAGACCTCATCAGCTTCCTCCAATCCTTGACTCGCGCCGACTCCTCAAACCCTCCCGGAGACACAATAGCAGCAGCATGTGTAGTCACCACATTTCTGGCTTCTCGCGATGTTCCCTCAACGCTTATTGCTCCAAAGAGTGATGCACCCAATATCACCAGCACATTCCCCGCGGTATCGCAAACACCGACTCACAGTCGTTCTTCATCACTACATCAATTGGACGAACAACATACTCCAAGCCCACGCGACTCTGTGTTTGCAGATAGTGGTATCTCGACGCCGAATCCTGGTCCGAGGTTGATTATGAATGGACATATTGACGTGTTTCCCATCTCTGAGGCCGAGAGATCACAATGGACGCACGATCCCTTGTCTGCTGATATCGAGAACAATCGAATGTACGGACGCGGCTTGGTGGACATGAAGGCAGGCACCGCTGCAATCATCGCCGCATATACTTATATCTTCGCGCATCGACATCTCCTGAACGGCACAGCCGTGTTGGAAGCAGTGTCTGACGAAGAGACAGGTGGAAAGTGGGGAAGCAAATACTTGCTCAACGACGACGACAGAAAGGATACATGGACGGGAGATGTGAACCTCAACGCCGAACCTACAGGTCTTCAAAGCATAAGATTTGCCGAGAAGGGCACTTTACGGATGACCTTTTCAGTTAAAGCCCAAAGCGCACACGGAGCTTACACGCATCTATCTGAAGGTGCAATACGCATCGCAACAAGATTGATCATAGAGTTAGTCAAACTCGAGGATTTTTCTGATTTCGACGTCGACCCCGAAGTGCGGAGATACCTAGACAAGCAAGAAGTTCGAGATACAGTCGACGAAATCATGGGCACTGGCGCCTCCAACAACATTCTCAAACCAACAGTGAACATCGGAACCATCAATGGCGGCACAAAAGTCAACACCATCCCCGGCGATTGCAAATTCGAAGTCGACATCCGTCTCCCCATCGGTCTCGTCGCCGCGACCATGCTCAACCAAATCAACACCATTCTTAAAAACTTCCCTGCAGCAACTTATGAAGTTCAAGAAGCAGCTTCCAATCCACCGAATTCATGTGCTTTTGATCACGCTCTCACACGCGCCATAGCAGATAATGCCGAACATATCCTCGGACGAAAACCAATTGCTATACCATCACTGGGTGCTACGGACGCCAAACACTGGCGGTACAAAGGTGTTCCGGCCTACAGTTATGGGCTTTCTCCAGAGGGTATGGCGGGGATTGATGAGAGTGTTGATCTTGATGATTATATCAACCTCGTCAAGATTCTCACTTTGACCGCGTGGGACTTTTTGACTGGCCCTGCATAGTGTTTTTGTTGCATAAGTTGTGGTCTGTAACTTTGCAGCACATATGTTTGCCATTGAAAGCTTCACGATAGAACATGATCTTTCCTATACGCAAAAGCGAGTGCTTTTTCTTGTGCATAACCAGCCTTACAAATATACCCTAGATCCTCTTTCCGCCTTCAGCTTTCCCACCAACCGTAATATACCCTCTTGCTGTCTTTCAACTTCCGCAAACCTGCAAAAAAGATCTTCCAACGCTCTGTTTGCAAACCAAAAGAGAATGAGCACGCCAAGATGACATGCAACCGACAAAACAAAAGATCGACTGGAGTAGCTGGGAATCGAACCCAGAACCTTCTCCACTCAGTAATGCTCAGAAGAACAGTGCTAAGAAGATGTCATACCACTAGACCACAACCCCTTTTGATGGAGAGCTGACGAGCAGCAATGTTTATGAGATTTTGCATCCGAGCTGGAAAACCGAGGTTCAGCCACACTCGCAGCTCAGATCCCGGTCTTGCTTGCCTTCTTTTGATGCTTTGGTGGTGCAAAGCTGCTGTGGCTTATCGTACACTCTGTCAGAATACATGAAGAGAGAGAGAGAAAGAGCGACGAGCCAAGATGGCGTCCGGGTGATATACAGATGAGTGTCCGACGGAGGAATGGCGCAGCAGGGAAACGGGCTTCGTCCATGATGAAGCCAAGCCTTGCACCTGATCTCTTTCGCCGACGATATCAGATCCTTCCACCACCGCATCGCTCCAGTATCGATATCACCCACGTCATGTAGACTCTCGTCGGCCCGGCATACCACGCCGACGGGGTCTGTTTAACCGCGGTCATTTGCAGAGCAGCGTTTTCTCTGTGGAGGCTGGGTGCGGGGATCCTGGGGCTGGGAGATCGCTGCATTTGCCCTCTGTCGATCATTGATCATCATCTCGTGGACTTGCTGTGATTCCGCCAACCAGCGACGAGCACAAGATGTGGTTCCTGCATTCGACTGTGGGTGAAGGATTTGGTTCGGCGAGTTTGGTCCAAGAAAACCAGGGCAGAGACATGGGTGGATGAATTGATATCTACCGTGTTTGATGCACTGTGTATAGGCATACAGAGGTAGGAGAAGAATAAGTACAGGTGATGTTCGCTGCTTGTCCCAGTCGCAAATTCAAAGTTCGAGGATAACAACAGAATGAAGTTCTACTCATTACTGGCTGGCGCTGCCGCGCTTGCGACTTCTGCTGTTGCTCAGTACACTAACAGCACACCTACTGGCGATATTGACCATGTCACCATCTTCACGCCGCCCGAAAACTACACCATCCCTCGCACTCTGTATGCAAGATCACTATTGCTCAACCAGAACTGCGAAGAGGACAATGTGATTCTCGCAACCTGGGAAAACTACCTCTACAACAACAACTCGAACCCATACTTCCCCATCTATCAATCCTACGATGGTGGCCACACATGGTCAGAGCGTTCGCGCGTGTACGATCAAGTCAACGGATGGGGACTCCGCTACCAACCTTTCCTCTATGAACTCTCCGAGCCCATTGGCAATTTCTCCGCCGGCACCATTTTGCTGGCTGGCAGTTCCATCCCTCAAGATCTCTCCGAGACTCAGCTTGAACTGTACGCCAGCACGGACAAAGGCTACACATGGAAGTTCGTCTCCCACGTCGCTCACGGCGGTGAAGCACTGCCCAACAATGGTCTTACTCCAGTGTGGGAGCCATTCCTAATGACCTACAACAAAACACTTATCTACTACTATTCGGACCAACGCGACCCCTTGCACGGCCAAAAGATGGTGCATCAAGTCTCCTCTGACCTGCACACCTGGGGCCCAGTAGTCGACGACGTCGCATACGGCACCTATGACTGGCGCCCCGGTATGCCTGTTGTCTCCGAACTTCCCTTTGGGCAATACATCATGACCTACGAATTCTACGGCGCAAAGGAAGCGGATTTTGCAGTGTACTACCGCATCTCTACCGATCCTACTAATTTCAACGCGAGTGTGGGGCAGCCTTTGATTGCCACTGATGGCACTATCCCTGCTGGAAGTCCTTATAATGTGTGGACACCTGTAGGAGGTGATCTGGGTACTATTGTGGTCAGCTGCGGTAACCTCGGGGAGGTGTTCTTGAACCATAACTTGGGTGCTCCGGGTGCTTGGACCAAGATCAATACGTTGGAGCCTGCTTCTTATACGAGAAGTTTGCTGGTGTTGCCTGGGCAGGAGGACATTCTGATCGTGGGAGGTGGTGTATTGGGTGGTGAGCACAATGCTGTCACGGCGAGCTCTGTAAACGTGAAGCCTAAGGCTCCCAAGTTCGCAAAGTGTAATGCTAAGAAGTAGATCAACTTGTATAGCAATTTAGTCTCATATCTAATGGCAGGACTATGACAATCTCTCTTTTTCATGACTACTCGGTTAGTGGAGACAAGTACAGGTGATGGTCCCTACGACTTTCTGTCGGGTTCTGATGGCTTCTTCCAACTCTCGAGAACCAAAATCGACTAGATTCAAACCCTCACTTCCATCTGTCGAAATACTTGAACTGATATCGGGGACCAGGGTGGCACCCCAAACTAGCCTTCGAAACAATATCGACAGTATTGCCGGGCCTTGCCAGCAGCCATGATTCTCACAGCCCGTACATACCATGTAAGAGATACTGAGCACTATCTCTGTCTGCAACAAAGACTTTGCTTGGTCATCTACCACCTAACATAGCAGAAAATGGTTTTCTGAATCCACTTGTCAAACACATTGACACAAATTCAGTGTATTCGTGCGTGAATTGAAGAAGAGAAGTGAAAGTATGGGCATGACGACAATACGATCCATGGATGAGCAGGGAGGCATTGCAACGACTTAAGGAACTACCAGAGACCAGTCCATGAGGTGAAGTTAACTAACTGAAGTGTTGTCGAGAGTATTGTCGACAGATAGAGGCGGAGCAGGGTGGTACCCCAAACAACGTCGCAAAAAAAAAAAAGAAAAGAAAATCCACTGCTGCGAGCCGGGGACCTAGAATAAAGAAAGAACAGAGATCGCTTTTGCATATATAAACCCCGATATAAGTCATAAACCCATCTACCTCATGTACCAGAGCTGCTTGTCCTTGGTCTCGGTACCCTTGATCTCCCAATTCATGTTGATGTTCAAGTTACGCTTGGCGTCCTTGTTCTTCTTGAAGGTCACCTTGCCTTCAATGACGGTACCTTGGTTCAGAGCCTGATCATCCTTCTCGGTTGCATCAATCATCAAAACACCACAGCGCCAGTGTGTCTCGGGGCCAAAGGGACTGGTGGTGAAGAAGACGGTCTTGTCCTCATCGCTCTTAGGAGGCTTGACACCGCGGAGCATGCCAGCGGGGATCTCGTCCTTGCGCGACTGCAAGAAGAGAGTGTCGAACCAGGTGCAGAAGCCATCGAGGTTGTCGATATCTTTGTTGAGGGTGAAGCTGACATCGGAAGTGAAGTCGAGGTCGGCAACTGTGACGGTGTGGAGATCGAGAACCTTGAAGGGGAGCTCGTCTGTTGATCTTCCAACAATGGTGTCCTTGTTGGGGTAGCGGACAAGTGTATCTTCGTAGATCTTCTCCATCATGGAGGTCATGTCGAAACCGTAGACGTCTCTCCAGAAGGTGATGTTGTCTGAGATCCAATCTTGGTCGGCAAGGGGAGCAAGATGCATGGTGCAGTGGCTGGGAACCATCAAACCGTCGGGCTTGAGGTATCTGTCTCTGGCGTACAAGACAGAGTCAAGCATAGCCTCATACAACAAACAGTAGCCCATCCACTCGCTGACAATGATATCGACCTTCTCAATGCCATCGGGAAGCTGAATCTCCTCAATCTTGCCTCTGACACAGGTGATGACCTTGGATTGACCGTTCATGGCAATGTTGGCGCGAGCCTTGTTGATGATCTCAGAGTTGTCGACAGCAATAACGCGAGCGGCACCAGCCTTGGCGCAGAAAAGAGAAAGGATACCGGTTCCGCAACCAACGTCCAGCACAGTCTTGCCAGCAAAAAGGTGCTTGTTGGCGTAGATGAAGTCCCTGTAGGCGTCTGTGCGGACTGTGTCTTGGAGCATAGTTTGGTGAATATCATTGTATGAGTACGAGTCGAAGTATCCAGGATCCTGGTGGTTCTCGTTCCTGGTGTTGCTTGATCCAGCCTCACCCTCTTTGGCAGGCTCGTTCCAGCGGTCGTCCAGAGTCTTCTCAACGGTCAACTTGTACTCTGCAAACTGTGCGCGTAGGCGAGTCAATTCAGCCTCGAGCTCAGCAGTCTTGTCGCTCGAAGAACCGATAGGCAAGTCCTGTCCGGCGTCTTCCGAGTCCAGAACATCATCCAGAGAGAAAAGCAGAGCATCGTCTTCGAGAGCAGGTTGCATGTACTTGTCGTCCTCGAAAAGAGATTTGGATGACATATCGGGCTTTTGGTTGCCATTCTTGGCCTCGCCGCGAATGTAGTTGACAAGCTTGATGGCACCGAAGAAATCGAGTCCTTGCTGTGTCAGCAAGAGATTGAAACATTATTGATGTCAAAGACAAACCCACCAAAGTCTTTCGTGATCTTCAGAAAATCAAAGTTGTGCTGTTCCGCAGCATACTTGATCATAGAAGCAGCATCGGGGAAAGTCTTGTCGCTGAAAAAGTCCTTGACGTGAATTTCTTCATTCTCTTCTGGCTCAGCATCCTCCCAGCCTTCACTGTCTTCACGCAACAACTCATCGATTGATGAGGTGCTCGAGGCATCTGAGGTATCGATATCGTCGCGGACCATGTTTAGCGAATGTGATTAATCTGCTTGGATGCCGATTGAGGCAGCAACTGAGGAAATATTTGATAAAACGGGGTCTGGGTTAAGTCCGTGTTTTCTCCGATGGAATTGACTCGTGAGGCAGGTGGGTTTGTCAAAACGTCATGTGAAAGCACGACATTGATAAGTCGATGGCCCTGATGCCTATCGCCCACCGCTCTTTCCTCGTAGAACCGCCATAAAGACAGCATGGCGCCCGACAGGGGCTCGACGGATATCCGCGACGACATGGACGGCCACTCGGACGCCGCTTCGGTCCTCTCGTCGCGTGCGCAACAGCCGCAGAACTTCACCCTCCGATCGCTGCTTCTCGGACTGGCTATCGGCACGGTCATCTGCTTCTCCAATACCTACTTCGGCTTACAAACAGGATGGGTCTCGAGTATGGCCATGCCCAGCGCTCTGCTTGGGTTTGCTTGGTTCAAAGCCGTCTCGAGGACGCTATCCTATCCTTTCACGCCGGTTGAGAACGTTCTGGTGCAATCTGTCGCTGGATCCGTAGGAACTATGCCCTTGGGATGTGGCTTTGTTGGAGTCATTCCCGCTCTGGAGTATCTGCTCAAGCCTAATGAGACTCAAGGCGAAGAAACCGGTGTCCATCTCTCGCTCTTCAAGCTCATAGTTTGGGCTGTAGGTATCTGCTTCTTTGGTGTCGTCTTTGCTGTGCCATTGCGTAGGCAAGTCATCATCCGCGAGAAGCTCAAGTTTCCTTCTGGTACAGCGACCGCCCTCATGATCGGAGTACTTCACGGAGGAGAAAAAGATGCCACCGTCATCAATATGGACAACGAGAACGAACACGAGGGCAGCAATCGACAAGTCGAAGAGGAGGAACAGAGCTTGATCGTAGGCGCCCCAACACAGCGCCGGAGACAACAACAAACTGCTGCATCCGAGCCACAAGGTGATGTTGAGGCCTTGGACAAGGACACGCATGCCGATTGGAAGGGCAGGATCAAGCTTTTGACCCTTTCGTTCGGCATCTCGGCCATCTATGTACGTATACATTGCAATCGCCATTTTCTGCAACCATCCAATATGTCTGCTCGTGAGCTCATGCATACTTTTAGACCCTCATGTCATACTTCGTTCCTTTCATTCGCGAGATTCCTTTCTTGGGCATGTACTTGGCGAAAGACTGGCTCTGGACGCTCAATCCTTCGCCTGCCTATATTGGTCAAGGTATCATCATGGGTCCTGCGACCACTCTACATATGCTGCTAGGTGCTGTCCTCGGCTGGGGGTTGCTTTCCCCTCTTTCAAAAGCCAGAGGCTGGGCGCCAGGCGCTGTGGATGATTGGGAGAAAGGCAGTAAAGGATGGATCGTTTGGATCAGTCTTGCAATTATGCTTGCGGACTCGATCGTCAGTCTTGGCTGGTTGGTCCTGCGACCAACAATCCAGCTCGTTCGAGTCTTTGGCCCACGAGCCAAGGACAGCGTTGCTCGAGGCACTTGGAAGGATGACCTTCGCACTTTCACACACCCTCATATGAGAGGCTACAGCCCAGTCAATCTCAATGAGCCTAGCCACGACTCACCCGAGACCGACGGTCTGATCTCCGGAACCACGCAATCCAGAAAAACTGCCCAGGACGCTCCGGAACCTGACGCTCCGCCCGAGCATCTGATCAGCAACAAGGTTACGCTCATTGGGCTCGTGCTATCTTTGGCCACTTGCGCTGGCGCAGTTCACTTCGCTTTCGCAAACCTCATCCCCTTCGCTCTCACGTTATTGGCACTAGTGCTGGCTCTTCTGTTGTCGATCATGGGTGTTCGTGCCTTGGGAGAGACAGATTTGAACCCGGTATCTGGCATCTCAAAGCTGACTCAGCTATTCTTTGCTCTAGTCACTCCTTCAGGTTCTCCTAATGCGGTGATTATCAACCTTATCGCCGGTGCTATCAGTGAGTCTGGCGCATTGCAAGCGGGAGATCTTATGCAGGATCTCAAAACTGGGCACCTCCTCGGCGCGAGTCCGAAAGCGCAATTCTGGGGCCAAATTATCGGCAGTGCTTTTGGAGCTGTGATCAGCGCTTGCATCTACAAGCTCTATACTCGGGTCTATGAAGTACCTGGAGGCATGTTCCAAGTACCTACAGCCTATGTCTGGGTATTTACAGCACGACTTGTCACCGGGCAAGGGCTACCGCCCATGGTAGGTGAATGGGCTGCAGGAGCAGCTGCCGTCTTTGCCATCTTTACAGCGCTACGGATCTATGGCAATTCAATAGGAGCAAAGTGGACTCCTTTCGTCCCCGGAGGCATCGCAGTAGCCGTTGGTGAGTAAATTCTTACTGATACCTTTATCCGTGCAGAGTAGAGCAACTGGCTAACTACAGCAATCTCAATTCAGGCATGTACAATACCCCGTCTTTCACCATGGCACGGACGATCGGTGGACTAATCAACTGGTACTGGCGCAACTGGCGCAAGGAGTCAGAAACACCAATAATCATCCTCGCCAGTGGACTCATCTTGGGCGAAGGACTGTTTAGTATAGTCAATCTTGGCCTAGCATCCCTACAGGTACCGCACCTGTAGGGTGTGCGTTGTAGTCGCCCGTAGTCGCCCGGCACCGTTATGGTAGTCAGATCAAGGTATGAATCATGTTGAATGCCCCCATGTAGTGATCGTTGCTGAGTTTCTTCTCTCTTTTAGCGAAGACGCGTTGAACAAGTGAAGTGCCGTGGTTCCGGATGTGTTGGAACTGCCAATCAGGAATCGAGGATGCATTTGATAGAACTTTTAAGTTTGAGGTCCCTGCCAAGTGGGGGATGCCAACTACGGCACTGGTGTCCTTCCCCTTGCTTCGGACGGCGATGTATTTTTCATGAGCATTTAACCACGATCAACAATTTTATCAATCTTATTATCGATGAACTGGTCCTTAACAACCAAGATCACTCAAAAATATCCGCGTGGTTTTGTCATCTTCGCGGTCCTTGCACCTCGTGGATAGTGGAGACTGCGGGAGAGAGAACCGCGATCTCTCCTTAGACCCCTCTATCGTTTCAGATGTCGACCCAACTTTGGAGACTCGAGAGCCTTCCGCGTTGATTTTCGTTCCTCAGTCTCGATTTCCGAGGTTTGACAATAGTTTGGCTTGAACTCAGCTTCGCCTGGGAGCTGGCGAGTTGTTCTTGTCCTCTGTCGCGAAACCGAGCTCCTCGTATATTTCTCCGCTCGCATGCGACAGTGGTGGCTTGCTGGTGGTTTCGCCATTCTCGAATCTCGCTAAACTGATAAACCGTTCATCAGAACTTCCAGGGTTACGGCTCGTCTGCGATACAAGCACTGAGCACTGTCCCCGGCATCCTGTGCAAACATGCAGTCCCGCCGGCTCGAGCGGGCGATTATGGGTCATGTCCCCTGGGCCCTGCGCGAACGAGCGGTCTCGATGGAGTCGCGGACTGACTAGCACAACGTCCTCTCTTCTAATGACAATAATGAGGGATGTTATGCAGAACTCGTTAGACCTTTCAGCATCATCGCCGCTCGAGCATGGCTTATTTTCTGCTTGAGTCTCCGTATTTACGTGCGTTACAGAAGACAACGTCCGACCATGCTTAGACATACTTTCCACCTGCTTGGATAGCACCCATCGCTGGAGTGCATCTCGGCTCGCTACCGGCAGAAACCACTCCTGGAATCGGAAGACTAGGCGATCGGTCTTCAGCCACCGAACACTACTCGGCAATCTGCCGTAGTCTACCTTGCAAGTTCCGTCATATTTATGGTCTACGGCCTTGTGGGTATGGCAGGGTTTCACTTGGATTAGACATGGTAGGGCAGTAAGACTGCATCAACCGCAAGAGTTTCATGATTGAAGACAGACTTTACAAGCCACCCTTTCAGACCAGTGGTGTCGGTTCACCCAAATAGCGATAGCGATAGTCCCGTCCAGAATTAGTCAGTCTGGAGCATCCCTTTTGTACAGAAGCGTGGGCCTCCTTTTACTTCGGATTACCCTTCATGACTTTGTTCTTCTCCAGCAGGCTTTCCATTCTGCTTTCTGTATACAACCCACTACACATTGACTCGCGAGCATGAATAGTGAGCCCCAGCACATGCCTCATGCAGTGCTCGCTGCGGCTATTCCAGTGTTGATATATTCCTTCTTTTGTCTTTCTCTTGGAGTGCTACTCGTGATTGTCTTACATAGAACCAGGGATGGGTTTAATTGTGAGTCGATCCTTGCCAGTTCATCTATCTTTGCTGATCATCTACAAGATGTTACGTTATTTGCTCTTGCGACAACATGCACCACTATAGTTTCCATCATCCAACAATGCAACTACATGGCCAACTGGCATGACTTGAGAATCCAACAGTATGAGCAGTCCATCATCGTCAAAGGCAACCCGGCGCTTGCACTGGGACCATTGAGCAGAGGCTTCAATGCTGTTTTGTTCTGGACGATATTATACTTCTACAATGTCGACTCAATCACCATGCTCTTCTGGTGCGTCGATATGCTTGTTTATCCTTAGACTTTACTGACGCATACAGGGCAATCGCATTGGTATTCAGTGTCTGGAACATCCGACCAAGATGGCTCCAACGATGGCAGAGCACTATCAGCTGGACGTCCAAAATCTTAGCAGTAGTTCTGCCTGCTATTTTCTCCGCGCTGCGAAAAGGATTTCAGGTCAATGCTGGCTTCATCGGTACCTTGATCTTGATGAATCTATTGAGTAAGTATTCGCATGTGTTGATTATTCACAGTATTATGCTGACGGAAAACAGTGCTTGTGAGCTTCGCTTTTGGCGCAGTCTGTGTCATTCTTATCCTCTTCAAATATTTGCGAGCCAAGATAGGATTTGACAGCTACGCATCAGCATCGGCATCCAAATCGTACGCGGCTGGCAGTGTAGCGGCGATTGAGAGCACGACCGGTCGGGTGGGACGCTCGGCAGCAAGAGGACTCAGAGCGCGAGTTGACGGATGGCTTGTGGTGCGATTCAGCATTGCCTTCCTCATTCTGAGGTGAGTATCCCCTCTGATGTCTCTAATGAAGAGACCTGCTGATTCAATAATTTTACAGTGGCTTCGAAATCTTCCTCATCTCCTTCGAGATAAACAGATACCACAAGACGAAAAGTGCAAAAATCGCTGGAGCACCCGACTTTGGCGTCCGCGCTTCTGTAGTCGACGTCTTGAACTATCTGCCTGGTGTCACTGCTAGTTTACTCGCCTTCCTGCTGTTTGGGACTACAGCTCAACAGCGCGCCATGTATGCCCCTATGCTGGCTGCTCTGCACCCAGCCCGATGGCGCAGCCGACCACAGTCAGCGAGATTCAGTGGTAATGTGGATCAATGGACGCGTATGGATACCGGTGTATCGCAGCAAGCGCATGGAGATATTGAGATGCAATTGCCGACGAGGAAGGATAAGGTTACGAGGACTGTTGTTACGACTGTGGAGAGGGAGGAGGGTGTTTTGTTTTCCCCGCCGCCGATACCGATGGAGTTCAGGGATCACGACATGAATGATCGTGACGGTAGGAGATTGACAAGATGAACTTATTTATTAATACCAGATACGACACTTATTCGCATCTTCCAGCAATTTGTCATGACAGAGCTATACGCTGTGTTTGCATCGTTCTAGTAGGAGTTGGGCATGATGTTCAAACGTCCTCCGTCCTGTATCACAAGGTCAGTAATCTGGTATCACCGAAGAGATAGAATGCAAACTTACGATCATCAGAATATTGCCGTTCAGATATGCTCCAGCCCTGGAAGCGATGTAAAGGACAGTTCCAGCCATGTCTTCTTCATCTCCCGTCCTCTCAGCCGGAATGTACGACTTTTCGAATGATCCTTCCTCTCTGGGATCCGCTTTCGAGTTTGAGATCAGACTTGACGCCAGGTCTGAAGGGAACACTACGATTGACAAAAGTCAGCGCTAAAGCCATCAAGCATCACTGGAAACAAAACTCACAGCCAGGAGCAAGAGCATTGCACCTAATATCGAACGGCCACAATTCACTCGACAGATTCTTCGCCAAATGCATGACCGCCGCTTTACTCGCCTTGTACGCCATGGACTGATTAGGCTGTTTGCTGAAGCCCGCGATACTCCCTGTGATCAAAATCTGACTCTTTGTCTTTGCCGCCACTGGATTTTTGTTGCCTGCATCCAACAGTTCGAGAAAAGCATATGCAGTGAACAACACAGCTGTAACATTGATATCCAATGTCGATGTTACCGCATCCCAGGATTGATTCATAGCTGCTGCTGCGTATTCGGCGATGCTGACTTCGCGATTGTTGACACCGGCCGAGGGACCCATGGCGCCGCTGTTGCAGATCAAGAGGTTGATGTAGCCAGTCTCTGAAGCAATGCGTGAGGCGATGGCTTTCAAGGTGTCCTTTGAGGTTACATCCCCCACTACTGGGATGATGACTGAAGGATTGGTGGAAGCGGCTTCTTCGAGGACTTCCTTGCGGCGGCCGATGATGTAGATTTTTTTTGCTCCGTTGGCGGCTAGGGCTTTCGTCATCATCAAGCCGATTCCTGTGGTTGTTAGTTGGGATCTGTCATGATGGTTGGGGGAGGTTGGATGTACCGGAGCCGCCGCCGGTGATGACTGCGACTAGGCCATCGACTGAGAAGAGGTTGTTTCTTTGGTAGAGGTCAGTCATGTTGATAATGAACAATGCAAGTGAAGTTGGGTGTTTCTGACTTTCTGCTCGAGAGGTAATATGTATTGGTCGGATGGGCGAGTTGATTAGGTGAGCGAGCGATGAGGACGTCATCGGTAGTTCATATCTGACGGACTTCGGAGTTGCTCTTCCTATCTCCTGGGACACAACACGATGCAGTATTGTTTTCGCCCGTGATACATCTGTCTGTGGTCATTTGTGCGAGAGCAGAGAGATGCGGCGAGTGTTCGGTTCGGGACTCTTGGTTGGATCGTCGACGCTTCGGTCGTTCAGTCGCTGTATATATGCAAGGTGCAGTCGCGAACGCGCCTCAAACACGTCGACAGCCAATGAAACTCGGACTGGATCTCATGCATACTGTTGCCTGTTGGCTGGAGGCAGCTACGAGGCAGCTACGGTACAGCAGCCTTAAGTCATGGCGATAACAAACAAGTGGAGTTATCTACTTAGAATGAGACCTCTCGCAAGATTTACTCACGCAGCAGCGCCATCATAACGGGCTTGTAAGATCTTCCATTCGAGACCCTGGAGCAGATCTGCGCACTCATCTCTGGATCACGACCAAGCAACCTGATCCCGTTTTCTGAAGTCAGCAAAAAATGTCTTGCGGCGTCATCTCAATCACTTTGGCATACCATACCGCTCTACATTAGGAGACAAGATCAACTTCCGGAGGACATCAGCAGGCTCAAAAGTATCATTCAGACCCGGCTAAGCCGTAATGCAAGAGTGCGCTGTGTCTCAGTTGCCTACCGTCTCCCACTGGATGACCGTAGAGATAGAAGAAGTTCATACCGCTCCAGAAGAGTCTACATGGATGATATTGTCTGGCAACCACTAGCGGACGTACTGGCCAAAATTCCAGACTTATCAGAGATTGAGTGGGAGAGCGACAAGCTCCCATTTTGTATTCTTCAATGCCTAAGTTCTCGGCAACCCGGTTGCAAGCTTCGAATAATGAGAGTCAAATCCGGCGTGGATAAACCCCTGGATATTGATGACCAACTTGCGCGGAATTTGTCCTTCATGTATGAATTGCTCCTACCGTTGCATAACGACTACGTCTGCCGTGAAAGTCTCAACGCGAACGAAGCTAACGAATTGATCTTAATCAGAAGCCTGTCAGCCAGCCTCACGCATTTGAAGCATCGACATGCCTATTTTCCTGACCCTCGCCATGTCCAAAAGCCTGGTCCGTCTGATTTCGAACTGGTCTCGAGATCCTCGAAGAACATGATTGAACCTCGAACGCGTTACAAGGCGGCTACTTTATCCTCCCTGGATATGATAAGTCAGAGCCATTCATCATTGATACAGTGGATTCGACGTCCAGAAATTATCATGTGGAGCGTTCTCACTCATGTTCCTGCTCTACGGACATTCAAGAGCAAGTGGGCACTTCACAGTAGTGAAATTGAGTGGTTGACAGATGAGGGCATACTTGGGTCGCTGAAGACGCTCGATATCGTCCTCTATAGAGAAGGTAGCTCGCAAGACTCTACTTTTCTGCTTTTCGCAGTCTTCCACAACTAGACATACTCGCGCTTTTCCAAACGCGATCCACGTCTCACCGACCCGTACATCATGGATGCACTTATCAACAGGGCCGTCGATGAGAAGCTAGCAATCGCTATCTTTCGTGCCATTTCTGCCGCAAAATCCGACCGCTCACTACCATTGGAACGGCTCGGAGTGCATCCTGATAGCCGTTGTAGATGGACACTTCATTGCTTTGGTATGGATTGGATGGGCCTCGGTACGGATTGGATGGATGTCATGCAGCATATTGAGCGATCGTGGTTGGTAAAGAGAATGTATCCTGGTCTAGGCTCAGACGAACTGTCTGCAAGTCAGATCCAACCCGATCGTGTAGGAATGTGGATTTGTCCGCCGAAATCGCTCAAGGAACCAACAGAACTCATATTCCGTAGAGTCTGACCTGTGCACCCAGGGATCGAGGGAGATTGGCAAAAGGACTGGCATAGCTTTTCATGTCAAACCAACATGACACTTTTGTGTGACCTTCATCACCTTGTTCGGTTCTCCATAAGACCACGCACTGCGACAGAAGCAACGTGTTGTCTCCACGCTGCTCATACTTCCGTCACCAGCGTCTGAGCTCAAGGCTACGCGGAATACATGCCGTGCTCTACGTTTTCCAACTCGGGCACAGATCGGCCTTTATATATTCGACCTATGAATTTATGGCCTGGTGACCTTTCTTTGAGAAGCACAATGACGTTCAGAATCCTGGAATTGGGAGAGACGCAATTGTGACAGGGCATACGTGTGGCTGACGACCACATGTGGGTCACTGATTTTTGCGGCTCTACTTGCGGCTCAACTACCTATTAATACTACCATCCGCATTCCCTCCACACATTTGCCTATACCAATTAACATGGAGAAACCTGCAGAGAAAACCACTTTGCTCGAAAGCAGAGAGAATGTTGCTGGTGACAGATTGCTCACCTTTGACGAAATTCGTGCGTCATTGTTGGTCATGGCTGAAAGTGTACTTTAGCTAACCGCATTCCATCGTTAGCGTCCTGGCAAAAGTACGTCTACTTTGTTAATATGAGAGTTGGCATGGAAGACATGTGTCTGATTTAATTACAGAGATAGTCCACACATCCATACAGGATATCGGTAGGTCAATTGGAGATCTGGTGTTGATCGAGCGCTTTACTGACAGCCGAAAGACCACTGACTGGATCATGGTCACAATCAATAGAGAGCATGTTCCGTTGGCATAACGAGACGAGTACGTCTTTCTCAAGACTCTAAACGAGAATTTGAGCATTTTGCTAACGCTTCTTCTAGTAAACATACATTCGCATTCCATCGGAGCTATCATTTTCTCCTTCTTTCTGCCGCTCCATTTCTACTTTGCACTATACCAGAACACACCAGCGGCCCAGCCAATTGACGTGGCGATATTCTTGTTGTACTTCGCTGGCGTCACATCGTGTTTTGCTGTCTCGGCAGCGTGAGCAACATCACAACATGAGCAAAATCTAGCACAAGCTGACGAGCTACAGATTCCATACTGCAGGAAGTCACAGCCAGGCCGTTCACAGGAAATACAACAGAGCGGACTGCTGTGGCATCGTATTGCTCATGTGGGGAGCAAGTCTTGCATCTATCCATTTTGCATTCATCTGTGATGCTCGGACAAAAAGCTTACACTGGTTCCTGGTTCGTCTTGGTCTCCAATCATGTTATCTCGGAGATGCATACTGACGCCGTCTTCTAGAGTTCTGCTAGTGCTACTGGTTGTATGACATTCATCCTTGGGCCCATGTTCATCAAACCAGAGTACAGGACTCTTCGCGCACTTACCTATCTCAGTCTGGGCCTCTTCGCAATCGTCTTCATTGTACACAGTATCTACCTTCATGGATTTGCTCTGCAAAGACGTCGATTATCGTTGGAATGGATGGGGTTGATGGCTCTCCTAAATTTCCTCGGCTGTTCTGCATATGCTTTCCGCGTAAGTTGCTGTTTTTAGTATTGTGTTTCTCGGAGATTGATTTTTCTAACAACCACACAGATTCCAGAGTCAAAGTTTCCCGGCAAGTTCGACTTCGTAGGCGCGTCGCATCAAATCATGCATGTGGCTGTTTTAGCCGCCGGTTTGGTGCATTATCACGGTCTGTCTAAGGCATTACTGGAGACCCGAGGTGATATGCGATTAGTCTGCTAACGTCAGCATATCCTCTCAAGATACATAGTTGATAAGACAACAACGTTGATTACATAAGAAGAGAATAGAAATTTTGGAGCCACGAAAATACTTAGGCAACAGAAGCTCCAATTAGAAGCAATTGTCCTGCATCTTGCTGATGCAGGCGCAGTGGCTGATGCCTGCATGAAGTAACGTGATCACTGGGCAGTGCCCCATAAGTCGCTCCATGTTCGGCCCCGACTTCCCCTGTATGGGAACAACAAACAAGGATCTTGTGATCTATCACTATGGCCCATGGATCTTCTGGTCTTGGTCCATCATCATTTAAATGGTCGGACGCTAAGCCAATATCACAAACGTCATATGAGTGAGTAATCTCCTTTGTTCTTCGAGCGGGGATCTCTAACGACCTTAGCATCGTTCACCTTGGAGTGTGGCAATGGGGAGTTCCAAGATACTCGCGCGCGCAGCCAACAGGCGCGACCAACTTTGAGACAGAATCGGAAGCTTGTTTTCCACTTGCCCGAAATGCATACTGTTGGGTGCGAGGCGTCTCATCTCAGCCATGGCAGGGTCAATTCTTGCGACTAGCAGATACCGTAGTCCGGGAGATTTCGAAAAGTAAATATGAAGTCCGGAGATCAGTCATCTTCGTTGCTTGGGGTACGATAGGAGGGGTTTTGTTAAAACACGTATGCTAACACAGATACCATAATACATGTCAGCGTACTGACAAATACAAATCAGATCTTGCTTCAATTGAATCTACGAAAGCACGACAACTATGACCAGTTTGGCATGTTCTTTCTTGGATGCCTACGCGACGAGCAAAGCGACACCTTCAGTGACTGCGTTCTCTGGACTCTGATGACCGAGTTGACATCTGCAGGGGGTTATCCGTCGGATACCAAAAAGTTCGAAACTGAATGGAGGCCCGTAGCTGAGTGGGTTCAGACCATTTCAGCGAATTTCAGACAAGATTGTGCACTACCGTCTCAGGTCTGGACGTACTATGAATGTACTGACACACAATATGGGGTGGAATACAGACGTTTCAGGCGCAATGTCGAACGTGTACTGACACACAATATGGGGTGGAATACAGACGTTTCAGGCGCAATGTCGAACGTGTAAGGCTAGTAAGAGCGGCTTCCGTTCCCTCCAAAAGAGGCAGCACACTAATATGTATGGTCTAGCTCTGCCCATACGAAGCCACGAAACTTCAGGCTTCGTCGTACAAGAGACGCGTCGTTCCACTGTCTCATCGCGAGATTATAGGCCTCATGCTACATCCACAAGAACAATACCTCGACATATTTGTGTCCGATCTGGACAAAATGATCTACGCCCTAGATCGGAACAGAGCACGAGAGGCTGCTCAAGAGCAAAAATCTAAAGCACATGAAGAGAACAACAGGATGGCATCGAAACGATCAGTCTTGACGGAGAGTGCCAACAGAAGTTCTCTACTCACAGAAGATCGACTGACAGAACACAATCGTTCGACAAACCAGAACCACGAAACACTTTCAAGGTCCCGGGTGAGGAAGGACAGTACATCGGCTCAGTTTCGACCCATACACTCAAAAAGTCCTTACACCATGGAGTACAAAGTTGGCTGGATTTGTGCATTACCATTTGAAGCAGCGGCTGCTGAGGCTATGCTCGACAGACGACATCCTGATTTACCTTTCGACCCATATGACTCGATGTTGTACACCCTTGGATGTGTCGGACCCCACAACGTAGTGATTGCTTGCTTGCCACGCGGTCGACCTGGGCTTTCTGCTGCATCAGCGGTGGCAAGAGGAATGCTGGAGAAATTTCGCGGCATCAGATTTGGCTTCATGGTAGGCATAGGAGGAGGAGTACCAAGCGATAGAGACGATATCAGGCTTGGAGATGTGGTTGTCTCGCAGCCTAACCTCGAGCATGGAGGAGTTGTTCAGTATGATTTCGGAAAAGCAGAAGCAGGAGGGAAGTTTCGTCGGACTGGTCACCTCAACAATCCACCCACGTTCCTACTGAGCGTTCTGAACCGAGTGCAGATAAATCACGAGCGAGGCCGACGAACATATCCGATCCATATGGGACGATACGATGAAGGGGATATGGAAGAATATCTATGTCCTCAGAGTGAGCGAGATGTGCTCTTCCATGAAAATTATTCACACCCTGCTGGAATGCTCGATTGCACCACTTGCGATCTGAACCAGATCATCAAACGTCCAGAACGCAATACCAAGACCACCACTGTAAAGATTCATTATGGCACCATAGCTTCCGGCAACCAAGTGATCAAGGATGCCCAGACCAGGGATAGGATCGTCAAAGATCTCGGTGGTCAAGTCTTATGCTTCGAGATGGAAGCTGCAGGTCTGATGAACGATTTTCCGTGTTTGGTGGTCAGAGGCATTAGCGATTATTGCGACTCGCATAAGAATGATGGGTGGCAAAGATATGCGGCTGCTACTGCTGCAGCATACACGCGAGAATTGTTGCTTTTGGTTCCTCCGGAAGATGTAGTGAAGTAGTTTTATGATTGAGGAGGTGGAATAGCATGATGATAAACTGGGCTTTGTTTTCTCTATTTAATGTCTGTGTAACTGCTGCTTTCCTTTCCTGTCAGACCTGCTGCAGAGATGCAATTCAATTCCCCCATCCTAAACTTTCCACTTCTCTTTTGAAAGGCCGACCAATTCATCAAGTGTCCTTTCCTCTCCCGCAACTCAACACAGGATCGCCTTTCGCCCTCACTCGACAACAACATTCTGAAGCAAAGGAAGAGTCTCAAGACCCATCTCCTTCTCCAAGTCCTTGATCTTCAGCTCATCACTTGCATTCTCCTCCATCCAGTGAGCAGCCATGTCTCTAAGAAACTGCACTCTGACCCTCAGATTGACCATCAAGTACATCTGATAGTGACTGCCCTTGCGGATACCTCTGCCAGCTTCGGCATGCTCGAGTTGACGGCGAATGTAGGGAGTGATGTTGTGCTGGATGCTTGCGATGTGTTCGTCGTGCAGAGATTTGTAGTAGGCGATCTTGACATTGCGTTGGGCAATTTGGTCTTTGAGCTATATATGGTTAGTCAAAGGTGATCAGGGGCCGAGCAAAGATGAACTTACGCTTGCGATCTGTTCGGCAAGTTTGGTGTTCTCGATCGAGGCGAGGCGTCGACCAGGCGATTTGGGGCCTTTGTCTCCGTTGGAGTGCCGATCTCTGGGGCTGGAAGAAGGAGTTAATATGAGTTACAGGACTGGGGGTCGCGAGGTTATACCTGAAGATAGGAGACATGGTTGCTACGATCTTGGACTACTACAAGAACGGACGTCGACTCGCGGCGGAGCGTTTTGTTGTTGCAAAGAAGCGCCGGTGAGAGTCGCGATTGTTAGTTGTATAACAATAACAAGTGACGGAATATTGGCTGTGCCGAGTCAGAAGTGGAATGACGACGTAAGTGAAGGTACCATGTGTTTCTTTCACTGCGACAAAGAATGGACTCCCGCTTGAACTTGAGGCTGGATATGATCCTATGAATCTGCAGAAACAAATCGAGATCAGGAGGGCTCTCCGAGGAGAGTAGCAGAATCATGGGCTCTCAGTGGACACTGTTACCCTCTTGAACAGTTCTGTGACTTTTGATAGTGTCAATGTCGACATCAGGAGACAGAGAGAGTGCAGAAAGGGGCCATCAAGTATATGAGACTACCGCTTGTGTTGAGGGTTGGAGATGTATTGTATGATAATGCAGAAATGTTTGGAGATCGACAAGGACATCCAGTGAGATGGGCGGACTCAAGGGCTCTCACTGGACAATGCTGTACTCCTGATTGGATTCGTGCATTCTGATAGGGAAGAAACGACCTACATGGAGACGGGGAGTAGAGGTCCCGTTCACAGATCCTTCCACCTCCAGAGACTCCACTCGACCAATCTCTCGTCGTTGAAGAGGTCCTGACTTGCTTCCTCTCTGCCTTCTTCCATGGCTTCCATACCGCCTTCCTCGAGCCTCTCCCACATTTCTCTGATGTAGTCAATGTAGCACACTCTCAAAGGATATGCAATCAAAAATCTAGCCTCCTTGTCCTTCCTCAGCCACTTCAAGATGACGTTTGCGAGCAATTCGGGGTGCTCTTCTGAGTAGATTGTGTCGGCTGCGAAAATGACATGAGCTTGCGTCTGAGGTCGCTGCTCGTCCTTGACTAGTAGTGTGGTGGGATGCTTCCAGTCCAGAGTTCCCGCTTCCATATTTGTGTTTGCCTTCCTAAGACCTTCAGAATTGAGATCGATATTGGCGTCCAACGCCGGGACCAAAGGAGCGAGATCTGTCAACACAACCGGCTGCTTCCATAGCGTCGCTGCCGTGACGCCCACGAGACCTGTACCAGCGCCGAGCTCAAGAATAGGAACGACATCCGAGCTAGGTGCAGGAAACTGGATTTTTGGGCCCAGGTGATGAAGTTGAGAGGCTAGAATGTGAGAGGCAGCCCAGGTTTCCAGACCCAAGTTTTCGGACGTAAGATTAGGCTCGCTGATGCGAACTTGGATAGTTTCGCCAGACCCGTTTGATGGTACCGTGAAATCTTGAGTCTTGAAGCTGCGTTCTTCAGTCGCCATGGTTGCTAAGGTCAGATCGAGGTTGTTCTGATGTCGAGTCAAGCGGTCTGCTGTTCAATGTTTGAATTGTGTGACTTTGCGGATATCAGGTGCAGCAGTAATCCAAATTCTCGATGTTATGTTGACAGTACTTGCTAGATTGAGATGAACTCGGACGCGAGTGCCGCCAAAATTTCTCCTCTCAACTTTTCCTCAGGGTCCTTGATTTTGCGGGGTAGAAAGGGCCTAAGCCTTCAAGACATTCAAGTCATGAAATGAGACATGGCGGATGGAGCGTTTGGAAAACTATGAGACTCCTGAAACGTCGACAGGAGAGAGTGTGATAACACCAAATGTACTGGGTACGAAATCTATGGGCTCGATTACACGGAAAGAACAGTCAACTCTTCGCAAGCCGGTCGAGAACAGCAATTCGCAGTGGCTACCTCCTCAGGCAAGTCGTGAGGATCTGTGGCAAGATTCTCGACACGGTCGTACTCGAAACCGATTGTGACGATTTCCTGCGAGATTTGTATCACAGAGAAATAGATTTGCTGCAGATAGTGCTGAATCTGCTGATGATCAAGGCCAACTGCCTCCAGATGAGGTTCCTGGCAAAGGTGGGGAAGGGAAGTGGGTGCTTCCTGACCCAGTTGCAGACAAATCGTTAGGCAGACCTACACCCTCTTCTGACAGATGTTTGCTCACACGACTCCTTTTTCGTCGGCTTCAAGGTATCGCACCACGAACGCTCCTGGTTGTATGACCTGCCCGGTATACGAGGCTTGATCTGGATGCCTTCAAGACTGTTCAAGAGAGTTCCGAGCACGACGCGCCTATCGCCAAGCAAGCCGAGAGCTCCCTGGCGTATTCCGACGCGTCCCGATTACGGCGACCTTCCAAGTCTCTACTCACGACATCTCTGCCGCAGTGTACAGCCTGTATACATCCGGCGTGATACGGACGTATGCTGTGCAAGCTCGAGTTACATCCTTGGATAAAGGCCGTGGTCGCTCACGCGATAGCGCCATGTACCAAATTACCAAACGTCGAACCGCGCGAGTCATCGGTAGCATGTTCAGCTACACATGCCAGCACGCGAGCAGGCGCAATATTCTCACACAGCTGTCTTTGAAACACCAGGCGTGATTCAAGCTGAGATACTCGGCCCTGCCATGATTCATCATGGATTCCGTGGTGACCCGCTGTCCAGCCGGCAAAAGACGTTGACTTCTGCGAAAGACGTTTCGTTTCGGGATTTCCTTGGTAAAGGCGTTTTCCATGTCTCACATTGAGCTTCACGACGAATGCCGTGACATCAGCGAGCTAACTCGCACCTCGCTGCTGTCGACTTTTACATGCCGGAACAGCATCATAGGCCCATGAACAGTCAAGATCACGGCGTTTGCATCGCGTATCGTGACCCGCGAACCGTGTCACGAGGACGAGGTAGACCCATCGCGGAGGAGTTGCAGTGGTTGGTGGAGAGACAAGGTAAACGTTCGTCCTCGGGTATGGCTTGACGTCCATCTTTATTTTTTTTCCCTCCTATCATCAACATTGCGTCTTGCTAGAAAACTCCATTGAGAGACTATGGAGTGGAATTACAACGCGAGATAAGTTCGACTGTGTTTAGCTGCACGCCTTCTACTCGGCTGGTCGAGTCGTCAGATCGCAGCTACACGTTGGCTCCAGGACGACAGGGACTCGCGGGCTATGACCATCTGATCCGAGACATTTTGCAAGCTTACACGGTGAGACTCTGAGCGGAACGGTATGGCATATCCGCGACGGCTGAGGGTCTTGACAGGCGCCGCTGGCCGTCCACATGGCGTATCCACACAGCAGCAGGGTGAGTCCATACTCCACACAAGCAATCGTCTTACTCGAGCTGTACTCAAGCCACAACCATGGACACGACAAGACGGACAAACACACCATCGCTATAAGGACTCCTGATCTTCATCCCCTAGAACTCTATTTCATACATACACCACTTGCTCTCCTTGTGCTTATCCGGTTCTCTGGTAGAATCGCTGTCGTCACGCTCTCTTTTGCTCGTTTGCCCTATTGCCCCCCCTTTCCGCATTCCTTTATATTCTCCTGGCCGATCCCCGTTTTGCTGTGCAAATCCTGGATACCCGTTTATCTTCCTATTTTTTGCTGTCACACGCCAAAGATGCACTTCTCCCGAATCTTCTACCCTGCCATCTCGTTCTCGAGCTTGGCTGCAGCTTCCCCCCTTGCACACAGCAAGCGTGACGTCACATCACAGCTTTCTGCCACTGCTACTGCATCCTCAGATGCTCCTTGCCCGACTACACCAGAGGCAGGAACCTACTGTGGGTTCCTCAATCCAGAGGACCCATGTGCGCCTCAGCCAGGCGGACTCGGTCCTCACATCACCCCGGACACAGTCTCTGCTTTCAAACAATATATGCCTTTCCAAAGCATGTCTTTGAACAACACCTATGTCCCCAACTACACCAACATCTTCACAAACCTCACCGCTGCTGCAAACCTCAACAACTACCTCGGACTCTACTATCTTCCTTCCTACTCCCCATCTGCTTGCGCAGCAAAGTGCAACGAACTCTCCACGTGCAACAGCTTCAACATCTACGTTGAACGCGACCCCTCTCAAAACCCCACCAAGAATGACTCTTCAGCTCCCACGGTATGGGGATACTGGTGTCCAAACCCTGCTTCCATCATAAACTACGTGTGCGCACTTTGGGCCGATGGAATGTACAATTCCTCAGCTACAAACTATGGACAGTACCGCGGTGGTGACTTTGAAGTGGTTATTGTGGGTAGCAATGGGTTTGTGAAGAATGGGGTTTATGACTCTACTGCGTATGCCAGTGGTGCGCCGGCGTATGCTGGGCCGACATCTGGAATGCCGTCGCCCACTTCTAATGTGTCGACGCCTAGTGGCATTGTGGCGTTCACAGGAGGTGCTGAGACGTCGGGAGTTCAGTGGATGTGGAGTGTAGCTGCTTTTGTGGTTGCAGTGTCGATGGTGTTGTAAGCTGATAAGGAGACTGGTTCTCTTTGCAGCTGTATGTTACGTTGTTGCTTCCCCTGCCGGTCTTGGGGAGAGTGCTGTTTATGTATGACTAGATTGTTTCCATGTATGACGATTAGTAATGCCTGATGTTACACGCGCAAAAGTCTTGCTTTCGTGTCTCTCTGAAGTGCTTGTCATCATCGTCATCCTCTCTCAGGTGCTCAATTTTGTAACTACCATCTGCTCTCATTCGACCCAGAATGCGGAGTTCAAGCCATTACGATGCATGATTGTTTCTAGATGATAGCGACAGCCACTGAGAACCTCTGATATAATGGCTTCCTCGTGGGCTCATTGTGGAAGCTCTTTTTTCACTAGTAGGACTGTGCATCTCTATGGTCGGTCGGCGTGACATGATTCTCTCACACGGGGAGGATGAGGAAATTGCTAAAAACCAGGTCATTCTCTTTGGTGATCATGTCAAAGTTTCTGTGGCGCGGAAAGAAGGCAACGCTTTTGCATGGCTATATACAGAAAACTAAAACGGAACATCCATCAAACAAAGCACCAGTTGAGAACAAGGTACAAGCAAAAAGTAAATCCAAAATCGTCTATCATGAAGTAGAAAGTGTGAAAGAAGAAGGAGAAGCTGTAAACACAGCAAATTGAGACAAGCTCATCCTCAAAAATGTATCTAGCAGTAAGCGGTACCGTTGAAGTCAGACTCAGGGCGAATGACACCGTTGGCAATGAGGTCGGTGTATGACCAGTAATCTCTCTGGGTGCCTTGACCATCGACAAGGGCAGTGGAGTACGAGACGGCAGTCCAGAAACTGCCACCGCTGACGTACTTGCTCCAGGCGTAACGCTGGGTATTGAAGATCAATTGGCGGTCAGAGATGGCGAGGCTGTTGTTGTACATAGTCTGCAGGGACCATTCGCCAATGAAGTTGGGGAATTTGGTGGCCTCGGCGATGAAGGCGGCTTGGCCGCAAACAGCGGGAGCGACGTATTGGGAGTAAGTACCAGCGGCGGCAAAGTAGTAGACGTGCGAGTCAACGACCAGGTTCATCGATGCGTCGAAGAAATCGCTCCAGAAAGCAGCTCCCTTGAAGCAATCTTGAACCATAACGGGAATTCGGCTGTCAACTTTGGCGGTACGGGCCACAACGCCGGTGATATAGTCGGCAACCCACTGAGCACCCTTGGCAGAGAGACCAGCAGAAGTACCGAAGCCACTGAGGTTGTCAGATGCCTCGTTGATGGGTCCAATGGTCCACGAAGTCAAGTTGCCGCTGGCCTTCATGAAGTCAAGTATGGCATCGACGGCTTCGTAGGCGTAATTGAGGTTGGTGGTGTTGTAGAAGAAGTCGTCGTGCATAAGAGCCTCACCAATGTCGAGATTGTTGACACCACCGGGGAGAGAGTGGAGACCGATGATGATGTGCATGCCGTAGGTGTTGATGGCGTAGTCGGTGATGGCCTTGAGGTATTGCTGCTGGTTACCGTGGTAGAGAGCGGATCCAGGAACCTTGACCCAGGCTGCGTAAGTGGTAGGGATACGGAGAGTGTTCACACCGACCGAGGCAAGCTGGTCAATGGTCGAGGTGTTGAGGAAGCTGGCGTAACGGGCCTCGAGAGTAGGGCCACACTGGTCACCAAGAGTCTCGCAGAGAGTCCACTCGTCAGGGGTAGTAGACAAATTGGCAACGCTAGCCCACCAGATAGGGTCGTGAGTCTGTTCCTTCTCCAACCAACCGCCAAGGTTAGCCCCATTGGCTCTAAAGGTTCTCTGTAGCGAGGTTGGAATTAGCGTCATTTTGAGTACACGGGATGGCAATAACACCGCATTCTTGCTGAGAACGGTGTTTGTACCTATGATATGACTTACCCAGTTGATAAAGCCTCCGGCAGTAGTGGGTTGAGCAGTGGCGGTGGAGCTGGCAGTGGCAGTTGCAGAGCTGACAACCCAGGTGGAAGTAGTGGGCTTCTTGCAGGTACCGGCATCGGCAGAGGCGGAGAAACCGTAAGAGTAGGAGACAGTATACTTGTTGCCACCGCTGTTGGATCCCGTGTAAGTGGCGTACGAGTTGGCCCAGGTCTGGGAGTACAGGTTGCAGTACTGGCCGATGGCGACATTGTTGCGAGACAGGATGTAAGTGTTGAAGAACTTGCAAGTAGCCTTGTTTGCCTTCAGGTTGGTAGCGGACTGAGCATCGCAAGCAGCAGCACAAAGGCTGGCGTCGAAGGGACCTCCGGTGAAGACCTTGCTGCCGAGGAAAGTGCTTTGACCGTTGCAGTCAACGGGAGCGTCAATTGCAGTGTTGCCGTAGTAGTTGGGAGAGCTGAATCCATCAGCAGGCTCGATGGTGTTGTTCACGTATCCGTTGGATCCAGCGATAACGACCTGGAACTTGCTTCTGAACTGTCCAGCATTGTTGGCGTTGGATGAGGTCACTGGGCCACCCCAGAAAACACACTTTTGGAGGATTAGCAACGTTCTATAGAGAAGACAGTGGAACCGATATCTTACCTTGATGTTGGTAGTAGAAGAGGGGTTCTCGCAACCAGTACCGGGATCCTTGCTAGGGTCACGCTCATAGTAGAGGTTGAAAGCGGCACATCCGGAGATGGCGTTACACTTGCTAGCACACTTCTCGGAGTCGTAGGAGGCAAGGTTGGTGAAACCAAGGTAGCCGTATGCGTTGTTGGAGGCGTTCAAGTTCTTGAATGCCTGGGTGTATCCAGAGGGAGTGGCGGCAGCCGATGCAGCGCTGGCAAAGGCAGAGTAGGAGAGGAAGGCCGAAGCAGTGTCGGGAGAAGGAACAGGGCCGGAGCCGCTGGCCTGGACGGCACAAGTACCACGTCTGCGAAGAGTGGAAGAGCTGGTGCTGTTGGTGGTGCTGTTTGAGATATCAATCTCAGTCTGACCAGTCAAGACGGAAGTCTGAACGGCGGCAGCAGCAGAGTCAGAGTCGTAGACGACGACAAGCTCGTCAGTGTTGGTAGGGATGGTGACGTTCGAGGGAGTCTCGACAGTGTCGATCAAAGAGAAGTCGAGCTCTTGGGGGACAGGAGAAGCGAGTGTGAGAGCCGCAGCGGCGGACAGCAGAATGAACGAGCGCATGATGGACTGAAACGAATGTCTTGATGGAGCTGTTGTCTGATCTCTTTGTGACTTGGGCATGGAGATCACTTTATATCTTGCCTTGTGGTACTGAAGCCACGGGAGATCGACTTACTAGACCCAGGCACATAGCCAAGCTCTGACCGGAATGTCGAAACATTTAGTGGCTCGGGTACACTGCGCAGGCCTTGACCATGCAGGATCGTGAATTGATACTGATCGGGAGTGTTTTCCTTCCAGAAGCCCTAGAAAAAGACCACAATGGGCGAGTCGTCATCCGAAAGGTAAGTTCAACGAGGGCAGAGAATCTTGGCTATACCTGCTTGGCCCGTCTTTGACAATAGATCAGGGGAACATGGCAGCTGAGAGAGAAAAGTGGATGGCAGAGTTTGTATGCCAACCATAACAAGAGGCAAAACACGGGACACTGAATCTTGGTCCTTGAGGATAGGAGTTTTGGTCTGTGCTTACGGGAGGAAGATCCTCCAAGCCTCGAGCTGCATGGGCACATAATTAGGTGCATGTTAATCTAGCCAGATCAGGGAGGCAGAACTATTGGGTTGATAGGTATGCCAAAGTCGAAAAAATCGTGCTTATGACACTGAACACAACGATTGTTTGTAGAAGTATCACTGTGTTTCGTTCTGAGTCAAGATACCGTTGTATAGAAGCCTTCTCCGTTGTCGCTTCCGTGATTGATGATCATGAAAAACATCGTTCGTCGCTAGGAGCGCCATCGACTCTCATCTGCCGAACCGGAACGTCTATCTCGTATCGATTGTCTGTGCGAAGCGACTCAGGCGAGCAATATAATGTCGTGTCGGCGCACATGGTATGCTTCGAGATATGGATGAAGGGCTTATAGGACCAAGGGTTTGAAGGGCCTTCCAGAGCCCTAAGTCGTCGACAGGAACGAGTTTAAAGTTGTCCGGATGAGGCTTGGTCCCTGCGGAGCAAGGCTTGTCACGCAGTTCGGCGACCGACGCCCGGTTCACAACTCTGCCCTCATTTCGCTCTGTATTTGGCAGCGCCGCCGCCGCCGCCGCTCTGCTCGTCCTTTTCGTGCCGAGCATGCTTATGATCGACCGCAGTCAATCTCCTCATTCTCGGTAAGAAAGGCAGTCAACGAAGCAGAGCAGGTACTTTGCGGTATTCGCCCACCCCATGTGCTAGATCTGTCGCTCTTATTCAGCTCTCGCGACAACACACCGGTCGGAATGCACAGGTCACTCCAGACGATACTGAAAATCCACAGAGAGTCGATAAGCTCACGGCTCTTGGTGAATGCTTCCTACCGATCAAAAGAACTGTGTAGCTCTGTAGCTGCTTGCGTAACATCCGCTTGCGCAGGAGAGTTCGAACCGACATCGAAGCAGATCATGATATTCATCGTGATGGCGCGCAGCATGATCTATCATTTCGATGATCATGCTGCTTTGGTCATGATTGTGCTCAGAGCAGTCTCGTCGAAGATCTAGATCTTGCGGATCATTATCTTCCAGCTCGAGTCACAAGATGTCTCCATCTCTGCTACGTCCTGTCAATACCACCAAAGCGGTCTGCTCACGAAGTAATCTTACTGAGACTGGAGCCAGCTACAAACGGCAAAGCAGCTTTCGCTTTCGTGCGTTGTCCTTGAGAGAACTCACTAGTCGTGATAGCCCGTCTTTTTCCAACACAACACTTTCAGATCAGTTCGGAAACACTCTCAACTACTTCTCTACATACTGGCATACGATCTTGGGCCGAGTGACTGTAAATCAATCAAATCGACTCAAGAATGACGACAATGGTGCCCATTTTGACTGCTGACAGGCGCACCCTGGTCTATTGCGTCATTTTTGATTCGATACGAAGAGTACACAGAGCATGAGCCTGGATGTCTTGTCAATATGCCCTCTCTCTTGCTTAATGGTGTCCGTTGGTATAGCTTTCTAGATCCTACGATTATAAATTATTCTCGCGGTGAGGGATGGAGTTAATCAAGCTTCGCTCAGGCTGAGACATCCGAGGGACCGTTGAGAGTAATTGGAACAGCTTCATCAGCGACGTATCCATCTTTCGTGAATTCATCCTCTGTTCTCTCCTCTGTTCATCTGACATTTGCAGCGTATTCCGACCTTCAATCCAAAATGTACACCGTAGTCGAATTGCGACAGCTACAGTGCAACAAGTTTACTGATACGATTTGAACAGGTCGTCTTTCCTTACCAACCTCGGCCTCACCGCCAACAACTCGCTCACCCCCCTGCCTAACTACGGCCCCCATTTCCTCCTCGGAAACTTCCTGCTCAGCTACGTACTCACCACCACCCGCTTCCAAAAGGGCAGCTATGGTGTCGACAACAACATCAGCCCCCGCTACGATCTCGAGTCCCCTCGCGCCGAACAACTCGTCTCCAAGGGCAAGGTGACCCAAGAGCAACTGGACCAGCTGCGTCGCATTCAGTCTGCCCACTCCAACTCGATGGAACACTACACTGTCTTCACAGCTGCTGTCTTGTGTGCAATGGTCTCAAAATTGGACAGCGGTATGCTCAATAGATACGCCACCATCTACACATTGGTCAGAGCTGCCTACTTCGTGGTCTACAGACAGAACACAACTAAACAGGCTGCTGGTATCAGAAGCGTGCTGTGGTGGGCTGGAAACATTGTGTGCATTCGCCTCTTCTGGTTCGCTGGAAAGGCTCTGAACGCACATGTTCTGTAGAGGCTTACAGAGAGCATTCGCATCAGTGGCACAGCAGACCCATCTGCATCACTTCTGTACAGCGGGTATACGAATGGAGTACCTTGTAAAGAGCTCGCAGCTGCGTCAAGCCATTGTTCTTGCCGACATTTCGTCAGATGAAATCTTCCTTATGCAGAATCGAGTCTTCTCTACCAAACCAACTGTCCACCCTTTCTTCTGCTGCAACCACTTGATGTCGACCCTTGACGTCGATCTGTAACACAGAACACTCCGACTCTCCCTGAACAAACCCGAAAGGTCAACTGCCGTTCATCACAAATGATCTGCCTGCTTGCCTGGACTCTTCCGCATCCCCGCACTCACCCCGCCTTTGCCTTGTATATCCTGCCCTTTCTGCAGCCACGCTTCTTCTTTTATGCAGATCTTCTTACCAAATCTGTGCTTGAGAGCGATGAGGCTAACCTTGTTTCCTTTCCTGCCTAGGGCTCAGTCATTTAGGTGCTGGGAATCGTCATGCTCGGTGTTCTTTGCACCGAGCAGACATGGGACGCAGACACAACGAACCATGACAGAGGTCTATAAGATCTGGGCTTCCTCAGCACGAAGATGATATCAATTGCTGATACTCAAGTCTGCTGAGATGCATCGCCTACGAGCCACAGTTTCGGCTGCTCTTCTCTCTTCTACGGCCCTCGCTGTTCCATATGCCGAGTACATCCTTGCACCCTCCCAGCGTGATCTTGCTCCTGTAACCGTCCATCGAGCCAATGGTACAGTCATCAACGCTGCCGGCGTTACAAGTTCTGGAACCGGAGGCACAACTTTCAACAGTGTCTCAGCTGTCACATACGACTACTCCAAGAATATCGGTGGCTTAGTGTCCTTCGCCGTCAGCTCTTCATCCGACAGTGATCAATACATCGGCATCTCGTTCACAGAGTCATCTGTGTGGATCTCGCCTCATGGGTCAGATGCCACACAAAACATAGGTATCGACGAGACATTATGGTTCAAGATCACCGGACCAGGGAACTATTCTGTTGCACCTCTGCACGACCGTGGTGGATTCAGATACCTGAATGTCTATCACAACACCACCGGAAATGTCACCCTCAGTCACCTGCAGACATACTTCACTGCCATGCCTCATTTCCCCGATGATGGTATCGGAAAGTATACAGGCTACTTTCATAGCAATGACGAGAAGCTGAATCGAGTCTGGTATGCCGGTATGTATTGGCTCCTCTCCTCCATGTGCTCGAGAGCTGTCTCCATTTGAACGAGACTAATGATCTCACAGGTGCCTACACTGATCAACTATGCACCATTCCTTCAACAGCTGGCAACTCTTTGGTCGACCTTGACGCCACAGACCCAGATATACCGACCGTATGGTGGTCTAATAGCACTCTGACCAACGGCACCTCCGCATTCACTGATGGTCCCAAGCGCGACAAGTTGGTTTGGCCGGGAGACTTTGCTATCTCTGTTCCCGGCGTGTTTCTCTCCACGGACGATGCAATCACTGTGAAGCTGTCTCTCCAACAACTATTTGCAAGTCAAAATACCACCACCGGAGCACTACCTTGGTTCGCTCAACCAATCTACACGTTTCCTGAGAACAGTTTCATCTCGTTCGGAAAAGAAGTCTTCAGTTTCAATTACCATCTGTTTACACTTCTGGGGCTGAACAACTACTGGATCTACACTGGGGATGACGAGTATCTGCAAAACAACTGGAACAGATTCAAGCTTGCTCTGAACTACAGTCTGAGTTTCGTGGACGAAACTGGGCTGGCCAACGTCACTTCGAGTTTCGACTGGTTGAGAGAAGGTATGGGTGGTCATAATATCGAGGCGAACAGTATTCTCAAACACACTTTGGATGTAGCAGTCACACTCGCGTACGCTGTCAATGACACTGCTCACGTTGCCACCTGGACCAATGCATCCACAGCCATTGCCACGGCCGCGAACACTCTCCTCTGGGATTCTACAGCTTCTCTCTACAAGGACAACGAGACCGCCACTCTACACCCTCAAGACGGCAACGTATGGTCCATAATCTCGGGTCTTGCCACTGCTAATCGAAGCACTGCTGTCTCCTCCGCACTCGCCGCACGCTGGGGTCCCTACGGTGCTCCAGCCCCTGAAGCAGGCACCACAGTCTCACCTTTCATCACTGGCTTCGAACTCCAAGCCCATTTCCTCGCCGGTGCACCTCAACGCGCCATCGATCTCATGCGCTTCATGTGGGCGGACTTCATGCTCGATGATCCTCGCATGACGAACAGCACTTACATCGAAGGCTACGATACCAGTGGTGCATTGCACTATCCTGCCTATGAAGACGATGCGCGAATCTCGCACTCTCATGGCTGGAGTTCTGGACCTGTATTGGCTTTGTCGACGTTTGCGGCTGGTTTGCATGTGTTGAACAAAACGAGCTGGGTAGCGCATCCTCAACCCGGTAATCTTACGCATGTGGAAGCTGGGTTCAAGGTCGGGCATGGAAGCTATGCTGCCAATTACTCTGTTGTTGCCAAGAGCGCTAGATATATCTTCTCCACACCATCAGGCACAAAGGGAAGTCTTGTTCTCGACACTCCTAGTTGTGATGGTAACGTCAGCATTACAGGCAATATTGGCAGTCTTGGTGGCGTTTATCCAAGATTTGGTCATGTCGATGGGCAGAAAAAATCATTCAAATGGAGCAAGCAGATCAATAGCCATGGAAGTTCGTCTAAGCCTTGGAACTGCGGTGTTTGGGGCCCGACCCCATCTTCGCGATCCCTCAGTGCTGAGGGTACAATCACAATAGACGGTCTGACTGGAGGCAATTATACCGTTGAGGTTACATGTATGTAAGATTGGGTCAAGACCGATCCGAGTATGTGTTTAATGAAAGATGACTGAGAACAAAGGCCGACTAGCCAATCTGGGCTACTTGGGTGCGTCTTTGTCGAAGAAGTCTTTTGCGTCCTCGATGTATTTATCCACCTCATCCCAATTTCGTTTGTTGTATCTTTCCCTCCAAAGCCTTCTGTCAAACCAGGCGGGGAAGAATCCTGCATACTCCCAATCGATGATCGCAGCGATCTCATAAGTGTCGGGGTTGAGAATGATGTTGAAGCCGCTCAAGTCGTTATGGCAGAAGACGAAAGAAGGCGTATCGGAGGTCACGCGTCTCCAGAAGGGTCGGCGGTGCTTGTACATGAGGCAGTTGGGTGCGATGACTGGTAGGCTTTCGTCGACACAGCCGACACTGTCACGCTGAAGCTTCTGAGGTTGCGGGAAAATGTGACGTTCCATCTGCTGGTCCACCGCCTCGAGAACAGCAGGTCGTTCCTCGTCATCAAAGTCCTCGAGCATCTTGCCAGCAACGATGCCAGTGACAAGTTTCAATGAGTCGTTCTCGTCTCGTCCAAAGCTCTCGATCTCTGGAATGGGTATGGTGGTGTTATCTCGAATGTAGCAAAGTGCAGCATATTCGTTTTTGATGCGTTCTTCTGGGAGTATGAGTCTCTCAGGAGGGTAGCCCAACTCGGATGGCTTGAGTTGCCTCTTCGAGAACAATCCATTGCCCATGGTGAATTCGCGTTGTTCTGAAAACCAAGTTTCCGTTTCCATTTCGAAGGACTGTACGAGACTTTGTGAGTTTCGCTGAGAAGGGGGATGAGGCTTTATATTAACTAGCTGTACGCGCCGCTTAGTCACGAGTGTGTCCCCCACATCTCACCGCTCCTCTAAGGCAGTGCGAGCCAACCGAATGTTCCAACTTCGCAGATTGATGATGAGGCCCTGTTCAACATCGGAAGAATGTTGGCGATCAAGGCGGCAGAGGCGGTAAAGCCGATAAATTCGGCAGTCATTTCTGCAATGTAATGCAACGCGGCACGTAACAAGGAGTTTGTAACGTGGCAAGACTTAGGAGTTCGCTTGCAATCTCTAGACAACTCAACGACCGACCATTCCTAGAATTCCGGATGGCATGATAGCCTTGACGACTTAAAATGAAGGCAGAATTGCCCCAGCAAGATGATGAGCTGACTATAGTCATCTCCGGTTGAGTTGTCAGCTAGGGCTGCTGAGAAGATATTGTCGATGCCACGAGATTTTGCGCGCCAGTCTTGGTGGAGGTGGAAGTGTGCCGCTGTGCATGATGTGAAACGCTGGCAGGCGCAAAGGAGGCAAGCCCGACTCGATGATTGGATCACCTGGCCACGCATCAGACGGAGCAGCTCGAGTTGTGTGTTGGTGGTAGAATCCTCCTCAGCGCCGGTGATAACAAAACAGCGCGCTGACCCAGAAGGCTTGCAGACGCTTACTGAGAAGCCATGCGGATCTTGCGCGGCTGTGGGGTGATACGCGCGTGGAGTGTTGATTGAGATACTTGCACCTCCATTGGATAGCGCGCATATCAGTGCATCTGCATATCCCAGGCTTGCCAGCGGATGCATGAGTGACCGAGTAAGTTTCTCCGTTGCCCATTGATTTTGGCCAATATAGGAATGATTGCCAAGGTTGATAGGCATCATGCTGGCAAGATCGCCATGCCGGCACTACGATGAACCTCTAGAATATGTGAACACAATCTCCTCCTCGGATATCATGCTTGGGTCAACATGGCAGTCGTAACGAATCCCGTCACATGGTCTGGTACCGACTTAGCAGTCGGCATGCCTTTATCGCTTGCGCCGCTGTTTCTGCCTAGTGGGAATCGATGAGCGGTCGTATATCGCACGCGAACACGCGCTTTGCAGATGCGACTGGATTAGGCGTGACAGACGCATTCAGTTTTGTTCAAACCATCCTAAGCGCATTAATCGACTAGGTTAGGGATGTCGCCGTGGTAACGAGCGGGCACATGTAATGATACAATGTTGTGTGCTCGGCACATCTTGTTGGCTGCGGAATCATCTAGAAGAAGTGTTCGTATCGTTGTTGGTCCTTAGAATAGATTTGGTATCGCCGTGGTCGTAAAGGCTATCACTTCTGCCCTCGGCTCTCTTTCTCGACCTCTACTAAGGTTTGAGTTGTCCGCTGCTGGTTGATTTTGAAGGGGGCTCTGTGCGGGAATTGTGGTTGGCTTTTGTGCGCGCATGTTTGCCGGGGGCGATTTACTGATCATGGATACTCAGATCTTTGTGTCTGACGGTATCATCCCTAGAGGTGTTTCCGTGCTTCAGCATGTCCCCACCAAGAGCCGTGTCATAGCCGGTTGCGTTAGATGCATGTTCAGTTGCTCGATGGACATCGAATTACGGAACCTCTCGAAGCCAAAGAGTATTTGTAGATCGCTCCTAGATCATCCGTGGGTGTAACACGATGTGTGGTCTGACGACAATCGTTGATGTGTGCGGGCAGTGTCTATCCTACGGCAGCTTACTTCTGATCATTTGCTCTTATGGAGACCAGTTGGTCGCGAATCTGGTGCTCGAGAAGAAGGAGACGTAGTGAGGATTGCGGCTCTGCGGGCTCGGCTGGGCTTCTTTGGCCGGTCCAACGCGCATTTGGCCATTCTGTTGCTGGCTGCTTCTGTCGTTGCGCACTCTCCGTACACTCTTTCGCACATACACTCGCTCGCACGCCAATTGTCGAAGGAGCAGCATCCATCATGAACGAAAACGTCGGATAATCCGAGACCTACAGATATTGCATCTTCTTCGACCTGGGTCATCGGGCTCATAAGGCTGAATGCCGGGTAATTTCACCTCTGCAAATGTAGCCCTCGCTTGTTACCTTTTCTACTTTTCCCCCTCATCTTGCTCGAGCATGCTCTAAACCGTGCGCTGATCATTCAAATCTCGCATTAGAGCTTGTTCAGTATCTGTGCTCCAAACGGAAGATCATCCAGTTGGTGGAGTCCATATGTGCCCCGCAACTTCTCCATTTCGTTGCCCCATGCCCCATGTTCCGGACTGGGGAGCAATATAGGCATCAGCGGTACTCGGGTGCGCGTAACCGACGAGTCGATCTTTGACAGCTTTCGGGATGTATAAGAAAGGCAGGTCCTCACCTTACGGATATCTTGTAGGATCATTAGAGATTTCTCGTGCTCATCGTCGCCATGCATTCTCTTCTGTCTGTCGCCACGGCCGCGTTACTCTGCCTATCAACAACATCCGCTTCCCCCCACAAACCCATCCAAACTTCATCCATCGATCCGTTCTTCTACAAAGGGTTCGATCTGTCCTCTCTACACATCCTCGAGCTCGGCAATGTGACTTACAAAGACACCGCTCGTCGCAATGCTACAAGACCCGCTGAGGATATCCTCGGTGATGGCGGTATGAATACCGTGAGATTGAGGTATGCGAGACCCGAGACACTGACACTCCAAGACAAATGCTGATGGATGTGTGCAACGTAGAATCTGGGTCAACCCTGAGCCTGGACAATACGACTTGGCGTATACATTATCTCAAGCGCAGAGGTTCGCAAAGAAGGGATATCGCATCTATCTCGATTTCCACTTCTCTGATACTTGGGTGAGTTTGTCCTTTTCTCTACTACCTTCTCTTCCACTGACATTGGCCTCAAGGCGGATCCAAACAAACAATTTACACCCGCAGCCTGGACAACCAGCAGCATATCAGCTCTGGGTTCCGATCTCCGCCACTACGTCAAGACCACCTTGCTCGCCTTCACAGCCGGCGGCGTCGATCTCTCTCTTGTCTCCCTCGGCAATGAGATTCGCCACGGGATGCTGTGGCCCTACGGCTACGTCGACGTCGATACCTTCCCGACCTCCGCACGCATTGCAAATTTCACCTCACTAGCGAGCTTATGGTCATCAGCCCGCAAAGGAGTCGACGACGCAGTCAAAGCCGGCGTCAAGAAACCCGCAATCATGATCCACATAGACGATGGCTGGAACAAGACTCTGCAACTAAACTGGTTCGAAGCACTTACCGGCAGTGGCAAAGTCAAGACTTCTGATTGGGATGTCTTTGGCTTTTCCTTTTACCCTTTTTACGGTACTGCTGCTACATTGCCCAACCTCAAGGAAACACTCGATGCGGTGGCGGCAAAGTACCAGAAACCTGTTCATGTGGTTGAGACGGATTGGCCGGCCATCTGCGATGGAGCCACTGCGCCTGAGCTCAGCGATATTTCTGTGCCTGTCAGTGTTGCTGGGCAAACTGAGTGGGTGAGGGATATTGTTTCAGTGGTCAAGGGCGTTGCTGGTGGTTGGGGTAAGGGAGTCAATTACTGGGAACCCACTTGGTTGAACAATACAGGGCTGGGCAGTGCGTGTCAAGATGCGATCTTGTTTTCTGCTGATTGGAGTGGTTGGCCGAACAGGATTATCGGATACTCGAGGAGTAGTGTTGATATGTTTGCTGGACGATGAGGGTTGAGAAGCTTGAGCTATCTGAGAAGGATACAGTGGCGTTTGGAGAAGACTTTTCGATTTTGCATAAATTCCATATGTTCATTTGTAGCTTTGTGATGGGTAAGAGTAGAGAGCAGAAAGACGCATGCCCGTGCCAACGACGGAAGAACCTCTTCTAATGAGTTACGCCTCCTTCTCTCCATTTCCTTGTTGGCCGAGCTCGATAATTTTTTCGTTCTTCTCCACTTCATTTTTCCTCCTTGTCTCTCCCGCCAACTTCCAAAAACTTGGAGAAAGCAACCATAGCAGAAGCGGCCATGTAGCTGGATGCCAACACTTGCGTCTCAAGTAAAAGACAAGTAAACCCTTCCCCAATTCCTTCAAAAGAAAGACATGGTTCCCCGAAGCTCATCGCGACATGGAAGCTTTCTAAGCACCACCGCCGCCACGGGAATAAGGATGGAACCCACGGTGACCACCTCTACCGCCACCTCTGTAGTTGGCGCCAGGTCTTCCAGCGTTCTTGGGGCCTGTGGGCGCATTAGCAGGTGCATTGGAAGGACCCGCAGGCGTGGGAGTGTGACCACCACCACCGCCCCTGCCGCGTCCTCTTCCGCCAAAGCCACCGCGAGGGGCGAATCCGCCATTGTTGCTGCCGGGGCCACCGTTGCCGCCGCCGTTGGGTGCGGGCACGTCGTCGTACATGCCTTCCCAGCTGGTGGGGGAGCCAGAGGGTTGGAAGCCGTTGCTGCTGTTGGCGGCGGACATGCCACCACCGCCGTGTTGCTGCTGTTGCTGGCGTTCGTACTTTTGCTGCTCGAAGGCGAGTTGTTCTTGGGCGTTGTAAGCGGGACGTTGGCCAGGTCCGCCGTTCATGGGGGACATGGGGTTGGAGGGTGCTGGGCTACCTGAGTTTCCGGGGCCACTGCCGCCCTGCATCTGCTGCTGCATTTGTTGCATCTGTTGCATCATGGCTGGGTTCATGCCGCCTGTGTTGAGAGCTTGTTAGTAGTCTTGACCATGTGTACTAGAGTTATGTGCGAAACTCACCTTGACCCATGCCTTGCTGCATGGCCATCATCTGCTGCATCATCTGAGGGTTCATGCCGCCAGGGCCGCCCATCATAGGGTTGCCGCCTCCACCCATGCTAGTAGCCAATTGCTGCTGCATCATCTGGAAGTACTGCTGCATGCGCTGCCAGTACTGAGCCATCATTGCCGGGCTCATGTTGTTGCCTCCCATACCAGCAGGACCGCCTTGTTGCATGCCGCCTTGTTGACTAGGGTCGAAACCACCTTGCTGACCGCCGAAACCTTGTTTCTTGAAGCCGCCACCGCCGTTGTTGTTGCCGTTATCGTCATTGCCGCGCAAGTTGCCTCTAGGTTGAGCTTTCTTGACTTCGATGTACTTGCCCAAGATCTCGAGAGGGCGCTCAAGCGTACGGTCGACCGCGGCCTCGCTGTCAAAGGTGACAAAACCGAAACCACGAGGACGACCAGTGTCCTTGTCCATCATCAGAGTGGCGTCAAGAACGCGACCAAATTGCATGAAGAAGTTCTTGAAGTCGGCCTCGGTGGCTTCCTGCGAGACACCGCCAACGAAGATCTTGCTAGTACGCTCCTGCTCGTCGCGAGGAATAGCCCGCTTGGGATCAATCTGTGTCATGGTCAGTTGTGCGTAGAAACGCGACGTGAAAGAGGACTAACAATCTTGCCGTCGAGTTGATGTTCCTTCACCATGACGATGTTGACGGTCTTGGGGTCTCTGAATGTGAGGAAACCGAAACCACGAGAGCGTCCGGTCGCACCGTCACGCATGACAGTGCATTCTGTGACTTCGCCAAACTGTGAAAAGTATTCCCTGAGTGACTCTAGAAAGTCGAAACATCAGTACAAGCCTAAAGACGATACAATGGCTCAATACTACTCACGATCTGTTGTCTCCCAGTTCAGACCGCCAATGAACATTTTGCTGTCAAACAAATTCACGTTAGCAAACAATCATGTAAAGCTGCATGATGTGTGTTGTGACTCCAGAAAGACATGATTGCGCACAGGAGCGACCGCTCTCTTTCATTTCCTGGCGATGCTTGGTTGTGGAGTCCACGTAGTCGAACAAGCAGCTTCAACCCCATCTCTTGACCTCGAAACCCTTGGGCAGGCATCTTAAGGTTGGCGAAGACTCGTATCATGCAAATGCTTGGACTTCCATAGCAGAGTAAGACTCAGATCAAGATCAGGTCGAGGTACGGTAGTGGTGTGCGTCTTGAGAAATGGTCTGGGAAATCGCTTGCTGCGCTGACCGACTGGAGCAAAGCTCTCAGCACGGCAGACAAACAGCAGCCATCGAATTCCGTGCTTTAGCTAGGCTCTATGAAGAGTTATCGACAAGAAGCTAAATAGCTATAGGCTTTGGCTAGATGGGTTCAGAGGGTGATTTGACCGTCATACAACGTACCACTACGATCTTGAATCTCCTGCCTTCTGTCTGATATATATTGCCTGATTGATCTTGCCGAGGTATGTATTTGGCTGCATAATGCTTGCTCTTTAGGCAGGCGAACTCCCGACGCCGCTCTCCATATTCGGCATGGAGCCATGTAGTTCCACATCCTTGCCTTCAAGGCCACAGTGCTTGGTCGTTCAAGCACATGCTGGAAGAAGCGCTCGAGAGAAGCAACAAAGACTGCTCAGAGCGGAGCAACTTGACCATACTTGTGCGAAACGACAGTCCCAGGCCTGCTGCTTGTAGTATCACTCTAGCCAGCCGCTAGTGCAGATGGTCGCGAACAGTATAATTCCCGGCTAGCTCCAGTGCGCATCATGTCTTGGTGTTGTAATACTTCCTACGATGGGATGACAAAAGAAAGGGAGCACGACTTACCCGTCTTCTTTGATGCCAATAGGCTTGTAGTCTTCATCACCACCTCCACCGTGGCTCATCTGTTGAGAAGCGCCATAATCGTTACCTTGGTTCTGGTTGCTGTTGTAATCCCAGTTTTGTTGGCCTTGCTGCTGCTGCTGGTCGTTCCAGCCGTCGTTTGAATATGATTGAGGGTCGGCGGGTGCGTTGGAGCCATTTGCAATGGGTTCTGACTGGGGAGGCTGCTCTGACGAGACGGCTGCCGAATCAGCCTGCTCTGCGACGGGGGTCTCGACAGTAGTAGTTGCGGGCGCGGGTGCGGCTGGCGCAGGTGCGGAAGGAGCGGCGTCATCACCTTCGTAGCTGGCAAAGATGTCAAAAATCATGGTCGGTGGAGAGTTGTAGGGGTGGAGCTGGCGTACAGGTCGGCGAAGAGATCCTCTTCTTCGTTGTAGTCGGCCATGTTTGCTGTAGGTGAGGGGTCGACTGTGCGTCGAGAGAGCAGAGTGGTAGAGTAGTGCGATGCGGAGTTGGATCGGAAGGGCCAAAGGAAGGTCAGTTGCGCGCGAAAGACGGATGAATGAGACTCGAGGTCAAACGAGTCGCTGTTGTGGTCAGGGAGAGTGGAAGTGAGAAGTCGGAAGAAGCAGCAGCAAAGCTTCAGCGACTTCTCATCGGCCAAGGCGACGCGCTCTGGAACCGTCACTTCCAAACTTCGCTCTCCGAGGATGATCCGTTACCGTCCGTCGCACCTTCCTTGATTGATGGTCATAAGCTCAAGTGCCTCGCTCAATTTACGAGCAGGGAAGTACACATGCACGAATCTCAGCGAGATCGAAGACCGGCTATGGAACTAGTTCAACAGTCCCTCCCACGCTAGATAGAGATTATGTGATGTTGCGTCAAGTTCGAAACCTCGTTGATACTCAAATTGTTGGAGACGTTGCGTACAAGAGTGGCTGCGTTCGGAATCAAGTCCTCGGCGAGCGAGCGCGTCATGGCCGTTCCACCGAGTGATGTGGGTGGCCGTTTGTTGTACAATCGTCTCATCTCGACACAAGCACTCGACTGCCTCGTCTGTTAATTTCCGCCAATATGGCTTCCAAAAAGCTGCAGCAGGTACCTTTCTGATCTCCATTTCCTCAGCCATAGCAATGCTAATCTTTCGCTCGCAGGAAATGGTCCAGGTCGGTTCGTCTCCTCTAATTGCCCTGTCGTGCTTTCCCCACAACTGGCCTCCCTCGAGCTAACTGCTATACCTACGCGCATCAGACAGATCCGAGTATGTTTCTATCCAGTCTCACACTGCTGTAGCCGTCATTCTGACCATTCAATCAGGTCTTCCTCCCCTTTCTGGCGCACCTCATCCTCGAACAGCAAGCGTGATGCCAGCCTCGCCGGCGAGAGAAAGGTCTTTGGAGCTTCATACTCGCATGCCGACATTCTCAACTTCGACAACTTGTATGCATTCGTCAATGCCTACCCTCGACGACCTGCTCTTACCACTTTCATAGAAACATCTCCAACAGCAGCACACCACGTCCCCACACCCCACCCTCGCGCGACAACCGACCGTCCCTCAAAACCTCGACCAGTCTCTCTCCTCCGGCCCCACGCCGCTCGTACTCCAATTTCTTCGGCGAAAACACAAAGACCAATGACTCACCACAAGACGAAGAAGCCCTGGATTTTGACGAAGATGAAGACGAGTTTGGCCTACCGAGCATAGCGAGCATGAGGAGGAAGGGCAAGAGACAAGTCGCAAAGAAGAAGAAAGATCCAGGTGGCTCTCAATCTTCTTTGACCACGGTTCCATCAGCCACAGCAACACTGGCTTCTTGGTCCATGAACAACGGGGACATTGCCGAAGAACGTAGTTTGCCAAACTATCCTACCACAAAACGATCAGACGGAAAGATCCTCCGACCGCAGTACAAAGATATCCTCAGAGATCCTGCGAACGCCCTCCACTTGATCAATCATGCTCCTGCTCCACTCAACGCCTCTCCGAAAGAGGTCGAAGCCCATTCAGCCCGCATCACTCGCATCAACAAGTTCAAACGTATCCTACAAGCCTCCTCGATCAATCTGGCTGAGCTGCGCGACTCTGCTTGGTCAGGCTTGCCTGAAGAGGTCAGAGCCATGTCATGGCAGATCCTACTTGGCTACCTTCCGACGAACAGCGATCGAAGAGTAGCCACGCTTGAGCGCAAGAGGAATGAATATCTGGAAGCAGTGCGACAAGCTTTTGAGAAAGGCACATCGACGAACGAGGCCGAGTCTGTGATTGGCATCGGCGGAATATCAGCATCACCTGCGACTCAACGAGGCAAAGGTCGAGGGCTGGACGAAGCCATCTGGCATCAGATCAGTATCGATGTTCCACGAACGAATCCACATCTTGAACTGTACAGTTTTGAAGCGACGCAGAGGTCTTTGGAACGCATTCTGTACGTCTGGGCCATCCGTCATCCCGCAAGTGGGTACGTCCAAGGAATCAACGACCTCGTCTCGCCGTTCTGGCAAGTCTTCCTTGGTATGTACATGACGGATTCAGAGATCGAATGCGGTATGGATCCTGGACAGTTACCAAAACAAGTTCTGGACGCTGTGGAGGCCGACACTTTCTGGTGTCTGACCAAACTCCTCGATGGCATACAAGACAACTACATTCATGCACAACCTGGCATTCAACGACAGGTGGCCAGTCTTCGCGATCTGACCACGCGTATTGATAGCAATTTGGCGAAGCATCTCGAGAATGAAGGGGTCGAGTTTATACAATTCAGTTTCCGATGGATGAACTGCTTACTCATGCGTGAGATAAGCGTCAAAAACACCATCAGAATGTGGGATACGTATTTGGTATGTCGATCTTCAATGTTTATGATTTGTCCCCAAGCTAATTCTACAGGCCGAGGACCAAGGATTTTCCCACTTCCATCTCTATGTCTGCGCTGCTTTCCTGGTCAAATGGTCGGACCAACTACTCAAGATGGACTTCCAAGAAATCATGATGTTCCTGCAAGCTCTGCCTACTCGCGGCTGGAACGAAAAAGATATTGAGCTTCTCCTCAGCGAAGCTTTTATCTGGCAGAGTCTCTTCCGAAACTCCAAAGCTCACATCCAGAAAAGTTCTCAGAATGGTCCACTCTCTGTCACGCTATAGGTCCAACACCCTGCTGGTAATACCATGAGTTGTACTTTACGATTCAATCGACGTCGGTCATGAATAGCTCTGATCGTGTCGTTTTTTATGATTTATCAAAATCTGCGAAACCGAGGTCACAAAGATTGACAAGACCCTCTCGTGGCTGTAGATAATCAGTGTCAGAAATTTACGCGTCACCAGGATGCTTACCGGAGCATATTGTCGAAGATGAACACCTGCTTCCTGGAAGATTCTTGCGCTTTGGGTATCCATGTGGTAGCTCTGGCTGAAAACGACCTCAGTAATACCGACCTGAACGATCTTGACGCTGCACGTCAAACAAGGACATCTATCGAAAGTCAGCACGAGCAATCATGTCTGAGTATTGGCTACTTGCGTGTTGCAGTATAGTACAGCGCCGTCACCGACACGCTCTCGGCCAGCCTCGAGAAGGGCATTCTCCTCGGCATGGAGACACAGACATGTGCTCAGGCCAGTACCGCCTCCCTTGCTCGTATTGCAACGAGCACATCCGCCTTCGTTACAATTTGTGACGTTCCTCGGAGTGCCGTTGTAGCCGGTGCTGATGACACGTTTTCCTCGAACAAGCACACAACCGACCTGTCTTCGCATACAGTTACTTCGTCGAGCAGCAAGGTCAGCAAGCTGCATGAAATACTGGTCCCAGGTCGGCCTCATCCTGGCAGGATCGAGGAGGTTCAGGGCATCGAGTGAAGCTTGTAGCTCAGGAATGGTGGTGGTTGGGTTCAAGATTCTTATCTGAGCTCTAGACGACAGAGCAGCCAGGCTCGATAGGGGATCGTAGAGATGCTCATCATTGCGAAGGACAAAGTCATCCAAGGCTGGAGGCTGTTTGTTCTGCTGAGCACATCTTTCACGGAAGCGCTGCCATCGCACACTGATGGGGGCGTCAATGCTCAGTAAGACGAAATGAGGGCGTTTGGCCAGAGTGTCGAGGATAGCTTCGTTCCAGATAGTAGTCAAGACGTAATTCTCCCTCCAATTTTCAGAAACATATTGGTCTAGCAAGAGTGCAGTGGGGAATTCGAGAGCGGCACTTGTCCAGTGGGCGAAATTTGAAGATTTCTCGATCGCAGGAGTTTTGTCGTCTCGTTTGATCGTCAACGGGGTAAAGTTGTGCTTTTTAATCAAGTAGTCTGCTACGGTTGCTTTGCCCGCACATATGGCTGTTTATTTGTTTTAGGAAGAGTTAAACTCGGTGTCGGGGTGTCACTCACGGCCACATATGCCGATGAGCATGTTTGCGTTGTTGATTGTCTGTCCTCGGAGAAGATCGTCTTACTGTCAAGGTACACGCAAAGAGCAACAAGATGGATATTCAGACAAAGACACGGCGGACAGAGAAAGGAGCTTTCACATGTTCAGCGGAAGGAAGGCGCGCTTCTTTGACGACCGTGCGTTGGACTCCCAGACCCACGTCACAAGTGAAGGCCATCACATTCAGCAGGTCACAGCTGCCTATGTTTCAACGCGTTTGCCATATGCTACAACCATAGACCCTATCCTCATCCTCAACCTTCTCCACCGCGCAGACTTATCCCTGTATCCATAGCGAGCACAACGGCGAACGCCATCGTCGACTTTCGTATACGAAGGACCCCGCAACGCGACAAACAACCATGATGGAGGCGCTCAAGTTTGCGCCCTGGACGTCGGAAATCGATCTAGGCTTCTACTCGGCTCTTGGTAATCTCAAGCTCAACCATGACCGACTGGACTCGTCGGCCCGCAGGGTTTTGGGTGTCTACCAGATCCAGACGAGGGACCCGCCAGAGCGCTCGGCTCGCATGCAGATTCACAACCAAGCTCTAACCCAAGACCAGTGTGTTCATGCCCGTCGATACTGCATATGCTTACCATGATGGCTAATACCGCTGCAGTGTCCCAGCCACCTTCTACCGCGGCGAGGGCTACATTCGCAACTTCAATACCATGGACGAGTACAAGCAAGTCGACAAAGCTGCACACATCGAACGCGCCGGCCGAACAATCTGGGACGCCATTAACGATGGAACAATCTTCTCGTGTCCCTCACTGCTAGCTTCCTTCTCAGCCATCTGCTACGCCGATCTCAAGAAGTTCAAGTTTACATACCAATTCGCATACCCAGCCCTACATTCCGACCCCACCTGGTCCTATTCGACGTTGCAAAAGATTACTCCGAACGAGACAGAGCAGTTGGTCGAAGAAGTGGGAACTTGGAGGTACAGCGTAGACACAAGACAACATGGTTTCTTCCTGGCAAAGAAGATTAGAGGCCCCGACCTGAACGACGACCATGAGTCACATACCCCGCTTGATGAACCCGATGACCGAGACTTTGAAAACGACCACTTCCACGACGCAAACTCCGAGCCTGGTGATACTCCCGACTATCGGTGGAAGATTGGCGCTCTAGTGAATTTCGAGACTGGCTTCTTCAACAATGTCGACCCTGAAGATCAATACATCTGCTTCGCGGACCCTTCAACTTTCGAATCAAATCCTGGCTGGATGTTGAGGAATCTGCTCGTCCTTGTACGTCAACGTTGGAAACTCGACAAACTTCAGATTATGTGTTACCGCGACACGCACGCTCGACGAGAACAGTCGCACACCATCTTCTTCAAGGTCGAGTCTGTCAAGCCTACTGAGGGTGACCACTCTGCCCATTTCCCATCAGTACCTCAGAGTCGCGACTCATCACCATCAGCGCCTACACCGAGGTCGATTCCACCGGCAGAACGTGGTCCTATGCCGAAGATCACGGGCTGGGAGCGAGACACCAGGTCTCGAAACTTGTCTCGCACCATCGACATGGGCGCCTATATGGATCCCACTCGCCTTGCTGATCAAGCTGTCGACCTGAATCTGAAGCTCATCAAGTGGCGCATCGCACCCTCGATCGATCTTGATATCATCAAGGACACAAAATGTCTTCTGCTCGGTGCCGGTACCTTGGGCTCTTACGTCGCACGCAATCTCATGGGTTGGGGTGTACGAAATATCACATTTGTCGATAACGGTAAAGTCAGCTTCAGCAATCCCGTGCGTCAGCCTCTTTTCAACTTCGACGATTGTCTGAAGGGCGGCTCACCCAAAGCCGAGACGGCTGCTCAAGCACTGAGACGCATTTACCCAGGTGTCAATGCTGCCAGCCATTCGCTATCAGTGCCCATGGCTGGACACCCCATCATGGATGAGAAGAAGGTAAAAGCTGAATTCGATCAACTACATAAGCTAATCGAAGGCCACGATGCCATCTTCATTCTCATGGACACACGCGAATCACGCTGGTTACCGACAGTCATGGGCAAAGCAGCAAACAAAATTGTTCTCAATGCTGCTCTTGGTTTCGATTCGTATATGGTCATGCGACATGGAGTTTCCTCGCAACCACAAGCAGAACAACTGGGATGTTATTTCTGCAACGATGTGGTCGCGCCTGCCAATTCGCTCAAATCTGCTACACTCGATCAACAATGCACAGTCACTCGTCCTGGTGTAGCAGCCATTGCATCAGCACTTGCAGTCGAGTTATTGGTCTCAATACTGCAACATCCCGACCAGGCAGCTGCGGCCGCTCCTCCAATAAACGACCCTCAAGCTCAGCACCCAGATCATCCACTGGGCAGCGTGCCTCATTCCCTTCGTGGCTTCCTCGCCGACTGGAAGACACTTACTATCAGGGGTCAGGCGTACGATTGTTGCTCGGCGTGCTCACCTACAATTCTATCACTCTATAGCAGTCAAGGCTGGGAGTTTGTGAAGCGTGCTATCAATGAAAAGGGATATGTCGAGGAGGTATCTGGATTGGCGGAAGTGCAGAGGAGAGCTGAAGAGTTGGATAACGATGTTGATTGGCAGAGTGATGGTGAGGAAGACAATGAAGAGGCTGAGATTATATAGGTGGGCACAACACTTTCATGGAGGGTGCAGGCGTTTGAAGGCGTGTTGTGTTGTTGGACTTCAGAGAAACTTTGTCTTGTCAGGGGAAGTCATTGCTGAGAGCTCCGCTTCTTCTGTTTTCTCTGGGGTTAGTCGGGACACGGGGGTTGTTTTCTTTGCATTATCAAGGGTGTTTTTTTTTTGGTTTGGTCTTGAGTATGTAGCACTGGAAGAACATCTGTTTTGTGAGCTGACTCAAGGGACTGTTGTTTGCCCAAAACGATACAATTCCATCCTTTCCATCATTTTTTTGTTGTGACTTGAACTTCCCGATTTGTTTACTGGCGACACGGTTCGCGTAGATATAACTCTTGGTATCCTAGAATCAGGACTTCATGATCACGTATTCACGTTCAGGAGCAAGTTTTACGGTGATCGCTATATCATATGCACATAAGCACTATTTGGACATTCAGCAGTCTCGTAAATGATTGAACCCAATGGTACATGAGGACTTTTTGATGCTCTAACGCGCTTTTGTCAATAACATAGATAATTAGAAGTCGACAAAAGTTGATTCTGTACTCGTGATATAATCACTCCTTCGATCTGAGTAAAGAAGCTGTAATGCTGGCAGTATTCCTCACCATGTGCAGTCAATGTGAGTTTGAAGTTTACTTGTCGAGTTCTTTTGAGTTAGTATTTCTTGGTCGGTAGCTTTTGATAACACTTGAGAGATTCTTAGTGAGATCTAGAAAGTGACATTGAAGATGAATCAACATCCTAATAAATCCTGTGGCTATCGATAAACTTTTTGCTGTCCCTTATATTGGTACGCAATTTTTTTTCCTACTTCACCCACGTGGCGATGCAAAGTTTGGGGTTTGAGTTCAGCGGTTGATCTGGGGCAAGAGCGTGTAATTGGCGACTCGTTGTCTATGTGATATTCGGTGTAGACATCGAGGTTCAATAAGAGCGACTGGATTGTTGAGATGGGTAGTGACAATGATCTGGAATCTTGTGACGCATCGAGGGCTAGTCAGCTTAACTTGCTCATAGTACCGCTGAACCGCAAATATCAGTCATGTGCACAAGACTCGATGCAAAGATCTCTCTCCTTGGTGATGTGACAAATATTCTCTGCCTAGACTTCTGTCGGAACGAAGAAGACTTGCTATCACACTGCGGATTCTTCTTGATTGTCCTAGCGAAATGATGCCTAACAAACTCTTCGGGTTTCCACCACTAGATTTCTCTAGTGGTAAGAGCGACCACCTCGGAGCCATTCGGGCTTTGATGCCAGGTCCTCTTCCCTCTCCCATCGGATACGAGCGGTCTAGCGATGGGACCAGATGTCCAGGACAGAGCTCCGCTCCAGGTAACGCCTTAGGACCTGCTTCTTCACAGGATGTGCCAGATAGCCCGGATACCAATGGGCTTGTGGACTCGGGCGTACAGCTACCCTCTCCCACAGACGATAAAGACGAGATCCAGAATTTACGTGACAGCGAGCCTCTCCTACCCTTGGTCCAACAAAGAGAGCTCTTCATCATCTACCTACCATCAATGACCAACGAAGAACTCGAGCAATTCTGGAAACCCATAGATAACAGCGGCAACATGCCTTTCTTCAGAGGCGGTCCCACTGTTCCGATTGAGATCAGCAGACGACTCTACGATCTAGGCGTCCACCATCCCGGTCAACTTTTCGATCCGTATGCCTGTGCTGCTTTGCGACTGGCTTTGAATACTTATATCTCGTTTGCCTATCATCCGATGGGTCGGGTCGCATGGTGTGTCAGACAACGACTGCTGCAAGAACAATTTTGGAGAGACGAGCAACGGCGCAGAGACGAAGAGCGACTGAGACAAGAGGAAGAAGAAGAACAGTGGAGGGAACAACAAAGACTCCGACGAGAGGTGGAGGAACGAAGAAGAGATGAGCACTTTAGAAGACTGAGAAGAGAAGAAGATTTGCGCAGGCAGAGAGAAGAAGATGACATGGAGATAATCACTGCGGAACACGAGCAGAGGATGAGAAGACCAGACCTACTGACCGATAGATACAAACGTCCAGAGACCGAAGATGCGAGAGAACATTGCATGCGCCAATACATGGAAATGCGGTCAAAGCGTGCGATCCACAGGTGCACGAATGTACCCTGCTTCGAAGAAGCCTGTACGATTGATCTGCCGGCATCTACAGGATGCCGCTATGCTGATACATTCCACTCGGATCCAAATACAAACCCTTGTATCTGGGGTTGGGGTTTGATGCTGAGGAAGGTCAAGCAAGAAATTGATTTAACGGTGGCGAGAACGGCAGATCTTGACGACATAGCGGAATGGTATCGTGACCAACGCAGGAATCATCAGAGGTTCCACGGTCCGGTATTGGTCACAGATCCACCAAATGCTCCTGATAGGAACAAATGCCATTGGGTCGTCGCACCGCCAGCGCAGAACAGATAGAGCCACCAGTGATCCTGCAGGCAATGATTGTGTAGACATGGAAGACCGCTTCAAGTGGATAGTCCTCGAGGCATTCATCTTGATTCAATAACTGATAAAGCATGTGCTGTTCTGGTGAGACGCAAACCGTCAAATATTTCCAAGTGATGAAGCTATCCCTTCCGCGGAAGCATCAAGAGCGTGTGACAGCTGTCGGATCGGCCGAAAAGTCCATGAGACATAATAGCACCTATCGGAAAGTGGACGTGTTCCGAACTCTCTTCGGATACTATCCAGTCCGGATGATTGGCCTTTTCTGGAGTGAGCACGTTGTTCTGCACGTGTGTGGGTCCATGAGTAGGATTGACTTTGGGGCCGAATCACAAGCCGCTCTGGGAACGAGGCTGTGAGCATGTTATTCGTATCTCATGCGAATATTCCAAGTAAGTGTTGCATGTTAATTCCGACTCTCTCATTCATGGCGAATCGCTTGTTCAGATCGATGATGCTAATTCTTCGATCGGGACACGCCAACGATTGATGTCGACAGTTTATCTTGCTCAATGTGCGGACAAATGACACATTGAGATACGTGCAGGACTTCTTAGCGATTCGGCTTTCCTCTTCTCAGTCATGGGCGATGATAAAACGATTCTTGTAAAGCCGACAATCTCACCTTTTATCCTTCCACCACCCAAGCTGGTTTTTGAAAGTGCTTGCTCACAGACAAACGATGGCATACTACGAAGGCTTTCCGCCCGCATTGTCTAGCCCAGCCACCGCCGCAGGCTCCGATCTCCCCAAGCAACCGACTTACCCCACTGTCCAGTCATCTCAAACCCCTTCACCAGTCAAGGATACGGCACGAGATTCACCAATGGACCCCGCTGGTAAAAGACCTGTACCAGGCGACACGACAGTACAGGACCATGGGCTCAATGGTTCTTCCACAAATAAACCAGAGCAAGCATGCGAAGGATGCAGGTTTCTCCGCAGGCGCTGTGATGGATCCAGCTACTCAATAGAAGGTCACGGCCACGAAAAAGGCCGGTGTTCGAGCCACGAATATCAAGATCATCTCCAATGGCGATATCAAGTCACGAAAGCCTGGATTTCTCTCGACAAGCACGATGGATGTCCTTTTGCCAACAGTTTCTTCACACATGGGACCAAACCATGTGATAAGGGTTGGGGTAAGGCTCTCCACGAGCACATGTATCTCCACGGCAAGCGGCGGATGGAGACCGACGCGCCAGAAGTCATTCTCGAAGAGTATCGTGGTCGACACGTCCATGAGGAGAGGCATCAGAGTCTGGAACTGGAGCTAGAGGATACTGGCAATTCCGAGAACCGCATATGGAAGTTGTGTCCAACAGGGCAACAACAGCAATGGCAACAGCAACCAGGACAGAGGGAGCAGGGACAGCCATCTGCTTCGTCATACCCGTATCGCGAGGTCTGAGAACGTCCAGGGTTGTCCGAAGACAGCACGGATGAGGTGGTCCACAAGGGGGTGTCCAGTGAAAGGCAGAATTCCAGGAACTGGCGAGTTGAGCGTGTATGCAGATGCACCGTATGTCGACTGGACTACCAGATGGCGCAAAGAGAGTAGCTGTCAAAGAAATAGGAAAGTGCAATGAAGATAGTTCCCGAGCTTCAAATGCAGCTTTCTGCCTCATTCCGGGATAAGGTAATCTTACCTCAGATGACTGGAAGCTCCAATCGAGGTTTCCTTCAAGTTGATATAATAATCGCGTGCTCGTATCAAAAGATGCAGGAGCTGAAGTGTTTAAACAGCAGCTGAGGTCTGGTCAAGGCGGCAAGCTTGGCCGTTTCACCCGTTTCGGCCAGAAGGCGTCTATTCTTGGGAACTGGTTCACTCAACCAACTCTACTTTTGCGCGCCAGCAAGCAGCTGAGACCATAGAAGACAAGCCTGCATGCTTTCCACGGTCAACCGGCGCCTCCGAGCAGAGCCGCTACTGTTATTGGCGATAAGTTTTTAGGCTTTTCGTGATATCTGCGAGACACAAAGGCAGGTCTAGGGAGCTGAGAAGAAAAACGAGATAGATCCGCGGTCCCTTTTCTCCTTCCGCTTCTCCTTCAGCTCTGCTCTATCGTGCTTTCCTGCTCGCTTTGATTTTTGCGTCCTCACCACAGCTTCGTACCTGGAACCGTCTATCGCTATACCACTCGGTACCCACGATGTTCGTCTCAGCCTTCGTTTCCGCTCTCTCGCTGTTCGCAGTCGCTTCGGCCCAGTCCTCGGCTTCTACCACCTCAGCCGCCGCTTCAGCCTCCGCTTCAGTCGTCGCAATCGCCGCCGCTGGCTCAAGCGGATACAGCTACATGGGATGCTACAATGAAACGACCGAAATAGCAGGGACCTCTGGTGCTCGCGCTCTCTCTGGCGGCAAGATGGAAACCGGCAATGACACCACTGTTGCTGCATGCTTGCAGTACTGCGGCGAATCAAATTACCAATACGCTGGTTTGGAATATTCAAAGGAGTGAGTGCGGTCAAGATGATGGATACATAAGGAGTCATACTGATTGGTTTGCAGGTGCTGGTGTGCCAACTACCTTTCTGCTTTGTCGGCGCAGCTGCCAGAGTCAAACTGCTCGCTTGCGTGCGTGGGCAATGACACTGAGCTGTGCGGTGGCTACCTCACGATCAACCTCTACAACCTCACCAGCAAGAAGTCTAGCTCTTCTGGTTCGTCGTCCAAGGGTGCTGCAGCTTCGGTCGCTGCCTCGAGCTGGACTAACGTGTTGGGTGCAGGTGTCATGGCTTTGACACTCGGTGCTGCTTTGTAAAGAGACGATTGAAGTGGGAACATACCCTGGGGAATATACGAAACACGATCTTGGGAATAGACGGACAAGGCGTTTGGATATATAAGGTAGCATGAGGAGTTTTACGGCGTGGACCCGACCGACATTCATATTCTGCGAAACGTCTCAAGTCCTTTTCCATGGACCATCTGTTGTTCGGTAAGATCGAGTGCTCAACATTGGCATCAATCGAAGAACACGACATGCCAAACCTTTCAAAGCGCGCATCATTCGACTAAGCTCGATTTCTCGTGCAGCCACCAATTTCGGAGCTGAGAAGAGCTGAACTCGGCCTATAAAGACTGTCCATCGTGTCGCAGAACATGCACTCGACGGGTGATGGCATGAATCTCAACTGTCCAGTCTCAATCAGGCATGTACCTTGAACCACAGACTCTCTTCGCATATGTCAGCCAAAGTCCACTTCAACTAGATTGGAAAGAGTTTACTTACTTGTCTCCTGACAAGGAACTCATCATAAATCTCGTCCCATACATCGCGAGAACTACAGTCCTCCTCGCCTTCGATAGTTAACTCACAGGCAGGCTGCCATTCATCATGCATGCTATGCGAGTATCCGAACCATGATTTGGATAAGGCCAGTCCAGAAAGTGCAAGTACTTTGCTTCCTTGAGTGCTCGACGAGCATCTCACCTTGCAGTGGCAGAATTCAGAAATCGGTAATGTTCGTTGGTTCGGAACTCTCCAGTGATGAGGTTGTATATTTGATGTGGTAAGTTGCGACAAATTTCGCCGAAGAGATGGTTCATGACATCCATGTCGGAATCGCTTGCGTTTCGATGGACGAAGATATGTTCAATGCGTTCGAAGTCCATCTGGGCTGGCTTGATGACCATGTATTGAATTGACATTGTGTCGTCTAACCAGTATGCTCGAGGCATAGTGATAGGGGTTTGCGGCAAGAAGAAGAGTTCGTCCATTGACTGATTCGAGATAGCGTCTCGATAAGACAAAATGTGATCAGAAGGCACATCAGTCACCTCTAGAATATTGGCGTCAGAGTCTAGGCTGACCACGCGCTCGTACTACGTTTGATTGAATGCTAGAAGTCTTGTGGAAGTCTCTTTTCAAGTGGTATCTCCATCCAATCGTTGGGCTTGAACGGGCTGCAACTTGACATTGAAGTCGTCTCTTGCTCTCCGAAGCAGCTCTGCAATGGACGTCTTCGAAGCGACAGACCACTCCTCAGGGTAAACCAATAGACGTTGAGTAAAGAGACCCATTCGGACCAGATGGGCATACAAGTTCAGCATCGTCACAGCCATCTTTAACACTGCAACATTGTCATTCAAGCCTACGGAGTACCCAGGCGGCACATTGGGAATGGCGATTTCGAAGCGCCGTCGTGTTCGTCGGATGGTTATTGGAAGTGCAGTATTCTCACGCACCTATCGCTTAGATACATGCATATGTTACCACGTCGAGAGCGAATGATTGTATTCGAAGAGGCGCCGTGCCACTTCCCACGGAAGGTGTTCACGGGGATCGCCGCTGCGGCTGACTCGCGCTTTCCTGTAGCTGCATCAACTTGGCTTCCATTTCATCACAACCACATTGTTGGTAGACACATCCAGACACCCCGGCTTGGAATCTACCGGTCAGGATCGTCTAGGCAGTCGAGTTCGAAGAGTCGTCTGATCTATTCTACAAAGATGCTCCTTCTGGTCCCTTGGCATGGAGACAGCTACATGTCACACCGGTCTGGAAGCAAGCACTCGGTTGTTGTAACTATCTCATTTGGTTTTCTTGCCACGCGTATGCTTATTAAGCGCTGGCAATCCGACTCGGGTCTGGAGCGATGTGCATTTGCATGGGTCTCATCATGGCAGCCCAAACTGGCGGAGCCGCCAAGCGCGGTAAAACACATGGCCTGACATAGTATCAACTTCACTCGCCTTGTGCCGTACAGAGAGCCTATCAGACATGTTGCTAGGCGCTGACGAGTACTGGGTGTGGTTCTCGGTCTAGAAATCGGTAAGGTAAACGCTGTGACAAGTAGCCGGCTTGAGTGCATGCTGCAATGAATGATGCATGAGTTTCCGCCCGATATAGCTTGCACAGCATGAACAGTCTGCTGGTATATGCAAAACGAAGGAGTCTCGAGTAGATTGAGATCTATACACTCTCATGGCATTAGCTGATAGCATTGCTTCTGCAGTATCGAATTTTCAGCGGTATCTACGCGCGCGAATGCAACAAGCAGGTCAGACCGACCACTGAGATGTTTCTTCTTCTCTGTGAGGCGGACCTAGCACCTCGTTTTGGTGTACTCCGTATTCGATACACATATGCTTCCGAAGCTCGATATATCTCATCAGCCTCTTCTTTACAATCTTCTTCTTGTTTGATCATGCTCGAGATGAATGGGCACGGCATTTTCGCCAGCTTCGCGTTCGTCGCCTTCTTCTTCCAGCGTACGAACGCTCAGAGCTATCTTGCGATCGACTGGAGCGAACGAACCTATGGACCTGATGGACCATGGAATGCTCTGTCCGTCCATGTTGGTGGGATTAAAAACTCAACACCCATCGCGACTCAGCAAGTACAGATTGACCTCTATCCCGGAAGTTCCTCGGAGACGTACCTACCCTACAACGTGACGTGTGATACGACTAAGACTCTCTGCAACTCGGGCAGAACATGGTCACCGATCTATGACCCAGGCACGGATCCTATGACCGGGAAAGGCTTCGAGTTCGACGACAAGACCTCGAGCACATACTTCAAGGGACCGACGGTCGGCCAGGCAATCACACTTGGTGGTCAGACAGTATATCAAGCCAATCTCGTCAGCTTTGAGATAGGAGCAACACCATTAGGCCAGAATATAGTTACGTATCCCAATGGCGTGAGAGCTTACCCGCCACTTGGACTCCTCGCTTTGGATGCTGGAACGATGGACAAAGCGTATCAAACTTCTGTTGTACGCCGTACGACCAGTCCCTCGGCAGACTCTTCTAGTGTTTGGATACCAGCGGGCTATCTTTACAACCAAGGGGTCATACCCTCTTACTCTTGGGGTCTACACATGGGATCCGCTGCTCTTGACTATCCTGGATCACTTGTTCTTGGTGGCTATGACAAAAGAAGATTGATAGGTCCGTACACTACTTTTGGCAGTCAATACCCGACATTACTCGATATTGGAATTGGGGTTGAGACCGGAGGGACTCCTTTCACTTTCCAGAATAAGACTGGTCTATTGTCGTCCGACAACGAGGATTCGAGAATCAACGTGGCGATCGTACCGCATTCGCCTTCACTTTATTTGCCGCCCCATGCCTGCGAAGCTATAACCAAGGAGCTACCAGTTTACTTCGACCAAGTAACCAAGTACTATCTCTGGAACACCTCCGATGCTCTTTACCAAGAAGTCGTCAGCTCGCCGTCATATCTGAGCTTTGTCTTCCCACCAGCTTCTGGGGACTTGGACAATGTCAACATCAAGATACCCTTTGCGTTGCTCAATCTCACACTCACCTCTCCGATTGTCTCTTCTCCGGTCCAATATTTTCCCTGCCAACCAGTTGAACCCAATGGTACTAATGGCCTCAGATATGCTCTTGGTCGTGCCTTCTTGCAAGGCGCTTTTGTCGGCTGGAACACCAATGCGGAACTCGGCTGGCTGGCTCAAGCCCCTGGTCCAGGTGACTCAAACGTGGGACTGGGATCTGAGGGGAAGAACATTGCAAACAAAGCCACCAAACTTGACGTTTACGATGGTACAGTGACGAACTACTTTGCCCAGTCTTGGTCGAAGCATTGGACGCCTCTCCCATTGACCTCTAAGGCACCAACTTCCACAGCTTCCCCAACGATTGCTCCAACTCAAACTGCAACACACGAAGCATCGAGTACGTCCACAGCTACCATAGCTGGTGTCTCCGTTGGCAGCAGCATCGGGCTGGTTGCACTCATTACCGGTATAGTTCTATGTATAATGAGGAAACGAAGAAGGTCAAGAGCCAATAGAGAGCACAGTGAGTCGTTCAAGACTGACGGAGATGTGTCAATTGGGACGCTCTCTCACACTCACATGCCGCCACCACCCTTTGGCCAATATCAGAGCGAACATCATCATCTTGCTGAAATGTGTGGAGGGCATGAGAGACAAGAGTTGCACCCCTCCCATCGATTCGAACTGGGTTCGCGCGAGCTCCAGGAGCTGCCTTGGGAGAGCGTGTCTAGACCTGTGAGGGCAAAACAGAGCGACATCTATGAGCTGGGACTTCCTCCGACGCCACGTCTAGAACGATAACATCGTCATGTCTCCCTTCTTCCGGCCTCTCAGCTACCCATGAATATTATGTTGCTTTCAAATAGCTTCTCGATGTCTTTTCTCATCCTTCCACAATTGTTGAACCTATCGAAATGCACAGGCTTGATCGAGAAATGACTTCTACCACAGAGAGCCCATGACTTGATGGCTATCGATGGGTGCTTGCTCGTCGTCTGTAGCAGCTATGCACTTTCATAGCCACCCGTTGGACATCTTATTGTCCACGGAGAGGCTAAGGCTGGAATTTCCATACGTGGTAGTGAAAGATTGTGGGTGGTGAAGAGTGAGCATTGAGTGAACGGAAAATTCATGAGAAAGCGTCTATGGCCGGGCGATATAAAACCATCATAAAAAGACACACTCCTCTCTCAGGATCTCTACACGCTTACTCCTTCCATCGCAGATCAGTTCAACACTGACAGCCACACCCTCACCATGTCGTCTCAAGACGAAGCGGCCGAAGTGTACAGAGACCTACTGGCATTGACGACCTCTAAGTAAGTTACTCCTACAGGCGCGTCGTTGGCCGCGACTAATAACATCTCAGTCTCTACAAGAATGGATCGTACTCCGACTTCAAGATCGTCTGCGGAACAGACACATACAACGTCCACAAAGCCATCATCTGCCCTCAATCCGAGTTCTTCCGCGCAGCCTGTCGCCCGTACCCCTTTCAAGAGGGCAAGACCGGCGTGGTCACGCTCCCTTGCAACCCTGGACGCGACTTGGATGCTCTGGCAGCCCCTATCAAACCCGATGACTTTGATTGGGACATGGATGTAGAAGACAAGTCAGCCGTCAAGCTCATGGTACACTACTTCTACCATCACGACTATCCTTCAGAGTTCCCCACGTACGAAGGTCACGACAGCTTGACGCCAAAGACTGCCACCAAGGGCGTGTTAGCCGTTCACGCAAAGATGTTCGCAATGGGGGAGAAGTACGAAGTACGTGGACTCAAATCTGTGGCGCTGGAAAAGTACCAAGCATGCCTGCCAGAGACGTGTGCTGGGTTCGGTACTTCCATCATCATCGCCTTCATGGGTACCACCGAGACTGAAATCGACCTGGGACTGCGCAGCGCAATTGTTGACTCACTCAGCGATTCCGATTGGATGGTTGAGCACGAAGCGCTAGAGAAGACGATCGAGGAGATTCCAGAGCTTGTTTATGCTCTTTACCGCAGACTTCTGGAGAGATCGAGATATTGGTGATGCAAAAGCAGGGCAGATCGCACGAACAAGAATCAGGGCGGATCCAAACAGATAGTAAAGCAAATACACTCACGATCATCTCTAACCTCTCTTTGTGCAAAGTATGTCTCGCAAGTAGCTATAGAAATGCACAGTCATTTCGATGAACAGAGCATATTCACCAAGAGTCGTACTATCACCGGCTCTCAGTGGACAGAGGTTTGTTGTGACGGCTCACAAGATTGAATGATGTTAGAGTCAGAGGACGAGTGAGGGGAGGAAGGTTTAGCCAAGACTTGCCCCAGATTTCATGCCGCTCTGTGACTCCACGGTGGTGAGTCGCGGCGGCCAAAAAAGTTGAATACCATTGCACCACCTTTCTGGGCACACGACCGGAAACACTGAAATCATGGCGGTCAACTTTCCCAAGGAGGAGGAGCGCATCCTCGCCCAGTGGACCGTACGCCCATCTCAACCCGCAGCCGCTCTCAGCTCGCCATGACTAACGCCCAACTCTAGGAGATCGATGCTTTCCAAAGACAACTCGAGTTGTCGGCGCAAAAGAAGCCCTACACCTTCTACGATGGCCCTCCTTTCGCTACCGGCACTCCTCACTATGGCCACTTGCTGGCATCCACCATCAAGGACATCATTCCCCGTTACTGGTCTATGAAGGGACACCATGTCGAGCGCCGTTTCGGCTGGGACACCCACGGTCCGTCTCATGCACAACCCATGGCGGCAAGCGGCTTCGTCTGACAAAGTTTAGGTGTGCCCATCGAGCAGATCATCGACAATAAGCTGCAGGAAGAGCTCGGCGTTCGTGGTCGCGAGGCTGTTGAGAAGATTGGTATCGCAGAGTACAACCGCAGATGTCGCGAGGTCGTCATGACCTACTCGCAAGAGTGGAGAAAGGTCATTGGTCGTCTGGGAAGATGGATCGACTTTGACAACGACTACAAGGTGAGCATCAAGACATACGCACAAGAGAGCAAGCGCTGACACGGCGCAGACCATGGACCCCACCTTCATGGAGTCGTGCTGGTGGGTCTTCAAGCAGCTCTACGAGAAGGACCTTGTCTACCACGGCGCAAAGGTTCTGCCCTACTCGACCGCCCTCGGCACTCCTCTCAGCAAGTCTGAGGCTCAAGAAGACTACCGTGACGTCTCGGACCCGGCCATCGTTGTCAACTTCCCCATTCTCGGTCGCGAGAACGAGTACTTCCTTGCCTGGACCACCACTCCTTGGACCCTGCCTTCGCACACCGGTCTCTGTGTTCACCCCGACTTCGAGTACATCAAGATCCACGATCAAGAGTCGGACAAGAAGTACATCCTGCTTGAGGTTGGTCTCAAGATGCTGTACAAGGACCCTAAGAAGGCAAAATACACTGTTCTGGAAAAGATGAAGGGTTCTGAGCTTCTAGGCGTCGAGTACGAGCCTCCATTCGACTACTTCAAGGACGAGTTCAAGGGTGTCGGTTTCAAGGTGCTCAACGACACATACGTCAAGGTCGACGAGGGTGTCGGTATTGTCCACCAGTCTCCCGCTTTCGGTGAGGACGATTACCAAGTCGCCTGGAAGGCCGGTATCATCAACGATAAGCGTGCTCCCCCCAACCCCCTGGACTCTTCAGGCCATTTCACCAAGCAAGTCCGTGACTTCGAGGGTCAACACGTCAAGGCTGCCGACAAGGCCATCATCAAGCACCTCGAGAACGCTGGCCGTCTCGTCAAGAAGAGTCAGATTGTCCATAGATACCCTCATTGCCCTCGCTCAAAGACTCCTCTCATCCAGCGTGCTGTTCCTTCGTGGTTCATCAAGGTTGAGCAAGTCGTTCCCAAGCTTGTCGAGAACCTCGAGAAGACTCACTGGGTGCCTGGCTTCGTCAAGGATGGTCGTTTCCACAACTGGCTTGCATCAGCAAGAGACTGGAACGTGTCAAGAAACCGCTTCTGGGGTACTCCCATCCCTCTTTGGGTCAGCAGCGACTTCAAGGAGGTTGTCTGTATCGGCAGCATTGCTGAGCTGAAGGAGCTCAGTGGCTACACTGGCGAGATCAAGGATCTTCATAGAGACACCGTTGACGGTATCACCATCCCCAGCAAGCAAGGCAACGGTGAGCTCCGCCGTATTGAGGAAGTCTTCGATTGTTGGTTTGAGTCGGGCAGCATGCCTTACGCCTCCCAGCACTACCCCTTCGAGAACAAGGACACCTTCCAGGATAAGTTCCCTGGTGACTTCATTGCCGAAGGTCTCGATCAGACTCGCGGTTGGTTCTACACCATGTCTCTTCTCGGTACCTTCCTGTTCGACACTTTCCCCTACAAGAACTGTGTCGTTAACGGTATCGTCCTCGCTGAGGATGGCAAGAAGATGTCCAAGTCGCTCAAGAATTACCCCGACCCCAATCTCATCATGGACAAGTACGGTTCCGATCCTCTCCGTCTGTACATGATCAACTCCCCTGTCGTTCGTGCTGAGCCTCTGCGCTTCCAAGAGCAGGGTGTCAAACAGATCGTCTCGAGTGTTATTCTTCCCCTCTGGAACAGCTACAACTTCTTCGAGCAGCAGGTTGCTCTTCTGAAGAAGCAGGCTGACATTGACTTCATGTACGACACTTCCATTGAAACCAAGAACACCAACGTCATGGACAAGTGGATCTTGGCTTCTTGCCAGTCTCTGCTCAAGTTCGTCAACAACGAGATGTCAGTATACCGTCTGTACACTGTTGTGCCCCGTCTTCTCGAGTTGATCGACAACACCACCAACTGGTACATTCGTTTCAACCGTAGACGTCTGAAGGGTGAGAGCGGCCAGGACGACGCGATTCACGCTCTCAACACTCTCTTCGAGGTCATCTACACCATGGTCAGAGGTCTTGCTCCATTCGTTCCTTTCATCACCGACAACATCTACCAGCGCATCTCCAAGCACATCCCCGAGAGTTTGCACTACGAGGATATGCGTTCAGTACACTTCCTGCCTTACCCCGAGGTCCGTGAGGAGCTGTTCGATGAGGTCGTTGAGAGACGTGTCAAGCGTATGCAAGTCGTCATTGAGCAGGGTCGTCTGTGCCGTGAGAGAAGAACTGTCTCACTTAAGACTCCCCTCAAGTCATTGGTTGTCATCCACTCTGACCCTCAATACCTCGAGGATGTCAAGAGTCTCGAGTCATACATTGTCGAGGAACTCAACATCCGCGACCTTGTCCTCAGCACTGATGAGGAGAAGTACCACGTGCAATACTCTGCTCTTGCCGATGTCAAGTCATTGGGTATCAAGTTCAAGAAGGACGCAGCAAAGATCAAGAAGGCCATCCCCAACCTTTCGTCTACAGACATCAAGTCATTCATGTCGAGTGGCGAAATCACCATTGAGGGCTGCCATCTCTCAAGCGAGGACCTCAGAGTGCAGCGCGGTATCCAGCAAACACCCGAGACCAAGCATCTCGAGGTTGCCGTCGACGACAACTGCCTCGTTATCCTCGACAGTTTTGCATACCCCGAGCTCGCACAAGAAGGTATGGCCAGAGAGTTCGTCAACAGAGTGCAACGTCTACGCAAGAGTGCTGGACTTGTGCCCACAGATGACGTGCGCATGGTATACAAGGTTGTCAAGGACGACAACAACGAGGTTGACAGCATGTTCAAGGAGCAAAAGTCATTGTTCGATAAGGCTATCCAAGGCGAGATCCAGCGCGAGGATGCTGATACTCAAGGAGCATTGGCGGAAGAGGATGCCAATGTTAGAGATGTGCTTGTCAAGTTGATGCTGTTCAAGCTATGATAGAATGTTTGCAGGATGAAAAATGTTGACGACTCAGATTCATAGAAATACTAGGTCAGAGATATGAGCAAAAAGACAAAAGCTGATTTCTTTGATATCTGTGTTCTTGTTCGTAATTATGCTATCATCGTTTCCTGCCTGCAGCTGCCTGTGACAAGCTCATTAGCATCGCACCTTCCCTCGGACTATGGATGGCACATACCAAATAGCAGTTCTTTAGTTGCATGAACTCCTTCGCACACATATCCTTGCGAACATTCTGGTATTCGGCAACGATGCATTTGCCATATGAGGCGCCCTAGACTTGAATGAGAATTGACACGTCGAGATGGGGCAGAGAGTGGCGAACTTCAAGTGTGCATTTTGAAGTGGCTGTGATGAATTTCTCAAGAGGCTTCGCTCTGGGGGTCGACATGATCGAGATGCGATGATATTGGTTGTAGGATATTCGAAGGCGTTCTGGTAGAGATGGAGCAAGCAATTGGCGATGTCATGGACTTGACTCGAAAAGGCGGTGTTCGGAAGCAACCGAGGGCTGAGGTGCATGTGAAAGTCGCGTCTTGGTCCAGCAGCTCTTTCCTTACGACAACAACAAGACTTGTGTCTTAGCGCTTTTCATTCTTTCTGCGGACGACGAGCATGTTACGGATTACTACAATTGCATGATTTGTCGATCCGCATTCACAAGACACACGAACGCGCGAATGCCGTCTCCGCCATCGTCACAGCGCCGGTATAGACGACCGAAACGAAACGCGTCAATAGCAGCAACTTCACGCGAGCCGGATGCCAGACTCGTCGGCCATTGAGGAGTTGCCGCCCTTGAGTGACCAAGGTCAGTTTCTCCCAATGACAAGATTACGTTTTTTTGAAGACTGACCAATTCGCCAAAGACATCAACATCCTCTTCCAGATCGTCAGCGACGCCCAACAATCATCACACCCCCCAGTCAAAGCCCTTTTCGCCGCATACGACAAAGTCCTCGCCGAACATGGGATCGCGCAAGAACATGATCAGCGCTTTTTCCGCTATGTCTTGCGACTGGGCGAAGGCGCTTCTCATAATACCCGGTCCTTGATGTTCAGGTTGCGCAAACTGCTCGCCAAACTCGACATTCACATTGTTGTGCAGGACGACCAAGATGCTATAGAAGAAGAAGAGCCCGAGTGGTCACCAGATAACGTCCGACCCACGCAAGAGCTAGGACAGAGTAGTGCGACACGAAGTCGGAGGGCAAGCTTCAACGATACTAGGTTGGATGAGACTTGGGTTAGTGGTGGACGACTCGATCCTGCCCGATCTCGACACAGTCCACATGCCTCGCTGGACGACCTGTCGCGCATGCGAAGGCCCTCGACCCATACGCTGCGTGCTCCCAATGGACTGCCGTCTCGAGGCAGAGTGGTCGCTCAACCACAGATGCAGCTGCGTAGAAGCCATTCTTTATCGACTCAAGGCAGAACCAGAGCTACTCGGCCGCCAGCTCCCGGACCCTGGTCTCGTCAACAACCTCCTCTCGACTATCAGACTGGCCTGACGGACGATGACGAGACCGAATCCGATATTCCCAGCTCTCCGCCAGTCTTGCCATCGAATTATCCAGCTGCACCCCAGCACGTCATACCTCTCGAAGATGAGTTGGCCTACGAAGCCGAAGCCTTTTTTCATGCTTCTCAAAGCAAGATTGCGCGCCGATGTCTTCACCAACTATCGTTTGAGTCCTCTCGTATCCAACATATGAGTCGTATTGCTCAAGGCCACGATCAGCGACTGCTCAAAGCCCAAGCTTTCAGCATCTGGGCTGCCAAATTACTTGATCGACGTCAAGCTGCTGAAACAGAACAATTCTTCGAACAATACGAGCGCAGAGCAACTCGTGCACGAGACCTGTTCCTCCTTAACAAGGCTTTTACACATTGGGCACAGTCTACGAGTGACGAGGTCGCTAGAACATCTGTTGCTAGAAGACACATTCTGCGTACCCGCTATTTTAACGCATGGCGTGATATCTCAGCCGTCAATGACCTCAAGTGTCGTCGCTTGGGTCTGCGCAAGTGGTTCTCTGTCTGGAGGACAAATGCTGCCCGCAAAGCCGTCGACAACGAGCGTGCTGTTGCCGTCTTTGAAGAAAATCTCGTCCGAAGGATCTGGTGGAAGTGGTTCTGGGCTTTCTGCGAACGAAAAGCTCCGGTTTGGCATGACTATCGTGCTAAACAGTCTTGTCTGCATCGCTTGACCGGTGCTGTAACTCGTCTTCGACAGCATGGAGCTGCTGCAACAAACATGCGAAACAACAATCTTCTGAGAAAGACCTTCAGCGCCTTGGTTGCTCGCAAGACTGCCATCCAGTCACTAGATCGAAGCGCAGAGGAGCATCATCGAGTCAATCTGGTGAACAACTGCTTCCATCATATAGTGCAAGAGTCCAAGTTGGGCCATGCCTCGAAAGAGATTTCTGCTGTCGTGTCGAGTCGGCTACTGACCACAGCCATCTCAGTCTGGCAACTCAATACTCAACTCACTCAACAAGCCGCCGCTGTAGATCGGCGACGCATCCTCCAGAATGCATGGACAAACTGGAACGACAATTTGCGAGCTCGTGCACTTACTACGAAGATCGATGACCGAGTTGTGCTCGAGAACCTCTACAAGTGGGTCTTGCAGTCTCGACTTGCTCTCTTCCGACGTGTCATGGACGCCAAACTTCAAGAACGTGCGTTGCAGACCCTGAGCTTGAGACTGGTTGAACAGTGCTTCCACCTGGAGGAAGCAGCCATGATCTTCAAAGAGCACAAGCGCAGACGAACGCTTGCTTCCGTGATGCTGAGGTTCCATGGTATCTCACGAGCGGAAGAGATGATGGAACGACAAGCAATTGAGTTCAGAAACACGCGCGTTATGAATGCTGTGCTGCCAATCTGGACCCAACGAACACAACACTTGATGAAACTAGATCGATGGTCAAATGACGCTAGATTCTACTGTTTGGCCAACAGCACTATCAAAAAGTGGAAGGATGCCACATCACAAGCACAGCGCAACAAACGCAGAGATGCCTATGTTCAGATCCGAGGGCGTGTCAAGCTACGTATGGTCCGCGATTGCTTTGCTGTTTGGAGGGAAAGAGCCAGTGTGGTCCGACAACTCGACGCCACTGCTCTCGAGCAGGTCAACAATCGACACGTCAACGCTGGTATTGCTATCTTCAGCTTGTGGCGTGACAAAACTCAACAAAACAACCAGCTCTCGGTACAAGCTGAGGAGTTCTCTGCACGCCTTCTCTTCCTCCGCACGATTGCTACCTTGTTATCCAAGGGCCAAGAAGTTTTGCTGCATCACGCGCAGGCTCTGACACTCCGCGCTCAAACCGTTGACCTGCTCGCTACTGGCACTCTCAAGAAGTTGAAGTGGGCACTCTTCTGTCAACGGCGCAATCTGGACTCCGCGGCGGCGCTTGAACAACGTAATTCGCAGCAACATCGTAGGAACATGTTGAGATATTGGGCCGAGCAAGCTTCGAGGCGAAGAGCCGCCAGAACTCTGCCGTTGCCACTCGGCCCTCAACAAGATGATGTACCCGAATCACCGACTAAGGCTTCGTCGCCAGCAGTTGTTCCTACACCCGCTCCGATTTCGCTTCCGCCGTCTTCAAATCTGTTCAGCAGTCTCAGACTACCATCAGCACGCAAGACCCCTGCACCGTTGTCAGCAATGAGCCGGCTTGCACCTCTTCTCAATGGTGATGAGGAAGAGTCAGATGTCGAAGACATGGACTTTGGCGCTACTCACCGCGCCGAAGAATGGACATCCTTTGATGTGCTGAGAGACGTTATGAATCGACAACAGCCACAGTTTCAGGCACAACCACCTGCACCTCAACGATTCGACAGTGCGGTAATATCGACTCCAGTTCCTGGGTATATGGCTCGCACTCCTAGCAAAAGAACTCAGCGAGCAAAAGCTCTCTCTGCGATCCCCTCAGCCAAACCGGCGCGAAGAGAAGTCGTCGTCTCCACTACTCCAGCACCCGTTCGCAGCAACAATGATGTCAAGACACCCATAGTTACCCCCTTCGAACGCAAGATGAGGAAAGGTGGCTATGGCAGTTCAACAGGGAGTGGTGGGGGTGTAGGCCTGGCTGAGGAGAGTTTCACTCCAGCTACATTCAGGCGAACGAGATTTGGAGGAGCACCTAGCTTTGGACTGAACGGGAATTCATCACAGCAGACGGGGAGGAGTGTTAGGTTTTTCGATACGGATGAGATCAAGGAGGATTTGGATGATGATGCAAAGTGAGGTGATGGAGATGAGATGTAGAGGTTATGGTTTTTATGTTTTCTTTCTTGATACCCCGTTTCTCTTCTTACCTTTCGATTCAGTCCTTCGTCCTTGCTTTATTTCGCTTTCAGTCTCTCGAGTCTCGTTTCGTTTTTCTCCAGTTTTTTCTTTTTTTTGTGGCCGGGCATCACACCCTGGCCATATTTACACATCATCTTCATGCCGCCGGACTGGCTATATCACGCATGCGGAAGCTTGACTTGGTACTTCATATGCTTTTTGAGCCTCTCCTGGCGCTCAGACTTCATTTCGAGTTCATCTGCTGCTGGTGACGCAATACCGTATCTATCTTCAATGTTCCAAGTGAGCGTATTCTGAAACACCTAAGGTTGCCTGGATTTGCTGGACACATCCTACTGAAGTGGCCGGTCCATCTCCAACGAACTCATAATTCCAGTCTTCCGCGAGTTACCGTCTTACTCCAGGATTATCACACCACTCTTTGCGATCATGGTTGGAATCGACCTCGAAGAATGGGTTCGCACCCGTGCTTCACGAGTCAGGGATCCCTCAAAACGAACACCAGACCGCTCGACCTACTTCAACGATGGCGACAACGTCGAAAGACAACTCCAACAAGACAACCACAAGATCTGGGGCTGGGTCATCTACCGCTGCACCTATGCCAGCGACGACGACTGGAATGAGTTTATGAGACGCCTTGACTTCTGGATACGCAAGGACTTAGCAAACGACGGAGGACTGGATATGCTGGGCAGTCTTGACCATCACGTTTTCGACGACAAAGAGCTTTTCGATGGAGCACATCCCTCTGTTGTTCGCGAGCACTTCCGCACCTGGTGCATCACTGCTCCGCAACAAGAACAAAGTTTCCCGCACGCAATGCAATCGCAACGCTACAACTACTGCATTCACGTCGACCAAGTTTCCCTCGATTCAATTCTCGCTGCACCAGCACCTCCCGACTACGATATCTCCCACAAACCAGGTTTTGTGGATTTGGTCTGCTTGAATACGCAAGGTGGAATGAGACCTGAGCATATGGATGGCCGTGACGAAAAGGATCTTTGCTGGATGCGTATTGGTTATACGAGTCTTATGTGCACTTGGTATAGTCGATTCCGCGGACAGGGGAGTTGGTTGACGGAGTATAGGGTTCCGCCGGAGGTTGGACGGCCTTGAGGAAGGAGAATGGCTTGATCACTTGCAATGTCACAGCTGCAATGGAACTACCCTACAGTTTGCTTGCGACCATGATCATCGCGTGTTTTGCGGCCATGCTCCCCAAGGCAGTGGGAACGAATCTCTTCGTCTCAAAGCTGGAAAAGCCGAGGTTTCCCGTGCTTCTCTCCTCTGATCAATACCCTGCAAGTCCAATCACCATCAAAAGTTCTATATCTTCGCTCTTCGATTCATGCACCTCTGGCCAGCCGACGCGAGCTTCCGCTTCTACTCGCTTCTCACCACCATCAATTCACATATATATTTCTTGTTGATCTGCAATCTACCATAACAAGGCGAGATGGCCGAGCGGTCTAAGGCGCCAGCTTAAGGTTAACTCCAGATACGCTGGTCCGAAAGGGCGTGGGTTCAAATCCCACTCTCGTCACTATCTCTTTTGTCTCTTTTCGGCGGTTTCACCACTATCTCATAGAGTCGAGGGAAGTGGTCGAATGGCAAGAAGAGTGGGTTCTTTTTGGTGGTTGGAAGGAGGATTTGGTGATTGTGCGTCTGGCTGGGGCTTGTCTTGTGCAGATGTTGTGCAAACTTATGCTGTGTAAGATGGGCTTGGCGGATTGTGCAACGTGCTTATGCATACATAAAAAGCCAGCTTAGCTCACTCGGGCACTTTCTCTGCTTGCTTGCTTGCAGCACATCTTGAGTGTAAGATATCACTTGGAGACAGATGGTATGATGAGGGTTACTCATGAATCATCAGTATATACCACTCGCTGAATTGTCTCTGTGTCAAATCGAACAAGGGACGCTGATATATACCACCGAAACTCTTTGTTCCCCATATGCAATCTGGATTTTGCGACGGGG